TATAGTATATATATAAATATATATTACTTAAATTAACAGCAACAATAAAACAGTAAGTTTATAAAACAAATCAATAAAATCAAATAAATAAACTACGAAACTGTTTATTAATGACTTGCCAGTTTATCGCTTCTCCAGCTCAAAAAGGGATTTTTTATTTATAAATATCATCTCTTATTAAACCAATTAATCACTTTTCCTTTATCGGCAAGTTTAGTCTATTTAAAATGGCTTCTCTTTCAAGCTACTTACCAGGGACAGCTAGTCTTGTAGAGGAAATTGACAGTAAATAATCATGACTTACTATTGATAGGTTTTTCAAAGCTATTAAATGTTCATTCATTTTTCAGAGAAGTTACTCGTAGTGTTACGTGACGGTCGGACGTTGATTGGATTCTTAAGGAGCATCGATCAGTTCGGTTAATATCGATTATTTGCGTGCTGTCGTCTTTTTTATATTGATGGCAAATATTCTACCCCGATAGCGAATCTGGTTCTTCAGGATACAATCGAGCGAATTCACGTCGGTAAGAAGTACGGTGACATCGAAAGAGGAATATTCGTCGTTCGAGGAGAAAACGTTGTTTTGTTAGGAGAAGTGGTAAGCGATATCATCAAACATAATATAATAGATAAGCGAACCTAATAATAAGAATAATAATAACTCTTTTATCAAAATGCACTTTAACAGGATGATGATTTACAAAAGAAACTGTTAAAAGAAGTATCGGTAGAACAAATCCTCGAATTACAAAGGAAAGAAGAAGCGTTAAAAGCCGAAGAAAGAGAGAGGAAGCAAAAAGCATTAAAAGAGAGAGGTCTATTCGCAACAGCGAGCGAAATGAACGACGATTACTACTAAAGGAAGATTGGATAAGATTCAACTGTAAAAATTATTGTTACTTGTTGTTTTTCATTTACGAAAATTATCATTAAAAAAAAAAATAGAAAATAAAGGGGGGAAAAAATTATGATCTAATTAGCGATAATTGCATAAAATAGAAACGACTCTAACTTTGAGTTGAGTGCGTTACTTATTTTATGTTTTTTAGTTTTCAGTACTGTAATGAACTAGTAAAAAAAGAAAAAGGTACAGGGGAGAGAGTGTAATTAGTTATGCTCAATTACGGCCTAAAGTAATATTCTGCAAACTAGTTTATAGAATTATATTTGGGTGTAGCTATGTGCTGGTCTTGCTTTCCATTTTTTAATTCTCTAAGATTCAAGTCTCTTCCAAGAAAAGATTCAGAGTTTAGCGAAACTTCTACCGATATACTTAGCATAGATGAGACAATTTCCACTCCGTTTAGAAGATTGCCGACAGAACCCTACACAAGAGTTCATTTAAGAAAGAAAGATCAAAGGACAGAATTAAATTCTATAGGAGAAGAGTCAGCTACTAGAGACAATCGATCTCATCCAGTTCTGCTGCTTGGTCGATCAGTAACATCAATTGTAAGAGGAGGGAACGTTCGACATTTACAAATTGATGAAGAGGATAAAATAGATAGAAGCTATGTGAAGGTTACTTTAAGCAAAGAAATTGAATGACGATCTTTTTTTCATTTTCTTATTTGTTCTATCCTATCTCATTCTCTTTTCTCTCTCCTATTTTTGACTAAATAATTATATAAAATTTTATTTATACGTAAACTATTCCAGAGTATTAACATATAAATTTAGTTCACGTTAGCATCCTCGCTCGAAGTGCTAGGTTTTTCTTTGTCATTAGTCTCAGTTTCTTCTTCTTCATCATCTTCCTCTTCTTCTTCTTCCTCTTCAATCTCGTCTTCTAGTTCTTCGTCTTCTAAATCTTCATCAGATTTAGCCTTTTTGGTGACTGGCTCTTCTACGTCTTCTTCGGATTTTTCACATTTTCGTTTAGCTGATGACATGTTTGCTAAATCATCTCCATCTTCAGAGCTTATATCTGAATGATACAAAGATTCTTCTGCTGGGATATTATCATGTTCAAATCTGAGCATACAACCACTAGGACGATCTTCTTCGTTTTTCTGTACACGAGCGATTACCATCGCATTTACGCTGTATCTTGTAGAATTTCCAAACATAAAATTAAAGAAGCTGATACAATGCTGCTTAAATAATGCATTTAATTTTTCCTCATTATCTCGTTGTCTCCTAAAGACGTTTGGAAGGGAAGTCATATCTTCACCTATTATCGTTCGGAGCGTTAAATAGAATCTATAATCTGTGAATTTTCGAAAGCAGATTTTTCCTCTAAAATTTATGAAAATATAAGGTAATTCCTTTTAAGCCAGTTTTATAGATCCAGTGCACAAATGGGAATGGATTATTGTTTTATTAGGTTGGCTAATGAAAAATTGCCGAAAGATTCAGATACAAAACCAACAAGATGATAAACAAGATGGCGTTGGGGGTTACCAATCGATAAAATGCAATGTACACCACACATGTACTGTTACATTTATGTATTTCATGTTTTGCACATATGATGAATTTTTTTATTTTAGGTAATTAAAAGCATAGTCATTAAAACGATTGAGTAGCGATCATGATTATTGTAAATGCCCTACAGTATATTTTCTAGGCGTTTAGTGAGCGATAAATCGTGATACATCAATGTAGCTCTGACAACTGAATCATTCTAGCATAAACTGTGTGCTGCGCATTATGCATATGTAGAGCCGCGCAGCGGCTACAAATGATTAATTTCTCGCTCTTTCGTTGAATTTCAAGCGTTTCGAATGTTGAATGTAAGTTTTAATTACTTCTAAATGTTCGATCGTTCGATTTGTAGTTAGTATTAAATCGAATTAAGTAACATAGCTGCCGTCTAACAAAAGAGAAACGGGCGCGTATATAATTTATTCTATCTTTACATGTATAGGCTTATGTGCTGTTAGTATTTGCTTAATAGCGATTCGCTATTCATAAAAGCAGGTACATGTCGAGACTAATTTTTGTAAACGTGCCCGTGCATGAATGCTTTAAATAAACGTTATACGATCTATGCAACACTTTTAATATATTCACCACTTCTTATGCGCTCTTTACATTTTGCATTCCATACCGTAGGCCTAGACTTGCCGCGCGCTTTGTATAGACTTCATTGTGCACCTGTATTCTATTCTACTTTTAGATGGCCAACGCCATGCTGCAGCACGATAGCGAGAAAGAACGTTTTCAGAAATTAATTACTGACACAATTTGCATGCTGTGCAAATCGAGCTTCTCGACGCAACCTCGAATTACCGTCGATGGCCTGCTTGGTATCACGTTATCTTCCGACGAAGTCTTCCTCGTTAAAATCAATCAGACAATTACGAATGATTACATCTCTTCCCCGACCAAATCCGTGAAGGAGGAGGTCGCCTCTCCAAACGATGAAATCGCCCCGCCCGTCTTCCCTATGTCTAAAACGTCCATCTTTGGCTCACGTCGCTCTCAGCCTAGCAAGCCAGAAAGCAGGAATGAAGATATCGCCCAAGATGACGATGATGTTGACGATGGAGAAGAAGAAGAAGAAGAAGGTTTAGAGGATAACAAGCTTATTATTGACCATGAAAAAGAAAACAACGATGATACAAATTGCAAGAATGGCGAGGCATCTGCGCCTAACTCAACTTCAGTTTCCTCCGCTACCACTCCCACTTCCTCTTCATCTTCCTCTTCTTCCACTTCTCATAACGCAATACCATTCGAAAATCTTTTAAAAGTAAGTATTTATTTATATATGCTCTGATTTATACATATATATGTATATATTTATATATATATTGCTCTTATCGATCCATTATCTATTAGCTCTACCCGTATTACTATTGTTACCATTTTTTTTGCAGATGGCCCGTATGTCGTCCAAACCGCAATCGTGCACGGAATGCGGAGCGACTTTTCCGTCAGCCTTCGATTTATCGAAGCACACTTTAACACACATCAAAGCACCTTCTGCAAACTTACTGCAACCTACGTCACATATTATAATGTCCCCTCCGACAGCTATACCTCCGACAACCCCATCCAGCCCCCCAAACTTCCCATGTTACGAATGCGGTAAATTGTTTAAAGCGAAGAGCGAATTACAAATTCATATTCGAATCCATACTGGCTATCGACCCTATAAATGTACTCAATGCGGAAAAGGTTTCACCCAAAAATCGGCGATGAACCGGCATCTTTGGACTCATACTAATTCAAGGCCATTCTACTGCGATATTTGTCATAAGGGCTTCCTCACAAAACAGAACCTCAATTCACACCTCGCCTCGCACGTTCATCGTTCGCCTCTACTTTCTCAACAGATGAGCTCCATCTCGGAATTTCAAGTGAAACAACAGGCACTTATGGCCGCCGCTGCCGCTACTGCTAATAAACAACCTCTACCCTTCCCGACCCAGGCTCTTACTCCCGTCAAACAGACGCTGGCCGTCTCCAAACCGGACAAGGCGGATAGCGTTTCCCAAGTGAAGAACTTCCCGTCCAACATCGATCTAGAGGCGTATACAAACGCCCTAAAAGCGCTTATGCCACAATCGCAGTTAGATCTCTGCCTACCGAAACGCGATTCAAACGACAATGAACACGAATCGGACGACGATGAGGAGGAGGAGGAGGAGGATGATGAACAACCAATGGAGGATGAAAATTCGAATTTACCCCCAGAAGCATTACCTCCCGAAGTGGCGCATGCTTGTAGAAATTCTGACCAGTAAGTTGTACATAACAAAAATTATTATTATTCGTAATGTAGGTCACTATTTTTAATTATGCAAACGTCTAAAACTAATGGTAGGCGTAGTGCGTGACGTATGAGAGCTTCCATTTATATTCTTCGTACGAGCGTTTTCCCAGAATATTTCGAACAAAAATTGATTTGAACAATATTGCTATTTTAATGTTCACGTTACGCTATAAGTGTCTCAGGATTCAGTTTGTTCTGCTTTTTTTGTATGCACATTATATTAGATATAAAAAGGTCTCTTTTTTTTTTCCCTCTTTTATGCATATATAAATATTATTGTTATGTACATATATATATATATATATATATATATAGTATACAGTATATATCTATATATATATATATATCGAAGTTGTATATTTTGCATATAGAATAATGTATGGTATGTAGGATATTTAAATCCTTAATCCATGCATTTATATGCAAATATAAACAACAAAAAAAGAAAAAAAAAACAATAACAAAATATCTATATATTGCATTATATTGTAGAATTTTTATACATGTCGTTTGTTTAAAGAAGAGGAGGAGGAGAAGCGGGAGGGAGGGGGAGGGGAAGAAGAAGAAAAAAAGTTACAAAGGTACTTTTTACCTTTTTTCTTTTCTTTTTTTCTTCTTCTCCTTTATAATTCTTATATCCTTTATATGTATTTTTATTTTTTGCTTTATCCTTTTTTTAACCCTAAACCTAATCCTTTGTTTTTTTTGTTTGTTTGTTTGTATTTTTTTTACTTTGTTCATACGAAACCTTCTTCTGCTTCTTCTTCTCCTTCTTCTTTTTCTGCTCCGTCTAAAAATCTTCCTTCTTCCTCTTTCTTAATTTTTTTACCCTGTTTTCTTTTCTCCATCTCTCTCTCTCTCTCTCTTTTTTTTTTCTTTTTCTTTTTTCTTCCCCTGCAATCGTTTTTTTGTTGTCTCTAATCGCGCATATCACTCCATTGATCTGTACACTAACTGATTATCTGCTGATTGTACTAATTTTTTTTTCATTAATCTGCTGATTAGACAAAAAAAAAGGAAAAAAAACGCACGCGCGTGGTCACAACGAGTTAATTAATTTTTATTTTAAACTTCTACTGTATTGGTTTTTCTTTTTTTTGTCTTTCTCTCTTTTTTCTTCTTTTTCTTCTTTTCTTTTTTTTATCGAATCGAAAAAAAAAAGTTTTTTCTCTTTTTTATTTCAAATTTTGATTAAACAAAAGGAAAGAACGACAAGAGAGTTTATATATCTGCCTATTTCTGTGATGAATTTTTCGTTCGGTCACACCCGTACTGCACCCTTACTGATTTTTTTGTACAGGGTCACACCGAGTCTCTCTGTTAATTTTCGAAAATATTCCTTTTAATTTGTTTATCTTTTTTTTAACATATAATGTTATCAATGTTTATTTTTGTTTTTTTTTCTTTTGAAACTCTTGCTGTCCATCTAGCTATCTATGTTTTCCATTTAGAAGAGAAGATAGATAGATGGATACTTTGTCTGTCTTGTCTCTTTTACTTATTCATCATCTTTCTTTCTTCTGTGATTTTACATTTTATTTTTCATTTTGAATGCGTTTACCTATGTTTTTTCAAAGTGCAAGCCCAGCTTTTTAGAGATTAATTATACTGTACATCTATATACGTATACATTTATAGATGCAGTATGAAATGTTTTATAATACATATATATATGTATATATATGGGAGAGAGAGAATAGAAAAAGAAAAAAATTTTTTGGGTTTGCACTAAGAATCGTATAATCTTAATTTTTTAAATTGTAGATGAATTTATCAATCAAGTAAAGACAATTCTGTTCGAAATCAAATGCGTACAATGAAAAAAAGTACTAGCATCTAATTGTTGTGTTTAATGTAAAATGTATTATCTACATGTAGCATTAATCATTAGTTGAATCCTTTTGGATAACTAACGTAGCTGCTGATCGTGTTGAATGGTTCTGCTATACAGATTCTCTTCCATTCGTTTAGTGATCTTCCATTTTGTGACGAATACAATTACAAACGTTTTATTTTCAACAAGTTGTCAACTTGCCAAGTGAACTAGGTTTGACCTGTAGGCGCTATACTCATAATGCACTCGGAATGTTGATGTAAACAGCCTTAGTCATGCTTGAATTGATTAATTTTAATATAAATACACGTCCGCAAGCTCGGCCGGCTCAATTGTATTCAAAACAGACAATATAGTAATGTTCAAAAAAAGTTCACCCAATTCAATGCGCACAATACCTCTCGCTACAATTGTAAAGAATTCAGTCTTTTTGCAAAAATGCACACTATGCACGCCTACATTATTTCTATCTGCCACGACATATCTTTATAAGCCGCAATGTCAGGTGCAACTTTTAATGCACAAAATTCCCGAATGTGTCGTTCATCTTCAAAATTAGATGCTTCCAAGCAAAATTCCACATTCCAGATAACGCTTATGGACAAAGCTAGTATATCTAATAGGCCACCGTATTTAGCGCTTACGTTTCTAGCCTCATCTAGCATATCCGTAGAGAAAAGTATTCGCAGCAAATCGGTCACGTCCGTTTTATATTCGATCGCTTCGGAATAAATCGATCTTAAAGCGTCGACCAACGCTGCGTGCTCATAAACCGAGCCTTCTCTTAAACTCCATAATTTCCTTTCTTTCTTTTTTCTGCTACGGGTCGATTTTCCACTGGAACGTGTCCCTCCGCTAGTAACGGACCCCGTCATAACACTACTAGTATCTGAGTAGACGTCGGCGTTACCGACGTCCTCCTCATCATATAATAATTCAGCCGCCCTCTTTTTTTTTTCTTCCCGAACAACACACAGTCTGTTCAAATTGCGTTCGAAATTCGACCGTAAATCATCGAGAGTAGAATTTATCGATCTAAACGCTTCCAATACGGCGTCGTTGAGGTGCGTTTGTATGAAGTCTAATCGATTGTGCTTGTGCATAATTCTGGTCGCTTCCTGCCAACATCTTCCTTCTATCAACACTTCGATGGCACCTTCGCAATCGCCTGCGTACTGTTCTATAAGGATGGCAGCTTCAATAAATTTCCTCTGTTTTTTTAGCGTTTCCGATAAACGTCTTGAGAGTAACGCCATCTCTTGGGGGTTGTAGCCAGATTTGGTCGCCGATGAAATGGCCTCTCGCCACAGGGAACATTTTTCATAAGCTATAATAGAATCTTCATAATGGCCACCCTTTACATATATCAGACCAGCTTGATCATATTTCTTCTTTTCGAACAAGTACTTTCCGTACCGCAAGCATACATTTTCGAATTCTTTGCTCCCGGCTTTGAAATACCGCAAAGCTTCGGCATAGAGAGAATGCTCACTGATGAATTCCAGACACTCTTCAAACTTATCTATACACTGACAAATGTACGGAAGTGCCTCTTTATGACGCTTCAAGTGTTTATTTATTACAAAGCGACGATAGACTTCATCCAGTTGTTGCAGTTCCTTTAAAAATGGTATGTACTCTTTCGGATCCTGAGTAAAGAAATTGGGCATATAATATATGTATACTTATGTACTAATATAATATATAAATTTTATACAGTGTATATATATATATATATACTCTATATATATATATGTTTCTCATTTCCCTCTATTATTACTTTTACCATTCTCACTCTATTCAACTATAGGCCTAAATTCTTTATAGGTAAGAATGAAGCATAAGAGAAGATTATACACAGTATATGTAAAGAAGAAAGTAAAATAATAATAACAAACGTGATATAAAAAAAAAGAAATTACGTACTTTTTGCGACTTTTCGGCGACTTTAAGCACAAGCTGAAAATCATATAATCCCAAGGCAACATCATATAATTCGTTCACATCAACTAAGAACAGCAGATGCTTCAAAGCTTGCTCCGCTCTACTTTTATCGCCCTCGTCTTGTAGCCTCTTAATAAGTAATAAAGCCTTTTCAACTTCCCTTTTACTCTTCTTAATAAACGTTGTTAATATTGATAAGAGAAATCTGATAAGACGGATAAAAAATCCAATAGAAAGGAATTATAAATAGAAAATTTTTATATTTGCTTTTACTTGTCAAAGTCTATTTTTGTCATTTTCCCTCTTAAAGCGTCGCAAATTAAGTCAACTTTACAACCCGATTCGGTATTCTTTCTATCGCTTATATACATAAAATGATACATTGTTTTTGTAACATTTTGCTCATTTAAATCGGCTAAGAATAAATTAATTAACGTTGATGAATTCACTTGATGAACAAATTGATCGAGATTGTTCATGAACATTACAGGATCGTGATCGTAAATTAAATTCATATTGATTCGATGCTTTCTCATTAACGTTATGGCTTTAAAGTATTCAGTCCTGTTTAATAGCCCACGAACGGAAGTTAGAAAAAGGGGACGAGGGTGAATGCATTCTAAATTTCCTCTAGGCATCTGTAAAACTACAGATGTATCAGAAGGTGATATAATGGCTGAACTCCCCCTTTCTAAGCGCCTCTCCATATCCATTACTGCAAAGAAATTTATGAGTTTATCTTTAATGTATATACTATGTATCTTGTTTGTTTCTATATCTTTAACTTGGCCGAGTTCACCTATTACTCTTTTTTTTTATTTATTTCTATTGATGTTGTCAGATAAAGTTTACCTTTAGTCGTTTCGCCATCAATAAATTTCATAACATGCTGATGGGTTGTAAAAACGACAAAATTTTGATTGACGGTGAAAGAAGTGCAACAATCGCTCAGTTGTTGATTGTTCACAAATAATTTATGTCTTTTACTTAATCCAATCAATAGTATCTGTTTTAAACAAATTTTTTCTCGTTTGAATTATTCAAGAGAGGAGGAAATTAAAGAAATAAAAAGAAATTATTATAATAACAACGAAAGTAATTGAATAATAAAATTAAAAAAAAGAGTACCTCAGCGTTCTTGAATTTGCATAGTGACATCTGTTGACAGACATCAGAAAATTGTATGTTCAAACCGTTTTCATCTTTCATAGGTTCTAATAAGTTATCTAAATAAATAAATTTAAATTATTATAGTAATAATAATAATAATACTAATAAAAATGTTAAAAATTACAATAACAGAAACAATAGCATTGACATTTAGCTATTAAATTATGTACAGTCTATTGACATATTCAGATTTATATCAGTTGTTAGTAAATTAATTTATTTATTAATTTAGATAATTACCATTATCTATTTTCCAAACAGTTCCGTCATTTTTTTGTAAAGCTACAAAGCTGTTCAGAGACGCTAAACATACAACATCATGGTCCAGACTTTTTGAGCTACAGTCAAATTTATCTTTTGTATATCATACATTGAAACAAAGAGCTTAATATTTTTTTACCTGATAGTTTCAGCAAAATCGTCTCTTATTTCTATTTTATTTAGGAGCCGCTCTCCATATTTACACGATACACATACGATTGTATGTCTATGAAACGTGATATGACAAACAGTACCTAGATTGTTCAACAACCTGTTCAAATTCGTAAGTCTATAAAAAAATTTCTCATTTATATGAATATACATACTGGACGAGTTTTGAACAATACTTTGTTAATTTTTCAGACTTTCCTTGGTCTAGTGACAACTTTGACGTTTGTTTAAAAATTTCATTTTCTATAAAAGGATGAATAAAATTTAAATAATGCAAACAGGATTGGTGACCCGTATATACTATTGCTACCTTTAATCGAATGAATAATAACTTTTCCCCAGCAGTCAACAGCAAGTAATTCGTCATCATCTCCAAAGCAAACCATTGAAACAGGATTCTCCATCTTAATAATAAAGGAACACATAGGTGGAGGGATGATGGCATCCTGAAAGTTAGTAACTTTTAACAAATCACCATCAATAACTGCACAAGTGCCGTTAACGCTTGAGGAGATTATCCAACGCCAAATATATCGCACATAATCGCCATTAGATGTTACAATATGAAGAATCATAGCATCTTCAGGATCCCATATCAATTTAGTAACTGGTTTATTAATGACTTGTTTAAGGCACCAGTGATAATTACTACTAGTGTACAAATAAACTCGTTCATTGCCATTCGAATTAGATACAACCAACGCTAAAACAGTCGAATCAACATTCCAGCTCATTTGCTTTATATAATCATCTTTATCACCAAATATCGTAAACGATCCGTGCTGTAAGCCATTTTTTTCTATAAATATAACTTCATGTTTTCCACGATAGTGTAAAGAGGTTGCGACTAAATTTCCCGATGGTCTGAAAAGAATAGATATGTATATATGTGTATATGTATACATGTATAGATGTATATATGTATAGATGTATACATGATTATACGTATGTATATATGTATAGATGTATATATGTATAGATGTATAGATGTATAGATGTATATATGTATAGATGTATATATGTATAGATGTATATATGTATATATGTATATATGTGTCTATTCTATATATAATTATATGCATATGCACATATACATAAATACATACATATGTACATATATGTAAATGTGTATATTCATACATGAATAATGTATACATACATACATGAATATATGTAGACATATATACATGTATAAATGTATATATGTAAACATGTATACATTATGTACCTATGTATATATGTATACATATATATTATTATAATATCATAATTTTATAATTTTTAAGTTGGAGACAAAAAGAAAACATTTATAAAATTTACTTATAGCTTACTTATAGCTAAGAGCCTGCTCAATTGGTCCTACGTGTTCATTACATGAAAATAGTTGACCCTCTCTACTCCAAATTCGAATTTGGCGTCTGTTTAATTCTTTATTAAAACATGATAGAGCGAACATTTCACCATTAGCTTTCCAACTTATTTGACTAGTAGAGTTATCTGTGGATCTCAGTCCACCCTCAAGTTCTAATTTTGCGGTTGCAGCTTGTTTTCCTTTATGAAAAATATAGATAAATTTTTTTCCCAAATATTGAAATAATTTACGAAAAGATTTCTTATAATATTCTTACCCTCAGAGCCATGAAATTGTGTGGCTTTTTTACCCCAACCAACAGTTATCAACTGCCCTTCACCTTCAGATTCACTATTAATAATTTGCTCGCTAAGTACCTCGAAATCGCGAGTCATCAAAATTAAAGTCAAATCCCCAGTAACTAATGCTATTAATTCTTGATCTGGACTCCATTCCATCGTCTCGAAGCCACTTTCTACAGCACCAACTTGCTCGAACTAAGGGTGATAATTAATCTTTAATATCTATTCAAAGATGTAAATATGCGTTTAAAATTACGTCTCTCTCCACTACTCTCCATAGAAATAGATGTCCTTTATTCGTAGCAGCACAAAGACTTTGTTGATCAGGTAAATACTCTATCCCAACAACATTTTCATCACCGTTTAGAAAGTCAATTTCTCTCAACGTAATCTGATTAATAATCTGTGAAATATTAAATCATAGTTGTGAAATAATTTGGATGGTCAGTTTGTAATAACTCGCCTTTTTTGCCCTAATATCCACTTCAACAAGACTTTTATCGGTGGCCACAAAGACATCAGTCGTGTCTGTGTTTACGCATATGTGTTTGGAATGTTTCAGATCATCAAAATTTACTTCGTCATAATTTGAAATTGACAAGTTTCTCATGGTTGCTTTGAGCGATAAAATGATAATTTTACAATTTCTATAAATATATCGCAATCAGGAATATAATTTTTTTAGCAGGATTAATGAAATACAAACAGAAATGAATATTTTATCCAAAAATAGCCAAAAAATTGAAAATTAATTCAGTTACAGCGGTAAAACGAATCAATTGCGGAATATACACGTGATAGTCAGAGATAACAAACAATAAGGGAATATCAAATTCGTTTAAGTTATTATTTTCGATGTCAATTTTTAGTTTCTTTCACTCTCAATAATAACAATGAAGTAAACAGAAGGCAAAAAAAAGCATAATTTCATAATATATAAATATAAAACAAGCATTTTACTCTTTTTATTTTAAATTATTTCCTTCTAATTGATTAATAGAAATAATAAAAGTAATAAATCTTTACGCCTACTTTTTATAAAGTTAACATAATCATTAAATACGATAATTATAATATTTATCATTCTTTTTTTAGCTATTTATTGCCTGTATATTCATCAATTAAAGCTAAAAAAAAACAGAGAAACGTAATAAATAGGGTTCTACTGTTTACTAAATAGTTTGTCCTTAAAGAAATCTCCATATCATGTATATATTGTTATATTTCTTGCTGATTATTATGGGAATTCATAACGTTCTTTACCAGTATTGCATTAAATATTATTATTATCTGTGTATAAGGAAGCTATTCTTAAATAATTATTAAAAGATGTAATTTTAACCTGTAAACTAGAATTTATAACTGAACAACCTAACGCCATCTTTGTATAGGTTTCTAATAAATTGGCTATTGGTTTATAGCAAGAGTCTTTATTAATATTATTATTATCTTCATAATCTACAAGCAGACAACTTTTCCAATCATTTACAGCTTCGATTTCTAACTTAAAAGAATCTTTTATCTTTGGATAGGCTCCTCCATTTTTAGCTTTACAACAGCTCGGTGGAAATTTTGGAATAAACTATAAAAAAGAAAAGAGAAAGAGGGACAGAGGGAAAATAAATAAGAAGAGTAAAACTAATAAAAATGTAAATAAAACTAAATATTTTTATATAGTCATAAATCATATTCTAATTCCCTTAACATACTGATTCGTTTTTATCAGTTGTGCTTTTTCCCCATGCGCTTCTGCAGATATAGAACGCCATAGGATTAGTTCTAGGGTTACTAGATGATATTCTCAAACCGCAGCACTGATACTGATAGAAAAAATAAATTCAAGAGTAAGATAAACCTCATAAAAGCTTTGAGGATTACCCGTAAATGAGCTATATCCCAGGCCTGTGAAACCTCATCACGAGCCCAGCTTAACCTATTCTTCAATATCATCGATTTATTACGGTAATAAGTACCCATTCTGGAATGCATGGCAACACCCAATCCTTCAGAAATATTGGCATGATATAGTGAAGCGAGTATGATAGATGTGCTATGTAGAATGAATACAACGTTTTGACAAATAATATAAGCTTCCAAAGCTCTAACCTTGTTCCTATTCGCAAAGTGAATACCAAAAAGGGATAAAAGGTTCATGGCAAAACTGCCAATAATGTTAAATATTAGTGCAAAGTTCAACAAAGTTAATTTATCATAATTGATTTCCACTTTTGTAAAAGAGAAAATCTTGATTACCAAATCTGATCGAGTTGTTCTTAAAGCATCAATAGCTAACGAAGCGGTAACAATAACAGCAATAAAACAGCAGATCTGAATCAATAAGAAAGCTTTGTGGCGCCTAGTCATTTTTTATTACCTCTTTTTCTGTCCATAAAAGCTCTATTAGAAAGCGTCCATCTCCTAAATAAAGTATGGAAAAGGATTACCTTAATTATTTCCTTCTTAAAATCGATTTCTTTCCTTTTTTGTTTCTATTTTTTTCATTCTTCTTGTTGTTATGTTTATTTTAGTGTTTTTAAACAATCTTTATATCACCGTTATTATTGATTATTTTAAATTCGAAATTAATTAATTAACTAATTAATTTTCATCCTTTTAGGGCACTAACAAGTGGTGTATTTAACTGTAAACTTAATTATAAACAATAGTTGTATACACTATATATATACATATCTATATATATACTGCATATATGCACTTATTTTATTGTTATTTATACTTGTTTTAGTGTTTGTTTATTTTTTTTTGCCAAATTTCTTTTTATTTTTATTTTTTCCATCTGCTGATTTATTCTTTTTTGGAGTCTTTTTAGATTTCTTTTCAGTTGATTTAGCCAATTGCTCGTCTCGTATACTTATATTTGTAGCTTTATTTGTATTCATAATAGGTTTATTTTTTCCCATTTTCGATATAACGTCCAATGCTCTCTTCTTTTCAGATTCCAAATTCTCTAGATTAGATTCAAATTTTCTCTTTGTTCTACGACCTTCTTTTTCATTTGGTAGTTTTTTATCAAATTTCCCCAAGGACGCTGTTGACTTTTTTGCAACGGTCAACGCCTTAGATAAATAATCCTTATCTGGTTTGTCTGTAGGCGTTAAACCAACGCCTGGAATTTTACCTTTAGTAGCTCTTGCTAAGTTTCGTAATCTTTGCAATTCATTTTTAGCTACTCTCTCTTTCTTAGCTTTAGATCGTTTTTCAAATTGATCTTCCATTGGATCAGCATTTTCTGGCACTTCTAGTACCCAGTCTTCTTTTTCATCGTCAGCTCGTTTGTATCCCCATCTAGGTTTCCAATCTTTAGCTTTTTCATCCCAAACCATTCGAGACCTCTTCCGATTTTGAATTCCCTTAATTTTAGCGTACTTCTCCCATTTGGTTTCTTCTTTAGGCTTGGGAATGGGCTTTTCACGTGGAATTATAGTTTTTCCGTCTGGTAAATTGGCGACAACTGAAGAATCTACTCGTTCAATTGGCAACTATTAAAATAACAGGTTTTAAGTAACATTTAAATATTTCGTAACAAATGATTTATACCTCCCATATTTTATTGAGCAACAATTGAGTATTATCCCTGCATAATTTTATCAAAGTTTGTTCTAGAGTCGATCTGAAAGATTAACGTACACGTGCAATCGAACGATAATATGGGATATTATATTATTCAACATACTTTGACTTCTCAGAACTCACAGGAACAATATCCATAGCTAATAAATTTCCTTCATCAATTTCGAGCGGTATCTCCCTATTTACTTCTATTGTTTTGAACTGATTATTTTGCTTTTTTGCAATTTTCTTTACGGACTCCATGTTTCAGATAAACACTGTTCCAAAAGAGTGTACTATCCGTTGATGTACCAGCCAATTATCGGCTATGTTTTAAAAGTAATTCCAAATTAAAACAAAGATTCAATATATTGTACTTTATATTAATTTAATAGAAATAAATGTAAAAAGAGCACTATTATGTTATTTATAAATATTTCCTAATTAACCTACATAATTTTGAATGGAGAAAATATTCAAAAATCGAGATTGTAAAAGATTGAAAACTTTGTGAAGAAATTCAATATATTAAAAATATTTATCCAAACGTTAACTAATACACGCTTATTAAAAGTGTTCCTATTGATTTTGTGTTACATCGGCTTCTACTTTTTAAATTTGCAAAACGAAAAAAAATTCCAATCAAATACTTTAGGTTGTCCAAAGTCCTTTCGAAAATCGTTTCATCCGCATCATGATATCCAAGCAAAAAATTATATATTTTCTTCTTTTCTACCTAGTCAAAACTATAGACGTGACATTTGCTCAAGATATTTTAGGTTGCGGTGGTTTTGTAAAATCTGAAGTGAAAATAAAATTTAACTTAATAAATGTAAGTACATTTATCGGGATACCTTGCCGTCATTGAGCGACAATAAGTAAATTTCTCTATAGGTGAAGCTTTACACAAAAAGCGGTGGCTTAAAGTACTCCTCAGATTTAGCCCCAAATGGATACTATACAATTCCAGTTTATGATAAGGGCGAATATCTCCTAAAGGTTGAATCCCCTCCCGGATGGACTTTTGGTTTGATCATTGTATATCACTAAACCGTCATCCTTTATAAATTGTTTGTTTTTTAGAACCAAGCACTGTCGATCTTAATATCGATGGTAAGTCTGATCCTTGTAGTATCCAGAAAGACATTAATTTCAACTTTGTTGGCTTTGGTGTAATTGGACAAGTTATAAGTCAAGGTCAAAATGAAGGACCAGAGGGAGTAACAATCCAACTCAAAAGAGATAATAAAATCTTACAGTCTACAAAATCAGCTGTTAATGGGAAATTTACTTTTGCAAATGTTCTTCCTGGGAGTTATGATATCGAAGCTGTTCACGATCGATGGACCTTCGAAAATTCCAAAACCAAAGTGACAGTAACTACTCAAACTGGTGATGCTGGTCAAAAGTTAATAGTTCATGGATATGATGTTACAGGAAGAGTAATAAGTGACGGTGAACCTGTTAGAGATGTTTTTTTTTTACTTTATTCTGAAGATGGTAATAAGTTAGTAAAGCATTGCGATCACGCCAATTTAGAAAGATTCGAGAAGAAACCCATTTGCTATGTAATATCCGAATCCAATGGTTCTTTTAAGTTCCCTGCTCTACCCTGTGGGAAATACAACTTGGTTCCTTTTTATAAAGGTGATTTAACAACCTACGAAGTTCAACCAGCCAAATACGCTTTTGAAGTGAAGCATAAAACCGTTAAAATTGATTCGCCATTTTCGGTAGCAGGCTTTCTAATTAAAGGAAAAGTACTTGCTGGTAACAAGGGTGTAGCTGCCGCTAGAGTAATTTTAGATGGTAAGGAGGAGACTTTGACGAGAAATGACGGTACCTTTTCAATTGATGGAATAAGACGAGGTGTCCACGTTATAACTGTTATGGCTAACGGAATGCATTTTGACAAAACCACAGTCAATGTATCTCCCACTAAGCCTGAATTACCATCGATAGTAGCCTCCAAATTGGATGTTTGTGGAGATGTGGAAAGCTCATCTCAGCGTGAAGTCTATGTTGTAGATAAGGGAAATAAACCTGTCACTTCAGCAAGAGTAACTGGAGCATTTTGTATACCATTAGCTCCAGGTGAATATTTCATACAGATTCGACAGGGAGCAGATTTACCTCAGTTGACGCCAGCTAAATATCCAATTAAAGTTGTTGACAAGCCAATGTCAAATATAAGATTCACAATGTTCTTAGCAACAGTTAAAGGAAATGTGAAATGCTTAGACAAGTGTGAAAATGTTCAAGTCGTATTGATTGGCGAAGAAAGGCGTTTGGGGACAGTTAAAGGAAACTCTTTCGAACTTTTGGAAGTTATACCCGGTGATTACAAAATTGAGATTGTTCAAGACAAATTCTGTTGGAAGCAGGATTCTGTCAAAGTAAAAATAATTAATGAGAACATTGATAATGTGCTGTTTGAACAAACTGGCTATCGATTGACAATTACTACATCGCATGACACTAAAGTACATATTACTCAAAACGATGCCTTGGTAAAGGAGGTACAACTAAGAACAGGTTCAAATTTTGAATGTGTTCCCAAAAAGGGACAATACGTCCTTAGACCTAAGAGTTGTCATCAATTTGAACAAGCCCAGTATAGTTGGGATACCTCTTCCGGTCATGGCATAGCTTTTAATGCTGTAGCTCATCTCTTCCAAGGAGAAATTCGCTCACAAAGTAAGGTTTCTGATATGGAAATTGTTATTGAAGGCGGTGGGGAGGGAGTTAAGATCGGACCAATTGTACCTAAATTAGAAGCTAAAACATACATCTATTCGTTTGAGAGTTGGGTTAGAAAAGGTGAAGAATTAACAATAACACCATCGTCCGCAACACTCTTATTCAATCCAAGAGAAGCTAAACATACAGTACAAGGAAACTCTGAATGTTATGGAGTAATCACCAAGTTTGATGGACAAATGGGAGTTTTTAAGAAGGGATTCGTTAAACCAAGCATAGAAGGTGTCAATATAACCGTAACATCAACGGACGGATCCGTTACAAGTTGGCAAGTAACAGATACTAAAGGATTTTTCTCTTTTGGACCTCTTCAAGCAGAAAAGGAGTATGAAATTTTTGCGGAAAAAGAGGGTTACGTTCTTTCAAAGGATGGAGATAATTTTAAAGCATTCAAGTTAGCTGAAGTAGTTATTACAGTTAAAGGAGAAAATCAAGAACCTTTGGATGGCGTTCTGGTTTCGTTAAGTGGCGATAACGGATATAGAAACAATAAAGCAACAGGTACTAACGGCGTAATGAACTTTGTTGGACTTGGACCAGGCCAATACTATCTCAGAACAATGAAGAAAGAATATGAATTTGATCCCGCCTCTAGAATGATCCAAGTCAAGGAAGGAGAGAGCGTAAATGCAGATATTAAGGGAAACCGAGTTGCTTTTAGTGTATTTGGAAAAATCACCTCATTAAATTTGACACCCGAACCAAGAGTAACAATTGAAGCTGTACCTACTACTGAAATATGTACACAGGAAGAAGCTCAAACTGATGAAGAAGGAAAATATCGAATTAGAGGTCTCCATCCTAATTGTCTTTATAGTATTCAAATCAAGAAGTCGTCTAATCATCACATTGAACGTACATCTCCTACATCTTTACCTGTCCAAGTGAAAGACGCTGATCTATATTCAATTGATCTGATTGCATTTAGAAGACTAAATCAAATGGATATTTCCGGAAGAGTTGATGCCAAACAAAAGTATTGGTCAACATTAAGCGTTCACTTATTACGTGATGGGGAACTAATTACTTCAATTACTCCTATAACGCCATTCTTTTATACATCCGTGCCAAGAGACGATTCTACAGAATATGTTCTGAAGGTCGTTTCATCTCTACCCAAATCTCAATATAACTCTAATCCCCAGCAATTGTCATTTATCGCAAATTCATCCTACAAGCACTTTGTTCTCGCATTCCATTCTGAAATGAAGAGAGGAGGAGATCACGAGCTAACATCAACTTCCCTACTTCCTTTAGCTATACTGATAATAGGAGTACTTTTCTATTTCTATCCTCAGGTTAGTAATAGTCGCAAAATGAATCATTCTGATAATAATAATTCTCTTTTATTAAAATGTTCAATACAGTTGATGCAACCGGCTGAAATGAAGAAAAGCTTACAAGGTGTTTTAAATAGGTTGTCCTCAAAGGAAGTTAGTCAAGAGAATGTTACTGGTTCGGTTCGCCGTCGTAATCGAGCTGCAGGAATCAATTAATGCACTTTTGTATATACATACAATATATAGACGTTTACAAACATAGAGAGTTATATATAGTTTATATATATATATATATACATTTAATTGTAATTATGAATTAATACGTTTTATTAAATTTCTTTGTTTTTTCGATTTCATAAAGTTTTATTTCAATAAAATAATACAATAAATAATTCACTTTTTTTTAACACCGCATCTTAAAACTGTTAAATGATACTTAAACTATTTATTTCTATTACATTGAACACAGCTTTTAATACATGTTGAATAAAATAGACGTTAACACTGGTGGGTTAGTCTTTGCAGTAACTACTTCGTCATTAACTGAAAAACACAGATACAGTTTTTTTTTTTGTTTTTGTAAGCACCCATTGAAATTTTGTCCGCGAACAATCCGCTTTCACTTCTTTAATAGTAGAGAAAATGAATGTGCAGATATATGACCAGTATAAACGTAACAGTTTTTTTTTTCACCAGAGAAATCTCAGAGAATACTTGAGGATATCCTTAGCGTTTCAGTCATACGCAAGACGGGTACCGATCACAGAGTATATAATATGTGCACGAATAACTAAATACGGCTGATACTCAGAACAAAAATGATAAAAGAATTTTTTTTTGAAAATCAACAGTCAGAGCTATGCGATAAAATAACGGTATACCAGTGTGGAGAAACCTTTTTATTCAATAGCATAATGATCCATTGGAGTTGGACCCCTTTCAGGTTTGATTTGTTCGTAGCAGGAAGCTATAAATTGGCCAACTTGCTCATTGAGACCAATTAAATATTCCATATCGGCGTTTAAAATTAAACAAAAGCGTTTAGCCATGCTTTCCCAATAACTGGATACCATTTCCAAATGAACGGTGATAACAGATAAAGCCAGAAGAGAAGGTTTAACGGTGGCCCCCAAAGCATGCCAAGAAAGGCACTTCAGGAGCTGCACGGTCATCGCCTTCAAATTATTAGAATGGCAAGTTTCTGATGAGGGTGCGGTACGAAGAAGAGAGTGTAACACATGCAGCACTTCAACGCTACAAACAGAACGAGTGTCATAGTCGAGTTTACGCAAGACAATGCGCTCCATTCGTAATAGTTCGGCTTTAGTGATGATTCCGCGAGCCTGCTGGACTACTTCGTAGGCAGTAGGGTGTGATTCCTCAACAGCTTTGACTGCGACGAACCAACAACTTATCGATACCACATTTATGTACTTTTCCTGTACCTGTTAAAAAAATTTGTTTATAAAATATTCAATCATTAATTTACTATAGTTTACCTTGCAAGCAGATAAGAATTTATCGAGCAGAGAAATTCCCAATGAAAGCGATTCTGGCAATAAATTGAACGCTTGGTTCATGCAGATCATAAGTTGTACACCCTCATCTCTCTTAATACCAGTCACATAGCCTTTATTCTAAATAAAAAAAAAAAATCAGAAATTCTAGAAGATTCCAAAATAGTATCGTGCTTACATCCATTGTCGGATAGAATACAGGCTGCCAAACACGTTCTTCTTTTTCAGCTAGGGAATGAAGTAATGGAATGAGTTTTTCCATAATGTGATTGTCCCTGCGCTGCTGGCGCTCCATCTCTCTTCTAGAAAACAAAATCCTTAGCTTATTCACACATTTTCAAACACACATTCTAGCTCTAGAAGGCCGAAACGATATTTAACGATTTACGTCAGCTGTTGTTAAGGCCTACCGTACAACTAAGTGTAATCTGTTTTTGTAATACTGAAAATTCTGACGTCAGAATAGTCATCGATTGTTGGTAAAAATTTGGTTTATCTTCGATAAGATTAAATATTTCGTAAAAAACCACTTTTCTTAGGAAATCTGATTTTAACGGCCGAGTTTTCTTATTCTATATGTTTTTGAGGGCGTTGTTGGTTGTTTATTCAAAAATTTAAAGACTGAATAACGTACCGAGTTAGGCCGTTTCATGGTTAAAATTTGAATAGGTATAACATAAGTGAAGGGTTGTTTGAAGTTCTCGTAATAAATAAATTCTCTATCATAAGTGATGAAATGCTCATGGCTTACGGCCTATTTGTTTTTCTAATTGATTTTTGTTGGCGCTCCCCCATCGTAAAAATCAATAATGGCTAATTTCTAAAGAGAATTGTTAGGAATATTGCGCCAAATAACCCTTATGTCCTTAGTGTAACCCATAAACAACACGCGTGACGGTTACAAAGAGATATACAATAAACAAAGAATTTGATTTTTCTTACCTTTAGTTACAATGCGAAAAATGACGAATTTGAGAAGGAAAACTCCCCCAACGAGAGCGTTTTTCGATTCGTATTTACATTCGTAACATCTTCATATATTGAAAGAGATTTTGACTAGAAAATATCAGTCTTTTCTCTATAATTTTCGAAGAAAAATCGAAATAGGAGCAGCTGATTGAATATGGCTGTGTTTTTATCGACTACTCCGCCCTCGCCTTATGCGACGCGACTGGGACTACTTTTATTCTATTACCAGGGCTCTATCTCCAATATTAATACATATTTTACTAAAAGAAAGCATTTAAAATAATTTTGATAACTAAAAAAAAAATATGCTTTTATTAAAGTTTATTCTAAATTTTCGTATTTTGCATAGTTTTGTGTACAATCTCGGGACTAATTTATTACCGAGTTACCCGTATGTTGGCGAGCGTAGACGAATGTAGTGCAGCGGTCGCGAAGGAAGATTGTGCATGTTCTTCTCTACGATTTTCCTCTCGACGTGTTGCAGCAGATATTCGGTACGGTTAATTTTACTAATTACTAATCTCGTGAAATATTCGTCGATGGTTTTACCAAATTCTGACTTAAATTAATACGAAAATCGAAAATAAACTGAACCGTTAACGGTCATTTACAAGTTGATCGACCTGCTTTCCGTTCCATGGCAAATCAACTGACATTTTTACAGGACTCGAAGGCTAAAATTTTTTAAAATAGGTATTAATAAAGTTCGAGATATGATGGGTTGAACTGCAATCTCTGATTAACTTGTTCATAACATTTAATTCTTGAGCTATTGCAACATTGTAAAGGCCTAATTTAATATTTTTTTATTTATATTTTCAGTGGGATGTTTTAGTTGTTCAGAGGCGCTAAGAGGTCACAGACATCGAACGGCAAAATGAATAGGACGTCATTAGCTGCAAGTCCAACACTCAGTGATCAAACAATCAGGTTTCGAGAATGTATGATGTCGAGATTGAACAAAGCATTACTGCAAGTCTCTCCCAGCTATCCTATACTTGAACATTTACCTCTGAAAAGTGATCATTCTAGTTGTGATAAAAGGGTTAGTCAAATGGAACGTGACAACGCAGCTTCGAATATACGATTGCTCAATATTTTCTACGGTTACACGTCCTCTACCTTCGCCCTCGCCCTTCATATACTCGACAGGCTACTCGCTACTATGCAAGATATTGAAAGCCGACATTTGTCGGCATTGGCAACTACTTGTTTTTACATGGCAGCAAAAGTAACGGAAGAGGAACAAGCCGTACCAAACTTATCGCACCTAATTCGCATATCTCAGTGTTCCGCAACACCCAACGATATTCTTGCAATGGAGAGAAATATTATTTATTGCTTAAGAGGTCCTTTCTTCGTTGCTCCCACGCCGTATCTCTTCTTGTTCTATTTCAATGAAATCCTCGTTTCTTCGACCAATGCTCATTTATTGCCTGAGGATTTATACCCTTGTCTTTGTGCCAAAGTAGAGGTGCTTATGTGCAATGCGAAATTCAACTCTTTTCACGTAAGTTGATTCTACTATCTCCATTGTTCTATTGTTATTAAGTTAGGTGCCTTCAATACAGCCTTATCGCGTTGCCCTGACTTTACTAGAAATAGAACTGAGAGAACGTGATCTGCTGCTACTATTTGACGGTATTATATCCGATTTGTACCAGTTCTTTCAGGTATGCAACATAATACAGGAAAATCGATTGATTGCATTTCTTATACTGACAAATTCCAATTATTTAGACGGACGCGGAAAGTCTTGAACAATGTGAAAGCGCAGCAAAACAAGTACTGGAAAATTATAAAACCAGTAGGATCAAGCGACCTAAGAACAACTTGAATTGGGCTGTTTCAAAGCGTACTCTGTCAAAATTAAGACCAAGTGCGAGGTTAATGCATGATCTGGAAACTATTGCTGAAGATGACTCGATTCCCCAGGATGTTATGTTCCGCACACCGCTCAATTCTGAGGGCGAAAGCGAACCTCGTACGCCAGAACCCGAACACGATTAATTTGCGCTTCGATTAAACAGGTTTCGTTCATTGTGATAAGTTTGTGATAGACTGCACTATTTTTCTCCTTTTTTCGCTGTCTCTGCATGTATGTGGACAAGAATGAAAGTGTTGCTAGTAATAATGTCAGTATTCACACCTGAATCAACATTCCTCGATATGTAGTAGATATTTTACAGAGTATAATAGTGTGTCAGGAATATTAGCGTTCTGCTGATTTGTGTCGTTTAAATTGTGCCAATGTTAAAGACTTGCGTGATTGCTTCCTGCAAAATTTCTCACCGTAGTGCTAAAAATTGTGCGAATGTGTGTTATAGTAGCGGTGCTTACGTTATATTTTTCATGAGATTCTAATAGGCTCATTCAGTGTTCACTATATTTGCCTAACAGAATGCAAGTGTAATTGGGTTTATAGGGTTAAGGCGTAACTGTTTCTAGTCCGTAAGATGTTCTCGGTCACAGTATGATCAAAATACTTCTTTAGTGCTACCTTACTTTTTAGTGTTCATATCAACTCGGCAACATCTCATGTCTAGTCTGTATAACTAAGTTGTAAAAAAAATACGAGATCGTGCATACTATAAACTGTGCGATTCCCGCTCTGACATATAGTATTCGACTATCTATTTGCTCATTCAAAATTTTAATACGCTGATCGCATCCTTGTTTCTATGCATTTCAAAGTAGCGGACAGTGTTTTACTCTCTAGTAAAATTTCCTGTATTAGTAAGAATGAATGTCGCTATTTGGTGTGCATTTTTTTGTTTATTTTTGCCATTTATGAAGATTGTATGATTTTTTTGTTGCGTGTCATACTTGTAGAAGATGTATTAGCAGCGTGCGCGAGAATCCGTATGCATTATTTTACTGAGATATGCTGTAGTTGCCTTTGTCCGTTCGTATTACATATGCATCGATCGTATTATGACATATTTGATTAGCGTAAATTTTAGAGCTGCTGCAATGTAGAAATCTCAAATCTTGTCGATCTTGTGATACGGATACACGTTTGTGGTTTGATGTTGTGATGAAAGTTGGTGCAAAAATACTGCACACGACACTTACCTACTAAATACTTACCGTATACATAGATCTATAAATATATATTTATGTATATCGTACGTACTCTTTTTTTACGTACATATACATAACGTTATGTTCCTACCCATATATATATATATATATATATATGTATTTTTATATACTTATAGATCTATGTGTTAATGTTTATCCGATTTAATATACATATATTTATTTATATATGTATACTGTAATAATATTTCACACCTAATGCATATTTTATCTAGTCTGGCTATAAAGCAAAACAGTGCTGTGTTAGTGATTGTCTTTTTAAAAAATTGTAGATGTTTTATGTGTGTGCTATATGTACTGCAGTTCTCCAACCACCACGAACATTTTTCGCCTTCTTCAGAACCATCTCTGGTCTGTCTATAGTTATATAACGCGATTCGTGCTCTTGTTCGACGTCCACATGGTGCTCATGAGCCGTGCTCACTGATTAATTCCGTACAATTCCAAATGCTTTTTTAAAAATCAACAGCATTTTACTATTTCGCTAAGGTAATAACTTTCGACTTTGACCTAAGAGAATGCCGTTGGTTATATACTTAAGTAACAATGTGATTTGTTTCCCACCTTGATGCAATAGAAATTGGTTTATGCTGCCTAGGACAATTTCAGGGTTGAATTTTCGTATTGTAATGAAAAAGAATTAAGAAGAGTTTGGAAATTTTGTTTTTCTCGTGTGTGCTTTTTTCGACTATGATCTCTCCGAACTCTTCGTTTTTATCAAAAGTGAAAAAGACGGATCTGCAATTTACTAAATGATTTTAATAATTTTTAAAAAAAAAAGGGTGCTGAACTGCGCGAATTCCTACTGTTCACAGGATCCGACTTTTTGCTTTAACACTATAGTAGTATTATATGAGTCAAATTTTATATAATTATACAATTAATGGTAAACTGTTCGTGCTTTCTGTGATATTTAACACGCAATGAATTTTCACCCTGGTAATCAATGTGGAATTTGTCTGAAGCAACAAATATGTCTATACGTATGAAGATATGTGTATTTATATATATATATATATATATATATATATATGTATATATGTGTATATGTATTTTGTGTACGTAGAACAGACTTGCTTTTATGAAGATTTTATCAATACAGTGCATAATAAGTATTGTAATACAAAAAGCCTAGATTTTAGAAGATTAAGTTCTTGCTACCTTGACAACGCGGTTGTCATTGGAGCTAAGGCACTGTATGATATTGGGTTCAGATCTCTAAGAAAAAAAACGACATGTTTTCACGGGTTTACAAATTCAGCAGCGCTTCATAAAATAATTATAGCCGCTGGCCTATATTTAGAAGGTTATGATGAGAGTAAACACATGGTAAACTTTTACAGAGATAAAAAAAAAGCAACAGTATAGTGGTATGGTACACTGTATTTAAGAGAGAAGGAGAGCAAATACTTTCACCTTGAAAATGGTCAAAGAGGACAGGGTGATTGTTTAAACGGTCTATTTACTTTTTAGATTTCTGTTTTCGTAATAGTGATTTCTTTAGTGCTTGCTGTTTTTCTTGGAAACTTCTCTTTTTCTTTCTTTGAAATTTTTGTCGAAGCATTATGGCATTTTTTTTCTTTTTCTTTTCTTTATTAGTAGTACTAGCGAATGGATTCTGTCGCTTTTCTCTTCGACCAAATTTATCTCTCCCTTCTCTACCCGTCTAGTGAATAATAAAATATATAAGATGCAAATGAATTCGTTTTAAATGAAACTTTTACCATTATGCTAGCTAGACGATCTGCTTTATCACTCTTCATTTTCTTATGTAATTTTACAATTTTCGAATGTGATACCAATTCTGAGCTACAAAAGGACATAATAAAATCATAAATAGAAGGAATGTGTTAGCATAATTCGAACGTACTCTTGCTTCTCTTCATCACTATCGATAATAACCGATTGTCCTCGCTTTCTTCCACCCTTTTTAAAATTTTCCGTCTCCTTTTGAATCTGACGCTTTTTAACTTTTTTGAAATCTTCCTGACTAAGTATACGCGATTCGAAGACTTCTTTAGCCTTTTCTATTTTCTCCTTACTATCCATATTTTTAACTTCATCTGGTATTTCTAATTCTCCTTCGTCTGAAGAATGATGGACGTTTATCCATGATCCATCACTATCTTCCTCACTTTCATCTTGTTCTGAACAAGACTCCCAAGAGGCTAATCAAAAGTATCAATAAATAATTAAGTCGTATAAAGAATGGGGCCGTCAAAAAAATTCAACCTTCGTTGAGATCTTCATCTTTGTCATCGTCGCTATCATTGTCTGTATTATTATCATCATCATCATTCTCATTTTCACTATCGGATATTATCCAAGATTCTGTGAGTTGCGATGAGTAATAAAAAGTAATCATTGTTATCATGGCTACGGTTGATAAATTATTACCTTCTTGATCTGACTCGTCTTCATTATCACTATCATCAGAATTGGTTTCAGCTTGTTCCTTTTTTTTATTTTTCCCTTTGGATTTCTTTTTTCTCGCGGCTTCTTCGGCAGTCAATATTTCTGCTCCAGGTATATAATCTCTAGCGTATGATTTTCCGTACTCTAGTTTTTCAATTTCCTGCATCGCTTCAGTAGGGCGTCCCTGAGTGCAAAATTAGAAAAATGTGTTATTCTTGGTTCTTTAGTTACAATATACTAACTCTGTCCCTTTTGTGAAGTAGTTCTGGATTTTTCTCTCTAAATAGTCCGATCAAACTTCTAGCCGACATCATCACACCTAGTAATTAAAAAAAATAACAAGAATGAAGTATTTAAGGATTGAAAGAAATAAGGGCTTGTTTTAAGTCAAAGACTGACTCTTATTTTTATGTTTCTTGTATAGTACTAAATCTCTGACAAGATCTTCAGATATTGCTAGAGGACATCTGCTACATATTTCTCGTACGCTATTTAATCTATAAAAAGAATATATTAATAACATGTAAGGTAATTAATTTGTTGTTTCTGATTAATCTTTAATATGTTTACCCCACAGCCATAGCTTCACCAGAGTTTCTTTCCGTAATGAAATTGTTAGCTATAGTTCTGATTAAAGGATCTATCGTGTCAGGAGGTACTAGATCGTGACTTGATTGGGCAGCATACGTTAATAAATTGGTCACATCTGATAATGTAATACAATTTTGAAAATTGATATTTTACTTGACTTTCTTTGTTACAATTAAATATTTAAAAAAAAACACAAACCTCGTTGATGAGGTTGTAAATATCTTTGTATATAAGGATAAAAGTTGAGGAGCATTAATTGATGGATTCCCACCAATCTTGATATTAAATCAATCATCATCAGTTTTACTTCGAACCTCTCAGTGCAATTTTCCAGTTGTTTGAATAGTTTTTCTGCAAAATCTATCAAAAGCAAACGCATATTCTATATTTTGCATGTACTTGTACAAAAAATGATTATTTTTTCTACCTTGAGGGTCATTTAAAAGATGAATTGCAGAAAAATTGAAATAATCAGCTTTAGTCTTCTTCTTATTTTTCTATTTTCGAACAAATAAAAGGAGATATAACAGTATAATTATTGCTATTGTTATCATTTGTTAGTAGGTGATGTTGTAGTTGGTATAATCAACCAGTCAATTATATAAAATTAGCCTATTGGTAGATTACCTTTATTACACTTAGTGCCTTTTCCATTTTCTTTTGACGTTTACGAGTTTTTTTACCGACTCTGTGAGACAGAAGAACTTGCGTTGATGATTTTTTCTTTACTCTTTCGTTGTCATTATCATCGCTGTCGCTATCTTTGTCTTTATCTTCATCGTCTTCATTTAAACCAGTAAAGAACTTAATAGCGGCAACTAGAACCTATGAATCGATATAAAAATAATTTCATGTTTCTTTACTAAATTAAATCATGATAATAAACAAGCTGTTAGGAAGATAATTATATGTGTATACCTTTGTAACTTTAGAAAAACATGCAGTAGATATAACATTTACTGTTTTTGCATCTTTCCAGACGTTTCTTCTATATAAATCTACCATAACATCCTATGAAGTGATAAAAGAAGAAAAATTAAATACGATCTCGTATATCTTTTATATTATATTCAACTTACAAGTGATAATTTAGCTGCTGTTGCATTATTGTCTTTTAACATAGAATACATGAAATTTTGTAATTTCTATTAAGACAATATTATTTAATTATTAGTAAAAATATAGATTTATAAATATGTATATTGCTTACAGTATTTAATTTTTGGTTTTTAGCCTTCTGATTTGTGTTTTTAACATCTTGAACAATATAATTATAGAGAATTTTTCTTAAATTTTTATCCTGGCATTTTAATAAGATGAAAAATAACTCTAGAACAGGTATTGCTTCTATAAGGTTTTTATTCTTTAATAACATTAACGCTTGACAGACCGTCTGTTGAGGATAGAAATAAAGTATATATATGTAAATGAGTTTATTTAATAATTTTGTTAAATTGGATTGAATATGCATTTGAAACTTACAACTCTAACTAAAGAATTCATATTTGCTCTTTGTGAATGTAATAAATTTATTAATTCTTGTGGAAAGTCTTTTAATTCTTCTGTATAACAATGAGAAACCTGCAAAAGTTTGATGTAATTATTTTACTTGGTTTCGTTAAAAGAAATCTTTATATTTTATTGATTGTCTTAATTATTGAAAAGACTGACTTGTGCCAAAAACATCACTAATGATCCAAATGAATCTGAGAATTCTGAAGGATTTAATTGAAATATCTTCAAGTTAGACTGATATTGACGATATTGTTGCAAGAACTGAAAGCACGTTGTGTTGAGCGATAATATAAATTATTATTTATTATATTAATATTTACATCATCTTTATACGATTCTGGATCTCTTTTTATTAAATTCTGAAGCTGTGGTAAATTATCCGGCAGTCTGTTATTGTTTCTAATCATTTTGAACAGTTAGTCTCTAATTAAATCCGTAATTCTTCAAAAAACAAAAACTGGACTATAAACCTAAAGAAATAGAACAGTTTTCGTATTAAATTCATATTACTCTTAAACTCCACCTAGCAGATTTACAGATATTTTAATAATATAAAAATACACTATTAAGTTACAAATTACTGCAAAAATTTCAAATTCCAAACCGTTTTTGCTGTTGTTGATAAACCTTCTCTACAATGGATCTTCAATTAATGGATGATCTTTTCCCATCCCTTCTGCCAGAGTTAGCTAATCCTTTATGGGTAGACCTTAATGGACCTTACGACGACGATGCCGAGCTAATAAACGAAGAAGGAAAAGTAAACCGATGGGTAAACTTGAAAATTGGAATAACATCTTTTTTTCTTTAAGTACAAACAAACAAAATCTTTTATATGACTTGTTTAGGTTGTCCAAACCGCTTGTACCACATACAAAGATCCCATCGGAAAGGTTGTACAGTTTAAAAGAAATCAACATTTATTAAGGAATAGATAACTAATTCATTATTCTTAAAAATAGCCTTTGGAAGAAGATGTCGATGAAGAAGAGGAAGAGGAAGAAGAAGACGAAGAAGAGAGCGAAACAAATAACGATGATATTCAAATGGACGATGCCATGGAAGAACCATCTATGGCTTCTGCAGAGGTAGATTGAAAATATCTTTCTTATGTAATCTTCCTTTCTATTAGAACTTGAATATACATATAAAAATACTGATTTCAGGAGGATAATGGAATGGGAGAGTGGGGAATGTGATTTTATAGTCAAAAAGAACTTTTTTCTTCTTTTTAGTGAAATCCTGTAAAAAGCATTTTGTAAAACAAAAAAGAACATTCAGCATTAATTTTTATTTTAACGACTTTTGTATTTTTTTATACTGATTTCTCTCTTTCGCAAGTAAAAATCATAAATTGCTCAAAATGAAACTAACGGAAATATTGAATTACGTCATAAAAAAGGAATTCCCGCGTCACGTGACACAGAGGATAGTTCAGAGTTTCCTTAGCAATCAACGGATATATTTTACGCGTGCTTTCAAAATGAAAGAGATTATTCAATTTAAATTTGATAATCTCGTGAAAGAGAATATAGTCGACTTTGAAATGTCAATAGAAGAAGCTGTGGAAGAGGCAATCACATCAATAAAACAAGAGGTAGGCTGCTTTTAGCTCAGCCGGTTGCATCAAGAAGTACTGAGTAATAATTAGGAAATTTTTATTAATCTTAAGAAATAGCAAATTTCTATGCAGTATCTAAGAATCTCCTGGAGTCCTTAGGTTTGAATACAATAATAAACGGTATAGATATTACAGCTGAAGACAAAACAGCCCACGATGTCCAATTAACACCTAAACTTTGCTTTGATAGGATGCCCAAAAGTATAGCTGCTGTAGCATTATTAATGGTGGTTGCAACACCAGTAGCTGAACTTTCATCAACTGGAAAGGCAGTTTCGCTCATCATTTCTATCCACAAAGGCACAGTTGAACTTATGCATATAGCAGCAAGAATAAATGAACTGTACAAGACTATAACGTTGAATTTCCAAAGCACTAGATTGAAACAAAATAGTAGACAGCAAACACTTGCTATCACATACGACGATAGCAGAAACTCCTTCATTCTATTCGGAAAACGATCAGCTAATTTCGCCATCAATAAACCAGCTACCTGACCACTTATTGTTCCAATAAATGCAAGCCATCCAGCTGCATCTTCACTCAAGTGATGTTTTGGAATGATATCGTCTAGAACGCTAGTCCATGCAGCGAAAAATCCTATTGAAAGTCCATAAGGAAATGCCAATAACCAAAATCTTAGGGAATCTTTCTTTATTAGCATTATTAGTCCTTTTAGAAAGGATCTCCTAATGCCTGAGCTTGCACTTGCCGTCGGAGGAATCATTGGTTTAGACGGAAAGTAGCAAATACTTAACAAAAATAACAAAGCTGTCCAACCACAAGCAGCGTACATATTGTACATAATCTCTTTTCGTATTTCCAAAGGTGAGGTAGAATTTGACTTGGAAGGATCGGCAATACTTAGTGGACCAGTCAGAAATGAAGCAGCTGTGCCAGCAGAATTTAAAACAGCACTTATTGCAGTTGCTAAAGTCCTCTCTTCAAGTGGGAACCAAATGACAGACAGTAAAGGAGACAAAGACATAGCAATCGGTCCTACTAATCCATTAATAATTTGACCCGAATATGCTAGATACGTAAAAGTTGGGGGATTGGAATTTATACATCTCAACATTGTTCCTAATGTCATAACACCCGTAAGAGCCAACTGGCTATACCTTAAACCAAATTGCATAAACCATACCAGAAAGGGGGCAGATATTAAATAGGCTATAGGTCCCCAGCTCGTCAGCAATGCAATGTCAGATTGAGTCCAATTGAAAGCAACTTCTGCAGACTTCGATATTGGTCCCCATGTACTCCAAATACCTCCCTGAGTGGCAGTAGCTAAGGAAAACAAAGCCAGAATATACCACCTTCTTTTATACACTTTTACAGTTGGTATAAGATCAGCAGCTTCACTATCCAACACCATTCTGTCTTTAAAGTGTCATATGATAGAAAATGATAACAACATTATTATTTTCGAGCTAGAAGAATAACTGCATAGACAATAAATTAAGCCTACATGACCTACTTATTATCATACCTTCTATTGTTGATTTAAAAAATTATAATACATTTTTCCCAACATAGGGTCACGATTTGGATGAAATTGTAACATCAGCTGAAAGATTCAATGAGAGTGGGGAGATAGCAAAAGTGCGAGAATCGGCAAAGGCCGCCATTTTGAATCTTCAAAACAATGTACATCAGTTCGATAAAACTTCATTTTTGGAAAATCTACATAAACTGAATGAAATAACTTTAAGCGGGTTATCTGAAAGGATAATAGTAAGAGAAGAAGGTGTTTTGAAAGCTTTGACGAATAGTTTAAACTCATTGAAAGAGGATCATGAAGTAACTTGTGCTTCTCTGAACTGTCTAACAAATTTAATATCAGGACAACCAGATATAATTAATACAGAGGATTTGCTATTAATTCAAAATTTCCTATTAAATGATAATGAAAAAGTTGTGGAGAATACTTTAAAGGTAAATAATGTTTAAAGTTCATTGACTAGATTAAATTATATACTTTCATCATTCGTTTGTTTATTTATTGAGTATTTTTTCAACAGTCCCTCTCTGCTTGTTGTTTAAAGCATGAAAGAAATAGAAACTGTATAACTAAGAATCATCTTACTGAATCCTTAATGAAAGTTTTAAGAACATTTAACAGGAGTGAAAAAGTTGTTAAAGAATACGGTTCATTTATTTCGGTTATGCTAACCGATGATGATGTACGAGTGCCCTTTGGAAAAGCTTCCGAACGAGCTCAAGACTTCGTAAAACATGGTATGCTAAACGAATTGCTAAATTTGGCGAAAGGTATGAAATTGAAGTTAATGATAGTTTTCATCGATTTCTTTATTTATAGTGTGTTATATCTATTAACTATATGCAGAATACAAGAACCTTAAAGAAATTTACTTGGCTCTGAGTAAGCTAACAATCCGAAATGAATTCTGTAAAGAAATATTAGACTGTGGTGGTGTTGAATTTTTACTTAAATCATTAACTGATCCGGAAAATAATGCATCTCTTCTCAAATCTAAAATATCACTTATAAAAGCTGTTTCTGGGAATGATGACGCTAAAATCGAAATAGCTAAACAACAGGGAATCGAAATTATTATGACTGTTCTAAACAGATATATGAAGAACGCACCAATCGCTGAAATTGCATGTTCAACCTTGGCGAGTGTCGTTTTAAGACAGCCGAATCATAGTAATATTGTTATGGAGAATGGAGGAGCTGAATTAATAACTAGAGTAATTGCAGTTCATATAGAAAATACCATTGTTTTGGTACGTTTTATTAATTATTATAAATTAAACAAGACAATAATTTTATTCATCTTATTATTATTATTTTGCAGTCGTCATTGTGTCTGCTAGTTAGGAATCTAGTAAGCAGAGTTAAAGAACATTCCTCAGCACTTCTTGAACGAGGTATTGAACAGCAACTTCATATGGTTTCGAACAAACACGAAAAATGTGCTGATTCGGTGAAAGCTGCCTTAAGAGATCTAGGTTGCCATGTAAGCCTTAAGGAAGAATGGAAAGGAGAAGGCCGTACTTTAGCTAGATAAAGAATTCTTCATCATACAACACTATTTAATAAAACCCACCAAATTTATTCTCTTATGTTTTTTTTTTAGTTATCCGTTTAGCAGCAAGTTTTAAACTCATATCACATTTAAACGTATCCATCATATTTTGTTTGGCTTTACGAGCTATTAGAGCTACCTTTTGACCGTCATTTCCTATAACTCCACTTAATTGTCTATTATTGAAACATAGAAGATCAATCCCTACTCGGAGGAGGCTATCTTCTTCACTTTCGGTTAATACTTTAATTTTAATCTTAATGTTATAGGGAATTTCAGCGGGTAAATCCGAGTCTAACAAAGCTTCCCATACGCATTGCTTGACTAGACGATAAGGAGATTGGTTCGTCACTAGTGTTTCGTCGTAATCCCATTTATCTACTGCTTTTGCTGTCTCCAAGAGATATGTCTTCAAATCATATATACCATCTCCTTCAAGTGAATTTAACATAAAGACCCTTTCAAATTTGGTCCAATAACTAGTTGTTAAATTCCCAACGGCTTGTAATCTTTTATTATAAGCTTTCCAACCATCCTTTGATTCCAAATCAGCTTTTCCTGCATCGTTCATCAGCAATGGAGGAAAGTTATAATTTATTTCTTTTATCACTGACTCTTTTGGATACTTTCGAGAATTTCTGATAGCGAAATCTCTTCGGCCATCAACTATGCCTCCTGTTAATGATTTTGTGATTTTAAATAATTCATTCTTATTTTTTAATAAATCAACTTTGTTCAGTAGAAGAATTGAACGCTTATTTGAGTGCATATGCAATGCTTTAACAATTTCGGAATGGAGAGATGATCGATACCATATAGGTGATACATCAACCGTAACAGCAACTAAATAATGGTTTATTTCTATTATTAAATAGTAAATAAATTTGCAACATACTCAAATCGGCTTCCAACAGAGCTATGTGTGGATCAATTAGAAGGCTATCTTCTAAATTATGTCTTTTCAATTTACCACTCTCTATTAAACCTGGTGTATCCAATATTACAATTTGAGAATCTCCTTCTGTAAAAACTCCCATTGTTCTAAATCTTGTTGTATGTACTTTGCATGATACTGGAGCAACCTTCCAACCCAGTATTTTATTTGTTAAAGTCGATTTTCCAGCATTTGGAGCTCCTATTATAGCAACCCTAAGTTGTTTGGGGCAAATAACTTTTGAAGTTGGATTTTTTAGCCTGTGTATACCTGCCGAAAAGTCATATGTAGACAATTACTCGTAAGATTATTCTACATTACTTAATAAATTCTCCGATGAACTTTCATTGTCCGGATCATCATTAGAAAACTTATTCTGATCGTTAGAATAAAAGTTTCTTGGAAACACGTGGTTGTAATTGCTTAAACAAGCGTATCTAATAAAACCTACAAAAATCAAATATAATTGATAAATCTATGCAAAACTAAAAATTATTTTTTATATTAAGTACGTTCATACACTTTGTAATATCAGCTCTGGATAGCATAATTTAGATTTCTTGACTGCTCATGCCGATTTGTTAGCAGACGATATCACTTATTATAACCGGTAACTGAACAAAGTTACACTCATGACCGGTATCTTTATCTAAAGCTTTTGATTATATATATTAGATAACTGAATCATTCAAGACTTTTCATTTGTGAACAGATTAAACTCTGAAAATAATATTATTTTATCCAATTGAAATGAAAGATTATAGTGTGGTTAATTTAGTGAAAACTTTCGCAAGAGTTTTTCACTGGTTTTATTATTTAAAAACAAGTTATCAAAATATTCTTCGAATGAAGAAATAAATTCCTCAAAAAGAGAACAACCAACTAAGTAACAATAACAACTAAAGCTACCATTCGTCTTATAGTAGACGGAACCAGTTCAAACGATAAAAATCTCTGACCATCCAATACGCCCCCTGTTAACGTTTATAAAATTCATTTTTCTGATTTTCAAAACAATAGACATTGTCTAATAAAAGAATTGAACGATAATTTGAATGCATATATATTGTGCTTTAATAATTTTAGAATGGAAAGATGGTCGATAGCCATACAACGGTTAAATCAACCGTAACAGTGACTTAAAAAGAGATCTATTTTTATAATTGACTACTCAGGTACTAGGCTTCTATTAAAGTGATATATAAATCTATTAAATGTTACCACTGTCTATCGAACCATTTGCATCAAATATTATAATGTTTAATGGTAATACAATTCATTAGAAAATTTTTAGTGATCGGCTGAAAAAGAGCATTCTATCACAAATTTGTAAATCTAACAAAATCCTAATAACTGCAATAAAATTGATAAATCTACGAAATGATAAGAAAATGCTTATTTTCCATATTAATATATTTCGTAATATAAGTATTGAACACTGTATTTTTAAATTTCTTGACCAGACATGCCAACAGTAACATTTATTCCAACCTGTTAGGATTGATGATGGGTTGAATTCGCAAAACTTTTTAACTAAGTAAAGACCTTGATACCATAATAATAAGTATCCAGGGAGCAAATTGTTAATAAAAAATATTAAGAAGTTTATATATTATAACACCTTCTTAATATATATTATTAGTTTAATATAGATTAAAAGAGACTGATTTGTTAATTATTAATTAACAATCGTATTTTATCGCTCAATTATCTCTTATTTACCATTTAAAATGTTTCTTAAACAAACTAGATATGAAATCAATTCAATTATTGATATATTTTTTCATTTAATCAATATCATTTATTATCACACACTTACTGCTAAAAGACATCTTTTTTAACGAAAAATAGCAAACTACATTTACATTAAATCTTTGGGCTTTTGTTATTTTTGAGAAATAACACGTTTATAAAACTGGACTAGAAAACAAAGAAAAGCATGTACATATAGTTTTGTCGGCCTACTATATCATTTAACAAGAATTAGGGCATATGGGTAAACATATAGGACGTTCTCAATATGTCTATGTGTTTAGTATAATATATAAAAATCATACGTTTAAACTAAACAAATTTCTTATGTGTCTGACCTCATTATTGTACCAATCGTCATCATAATAAAGTTAGTCAATATTACTAGAATACTACTCAAATATTCTTAGGCCTATTCTTTGCCTATATAAGTGATCGGTTAGCACTTGGATTCATTGGACAGCTTGACTGCAGACTTTCAGTGTACCAATTTACCAATTTCTCTTATATAAGGTAAGCTTTAAACATGCATCTTACATCTATGTATCTTACACATGTATATAAGCATCGCTTTTCTCTATTTCAAGAAACTTCAATATGCCGAAATATACTTTGCATTACTTTGATGGTCGTGGTAGAGGAGAAGGTATCAGACTACTGTTCAAAATAGCTGGAAAGGAATTTGAGGACAAGAGGTATACCTTCAGTGATTGGCCTGAATATAAGCCAAGTAAGAATCAATATATGATATATTTATATTAATGTATCTTTACTAACGTGGAAATATTGCCTTTTTAATGTTTTGTAGAAACTCCCTTTGGTCAACTACCTGTATTGACTGTTGATGACGTTGTAATCGCTCAAACTCATGCAATTGGACGTTATCTTGCCAGGGAGTTCAATCTATATGGTTCAAATAGCCTTGAAGCCGCCATAGTTGATCAAGTTGTTGAAAATAATAGTGATTTGATCACTCCATCTATACCTTGGCTATTTGGGGAGAAAGATGAAGCAACAAAAGCGGAACTAAAGGCCAGCTATTTTGAAACTATTGGCGTACAATTAAACCATCTTGGAAAGTTTTTGGGAGATAAAGATTATTTCCTTGGCGACAAAATATCATACGCCGATGTAGTATTCTTCACTGGTCTGGAATTTATTATACTAAAAGGAGAAGGTACCCCCGAAATGTTGAAAGCGTTGGAAGAAGTTCCAAATCTGAAAAAATTGTACGACCGAGTTGCAAGTTATCCGGCTGTTGCCGAATGGATTAAAGTACGCCCTCAAAATTCGTTCTAAATAAATATTTTGAATATCTAAAATATGAGATGTCTGATCAAATTAAACGAATACAAGAAACAACTTTATACATGAAATATTATTTTGAATTTTCAAATGATTTATATTCTGTAAAAGCGTTAAGTATCATTAAAACTTCCGATACTTTTCAAGGAAAGACATACTTTAATACTTTGTCCTCATCTAATACTTTTAAGTACTTTGTCAATGAATATAAAAAAGACAGCAATAATTTTACATTTCTACGAATAGATTAGAGTATCTCGTAAAGTAAACTATTCGCCATTTTAACGGTATTACTTTTGTAAAATTCAAAATAATTATCAATAAAACAGACAATCTCTAAAGGATAATAATAACAATAGAGAACTATAATAAAGAGACACATAATATAATTTACAATTTATACATAATAATTGAATTATTATCTATTTTTATAAATTAAATTCTATTATTCGAAATGATAGAACATTCTTTTTTTTTTTACATATATATATGAATTACAAGGTCTTTTCTTTCTTAAGCCTATAAATTAGGCCAAAAAGTTTAAATGTTTAGCATATAAAAGAATAAAAACCTATCCTACAGTGTTTTTTTCAGTATGTCTATATTAATTTGCAATTTTTTCATTGGGACATTTAGGTGAATGATATCAAATTTAGCCTATCAATTGCGAAATTCAAGACTTTCGTTTAATTGATAAAAATAACGTACAAAAATTTAACTTAACATTATCTTTAGTCTAGACCAACGTCCAAACTACTTTGATGGACGTGGTAGAGGAGAAGGTATCAGTTACATGTTTAAGCTGACTTGAAGATAAGAGATATGGATATGAGGTTCCGGATAGGCCTGAATTTAAACCGAGTGCAGCTAAAAGATTTTTACAATCGAACAGCAAAGTTTCCAGGTATTACTAAATGGAGAACTTTCCATTCAACAACTGAATTCTATTTCTCTTATAACAATTGGGAGACTTGAACATTTTGTGAGCAAGTGTATAATAATGTGGTTCAAAATGCATTGTTGCATAAGATAATTGTTCAAAATACAAATAACGTATCGCTAAATCTTCGTAACGTCATAACGTTCTCCCCAAACAAACGATTGAATAGAAAAGGTTTTAGTTGAAGACGAAATGGGTCGAGGAGATAGAAAGGATTACGATGATTTAGCTAATTCATTTGGTAACTTAAGAGAGAATTGCGTTAGACAAAGATCCAATCTAGCACCTACCCCGGGAAAGTGAGACTTTTTCAAACTCCTAATTTCCTTTTCTATTCTTTGGTCCTTTTTTAAAAGAAGATAAAATAACCAAACAATTCCTTTTAACAGCGTAAAGAACATTTGTGTGGGATTAATTATATCAATCATTGAATATATACTGCCTTGTCCGTTTACTTATAAGGAACATAAAATAGCTTTATATAGAGAAAAGAAAACGCCTAAGAGTCTATGGGGTAGATTAAGAACTAAAGGGACTTTAGAGAATTCTTTACTGGTATGTTTCATAGGCTGGACTGTTGGTGTAGGTCTATCTTATCTCTGGTTCGAGAGTAGAATATCACAGGTAACCCTCATTAGTTCCAGTAGATGGATTTGTTTTTTCTCAATCATTCAGACGTTCATATATATAAAAAAAATAGTATCCTGAACTAAGGAGAGTATTGACGTGGAACGCTGCTATTCTTGGCTTAGTTCTGAGTACACTTATCGGATTTACTAGGAAAGGAAGGTGTCTAGCAGTTCTTTGCATACCAAATTTAACATCGAGTAATAGATATTGTTAAAAATTTATGCATATCTCATATGATGTCGTTTATTTTTAGACGCTATAAAAACTTGGCTTCTGGCATATATAATAGCATTGGTAATTGGTGGTCCAATATTAAATTGTTCGAACAACATAAAAAGGGGTGGACAGTCGTTAGCATGTATAAAAAAAGTAACGGGAGAAGAGTTGAATAATGCTCAACAAAAAGTATCACGACCGACTGGACGTTAGTAATTTTTTAAGATTTTTTGAATATATTCAAAAGTTTAACAATATCGTTAGAGTTTGCTTCTCAGTTGGTAGAAATATGTAAACAACTCTCATCTATATCGATTCGATCTCAGACTCTGGAAAAAGCATTTGCCGAAATTCTACAACAAATGCGTCGTTTCCGGGATAAAATTTTTAAGACTTATAAAAGTTTGGCAATTCAATATATTTTCTATTTATAAATTAACTTTTCAATTAAAATAACAAACAAAAGAGGCTACAGAATTTTGTCAAAAAGATCAAGTTTATTCTGTTTGTATGAAGTCAATAAGTGCTGTAATTAAAGGATGTTTGTAAGTGAATAGTTATTAAAGATTGTCAATTAAAATAGTCGATTGATTTAATATATAAAGTAAAGAAGTTGCATGGTATTATAAGCCTCTTTGCCCTCTAACCGTAATTCTCTACACGTTATGCCCATATACTATAGCAATTAAGCAATTTTGCGGAGCTTCGTCAATATTTAGTAAATTTCTAGAAGAGTACATTAAAGATCGTAAGTAGAAAGAAAATTGATCCTTGAAGATTAAATGATACACCAATTTTTCTTTTCCCTCATCTCTACAGCTTTTCGTAAAGTTAAAGAAAAAACAGTACGAATGTTTTGGTTTCACATAACAATGGAATATCATTATAGTTATACATTTACATCGGACAAACAAATGATTGTTATAGCTGACCTAGTGCGAGGTATTTTATTTCAATATTTATAATTGTATTTAACGTATAAAATGGATAAAGAATTCTAAAACAGAAAATTTTTTGTTCTATTTATAGCATCTCTTTCTAAGTACTTTGAATGGTTCTTTCTAGTTCTTGATATGTTTCCGAAATTCTTTGGCATGCTTACCATAATTGTTTTATTTATATCTTCAATAAAATATTATGAAATGTATACAAGATTGGATTTTTACGATCAAAAGTTTATAACTTTCTTCGTGCTGGACGTTGATGAAAGGCAAAGACAAATTAGTTCTTCGGTAGAGCCTCTTCTACCGTTGCAATATTCGGAGGGGAAGAGATACTATTCGTCCATTTGTAACATTTTTTTTCCTTTTATAATAGAAGCAAACTATTTTATTTTTTAACCTTCGAATAGTTTCACCGAGGGTTAAATGGTCCGAATTCTTTTCTAGACTAATTGGTCTGGTTCAGATAATTATAGTATTAATCTTCTCTTCGTTTTGTCTACTTTTGGACGTATTTATTTACGAAGCTTATCAAATGATTTATTACTCTTTGGAGAAGGATAACGAATTTGAAGATTTTATTAAGAGTAGGCTAAATTTGAACCAATTCACCTCTTCCTTCTCATCTTTGATATATATATATATGTTTATTTATATTGTTCTTTACTACTATTTATAGATCAGGGTAAGGAAGAGTTGTCTCTTCAAGTAGAAGGAGAAGGAGCTATTGCTGGTATTTATAAGCGATTAACCCAATATCCAGCAACTGCTGATACTCCTTCGGAGTTTTGGGATCAAGTTACGAAATGTATATCTGAACCAGTTGAACCCGATTATGAAAATGCAAAAACTATCTTATTTTTACATCTAGTCGTTTTTATTCTCGTTTTTTACGCTCTTTACTTTTTAAGATTTAGACACCTGATCTGCGACTATTTTTATCCAGAGAGAGCTCAGAAAAGGGCAGTTTGGTTATATAACAAGATTATTAGAAGTAGGGTGTGGGGAAACTCTGGATTAATAACATCGGCAAAAATGGGATCAGGTGCAGGATCACAGGTTAAGAGAAAAGTTACTTGTAAACAGAGATGTATGGCATGTTGCCCTGGAAAATGCGATTTTCTTTGGAAGTTTCTCAACTGGAGAGGACAGACTTGTTCGATTTGCGGTGTGGAGGGTCCTTTAGACGACCAAGAGAAATTTTTCAAATGCGACAATAAAGAGTGCGCATTGGTATATTGCGTCGATTGCGTAACAGCATTTAAGAACAACTGTAAAGGTTGCGGACAATACATCATCTTTGATACTGACAGTGACATGGATTACGAGGAAGATTCGACTGATGAAAGAGAGAAGTTATCAAAGATTAAAGGTGAAGATATGACGCAATCGCAGGCTGAGAATGCCATTATATATCGATGGGGTTATGATGAATTATTGAATAGGGGCAGGGAAGCGAGGGATTTGACTAGTAAATTTAAAGAAGAATCTGAAACTGACATTGAAGGAAATTTGGCTGAAAATCATATTAATAAAAGAAAGAATAAGCAACCAAAAGCTACGAAAAGTATTTTCAAGGGAATGACGGCTGAAAGGCAGTATGGGAAAGAAGAGTATGGTTTGACGCCGGAAATCGTGGCTTTCTGCCAAGAGAAGGGCTTAGATCCAGAATACATAGACGTGTTAATAGAAGAATATGAAGCATTAGGTATATATGACAGATGGCTACAGAGAGGCGGATTCCGTAGTAAATTGAAAGTAAGTTGAAAAAAATAACAAATGCGGTTCAATAAACAAATTAAAACAATAATTCAACCAAACCGTATTGACTTTTAGTGGGCTAAGCGAACTGTAACCGGTGAAAAACCAACTGACATATCGTTAGACGAATTAAATAATAGGCTTATGAATAGAGTAATGGATACCACCAAGCAAATTAAGATACTTGAAGTATATACAGATGCTGTTAGAAGAGAGGAAGAGGATAAAAACAAAAGGAATCATTAAGAGAATAAGATATATATGTAGATAAATTACATAGAGAAAACTAGAGAGAGAGAGAGAGAGAGATTGGGAGGGGGTGGGGAAGAGAGAAAGAGAAACTGAGTGCATCTACTTTCAAATTTGTTTTTCCTGTTATTGTTGCATTTATGCATTTATACATTGATATAATACAGCAATAAAGATTTTACCTTAATTGCTTTTATTAACTGGGCATCATATTGTCTTTTCGTTGCTTAAAAACCGTTATACGGTAACTTAATGGGAATTTTTGTATCTGTTAAATCCACAGTCAATATTTTGAAATACTATCAACCAAACGGATAAAGTTGAATAGTTTGGGAATTATATAAATATATAAATGAATAAAAATAGATTGAGAGCGAGAAAGATAGAGAGAGAGAGAGAGACAGAGAGCAAGTGAGGGTGGGGGAGGGGGAAGAGGGAGTGTAGTAAGGGGAAAGGGGTGGCGGTTCAATTCCTTGTAAAAATTAGGACAGCAGTTGAATAAATCTACACCGCTATTACCTCACACAACGTGTTTCGTATACTTGATGAACTTTTTCTGTATTTCTATTCAAAATAAAGAGAAATATGGAATTTGTTTTGTATTATATCTTATCAAAAATTGTTTACAGATAATAAAAATACACTTGTCTAGTAATTATGATTAATTTTAATTAATGATTTTTCGTGAGTACCACTCAATTTTTTCGAGTACATATAAGTTGAAGAAGTGTATAATTCCATATAGAGTACGTCAATTGATGAAGTACACTATTGAAAAGATATTCCGACTTAAAGAGGTATAAATGCTTAAATTCCAACTAAATACTATCTATATTGAATTTGTATCATCTTTCAAACAGTGAAAGGCAAGGTTCAATTGAACTTGTAAAAGGTGAATTTCTAATTATTTTGAGACAAAAGCTTGAGCATGGGTATCTTTCCAGCTGGCCTGAATACAGACCGGTGAGTAGACTACGCAGAATAGATAGCGACTGAGTACATGTATTTAGAATACTATTGCATGTAAAAGAATCTTTTTTTATAAATTCTATTATTGCAGATACGACAGTTTGTTATTCAATCGCCGCTAAATATTTATGAAGTATGTTCAAAAAGGGATTGTAGAAGAGATTGCTGGTATTGGATGCCGTATAGTAAAGGAATTTAATCTTGATGGCTACAATAACCCAAAAAGCTGCCAGGGTTGATCAAATTGTTGATGCTAATAATGATTTTGCTCGATATTGCTATCGACATTATGTTTGCTGAGAAGGATGAAGCCGGAAGGATTTTGAGAGGAAAGAAAGAGATGAAACTATATATATTTACCAATATACCTGCTAGAGTAATATCTTGTCTAGAACGGATTGTTACTCTTGGTCATTGTTTATCTTTCGAATGAATGCTATCATTGATCAGGTTGCTCCTCCATTCGACCATTATTAGTGGGCGTTATTATTTATTTTTCTTTGTTTAACGATGTTTTTTTGTCCTTATTCCATTGTAAATATCAAAAATGTTGATACGAGCTATGTATAAAAATTGTACAAATGGAATACAAGGGGTTTCTTTATAATAAGCTAGTTTGGCTTTCTTTTATCGTTGGTACTGGTCTTTAAGTGATAAACAATTATACATTGCTCGAAGGCTATGGACACTTAGATTAATTACAGAGTAGATAAGGAATAGGAATAGATTTTATTGTTATATTGTTACTTTTACGAGTAACAGTGGGGTATTAAGAAGAATATATGTGGATTACGCCGTCTGTTATTCTTATATGTTGCTAATAGGTAGGGTGATGAATTTCAAGAGTTACTTATCAAGAAATTACAATAATTAGATTGATTATTCCTAAACAAAGCGTGCAAATGTGTACAAGCAAATACTATACAATACAAAAGACATAGTACAATATCTTGATGGGAATTTTTATCCTTTTCATCCTCCGTCAATTCAAGGGATAAGTACCAACCAAGTTGGGAAATTCTCAAAGTAGGAATAGCTAGTGTGTTACGTACAATATAGCTGAGGGGAAGAGATCACTGATATGGATTAGGGAAAGTATTTTTAATGAATTACAATAAAGCAACTGCAAACTTAGTTCACTAACTTATCAAAATTTTTGAATGAGAATTTAGGAGAGGGTGTAGAAAAGATGGGAAGAGATTTATCACTAGTTTAAGGATATTTCATAAAATGCAGAGAAAATATTAGGATAAGAAACCTATAGGGCAAAAAATCTATCCAATAGAAGGCGAAAGGGACGATTGCGCAAATAAGCCATCCCATCAATCGCACCAGTCACAAAAGTGGCATACGACTCTGCCCTCCATTGATCGCTTTAGCGCTTATAACGTTAGCGACTGCAAACATTCTCACTGCAAAAAAAAAGAATATTTGCAAAAATAACGGTAATTTTACAAAAATTTTCGATATTATATAGTTACTTATTGTTTAATTAGCATTTTATTATAGGTTATTCTGGTCTTAGTGATATCTATAGGCCTTCATTAGCATACTCTTGTGATAAAGGGAAAAGACTAAGAAAACACGGAGCAGAAGAAGGGAAAAAGAAAAAGGAAGAAGAAGGAGAAGGAGAAGGAGAAGGGAAAGGAGAAGGATTAGAAAGTAGGAAAAGAAAGAAAGGAGGAGGAGACATTAAATCATGAGAGTGGTAATTTTGGCCCTTTTTACTTTTCAAGTTATATCATATGCCTTTAATGAGAAGATTCCGTGAGTAGATTTTATACTATGAAAATAACTGTAATAAAACATAGTAAAAAAGGGTCATTTTATCAGTATGCATTTTATAATGCATATATATGGATATAGATACGGCAAGAGTGCAGAATTGCTGCCGGATTGTTGCATTAAGTAAAGCTTTACATTTGAATAAGTAAATTTACAAACTATTTATTGTAAATATTACAAAGGGATTCATTTTTTTTACTATTTTCTCATGCACGCACGCATGCAAACATACATACCCACTCATATATAATATTGTATACATAAAGATACACATATATATTACTATTTCTCTCTTCTTCTTCCTCTCTCTTTCCATCTATATGTATCTATTCATCTATCTCTCTCTCTCTCTCCAGCTATCTATCTTGTATTTCTCTTGCTCTACCTCCTTTTTCCGTGATTTATTGATGCAATTTAGATTCATAAAATTTTAATTATATATATATATATCTCTCTGTATTCTTCAACGTCCAGCCTATGATTATATGCTTTTGAACTGGGTTAAAATGTAGGTTTATATTACGCTATAAAAGAGACTGAGAGAGGGGGAAAGAAAGGAAAAAGTCATTGAGTATAAACCCGCAGGAATATTAAAAGTAGGCCTAAAAGGTATAGATGGGAAAACAAACGAGGATGAGCAGCTCTTGGCCGCCGTAATCAATACTATAGGAACATTATAAATACATGGGGGGATTATCCTACTTTTGCATTCTTCACGGTCATTGCTTATAACTATTTGTAGAAAGACGAACGAATCGGAAGCGTCGATATTACTTGAAAACATATTGAAAAAGGCTGATAGCAAAATTCGTCCGAATGTATTCGGTAAATACATAATTCATCAATTCCCTCTAGACGATAATAGTATTAGAGGAAATTTTCTCCCTACAAGATTTTCTCTTGTATTCTTATCTCGTATTTAGCTTTTAGGCCTATAATAAACCTTAATTCTTTTTAGGAGAACCGGTCGAAGTAACGTGCGATTTTTACGTTGCAAGCTTTGGGTCAATTGATGAAGTTCACATGGTTGTGTATAATTTTTGTTCATTTTCTTTTCATTCTTCTTTCTCTTCATCTGCCACTGCTTCTTCTTCTTCTTCTTCTTCTTCTTCTTCTTCTTCTTTTTCCTCCCCCTCCCCTTTTTATTGCTATTTAAGTCTTCCGCTAATTTCATTCTTTATCTTCTTATTCATAAATTCCCATAGGATTTTCAATTAGACATCTACTTTCATCAAATGTGGCTCGATAAACGGCTGGTCTTCGAGAAGGAGAAGAGGCCGATGATGCTTCATCACAAATTCATTAGTAAATTATGGATACCGGATTTGTACTTTATCAATGAGAAAACAGGCAGTTTTCACGATATTGTTCAACCTAATAGAGTTGCTAAACTCTATCCTAATGGTACAGTTTGGTATAGTTCACGGTAAGAGCCATCTACCGTCTTTAAAAATAATATTAATTGTAATTAATATTTTAATAGTATTACACTCAAATTGGCGTGTCCGATGGTTTTGGTTCATTTTCCGATGGACCATCAGCAATGTTTTGTCAAGATTGCAAGCTGTTAGTATAACCTTTACAAATAATATGTAATTCTTAAAATTAATAGGCCTAATATACCCTTAATTGAAATATAATAGTTAAATATTAGATAAAATGAGAAATAAGTAGGAAAATAATAGGGGAAATAAATAGTATAATATAGTTAATAGAAAGGGATTTATATACTAAATATTAATCTAATCTTTTTCCTCTCTTTCCCTTCCTCTTTCGTTCCCTTTCTCTCTCTCTATCCCTTTTTTTACTGCTTTCTAGCTTTAGACATACTTTGCCACCTCCCACCCGCCCATTCGCTTTTCACTTTATTCCTTTCAAGCCCTTCTCAGGGCTCACTCTTTTATCATCATATATTCAATATTTAATTAACTACAAACGTTCCATCTTGTAGACGGCTATGATTTAAAAGACGTCACTTTACGATGGCATGACGTAGATCCAGTCGAATTTTCCCAAAAGGAATTATCGCTACCTCAATTCGAATTAACAAAAACATCTACTAAGAAATGCGATATGGTGACAAAAACTGGTAATTTTGACTGTTTAGAAGCAGTTTTCCATCTTAAGCGTCAATTCGGATTCTACGTTCTGCAAACTTATATCCCATCAATATTAATAGTTATCCTATCCTGGATCTCATTCTGGGTGAATAAAGAAGCTGTTCCAGCTAGAATAACATTAGGGGTTACGACAGTTTTAACTATGACTACTCAATTATCGACGGCTACGAAATCGACTATGAGGGTGTCCTATCCGAAAGCATTAGACGTTTGGTACACTTTCTGCATGATTCTAGTCTTTTTGGCACTCATCGAATACGCTTTCGTCAATGCACTAGCTAGAAAAGGTAAAAGGAGAAGACGTTTGACCAATGACGATATGGAATTACAAGAACTGCATATTACCAAACCAAGTGCATCAACTCTAGAAGATCTTCATATGGAAGAAGCTCATGTTATGGTTGCTAGGGAAATGTATCACCATAGGCCTAGTACTTGTTCAACAAATGGACCGATTAATTTACGCTATAGGATTTTTAAGGCTATCCATTCTGGATGGATAAAGTTACATCAAACTAGTAACAGGTTAACAGCCGACGGCCTTGATAAGGCTTGTCGAATAATCTTTCCAGTATCTTTTGGTGTATTTAATTTTCTATATTGGGTTATTTATACACAGCCAATTGTTTATAAAATGGACGAATGAAGAAGACGGTTTAGGCTATTGGAAAGAGAACTACCGTCTTGTTTTTATATCGTATACTACTATATATATATATATATATATATATTAGTATATATTGCTGTATATTGTATATCAAATGCCAAAGTATGACTAAACTATCCTTTCCTCATCAATTATATGTTATGTAAATATTCCTTCGTTAAAGAAAAAAGTCTTAAACAATCGGAAAGAGAGACCCACAACATTTATAGAGTACAAATTTATACGTTTTCTCTTTCCTTTCAAAGTTATGATATTATAATTAAAAGTTATTTAACTCTTAATTATTACGTTAATATGTCTAAAGTATCAAAACAAGTCGACGAGTGACAGTAAACATATCTTCAATTACACAAGCTGCGCAACATTTTAGATTTATTATTAAAAAGAATTATAAGGAAATGATGAAAGTTCCTTATAAAAATGAGGGACATCTTTGCAAATGTAAATGTATTTAGTCATACTTGGGTAAAACATTTATCTATGTACTTTATTTTTTCTCATTTTCCTCTCACTTCTCACTTCTCACTCTATCTCTTTTTCTGCGGACTTTTACGGAATAAAAAACGCAAAAAAAGCGGTTCTCCTTTTAATTTCTTTCACGAAAACTCTTTATTTCTACGGTTTCTTTACTTATTTCTTTCATTAAAAGAATAAATAAAATTGAGTAAAGTAATGAAAAAAAGTTGTAATAGTTTAGTTAAGACGCCTAATAAATACATTAGAAATTAAACATTATATACTAAATTTTGTATATAACATATAAATTATCCAAAAATGATTTAGAGATGAAAGAAAACAAAAACTAAATATTAAAAGGTCGCGTATTCATCTCGCCTCACCTCACTTCACCTCCCCTATATAAGGAGAAAATGAGCCATAAACATAAACGAATAAGGTCGATCTAAACTGCAAATCTGGTATGGTGTGCGAAGGGATTAGTATATATACAGAGCAGTCAATGCTGCGGCACAGTTGCAGTTCTGACCGCAAAGGAAAATATAGTAAAAACTATATGTAAAGTGCGCTACCAAATGCACTCAACAGATTGATATCTTTAGTAATATACTGTGTAACCTGCCTACAAAAAAGAAAAAAAATAAGAAACTTTCTTAAGCAGAGGAGAGAGGAACAAAACGTTACTGACGATGAGACATTTAGACTTTGCTCTATCGTGCTTATTGATAAGTAGTATAAGATTTGGAGTAGTTTTTTGCCAAGACGCAAGGTTTGTAGGAGGAGAATTGATCATTATTGAATGTTTCTATATATTGTCACAAATCTGTATATTATATGATATACAGTACATACAGTATGTATACATGTAGTACATAAAGCATATACTGTATATATATATGTATAAGCGTATAGGCAGACCCATTTAGATATATATATATATATAATTTATATATACTGTATATAAGTTAATACAAACGTGTAAACATAGTTTGCTATTAATGTAGATAATTTAAAAGAGGCTGTTTTGATAGAAATCAAATTATTTTGGTTAATTTTCATAAAGCAATCATATGATTTTAAAATTTTATAGTGAAATCTGTTACAAAAGATTGGAAAGTGTCCTTTTTCAAAACTTAACCATTTCTTACCTTTTATTTTTTTTCATTCTCTGACTACCTCTGTTTGTCTGTCTATCAATCTCTCTCCCTCCCACAATGTCTGCCTATGTGTCTGTTCTGTCTGTGTCTTATTGTCTCTCTTTCTCTCCCTCTCTCTCTCTCTCTCATCCCGTTTTCTTTCTCTTCTTCCATATAATAAATGTTTATTAAACACAGTATATATTTATTAATACGTAAACGTAGTGTTAAATCAATGTATTTTCTTTCAATTTTGTAGTTTTTGATTATTTTTTCCCCTTTTTTATAGATACTTATTGGAAAAATTGATGGAAAATTATGATTCGAGAGTTCCGCCAAACTTCAACACTGGTTAATAATTTTTTATATTTTCTTGTTATCTTTTATAGTTTACTATTGTTTTGCCTCTTTCCTTCTTTTATCGGTGTAGATGTTTTGTTTCCCTATAATTCAACATTTTAGAACTATATATGGAGATAAATAAATTAGAAACAATAGGAGTATATATAACCCTTCTCCTATGTGCTTTTAGCTAATTGAAAACAACTAATTCTTGATCCTCTTTTTCCTCCGATTCCTAACTACTTCTGCTATCTTCTTCCTCTGTCTTTCCTTAGTTTCTTCTTTCTCTCCACCCTCTCTCTCTCTTTCTGTTTCTCTCCTCTGTGCTCTTTTGAAATCTCCCTCTATCTACACATCTATAAATTTCGCTTAAATTAGATATAGCTTTTTAAATAGCTTATTAATGTATTTTAAGTGAAAGTAACAGTAGGTTCTTTCATCCTCTTATCCCAACCTTTTCCTCCCTCCTCCCCCTTTGCCAGTCCCGATTCCCTTTCGTCCGGTTACGCTTAACGGAAAGGATTTAAAATTTTCCTATCGTGAAAATACAGACAAAGTTACCAAGGTGGCTATTGACATGCACATCAGTAGCGTAGATAGCATTTCGGAACAGACTATGGACTTTATCATCAGCGTCTTCCTCAGGCAACGATGGGAGGATACGCGTCTAAGCCATAGACATTTTAGTAACCTCAGTGTAGTAAGTTCTACTTTGATTCATTATAGCTCTAAATCAGTAAAGTAAATGCCAAACAATTTATTGTAAATAAGGAATCCACTGGAAGAAATACATTAATTCCCTTTTCCCCTACCATTTTTAAAAATATACAATCTGTAAAATATTTATATAAAAAATACTATAGGCCTATTGAAATATAAGATATTATTCAAAAACTACGGGGTTTAATATGTAAAAAACAATAAATATCTGCTGTACTTAGATAAGTCTCGATACGAAGATGGTCGATCGTATATGGGTACCAGATTTATTCTTTCGAAATGAAAAAAAGGCGGAGTTCCACGATGTTACTGTACCAAATAGATTTCTAAGAATTTATGAAAATGGTAGTATTTATTACAGTTCCAGGTAAATATTTTTTTTTTAAAAAACAAGCACAAAGACCAAAATAAAGATAGCAATATTATAGAAGGATAATCTCCTCATTCTTTCCGTTTATCATTATCTATTTATCTTTCTCTTTTGTGTAGGATATCGCTTAGGTTATCTTGTCCAATGCGACTTGAAAAATTCCCTTTAGATGAACAACAATGCACGTTACAGATGGAGAGTTGTAAGTAGCTTTTATTTTGTTGCTTTGGCCGGAAAGAAACACACGCTCACAGGTATAAATAAACGTATAAATTATTGAGGGAGAGAGACGCCACTTGTAAACGCTTCTTTTTTTGGCTGATAAGGGAGAGTGGAAAAGAGAGAGACAGATAGAGCGAGAGAAAGATAGACAGACCGGAAGGTAGAGAAAAAAGGCATAAAGAAAGGGTGCGTGTACACTTGAAAGGAAGACTGTAATAAGGAAATAAAACGTATTTACACAACACACTTGCACATATAAAACTACTATGGAAATGAGATAATCTCTTAAAGTATTAAGATTAACTATAGTCAATTCTTATTCTTTGTTGAAGTAACAGAATGATAACGAGACGTTTCCAGACAATTTTATGACTCATTTATTTTAATTTTCAACTGTTAAATAGCCTCTTTCCATCTAATAGAAACTTTATACGTAAAAATACAAGAAAAGAACTTTAGAGATGGTTAACATAAGTGATAGGCCTATATAAGAAAAAAAATAAAGATAATGAACCAAAAGAAAGAAACAGTAAATGTTTATTTTTACTGTTATTGTATAAAAATAATTGCATATAAAATAATAACTATGTCATATTTATCCTATTCATAATTTAGACGCGCATACAACGGATACTTTATTATTTGAATGGAATAATCCAGATCCTATAGAGATTAATGAAGAATTAGAATTACCTCAATTCGAATTAACTGATTATAAATTATCAACTTGCACAAGGAGATATATAACTGGTAGGTAAATCTTTTATTACTTTTATGTATATTCATAAATAATAGACGCCCGTTTAATTACATAAAATACCAATTAACTTGACTTCTCTCTAGGTAATTTCTCTTGTTTAAACATCACTTTATATTTGAGGAGGAATATTGGTTTTTATATGATTCAAACCTATATACCTACGGCATTGATTGTTGGATTATCGTAAGTTATTTCTTATATATATATATATATATATATATGTGTATAAGAAGATATATACATATATATGTATTTACAATATTTCATCAATTATGAACTATTATTCAAATGTAGGTGGGTATCTTTTTGGATAAGTCAGGACGCTGTACCGGCTAGAATATCTTTGGGCGTTTTGACAATACTAACAATGACTACCCAAGCGTCTTCATCTCGTCAATCACTTCCCAGGGTTTCTTATATAAAAGCCATTGATATTTGGATGGCTACCTGCTTGGTTTTCGTATTTGCCGCACTCTTAGAATTTGCTATTGTCAATGTCCTTTCTAGAAATGAAATCAGACGGAAGTCTAGTCTTCGGGACAAAATGCGTAACGATGTAATACTCAATTATTAAGGTTATTTCAACGCGTTTAACCTATTTTTATCTGTTATAGCAAGTTTGTCAAAAAGAGGAGGAACTAAAGAGTTCTGGCAAGATGATATCGTTCTTCGTTAGAGATCCTAAAGGTAAAGAGAAAGCGAAGAAAGTTGACAAAGGGGCTCGTGCTGGTTTTCCTCTTGCATATTTTACGTTTAATCTCGTCTACTGGATTACTTACGTCTTTTGGCAACCGTAATCCTATTATTAAGCCTAAATTTTCGTTACAACAAACTAATGATCCGCATAGTTTTGATGTACGTCGAGCTAACATGACTTAGAATAACAAAATATCATCTTAAGTATTCTTTTAATATTATTATTTACATCTTTTAATCACAATCTGTTCTTGCTTTCTTTTCTCGATCTCCTCCATTCTCTTTCTCTTTCGCTCTCTGTATATCCAGCTTTTGCTCTATCTTTCTTCTTTTCTGCTTGTAGCCCTCATTCTCTTTTCATAGCATGTATTTATATTTTATTTGGTAAATTGTTCCCATTTCACTGATAAATAAGCCCGAGAAGTAAAATAAAGTCGCTTGTATATACTTGTGTATAAAACATCAATCCTATCGTTCGTTCTGTCTATCTGTCTGTCTCTCTCTCTCTCTCTCTCTCTCTCTCTCTCTCTCTCTTTCTCTCTTTCTCTCGCCCGACTTCTGTTTCCTCATGGTCTCTTGTTCATTGCGTATGCTTCTTTTCAATTGTTATATCTATTAGATTAAAACTACACGTATTATCCTTATCAATATCTTTAATTATTATTTTTCTATTGATATCGTTATTCAATTTATCACTTAACTCAAATATTTAACTAATCGTAATTTAATAAGGATGTCCAAAATGTTATCGATAGATGGCGCCGCTGTCTATCGAATTTTTAATACAGTTGTAAATAAACTTTTTCACTTGATATTTTATCAAACACAACTGAAATTGATATGGTTAATATATAGAATAAATTAATAAGAGAGAGGACGTGGGAGGGACGGGAAGAGAGAGAGAGAGAGAGATAGGGGAAAAGTGCATGCATGTGGACTAAGCATTATGCAAGAATTAACAAAGTAGATAAGGATAAAACAAAAAAAAAGTAATAAATAACAAGCATATCTATTATTAATTTATATTTAGAAACTATATGTACATACTGTATAAATTTTATATTAATATATATATATATATATATATATATATATACTGTATAAGATAACAGTAATAACTTTTTAAAATTGACCTCCAATCTCATAACTATATTCGTAGATAAATTTATATGCTGTATATACAGTATATATATATATATATATACAGTAAAGTTTTATTAAAATTCTCTCTCCCAGTCTACCTACCTCCCTACCTACCTACCTCCCTGTCAACTTTTTTGTTCCGCCCCTGCTTTCTCTCCCCCCCCTCTCTCTCTTTTGTAATTTAACACCAAATCCTTTATTATTCTTATTACTATATTATTCGAAAAAATTAAAAAAAAAGTATATTTCCGATAGAAATTTTTGATTATATATAATAATACACGCCCACTTGTAGAAAAAAGGATTAAGTTGAATTAATTTGATACAATTTTTAGCCTATATTTAATTAGAAAGACTGAAATACGATCATGAATCATTTAGTCCTAAGAATTCATTCTTCTTTATACAAAGTAGGTTATGCAAATGGAGGTCTTTTCTATTGTTTCTTCCCTCTTGATATTATTCTATTATAAACGTTAAAGACTTTTAAAAATCTACAGTTGATTAAATATACTCTTTTTTTGCTTTTTCTCCTCTCCTCTTCTCTATTCGAGACTCCTCTCCTTTACCCTCTCTTTCCCATCACCTCTTAGCGTTTTTATTCTTTTATTGAAACTAATAAAACATACCTTTTAACTTACTTATCTTGTCTTTTATCAATTTTTCTCTATTTTGCCTAATTTAGGCCTATGTAAACAAAAGAAATTTAGGCTTATGTAAACAAAATTACATAGAAGATAATAAAAATGAAATAGTTATTTAGCCCTCATTTTTATTACCTTTCTTTCTAATTCTCTTTCTTTATTTCATTTCTCGATAAGAATAATTCTCAATGAATTCACAAGCAATAAAAAAAGTGAGACAAATAAGAATAAATGGGTCATTGAACAATAAAAAAAAAGGGAGAAAGAGAGAAAAAAAGAAAACTCAAAGCCTATATGGATATACTATATATTCTAATAAATATATATATATAAATTATATACAGTATATACAGCATTTGCTCTTTTTTCTTTCTTTCTTCAACTATATATTTGCATCTTTTTCTTCTTTGTTGAAAATTCAACAATGGTAACTTATTTGAAAATTTCAATTGTTAGAATAACAATTGACAGAGAGAAATAAAGAAATAGGCGAATAAGGAAAGAACATAAAAAATTGAAAAAGAAACTTGCACAAGTAAAGTAGACAGATTTCAATGAAATCATATAAATATATTTATAAATTATACATTCAAGTAAGTCGTCTTCTCAAATTTTTTTCAATGTATGTATTACTTATTCAATAAAAAAAGCTAGCTCGTGATTATACAATATTGAATAACTCGAGTAAATATTACTGAGCATCATATCTAATATAATAACACCTTATATATCATCTTTATATATAAAAACTATATAGACTAACTAAACTATAGACTTTCTTTTATTTCTCTTCTTTAAAAGACTTTATTAATTAATTAGTTAATTAATTATGAAAATTTTCTATCATAAAGAATAAATTTATGAGAAAAAATAAGAACCAGAATAAAATTACAATTAAAAATAAACAAACAAACAAACAAATAAACAAATAGAAAAAAAAACTTTTAAGTGATTCCTTATCTTTCCTTATTTATGTTAATTTATTCATTATTATTCCTTCTTTATTTTTGGTTAATTCTTTTTCTATATACATATATAGATATATTGATTTATTGATTTCCATATACATATATATATATATAATTAATTAATTAATTAATACATTTGTTTCCGTAAAGCCAAAAAAAAAAGAAAAAACACAAAAAGAAAACCGGGTACGAAACTTTTTTCTTTTTGACTAGATACAAGACATTCGATATACTATGCATGATTGATTCATATTTTACAACTTCACTTCTATCTGTTCTATATCAAAGTTCAATGAAAAGAAGGAATACCTTGCTTTTCTTTTTTTTTTCTTTTTCCCTCCCCCCCTCTTCTTTTCATAAAAAGTCAAAAACCTTCAAATTGCAGTCATTCATCCCCTTTTCTGTTAAAATAATAGGGTTAAAAATCTCAAAATCTCTTCTAGTCAATTGAATTTTGATGGACAGGCGGATGTGATGTTGTAAAATAATTAGATAAAATATATTCATAAATTGTTTAATTAAATCACACTGTACATTGCATCTCACTCATAATGGGAACAATTTTCTTCTATTCGAAAGAGATAGAGAAGAAAATTGGAAGGAAGAACAGCAGGAAGGAAGGAAGGAAGTAATAAAAAAAGAAAGGGAAGAAAACGAAATATAACATAATTAAGAATTGTGTATGTGCACCTGGCATAAGTGTATATGTGTTTCTTTTCTCTTCTTTCTTTCCGTTTCTTTCTCTCTCTCTCTCTCTTTCTCTACTAAATAAAAAAGGGAACGGATAACGGATAGAACGAAGAAAAGAAGAATAAAAAAAAAAAAAAGAGGTTCTTGGGAGTGATTATTAATTTCCATATTTAATATCTCTTTCAATTCTTGCATCTTTCATCTTATTGTAAATATCTGTAGACTTTTACGCAGTGATTACCAGAATCAGCAACGGCGACGAGACCATCGGAGGTCATGCATAGTCCTTGAGGACCGTAGAGAGGGTCCGAAGAAGTGTTTATATAGGAGAGGAAAGAGCCTTGGGAGTCGAAAATCTGTATGAGAAAATGATACAATATAAGAATAGGTAATCATAGTAGAAAAGTATATATATACTGTATATATACTGTATGTTTATTTATAAATAGAAATAGTTCTTAAATAATTCGACAATAGACAAGATCGAATCTGATAACGGGTCGAGGACAAATCTATTCTTTGTCGACTGCTATTCTACCATTTGATGTCTTTCTCTTTTTTTAAATATATATACATAGTGGCCAAACTTAATGATAATATACTAATATTGAATTATATACTGACTACACTATATATACTGTATACATAGTATAACTTATTAATACTATATAATAGAGATGAAATTAATACCTGAATTCGAGAATTTCCCCAATCAGCTACCAAGATATTTCCTTTACCGTCTATAGCCAATCCAGTTGGGGCGTTAAATTGACCATTACCTTCGCCATTTGAACCGAAAGCGAAACGAAATGTCCCATCTTGCTCAAATACTTTTACGCAGTGGTTATGAAAGTCAGATATGACTAGGAGGTCGTCATTTGTACACGCAATAAAATGAGGCCCGGCTAATTGGTGTTCAGCGTTGCCCCTGTTACCCCATTGATACAACAATTTTCCTTTTGACGAGAATATCAAAATAGAACAGGCCCTATTATCAACGACGGCTATATTCCCAGCTTTAGTCACGCAAACCCCCTTGGGACCGAGTAGTTTATTAGCGCCAATCTTCTTCACTAGATTCCCAGTAGGTGAGAAACAGGCCACCCAACGATTTTCGTAATCCGAAACCAGGTAATTACCGTCAAAACCTACTACAATCCCAGTTGGCCTACCTCTTTGAATTCTGTCCTTAGAACATTGAAATCTTGACTTGAATTCTCCCCCTATTCCGAAACTTTGTATGCATTGGTTGTTACTATCAGCTACCAGGATTCTACCGGAAGGAGTTGAGGAAACGCCTTGGGGATTCACGAATTCTCCTCTATTCTTTCCCTTATTGCCAATAGAGAATTTTAAATCGTCATCGTATAAATTCGAATCTGATCTTCTATGGATCATACTAACAGATCTACTAGACGGTCGCTTCACTCCTCTTTGCTTAACGGGAGCAGTAGCAGTTCTAGGTATTCTCGACATGGAAGACGCTCGTTCATTTATTTGCTGATAAGAGCTGACGATTGTCGGCATACCAGCCAACCTATCACCGTATAGAGTCACGTCAAGAACGTGAGGGCCTGGGATGGAAGTTTCGTATTCAATCTCGTAAGTTCCGTCTCCAAGGTCCGATATAGGCAATTTCCGCTCTAAGCCTGTTTGCTTTTCGGTTAGGGTGGCCTTTAGTTCGGCTCCGCCCCTTTGAACTCTTCGACCTTGCTTATCTTTTGTAGTTACTGTCACAACTGTTGGTTTGGATACGCAACATTTCCTTAGACCGCAACCGGCCGCAATGGATTCGCTAGCGACGGCAGTTGTCGTTCGAACTTCTCCGCACGACTCCAGAGTTTCGTTTAGACCGTTCAATTGAGGCGCTACAAATTCCAACGACGCATTCTCTTCCGGACAACAACGTAGGGGTGAACGGCAAAGGCTTACGATTTCGGGCGATACCTCCTTCTTAACAAGAAGGAGGGCGTGTGCCTTATTTGATCGAATAGCATTTTCAGTTAGAAGAGAACATTGCTCAACAGATTTTAGCGTCGACTCTAGCGCCAACCTTTGACAATCTAAAGCCTTTTCCTTATTAAGAAAAGTCTCTTTAATATCCTCCAAAACTAAGTCTCTCCTTTGTCGGAGCCTATTTAAAATCAGATCGAAAGTGGCTAATGCGCTCCTTTTGGCAGTTGTATGATTTTCAACAAGTTCGTCCTTGACCTTCTTGATAGTTTTAAGTGCTTGCATAATCTCGGGAACTCTTTGCTTAGCCTCCTTGACCAAGGTCACCATCTCTTTTTTCTGATCATTTACCGCATCGGCAATAGTATCGAATTCGTGTTGATCGTGTTCGGCCGAAGTACACTCGTAACATATTGCTGTTTCGCATTCATTGCAGTATAATTCAATGCAATTCTTTGGATGAGATGGGCAAAATATTTGATCATCATTTATAGAACCGGATAAAAGATTTATCAGCGTATTATTATTCGGTAGGCCTTCAATACCATTTTGCGGTAGAATAGATTGATGTCGGCAAACTGGACAAGTAATACCTAAAGATTCGGCTGGAAGGTATTCCATTAAACAATTCGAGCAGAACGTGTGTAAGCAGGGTAGAATCTAGGTAGAGATTAAATTTGAGATATAGTGTAATTATAGTTATGAAAGGTATAAATAGTTTATATATATACAGAAGGTATTATACTATATTTGGCAACAAAAATCATATATATATACTTTTGGCTGAGAATAGGTTTTCCAGCAAATTCCGCAAGACAAAAGTCTCGGAGGTTCAGATTCAGCAGACGAAATCATATCGTCGTCACTTTCAATATTGTTTACTTCGTTTGAAGAGAATGAAAGCTATTGAAAAAAAAAGAACATTATCATTATTACTATCGTTATTATTATTATTATTGTATTTTCTCTTTCTTCCTTTCATATTATCTATTTCATTCTATTTACTATCATTTTCTAGTAAATCTTAAAGATGTATAAACTTTAGTGTATGGCTTGTGATGCAGAAAAATATGTCAATAGTTGAATTGTTAAATAATAATGGTGAAAAAAATCATCTTTCTCTCTCTCTCTCTCTCTCTCACTCTTTCTTAGTCTTTTAATACGAAAAAACAACGAGTCTATCCGGTTTCAATTCAAATATATTTACAAAAAGGTGGATTAAAAGGTTGAAAGCCGTTCGATTTTTTCTTAATATTTGCATGTACTCGATCTAGATCAATTTCTTCTCTCCCTTCTTCTTCTTCTTCTTCTTCTCTCTTTTTCTTGTCTTTCTCAATTATTATACTGTTTGCTAAAACAATCGAGTACATTTCTCTCCTATCAATCTATCAATCAGTATACGCATTTGTCTATTCTCTTCATATATTTAAACAACCCCTCCTTTCGCCCTTCCCCTCCTTTATTTGTAAGTATTAAATCACTTTAAATATTGTTTTCAATGACCCTATAACCTGCTCTCTTTACACTCTCCAAGTACACTTAATTCTATAGTATTATCTTATCGCTTACGTAATAACCAGACTATGTATAAATTTGAATAGGCCATAAATCACAACATAATTCAATTATTTTTTTTTCAGTTAGAGAAAGATAAGATTAAATAAAAAAATATTAAAAAGAAATGTCAATAAAGTATATAATAATAAAATAAAAAAGTTAACCATGTCAGAGAATAAGGGAAATGAGACAGATAAAAAAAAAAGAATAGTCTAGTCGTAAAATAGGCCTATAGAGTGGGAAAGAAGAACCGTTCGTTTTTTTTCTTTTTATTACTTTGTTGTTTAAGCTGTTTGAATATAATGGTTAAAGGTCTATTTCTCTTATTCATTATTATTATAAATACATATATATATATATATATATATATATAAATTTATATATTGTCTATATAATATATTTCTTTCTCTTTACTTTGTAAAGAGGAGAAAGGAGACGAAGAAGAAGAACTAAAGAAAGAAAGAAAGAATGATAAAAAATGGCATAAAAAACTGTTATCGCTAAACAACTTTATTTTTTTATGACTTTTTGATTCAATTCCAAAGGTCATGGGAGAAAGGAAAGGAAGCGGATAGAAAGGTGGGCGGAGACGAAGGTAAAGGATAGTGGTGGTTAATAGAAAACAAAATTATTTTACAAGAAGATTTCTAACGCCAACAGCTAAACTACTATAAAATGAAAGAAAGAAAGAGTGAATGCATGAATGAATGAATGAATGAATGAATGAATAAATGAACGAATGAAGAAGAGTTACTCCTACTAAGAAATTATATTTATGCTCCATATTTACACTCTATTACTTTGTCAAACGGAATAAACACTAGTCCATTGGTTAACGTACGTGCTTAAATGGATTTAATACTTATTAATACCAGTTATTCATCACCATACTCTTTATTTTTTGTATTTTTATTTCAATTCAGTTGGCCTATTTAAATTAACTTTCTTTTTTTTTATTTTAACATCTGTTTACTCTACTAAGCTTATATGACTAAATACGAGTGCATTGTATTTATATTTATATATATATATATATTAAAAACCTAATCAAATTTGAGTAGAATGTTATAACGATGGTAAGATACGGAGATAACGTGCGAAAGAGAAAGATAGAATGAAAAAGATCTTGATAGAGGAAAAAAATCTAGGCATTCTTAGGACAATGGTTTATATATATATATATATATATGACGTATTGACGTGTACTTATCGTTCTTTTAAACTGCTTAAGTAAATAATAATAAAAAAAAAGTGGAAAAAATTGAAAAACAGATATTTTTTATCAATTTCGTAATCTAGAAATTGGAGAATGATTACGTAAATCTTCTCCCTGCATCAGGGAGGAATAGGAGGAGTATGAGGAAGAATATTAGTTAACCAAAAAAATCTTTGTATATATAGAAACATATGGTACTACTCTTAAACTAAGTAATTTTAAACGTATATTCCCTTTCAATGTTCTTCCCTTTCCTGATCGGCTAGCCTAAGTGGCGTCCGATGACAAATAATTGTAGAAAAAACACTTGAAATATAATCTATAAGAATGAATATTGTCGTTGGTGTGTTTATAGACTCGGATTTCGGAAATAATTCACCTATTGAAAGTAAAAGGTACACCTATATTCTATTTTCGGACCAGAAAAACAGATAGTGCAAAGGGTTTAGCGGGCTGACTCTACCCTTTCTTTTTGCCTCTAAGCTATTTACCGCTATCCGAAAAGGGACCAGGTCGATAGAAATAATCCTCGAGTTAGTTGTTGTGCACTATTCATAGAGCAGTACTTATTGAACTTGCCAAGTTCCGTCCGTAATGTATAGACCTAGTTGTTAGGTTTCTTAAGAGAAATCGGGCTAAATAGAGTATTTAAAATTCTATAGAAATTGCTGATTGGTGAAAGAATAATTGATTCGGACGAAAAGATTGCTCTATTCTATTCTATTCTTTTCGTTTAACCTTCTATTACTCCTCCACACCACTCATTATAGTACTTACTAACCTATATACATTGAAAAATAAATATGGCAATTGAATATTGGCAACTTCAATGCAGACACTAAACAAATTTACACGACACTCTTGAGACAATCATTTCAAAGGAATTAGCCGCAATATCCTAATTGAAAATTCCAAGAGAGAATCGAGTCTATTGCGTAATATTTACAATATGATGTACGAAGAAAAGCAAAAGCAAGGGATAAATTATGTACTGTATAAATATCTATATCCATATATATATACTGTATATATAGGAATTGTAATTTAATAAGGATTTATATAAATCTCCTTTTGTTAAGTGACCGCTCGTTGAACTATTTACAGACTTTAACTAAGATAAAAGACTTTGTTTTCTATTTATATATACAGTATATATGTCGTCCCTTCTGTATACCATATTTATAGAGTTTATACTATTGTAGACTCTATTTCCTTCCTTTGAAACCTACTCTTTAAAACCTCTCCTTTAAATCAATTAACGAAGAAATGATCAATAATACCTGTTCGTAATTATCCAACCAAGCAATATAAGGTTCTTCTATATTTTCCCAATGTTTGTAAATAACTGCACTACGCCACTGTTTCTGGTTGAGAATTCTCATTTTATTTATTATTATTGTTATTCAATCAACTTTATAGTTTTCTTTTTTATATATGTAGTCTTATCTTTTTTTGCTTTCTTATCTCTTCTTTTCAAGTTATTTTATCTTTTCCTCTTTCAAATCTTTTATTATTTCTGATAATATTTTATTTATTATTCTAAGTCTTTCTTTTCTCTATCTTTCACTCTTTCCTCTTGTCTTTCTTTTTCCTTTTTCTCTATTATTAGGAGACTTTGATAATAAGAATTTGTAGAAACGATACAATTTTGCTTTTCGATAATATATAAATAGTTTCCTTTGCAGTATATTCTTATATTTTGCAGCTTTATGTAGTATAAAATATAGTTATAATTCAGTAATTATTGCAGTTCTGTCCCGGAGAAGTAGAAGGAGGAGGATGAATGCTCTCTCTCTCTATAGTATATATTGTATATATGTATATGTATCTCTCTCCTTTGTTCTTCTCTTGAATTCTTCTTTTAAAAGTTCAGCTTATTTCGATTTGACTTTTTGTATCATTTGTTATTGTTTAAGCAGCTGAGTTTGAAGTTTTGGCAGCGAATGAGCACCGAGTGTCGGGCACGTGTTCTAATATGCTCAAATCAAGCGTTGATTGGCCGGATAAGAAGAGACTTTTTATTCTATATAACTTTTGAATTTTATTCAATCTATTGGGCCTAAACATACACAATTTTCTAAAGTAGGGTCATTATATCCTCCTCCTACCCCCTACCCCCTTTACTACTACCTCAATGGTTGGAACGACGACTTACCATTAGATTGTTAAATATAACATATCTTATGAAAACTGATATATAGGCCTTCTGTCTAGACAAATAAAGCAACCGCATTCAAACCTCTAACTCGTGTTTGTGGCGTATAAGCTTTTTATAAAACATTTTCAATCGGACTAATCGGGTGGAATAGCCTTACTAATTTTAGTTACTTTTTTTCCTTGATATGAATGGATAAATCTTATTTTTCTTTCATATCACGAGATAAAATCTTTATGCTTTTCCCAGTCTTATTATATGTCTATATATATACTGTATATACTGTATATATACAATAAGAAAGGAGGGGGAGGGGGGCAGAGACAGAACGAGAGAGAGAGAGAGAGAGACATACACACATACACACTCTCATAGACAGACATAGTGACAGCGATAAAGGCTCAGAGAGAGAAAACTACTTTGACAACCATTATAGTAAATTTTGACAGTAAAAAACCAAGGCCTATACCATTGAAATCGCTAATTTCACACTATTCGAGCAGAATTATAGCAATTCAATACGGCCTGCTTTTTCTTCTCCCCTTCTCCTTCTCCCTCCTCTTCTTCTCCTTCTTCTCTCACTCATTCGCTCATTCATTCATTCTGCCTTTTTTTTTCAATAACAATATCACCAACTTCCTTCCCCCACCCTCATTCTTTCCTAGTATCTCTCTTATTTTGCTTCCTATGGCCTTCTCCTCCCATTTGCCCCCCTCAAAGTTTTCTTTTCAAACTACAAGATGGATGATGTTGTCCAAAACTTTTCAAAGTGTGAAAATAGTTGATTGGTTAAATAGAAATTTTAACTTGAACGAATTGAAGTCGTCAACAATATTATTTTCAAACAGACGACTATTGTGTAATATTTTCTTTTTATTTTGTCCTTTAAAAATCTTAATAAAAACACTTTTTAACTTAAATATTATACATTCTAATATACTCTGTATATACTGTATATTTTGGTTATACGAAAATGCTTAATACCGTTTTTATCCCAGGTTAAATACACAGATGTTTGAATGTTATAAATGTACAATCGATAATAAAACTTAATACATAGTCGTGTTGAAGTATTATACATATACATATACAGAATGTATATGCATTATATTATTATATATATATATATATATATTTAATACAATAGATAGGCTAATATATTTAATTCTAAAACTCTCCATTCTCTTTTCAATATCATTATTATTAAAGAAAAACATTTTTTCTCACCTTTTTCTTTATGACTGATGACGAATTTTCGAGTTAAAATGCTATATTTGCCAAGTCATCCGGCGTAATCCCTTATTGGATGTTTTGAGAAAATATGAATTTTTTTCTTTTCTATACTCTATCTCCTTGTCTTCTTCTTCCCTTCCTTTTAGTATTTTTCTTCTCTTTCTCCCAACTTAATTTATATATCTTTTTTCTTTCCTTTCACAAAGAATATATCTTTATTCCATATCTATCAGTCCGTCTTCAAGCATTACTAAGGCGCTTTGTTCTTGTCAAAAATCAGTCTGGTTATAGGAATGAAAACATCTTTTATAATATATTATTTCTAGAGTCTGCAGAACAACTGCTTTAACATATAAATAAGAAAATAGATGGAAAAAAAATTACATTTGCAGAAGACAAACTATTGATCAGTTTGTCGTCATTTTTCATTTGTTCGCAAAACCGATAGATGGCATCATACGGTAAAGGATTTAAAACAAAACTGGTAGTTAGTATAGAATGTTTTATTTACGAACACTGAAAGAATCTAGTTTAAAACATTTATTAAACCTATGAGTATAAATTCTAAAGTTAAAAGAAAACAATCAACAGAAATAGTAGAAGAATGAAAATGAGAAAATGTAGATGAAACATGACTTAAATATTGTTTTTCATCGTAAAAAATGTCACTAAAATGGAAACAGAGTTTTCCATTACTTTTACAGCAATTTAACCTACGAAGAGCAAAATTCTTAGATATAATTGTCCTTTTAATAGAACCCTTGCACCATATAAACCACTTTTGCCGTTTTCCAATAGGACTATAAAGAAATTGATGAATTTTCAATAATACCTTTTGTTTACAATCGCAAATATTGATATATCTAACTGCTATATAAGTTTGATTTGAATGTTTTCTCTTAATAAAATTATATATACGAAATTCTTCGGTAAGATTATTAGGTTGAAACTGAACGTAGCCTCTTTCAAACGTAATTGAACGTTGAACTACTTGTAACAATTGAATATTTTCTAAAGTATCAACGATAATCAGCGATCTTATTTTGATTTAATTGATAGAGAGAAGAAAGATGGAAAGAAATTGATTAGGATATAATTAAATAGAACAAGAATAGAAAACTATAACATACCTTAAAGTTTTCGTATCTAAGTAAATAGAAAGGCTATTGATAGATTGAAAGTGTAAATTTTGATCAGTATCGCAAGGTTCTAGGAGATTACTTAGTAAATGTTTTCTTCTCACTTTATAAGGAAACGACGAAATGCCAACAATATCTTCATTATATTTGTATATTAATGCGTTAACTCTTATCAATTGGAATTTATTATAACTACAAGGTATTTTACTATTAACTAGTACGAAATCTTCCATTGGTACTCGATACGTGTCAACCTTCGACTGGACTTTGATCAAAGATATACTCTCAATACCGCAATTATAGATTTTCAATGAGAAATAGGGCTTAAAATTAATTAATAATCCTTCTCTATTCTTCTGAAAATTAGGTTTTAAAAGATTTTCTGCTCTTGACTTCCCCTTCTTTGTACTGCAAAATAATCGAATTTCAGCTCCATGATCCTTAATTAATTGTTTATTAACAAGAAAAAAAATAGAGTACATTTTAAGAAAATCATATTAACAAAATATTAATTACTTTACTATGTAAAGGATCAACAATAAGCCAATAGCTATGATTATAATCTATACAAGCGCTAGATTTGCTTTCTGTCACAATATTACAGTAATAAGTTTCAACATCAATCCATTTAAAATCAGCTATTTCATGATTATTATCTGAAATTATAGTTAATATAATAAGTGTTGAATCAACTGTAACAAAGAGCAAGGAATAAAACATCTCTAGTATTAATCAACAAATAGAATTTAGTTTGTAATTTATTAATTAAGTATCTCTTTTCATCTTCTTCTTCCTTTTCTTATCTTCTTAAGCAAGTTTTCAACAGTAAAATAGTCTTATCTCTTTTGATACAGTCAGTCTTGAAACAGTTTTTACCCACAAAAAAATATACTACATCTATATGCTGTACAAGTCATGGTAAAAAAGAGAAGAACGCTTTACTAACTACATAATACAGGTTTACATGGTTTGTGCTGATAGAAACACTGGCAAACATCTTTAATGTCTTTTAAACAATCTACAGTTATCGACAGAGTATTTAAAAAAATAATAACCAAGGAATTTGTTATATCTATCATTCCCGAACAAAACACTTGAACAGTGTTTGTTTGTTTGTTTGTTTTAAAAAGAAAACACACATAATTTCTGTTTAATGCAGTTTTCAAATTGAGACAAGGATATATAAATTTATATATACTGTATATATATATATGTATATTAAGAAAGCTTTATTATTAAATAGCCTGCTCTTCGACTGGAATGGTTTAGATTTTCCTTTATAGAAAAGAACAAGACCCTAGCTGACTTGATTAAATAGCTTCTTTCCGTTTAGTTTAATTAAAAAAACTAGGCATACTTAGAGCATCTCAATATACATATATACATACCCCATTCACGTTTTTTTATACAGTATACAGTTATATATATATTAATGAGAGAGAGAGAGAGAGAGAGAATCAATGGCTGCAGAATAAACATCATTTTTTCACTATTAGTAATATACTGTTCGTATAATTAAATTTCTTATTTGGTAGTTTTAGCTTATTTGCTGTGGAATTTCAGAAAATAATTAATATTTTCTAAAATGTCATTATTATTTTCATAATCAAACTTTCGTTTGATTAGCCCCGAGTCATAATTCCACCTTTACGCTATCGTTTGGGCTTACAACCGATATTTTTTCTGATACTCTAGCATTATTAACACCCGTAGCTGCAAAAGCTACAATAAGTGATAAACAGAGGAGCACAACTATTGTGGTTATTATTTTACATAGTCCTAAATCATCGTAGAATTCCCTAAAGAGAGTTGTAACAGTTTTATTGTGTCGACAGTGGATAGATTGAGGAAGTAATGGCTCTAAATCCTCCGAGGAGGAAAGCTTTTGGACAAATTCTATATTCTTTTCTAGAATGTCTAACGCTTCCTTTTCCACTCTCCGTCTTTTCATTAATGTATATGCTGACAGACCAACTTTATTCCTAAATTGAAGATGGAAAGAAAAAGATCCCCAAAAGACTTTATTTATTTATAGCTCTAATTAACATTTTACTTACGTCTGAAAAATATCAGCACCAAAGTCTATTAGGCATTGTATAGTTTCCACATGACCGCAATAATGTAAAGGTGTATTGCCAAATGTATCTATTGCGTCCACATCAGCACCACTTTCTAACAGTAGTCTTAAAACATCTTCGTTACCATGTGAAGCAGCTAAATGCAAACCTGTTCGACCCTTTTCGTCCCTTTCGTCGGGATGACGACCACTTTGCAGAAGTAATTTTAAATGATTCAAATCGCCATTTGCACTAGATGAAACAATGAGATCATCGCGATCCATCATCTGCAGAGCTTCGTATTTCATATTTATCAGCTTAAAATAATTCACTTGAAGACGAGAAATTTCGAAATAGGTTTACATTGACTACGCATGCGCGTTTTAATTTCAGTTTCTACCGGTATTCGGAAGACTAAATGTAATATTTCGTAGATTTTTTCTTCTAAACCAGTTTATGTTGATGTTTTTTTTTTCAACATAAGAATATTTCGTCAATATAAATTTCCCGCCTAAAAATTTATAAATAAAGTTATATATCAAATTTCCAAATAAATTAACTAATATATATATATATACATATATACAAAAGCTTATTGGTTAAATAATGTCTGATTTAGAAGAGGAATCAACGGTGCCAAAAGTAGAAATGATGTGTAAATTTCTGGTAGTTATTCTTTTTATTTAAAAACATTAAAGAGGATATATATTTTTATACAAATTAATAATAGATAGTTGGAAATGAGCAATCTCATAAAGAAGTATTAGCTAACAGTTTTAAGCACTTTTCAAAAAACAATTCAATACAGATCAAGGTGTAAGTAAACTTATTTAAAGAGATAGTTAATCACATTAATTGACTAGTACAAAAATAATAGAATGCTGGCGAATGGATTACCGTTGAAAAGCATCAAAGAAGAAGAGATTGATTATATAATATTTGTTTTTAACGATTCCTACGATCACAGCTTTGATGAAGTAAGATTATGGATTAAATCGGCGTTAAACTTACCTCTATTTATTGGTAAAATTGGCTTTCTAATGACAGGAAGTAATTCTCACTATATTTATTTTAATATATTGCCATATAATCCACTTTATGATTGTAAATGATATAATTGTTTATTTTGTTTTTCTATAGCAACTCACACAAACGAATGGGGAAGATATGAGAAAATAAAGGATTTTGCGAAAAAAATATCGGCCTATTACTTCCACGTAAATCCAAAAGTAATATCTATACTAAGATAAAATGTTATATAATATTGTATAACAGCCGAGTGTATCTATCTTTATATATATATATATATATATAATATCTGTGCAACAGGTTGGAACAGCTGTGGACGAAATAGCATCAACGATGTATGAACTTTTTAAGCGTACTTCTCAATGCTCTTATAAGAATCTATTAGATTAGAGTATCTTTAAGAGAAAGGATAGCAAAAGAATTTTATATTTACTATATATCCTGTGTTATCTTAATTACGTATTGACCCAATAAATTAACCTTATTTTTATTTGGTCGAAATATTTTGATAATAAGAAAAAACTTGATAAATCAAGAAAAAACCTTGAAAGGAGTAGCTTTATCTATTTGAAACCAGGCGCGAGATCCTCTTTAATTTTTTCTGTATTATTATCAATTATTTACTTTTTACGTTTTGTCATTCCCTCAGGTCGGTCAACTTGGTTATTGAAAAGTAAAATATATTTCTAATAATTAGGTTAAGCACTATTAATATTCATGATATGCATTGGTTGTTTATATATTATTTTGATCTTTTTCAATAAGCTTATAATAGTTTACCAGAATCTTTGACATAGTGAATATAGATTGAAAGAAAAAACTGGTACGAAAGACTTGTTTATAAGGTTATTACAAAGTGCGCAGACTCCTCAGAAAGCCGTAGAATTTATTAAGGTACGAAGCGACCTGTTAGAGAAAAAGATATCGATAGAAATTGATTTGAAAAAAAGAGAATATCTGTAAAAATATATATATACAACCTCCATGTTCCTTCCTTTTTAAAGAAAGTATTAAATTCGTAAGTATCTTTAAATCTAATTCTTTTTTAAATGTGTATAATAATAAGGAAACCATGGAACGTGAACGTTTTGTTAATCGTGCTATACTCTATACTTTTGTATGTAAGAAAGGAGAAAGACAACCGATAAAACTAGTTAAGGTTATAAGATAGCTGAAAAAAAGAAGGAAAAATACACCTATAGTAAATAAACAAAGGGATTGAATAAATTGACTTAATTCACTCTTAATTTTAATAAGACCTTGGATGTATTTTTTGTTCTGTAGAGGGCATTGACTTTGCTGTTGAAATTTTTTTTTTGTTTTTTTGCCTTTGAGTTTTTCTCTCCTTACCAAATGAGATCTCTTTGTTCTTTTATTGTTATTATTGTTGTTTTTTCCTTCTAAAGCATCTTTTCTAATCTCTTATCATTTGCTCTCTTTTTTTTAACTTATCTATTCAATATTTTATGCATATATATATATATATTTATGTACTAAACTATACAGTAAAAACACGTTACTAATCAAAAGTCAAAGGTCAAATTGCACAATACGAGATATTTTGTCTCCCGAGTTGTTAGGATTACGGAAAATGAATCATTGAAATAGTGAAAAATATAACTAAACAGTTCATTTGAAGCTATCAATTCATGAAAGAGTAAAAAAATAAACCATGTCAAGTTCAGCGACCTTTACTAGTAGTTTATTTGTCACAGTGTCCTTATTTTGTATATTAGAGCGATCATAACCAGGTGACCTTCAAATACATTTAATACGGATAGTAGGCTTAGAGAAAAAAAAAGTATATCACGTGACCTGTCGAATGTTTGCCGGTTCGTCCAATCAGCTTCGCCGTAAGAACTAGTATGATCCGATGATCTGCGCGAAAATGTAGATAAACTAGAAAATTTCCCCAGTTCGAATCTGGTGAGAACTTTTTAGGTAAACTGAATAGGTAAATACAATTTCATTGATTAATTTTCATTAAAAATTTGAGTCATTATTTAAATTGAAGGCGTAAACAATAGAAAATACTAAATTTTCTTTCTTCGCTCAGTTGTTATCAGTTATTGAACTGTCTTGCATAGTGTCTTTGAAAGCATTAAATAAAATTGTGCTGTATTTATAACGCCCGTGTCTCGTGACCGACAATATGCTCACATATGATTCACTGATCACAAAGTTGGTTATCACTTCTGTTATGCTCCCGTTCCATGATAATCTCTTGTTTTCAAATAAGAATCTTTTTTTTAACTTTATAGTCAGAGAAAATAATTTTAGTTTTCGTTTTTTCTTATTCGCAGACAGATGTGAAATTTTCCGACTGGTCAAAAAACCTTTAGATAGAAATAGCTTAGGAAAACGAGCTGCATCGAATAGAATATTAAGAAATAATACATTTGCCTCCTGATTTACCACAATGGCTATGAATTCTATTTACAACGTATTTACGCATCTTGGCAATCTTTATAAGGAAATCAATCCTGCTACTCTTAACGGTGCTATCGATGTTGTTATGGTTCAACAACCCGATGGAAAGATTGTTTCTGGCCCTTTTCACGTTAGATTTGGAAAAATTGGAGTTTTAAGAGCTAAAGAGAAGGTTGTTGATATTGAAATTAATGGTAGATTCGTTGAAGATGTTCATATGAAATTGGGAGAAGCCGGTGAAGCTTTCTTTGTTGAAGCGACTGAATCGAATGATGTTCCTGAATATTTAGCAACGTCTCCCATTCCTAACTCTCTACAGTTTATGGAAGAAGGATTAGAACAATTGAAGTTGTCACTATCGGAAAATATTAATGATCTTGACAAAGCAACTCAAACTGATCTTACTGCTGGACATGTTGAATTATTGTCGCCAAACAACCCTGACGCACCCTTGGATATTAATTTTGAAAAGAACTATGAACAACTAAGAAACACTCCCCCGAAGGATGGTTGTCACCTTTCATCCTCTACGCAAACATTTGAAAATGAGATTTTACCACTAAAGGTATCCAATGATTGGAAAAGAATGAAGGCTAAAAGGGCAAAACGATACGTATCCAACTCTGACGATGTCTTCAAGCTTGACCACGTCAGCGGTGAACTGTCTATGTCTTACAGCTTACCTCATTTGGATAGTGAAAAGTGGTCAGCTGTTGATCCAGAAATTCACCCATTTAGCGATGGTGACATTACCCCTCAAATGTCACCAGAACCTTCAAGATCTCCTTCTCCTAAAAGTGATACAGAATTTGAAGTAAGACAAATCAGAGCTGAAACTGGGGCCCAAACTAATTTAACCGGCGATAAATTTCAAGTTATCAACGAATTATTTTGGGAATGGGGTGAATTACCCAAAAGCACGTCAACAACGCCAGTTGCAATCGATAAAAGTGATGTTAATAAACAACCAAATTGGAACTTCACGAAGAATGGTAAACAAATAAAAGAAGAAGGAATCTATTTATCAGATTTAGAAGCAGACGAAGAAGTCGCTTCACATTATTTATATTCGACTACGAATGTCTCGTGAGTATGACTAATCATATTGATTTCAAAAAAATATTAAAAAGAGCTTTATTCTATTAATATATACAATATATGTTACGAAATCCATCTATTTTGTAGATCTCGTTCTCCCGCACTCAATACAAAAGACGATGACGTTGAAAGTGGCCATGGAAGATCATTACCTCAATCGCCTGTTGAACAGGTTATTAAACCTGTAGTGAGAAGACCCGAAATTTTTCCCACGGTTTCCCTATCCCTTTGTGGTAATGCTAGTGAGGCATCAAAAGAAAAATTTGCTGAACATCTAGTTACATTTGAACAATTCTGTAAAAATCCCGAAATAACAACCCACCCAAGTTTAGTAGTCAAAATTGGGGAAAAGTTTTATAATTGGGCTTGTGCGGCACCTATTCTGTTATGTTTAAATACTTTTGAGGAAAATTTACCCGAGGTAAGCTTTCTGCATGTGATCTACAACAACAAAATAACATAGAAAAATGATAAACGTTCCATTAATAAACAAGAAGGAAAATGGTAGCTTAGACAACCGTAATTTTTTTATGTTAGATTATAATATCTATCTTTGCATACCATTTGAATTTAGATTGTTTTATTGATTGGATCGTCGAGTAGGTTATTGAAACGTTAAATATATCCTGCTTATAATTATACTATTGACTTCCTAGAATTGCGTGGATAATTTGGTTAAGAATCATATGTCGAAGAGAAAAAAGGGATGGTTCTGGGGGTTTGGAGGAAGAGATCCATCTTCAACTAGTCAATCAGGTGTTAAGAATAACAAAGACAATAAAATCAAAGAAATACCATCTATTACCAAAGAATCGCCAGAAGATTCTAAAGAAGAAATTAATGTAGAACCCGATAAATTTGTGAAAAGTACACGATTAACTCCTGAACAAATTGCGAAATTAGGACTCAAGGAAGGAGCTAACGAAATAACTTATACTGTTACAACCTCCCTACAAGGTACTACTCGACTAGTATCGTATATTCACCTATTCCGCTGGGATGATAGGCTAATTATATCGGACATTGACGGAACAATAACAAAATCTGACGTCTTTGGTCAAGTCTTACCGATGCTCCCCTTTTTCAGACATGATTGGTCTCAAGCTGGTATTGCTAAACTGTACCAGGATATTCATAGAAATGGATACAAATTTATATACCTATCTGCTAGAGCTATAGGACAAGCTCACACAACTCGACAATATTTGAAATCTATTAAACAAATTGGCCAGCACGAACTACCAGATGGACCTCTGCTGCTATCCCCCTCTTCCCTAATAAGCGCCTTCCATAAAGAAGTTATAGAACGTAAACCTGAAGAGTTTAAAATTAGCTGCTTAAAAGATATCAGAGATTTATTCCATGATCGTAATCCATTTTATGCTGGCTACGGAAATAGATCGAATGTAAGTAGTATATAGTTTAATTGATAGTGTATAGTGTTTCTGATACAAATGTACTCATTCAACAGGATGTTTGGGCTTATCAAGCCGTTGGAGTACCCCTCTCTAGAATATTTACTGTCAATCATAGGGGAGAATTGACTTTAGAAAAGACACCAGGCTTTTTGTCAAGCTACGAAAAGATGAATTCCATAGTAGATCATTTATTTCCTCCGCTTGTTGACGGAGAAAGACTGCCAAAATTAAATAAAGAAAGGCATACGTCCGGTAAAATTGAAAGTTGCAACTTTCCAGAAGCTGAAGAATTTAGCAATTTTACATACTGGAGGGAACCAATACAAGATGTTGTTATTGACTTGGATGCGTATAAAAAGACCGGAGTTTTACCTGAATAGACGTATTACCGATTTGTATTATATCTTATATCGAAAAAAAACAAAGAAAAATGAAAAAAAACCCAACTTTACCATTGAAGTCTATGTATTCATATGTCAATTTAATGAATTTTTTAAATATTATTATTTTGATTTGGACAAGTTAAAGATGTTTTCAGCAGGCTCAAATAATCTTAAACTTGCCCTAAATATTTAATATTTTAAATTGAGCTCAACCAAAAATTCGTATTGATTGTGAGTCATGATACACTATATACATATGTAAACTTATTAATATATATATATATATATATATATATATATCTGTTTCTCTTTCTTTACATATTCTTTGAATGATTTAATTAATGAAAAAAATATGTTGAAAAAGAAAGAATTAACGTTTATCAATGCAAGTTATAAATTTGATTTAATGATGATTTTTTTGTGAAATCCTTGATTTTGAAAAATGCTGGTTATGTTTACATATTTTGAATTTCCCTTTTACCAAGTTAAGTTATACCTTATCACTTCCAAAATTTATGACATTAATGTTATGTGCTATTCGTGTAAGTGTTACTCAGGAAGGGCCCGTTTAGAATACGTTGCTGCTAAAAACAGTATTTTTTTTTGCATGCCCTAAGGAAAGGAAAATAACCTATATAGGAATCGTATGTTGGAATGGATAAAAAACAAATTTAGTAAATGTTAAAAATGGATAGAATGCCAATATCTTTGAAAATGAATAATTGAATAAGATGCAAATTAAACAGTAGAAACAGATATTACATCTTATTCTCTCATCTATTTTTTTAATATATGTTAATTTTGTTCATTAAATCATCTTTTATTAATTTAACTTTTAAAGAAAAAAAGGCTTAAAAAAATAAATACACGATATTTTATTTTCTTCCTCTTTTGGATCTCCTTTTCAATTTTTTTTTGTTCAAATACAGAAGAAAACATTTGTAGTTAAAAGAGTTTTTAACGAATTTTTTTTTCCGCTGAGAAGATAAGATGAAGAAAACAAATAATTAATCGCAATTTTTCGTTTTTCTTATCAATTTTTGACACAAACGTGAAGCAAAACAAAAAATAATTGAGCAACAAAAATAGGTTTCTTATTTTTTTAAATCAAAATCTTGATATTGCAGGTGTACTTTTTGATTTTAAGTTTGATGACTTTTGTTTATCGCTTGCGCTATTATTACCGTTATTGCCTTTACTTCGACTACTTGCTGGTGGCGCAGTTTGGGGTCTTGAAATATTCGGAAATACTTCTCGAAACCATTCTTCGTATTCTTCTACAGGCATTTCGATAATTCTTTCCCTGCAGAATTCTATTGCCTGACTTACCTATAATAATAACGATAATGATAATAGAAAAGTTATATTATAGAATGAGAAGGATGGAAAAAGATCTTACGTGAGGAGAACAAATCTCCCATTCTCTTAGCTTCTCGAGAGCAGTTAAAAATTTTCTCGGAGTCTGCTTAGCCGATTCCAACTGTCGTTGAAATATTTAAAGATTTTAATTTAATGATTGATAGACAGATTGAATAAAAAAATAATCAGGGACAATCGTGTCCTTTCTTTTGAGGATTAGTGGGAATTGATAAGTAGTTTGGAGGAGGAGAGTGACCATTTAGAGCTAAGAGCGAGGGGCGGGCCAAGGTAGAAAGGTGGGAGTGGGAGAGGTATATAGGGACAATCACTATTCAAAAACTCGTTGTAAACAGATATACAGCATACAGTATATTCAGTAAAATGTATAAAGAAAATAGATGCATATGTCCTACTCTTAATAATAAACCTTATTTACAAATAAATTAACTAATAATAAGTAAATAAATTAACAAATTAATTAGTTACTAAAAGATAAAAGAACGGAGAGCGATAGATAAAGACGATAGAGAGTTAGAAGATACTGACAGTGTTCTATCTATCTATCTATATATATCGACTGCATATAAACAGTTTATATACTAAAATATAATAATTAACAGTAGATTATTATAAATACTCACTTGCCATAAAAGTGTGGCAGAGGGTACGGCTGCCGACTTTCTCGATGATTTTACATTATCGACCGCCGTCGAAGACTGATATTTTGTTTGTATTACGGTTTATTGTTATTGTTTTTATTAAGTGTTGTTGTTGTTGTTGTTGTTGTTTTTGTTGTTGTTGTTATTATTGTTTTTTTTTTAATTAAAAAAAATAAAAGAAAATGAAATGGTGCAGGTTAATAGTATATGCACACACATATAATAGGATTGTATACGTTAGATATGTTATATACCTTGCAAACTTCACTGTTAGCTAGAATGGAAACCTGTAATAAAATTAGTATAAACAAAAAAAAGAACATAAAAAATAAACAGGTAAACAAAATAGACAAAACAAAATAAAACAAAAAAAACAATAGTTGTTAATAATTATTAATAAAAAAAAATTGAAAATTATTTTTTTTTAAAAAAAACAAAATTTTCTCTATTTTAAAATATTCTATCTATTCATTCCTTTCTGCCTTAATACGAATATTGTACGCATATCTTTACTTATATATAGGCCTAAATATATACGTAAATACTGCTTTTATAATTTTTGTAAATATAGTATTACTTACTTTACCAAATTTCTCTAATTCTCTCAATTGCGCCATAATTAATGGGCAATTTAAATATTCGTCATATTCGAAACATTGTATATTCAAATCAATATACCTATAACATATAATACATTAATGAATATTCATAGTATGTTCAAATATACAGTGTATATAATCTTACCAATCGTAATATTTAAAACGACCAGAGCTTTTGTCCCTCTTTTCAGCTTCTTTTGCCTGTTCAATTTTCAATTTTCTAAGACCATGAGCTATTTCCCTCTTCTTCTGTTTCCATATTGCTGACCTTCTCCAATCGTCTGTTGCACTCCTAAACTGTTAAGGAATAGCTAAAGGGTAAATGATATATAAAAGGTTATATATCTAATTACCGATAGAGAATTTCCCATAGCCTCAGTATCGCTATCTAAAGTTAATTCTTTAGAATAATCGTAATTTTCATTCTTCTGCGATATGGAATGTTTCGATGATCTTGGCGAACGACGCCCACTTCTCATATTCCTAACAGCGTTGTGAAAGTGAAGTTGAGAAGTTGATAATCTCCTAAATTTATGAAGCATCTGCTTGTTCCTATTACTATATTAAGAAAAACAAAATTGTTACTGGTCAACCCCGTCTTATTTTTGTATATAATCACTTTTCTCTGGCTTCGAAGGCTTCGTGCAAAAGTAACGCTTGAGTTTGACCAACTTCGGCAAACTTGTTCCTCATTTCTGAAGGAACAGCTCCCTTCTTCCAACTTGGTAAAGAAGAGGCATATTCGAGAACGGCAGGAGAGCTTCAAGAACGAAAGAGAAGGATTAGTATTTTTGTTAAAGTTAATTAATTAATTAACCTTTGAGGTCGAATGTTTTCGCTAGCGCGTATCATGACTTCTCTCCTTCTGTCTTCTGCATGTGTTAATTTGGCTAGACGAGGATCTCGTTCTTCCCTTTGAAGAACTTCAAGATGTTTCTAAATAAATAAAAACACAAATATATACGTTTGCCAACATATTAAAATAATATATTTACATAAATTTGCATATGTTCCTCCGATATTTGAGCTTTTCTTTTACCAACCGTTTGCTGCTTCCGTTTCGGCTTAGTAGTATTATCTTCCTTTATTTATATATATACTTTAGTTAAGTACTATTAAAACTATATCTTCTATATAGAAAAGGAAATGTTTAATATACAAACTTCTTTTGTAGGCTCTTCTACTCCTTGAATTATCTTATCTTTTACCTTCGACTCTTCCGGTATTTTATTATTACTTTCATTTTCTTTAGCTTTATGTTGATTATCGTTAACATTTGCAGATTTTTCATCATCTTCCGAAACATCTTCTAATTTTGGAGAGGACGAGGCCTAATTTACGATATTGTTTTATTCTACATTGTATAATAAAAAACCGGAAATTTGTTTCCTTACTTGATTGGCAGAAGGTGAGGAAGATCTAGAGCTACTTGGCACAGTAAGATTTGAATGTCTACGTCTAATTAATGACTGTCTAGTATTTAAAGTAGGCCTTTGAATAGTTGTAACTTTCTTCTATAAACGTTTAAAAAAAAGGGAAAAATGAACAAAAAAAAACCAACATTTAGAAAGAATCAATAATAATAACAACAATAATAAAACAATATATAAATATATATTAATAATTAAAGAAAAAACACCAGAAAATGTTAGTTGAGAATTTATCAATCAAATCCCGAAATGAAACAAGATCGAACTACCTGATTTACTGAAGACGATTGAGGTTTATCTACCACATCGTTTTCGTTTCCATTAGGCTAAAAAGATTGAAAGAAAATGTCATAGAAGAGAATAGAACTGAATCAAGAAGTTGAAAAAAGAGAGGGATAGGTTTTGTCGTTTTCTTTAATTGATCAATTGATTTAATATAGTAGAAGAAAGAAGAGAAGGAAACGAGGAGGTTTCCTGATAGTTGTTGATGGTATAAACAGTAATGGAAATTGTAGATAGTATATTTTCATTAATAACTTACAGAACTTGCGAAATCAGACCATTGAGATTCGCTTCTACTTTGGTCTCGTTTTCGTCCGGATGTTGTAGAACGACCAGAGGAGAATGCGGACGATACACGTTCAATATGCTGATGTGGAGTCTGAGACGTATCGACGCTCATCGCATCTAAAATCCAATTTAGAACGCATAACTGACGATAAAAGTCCTCCCTGGGAGGCAAGCCTTTGGCGTCGGCCGTAACTAAGGACGCTGACGGAGCATAAGGCCTTAAATTTCTTGACAAGGATCGAATGTCAGCAGTCGATTGTCTGGTTTCCGTACTAGAATTTCGTTAAAGATTTATGAAATAGACGCTAATGATTAAATAATTAATTAACCGTGTCGTTTCGATAGGTATAAGACTATCAGTAATGTCCGTATTAGGTGTCTCTGTATACCTTCTCGAAGGCTCGTACTTGGCTACATAACTAATAGTAGGTCACGATAGTAGGCATTCGTATACTTAGCAATTATTCTATCAACAAACCCTATTAAACTGTTGACAGACTCTTCAGACTCTTCCTTCTCTTCGTCACTATCAATTGGTTTACAAGCTTTAGCCTTTTCTTCTCTTTCCCTTATCTCTTGTTCAATTCTCTACAAGTGTAAATACAGTATGTATAAACTAAGTAGTACATAGCAATATATACACGATAGTAAACTATCTTACCTTTCTCTCTTCTTCTTTCTCCATTATCTCAAATAAAGAATGACCAAATCTAACATTCTGTTCAACAATTCTGTTCAAGAATATACAAAGATTAATTTCAATTCTTACTCTTTCCCTCTTTGTAATTTCAACACCTTTATCTAGGTCTTTTTATGTTTATATAGATAAATAGGATAAATAGAAATAAAAAATCTCATAAAAAGGCCTACCTTATCCTAGCTTGCTCTTTTCTTAAATTGTTCAAGTTTTTACGTGACCTAAGAACAAAATTGGCCGCATTCTAGTTAAGAAAAAGGGATTATATTAGTTATATTTAAATATATATAAAACATTTGTATATATTGTACTACTAAATACCATTTGTTTCCTTTTTACTGTTGGCTTTTCATGTTCACTTTCAGTGTCTTCTTCAGCCTCATATTGACCTTCGTCATTCTAGAAAAAGAAGACAACAGGTCCTTAACTATGATATCGTTTTTAAAAATATATTCAATAAATTATACTTACCGGATCCCATTGTCCTAGAGCTAATAGCACCAATTTATCATAATCTAGATAAAATGGATCCCCTATGCCTTTATAAGGTTTATGATTAACTGATCTAAATCCCTGTTCAGTCATTTGACGACGTCTCCTTAAGTAATTCTCCTCCCTAACAGCTGCTCTAGTTGGCAAGCATGGATTATAAACAACACTTGATCTAGCTTGTATTTTGACATTTTTGTGTTCATTTCCAACTTGGAAAGGCTTTAAATTCCATTGGACTTTGGTCTTATTATCCAATTGAACACTAACAGTTTTCATGTTGTATAAATATATATTTATATAAACACATATGCGTGTTTCTCTCTTCTCTCACTCACTCTTTCTCTCTCGTTCTCCTTCTTATTTCGGCATATTCGTGAACGAAAGCCCCTTTAAGAGAGAATATTAAACAATTAAGGTGAATCAATAACAACTCATAACAACGGATAGAAAAGAGGAAAAGAGGAAAAGAGAAAAACCCCTAGTTAGATTAGAGAACGGCATTTGTCCATTAAATATATAACATTCATTCAAAGCTTAAAATAATAAGAAAATATCAACATTTGTTCGGACGCAGTTGTACATATGCGGGACTAATGTAATGTAAATATTAACTATATAGTGGGGAACAAATTTAAAGGGTAAATAAAGAGAAGAAGTTATACGTCAAGCAGACTCCTTATTTTTCCTTCAAGCGCAGCTTAAATCGGACTATTGCTTTACAAAATGTATACTACTTTCAACACAAGACTTATAAAGAGTCCTTTGAATGAGATTCAACTATAGGTATTGAAATAAATAAACATACTGAAGGATTATATTAATCTTCCTACAGAAAGACCGTCTAATCGAAATTTACAGTTATAAATCCACCTTTGAAGCAAATAAACCTAAGTAAAAAAAACAGAAATATTTCATTCACTTTATTCGATTGATTTTAAGAAAAATCTTAATAAGAATAAAATAGAAAAAATCAATTGTTCGAGACGATTAACAATCCTTTATAGACAAGAGATCATTTCTTATCCCTTTTCTATCAACAAAGGTACTTATCCTTTCCTAAACTACCCTGTTTTTATAATTAATGGATAATTCATGTAGAAACTAATTGATCAGATTCTAAAATTAGTAAATACACATGACTAATATCGTATAAAGATTGTATGGCATATACATAGTGTATAAACACGACATATATTAATATATACAGTATATATATACATAAATTCCCTGTTTATCTCTTCCAATCCTTCTCTTTGTTCGTTCTTATTATTCAATTTGTCTAGACGTATATAGCTATAAGTATAAACTTATAATATTTTCAATATACATATTACATTGATTTTATATATGTCATGGTTTCGCTACAAACAATACATTAGCCTCTTATTACTTAATTAGATACATTATATTGTCCAAAAATTCATTAAATCATTGATAAAAACAGCTCGAAGATTACTGTCAATTAAATTACAATCAGTTTAAATAAGAATAATATACAAAAACGCGTCCTTAACTTTTTTTTATTTACACTCTTACTAGTTAGGATGTTAATAGAGCGATAATATACATCACTATCATTAGCAACAAGTTAAAGTAGTTTAGAAATGTTAAACATAATGAGTCTACAAGTAAATAAGAATAAAAACATTAAGTTTTATTGTTAATGAAACTTATAGAGTTTAAAACTTTTTTACCTTTAGATCGTACGCTGATTTCTTCGATTTGATCTAAACGCGCCTTTCATATTTAAATACTGCACTTCTATTTATCGTACATACTCATATCAATAAAAGTTATTTTTACATGTAAATACTTAAAATTATTAATTGCTTTGTCTTGAAATCTATAATTTAATATTTAAGAGAATTTTGTTTTTAAATTTAATATAAAATAATTCGAAATATTGACTTTAATTAATGTTTATTCTATGAAAGAGAAGGTTTTATTAAAGGAAGGACTGGTTGGTATGGAAACTTATAAACGATATCGGGACACTGTGTTTTTCCAAAATATTTCGGAGTATTTTCTATTCGAGTAGGCTTTCAAAATTTTCGCTGCGTTCCATTTAGTCGCTGTTTCCCTTGTTTACCCTAAATAAGTTGAACTCCTGAGGCCATTGAATTGTATAAACATGCCCAGATACGGACAACTTGTTATTGGTCCAGCCGGTAGTGGCAAAGTAAACAGTTTTATAAAACACGATCTATGTTAAACTTTCACATGGGAGCGATATTTAATTACGAAATATTCTTTCATATTTTGCAGTCTTCTTATTGCACTACCATTGTCCATCATTGCGAAGTTATAAAGCGAACCATACATGTTATTAACTTAGACCCTGCTGCAGAAAAATTTGATTATCCAGTTGCAGCTGGTAAATTTACTATACATGACAAACTTGAAACATGTTGTAACATTACATTGCGTAACAGATATTCGCGATCTTATACAACTAGAGGATGCTATGGAAGATGAATCATTGCAATATGGTCCAAATGGTGGATTAATATTCTGCATGGAGTTAGTCTATATATATATATATATATATATATATATATATATATTTTTTTTTTATTTTTAAATATTCTGCTTGAAAACTATCATTTTAAGATATTTCGCGAAGAATTTGGATTGGTTAGAAGAGCAGTTAGGAGAGCATGAAGACGATTACTACCTCTTCGATTGTCCAGGTAATAATTACAAAATTTTAATTAAATGTAATTAATTATTAGTTTAAATATCAAAATACATAATTTTCCAGGTCAAATTGAATTGTACAGTCATATTCCGGTAATGAAGGAGCTCGTTACCAAATTAGCCAATATGAATTTTCGAATGTGTTCCGTATTCTTAATAGATTCTCAATTTATGGTCGAACCACTAAAAGTAAGAGTAAAAACCATAAGGTACTAGACAGGAACTATGTGGTACCAATCACAGCAAGAAACATTGTCCTAACTGTCACAATTAAACTGTCTAGTATCTTTTTATCTTCTTTTCTAAACGATGGGGGAATTGTAAAGTCATTTTGTATTTCTATCCTTTAATTTCCAGTATGTGTCTGGGGTAATGGCTGCTTTATCGGCAATGGTCATTCTCGAAACAACACACGTAAATTTAATAACAAAAATTGATTTATTAGATAAACATTCTAGAAGGGAAATGGAAAGGTAAATATAGAATATATAAACATATATATAAACATATATATATACTGTATATAGTTGTCTTTAAACTGTATATAACTAATATGTTATATTTTATATAACAGACTTTTAGACTCTGATTTAAAAACTCTTGTTCAAGAGAAATCCAACGATAAATTTAACGAGAAATATTCAAAATTATCCTGCGGAATTGCCGATATCGTAAGTAGAAAAAATATAGTTACTTATTGATTTCTAGGAAAAATACGCGATATTTATAGGTTATTTTTATCCTTATCTATACATTTATACCATTCAAGGAACGTTTGTTTTCTTTTTTTTGTCTTTTTTTTTGGTACGGAATTCTAAAACGGTTGACTCCTTTAAGACAATGACCTAATTAGAAAGTCACGTCCAAGTCCTATCTAACGGTTTAAAATAAAAAATGAAAGGTCTTTTGATCATTTAATCGCTTATCTATCAGCGTAAAACTAACACATTGATTCTGTCAAAAGGGAAAAAGATCGTCAACTAGTGTGAAACGATATTTAAAACATATTCTTGATAATAAAAAAAAAAAGAGTGAACGCCGTGCGTATAACACTTTTGTATAAAATTACTGTTGATACTACTCTACCTTTCCTTTCATAGACTTTCCATATATATATACTGTATGTATTTATATATTAGTATAATATATAAATACATGTATACACTCTATCTCTTAATAACTACTCTTTATCTTTATATCAACTACTCAACTTGTTCTTAATAATTTTAAGAATATACTTCAAACGGCCATTGTATAATGGAAGGAAAAAATAATAAAAAAGAACATTCTTTTAAATCTTATACAAAATCCATTAAATCTAAATATAGATACTGTTGTATATGTCTAATTTAGGAAGAGACGTTAAACGTACGGTTAGGTTTAAATGTATGTTTAATTAAATTGTCTGAACGGTGAAACTCTGTCAATGTAAAAATCACTTTCTAGAAACGTTCAGTTTAAGTATTCTCTTGTCGTTTGGTATATAGAATGACATTTATGTTTAACACATTAATTATAACACCGTCGTAAACGAAAAGCGAAAATAGGCATATTTAATAGAAGGACTATAGGGGTAAAAATATGGGAGGAAACCGAAATATTAAAAGATTGTATTTGTTTGTTTTTTAATGTAAAAAATGTATAAATTGTATTTAATTGAATGTTATTAGAAATGTACATCTATTTGTATTGATCTTATACAAATTTGCCGAAAATTTGTTGTTATTAGTCAGTTTGGGTAAAGACCACGAGTCAATTGGTGAGCGCTGTTTGACGCTTGTTATAGCGTTTGATGTGATTTTAAAAGTTACTCTTGAGGAGTTTGAAACCAGCTATCCAATATTTTTACTACTTCATAAAAGCGCAATTCTATGAGTATAGGCCGCCTATTTGACACGTTTGAAAGTCGGAACTCAGTGGAAGCGTCGAAGTTGTATTGAGTGAATTCCTGTGTTTGCAAAACTTTCTAAATTTTTTAAGTCACGTGACTACGGCTAGACGACCGGATTTCATAAAACGCCGTGAGCGCGTTCAAATCACCATAGTTGTCGAGTCGAGCTCATACAGTGAGGTTGTCCAAGTTACTTAATAAAACCATGTCTGCCGTTGGAAGTGGAGTATCAGATGAGGAGATTGTACGTATGAGTACGTCTTCAACATCAGGATCACCATCATCATCGGAACGTCGAAGTCCTCTTCATCATGTTCAACATATTCAACATCTGGTTGTCGAGGAAGAAAAAGCAAATGTGTTCCGTCCTTGGGAAAGTCCGAAAAGGCCCTCTCCCGACTCGTCACCGCGTCGTTTTAAGCCGTTGGCCAAGTCGAATGTACTCGGATCGAAAGAGATTAGTACTCTGGAATCTTGGTTCTTAAATGAAGCTACATCGGAAGGTATTCACGATATAAAAATCCAAAGAAGATTGGCTTCTTCGTTGAATACGTCACCAGCACATATTAGAACTTGGCTTCGCCAAAGAATGAAACAGAAGAATCATTTAAAATCTTCTCAGCCTCAAATAATCCCCTTCTCTGGTCTTGCCTCACCATGTCCCGTTGCTCAACAACATTACAACAACGCCTATCTGTACAACAGTTATCCATCTCCAACAACTTCGTATACGCCGTATTCTCCATCGCCTCTCGGTAATATGACAGGAGCTTCACCAGCGAGTGCCATCCACGATAATTTTATAGGATATGGAGGACATAGCATGATTTCACCCCATTCTATCAATTATTCTACACCACCAGCACCATTACCGCCCACTCATCATCCCTCATCATCGTCATTCGCACCTTTACAGCTACAGCCTCCGCCACCGGCTCCTGCCCCATCATTGAATCCCCAATCAAGTATGACTTCACCAGCAACAACTAATGAACCAGAGACGAAAAAGAAGAGGACAAGAAAAAATTTCGCACCCGAAATAAATAGTATTCTGAACGAATGGTTCGAAGCGCATAAAGTCACTCCATATCCAACAGAGGACGAGAAGCAAGAGTTGATGTCTAAAACAGGAATTTCACAGAAGCAGCTTAAAGATTGGTTCGGTAATAGACGAAGAAGAAGAAGATGCAGAAAATCTTAAAGAAAGCAGACGGGTGGACCACAAAAGACCCTATTTTTTTTAAATTGTATTTTTATCTATTTATACTTAAATTATTATCGTAATCCTTTTCTGTAATATATATAATATATATATATATTTATCTTGTATTTATATATATAATATTATACATCAAAGGATCTTCCCTTAAGAAAATCGTGTTAGCCGTATTTGTTTACGCGCTTGTACATTATTGCGGTTTTATTTACATTTCCGTATATAGGCTAAGGGTATATAGGTTTAATTTTCTTTGTTTTAATGAGAATTATTTATAAAAAACACAGGTTGAAGATTATAGCCTAGTCAAGTTTCATCCAATCGATAGAACTGACGAAGATAATATAAACGACATTCTAGCAATAATTGATATGGCTATTCAATACGGTGAAGACTTAGAACCAAAAACTCAGGTACAAATAATATTATGGTTTTATTTTAGTTGTACTCAAGTTAAATACTGTTATTGCAGGATTTCGAAGAAACCGATGACTGATAATCAATTTGATTAATGCCAATTGATACAACTCTACTTTTTCTTACGTTTACTTTTCTATGCTTTATTCTGGTTAGATTGTCTAATAAAACGTTTTCCATTACTGGTTGGATACTTTTACGTGCTTGCCTTGACTAGGAATGTATCAATTTTAACTGAAATATATACGTTGTATTAGCGTATCCCCCTGTTTTTTGGAAAAAGGAAAATTAAGATTGTTATATTTTCCTCTATATTTGTGCAGGTCATCAAAAAAAAATTCTCGTTCATCATACCAAAAAGATCCTTAAATCTGTACAACGAATGTGTCAATGATTACGTAATAAATTATAACCGCCCCACTTGAGATTCAATTGTCACTTTGTTTTCTTTTGATGGAAGGATAGATGAATTAAGTTTGTTTTTTATCAGACATCTCTGTTTATATTATATATAAATATGACAAGGCCTACTTTATTAGGACAAAAATTCATCACGAAAAATTCATAAATATAATATTTCACTTTTCTAATATTCAGTGTTTTTTCCTATTCACAACAGTCCAACCATCATCGTCCATAGGCTCTGGTCTACTTTCATTCTTAGGTGGGTTTGATGTGGCTGGCACTAGATTAGGTTCGCCCTATTTTCAAGAAAATTTTACATTAGATAGACAGATTTGTAATTAAAAGAAAATCTATTACTTCTTCGCTATCGTCTGAATCATCGTCATTAGGCAATGACTGAGAATTTCCTACTGCAGATCCAGGTATAACATTAACTCTTGTCTTCAGATTTTCGTAATCTCCCTCTTTGACCATTTTGAAAAATTCACATAATTTGCTACTAATCTAAAATGGGACAAAATTATTCAATCATTGTAAAGACATTACAAATGATAAAAAAGATAAAAAAGATACCTGTTGTATACTTCCATCTTCTAGTATAGTGTTAAATTCGGTATTAAGAATATCAGTTATAAAATCTTCTACTTCGTCGGGAAACAAATTAGCTATTGGTGTAAGAACATTAAATTATAAAATAATCAAATAACTGTGATATTTTATACCATTTTGTTTAAAGAAATCTGAAATTGCCCAAATAAACCATTCAGACTTTTCCTTCGTATGAGCACCTCCTGAACTATGTTGAATTGCTAACTGTATTCATAACAATTTTGTATTATCGCTCCCTAATTAAAGACTCACTCGTTTAGTAAAAAAATACACTTTTTCATTTAATTGAGGAAAATATCAACAAGCAACGGATAATAACCTGATATCCTGTCCAACCGCCGAGTACCCTCTTAATAACCTCATCGAAGACATTAAAATCAATTCCACTGTTAGCCATGTGGAAATTTTACAGGGAAAAACATAGACTCTATCACTCAAGGTAAAGCATGCCATCTCGTAAGTTTAACAAACATATTTGCAGTTGAATTCGGTCCCAGTCAAAAATAGCAGACGACAAAGACGGTCACGTGCTCTCATAATAACAATTCATAAACTTAAATTATTAATCATGGGATGGAATTACATTTTTTATTTGCTGTTTTAACAAATTTAGATGATACAACATGATAAATACAACAAATATTAACATTCAAGAAGAAGAAGGTGAGAAAGAATTGAATGAGGATCCATCTAGAAGGAAACGGCAACACCCACCAGAGTTACTTGCCAATCAGAATTATGGTTCAGATGAAGTGGACGTCGAGCTAAAAGTACAAAATCGAAGAAATCCTTCTGGTGATACAGAATTAATCCCAACAACTAGCTGGTATGCGAAACTCGATTCAAGACCTTCTCATTTACCAGCCGGATTATGGAGGGTTCTTTCTCATCTATTAGGTGTTGTTGGTGATTCTAAGCCTATTATTGGCACGATATTTCATGTATTTACAGTTTCACTTGCCATTCTCTTTATTGTATTACATTCCTGGTTTGAAGTATATAATATTATATCATCGGAAACCAGGCAAACAACTCTAAAAGGTTTTGTCAGTATTTTTTTAACCGTTTATTGGTCTACACTTGGAGTTTATTCACATAATTTGGCAGGAAGATTATTAGCTGCTCCTGCTATTGCCCAATCTGTTCGATTACATACAAAGACAGTGTTCAAATTGAACAGTGCTGGAGTGTTAATGGTGTTGGCTGGATCTGGTTTAGGTGTCAATCTTTTCTCTAGCAAATCTAATAGAAGGTATGAACATTGTATTAAAGTTGATCTACCTGGAGATTTGTGCACAGTATTATTCTACGTTCGCTGTTTTTATGGAATAGTCAGTTTACTATGGAATATTTTAATTGCATCTATTATTTTAAGTGTTTGTAGAACATTAACTCTAGGTTTGTATTTATATAAATATTCATAAATTATCAACTATATATAGTATCTTTTTCTCTTTCCTTGCCATGCATATTTCCTTCCTTCCATCTACTCATTTTTCTCTTCTTCGTCTTCACTACCTCTCCCTTCCTTTCTTCGTCTCCGTCAATCTTTTTCAACTACTCTACTCTCCTTTCCTGTTGTACGGTATTGATTTCAGATTTGAGATATTTTATTAGAGATCTGGAAGAGGATGGAAGAATCTTAGAGCTTCAAAAACTGCCTGTGAAAAAAGCTCGAGGAGCCCAAAACAGTTCATTCGATTATGTTGATGGAATGAGAGTTCGAGGTTGGTTAAATTCTACGCTTTTCTCTCTTTCTCTTTTCAGTTATTAATTTTATCGATGTATGTTTAACAATAGAGGCTTTTAATATAATCGATGGCGATTTGGATGTTGAAGAGCGTACATCTCGTTACCAATACGCCCAACTAACGCCCCCCATCTCTAGACGAAATAGGTCAACGGTTAGTGTTTCGGGACCATCACTCTCCCAAGCGGCATATAGTCCAAAGAGGAAATTCTTTCGAGGAAAATCTACAAATTGTTTTTCGTCAGAAAATCAGGACGGCATCGAAGAACGTAGTGATGATGATAGGCTCGAATCTCAGGAGGCTTTACTCCAATGCTCTATAGGAAATGTTTCTGCGGCTGGATTGAAAAGAATCATGACCTCTGGACGAGATTCGTCTAGGAGTAATAGTTTTCGACGCCATCTAATAAGTGACGCTGTAAGTATTCTATTTTTTTTCTCTCTCTGTCTCTTTCTTTCTTTCGTTATTTCATTGTATTTTAAATTTTGTTGATTGTTATTCTTAGAGCGTTTGCACGGAGAACACAGAAGCATCGCAAGAGTTTATTCAAAGCGCTATTGCGGACGGCATGATATCTTCAGAGGATTTATTGCTACGACATTGGAAATTATCAGTAAGCCTTGGAGAAGTTTTCAATTAGAGTCGCAAATATATAATTGGCGAAAAACTTTCTTTTCTATAGAGTCGTTTACGGGCTGTATCAATCTGCTTTCAAAGGTGGTTTACCGCATGGATTGCTTTCATAATATTACATTGTGGGACATATATTATATATTGGATATCCCATTCGGTTACTCTGATTTCGGTTGCTGATTTCTTTCTACCTATACTTCTATTACCGTTACTTACTGGAGCCTATGCAGAAGTTAATATGGAAGGAAGAAGATTTATAAAAAGTGTTTGTCCAACTGAAGGTAGGATGGAGTTAATGTTCTATCTACTTGAGAACAAGCTGGAAGTAACCGCTTTCGGCTGGGCGATACACTACTCAACGATTGTTAAGGCATTAGGCGCTCTATTTATTGCTTTAGCGTCTAGATTAATTTTAGATGACATGAAACAAAGTTAAAAACAACTTTCTCTTTCTTCAGTATATTTCTTAAAAAAAAGGATTAATATGAAATTACATTGCCTCACAGAAAGAATAAATCTTATACGTTTCTGTTGCAAAAAGTTCTTCATTACTTACAAGATATATATATATATATATATATATATTTGCATTTTACAAGATTTTTTACATTATTAATAATACAAAGTCACTTTTAAATAATATAATAATAACAAAAAAGATTAATTAAACAGCAATTACAACCAAATGAGCAAAGTGACAAATATATATATATATATATATATACATATATATTGTATATATAAATAATAATGTTAATGATATAGTGCTCAGGCTCAAAGACGTACCTATTTTGCCAATAAAAAGGCCAATTGCATTTGTATATATGACAAGTAATTTATACACTGCATATATATATATATATATGTAGAGAGAGAGGTGGGGCAGATTTTCGGTATCCAATTATTATCTTCTAATTTGTTACTTGTTTCTTTATCTTATTATTTTGTTAGCTTACTTGTTTGTTTGTTTTGCTTTGCATATATATATATATTGTTTTGAAAATCAGTTGAACGGCTTTTAGCCGTATACATCACAGAAATTTTTTTGGAGTAAGGAAGAAACCTTCATTTCTTTCATTTTCTTCTATTCTTCTTTTCAAGTTTTATGAACGGCGAGTTTTCTTCCAACATTTATGGACACTCCAACATGGTAGGAAGAATATTAAGGCCCCAACTGCTACAACACCGGCACATACTGCAAAAAAAAAAAGAAATTTTCTAAATTATTTGAGTTTTCATTCTTTTCTAAAATACAAATTACCAGCTATCCCTGCTCCGGCAATTGGAGCTGCCAAAAGTTTTAAGCTTAAAATTGATCCACGTACGAAACGCCTCCTTCCAGGTTTATTTGGATAGTACCTGTACTTACATCCAAGTATCGAATACTTTGAATAATGGTCTCCGAAACCTTTTAAAGACAGCAGTCGTTCACCGCAACGGTAGCAAAAATCAGTATTACAGCGATTACATTGCATATGATCGCAACCGGAACTCTTCTGAATGTATGCCTATGAAAGAAATTATTTTACATTTAACCTTAATGGAAAATATATTTCCCTATGGGAAAATACTAACTCTACATTTAGGGCATTTAACGGCATTTGGCCGGTCAACAAGAGCAGAACCAACTTGCTTGGCCCATTTTCTCATTAGAGTATCACCCTTAACAGTTTGTTTACAAGTTAGACGCTCATGAGAAGGTCCTTGACATATAAAGCACCATTTGAAATCACAATCCTGGCACACAACGTTCAAACCTTTTTTGGGAGCGAATTTTACTCTATGCTCTACCATGTTTGTTATGAGACTGCAATTTGGACATGTTTTTTCGTAAGGGCTTCTATTTTGGTCGACGAGGAATTTGTGATACTTTGTTTTCAACTCAACTGGTAGCCGATATGCTATTTCGTCTTTAACAACGTATTTATTGTCGCATTTTCCAGATGGACACATTATCCTAACAATACCTAATGTGACTTTCGTTGCAACGTACGTTTCCATGCAAGCGTTGCATATCGCAGACTGACAACAGAATCTTTCGTGAATAAAATCGTATTCGCAGCAAACTTCACAAGCCTTATAAATTTGTTTACCAGTAGGGAATGGTAATGAGCCAGAACTAGGTGAATTTTCTATATCACTGTTAATGGAATCTTCAGAATCGATAATACCTCCATTACCTGCTTCAATCGTCGGGTTTATCTGCCTTAAACTTCCTGCCAACTTGGAAGGATCGAGTGTTAAATTGGAGTTTTCACGCCTACTCCTTGCAGGACTTATATTTGTTGTTGAATGACCTGAATAAAACTGGACATGATTTCGTTCTTGATTTAAGCTTTCTTCATTTTGCAATTCCTCTAAAAAAGGCTCTATGATATGCTTGTTCTTTTTAATCACATCGCGAAGTGAATCAACGTTTTCAGTTGAAGAAAAAAATGTCTTTCCATTCTCTTGGTCGTTACAAGTTTTTGAATCTGATTCTTTTAATCCGTCATCACTGTTGACTACTGATAATCTCCCTTCTGAGTCGCCTGTTGTTGAGATAGGAGCTTGCAAAGTTTCTTTTGAAGAACATTGAGCTACTTCGTTTTCTTTAACGACAGTATCTTCATTTTTTGGTGGGATTATGTAGTCGCATTCAGTTAAGCTTTGCGAACGTCTCTTTTCATTTGAACACTTTGTGATGGATTCTCTGTTTACAATCCTTGTGACGGATTTTGGAAGAGGTAATGACTTTGGTCTTTGGAAAAAGCATGAGTTGTTTGCGATTGATGTATCATCTTCCGGTTTTGACGCCATTTTCCCCCTGCGCCGTTATAGATAAGGTGATAATAAAAAGCTATTCAATTAAATTAATTAGGACATAACAATTCTCATAGAGTTAAAATATAATCCGATATGATCTTATCTAAAGCCTCCGGTTTAGATACACAGAAAGTTATGCAGTAAACAAGCTCTTTGTCTGCTGCTTTTTCATTTACTGACAAAATCAACTGCAGTGCTGCCAGTTTATAACGAATGTATATTTAGTTGGGAAATCTTGTAGACTGGTTGCTATCGAGATTTTAAATATTTATCGAGTTTGTAAATTGGATTGTGTTCCCAAACTATGGGTAACTAATCCGAATAAAGTCTATTGCAACAAATAACGTGTTGAATGGGTAGCCAACCTAGTTCTTACGCTAAAAACTTCGTAGTGTTGGTATTGAAAAAAACAACAGTGAGTCAACACTACATTGCACAATATGTATTGTTATTGTTGAGGATGGATATAATTAAATGTAGAGAATCGAATTGAACCTCGACCTAAAATCAACTTTATTCTCTTCACTAAATCTATACAAGATAATTAATTTAAAATTTACTTACCAATTAGTAATTACCTATTCTAACAAATAAACCTTTAAAACTTACGCAATACTTTCAATAAATGAACAATTCGTGAGAAATATAGTCCCCAATTCGTAAGGATATTTATAACATTGATTTTCATTAATCACATTGACAAAAATGAACAAGAAACAGTAGGTGCAATACAAAAAATTTTTAAAAATTAATAAGTAGAAAAGTAATGATTGGTTATTTTTTTTTTACAAAACCATGAATTTAAATAATTATTGTAATTCTTTTTCATAAGGAAGTGAAATTGCTAAGGCTATAGCTACTTTCGTTTCCTAGACACTGGCGTGTCTAATATATATATATACATATAATATATATACTGTATATTAATACGAAAGAAATTGTAACATTAATGCGGGCCTAAGATCGCGTGTTTTAAAAGTATTGCCTTATTATCCTTATCAAATGTTATACAGAGTTTTGAACTTAGCAGATACGGTAAAAAGGACCGACGTACCAGTCTTTGCATGTGTGTAAAACTTATAAACTTTCTATAAATAGATATTTTGTTTGTAAGAGCATATTTTTTTATTGTTTTTTTAAATGACAGTATAGAATAAGGAATTGTAGAAAAATTAAGAATACTTTCAAGTCTATATAGGAAAATCTTTAATTATAAAGTAAAACCGAATCACTAAATAAATTTTTGCTTGGATTGCGGTACCATACTTTCAAATCGCGCTATACTACTTACTTTTTGAATAAATCGCTGCCATCTTGGTTATGGAAGGCAATAAAGACGAAAGCAGAAAATGCTTAGACTATGCCGAAAAGTATCTAAGGGAAGGAAAAGTAGATCAAGCAAAAAAGTTTGTTATTAAAGCTCAAAAGCTCTATCCAACAAAAAGAGGCCAAGAACTTTTAGATGGCCTGTCAAATGGCGGAACTAACGCTGACTCGTCACGATCGGCATTTTCGAATGGCAACAGTGATAGTTCTTCAGCAGAAAATGTACGATTTCGGCAGACGGCAAACGCCTCCGAAACTTCAGGAGCGGATACATCTTTTACCGCCGATCAACATAGTGGTGTGAAAAAGATTCTAAAAGCAAAAGATTACTATGAGATTTTGAACGTCAAGAGGGATTGTGCTGAAGAAGATATTAAAAAAGCTTATCGTAAATTAGCCCTTAAATTTCACCCAGATAAGAACAAAGCGCCAGGAGCAGCGGATGCTTTCAAAAAAATAGGGAATGCTTTCACAACACTTAGTGATTCTAATAAAAGGCGTCGTTATGACGTTCATGGTCATGAAACAGAATCAAGTAATCACAGGCGACACTATCCAGATGACTTCGAGAGCGATATATCACCAGAGGAAGTATTTAATATGTTTTTCGGAGGTGGCTTTCCAGGAGGTAATGTATATACTTATAGAAGACATACCGGTAGAAGGAATGGTGCCCAACCCGAAGTGGAAACAAATTACACAATGCTCCTGCAGCTCGCTCCAATTTTAATGTTGGTTGTCTTGTCGCTGCTTAGCTCCTTTCTCGTGTCAGAGCCTCATTATTCTTTATCAAAAACTGGAAAATATCAGCATATGAGAACAACACAAAATTTAAGAATTTCGTATTGGGTGAAAAGAGACTTCAATACGGAATATCATGGCTCTATGCGACAATTAGAACAGAGTGTCGAGTCAGACCATCTTGAGAATTTAAGGCATCAGTGCTTTAAGGAAAGAACTCTTAAAGAAAATATGTTATGGAGAGCTAGACATTATAGTGATCAAAAAATGTATGAAAGAGCATCACAAATGGCAACACCATCTTGCAACAAGCTTGAAAAAATATATGCCTAAAGTAATTTGTTATATACGCAGAAGTCGCCTGTGATTGTGCCTTTTGTGAAGGACTAAGAAGGGGAAAAAAATTAAAAGTCGTATGGAGAAAAAGAGTTTAATTGATTGTATATAACTTAATATATTTATATATATATATATATATATATATACATATATATATATATATATAAAAGGAATAAGTTAAAAATTTAATACTTGTAAGTCAATATAAGAGACATTTTTAGGAAATGTTGTTTCACGTGCATGCAAAAAGAAAAAAAATTAACAATTGTATTATATTATACAAAAATTAATAAATATTGATAATTTAAATAATGAAAATTCATAAGAATCATATATATATATGTATACATTTATATATGTGTAATCATATATATATATATATATGTGATCATTTAATAATCGTAATTTTTTCGAATAAATGACGTTTCTCTATTTACTTTAAAAAAAGAGAGAAAAGAAAAGAACCACTTTTTTTGTGTCCTACGACGTTTCGTTATTAGAATTATAGAAGGTTTTTTAAACGGAATGTGATCATTGATTGTTCTTTTAACAAAGACTTACCATGTTGTCTAACTAACTTAAGACTTGTGTGGTATGAATCGTTTAATTGCTGATAAAATCATTCTTCCTGGAAAAATGATTAGTCATCCAATTCATTTGGTTCGAATTAGGACTAACTCAGGCCATATACTTCCCTTTTCTCTTGTCAGACAACCACAATTTTCTACAATACTACACCAACAACCATCATATTTCCAGTCTAACTTTATAACATCAAATTTATGTAGGACGACGGATGTTTCCACATCAACAGACTGTGAAATTGCTCAGGGAAAGATTGATATCGGAGGCGTTGTACCTTATAGTGTAGGATCGGATGAAAGATGGCCACATCCTGATTACATTTCCATTGAAGAACAAAAGCGTCAATGTAATTTTGAATTAAAAGCGGACGAAGATTTATTAAGAGAATGTTGCGAAGATGCCGATGTTGAATTTCTATTGTTCGAATTAATATGGAACCATATTAGGGAGGATCGTGAATTTAACGAAATGCTAATTCATGAGAAAATCTTGTATTCTTAATCTATAAATATATGATAGACAAAAGAAGGGCAGTTCCCTTAAACTCTTGACAGAATATACATATGGCACGAATTTTTACTCATCCATTAAAAGCCTTAATCTATATATAGATAGCGATTATAATAGTTTATTAGTCATATTCATTCGAAACTTCCCCAGAATGAAAATGTTTTATATTCCTTTATAGTATATAAATTGTGAACAATTATCAATTTGATAAAATAATAATTGTACTACGATTCTAAGGTAATGTTCTGTATAGAAAGTGTGCAATAGCCTTGCCAAACTAATAATAGTATATACAGTTTTATGTAACAATATTTAAGATTTTATTTCCACTTTTTTTTATATTTCTCTTTATAATTTCACTTATTACAGACAAATTCAATTTTATTCATTTAGTATCAATTTTTATATATATATCTAGGTGTGTATGCTTTCCATGTTCTTCCGCTATTTGTTGAAGTGTAAACACCGGTTATTATACCTTTTCTACGTCTGACCTTTATCTGTAAACTCTTTGTTGGTGTCTCCCTATTCGAATCTAATGAGTTATTAAAATAGAAACTTTAAAGAGTATATTTGTAAAAAATGGGGAAAATTGAAAGGTATATAAATATCTCAATAGAATTCTACCCAGCTTCTTTTCCTTGCTCTTTTCGGCCTTTCGAATGTAACAGTATCTTAGCGAAAAGTAGGCCAACAGTAGCAATAGTATTGACATCAATGATAAAAGAAGTAAATTAGAATGAACTTTCCATAATTCACTGTTATAATCATCTGATTCGATTTCGTATTGAGAATAAAAGATGTTGAATGGATCTAATTGTGCAAAATCTCTAGTTTTCACTCTAACTAATACTTTTTGGCTAGAAAACAAATCGCACTTACACTTATATATTACTATATAAAACGAATTTTATATTTCTTTATAACTAACTTGTCAATTAAACACCCCTCTCTTAAGTGTCTTATCCATTGAATAGATAGAATAAACAAGATGGCGTAGGCGTTTGTCATTTAGATAGTTTTATAATGAAAAAATTAATAGAATTGATGACGACAATCAAACTACAAATATTCAATATTTTTTTGAAAATTTATCACTCGATAATATTTCAAAATAAAGTAAATATTTACAAAGTTGATATATTCCCTTTCTGGATAGTCTTTCTCTTCAATTGCATTGATAATTTAAGATGAAAATTTTAATGGAATTTAAAGCTCTATCGAATTACAAATACAGATAGTACAGTGTGTATAAACTTTTATTATTGTATAGGTACAGATAAATGCTCTATGTAATATACATGGTTGAAAATGAGCCAGATGAAGAATAAGAAAAGATAAGAGTAATATCTTATTTGTCTATGTTTTATTACTAATAAATAAAATCTATATGTATAAAAAAAAACAAATCAAACAATAAACATTAACACAGAATTTATAAGATGCAAGTTGTTGTTATACAAAGTTTTTAACTTTTCTTATCCTTTTTCAGGACTACTTGCGAATTGTAATAAACAACACACTCTTATTTGGCTTTCAACCACTTGACTAAATACGAAAAAAAGAATAAATTTAAAGTATACAAACTAAAAGTGTTTTTTTCCTCCTCCTCCTCCCAAAAACTCCTTTAGCAGTTCGTTAATAAGTTTGTTTTTCAATCGTTAAACAACGATAACGTCGAAAGATTTTTGTTTGCACCGTCTATCCAATTTTATTTGAACACATTGTAGTACAATTAAAATAGTAAGAAGTAATAGTACGGTAAACAGTATTATATAGTATCTTCTACACATTTTCGTAGTTTGTATTCGTAGCATTTCTATAGCTGTGGGATAAGCGTTTCTTTGTTCTCCACAATCACCTGGTGCATTAGCAGTTGATTCGCTAAAATGTACGATACGATAAAGGGGAGTAAAGAAAAAAAAGGCAAATTAGTTCAAATGTAATAAGTAGACTGTGAACTAAGCGTACAGAAGACAAGGAAAGTTTTATATTTAAATATAAAAGTATTTTTTAAGCTAGCTTTTTAAACAAAAACAAAGTTTTAAGAGAATATGGTATTCTCAGTGTACTGTGTATACTATAAATTTATTCTATTTTTAATCATATAGAGCTTACCTTGTATGTATTAAATAATATATTTGACCAATAAGAAAAAGGAGAGAAGCGTGCTGGTTTAACATTCTTATTTCATAGCAGAATACGAACTGTTCGGTTGTTCTGCGCGTTACGGGCGATTCCATTATATTAAAAGTTTTAACCCCCCGCCCGCTTCAAATTCTCTACTGCCTAACCCCCCTTCACCTGGCGGCTTTTTTGCTGGGTTGACATATATATATATGTAGGGCTCCTTCAACATAATTTGTTATCAATAGAATACGGGGAAATTTGACTAAAATGCTTTTTATTATTCCTATAACAATATGTCTGTTCGTCGAATATTATTGAACATAATTAGAGCGCGCAACTCACGCCCAAATTGAATTCGCCTTACCCAGTGCCTAAGATACTAGGATCGTATTTGGAAGAACAAGAGTCACCTAGTGTTGGTTTGGGGAAATCGCGCTCCCTGCTGAGATCTCAATATAAACTTTCACTTATAAACTTCAGGGGAATAACATATTTTTTCTCTGATTAATAGTATAAATGAATTTATGAAGTGCTTTTTTCTAATAAGATTCGATTAAGGACTCTTAAAGCTAAGAGAAATTGAGACTACATTTTTAAATAGATTGTTCAAACGAGTTAAATAGAATAGTTGATTTATGTTATTCAATATCTTCGCTTTCGTTATCTAGGACATTCACCACACGATAATATTTTATCACTTGAGAATGTTTGCCAGCTCTGGAAATATCTTCAACATAAATTCGTGTTTTATGACCCTCCCCCTCAACTAGGTGAACCGTTGTACCATTAATATCATTGCATCCGTAATGAATTCTTATTCTGGTTGTTACGATGGGTCTTCTTTTTAAACTTTGATGTGAAGCTTTGCAATTTTTTGGTGAAACGACTTTGAAGAAGACGAGTAAGCTCAATGCTATAGCACTAAGGAGTAGAATCCTTTCTACACAGAAAATTAGAACTCTTCTGCAAGCTATTAATAGAAAAAAGGATGGTTGATAATGTTATAAAAACTAATATATATGTCCTAAAACATATCCAGGTACGTGAATTGCATAATCTGACCCAGACAATTGGCCCTGAAGTTGTCAGAGGCATTTTGATTACCAAATAAAATGGGCCTAGTAGAAAAATTTCAGATAATGCTGTCCATTCGTAATATTTACATTATAGGGTAATCTAAACTTACAATTCAATATGACTTGACAGGAACGGTAGGCATTGCTATGTTTCCTCTTGACTTCATTACGGTTAGGATACCGACGAAAATTCCACAATCTAATCTCGTCTTTGCTATAATCTTTTAAATATCTCAATAAGTGTACAATTCCTATAAAAGGATTAGCAATCGCTCCAACAATATTCCTTCTTTCATTGTAATATCTTTCTGCTTCCCTCTCGTTTATTCTTTTAGTTTTTTGCTCTTTATAAACTTTGATATAATCAGAAAGGTACTTAAAAAAATAGTTGAAACTCGATGCAGTCTTATAAAGGAAATCGTCAAAAACCCTCAAGGAACGTGAAACCTGTTTATTTTGATTTCGTGATGAAAACTTTACAAATTGTTAACAAAAAAAGATTCGAAAGATGACTAAGATGTTCGATATACCAATACGCCATCTATCTTAAATACTTGTTTTTACTTTACCCTTTATCGTTTCTTCGTTAATCGAAACATCATTTTTTTAAAAGAAAAATCAATCGAATCGTTTAACAGTTAACAAAAGTAGAGATAATAATAGAAAATATAAGGTACTACTTGATTAGAGTTTAGGGCTCTTTCTAGGAAATCAATGGCGCTTTTACCAAAAACTCTAATTCTTTTCGTAAATAATAATAAATGATCCCCTAATGGAATATTTGTAAAATTCTTTCCAACTTGATTTAACGTATCTTTAAGTCTTTTCTTTGCATGGTCCCATGCGTTTAACATATCATGATTTTTATTAGCCTTGTTATCGATAATTGTTCTATATTAGTATATATAATTTATATATATAAAATTGCTATGTAACATCTGTTTTATCTAAAAACTGTTCTTGTGTTTTTAGGTTTTTTAATAAATTAAAATATAATACTATTTATCTACTTGCTTACCTGTTTATTATAATCAATTGTTTTGCAATAATAATAAAGATTATAAGCGTTATTATAACTTTAAAACAGCTCATAACTAGTTTTAAAAAAGACGGAGAAATTTTTCAATCTTTCTCTTCACCTTTAGATTTGTCTTGCTATTATTTTTTACTCTTTTTTGTAAACCTTCTACCTCTTTCACTCCCTTCCTTTCTCTTCAAAATTTTGTTAACATTCTTCTATTTGCTCTCTTTTTCTGATTTTCTTTTAAACATTAATAAAAAATATAAAATTTATTAAACTCTAGTGTAAATATTTATAAAAATATTTTTATGTTCTTTTTATGACAGTTTTTTTTTTAAAAACAAAGAGATAGATGGAGATAGAGAGAGAGAGAGAAGGAAGGAAGGAAAAGAACGAAAAAAAATATACTAGGCTTATATAAAATTTCAGTTAATAGATAATTATTTGCACAGTCAACTTTTGTTTAAAAGATAAACCATAATCATAAAATGGTCTAATATTATTTCATAGAGTAAATAAAAAGTAATGTATTTATAATATATATTTATTAATAAAAGAAGCGATTAATAAAACATTTTGAAAAAAAGAGAGGAGAATATCAATTGAGGATTGAATGATTATTTAATTCAACGTTGTACATTAGATTACTTACATGTAATATATATATATATATGTATCTATATATGTCTATATACAAATTTCAATATATATATAGATATATATATAATCAATAAGTCTTTATACATTTCAAATAGATATTGTATACACCTTGCCCCATGATTCTCTGTTAAAGAAAGATAGCTCCTTTAGTTGTATACAATTGTTGACTGATCAGTTTTCTATATTATTGTATTTTACATCAGATTTTATATATTTTTAGAAAGAGAAATATTTGCGATATATTTAACTTCACAACTTTATTGTCATATAAATGATATAATATGATTTTTAATATGTATGCTTTAAACCTATTATTATTTAAAGAAAGATAAAGATCCCTTACAACGTATAAAAGTCATAAAAGATAGAAAAACCTATATCTTTGTCTACTTTTCGTGTGTTGAGTGACATTAGAGATTAAAAAAAAAAAAGAGAAAACTGGACAAAAGGAAAAAGAGAGAGAGAAAACAAAGAAAAAAGTTAACAATTCTTAGTTGGGATTCTTTAACGGAAGGATTATACTTTATCTCATCTGTAGACATATTTTTTTTCAAGATTACGTTCCTATATCTAAGCAAATAAGAGAAAGGAATCTTTCTAATAAATATTTCATAGTGAGTTAAAATATAACATCTAAACCTTGTTAAATGGATATTAACGGGTTTTTTTCCCCGTCCCTAATTCTTCTAAAATAATCCCATTCTTAATCTTTCCAATTATCCTTTAAGTTACGTTAAACGGTTAAAAAAGAGTACGAAACCAATAACAATTGAAAGCTTTTAGGCAATATATATGTAAACGTTTTTCATCTAGTATTCTATGATATTAATAAACTTCTCACAGAATAAATTAAACTTAATTTCATTAATGAATAATAAATTTATTTAGTCTAACTTCACCGATAGAAGCAAAATATAATAACGTATTGTAAAATCCTTCCATCTCATAATAAATTCTGCTACCCTACGATATCAATCATATACTAATCATCGTAAAGAAGATGACAGAAATTTTCCATAATTTTCTCCCTAATTGTAAATAGGCCTAAAGGTGATAAGAATATAGAAAAGCATATAGAGACAAATAAAAAGGGAGAAGGGGGAGAGAGGAAGGAGAAAGAGGAGAAGAAAAGAAAAACGAAATATTGAATAAAATATGACAGCTGATAAAAAGATTGACAGAAAATAATATAATAACAAGTTTTATGAATACTTAAAGAAATTTGTTATTATCAATATAATGTTTTTAGTTGTTGTAATCTGTGAATGAAGCAAGTGAAGTAAACAATATTGAATTGAATCTTAAAGGGATAGAATATTCTGTATATATGTAATATATGTTATTATTATCCTTTTACTTTCTATCCTCATTTCTTTGTAGTTTGTCCATATTTTTTATTAAGAAAATAAAGTAGCCATTTTTCTTTTCTGTTGAATTTAATTAGATACAATAAATAAAATGCGTTGTATTGGTTGTAGTGTTTTTTTAATATATATATATATATATACAACTATTATTCCCTTTTGTATTAGGTTGATTAGATACTTTTAAATATTTACCAGTTTGTTTGTATTACCTTATATAATGGTAAGTGAATAATGATTTACTGTTAAAGCAATTAAGGAAGACCACAATAATATATATCTTATTGATAAACGTATTTTTTGAGTGTTGTTTGTAAAGGCGTCGAAAACGTTCTCTCCCATAGAATTAGAATATTCTGTAAAATAGTCATCTAGTAATCTCTCTTTTACTTTTTCTTGGTAGATAAGACTATTATCGCAGGTTAACCCAATGAACCATCTAGCGTATAAATTGGCAAGAACGCCATCTTTTGCCATTTGAATTATTTCCTGAGTAATTTTTTCCGAAAATTCCCCATTTTTTCTTACAGCAAGTCCCCTTGGAATTTTAAAAAGGAAACTATCAGTAACTGTTAAATCGCATTGAGGCTTATTGTCGAACGAGCGTCGAATTATGTTAAACGCTTCGTATTCCGCTTTGGATCTGATAAGTATGAAGGCGAATCCGATCCTTTTTCCCCTCCTCCTTGTCCTTATACCGGTTATTACTTTACTTAGACACGTTTTGTAATAAGTGCACATTCGACTTTGCTTTTTGAGATAGCTATATAACCTTCTGTACGCCGTACTGGATCTTGATAGCCTCTTTAAGAACACACTTTCAGCTCCTGATTTCAGAATACCAAATGCTAAATATCTCCTCTTCTTCCATAAATCTGTTGCTAGTGTAATGTTATAATCTTCCCTTTCGTCTCGGCGGATTAGAACAGAAGCCGTATCGTAGAATAAGGCGCTCGTGAACTGTAAAAACTTTGCTCGTTCTCTAGTCATCAGCATCGGTCCGGATAAGTCGGCTTTCTGCAAAATTAAGCAGTAATCTTTAATCGATACCCTTTTTTTTATAGATATCGGAGATAGAGTACGTTTATTTATATTTTTTTATAGTAATTTATACGCACATTATAAAGGATCTCTTTAACCATACCATTCCACTTATCGACCGTGCAATTGTCCCTGCTAGACGTCCTTTTGCAGTAGCCGTATTCGTCTATCAGTCTTATTTCGTAGTCAAATTTTAAACGAGCCGCTAAATGATCTAGCAACTCCGGGATATAACCTACGTAACGTCTTGAGGTCCTGTTCGACGTTGTCGTATCTAAATAAGGTGCTTCCTGTTAAGAGAATAGACCGGAAGGAATGCATTAGAACTTAAGAAAAAATCAATTGGTCGAAAGAACCTTAAAACCCTTAAAAATTCCCCTTTTTATTAGTTTCTATGTATCATTCTTACTTACTTTTACAGCTGTTACAACCAACTTCCGCCTGGTTCCAATATCTGACAAAGAATTAACTTGATTATTTCTGTAATGTAAATTACGCAATCATCGAAATATAATGGAATTAAGTAATAGATGACAGACGTAAAGTGCAAAAATAACGATATAGTTTGACAAACAAACCGACTGTAGTAAAGATGGCGGGGAAAGGAGAGATTAAAACACGAAGAAACTTGTTTTTTTTTAAACACTTCCCTTTTAATTAAAATAATCGCGTGCATCAGACAAAAACCAGATCCGTCATCCGAATGCAAAGTTTTGAATAATTACCACTGTTAAGAAGGTCGGGAGGGAGGGATAGAAGTCGGATAAAATGGAGGGGACGAAGAAAGAGACAGAATAGAAAGAATCTCTCGGAACGAGTGACATTACGCTAATTACGATTTAATGTCATCGCAAATGGGTTGCGCTTTTTTTTTTTACCAACGGGAGTTGTATATAAAATAAAAACTCGCTTTACAACAGACAAATCCTTGAGTTTGTCTGCTAAAATTAAAAAAAAAATGAGAAAGATAAAGACAAATCGAAGACTTAAGAGAAAAGAGAAATAAAAAGCGATTATAAAGCTTTTTTCTTTTTCTTTTGTAAATCTCCTACCACCACCCCTCCACCTCCCTCCCCCTCCCTCAAAAAAAATTTTTTTTAATACAGCTTTTTTTTTTGCTTTATCCTAACAGGAGCTAACAGAGCGTCTCTATAAGTCTCTGTTCTGCAACATTAAGCGTTTCTTCCAACATGTATATATATATATATATATAGATAGATTTATATATGGTAATATACATGTATGTACATGTATTATAAACATATTATATTAATAGAATAGACCATGCTCTTTACTTTTTCGCATTTCAAAATATAATAAAGATAATTGAGGGAATCCTTGTCTATGTTGAATACTTTATTTATCTTTACATTATAAGCGGTTATGTTTTATTTCAACGCTTATACAGAATATATATATAGCATACATTTACGTATATTCATATATATATACACAGTATATAAAACATTAACGAGCTAGTCTCCAGCGTAAAAAAATAACGTTTGAACCTACCGCCGCCTAATTCCCTGCTTTTTGTCTTTTAGTCTATAGGCGTTCCTCTTATGAGCATTAGGTTTGGAATAGGGACTAGAAAGTTGAAATTTACTGCACTAATACGTCACAAATTATTCATAGCTGCTAAAATTCATACTAATAAATAAACTGTTTGGCCTACTGTCAAGACTATCAAAGATATAAATTGCACACTTTGTAACCGAAGACAGTGGGAGGAATTCAACAAAACAAAGCGTTTTATGCACTAATTAGATAGGGCAAATTTATAGTCTTTGCGTAGAAATTTCAATGTAATTTGCAGTTTATTGCATTGATTGCACGCATATTGTATGTATAAAAAACGCTTCATTACGTACACATTGTATCATTGTAAAAAATATAGGCTAAATGCCGTCTAACTGGCGCCGTAGTCGTGCAGGTATACCTCATGAATACGGAATAGTTTTGCAGAGGTTTGCGTGAGACAGTTTCAAACTGGACAGGAAATGCTTTAGAACCGAACTTCCGTTATAAAGTACATCTGACAAGGGATAATGAATGTATACTCGAGACGCAAGCATATTTTCGTTTGTATAAGTGAACATTAGCAGAAAGAGAGAAAAAAGAGGCTAAAATCGACATTTGGTGTAAGAGCTGATGTAATCCTATTATTTCTCGATGATTGTGTATTACAAACTCTTACGTGTCTGTTTCGCTTTCGACATATAAACATTTAGATTAGACACGAAAAAGGAAAATATCCTACCTTTTGTCACTGATAAGACACAATGGAATAAAACGATTGCAGTAGACAGCTTAGCCAGCAAAGAATTCAGCATATTTATTTTCCTGTTGAATAAAATAGAAGAAAAGCAACCAATTGGTTCTTTTACAGTTGTTTGCGAGTCGTAGTTTATATAGTTTAAAGAGTGGAGTTAAGCCGCAATTTGCAATTTTAGATAGGCTCCATGATTTGTCTTAGCATTTACCTCCAGCTAGCCAACTGTAAAAAAAAATTGTCATAGAGAGAAGAGCAAAGTAGTCGTTTTCTTTTCCTCCTGTTTCAACCGTCAATTGGTTTCTTTCTTTCTTTTTTAAATAGTAATAGCTTCGCGTGTAGTTAACCAATAAACGTCTCCACTGAAGCTCTATCAGCGCCCGACTCTATTCGTATTGTGCATGATGTATAAAGATCACGTGCTCCTGACGTCATCTACTTAGTTGCGGGACTTAAAGTTCGCATACTTTATTTGCTAATTAGTTTCCCAAAATATGTGTTGTATTTGCTTACTAAAAAGTCAATTTTACGCAGCTTATTCTTATTTCTTAAGACTTTTCTTAAATGTTTATTGCACCCAATCGGGGTATGAATACAATTTTATAGCTTTCAGTTATATTTTATTTTCCCGCCCCTTTCTCTTTATGCTATTTTGCTCCGTTCCTTCCTCTCTCGTCCTTTTTACGACTTTTAAACTGGGTTAAGTATCTTTTTCATAAAAGAGAATTTCAAATTCACCGCCATTACTTTAAAGAAATTCAATAAACAGCAGATGGCGTTGTTTGTTTTCCAAAATACACCCAACGTTTACGACATAGCATTGAAGTACTATTCTAATATCGCTCTCTGTTATTTTGTAAGAATATCGTAATATTCTTAAAAATGGACAACAAGGAGAAGTCTCTCGTTTTGGATAAACCTGGACAGAAAGCCTTGATGGTAGCTAAACGTAAAGAATTTAGCGGTCTTGTCAAAAAACCAAAGAAAAATGTTTTGGGCGAAGATACATACACGGAGCAAGTAGAAAACATCATTGAAAGGGATTTTTTCCCCGACTTACCTATGTTAAAAGCAGAGAAAGAGTATATGGAAGCCGTTGAGAAGAAGGATTACGCCAAATTAAGAGAATTACATTTGAAACATGGCGGTAAGTTTACTCCTATGTATTCGAACCATGGTGGAACGCCATTACTCTCCGTTCCTCAACCCGAGTCTGAAATGAACCCTTTGACTGGTGAAAAAGTGATAGGACCGGAAGACGAAAGTTTAAAGAAGGAAAATCCAGACATAAACCCGGAGAAAAAGAATGATGGTAATCTGACACTCGATAAATATCTTTCGAAGAATACCAGCGAAGATAACGAATCCTTTTCGGAAATTATGCGAGAAAATGATATAAAACACCGTTTAAAACACGCCTGGTTATATAAAAATTCTGCTGATGAGGCAACAAATAGTCAAAAAGCTTTACCTAGTATAGAAGATCAGGCGAAAGAACCCCAAAAGGCCCTAGCTACTTGGAATTATAAAGGAAAGAATGAACTTATGTACTTTCCTGAAGGAATGGAATATTCAGAGCAAGAAAAAATTGAACAACAAAAAATTGCGCCTCGAGAAATTGTTCATAAAAATACAAGATTACAAAAGAAAATGTCGGTTGAAGACGCCGCCAAAAGTTTGAAGGACGCAACTAGCAATGCCATTCACCAATTAAAAGGAAAATATGGAATAGATGGTAAAGAATTAGCTGCAACCACGCCCGGTGCCGGGGGCTATGGTTATTTGGCTACCCCGTCGCCTTGTCCAGGCGTTAACGAATCGCCACTTATGTCTTGGGGTAATATTGCTTCTACGCCTGCCAGATTAGATCCACCCAGCACGCCATCTGTTGATAGCGGGCCGATTTTTAAGGTACCCGACTTGCCTCAAAGAGATAAGATCGCCCTAGAGCTTTCTGAAAAAAACTTAAAAGCCCACCGGGATAAAAAGAATAAAACTTTACAACACGTACACTCGTCATTCCATACACCAAAATTTGGAAGTTCATCACTTTCTCCAGCTGGTCATAACTTACAGAGAAAGTTGGGCATCCGTACATCAACGGATAAAGCTCTCAAGTCGTCTTACACTCCATCGCCCAAGGCTAAAACCCCTACAACGCCCATAAATGACAGGAGCACGCCCACATTGTTGGGTAAGAGGACACCATCATTAACAGATAACCTTCTAGTAAAAAGAAAGAGACAAACTGAACATAAAAGTGAACGAGAATTGAATGTTCAAGACAAGTATTCGCCATTAGTTAAGTCGAGAAGTGAAAGAGTTAGATCCGCTGCTTCCGATTTCTTTTAGTATGTATATATAAATATTAGTATATATATTTTTATACAAGTTAACTTTATTGAGAAAATGTTAAAAACTGTTTAGAAATATTTGTTCATTCTATGACCATATTTGTAATTTTGGCCTACTTAATCGAGCAGATCAATTAACAGTACCTAAATTATTGGTTGAGAGGTTGAAAATATAACTAAAATTACCGGAATTATCAATTATAAAGTAAATAAATGATACATAAATATTGGCCCATAAATTTCTTTTTCCTTTCATTCTTTCTTTCTTTCTATCAATCAATCTATCTATACATCTATCTATCTATCTATCTATCTATCTCTCTCTCTCTCTATCTCTCACTCACTCACTGAATGAGAAAAGTACTGTATTTTTACTAGAGTCTTTTGTCGTTTCGAAATGGAACAAACTCATAATAGTACTCAGTGCAAATTGAATATACATTGACAAGATATTGTTAAAATTTGAGAGTGTATATGGCTTTAAACTATTACGGAATGTTAGATAAAGGCCTATGTGGCAATGTTTACAGGAATTTTATTGCGGCATTCCATATATAGGACAAAAAGGAAAGGTAAAGAGAGGTAGAGAGCAGAGAGAGAGAGAGAGAGAGAGAGAGAGAGAGAGAGAGAGAGAGAGAGAAAAGATAAATATAAATATATATTTATTAAAAAAGATAAAAGAGAGAAAAAGGCTCTTTTTTTACTGATTGAATTTCTATTGAACAATAAAAATAACAATAAAAAAAAAATGAAGAAGATAAAACGTTAAAATTTTTTTTTTCGTTTTCTTCTTATTTATCTTTTAGTAAAGGAATTTTTTTTAATACATTTTATTTACTTTTATCAGTAGAAATTAATGAATAAGTAGAGCAGAATTTTTTACTATGAGTATTTACATACTGTTATTTATATTCTGTTTTTTATGAAAGGACTGTTTATTGGTGAAAAGTAGCTAATCAGATCTACTTGGTTATTCCTTATCTTTATCGTAAAAAGTTAATTGATAATTTCACTTATATATATATATTTATATACGGCAGAAAATATACCGGTAGACGTCGTCTGTTTTTTATATAGGCTGAGAAAATGCCACTTCCGTTCACTAGGGGTCGTATATGTAGCAATATTATTGCGCGAGTCAGTGAGATTAGGCAAGCGGTTTTTTTTTCGAGTATTATAGAATTTAGGTTGAGACCGTCAACTGCCAAAATACTAATAGACCGTATTCAATCAGTTTCTGTTGTATTAAGGCAAATTGCCGAATAAAAATATATTTTCTGGCCGCTAAAACTTTTGTCGCGGAGGAGGAAAGTTTCGCCCTATAACCGCTACGAGTCCCATTTACCATTCTGCGATCTGAGCAGATGTAGTGAACATGTTTTATTTTTCGGACAATGTGAAGTATAAGTTTTGATAATAGAGCGATTTTATTAAGCAATGCCGACAATAACTTTTAAGGATAATCATAGATCGGCATAATGACTTTTAACGGACTTTTAATCAAATTCTTAGTCGTCTTCTTAGCCGACTTATCTGTTCATCTCGCGGACAAAATCAAATTTGAGTTTACTTACTCGAATTACAATTTAACCGCTGCGGAAGAGTCTCAGGTGCTACAGCATAATAGAAAACTAGCTGGCGTCTCTTTAGCACATGAAAATTGGACTTATGATAAAGTTATTATGGAAATTGTAGATGACGATAGCGGATTATTCATTGTTCATAAGAGACCATTTGGCGATAGGTTTGTTGTTGCCGATTTCTCAACAAAGCCAAGTTACTTTTGGAGTTTTAACTATGAAGAAAGATCCATTTACAATTTTAAAGTTAAAGCGTCGCTGGTCGGCGAATCATTATTTTGCTTTGCACATGTTACAGTTCGTGTAGAAGATAGGAATGATCTAGGCCCGTATTGGGTTGATGAAGGCGATCTGCAAAGAAATATCAGCGTACCGGAAAACATTACCACCTTTTCCAAGTTAGCCAGATTCGAGGCGAAAGATTACGACTATCTGACTAAGCATAGTGCTATCTACTATTCTTTCTTAGAATATTCCGAAGAATTCTTCATTGATCCATTAACCGGATGGGTAATAGTTGCAAAACCTCTTCTTTTAGAAAAATCTACTAAAAAAATATATAAACTCTCCGTCATTGCTATAAACGGTTATAAATCTAGACCATATATGAAACTAGAAGATAGATTCTCTCAAAAAATAACTCTAATCGTAAACGTTATTCCTGTTAATATATACCGTCCTGAATTCAGAGTGAAAGAACTTCCAAATTTAATTGAAGATGGTGCGAAGAATGTCATCTATGCAGTTTTCGATGTAACCGACAGGGATAAGGGAAGAAAGGGTCAAATTGATTCAGTAAGGATTGTTGATGGCGATTCGCACGGTTACTTCGACATTGTTAAACGGGATAAGAAGGAATATAGGCTAATCGCCAGAAAAAGCGTTGACCGAGAAGCCTTTCCAATGGGCTTTAACCTGACAATTGAAGCTAAGGATAAGGGAAATCCGTTCCAGTCCAACAATTATAGTATACACGTTGCTATATCGGATATGAATGACAACGCACCGCACTTTCTTTTCAAGTCTAACAACTTTACAGCGTACGTTAGTGAATGCGCTCTTGTTTCAACGCCTGTTATTAAGCTAAATGCCAAAGATACGGATTTGGGGAAGAATGCCGAAATTTTTTACTCGATCGAATCGGGAAACGAACGTAATTGGTTTTCGATAGATGGTCGACTAGGCGTTATTCGCATAGCAAATTCTCTTGATTATGAGAAACAAAAGACTGTAGTATTGATAGTAAAAGCTCAGGATCAAGCCAATAAAGCGTCTAGAAAAGTGTCTTCAGCCGTAGTTCGTATCTCTTTGGAAGATTGCAATGACAATTTTCCAGTTTTCAAGCCGAAAGTACCTAAAATGTTCGTTTCTGAGAATTCTGTTAGTAAATTAATTCTACAATTCAAAGCTACAGATGCTGATTCAGGTTACAACGGTAAAGTAACCTACATATTAAAGAACTGTAATAAAAAATTAAAATGTCCATTTGTCATTAATCGAAACAATGGCAAGCTTTTCACAACTAATGAACTTGATTATGATTATAGTATTCGTGTTTGGAATCTTATAGTTGTGGCAAGGGATTCTGGCTCACCCTTCCAGAGAACAGCCCATCAGAATATTACTTTGGAGATTACAAACGTTAATGACAATCCACCAATTATGATGAAAAAATCGTGTACTATCGAAATAAACAAACGAGCAACCTCTTATACTTTCCGTGAGCTACCAGTAAATGCAATGGACCCCGATGGAAATCCCGTGAGAATGGAAATAACAGGAGGTACTGCAAAAAAGTCTTTTTCTATTAATCCAGAATCGGGAGTCTTGACTTTTAATAATACTGACATCAGAAAAAGACGACATCAAAGAGGTACATTAACTGAGAATTTATTTGTTTCCGCGAAGGATAGCGATAAATATAAAGCTATTCGTCCTACGAAGATTTCAGTTAAGTACCTACGAAACAGAAAGAAGACCAGGTTGATTCGATGTCTAGATAATGAAGAAGCGCTTATAGCAATTAATAATACAAAAACAGCACCACATTTTAACTCTCGTGATTTGCCAATGGCGACAAGATTATATGAAAACCGATTCGCTCCACAGTTCCTTGATTTCCCACAAGAAGTTTCTATAGATGAAGATGTCGCTCCTAATGTAACAATAGCCACGATAACGGCTCGTGACGACGATCCAGGATATAATGGGCGTCTCGTGTTTGTCATCAGTTCAGGAAACGAGGATGGGGCGTTCAAAATGCAAACCACCGATACGTTCGGCCGACTTTTAATTTTCGGTGGTGTTGATAGGGAAAGAAAGAAATTATACAAATTATCCGTTACTGTTTCGGATAGTGCAAATATACCTAAAATGCAGACAAGAGAGTTAATTGTAAATGTTCGTGATGTCAACGACAATTATCCCATTTTTGAACGCAAAATTTACCGAATTTCTATACCAGAAAATACTAAGCCTAATAGCGAAATACTGCAGGTTAGCGCAACTGATGCAGATACAGGGCCAAATAGTATGATTCTATATAAACTGGAAAATGAACGTTTTAATGTTGACGAAAAGACTGGTCGAATAAAAGTAATGGAAGAGTTGGATAGAGAGGAAATTGATAACTATGAATTAATAGTCACGGCTACCGATATGGGTAGAAAAGTGCAGTTGGAGTCTAGTACTCGAGTAATTGTAGACGTAACTGACGTGAATGATAATGTTCCTGTTTGTTTAATTTCATCTCCGATATTGCACGTTAGAGAGGATTTGCCTGTTGGTTCAGTTGTAACCGTTGTACACGGCAAAGACGGTGATTTGGGAAATTCGGGACGAATACGATATAACTTTGTGAGGAAAACATTGAAATCGAAACCACCATTCAGCATTGACAAAACGACAGGAATAATCCGTTTACAGACCGAATTACGATATTCTTTGAAAACGTCGTATAACCTGACGATATTGTTAAAAGATCGGGGAAAACATAGCCTTAGTTCGAGGTGCAAGTTAAAAATCGAAATTACCGACGTCGATGAGAATCGTTACTCCCCCCGCTTTGGAGACAGTGTCTTCTCTTTTGCTGTTCCGGAAAATGTTGAACGAGGCACATTTATCGCCCAATTGAACGCTGTGGATAAAGATAAAAAGGATAACGAGGAGGAAAGAAATTACGATCTGACTTATTCAATTCGTGGCGGAACTGGCCTTGGCTTATTCACTATTAACAATGAAGGTACGTACAATTGGTGACATTGGTGACAATAGTCAGTTCGCTAATTAGCGATCATCCACATATTATTGAAAGAGTAGAAGCTGAGCGATTAAATAGTAAAGCTGGATATAAAAAGGAGTAGGTTTATCAACAAATAAACATAAATCCAATACGACTATTCTATTTACCTTCCCTACTGCAAACAAATCCCTAGTCCGATCGGTTTGTCACCTATCATTTTTTTCCCTTAATACTCTGACGTAAAATTTTTTGACATGTAAGAGACCGACTATTTGCAAATGGATTTGATATTTAGCCTTATTTTTCTGAATTTTTTGGTGTTGTACTTATATAGTACATATCTTATATACAGTATATATATATATATTAAATATATACTGTATATATTTCTTTTTGAAGTTTACAACCGGGTTCAGCTAGTACGTCATTTTCCGGTTGTTTTTCCAGTATGAGTAAATACTTTGATAATTGATAGATTAACGTACCGATCCTTCATTGTTATCGTTATCAATAACTGTTATTTAATCATCCCACTCAATTCAGCTTTACAGTATGGGAATTTTTACTACGTTTGATTAATTTTCGTGGGAAAGATTTATAGGACAACAACAGACGTTTAGGCATAGGTTATTCAGTGATAGGTGGAAATTCCGTGTTTTAATCTGCACTGTCCTTATAATATTTAATACGAATTAGTCATCATTTAGTCTTATCTCATGTAAAAATATTTTTTGACTAAATTTTCGCATTTTATTTCGTTTATTGGCGTCTGTGGCTTGTATAATGCATAGGGCTATATCTTGAAGTCTAGACTGTTTATTTGCTTTTAGGTATTTTTTGCCAAGCTCTTATCAGAGTCAATTATTCTGCTGATGTATTGCTGCATCAATAATTCGACCCTACTTTACTCTTTCACGCGTGTAGTATTTTTTTTATGAGAAATCCAACAGGTGACTACTTGTGATGATGGCTGGGAATCAGCAATCATCCCACTTGCCAACAGTCCTAGATTATTTTTGCTCATTTTTCCAAACCACTCTACTTTATAGCTTTACACAGGTTTCCCGTATTTATACAACTACTGAATATATGAACTGTAAAGAAGTGTATACCAATAAGACAAAAAGAGTGTGCGCCAGAGAGCGGCCAATGAAATATCTATGGCCACTTTTTGGGGATTGTACATGCATCTAGGCCTAATCTTTTAACTAATTGAAGGCTACAACGCATGGCAGGAATCGTCAGTATTCTTTTATAGGAGGAGCACAGCTGTATCAATACATTCTTTCTCCTGCTAGACGGGCCGCCTAAAATATACGACCCTAATGGAGAATGCGTAGGCGGTTAGACGTTCTGTTTAGGTCGGGAAGAGGTTATAGCGAGGTCAAGTGAGGGTCTCGTTAAAAAAAACGGAATGTGTATTGATCTATATGCAAATTAATGGAAGGTGCATATAGCGATTAATAAGACGTAGAGAGGGGGGCGTAAAACGTCTAAGAAAAGAAGAGAGAGTAATTTCCCGTCGTTTTTCTGCATGATGAATATAAAAAGCGAGGGAGCTTTCAATAGATAAAAAAAAAACAACCAAACAATTTGACAATGAAACATCGGGCCGTGTCAATCGCAATTACTAGCAATTCACACGATATCGTGCAACGGTCACAAACTCTATTAATGAATGAATATGAATACGCAAACGGCGTTGTATCTTTTCGTTAATAAAATCGCAATAGCTAAGTGCAAAACGTTGGGTGGGGGAATCTCTATGGTGTACTCGCCCTTACGTTTGTTCTAATCATAGCGTGCCTCTTTTTCTGAATGAGAGTAAAACATAATCTCAATAAAAATCTTTTTAATTTCTTTTTTATCTTTCTTCTGTTCATAGGTGCATTCAAGCCGCTTTTTTTCAGAAATAACGTTATATTTAACACTACAAAAGTGTAACCTACCCAATTATTCATTGAGCTATTGTATATATATATATATATATAAGGTATATAAATTATAGCGTAGACATTTTCCTTTCAAAATCATGTATATGGTAACAGATCATAGAAGGTTCCATTGACTGTTATCGGTTAAAAGGTTCTATTAAATGTTGTATTGACTCAAAATAGGCAAGGAATGCGAATAACCTTTATCACTTCATTTTTTTTTCTCCCCTCGTTTCAAAACATTATATCGATCTGAGGTTCAAGTAAAGTGAATCTAAACACTGGTAAAAGGCTAAACTATATAATCTTGTATGATAGAATTTCCACCCGACTCCGTTATTGCTTTGAAACAGATTGTTAGCATATGTCGTTTGGCAAACAGAACAAACAGCAAAAAAGCCGAAATACAATGCGACGCGCATGATGAAAAGGACACGGAAGTAAAGCGTATATGTCGTTCAGATGAAAGGACGAGTAACAAAAGTTAACCCTCTAGCGACCTCTTTTAAAAAAGCCACTCGAGCCATTACTACAGAAAGACGTCCACAATACTGTGAGAACGCTCCGCGCGTGACGTCTTTTCCTTTCCTTTCCACTTTCAATGCCCTGTTAAATCTTTTTTCAGTATAATAGGGTATTTTTAACAAATCTTTATTTTTTCTAAACAGGAGAGATTCGAACCAATGCAAAATTTGACAGTGAAACTGTAGACAACTATTGGATAGAAGTTCATGTAGCGGATAAAGGATTAGTATCCAAATCCGACGTGACCTTCGTTAATATTGATATAAAGGACGTCAATGATAATGCTCCAAGAACATCACAGCAAGTCTATAGACCATCCATCCCTGAGAATTCCCGTCCGGGACGACCCGTCATACAATTGAGAGCTACTGACCAAGATCGGGTTCCATCAATAATTACATACGAAATAATTAAAGGAGATCCCCAGCACTTTTTCAAGATAGATAACTATACTGGTGAGTATGAGATTAACACGCCAGGTTTTCTTAAATGCTCGTCTGTCTGACAAGTTTATATTTACGAGAGAGGGCTGAATGCAAAATCGATGGAGAAGAAAGTTTTTGAATTTACCACCTGGCTTTAGCGCTTTTCGCACGAATACGCTCTGGTTCACGGAACATTTAGCGTTTCTTTCTATCTCCCCCTCCCCTCTCCTTTTTTTTTTGCCTTTTATGATAGCGAAGGGAGAATAATGTTTGATAGATGATTGCTAATTGCTGAAGTAAAATCTCTCATCTATTTGTCCCACGGATCGAACTACTCACCTGAGTATCATTTGTTACATTTAATGAGCTTTGTACGTTTTTTTTTGCCATGGGCAAAATGAATTTTTCAAAAGTTTGTAAGGGGCCGATTGATGCACGCTGACCATTGTTTGTTAAAAGCCCTTACTCTTGTACAAAAAACAATTGATATTCGATACGTAGGTTATTGATTACCAATAGATATATATATATTTACGCATATACATAAAGCTTTTCCATATACCCCGGGCTATGGTTAATATTTTCCGACCCAACTCAAGCCGTCTATTCAAGTAATTGATTTACTGATAGAGGAAGCATACATGACCCGTCATCGCTGAGAATTGAAATAGACCCTTTCTAGTTTTCTAGCTGTCAGTTTTAGGCTTTGGTAGACTTACGCTTATGAGAAATATTTGATTGATGACCGTCCTATAAGATTACACGCTCTTTACGAGTGTGTTATAAGAAAGCTCTGCGAAGCGAATAAATATTTAGATTTCCTTTATTTAATATATATCATATGAGCGTGTAAGAGTAGTAGAGGATTTTTAACGTCTAATATCATATAAGCATAATGAAAGTATTCCGGTTGAATTGGTTAAATCCGTCTAATACCCTGGTTCGGAAGTCTACAGAACGTGAAATACGCTAAACGGACCGAAATGGAGTTACAATGAACTTTCTAACTTTCTAATACCTTTGAAGTACTCATCCATCAATTTGACTACCCGAGTCAGATGTCTTTATAGACATATGCAAGGCTTATTTAATACGGTAAATAATAGAGTCCTTTGAAAAATGACTATTCAATGCGTTTGACTAATTGCGAACAACGTACAATGCCCAAAACAGTCATATATCTCCTCCTGCTACGACAACAAGATTAAACTTTTTTTATCCATCCCGAATCCTAATTGAATAATTAGTTAATGCTTTTTTGCGTGCCTCTTATTTAGTCTACTTTTTTTAATCTTTACCCTTAACGCCTACATTAATAAGCGCCTTTTCAACCTGTTACAGTAAAGATAACTAATTTCGTTTTTTTCCTTTTTTTGGTTATTTTTAACCGATTGATAACGGTTCGCTTGCGCAATTGAAAGAAATTAATTTCGAATGGTATTGAAAAGGCTGACAAGCGGATTTAGAGCAGGTCCGTATACGAAAATTTCAGGGTATACGAAGCGAAACGAATCGATCGGCTTGTTTATTGGGCTACAAAGATTCCATTCATTGAGATTGAAAAATTGCTAAGTAATTACTAGAAAGAAATATAAAGACGACAGTAGATGCCAAATCCTTTATCTTAACTAGACAGAGTTTGTCTTAGTCTTATGTCTCAATTCGATGCGGTACAGCCTCGAGATACTTTCCTTTTGCATAATTCAAAATAATTCACTTTCTTCGCTTTATTAAGACCATTATCTGTGGGCGTCGGCTTGTTTTACGAAAGTCCGAACTTTGTTTATTCTTATACTATATACTTTGCGGTTTGAGTGTATACATTTCCCTAATTTACTGTCAGCATCAGTAAAACGGTGTTTCCAGACTTTGAAGTTGTAAGAGAGAAAAAAAATTGATCTAAAGTATCTGGTTTTCCATTTTTTTTGTCTATTCGGATTATACACGCGCGACACGAGAGTTTTGTTTGTCTCTCTAAGGCTTTTGTAATTATATTTTGTTTTTTTTTTAAAGAATATTCGTTTGGTAAATGTATTCAATGGAAGTGTGAAATAATTAATTCTGCTTTCGGTCAGAAAATAATTTTCCCTTTCTAGTGTCTACCGCATATAGCTAAACCCTGAAGATTATCTTACTCCTCGCCCATGGGCTAAGTTTTCTGTTTTCTCTTAAGCCAAACCTTTTAGCGCTTTTACTCTGCGTCTAATATATTTTTTATAAAGTATTTTTTTTATTATTATTAAGATCCTTCTTTATTCTTTCTTTAGGAAATATAACAACGGCCAGTCCAAGAATAATTAATCGGGAGAAGAACGACAAATTTCAGCTGCAAGTAAGTTTACTTTTCGCTTTAAATAATAAAACGATAAAGAGCGTCGAGCAGTTGGCGTTCGTGAGGGGGCCGGTTATGTAATCAAACGATGACGTCATATACAGCGTCAGCTGTTGAACGAGCGTCTCGGTTGGGCGCGCCTCTTAAGTTAATCGGAATTTTCTGCACGGGATTTAACAAAGATGGGTAGGGAGGCGAGGAATTTTAAATACTCCCTTTTGACAATACGTCGTTAAAGTATCGAATGTTAGTGTGACATTTCGTTGACACTCCCCCACGTTCTGGTAAAACACTTTACGATATTTTCTCTCACCTCCATTTACTAGTTGTATACAGTATTTTTGCTCTAAATTGCCTCTAATCGTACTTTTCTCCTCTGATTCTTCTTCAAATCCAAAGTATTTAGAAAATCATGGTTGATTTTGTTGCGGAAAAATAACATAAAGACACGATTATACTTGAAAATCTGTGTCACGCGTAGTGGTATTGTCCGGCAGAAGCGTATGAATAATTGGTGAGACAAATTGGCTGGTCGCTTTGACAAATGACGAAATATTCGGCAAGAAAGGGTGTGTATATATAGGAACGTCTTAACAGCTAATATATGCGTGTTCTTCCGGTTGGATGGAAGAGAATGGATAAGGGTATTTTCATTTGTAGTTCAAAGTAGCTGCTTGTAACAATGAACATCCGTTTTCGTTTGCATCCAAACAAAAAAAAGTAAGCATCGCCCTTTTGAGTCCTCATATAGTGGACATATGGAAGTAAACAAAGCAGTCATAAACTATGTAGTCTCCATGAATGTACTACATTTTTGAGTTAGTTGTTTTAATAGTCTCATTTGAGGATGATGCCTAAGGTGATGAGCTTTTGTCATTTTGACCAGTATCTCAGGGGCGTATTTTAGCGATTGGGCTTTTTATTTTTTATGATCAACTGGCCTTTATGACTTAATTTAGGCATAGTTATTCCAAAAAATTATCATTTGAAACAAAAGAGACTTGCAGAATTTGAATTGAATCAAACTTAATGAACAATGGACGTGCTTTTTCACGCCTAACGAAAGTAACGACACTACTGGGATTAGCAGTCTTTATACATAAATATATATCGGTGACAGTTGCAGCTTCATTTACCTAATTTCCCCCCCAGCTGGGAGATATCTAACTAAGGTCAGGTGCTCCTGTAGGACGGTTCCATCCCACTTACTCTAGCGTGTCACCCATAAAAATCTCTACAGAATTCAAGGTTGCTCCCCACGAAGTTAGACGGAAATAAATTTCGTTGCCGTTAGGCAGACACTATCTACATCTCCCCTTGCTTTCTTTTTTTTCTCATTTTCTAATCGTCATCCTCACATCACTAATTTAACTGCGACATAGGGGAACTGCAACGTTTCACTTTTCTAAGCTAACAGTCTCTATGTAGCCTAAAGCTTCTCTTTTTCCCCAAGTTTCTTTTGCACTGATTTTTCTATATTAGGCTTTCATATATATAAAAGACTCCTACGCCTCTTTTAACCGTTGATAGAAAAATCTAGGTGCCGGAAAAGATTACTAGGGCTTGAAAATTTATCTTTGAAATGCTATTTAGTATATGCGCACATATAATTGTTGTTGCATTCTTATTCGTACAGGTGAAGATAAGCGACAATGGAACTCCTGAACTGTACTCGATAACAATTGTCGAGGTAGAAATTACCGATGAAAATGATAATTCTCCTCAATTTTTTTCCGATACGATTGCCTTACATTTACCTCAAGAAGGTTTACCGCTTGAAAAAGCATTCTATAAAGCTACTGCCTTTGACCCGGACTCCGGAAATAATGGTCGTATCATTTACTCTTTGCGAAACGTCTCAAGTCAATTAAAGAACATCATATACGTTGACTCGGAATACGGTTGGATTTATGCTAGGAAGACTCTATTACGGCTCTCAACCAATTTCTTTGCAATTGCTTCAAATGGAAAGTTGATCAGTGAATCCAAGATTCATTTAAATGTCATCGAGTGTGCTGAGAAAAAAGACTTCGTTATTAAAAATTCTGGGCATACGTTTCGAGTATCTGAAGATACTGATGTGAAAGAGGAAGTTATAAAAATATCCATTGAACCGTCTAACGTGGAGTGCGTCAGATACTTTTTAGATTGTACGTTATCCGGCATTTCTTTTGCATTATTCTAACCTCTTTTTAACGTTTGTTCTTTTCCTTTCACCTATTCATATAGCATCTAATGAGGATAATAATGATTTTGTGATAACGGATAGCGAAGCTCCCATTGTTCAGCTTTCTACTAAGCTGGATTATGAAAAGAAGAAAGTATATAATGTTACTGTATTGGTCACTGATGCTCACAAGAAAGTAGTTGCCTGGGTGAGTTTCCTTTGCTAGAAAAAAGCCAATGAGTGATAAAACGTGCGTAAATTGATCTTGTCGCCAAGCGTACAAGTCTTATTAGCTGAAAGGAGCCGTTCGATCTTTTAGAGAGTTTTTAATCCAATCAAGACATGACTATTCACTTTACAAAACACTCAAATTATTTATTTGTTTATTTTTTTATTCGTTTATCCTCATATTTACATATTGTTTTAAATCGTTTATACAGTTCAAGGTCGAGGTGGAGAATGTCAACGACGAATATCCTATCATCGAATCGTATAAAGTTCACGAAGTGTTTGCAAGCGAATACGCGAAGATCGATGAAGAATTGTACGAATTATCGGCTTCCGATCCGGATGGAGATCAACTAGACTTTATCATAAAGTTCGCCTCTACGACTTCTAGTTTAAGTACATTTGGGATTGATTCGAGGACAGGTTAGTTCGAATTCTCAGTTTCGCTAAAAACAATTAAGTCAATAGCACAAGTTGCCGCCCCTGTGCTATTATCTAGCTGGATTTACGACAAACAAACGGGTGTAATAAAAATACGCGCGCACATGTTCTAGTATACTCAATAACTAAAAATAGAGTATAGGTTTCATTCTAAAAAATATATTTATACTTATATATTTTCGAGTATTTATACAGATAGCAGAGACAGATATATAAAAGTAAAAATGTATGGACCTGAGTATGTGTATATAAATATACGATACAAATATACTTGTATATATACCGTCTATAAGAAAATAATCGATTAAAACCACATCGATTAAATAAACAATAGTTATTAACTCGCAGATAGTAGACAAACATGAAGTAATCTCCTTTTTTTCCTTATACCATTGCAGATGGCGTTCATAAGTGTAAAGGTATCCTTATTGTATAGCTTTTTATAACGTTAATTATTTTCTTTCTCCAAGTTTATTCATTGATATTTTATTACTGTATTATATGTGTTACATAAAAATGATAAAACCTATATAGATATACATATGTAAAGATATTTTAATATATTGTGCTGTATATATAAAATATACCTACAATATATTTATATATAGTTGTGTATATCTATAAAAACTACATACGATACAGTATGTCTTTTACACATAATACTCGCTTAATATTACGGTAATAAACACGCACTATATGTTTTTTTTTTCCCACAAATTATCCTTTTCCTATAATACTCTTTTCGTTGTATGTATCAAAAAGGAAAGATTAAACGATTGTACCAATGAAATATATTAATCAGCTTTTAATTATTTATTAAACAGGAGTACTAAGGCTCAAAAAGCGCTTGGATCACGAAGTACAAACTGAACATGAACTTGTTATAAGTGTCTCCGACGGTAAACACGAAGTTCTTAGTCGGATTTTAATAAAAGTGAAAAATGAAAATGACCACAAACCGAAATTTATTGGTAGTAAATATTCGATTAATATTTCACCGTCAACAAGTTTCGGATCTAAAGTACTACAGGTAAGGACAATTATTCGAAGGCCCCTAAATCTTCATTGTTGACGTTTTTATTCTGATAGGTAACTGCTAGAGACCCCGATAAAGGAGAGGCGGGACAAGTGAGATATTCGATTGTTGGCGGTAATTATTTAGCTATAATTTTTTCTTTTGAATGTTGCCGGATTTGTATATAAATCGGGTAATTAGTAGTCGATGGAAAACGTAGCTAATTATAACGATCTACTATAAGTGAATTATAATATAGTAAAGCAGGTGTTTCCCTATACATATGATGTCAATTTCTGGCAAGAGCTTCGAGTTTCGTCTTGTTTGCTCACAGATTGCTTTTTGTTGGAATCTGGCGGTCAGTTCTCAGATATGATTTATGACTTTTATCTCGGTTCTTATGTTGCTCGTATTTGCGTTGGATTTACCGACACAACTCGTTTTTCGGGTGAACGCTCCAATAAGTACTATTAAAATGTTGTACGGGGAATATGACGCTCCCACCTGTAATTACGTTCTTCAGAAAAATGCTCCTTTATTTATACAATGAGGCTGAAAGGGGAAAAGGGTGGGGAGAAAAATAGATTGAACTTTACAACACCTGCAGAATCTTAATCTATTTTACCCACCGATCGTCTGCCTATCGTACTCGTACTCTCTTTTATATGAATTTTTAAGGTTTATCTGATAAAATTCAACTATGACACGAACTACACTCTTTTTAGCTGAGGCACTTAGTAGACATAAGCCTCCTTTATGATTTTGTGTTTTCCATTTGAAAATCTCCCTCGTCGCCTCCCTTCCTTTCCACCTAGCTGTCCCTCAGCTACCCAAACAATGCAAAATTTAAATAGGGCACGCGTTCCTTTTACTGGACAATAGCTGCACGGTCAATAATACGCACACTTGAAGAATTCTGTTTACCGTAATCGGCAATTTTTGGAGGTTGTTTGAATTGGCCGCAGGTTTTTTTCTTCTTGTCTGTAATATATTCAACGAGTTGAGAATGAATAGAGTCTTAAGTCTCTTTGTTGAAGCGTTCGTCTGGAATTTGGATTAACCTTAGAGCATTTTTCCTTTCCGTTTACTTTTCTTTATCACTCTATTGAATTTACAAGTAACGCCATCTATTGCAGGTAATACTGGAAATTGTTGGAGAATTGATGAGTCCGATGGTAGCATATTCGCAAACACAAATCTGGCTAATATTAAACGAAAAACGTTCCACCTGTCTGTCCAGGCTTCAGATAAGAAGCATTTTGATAGAGCAAATGTTGCAATAAGCCTTTCTTCTTCTGAATATGAATTGCCTAAATTTTCTCAGAGAAATTTTTACGCTGATATTGAAGAGAATAGAGAAGCAGATTATCCGATTATTACTCTTCAATTATTGAATAGGGTATCAGTATCATACGAGATTTTAGCTGGAAATGCCTTAGGAAGATTTGTCATCGATCCAACAACCGGAACAATTTTAACGACAGAGCCCCTTGATTACGAGGCAGAGCGGTTGCATAATCTGACAATTCGGGTTATGAATTTGGCATTGAAGGGTGTAAACGTGTTCGTGACTGTCCGAGTGATTGACGTAAATGATAATCGTCCCGTTTGGTCTCAATTACTATGGAAGGGTAGAGTTAGGGAAAATTCTCGTGTCGGAACCGCTATTATAGCGGAAGATGGAAGTCTACTGACACTAAAAGCTTTTGATAAAGACAGTGGGTTGAATGGTCAAGTAGAATATAGCTTAATAGAGTCGCATGTTAAGCAAAACTTTACTATAAATGAAGTGACTGGGGCAGTTTTAGTTAATGGGTTAATAGACCGTGAAAAACAAAGTAGATTCACCTTTACCGCACGAGTAAACGATAAAAGCCCAACCAGAAAATTACTTGCACACGAAGATGCCACAATAATAATTGACATAGAAGACGTAGAAGATACTCATCCACAGTTTGAAAACAACAGATACGAAACCACTATACTTCTTCCAACCTACCCGGGAGTTCACGTAATTACTGTTAGTGCGACAGATGAAGATGAAACATCCAAGCTAACCTTTTCATTAAAGAATAAGGTAGACGGCTTTGAAATTAACCCAATAACTGGCGAGATTACAATCGTTAAACACCTAAGCCAACCAGATAAAGTTATACTTACCCCTGTTGTGTCAGACCAGATTTTCACTGACTGGTCGACAGTAAAAGTGCACTTGAAACAATCTAAAAGCTCAACTCTAATGTTCCAGAATTATGAGGCGAAGGTTGTTGAGGAATCGCGGCAAGCCGTTGAATTAGCAACAATTTTTCCGGCAAACCATCAATCGGATATTCCCCTTCGTTTCAGACTGATTAATTACAAGAATCTCTTTTCTGTCAGACCATATTCTGGCATGGTAGTTACCAATGGTCTTCCGTTTGACAGAGAAGAACAATCTCATTACTTTTTAGCTATAGAAGCGCACGACTTGACCAAATCGGAAAATTCTGCTCTAGTTTTCGTAAATGTTACTATTGAGGATATAAACGACCATTCACCACTTTTTGTTAGACAACCTTACATAGGTTTTGTAAACTACAACCTAGGAGTCGGAAGAAAGTGCTTCCAGGTATTGTTTAAATTGAGTAACTATATCCCTTAATTATGCGTTGATTAAACAATAACAGGTGTCAGCGGTCGATAAGGACATCGGTGTCAATGGTGTCATTAAATATGATCTCGATTTTGAATATTCGGGAGAAAGGGATTACTTTAGTATTAGTTCAAAATCGGGAAAGGTCAAACTAAGTCAGAAGTTAAGCGAAAACGACGTTGGGCGAGAATTCCGTATGACTGTAAGGGCTAGAGACTCAGGTAAGAACCGATCAATTTAAATGTTAGACTGAGCTCATCAATAACTACTTCAACGGAGATAGTCAATAAGTAAACATCTTAATTATGTTTGCAGCTACCAAATATTTACAATCGGAAGCGACATTAGTAATGAAAGTAATTAACGACGTTTCACCGTCGTTTAAACAAACGCATTACGTTGGTAAAATTAGTGAGGACGCGGAAATTGGATCAGTCGTAACAACAGTAGAAGCTGAAAGCAAGACGGGAAACATTTTATCCTATTCGATTGTACATGGTGACGAATTCGATGAATTCGAAGTTGATTACAACATTGGTGAGTCACGTTTCCTCTATCTATAAAACTAATTTATATATTTTTAGATTTTGGTATGCTTTCTCTCTTTCTGATTGTATTTTTTTTTATATATATTTTGTACTCTCATTTCCTAGTTTATTTAGTAGATTCTATTTTATTTTTTTTATATTTATTGATTTAGAACGATTGATTGTATTTTAATATTTTGACGAAAAAGAGAGAGAGAGAGAGACAGAAAAAAAAGAGAGAAACACATAGAAAAACTATACGAATAGTAGAGAATTAACAGATTATTTTAATTTAGATTTAGTTACTGTTTCTAGTTATTAAAAATAATTATGAATAATAATAAGGAAAAGCATAATATTAGTAATTAAAAGAAAGCAATAATAGTGCAAAAAATAAGTTATTATTTATAATTGTGATATGGTGTGATTAGATAATGAACATTCGAAAATCTGTAAGTATAACAAATAAATTATACTCATCAGATAATTAACTGCTTAATTAATTCCCCATTAACATGATAATTATTCCTATTCCTTCACTTCCTTCCATTTATTTATAACAATCAAAGTCTGTATATATATTAAAATATACAGTATAAAATATAATGCCTTCCTTTTATATTTAATGAAGTTGTGATTATTTACCCGCGTTAAGTTGTTATTTTCTGCTATTATTTTGCTTTGCTTAACTTCTCTTTAAAAGTTGTATATGCACGCAAATATGACAATATTTTATGGATAAAAAAAGACAATTTTTTTCATTTACTTAATCTCCTAATAATTAAATTCACATAAAGTCTTATATTATTATTATTTATATAAAATATTGAGGTTTAAAATATCGATTTTCTGTCACTTTTATAGGTTCTATTAAAGTAAAACGACCTTTGGACTACGACAACGAGAATTATAGATTTTATAAATTAATAATAAGAGTTACTGAAATTCCGACCAAGTCATACCATGAAGCTTCACTTCAAATATTTGTTGAAGTAAGTCAAAAACATAAACAAAAATATTTATTATGTCACGATATAATACTTTTCTTCTCTTTAATAGGATGCAAATGATAACGCTCCTGTGCTAAGCTTATCTGAATATCAAACTTCTATATCGGAAAGAACGAGCATCAATTCGCTCTTACTTAACATATCTGCCACTGATAAAGATTCCAAACAAAATGCCAAGCTGAAGTACTATTTCGTTCCCGAAGAAAATGAATACTTGCGAATTGATGTTGAAACTGGGGCGATTTATTTAATCGAGAGCGTCGATAGAGAATCAATTAGCCGAATACAGGCTACAGTAAGAGTCTCAGATTCTGGAGTTCCGTCTCTCTATTCTGAAGCTGATATTATTATTCAAATTGAAGATGTCAATGACAACAGCCCAACTATACAATCGGATAGTTTAAAGGTGGAAATATATGATGATATTAGTCCAAAGACTTTCGTCTCTGTCATCTATGCAACCGATAACGACATTAGCGACTTGGGAAAACTGCGCTATTCGTTCATCAACGGCAATCAAGAAAATCTATTTCGAATTGATTCCAAAACTGGTATAATTACAATGGCTGATGCAGTCAGTAGGAAACAAATTAAAAATAGTTTATACGTGTTAAATGTGACGGTTACGGATGGTATTTTCACTGAGTTTGCCGTACTTAACATTAAGGTCAATAAGCGGAACAGATATTTACCAATATTCACAAAGAATGTTTACGAAACTTCACTCGAGAATAGTGAGGGAAGAGACGTGAGAATTTTGAATGTTAGTATTCAGGCTAATGATGCGGACGATGGGAAAATGGGCAAAGTAAAATATACTTTGGAGTGTGAGGACTATTGTAAATCGTTCAATATAAGAAAGAGAACTGGTAAATTAAGCGTTTTGGGAGAGCTCGACCCCTCCATAAGTCCCATTGAATTGTCCGTAAAGGCCACGGACGGAGGAGGTAGAGAAAGCAAATGTCTCGTTAGAATAAACGTAATTGGTCGGGAAGATTTAACCCCTTCATTCATCATGAAAGAATATCGAGCTAACCTTATTGTAGGCAACCTGCTCGGAACTCACGTCGTTCAATTGAGAATTGAGCAAGATTTTCCTGTCAAATACTCGCTTCTAAGCGAAAATAAGATAATACATAATCTCTTTGCCATAGACTCGACTGGTCTGATATCATTGACTGTTGATCTAGATTCTAGTCACGGTGAGTAGAATAATACATCATGCTATTGATGTTTTCCATCTAATCATAATTCCTTTAGAACTCTTTTAAGAAATATTTTTCTTTTATCCCAAAAAAAATATAGCTACAAAACTCTTTCAATTCTTTGCTGTTGTCGAGCACAGTCTACACTCGGATTTAAAGAATCAAGTTCCCGTTGAAATATATGTCAGAGGTATTACTGAAACAGTACCGGGATTCGATCTAGGAATTTGTGATAAAACGTTGTCAATAAGAGAAGATTCCAACATCGGCAGCTTTGTCACTGAAATTCGAACGATCAATAGTGGTAATAAATTATCAATAGTGCCGGGAAATTCAAAGAGAACCGGAGCCGACCAATTCGCTATCAACGACCATGGTAAATTAACAGTTTTTAAAAGAGTCGATAGAGAAGAAGTAGAGCAATACGAAATAACAATTCGCGGTGAAACCGGTGCTACTCCACCCATTGTGGAGCATTGTTCAATTTTCATTAATTTGCTCGACATGAACGATAATTCACCGGAATTCGAACCCTTAGTTAATGAAGTGGTAGTGAATGAAAATGAAAATATTGGAACACCGGTGTCACGGCTTTCTGCTTTTGACCCAGATTATGGACCGAACGGAACTATAGTTTATACTTTAGCCAACTTTCCGAATGAATTTTCTATAGATGGAACTTCTGGTCAAATACATACGGCAGCGGTGTTAGACTACGAAAAGGTAACAGAGTACAAATTGGCAGTGGTTGCTTCCGATTTGGGAAGTCCTCCTCTGGCATCAACAATGACAGTTACAATTAAGGTTAACAACCTTAATGATGAACGGCCAAAGTTTGAAAATGATCTATACAAACATAGTATATATGAAGATGCAGCTATTGGACAAGAAGTGTTAATACTTCAAGCAGTAGATTTAGGTATGTAGAAAAGGTAGAAAAACGTCTTTTTCTCCCTTCTTAAATAAACATTTATATGAGCGAAATTCGAATGATGTTTTCCATTTTCTAAAAACAGATGAAGATGGAAGCGTATCTCATTACATTCTTTCGGGTAATGAAGAGTCTAAATTTAAACTTGATAGAAGTGGAAAGTTAACTATAAACAAGGAATTAGATCGTGAAAGAACATCAGAGTACACATTAGAAATTCTAGCCACGGACTCTTTGTACACTACGACCGCAACTGTTAAAATTAAAGTCAATGACATTAACGACAATGATCCAAGATGCGAAGAGGTGAGTTTTCAAATTTAAAAACGCTATATAAACATAACTAATATGTTTTCGTTTACGTATTATAGAAACAAGCTCATGCTGCAATTCACGAAGATGTAAATATTGATACAATGGTATATACGATAAAAGCGCACGATCCTGACATAGAGAAGAATGGACAAATATCTTATTCGCTTTCGGGCGAAAGACATTATGACTTTTCTATCGGAGCAAAGAACGGACAAATAGTGACCAAAGCTAAACTCGATTATGAAGTACATCCTTACTATAATTTAACAGCCAAAGCTAAAGATTTTGGTGGAAGATATTGTGAAACTCGATTATTAATCGAAATAAAGAATGTCAATGATAATCCTCCAAAATTCGAAAGAGATACTTATAACTTTCAAATTCGAGAAGGAATTAATAATGGAGTAGTAGGACGAGTATGGGCATTTGACCCAGATTTAGGTATTTTTCTTTCTTAATTTAGGTTATTTTCTTCGGAAATAAATTATTTAAACGATAAATTCTTTTGCAGATGCAAACCAGCTGATAACTTATCAAATTTCTGATTCGAGTAACAAATTTGCAATTGATAGAGAAAAGGGTATAATAACTCTATTAGAAAGTCTTGATAGAGAAAAGAAAGCTAAATATACATTTCAAGTTGTAGCGAATGACGATGTAAGCGAAATAACAAATTCAATTTATCCAATGGTTTTCTTTTTTTTTTTATCTGAACATATCTGATTATTTAGGTTGATTCCCATTCCAACTACGCAACGGTTAACGTGGTCGTTTTAGATGTTAACGATAATCCTCCGATATGGGAAAGAGAGCTATACTCTATTGAATTGGCTGAAGATCTTCCAATAAAATCTAATGTTCTTAAAATCCAAGCCACTAGTTTGGATGTTGGAATTAACGCTCAATTATCTTATGAAATTATCAGAGGAAATACTGATGGAGTTTTTACTATCGATCGCAAAGAGGGTACAATCTTATTATCTAAGGAATTAGATTACGAGAAGCAGAAGGAATACTCTTTACTAATTCAGGCTGTCGATTCTGGGGTACCGCCCTTAAGTTCAAATACTCAACTAAAGATAATTGTTACTGATAAGAACGATAATGCTCCATATTTTGGGACTAATATTCCGATAATCGTAAGGCTTTCAATTTGCCAAGTCATCAATAACGATTGAATGAACGAATTTAATTTTCTATTTCAGAAGCACGTACGTGAGGAAGAGGCGAGGGGAAAGACTATACTTAGAGTAAGTGCCAAGGACATTGACAGCGGGGATAATGGAAGAATTGAATATTCATTGAAAGAGTGTCAACCTGAACACCATTTTATCATCGACGAACGGTCTGGCGAATTGAAAGCAGTCGAGGTTATCGATAGAGAAAAGGTCACGCAATACGATCTGAAAGTTGAAGCGAAAGACTTTGGGAAACCTCGTTTATCTTCTACAATTTCCGTTCAAATAGTTGTCGATGATATAAATGATAACACCCCTACATTTACAAAGAGTATATATGAAACTGTTGTCCAGGTAAGATTCTTATCAGCTTTCTCAAGTTAAACTTTTCCTGTTACGAAATAACATTAATAAACTAATCGAATATCCTTTACTAACCATTGAAACGTGCTACAATAAGGTTAATGAAGGCGGATTACCGTCTATTGTGAGTTTAACGTCGCACCTTAATCCTTTAATTATTTTTTTTTAGGGTAAAACACCAAACAATCCACATCCGTGTATTTCTAGCATGTTTATTATTATTATTTAATTAATTATTTTGGTCCTTTTTTAAGTTATTTCTTTAATTAAGTGCTTGTTGTTTTTATAAGATGAATAGAGCTTAATCCACTCGTTTCATTCAATAGGAAAGCAGCGAAGTTGGCTATAGTATTGTTAAAGTATCGGCAACTGATCCCGATGGAGAAGGACATGCTGGCCCCTTCCGTTACAGCCTTTTATATGGTGGTGAGAAAAAGTTTCGTGTAGATTCTAAAACTGGCTGGATAACAACTACCGACATCTTTCGTCCTCATGAACAATTTTCCTTTAAGGTGAAAGCGTTTGATCAAGGGAATTTACATTCAACGGCTATAGTCAATGTTAAGGTTGTAAAAGAAGGGCGAAATCCTCCAAAATTGTATGGCTTCAACGCTACTTTAAGAATATCTGGAGAGACTGCTCAACCTGGCCCAGTGGGACGATTAAGAGCTTATGATAAAGATCCATATGACGCTAATATGCTGAGATTCTCTATTCATTCGTACAATAAGTATTTTAAAGTTGACATTGAGGACGGAACTCTACACTCCTTGAAACCTTTAGATCCGGGAGAATACGCCGTAAACACAAGTGTTGCTGACACAAAACACGTCAGCTATTCAATGGTTTATATAAATGTAAAGAAAATATCCAGAAAAGCCGTTAAAAATTCTGTTATTGTACATATAAGCGATATGCTTCCAAGCGATTTCCTCCACGCCAAATATAAGGAAACTTTTATGAAAGTTGTCAGCAGTATTGTTGCTCCACCGGAATCTAATAAACAATTATTATTATTGGGAATGGAGGAAGCTCATCATGTTATTCTTGATGAGGAAGTGATTGAAAAGAGAAAAAGAAGATCAGTTCCCACGGATTTGCTATTGTTTTTGGCTGTTAAACACTCGGATAAAAATTCAATAAGGCCTGATGAAAGATACGTTAATAATGTTATTCTTAGAGAGAATCTATTAAATTTTAAAGCTCAAATTGAAAGAGATTCCAGAAATTTAAGGATCGTTAATATTAAGATAGACGAATGCAAAAAAGCCAAATGCGAACCTTATAAATGCCTAACTGAAGTTGAAATTGCACCTCAATTGAATCGGTATATAACAGAACAAGAAAGTTTCGTTTCACCAGGCTTAAAGATGGTATCGAAATGCGATTGTCCAATCGGTTTTCGTGGACCATCTTGTAAAGAGGACGCAAGAGAGTGTATAAAATGCAGAGCACCGGAAGAATGTAAAAAAATTGATGGAGAATATTCTTGTGTGTGCCCGCAAGGATTTAATTGTCAGGGTGTTAAAGATCAAGATGAAGGTTCGTTATTCCTTCTATTTAAAAATTTAACTATTATTGCTCAGGGCAAAGTTTAACTTTAATCTCTTTTATTTTCTCCTTACAGAACAAGTTTTATCTTTCACCGGAAACAGTTACGTCGAATGGAAGGTTGCTAAGTCTATTGAACAAGAAATGATTCTATCTTTAGAATTACGAACTCTGGCAACAAAAGGACCGATAATGCATACTTCCGGTACAAAGCTTTATTCTAGTATTATTGAAATATCCGATGGTTGTATACAATATCGTTGGGATTGTGGAAGCGGTAGAAATATTATTAGAATACAGCAGCAGCCTATTAGTGACGGATGGTGGCATAGTGTTATTGTAAGGAGAAATCAAGATTGTTCCGCCGAGATTATTATCGATAACAAATATAAATCTAGAGGAAAAGCTGGGGTATTAAGGAATGACGTAAACCTCGAAGCCGAAACAATTATATTCGGCGCTCAATTACGACGAGGCACAGTAAAATCGGGTTTTGAGGGTTGCCTTCGACATATTGTAATGAATTCCCAACCTCTACATCCCAGTATAGCAATGTTCTCGAATGTTCAAGCGGGTTGCGGAATATCTTCAGCGAGTCTTTGTCAATCGTCGTACTGTTCTAACGGTGGCATTTGCAAACCCATACCGGAGGAGAGTAATTATAAATGCTTATGTCCCCCAAATACCACTGGGCGGGCTTGCGAAAAAGTCATTTCAGATGTTATATCGGCAAAGGGCGAATTTAGAATTTGGCAAGTCTTGATTGCCTGTGGTATTATCATTATCCTCATACTTTTTGCCTTATCTCTCGTCTGTCTAATTAAAAAGAGAAAAACGAAAGCCCGTGAAAGACGAGAATTGATGAATGGCAGTTGCACTTATAATAAAGTTGGTGAAGATTTAGATCCTGCCAAATGTGATCACCTAGAATTAACTGTGTGCCACCAACCTCCCCCTATTCCACAAAGGCCTTCGTCTTATACTCCATCAGACGTTGGCTCAACTCTAGTACCCAACGCCTTAGGGGTGGTAGAACGAGCGAATAATTATTCTAACGATGCAATAGAGGAACGTAACTCAAAGAGGCCCAGGGGATTACAGGCGAAAGGTACTTATCCGATAGTCGATAAGAACAATTTGAACATCTCATTCGACGATGAGAACATGAAGAAGGCTCAGAACAAGGAATTATCATCGTCAGGAGGACAAAGTTCATTCGACGTTCAATCTGAAGGACCAAGTAAGTCATTAACCAATTGTTATTGTATCTTTTTGTTTTGTTTTCATAAATTATAAACAGTTTAAAATACGTTTAAAAAAAAAAGAGAGAGAGAACAAATTGAACAAAAGGGAACTACTTTTTGTGTTTGTTTAGTTCTTTCTTTTTTGTATATTCAATTCGATAAACGACGAATTTAATCATACAAAACAATTCTTTTTTTATCAATGCACCTTCAGGAAACTATTTCAAAGTACCAACTACTAATAAAGGTACAATACGTTTGTAAGAAAGGCATGCCAAAAAAAAATGAACAACAGCTATTACAAATATCAAAATAAAGAGAGCAAATTCTACACTATCACGCACCCCTCCCTCCCTCCCTACCTTCCTCCCTTTCCCCCCTGGCCTTTTTAATGAATGTTTTTTAAATACTAACTCTTATTTACATTTATCCTTATTCTTTTACAATTCGGCATGGCTGATTTATTTAAATAGCTACTTATTTATTTCTTTTTTGACATATATATTAATATATATATCAGTTTATTTAAGTAAGACTAGTTTATTTATCCTCATCAGTTTGGCTTTTCTTATTATCTAGGTTTAGACGATTTTAATATTAAAAATTCATTATATTTTGCTTTTATTCTCCCTTATTCACATATATTTAAATATTTATCTTTGGCATCTTTTTAATATCATTCACATGATCGCTAAACTATATTAAAATATTTTAATAATTGTTAAATTGATTTTAGCCTATGCGTGGGATACTTCTGATTGGGCGAGATCTAGGGATCCTTTACCACAAATTACTCAGGTACGAGAGCTACTTATATTTAGTTATATTCTAATAACGTGTTGAACTCTTTTATAGATATCAGGTAGCGTTGTTCCTGATTCGTGTCCGCCGTCTCCTAAAGGATCAATCCTTCAACATAAGATAACCGATGATGATTACGCGACGGATGGCGGCTTTGCCGAAGGTCATTTTGCCTGCGATGAATCACTTTTGGGTGACACAGACGATGATTTAGATGATGAATTTCGTAATATGACCTTAGATTTAAAAGTTCGTACCGATATGCTGAATTCGGACGATCTCCAATATGGTTTTCCTATAAAACCGATGGCTCCGTTAACCTACGACGACTATGTTTCAACGGATGGTTTAGCAGTAAGTGATGATGATAATAATGATAATGATCAGCGTATAAGCCAATTATCTGACGAAGATAACGACGACGAAGGTCGTTCAGATCTAGCGTTATTGCCAGCAGCAAAGCAAACCCAGGTGTAAGAAATTAAAATGTGCTCAACAATATTACCTTTTTTTTTTGTTTTGTATGAAAAAGCTTTTGTTTGCTTAAACAAAAAGAAACAACTTCAAAAATAAGCTAAAACAGGCAATTTGGTGCTGTTTTTATTTTTTTAAATACTTATATAAACACATATACTAAAGGAAAGGAAAGTTTTTTTTTTCAATGAATGCTGATCAACAAACGAATAATCAATTTGCGTTAGAAAACCTGCATGAAATTTTTTTCTTTTGGAGGAGATAAGGAAAAAAATAATTAAGTTAAAAATTATAAAGGATTGTTTTCGCAAAAATGGTGCTAAATACTATGTTCGATTTTCTGAAAAATGGAAATTTCTTAGCCTAGTCTTCATTTTTTATTACTTTTTATTTTAAAATCTATCTATATACATGTCTTTTATATGTTAAAAAAAACAAAACAAGAAGAGATGTTCATGCATGCATACACAGCATGAATTATAGTGTGTAAATATTGCATATACATTATCGTCTTTTTATATTTATACGTTGTTTTTTTTTTATACTATTTCTTTGTATTCACCTTTTTTTTGTGTGTGTAAATTGATGTCACAAATTTGTTAATTTTAGAAGAGAGAACCTTTTTTCTTTGGAAGAAAAGAAAAAAAAAACATAAAATGTTATTGATACTGAAATTATGAAAAAAAATAATAATAACAAACAAAACGAATTGTTTATTTTGTATTCTTAGTATTTTCGTGAGATTTATAAAATGTTTCCGCAACTAATAATGGTAGGATTAATGTTGCTTCACCGTATACTTTAACGGGTTTTGCGTCTTTTCGTATCTTTCCCCAAGATATTGCTTCGTCTGGTCGGGCACCGGAATCACTTCCATCGAATTCTTGAGCGGTGTTTATAAATACGGAAAAATTAGCTCCATTTCTCTATTTACAAAGAAGAAGCGGAAGTTTTAATAATAATAATAATCATATCTTTGTAAAGCAATTACCATTAAATTTGCGTTGCATATATGATGCTTCATAAGGCCGCCTCCTACGATAATCATACCAGTGTTAATTGCGTACAATGCTTGAAAATTCATTCTTCTAATGTCTTCAACAAGGTCTATTTTTAGCCCAGGATTTTTAATAGAATGAAAGAAGAGCATATCGCCAATAGATCCATCAGTTAACGCCGGAGAAAATACAGGAATATTATTCTGTCAAGAGAGTAATTTATTTATCATTAGATGCTCCTCTTTTTCTTTTATAAATATCTATTTCATGATCAATTATTTTTCCCATTCTATTTCTATTAAAACGAACCTTAGCGCACCAATAATAAACACTATCTGGGTTATCAATCTCGTGACCTAGGCGAGCAATAACCTTTGATGGAGTCCAAACAGTTCCCTCTTCATTTTGCTCTTTAAGCTGGAAGAAGAACGCAATGATGGAATTAAAATAAACAAAGCGAAAGTAATATAGTAGAAAATAATTCTATACCATTTTATCAAAAATAGGCATAATCCATTCCTCGAAATAACAATAGTTATCATTTGGTACTAGTAAATTACCAATTCGATTTATTCCTCTATCTCTTAGCATTTGCCCTGGAAATTTATTAAAATCTCCCAAGTAAGTAGGTGCGAGACACTTAACAAAGTCTTCTTCAATTCCACCAGCAGTTGTAACTATGCAATCAACCTATAGAAGGTTTACTTAGTTATTTTGGATTAGATAACGTAATAGATAATAAAGAATAATGGAAAAAGGTAATTACCAAATTATTTTTAGCCAGAAAACGTATAGTATCTCGAACGCCTGATGAGATTAAATTGGACGTATAGCCGAGAAAAATAGTACAATTTGTTTTCTCTCTTCCTACTGGGTTTAGATTAGGGCATTCTTGATCTGCCTTGGATAGCGGCTGCCGTTTACAATCTATCTAAAAATATTGCGCAATACGTAGTAATTGGTTAAAAGAAACGCACGTGGAAGGAACGATAATAGATGAAAGCACTATTTTACCATTCGTTCTATTTCTTCGATAGCCATTCCGAAGTTTGTTGCTTGAAATCCAGTTGTTCTAAAACTTTTCAATAGTTGAGAATAGTCTAATCCGTTTTCAAAGTCGTATCCTTTAACTTCAACCGGTTCACAAGGTAATTCACCACTTTTTAAAAGAACGCTTTGTTCGGCTAAGTTTTCCATAATAAAAGTAAAAGAAATATATTGATTAAAGATTTCTCCAAGTGTAATTAAGAATGGATCAATTCAAAGAGAAATCGTGCCGAAGCAGAACAATCGGAAAAAAGACAAACTACTTCCGCTTACTACGATTTTAGGGGAAAAGATGTCGCTCTATACTGCGACAAGCTATATAGAGAATTAAAGTATGGATTCCATTGTAGTACATTCGTCGCCATTTTATTATTCTCGCAGCGTGTTATGTCAATATATTAATATGTGCTTGACTACGAGGAAATACCATCTTTGCAATTCAAAATGAATCCCATCTGGTAGTGTCTTAAACGACATTTTGGTTACTAAGGTTTCGTTGGGAGACATTTCAACGCCTTATATCGTAATCAATATGTCCGTTGAAATGGATGATCAAGAACGCAAGATTGTCAACGAATTTTGTCATTATTTGGAAAAATCAAAGCAGCTATTCAACGGATTAAGGTAGTTAAGTTTGCTTTGCAAACCAATTCTAAAAAAATATCTGTATGCATCATATAATTATATTGCGAGCGTCTCTTCGGTGACGTTGGCCCTATCGACATCGTTTGCATAACGTATGAAATCCGCAAATAAATCTTTATTGTTGCCAAGTGTTTGTTTGTTAATATATCGACACTATAAGACACGTTTGTCATAGATTGTTAGATAATTATAATAGTTTTAATACTAGTCGTTAATAAATGCATATATATATACATATATAGTATATACAGTATATATATATATATATATATATATAGATTGATTGATAGATAGAAGACTACGTATACATAAAATATACATGCATATATGTGCTTACTGTTATAGAGATCTACCCCAATACGGTCATAAGCAATGGCAATCGTATTTTGGTCGAACATTCGATGTCTATACAAAACTATGGAAATTCCAACAGCAAAATCGGTAAGATAAAAAAGAGTCGGGAAATTAAATAAGCAATTAATTATATTAAACGTTAATTAAATTATTAACAGACACGTTCTAGACGTCAAATATTCCCTTAAAAGGTGGCAAATAGGAGAAATAGCATCGAAAATAGGGCAATTATATTATCATTATTAGTAAGTATGCAATTTATTTAGCAATATTTAACGTTTAAAGGTCATATATATTTGTTATTAGAGTTTAATATTTATTAAATATGTATTTCTATTCTCCGTTTCAGTTTACGTACAAGCGAAACGAATTATTTAAATGAATCGTTTTCGTTTTATAATGCTATTAGAATGCGAGCTTATTATTCCAGTGCCAATAAAGAAGAGAGGTAAGGGAATATATACATACGTCTTTATTCAATAAAAGAGAAAAACTATCCTTCTCCCTTCTTTCTTCGTCTTTCTCTCCTTTTCTATACTTCTCTGTTTCTTCGTATAAATTTATTCTTATTTTTTCGTTACAGACCTGATTTGATGGTGAAAAAATTGAGATATTACGCCCGATTTATAGTTGTCTGCTTGCTTTTAAAGAAAATGAAATTAGTTAGAGACTTAGTTAGAGTAAGATAGCAATCTTATTCATTATTTAAAAAGAAACTAATCTATATTTTTTTTTCTCTATCTCTCCTTTTATCTCTCTCTTCCTCTCTCTCTCTCTCTCTCTCTCTGTCTATTAGGAACTGGCTAAACAAATTGATGACTACAGCAGTACTTATTCTCCAGATGATCAGTTAGAATGGTCGCTAGTTTTAGGGGAAATTCAGGCATTTATACAGGTTCTTTAAACATTCTCTCTTTTTTATCTTTATGACACACATATATATATATATATATATATATATATATATATATATATATATAATATACAAATATAGGCAGATAATGTTGTGAACGTTACGGATCTTGAGTCTACTCCTGTTATATTATCTCATCGTCTAACTCCAACGAATATTGTATCGCTGGAAAAAGGAACGCCTATTTATTTAACTCTTCAGGAGATATTAATTGTTGGCAATAGTCACTCACAAGTTTGTTTAGATTAATTTTGTGTCATTAAACAAAATTAACGACTTGTTTCTTTTTTTTTTGGGGATATTTTCTAGGTCAAGTTTAGTGAATTGACTTTAGATATGTTCAGAATATTGCAGACGCTAGAAAGGGAACCTCAAGAAGATCTAACTAATCAAATTTTTGACGCCTCTCCGGCCCCTGGTCGAATACCCTTTGTTAGTTAATTTTTATAATTTCCTTCTTTGCTCTACCTCTTTCCTTCTCTCTATCTTTCATATTTAACTAAGATGCTTTTTCTTTCCTTTCTTAGGATGGATCTGGGATATCTAAGAGAGAGAATCCTCATAAATATTTATTATACAAACCGACTTTCTCGCAATTAAATGCATTCCTAGCTTCCGGATTTAAAGAACTTCCGCCATCCGGGGCTATGTTAATATATTTATCTGCTGATGGGTGTAGAAATCATTGTGATAACAGCAGAAAACTTGACAGTAAGTGGTAGAGGCTTTAAATAAAAGAAATTGATAAATTGCTGCTGATACGTTTAATTAATTGTTAATTGACTTTTTTTTTTCTTCTTTTGTGCGTCTGCACACGCCTCTGCCTGCTTCAACGTATATACAGTTGCATACGATTACGGAGGTTTGCTTACAAATAATAAAAGAGAGCCAGAATTTGTACAGAATAAAACAAAGAGGTCGGGAGCTTTAAAAGACATGCATTGGTAATTTGATTACAATATAAATATTATCTTTATCTAATCTTATAAATATTCCTCTTCCTTATTATACATTTTTTGTTTTTTTTCCTTCTTTTTCAGCCTACATCCAGGAGATTTATATTTATATTGCAGAAAACCATTATTCCTTATTGTCGATAGTGATAATAGCTCAGCATTTGCTGTTAGTAATATATTCTCAGTCTATTTTAATCAAAATTTATTTAGTATCATTTTTATTTATTAATTAAACAAACAGCATTGGCCAGTTCTATTTGGACAACCGTTAGTCTGTTTATTATCAGCAGCGACGTTTCCAGATAGTTTTCCAGGTAAGATATGAAATGCTATTTATGTAGCCTATGTTATTATCTGCAGTCAACATAGTTTGCTCCTAGTTTAGCTGGCTTATGAACAACAGCAAAAAAACAAAACAATTCACCATTAATACTTTATAAAACACTAATTAATTAGTTATTTATGTAGTTGTGTGTATATAAATTGCCTGCTGACTGGTTCCTTCTGACAGAACAACACCAAAAGGGGAATTTAATGACGCTTTTCCTCCACTCACCCCTAACAGCTTTCTGTTACATATGTAAACTGAACGATGTACCTTTTACTCTGTGGGAGAGGTCTAGATCTCAGGTGATGGATTTTATTATTAAAACAAGAATGAATAGAATGCTTTTTACATTACTTACCAATAGATAAATTCTCTTTGAGTTTATTGTTTAAATTATATTAAGATTCTATTGTGAACAGGTGGATAAATTTTTAAATGACGCTGGTAGACTATTTATGAGATCAAAGACTTTGGGTGTGTGTTTATTCAATTGTTTATTATTTTCTTTATGCTTTCCTGTGAATAATTTTATAATTTATTTCTTTCAGATCAATCCTACATTCAATTTTATGGTGATGACTTTCTAAGATTGCTCATGCTTCGCTTCGTATTCTATTCGGTTGTTGTCCTACTACATAAAAGTTTTAAGGTAGGTGCGCGAGTGGGAATTATAAATGCTTGTGTATTGATCTATATATATATTTACTCTTACAGGGTTCCCAACATTACCCTTTGAGTTATCCGAAAATCCCACGAGAAGAACTATTAGAGTCGCCTCAGCTTATAAAAAACGTATTAGATTTGTCAAAAATCCTAGAAGTATATGGCCTTTTTCACGATCCAATTTCGAATATGTGAAACAGTTTTAAACGTCCTCCGAATTTTTTTGCTCAATTTGTTTTTCATTAGGGAAGAAAAAAATAACATTTCCGTTTAAGAATCTCGTTCAATATGGTGACATTTTCTAATATTATTAAGCAATCTCCTGTTTGTCATTAGATTTCTTCTTTTTCTTTAATTGTTTTGTTTGTTTGTTACTTTATTTTCTTTTTTAAATCTTTACTCACAAAATTTCTTTCTTTTCAAAAGGAAGTTTTAAGAATTAGTGTTTCTCTTTTCTGTCTACCCTTTTTTTTTATAAAAAAATAATCAAAAACGTCACTCAAACACTATATATATATATATAGCTCTCTCTCTCTCTCTCTCTCTCTCTCTCTCTTTCTCTTTTTCTCTTTTATCTTTCTCTATGAAATTATATTTGGAACGTCTCAATGTTTGAATCTTGGACAGCTTAGTCAAGATTTCTGGAGCTAAATATTCAAGTACTGTACAGTATTCAATGATGAAAAGTAATTCTGTTATTTGTAGCAGTGTTCACTTGTATTAAAAATGTTTTTTCCAATCGTTTTGATGTGATTTTATTTGTTTTGACCTAATTTTTTTAAAATTGTTATTGAATACAAATCTAAAAGGGCGCCACCAGTTCGTGGTTATTTCACAATTTCATAAATATATTGCAAAATTTCTATATAGGAGATTTCATCTGTCTAACATCGAGTGTCGCTTAAGAAGCTTCTTATTAATCTAATAGATCAGAGTGAACAAAATGAACAACAGTAATGTTCAACCTTTACATTTATTCTCTTTAATTTTAAGCTTTTATGTCGCCAGACTCATCTATTCCTCGCTTTCTAAATGCGAGAGACACGGAATTATTCTTCCACGATTTGGAAAGTAATGTCGTTTTATTATAGCAAGTTATTGTGTTAATTAACTTATTGACTTTTCGATAGAACAGACCGATGTGTCAGTACAACAGACAGATGGATTGAATGGCAATTTTGACCAAAATCCTTGTAAATATAGAGGGCATACAGTGCTGAAACAAATGTTCCGTACAACCGACTTTCCACCTCTTCTACTTTACGAATTATTTACATATTTTGGTGAGTATGTATAATTCAGTATGAATTTTTTTTTGGAAAAGTTAAGCCAATTTTCCGTATACCCCCTATAAAATATGATCCATGAGTAGTTTATAACAAGTATTCAATGAATATGATAGGAAGGTATAATATTAATAGGCACCAAGAAGGCTTATCCTATGGGCAGATTTCGGAGATTTTCAACATTCCGAAATTTTCCATACAATACATTATTAAACCTAATTATACATAGAGTGGAGGTGTTGGGTATATGGAAAATTGGCTTGACTTTTCCAAAAAAATTTGTACTGAATTATACATACTCACCAAAATATGTAAATAATTCGTAAACTAGAAGAGGTAGAAAGCACCTGAAAATTTCTAATAAAACTAGACAAAATTTCCTACACAGTAGTCAGATTTTTTCTAAAAAAATCCCATTGATTACCCTTTAAAATAGCCCTTATAAAAAAAAAGTCGGTTGTACGGAACATTTGTTTAAGCACTGTATAATAACAAATTTAAATTAATTATCTGTACGCCTGTTCGATATACCTGACACGTGATCAGTAACAGGAATTTCCATGGCTAATCATTTCGAGAATCTGACGAATTCAGGGCCAACGCAACAAACGCTTACGGCCAATTCGTTTCAGCCTATAAGTGAAGGTAAAACAATCAAAATGTATATACTGTAGAGGAAAAAATATTCATTTGCATATTTCAATTGCATAGAAACCGTTTGCTCAGAGCAGAATACGGTTGATACTTATGGGATTTTGGTGTTGAATATACAAAATGAAGAAAAAACTCTGGACCAGAAGAAAAACTTGGCTGTTTCGTTGGAAATTTTTAGAAAGTGTTCCGAACTTACAGAATTCCCACTGATCTCCAAGTATTCTACATATACATCCTAACAAAGTCTTTTAATCATAATTCTTTATTTCTTTTTATTTTGTAGTCCAACCGTGGACTTCCCGAACACCAACTACAAGTTTGCTTATCCAAAGTTTCGAGAGAGGGTAGAATTTGAGCAGATGATAGACGGTCTGCGGACAACAAGCCATTTCGTTGACAAGCTAAGAAATTTCACCTCCAAGTTGGTGAGATTTTGTCAAGTAGTGCGAAATGTTCCATATTCGCACTACCTGTACAAGTATCCACCAAGAGGCTATGAACTGGATTTTTACAAATGCCCAACAAACGGTAAACTTAACGGAAAGAAGCTTTCAAAAGGGCAAATCATTCTCCAGCTGGTAGAGTTGTTGAGATTACTAACTTTGAACAACGGATATCTTCACTTTCCTGTAGAAGTTTATAAAGCGAGGGATGAAGAAGCAACTGTGGTAGCAATGGCAGAAGGTAAGTATAAAGCACTTGACAAAAGAAAGATTTTTTTAAAGCATTACGTTAATACGTTATTTTCAATATTTTCAATATTAACAAGCCACACAAAAAAAATTTTGTTTTTAAGATCAATGGAACGCTGACGGAACTTACCCCTCAATGATCCGTGAAGATACAACATTGATTTATTATTAGTATCCCAAGGATTTTTTTCTTTTTAAATCATATGTCTTTATCGTTTGTCCTAATTTAGTTTTAGCTTCTAATAAACATATTTATGATTCAAATGATTCAATGATCTGCTTCAAGAACTTTTATATATTACAGATGGCGCCTTGATTCTAACAAATATATGCCCAGTTTATTAACAATACAGTGTCCAAAATGGAAAGCGCTGCTGAAGCGGTAAAGCGTCCCGCCGATAATAATGATAGTGATGATGATTGGGTTGGACCTAAAATTGGAGAGTCAGCAACTGCAAAAAAGAGGAAAAGTTTGTTGTTTTGTATTTTTCGATTTGATCTAATTGTATTTTTTACTTTTCAATTTACCGCTAAACAATATCCACCTTATATCGCTCTTTTTATATTTAGCTCTTCAATTTGAAAAAGTCTACTTAGATAATTTACCTGCATGTGAAATGTACGAAAAGAGTTACATGCATAGAGATGTGATCACTCATGTTGTGGTAACAAAGTAAATATAACCAACGTTTATTAATTTATTTCCTATTTATGTAATTTATTCGAATTTCAGAACGGATTTTATCATAACAGCAAGTGCTGATGGACACGTAAAATTTTGGAAAAAGAACCCAGATAGAGATATAGAATTCGTTAAGCATTTTAGATGTCATTTGACCAATATTCTTGATCTTGCTGGCAGTAACGATGGACAGATGGCCGCATCAATCGCTGAAGACCAAATAGCTAAGGTCTTCGATGTAATTAATTTTGGTAAAATGAATATTCATTTATTCATAAATTATATTATTATTTTACAATTATTAAACTTTCAGACATGATAAATATGCTTAAACTACAATTTCAACCGTCAAAATGCGAATGGATTTATGCCCATGGTGACGCAATGCCCACTTTGGCAATGTAATTATCTTATTAGCTAAAATAGATCATAGATAAAAAAAAACATTTGTTTATTACAAATTTTTTTTGTACAGATGCGAAAAATTAAATGGAAATATTCATATTTTCGACGGTAAAGGTTCATCTGAACCTTTGAAAATTTTATCTAACATTCATAGCTCACCTATAATTGTTATGAGATATAATGCACGTTACGATACTATCGTGTCAGCTGATACCCAAGGAATGGTCGAATATTGGTGTGGACCTCAAGGCGATTACAAGATTAACGGTACTTGATAATCCTTTTATATTTATAGTATTATATTAAAAAATATTCTATAGGCAACGCTTCTTGGCAATCAAAGCTTGATACCGACTTGTTCGATTTCTTGAAAGAAAAGACACTCCCATTAGAATTTGCTTTTTCCACTGACGGAAATAAAATGGCATCTCTCAGCAAAAATCGAAAAGTATTTACCTACTGAAAACTATCTTTTGTTCGTAAGAATTAAAATTTAATGTCTTTATTTTTAGGTAAGAATATTTAATTTCTTGACTGGAAAATTAAGTAAAGTTCTTGATGAGTCGATAAGTTCTGCTGAAGACTTACAAAGAACTAAAAATTTTGTTACAAACATGGAATGGAATCGCAGAATTGCCATTGAAAAAGAACTTGAAAAGTCTAGCTCTTACGCCTATTGCAATATCATATTTGATTGTTCGGGAAATTTCCTTCTTTATGGAAGTCCTATTGGTATAAAGATCATAAATTTAAAAACAAATGTTTGTAGCCGTATTCTTGGAAAGGGAGAAACTATTCGATTTTTACATATATCTTTATGGCAAGGTAGTGCTCAACAAAAAGCTGTACCCACAGCTGAAATGGCTGCAAGTGACAATCCTCTTTTGAGTCAAACTTCATCATTAACTGATCCAACTGTATTCGCTACTGCTTTTAAGAAGAATCGATTCTTTTTGCTGACTAGGCGTGAAACCGAGGATGACGACAGAGATGTTTTTAACGAAAAGCCTACTAAAGAAGAAATACTCTCAGCTACAACTGACGCTGGTGGACCATCAAGAACGGGCAAATACGCAATCATACATACTACAAAGGGTGATATTCATATTGAATTATTCCCGAAAGAATGTCCAAAGACCGTAGAAAATTTTGTTGTTCACTCGAGAAATGGCTACTACAACAAGCATATATTCCATAGAGTTATTCCATCGTTCATGATTCAAACTGGTGACCCTAAAGGAAATGGTACAGGCGGAGAAAGTATTTGGGGAGGAGAGTTTGAAGATGAATTTCACCCTTCAAAAAAACACGATCGTCCATATACTGTTTCTATGGCAAATGCAGGGCCGAATACAAACGGTTCACAATTTTTCATAACAGTTATACCTACCCCATGGTTAGATAATAAGCATACTGTGTTTGGAATAGTCTTTCGAGGAATGGACGTTGTACAAGCAATATCGACTGTCAAAACTAATAAAGAAAATGATAAACCAGTGGATGACATTAGCATTGTCAATATTGTTGTCAAAAATTCCAACAGTTAGACTCTATATTATTATTTACATTGAATAGCAATTATATTTCGTACCTTTTACTTGTAATATCTTTGGAAACCTAATGATGTGTACGTTAGTAAACATTTTTTTTGATCTGTGTAATAAAAAGAAACTCAAAATTGAAGTCAAACCAACAGATTTTTTTATATTTGTAATTTTTTTAGCTCTCGAAAGTTATATTTAGTAGAATTTATCAATAAATTATAAAACTAACATTCCTCTATATTAAGGACTAAGTAAAAATTCGACTTCCTCCTTTAAAGTTTCGACTTGATCATTTAGTATCATTTTAGCTGTTGTTACTAAAAGTCCTGCTGTTTTTGCCGACAGGTTATCAATCTTCTCTATCAGTTCTAGAGGTTTTGCAAGTGCTATGTTACGAATAGATGTATAACCCGCCGCAAAGAGCTGTTTAGTTCGTCCCTGTAAAAAATGGATGTTCTTAATCTTTTGGAAAGTATTCAATTAAATAATTAATTACAAGTTTTACACCAGGCACTTCCATTAGCTGCATTACATCAGGATGTACACAATGGGTACTTAGTCGTTTTAAAACTGGCTCGAATAATTTAACATATGGCCAAAATTCTTCGAATTCACCGCAAAACATGTTTACACAAGAAGCATAGGACGCTGTGGTTGTCATCAAATTCTGAACAGTACCTCTTGGTATACCAAATTTTTCGGAAGTCTTATATATACTATTACAATTCCATAGATTGTGTAAAACAAGGGTAGCAAAAAATTTCTCCACTTTATATAAATTAGCAGGATCTTTGCAGTTTATACCAGCTGATTTTCGGGCTACGTATGCCTCTGAAACTCCTATTTGAGACACTAATTTTAAATCTCTATCAGTTAAACGATTCAGCTGTAAAGATAAAATAATTAACGTTTGAAGGAAATCTCATTAAAAAAATTGCCTCATTAAAGTACTCTTTCCAATTTGTCTTAATCATCGTGGGAGAATCCAGAGGCGTTACAAGGTAGAGCAAATGAAGATGAGTTTGTCTTAATGTCAAAAAATCTAAATTTTCGTATAATTCAGCGTGTAGTTGACCACCTTTCTTCGAATCAATGCAGCCTGTCAATGATATTGCATTCAAGATAAATTTATCAAATACGAGTAAAAACTCAACCTTTGAAGCATGCTTTTCCTAACACAGTAATTTCAAATACATCGTTTTTTTCTATGATAAGATTTTCATCAATTAAATTTTTTAAAATGATATCAGATAGCTCTTGTATATTTTCATTTAAGCTTTCCTTTTGAATGAAAGCTAAGGTATGCTTTGTTATTTTGTTTAGAGTCACTCTATTAATGGCCACCTGAATAAAATAATTCATTAAAAAGAATGTTCATTTCTGTAATGCATATTTACTTTTAATGCTATTAGAGATAGCACAAAATTATGCAAATGTTGTGGATTGGTTAAAGAACTTAGGCATCTCTCACAAGGGTCATTCAGTAGACGAATAGCCTAAAACAAGAGAGAAAAGAATTAATTGAATAAATAAAATTGCTTTTGTTGTTTACATCTTCTTTTTTTTCACAAACAAGAACACTGTCTCCTTCACTGTCCAAGCCAGCTCTTCCTGCTCTACCTATCATTTGTTTGTATTGATTCTTACTTAAAGGCAACCCTGCAATTTTGGGAGCTCTTATGATAACTCTGGCCGCTGGAAGATTTATTCCAGCAGCCAGAGTAGATGTACATGCAAGTAAACATAGAGTTCCGGAGAGAAAACCGTCTTCTATCGTTCTTCTCTCGTCCTGGGTTAGACCAGAATGATGGTAAGCAATACCAAAAGGAACAGTTTTGGCCAGAACATCACATAAACGCTCGTTTTCAGTTTGTAATTCCTTCAACAAGTTCGCTTTTTCATGTTTTTTGACATCTAGAAGAGATCTATCAAAGAGTATACGGAAAAAAGTCACAAAGTAGATATAACTTATAAGTTTTAAAATAAATCTCACTTTGGTAAAAGTTTACTTAATAATATAATGATACTTTCGCAGTTTTTTTTTATTGGACAAAAGATCAAACATGACTTTTCAGGTATTACTTCCTTGACTAGCTGGGTAATACCATCTGGATCAAATTTCCTTTCATTCTCCGTTTGCTAGAGACAAAAACTCACTAAATAACATAAGCATTTATATTCCCAAGAAAGTACATACGTCAGAGCCTAGGTACTTCTCCTGAGTAGTAGAATTATTAAGAGGAGATACTTTGTACAGGGTTGACTTATATAAAATTTTTTCTGTTAATTTAACCTGTAATTAAAATTATAAAATTTTAATTTGATAGAATTTTTTAATATTTACGGGTCTGAAATCCTTTGTATAAACTTCTGCTCTTAGAAAGTCTCCAAGTTCAAAAATGTTATCTATAGTTGCACTCATTCCCACTATAAAAGTATCAGAACATCTCACAATTAGTTTAGTGATGAGGCCCTCTAATATTGCACCACGACCCTGTTCACCCAACATGTGTAATTCATCAATAACTACAATACCCAATTCATCCTCTCTCCCGGTCTCAAGTAAAGAATTAATTAAAATATTCGCTTTTTCGATAGTTGCAATGAAAAGTGAAGATCGAGTTCGCTTTTTTCTTGGTGGTATTTTTCCTTTAGCTGAGGCGTACTCCTCTACAGAAAAATTAAACTCTAATGATAAATTAGAGAAGGCTTTGACTTTTTCTTGCACCAAAGCTACATATGGTAAAATAAATAAAGCATTCTTTTTACGCATTAATAGTTCCTTAAGCATAAGAATTTCGGCAACTAACGTTTTGCCTCCACTAGTTGGTAAAGAGTAAACTAAATTTTTTCTTTCAATAACACTTGGCCGATTTAAGCATTCTTTTTGCCAATCTAAAGAGAGAACGAAAACGCCATTAGACAGTTTAAAAGAGGCATTAAATTCAAAATATTACCGTAGAGATCGTTAATTTTCTTAATCTGTTTATAGGATTTGCCTATCTTTTCTGGTAAACCAAAAAATTGCGTATCGGAGAACTCCTTCATACTAAATTCTTTTTCTGCAGAATTTTTTTTCGTTGTACGCTTATCTAGTATTTTCCAGTGTTTTCTTGCACCTGATATAGCTGGCCGCTTAATTATTGAATCTTCTTCTCTTTTAGGTAATGAATTGATTGGTAGAGTATTTATTTTACTAAGGGAATCTATCTTCTTTGCTAAATGTTTACTATTGTAATCCTTAGAGAGCAAATTGCAATTTTTATTATCAGTAGATGACTTTCCCTGAATATTGGACTCATCATAAGATTCAACCTGAGAGCTCGATAACACTGTTTCTTCGCTCGAAAATAGGGATTGAGAACTATCGTTTGGATCGTAAGTTTGAGAATTAAGATATTTACTATCTGTCACTGTTAATTCAGCATTAAAAGATTCTTCTAAAGAATTATCAATAATAGTATCCACCAGAGAGTCATCTTGAGTATCTTGGAACAGAGTGTATTTCTCTATAGGCTTCATGGCTTCTTTTAAGTAATTTTGAGTCGGCTGAGAATTCTTTTTAGATCCGCTGATGTATGAAGAGTCTTGTGAGAGATTTTTTCCATGAGTATTAGAAAGCTCCTCGAATGATTTGTGCCTTAAGTCTTCTTTAGAATCACCTTTCTAAATAGAAAAATATATTATCATGAAAAAGTATTCTTCAAAAATCCAACCATAACTATTTGGCTTCCTTTCCTGAAAGGACTCGAAGCTGTTGGTCCTTTAAAAGGGATATCAAAAGAATTAATGTCAAGTATCGATGATTGTGGGACAACTCGTAACTTTTTCCCAGGCTGCGACATTTTCTTAGCAGAGCGATAAAAGGGATATGTTACAAATCCTCTCTTCTAACTAATATAATCTGAATTGATTAAGCAAAATTATTTTATAGTAATTTTTTTAATCAAACTCACAAACAATTTATAATTAACAATCAATATGGAGTTAATAATAGTGTATTGAAACTTTAAAATACTATGGTACGTTCTTTTTTAATGGCGCCTGCGCAGTCGAGGTAAGCAGTACCCAATCACTAGTAAATGCGGGGTATCTTGGCGAGTACTCGAAAGTTCTTAAAGCTGTAAATAATTCTTTAATTTATCAATAATATATATTAAATTAATAAAAAAGAACTAATTCTTTGATTTTATTTATATGAGTTTATTTTTTTTTAACATCATCGAATAAATTTCGCAATTTTTCAGTTAAAGTATCAATATTCGTTAGATATTTAGCAGAAACTGGTAAAACTGGCAAGTTGCTGTACTTCCTTAAAAGTTCTAAATTCTTTTGAGCTAGTGGCAAATCGACTTTATTTGCGATAATTGCATGAGGTATTTCGGATAGACCGGGTTTATATTGTTCTAATTCGTAGGAAAGATCGTCAAATTGCTTCCATGGTTGGGGATGAGATAAATCCAATACAAAAATTAGGCATAAACAACGTTCTACATGTCTTAGGAAGGATAAGCCTAGACCATAATTAAGATGAGCACCTTTAATTAAACCAGGTAGATCTGCAACTGATATTTGTTCGTGATCATCATACTTTATTACTCCTACGTGAGGATTAAGAGTTGTAAAAGGATAAACCGCTACTTTAGGCCGAGCCCTGGATATTGCTCTTAATAAAGTTGATTTTCCAGCATTGGGAAATCCGATCTAAATAAAGAATAATACCAAATGACCGTAAATATCTTGATGTTTTAAAAGAATAAATACTTACCAATCCAAAGTTAGCAATTAAATTCAATTCGGCGATTAAAGTTGCTTCTTCTCCGGCAGCACCCAATTCGTATGTCCTTGGAGCTCTATTTTCATTTGATAAGAAATAAGCATTTCCTTTTCCTCCAGCACCGCCTCTTGCAGCTAGGTACATATCACCGGAATTTGCTAAATCTGCTAATAGTTCATTTTCTTCAGTTTTTATCAGGGTTCCTAGAGGAACGTTAACATAGAGATGTTCAGCACATTTTCCATGACAATGTTTTCCCTTTCCTCTCACCCCGTCACGCCCCTTTAATAGAGTTCCTAACCCGGCTAGTGATGTCGAGGTCGCGTCGGCTGAAAAGTGTAACACAATTCCACAGTTACAATTCCTAAATGAACATATATATCAATACAATATACCTTGAAGAATAACGTGACCGCCGTTACCTCCGTCCCCACCATCTGGACCGGCATACTCGTTAGCGAATAAGCTGAGAAATGAACAACAACCGTCTCCACCTTTACCGCCTTTCACCGTAACTCTTTGGTAATCGACAAATCTTTTTGTCTTCATAAAAAAAAATTGTAAAATGTCTGATTCTATCAAAACTTTAATTAATACTGTATACTTACAAACGGTTTATCAGAACGCTTTTTCTTTTTTTTTATAACCGTAGCGTAACATAAGGAGGGAATCTTATTGTAAACATTCCGAAGAAAATTTAATTGCCTATTTAACAACATTGTTTGTGAAAAGACTTAATAGCGTGTTTAAGAGATCAAATCAACTTTCGATACAATAAAATCATCTCGTGCATATAGATGTCGTCTGCTAGTGAATCGTAAAAAAAACCTATAATCATTTACGATTTAATAATCATGGTCGACAATTTAATATGAATAATTGATGTTTAAAAGTTAATCCTTTCCTGAATGGAAGGGTAAATAAGGGAGATAAAGAGAACGAAAACGATATTTACAAGTGTGTATTTATGATAAAAGTATAACAACTCATGATTTTTGCATTCTTCTTTTAGCACTGGCTAAAGCGGCAGCATTAGCAAGTCTTGTTACGTCAGCTATATCGGTGACATACTTATGAACAATGCTCAATTTTCCTCTAAAGTCTAATGTTTGTAGATTAGGATCAGTCCTTCGCCAACATTTTTCAGCCATATTATCGATAGCGGTAAAAATAGCTCCTAATTCTATATTTTGATCTCTCATATCCTTTTTCTTAACACTAAATGTATACTCTTTATGTTTGTTGTGAGCAATTTTTTCTTCCATTTCATTTTGTAGCAAAGATAATTTACCATTAATTTCAACTTTTTGCTTTGCATTATCAATTTTAGCTTGATTCATAGACGCTTTAAAATCTTCAACTTCATCAGTCATTACAACAACAGAATCAACAAGACCACTATTAGTCGCTTGTAAAGTTTTATGTCTCATCATCAGAGCTCCAATTGCGCTATCTTGAACCTCTAAATAGTCGGCCGGTAAGATGTCTATAACTTTTGTTAAGTATTCTTCGAATTTCTTATATTTGGCTAATCTAGAATAATTAAATAATAATATGAATAATAGAATGTTGTTATTAATTAATTATAAAATATTACTAACCTGTCCCTTAATTTACATTGTTTTGTTCTAAGGTCTTCTAATTGTTCAACAAGTATTTCTAACTCACGTTTCTTTTGTTCAAACATTTTTACCTCTTGTTGATATTTTAATACGGCTCTTCGCCTCTTAGCTTCGTTTTCTTTAATAAATTTATCAAATTTTGATACTCTATCTTTCATTTTTTGCTGTTTCTTTTGCAGTTCAAGTTGTCTTTCTGCGCAACTTTCCATACGTTTTCTAAATTCATTTCGCTTCGCGTCTAATTGAGCTTCAACTTTATCAACTTCAACTTCTTTTTTCAAAAGAAGAGTTTTTTGAAGAGTATTAACTCCAGTTTCTAAGAGCTTTCCTGCCGAATCTTTAACAATAGGGAAGGCGTTTACATCATCGTCCTCTTCCCTGATATTATATAAGTTGTTAAGTTATTGAAAGGAAATCAATGCGATTTTTCTACACAATTTAAACAGCCTATATATGAATTATACAAAAGCATGGCAAATAAAGGAGAAAAATGATAAAAAGGTCGTAACGACAGGTAATTTATGTAAGGAGCAAAAGGCTAATTTTCTCTGTAAGATTATATCTTTCCACAATTACACCTCAACATTGCATGATACATAATCGTTGCAAATTAGCTCGTTATTTACATGTAAAATTTATAAGGAATGCTCCTTTGGCTTGTAATTAATCTATTTCTACAAATGGTAAACAATAAAATATTGTATATTACCTTTCGTTCAGTTGGGTTACAAAGATATTCTTTTTTTGCTCCTCGAGATCTAAAGAATATCGACAGTCCTCGCCCATTCTAACACTCATCTTTCTTTTTTTTTGTTGTTTATAACGGCACCACTTGCTTAGTATACAGCCGTCAACGTTGTTACCTTGACGATGACCGACCACATGATTATTGATCACGTGATAGTAGAAAACAATTCCCACGAGGGCGCTGTTCGTTGTACTCTTATAGCAATTGTAAAAACTATACTTTCGCGTAGCTTTGTGAACTATTTATTTAAAAAAGAAATATGCAAATAATCTCATGCGGATTCTTGAATAGAATTTGTAAAGAAGAACTATGCTAAGAACATGAAATTATTGAAAAAGAAAGAATGACCTACTTAATATTTGTATTCAAATGGATATTAAAAAAAAATAATAAATAACATTTCCCTCAAATAGTAAAAAAAGAAGAACTTTAATTAACTTAAAAAAATGTCAAGCTTTTCAGATTTCAACTGATACTTATAACAACGAAGAAAATGGAATGAAGTAAACTCTTATACTTTCGCTACCTTTGCTTTACAAATCAATCAAACAACGCTCGAAAATGGACGCCTCGTGTCAACACCTGCAGAGTACCATTTTTCAATAATAATACTAAAATTGTTAAAAATAATTATACACAATTTTACTAATATTAGATCTTATTTTACGTTTAGAACCTTCCAATTAGTCTTTCTATAATAGTTCCGACATTATCCTTCTATCGCTTAGTGCAATTAGGCATGGATAATAGCGTAATAACGATATATCGTCCGTTAAAAATCTGGGTAAACTTATTATTACAAACGTAAATAAACGGTTATAATCTGTTTTTTTTTTTAAAAAAAAAGAAAAACAAGTTTCTCGGAAGTTTTTCTTTTCTTTTACAAAAGAATTGAACACAAGAAACGAAAGGTGAAAGTTATGTGTGAGGGAGGAGGGGGGGTGGGGTGGGAGTAAAGAGGAGGGGTTACCAAGATTCCTCGTAACTTATCCATCTGTCCCCTCATAGCCAAAACAACGAATTACTACGAGGGGGAAAATTTAAATTTACATTACAACCCAGCAATTACGTGGGCGTATCGTTTGCTTCCGTAAAACGGAGAGGCACATAAAGTAATCAGAGTCAGTTAAATTATGCACTAGAGAACTTTCTAGCTCTTTTGACATCTGGTGACTGTAACGTTTCATATTTCTCTTGGTACTCTTTGCAAGCTTAATATTTAAATTATGTAAGAGGTTTAATTAAGCTTTAATAAAACTAAAGAAGGTTTTATTGAACAGAATCCTGGTAACTAGCTTTATGTGTGGCGAGTTTGATCAAAGCTTTATTAAAATGAAGAACACTTGAATTTCCATTAGGAATTCCAGGAAGGTGGATTATCCCGGACACATTTCGGATTACAAAGAAACGAGAATGTTTTGTTAACGACCGTCCGCCAAAGGCGTTCAAAAGGGGTGGGAGGGGCGGTGTCAGAAACTTATATATTTGTAGAGATAAAAATGCTTAATTAATAAGGATCTTGGTTGAAGAGTGTCAGATTACTAGATGCATAACAGAAGGTCGAGTGGACAGATCGTTTCTCGATTAGAAAATGAAGCGTCATTTTAAAGGGTTGACTATTACGTTAAATTACATTAGACTTTTTTGCATTTAATTCGTTGACAATGTTTTAATTGGTTCGTTTTTCTCAAGTACTTGTTGCGTGACAAAAAAAACACAAAACTATAGGCCTATTAACTTATATACATATATAGTATATGTATTGTATCTTTAGCAATTAAATCTATATAGAAAATGAAGTATTACTTAAATAAAAAATGTAAAAGTAAAGTACTTTTCCATTTTATTGGTTAATTAAAATTTTATTTCGGAATTGTTGACCTTGAATGAATAGAGTACTTTTTCTTTCTTATTTCTTCTCTCTTTGACTTTATGAAGTTAATTTAATCTTTTTGTTTTTCTTAGATTAAAATTTCTATAAAAGTCAAAATAATTTATGAACCTTAATAAACGAAAAGAATATTAACTTAATAAGGTAAAATCTATATAAATTCAAAAGATATTTATTATTAAATATTTAACTTGTGGTTATTGAATAGTTTAAATTGTTCATTACTTGTATAAATATTTTACTATATAATGTAGGTGGTCTTAATGATCAATAAAATCAACTAATTAATTTTAAAGCGTTAACAAAATATACTTTATATTATTATTACTTAGTCGCAATAAAAACAATATTTACTATTTGTAAATAAATTCGTAATTATGAATATTCATTAGTTTATATGGAATTGTTGTGAATAATTGGTTAATTAATTAATTATATGAATATATATATAATACATTCTGCATATATTATATAAGTATCAGTTTCTCTCGCTCTCGCTCTCTCTCTCTCTCTCTCTCTCTCTCTCTCTCTCTCTCTCTCTTTCACTTTTCTCTCTTTCAATCTCTTTATTCAATGACAAAATAAGATATGTAAATTTATCTAGAAAGAATTTTAAACGGTCAGAGATTTATTAGATTTTTATTGTTGACATTTTACCTACCTCGAATAAGTAAATTAAGACATGAATTTGTTATGTAATACAGACAAATTTATCAACGAATTAGGTAAAATGGCGTTTATGGACAGAAAATTATGCTCTCGGTCGTTTAAATGAACATTACTACTAAACAGGTGGTCAAAGGGTGTGGTCTCTTACGTGACTGTTGCTCGTTTTAACAAAGACGTTTATAAAAACGGGGTCACCATTCTATATTGACCTACGTCATAATTTTTACGCCCCTGATCGACCGTGACAGATGTAACGGATTTACCATGCCCATTAATCCATATTCAGAATTTCTTATGCGACCCTGACTCCGCCCCTTCCGTATAAAATCGACCCATCATCACTTGACCCGCTCACTCGCTCTGACCAATCAGCAACGACGGGAGGAGCTGGATTAAAGTTCGTCATACCTCAGTCATGTTTCCTTACTACAGGATGAATCTTCAAAATTTTGTTCAAAGACCTCAACTGCAAGAATCACCAAAGGCAGAGCCGCAACTAAAATTTGGAATAAATGCCATTTTATCAAAAGAAACTCCGAAAACAAGGACAACAACTCAGTTTTCACAATACTCCTTATTTACGCCGTTTCTTCAAGCACCGAATTATAACCTGCCAGGTGAGGGGCGTCGCTTTTCAGCCATACCTTTCTTTTCAAATCCGTCTTATCGAACGTCTATCTAACGAGCTAACCGTCTTACACCGTACAATTTGGAAAACATTTAATTAGACGCCTTTAAACGCCTATTGTTATTAAACAGAGTACTCTTTATGGAACCCGCGAGGAAAACCAAGAAGGGCAATGCTAAGAAGAGCCGTCTTCTCCGACTCACAAAGAAGAGGCCTAGAAGAGACTTTCCAAAAACAAAAGTATATAAGTAAACCCGATAGAAAAAATTTAGCCGACAAGCTGGGTTTGAAAGATTCTCAGGTAAATTATTAATATTTTTTCAATTGTTTCTCTTTTTAGTTTGTTTTTAAGTTTTTAACTTTTTCTTGACTCGGTGGTGTGCGAAAAAACACCTAATCCAACCGGCCTATAAATAGGGACAAAAAGAAATTTCGACCCTAAAATTATATTTTGTTGACCCTTTTACAATTCTGTTTCGCTAAAAGTCTAATTAATTTTTGATAAAGTATAAACCCACTTTAAAATCAGATAAGAGAAAAAAATACACTATAATTTAAAGGTTGATAGATGCTTATACAAAGACATAAAAAGGTTAAATCATATAAATAGGCATTAAAAAGCACAAAATAAATCTCTCGCCGGGCAGATAGAGGACAGAATGAGAGGTTAGGGCGGAGAAAAAGAGGGATTTATGCATTAAGCGTGGGTGGCTGTGAAGAGTATAGTGGGAGGTAGAGATGGAGAAGAAGAAGGAGGGGGAGGAGTAAGGGATGGAAGAGGGTTAAATGCTAAAGAACAGGAAATATAGAAAAAAGAACTTTCTTTTCCATTGAAAAAGTTTTATTAAAAATGTAAAAAAATGTGTAATTCATATATTAAACAAATGTTAGTTGTACGCATGCAATACAATCATTACGCCTTCATGCGGACATTTGACAAGTATACGACTTTTACATAAACATATTTATGCCCATGAGATCAAGCTTATTTCCTGACAATTGTAAAATTATATGAATAAATGAATAGATTTCCCTACTCTCGTATCACTGTTAAATATATAATAGCAATAACTAATAGTATTGTTTCTCAATAGGTGTATACTACATTATTAGTAATGTTGTTTGTAGGCGTTTTTATTAATTTTACAAAATATAATATATAAACTATTTGTTTACTAACTTTTCTTGTTAAGTAGTTATTGAAATATTAATGAATGGTTTAATTGTATAAACTGGTAAGAAAGATAATTATTGAGAAGAGAAAATGAGTAAAAGTAGTAAAGTATAGTGGACGGTTTTTTGTGTGTTCAAACAAGAGAAACTTACAATTTTTCTCATAGACAGTATACAATAAATAAGGTAAAATAAGCTATTAGAAAATCCTGACACCTGTCCCTGCTGCTAAGAATATACAAATTAACCAGAGCTCCCATGTGACAGTCATGCATAGAGGGGGAGGCGGGATGAGCAGGAGACTGCTCTTTAGATCTCTAGCCAGATAAGTCTATTAGCCTGATGGAGTTAAACGAACCGCTTGCTACATTTTACGACCCATATTTAATCCTTAAATAGGTGATATAAAACCTCCTCTCGTTCAAAAAACATTTATATTTAACTATCTATTTGATCTTTTTCTTTTTAGCTTATTTAAAAACATTCATCATTCTCCTTTTTTTATAATTTTAGGTTAAAATATGGTTTCAAAATAGAAGAATGAAATGGCGAAACTCAAAGGAACGTGAAATTTTATCGTCCAATAACAAAGAGGAAGAGAAAGAAGAGAGCGATGAAGAGATTAATCTTGTTTCTTGAATAATTTTTCTTAAGGATGAAATTCCTCGAATTCCAATGCTTAGTGGCTATAAATATGAAATTGGAGGAATTTAATTGATCTTAATGGCTTAATCCGAATCAAGCTTCAGGCTATTCTAGTGTTTGTTTTTTGGATGTGCTTAAGGACCATAAATGTGAGGCATGACTACTCTTATATAAATATATACATTAAGTGTACATATTGTATTATATCTAACATGATTGAGAGCTCAATCACTTGGTCGTTTCTACTTTTATTTTTTACTATTTTTTCATTTTGTTTTTTTAAAAAGAAAAGCATTAAATAAAATCTCTTTATGTTTTTCATTCTTATTTATATCGCCTTTCCAAAATGTACAAAATACAATTTACTATAAATTATTAATTAAACGGAAGAGCTTTATTATTAATTTGTTAATTGATGAATTTTTCAACAGCTTTATAAGTGTTCACACACGCATATTTTACATACGCATAAATTAGATCGAGTATTACGGAATGATAAGAAAAGTATATTTAAATTAGGCCTTATTATATGTAAAATGGGCTGAGAAAATGTTGCAAAAAAGTAATTATCGATTGTGAATTCAAGTTAATTATAAAGTAAATTGTCTCTATTAGCTTAAATAGGAAGAAGCCAGTTGAAATAATTAGCATATTTTAAATATTCATGGAAGTGAAATTTTAGCACTTCAATAAAAACGCGTCAACGCCTCTACGAATAAAAGGTGATTTACGCGTATTATTCACTGCCATCTTTCGACGGTTGAATACTTGTTCAAACAAATTTTAAGGAGGTATTTGATAAATGTTTCTTTCCCATCTTTTTTTTTGTATTATTATTGGGAACGAAGTATTAGTTGGGTGAATATGAAATTTTACGGACACGTGCATAAGGTCAGTTTTGTTTGAATAGCTTTATAATTTATTGCTAAAAAACTACTTAACGACCTTAATAAGAAGTGTACAAAATCTTCTCATTTAAATGTAAGAATTTATTATTCCTCTTTCTTTTCTTTTAATGAATATTAATTACTTCTGTACATGGAAACATAGTATTGAAATTTGACCATAGAGTCTCTCCTACCCCCTCCTAGTGTTTTTCCGCCCCCTTCACCCGTCTACGATTAAGTCATTTGATAGAATTCCTAATAGGTTGTAAAACACTAATTATTAAAAAATTTAATACTGTGTTACTGTATTTCAGTATTACTAGCATTTTCTCAGTTAGGGTGTTTTTCCCCTAAGTACAATTATAAAGTATACATTTAAATGTATTTTAATATAAAATAGATAGATGTATATACTAGTGCAGAGATACTTGGTATTCCTTTGGTATACAATCTAATAAACCTCTGGTTTTGAGCTCTTCTCTGCTAAACAACTTATTGTAGTAACGCTGTGAGAAAAAAAAACAATAATGCATCCTTCGATTGTCAATGTAAAAGGTATTTAGAGCTTCAAACCTGTCCTCCATCGCATAAAGCAGTAACTATTGTATGTCCAGGACCCATCATTTTGGCTACTCGAACAGCTGCGGCGACATTTAAACCCGACGATGCACCAACGAATAATCCTTCTTCGTGAAGTAACCTAAAAGTCTGTAATTGGAAATTGTATTTTTTCCGCTAATTAAAAGCATTTGCGCTTTAAATACCATATTAACAGCATCAGTATCAGGAATGTTCATTGCGTCATCTAATGGAGCTTGTTTAAAGTTGTTTGTCAATCGGCCTTGTCCAATACCTTCTGTGATTGATCCGGTACCAGTTCTCTCAAGTTTTCCGTGCTTGAAATAGTTATATAACATACTACCCTGAGGGTAAAAAACATCAAGATCATAGAATTTTAAGATTGATAGGGTTTTTCGGCAATCATTTATAACTGTTTTTTTTTTTGTAAGAAATGCATCATTTGCATGTCAATACACCTACATCTGGATCGGCAAGAACGACTTGAACGTCCTTTTTTTTTTCTTTTAAATATATTCCTGCTCCAGCAATTGTGCCGGCAGATCCACTTCCAAAGACAACCGCGTCAACCTTACCTCCAGTTTCTTCCCATATTTCGGGGCCAGTCGTTTCTATATGGGCTAAAGTATTTGCCGTATTGTCAAATTGGTTTGTCCATATTGCGTTTTCGATACCGTCAGCATATCGTTTAGCCTATATACACACACGCATGTATACTTGAATATTATATAGACAATTGAAATTAAAAACCTACCTGATGATTGTAATTATTTTCATCTGTCAATGGCACTGCTGGAACGGCTCTTACTTCCGCTCCTAGTGTTGTAAGGCACTCCATTTTTTCCTAAAAATATATTAATCGATTGATTAGTTCTATATTTAGAAAGTTTATTAAATAAAGTTAAAACTGGTAATCTTGGGTATTTTATTATTATGTTTTTAATAGATAGTTTTAAAGGTCATTAAAGATAATAATAATAATAATGACAATGCAAAAAAAGGAAAATTAACCTGGGATTGCGTATTCGGCATGAAAATAACGCATTTATAGCCCATAGCCAAACATAAATGAGCAAGACCAATTCCTGTATTACCGGCTGTTCCTTCAACAATAGTACCGCCCGGCTTTAAACCCTTCTTCTCCGCGTCTCTAATTAAATATAAGGCTGCCCTATCTTTAACTGATCCACCAGCACTTGCAAACTCTCCTTTTGCAAGAATTTCACAACCTGGATAATTCAGTTATGTGCCATTTATTATTTTAATTGAGTAATTATTGAGATAGTTTTTTACCAGTATCCTCGCTCATTCGATTTAGTCTTATCATTGGAGTTCTTCCAACTAGACCAACTATTCCTCTTCTAATAGAATTCATTATTTATTATGTTGTATAGTTTGCAGAGCGGAGCCTAAGTAAATTGTGTTGATAACGTGATACGCTCTGACCTACAATGACCGGAGGAACTGGTTCAAAATACAAAGTTGATATTACATATTTTCACCTTCAAAGGGACAGCGTAAACGCATTCGAAACATATTCGATAATTGATTAAAAACTTCTAAATGTTTCTTTTTTACTTTTTTTTAAACAAACTTGTTATTCTTCCCTAAATAAACCAAAAATATGATAAAATAAGTAAAATTCTACAATTTAATTTAATTAGGATCGCACTGACGTAATATTTTGGTACAAAAACGTCTGTATAGAGATTTATTACTAATTTGTTTTTAGAGATGTTATACAGGAAGGTAATAAACAATTTTGGAAAAATATTTCTTCCTTCTTACTTCAACTTATTTTTAAGATGAAGGAAAAGCGAGAAAACATGTAAATAATAAGTTTTTAGTGTTATTATAAGCTAAAATTGACTATAGTTATAGGTCAAATTCGACTCTTAAACACAAGTGTTCTTATTGTGTTGGAGAGCTACATCTAAGATGTCCCGAAGCAATTTACTTAGCTGCTGTAGGGATTTGTAAAGGAATTTCTGAAAATTACGCAATAACAATTAAAAAAAACTCTTCTCAAATATAAAAATGAAAACGAAGAAATGTTTAGGTTTTGTTAAATTTTTTTTTTAAAAAGAAAAGAATGTTTAGGTAAATAAATTAAGGAAAAAGTCTAATAGTTTTAATACCATAATATTCAGTGTTCAGTGTTTTAAGTACGGATTAGAAAAAGGTGAAATATTTAAACTTGTCATATTTTTTGCGACAACCTTAACTCTTTGGAGAATAGTAACAAGAGTTGTGAATTGTATAGAAATGTTAATAGTTTAAAAAGTCTTATGTAACTCTTCCACCGAGAATATTTCGAATATGAATTGAAGACCCGGGCAAAAAAAATACTGCATGGAATGCGTAGATGATCGTCCTTCACAAGAGCTTTACAAAGACTGTACGCAATTTTGTTATGAAAAGAGGATTCGTTGTAAATATATATAATATACTAATATATTATATTTGTATAAATAAGTAAAAATAAATTAGTCAAATGTTTAAGATGAAAAGAAGCTTTATACATAATGAATCTTTGTAAATAAGTTAGCAAAAATTGTCAATTCACCTTCGGAAATTACAGATTGTAGTAGCAAAATACTTTATATTTACATATTTCTGTTGATTAAAATTAGTCCTGTATCGTCGGTTAAGTTTACTTCCCTAATAAATTCTCTGAGTAGTTGATGATTCACGATGTTACATTTCAAGCTAAAACGAAGGGGAATTTATCAAAAGGAAAAAAAATTCAATACGAACTATACTTTATTCCTTAGTTTTTTCTTTTGTTTTATAATATTAAGATTATACCTGTTTTATAGTCCGTGTTGGAATAGTTGACATTCTCTGTTCCACATGGCGAAAAGACATTTGTGATTGTAGAATTATTCAATTCAGTATAACGATTTTCGACGTCTGGTAGAATAGGAGAAAGAGTAAATTTTTACAAAAGTTAAAATGAGTGAACAATTTTTAAATACTTTGTTCTTTATTACTATCATCTTGAAAGTATTCATATAATGAATTATAGGAAGATAAATTACTTCTATTCCAGTTATCATCGTTAATTACCTCTAAATTCGTAAAATAATATATTTGTATATAGAATTATCACTAGGTTGTCTAGTTGTAATATTTACGTGGGTTTATGACTTCTAAATCGTGAAAACTTTCTTCTTCAGTAGAAAACTTCATTGAATCATTATTTGCAACATTTGTTTCCTTTAGCAAAAGGAATGATATTGAAGAAGAGTAACAACACGGTTGGTTTCTTAAAGGTATCATTGGCGAATTTACTTCAACTGATAAAACCTTGCTATAGAATAGAAATCCATGCAGGTTTATAACTCTTGATAATTCTGTTAGCATGTCCAATAAATTGTTTTTTTTTAATTTATTTTTGCTTTGTCTAAATGAATTATGAGGATTTCCGAATATTATCTCATGGCTATAGCTTTGAGGTTTGTGTAAAAAAATTGATCCAGTATTTAAGTTAGGTCCACACGAAAACATTCTTATAATGATTGCTATAAGAGATCTTAGTTGTTCAACCTTTAATTGTCTCCAATCGTTGTAATTCAATAACATTTTAATTTTGCTGATAGTCTCTAATCTAAATTCATTAACTTTCCATCGTACTTCAATCACATTTTCAGTATTTGAATGAACTATAAAGATTAAATAACATAAAGTGTAATGTTTGTATTAAAAAGTTGCATTACAAGTTTTCATATACTTACATTCATTTAAAATATTGTTAATTTCAGTTGGGCTGGCAATTACCCTATTAGTTATTTGGTTGCTGCCATATGAAAAGAGTTAGCATTAGATATTAGTATATTTATTATATTTATTCTACGTTGAGCCACTACTCTTAATCTTGGGCATTGTCACAAAATTTTTTTGATACCTTTTAAAATGATCGTAATATATGCAAATATATGGAATCTACTTACTTATTATGAGAGAATTGTCTTATTTTCTCTATCATGGCAATAAAGAAATCACCCATTTCCCTTCTGTTAATAGTGTCCTTTTCATTTATTCGCATATTCGTTTTCTTATTATTCTGTCTTTAAATTAAAATATTGTCACAATGTACAAAAAGAAACAATGGAAAATGTAATTTCTTCCTAAACTTGGTGGAAATTTAGTCGATTTTTCCGGACGAGGCGAGACCCTCGAATGCTGTAAGATCAGTCGTTGATTAGGGTTTATATAAATTTAGTAAACTTCCTGGATGAAAAATATCATAAGCCAAAGAAAAATGATTCACACTATAATTTTCTCAGAGCAAATTATGAAACTAAAATAAATTATAACGGTTATATAATGAATCATCTAAAAAGACCAGATCATCAAAAAATTCGTCGTTCTCTTTTCTTGAAGATAAATACCAGTTTCTTATCCTCTATTTTTTTTGTTATTTTTGTGAGAATCGTGGTTTATGCATTCATTTAGCTTTATTTGTATATTCAAAAAGTGTTATTGAATATAATTTCGAATAGATTAGTGTTTTTAACTTAATCGCGAAATGTATTACATGTAAATATTAGTAATAGTCAATTTACTTCAAGTAGTCAATGAATTTTTATTACTACGATATACTATTGTGATTAAACAGTTAAGAATAACAAATTATGCAAAACGAACCGTCAATTTCGAAACGACAGTTTGAAAGGAACAGTTACGAAACGAAAGTAAGAAAGTAAGAAAAAGAAGGAAACGCATTGTTAAACTTTATATAATGTTTAATAATAATAGTATTAGTATTAGCCACAACCAATAAATAGTATGTTTAGTACAAGTATCAAAGCTCAGGTATTTTTCGAAAATATCAATTAATACACGAGAATTAGATACAGTATATATTGTATGATGACAATATGTATTAATGCTCTCTGTATCAATGCTAAAAATAAGTTGAGTACTTGTAAGAGACATTCAATACTAATTTAGTAGTTCTTTTCCAACTGAAAAACTGAAGAAATGCTTTTAAATGATATCATAAAAACGTATGCGAAATTTGATGAAAATTTATGCTACATAATTATTATTGATGTTTTAGAGATCTTTGAAAAAAGGATATTCATTTTAAAGAAAACTAATCAAATAAAAATATCGGAAAAAAGGATAAATATTGCCTGGGGTGAAACGACGAAGAATCTTAAAGATGTTGTACTTTTTTATAAGCACATGTTTATATACTAATTAACTTTTTTTTTCCATAATATCTATTTATAGGCGTTAGAATGTTTTGGAAAGCTGCTTTATTCAATTATCGATCAGAGAGAAGATAATAGCGAAATAAAAGTTGTTAATGGAAAATTATTGAAACTTTTTGACGATATGATAAATAGAAAAATTAACTATTTACGTGAAGCCAGAGAAGTAATATAATAATAATATTAAATAACATAATAAATTACTATTGGTTTGATTTTATAGAGATGTCCTCGTTATTCACCTGATAGAAGACTGAAAATTTTAAGGAACACTTTAGGTAGCCATTTGGTATTGACTATAGACGATCCTGGGGAACCTCAAAAGAAAAAGCCCTTTTATGGACCAAAACGTTTAAGCAGCAGTAGAGAACGTACTATAAGCATTACAAGTAGCGATAGTAGTATTTATGATATTGATGATACTGACGAAGAAATTGAAGAAATACCTATTGTTAAATAAAACTCCATTTTGATAATTCTTTAAAAGTATTTATACATTTGAAAAAAAGTAGAAACTCACATAGTTTATTGACATTAAATACTTAAATATCGTATTATATTACTATTACGATACGATAGTCTTATGTAGTAGTACCAAAAAATAGACTCATTATTGACTATACCCCTCCGCCATTTTTGTTTATATTTGTTTACAGAGAAAACATATTTAGACGGTTTTACTATATATATGAAACAAGTATTACATTTATATACCGTATATCTCATTCTTTTAATTTGTGTATTACACAAAAAAAGTTACTTCAATAGGAAAAAGAAGAAAGCATATTGACTGATATAATGTCTAAGCCATAATGAAAGAAATACTACTATATATCTTTATACTAATATATACAGTCTATGCACTGTATATATATTCTGTAATTACTAATTAATAATGCGGATAGTGTTAGGTTTATGTACTATAACACTTTTCTTTAATGCACTACTACATTCTACATCATTACCAACTTGGAAATAAGTGGATTTACATCAATTTTCTCCTGAGAAAATCTTCTTGCTTATCACGTTTGGTATGAAAATGTATAGCGATTTGATATTATTTATTCCTTTAATGACAATGTATACAGTTATTGGTATTCCGTCAAATATTATTATACTAAAGTTTTATCCTTTTAAAGCTAAATTTTCAACATTAGCAAACTTTTTTATTAAAGTGTTAGCGATAATGGATCTGCTAACTTGTTCAATAGCAATTCCTTTAACTATTGTAAACGAATTGAGAATAATTGAGAGTACTATAATGTGTAAATGCGTATCATCTCTTCTACATATTTTAACTATATGTTCTATATTCTTATCAGCAGCAATAGCCGTTGAAAGGTGGTTTGCAATTCATAAACCACATGTATTAAAGATTAAACATATTTACATTTTAACCGCATCTATTTTCTTCTTTTGTTTAATTTTTGGTAGTTTTACATCATTTTTCTATTCAAATGTAACAATTTATGAAAATACTACTATAATCTATATAAAATGTCAACCTAATGTGAATAATTCCTTTTCAAAATTGACAACAATTATGTCACATGTTGCTTTTATGTTACTAATTTTCGGAATTGTTTTAGCCTATATATCCATATTTAGGGTTGCTTTAAGAAAGATAGAAGACACAAAAAAGAAACGGACGAATGATAGCAATAAAATGATTGGAAAAATGAAAAGTCAAATAAAATCAGCTACAATGCTTTTTGGAGTGACGTTAATATTTTTCATTTGTTGGCTTCCTTCTATTTTAGATAGTTATTTGAAAAATCTAAATATATCACTTAAATATTCATATTACTTTAATAATTCAACAAATTGTTTTGTTTACATGATCTTTAAACAAACTTTTAGACAGAATATTAAAGAAAGTATTCTCAGAAGATCATCACGAATTACGACTCTAAGTATGGCGCCAACATCTAATGCTTATGCAACAACTCATTGAAGAGTTCGTTAATTAACTTACGGAGCACAAAAACCTGTTATCAATAATATTATCATCTTTTCATTAAAATTCTCTTTGTTCTAGACACAGAAGAAGTGAATATTAAATAAAATATTAGATATTATTTCAATATATCGTGAGAGTTGAATTTAAAATTGATAGATGGTTCAACGCTGGATATTTCTAGATTTCTTAGTCTTCCGTGTACATTTGATATTGAACGGCTGAAGCATTCAAATTTTCGTCATTATGCCCGATTAGAGCAGCATTCACCTTGTCGACGGGAAACGTATCGAAAAAATCTATTGGAATTTCATAATCATAGACTATAGAAGTTTAACAAAAGGTTTGCTGACATACCGTCGAATTGTTCTGGATTATTTTCATGTCCTGGATCAAAAGTGGCGTTTTCCTTACATGGCTGAGTTTCAGTAGAATATACCTTTTCCGGCATTTGTCCAAATTGTTGATAATCCATTTGAAGATGATTTTTCTCAGTTGATAATTCTATTTTATTTCTTTTTATGGCAACCATCAACCCAGTGTTTAATGGCTGATTTTTTAACTGTCTTGCCTGTTGGTTAGTGTTTTCACTACTTTTGGTAGATCGATTTTTAAGAGTGTGTCTTTGCTGATTATTCAAATCACAAACATTATTTTCAGCTCCCAAACTGATTTCCGTTGCTTGACTCAATGCTGCTGCTTTGTTTGTCATCCAATGCATCGGCCTAGTGTTTAGTATCCGACAATCCGAATGCAAATCATTAATATCAGTTTCACAAGAAACAGAACTCTCGGTAGTATCGTTCTCAAACGTTGGAAATGATTTTGACGTGTTTGATTTGACGTCCACGTATTCCTCCTCTGTACTTTGTTTCTCTTAGAGTTATCATAGAGAACAGTGAAAAAATTGTGATTAAAATTGATTATATAATATTTAATGATAGTATTCATACCCTGCAAAGCATTTTTCTGTTCAAAAAAGGAAAGAATTTGTAAATAAAATTGAATGCACTCTTTTTCATATTGATTAAGAATTGATAAACTTACAGGCTTTTTGCAAAATCCTTCTTCTTGTTCATTTTCTTGATCCAAATTCATAGGTTCTTCTTCTTGTTCAGTTTGTTGATCCAATTCCATAGGGTGTTCTTCTTTTTCAATTTTTTTGCTTTTGGCCAGTCCATCATTGGTGTTAGCATAACTACAGGAAACTAATGGGAAGAAATAAAAACATTATATTCACACAGTTTCTATTAGAATGTTTAGTATAATACTTGTAGGAGTTAGAACATTATCTTCTTCTGCATACGTAGCTTGTCTATCAAAAGAAGTGGAAGGATATGCATCTGAAATATTTATTAAATAGATTTATAATTCTGAGAACAAGTAGAGAATTACCAATCCCAAGAAGATTCCAATTTGGAATTTGAAATTGCGGGATATTTTGTTTTTCTCTTGATCCTTCAATATCTGCAATATTTAAGGAGTTTGTTATAATATTAATAGAAATCGCTAATCAAATTTAAAGACCTGTCTTTCTAACAATCACCGTAAACGAATTTTCTTCGAACAGATGATCAGCACAATCTGGGATCAAGAGACAGCCATCCTCTACTGTTTTAGGATTAAATAGCAGCAAACCATCTCTCTTAGTCAGCCTTTTTATTTCTGTATACATCGGAATCAGTTGTTCCATTTTTGGCTTGTGCCCCAACATGGAGCATAGGTTGTTGGGATCCCCGAAGTAAACATCTTTATCCCAGAATGCAGGTTTACCGTTTTTCCAGATATCTTTATGTGAAGTATTCTGTGTTGCCTCACAACAGCCATAAATCTTAATATTTACTGGTATTATCTTACGTAACTGTTCCGCTTTCAATGGACGATTGGGGGGAAAGTGTTCTATCATCGTTGTTGAAAATGTGTTGATCAAGAACCTGACTCGTATGGCTTTTCCGTGATAAAACAAGCAATACTATGAAAAAATATAGAACCAATTAAATGAAAAATTTATATACCATTGTCCGATCGTTGGCGTCCTCTCATCGGCAGTCTGTTGATAACACCATCATCTCTAAAAAGCAGTATTTAATCTTCTATGATTATTAAAATATATTTGTAAATTTTAGTATCTTAAAACAATTATCCGTTTTGGTGTAATTTTAAAATCGTATGCTGTAGGCCTATTATTATTTTCATTAATAGAGAGTGACCTGATTAATTAACTCTGATGAAATATTTCACTGACTTATGATTGAATCAACAGTTATTTAGGATTTAGTTTTAGTTGCTGGATTAGCAATCAAGCGAAATTGATATACCTAAGATATAAATAAATATTGACGAATATAAATTTATATATAAATAAACAAAGAATTAACCTTAGATAATCATTAAAGTGAGGTTTATTAGCCAAATATCTACGATTAAACATAATTTGAGCTCCGCTTGCCGCCATTATGGTTATACCTTAAAATGATAACCATATTTATTAAAAAGTATATATGTGCCTTATGATTAGTACGGTTACAGGTAATTTGTGTTTTAAAAACGTCATAGGAAACACGTGTTTTGAATATACCCGAAAATATTTAAAAAGACACAAAGGCAGAACATAAAGAGAGAAATTAATAAAGTGATTTTTCATTTCCCCCTGTGTTTATTTTACCTCTTTTTAATGACATTTATTCAATAATAATAAATCATATTACTAGGTCAAATAATCTTATCTTTTCCGTGAACAGATTATAAAGATTTGGATGAGTGAAAGAAACGTGCTATCAACGAAACGGATAGATAGAGTATTTCTTTATCTTATTTTAGATAGATGAAAAAATCTGCCTTCCTCATTTCGTACTCATCAGCAGACCAGTTTTTGTATTGACTAATTATTTCTTCGATCGAAGAAGTAACAACCATTTTCCCTTTATCTCTATCACACAAATTCCTACATATGAGACCTGTTTAATATATTCAAATTATTGATTTTTTTTATCCGATAAATTATCATTAGATCATTCTCTATTGGTTACATCGTCTAATAACATTCCTAGTGCCTGACTATCATCTGAATAGTTAAAATTTTGTAAATAATATAATATTTATGTGGACATACAGAGAGTTTGTAAGCACTTTAGACAGAAATAATGTTTCATCATAAAATTACCGTTTAAGTTGCCTTTCCTATTTTTGTTTGGCAGGTAAATTTAACCTTGTATTTCGACTATTACCGGGCTTCTCTGTGCGTATCTGCTACGAGAGTTTATCTCATTAGCGGATACTTCTGTCGATGATTGATGCTGTTCGTAAATCCCTGGATAATTCCCGATTTCTAAACTGACTTCCCTATCAGTGTGTTCCGACTGATATGTCAGTTTAAGATCAATGACATTTCTAAGATATTGGTGGATGTTATCTTCCACTGGTTGTTAAATCCTAAACTTTTCATCAAGTTGTTGGGATCTGGCCGCGGTTCACCTTTCTTATACCCAAATGGCCTATTCTCATAAATTCCTTGTTGACTTCCACAAAGTAAAAATCCAAACATAACTATAAGTGATGTGCAATGCTTCCTCTTGTCATCAATATTATAACTTTCCCACCAACTCATGTCAGCAGAAATATCAATCTTTTTGAAGGAAGCCGTAAGCAATGCTTAGCAATATATGGGTTTTTTTGGGCCTATTCTTATATTTATATATTTTACATATCTGTTCTATACAAAGTATAAAATTACCTTCTACGAGTCAACTCTTGTAAGAAAGAAAAATATGGGAAAGCTTCATTTCGTCTAACTCTTCCTCGCTTCATTATCTGTGAACTCAGTTGTGTTCCGTTCAGTAGTGAACTTGTATTTAGCTATGACTTAGTTTATGATGAAGGTACGTAAATAATGATATTCCACGATAGGGCGTTAATGTTTATACTGAACGCTTTTTAAATAGAAATTCTCTCCTGCAAGCTGTAATGAAAATTTCAGAAAGTTATCGGATGGTGAAGAGGGATAAACTTTAGTCTAAATGCTTAAAATGTATCAAAGATTTGTGACAAAATCATTCTATATATTTGTACACACGGTAATCATCTCTTAATTTTTTAAGGTCCAATCACAGCTCATAGCACAAATATTCTGTATCGAGAAAACATGTGAAAAAGAAACGACAGAGTATCAACTATCATAGAATAATAGAATAAAACATCTTTTTCAATCAGACGTGTCCATATCCTGTTTTGCCAGAGAACAGTATTCAATTCTCTGGCGGTTTTTTTCGTCTCTTTTGATTCTTTTAATTATCCTTTCCTGTTTCATGGGAAAACTTTCATTCACTTCTTTGATGTGGTTATGGTCTTCCACTAAACATAGACAATAAAGTATATTAAAATCATAACGCTATCCTTATTAAAGCTTATATTTTATATAATCTTCTTGTTCTATTAGAAATATTTACTCATATTTGATTTCGTCACTGCCACTTGATCCTTAGAATGTTCCGTCGTCTCTTTCATGATGCCGGTAGGCCCCCAATCCATGGATGGATTTATTACATCATCGGTCGGAAAGGCAACTGCAAATTCCCCTTTATTTTTTAGAAAAATTATTGATAATACTTAATATGTATAAATAACAGTTATTATATTTTTTAGATAGATGATACTATACCTAAACGCTGCGCTGTATCCATGATTTCGGTCTAAAGCAGGATAAAACTAGTTCATATGTGCTATTGTAATTTATGAACCTACTGTATCATTTATATTCTTCCCGAAGATGTTATCTGAATTGGAACTTTTGTCAAGATTTTTCTCCGACTTGATAGGGTTTTCACCTTAATAATACTATATTAAATAATAAAAGACCTTTTAAGTTATCTTACTTACCTTTGGTTGATGGGAAAATTTCGTCTAATTCGGAAAGTTTATACACTAAATCCTGATCATCAGCTAAAGCTTCGTGTACAAATTCATCTGCTCCATACGGATCTTTCAAATAATAGAATTAATATCCCTATAACACAGTGTTCAATTTTACCTTCATTCTCGATGTCAACATAGCTTCTTGGTAGTTGTTGCTCTTGATTCTATTAGATGAGAGAATGTTGATTAATTATGGTGTATATTAAAATCTAATGTTGAAAATTTACCGAATTCTTTTGAGTGTTTGATTTTAGTGACACATTCTCATTATCGCTTTCATATGAATTCAGAGATGAATTTTCAGCAGCTATACATTAAAAACAAAAATTTAGATTTCCATGCAATAGATAATTTGACATCCTTACTAAATATTGGAACTATTCCACTGTCGGTATTATTTTGGCATCTTGCTTCATTTTCATTGTCTGTATTGTTCAATAATACTAAAAAATATAGATTATCATATGGAATTGTTTTAACCTTGCATTTCCCTAATGACCTTGCTTCCTTGTGAGTAACTGCTAGGAGAGCCTTCTACATAGGTGCATTTTTCCATCGCTGATCGACAGTGTTGAAAGTTATTGTTTTGTTTCTTTGTCAGTCCATTACTGCCGTTATTGCAATTGTAGTAATCTAATCGTAGGAAATATAAAGATAAGTTTTAAACAGTTTCCTTTAGAATGTGTTAGTATAATACCTGAAGAAGTTCGTATATGATGTATCTCTCCATCCTTAGATTGATTCTCTAATCTTTCGCTTGAACGTGCTGTGTCATTAGAACTTTCTCGTTCATTCCTCTCAAAGAGCTTGATAGCTGCATATCCTTCTTCTGTCTCACAGCTCTGTCCTGATTTAGTTGATAAATCAACTAAAACTATTGAAAATGTAAATTCATTAGGTTATAATATTTATTTATAGAAATTGAATTTACCCTTATTATTAACCACGTCCTCTGAATTCGGGGACGAATGTGATGTAGTAGATGAGCATTCTTCATCTATGATTGTCATCGGTGTAACATCGATCACTTCATACCACTGTAGAATATTAAACAATTAATGCATAGATTTTGTATGCATTTTAATTAATACTAAAAGCAGACGAGTCAAGGTAATAGGAAATGGCTTTGTCCAATACCCTATTCCCCATTGGACGCTATAACCTTAATTCTGATCCTTGAAATCAAAAACGTACTTCGCTTGTTTGGCTTTTCTTGAGAGTGACCAAAAAGTAATCATCTCGACTTTCTAACAGATGCTTTTTACGTGAAGGAACATATGGATAAACAAGGTATCCTTTATTTTCTTGAATTAGTCGAAGCAGTTCCAAGAGTGTTTCATTTCGTTGTTCCGCAACATTGCGATGTCCATTTATTGTGCCGCTACTTAAGTTTATGAATTCTTTGTATTTGTAGCCTATTGGTTTTTTTTTATAGTCTTGTTGGCAGTCGTCTTCAACTTGTATAAGTTTATGATGCTTAATAAGTTGGCTGCAAAACTCTATAGTTTGCTTTGTGTTGAATTTCTTGGTACTCCAGTGATCTAAGGCACCGTTATTTGATTGAAAAAGATCTGGATATGCAGACTTGTACAACACCGTAAAAATTCTCCTGCAAAATACTCTTGTTAAATAAATTAAAGAGGAGAAATGTCCTTATACTTTTCACTAAAGTCATTTTCATCTTCTTTAAGTTCCATTGCCTTATATTCAAGTCTACAACAAAATAACTATCACTAGATATTCAATGTATACTTCCATCTTACTTTCTTGCTTTTTTCTTCTTTTTGATGTTATCAATTTGTTTCTTTAACGTTTCTGAAATTTTAATCAGATCGAATTCGGAAAGTCTGGATGACATATTTTCTTCGCAACAAATTATGTATGTTTTGGTGAAATGTACCTCTGATCTATTAGAAAACTGGGTAAAAAATAACTATGGATATAAAAGAAATTAGCAAATAGGTAAATAAATAATTAATAAATTACTTTTTTTTTAATAAAAGAAAAACGAATAAATACGAAAAAGCTTTCACAAAATTTTAATATTTTATACCAAAACGATTGAATAGGCGTAGTTTAAAATTTATTGAACAGCATAGTTCACTCACGACAGTAATTGTTAAAGAATTGCAAAGTTACAATATTGTGTTATTGACAATTCCAGGTCTTTATGATCAAATTTCATAGCTAATATAAATTTCATATCTTTTAAAAAACTTCTATATGGATTTATTTAATAATGCAGATCTTTTTCCTGTTCTTCCTAATACACTTCAGGACAAGGTATTTTCTTTGTCGTTTATCATTTCCAGTCTACTTTTTTTATCAGTTTCCGTCAATGGAGTTTGCGATAAAGACTAATTAAAATAAGGCTACAGGTTCTCTGGTCATACAAAAACGAGCAAATAATTCTATTATTATCCAAACCGATAAATGAAGCGAAAATCATTCAAAGGCAAACATTAGCAAAGGATATACAGTATTGTATTTGCGACTCGCCGAAACCTTTTCTAGGAATCATTTCAAACTTAAGTGAAACTTGGAAAATACCGAAAACTATTGGATAGAAATTGAACAGAAAGTTTGCATCTTATGTGTCAGTTTGAATTAGTGAATGTAGGTCAGTATATTAGCGTCACTTTAAAGGGAATTTGACTCAGCCAAAGCTAGGGAGCAAGAGCTGTTGAAAGGTGGTTCGCAATTCATAAACCCCATGTATTAAAAATTAAACATATCTACATTTTAACTGGATCTATTCTCTTCATTTGTTTGATTTTTGGTAGTTTTACATCATTTTTATAACCTATTATCAATGAGATTATCATCTTTTCATCAAAATTTTCTTTATTCTAGACAGAAGAAGTGAATATTAAATAAAATATTAGATATTATTTCAATATATCGTGAGAGTTGAATTTAAAATTGATAGATGGTTCAACGCTGGATATTTCTAGATTTCTTAGTCTTCCGTGTACATTTGATATTGAACGGCTGAAGCATTCAAATTTTCGTCATTATGCCCGATTAGAGCAGCATTCACCTTGTCGACGGGAAACGTATCGAAAAAATCTATTGGAATTTCATAATCATAGACTATAGAAGTTTAACAAAAGGTTTGCTGACATACCGTCGAATTGTTCTGGATTATTTTCATGTCCTGGATCAAAAGTGGCGTTTTCCTTACATGGCTGAGTTTCAGTAGAATATACCTTTTCCGGCATTTGTCCAAATTGTTGATAATCCATTTGAAGATGATTTTTCTCAGTTGATAATTCTATTTTATTTCTGGGGATGGTTGATGCTATTCGTGAATGCCTGGAGAATTTCCCATTTCTACACTGACTTCCCTATCAGTGCTTTCTGATTGGTATGTCAGCCTAAGATCAATATCATCTTTAAGATATTCGTGGATGTTATTTTCCCCTGATTGAAGAATTTTGACATCAACCAAATTGTTTAATGTCTCTTCAGTGCCAAAGTACAACACGCCGTATACTTTGATTACCCTTATTATTTCATTGATCATTCTGTCTAGCTCAATTGCCCTTGGCTTTTCCAATTCTGAACTTCCCATCCAGTTGTTGGGATCTCTCCACGGTACATCTGTCCTATAACCAACATTTTATAAAATAGATTCTATAAATAGATCTATTTAAAGTAAGGCTACCTGTTCTTTGGAGAGGTTGGGTAGAATACATGATGATAACATCCATCAGCATCGAGAACTAAGCCAGATATTGATGGAAGTCTATGCCGACTAAAAAGACCGGGATGACTTGGACAACAAATAACTAGAGGCAATGCAAGTGGTCGTAAGCAAACTCAACATGAACGCTCGGCTAAGAGCTGGATGGAATAGCGAGGAGGCTATAGCGAAAACAAGCCTATCTATCGAAGACATGGCAGAATTTATAGATACAGAGTCGGGGGCTGGAAAGAGCAATAGACCAACAACAAATTCTGAGCCTTGAGAATAAGAGTGAATGAAGAGAAGGAAATAAAAAAGAGTTGGAGTGTTATGCATGCGATAAGCCCCACCCCCTGAGAAACTGTCCACAGTTTAAAAGGATGGATATAGAAGATCTAGTGAGAAAATCACGATTATGCGAAAACTGTACAACTAGCAACCACAACCCATCGGAATGCTGGAAACCTAGATGTAAAATATGTGGGCAGCAAAGAATTATTTGTTGCACCAATGCGAAAAAATGGGTACCACCAAAAGGGTTATGATAGTAAAGGATTGAGAAAGAGAATGGGATGACTGCCCTAGAACTAAACACCTAAAACGGTAATCTTGTAATAATACAGGATACCGGGGCAGATATGACAATCATTACAACAGAGGCAGCTAGAAGGGTTAATACAAGACCTATTGAGATAGTAAAAGTTGATCTCGCAATAACGGGAAGAATAGAGCGGCATAAGGGGCTGCGAAATATACCGTCTAAATTAAGGGAGGAGATTTGGAAGCCCTGGAATATCAACAGATTGCTACCATAAACCAATAAGCCATCACTGAACCAGAAAGAATGAAATGGCCGTATTTAAAAGATATCCAGGTACCAGAGTTATGAAACCGGCAAGTCGACCTATTGATAGGGTGGGGCTATATAGACATGATGCCACGCAGAACAATATTGGAAGGAGATGTGGATGAACTTGCTGCTATGTGCTCTAAGCTAGGATGGTCGGTCGCGGGACAAAGGATAGAAGGAGGGAGACCGGCAAAAATGCCATAATGAGAGAAAAGGATGGGTTAAGAATCCAACAGAGACGAATAAGCAAAAAGGAGAGTGATACGAGAACCCTAGAGTTTTGGATGGAAGATCCGGAATAGGAAAACTACTCGTAAAGAAGGTCTACGAAGATAATTGCCACGCCCCTTTGGCTAGAATAAGAGCAATCCTCAGAGAAACCTATCGGGTACTCAATGAGGTCACAACAATACGACAAATCATTAGGGAGTAAAAATACGGATCAAAGATCCGATATGAGCAGAAAGGCAATGAACCCTACTCCTTCCAAATCGGAAACGAGCTAGAAATATTCAGATACAGTGGTATCGACCACTTTGGAACATTCAGGCAGAAAAAAGGGGAAAACTTTACGTCTCTTCATATGCCTACAGAGCAAGATGGTGAGGCTTGAGATGACGGAGGGTCTCGACGCGAACTCAACCAAGCTGTCACAGGAAAGAACATGGGGCAGGGAGAGAAGAAAGAAAGTGGCAGATGCTGTGGCTGTTGGTAGAAAAGGTTATGGACGACAAGCCACTTCAGCAGCCATTGGACGACCCTGACCAATTTTTGGTAACGTCCAACACGATTAAAAGGCGACATAGGGAACTACTATGAAGTGAGGGCATGTGAAATAAGAAGCGATAGAATGAAATCGAAAGACAATTGAAGAAAATATACATCCAAGAACTTGTAAGGCAACAACGGAAAATGAGAGGAGGAAGAAAGCTGCAAGTCAGAGATAAAGTCCTAATCTCGAACAAACAAAAAGCGAGACATAAATGGATAACTGGATTCCTAGCTGAAATCCTATCTAACCACGACGGAATTTATAGAAAGTGCAGGATCGAGACCAAAAAGGGGCCATTTATTAGAGCCGCGGGTGAACTACTATTTGCGGGAGAATGAACAGAACGTTTGGATGTTATGTGTTAGTATGAGTCAGTGAATATATGTTAGTATGCTAGCGTTACTTTAAGAGGGTGTTTGACTCAGTCAAATCTAGGACAGTTGACTTGATGTCAAGTCATCGGGACAAATAAACAGTATTATAAATACAATTTTATATGGAATTATTAGCAATTCCGTAATACGAGGAACAAACGAATCTTGTAAAGAATTCATGAACATGACCTGTAAAAGGAAAAAATAATTTGTATAATTGAAAACAGCGTCTCAGATTAACGTTTATCCTTTTGAAGAAACTAATAATTTGTAGAGAAAGTATATTGCTAACTACATTACTTTAAAGCAAAACTAAGTGATTTTCATATTTATAGTCATCCTAAAATCTCCCTATATTGTATTAGGAATAGATTTATCATCATTATATCATTTATGACGAATACATTTTCTCCATCGTACAAACAAGGATGAATTTTTTATTTAAAATCATTTGATTTTGTGTCTTCTATCATAGAAATTTTCCTTCCGGCTCTTCCTATATGTAGGATCTATTTAATATATTCAAATTATAATTCTTTTTATCAACAATGAAATATCTTCTCTACCTTTAATTTTCCCTTTTCTTTTGCCTTTCCGATAAAAACAACATTCTTTGTTGGTTCCATCATCTAATAACTTCCCTGGTGCTTGACCATCGTCTGAATAGTTGTAATCTTTTAAATAATATAGCATTCGTATGAACATATAGAGAGGTTGTAAGTACTTTAGATAATTTAATATTACATAATATAATGACCTTTTAAATTATCTTACGTACCTTTGTTGCAAATTTCCTCAATCTTCGAAAAATGATACAAGGATTCCTGATCTTCAGCTAAATTTTCCAGGAAAATTTTATCTGCTCCATACGGATCTTTATTAAATATTAGAATCTTTATCCTTATTTATACAGTATCAATTAAATACAATTTAATTTTGTACCTTCATTCTCAACATCAATAAAATCTCTTGTTCGTTGCAGTTCTTTCTATTAGATGAGAGAATGTTGATTGATTATACTGAACATTAAAATGTAACGTTTAAAGTTTTACCCAATCGCTGTTACTATTAAGTATCAGTGACATATTCCCATCAGCGTTTTTATACTCATCCACTGATTGTTTAACTTCTTCAGTAGCTATATATCAAAAACAAAAATTTAGATTTGTATACTGTAGATAATCTGACATCCTTACTAAATGTTGAAACTGTTCCTCTGTTGGTATTATTTTGGCATCTTTCTTCATTTTCAGTTTCTGTATTGTTCAAGATATAATAATATCAAAAAATGTGGACTAATTTTATATAATTGTTTTAACCTGGTATTTTAACTATGATCTTGTCAGCTTGGTCCGAATCTGGCTTATACAAGTATTTGTCACTTGTTGAAGGTTGCTGTTGGAAAACAACTGTACATGTTATTGAGGTTTCACACTCCATTTTACAGTTGACATTCGACATATCCATTCTTTCCTTTATGTCTATGAAAGAACAATTTTTGTCATGAAGCTGCCTCCTTTTTTTATTTTCCTGTTTTTCTTTTCTTTGTATAGAATCGTCTTTAGTCCTAAATGTAATGTTTAAGATTTTGTTTTGATATAGGTCTATGCTTATTACTCCTATACACTGTAGCAAAGTACAAGTATTATTATTATTTTTTACTGAATATTTTGAAGTCAGACCTTGTTATTTTTATTAAATCCAAGATTAACAATCAGATAATTTGAAAACGTTGCTGCACGGGCATTGCAGTTTTCTTGAAGATCACCCGGTGGGTAAACGAGAAAACCACAGGATAGAATCAAGCGAATCAATTCCAAAATTATCTGAGATCCTTCATTTTTCTTTATTCTTTTGCCATTCCATTTACCACTATACAAGTTGACAAAAATCGCTAACATATAGCCAATTGGTTTAACAGCGAACTTCAATTTGCTTTTCGATTCTAAGGGTGTAAGTCCGAATAATTCAATTAGAAAAGGAGCAAATTTTCGCAAATTTTCCATGTCGAAATTTTTCAATTTCCACGTTTCAAGATCATTTATTTTACATGCTTTCGGAAAAGTTTGTTTGTAAGCATGCGCTTCCGCCCTAGAATTTGCATTGAAATATACAGAAAAATAAAAAGCTAGTTTTTTCTTATACCTGACAATCACTTTATCTTCAGAATCCAACAACATCGGGATTTCGGTTTGCCTAAAGCAAAAAAAATAGATATTTCTTTGATAGATCATAAGAAAGTTTATATAAGGATTATAAGTATATTCCTTACTCAACATCTTTTTGAATTTTCTGTTTAATGCCAATTAGCTGCGGATGCTTAGCCATTGCTACAAAATATTAAATTTACTGCAGTGTTAACACTCGAGAACACCATTCAAGAAAAATGACCATGGGTTTATTATGCAGTATAAACATGACTTCCGTTCTGATCACTTTTGAATATACTATATTTTTCTTTCTACGATAAATGGTGTAGGAGCTGTTGCCCGGTTTATTATCGCACCGTTAAATTTGGTAGCAATTAACAGAAAGTAAAAAAGAAAGTAAATATGTTAAACGTTTAGAGCAGGAGCTACATTCAAGCATTTTGTATCTTGCACAATTGTTCAAAAGAGTTCATTGATTATCTTGAAACTAGATGGCACTATCATTAAACCTTTTGAATAGTTTATCAATTATTAATATCTATTAGGTCTATGTAAAATAGCACCAATTGCTAAAATTTAAAGTGTGTTAAATGGTATATTAGTTATTGATGTAGTTTTCCTTATCTTTTTATAATAAGGAGGAGGACAGGCATTCATGTTTTAGTGAAGAAGCATTTAAAAAAAAGCAAGACTTGAGAAGTTCTAGTTGTAAGTGGTTGAGGAAATGAAAGCGATTGTATTGAACAAATATATTGTATACTATATTGAATTATGGTATATAAATATATACATATATATACTGTATATACGATATTAGCGTTTATAAAAAATACTATCTTTAGTACATGTTTTCTTGAAATATATATTAAGAAAAACAAATTTATTTATAATATATAGATTCTTCGTTTCCTTTTAACCAGGCCTACAGAGTCTATAATTTGTAAATAGCATTAAATGTAAATAAGTGAATGTATACATTGAATGTATAAATATAGGTTGTTTTCTTATTTACACGCCACCTTTAAAATTAAATTTATATCTGTATGGAAAATTTGTATACACTGTATTAGTATAAACATATTGGCACAATTGTTTGTAGCTGTTTTTTCATCGTTATTCTTCTTTTCTTCTTTTTAATATATTTTTTATTTTTTTTTTTAAAAAAAAAAGTCTGTTGTTTTATATTTTTTCAAGTAAAGTAAAAAGTTACAGAGCATATCTTATCTTGCACTCAACTTTCCATTACTTCGGGCTTTAGGCGTTTTAACTTTAATACCATTTAATACAGTCTTTTTCTGATTACGCTTTTTCATTATATTCTTATCATCAACTTTTGAATGGAGTTGTTCTGTTTTAGTGAAAACAACAATAATAAATATTAGCAAAAGAAAACTTTTTAATTTGCGGTAATTAAGCCTATATGTGAAAAGAAGCACTTAACTAATTTAGGGACAAGTTTCTTATATATTTTAATATTTTATTAAAAATATATATTTATTTAATGGTCGTTGGGTAAAAGATTAATTTATAAAAGAATGCAAGTTAGGTATTATTTGATCATTTATTTATCTAAATACATATTATATATATATATATATATATATATATTAAGTAAAGTAAATATTGTTATAAAGTAATGCAACAATAAGTTAGGAAGAATGAAAAGAATCACAAGAAAAACAATAGAGAGAACAATAAGATTTTCGTATTACAGCAACCAATTGTTTTTCTTCTTTTTTGTAAATTTAAGACAGTTTACTTGATTAAATAAACACAATTTCAACTTTATTTTCTTTATATATGTATATACTTTTTTTTTAATAAAAAATCTATTATTACATTTTCTTTCCTTTTCTCTCTCTCTCTCTCCCTCTCTTTCCCCCCCCCCTTCTCTAAATAAGCCTATATAATTTCTTTTTAAGACTGTTTGAACACTTTTTAGATCCTTTTGAAATATTTTCGAACCGTGCTGTTATCTTTCTTAAAATTTTCAGATCATGTTTAAAGAAAATATTAAGGTCAACGTTTTCCTTATTTACTAATAATTCTATTCTCACTATTTCTTTGGTTTTTCTCTCTTTTTTAGACGATTTATTGTTAGGAGAATAAAGAAAAGTAATATTTCTTGTTACTTACCAAGAAATTTATCTGTTATGGCGTCTGTATCATCCAATAATGGCTGGTAGGAAGTTTCTCCTTCCTGATTACAATCAACTTTTAATAAGACGCAAACTTCTCTATCGTCTAGGGCCTCGCTAGCGTATCTATATGGGTTGTCTCTAAGGTGTTTTACGTTTCCATTCGGATCCGATAACTCAATATCCGTATCGTAGCATTTGCATTGATCTCTAATGCTTTCTAAGAGGGTATAATTCCAGCATTCAGGATTGAATACAGCTTCTTGTTTAGCTAGTAAACATGAAACAATGTAAGATGTATTTATAGCATAAAAATGTTTAAAAGAGTGTGAAAAAAACAAAAACAAGCTCTCAAGGATTCTTTTATTATAAAAAGGAAATATGGAAAGAAACAAAAGAGCAAAATAAAAGACTAGTTATCATTTGAACAGAAATAGATATTAGTATAATAGTCAAACTAATTATTACGTTAATCTGATATTTACTATTAAGGATTAAACTTACCACCGTACTTGACAGTTATTATCATTTTTGAATTGAATTGTAACAATGATAATGAAAAAAATATAATAATAGTCTCTTCTTATTCCAAAGTTAATTGATAGGTGTAATGAAAAGAAATAAATTCCAACTCTTACGAATAAATTCAATAACCAAAACAGACTTGACAAGAGCGGACTTCAGACTGGCCGTTTGAATCCTTTATATGAACGGGCTATTTTTCCTCCGCCCACTCCTTCTCTTTTCTTCCAATTAAGAGACTGGTATCTGAGAGCAACAGTTTACGTGAATAAAGTCACGTGGGAGTGTTGAATGCTCTTAGCAACTGTATCGACAAAACGGTGACAAAGAGTTGTATGATTATCTTAGAGCATTGATTGCCATTCAGTAGTTAAGAATAGGCATTGATCATAAACTTCACCCATATATTTCGGTTATATTTATCTCATTTTTCTTGCAATTCAATTGTATTAAAATAGTCTAATTAGAGCTTTCTAAAGAAAGAAAGAAGACGAGCAAAGATTCTTTTAACATATAATTTAGGCTTTAATTAAATCTATACCTGTTTTGTTAGATTATTAATAAACTTTGTTCAGTTTTGTTTTATAGTTGTTCCGGAGCTATAAAAGAAAAAAATTAATCTTCAGGAAAGATTAGGGCGTCCTTATTTCTTTTCTTTTTCTTTTTTTTTAAAAAAAAAATCAATAAAACAACTAAAAGTAAACTAAAAAATATTTCTGTTGTTTATATTTCTCTATTCAAGTAAAATAAAAAAAAAAAAAAAAGAAAAAATTCAAACCGGAAGTGGAAAAATAATACTTTGGAATATTTTTTCAATCTTTATCAATTATATAATATTTTAGATAAAGAAACAACAATTGCCTCTTTTTTTTTCTTTTCCAATAAATTATATTCTTCTTTATTAAATAGACAAAGGTATAAAAAACTATTAATAATGTAAAAAGGAATTATATCAATTTATCGAGTACAACTATCAAATTGAAAAGGGCGGCCTAAAATAATTGTAAATTATTTTCTTTTTTCTGTTTACTATAGTTCGGTTATAGGCCTAAATTATATTTTTTTTCTGTAGATTTTACAGATAATAGTTAATCTCCTTTATCAATGTTCCATTAGTCTGTTGTACAACTGCCTTTTTGAATATTTTTTATTATACTATTTATTTGCATACATACATAGCTTTACTTTTTTTTATCTCTTTAATCATTTAATTAACGGTAGATGGCGTGTAAACAATATAGAATCATCTAGTGATTGGTAATTTAACTAAAAAAGAAAAATCACCTACTTAAATATATTATAAAGCTGGGAGTAGCGCAATGCTATATTAATAAGATTTATGAAAAACAATAACGAACGACAAGTGCCTTTATTAAGATAGCTTTTAGAATGAATTTATAAAAAAAAATGAGATTGATTGGTAAAGAGGAAGAGAAAAGGGAAGAGGATATTGTTCAACAAGTGGTTAGGATTGTAAAAAAAAAACACTTGTTTTCTTTTGTTTTAACACTATTAAAGTGTAAAACTCTCTCATTTTTTTATTGTCTTTTATCTAGTTATATTCCTTTTAACTATAAACCAGTTTTAGAGCTTTAAAATCCCAGTTGGGAATAGCTAGCTACATGAATTGTTCAAAGGATTAGGATCTTTATAAAGCAACTCATTTATAACTGGGAAATCAATTAACTATTTGTCAATTGTTAGTTTACTGCATATACTTTAAAGAAATATGGTAATGTATCCTTGTTAAAGATATCTTTACTGAATAAACAAACTATGGATATCATCGGTTCCTTAACAAATTTTTATCAAATTTTCTTCTTTTATTAGCCTAAATTATTTATTTTACCTTTTTTAAACAGACCCAGTTCTTATCCGAGGAACAAATTGCCGAGCTAAAGGTTGCATTTGATATGTTTGATAAGGACGGGGATGGTTGCGTAACAGTCGAAGAGTTAAAAACAGTTATGAGATCTTTAGGTCAAAATCCTACTGACCGAGATATAGATGAAATGACTAATGGGAATATAAAACACGGCGATGGTAACATTGATTTTGTTCAATTTATTGAAATGTTGGCTAACTTTTCGGCAAGTTCAAATGGAACTAGCGAAGAGGAAATCAGGGAAGCGTTTAAAGTAATTTCTTTCTTTATAATAATTATGTTATTACGACTCGTAAAATAAAAATAAAGTCTATTGAAAGGCTTTCGATAAGGACGGTAATGGATTCATTTCTGCCGACGAAATATCTTCAATAATGTCCAAGTTGGGTGAACACTTAAGTGAAAATGAAATTAAAGAAATGATCGAAATGGCTGATACAGACGGAGACGGAATGGTTAATTACAATGGTCACTTTTTTTAATATATTACATATATATACATACTATATAATAATTATTAATCTATTATTCTTTTCTAGAATTTATGGACGTAATGCTTAAACAGAAATATTGGTAATTTCAATGTAATTAAATCAATTTGCTCAGGTTTTAATTGAAAGCTAGGAAGTACAAGAACAACTAACTACTAAGATGTACATCGTAGTAAAAGACAAAGTTCTGTAATTCAATAGAATGTTTATATTATACCGATTTACTTACGTGAAATTTTAAATATACAGAACATATTAAATATATTTTTTCTCTATATATAGCATCTGAAAAAATGATCTTTCGACGTCCTTACTCCGAAGGTCAATAACCGTATAACATTTCCATAGAGCAAATTATTTATAATTATATAACTATATTTCCATATCTTTATCATGAAAATATACTCTTCTCTTTATTACTTTCTAAGGTTTTCACTGTTTCTTCATGTTGATATGTAAGTAATCTCTTCGCGTCTGAAGGTATCAAGTTAGGTATTCCATCAATAATTGGATAAGCAACCCCTATTTCGTCTGATATTAATACTTGATTTTCTTTATCATATCTAAAATATTGAAAGGAAAGTTTTAAAGTTTGTTCATTAAAGAGAAAGCTTACGAAATTAATTTAATACATAAATATAATTCTAACTACTTAGGATTAATATTAACCTTAAACTTCCTTTACTAAGTGGACATACTAAATATTCCACTTGTTTTTCATCAAACTCTAACTTTATATTTGTTGATTTTTGGCATCTTCTGATTGATTGTATCGAGAATCTCGACCTTGTGATGCAGTCTGAACGATAATAGATGATTTTAGTTAGCACTCGCACATGTAAAACAAAAGTTGTACAAATTTTACTCTAGTTAAGAGTACAACTTAAAAAAAACTTTGAACATTGATACTAACTGAAATTAACTAATTTAAGGCTTAGCTTAAGGTTGGTTTTGAACATTATTGATTATTCTTCAAGCTTAGGACGAAGATGTTTACGCAGAAGAAGCCGCCACTTTGTTTTCTCTCAAAAACTTCGAAGTACTTGCTAAACTTTAGCCTAAAACATAAATAGGATACTCCTTATTTTCAAAATAATTAATGTTTACATAATTGTTAATTTACTTTTATTTTGTCTATCTTAACTGGTAAAATAGAGAAAAAAAGCCGTCCATGTACGTTTGATTTTCTCTAAAGATCGCTCATCATCTCGAAAAACTGGTTAGATAGATCGAGGAGAATTTTTTTCAAAAATTCAACTTTTCTATGAATTAAATAAGACCATATTTGTTTATATATAATCAAGTTCTCTCTTTTAAACATCTAATCATAACATTCATTTAATTTGCTTTGTTGGTCACAACTCTTGCAAGGATTTTAATAGAATTTTAGTGGTTTTGTATAAAATATCTTTTTTTATGTTATATTTTAATAATTTGAGTAATAAATACTCATTCATAAATTTACACAGTTTGATAATTATCCATTTTTTATCATACAATGAAAATTTTAGCTAATCTTTCAAAATTTTCATAGTTTTAAAGGCTATTAAATATTATTTATATCTTCAAAGCAAAATATTCCGCAATAGCGATAATTGAATATAAGAGGTTTACGCTCTAGACTAAGATTCTGACTAAGGTGATTGCATAAGGCTTTAGAAAAGCCTAGAAGACGCATCAATCGGTAGAAAAGAGATGAATACTGATGGAATTCTCAAATTTACAAATATCCAGGAGACGATTGGGGATGAGAAACATAGTAATTTAACTTTTAACGGGTCGAATTCTCAGATAAACATAAAAAATTGTGAAAAATTCTCAAAGTTTGAGTAAGAAAATATTGTATGATCTGTTTTGTTTGTTTTGAGTATATAATACCTGTTTTTTTTCCCCTGTTAATTTAGAGATGCCGTAAATGCCGATTATAAGAGATTATATCACCAAACAACACTAGATAGCCAAATCCATGAATCAAACGACGATAGCATTGAAAAGACTCTTTGTTCAAAAAATCCAGCCGAACCTTTTGACATGGTTAAATCGACAGGTGTCAAAGACTATTTATTTCAACAATTAGAAAGGATACAAGATGAAAGGAATATAATTCAGAAAGAAGTTATGACACAAGTAATTGATATTTTAGTGGATAGATTAAATCTAGCCGAATCCGAAGAAGGAGAACTAATGATCAATATTACTAAATTGGTTAATAAATACTACAATTGCCAGAGAGACGATTGCGTTTGCTGTATTAATCACAAGAAGTGATTATACTGTACTTGATTGTTCCTAGAATGAATTGACTATATTCAAATGCAAATAGCTGTTAGCCTATAATGGATCTTTTTTTGTTGTATATTCTTGTATATATATATATATATATATACAGTATACGGGCTGCCAGCCAATTTTTATAAAATTTTTACATGTAAAACTACTTCTTTTTGGCATTTGAAATGTTCATCGTTATTTTATCTAATAATTGAAGATGTTCAATAAATTATTCAAGAAAGAATTTTATGTCAATCAAAGAGTAAAAAAAACATAAAAAGAATAATAACTTCCCATTTATCGCTCAAAAAAATTATTGGCGCCAATCCTAAAATTTAATAATTTTACTAATTTATAAAAAAGTAAAAAGTTTTTACATAATTTTACGTTTTTTTTATTTTTAATATTATTCAAATAAAATTATTAATAAGAGAAATTTTTAAATGGAAAAAGTTAAGAATGAAAAAACCGGTAGAGTTACCCATGGTAACCAGTAGCAACAACCGCGCTACAAGAAACATAACAGAATGCTTCTCTGATATTAGCAATTTTTTTCTGTAAATTATGGATGACGTACGATTTGAATGGATAAGGGACAGAGTTTATAAAGGTCTCGATATCAGAGATGAGGGCGGAGAAGTTTTTGAAGAGTTAATTAATAGAGACGATGGAGAATGCGAAAGAATTCTAGCAAAATTCCTTAATGAAACTCCAAACGAAGACCAGTTAGCTATAAAGTTTTATAAGAAAGAGGTTGAAGAGGAGGAAGAAGTAGAAGTAGAGTGCGAACCCTCCATTCCAGATATTGAAGCCGAACAAGAAGATAAAACTGGCAATGGAAGCCGGACTGGAAGCAGAGCCGAAAGTGGTTCAGCTATAGGAGCTCCCGAAGGTTCTAAAAGCTCACCAGAAGGTAGAGAAAGCGATAAGAGTGAAAAAGAAGGCGGTGAAAATGAACAAGAAGGTGAAAAACAACCAGGAGATGAAGACGAAGAAGAACCAAAACCTATTAAGACAGTAAGTTTTCTATTGTACATATTTTATTTAAAAAAACATTTGTAACTAGCTAAAATTTTCTTTATTAGCGAATTGAAATTGTCAAATTTATGAAAACCTACCTTCATATGTGCTACGAAGGCGCAAATAGCGAATCTATTAAGGGACGAATATTCTATTTTGTTAGAAACTCTAGTGGAATGGTACCTCTACCTAATTCCATGGCAGAAGCTTGTGTCGAACTTCCTAAGTATTTTGAATATGGATTTTTCAATACGTCGGTTATTGAAATGTTGGATCAAGCTGTTGTCGAAGTAATGCCTTTTATAATGAAATTTTTATACGAATTACTTATTTTCGTTATGTCTTTATAGCTGTACTCTCAATTGTTACAACATACAAGAAACGATCAGACTGAACAGTTAGACGAAGATGACGCAAAAGATTTGAATGATGCTGAAAAGATCAATGAAAAATACGAAAAAATGATTCAAGCTAAAATAGAAGCTGAAAAACAAAAGTTAAACGTTCTCAGAGATGAATTTCTATTAACTATGCAAAAATTTGCAACAAGTATTAGTAGAACAATGCAGCAATTGGAAGGTGAAGTAAGATTACATGTTCCTGAATTGAATTTGTCTCCGAACCCTGAAGAAAATCTCAAGAATAAAGAATTGCGAGAACAAATCGAGGAATTAGGAAAAGATTGGTCGAGTCAAATAAATAAGGCTATGGAATTGCAACAAGACCGTAAACCTGTAGGTTTAGGTCCTTTGGCTGAAATTGAGTATTGGAGGGAGAGAAATGCAGCATTCAGTGCCCTCTACGAACAACTTAGAATTCCAGAAGTAAAACAAATATTGGATATATATTCCCAACTGGATAATTCATTTGATTATGTTAAACAAGATTTAACTAAATATTATACGGAGGCTAAAGATAACGTCCGTTTCTTATCAACCTTAGAGCGTCATTTTAAAAATGTAACTCATGGAGCCAATTTTGCCGTTGTTATCGATACTATACCTTCAATGATGAATGCTTTACGTATGGTATGGATTATTTCTAGACATTACAATAAAGATATTAGAATGGTTCCTCTTATGGAAAGAATAGCTTGGCAATTGGCCGATAGAGTAGAACGCGTCGTTAACGTTCGAACGTTATTCAGGTAAGAATAGCTTTTTATTCAAATTAGGTCTTCTAATTACCATCTATTTTAAATTCATTATAGCGATCCACCAATGAGTGTAAAGAGTAAAACTTCAGAGGCAAAGCAAATGTTAGATTTATGGAGACAGTCTTACTTTGAAGTCCGTGGACGAATAGAACAATCTGGAAGAGACGCTAGATGGGAATTTGATAGGAAAAAGCTTTTTGAAAAAACTGACTATATGTCAAATATTTGTGCCGATCTTTCTGAATTTGCACAAGTTCTGGAAGAGTTTTATAACATATTTGGTCCAGAATTGAAAGCGGTTACAGGAGATACAAACAAAATAGAAGAAGTTCTTAAGAGGGTCGACAACTTAGTTAAGCCTATAGCTGAGGTATTTAAACGCTTGTTATTGATTAATGTGTAAAAAAAACTTGTATAACAAATTAACTTTTCAGCTATCTTACAATTGTTTCGATTACAAAAATATCACTAAATGGCGAGTTTTCAAGGAAACATTTAAGAATGAGGTTGAACAAATTGAAAACGAGGCTAAGAAGTTTATTGATAAATCTTTTAAAACTCTACGATCGGCTGAAGGAGCCTTTGACATGCTACAAAAGTTCAAACATATTAGATCAAGAGATGCTATTAATACTCAAATGATGATGAAACTAAATGAAATTTTGAAACAATACGAAAAAGAAGTTGAAATTATGGACCAATTATTCAAAATTAATAAAGAGAAACCTCCAATTTCTAAGAATCAACCACCATGCGGTGGAACAATTATCTGGGAAAGGTCACTCTTCCTACGTATCAAACAAACAGTCCTAAAATTCCAGACTATGGAAGAAATGCTTGCTTCCGATCAGGGAAAAGCTGTAAGATATATCAGAGAATTAAAATTAACTCTAATTAAGTTCGCTATGACAATAGTAATGTTATTATTAATTATTTTAGGCTAGAGCCAAGTATCTACACGTTGCCAAACAAATGAAAGCCTTCGAAGATGTTCTATATGAGTCTTGGCGTGACAATGTTGAAGTTTCAATACCAGTTCTATTAAAAAAGAATCTTATAGTTAAACCGTCGGAACGAGTAATTGGAGATTCGCACGATGAAGATGATAGAAGTAAGTTACGATTTCATATTACTTTATTGGTAATTAGAATAATAACAAACGAAAGAATAAAAAAAAAACACCAAGCTAAAGGATTTAGAAGAATGAATAAGCATGATTTTTTTCTTTATATTTCATTATATTGATATTATAATTCAATTATTAGAATCGTTTCCACAAATACCTGAAATTAGGGCAGAAAATAGACGAATTTCAGGTTTTATAATTGTTGTGTATAGTAAAAACGATGGTCAGAATACGATTATTTTTCTTTTATATGTTTATAAGTTAACTATGTTATGATGTTTCTTATATATATATATAGCATTACACAAAAAAAGAAACGGAAACAAAATGCATACATACAAAACAATAACTCTTAAAAATGCAAATGGAATCTAGTTGGACGCCATCTTAAATTTGTTAATTTTTCCTTCTATTGGCAATTTCAATGTCCATAATAAATAACTATTCTCTTTCTTGTATATCTTTTTCTTTATTGGAAGTTATTTTACTTCTTTTCACTTTTTTCCCTTATTTAATGTTAATTTTTGTATCAAAGTAACTATTAAACAAAAATATTCCATAAAAAGAACATAATTTTTTAGACATTTTTCTCTTTTTTTTACCTTTTTAAGATGTCTCTCTACAAATTAATCAGCCCGGTTTAAAGCTATTCGATCCTGAAGGTATATCTAAAAACAAAACACTGTTAAAACAACTAAAAGAAAGAAAAGATAAATTTTTTATATCTATCAGTAGAGCGTCTCTTTTTTTTTCACTTTTTACTATATATTTTTTTAAAAAGAAACAGCACATCCACACTTTTTAATAGCAAAGAAAAGTTAACTTTTTCGTTGTTGTCTTTATGTTTGAACACAAAAGCACAAAGCAAATAAAGAAATAATAATAAGAGCACAAAATAATACTGTATATTCTTCTATTTTGTTTAATTTTTTTTGGCGGGAAAATATAATTAATATATTTATTTGTTTATTTCAGTTTAACCTAGTTAACTATATATAAAAAAAATAAAACAGCACGGATGATTTTCAATTTATTTCACACTTTAAATGTTACCACTTCTTTAATTCACCATATAATTCTAAATATATGAATATTTATTTCTATTATTTACGAATACTTATGAATATTAATTTTTTTTAATTAGGAAACCCAATGGAGATTAAGTATATGGTTGATTTTGATCCAACTCTAAGGGAGAATATGTCCGAAACGAAATATATTGAACAAATTGGTTTTTCCGTTCCTGAAATAGCCAGAAATATTGCTTTACAGGAGGAGAAATATATTAAATATCAAGATGGATTAAAGGCCATGTTAAATAGATGTCATTTAGCTTTAGCTAGTTTGGACAGTGCAGAATCTAATCTCCTTGTTGATCATATCAAAGAACTAAGAAGAGTTATTAGGCCAGGTGCTAAACGACTTAATTGGAGTTCTTTGGGTATTGCTGATTTTATCGTTAAATGCGAAACGGTAAGTTAATTAATTTGTAGACCAATTGTTCTAATTAAATAAGGATTTCTTTAATATTTTTTATTATCATTTCAGGCCATTGGAAAATTCGAGTCTCTTATTAATCAAATTCACAAGAATACTAAAGATATTAATAAACGTCTACAGCTTATCAAATCAACCAATCTATGCCTAGATCCTCCTAGGGAAAACAATCAATATCTTACCTGCAAAGACTACTTTGAATACATTGACAAAGAAAGATCAAAAGATCTTGAAACTCTGGCTCGAAAATATCGAGCTATTGGACCACTTTTAACAAAAATGGAAGGTCTTGTTGCTAATACAAACTCAGGAAAATCTGAACAATTAAGAGCGTATTACAATCATTGGGAGAAGAAAATTTACGATGCTCTTCTCCAGTGTACTATAAATAATTTGAAAAGATGTAACATGCTTATTAGAGGACCCTGTCCTAAGTTTGAAATGCAGGCAATGCTTGCAGGACCCGACGTAGTATTAAATCCGCAAGGAAACGAAGTTTATAAACAAGTTTTACAATGCGCTAGAGAAATTGTTGAAGGGTAACCTTCTTATTGTTTCTTGCTATTTCACATCATTTTCAACCTATCTTTTTTAGAACCAAATTATTCGTACGATGGCAACACGGAACATGTGTCGAGTGCCCACCTCAGTTTATTAAAGGAGAAGATGAACCATATATCTTTAGCTTTATGAACGACATAAACGAACATCCTGACGTCGTTGAAGTTATTTTAACTATTCAAGGAAATATCAGAACGACTTTAACAGCCGTTAGAGACTTTGTTCAGAGATGGCGTCGCTACAGAAGTATTTGGAGGGGAGATAAAACTCAAATTGTTGAAAAGTTCTATGCAAAAGATCCAGAAGTTGCTCATTTCGATCAAAATATTCAATATTATAGAAGAATTATCGAAGAACTCAACGGCGCTGTGGTTAAGAAAGATATCGATTGCGTTTGTCTATTACTTAATCCATTATCAAATTCTATAAAACATCATGCCGAAATGTGGATAAAAGCATACGGAGATACACTCCACCAATCGGCAATAGAGAAATTAAATAGTACATACGATCTATTAGTGGTAAGTCTTATTTATAAATATTAGTAAAAACCTTATGAACACACGCATGATAAAATATGCTCACTAGACATATTTTACACACAAAATCTTTTAAATCTTATTGCATATTATTAATGAATGACATTGGAAAATTTCAATTCGTACGAAACAAACATTCCTTGAACGTTCATAAAAAAAATACTCCAGCATGTACAATTTTTTTTTTAATGAACGATTTAAAATTGACAAAGTATTTTTATTGAATGGCAAAAACAGCAACAACAACAACAACAAAAGCAACAAATCACTTTTGAATGCTCTTTCTTTTTTTATTTTTTAGTAGTTTGTTTATTATTCTTGAATGGAATGAAAACAAAATTCAGATATAAATCTTGCAAAAGCGGCGCGTAGTCTTTTTCCGTTACCTATTTTTTTTTGGTTTATTTATTTATTCTGCTCGTTTGAGAAACTTTGACAAAAAAGATACTAATAATTAATTTTACTATGATCAATTCTTTCTTTCACAAAATATCACTATTACTAGAGCTTAGATGAGCTCATTGAAGAGAAAGGAATTTATCTACAAGAGTATCAAGCAAGAATGGTAAGTCGGTATAAAACAAACAAACAAGTAAACAAAACAGACGATACTATAATTTAATAATAAAAGGCCTACATATACAGATGAACTTGATAGAAAAAATGTATTCTCATGATTATCTCAATTATCTTTCTTTAGAAAATATGATATTCTTGATACTAACATTATTTTTATACTATTTATAGCAAAGGGATAAAGATTTGGATCATAGTCCAGCAACTCTAGATGATTTAAAATTCGTTTTGAGAACAATTTCCGATATTCGAGATACTTCTACAGATGTTGAGAGTAGTATGCGAGATATAGCTGAACGCTATAGAATACTTAGAAATTATGATCTAAATGCCCCTGATGAGGAACTTGAAAAGGTCAATAAATTGCCTGATATGTACGATGATCTTGTCTGGAAATCCAAGAATATTGATGCTAGCTTAATTATTGTTAAGCGTAAATTCACTCAAATCACTCAAGATCAAATCAAGAAATTTGGTTTAGAATTAGAAGAGTTTGCCGAAAGATTCCGCAATGATGGCCCTGGAGCAGTTGGCAAAGATCTCGATAAGGGACTAGAGTTAATGAAACTTTATTCGGTTGAAGTACAAAAGTATGAATCGGATAAACAAGAACTCGGAAACGCTGAAAAACTGTTTGATCTACCAATAACAATGTATCAACAGTTGTATCAAGTTCAAAAAGATATGAAAGGCTATGAACAGATTTATGCTATTTATGAGGAGCAATTGGTTAGTATACAGAATATTAGGAACTTCAAATTAAGACCTTAATAAGCCTATTTCAAATTTTAAATTACTTTAACAGAAAGCAAGAGAAGTCTGGTCAGAAACCTTGTGGGCTAATTTGAATGTTCAATTATTGCAAGATGGTATTGAAGGACTTTTGAAACAACTCAGAAAACTGCCAAGAGAGGTTAGAAATATGCCTATTGGTAAAGCTTTGGACGAAAAAATGAAAGAATTTAGAGACTCTTTACCGTTGTTTGTCGATTTGAAACACGAAGCTCTTAGAGAAAGACATTGGAAAGAATTGATGAAAAAGACAGAACAAGACTTCGAAATGAATCCAGATACATTTACTTTACAAAATGTATTTGCTATGGAATTGCATCGTTTCATCGATACCATAGCTGAAATTGTTACCTCTGCTACGAAAGAATTGAGCATTGAAAAGGGTGTAAAGGAAGTTGAAGAAATCTGGAGTAACATGAAATTTTCTGTTCAAAAATATACAAAGGGAACTGCTGATCGCGGTTTCATAATTGGTGCCGTCGATGAAATTGTTCAAGCTCTTGATGATAATACAATGAATTTGCAGAGTATGTCTGCATCCCGTTTTATTGGACCATTTTTAATGGCAGTTCAAAATTGGGAAAAGAGTCTTTCTCATATATCCGAAGTTATTGACGTAAGTATTAGAATCATATGCATGAATTAAATAGAAATATTATCCTATATCCTAACGATTTTGTTATAGATTTGGCTAGTTGTTCAAAGAAAGTGGATGTATTTAGAAGGTATCTTTGTCGGCGGTGACATTCGTTCACAACTTCCGGAAGAAGCTAAAAAATTCGATCAAATTGATAAAACTTTCAAAAAAATTATGTCAGATACCCATAAACAACCAAATATCAAACAAGCTTGCCATGCTGCTAGTCGGTTATCCGATCTACAAAATTTAAGCGTTGGATTAGAAAAATGTCAAAAATCATTGAACGATTATCTAGATTCGAAGCGTAACGCATTCCCAAGATTCTTTTTCATATCTGATGACGAATTGCTCAGTATTCTGGGTTCAAGTGATCCAGAATGTGTACAAGAACACATGATAAAGATGTATGATAATATTTCGGCATTGAAATTCTCAAAATCTCCTAACAACGATATGATAGCTCAGGGTATGATTTCTGGTGAAGGAGAAGAAATGCTTTTCAGAACTCCTATTGCCGCCGACGGTAGAGTGGAAGATTGGATGACAAATGTATTGGAAGAAATGCGAAGAACAAACAGACTCATTACAAAAGAAGCCATATTTACCTACTGCGCCGAAGGCAGAAATAGAGTTGATTGGATGCTTGAATATCAAGGTATGGTTTGTCTAGCTGGTAATCAAGTATGGTGGACATGGGAAGTTGAAGATGTGTTCAGAAAAGTTAAGAAGGGTGTTAAAACTGCAATGAAAGACTATGCTAAAAAACTACACGGACAAATTGACGGTTTAGTAGTTAAAGTTAGATCTCCAATGACATCCAATGAACGAAAGAAATTCAACTCTGTACTTATTATTGATGTTCACGCCAGAGATATTATTGACAGTTTCGTACGAGATAGCATTATGGACGCGAGAGAATTCGAATGGGAGAGCCAGCTTAGATTTTATTGGGATAGAGAACCAGATGAATTAATTGTTAAACAATGTACAGGAACGTTTGGCTATGGTTACGAATACATGGGATTAAATGGTCGTTTAGTTATTACACCCTTAACCGACCGTATTTACCTCACTTTAACTCAAGCACTCTCTATGAATCTTGGAGGAGCACCAGCAGGACCAGCTGGTACAGGAAAAACTGAAACAACTAAAGATTTAGCAAAAGCTTTAGGATTACTTTGCGTAGTAACAAATTGCGGTGAAGGTATGGATTATAAGGCTGTAGGTAAAATATTCTCTGGTCTTTGTCAATGCGGCGCTTGGGGATGCTTTGACGAATTTAACAGAATAGATGTCTCTGTACTTTCTGTTATTTCCACCCAATTAACAACAATTAGAAATGCTTTAATTATGAAATTAAAGCAATTTTTCGTAAGTTATTTTATTAAATTGTATATCTATTGAATGAAGTACAATTTTACATAAAATAATCTATTTAACAGTTCGAAGGTGGAGAAATTAAAATGGATAATCGTGTCGGTATTTTTATTACTATGAATCCTGGTTATGCTGGCAGAACTGAATTACCAGAATCTGTTAAAGCCCTTTTCCGACCTGTTGTAGTTATTGTACCAGATTTACAACAGATTTGCGAAATTATGTTGTTTTCAGAAGGTTTCCTTATGGCTAAGGTAAATTTCTAAACATAAAATCTAATCAAGAGGTATTAATTATTCAATTAAATCATTTATTGTATAGGTCCTTGCTAAGAAAATGACAGTTTTATATAAATTGGCTAAAGAACAATTGTCTAAGCAGTACCATTACGATTTTGGCTTAAGAGCCTTAAAATCTGTTCTCGTAATGGCAGGTGAATTGAAGAGAACTGCTTCAGAACTCCCAGAAAATGTTGTACTTATGAGAGCTTTAAGAGATATGAACTTACCAAAATTCGTCTTTGAAGACGTTCCACTATTTTTGGGTCTAATCGGAGATTTATTTCCTGGGCTCGACTGCCCTCGTGTTAGATATCCTAACTTTAACGATGCTGTTGAAAGTGTTCTTGAGGACAACAGATACGTTATGCTACCAATCCAAGTAGATAAAGTTGTACAATTGTACGAAACAATGATGACTAGACATACAACTATGGTCGTAGGACCAACCGGAGGTGGAAAGTCAGTTGTTATTAACACTTTGGCACAAGCTCAAACAAAACTGAACTTAACAACAAAATTATTTACCATAAACCCAAAGGAGAGACCAGTTGTTGAATTATACGGAGTATTAGATCCAAACACTAGAGATTGGACAGACGGTCTGTTATCAAATATCTTCAGAGAAATAAATAAACCAACAGACAAGAATGAAAGAAAGTACATTGTTTTTGATGGTGACGTTGATGCCTTATGGGTTGAAAACATGAACTCCGTTATGGACGACAATAGATTGCTTACATTAGCCAACGGTGAACGTATAAGATTACAAAAACACTGTGCTCTACTATTTGAAGTTTACGATTTGCAGTACGCCTCTCCCGCAACAATTTCTCGTTGTGGTATGGTTTTCGTTGATCCTAAGAATTTAGGTTATAAACCATTCTGGGAAAAATGGGTTGGCAAAAGAGAAAATGAAGAAGAAAGGAAGGAGCTATCCCGATTATTCAATAAATACGTGGATTCGTGTATTGATATGATTATAGAGGGAATAGTTGATGGAAAACAAGCATCAAAATTGAAAACAATTGTACCATTAACAAACTTAAATATGGTTACACAACTCTGTCAAATGTTAGATGCCCTTTTACAGCCAACTGATAATCCTGATGTCACTGAAGCTACATTTTTGCAATGTATGTACTGGAGTTTAGGAGCAGCCTTACTAGAAGATGGTCGTGTCAAGTTTGACAACCATGTGAAATATATAGCCTCTATAACATCAGTGGATGATGAAGAAAAACTTGCTAAAGCTGGAGAATTACCAACCAATCAACCAACTCTTTTCGAATATTTCTTTGACCAAGAACAGAACGTATGGGTTCCATGGCTGAAGAAGGTAACAAAATACACCCATGATCCCGCAAGGAAATTTAATGAGATTCTCGTTCCTACTGTTGATACTGTAAGAGCAACATGGCTCCTGAAACTTCATCTGGAAATGCAAAAGAGTATTTTACTTGTAGGAGATACAGGTACCTCCAAAACTGCTACCACTGCTGATTATTTGAGAACGTTGGACGGTGAAACTCATCTACTACTCAATATGAACTTTTCTAGCAGAACAACTTCACTAGATGTTCAAAGAAATTTGGAAGCTAACGTAGAAAAGCGTACAAAGGACACATACGGTCCTCCACCAGGCAAACGTCTAATCGTGTTTGTAGATGATATGAATATGCCTCAGGTGGATGAATATGGTACCCAACAGCCTATTGCCCTACTCAAATTACTTTTGGAACGTCAAGGTTGCTATGACAGAGGTAAAGAATTAAATTGGAAGAAAATGAAAGATATTGGATGGTTAGCTGCAATGGGTAAACCAGGAGGTGGTAGAAATGATGTTGATCCAAGATTTATATCATTATTCTCGGTTATAAACATGACTTTCCCATCTGACGAGTCACTCTTTTTGATCTATAATTCCATCTTGCAAGGTCACGTTATACCTTTCTCCCAAGATATTCAAGATATTGTTCCTAACATTACAAAAATGACAATGGAGATATACAAGTATGTATAATAATTGATATAGCTCTTTGTTTATTTTTATCATTAATATATCAATTGTTTAATCTCTTTTTCCAGAAATATCATCCAAGATCTTCCACCTACACCATCAAAATTCCATTATATCTTTAATCTTAGAGATTTATCTAGGATTTACAATGGTTTGTGCTTGACAACCCCAGATTGCTACAGTAGACAAGATCAATTTATTAGGGTATGGAGAAATGAATGTATGAGAGTTGTATTTGATCGTCTCATCTCTGAAGACGATAAGAAACTCGTCCAGGAGCGAGTGATTACGCAGATAGAAGAAAATTTCAAGCCGTTAAAAGAATACGTTATGAGAGATCCAATATTGTTTGGGGATTATAGGAATACTCTTGAAGAGGCTGAACCTCGCTTATACGAAGATATTCAAGATTTTGATGCCGCTAAAGCGCTTTTCCAAGAAATTTTGGAAGAATACAACGAAAGGCATACTCCTATGAACATGGTTTTGTTTGACGATGCCTTAGATCACATAACAAGAGTCCATAGAGTTTTAAGAATGGATCAAGGTCACGCTCTTCTAGTAGGAGTAGGCGGTTCGGGAAAGCAGAGTATTTGCCGTTTGTCATCATTTGCAGCTGGATGTGAAGTATTTGAGATAACATTGAGCCGAGGATACAGTGAAAGCAATTTCCGGGATGATTTGAAAATTTTGTACAATAAATTGGGTATGGAAAATAAGAAAGTATCATTCCTCTTCACAGACCAACATGTTGTGGAGGAAGGCTTCTTAGAATTAATTAATAACATGCTAACATCCGGAATGGTACCTGCTCTTTACGCTGATGACGAAAAAGAAGCTATCATTGGTCAGATCAGAAATGAAGCAAATGCAGCTGGAATGGGTCCAGCTAGAGAAGCTATCTGGCAATATTTTGTTACGAAATGTGCCAATAACCTTCATGTTGTTATGGCTATGTCACCTGTAGGTGATACCTTAAGAACTAGATGCCGTAACTTCCCAGGTATGGTAAATAATGCCTCCATTGATTGGTTCTTTCCATGGCCAGAGCAGGCTCTTTACGCTGTTGCTAGCGTGTCGATATCGCTAGATGTAAGTTATCTATTGACATATTGTATAAAATTAACTGATATATTTGCTATTAGAATCCTTTGGTGCCGGAGATTCATCGTGAATCAATTGTTAGCCATATGGTAATGGTTCACAACTCAGTAGGGACTTATTCGAAAACATTTCAACAAAAGCTTCGTAGAAATAATTACGTAACACCAAAACATTACTTGGACTTTATTAATACCTATTTAAAATTATTGGATGAAAAAGACAAATTCATTTTATCTCAGTGTGAACGTTTATCCGGTGGTATGACAAAATTGGTGGAAGCTAGCGAACAATTAAACGAATTAAATGAAAAATTAGCTGTTCAAAAGGTGGTCCTCAAAGAAAAGACCGAAAGTTGCGAACAGCTTTTGGCCGACATTTCAGAAAAGACGACAATGGCAGAAGAGAAGAAAACACTTGCCGTTGCTAAAGGAAAAGAAATTGAGGAACAGAGTAAAATCATTCATGTTGAAAAAACAGAAGCGGAAGAAGCTTTAAAAGAGGCTCTACCCGCATTAGAAGCAGCTAGAGCTGCTCTCGATGATCTTGAAAAAGGCGATGTAACTGAAATTAGGTCATTTGCAAAGCCTCCAAGGCCAGTTCAAACTGTTTGTGAATGTATTGTTGTAATGAAAGGTATAAAAGAGGTATCATGGAAATCTGCTAAGGGTATGATGTCGGAAGCTAACTTTTTAGCAAGTCTAAAGAACATGAAAGTTGACGATATCGGTTTGAGACAAGTGAATACAGTAAAATCATTCTTGAAAAGTGGCGATGATATGACAGTAGACGCTATGAAAGCTGTTTCTAAGGCTGGTGCTGGATTGTTAAAATTTGTAGAAGCTGTTGTAGGATATTGCGAAGTTGCAAGAGAAGTTAAACCAAAACGTGAAAAAGTAGCTAAATTAGAAAGAACCTATAACCAAGCTAAAAGAGAATTGGAAAAAATTAACACAGAAGTATTAAACATTGAAGAAGAACTTAACAGACTAAAGAAGATGTATGAGGAAGCTATGTCGGAAAAGCAACAATTAGAGAATGAAGCTGCAATTATGGAACGTCGATTAATAGCTGCTGATAAACTTATATCAGGCTTAGGGTCTGAAAATGAGCGTTGGACCAAGGATTTACAGGATTTAAAAGATCAAAGGATAAAATTACTGGGAGATTGCCTGTTGTCATCAGCTTTCCTCAGCTACGTTGGCGCTTTCAGTTGGGAATTTAGGACAGAGATGATCTACTCAGATTGGCAAAGTGATATAAGAACCAAGGACATTCCTTTAAGTGATCCATTCAAGCTCGAAGCAGTATTGACAAATGATGTTGAAATGAGTAGATGGACATCAGAATCTCTTCCACCCGATGAATTATCTATCCAAAACGGTATCCTAACAACGAGATCGTCAAGATTCCCAATGTGTATTGATCCACAACAACAAGCACTCAATTGGATAAAAAAGAAAGAGGAGAAGAACAACCTGAAAGTTTGTACTTTCAACGATTCGGATTTCTTGAAACAGTTAGAGTTAGCTATCAAATACGGATTTCCCTTCCTATTTAAAGACGTAGATGAGTATATTGATCCCGTAATTGACAATGTTCTCGAGAAAAACATTAAGGGATCTACTGGAAGGGAGTTTATTATGCTAGGAGATAAAGAAGTTGACTATGATCCCAATTTCCGGTTATACTTGAACACAAAGCTATCCAACCCAAAATATACGCCAAATGTTTTTGGTAAATCGATGGTAATAAACTATACTGTAACATTGAAAGGTTTAGAAGATCAATTGTTGAGTGTTATAGTAAAATTCGAAAGAAAAGAACTAGAAGAGCAAAGAGAACGTCTTATTCAAGAAACCAGTGACAACAAACGGCTATTGAAAGACCTAGAAGATTCTTTACTTCGTGAATTGGCGACATCTACTGGAAATATGTTGGACAATGTTGATTTGATCAACACTTTAGAAAATACCAAATCAAAAGCTTCAGAAGTTGCAGAAAAATTGAAATTAGGAGCCAAAACTGCAAGTGAAATTGATAAAACAAGAGATGGCTATAGGCCTGCAGCTAAACGCGGGGCTATTCTCTTCTTTGTCTTGTCGGAAATGTCTATAATTAATAGCATGTATCAGTACTCGTTGTCATCTTATTTAGATGTTTTCGAGTTTTCTCTAAAGAAGAGTATGCCAGATACGGTTGTTCCGAAGAGATTAAGGAATATTATGGATACTTTAACACATAATGTCTATAATTACGGCTGTACTGGAATTTTTGAAAAGCATAAGTTACTTTTCTCTTTTCAAATAACGGTTAAATTGGAAATGGATGAAATGAGAGTTAAACAAGAGGAATTAGACTTTTTCATTAAAGGTAACATAGCTCTTGAGAAGAGTAAGAGAAAGAAGCCATATTCTTGGTTTCCGGAAGAGGGATGGGAAGATTGTGTAAGGCTTTCCGAAGTTTTACCCGATGTTTTCGCAAACTTATTAGACGATATTGAAAAAGATGAAAAAACCTGGAAAAATTGGTTTAATCATGACTCTCCGGAATCTGTATCTTTCCCATCAAAATATAATTCAATTAACGATTTCCACAAGTTGATGCTGTTACGTTGTATGAGAGTAGACAGAATTTATAGAGCAGTTACCGAGTACGTAACGAAGATTATGGGAGAAAAATATGTCACACCCCCGATTATCAGCTTTGAGAGTATCTTTGAACAATCAACACCAACATCTCCGATTGTTTTCATACTCAGCGCTGGATCCGATCCAACTTCCGATCTTATGAAATTAGCTGAACGTACCGGTTTTGGCAGTAATAGATTAAAATATCTATCTTTGGGTCAAGGTCAAGAAAAGTTAGCTATGAACCTCTTGGAAACAGCTATTGCTAGAGGACAATGGCTTCTCTTACAAAATTGTCATTTGTTGATTAAATGGTTAAGAGAATTGGAGAAACAACTAGAAAAATTATCAAAACCCCATCCAGATTTTAGATTATGGTTGACAACGGATCCAACACCAAGTTTTCCGATTGGTATCCTCCAGAGATCTCTAAAAGTTGTTACAGAACCACCTAATGGATTGAAATTAAATATGAGAAATACCTACTTTAAGATTACTGCTCAATCATTGTCCGATTGTCCCCACGATTCATTTTCAGCCTTGGTGTTTGATTTGGCTTTCTTCCATGCTGTAGTTCAAGAGAGAAGAAAGTATGGTAAGATTGGTTGGAACGTTGGATACGACTTTAACGAATCGGACTTTCAAGTTTGTATGGAGATTCTACGAACCTATCTTACAAAAGCTATTGAAAATAAGGATTCAAAAATTCCTTGGGGAAGCTTAAAGTACCTTATCGGAGAAGTTATGTATGGTGGAAGGGCTATCGACAACTTTGACAGGCGTATATTGAACACTTATATGGATGAATATATGGGAGATTTCATCTTTGACACTTTCCAACCTTTCCATTTCTATACTAATGATGAAGTTGATTACAAAATACCAACTGGCGTCGAAGATATTTCCCCAACAAGAGACACCTATGTTGATTATATTGAAACTTTACCGCTGTCGAATACTCCAGAAGTATTTGGCTTACATCCCAACGCCGAAATTGGATATTATACAGAAGCAGCCCGTGAAATGTGGACTCAATTAGTCGAGCTACAACCTCAAACAGGCGATACCGGAGGAGGTATTTCTAGAGAAGAATATATGGATAAGGTTGCGCAAGATGTTCTGGGTAAACTACCAAAGGAATTTGATTTAGATAAAATAAGAAAGAAATACGGTATTGATATAACGCCAACAACTGTAGTATTATTACAAGAAATTGAGAGATTTAATAGATTAATTTCCCGTATGAATAAATCATTATCAACTCTTAGGAGAGCGCTGAAAGGTGAAGTTGGCATGAGTTCGGAATTGGATGATCTTTCTAAATCGCTATATAACGGTGTCATACCATCAATTTGGAGAAAGTTGGCTCCCGATACGAGAAAATCTCTTGCTAATTGGATGATACATTTCGAACGACGCCACCAGCAGTATTTCAAATGGGTTGAAGAAAATGAACCCGCCGTAATGTGGCTATCCGGTCTACATATTCCAGAATCATATCTAACTGCTCTCGTTCAAGCAACTTGCCGTAAGAATGGATGGCCATTAGATAAATCAACACTCTATACCACAGTTACAAAACATGCTTCTGCCGACGATGTCTCAGAGAGGGCTCATCAAGGATGTTTCGTTTCAGGATTATATCTAGAAGGAGCGGGATGGGATGCACAAAAAGGCTGCTTAATAAGGCAACGTCCTAAAGAGCTTATTCAAGAATTACCTGTTCTAAAAGTGATTCCAATAGAAGCACATAGACTAAAATTACAAAATACTTTCAAAACACCGGTATATGTTACATCACAACGTAGAAACGCTATGGGTGTTGGCCTAGTATTTGAAGCTGATCTCTTTACGGCTGAACATCCTAGTTTGTGGGTATTGCAAGGAGTATGTCTTACTCTTAATACGGATTAATTAATTGACAATAAAAAGGACACGTTTATTAATATTATTGTAAATATTAGAAGATATATGATATAATATACAGTATATCCATAAATAAACAAGTATTGTAGTTAATTCTATTGTTAAATAATGAAATATTAAAAAAATATAATATTTACGTTTGATCAGGTCGTTTTAGAGTGTCTCATACATGCTCATTTTCTTCTTTAAACAATTTTGAAACAAAGTAAAAATATCTTAAAAGTCGGTTTTCAAAAATGTTTAGGAGAAACAGGAGAACAGCAAATGACTGATTTGTAAAGTGAACTGGAAGATCTTTGGCTATATATGTTTTCATATTCAAAAGATTTCTTTAAAAATTTATTTTTCATCGGAATCTGTCTTTGAACACCGCTTTTGTTATTCATAAAGCATAAACTTGGCAATTTAGTTGACAGATAGATCTAATAGATATTCTCTCTGTTCTTGCTGTTAGTTTAGAAAGAATATAATAACTAATTAACTTTTTTGTAACTTTTTAAAGATAGTTTAGTGTTTGTTTCTCGCTTTGAATAGTCTTTAATTTAAGTCGTAAATCTTGATGACACTGAATTCGGAATACGCAAAGGCGGTTGTTTTTTATAGGTCTAGGTAGGCATTGTGGTACTCTTTATAACGTTGGCAAAAACGAGGACTTGGCCCAGGATAACATTGACTATTCCGTAGAAGTGTCTTATATGATGGACAAGCTTGTGATGATGACTCATTCTCTATTCAAACTGTTCAAAAATTTTTGTCTTCAGTTCAGAAGTTTATTGAACGCAAAAAAAAGATGTCTTTTAAAAACGGTTAGTTTAAAATATTTATCGATGTCACATTGGCACTTTATTACAAGAGAAATGAAGAAAGTCATTCTACTTTTATTATCTTATAATAGTAGATCGAATATGATATTCACTTGATATTATAGTATAGTATATTAAATAATTTTTCAATGTCACTGGGCGTTACGTTTTTGATCAAAGGAATTTGAGAATGTACTTTCTTTTTTCAACAAATCTATGAAACGTTGCCATTGAGAAGAAATGTAATAATTGACAATTTGCTTTTATAATAATATTGTTAAAATGTTGTATTACTTTTAGAATTTATTTAAATGTATGATTTTAATGTAAATTATACTTTAAATATATTAGAATGCAAATATAAGACTAAGATATATAGTTATAAAAAATGTATAAAACAACACATGGAAATATATATTTATCTCTGAGCTCTTAAGAGTTTTCGTCCAATAGCAATTGGCCACTTATATTCGTGATCTTCGTTTTCACTGTGTTCCCTATATGTGTTTCATTAAAACAAGTATTGTAGTTAATTCTATTGTTAAATAATGAAATATTAAAAAAATATAATATTTACGTTCGATCAGGTCGTTTTAGAAAATCTGAACATTTCTCCATTGAAAAAGCTTTGCGTAAGTGATTGATGCTATTTAAAACTGAAATATTCCTGTTTTTTTTTCAATTATATTTTAGTTAAAAAGTGCTGACATTTCGTAATCTTTTACTTACTTTTTGTCTTGTTGTGATATTTTACAAAAATTCCATTCTTTCGTTATATAGCTGAGTATTATTTTAAGTATAACCAAACTTCTATTTATAATCTAAAACGTAGTCAAGTTTTACTTATATTGAATAAAGATATATAAAGTGTATTATAAACTATTTTAATGCGATTAATTACGTTTTCAGTTAAAGATTCCTCCAATACTGATGGCGAACTGGTTGGTATAATTATATATCCACCAGGTACCAGAACCCTTTTTGCCTCTATATAAAATTTTTCTATTGGTTGAAAACAATGAACAGCCGTTCCACAATATACTAATGATACGGAATTATCTTCAGCTGGTATCTGATCAAAACTACCAATTCTATAATAAAAGAAAATGAATTATCTAATATTTTATTTAGGAATGTCATTTTATTAACTTACGCAAATTCAACATTTTCATTTTTGTTAATACATTTAGCACGTTTTATGTTATCTACAGATTCATCAATTGCAATTATCTTTTGAAAATATTGACTCATATGGCAAATGCTCTGTCCGGATCCGCATCCAATGTTAACTGCTATATTTTCGCATTGAAAATTGCCAATCTATTTAGAAACAACAATAAAATAAACTTATTATCAAAAATGTAAATATTACGTTAGTATTCATAGTTTCAATAATTATTGAGCTTAAGGATTCTTTATAAAAGCTTTCAATAGAATTAAAAGAATCGGCGAGTTTATAGCCTCTGAAAAGTTTACTAAACATCATCTGGAGAAAGTTTGATGTTTTACCATTCGAATAGAATTTGTGAATAAGATACGAAACCTTCCCATTCGCTTTTCAAAGTCGTATTGAAAATGGCGAATAAATATTAAAACATATATAAGAAGACTTGTTACAAATAGCTGAATATTGAAAAAGCAAAAGAATGTTTCTATATATAACTATATATTCTTTCTTAGCTAAAATAAAGGGAATTGCTATTAAAAGTAACAGTTTAAGATAATAGCTATCCTTAATCTAGTCTTTTAGTGAACGCTCAAAAGACATCTTTATTTTGCGTTCAATAAACTTCTGAACTGAAGACAAAAATTTTTGAACAGTTTGAATAGAGAATGAGTCATCATCACAAGCTTGTCCATCATATAAGACACTTCTACGGAATAGTCAATGTTATCCTGGGCCAAGTCCTCGTTTTTGCCAACGTTATAAAGAGTACCACAATGCCTACCTAGACCTATAAAAAACAACCGCCTTTGCGTATTCCGAATTCAGTGTCATCAAGATTTACGACTTAAATTAAAGACTATTCAAAGCGAGAAACAAGCACTAAACTATCTTTAAAAAGTTACAAAAAAGTTAATTAGTTATTATATTCTTTCTAAACTAACAGCAAGAACAGAGAGAATATCTATTAGATCTATCTGTCAACTAAATTGCCAAGTTTATGCTTTATGAATAACAAAAGCGGTGTTCAAAGACAGATTCCGATGAAAAATAAATTTTTAAAGAAATCTTTTGAATATGAAAACATATATAGCCAAAGATCTTCCAGTTCACTTTACAAATCAGTCATTTGCTGTTCTCCTGTTTCTCCTAAACATTTTTGAAAACCGACTTTTAAGATATTTTTACTTTGTTTCAAAATTGTTTAAAGAAGAAAATGAGCATGTATGAGACACTCTACGCAGATAAAGATGTAGCAAAAGCCTATCATACTTTCAGACCGACTTATCCAGAATCTTTGGCTAAAGAAATTCTTCAATTTATCGATGAAAAGGTGAAATTAAATCATCAAACTAAAAAATCATTACATTATTCTTTGAAATCAGCTTGAGAAACCATTTTCAAGGAAACTGGCAATAGATGTTGGCTGTGGATCCGGTCAAAGTACAAAATTAATGGCCAATCACTTTGACCGTATTATTGGATTGGACATAAGCGAAGCTCAAATCTTTGAGGCTAAAAGAAATAATGAACACGATAATGTAGAATTTACGTAAGTAGACAAATTATTAATTAATTAATTCAACAAATACTAATTTTAATGACAACAATAAATTGTTTAGTGTTGGAAGTTTTGAAAAGTTACCTGCAGAAGATAATTCGGTTTCGTTAATCTTTGCTGGAACGGCTTTTCACTTCTTTGAGCCTTTCGAAAACTTTTATAAAGAAGTTAAAAGAGTTCTAGTTCCTGGAGGATGTCTTGCTGTATTTAGCTACGCATTACCATTCGTCGCAGAATTCGATGACCATGTTAATTCAAAATTGAATGATTTTAGATTAACGGTAAATAAAAACTTAAATATTGACTTTAATAAGAAATATCATTAAAAAATTGGAAATTTCCTATTATTTTAGTTTTTTAACGAATTGGATGATTTTAAAACTCCGGCAACTCATCACGTAGCCAATCATTACAAAGATTTTGAACTACCTTTTAACAATTTTACAAGGTAAACTAAATAGATTTATTTTAAAAAGAGATTCATTTATAGAATAACTTCATTTTTTATTTACAGAATTAACTCAATGAAAACTAACAAATCAATGAATCTAGATGATTATGCAGGATATTTAGGTTCATGGTCATTTTATAGAAATTACGTAGCCAACAGGAAAACAGATCCATTAAAATTATTCCGTTCAAGGTATATTCAAGTTTCTTTTGTTTTATTACAATAATAATTTGAATAGTTTATATTTATTATTTACAAAACGACAGATTTGAAGAAACACTTCAAGAAGAGAACATACCGACTAACGTTACTTTCACGGTTGAGTGGCCTGTTTTTTTACTTTGTGGTAGAAATTGAATCTGCAGTTATTTAAGAACAATGATAAGATTTAAATTCCGATGTACTCTGCTTAGTAATAAAGTAGCCATCTTTTCATATAAATGAATTTCATGCTGAATATTGCTATATGATAAATACTGACAGTATAGAACTAATTGAAAATTGAAAATAAAAGCTATTAAATTGATATAAGTGACTTTTTTTTTGTTTATAAATAAGTATCCGTATTGCTTTGGAATAAAACCAATTCTCTATTGACGTCATCAAATTGTTATTTTTTAAAAGAGTATTCTCAATTTTTCATTCTTATAACTTGTTTTTGAACTTTTCATACTAATAAATATTGGATGTAAGCCTATGTGTATGACACTATTGAAAGTATATTCTAAATGATAACAAAAAGCTCAATTCAAGTATTAGTACACTGAACTTTACTCCCGAAAGAAAGTTGTAATATATTTTTATAAGTATCTATGAGCCATTTCAGGATTTCCGGACAGTCAAAGAAAAATTAAATGAATAAAAGTTTTCTTAATATTTAAAGAAAGATTATCCTAACTTGTAATAAAACAATACAATTAATAAAAAGTTATCGTCAATTTTATTTTTTAAATTTGAAAGTATTCCGTGTTAAATCTGTTGTTTTCATCATTTTCTGTTTTGAACTCGAAATAGATGACGTATGCGTAAACTTGTTGAAAAGTAAAATGATTTTTTATTTAGGTTTGGTGTTATTCATTGAAAGTTCAATAATCTTAAATTCAAATGGGAATGGAAGTGAAACAACTGTCTTAAAAAATAATACAGTAATTTTAGATAGAAAGAGTCGTCAAATCACGATAAACAATACGGAAGGAATTGATCATAAGTTTAAAGATCATTATAATTTAATTTGGTATAGAAGTCTACCATATATCAAGTATAGATATTCGCATTTCCTTGTTATGGATTTCCTCAATAGAAACAATCAATCTGCATCCTTTATAACTATGTATCGAACTAATATAGCGATGACAATTGGTTTTGTAACATTAATAGTTCTAACTTATGGTACTTTGATGATAATAACTGGGAGTCAATTTGTTCAGTTCGTATACTTTTTAAGTGATTATAGAGTAAGGAAGTCTCAAAGCAAAATGAAACAATCAATTAAAGAAAGTGGAAGAAGAACATATTCATATAATAACGGTATATTAAACAATTTTTTTCACAAATTATACTAATAAACCTAAGTGTTCTCTCTATTTAAACAGGAGTCCTTGCTAAGCATCCAAAAACGGAAGATTGGCTTGTAATTTATCCACATAGAGATCAAGAACAAATAAGTAAACCTCCAATAGTTTTAGATAATTCAAAGGTAGATCATGAGAAGGAAAATTTCAAAACTATCTCCAAAGAAACACGTCTTAGCAACCAATTAGGGGGGAAACCTTCTAATTGCCCATGTTGTGGGAAAAGTTAATTATTTTATTTCGTACAATTTAATATTATCATATTTTACCTTTGTTTTGTTTGAATTTAATTAAATTAACATATAAAATGCTTTTTTAGACTGTATTTCTCTTTTTACATATGTAAATAGATATTTTTTTTGAATAAATTATGAATGAAAGAGACTATTCCAACTGTATGTCCTTTGCTTAGCGGTTATTGAACTCGGGTCTTGAGTTTTATTTGCTTTTTTAAAAATATTTTCAATTTCTTTAGATGCTTCTAAACTCCGACATTTTACCAATTTCAACGGTGCATGACAATTGTTCTGACCTCTAATGTTGCCATCATTTTTTTCAGTCTGAGGACATTGAACCCGTAGTAAGGGTTTCTCTTCCATTATAAGCCTAGAGTGGCTCTGAATATACCACTGAAGAGCTCGCTGTATATCTTCTATACTTTTTAATGAGTCTGTTTGCTTATCAATTCCTGGCGGCAGACGATTAAAAATTTGCTCTGAAAATGCTTGTAAAAATTCCTCTAAACCTTTATCGTCATTTTGAGAATTATCTTGAAAACAATCGTAATGATAATTCTTTATTACGGTATTCTTATGGCTATTGTTTAATTTTGAATATATATCACTTTGTAGACGGTCTATTGCAGTTGCAATACGATTTATTGAATTTTTGTCGAATTGATTAAATTTTGATAAAAGTTGCTGGTAAAGTTTGCTTTTCTTTTTTTGTAGCATTCCTAAATTTTACAAAATGATTAGATCGATTAACGATTGATTGTTAATGAATTCTATCATTTTTTGGCAATTGTTTACCTTTTTTTTATATTAACTATTTAAAAATAATAATAAAATTTACCCCACTCTAATCGAATTCTTCTTGGGGGCGGTGATCTTAATTGTGTATTTGTTTTTGACCTCGTTGTTGTTGTTTTATCTGCGGTCCTGCTGTCAGGCTCAAATAAGATTACGTCGGAGTGCTTATTAAAACTAACTCTTCGATCTCGTATTAAAGAGTTGTTGGTAGGTTTTAACGGTTGAAATTTCTCTGCAGAAAATGACATAGACACTAATTTACTAGTTTTGTTCTCTGTTATCTTATGATTGGTATTTAAAAAGATTTTTGATAAATGTTTTTTTAACTTGATCATTTCTATATGTAATGTTCCGGATTTTTTTTGCACAGTTTCTTTAATCTTTTGAATTTTCAAATTTTCATAAAACTATGTCATATCATTTGTAGTTACCTTCCCATTATCAATTATACAATTGGCTATTTTTAAAAATTTTTTCTAGAGCATTATCCGTTACAGTGACCCAGAATACAAGATGTTTAAGAAATTATTTCAAAGCACTGAAATAGCTAAAGCATATAAAAACTTTCGGCCTACTTATCCCGCCTCTGTGACTAGTTTCATATTACAATATATTGATGAAAAGGTGAACGACACGAATAAAAAATTTAATCATTGGAAAAAAAAATTGAATACTTTCCTTCTTAGCTGACTCTTCCAGAGTCTAGAAGAATTGCAGTAGATGTTGGCTGCGGTTCTGGTCAGAGTACAGAATTATTAGCATCCCATTTTCAAAAGATAGTTGGTATAGATATAAGCGAAGCTCAAATAACTGTGGCAAAGAAAGAAAATAAGTTTAAACATATTGAATACAAGTATGACTCTATCTTATATTAATTAATAGTAATCAAATTATATATTCAACACTATACATTGTTCAATGTAGGGTTGGTAGTTTTGATCAACTTCCTTTCGAAGATAGCTCGGTAAGTCTTGTTTATGCTGGAATTGCCGCACATTGGTTCGAACCAATTGAGAATTTTTATAAAGAGGTTGATAGGATTCTAATACCTGGAGGTTGTTTATTATTATTTGGCTATTCTGAAAGTCATATTAAAAGTTTTTCTGATGAATTAAACAAAGACCTTGATCAATTATTGGAAAAAGTTCGTTCTTATCTCATTCTAATGATATTTTAAAAATTCAGTTATCTGTAATAGTTTTCTGAATCGATTGATAAATATAAAACACCAAAATTCGAAATTGTTCGACTAGGCTATAAAAATTGGAAAATACCTTTCGATGACTCTGGAAGGTAAATATAAATGATCATACTCTATATTGGTATTAAAGAATTTGTCTTATTTCAATTCAGAAACGATTCGTTAAAATTGCAAAAAGAAATGACACTTGAATCCTACTCTGGATATTTGAGTTCTTGGTCACCTTATAGACAATTTCTAGCAAAGGAATCATCAGATCCTCTTCAAGATTTTTGTCTAAAGTGAGCATGCTTTCAAAAATTAAATATTCGTTTATGCTTTGAAATTAAATGATTTATATATACAACTAGATTTAAGGAACGTTTAAACAAAGAAAACTTGGAAGACACCACAACTTTTACTGTAGAGTGGCAATTTTTTATTCTACATGGAAGAAAATCCATCTAAATACGGATCAGCAGAAGTTGAAATACACGCCAGCTCGTCTTAACATTTATTCAATCAATTAGCAAACAATCAGAAAATATAGTAGTTACTGAAATCCTATTTACAAATATAATTATATCTGTTCTCATGCACTTTATTAAAGTTTGGTTTGTCACATAAAATATAACAGTAAAGGTGTTTTAACACTTTTTATATTTTCAATATTTTTTTGTTACAACAGAATAAGAGTTCACTTTACTTACAATAAGCAGACTAAAATCGAATTATATTGCTTCATCTGCTAGGTGTTTTTTTCTGATGTAGAAAATGTTTATTATACTTGCAACAATACAAAAAAGTCCATTACTCTTCGAACTTAGTCACAACAGAAAAGTATACTAAAACATCTAAATTTTAAACTCCTTTTAAGTTTCGCTCTTTCAAAGTATATCCATATCCGCTGGAGCATCCAAATCATGATAATCAACCATCGGCCTTGGATCAATTCGGCCTCTGCCCATTATTCTGTGAGGAGGTGGCGGTGGCATTCTCCTATCTCTATAATCCCTTGGTGGAGGTGGATAACCATAGCCGCCTGCAAAACAGCCAAAGAAATATATTTGTGCACTTTTTGAGTATTTTGTAAAATGTTCTTTTTGTATCGAATCCTTCAGTGATGAACATTGCTATAACATTAACAAAATCTAACGTAATTCTTAATAAAAAAAAATGCTATTATTTATGTTAAAACCTAGCTCATTAGAAAATTATATCGCTTTTATCGAAGGTAGGATACTTCGATATTTGGTTAGTTCTCAACTAACATTTTCTGATAGATTATATATCATTTCTAATTAAAACAAGAAAATAAACAAAGTTTTAGATAACGTTAAGTAATAAAACCACTCCAAGGTAAAATCTTTTTGCTTAACCAAGTAATTAAATTTTTGTATAATTAATCAAGAGAGATGCTACTTTAAAGAATATTTTAAAATTATAATATTTTTTGATCCTTTAAAAATAAAAATATATACATTTTACTTATTGTTGATTAATTTTTATAAAAACAAGCACCATAAATTAGAAATGTCGAATGCTGATATATCGACTGTCATGGTTAAAGCAATTCACCTTTAATACAACATTTTATAGTAAGTAAACATTTAAACGTCAAGTAATATAATGAATAGTTATAAATATCTGATGATACTGTATAAATACACATTTAAATCATATAATAGAATCACATATACTTTCGTATATATAACCCTTGACTTATATCGAGATTGTTTAGAAAATAAGGCAATTGATCAAAGACTTTTGTTCTTAATTTTAATAATTAACTAAAGAAAATGTTCATTCTCTGTTTAATTGCGCTTAAAAGCAAACTGAACGCACCTCTAGCTCTTTCGCGAGGTGCTGTAAAAGAAAATAAAGTACAAGGTAAAATTTATCAGTTTATTTTGAGATTATCATATTGAAATATTTACCTCCATAATTTGGTGGACCTCGTCCATAAGAATGGGGTGGATGATGATAGTCAGAAGTTCTAGTATGCATAGTAGTCGCAGAACGGCTGGGATGCTCCGGAAGTTGAGGTCTCTTAGGGTCTGCTAGGTAATTGTTGAAGTAGGACACCTCCTTCTTCACTTCAAGAACTCTATCTTCATGTTTGTTAGTAATATGCTTTCGAACATAGTCTGGTCCTTTAAATTTTTTTCCACTTAAAGGACACAGCCATTTATCTTTTGTAATTTCCTGCGTATTTGCTTCAATAAACTTTTCTACTTCAGCATCTTCAGATTTCCTGCCCAATTTTTCAGCATCTTCGTCGTTTAATTTCGTCTAATATTCGTAACCAATAGTCAAAATAACTTAAAAGAAAAACAAAATATTTACCTTTAGTTCTACCCATGGTAACATTTTTTGTTCAAAATTGTGTATCCATTCCGTTACTGCTGTGTTGAAAGCGTGCGCATTTAAATTTATAGGGGCGCTCCCTCTAGCATGTATTATGCCACATCTATGAGGCATTTCATCCTCATTTGGATATTCGCCAACAGAATAGAAGTCAAAAGAATGAACAATGCGAAGATAAAGTATCAGTTTATCTAAAACCTTGTTGAGTTCGTCATCAGTCTCAACTTTAGTACTACCACCTTCTTTCTTATCTTCACCATCACCCGCAGCTCCTAAGAGCTCCTGCTCTTCACAGTCAGCTTCCTCGACCATGTAGTCCGTAATATTTTTCAATAAAGGATTCTTGCTTTTTAAACCTAAATCCAATTCCGCACTAGGTTGAGTTTTATTTTCCTCTTGATTAGATTCTTTCCATAAGTCAGCCCGATTATCTAGTGCAACAATTACCCTTGCTGCATGACGTATATCCATTCTGGCTATCTCTTTATGTGAAACAATTCCATTTACAGGTCGAACACGTTGTTTCAAGTCACGATTAACAATTGCTCCCATATCACAATCTCTAAGCTGGAAACAATTAAGCTTTTTCATAATGTGCGTTGAAGATATCAGCAAATTTAATTTGATTTTTTCTAATTTTATTTAGCCAACTAAAATCTTTCGGATGATATAAAAAAATAGGAATTCCAACTTACTCTAATATTATTTAAATTCCAGCATATGTCTTTAATGTTTACACTCCGATCAAATGTAACCCAACCTCGTCTATGAAATCTACGCTCGGGCTGTGGATCTTGAATAGCAACCCTCATAAATCCAGGATAGCGTTTACACATCTGAAAAAAGATATGATTACTTGGGTAAAAATTTGTATGATCAACACTTCAAAAAATAATATTCACCGATTCAACTTCTTGCTTGGTAATAGCAGGTGCTAAATTTCTGAGAAAAATAGATAAAGTTTTATGCAGAGCCCTGGGGTGTATACTCTTTTCTTCTTCTTTTTCCTGTTTTTCTTCCTCTTGTTTCTCTTCAGTCTCTTTTTCTCTATCTGGTAAATGTAAAAAATTCATATTGTTTAAGAATATTCTGAAGTTGATCGTTTCAATCAAACCATTTTCATCTTCCGCTCCTTTTTCTCTCTCTTCTTCTGGCTGCTCTGATGGACTTTCTATTTCTTTTATTTCATCTGGTTCAGCAGGTTCTTCTTCCTCCTCGTCCTCCTTTTTATTTGTTTCATCATTTTCTTCTTTAGCTGGTGACACGTTATTGTCCTCAATAGAATTATCCATTTTGGATACTTCGTTATTCGCATTTGGCTTTGCGGCTAAAAAGAGTTTGAGCTTATCACAACGAAGAAAAGTAATATTATTAGCTTTACCTTTTTCTTCACCTTCGCTGTCTGAAAGCGAATTACTAGATATTCCGCTATTACTGTCATCATCGTCATCTCCACTTAATTTTCGCTTTTTCTTGTTTTCAATTGGCTTATTTTCTTGAACTCGATCTTTTATTCTATAAAAATACACATCATTATTTGTTGATAATTTTTTGCAATTTAATGAATTATTCTTACTCAATTTTCGGTTCGGATCTAGACTCTTTTATATCTGATTCAATCTGGTCTAACACAGCTAGATCAAAATCTGTTCCCCCTTCCATTAAAATAACTGCTGCGTCTAATATCTGAAAGCCAAAATTTTTCGTAAGTATCCAAAACACAGGAACTCCAAATTTTATTTAATTAAGTTCGTAACAATATAAAAGTAACTAACTTTTGCAATATCTTTTTGTTTTTCGCAATCGAGCTCAAGATTGTCCAGCCACCCAGTATTCATTAACTCTAAAAATACATCACAGCGCCGTTTGATAGCAGCTCGTTGTTCAGTCTTTCTTTTGTCACATTCATCCGGATGATACTTAGCTTTAAACCTAGTAGTAATTATAAAAATAAATTAAAAACAATGTTCTCTCAAAATTGAATAATCCTAGATAATTGTGTTATCAATTATCATATTGCCAAATATGACATACACTAAAACACATCTTACCATCATATCAGATGTTTAAAGTTTTTAAAAACTTCTCTTCTTCCCTAACTAACTAGCTGACCCTGTCTAATTTTGCATAATAAAAGCCCTATCTGTGTATCAAAATAGTCCCTAACTGTCTCACTAAGCTGTTTTGTTTATTTTTGTATCAATATCGAGTTTAAAACAATTTTTCGCAGAAACCATCCAACCATATAGTTTCTAGCTGAAAATATTTAATTTGGATGAATAAAAGCAGGCCACTCCTTTACAAGGAACCATAAAAATGACTTGAATGACATTTTGATACTTATTTTAAATCTTGATAAAATAAATAAATTTGAATTGTTAAAATGAAATTGGAAATTTCAAATTTACAGATTACATATATATTATATATAAGCATGAAGTGTATGCATATATATATATATAAAATAAATGTCATTTTTATAGCTTAGCGAAGCCTTATTATTGGTTTATAATGAGAAAAGTAAAACAGTTATACAAAGATGCGTTAGTAGGCTGTTCGTTCACTTAGAACACTTCCAAAGCAATTAAATATAAACGAAAGGCACAAATAAAGATAATTACTTAATTTTGGAGGAATAGTTAGCCTATAATCATATATAAAATGGAAATGTATTTCTTTTTAGAAAATAATACATAAATAACTTTTGGGTTTTTTTTAGAGAGAATTTTAAAAGTAGCTTCTTTCTATTAATATCAATAATTACTCTTTAAAAGCAAAATAAAAAAGCTTCTTTTTAAGAGACTGTCTCAAACAAAATTTTCTTTTTTAAATATAATAATTATTAATATTTTAAAATATGTGAATCATTAAAGTTTGAACCTTTTTGAATACTTAATATATATATATATATATATATTATAATATTGCTAATATATATGAATATCAAATATATATCAATTATCAAAATAATTTCCTATTGCTTGCTGATAGGTTGTGAGCCATACATTTATTAATAGATTGAAAATCATTTTAGCTTACCATTCTTCATCTTTATGAGCCAAGAAAAATTCAGATATTTGCTGTTTCTTAAAATCTTGTTTATACTCCGCATATTTCTTGACAGCGTCATCGTCACTGATAGAATCGTCTTGTGATTGCAAAAACTGCTTGAATGTTTGCATTACAGGCTGCGTGGGATAATCTGGTTCCTGCATCTTTTGACCTCCATCCCAGTGATCCGGAGCGCCGTAGCCACTTTCATCCCTAATAAAGTATGAATATAATTGTAAACATATCAACGACTGTCTGAAATGAAATTACCAATCTCTCCTCATTCTTTTCATATGAGGTGGTGGACTCATATCATGTCTTGGTGGACTGAAGCGTCTTCTTTCATCATAACGACTCATTGGTGGTCCTCTTCTAGCCCAATCGTCTCTTACTCTATTGTCCCAGCCGTCTCTTCTGCCCCCCCGATCATAATCATTTCGTTCTCTGCGAAACTTATCACGGTTTCTTCGTCTATCGAATTCTTCATCACTGTCACCCATCTTATCAAACAATTACAAATATAGTTTTGGGGTTATAATCCGAATCTTAATATCTTACTGTAAAGAAAACATAAAATAAAAATTAGATCCTAAAGAACTGAATACATGAAATTTTACTACGATTATTTGTGCACTATGAGCTACGTCTGTAAAAAAAATCCAAACAATGTATTTCCTTTGAATGAATGGATGAAGAACCTAATATGCGATATGTAAATAGTATACTCATAGAGTTTTATTTGTTATTTTTGAACAAGTCCTAAAGTAAAAATATTTAATCGTAAGAATATAATGTTTTGCATTGACCAAAGATGATCTTAGCTGCAATACGGAATGATCTTATTGTAAGAAAATATACTGGTGGACTCTTACCGGTATGACTGTTATTTTAAATTCAAATCGCATCGTTGATTAAACAACAACTAATACTATTTTAGGGCCTTTAAACTCTTTATCAATTTTTATATAGTGCATTAGAATTCTAAAATGTTAGAGATGGGTAAATTACCTTAAAAATTAACTTCAAACCAGAGTTAGGCGAAAAACAAAATGGCGGACGAAACAGCTAATGCACGAGCAGCGAACATTTAGCAGAATAACCGGAAGTTGATATTCTACTTTTAATACGCAACATATTTTCGTAGACCATCTATCCTTTCTGCATTCTTGTGAAAAATTACAAAAGTTTTTAAATTTCATCGAATTGACGAGGCTGTTAAACTAAAATCATGAAATTATCGGAATCAATATAATTCAGTAAAAAGGCATATTTTATTCAATTATCAAGACAAAATGAATAAATACGAAATTCAAAGGAAAATTGGCGAAGGTTCATTTGGCAAAGCTTTGTTAGTTAGATCAAAAGCTAATGGGAAGCAATATGTTATTAAAGAAGTTAATATGACTCGGGTAATGATAAAACTATATTAAATTTATGTAACAATATAAAATATTTCTACAATAGATGGATAAAAAAGCTAGAGATGAAGCTAGAAAAGAAGTTTCTGTTTTGGCCCAACTCAACCACCCCAACGTAGTAACGTACCGGGAATCCTTTGAAGGTCTTAATCCGTGTATTTTATTAGCTAAAATACGTAATAATATATAAAAAAATTGTGTTTTTTACTTAGTATAGAGCAATCCTACTAAATTTTTTTGCGTATTTATTATTTTACTATTTACTGAACTTATCATTGAATAATACTTAATGAAAGCGAATTATATTCAAAGTTACAAATAAGGATCTATCTAGTATTTTAATTTTAAGAATTATTTAATTATTAATTAATTATGGCATTTTTTATTTTAATAGAATTCGAGAGATTATGCATTGTCATGGATTTTTGTGATGGTGGAGATTTATACTCGAAAATAAATGCTCAAAGGGGTATACTCTTCCCTGAAGAACAAGTTAGCAAATATTTTATTCCATAAGAAACTATTACTTTTTCTAATAAATTAATTAAAAATTCTATTTTCTCTTCCTTTTAAAGATTCTTGATTGGTTTGTTCAAATATGTCTATCGGTTAAACACATTCATGACAGGAAAATTCTGCATAGGGATATAAAATCTCAGGTGTGATAATTAAATAATTGAGCTATTAAAATTTAAATATATTTAAATTGATTATCTCTACTTCTTCTTTATTTTAGAACATTTTCCTTACAAGGAATGGTATAGTTAAATTGGGTGATTTTGGAATTGCTAAAGTACTAAATTCTACTGTTGAGTTAGCTAAAACTTGCATTGGAACACCTTATTATTTATCTCCTGAAATAGTTGAAAATAAACCGTATAATAATAAATCTGATGTTTGGTCTCTTGGCTGCGTTCTATACGAATTGACAACTTTGAAGCATGCAGTAAGTACTTTCGTGAATTTATAGAATACAAAATTTAATAAATACTTTTTCAAGTTTGAAGCCGGAAATATGAAACTACTAATCATGAAAATTAGTAGAGGCAGCTATAATCCTCCACCTCCACGGTATACAGCTGATTTAAGATTATTAATAGCCTCGACCTTGAAAAGAAGTCCAGGTGATCGTCCGTCCATAAATGCCATTTTAAAAAAGCCTTTACTTCAAAAGAGGATTGTTAACTTTCTTAGTCACTCGGTGAGATAACTTTACGCTCATTTCTTTCTGCATAGTGATAAGCTCTTTGTACTTGATTTTTTAATTAATTGTTAAAATTTATTACAAAGGAATATCTCGACGAATTTAGTCACACTGTAATGCATGGAGTAAAAGTTAAGAAGAACTTGATGCCAATAGATGGAGTAGTCAAACCGTCACCAATAAAAGCTCCTCCTAGACCGTCATCTGCAGGTTTTAAAAATAAATCATTTAAAAAAAATTTCTTTTACATTTATAAATTTTTTAATTAGCTCGAAAAACTCCGGCACCATCTCCAAGATATAATCCAGCATCAGCCTATGCACCGAAGAGAAACAAGACACCAGTACCAACACCCCTGAAGCGACCGTCTTCAGCACAGAATAGACAACACCTGTTAGATCTAGAAAAGAGAAAACAAGAATTGGAAAGTGGAAGAAGAAGAGACGAAAGAAAAAGGGTAATACAAATGACAGACTTTCTGTTAAAAAGAGAAAACTCTTTCTTTCGAAATATAATTAGTTTACTTATAAAAAAAAACGTAGATAATTGTTTCATCGAAATCTAAACCTGAGGAAAATAAGAAAAAGAACAAAACTGTAAAAACCTTTTTTTTTCCTTTCTCTATTTCTTAATTTCAGCTTACTTACTAACAATGTGATTTAGTGCTCTATTTTTTTTATTGTAAAAATTCCAGTTATTATTTTGTTCCGGAAAAAAGGAAACATAATCCTTTTATTAGACTTTTTTAATGATTATGCAACAGTTAATTAATTATAGTTTTATAATATCATTAAAATGTACATTTATGCTTTTTTTCTAGGAGGCACTTAGAAAACAAAGGGAATTTGCTGATAAGGAAAAAGTATGTTAAAGGCTAAGGCATAATGTTAAATTGTAGCATTATTATTATTATTTTTTATTAGGTAGCCAGGATGAATAAAGCACGAGAAGCTGGTTGGAAAAGTATTTTGGAAGGAGAAGATAGGAAGCAAGCGCCATCTCCATCTCCTGCACCTGCCAAATTTCCCGTTGCGGCTGGAGATAATCGACAATCCCCCAATCCGCATAAGGAAGTCATTTTAGGAAATTATGACAAGTATTACGAATGGTTAAATAAATTTAACAAAAACAAAGTCGTTAAAGCTTCACCTGAAGACCCAATAGCTAGAGCAAGAAACGCAGCGTAAGTAGACATAACATGTCCATACAATAAAACACATAGTATTAGTATATACTTTTGTTTGTATGAGCGTATACAAAAGTGTTTTTTCATAATTTTTTTTTATTATACAAAACCATTTATCTATTGCATAAAAAATATGTTTATCGACATTTCGGTGTATCCTCTTTTGGCTTTGGAAAGTCCATAAATGAAAGAGAAAAATACGTTTTTTCTGTTTTATTATGTATCAAATAATATTATATATTTAAAAAAGAAATCATGCGTGTATAGTGTTTGATGTGTGCTTTTTTCAAGTATATTTTTGGTAATATTAACACGAAATTTTTCATAGTTGTCCTTATTGAAGAAAATTTGCCTACTATTAGTCATATTAAGATGTTTTATAGGTGTACATTTTTTAAAACGTTCGATTTTTAAATATCTTGTCTCTCTACTCTACAGAAAACAAGGAGAAGTTGCTGCTTCGGCGGCGAAAGTTTTGTCTGAATTTCAACAAAGACAAAACGAGTATTTAAAGAATAAAAATAGAGCCAGAGCTGATATTTATGGGGTTAAATATATATATTTATGTCTTTTTATTTATAAATATTAGACTCTAATGGGTTTTTAGATGGGAAGACCTCCCAGTGGAGCTAGGAATAATGAAGAAAGATTCAAAGCCGATTTACAACATTATCGTGATAAAAATTCAGTAGATAAAAGAGGACAGGATCAACTAGCCTTCGATAAGGTTATTTATTATCAATACCTTCACAATTATAAATTCTTACTTCTTTATTATTTGTACAGAAAATAGAAAATTTAAGAGCAGAACAGGTAAAATAATATTATAATTGATACAATACTTTATATAATTAGTTATATGCATATGATGAACCCAATTTTTCAGCAAAAATTAATTGAGCAAAGAGCTAAACTACGTCAAAAAGAATTGGAGAGAAGGAGAAAGGAAATCGAAGAGATTGAAAAACAGAGATTAGCTATAAAACCTAAATTAAAGTAATATAATACTTCGTCAATACTTAAAAATATTTAATATTTTTCACATCTTAAATAATATACTCGGTAACAGTGAAGGACCACCAATTACGGCTGCTATGCATGCTATTGGAGCAATGCCCAGGTAGAATACACACTTTTAATTAGAATATAGCTCTTTTCAAACCTTTCATTATTTTCATGAAGTAAACAAGAAACTCATGGCTTAACGGCTGCTATGGAAGCTATAGGAGTCGATGATGAAAAAACGAGAAAACTGCAAAAGAAACAAATTTTAAAGAAGCTAAATGAGAAAAAGTGGGAAGAACCAGTTGATTTAAAAGAATTAGCAGATAAAAGCCTAGAAAAGCAAACTGCTCTCTTGGAAGAACATAAAAAATGGGACAAACCTGTTGACTTGAAAGAATTAGCAGAAAAAAGTTTAGAAAAACAAACTGTTGCATTAGAAAGTAAGTATTTCATTATACACTAGCATTAGTGTAATTGCTATTTCAAGAGAAATGTTTTATTAATTGGCTTTGAGGGGATAATATCAGTTTCTATTCATCATGAAACAGTAGAAATTAATTTTATATGAAAATACTTATCTTTTATTCAGCACCATTGGATGACAAAGGTGATAACAATCAAGATGAGAGCGATCGAAAAAAATGGGGACCAAGATCTGAATCCGTATTAAAGAAATTAGAAAACGAGGAAATTAAAAATGATAGAGAACAATGGGATTCAAGACCTGGATCGGTTTTGAGCTATCTTTGTAATGCTCCACTTGAAAAAGGAAATCAGCCTAACAAAACAGTTACTATTCAGAAGGACAGTGAAGGTTTAATTGATAAAGTTGACTTAAATGAAGATGATAAGGCTGACGACGAGGAAGATGTCGTCAATAGTCTGGCGACGGGAAAATTTGATGTTAGCGCTAAACTATTGAAAACTTGTTCCTGTCCAGATCTGGGTGAGCTGTTTACTAGAACATTAGAAGATAAAGATATCAAACAGGCCGGTAATGAAAAAGTTGGATCTGTCTCGAAAAGTTTGGAAGATTTAGATGATGAAATCGGTGAAGACGCTGAAGATAATGAAGCTAATAATGACGATGATGAAGAAGAAGCTAAAACTTCTGATACATCAGGCTTGGATACAACACTCACCTCTGATAAAGAAGGGTAAGTGGGAAGTTATGTAATTTCATGAATAATTTATCAACAAATAATCCCTACAGGGAAGACAATGACGAAAATAGCGATGATGAAGATATTCGAAGCGTTCGGGACAGTTATGCAAGCGTATTGAATACAGATGACGCCGAGCCAATAACGTCCAGAAGTGAAAAAAGGAAGAAGAAGAAGAAGCGTAAACCCGTTGTTCGCAAATCGTTAGACGAGGAAATGAAACAATTTCAAGAAAATATGGCTACTGTCTTTTTTACGTTAACTAGAGAAGGCGATGATTTAGCTATAGACAAAAACGCAAACAATGAAGAAGATGATGATGATGATGAGTTTTTCGAAGATGCATTAGCATCAAATCCTAATGATACATTTAGCAGAATTGAAGAATTAAGAATAGAGTTAGAACAAGAAATAGGAGAGGAGAAATTTTGTCAAGTGTATGGAGATATTCGTCATCTTCATGATGGAAAAGACGAAAATTTTGAACCAACCGAAGACGAAATTAAGAAAATTGTAGGCGAAAAAGAGTTATATAGTAGGGTTTTAAGTTTACTATATGCAGAAGGAGCTTTTACACACAATTGAAGCATTTTTTTTCCACAATTCTCTCTCCTCCTTCATACTTTATGGAGGAGAGAGAATATTATCTTAATCGAAATTTCTTTTTACTTAATTTTTTTCAAAAGGATAAAATATAGTTTATTGAAAACGCTTTAAAGAGTTCAAAGATATATTTTCATATATATATTTATATATATATGTATATTTAATGTATATCTATTTATATTATGTAAATATATCTTATCAAAAACATCTAAAGTATATAATATTTAACGACCAAATGATTACAAGTATTATATAATATGTCTATACATTTTTATTGTCCAATTTAGCATACTGTGATTTGTTCCCTGCTCTTTTCCTTTCTTTGTGTACCAGTTTCTTAGCTAACAAAAACGAATAAGGAAAAACAGCATGGTATATAATTTACTTTTACAAACACCGTCCACAGATTTTTTTCCCTTTATAATAGTCATGTTTTATGTTTTCGTTTTACCATTATCGTAAAATAAACTTTATTTAATATAGAATGACTTGCTTAGCATTGAATTAAATAATATTATAAAATCCGGTAAGAACAACAAGTATGTTTTATGACAATTTCTAAGCAATAGTAGAATTATTTTGAATGGATTGGGTGTGGCTGTTCTGTCCAGTTTTTATATCGACTTTATTCGATCTGAAGATCTTTTGTAGACGTCTTCGAAATCTTGTATTAAATACAGCGAAAAGATAAAAATTTATTGAAGAATTGAGGGTTTTTAATTCAAATGTCACTAGTGAAAAGTACCACCAATGATGTCCACATGTAAGAGCACTAATAATATTCGCATGGGCAGCAATAGCCCTGATACTTTCTGCGAAATATGATATAACTAGAACAACATTTACGGCCATTAAGGAAGATGTTATTTGCCTTACATTAGAGGTAAAGACTGATTTATTCAATTCCGTCTTCTGCTTTATAGTCTTGACAGTTATAATGGAAAGTGTAAAAACAATTATTAAAGGTGCGTAGTTGTTTGTTATATTATGCAATATAAATCTAATGGCAATACCATAGGTTTTGCTTTTTCCTAATGATTTTTCGGTTAGTGTATAAATACCATTAGGCAATCGGATAAGTTGATATTCAAAATATCTTGGAATCGTATATAGATTAGACAAAATCGTTATCGAAATACATACGATTTTAGTGTTTTTAATGGTAAACATTTTCTTATGAACTGGATGACAAATAGCCATATACCTTTCGATAGTAAGATATACTATATGCCAAGCGGATGATATCGAAATTGCTGTCCAAAATCCTAGTCCATAACATGCAAAACCGTAAGATATTTTTGTAAACGTCACGTAAAAACTATGATTGACAACCTGAAAGAAATCCCTTATTGAAAGGGCTATCATCCATTGCATTAGGTAAACAGTATCAACAATTTCCAATGATATCACTGCAACAGTAGTTGCTGTTTTTGTTCTTTCCCCAGACCATATGAATATAGCTAGAACATTAGTTATTATACCAGAAATACATAAAAGACTCATGAGGCAACCGGATAGGATAAACAACCATATTTCACAAACATCCTTTTTCTTTAAATCTCTATTAGAAGTTTCATTTAAGGGAATCGAAATAAATGTAGTATTCAATTCAAACATACTTCGATAAGTTTACTATTTCAATGCCAAACAATGTCCCTCTCGTGTTGAGTTTTAGAGAAATAATGTAAAATCTTTCAACTGAATATCGAGATGGCGCCTCCTTGAACTCGGCTAGCTTACAGGAAAATATACTTGTGTATCCTCTAATTAAAATATTTCTTTCCCTTCATTTTCATTTTACGAAACTTAATACGTCTTTTTTCATATATACTGTATATATATATATATATACAGTATATATAAATGAAACAGTACTTCTTGAAAAGAAACGGTCTTAAAATATCAATGTTAAAGAGAGGGTAACTACTCCTTTTCTGTTGTGTCTCCAAGAAATTAAAGTAAATTTTAAGGTAAGACCTGTAATTTATTACCAATTATCTGCTATTTTTAAATACAAAATCTTAATTAACATATTAATTGATGTGCTCATGTATCTATTTTAGTTTTTCGATTCAATCGTATTTTTTTACTGTAAAGAATGCTATTTATCTTTACAAAGATATATTTGGCATTCTAATAAACTAGTTTTGCTAATCTTCAATACACTTAGTGAACTTTTTACAGATAATATTTTCTTTATTCTTTTAATTTTATATTAAAATTTTTTCATTACATAATTTAACATTCATATATGCAAATTTTTACTTGAATATTCATAGAAGATTTTTATCTAGTACATTGTTAAAAATACTGTAGAGAGTAGATGTTGTAATAATTATTTCTGTTCCTACCAGACGAAACCCAATCTCTTATTTGTTCCTTCGTTGTTTGTTATTGTCTGTTTTGTGTCTTCAGTTGACTCCCCTTGGTAACTTGGCATTTGAAGACAGGCTTGATCACTAGTCTGTATGGTCAGTTAAAGTCATTAGAATTTATAATAATAAAATATAGTGCTTAAAAGAAAATCTCTAAAAACTTACCAGATAATTTTGCTTCGTGCCCTTACCAGGCAGAACTGGCCCTAAACCTCCTCCAATACCTTGATTAGCTGCCTTTTTTAGTGGATAAGTATTCCGTCCGTTCTTCTCACAGTGTTCTATGACCTTCTTAGCGTACTCGTTAAATTGATCTTCTTCCAAATTCAACAATTCTTCATTCTTCTTTTCTAGTTCTAATTGTTTCCTTCTAGAGTTAATTCCCAATTGTTTTCTATCATCGAATTGTTTCAAGTTATAGTTCTTCCTTTCTTTTACACCATCGAAACGTCTTTGACGTTTTTCGTTTTCTGCTCTTTCGAATACAGCATCAGCTTCTTTTTGAGCCTGAAGTCTCTTTAGTTCTTCAATTTTATCTAATTTCTTTAGATTTTCATTCTTTTTCATTGTTGCGACCATGTGATCTCTGGCTTCTTGGTGTGCTTTTCTAATTCTCTCTTCCTTTAGTCTCTCCTCTCTCGCTCTCTTCTCTTCAGCCTCAGCTTCAGCTTTGTGTAGCCGCTCGTCCTCATCACGGACTTGTTCTTGCATTTGGGCGTATAATTTCTCTCTGATTCTATTTAATTTATCCTAAAATTCGAAAATAAAATCTATTAGATACCAAAAGAAGGAATAGTTTCAAACTGTTACCTGTTTATCATTGAATATCTCTTTTTCCTTATCCGCTCTCATTTTCATCATTTTACGTTTCGCGGCTGCAAATATTCTACATTCTTCGTCTTCGTCTTCTTCCTGAGCTGCTTTTATCTCATTCATTCTCTTTGTGTCGGCTATCTGTCTTTTATTATCAATCATAAGTTGCTTAGACTCATCCTGGCGAATCTCTTCCAGTCTCTTTTTTTCTAAATTATAGTGAGCAGCCAATCTTCTAAGTTCTTCTCCTTCGATTTTGTCATCTTCCAAAAATTTATCTGATCTTGACTTATGGTGATTGATTTGTCTCAAGACGTACTTGGCATTTTCATGATTTTTTTCAATTCTTTCTCTGGCTTCCCTTTGTTCTTTCAAGATTGCATCTTCTAGTTGTTTTCTTTCATAGTCAAGCCATTCATTATCGGCCCCCTCAGCAGCTTTTTCTTTTAGTTTCTTTAATTCTAGCTGAGCATCACGCTCCTTAAGAACTTCGGACAATAAAAGTGCACTGTGAAAGTTCTTCACCCGATCAGTTTGATAATATTGTTGAGTTTTTGCTTTTTCGATAATCTCTTTTCGCCTTTGGCATTGAAATTTCTCTTCTTCAATATCAATTGCTTTACGTTCCTCTTCCATTTTTTCTTCTCTTAGGCGACGAGTTTCTAGTTTCTTTTGACGAAGTCCCTTTTAAAAAATATGTATAATTTCTTCCAAAACAAGTAAAATTAATAGTTAACTTACAAGGACTGTATTATCCCACTGTGCTACTTGCTTCCTAGATTTTTCTCTTAATCTTTCACGTTCTTGAAATGCTAAGCGTCTCTTCTCTTCCTCTTCCTTCTTCTTGTTTAGCTGACGGTAGATTCTGTCCATATCATCTTTGGTTAAAATACATACATTCCTTGGATCCATTGATTGTTGGCCATTTATAGTTAAACTTTTATCATTAGATCGTAATTTTTCTGGTAGATCATCAACATTGATTTCTCCCACTTAAAAGAGTTAAAATATAATGAATAATAGTGCTATCTTTAAAGAATCTTGATATATTATTATTATTACATACTTTTACCAGATCCTTTTCGCCTGCCATGCATTATTCTAGCCATTTTTTAAACTCTCTTACTCGGTGTATGTATTGGAACAGCGTTATGGTTGCTATTGACGATATAGATGTCACTTTTTTATTAGTCGCGCTGTACTACATACATCAAGACATACACAATCTTGTTTAAAAGATTTTAACGCTTTCTTTTTCCTTCAGGTATTTAATTATTATTAATATCCTTATAAGAAGTTATTTAGTGCAAAGTTATTTTTTTAATTTTAAAAAAAAATAGAACACTTACCTCTTTAATAGGCTGGTTTCTTTTAAAGACTTGCGCTATATTTGATCAATAATACAACTTGTATATGTAAAATGTGTTTCAACTAGTTATAGTTGTTCCATATATATTGTTATTATCTATTCGGCCAATTCTTGTGCAAAAAGGTAAAATACTCTCGTTTTTTTTCTTTTTCTTTGTATTTAAACTTGCTGTATATAAATTACATTGGTGAAATGAAAAGAAATTGTAAATATTTAAATAATCGAGTAAATAACCAAAATTCCTTGACGTCCTTTAATATGCAGAGTTGTACTTTTTTCAACTTTCCTCCTCTCTCTCACTCTCTTTCACTCTGACTGTCACTCCATCTTTTTCACATAGTAGCTCAAATAGTGTTGTTAAAAAGAGGAAACTTATAATGCTATTTAACCATCTTAGTACATAAAAAAAACCTATCAATTGAATAGAAAATATATAACTACCTGCAAAAAGCCTAACAATAATCTCTAATTGAATATTATTTAAGGGAATTATATAGTATTGTGTAGTTAAATTGGAAACTATGTAATAAAAACCATATTGGATTCATGTGCTAATGAATTACGAAATTTGGCAAAAAAGTTTACTTTATTTAGAAAATAAAATACTTGATTTCACAATTTATGGAAAATATGTATCTTTTGCAAAAAATACATCAAATAACCCTTATTAGTCATGATCACGTGAGTGATAATATCCAGTCACATTAAAGGTTAGGTATTTGAGGAGAAAATTCCCATTATCGATTAATTTGGTCATAATAACCAGCACTATTCTAGTAATAAGATATATATAATAAAGAAATAAACAGTGTAAACTAGTGTTCCACGTGTTAAAATACTTAAAGATTTAGTGACCCTGTCGTCTGTATGTTTTATAGGTAGCTGCAATGGATGAAAATTATCGAAAAGCCTTACAAAACTTAAATTCATACCTAGTAAAAAATTTAGAATTGAGTACAGATTTCCTAGTTAAATTTAGAGATACTGGAATTATACAGTCAAGCTGGATTGCCATTATTATGGTACAGGTGAGTCGTTTTTTTTTCAATTTTCTACTTAATTATTAAACAATTTATTGCAATTTATTCTTTCTTTACTTCCTCTTCGTTCTCTCCGTTTCCCTTTCTACATTCCTAAACAAAATGTTCTTTCTAGACAGCGGCCAGCAAAGAAGAGAGAAACTCCAAATTTTTAGAATGTATTACAAAGACAGATAACAATGCATGGGAAATATTAATGCAATCCTTAACCGATACGGATCAAGATGAAATAGCTCTAAAATTACGTCATTCATTAATTGAAGTAGAGGAAGAAAATGAAAAAGAAGAATCATGAACACCTTTTATCTATAGAGAAAAATTCACTTTGTTTACTTTCGAAACCAATACTGTGTATTGGCTAGATTGTTGTTTCGTTTCACGAGTAATGAATTGTATTTTGAAACCTGTCTATAATATAAATTATGATTTTTAATAAACCTGTAATTCCTACAATTTATTAAATATTTGTTTATTACACAATAATTATTTTTTGAAGATATTATCAATAGAAACATTTTATTATTCATTTACAATGAAGGTAAAAGACCTATTGGAAAAGTCATCAGGTAATTAATTAAATTCAATCGCACTCTTTTTGTCAAACAGTTGAACGCTTTTTGAATAATTTAATAAATCAGACGGTGAATTTTCCATCGCGTGTGCTAAAGGCCTAAATCTCCAAGACAACACAGGGATGCGTTTGAAAAATTGAAGAGGTTTTCTTTTATCCTTCATTCTTGTAAAGAAAAGATGAAAGGAAAGACGGTGTGAAAAAATAAATCTTTACTTAATAGAGTATAAAATGGAAAAATTTCCGAAGAGAACTAGGAAGAAGGATATTCTAACGGCGCACAATGAGAGAATGTTGAACGCTCATAGAAAGAATAGGGTTCATGAAGATCATTTAAAGACTACTATTGAGCACTTGAACTCTCAATGTGCAAAGGCTGTTGCCAGATTGAATTTAGACATTCATAATTACTATCACACTGAAGCACTTTTAAGAATGAAAGAGAGTAGAGAGACAAAAGTGGATACTTCGCAATCTACTACTTCTACGGCAACTTTGAGAACTTCGTGGCCAGTATTTGAAAAATTTAAGAAAGCTCCCGAAACAACTCGTGTAAAACTTTATAAAATGAAAGGTGGAGAATTGATTGAAAAGAAAATATTAACACCGGAAGAACAAAAAATTATGGAGGAAACGAATTTTATGACCAACTTGACATTTTCAAAAACAAATCAATTGGAAAGTATAAAGAAAAAGCCAAGAATTTTAGAACAAGAGAATATATCTTGTGAAATAAAACTAGCAAACTTTGATATTCTCAAAGGAAAATTTAAGCTAGATCGCTTTGTCAGAAAAAAACGAAAATTTACTGTATCAAGAATCTTAACAGCCGTAGAAGAGGAAAAGGAGAGAGGAGAAAAAGAGGAAGAAAAAGAAGAGCAACAACTTGCTGATGATCATGCTAATGATGTTGATGATGGTGATGATGATAATGATTATGATGTCTGTGAAGGAAGTGCAGACGGTAAGAATGAAGAAAAAGAAAAGTAAGAAAGAGGAAATAAACTTGACAACTACATAGTATTATTCATAATATTTACATAAATGAGTGAGTTTCTAGGAGAATAAGACGAAAAATATAATCTAATAATAATATGTTCAATGTTTATCTATGAAATTTTCATACTCTTTTGAAGAATATGAAACTATCAATTAGATTTTAGTTCTTTAATTTCTACTAAAATATTTAAAGTAATATCTTCTGGGAATTGTTAGATTTCTTCCTTTCCTTTTGAAATCCATAAGCTATTGTCCAATTAATTATTTATCATAAACAAGAAAATCTTCAAGTACTCTTTTAATCATCAATCCTGATAAATACATCTATATATATGCTAATAAGAGACCTGGAATCTTTGAACTACATTCGGTACAGCATAACTTCAAGATAAATTAGAACTTCATTTAAATAATTACTTAATTTATTCAATAATTTTTAATGAAATAATTTTCCTACGATAAATTCTAAGTAAACAGTCAATATTAAATTTGAAAAGAAAAAATTGAATTTCCCGCGCAAATTACAATCGAATTCTATTCTAACCCATCACGAATTGAACAGAGTCCGTAGAAGTCACGTTGGACGGACAGTATATTGAAACTTGGATTATATATTATATATAACCGTCTAAGAATGCTTTCAACATCTAGAGCAATTTTAAGATTTTCCAATAAAGCTTTTAAGCAAAACAACACACTAAGAGATACTGTTCTCCGACCTGGAACAGCAATGTCATTAGATTCTGATCATTTCATCGGTAAGATTATTTAAAGTGTTCGCTAAAGAAACTCAGTAAAATGTTATAATAATATATCTGATCTTTCAATATCCCTTGAACAGGACCATTTAATATTGAAAATCGTAGAAATTTCCGCAAAAGATTACAAAAATGGAGAAATGCAACCCAACCACCCACAAATCCTATCTTCTCCAAAGGAAACAGTATAACAGATGCAGGTAAATACATTTTAATTTACGTAACGTAAAATCAAATAAATTGATATTATCTGCAGGTGATATCTTTAGAACTTTGCCAGAATATAAGCCGAATACTCCCAAGTTGGGCTTTGAATTTATTGAAAACATGGAAGGAGTTAATGATACCGTACGAAAACTATTTAGCTTGGACTTAGCTGATAATGTATGAAATTCAATTAAATATATTCAAATATTATGTCGTATTGATAAAAAAAAAACTCTTTTAAATCAAACAGCATGATCGATTCTCCAAATGGATGCATGACTTTGTATCGCAGATAAGAGAACATCCCGTAGACGTTCAATCATACGAATATATGAGTAAGCTATAGCTATAGAAATGTACAAATTCAATTATTTTCTCTCCTTTCGTTTATTTCAGTTGCTAAATTAACTGTTGAAATAAGAAATCACGCTAAACATTGCCTCAATATAAAGAAAGATAAAAGAAGTAAAACTATCCTTCATAATAGAATAGCGAAAAGGAAAAAGTATCTTAGATTATTAAAAGAAATGGACGAAGAGAAATTTAATTGGATTTTAAATGAACTTAAAATTCAATATATTCCTATTACTCCTGAAAGTTTTATAAAAGTATCTGAACGTGATCAGCAACGTAGATTAATACTTCAAGAAGCTGATAATATTAAAGAGAGCAAATTAAAAGAATTAAGGGAAGCTTTAGCGGAAGAACGGGAAAAGTTCGAAAAGGAAAAAGAAATTGAATTAAAGGATATTGAAAAAAGATTAAACCAACTTGGTATTTCTATGAAAGGTAAAGATGTTCCAACAATTCTAGCTAATTTAGAAGGTATGGAAAAACCACCAACAGTTAAAAAAGTATCGAGAAGGTGGATGGTTCTACAGAAAAAGTTTGAAGTATATGGTGTTGCTGAAAAATATCCAGCTAATTCTCCAGGATATTAAGTTTATGTTTTGCTTATCTTTTTTTTTTATTTGTTTCATTACTTAGATATTTACTAAAATATCTATTAAGTAATAAATTAATTGTAATCTTATTTTAATAAGTAAATAAATAAGATGCCGTATCTTCAAAGAGAATCTATCGGCTTCCAAAATAGATTACATATTTTCAAATAATTTAATTCTCAGTGCTATTCTTTTCAATAAATTAATTATTTTTTGGGTAAGTTTCTGTGTAGAAATATATGCTTGAGGAAAGGCTCTACTATTACATGTAAGTACGAGAGGACAAAATAATGATAAGAGTATCAAAGACCTTGCTTCAATTTTCAACTCGTTCTTTATTTACGCAGCCAGCACTGAAAATGTCAGGGTAACTATTAGACACAATTAAGATTTACCGTCGTTCAATATGACTTTTGTAATCATAGAAGCGGATTTAAAATTTATACAAAGACTGGTGACAAGGGACAGTCATCTACGTTCACTGGCGAACGTAGATCTAAAGATGATGAAGTATTCGAAGCACTTGGCTCGAACGATGAACTATCATCTCATATAGGGTAACAAAAAAGAGATAACTTATTCAATCATTGTAATCTATGAATAATGATTATTTTTATTTTTGTCTGTTTGAGATAGTTATTCAGCCGAATTATGGAAAAATGCTGATTTACCAAATTTAGAAAGGTTGTATAAGGTAAGTTTTATATTATTTAGATTTTCTTTGTTTGTTTAAAATATCATGATAAAAGTTATAAAAAAACATTTCTTAGATTCAGTGTTGCCTACAAGATATTGGATCTAATATAGCGACACCTAAATCATCAGCTAGAGAGGCTCACTTAAGTAAGTTGCATAAATCATCGATAAGTTAAGAGATTTAATTAAAATGCCTTCTACTGATTAGAAAGAACAGAATTTTCTGAAATTCATACAAAAGAATTAGAAGATTGGATAGATGAAATGACAACCATTTTACCTCCATTAAAGAATTTTATCTTGCCAGTATGAATAGCCATTCACTTTTCATATAGTTCTTTTATACATTTAATTTTATTTCTTATAATAGTCTGGAGGACTTTGTAGTTCTCATCTACACATCACTAGAACAATTTGTAGAAGAGCGGAAAGAAGGTTTATTTTATATTTCTACTAAAAGTGATGATTCTTTTGTCTTTTTTTAAATAGATGTATTCCTCTTATGAAAGCTGGAGAGATGGACATGGAACCAGTTAAATTTCTCAATAGATTAAGCGATTTTCTATTTACTGCGGCAAGATTTGCAGCTTTTACTCAAAATTATGAAGAAAAAGTCTATATTAAACCTGTTACAAAGAAATAAAATGCAGGCTGGCAGAAGCAAAAACTTTCTCTAGTTCGAAAATACATTTGTAGTCTAGATACAATTTTATGCATTAATCTCTGGGTCAACAGTTCGAGTATCAACAATTCCTCATTAAAATAATAGTAATCAGATTATGAAATGAGCTTTTCTGTATATAAATGATTAATTACCGGATTATATGAAATCTCATATTATACAAATGCTGCCGCTAAGCTAAGCGGAAGTTGGTGTAAATGTATTTTCGTATTATATTAAAAAAAAAAGAAAAGTCCGAAAGTTATTGGAACGCGCCAGTTTCTTTAAAAATCCTAGATATTACTTGGAATTTCTAAGAAAATAACATTTATTGTGCAAAAGTATTTGAACAAAAATCCGAAAAACACGTTGCTTTTCCCATCAGGTCAAGGCCATAATTAGTAATTCTTTAAAATATTTTCTAAAAAACGATAGTTAAGTGTATCACCTTTTTCAATAACATTAAAACGGATCAGTTTAAAGAAGAAAGCGATGTACTGTCTGCAGTGGCTGATTCCAGTCTTGCTCATACCGAAGCCACTAAATCCAGCCTTTGTATATAATCATGCTGTGTTTATGCTGCTGTATTTAGCGAGTTTCTTCTTGGAACGAAAACCTTGTACAATATGCTCATTGGTCTTCATTATTGCAGTTTTTCTTATATGTTATTCCTGCGTTGGAAACTGTATATTTTGGCCCTGCCCGATTGGTGAAAGTAAAACCTGCTCTGCTTAACCGAGGTTTTAAGAAAAGACATTTTTTCGCCGGTGCCTTTTGATAACGAATTACTGGTACATTGTGATTTCAGCTGTCTTGAATTCTAACATAATTTAACAAATTCGAAGTTTTTTCTATTAAAAAGTTCGCAATACTATTTAAATAATGTTAAACACTGTAAATATTGTTGTTTTTTATTTTAATTTTTAATTTTTATCTCATGGATAAGGAAAAAAAATGCAGAGACTAATGGCACAAGAACAAAAGACTGCAGAAAAAAAAAATTAAACAAGTCAAACTGTTAAATATAGGAATGACTTGTTCGACAATAGACTAAATCATTGGTATAGACACATCTTATCAATATTAGTGTACGCTAAAACACAAAATTAAATGGCAAGATATAAAACCAAAAGACACGAAAACAATTTGAATCTAATAAGAAGAAAATAAAACGTTTCTTCGGAACTCTTTCCTCTCTTCCCTGTTTTTTTTTTCTTATCTGTCTAAATAGAACAAAGTAACGGTTTCTCGATAAACGAAACAACTTTGAAGAGACAAGAATATACGGAAATTATATAATTGCAAAGAGAAAGATAGAGCATTAATACATTTTGTTTTAGTTATTTAACTTTTCTATTACAAGGTATAAAGCTATACCAATCAGTCTTTGTTTTTACTCTATGTACACAGATTCTTTGCTACAAGTTTTATAGGCACCAATTTTCTTTGTTATAAATTTGCACCTATGCTTCTTCCTCTTCTAATCCTCCTGTATAGTAGCAAGGAAGACACCACTCTCTATTGAGATTTTCGTCTTCCGTTGGACTTTCTCGAGCGCAATATAGGCAAATGAACAACGGAAAGCATAAGATCCATCCCGTCCAAAATGCGGCTGTATTTATTTAAGAATAAATATTGATTATTAATTAACTCTTATGGAATTTATTATTGCTAACAAACCGTTTATAATCTTTACTTTTCTCTTCTTTCTCTTTAAATCCTTGAGACTTTTACTTCGTTGAATTTCTTTCTCTTTGTTTTCAATGTTCTGCCTACAACAATTTTCTTTTTTCTGCTCGGGACAAGCATCCTTGTATGACGGTAAATCGTTATATAATTTCTCGCTGGTGGTGATTAACAATGAATTGCCAATTGCTTCCTCATAGGTCGGTGGAGGAGCTGATGGCACTTTCCGACTCATAACTGCAGTTTTTTTTTTTAAATATATCCAATCTAATCAATCAAAGAGAAAAAGGTTACTTAAATTTTGAAAGAATCAAAGGTAAAAATGATATAAGCAGCACATAATAATAATAAACGAATAACATAAACAACCTCCCAGGAAACTAGCGAGAGGCATTAGCTATAGTCAAAATATGGAATTCTATTTAATCCGTCTACAGATCAATCGAACAAGATCCATACTGTATTAAGTATTTTGATATAATCGTTAATATAAGCGCTACGTTTATATTTAATCATTATTTTCTTTATACAAATAGTACTGAAATACTCGCACTCACAACTGTATATCTTCAAATTTAGACACATGTGGAGTATATATTATGTATTATTATAATACAATACATTATTTCAAATATAAAATCAACATTTATATTTTAGAAGAAACAGCAAAATAGTTTAAGAGCAGCTCCATTTTTTCAACAACACTTTCAAGTTTAAATCTTGTATCAGTGTCTAGAAAACAAAGAACCTTTTCGTAAACCATTTCGAAATTCTTTAGTACCTTTGAAAATATAATTAGATAGATCAAGTATTAAAAAACGAGAAAATGTAAACTATCTTAGTGAAATTCTCTCTCTTTTAGTTTTACCTTGCCTAATGATTTTCATTAGTTTTAGACAGTATGAAAAATTTCCTTCTCTCCTGTGGTTCACAAATAATTTACTATACGGCGGTGGTTTATCGTTTAGTCTTAAAAAGTCCTCAAATATAACTTGTTCATAAGATGGTAGATCATTACTTTTATCCATGAATTTTTTTTCTACCTCACAGCTCTACTTGTCTATTTGTAAATTTATCAACTGACGTAATGTAAGACTCAACAGTATCAGTAACCTAATAAAGTGATTAGACAAGAGCTGTTACTAAATAAAAATAATGTCAAGGCTAAATGGTTACATGTACATGGTTTTCATCTTCCGTCGACTAAATCTATCAATGAATATTTTATGTTACGAAACTACGTTTTATATATAAATATATGCTATATATAAAGTATAGCGTTAGCAGTGGGAAAGTACCTTATATTATATATACCATTTTTACCTGCTTCTAGTAGTATCTTTTCAAAAAAAACATAATAACATGACAATGTAATCTTTTGATTATATATTTTCTATTTACTAACATACTTTAGTATTATAAGAAATTCTTATTATGTTATAAATATAAATGTACTGTTACTAGTACTACTTAATCTAAAGCTAAAAATTAAGAATTGCTTCCTTTTGTCTAGCTATGTGCGATAATAATAGTATTATCCTAAGGCCTATTATGATGGTTATCATAACTTTTTTTTGACAATGCAAAGATTACTATTAAAAGTCTACTTAAGCAATTAAAAATTATGAATTAATAACTGATTGATGTAAACATGTGGTAATCTATTATAAAATGAATCATGAATATGTTAATTTACTATGACGTCAAAAAAGCAAACAGTCATATCATAGAGATATAGATAAAATAGGCCGAAAATACGATGTTAATTTATATTCATAACGGAAAATATATAAATACATACTATCAATAAACCGACTAAATACGTCTTACTAGAATTCAAAAGTAAAAAAAATGAATATCAATTATATCTATTGAAATGGCGCGAACCATTTAAATTTAAAAGACAAGTATTATGACTAATGTTTTGTCCGAGAAAAAAGATGAAGTACAATTAAAATTGTTCTTATTAAATCCAGACAGACAGGAGAGTTCGTAAGAAAAGGATTTTCCCAAATTACACAAATAGATTTTAAATTTAGTGAATATATTTTGAATATGACTCTTACGAAATAACATGGTTATTCTTTTACTTTATGAATATTTATCGAATGTTTAAAAAAGTTTAATTGCATAACTTAACGAAAAAATTATGCTAAGAAGAGATAAGGAGGAAGTCTCTTGAAGAATTTTCGTTAGTACATAATACTTATATCATTTAAACAAGCGATAGCTATATACAAATACTACGTAAAGGTCGAAATTTTGTATATATACAGTATATATGGAAATATGTTGCATATATTGATATAAATAATTTCCTTTCTATAATTACATAGCAATTCAACATTTTTAATGAATTGTGCAACAGTTCATCCTCGGGCATGAACATTAACTTTTAAATTAGCATCTTAAAATAGCTGATTGTAGTACTTACATTTTTATTGCAAGTTTATAGAAAAAAATGTCTTTTTATCTGTCACGCTGTCATTTGTTTCTGTATCTTTCTTCTTTCTTTCCTGTTTTCTTTTCTTTATTTCTCTCTTTATTTACTTTTATTTCTTTTCAGATTGCATATTAAATAGGATAGCTGAGGCTTGAAAAAGCTAGTTGATCTGTTGCTGGCTGACTTTAGACTAACATAACTGACGCGCGCCCGCTCAATATATACATTTATCTTATTCTGCATATATTAGAATATATGTCAGGTTCGCTTTAAATAATCATGTTATCTTGCACACTACATATTGTTATGACAGAACAATGAAATTAATAAGAAAATAAGATACTAATCTATAAAGAAGAAGTATAATAATAAGGCTATTATCAACATGCAATTTTTGATTATATTATATTATATTATAATTATTCAATTTTTATTATTTTTAACACATAAAAAATAGGCTAAATAATAGAAAAAAAAGGCGTATACCTACCTACCTGCCTACTCTTAAAAAGAACTTTTTTATCGATACTATTCAATAAGAAACACTTAATCATTTATACGTTCATTACGTGCCTTATCAGTATAGAATTATGTTGTGCGGGTAAACGTTCCGTAATGAGTATAACCTCTCTCCCCCCTCCCCTCCCCCTCATATATTCGAAAGTATTCTTTTATATATACTAATGTATTGTATTGTGTCGAATTATTTATCTTTCTTCCTCATTATTATTACTAATATTAAAATAAACCTAATAATTCATTTAGAAAGTATACTAGTATACTAAGCAAAATACTTAGAAGAAATATTTATATAAAATATCTATTTATATAATTGCTAAATATCAGAAAAGGTAAATTATATAATCAGCACTTACCATCAAATATATTCACTCCTACTGCATTTTTTACAACACCTGATGCAGGTTATTACAGTTCAAATACAGGTTAGAATAGTTGATGTATATATACATATATATATATACATGAACATATATGCTTATACATATATATATATATATATATATTAAAATTTATATATACATATATATATATATATATATATGTATATATATATGATATCTTTTGAGTTGTCGTTCAGCCTTTTATCATCCGTACACGTGTTCTGCAATAAAGCTATTAATTAATCAACCAATTGTATAAATATTGGTCAGATAATATTTGCTATATTTTGTTTTTTACGTAAATTCGTAGTACACCAAAAGTATTATGGCTTGCATATGAACGAAAAATCAATATCTGCTAACGCTTTATTCTCCTTCTACAGTTAAACCAAAAGCGTCTATTGGTAGGCAAACGTCCCTAGTCTCTATTAATTCTAATTATATAATCTATATCAGCGATCTAATGGGAAATTGCTATCTTTAATTGCTCTTCGTAATCAAACCTCTTTTCTACCAGTCTTTCCAACTAATTGTAAACAACTATCTTTATCAATATATTCATAAGCTTTTGTATACAAACAAACGGCAGCGTCTCCATTTTGGTATTTTAGCCTTATCTTTTTTAAGGGTCTTTCGGGAATAATGATTAAGAATACATTATTAAGAATAGGAAACATTAGTGTATTTCACAATACCAAAATACTCGTTTAGTCAAAGATAAAATTATTTTTACATACTAACCGTCCGCTGTAATGCCTAAGAGTAGACTGCAAAAAAAAAACTGCTATAGGCCTGGAATAAATTATCTCCAACTGCAGAATCGATGTTGGCCTATAATACTGGCCTACTGCACTTAGTTTGCACGGCAAATGTGTGTATAATTTACAGACGTTCCTATTTAAGGCCAGAAAATTATTATCCAATCAATTTCATAATTAATTTTTCACTAAGTTTTAAGATTAAAACAATATTAATTATTATTGAAACGATGTTAATTATGATAGTATTATGTTGTATATAATATATACTGTACATATACTGGATATATACACACATATATATATAAATATATATATATATTAGTATATACTGTATATACTTTATTATAAATTCTCTTTATTTACTCTTTCTTTCTTTCTTTCTCTCATTCTTCATAAAACTTATCAATAAATATATAAATCAGTTGTTTTTCAATTTTTATCAAAGATTTAAGTGTCGGTATAAATACACGCTATCCTTGTATATATACATTGTATTTATTTATGCAAATGATTCCAGTTTGGAATCATTCCGTCCTAATGACTAAATTTAGATAGTTTTATAGATCTTTGACAGTAATTTGTAAAAATATTAGGAAATTGATTGGAATAATACGCCATCTGTTGCTATTTTTTAAAATAAATAATTCGAGATTGAAAGTTACCATTGGAAACAGTCTGAAGGTAAAGAGGAAAACATCAATAAAAATCCCTAGAAACAAAAATACCATTAAGGTAAATCATTAGTTTATACTTATACAAATACCATAAATTCTTTCCTACTAAAGATGCTAACTTTCGTTTTAACGCTAATTCGTGTTTAAAAAGTATGAATAGACGATATGTTGCTATATTTCAATAGTTAATCAATAAAATTTTATTAGTAAATATGAAAAATATAATAAAATTCTCATTTCTTCCAATAAACACATTTTCTATGAGTGAGATTTCCTTCAAGTACATATTAATCAAATATAATAATCGGATTAGTAGGCCTAATTCAGGTGTATAATTAATAACTTTTTCCATCTACATTTGTAATTTCTTTAGCTGTTGAATTGCAAATTAAGCAACTACCTAAATCCTATTAGTCTGTTATAGAAATCTTTTCATATCAATAATCGTAAGTACCTTATCCATAGGTAAAATTTTTAATTAAGAAAAAGAGACGAAGAAGATAAGGTTGATTGATTAATCTTAAAAGTTTAAGTTTATTTTAAATATAAATATTCAAATATTAATGAATAAAGAAGAGAAATTAATTTATTAAAATATATTTTATCATCATTTTATGATAATGTTGTTGTTATTTTCTATCAAATAGAATACTTCTTGTTTCAGTTTTAAACATCTATTTTTATATTTTAATGTTTATCTTATATAAACAATAAATTATTGTATAAAAATATTTTATATAAAATTTTAACCTTTCATTTTATACGCTTTTCTGTTGATAAAACCTTTAAAAGCTGAGAATATTATTTTCATTGCCCCAATGTAGATTGTATAGGGCACGTAAGTGGTGTACCTTAAACATTTTACAGTATAAGAGTTTTTAGAGATGGACACTAGGCATTCTGTGTGGATTATGGTGCCACCTATTGAATATTTAATTAATTATTGAATATAACTTTTTACATTGTTGCATATTGTTGATACTATCGATGCTGTTGATGCTTGTTTGTTTGTTTTTTTTCATAAAGTCTCTCTTTATCAAAGTTGTTTACGTACAAAATGAGACTGCAAGAAGTATTATTACAGTATACTATAATTGGGTACTATAGGTGCCTCCATCCGTCTTTATTGAGCTTCTCAGTGTATACCTGCCCTTAGGGATAAATGTAGAAAGTTAATGTATTATGATAATAAACAAATGGAGAATTTTTTGTTTAGATTTGTAGATCGAGTAAAAATACTACTCAGCTAATTTCGGAAAGAATCTTATATGCTTTTCGCTACAGACTTTTTCAATTAGCTAGAATCTACAAAAATATTACTCTTATAAACTTAATGGTTCGTCTAAGAAATACAAGTGAATCTAATGTCTACTTGGATTACAAAGAATATCATATACTCTACCCATTTCTATTTTTAATCATAGCGAACTAGCATATTTTCCAGGTGCTCCGCATGCAAGGGCCATTACATTTTCCCATTTTTCTGCTTTTGAGATTTTTTGTCTTTCTAGATAAAAAAAAGTAATTCCATCCCAATATGAAATTCACTTGTTAATTAACTAATATGCTAATTAGTCATCAAAGTTTTATCATTTTTGTATTTAGAATTAAATTACTACAAAATTTATATATATATAAATATATTTATATATAAATGCTTGTAACTAGTGATGTACATATTAATAATTTTTCTGTACGAAGTATTTTTTGCAACATTAGCTAACCCTGATATAAACTAGATAACAACAAAAAGTATGTAAATCTAGGTTGATAAACGGCAGAGTTTTGTCACTTAATATTTTAAAAAAATATAAATTTTTTGTTATGAAAAAATTGTTTAATAAAATGAAAAAAATATGTATTTTTTTTTACACCGTAATAAAATAACTGAAAAAAAAAACAGTAGAAATTTTATAATACGGGTTAACAAATTTTTTTCTTATTGAAAGGGTAAATAAAGTATTCTTTCTTAATGGTATTGCTATCGGTGTATTGTCCTTCTTCGAAGAATAGAGAATGGGTATTGTAGAATATGGGATAATAGTATGGAGAGAAAAGGGTAGATATATAAATTTATATATATATATATATATATATATATATATAAATATAATAAGCTTTCAAAAATATGTTATGTATATGCCATAACTGACCAAGCAGAATACCTTGCGAATAAATCTAAACATTAGAAAAAAAATCATTTTTTTTGTTTGTTTATCAGGCAGAGTGAAAAAAAAACTCCCTACGTATTATGAGCGTTCAAAACAATTACGTTTTTCTTCTTTTTCTTTAACCGCTTTTTTTTTCTCACAGTATAAAAAAATGCTATTCTTCTACGACTGTAAAGAGCTTACTCTTGAATTACGTAAGCGTTCTATTCTTCTACTCATATTAGACTTTTCTCTTTCACTTTCTTCCAATTTTGATTGGATTTCTCTTAATTCTCTTTGGAGTTTTCGACGATCTTGCTTTAATTCTTCTTCATTTTTTTCAGCATCTTCGGCGGCTGTTTTATATCTTTTGACTTGTGTTTCCATACGACTTAGCTGTATTATTCAAAAGAACAGAGAAAGCATACATTAATAAACGCTTTTGATTTATACACTATATATTACTTTATCCTAAGAAAAAAAAACTTTTTTATCGTCTAAATACAAATATTAGCCAGACTAAAGATCAACTAAAATAAGCCTAGCGTTTATATTCAATAAAGAGAATATGAACGAAAAAAGTTCAAGTGCAGCCCAGTAAAATACTAAGTTATTCTCTATTTTCTTTTTTTCGCAATAATAAAAAAAGGCAAAGATAAATAAGGAAACGTAATAGAAGCTTTTAAAGATATTGCAATAAAAACTCACATTTCCTTGTAAAGTCGCAATCTCCTGTTCGCTTTTCTTTATTTTGAATCGATATTCAGTTAGTTGTCTTTGAGACTCTTCTAAAAAAGAACAATAAACAAAAAGATGAATTAATACCAAATGATATAGAACATTAAATTGATTTTAGTTTGACTGAAGCTATAGAAATGACAATAGTGAATTTAATAAATCACACCATGGTATAGATCTTTTTATTATATGATTCATAGTTTTTATTCGTCATGCTTTCCGTCCTTCGTCGTCGTTTTTAAAAACCTATTATTCATCTCTTCTACATGTGCAGCGTGCTTTTATTGTTCAACTAACAAAGCGCAATGGAAAAAAAGGTTTTTCTTGAAAACTTACGTTGTAACAATATATCGCTATCAGGACCATTTGAATAGTTCGATTGAGTTGGCACATTATATTTTTCGTTCATTCTTTGTTTATCTTTTTCCTCTTCCAATTGTTGTTGCAAGTCTTTTATCTGTAAGAGAAAATGTATTAATTTACAAGTATAATGTGTATATATATATGCATATACTGTATATCTTAATTTCTGTATTAAAGAATTATTGTACATTTTGATAGTTTGAATACAACAATAACTATAAAAGGATAAGTATTTAATGGCTTAGCTAATCCAATTCTGTTTGTAGCAGAAAAATTAAATAGTTAGCGAATAAATACCTCATTTTTCAATGACGTTCTTTCTTCAGCTAAACTCTTTATTTTATCATCTAATGAGCCATTCCCCAAAGCAAGTATATTCGCAGCTTCAGCACTGATTAAAGTACCACCGTTATCGCGGCTAGAATTTAATTCTTCCCCATTTTGAATAAGTACTAAATTATTATCTTCAATTAATTTATCCCTTTTTTCAATTTCTTTCATAAGCCTTGTAGTTTGTTCTTCCAAGTCTTTCTTTTCTCTTTTGGTTTTCTTTGTTTCAGTTTCAAGATTCTTACAAATCCGATCTATTTGTATATTTCTTTCCCTTAATTGAATTAACTCGTCACTATCAAAGTCTAGCTGATATCTTAAATAGACTCTCTCTTTTTCCAATTCATCGATACGTAATTCACTTTTCTTAACCTTCTCCTCCAATTCTTTTAACTGGAAACAATAAAGGAATAAATGTAAAATATATCATGCATAGATTTGAGGATGCTCAATGTTTTTTTTTATTAATGAATCAACATTCCTACGACAAAAAATAATGAACTAGTTAAAGCTATGACTAAGATAAAAGTATGTATTTACAAAATCCATATAGGTTAACAAAACGAAGCAAATGGATTTCTTAGCACTATTTCAATAGCTCGTTGAATGTCTTTAATACATTTAACACCTTTGATTACGTAAGTATTACATGAGCTAAATTTGAAATTACTTTCTTTGTGTAAATTAAAACGTTGTGAAGAATTTCTTTTAGCAGACGAAAGTGACAGGAAATAATTTTAAAACTCTAAAAAAATCTCGTTCCACTAGGTCATGGTGTGTTCTATTTTTGTGGTATAAATATATACTTTACACCGTGTATATAACTATTTTGATATGTTTATATTCGAATTGAAAATCAGAAAAGGGCATACTTGTTGAGATTGATCTCTACAATCGTTATCGGACTGAGAATTACTACTTTTGTATCCATAATTTGGTCCATCTAAATCAGATTTCTGGATTCTTTCTCTCATTTTGTCAGCACGCTGCCTTTCCCTAGCAGCTAATCTAGCTGCCTTCCGCTCCTCAGCCTATAAAAAAAAGCATTGAATTTTAATCTATTCAATTTTATCAAGTTATCTCAACTATTTACAGACAATAAAAACAATTGACATTCTTCTAAAGTATTTTGATCAGATTTCTCTTACCTCTCTATTAATTTGATCCAGCGCCTGATCGTCAGAATAAGACATATTTTTTCTACTACGTAATTCCAATTGTTAATATGCAGTTATGCAATCATTTCAAACTAAAACGCCAATTATTAACACCGTGCAGTGACTGATATAGCCAGCTGCCGTTGGAAAGAATGCAATGTAATCAACAATTGGTCGATATAATTTACTGAGTAGAATATTTCAATATTCTCTGATGACTCCAATTTTACTTGAGCTTCTTTAATTGGAAATTAGCTATGTAATAATCAAGCAATAAATCATTTATTACAAAAGAGGAAGTGCATCTAGAAATCAGCCATTTCTTATGATGTAAAACATTATGCAGGTATATATACCAGTTTTCAGCACATGATAATACGGGTATAGCTAAATGTCACAAGTATTACTTTATATTGATATGTTTAAAAGTTAACATAAGATAAATCACCAAAAAGTATAGGCAACTTGTATAATTTATGTATATAGGACAGTATAATAATCAATATCAATAAGAAAAAAGTTATTTTCATTTTTATATTAAAATGTAGACGAAAAAAAATTAACCAAGTCGAAATCGATTATTTTTTGGTTCTTTTTATATCTATATATCTCTACCAGTCTATTTTTAAATATATAAAAATTTTTCTACAGTATTTTGTTACTATAAAGAGAATGTTTTTCTAAAATGTTCAATTATACCCTAATTGTTTTGGACGAAAGGGAACTCATATTAGTCAATCATTTATATACTATATATACATTATGTAATATCCTTTATATTTGGTATAAAAACTTTCTTATCATCTTCAAGCATTTCAGCCAATAAGAAAACCGTAAATGTATGAAATAGTTCATTCTTTTTGAGGAAATTACACAAATATTTTTGCATTGAAAGCAGACTATTTTTCTAACATGTCAGTCTAAAATAGGATTACCATTATATCTTTCTATTTGCTATGCTTTGTTAGCTAAGATAATCAATCATTAAGTAAGCAAATAAGTAATTTTGGAGTACATTTAAAGTATAGTTAATGTAATTCGAAAAGAGAGAATAAATTCTCTTTGAAAGGAATAGAAAAAATGTTCTGAAAGTATAATCATTGAAAGTGCTTATAGTAAATAAGCTAATGATAGCGATTACATTTGTCTAAACTAGTGCAAGTTATACCGTTTCTTCTTATGTAAATGATAAAGTGTATGTCTAGGAAATTCAAGTCACAGATCAACAAACTTTAAAAGCTTTTCTTCTCGAAGAGCTATAACAGCAGGTGACACATCAATATTACAATGATGTAATAGATAGTTAAAATCTTGTAAACTTTGACATCGATAAATTAACGTTGTTTAGAAAAGGTAAAGTTACGCTAAAAACTATTCAATATAGATGACCTAAATGCGAGATACTTGCTTTTCTCTTGCAATATGAGAAGAAAATTTGCTTTTATGTATCATACAATTTCTATTAATTAATTCTTTTATATATTATAAATTATGAAGAAGAATCAATAAAAGGGTATATACAGCTTTATGAATGAATTAATGTTACAAAAAAGTAGAGGTAGTCACGAAAAAAAAACAAAACATCTATTTATCTATAAAATAGGTTAAAAGAATAAAAATAAGAGAAAAAAGATTAATAAATAACCTAAATCTTTTTTATAAATTGTATAAAACATTGGTAGCTTGAACATATTGTGGAAAAACATAAATCAAAGGCATAGTATTTGGGCAGTTATTTTGAAAGTTGCATATACTATATAAATTTATATACAGTATATACAGTATAGTACATTAAATATTCAAAAAGTTTAAAATGAACATTAAAGCTATGTATTTCATATTTTCTAATTATTTTATTTTTTTATCTGCAGGCAAGGGTCTCTTTGAAAAACAGTACATTGATATATATATATATATATTGTATATATTGTATATATAAGCATATATTATTTCGTTCATTAATTTTGTCATGGCTATTTGCTAAAAAATACAAGTGAATTAGATATTAGTATTCTTAACGAGTGTATATAATAAAACAGCTTTTAAGTCTTGGCCATTCAAAAAAATAGTATTCCTTATCGTAGATGACTACTGCATATATTGCAAATGAATACAACTCTTCAAGCAAGGTAGACGATGGCAAAATATTTTGCTATCATTATCACCAGTTCGTTCTTACTTATATATGATTTTGTTTGTTAATATTTCTTATCTAAAATTTTCTTCTGCTCTCAAATTAACTGTGAATAACATTGAAAAAAGAAAGAAAAGGAAAGAAAAGAATGAAAATTCTTGTTCATATTATTAACAATTCCGCTTTTGTTTTTGAGTCAGGTGGTTTAGGTTAAATCTTTTAACAAATAAAAAGGTATAAAAAGATGTGTATATGGAATAATAAAAGTTGTTCCTTTATTATACCCACAAACCTTGAGGATGTGGGGTTGATATTTGAACGCCAAAGGGTGAAAGTTCTGCTTTCTCTAAGGTTTGATTAGGTAGTGGATTAATTATAACTTGCGTGTCTTCGCTTTCTTCAAAAACTATATAATTCATTTCTATAACCTCTTTGCCTAAATTAGAATAATATTCTTTCTTCTTTTGTAAAAGTTGAGTTAATTTTTGAATTTCATTTTCGATGGCAATTTGTTCACTCTCAAATGTTCCTCCTTTCTCCTTCGCTTTAATTAAGTCCTTTTGAACCCTATTCAACTCTTCAACAAGTTGTTCAGAATCGGTTCGTTCTTTATCGATTAATTTTTCAATATTGCTTATATTTTCTAATTTACTCGATAAATTTTTGTGTAATTGAGTTAATTTTGACTCATAATTGATTAAATCCTCTGAACACTGATTTAACCTGATTTTATCACTTTTCTTCTGAGACTCAAGCATTTGAATTTCATTATCAAGTTGAACAAGCATTTCTTCGGATACAGACGGCAATATTTTCTGATTATCCGGCGTTTTATGATTTGGCAGTGATCTTTCCCTGTGTCTAATCTCTGTAAGAGAAAAAGGATAGGATTGCAAAAATTATAAGCCTTAATAAATATAATAAAATATTTTACAGTAAATGATATGTGTATAAATAACTTATACTAGAATATAGTACTTGAAATTATCGAAGGCTAATTTAGTGATAAGACTAAAATCGTTTGATAAATAGCTAATCATCAAATATATTCACAAATTCCTTATCTTTCTCACATAGGATTTTATCAACGCTAAGTAAACTCGCTAATTAAATTAAAACAATAGCTTGTTACTTAGGCGAAATAAGAGTATTAAATATATAGGGAAAAATAGCTCGGTTTCCTTTCAATCCATTTCCTTTTCATAGATAACGGATAATAATAAACATAAAAGATTTTGTCATTTTTTTCGACCATAGTACAAATGATATAGCAGTAACAATAGAATATCAGACAGGCGGTTTTTTTTGTCCCACACTATTTATACCTGAATGTTGTACCGTTAAGTATTCACTACGCTGTATTTATTTTCAATTCCATAAAAAAATAACTCTTCTAGGATTTCAAACGTGAATAAAATTATATACAGTATAGTAAATTCTCCCTATTTATTTCCAATTCATTTTTAACATTCCTAAAAAATTTCTCTCTTTTTTTTATATGAAAAAAGAATTTTTTTGTGTTGATTTTTCTTTTGTAAAATAAAATGAATAAAAAAAATTCTTTCTATACTAACCACTTTCTTTTTTTTTGAGCTCTACTTCTTGTTTTTCTAGTTTCTCACGTTGTCTGTTGATGAAATCAAGCATTTGCGTTGCCCTATCATGATTACCACTATCTATTGATGCGGATTTCTCTTTTTGGTTTAATTGTAAAAAAGGCTTTTTATCATTTTTTCCAGAGGCTCTGTGTTTTCCCGTAAATGTATTAGATTTTCTTAAGGAAGAGGTCTTCATCGGTGGCATTAGTACTCTTCCAGATTCAATATTTTGTAAAAAATAGACGACGCTATTTGAGTGATCTCCGTGTTGAGAGAGGAGCTCTATTGGTTTTTCGTTTGCTGCTAATCGATGCTCGGAACCTCGAAATTTCTTAATTAGAGCATATCTACCAGGTTGACCCATTGAGTGCGCTAATGCTACTACAATTTCCTGGCATGTTGTCGATTCTGTAACGCCGCAAACTACTTTTGGTACACCATCCACGTATACTTTGAGCTCCATTTTAGCTCTTAAGGAAATTTAAAAACCTGAAAATTAATCATAAATAATAGATCCTTGTTGATAGTTGAAAGCTTCAACTCACACTTTACATATCCGAAACTTAACTCAGAATGACACTTAAAAACAGTGAATAATAACAACAATAAAATCAGCAGATTCTCCTACACAAAACAAACATTATCGAATAAACTGGTATAGTTTTTTTCGTACAAAAACTTTATTCATATTACAATGTTAATTTTAATAAATTGATATTAATATTTTAATAATTTTTTATTACCAAGGGTCTATTATTATTTTGTCAAGTTGAATTTCCATAAAGACGAATGTTTTGCGGCATTCGTAACTATGGAATTTATATCTTTCGTAAAAAGTTTTCTTTTTTTTTTTAAAAATGAATACGCACTGTAACGTGATTAATTGATTTACCTTCAAAGCAACGTACTTCACTTTTATAACTTTAAGTGGTGACACTAAAATATATATGAATGAAGCATTGATTTAACTACTGTTTAGCTTGTTTTCTGATATTCCCTATTATCGTCCATTTTCGAAATGTCTGAAAATTACGACGAAAAACCAAATAACGCTATGTCAACGGTTGGATACAATTTATCTGCATTATATACCGAAGTACAAAATTCTATTCCTAGTGTAGACTTTAATAGCGAAGTAAGTTCTAAACAGTCTATTCTAAACTAAGCGTTTCAGAACATTCTTTTACTTCTGACAGTCTGATGAAGAATCTTCAGAAATTTATCAAAGAACAATTACTAGTGATATAGCATTGGAATGTGATATAAATATAAATGATGCTTTGCAAACTGAAAACTTAAAGAATAATGTTACAAGTGATATTATTGAAGAATCAAAAAGTGTTGACACATCATTAAAAGATTCTCCACCGGACCTGGACGCAAATTCTCTATCAAAAGAGGTTGTAATGCCAAATAATATCGACACAATAATATATAATGAAGAAAAGGCTCCAAATAATTCAAATGTAAAAATTTCTGCTAAAGAAGTTGTTTCTAAAATATTTACAAATGAATTTGGTACACTTAATGTTTTTGATAACTTGAAAGATTTAGGTTAAATTATATTTTATTTGTTTATTAAATTAAAGCCTATATTTTCCTTTTTTATTTCTTCAGATAATCTAGCAGATCCTGTGATTCCTGATGAACAATTGGAAACTTCAATTTATCCAGTTTCTAATAAAGAAGTTTTCGGTAAATATTTTTAAGTATTTTTTTTGATTCTCTATTTCCGCTGCTCATATTCATTGCAGATGGCGATAGTAAAACTATACTTCAAAAGCTTGCGGAAATGAGTGTTATTCAAAGCGGGACAGAGTTGTCAGACATTGACGCATTAACGGGAGCACTACGTACGTCTCCTAAAGCTCATGTAAAAATTGGCTCAAATCAAAGTGCAAACAGGGGAACAAGTACACGAGACATGCAAAATTTACCAACGGGTAAGTAACTATACTTGGAGATATATTTATAATATTAATTAATTAATTAATACATTTTTCTATCTCTTCTTAATTACTTTCAGGAGTTCTTAATAAAAATTTGCAAAATAAGGATTATCCCAAAGAGAGAGCAACGAGAAAAATTGATTTAAGAAATAGCGTGAAACATTGTAATATAAACGAAAGAAATGATAGTAATTTTTCTAAAATGAAGATTTTTAGCCGAGACAATGAGTAGTATTATAGTTTTTTAATACTCTATCGTTTTTTTTACAATATTTCTTTAATAATATAGTTCTGGTAATTCGTCGGATTCGAGTGACAATGAAGAAAGTCCTCAGACCTGGGCTGAATTAAGGAAAATGTACAAAGAAAAAACAATGATAAAATCCACATCAACAACGTAAGCAATTTAATAGAAAATAAATAACATATTTTCTATATTTTTTTTTATACTCTGATTTTTTTTAGCACTGAAACGCCTATAAAAGAGCCTGTGAAAACTCCTTCTGCTCCCAAGGAAATCCCTGTCACTCTTAAAGATATAACAAATAAGAAAACGAAAAAAGTTGAAGAAAGTTCAATAAAAATTGTTAATGAACCGAAATCGGAGAAATCGTCTACTAGCGAAAAAGAGATAGAAAAGAAACTCAAATTATCTAGGTTGGCATTAATCATTTATTTTAATTAAAAAATTTTTTCTATAAAACTTTATAAAATACAGAAAAAATCTGGAAGAAGAAGAGAAACGCAAGCAACTTAGAAGGTTGTTGAATGAAGGTTTAGAAAAAATGAGACCAAAGGTTTCACTAAAAGGAAATCATCCTTCTGCCGAAAATTCTCCTTTATTATTTAATTTGGTAATATTTTTTTTATGAAAAGAAAGTATTTTTTTTGTTTATTAAAAAAAACCTTTTTCAATAGACTTCTAATAAAAATTTGGACGATTATGACTTGAAAACATTGCCACCTGATGACGTCATTGCAAAGAAAGAAATTGCCTTACTTCAATTAAAACTCTTAGCGCCGGGTGAAATCTTGATGAAGAAGGGAAACTCTTATAGTAATAGCATATTGTTTTTTTTTTTGTACAAATAAGAAACTCTAATTTTACCTCTATTTTTTGTTTTGCAGCTCGTATTCCGGCAGGTTTTGAAATATTGTTAATTTGGCTACTACAGCTAGTACCCGAAGATTTTAAGACTCTAATTAACGGACCAAAAAACAATGAGTTATGTCCTCCGTTTCACGTAATTGGAGTACAACAAATGCTCGTAGACGATGAGTTGAACTTGAATATCGCTGTTGTTCCCAATACTCTGTTTGAAAGTAAGGATGTTATGAATCGTATTGGAAAGGTAAAGTATTTCAGAAATTTTATATTTAGTGTTTATAATAAGAAAATACGTTTTTAGAAAAGAAAAGGAGATTCGAAAGGTGCTAGCCAATTTCAACTTATGCTGCAAAAATTTTTATCTTGTAAAAATTTATCAAACGTTTGTCCATGGATAGAAACGTTTTATTTCGGCAATGGTATATATTTCAAATTGTTTATTATTATTACAATTAACATTTGTTTCCTCACAGGTTCCTCGCATACAGTCGAATTTACTCAGAAACCTCTAGCTACGTACATAAAGGTTGTTAATGATAAAGAAATAACAAGAAGATTTTTTGATTTGGAACCTTCTTTTTTCACTCCTACATACGAAACAAGCGATAATTCTTTTCTCTATCATAGAACGATTGGAGTTAATTTAGATAATAAAACAATGGAAAATACCATTGAAAATACTTTATGTATCATTCCCAGGAAAACTTTTAGCAAGTTAAATGTTTGTTTTGGAATTTTATTTCAAATTCTTAAGGAAGGACTGGATCTAGTTGGAGTTAGATTGATGTATTACTCGAAAAAAGACCCTGATTGTGTTAAATTTCACGAGAAATCGTTAAAAAATCCTGTTAAAGATGATGAATCCTTTGATTGTGCATTAGTTTTATGCATTAGAGGCCACAATGCCATAAAGGTTTGGTTTAATGCTGTCGGTCCCATGGACCCTCTACTTGCCAGGCAGACTGATCCTAATTCTCTTTCTGCTTTATACGGTGGATCTTCTCGCAATGACATTTTAGTGCATTGCGCGAAAACTCCGGAAATAATTCATAGTAAAATATGCAAATGGTTCGGTCCTCCTGTTAAAAAATTAACGTCAAAATGTGATGTTCAAAAGATTATAAACTCTTATAAAAACGATGGTGATGTAAGTATACTTGCGCAAGTTTTCATTTTATAATAAAATAAGGGAATTCTCTTTTGCAGATTGGATTTATGACTAAGGCAAATTTCCTATTGTCATGTACGTGCAGTGATGTTGTTCTGATGATATCTCCTTTGGTTTTTACTCGTTGTCTCGGATACTTATTATCTTCTATTCAAGAGAAAGGCTTCCGATTGAAAGCCATTGAAAGGAAATATTTAACTCCCAAACAAGCATCAATTCTTGGTATTTAATAAAAAATAAAAGTAGGAATTAAAGTAATTTACTAATATATCTAATTAGGATTTAACGACGAGAGCTTGGAAACGTTTGGGATACAACACTCTGAAAATGTTGAAGCCAATGCACGACACCGACCAATAACTTTTATAATTTTGAATAAAGAAAATGCTCAACGCCATTTGGAAAATATTATCTTACACTGTTACGGTCAATTACTCGAAGCCAATATTTGGCGTAAGTTAACTTTAAATATTTCTTAGCATTATGATAATTCTTGAATTACTTGCAGAAGATATTCAATATTATACAAGATATACTCTCATACCAAATATTCTTATCCGTGGAATAGCGATCTCGAACACCACTCAACTTTCAGTCGTAAACGATGTATTCAAACCTTTAAAAGGACCAATTTTATATCCTCCATCATTTATGTCTCCGAAAATATGTAGTAATCCTGAAATGGAACAAATAGCTTGTGTTCATTTTATCGGCGACAGAATGATCCAAGAAACAGGATGTATTCTTGGTAGATATATATGTAAAAATAGCAATTACTATTATCTGACTGTTTTTTTCTTTTACAGCAAGATTACAACAATTCAATCAATCATCTTCATCTCTATTCCATAATCAAGATGCATTTGACGGTAAATATCAAACTATATTTCTAATCAATTCTAATACTATTTTTATCCATTTAGGATTTGAACTTCTCGGAATACGCCTGATACCAAAGCTTGATATATTTGAATCTAGAAACTTGACACCTTATTCACCTGGTGATTGGCATTACAAAATTAGTATTGACACACTTTGTGACAGTATGTAACATTTTTAAAATATTTTAGTTTAACTATTTACAACTCCTGTAACACTATTAAAAATTTAATAGAGCCAGCTCTTGTAATGCTTGTAAGAGGAATAAATGCGTTCAAACGACTATTCAGCATTGTTGGCACACCTAAAATAAGAAAATGTAATGAAGCATTCAATCCGAATGATCTCGATAAAATTGTTTCCCCAAGACCCGAACTGGCTTACACCTATGCCAACTTATTCTTTTCAAGTGACGACCTTTTTGAAGATAATCATTCTCGTCCACTCATATCGTATATACCTGCGGCAATGTATAGATTGCCAGTGAACAAATCAGCTCAGTAAGAGGAGAAAATTCATAAACCTGTTTCCCAAAATCATACTTTGACATTTTTTTACAGAGTCGAAGGCAGTAAATATTTTTTCAAAGAAGATATCTTTAAGATACTACAAAGTGAACCAAGGCGACTTTTTACTATTTTAGTGGCAAAACCAGAAATTATTCAACGAAATATGCTTGGAAAACTTGTGAAAAAAATTTTACATGAACGTTTTGCTATTGTTAACTGTCGAATGAGAATGCTAACGGAAGATGAGATACTGCTAATTGCATGGGCTATTGTTCATAATAAAAGAGAGGAGCTCTTAGAGAAGAGTCATCTTGAAAAAATTCGAGATCGACTTATAAATTTCCCATGCGTTGTATTCTGTTTAGAAAGAGAAAATGCTGTTAAAAAGCTTTTGGATGTTGTTGGACCTTATAATCCTGTAACAGCTAGAAAGCAGAATCAGAATTTATGGCGGTCAGTATTTGGCACTGATAATGTTTGTAATGGATTATATTGTAAGTAACAGCAAAGGAAAAGTAATATTATCTAATAGAGTATCTTATTTTTGTCATATTTTAAAAGGCTCAGAAGATTACCAATTAGCTAAGTATGAAGTGAAGCATTTTTTTCGTCAAGGATTATGTGAAGATAGCACATATGACTCTGATCTACTTGAAGTAATTTCATTTCGCTATTCTAAACAAAATATTAGTATTATCAATAATATTTTCATTTACAATAGATACCGATACCATGTGTTGATGAAGACGTAGGAATTAAAGCCTCAACTAACCGTACAATTACTTATACTTGCGAAGGTTTGTAATAAATTGTTAATTATTTATTAATAATAAATTAATTAAATTTAATTTTAAAAATTTAAATTCTACAGCTAAAATGAAGGAAAAGAAACAAATGAGTCTTTTACAAACAAATTGTGTACTATTTCTACCGCATATTGTTTCAAGAGCTTTTGAAAGTGAAAGGTATATGCTGATGAAAATTTCTTTAATATTTAAAACTTTTCTCTAAATTCCTCTTTTACTTAATAGACCTGCTTGTGGAGAGATAATTGAGTATATGGAACGCTCTTTTAAAATCGTTGGAATGAAAGAAATTAGATTTACTACTAATCAGGCTGAAGAATACTTAAAGATGAGTAATATTGGTAATTTTGACAAAGTAAATTTTAATTTGCAATATCGTTGGACCATAATTAATTTAAGTATATTCTATCATCATAGGTCTCTGAATTGACTGAAGGACCTTGTTTAGTTATTGCCCTCGAAAGAGATAATGCAATACTAACATTCGAGGCGGCATTAGGAGGGTATGTTATAATTTTACGTATTTTTGTCTTTTTAAAGAATATTTGCAAAATGAAATTAATTGTAATCTTCTTTCTCTTTACATCAGGCCATACCAGAAATCTTCCATCTATTCAAAATATCATAAATACATGATGTGGCCTAAAGCGTCTAAAGAGGTACGTTCATTTGCTTTTTATAGTTATAAAAAAATTATTTTTCTGATCAACTTTCTTATTCACGGTTTTTACATTCAGGCTTCGAAACACTTGAAATTCTTTTTCTCCGAATTAACAAATAATCCCGATGCCAACATATCAACTAATACGGAGCGTTTACTTTAAGAATTTTTAGTTCTTAATATCATTCCGAAACGTTATATATTTTGGTTTTGTTTTTTTAAAGAGACAATTTGATGTGTAAGAACATTATGGGTGCTGTTCGTTGTTGTTTTCAGTATTAATTTACGGAACAAATTTTTTTACCTAAAGATCAATGCACTAATTGTTTAAATTTAGATTAAATTTGTGTTGATAAGTGAATTTCGAATACTGTGTATACATTCAATACTTCTATTTATATTTAAAAAAATAAATAGGTTGCTTGTTCAAAATATATAATTTAACTTATTATTATAAACATATAATTAACCTGTGTTTCTTATTACTTTTATAATTTACTTTACCTGTTTCTCTTGAAAGGAATACAAAAAATTTTTCAAAAAGCCCCCAGTGAGATTTGAACTCACGACCCCTGGTTAACTCTCTTGCTTATACTTACAAGACCAGTGCTCTAACCACTGAGCTATGGAGGCTTGACGACTTCATGCCAATATATGGTCAGAAATTGATATAACTACCCATTGGAAACGTGATATTCCTTCTCGTAAAAAGACAAAAACCTTCCTATCGATAAAAATATACTTAAAAAACAATTATTATACTTTAAAAACATATCTCTTAAAGTTTATCATTTTTCTATCTCAACAAAAAGAAGGCTAAAAGAATTGATCTCACGAAACTGGTTAACATGTACAAGCTACAGCAATTATTGCAGTTCGAATACAAGACCAGTGCTCTAACCCCTGATCTATGGAGGCTCACATTATTTATATAAATGTTAATTTATCTTGAAGATATTATCAAACTTTAAGATAATAAATATGAAAAAATAACTAGCCCCCAGTGAGAATTGAACTCACGACCCCTGGTTAACTCATTCAAGCTACTGCAATTACTGCAACTTGAATACAAGACCAGTGCTCTAACCCCTGAGCTATGGAGGCTCACATTATTTATATAAATGTTAATTGATCTTGAAGATATTATCTATCTTTAAGATAATAAATATGAAAAAATAACTAGCCCCCAGTGAGAATTGAACTCACGACCCCTGGTTAACTCATTCAAGCTACTGCAATTACTGCAACTTGAATACAAGACCAGTGCTCTAACCCCTGAGCTATGGAGGCTCACATTATTTATATAAATGTTAATTGATCTTGAAGATATTATCTATCTTTAAGATAATAAATATGAAAAAATAACTAGCCCCCAGTGAGAATTGAACTCACGACCCCTGGTTAACTCATTCAAGCTACTGCAATTACTGCAACTTGAATACAAGACCAGTGCTCTAACCCCTGAGCTATGGAGGCTCACATTATTTATATAAATGTTAATTGATCTTGAAGATATTATCTATCTTTAAGATAATAAATATGAAAAAATAACTAGCCCCCAGTGAGAATTGAACTCACGACCCCTGGTTAACTCATTCAAGCTACTGCAATCACTGCAGTTCGAATACAAGACCAGTGCTCTAACCCCTGAGCTATGGAGGCTTACACATATGATACATTAATCTTCATGAGATATTGTAAAAGTTTCACAAGCTGAATCACTGCAGTTTAAGTAATGAATATCGAATGAGAATTGAGTACTTAATCCTTTCGGTCACTTATACAAACGACTGGAGTTAATCCGTTTCATTAAAGATTAATGGTCTAATTCATCAGTTTATCAATATACACAAACTTTTATTAATTGACAATACAACTCGTAAAAAATGATTACTTTACAATTCAAAAAACAGTGAGTATAATTAATCTGGCTCCACTAAAGCAAAAAGACTAACTCAAGAATATTCAATGTGTTTAGATATTAAGTGTTCAAAAATATCTAGCCCCCAGTGAGAATTGAACTCACGACCCCTGGTTGGCCCATTCAAGCTACTGCAATCACTGCAGTTTGAATACAAGACCAGTGCTCTAACCCCTGAGCTATGGAGGCTCACATTATTTATCTAAATACGAATACAACTTAAAGACAGAAACTATCTTTCAGATGATAAATATGAAAAAAATAACTAGCCCCCAGTGAGAATTGAACTCACGACCCCTGGTTGCCTCATTTAAGCTACTGCAATCATTGCAGTCCGAATACAAGACCAGTGCTCTAACCCCTGAGCTATGGAGGCACACAATAGTAACGAAATCAGAGATTTATTTGAAGATACCGTTTATCATTTAGGCGAGAAATTTAAAAAATAACTAGCCCCCAGTGAGAATTGAACTCACGACCCCTGGTTAGCTCATTCAAGCTTCGCCAAACATTGCAGTTCGAATACAAGACCAGTGCTCTAACCCCTGAGCTATGGAGGCTCACATTATTCATCTGAATACCGATTAAACTTGAAGATACCGAATGTTCTTTCGATGATAAAACGAAGAAAATAACTAGCCCCAGTGAGAATTGAACTCACGGCCCCTTTTTAACTTGTTCAAATTACTGCAATCATGAAAATTCGAATAAAAGATCAATTTTCTAGCCCCTGACCTAAAGGGACACAAGTGCTGTTAGGAATTGTCAGATATTAAGATCTAACAATGACTAAAAAAGGAAATCATAGCATAATTTTTTGAAAAGAGGGAAAGCTTAAATTATAGGTGATACTAAGGGAAAAACCGATTTCCTTTGGTATTTTAAACATTCTAAATATAAAAAAATTAAAGGTAATTGTGGAAAAACTAATAGCCCCCAGTGAGAATTGAACTCACGACCCCTGGTTGACATGATCATATTACTATCGATGCCGCTAGAGATACAAGACCAGTGCTCTAACCCCTGAGCTATGGAGGCTGACACAAGTAATATTATAAATTAAACTTTATAAAAAGAACATCTGATAAAAATCAATTATAAAAAGCATGCGGTATTTTTGTATTTTAAAAAATGTCAATGCTTTTTTTTGCAAAAATCTTCTTTCATACAGTTTTGCAGTTTTTTGTGAACACTTGTAATTTACAGTTTTTAACACTTCATCAAATCGATTGATTACATTTCGGGTAAATGTTGTATTTTAAGAAACTGTTGTTTTGGTCATTTCTAATCATTTTCATTTAATCTGTAAATAAGATATTAAGAAATTATAATCTTGTACTTTTTTGTAATTCGCCAGATAATTTCGTTGTGTTTTTAGAAAATTTTTTCTTTTCCTCTTTGTTCTGTAATTTGCTAGATTTTTTAAATTGCCGCCTTTTTTAATGGGTAGGACTTAAAATGGATTACACTGCTCTTTATAATACTTGATTGCATTATTTATTCATTTTTCTACCATTTTTAAATTAAGCAATAATTTCTAGGTTTATAAAAATAAATTTTTATTAGTTTTATTACTTTTTTATTATTTTATCAACTAAATATACTGTTTAAAAGTCAATTAAATTTTTTAAAAAATTTTTTATTATATTTTAGCTATACCCAATATTTTGGTCACTTGCGTTACTATGATAAACAATTGATAGAAAGTTTTTATTTTATTGGTTTAATTTTGTTATTTTGAATAAAATATTTACTGCTGATTCTCTTTTTAAATTAAGGATTATTTAAACTTGAAGTATGTTATAATATCGGAAACAAAAACAAAGGAATTAAATTTTAGTGCCAAATTTTACGAAGTTTCTTTAATTCGTTTTAATAAAATGACTGAAAAAAATGACTCTCCGAAAGGACGAGCAATATCATCAAAATCTGGAAAAAGTATTAAAAAAAAAAGTATAGGTTTAGAACACGATGCTCTATTTAAGCAAATTGGAGGACATTTAGATGCGAATTTTGACTATAGCCAATGGCAGAGAACTCAAAAGCCAGTAAAGAAACAATCAACTGTTAGAATTGGTCAACTAGGTAAAAAAAATTATAATCATTATTCATACTTTCTTTGTTTCTTATAAAAATCAACATCTCCAAAAATATTTAGACTTTCAACTTGGAAGTGAAGTCACAGTTTCGGCTCCAGCTGGTTCCATAAAAAAGAAAAAAGAAATAACAAGAAGATGCTCAAAACTGGAAAAGAAAGTTGAAGATACAGATAAAGCGGAAAGAATAAATGTCTTAAAAGTATATATATTTAAATATCTATCAATGTTTACTAGAAATATCTCATATCAAAAGTCTATTACTTTGCAGCTTAGGATCACTGCAACATTGAAAGCTATAAATGACCAAAAGAAAAGATTTGCCTTCCTGTGAGTAATAGGAGTCTATTTAAACATTTTCCTATTTAAAAATAAGTCAACTTGTCTAACTGACTGAACTAAATTTAAACAGCTTAAGCTTCAAAATCAATACGTAGCAAATGTCCATAAAAACTTAAAAAGATTGGTAACACTTGTAAAGCCTCCATAGCTCAGGGGTTAGAGCACTGGTCTTGTAATTGAACTGCAATGTTTGCAGTAGCTTGAATGAGGCAACCAGGGGTCGTGAGTTCAATTCTCACTGGGGGCTAGTTATTTTTTCATATTTATTATCTTAAAGATAGATTATATCTTAAATATTAATTAACATTTATATAAATAATGTGAGCCTCCATAGCTCAGGGGTTAGAGCACTGGTCTTGTATTCAAACTGCAGTGATTGCAGTAGCTTGAATGGGCCAACCAGGGGTCGTGAGTTCAATTCTCACTGGGGGCTAGATATTTTTGAACACTTAATATCTAAACACATTGAATATTCTTGAGTTAGTCTTTTTGCTTTAGTGGAGCCAGATTAATTATACTCACTGTTTTTTGAATTGTAAAGTAATCATTTTTTACGAGTTGTATTGTCAATTAATAAAAGTTTGTGTATATTGATAAACTGATGAATTAGACCATTAATCTTTAATGAAACGGATTAACTCCAGTCGTTTGTATAAGTGACCGAAAGGATTAAGTACTCAATTCTCATTCGATATTCATTACTTAAACTGCAGTGATTCAGCTTGTGAAACTTTTACAATATCTCATGAAGATTAATGTATCATATGTGTAAGCCTCCATAGCTCAGGGGTTAGAGCACTGGTCTTGTATTCGAACTGCAGTGATTGCAGTAGCTTGAATGAGTTAACCAGGGGTCGTGAGTTCAATTCTCACTGGGGGCTAGTTATTTTTTCATATTTATTATCTTAAAGATAGATAATATCTTCAAGATCAATTAACATTTATATAAATAATGTGAGCCTCCATAGCTCAGGGGTTAGAGCACTGGTCTTGTATTCAAGTTGCAGTAATTGCAGTAGCTTGAATGAGCTAACCAGGGGTCGTGAGTTCAATTCTCACTGGGGGCTAGATATTTTTGGATGATCTTAGGAAAAAGAATTTTTTTGGAGTGTTTTTCACTGTTAAGAATTTGAAGGGTTTTCAAAAAATGATATACTACAGGAATCCTTATAGAATAAAGCAAAGTTTCCTGTAGAGGTCATCAGTTGTTATTTTAGAACGAAATATCTGTATAAATATCAATACGGTTTTGATTGCAATTTGTAATTTAAATTATTTTTTTTAACATATAATTAGAAAAAATGAAAATAGAAGATTAGTATCAAAGATAAAGGGAGACGAGAAAGGAACTTACGACGAAGTTCGAGATTTATTAAGAAAGTATGATAAGTTCAAGGTAAAATATTGATCAGTCACAAATGTTAGATATTTAAAATTATTGATGTGTAATGTGTTTTTTCCTAACAGACAGGAGTTTCGTGCCTCAACAGCAAATTTCAGGATGAATATGAAATTGTCCAGTCTGACTATTTTAAAGCTAAAGAGGAAGGAGCGGCAGAAATAAAAAGTAAAAACTAAATAGATGATAGATAAATATATAATGTTCTTATATGGTCATGTCTATGCCAACAATAGTTCTTCAGGAGAAAGTAGATAGACTAGACATTGAAGTAGTAGCTAGTCAGAAGAGTTTGCATGACCTTCATTCGTACAAAGACAAAGAATATCCTTTGAAAGCTTTTAGAATATCTCAATTACAATCGGAATTGGAAAGTTTGTATGCTTCTAACGAGGTTAGTAAAGTTAAAGTTGCAGTGATGCGATTTGGGTCAACAGCTAATGCATAAAATATTGTATAAATAGGAAGAAGAGAGAGACTTGTCAAATATAATTGATAAGGAGCTGGATACTCGCTTAAAAGAACACGAAAAGAAAGAGAGACACCTTGCTGATGATATAAGTGATGTAATAAGATATACTAATATATATAAATTTATATACAGTATATACTGTTTATTTGTTATAGCTTAGAGCCTATTCTAATATTATTACTGAGAAAATAATTACTTTTCCCCTCTTATATAGACTTTACTGGCCCAAATGCACCCTAATCTTGTTGACATGGCAAAGCAAAATTGTTATATGAAACTAGAAATAGAGAAACAAATCGGTGAAAAAAGTTATTTAGAAGATGATATTAATCAACTTCAAGAAGAGATTAAAGAATTAGTAAAAAATCCTAAATGTAATATAAGATTACAAATGTTCCCCGAATTCTTTCCAACTAAGGAAAAGTTAGTATTACATTATTATATTAATTCCGTACTTGATTATAAATCAATATAGTATACAGTATATATTATATCTTGTTGTTCTCGTTTATTATCATAGGTGTACACCAGATATGGATGTCGTGTTAGATATTCCAACCGAAAAGTGGCTTCCTGTCTAAAAGAAAATGGTAGTAAAGGATCAGAATAGAACTGATTAAAGAATACTTATTTTACAATTAGAGTTTGAATGGCGTGCCAATTTTTTGTGTTTCCCTCTTTTTCGAACTATATTTGTTCATATGTTTAGTGCCAAGTTTTTATGCAAATGATTATCCTTCAGAGTCAATACAATAAATAATAACTAAATTGTATATTATACCGTACAAATAAGGATTATCCTCCCCTCACGCGATTGATTATTTGTACACTAAAAACGAATAGAGACAGATAAGGGATTTAAAAGATTAACTAATCCTGAATAGAAATTAATTCTAAGCCGTAATAAGTATAATATGCTGATTACTTTTAAACAATGTCGTAATTTTACTATTCTAATCACGTTTGCATAGAAAAAAATCACAAAGAAACTCATTTTTCAGCATTATACCTTAATCGATAGACCAAAACATCGATAAGTCGTTCAACCTATTGTATATAATAAAAAAGAAAACGTTTTAAAACCTATAAATTAATTACTTTCAACTTTTCTGTAAAACAGGAAAACAGAAAGAAAATAAGCTGAAAAAAGAGAGAGTAATTAAGGAATTTCTTCATCTTTATCTTTTTCATTAAAAGAGGATTGAAAGTACTCAATTACTCCTCCTTCCTTAGTTGACTTAATTTCTCTTTCTTCAATTGTACTCATTTGACATTTTGTACTTTTTCGAATGATGCAGTAATATAACAGAGACAATTGTTGTAAACTGGTATATATAGTATATTTGAAGAGAGTTTATATTTATGAACATCAAGAAATTTTCCATTAAAATAATGACTAGATAAAAGTCAATATAGATGAAAATGTAATATAGCCATAAGTTTGACAGTTAGGGTTAATTCAATTGCATTATTTATATTATATAAACTGTTTAAATGGTATATTTTTAATAAAAAAAATATTGAACGACATTTTTGGTTGCACCTATATAAACTTTTAGAAATAACTAGCTCACCTATAAAATAAAATTGCTAAGAAGTTGATACGTTTCATGTCAACACAGAATCTAAAAATGGCTATATATGGTAACTTAATAATAGACGGAGGGAATAAAGGAAGGAAGAGAGAAGGGATGCAAAAAATCAATTAAAATTTTTATCTATCTGTTTATGCGTCTCTTTATTTTTATAGTTTATCTATCCTGTTGAATATTTAATAAAGTACAATAATTTATCTTTTCTTCGCGTTTATCCTCTAGTTTATATCATTTCTTAAGTAGTTATTTCTATCGCAAACTTTTAAATATTAACTCAGGATATACTTTAACTCAAATCAATAAATTCTATTGAAATAACAGGTTATTAGGGACACAATACCTTTAATTTTAATAAATTACAAGTCTATAATTAATTATAATACTCTAATTGATACAATATAGTAATTGAAATATAATCATATGCACTGAAACCTCTGCTTTTTTTCTCATCTTCGAAGTAAGTAATATATAAAGTATATATACAATATATATTATTTGACAATAATTGCATAACAAAAGGAGTTTTCCATCAACTGTACTCAACAAGTTTATAACAAGTTTTTAATTACTCTCGAAACTCATTGATGCAATCATTATAATGCTTTCTATATATTCTGTATATATATATATATATATATATATATACAGTATATGTATATTTATATAAAAGAATATATTAAAACAACTTCAAAATTCTCTACGTCTATAGAAAAAAGTAAAGGAAATTAATAATATCATAAGTAAAAATTGTATATAATACAACTAATAAAAGAGTTACTACTATGCAATTAAATAGTGAAAATAGTGGATAAAGTATATACTACTTAGAAGTCTCTGCTTCCTTGTTTTCTTTTTTAAATAAATAGGAAACAAACTAGACTTTAACCAGCTGTATTTGCACACATTTACAGAATGGTGAACATACATCGTCTATGGTTAACATAAGAACGCTATTTAAAACGTTTCGACAAAAAGGAAAAGAAAAACAGGTAAAAAAAAATATCCAGAGGAATATAACAGATTAAAACAAATACTTTTGATTAGCAGTATTATAATTAAAAAAATCTAATAAAAGAAAGATTCTAATCATTTCATTTAAGGTTGCGAAATGGGGAAAAGAAAAAAAAGTGGAGAGGAGTGGGAGTATGGAGGAATATATAGATGAATAGATTGAGGTAGGGAGAGATATATATACACTAAAAACTGTACAATATACTATATAAAAAAGAATAGAAAACTATTCCTTCCTTTAACAAAGCACTTAGTAATAAAAGATGATAATTGAGTTGTTTTTATACTTACTACAATAACAAAAGAAAATTGATAAGAGAGAAAGCAAAGTATTGTTAAACTAGACAATTAAAAGTAGAACGGGATAAAATATTTGTTAAAAAATAAATTAAAGTGTTAACGCTGTTTTAGTAATTACGTATGTTTATTAGACGAATATCTGTACATTTGTAGGACAATACCAGGGGAAAAAAATAGTTCCTTTTTTTGCTCTGTTTTCCAACTTGAATCGTCTATCGTCACAAAATTGAAACTTAACGAAACAACATGTTGACGAAACAATTACCGTGTGCTAAATTTATTGAAAACCGATTTAAGAGCAATGTGCAATCTATAATCTCAGTTTTGTAGGGTAAATCGCCAATTCTCTATACTTATTCCTCCCGAAACTCGCCAATTTACACTGCAATATATATATATATACAAATATGTATATAAAATGTACCACAGCAAAAAACACCAGTAAAATATTCATTGTTCCCAAAAAAAAAAACAAATTATATAATGCACTGATATGCGATCTTATCACAGTTAATGATATGTTAAATCACTGAACAAACTAAAAATAAGTATGCTAAAAATCCTAAACAAAAGGTAATTTATATCAAAAATGAACAATCAAGTGCGTATTTTTGAACGATTTGAACACACTTGTCCAAGGTTCATCTCTATCCTATTTCTCCTCGTTATCAAATTTTCTTTGTATTTATCTAGTTTTCTCTACTTGTTTGTTTATCTATCTTTACAACTCGGTCGTTAAAGGCATTCTTTTCGGTGGAGCCGAACTAACGTGCCAAGGTGAGAGAGGCTGGCCAGATTTGGAAGAGGAGCGAGTAACGGTCACAAGTTGGGCAACAGGAGGTGTTTCCTCACTATGAACCCTCCTTGTAGGAATATTACTTGATCTCATGCTGGTTGTAGATACTTTCCTGGTGACCGCGTGGCTTCCGGTGAAGCTTGTTTCCTGTATAATACATAATTATTAAATAAAAGTTCAGCATAAACTGAATAATAAAAAAAGGTTTAAATAAAAGCAGAGTTAAACTAAATAAAAAGATTGATTATGTTAATGACAGAGGCAGATGAATAGTAAAGAGTAGTTAGTATTTTAGATTAAAAAATAACAGTTTCTCATTAGTTAAAAGCGGCACTACTTCCAACTCACTATCACTATATCGTCGGTTTTAGAAGTTAAAGACTTCCTCGGTGCTGCTTTAGGTATTTTTGTCGAAACGGATTTGGGCTCCGGCTTATTGATAATTGGTAAACTTGTATTTCTCTTTTTAAGCTTTCTATCTATCACCGGATTAATCTGCACTGTAGATATGGACTTTTTTGGAATTTTTGATATCTTCGGTTGATTGGGAGTTGATTTATCAGACGGTGATTCAGGAATTGCCGCCATCGGAGACGTTTCCTTGCTCGAATTGCCGGCATTAGATGAAGTAGATACGGTTGGTGACTTTGGAATTTTATCGGCAGAATCTTTACTATTATTTAAAGATACATTTTCGACAGGAAAGTCAATCATAATCTCTGCTTGTTCGTTTTCGTCTAAAAATACATCACCCAAACTTTCATCAAGTTCAAATTTCGGTAAACTGTCTTGTTGCTCATCAACTGATACTTTTGTATCCGATACAGATCCGTCAGTCTTGTTCAAATCGTTCTGTGATGCCTTTAATAAGTAGTTTTTATTTGTTTTAATTATTATGTCATACATCATTTTGTTGGAATTATTTTTGCTCTATTCATTCAAAAACTTTTCTTATTACGTTAAATTGTATAAAAAAAAATAAAGAGAACATTTTTATCATGTCCAAATGATATAATAAAATAAAACTTTATCATAAATAAAAAAAGCAAATTAAAAAAAATTGATTTTCGATAGAAATCATTTAATTATTTATTGTTTAATAAAAAACAATAAATAATCAAAAAGAATGATTTTAATACGGTATTTAATGTTATTGTTTTCTTTATATTGTTTAATATATTTTATCACAGAAGTATAGAATACGATTGAAGAAATAATTAATATATTGATTAAACAACTTACAATACTGCAAACGTTTGATGAACGCGATGTATTTTGAGATTTTGAAAACATCGACTTTTCAGTAAGCTTTGGAGTAAAGTCGTCAACGCTATATAATTAACATATATGATATTAATATTTAAAATATCTAACAATGAATCAATACAAACCCATTCTGATATTGGGCCGATAAAGGAGGTGATGCTGGACTACTTTCTGTGCTTAACCTCAAATTCGTTTTACTGGAAAGTAAGAAAAAACAAAAAAATAATTAATTAGAACGTATTTAGTAAAACTATAAGATAAACACAGCACTAAAGTTAACAACGAAACGTGCAACTCCAAAAAAAAAACAAGCATTGAGTACAATTTCTACGTATTAACAGATAGATCAATGTTTACAATACAAAAAAAAAGAATTGCAGCGTAAAAGATTTGGTTCACTCTGTTATATTTGCATTTTGTTTTGTTGTTGTTTTTTACCTTACTACAGGTAATTTTGAGGGATGGAATAAGTCGTCCTCATCAATATCAATGCTACTTTCATCAGAGTCACAACTAAACATAAATCGTCAAAAACCAGAATATTTAATAAAAAGCTAAAAAAAATACTAAAGAAATGAATAAAGAGATAAATCAATAACCTTTCGGACTTTTCTTCTGAAGAGGAAAGGTCAACTTTTAAAGGTTTTGCTGAAGATAAAGAAAAAATAATAATTTTTAAAGCAAATTAACAATGAATCATAAAGTTCTGGAAAAAAGAAAAGAATTTCTCTTACGCTTTTGATCAACAGCATTAGTCTCCATTTGCTGGGCTTTTAAGATGTTGCATTGCTTTACGTCTTTCGATAGCGCTGACTTATCCAACTTTGACACATTTTTATATGTATTTAATGAATTGATGTCCCTTGAGGCGATTTGAGTATTTGTTTGGGGCGTTGTATTATTGTCTAAGCCTTTTATTCTTGCTTGAGCTTGTTCGGAAGCTTCTTTTAGTGACAAGTCCTCATCTTTTTTCGATGTACTACCACCTTTCATAAGATTATCTAGTCTTTCGAGGGCAGCCGAGGCAGAAGTGTTTGAAGCATTTTGACTGCCAGCAGCCACGGATGGGGAAACAGGTTCTTTCTTAGATTTTTTTTCAATAACAGCCGATGTTTGAACACTATGTCTGTACAAAAGAGAAGTGAAAGGATCTAATTGAAAAAGAATATTAACAATTCTTTGACTAACTTGGCGCCTTTTGCAATGGAAATTGGTTGTTCGAGTCTCCTCATAGCTGCTTGCGCTTCTCTTCTTTCAAACACAGGCCTTCTAGAAAATCTTTGACTAGGCTTTCTCTCAAATTTCACACTACGTCTGGCTCTACTACTTGTAACTGTTTCTACTTCTGTCCTGCCGCTGTTTATAAAAGATATCATACAAGTTTTTTATGAGAATATAATAGGGGGTGAATACAATAGGTCAATATACCTATATCGAAATCTGGAGCCCATTCGGAAGAAACTCTGCCTCATGGTAGCAGGAGGCCGAGACCCCTTAAGTCGGAAGAAAGAATGATGTTCAACAGCACATTTCCACAAGTGTTTGCAAGCCTTTTTTTGCAATAATCTAAAAACGAATAAATGATCTTGTTCCCTGCCCTGTCAAAAAAAGAATAGATCATAAATTTTCAGGTCTAATGCATACCAAGCCATTTATACAATAAAACACCTATTATTAAGTTGACTGAACGTTCACTATAACACTTAACTTTTATAAAAATATTAAAAAACTTTACCTTTTCGTCATCCTCAACAACAACTAGTACTAGCTTTTTCCCAGAAAATTCTAATTTGGTTATCTTAGGCCTACAATGGAATAATTTTATTATAAGAAATTTTATATAAAGATTTATTATCAATTTTCAACTTACCAAAAGAACAATCCAATTTTTTGACTACCATCAAATACTAAAACACCAGTTGGAGTTAATCCTAAAGAGTAGGAGTTACCATCTTTTCCCATAACATTATGCATGTCAACTCCATATCCTTCGAGCCATTTTGCTTTATTTAAATAATGTAATTCAGCTGTGGCTGGTCTCTGTCCTCGTAGTTTTTTAAATCCTTCTAATATTTCTAACTCCATCTCTTCAGTTTGCTGTGCTTCGGGAACAAACCTAAATTCGCTAACGAAACCAGGGGTATGCAAGCCTTCCTCATAATCGCCAAGTTCAGCTATTGGAGCAACAAAAAACAAATTTTTTCCCTGTAACTCTATCGCATTCTAATAATAATAGTGTTAATTAAATGATTTTACATTGTAAGGCATATGCGGCTAATTCAACTGCGTAGTCAAAGGGACATTCTAACCTTCCATTAAGAATATCTTGTTTAAGTTGTAAAAAGAATTGATATCTATTTGGCGAAAATATATTTTTTTATATATTTAAAGATAAAAAAAAGAGAAATACTAAAATAAAGTTATAGTCTATTTATTACCTTGTTAATTCTTCTCTCAAACTATTTGGTTCAGATGTATAAAATTTCACTCGAAAACGGAATGTATAAGGGGGCCCAACTGCAAAATATGCAAATTACATATAATAGAAATATATATATATATATATACTGTATATAGACCTAAAATATATTTGTACAAAATTTTTTGACAAGGTGCGCTTTATCCATACAATATACAATGCAGAAAAAAAAATCAATCACACCAATTTATAAACAGTAATTTATAACTATATATACTATATTATATATACTGTATATATGTATCTATACATATATACAGTATATAAATATATATATAGTGTATACATTTAAAATGGGGTGGGTGTTTGGTGGAGAAAGGAATCTTATATACATATAATGTGTATATCTGTTAACCCGTGACCCAAAACCATAATAATGAAAAATCTGGTAAAAGGAAACATCGTGACAGTTTTCCATTCAAACAAAAAAGACAATAAAAAAAACATCTTTTTTGTGTACGTTTTGCTCTTTCTATTTTTTTTTATTCCATTTGTTAAAAGGGTGATGGAACTTACCAACTGGACATTCAGGCCCTAAAAACCAAAGGAATTAAAAAACTAATCTTTTACACTTATAACGGTTGATTAACTGGTTACAATAAAAATATAAAGCTATGATTGAAGGCCTTTTTTACCGATCGCAAATGGACGTTTAACATTTTAAATACTTTGTAGTTTAGAATTTCGTTAATTTACACTAAAACACTTGAAACGTTTAAACGGCAATAGATAAAAAATATAGGTAAATATTGACTAGTACAAGCTCGATTGAGTGTTTAAAGATAAATATTCGGTTTCGAACTAGTTACATTAACTTTAGATTATCATGACGAATACAGAAAATGTTCCGTTGTAAATATTATGATTTTTCTCTACATTTGGTGTCATTTATCAGTACAATACGATAGATCTTTTAGAAACTAAAACCTATTAAAACTTTTTTTGCTAAAGCTAAAAGAACTTACTTGCGACTTGTTTCCGTATCGATTTCGTTGGATCCAACCAGTGCTACATAAACAAACATAAATCATATAAGTCAGACAGCAAAAGATATCGCAGATTAAAATGTATGACTAAGACTACATAAAGGAAATAACTAGAAATTTACCGTAACACCTTGACTGTCCGTATATTGCAGGCCAAAATAATCCTTTTCGATAATGTCCAAGTTGTAATATACTTGTTCGTATAAGTACTTTCCCTCCAATTTTTTCTGTAAATAAGTAAATATTGTGACCAGGCAAAAGTACAAAGGAATCGAGATTAGTCCATTTAATTGATTTTTTTAACTCTCTACGATCGAAATGCATGCTTCATCGCTTAGTTTAATGAAATAGATAAAAGTCTAGAGCTGCTATGAAATTTGTGAAAAAAAAGTTACACGGCTAGTGACATACGCTGTAAATAATTCGATTAAACCGGACGGGTAAGTCTATAAATAAACATGCAACGTAGATACTTACTGGCACATTAACCGATAAATCAGAACCGTCTAATAACATAACTCGACATGGTAAAACATTTTTCAGGGCTTTATCTTCTTTCTCTTTAACACCTTTTTGTGCACCTCCTCGGCGACTGAAGAAGCGAAAGAAGCGAGACATTCCCAATCAAATAAGCACTAATCAGTATAAGTCTATGTTCATAATTTTCTTCCCGTTATGTTGTAAGGTTTAAAAGGCCGTTTTGCCTTTTTGTCTAATTATAAAACGCGTAATGCTTACGCATCTTTCTCTTGGTTTATGACTTGAACGATTTAACAATACGCATGCGCCTTGAGAACCGGATGTTGTATTGTATAACACCGAGGGCGCCACTAAAAGTGTACCAGTTTTTGATTTCTGAACATCACGTGATTAAATACTAAAAAATGGCGAATAACGAAACTCCCCTTTTATTTGGCGACGGAAAAAAAGAACCAGAGAGCGATGACATATTTAAGTCATCTTCTGAGGTACGATATTTAGACAATTAGGAATTATTTGATGCAAATCTATTACAGACCTTTTTCTTTATGTAAAACACATTCAAAATGATTTAGCCGTTATTCATTTCACAACATACTTTGATTATGACTTTTTTTTACAATAAAAGGTTCCAATCAATGACGATTCCGGTGACAAAAATGAGGATAATGATCCTCAAGATTTGTTTGGTCAGGAAATTAACTTAAGTAACAATGAAGAGGATCAAATTCCTTCGATTCAACCAACGACAACACCAATTACAAATGGACCTCGAGAAGAAGAATCGGATGTTTATAACATTGAAATCAATGTGACAGAGCCAGAAAAACGTGGAGATGGAATGACGTCTTACATTGTTTATAAAGTTGTAACAAGAACAACTATCCCACAATTTCGTCGCCCAGAATCAAGTGTTTGTCGCAGATTTTCGGACTTTTTGGGCCTACATGAAAAGCTCGCTGAAAAACATCAATCAAAGGGCATTATAGTACCCCCTCCACCAGAGAAAGATGTTGTAGGCACTACTAAATTAAAGATATCAAAGGATGACACTCACGGAGAATTTATTGAAAAGCGACGAGCCTGTTTAGAAAGGTAAGATAGTTTCCTTATAGTGCGAGAATAAATGAACAATCATGTGACTCATAATACTATGATATTTAACATTGTATAGATATCTCAATCGATTGGCTAAAAATAAAGTTCTTATATTGGACGATAATTTCCGAGATTTTTTGGAAAGAGAGGGTGATTTGCCTAAATCAAGCTCAACATCGGCGCTTAGTGGTGCTGGATTAGCTCGTCTATTTACCAAAGTTGGTGACTCAATAGGAAAAATTACTTTTAAGATGGATGAGACTGATCAGGTAAATAGTAATTTTAGAAATTAAGCCATAAAAATTCCTTAATCTTAACGGATCTAGATAGCTTATTGTAACTCTCTTGTTTTTAAGCAAAGTAAGGCTAGTTTCGAGGTGAGAGAATGGCGTGTGTTTCAATGTAACCTAGCCGTATAAGCTTTCATTTGACGCCCAGTGCGATAAACTAGACTTAAAGCATGTTTTTTTCGTAGTGTGTTTTTTTAAAGCGCAATTCCATTGCTTAAGTTAATATAAAAAACGAAAATAGATAGCAAAACAATTTTTTTGTCTATAGCATAAAACTTACATAAAAATCTAATATTTTGTTAGTGGTTTGAAGAAAAGCAACAACAAATAGAAACTTTGGATGCTCAATTACGTCGCCTTCACTCTGCTATTGAGGGTTTAGTGGCTCACCGTAAGGAATTAGCTCTCTGCTCGAAAACTGTCTCTTCGAGCGTCACTCTTCTTAGTTCTATTGAAGAGCATGGCGGACTCTCCAGAGCCTTAACACATTTGGCAGACGTTGAGGAAAAGATGCACAATGTACATCTTGACCAAGCCGACGCGGACTTTTTCTCACTGGCTGAATTAATTAAAGATTATATTGGTCTCGTCGGTGCCGTCAAAGAAGCCATGAACCAACGTGTTAAAACTTTTAAATCGGTTAAAGATGCCGAATCTGCTCTCACTAAGAGACGCGAAGCAAAAGCGAAAGCTGAAATAGCCAGAAAAAATGATAAGGTTCAACAGGAGGAGATGGCCATTCAAGACTGTGAAGAAAAATTAGATAAAGCCAAGAAAGATTTTGAAGATATCTCTGCTACTATAAGAAAAGAAATTGCTCGATTCGAAAAGCAAAGGGTTAAAGATTTTAAGAGTACCGTTATTAATTATTTACAATCATTGATGAGCAGTCAGCAAGAGGTAGATGAATATATAATATTGCATATTAGCTGTATTAATTTCTCTTTCTGTTTCAGGTCGTCAAGCACTGGGAACAATTTTTACCAGAAGCAAAAGCCATAGCTTAACTTAACTAATCATGTGTGCTTGAAGAATTGAATTGTATAGCGGAAATATTAATTATTTAATACTTGATTGAAATAGTTGGCTTAAGTCATTCCTTACGCAATAAAATTACGTTTCTTAGATACTTAGGTACACCTATCAAGACAGCCTTATATGTTAACTGATTTTTTTGTTGTTGCAGTCGATGTAAAATCAAATTCGAAAGTAAACAAAGTTTTAAACAATTCCTAAGTAGGATCGCAAAATTTTTACAAATACAATTACCATCAAATCGGATGTTTACTTTTTATCAGATGCATATAAATTTTACTTAATTTATAAGAATAACACGTTTAAACAGTAGATAACGATTAAATACGATTACTTCACAATCATAAATTGCTTAATAAACAAAAATTTAACTTACTTTTTACGTATTGTTATTAAAATTAACAATACATTGTTTTGTATGGAAATTAAATGAGTGATAAAGACTCAGCTAGGTGACTGGTCGACAGTATCCATTACTTTATCTGGTAGTTTATTCTTACGAAAGAAAGCTATTGCTGACCTCATCTCTCTTGCAATAAAATCATCTCGACACCCTTTAATCTTTTCGGAATGTTCATCTATAAAATGTTTGACATAGTCGTCTCCCCTCTTGACGTATTGTTTGCATACATGACATTTCTTTCTAAACAAGTGAAGATGATTTAAATGAGTTATTATTACAGATGTCGATCCCTCCTTACCACATACAGGACAATGTATGTTAGTTCGTTTTGAAATGAGATGGTTTTGGAAAATATGAATCATAAGTTTACACTTCTGAAGAAAATTCTGCTTACAAAGTTTACAAGAATAGCAATTTTCATTTTGCTGTATAAAAATTTCCGGGTTTTTACTTTCAATATGAGGAAGATGATATGAAATTAAGTGTTTACTAAATTCATCAATTGAGCAGTAAACCTTATCACAATCAAGGCAAGTTAATCCCGATACCAAAGACTTGTAGACACTACTCTCCTGATGCTTTAAAGTTGTTGGTAGCCACTCTGAATCTTGAAAACTATTTCTGGGCTCTGATGAAGTTTGACTATCACTTGACGCTGCTTCAAGTTCATTTGCCAGTTCGCCAGCTTCATTATATGAAAAAGAATGTAAGTCTACTTCGTCATTAAAAGTTGCATCTAAATGTCTATAGTTAAAATCTAATGCAGTTCGCACGCTTGTTGAATTAGTGCCAGCTGAAATTCCGCTTTGTCTAAGTCTCTTCGTTCGACTCCTTGTACAGGTTCCAGGGTGGTTATCTGCAATAATTTTCCTGACAACGTTTTCAGAATCACTGTCTGCGTCATCGCTAATGGTAATTAACTCGTGGGTTTCTCGCTTTATACCAGAGTTTGAAAGGAGTGATCCTTCGAAGTTTTCCACGAAACGACTAGTAAGCTTAATAGGCTTTTTCTCTTCCAACATGATGTGAAGAACACCTGCAATACGGCCTTGCTCTCCAAAAGAGTAATTGGCTCGGATATTGGTAATTATCAATTTCTTGAGGACCTCAAATATAAAGTCACTTTGGTCCTGCACCGTTCTATTGCTTCTGCTTGCATTTTCCACACTGATACTTATACAATCTACTAATTTATCATCAGAGGCGAAGACTTCTAGCATGCCTTTCACAAACTTATACTGTGTTCTGAATACCGTCAGCTGAGTCTTTACCAACTCATTTAAATTTTTTTCAAACTTTGCAAACGCCTTTGCCTGCAAAGACATTTGCTATAATGAAACTATTAAATGAGATTGGCAAAGTTATAGTTTTTATTTAATGTTCTGAAATGTGGAATCTACAGTAATGAACTATAAATTCCAAATATCTACAGAATAAAGAATAATGAAAAAGAAACAGAAACACTTACCATTCTTGAACGAATTAAGCGTATTTTATAAATATAGACAGTTGAATTTAAGTGGTAAATTGACGGCAAACAGAATTGGAGAACACGCGACTTTTTTCCCACGCTCTCTAAGGACACTCTGTTCATTGGAATCGTATTCCAACGATAATTCCATTTTTGTTGTTGCAGTGTCCAAATTATCAATTTATTAATCTAATTTATGACAGAATCATGAAAAGTTTTCACTTACCAACCCAGCTAACTGATGCTGAAAAGATACTTCAAAAAAAATTCGCCGATCTTAAAAAAGTGGTATGATAACGATCATTATTATATATCTTATGAGCGATAATATATACAGTTTTTTGTCAGCGCAAACAATTTCAATCTTACGCAAAACCTTCAAAGGCAACGGACGGTAGCGACAAGAAAAATGCTGAAGAAGAAAAAAAGAGTATTTTGATTGAAAACATTTTAGGGAAATCTTATCTAATATGAATAAAATTGTTCCATTTTAGTATCAGAAAAAGCCGCAGATGCAACAGAACAAGCCAAAAAATTACTTAAATCTGGAGTAAGACAAATTAGAAAATACCTTTAAAACTCTACTTTTGAGTACTGATTTTACTTTAGGGTCTGAAAATTGAAGTTGATAAGAAAGAAGGTAAATTTAAGAAGAAAAGAGTACGGAGGGATAGCAATGAAAAACAAGCCCCTGTTGGGTTTCAACCGTTTCAAAAGAATCAATCTCCAGAACGACCTGTTGAAGAAGAGGAAAAGAAAGGTCCCGTAGCCAAAAAGAAGTACAAACCGCTCTTGGAGAGTTTTGTCAGTGGAGGTAAACAAGGTAATAATCTACAACTTGTAATAGTTTGCAGATATAGAATAATCTTATAAACGTGGTATGTTTTATTTAGGGCCATCTGAAAAACCTCCCACTGAGAGACACACTAAACGTGAATTTACCCCGAAGAGAGGAAATACTGTTTACGTTTCTGGTCACGGTATTACTGAAGAAATACTCCGCAAGGCTTGTTCGGAAATAGGCAGTATAATAAATATAAATGTTGAACCAGATAAACATTGTGGATTTGTCACATTTGAGAGCATGGAGGATGCAGATACAGCCGTCAATGAAGTATTATTACTTTTCGTAATTTACTTGCAAATGGTAATAAACCATTCTATTTAACTTTTCAGGTTAGCGGTAGTATAGTTTGCGGCGTTCAATTAAACGTCTCAATTGCGAGAAGACAACCAAATTTTGAGACTCCCGCTGAAGGCGCCGCAACTCAAACTTGGTCTTCTATAGCGGCTATTCAATCTCAAAAGTCAATATCAAATCATAAAGAAACTAGAGATATGGTGAAATATGATGATATTTTCTGAGTCAACAAGGTTTAAATAATATAAAAACTATTCATATTATATTTTGTTTTTACTTAAAATAAATATTAGATTAATTAATGTAAGCATTATTATAGAATGAAACAATTCCCAAACTTGAGATATAAGCCTATAAGTATCTTAATTTATTTGGCAGTTGATCGGTTTAAAGTTTGCAGACACGATAAAATCAATCTCATTATCCATTTTAATGAAATTTTTATTACTATAGTTGTCCCTCCAAAATGAATCGTATTTTGAGTGGTTTAAACTTAGAACAGGAATATCTTGATTGGAAATTGATGTTAGACCAAATCTATCGTTTTGTTTCACTTCAATGCACTTATCAGCAGGTACGAACTATAAAAGTTGTTATTTAATGACTATATGAAAGGTAGATTAATATATTATTAAATACCACATGAGCATAGCTTGAATTCAATGAATTTTCAACGCTTAATTGATAGATTTGTTTAAAAGAATCACCTATAGGCCTCCATATTTCAATCTAAAAAAAAGAATGTAAGGAGGTAACGTATGCCTAACTTTTAACTTACAAATGTGAATCCAATTTTGGCAAAATAAACAGCAAAACTGTAAACACTACCATTAAGCGAAAATTTTTGGCCAAATATTACAGATTTACCAGCAAAATTATTTCTATCAAAACCAGGTTGCATAGAATTTCCAACAATGCCGTTGTTAAGGGTATTTAATTGATAATCACACCATCCGCAACTCTTTTTACACAATGGCAACATAAACTCAAAATTTCTTAAACAGTAACCATTCGATGACCATAACTGGCATTTCTCCGCGTCATATCTATCGGAGCAATTAACTTTCTTTCTTAAAGTCGAATATTCACATCTGCTACAAGATTTGAAACAATTTCTCGACATCCAATGCGGATTCCTTTCGCAATCGCCTTCGTTTGCCCATACATCACATTCTTCATCGCTCAAATGTTCATTCAGACATTCTTAATATAGGTTTCTTATTAATTAATTGACTATTCACCATCAATGAATGTCGAAATGTGTGTTTAGTTACCTCTAGGATATTTTAGGTTACAGCCTGTACAAGAAGCGTAACAATTTTCCAACATCCATTGCCTATTGTTAATGCAATCGCCGTCTTCAGCCAAATTTTTGCATGATGCTCCTTTAACGGCCTTATATGAATCCATACAAATTGTTTCAAGTACAGGATCAAATTTACTGCAAGACTTTCTGCAATAGAACAACATCCACAACTTCTTTAATCTGCAAAAGCCGTTTTTTGCCCAATAATCACACCCAATTCTATTCGCTTCTAAGGTATCATTCACACTCGTTTCGTATTCGTTATTGTATGCTTTCTTATAGAAATTCTCTAATCTGTATTCGTTACGTTTCCCGTTACATTTTAGACAAGATTTTCTACAAAACGGCAACATCCAAGCGGGATTACTGAGGCAATCGCCTCTTTTCGCATAATAATCACATTTTAAAGGATCTTCAAACGTATTTTCACAAGGAATTCTAACTTTAGAGCATCTTAGACAAGACTTTCTGCAAAACCTAATCATAGCTTCCCTCTGTGCCACACATTCTCCTAAATTAGCTAAAAAGTCGCAATAAGAATCATCTCCTAGCTCATTGACGCATTCTTGGAATAGAGATAATTGAAAAGTAAATGAAAATGAAAAATCTACTACAAACCGTAACATTTCCATTTTAAATATAGATATTTATTGACATTGGGAAGAACTTTAGAGTAGAATTGCTCGCTTAATATAAAGCAATAAGAGAAGATATAAAATCGATTACAATGAAAAATAAGCACCTCGAACTCATAATACAATTTTGCCTATTATCGCATGTCCTTCTGAAGACTTCATTTGCATTTTTTGCTTTATAACTATAGTTTGTATAGTTAAACATTTGAGGTTGAATTGGGCATATATGGTTATTTGACCTTCCATAAAAAGCGCTTACTGTAGTTATAAAACTATTATTTGGACAACCAATTAAAATATGACCATCGTGTTGACAAATTATCGCTTGAGAGGTGCGAACTGTTCAAGAATTTGAATATACATGAAATATAAGTTTACTTATAGAGAAATATACACCTTGGCAGGAATATTCGATAACATAATTATGAATGGGACAAGAGTTGTTACAAATGTAATTTGCGTTTATAAAACACAACATTTTTGATTGGCATGATTTTTTAATGGCATCCAATAAAATTTCTTTTCTTTTTTTACAACTTAGCGAGAGATTTTCGTTATTTCTTCCATAAAAAGTTGATTTTATTGTCAAATATTGATTATTCCTACAACCTAGTATAAAATTTGAAATATTCCCACAATTTATAGCTTTTAACAATGTATAATCTTCAGCTAAACCATCTAAATGAATTTATTAAAATCAATTATTGAATAAACTATATTTTGTTTATTAAACAATACTTTTTAGATAGAGAAATATGAAGTAATATGGAAATAAGACATAAAATATCAAATTCAACATTTCAATTTTTAAAAATATATCTTCTTTTTAAAAATACTTTTAAATATTAAAAATTCAACATTTACTTTTGGATTAATCTTCTAATATCTTCTTCTTTTTCCCTTGACCCAATTTAGTGTTTTAAGTTTTTTCTTTTACATAATAAATAACCCTACAATATGGCTTAAGTGAAACAACAAATTAAGTACTTAAGCTTTTTCTTTTCCTTTTGAATTTAGAATTATTGTAATTAAAGATCGCAAAGATTATCGTTTAGCCGACTATTAATTTAAATCTAGGAAAGAAGTATTATGTGTTAAAAAGATCAAACTAATTAAAAAGACTCCCTACTGCTTAGGATTCAACGAGGGATTTTATTACGAAAGAGAAAGTATTTTTTTACCTTCCAATTTGTTTTATAAATTCATATTTGTAGATGGCGTTGTATATATATTATATATATACTCTGTGCTTGGCACATTACCTAATAAATAAAAATAGAAGGTCTAGTTTTCTTTTTATAAAAGAAACGACTGAAAACTTTGTAAAAGTAGGCTTAAGAGTAAAAAAGAAAAGACAAAAATTAGAGTCATTTCCTTATTAGTATGTATAGGCTTATGATATTTCCAACTGTGGGAAACGACAAAACAACAATACAGAAGTTTATTATAGAACTTTTTTTTTTTTAAGGTTTTTCTTCCCCTAAAAATCTACTTATTTTTTTTAATACTTTGTAAGTACAGAGTGCAAGACCAAATATTGTTATAATCTATAATTATTATATAAAAATCTATTATAAAATATGACCTAATTACTTAATATTATCCCTTATTCTTTAGAGAATATTAAGTATATATTAGTTATAAACAGTATACGGTGTAAAGTACAAATAATAAAAAAACATAGGCTTGTTTGAAGTTTTATGATATAAAATATAACAAACAAGCGTAATATTACTATTAATTATCATATTTTAATAGTTTTAAAGATATGACCTTTTTCTTTGAAAGTGATATTTATAACTTATAATATTTATATTTATAAATATATATACTGTATATACAAATGACGTCAAATCGCTTACTTCTTTAAGTCTCTATTGGTTGGTTGAAGGATTAGTTTTTTTTGCTAGTAAAACAGGCCTTAAGTCAATTCCCAAAGGGTGGCCTATTGTTGAGGCTTTTCAACAGACAGAGAATGTCGTCCGTACGAATAAGACGAGATGAAAATTCTTCGGATCTTCCACCCCATATTGAAAAAGAATTGGAAAAAAGAAAAAATGATTGGCAACATGAAGTTGAAAGGTTACAACAAGAATTCTTCAAGATGCCGCTGCCAAAATCAAATGAACAAAGTTACAGACCAACTTTTCAAACAAGTAAATACATTTTCCTAATTCGTTTAATTTTATGGTATAACTCGCACAAATATCATATAAATTCTAATAGACGATTCTTTGCGGGGGGTAGAGAATGTTTAGGTTTGGTTTTTTATATACTAAAAACATATAATAAATAGTTTATAGTTTCCTTGTTGGAGAAACGAATTAAAGTGTGGGAAAATGTAAAAGAATAACAATCTAGGTTGTTCTGCATCATATTCTTGTTTATTATGAACTGTAAATTGTATATACCTACAGTAGATGTGTCGAAATATGTCGCAATTTAGCAATCAAAGGATTCTTTACCTTAAAAAAAAAAGAAAGATAGAAAGAAAGAAAAAACAAACTAAATATATAATATTTAAATTATTGAATGAATGAGTGTATTTGTTTTTTTTCTCTTCTCTTTATCTTTTACCTTATAGGTTATTGAACCAATCCCTTTCTCCATATATTCTCACCCTCTTACTCTCAACTTACTGTTTTATTAGGCCTTAGTTTTGTCTTCTTGTTCTAAATACCGCATATATATTTATAGTATTTATATATAAACTACAGACACAAATCAGCCGGAAGCTATTCAAGCTTTACCTGGTGAAGATGACGAAAGACATAAAGATTTGCTAAGAAAAGTTCTTGCAAGAGATCAAGATGATTTTGTTGTTGAATTCGATTTAAGCGAATTTGATCAGGAGAGCGTTAAAATTAGTCTATCCGATAAATCACGCAATTTAATTGTTAGTGCTAAAAAGGAGGCGAAGGAAGGCGATACGACAACAACCAGAAATTTTAGGAAAGAAGTTCATGTTCCCTTTAACATCGATTTAAATACACTTCAATCTAAATTGGTGGATGGTAATCTCAGGATAAGTGGAAGAAAAGAACAAAAGGAACCTCCACCCAGCTACGAAGAGTTTGATATTGAACCATATACCTCTAACAATATGCAATTAGATACAATTGACAGTGTGCTGCAAAATCCGTATTATGATTCTAGCTTTGAAGTCGCCAAACCGGAGATGACGCTTTCTAGTCAATCAAATAAACTCAAAGCTATTGAATCAAATCCTGATAAGATAACAAAGCTAGAAGTTAATATTGGAATTACCTACAAAGCTGAAAACGTCACAATCAAGGTAACGCCTGATAAAATAAGCATTGTAGCTGAAAAAGAAGAAAAAATTGGTTCGCAGACTTCTAAACGGCAATTCGTAAGAAATTTTCAAATGACCGACAAGATAAATGTTTGGTCTGTAGAAGCGGTTTCATCTGATGGAGTAGTTACAATATGCGCATGTGCTGCTGATGCTGATCTTGAAGAAGTTAGAAGAGAACTACGAAGAAATTTACCCATTTCTGGAAAACGATGCCGAGTTATTCAAGAGTCTTAAGAAATTGAGTTATTTTAAAGACATGTAGAACTGATCGAAGGATAATAATAAAGCTTTAATAGTTCCAATATTTATGTTATTAATGGCAATAATTAAATATTATTATTTTTCTCTTTCTCACACATAGTCTCTCTCTTTCCCTTTCTATTGTCTGAATTCTCTTTTCTCTCTATATATATATATATTTGCTGAAAATAAATAATACGTCTATTTGTTAAGTGTGTGTAGTCCCATTATTGATAGCTTAGATTTTCGAAAGCGGCGACATCAAATAAACTTTACAGTCTTAGAAAGTGTACAACAAACATAAAACAGAAAATTATATATCTTTCAAAACACATAACAAACGTATCCCGGATGTCCAGTTTATTATTTTTATATTATATTAAATATATTAATAATTGTTTTTACACTTCTTATAGTATTAAATTCTCTTTCTATCAATAATTTTTTAAGAAACTGTTACATTAAGCCCTTTCTATATATGTAATTTCTTGAAACAATTTATTAATAGCTAAGCTAAGTAGAATATAATCTTTCTCTAATAGTTTCCTCCTCATTCTCATCCTTTGTTTAAATATAACCTTTACTTTTGTTTTTCTTTAGCCTGTTTATTATTATTTATGAGAATCAAACTAGAAAATAGGAGTAAAAAATCGATTTTAATTTGATCCGTGATATTTAAAAAAGCTGTGTTTACATTTTATTTTCAGCAATCGTAAAACTAGTTCATTATTCAATCATTCAATTTATTTAATATTTAAATAAGCAAGCTTAAATATAGAAATATACATATCAATTTATAAATAGAATCTATATTATTACTCTTAAACTGTATACTATATAGTATATATTTTCTACTACCTTTTTTCCCTCCACCTATTTGTATACGCCCCCTTCCCACCCTTACCTTACCCCCCACCCCCAGTCTTCCTTATTTTTTTTTTAAATACAAAATGAACTTGGGGGCTTTAACATTTTTTTAGATAATTGCATTCTTCAGAATAAATTGTTAACGGTTAATTCTTATTCCCTTATACTTGACAAGAATGAAAATGTTATTCAATAAAAACCCTCTAGATTGATCTTTATTTTAAAAAAAATTGAATTCTATATGCAAGGAAGTGGTGAAATGACTAATAACGTTTTTTATGGCGCAATTAATTCTTTTATTAATAAAATAGGTTACAAGCAAAAAAAAGTAACTTTTATATACGAAAGGAGAAAAGCAAGTATGACTAAATGATAGATTTTTTCGATAAGAGATAGATAGAGTAAAAAAGACAGAGAAAAATAGAGAAAAATAGAAAATCCATTAGGAATTGTGAGTCTAGTTGATAAAGAAAACATAGCATAATTTTTAAATAATGAAGAGAAATATGAGACTCTCTTTTTTTGTATAAAATGTATCTTTAAGTCTAGCCAATGTCGTAGTTTTAAATAGATCTTCTTTCGGAATAGAAAAGTCTTATTTCAAGTTCTTTTAATCACATGAAAAGCAAGTTTTCTCTCTTTAAGAAAACTTAAAATATTAATTGATCATATTTTTAGAAGAGGACGCAATTTTTTACTTAACATGATAGAATGGAAAAAAGTTTATTACCATTAGTAGGAACGTAGAAAAAGTTTGAATTATTCATAAGTAAAGGTAATTTCAACAACCAGGATATTTTTCATTTATAAAAGAAGACTTAGACATTCTTAACGAACTAGTTAAAATACTTTTTTTTCTATTCTTCTATTGAAATAATTCGAATAAATTAGACTAATATTTCGAATTTTCTTTGCAAGTGTAGACTATTCTCTTTTCTCTCTTACATAAATGTTTAAATACACGTTTTGTATATTCTGTGATTACTATATACAAATGTTTTAGATAATACTTTATTTGTTTATCATCTTGGGAAGGAAGGAATAAACATTATTTTCTTGCTAAACCATAAAATAAAAAAGATAAAATACAGAGGGCGCCATATTTAAAACAGGATACGGAAACTCTCTAGTAAATTTACTGGTTGATACAGCACGTGAGATTTTTTTAATTTTCTTTTTCTATTATTATTATCAGGTTTAGAATTATCCACAGTTTGGAAAATGAGTGAGATATCTGACATAGAATCTTTGAGAAGTGAACATGAAAGCGAAATTGAATGGAATCTTCGGAGAATGTTTATTGAAGCACATCGTGAAAGATTTGAATTACCAAGACTTCTCTGTTTATCCAGCTGCTTTGTAAATGTCGAAATGTACAATTGTAAATATCCCGACCAAGTTATGCATCAATTGGCCGTCCTTACTGATGACTTTAAAGACGAATTAGGCAACCACCGTAAAACTGTTCGAGAACGCATTTTGAAAAAATTCGAAGAGAAACCAAAGAAGAAGAAACCAAGAGAGGTAGATAATGACTCTAGTAGTGATAATGATATTATTGTTAGCAGTATTGGCAATGCTGATAAAGCTAACAACAATTATACCAATAACGCAAGTAATAGTGCTAGTGGGAACAATAGCTGTCGTAAAAAAAAATCGGTTAGACGAAAAGAGCGCCCGATTGAACTTGTCTTAGCAAATCTTCGCCCCTATCTACAGGTTTTAAAGGCTCAATTAAATAGTGTTAAATATCCAGAAATAATCAGAATTTTATTCTCACGCTATAAAGAGACTGTACCAACATTTGATTTTGAGGTAGAAGATGATTCTTGCACATGCTACTTGAGTTACAAAGAGCAGAGAATTAGTGAGGGAACATCGTGCACGAAAATACAAGCAAAGCAAATAGCTTGTGAGAATTTAATGAATAGAATTTTAGAGAGTAGTGAGTCGGACTACAATAATGCTATAGACGAAACAGGTAAAAGTGAAGCTAATATTGATTATCCATCGAATTCAGGAATAGAGCAAGTCTTAGATATAAGTCGTATTGTGATCATTATAAATCCCACGTTGTGTGAGGATCCAGAGAAATATCCTAAAGCAATTCTTCACGATACTCTAACGTTTAATCACATCAATTATAAATGGGAGTATAGGTACGGGGGTTGATTTTAAGTTTCATATTAAAATAATTCTACTTCTTTCATGTCTTTCAATTGCTAATAGATTTTTTTCTCTTTATTTATTACAGAGAGGGGGAGCTTAGAGGTGTGCGAACAGTGTTGTACGTTGAAGGAAAGCTAATGGCAAATTGTTTGAGATCAAGCAAAGCCTTAGCGAAAACTGAAGCTTCACGTATATGTTTAAATTATTTTTATCGTTTTTGTTGGACTGTTGTAGTAAAAAATAATATGTGTGAAGAGGGTAGAATTGTTGATCGTGAAACTCTGTTAAAAGAAGTGAACGGGCAAACAACGCTTAAGTCTTCATTCGGCGAGAGAATGCTAACAAATATGGGTTGGAATCCCGGTTCCGGCTTGGGGAAAAATGGGCAGGGCATACTTGATCCAGTCACAGCTTCTGGAGGAGTGATAAATCGACAAGGGTTAGGTTTATCAAATGAGCGAGGTATAAAGTTATTGTTCAGAGAAAGATTAAGTTATTTATTGACATTGTATGTCGAAGAAGAGAGAGATGATTCTCTTAAATTTTCAACCTCTTTCACGAAGGCCGAAAGAGCGTTCATTCATACCAAAGCTGGTCATCTTGGCCTTAAATCTACGAGTTATGGTAGAGGAAAAGGACGTTATCTAACAATTTGTCATAGAAGAACTCCATCTCAATTGTTAAACTATGTTAGAAATTTAGATGGCAGCACTGATAAATATGAACTTTTACCTCCTCGTGATGTTAACTCTAAATAGTCTTTCGCCTAAATATAATTCATTATAGTTTTTTTTGTAATTGTATAATTGCTCAATTAATAGTTAGGAAGAATATTTCCGGAGCATTTCAATAACCAGTTGTATCATTCAATACTTGCAGTACTTTTACAGTCATTATTCGCTACGTTATTTTTTAATAGCTGACAGTTAAAAAGCTTTTTCCGACTGGTATCTCAAACTTTGAAAGCTCCTGTCTCGTTAAGACCGTTCTAATTGAAACGTTAATTTAGTCTGGCAATCTTTTTATTTGGTTAAAAAGAACTCGTCACGAAGCTGGTTACTTAGGATAGACTAATATAAAGTCTTTAAAATTAACTATACTGGCTGATTTTTATCGAAAATTTAGCAATGTATCATTACATATAAAAGTGTAATTGAAGAATGCAGAATGTTGATTATTTCTTTTCAGCTATATCTCTAAATCAGGTATTTCGATTATCTTCGAATCCAACTTGTTTCAATGTATGGGCTTTTGAATTAAAAAATTTTGGAAAACGTTGATCACTCTGTACAGGAGATCAATATTAAGTTTTAAATAAGCCAATAGATTTGATGATATAAGCTAACAACCATGATGTTCTGCCTAGGTACAAAAAAAAGTTACTGCCCTTAAATAATTCCAATATAGCGTTGTGCCAATATAAGCTTTTAGTAGTAAAACAAATGTACGAATGTATGATGATAGCTTATGATAAAAATAGTTTCGGCAATAATTAATTAAGACCTGAAAATCTGAAGAACTTATCATGCAAAAATTTGAAGAAAAAATAAGCAAGCATAGCCTGTCAACCGATTAACTGTATTATAAAATGTATATACAGAACTTATGAGCAATATATACATATATATAATATATATAAATTTATCTATATATAAAATATATATAGTATATATTGTTCGTGAAGAAAAGAGATAAGTAATGACAGAAAGAGGAGGATGAAACACTTGAAATTTTGGTTCTTTTGATGCAAACAAAAAGCTTCGTTTTTTCCCTTAGTTTTTTGTCACATGCATGAAAAAATTTATCGGGAAGAAGCGATTATTTTTACAAACCGCAAACTTGACAATACATCTTGAAGGAATTGAGTTATCGTACTGTCTTTTTCGCTTTTTTTACATTCATATATTATAACCAGCGTCACTTGTATGTCAACTTGAGATAGAAAGTAAGTAACTTGCTGTTTCTATAAAAAAATAAAAGAGTTTTTTAATGATATTTAATTAATAGCTTTTAAGAATGTAAATTTTACCATATCGTATTCGTATACGGTTTTTTCCATTTTGGACAATATCAGGGCTTTATCTGTCATTAGACTCACGACAACTGGCCAACGCTTTTCATTATTGCTTTGATCTCGCTATATTCAATAAATAAACAATAATTAGTCTAAAACAAATACAATTATTACAATATTTGTACATACGGCACAGCTATATATTGTTGGATATGAGCCTAAGCCTTTTGGCTTTTCAACTTCTCTTTGAGGGTGTTTATAGCTTGGGCCAATTTCTCCAAAATCGTCGCTAGAACACATTTCATAGACTAGATTTACTGAAGCGGCATCAGTTTTTTTAACAAAACTCTGCACTCTAAAAGAGGATGAAGGAATGAAGTTAACTGTGAAAAAATTTAAATACCTTCCTTACTTTGAAACCAAATCGACAGATAAACGACCCATATTCATTTTTAATTCGCTTGATGTTACTTGCTTACTCAATGTTTGATAGAAGTAGAGGGAATACTAAAAGAGGAACATGGAAGACAGATGAGTGCTCTATAAACTAAGTGAAATTACAAAGAGTACCTTTGCGGCTAAGGCTTGTCGTACATTTGTTAACCATTGACATAGATTTGGTAAAACGTAGGTAACTTGACTCGATGAAGAAAATAACGATAGTTTACTACTCTGCAAAAGATCGTAAGAAAATATTTAACATATATTAATCAATCGGTATATTAAAAATGTTACTTTTTCCTCTTTTTGCTGAGCGTTCTTAGTCCAATAATCCAGCTTATTTTTTGCATTATGCATATGAAGTGTAGAAGGTAAAAATTTCCATGTGGAAATAGAGTCTTGGGAATTTAATAATTCGCTTACTATCTCACATTCCAGGCTATAGACAATTCAATCGAATTCAAAAATATCCTATTTCATAATGTACTTTTTTACCTAAAGCTGGTTTTTAAAGGATTTAACAATGGATGATGAAAGTCTTTAGTATAATTCTCCTCGATTACTTGCATTTTACAAAGTAAATCGTTAGCAGAAAAAGACGTTTTTAAGTTGGTAGACGATAGTTGCTCATAACTTATTTTAGGAGAAAATAGAATAATAATAAAATCTATTAGTCTTATGTTAAATAATTTAAATATAAAGCTTTTTACAAATCCGTTGTAGAACGTCTAGCTTCGACAAAACGCGAGAGATGGATGCATAAATGTTGAATTAGGTTATTTAGATTTGTTTCCTTTAAAAGGCCTTCAATTTGTTGGAATAGAATGAAATATAAATCTTGGGTATTCTGAGAAAAAAAAATGTAAAAGATATTGAAAACTTTTAGTTTGTTAACCCAATTTTTATCTTAAATCTTACTTCATTCTTTCCTCCAAACCATTTTGATTTTAGAAAACTCAAGGACGAGTACGCTTTTTCAGCAGTAATCAAATTATTCAGGACCGATAGGAAGCTATAAAGTAAATATACGATTCTATAGAATACATACATTATTCTGTGAAATATTAAGGTGATAAAATATTTGTTTGTAACGCTAGATGCTTAAATAAAAAAGTTATTGATTTTTTTATCTAATTTTTTTAATTCTTAGTATTGTTACTATTTGATTCTATTTCTTTTCATACTTTGAAAAGGATGCATCCAATTTCGTATTATGCTGAAACTTATCGAGAATTTCCTTTGCAGAATCGTAAGAAAACCGTCCAATTTCGTTGAAATATTGACCTAAAACTTCGCTTATATTCTCTGTTTCGGGTGTCATATTCAAATCACGGATTGTAACAAATTAACTTCTTATTAGAATTGACTAATATTTTTTAATGGGAATATGGCCGATGTAGATACGCTCTGCTATTTCCTTTTAATTATTAATTAGCAGTATGATTTCAACTGAAAGACATCACTTGATTTTCCCTATTCTGACGATGAAAATAACTGAGTCTGAACCGGTCAGTTTTTCGCTTTTGAACGGTTACCGAAAAAAATAGAAATAATCGTAATATTTGTAAAGAAATTTATCTAATAAAATTATATTTTGAATTCAGACAACAACATTGCTGTGCAAAATCTTTTCAATCGAAATCTACTTAAAGAACGAGTCGGAAGTATGGTTGCCTGATAATATCTCATTCTTTTATACTTAAAAAATTGTAGTTTCAAGAGGAACCAGTCGAAAATTATGAAAAGAGAATTTCGAATCTTTTAACTTAGTAAAGTAATAAGATAGAGTAAATCAACACTGATTTTGGCTAAATCTAGTTCAAAGTAATGATAGTTATATTTTAGAATTTCATGGAGGGAGACGGGACATACCAAAGAGTTTGCTATATGCCATTTTAAATTTCAATGTAAAGAGAAAAAATTCTTCCTGGACATTTTTTATTTAATACCCGTAAGTCTTTTTCAAACTTTATATTTTAATCAATACATCCGTTTTTGACATACAATAGTACAAAAGACGCTGATATTTTCTCTTAAAAATCAGTATTTTTTTTATTTTGAAATCAACAAGAGCTAATGTTTATTAGATATATTTGAAAAAAATAAACAACTGTTTTTCTATTATTATCATAAAGACGTAATTAAATACTATTCTAAGATATGATTGTTTTGAACTATTTCCAGGCCACTTTATGTCTGAATAACCTTTAACCCTATTAATCCTATCTTCAAAATATTTCTGTCGTCTGCTACAGTTTTTGTCATGTGATAATGATTTCGTCACTAACTTAGGCTTACTAAAGTCAATCGTTGACTACGATATATCTTTTCAATTGGAATTAGTAATTAAAAGAAAGTTTAGCTTTCTTTATCAAAGCTTTTTTTAACTTTTTTTTGCAATAGTTCCTCGGTAGAAGAGGAATAAAGAGATTTTAAAAAAGGGCGATATTGAGTTGTTTGTTTACTCAACTGGTTTGATGGATAAACAGAAGGTCATTTTCATGTACAGCCTCTGAAAAATGGACCAAGGTGGTGAATCTGGCGATGATTCCGAGATGGAAGACTCGTTTAGTCGGTCATTGTGCAAAAAAAGATTAGGGTTATTATTAGTATCACTTGCAATGACAGACTTTTTAATATTTATGTCTCTGTCCGTCTTGGCACCTTTCTATCCAAAAGAAGCTGAGTCTAGAAAACTATCAAATACAATGTCAAGCTTAGTTTTTGGAGTTTTTTCCCTGGTACAATTTGTCGTTTCACCTATCTTTGGAAAAATAGCACTTTATACAGGCGTTGAATTTCTCTTTCTAGTTGGCCTGTTTGTCGGAGGAGTTTCTACAATAGTATTTGGATTAATGGAGTATGTGGAAGATAGTTTTATGTTTATGTCACTAAGTATCATCATCCGAATTTTTATAGCTCTGGGTTGTTCAGCAAGTAACACAGCATCTTTGATCATAATTGCTAGATCATGGCCTTCTTTATTAACAACATTAGTCGGTATTTTAGAAACAAGTTCTGCTTTGGGTTATATGGTTGGTCCGGCTCTTGGAGGTGCTCTTTATAGTTTAGGAGGATTTATATTACCTTTTATAGTTCTAGGAAGTCTTTTGGTCATTGCAATTCCGATTAGTTGGCTATTATTAGGTAAACGGGAAAAGTGTGAAATTGTAGTTGAAAATAATAATTATGGATTAATGAGATCTTGTTGTAATTTCAATTTTATTGCCGTATCTATCGCAATTGTGTGCTGTTCATTAATCTGGGCTTTTATAGATCCTATATTGGAGAGGCGATTGAATAGCTTGTTCTCTTTATCACCAACAATTGTAGGCTTAGTCTTTCTTTTAACATCAGCAGCCTATGCTCTGACAGCGCCATTTTTAGGTTACGTCGTTGATAGGAGAGAATCGCTCAAAATTCCTTTCCTATTTTCTGGATTTTTAATATGCGCCATATCATTCCTTTTATTGGCACCTTCCAAATGGCTTGGGTTAGAAAATTATAATGAATTATGGTTGTGCCTATTATCTCTAATACTTCTTGGAATTGGATCAAGTTTAACAATTGTGCCTACATTCGTATTACTTTTGCAATCGATGACATCTCATAAAGGTGAAATGCCCAAACATTCATACGTTGCAGGTATTTGGAGTTGTGAATTTGCTCTAGGTAAATGTTTTTCCCTTTTAAATCTATCACTTAAGTATGCATTTTTTACAGGAGAATTCTTAGGGCCTGTAATTGCCGGCAGCTTAGTTGATAGAATCGGTTTTTCCGACTGCTTAAATTACATCGCAATAATTCCAATTAGCATGTTTATCCTATGGATTTTTATGTACTTCAAAATGGGAAGAAACTCGCCGTTGAAAACTGAAGTTAGAGTATCTACATCGGAAGAAACTCTTCAATCAGAAGGAGCCGATGAAACAAGTAGCCTATTAAATGAAAAATCAGTTCACCGTACGCAAATCTACACTTAAGAGGAATAAAAACAAAAAACTATTCTATCTATACATATGCTGTATATACATTTATTTGTATATATTCATATATATATATATATATATATATATTATTTTCTCTTACTTTAGCTGAAAAGAAAACCTGCATAATTTAAGACAGTTTACCTTTTTGTACATTTGACATTATATGTTTATATATATATAAATTTATATATATATATATGTATATACAAACTTCTATATATTACCTAAGTCGACTCTTATTGTATTCTAAGTGGTTACACCTGGCTAACAAACGATGCTTCTCCTCTTTGTTTAAAAATAATTAAAAAATTACAAGATATACTTGATAGCATTGATTTAGCTAAACAATGAAGATGGCTATGGTGACCAATGATGATAACGATGACAATCATGATAAAAATTAATTAAGAGGGAAGCATAGTAATTAGTTTTTTTTTTATACAACTGTGATAAAGAACATAAAATCAATTGTAACCAATTCAAAAATGATTATCAATGGAAAATCATAACTCTGTTAATTTTCATTTAGAGTATTCCTATTAGAAATCAAAAATAAGAAATTATGTAAATTTTGTTAATGCATAAACATTAAATAAAATTACTAAGGTTAAATTACTACTATTCTTTCTCATTACAGAAATTTATCGTCTTTTGAATAGGCCTAATCCTTGAGGTAATATCCCTACGGGATTGAGGAAAAAACCTGAAAATACTTCTTTTATACATTTCCATTAAATTAAAGTAACACTTTCGTTAACTTACAATTTGGTATTATTCTTTTTAACATTTTTATGTGGGTTAAATGTATATTTCTCACTATTCCAATTGTTTTGTATCGGTCTATTCTTTTGGAAGATTCCATTGTAATCCTTTTTAAAAGCAATTGATGTATAGAAAGTATCTAATTGCATTATTGATAAACATGTTAAATCGGTTTGGGTTGATCTATCCGACGTCATTCGTAAACCTTTTAAATAATCCTTTCTCTCAGGCATCTTCCAATAGATCTTATCACATTTATCTGCGCGATCATCATCTTCAAAGCTTCTTACAGTATCGCTTAAATTGGCATTAACTCTCCCCTTGTAATTATTCGAGCATTTGCCGTCCAAAGAATTTTTAATAGTATCTATAGAAAGTACAGGTTTATCTATATCAATAGATGACTTATGGTACAGGCATTCCTTCGCAGTTGATAAGATATTATTCATTTAGAAAGTATCTTTCCAATTTTTTATTACTTTTCATTAAAATTATAGAAGATAGAGAATTTTTAAAGAAATAAAATCATAATCAATACATTTGACTTAATTAATTGAGTTTTAAATATATTTTATGACATATTTAATTATGTATTTATTTAATCTAATCATTGTAGAAACTCAATAGAATATCTTGATTTAAAATCATCATCAGAGTCTTCATACGGATACCAGAAAATGTAGTTTGTATCCCAAATATTATTGTAGATATTAAAGGCAACTTTGGTTATCTTTTCATCAATTGGGTTTAGAGGAGCAGCAAATACGGACGCCTTGTGACTAGGTGTTTCAATGCAAACTAGGGAGACATCCAACGATCGAATAAGTAGACCTGATTGTTTTCTCTCATCAGCATAATAGATACCTTTGTCGATAGCTATTAAAACAGAGAAAAACTATATTTATAGCACAAACGTAAAAGATAAATATACACATATTTCAGATATTCTGTATTTAGATGGATGAATATATATTTACAAAATATATTCATCCAAGTATAGAATATCTGAGAAATATCTTTTCCGATACGGACCATGTAGATATTGACTTCCGTTTTTAACGACGTTTAAGGGGTCGACGATTGATCCCATTTTGCTCAGGAAATATTTGTAATTATTCTTCGGAGTCGCTTCAAAACTAAACATTAAAGCCTCCGGGAGTCTTGTTGTCGTTTTATCGAAGAGTTGCAGTTCTATTTGTAGGCCTACAAGCAGAAGAAAGTAAATCTATTTTCAAATAATAGACGCTTAAATGCTTAATAGAAACAAAAAAGAGAATAGAAAGGACATAAGAAAGAAAGAAGAAAACCTTTGTTTGTTTGAAAGTAATGAATCCAAATTTCCTTTGGCGCTCCGTAATAATTCCATGTTTTTTCGCTTAAAAGAATTACTTTTGAATAGACGTCGCAGAGATTATCTTAATAAATTAACTGGAATTAATAGATTGTCATATTAAATAAGATCAATTCATTACCTCTTTTAACAAATAGATCGGACATGCTAACTTCCCAAACTCTGCTTTCAGGTTTAGCATTTTTAGTGACATTGAGTTTAGAATAACCTGCACTGTTGCCGTTGTAATTAAACAATTTACCAAAATTGTTAAAGTCAGTTTCATTGTAGGTGACGTAGTAAAAACGTCCAAAACCGTTAGACCATTCATTCTATTGTTTAAAATAGATTATTAGTATTTACGTAATTATATAAATTAATTACTAAATTAGAAAATTTACTTGAAAACGCTTAAGTGATGAGATAGAACCATCTTCGCCGATCTGAAAACGTTAAATCTCATTTGATAAAATTAACATATAAAAAAACCTAATAATTAATTCTCTTTTTCCTTCCCTCACTCGTGCTCACTTCCGTTTGTAGTAATCTCATTTTTTATATAAAAAACCTATATTTTATACATTTACATATATATATATATATAAATATATATAGATGTATATATAGATATATATATATTCATTTATTTATTTATTTATATCTTCTGTGTATATGAAATGATTTTATACGAGCTGTTGTAATTGACAAGATGAAAGGTATTAAATAGGCTTCAACCTTGAAGGAAATGTTGTTTTTGCAATGGAATTCGTTATTAGTCAAGGGAATTTGCTTGTAATCTATAAAAAAAGAAACGTTATAGTCATATTTCTCTTATAATATTTAGTTATATTTACTTTCTAATTCCGGTACAATGGCGCTCATTCCATGCCAATTATTCTTAATCTTCTCAGCTAAACTATGATTACCAAGGGCATCGATAGTTAATTGAACAAATTGTTTTTGTTCAATCCAACTCAATTCACCGTCTATCAATGATTTCTTTTCTGTATGTTTTTAAAAGAAAGTCAATAAGATAGATTCTGAAAAATAATATAAATAGAATAATGTAGAAAATTAAACCTTTTCTTACTGCTTCAAATTGATCATTTCTCCAGTGGATCGTATCAAAAACAGAATTTAAGCCCCAGGTGTGTTCCCCTAATTTTATCAGAAATCTACTGGCATTGTAAAATCTATGATCTGTATAGTCGCATTTTTCTGTTGAATTTCATATACATTTATATATAGTATATGTATAATAAAAGTTTATAGGATATTTATGATCTTTAGTTGCTTTCTTGGTTCATAATTAGTGTATTTTTGTATGAATTATTTACTTACTAGCTGAGAGGCATTTTGCAAATGCTCTAGTTAAATGACGATATAATTGTGTTTTACGAGTGTCGGATTGAACTCCTTGTATCCAAACATCTCCTATTTCCTTATTCACAACAGGAAGTCGATTTGCAATAGGCTGAACTAGCTGGAAATATTCTTCAAATGTTGACGCTTTTAAGTTAGCAGACGGAAATTGAACGCGTAATATTTCATAGTAGTTCAATATTTCTATTATATTTATCGGTGGTCCGCTGTTGTCAGTTCTGAAAGCAAAACACAACGCCTCTGGAAAGTTTGGTATGACTACGCAATCTTCTCTAGATAAGCCTCCGGGATTTGCTGGATTAGGTCCTGGGTTATTAGGATAGCCGCCTATACATTTATTTTAATGTTAAATTAAAACTGTATAAAATCTTATAGATGAATATGCTTGATACCTTTATGCCAAGTTGCAATTACTGAATGATTATTAAACTTCCAATTAAAAATTTGAGGAACGTCTGGAGGAGGTGTCATAGGATTAACACCAACCGACAATCCTTTCACTCCGAAACTGCTTAAAATTGGAATTGCAGCTTGCGTTAAGCCTAAAATTAGATTAGCATTATAAATGAAAAGAAACGCTAATTATTTGTTAGATAGGAAGAATTGTTTAACCAGGGACGTCTCTCTGACTCATTACTCTTCCTTTCCTGCGAATGCCGAATCTTTTGTCAAGATCTTGACTCAATTTCAGACCGAACTTAAATAATTCAGGGCCGACGTTTTCGACTTGGAAATTCATCGGCACAGCATGCCAGTTTATCGTTCCGTTCCCAACGGCCCACTTAAACCTTTCGATCTCGGTAGCGTTTGGACACTTTTTCAACAATAATTAAATTAACAAGTTTCTTTAACAAAGCTATAACGTTATTGTAAACCTTCAATTGAATTCCGGATAGGACCAAATTTGGGGGACAATCTACATACATGCTAACAAGCCAAGGATGTGTAGTATAGGTAAACGTCTCTAAATAACCACCCCGTCGTAATTCCTCGCCGATTTCAGCTGCTCTGGGAAAGTATTCTGTGAAATAGGCGTTAAGGACGTTGTTTACAAAGCCTGTTTTGGGGATTCCATTGTATCCAACGTCTTTTTTAATAAAAACAAAATCAAATTAGACGGTTTTTATATCTGTTGCATAATTATTATAATGAGAATAAAGGAGGTACCTAAATGGTTCATAAACACTATATGGACATTCTTGACAAAGTCCGTCTGTCTTTTAAAGTTTGCTTGATCGAATCGATAAACGGTTTGGTGTTTGCTTGAATAGACTAAAGCCTATAGGAGACAAAAGAAAACAAAAATACTGACAACTAGAATTCAAGTATTCAATATTCTATTTGATTAAGGATATACAAAAGCAACGAAAGAGACTGACTAGTAAAAGTGAAGTTCATTCACTAGGTATTAATCCTCTACTTACTAGCGCGATGATGTAAGAAAAGGTGGAAAAGAGCCTCATAATTGGACAATAAAATTGATTGGGACTCCAGCTAGTTAAGACGCCTTCAATCGTATTATTGTCAGGTTGCCTAATCACATGATCGCTACATATCACGTGACAGTCGTTGCGAAATATTAAACTAATTTTTGCCTATTTAATTATCTTAAATAGTGTCAATTTCAAGAAAACTGTATTGATATGCATAATTCTGATCCTTAATAAACACAATAAGGATCTTTGGAATCAGTTCTTAACCAGAATGTACCGGTTCGATTAGCGTATTCTTCAGTTCTAAAACCCATATAATTACAATCTGGATCTTGACAATGCCGACACAGTCCCTGTTAAGATAATCGTGGGGCGTATTTTTAGTAGAGTATAGGATATTTTAATTACAAAAATTAGGCCTGTAGTACCTCTTGCTGATCCTCCTTACTCTTGCAAGGCACTGCTGTGAATTTACAATCGCTCGTCAAAGATTCTTTGTAATACCATATGGCTCTGTGGTGCGAGCAGGTGATAGCGTCTTGAATATCTTGTTTTTTAGTCAAACAACCTGGTTGCATTGAAGCCAAGTTGGGAAAAAAGTCAATATGGCCAATAGCCTATATTAGTAAAGGATTAGTTTAACTTCAATTAATAAGACAACAAACTAATAGACAAAAAAACAATACTTTTCCAATGCCCAGATCAATAATTGGTCCTCCATCCCCATGTGTGTGAATACAATCGACTAGAGTAGCGTCGCCTTTATCCAATCTAGCTTCAGGCTCATTATCGATCCACCATGGCCCCGCAGGATCTAAACCAGTAATTCTACCAAACTCAGACCTTTTACCCGCAAATCCGCAAGCGTGAGCTCCCAAGCTGTGACCGACACAATAACACGAATCCGGATCAACGTCTCTCTCATCCTGCAATTTCTTGGCTATTAAAGCTATCTCGGCCCCAGTTACTCTTGTGTTTGAAGCAGCCAAAGGATAATCTATTCCTGGATCAATTGAACCCGAGGACCAGTCAACAAATATAACGTTAAAATCCCCTTTACTTAAAAATCCGTCTATTAGTGGCTTTACCCAACTATTATGCTCCGAACTGAGATAACCATGAACGATAAAAACGGTTTTTTCCCGTTTACCATCGAAAATTGGACTAGGTAATGGAAAATGCGTATAAAGGAGTAAAAAGAGACACTAAGAAAGAGTTATAAAAACTTACGGAATATAATCTCTTTCGATTGCTTGAGCCGAATCTGGATTTCTTCTGGTATATAGTAAAAATTGAGGATGTACTCTATCAGGACACCACGGAGCAGGTAAATGCTCGAAAGGTGGCTCATCCGTAAAGCATCCTAATCCATCGCAACAACGTATTTCATAATCCTCGCAAAAAACGCTAAAAATAGAAATTTTCGTACAATATCTTTTACTTGTAATTAAAAATCGAATAGATAACAAAAGAGTTTACCCTTTTCCCACAATTAAACCAAAGATTAGAATCAGATGGTATTTAAACATTGTTTATTAAACCTGTGAAAGATTCTTTTCTGAACAACTTCTTTCTCGTATTGAACCAACCAAACCGATTTTTTTTCTTAACTAGGATACAAAAACACTGATAAAGATGCTAAATTTCAAGTAAAAAACATGTTTATTCTCATACTAATAACTTTTTCCTTGTATTTATACATATATATATATATATATATATATATATATATACATATAAATATATCACAAATATATACATAGACGTATAAGTAGTATATATCTTGTGTCATGACATATTAAAAAAAAAACATATATATATGTATATATATTCAGGTATATACGATCAAGGTAATTGCTTTTTCCATTTGTACAAGTCTTCAATAAATGCAGACAAAAAATTGTAGAAAACGTTTCTATAAAAAAAGATAAACGATAATAGAAAAAAAAAAAAGCATCATTTTTTTTTCAACAAAAAGAAACAACAAAAATTTAATTTAAAAGCTTTTTTCACCGGACTTTCTTTCGTATTTTTTCATTGTTTTGTTTACTTTCACTTTGTATGTATATCTTTTTCCCTTTCACTCTTCTTCTGTTTTTTTTTCTTTTTTCAATGTATATGCATGTATATATGATGAATCATGACAATAAGATGAATAATAAAGATTATTGTATAAAAACGTATAAAAAAGTTTTTTCAGTAATGTTTTAATTGATTTTGTTGTATAAAAAATGTTTTTGTTTTTGTTTACAAACTAATTCTGTCGTTTCTCTTAGAAACTTTAGCGGCTGTTTTGGGTGATCTGACTGGTAGTGACGGTGATTTCGTTAGACGCAAAAGAGAGCTCCGTCGCTTCTTCTTTTTACTTTTTGCTGTCGATGGTGAGTTATTGTTTACTTCAAGTTGTTCAAAACTAGTGTTTGCTTCCTCTACGATTGGCGTACTTGGTCTAGATGTTTGAGTCGATCCCGCTACGTAAGCCTCATCAGCTCGTTCGTCTATAGACGAATTTAATGAACGATCAAGCAGAGTTCTCTGTTGGATAATATCCTCATCCGCAGCTAACACTGTGCTAGCTCTTTCGGTATCAAGAATAATATTATGCCAATTCGATGGTCTATGCGTTACTACATGATGTCTGGAGGTCGATATTTCAGTAAGAGCCGGGCGATATGGAGCAGGAGAATGTTGTTCCATAATTATATCTCTAAGTGCCTGCCCTATAGCGAAAGCGGTTATTTAGATGAAGAGAAAGGATTAATTGTCCATTTACTTACTATGGTTAGCGGATCGCCTTCTATTTGACGTTATACTATCTAAGAGCATTTCTGTAAGTTGTGCCTGCATTTGCCAGCCAGCCATTACAACGAGAAGCTATTAGCACCTGATAGGTCAAGTGACGGTCAGCGATGATGTAAACAAATCCTGAGTTTTATAAAAGAAGATGGTCTCTGTTTGTATATGCTGCAGCTTCCGCTCTGGCCGTCTCCACTTAGCCTTGCATGAACGGGATTTAGGTTTACAATGAAAAAGTGCACCAACGCTACGTTTTGGCGGGATAGTGATCACGTGACCGGATATTAATAGTACTTTTGGTCTTGACCAATTGTAGAGTGAAAAAAATTTAGTGCGTATTTTTGCGGGAAAACTGATAGTGTGTAATCTCTATTGTTTACAGTGATAACCCAAAAAATATTCAAGCACTTGACATAGCCCCGGTGATAATTATTATTTATTTAAACTAACTATAATATGCCTAAGCTTACTGTTCAGTCTTTTACTATATCTGCCCATAGCCGTTCTCTTTCATCCAACTCATTTTTCTCCCTCTATCTTTAGCTATCTCTCTTTCCTCCTGTATAAGATTTCAAATACACCGAAAGATAAAACCATAGTGTTTTATTGCAGTCAACTTTGTGACCTCACCGTCCCACGTATCTCTCAGTCGACGCCGCATCACGTGATCAGACGCCAGCAACATCTACCGTCGTCGACGCTTTTCGCGCCATTCATTGATCGCTACTTGCTTCAATTTGAACGTATGTTCGTGTTCGCGACGTCGTTTTCCTCTCCGTTTATCGAACAATGTACGGGATATGACAAACAAAAATACAACAATAGATTTCTTCGATTATCTTTGGATGAGCGCATACAACCGTCTATTCTCATATTTAGAAGATAACTGTTTTACTCGAAGTGGCGTCTTTTCAATTATTTACAACTAGAGGATAGGATAATTATACAGATAGAGAAAAGACGCATATAGTTGCGTGACTATTAAGAAAGGAGAAGAGGAGAAACGAAAGATATTATTAGATGCCTGCTTGCCTCGATAAAACCTGCAGACTGGAGAAATTGGATGTCTGCGAATTAGCTGGACGCAAAAAGCGTCGAAAACGGAAACGCTGTCGACATTGTGGAGTCAGTATGCCCATGGAAAACCCTCGGAAGAAATTGACTTTATATTCCAATTCTGGTTTGTCGTTATTAAAAGAGATACAAAACAATATATTTTTCTCATATATTACCATTTGTATATAAAATATAGCATAGAATATATACAATTTATAAAGCAAAGCATATATACAGTACTATGGAGCATATAGTTCATGTTCCATATATTATTATATCTATATTAAATTAACTATTTGATCATGTCATATTTAGCGAGAGGTTGTTATTAAACTTGTAGTTTATATAAGTAAATATATACGCTTATCTATTTATACTAATACTAGATACATATATATGGAGTACGTGTATTCAGTATAAAGTTTTAAAAAAAAAAATTATTACTTAGGCCTAATTAATATACTTTACGTACAGATTGGAAAAGTGAGTTGACATCGTTCGCCTTTTGGAAAGCTGTCAGGTGTGAATTTCTAGCCACCCTCTTTTATGTGCTAATAGGTTGTGGGGCATCATTAATTTGGTCAAGGGAGACACCAACGTCGCAACTTCAAATGTCCATAGCCTTCGGTTTGTCAGCAACTGGAATGCTACAGTGCGTAGGTCATGTTAGCGGAGCTCATATGAATCCAGCTATTACAGTATCGATGTTGGTTACAAGAAACATCACAATTCTTAGATCGTTCGTCTATGCTCTCTCTCAATGTATAGGCGCTATTGCCGGTGCCGGAATTCTCTACGGAATAACGCCGTCCAGAGTTCGCTCTATTCAACCTATAGGCGTGACCAGGGTCCAAGAAGAAGTTAGTCTTGGCCAAGCCTTTGGAGTTGAATTTTTAGCTACCTTTCTTCTAGTTTTAACAGTCTTCTCGAGAACTCAAAAACCCATGAGCATAGGCTTAGGAGTGAGTTTATCGCATCTTTTCGCCGTAAGTATTAAAGAGAAAACAAAAAACGCATTAGGCATCGATTTCAAATAAGCACCCATGTTCGATCAATGACCGACAATTCGTCGATTTTTTTTTCTGCAAGTTAAGATGCCAAATTGCCATATTAAAGCGATTAGAATTGCAAATATCATCCTCACGCCGGCGTCTTCAAATATCTATGATTTGCAAATAAGGCCGTCGCCTATTTAAGCATTCCAATACCGTTTTGTATAATGATTTTACTTCTACAGAATCGAATTCCCCCTACAAGGACGAATCGTTCTTATATATATTTATATAATACTTAGAGTAATTTATTATAGTTTTAACGCAATATACTCAGAGTGAAAGATAGAAAGAGTGGGGGACAGAGAGTAGGAGAGACGGAAAGACAGAAAAGTATTTAGACAGATTAAACTGATAGGGATGGAGGGAGAAAGAATGAGTGCTAGAATGAGACACTATTTGGTGATATTCTTGCAGGATAGGCCTATTAAATAAATCCCAGACAGAGCATGTATTAATTAAAATAGATGTTCCACTTGGAATAACGACATCTAACGCTTTTTCGCCAGCTTTTGCCCTATTTTCTCAGAGTCATATATAGATATATATAGAGTCGCAAAGAGGAATCATACTAGTCGTAAAAGCTTGTCAAGCACACACGACGGTGGGTAATTGATAGTGATTACTGATATTTTCCAGCCCAATATTATATCAAAAGGATGAGCAAGGAGGCCTATTCGTAAAGGGTGGGAGAGTTAGGTTGGAAAGGATGTGTGTCGGACATTGATTAAGCTGATGTAAGAGTAGCATGTTTTGTTTTGTTGTTTTTTTTTTACTCTTTCATTAATACTTTCATTAAAATCCAATCATTTTTAGCAATCGTTTTTTTTCCAAATTAAGAAAATTGAGTTGATTTTTTTCATGATCGACTAGTTAAAGATACTTCAGCGTCATCGATTTCGATTTCGGTAGAGTGAGCGACGCTCTTTTTTCTCTCTCTCGCTCACCACACTCTCTCTGTTTTTCTTTCCGCGTCGCCCGACTGCGTCACGCCACGCAATTACCATCTAATGAAGAACATTATAAAGTAGATTGTAGGCCTATTGATGTGAAATTTGACTAAGACTACTGAAAAAAAAAGAGAAAATACAATTGAGTTGATAGAAACGGGCAAAGAATATGGAAGAGGGGAGATTTGGTCAAAAAGAAGGATATAGAGGAGTAGGAGGGGGAAGGGAATAGACGTCAAATAGTGACTAGCATTAATTTTGCGTTTAATGAACCACTGTCATTGACCTTGTTATTTTCACAGTACAATTACACCGGAGCCGGTATGAATCCTGCCAGATCATTAGGACCAGCATTAATAAACAATTCCTGGACAGATCATTGGGTAAGATGAAAATTTAATTTACTTTTACTACTTTTAGTTATTCTATACTATTATCACATATATGACTAGGTTTATTGGGTAGGACCTCTCTTGGGCGGCATAATTGGAGCCTTTACGTATGAATATACACATGATGCTAATGATAATGACATAAAGAGAACACTGAAAAAGAAAAGACTGGACGACATCGAAAGAACAGCAAACATACAAAGTTGTACATCTGCTTCTACGGAAATTGCTTTTACACCGACGCCTACATCGGAAGACTTGAAATTATAAAGTATATCATATTAATCGATATAGAAGTATAGCAGTATTGTCCGGTTCGCTGAATTCGTCATATGGCCTACGATGAAATCAATCCGAACACCTGGTAGGAAGCTCTTGAATGAGAATTGATAAGCGTAGAATAAACTAGACAGTCAAACAACTCGAGCAAACCTTTCTCAGTCAATACGGCTTTGCTCGCCAAACTTAGTTAGTCGGCGTCTATATAGGATTGCTCGCCTCGTCTACTACGTTCGTTCTCTTTCTCGTTTGACAGTCGGATATATATAAAAATGGAATGGATGACTGGAAAACAATGAATGAAGAAAAAATGGAATGACGTTTAATAATATTAATTATAATAATGAATAATAGATCATTTATAAAAAGAAATAGACTCAATTTTATTTGCTTTTCTCCGTCGCGTGTGTGCTACTATTACCTGACTGTAAAAAAATTGCTGCAAAAATAACGCGACTGCAAACAAGCCTTAGGCCGTATGAGCTTTGCTACAAAATAAAAATGTTTTACGCCCAAAATAGTCGTTGGCGCCATCTTTTTGCAAAATTAAGAATTAGGGTGGAAAGAAGGGCAAAATTTTTAAATAATTACCATGCTATGACGTTAATTAATGAAATAATTATGTAATATATTCATAATATTTATAGTATATTAGTTGAGTTGCCTCTTTGCTATCTTCTCTTGCATTTTATCCCTTCCTTTTTTCTTCACTCTTCTTCGTCTCTTATACTCTTCCCTTATAAGACTTCTTAGAGTAAATTAAGGAAAATTGGAAGAAAATTAATCCAAGCCAAAAAAAGTACCAACAGTTTTTGAATTATGCAAATTCAGTACTTCAACATCATCTTTTTCAATTATTTTTCCATTTCTTGACAATCTCCTTCTATATTGACTTTCTTGTAACATTCTTTTTATGAAGACATTTCTCATCCATTTAGCTAAGTATCCAAAAGCAGAATAATAATTGTATAAATAGTAATAAAAAGTTTCTTAACAATCCTTTTTCAGTTATTGTCATTGCTTGTAAAGTAGATAAAAGGAATAGTCTATTGGCCAAAAGCGTCTAATAACAATAAAAGGAATCTCTAATACTTCCTTTTGGAATATCAACTTGCTCAATAGTAAAATATTGAGAGCGAGGATGATAATATCAATTCGGAGCAGACTTTGCGTATTATATCCAAACGATTACTTCCGTATTTATTGTTGAAGAAGCTAAATAAAAAAAAAAGTGAAAGTAGGTGAAGGTCAGGTTATTATTCTCTCTGGAAAAATAAAGTAATTATTCTTTTGAGACGATTTCAGATAAATCAATATGGAGCCTTGTTGGTTTTCAGTCTAGGTGACAAACCAGGGGTCTAGGTAACTGCTAAAATAGACTTTGAAAAGATGCTTAGAATACATTAAATTTCTTCTCAAGTCTTTTAAAATACAATCTGTCAATGAATTTTAAGTATGCTAACATTTTTAATTATTGACTTTAATTGTGTTACGGAAATCTTAGATTTTTCATAGGCCTGTTTTTCGTGATTGAATTTTTTTTTAAGGTCTATTTAGTCACCAATTACATTCTTAATGCAGCTTGAGGCCTAGAACTAGCACCTTGGCTATTAACCTTCAAAAAACAGAGAGAAACGCATGCACTTTTTTTTTCATTTAACTTGGTCTTTTGAGCCATCACAGCCTCCTTATGAATATTTATGACCAACCAGATTAAACGATTTTGGTGGAAAGAAAAAAGAATGTCTATCATCATTCCTTGTAATCATGAAACGAACGTGGTCGAGAAAGGCATCTCGCCGAATGAATAAACATGCAGAATATATTAAGATGTTCAAGTTAAAAGAGACGAGAAAACAAAGTGAGACTTTAATAAATATCTGGAAAAATAGGATTCAATTCAGTTCTTCTTATTTGAAATGATTTAGGTTTAGGACTGGACCAATCTGACATTTTCTCGTATTGGTTGTGATGTAACACATTCTTTCTCCATAAAGCAACTTTGGGAAAGGTTTTCAAGTCAATTTTATCTTTTCCAGCTTCTTCGACTGCTTGAAAGACTTCAGCATCAAGTTTTGTAGCATTCAATCTGTGTTGATTTAAAAAAAAAGTAACATTAGTTTTACTTGATAAAGTCAATATGATAGAAACTGTTAATCTGAGAAGATACAAATGTGATCTTTTTTTACCCGGTTAGAAAGACAGGCTCCGATTCTAGATCTTCAATAAAAGAGTCACCATTTACTGTGCACTCGTTACACATACCACAACATTGGGCATCGTGAAAGACCTCTTCATTGACTTCGTCAGCTTGCTTAGTAGATTTTGGAGAATTTAATATTAAACTTTCTAATTGTTTTGTAATATCGCCAATATCGTCGGCGTAATCGTATTTGACGGACAAAAAATCCTCTAATTTTTGGAGACCTTCTATTGTGCTAAAATCAGCAAAATCGTCTAAAAATTCCCAATACTCTGAGAAACCTATTTTCATATCTTTTGCTGCAGAACGTCCAACTTTTTCCATACCTTTTTCTAAATCTCGACATCTAATTGCCCTCTTCATTGGGGAAGTACAAATTTTTTTAAAATTTGAGGCATCTTCTGCACTCATTGGTCCTGCAAGAGCATGAACTCGTAAAGGTGAAGAATTCTGACCAATTTTAGCAGTTCTAGGAGGAGTTTGAACGGCTTCACCAATTTGAGGCGGTGATGAGAAATCTTCTGCTCTCAAAATTGGTACATAATAACAATCACGAAGCAGTTTCATAAACTTTTCTTTATCTTCTCGACTAGTTTTTACACGATCACCTATAACATCTTCTACTTTTTCTTTTTCTTTATTTACACGGTTTCTCTCCAAAATAGGTTCCTGCAGTATTACTTTAGCAATTTGCCAATGATTTAGTCGGGCTGAGAGATGTAATGGAGTATCACCGCGAATACCGTCGCAACCATTTATATAAGAGTGTAGTAAGATATCTGTTTTATCAGTTATTAGATCATCGTCACTACTTGAGTACATCTCTTTCATCAGGGTTTTGTCCTTGATTAACTTAATTATTAATTTCGCAAAAGCGTCTCTGTTATGTGTAGCGCAAACATGAAGCGCATTATAACGAACTCCTTCTTTAAGAATGGTTGGTAAGTCATTAGCTGAATTAACAAGATATTTAGCATTACTCCTAATGGTGTCTTCAAATTCATCGTATTTGTCTTGTTCGATCAAGTGGCGTAACTTATTGAGGTCTTGTTTCCTTAAACTAGGTAAGTCGTTTGCTGGCTTCGGTTCATCGCCTCTCATTAAGGTGTTTGGAAGGGGCGCAGGAGTGGACGCAAATTCTAAAGCATCTGCATACGACGAAAAGTTTTTAAAGCGGGCACCAGGCACACTTTTAGCGGCCCTGCACGCTGATAATTGATCGGTGAATATCCAATTTTCCAGGCCATTACTGTATGGGCTTTTTTTGGGTGGCTGGGAGACAGCATAGTAAATTTTATCTGAAGAACCATTTGAATTGGCTAATGTAACGGATTCCTTAAAATTATTCGCAGGTTTTTTAAAATCTGCTACTTCTAAGTCCGTTTCAGGTGGATCGGTAACAACTGGAGCTTCTTCAATAACCAAACCTTGTTCTCTAGCTTTAAACTTGGTTAATTTTTTAAGGTATAAATTTCTTGTTGACTTTAAAATGGGTCCAATAACAACTCCGTACTTCTGTAGTTCAGCTCGTAGATCGGTATCGGATATATCTTCAAGCCGACTTAATATTTCATCCATAATCAAGTACGAAAAATATAATGAAAACAAAGTAGATAAGTCGTGTTATTAGATTTTACCGACCAAGTCGGTCCAGAATCATGGGGAAAACTGGTAAATATGTTAAAAAAAGGAACACTATTCATTTTTGACGCATGCGCATTACCGGTTATCGTAAACAATCTCTGACCAGAAAAATGGTAAAACTCTTTTTCATTTATTCTATACGTAGTTTTTAATTAAATTTAATCGCTGTAATAATTTTAAATTAAATACCGCTAATTAATAGGAGCTTTTTAAATTGTGAATACTTTATACGTATCACTTATTTTAGCGAAAAAAATATTTTTGAGCGAAAATATGCGTTTTTATTGAATCATTGTATAACTAGAGTCTTGGATATCCTTCTATTCGCCCAAGATCTAACGATCAGAAGATAGCTGAACCTACTGGAATCAGCAAAAATGAATATGAGTTGCCTGATCGCATGTTTGGAAGGTAAAATAAACACTTTCCTCAGAGCAATATAATTACCTTTAGCTACTTTAGTGCCTCCGTTAAATCTGGCTTGATGCAACGCCATCCCTTAGAGGAATCAGAAAAGCTTTGGGATAAGAACCAATTTGATTTGAACATGGCTATGCTGAGAAATACCCAAGGGATTAGCGCTCCCCTAAAGTTGACAATGGAACGCAAATTTGCTTCAAAAGTAGGAAGATTACCTTGCATGAGGTCTAGCAACGTTATGATGCAAACGTTAAATGGTAAGAATGGCGTGATACAAGTTTTCCTTTTTTTCTATTATCACTGATAAAATGAAATTAACTCCCAACAGGATCAGATGAAACTATCGATTTTGATGATATTTTAAATACTGAACCAGAAAGTGCTGGAAACCCTCATATTCTTGTTGAAAAGAGGCTAGGATTATTGTAAAAAAAAAAAACCAAACAAATAAACATTTTTGTAAAGTTCAAAAACATAAATAAAATAAATATTTGTATTTTATCGTAAAAAACGAAAGGTACCATTCTTATTTAAATAATTTTATAAATTATATAAAATGATCAATTAAGAATAAAAAATAAAGATAAATCGCTTAGAACGGAATTGATCTTATCAGTGGCATAATAGATGGCGTGATAATCAACATAGAGTTCTTTTTTTCCTGATAATAACTTATCCATTTGAAATACGGATTATTTAAAAAACAGATATAAAAATAATGGAAAATGTAAGTAAAGAAAAGATGTTTATACAGATATATATATATATTATCCATGTATATATATATATAAATAAAAAAAAAACGATTTTCTTATTCTAATAAGGTTAAAGAGAATAAATAAGATGAAACTTCTGACATAAAAAAGCTTTACAAACGGTTACCGCCCACTAAAATGTAATTATAGTTATTAATTATTCATAAAATATCATTGAACTTTAGGCTTTTAGTAGTTAAAAGTGATATAGTTTGTATGTATAAAAACTAATCAAATAGACTTATGTACTGCGTATGTAAAGTAAATAGGAACAAGCGATGAAAACAATTAATTATTTTTAATTATGGGGCGTATGTGTTTTTTCCGCTACAGTTTTTATCAAATAAAACGCAAGTAGGTCAGTTTTTATATTAAAAGAAGCGTGTTAATATCTGTACCATAATAATTTCCATAAATATATTTTTTAAAGAATTCTAACAGTCTAAAAGTATAGTCAAAGTGGATTAGATTAATCAAGAATATAATATGTTATTGGTGTGCTGTACTTGTCTATAAAGATTGGATAGAGTGGTTTATGAAAGATAGATAATAGATACAGAAGACCTATCTTCTAAACTCCTAATTAATTATCGAAAACCTGGGAAATTTTCCTTGCCAAAATTCGATATACCAATTAGAATTAAAAATACCTCAACAGAGTAAAGATCTATATTAAATATTGTATTGAACTACTACCAGTAACCCTCTTGCGATTTCAATACTGATTCTAACCTTCTAGTATTCTTTCGAATTTAGAACTATTTATTTCAGTTTTGTTAAATATAATCCCTACTTTTGCCAATAATTTTGGGATTTTTTAATGTTGCTTTAATGAAAAGGGATTTCTCCATTAATCATTTTTCCGAGGTCAAAATATCAGTGGAAAATATTAAAAAACATTTCTTTGTTTAATTAACACTAAACAGAAAACAATTAACGGTAAAAAGGAAGATATGGAAATGGAAGGGAATCAGGCTGAAGATATTGTCGAAGTATTACCCGGGGGCGATCGATATGCAGCTCCAGCAACTCGATCAGAGTATTGTTATATAATTCGTGTCACATTTTAATCAATTTCAATATAATTCATCTCTTTTTCTTAGGAAATATAGAATCATACTAGAAAGGATATTCGATCATTTAGCTTTCAGAGTGGCAATAATTATCCTCATTCTCATAGATTTTATTGTCATCATAATTGATTTGACAAAAAATTCATTACATCTTCATCCTGCCGATATTATATCTATGGTAATATCTTCAATATTTGTGATTGAGTTAATTCTTAGAATCTATATAAAAAGGTGAGATAAAATAATAACTATTAGTTATTAGTGATGTAAACAATTCATAATATTTTCTTTACTTATAGAGCGGAATTCTTTAATAGTAAATTAAACATATTCGATATGTTTGTTATTATTATTACTTTTATTATAAACTTTATTAGCATATTAGTTGTTTCGTATACTAATGTTGTTTCTTACTTTAGGTAAGTTAATTAAATGAATCATTCATTGATATATATTCCCTTACTTATCGATATTTGCCCTTTTTTCTCGTACGTAGGATTGTTATGATCCTTCGAGTTGTTAGAGGCCTTAGGATTTTGTCAATTATAAGATTCTATATAGAAAAGAGGGAAACGGTCAATTCGGCAAGACTTGCTGTGTCTCAAAATAAGAGGCGTTTTGTGGAGGATGGTTATAATTTGGATTTATGCTATGTAACAAGTTGATTGAGCATTTTAATTTAAATTTTAGCCTGATTAATTACTTTTTATGATCTAAACAGAGAGGTTAATAGCAATGTCTTTTCCGTCAACTGGTGTTACTGCTTTGTATAGGAATGATATTGAGGATGTTTCAAAATTCTTTAAGCAAAAGCACGATGGGCATTTTAAGATATACAATCTATGCAGCGAAAAGGGTTACGATGAATCGAAATTCGATAATAGAGTAGAACGTATTTTTATAGATGACCATAACGTTCCAAAATTAGCCGAGGCTGTTAAATTTGTGAAAGACGTTGACGACTGGATGAAAGCTGATGAAGAAAACGTATTAGCTGTGCACTGTCGAGGAGGCAAAGGTCGAACTGGTACAATGGTTTGTATATGGTTGATAGCCAGTGGAGAGTATGACGATGCCGAAGAAGCTCTAAACTGGTTTGGTGAGAGAAGAACAGATAGAACTGTTGGCTCAAAATTTCAAGGAGTAGAAACCCCATCCCAATCACGTTATGTTGGATACTATGCTACCATGAAAAAATTATTTAATTCCCAATTACCAAATCATAAACAATTAATACTTGATAAGATAATTATAAAGAATATATATACTTTTGGTCAAATGGACGGTACTGACCTTTCGGGAAAGATTTATACGAATAATTATATATTTGAATTTAATCCATCGGTGGAGAGTAATTGTAAAGTATGGTGAAATATGCTAATTTATTGAATTAAATGAATTTTAAGTAGTATACTTTTATATAGAGTCGGCTATCGGAAGATAGGAAAGATTATTGCATTGAAATAGGCGAAGATTGTCCTATTTTAGAGGACGATGTAAAATTTATGTTTTTTTCTTCCAGTGTAAGTTCAAAAACGTATCGCTATTGTTTATTTGTGTTTAAAGAGCTTTTATTCCGTTTTGACATGAATGATTTAATAGGAAAAAGTCCCGAAAGGTTACGATGATTGTGCTTTTTATTTTTGGTTGAATACCTCGTTTGTTGACGAGACAAGGTACACAAACTTTTTATTTGATTTATATTTTACCTATAATTAACCGTTATAACAGCGTAACGACTTTGAATAAAGACGTGCTGGATAATCCTCATAAAGATATTAAACACAAAGTATTCGGTTCTGACTTTGCTGTTCAAATATGCTTTAAACGGCGACCGAAAACAGAACAAAGCTTCATTCATTCAGCAAATAAAGAACCAACTGCAGAAGATCATATACAAATAACACAAGAAATTTAGAGACTTAGAAAATGCAAATAAAAATATTAACTTATCGCTTGTAGACTAGTCCTATATAATGATTTATTGTATATTTATTAATAAATCTATAAAAATAACTTTGGCAATAGTCTTTTTAACCCATAGATAAAAAGTACTTTATTTGGCGGGAAATATAATAACATAATTGCCAAGTTACGGGACATCGTTAAATATCAGTAAGCGAATAATATTCGTTTTCCGCAAGCAGACGGTTAGTTTGCTTTTCACAGTTGGGCAGGTTACGGAAGCGAGTTTTACTGTCAAAAGCTCGTAATTGTGAGTAGTAATTTTTAAAATTTTATAACAGAATACTGTACGGTATAGAAATAAAACATATATGGGGATTTTTTACTGGTTTTAGAAATGCGCTATTTGTATTAGGCCAACTATATTTAGCATTAATTGAAATTTAAACGTTCATTCTATATTCCATTGTATGCATTTAAAATGCATAACGCTTTTGATCATATTTCTATTGGTTTATAATGAAGAGGTTAAATCGTCGTTTTTGGACGAGCTACTCAATATGAAAAGAGTCGTTAGATGGCGTCAAACGTTGTCTGAGAATTATTGATTGAAGCGACAAGTGAACAGTTCCCACTTCTTTATAGAACTTGTAAGTTGAAACGATTATATTACTAAAAATATACTAAAAGATAGGACCTGTTGATTTTATATTGCTAGAATGTGTATTTATTAAGAGAGTAAGAGAGAGGAGAAAAACAAAATAACCGTTGAAAAATAAACCTTTAATTTAAAAAAAAAAAAAACGTGAAAACCGGTAAGATATTTTGTTAATCTTGTTGTTGACTAATTTCTGGAAAAAAAGGAGACATAGATAATAAAGAGATATTTAACATAAAGTAAATAATAAACATATTATTAAAATATTTTCTTGAATATTATTTTAAATACAAATTTATTTATCTTAAAGATGAATAAAGAAAATATTATTAATTGGTTTGAACATAGTATAGATTTTCTTATCAAACTTTCATATGGAAAGAACGCCCACCGGCTTAGTTAGCTCGTGATTGGTCGAACAGGTTTACAATAGATATTTTATATACGGATTGGCCAGTTATTGAATGCAGGGTATTCAATCAAAGCGCTTCTTTAATACAGTTAGCTTGCTGCAAGGAACAATATATATGTAAGTAAAAAATTATGTTAAATAAACGCCTGGTGTCATTAATGACTCAGGATTAGCAAGTGTTTGTTTGAGTACATAAGATTTTATATAATCCTTCGGTGACTAAGTGTGGTGCAGTATTCCCATCTCGAGCGTCAAAATTTGCAGACGGTCCGGCGACGCTTTGCTGTTGAGTGCCGATTGATGTTATTGGTAAGCGGTATTGATTAAACGTTTTTTAAACAACCGCTGTTGTAGTCAATTACCGAAATCGTTCAACCAATTTTCAACAATTTAACTTTAAATAGCAAATAAGGCTATTCACTAGAGCTAAAAATTCAGTTTGAAATAACTTAATGTGACGCCCCTCAAAATGGCGTCTGCTTTGTCTATTGGGCGTTTATTTTTCTCTTTCATAAAAATAAATATATTTATATAAAGTTATAGCATAGGTATAAGATGAAGATTTGTATCACGATAAAGTATTTTAGAGCGGTAAATATTCAAGATTAAATTGATTATAAAACGCCGGCCTGCTTTTTTTCTCTCTCTCTCTCTCTCTCTTCGATAAAAATGAAAGAATAGTGTAAACATTAATTGAGATTTTTTTATTTTTCTATTTCTCTCCAACTCTTCTTTTACCTATTTGCTATCTATCTATCTTTCGTATTCTTTGTAGTTTTTATCGTTATAAATGGTCTAAAACGAATGGCGCCGTATATATATATATACAGTATTTATATATATATATATATATATATATATATATATATATATATTGTATACAATGTTAATTTATACCGACACATTTATATTCTATAAATGTATTTGTGTACAGTTATATACAATAATGCGTATACGCATAAACACGTATACTATTACTGTCGTGGTTCGTTGTAATATCGTACGATAAAGGTATTTTTTTTTTTTAAACAACTTTTTTTATAAAGGAAGATGAATTCTATAAGAAGACTTATTTGTTTATTTTAATAATCTATTAGAAAGGCTACATACTATCTCTATATTCTTTTTACTGTATATTAGCTATTTAGGCTTATTTATAGTATAGGTTTCGAATTTATTTTATCAGCTTTAATGTAAATGTACTTTGAAAAATTTAATAATTAACTAAATCTTTTTTTGTATTTTCTTTATGTTACTATTATTTAAATTTCTAATTCTCTTTCTCTTCATCTAATGCTTTAACAGAAAGAATGTCGGATAACATACAAAGTTCTAATGTGGATCTTCTCTTAGATTTAGGATCATCGTCATCTCCCACCGAAAATACTATGGTAAAAATGAATGAATAATAAATAAATAAATATATATATATATAAAGAATAGAAAGTAAAAGACATAGATATGGATCAATTTTTATGTTAAGCAATAAGTCAATGATTGATGCCATATAATTATGATTTTTTTTTATATTATATATAACCTTTGCACTCGTTGTGATAAGACACATTTTTAGTTATATTTTTTTTCTCTCTTAATATATTTCTTTTATACAAATGGTAATGTAGGCCTTTTTCGGAATTTGTTCAAATCGTTTATACGATCGGATTCGATCACGAAAAAAAATTTTTTTTATCCTTTTTATATACGATTTAAAACGTGTAATGGATATATTTGTTGTTGGTTTGATTAGTCGTATGCTATATTCAAAGGTACTAGCACCTATATTAACCTCTCTAACTCATTTTTATGTGATTTTTTTTTTACTGATAGATTATTTTATATCTTTTGATTTACATTCCTACACCGCTAAATACAACATATACATACTATATTGATATTTTATTCAATTAGGCTACAAAATTAAACGGAACTTCTCATACGGATATGAATGATTCAACAAATAAGGAATTCGACGATCTACTTGACTTCGATTCAAAGGTTTGCTAGCAATATTTTATGCTTTTTCTCGTATTTTAGAGGAGATTTTTTATTTCACTGCGCGGAATTATCTCGAAATATAAGCATTATTTGACCTAAATCAAGTGCATAATTTTCGCTTGCATTTATTTGCATGCGTTTTTCCGTAAAAATAGCCCGATACTAAGATTGAAGACGAATGGAAATATAGGAACGATGTAGAAAAATTCGCTAACGATTTCGTAAATGAAGCCTTGGAAGAAAGTAGGGAAAAATTATCACCAGAGAGAGAGGTTGAATGCGTTCAAGATCAAAAGCCAGATTTATTTAATCAAAATGAGTTCGGTGCTGAAAAGATTGAAGAAGAGGAAATTAATGTAATCAAAGAACAAGATGTTCCTATCAAAGAACAAGATTTAGTTACAGTAGACAACAATTTACTGATTGAGAAAGAGGCTGATCAAAGTTTTACTGTTCAAGAAGAGGTTATAGAAGCTCACGAAAGAGTTGAGCAAGTTTGCGAGCCTACACCGTCAGATAATTCTGAAAATTTATTCGAAAATCAGCCAGCTAATGAGGCTGAGCCTGTTCAATTGAATTCCATTGTCCCTAGTGAATCATTAACTAGCGATTTAAGTGACGGTATTGTATTACGAAACAATGAGTTTGTCGAAGAAAACGAAGCGAGAATTAATGAATACGAGGAAGGTGATGAAGGAGACGAAGACGATGACGACGATGATGATGACGATGATGACGATCAGAAGGAAAATAATCAAACTCCTTCTGTATCGCTTGTTCAAGATTTAACGGCAGTGAGTGTCCACGTTGTTCAAATTATCAAAACACTTGGCTACCTAGATAATTTCGTACCCTCCAAAAAAAAAAAAATTCATTCATTTCTCCGTAGGCGATGCTTTATCTTTTTCGCATGAAGGCTATAGATTCATTGCATGTAGAATTAGTCGTATTATATAATTTTCATTTTCAATAGATTCGCTTATCCTCTCTTAATTACATACAATATATTCAGTCTATTATGTACATAAACAGTCTATATATATATATTAAAATAATATATATATATAAAATGTTTCTGTACAGAAAATTCTGTATAAATTGTATGAATCTTAGAATACTAACTCATGTACACTATCTCTTTCTGGCACACGGTAATATTATATTATTAAACAAACAATTAACATAAATCTCTCTTTCACTATAAGTATCTATTAATATTAATTAATATAGGGAGCATTGTTGTTTTGTCTTTTTCGATGTGCTTGTTGGGGTAAATGGAAAAAGTTTCTTTTTTTTTTCATCTGGGCTAAAGAGGGAACGAATATCTCTGTATAGATTCCAAATCTGAAAAAGAAATATGTTTTGTTTTTTTTTCCCAAAATCTCGTGGCGCAGGCTAGGAAAGCGTCTGTACAGCAAATGTGGTCATCTCCGATGTGCTTATCGTCTCCTCAACAATCGTCTATCATTCTTGTAGACTATTTACGGAGTTTTGACGATAACAGCGAAAACGGCAACGTCTCTGACGACAACGATCAAAACACTTATCAGAGTGAGGTACGATTAATTCGAAAGAATCAAACAAACATCCAAATGAAAACAAATATTTTACAAACAAACGTGTATTTTATTTTTGTGTTTTTTTATTATAAAAACACCTAATTTCTTATCTTAAAAAGTAAAAAGAGAAAAATGAAAAAAGCATATAAATTGAACCTTTTTTTTTTAATTTTTTCATTTCAAACAATAGAATTAAAAAAAAAAGATAAAAATCTTTTTTTATTTTATTATACAATTAAAAACAATTACATCAGTTGAAATAGTATAAATGTCTATGTGTAGTTAAACTATGAATTATGGGCTTTAAAATTCTCTTCTTATAAGGGTACTTTTTATTCGTGCTTTCTATTTTATTATCGTTGTTGTTGATATCGTTCATGGAAGGCATTCATTGACGTTTGTTGTAGTAAGTATTCACTTACTTTTTCTTTTTTCTGGATGAGGAGAAGGATAAGGATTTTTTTTACAAACAAAAAAAATAACCAAAAACAATTCAAATTAAATAAAATTAATAATAAGGAGGAAGATAAAAGGAAAAATAGAGAGGAACAGGATAAAATTCGAAAGTAAACTTAGATCATTAATATCCTATTGATATTTACAAATCGAACAAATAATAAAACTCGAACACTTGAGAGACAAAGTTCTAAAACATTGATTTTATTTTTGAATTTGAAGAGAAGGGAAGAGAAAAAATATATGTATACACTTATATATACTTCTATATATATATACATATATATATATATATATATAAAAGTATATTTCTACACAAATGCCACAAAAACCAAACCAACTGCCATCTGTATGAGACCAAAGCTTTTTATTTTGTTATGTTTATTTTGTTGAACCCTTGGAAAAAAAAGCATGATAGAAAACTTTTATTTATATTTCTTAAACATTTCCTTTCTCTTTTTGCTCTATTCTTTTATCGGTAGTTTCGTAGTTACGTATATATATATATATAAAGAAGATTAAATTCTCTTTCTTTCCTCACCTTTTTTTTATTTTCAATAATAACTTTTATGAAAATATGAATCTAAAGGAGAATGATTATGAGAAGGTGGAAGAGGAGGAGAAGGAGAAAGAGAAATGGAATAAAATAAACCATTATTTCTTCTTTCATGTTATATACGCTTTATTCGTCAAAAAAATGGATGTGGAATTAATTATCGTCATTAGATGCTTTCCATTATTAAGCATATATTCTCGGCATTTTTTTATGCATGCTACTTATTATTATTTTTATAGTAATGTATATATAGTGCTAACTATGCATATATTACTATAAAACCGCTAGTGATTATTTTGCTATAGAGGATGTATATGTATAAAAAACTATATGTATACGCGTTAATATACGTAATTCGAAAATATATATATATATATATATATATATATATAGATATATTAGCATGTATATACTGTATATTGACGTATATATGTACATTAATCATACATATACATAAATAATTATATTTCTATTTATTTATTCCCTTTAGAGAAAGAATAGTAACATAAAAAAAAAACTTGAAAAAAGTACTGGTTTTTTTTTTCTTACACGAACAAAATGAATAGAATTATATAATTTTAATTATTGAATTAATCAATCTTTAGTAATAATCTTGTTCATGTATTTTTTTTTTTAATTTACATTTGATTCAAATGAATTGAATGTATCTTTATTATTAAGAATGATAATTTAAATATATATATATATATATATATATATATATGTGTATTTAAAATGTCATTGATACTATTTATATGTTTGAATAGTAAATATCTATAATATGGAAAATTTTCTTTATTCGCTACAATAGCCTGATGTCGAGGAAGAGCAAAGCTCACCTTCAGCAGATCAGTTTCAAGTTAATAATGATCAGAACATGGGTAAATATATATATTTTTTAATACTTTTTAATCATTTAATCTACTTGAATAGGTAAAAAAGTGAAAAATTCTTGTGCATTTTATATAGGTGTATATATAAGTGTATAATTTATATAAATAATATATAATGTATATATAAAAGATATTATATTGTTAATGATAATAAGTTGTATTCATATTATTTTTATAGAAGAAAAAAAGTAAGTAATAAAGAACTGTACTAAAGAAAAGATTCCATTAATACGTGTTATACCATTTATATAGTTTTTATAAAGAAATTATGTCCTTTTTTCTTGCTGTTAATGTTTATTCTTTTATTTATTAGCATTTGCTATAAAGCATTAAGATATATACTAAAACTAACGAAAAGAGCATGCTCTAAAGGAGTGCTCCCTCCTCCCTTTCTTCATTCCAATTTGTTTACTAGTATTTTGTATTTTAAAATTTTCAATACTAAAACCTATTTATTATGAAATAGTTAAACGATAATATAAATACATTATGGTTATAATGATAAGAATAATAACGTTATACTACGTCATCAATGCTTGAAAATATATAAATAGTATTTGACTTTGGTGATTTTTGAAAGATTTAACACGTTTGTCTCTTTGAATAGATGATATATCACGAACGTACAAATTCCTTTATACCGTATAAATTCATTCGAGATTGTACGATCATGAATGCCAAAGGAGATAATTTTTACATACATTGCTCATTATGTCGTTTACGTACAGATTGTACGGAAGATAGCTACAGTAACAAGGAGGAGAAAGAAGACATCATCGTTAATGGTAATTCAGTAAAGGAATGGAAAACTACTAATTCTCACATAGAAGATGATAAAAACGTAAGTTTATTTTATCTTATCTAGATTTCCCCTCGTTTTTTTCCCTTCCAAAATTTTTTTAACGTATATACATATATATATATAAAAAACAAAAAAGAGACATTTTGTATTAATGTTGTTGGCATGGTACCGCCGTAAAAAAAAAGGACGTTATCGAAGACGGTCCTAGCATCGATTCGAGGATAGCCAATTGGAATACAAAGCGGGAGGAAGACGCCAAGACCGACTTAAATAGGAACGACGTTAAACCATCACCAAATTTCTCTTCTCTGCTTAGCAATTGGAGGCGAACTTCACCTAACACGGTTCGACTTTCGTTTAGAGGCATGGGCACATTTAAAGGCAATAATTACTGTTAGGGAGGGTCGGGAGGGTCAAGGTTAACTAGTCTAATTAGCGCTTTCTGCACTAATTCTATAACTTGTTTTTATATTTTATTTCTTTATATGATTTTAGCTTCTTTTTTTTATTTTATTCGGTAAATTTTCGTATTAATTATTTTCATTCAATTATTAAAAAAAAAAGACTTTTCAGCTTCTAAAACTATAAAAACAAAATAGTTCGTTTTTTTATATAAAAATAAAAAGAACGATCTAGCCAAGAACAACCTGAAAAAAAAAACGTTTAAATCAAGAGTCTCTTTTATGTTAAAAACCTATATATATAACTATATATCTATTGGTTTGATTGCTATATATAATCCTTTATATATACTGTATGTATAAGGGATTCATATATATATATATATTATTGTTGGTTAATTCATATAATTGTTTTTTTTTTCCCCACCCCCTTCCCTTTTAGTGTAGCGATTGTTTTTACTTGTTACTTTTCCTTTCGCCCAATTCTTTCTCCCTGCCAAAACAAAGATAAATACCATACCTTTCTTTTTGTTTCCTTATCCTAAAATTTTAATTGCTTATTTGATTAATTTCTATAAAAAAAAATACCCAGATAAACTTTCTAAACCTTAAAGAAGAAGACAATTAAACTTTTTATTATTTTATTTTTCTAAAAGACAGAAATATGAATTCGTTAATCTTTGTTTTTCTTCTTTATACGTTAAAGAATTAATAACCAAAACCGAAATAATTTTAACAGCAGCAATAAAGCTTTATTTATTTTTTTTTTTAAAAAAACAAAATTAAAAAAAAAATAATTTGCTTTCCTTAAAAATACCAAAATATAATTATTAATAATTTAGTTTTAAAGCAAAATAAAAGAATAATATAATCATTATAATACTTTAAACGATTAAGATATAAATATATACATATATTCGCAAAATTATAGATTAATTTAATTAAATATCTTTACCCTTGTTTTTTTTTTTCTTTATGAATTATAGGAAAATGAAAAGAATGAAACGAAACCTAAATTTATGGATAGTCCTAAAATTGTTAGAAAACAGGAAACGCCAAAAGCGTTTTCAAACCTTGATAATTCGGTACGTGTGATTGAAAGAAAACATGTAACTACTACTAAAAGTACTACATGTTGCATTAAAAAAGAGCTTTTATTGTGTGTGAAAAAAGATTTAATATAAAAAATAATTGATATTTGCTGCCGTGTGTGTTTTATATATTATATGTGTGCGTATTTAACATCGTGATTCTTCTTTATGACAAAATTTCATCCCTATTATAATCAATATGTTTACAGATTTATATTTTGTACGAATTTCTATATTTACATATACATAGATATATGTAAGTATAAAAATTCATTTATTCATTTATATATATATGATAACAAACATGGGTAGTTAATGAACTTATTTACAATTTTCTCACAACACAAATCTATTTTTCAATCACGAATTATTCAATATTTAAAGAGGAAATGCATGATCACGATCAACTCCGCACTAATATTTCTATTTATTAATAAGAAGAGAGAATAAAAAAATAGTGGAAAAATATGGAAAAATAATCATTTTTCCTCCTTTTTTCCATTGCTTTTTCTTTCTCTCTTCTTCTTTCTTTAACATAATTTTTAGATTATTAATTGTATTTTATTTGATGAAATAATTTAGATGACGAATCAAGCGAATCCAACCTGTTTTTCATGCTCTAAACGAGTTTACCCTGTTGAATTAAAGCAGATTGACGGTCTGACTTTTCACAAACAATGTTTTCGCTGTACCGTTTGCAAGTGTGCGTTAACGAATAACTTCAGCAAATTGGAGAAGTCATTCTACTGTAAACCCCATTATAGAGAAATATTTACAAGGAAAGGAAAATACGAAGTTGAAAGTATTCCGCAACCTGGTAAAGTATTTTTTTCATTTTGTTTTTTCTTTTCTCTCTATCTTTAATCAATATTTAATTGTTTTTTCGACTATCTTTATTATATATAGAGTGTATTAGTTAGAAAAAAAAGGATCTCTGTTTCATTTTATGGTCTATTAAAAGAATTAGATTATCTGTATTTCATTTTATTAATTCCTGTTTCTCTTTTTTGCGCCAAATTTTTTTTTCTGTATTTATTTTTTTTTAAAAAAAAGAGAAAAATATTGAATTGAATTCGCAAATTGCCGAATTGGAGAAGGACGTGGAGAAATTTTCTATCGAGATTGAATCTATTTTGAATAATGGTATAAATTAGCGTCGTTGATCGGTGTAGGCGGCTTTCAATGTGAATGAATATCAACAACATATGTATATATATATACTATATATATATATATATATATATATATGTACATTGTTTGATAAAAATTTGTATAAAATTCATATTTAAAGTAGTTGAAATTAATTGATAAGAATTTTTCATATCGTAAATACTTTATTGCCGTATCTCTTCTTATCTATATTCTCCTGTTCTCTTTCTTATCTATTTGACGTATAACTTTTTTTTATGAGTAGATACAGCATACACTAAGTAGAATATGTATGCAGTAGAACATGTTGCCTATGTTCAGGCGACGAACACCGCAATGGTATAAAGAGATGCATCGAGATGTATTGAAATCGGCTACAAATGTTTCTAATAATGGCAATTTATCTACAGTTAATGATGCCCGGGCTGAAAACGACGAAAGACAAACAGCCAGAGAACAAATTGAATTAGTACAACAACAAAAACGAGAGAAAGTGGAAGTTAAGGAAGAAAATGGAAAATTAGATAACGATGAAGCTAGTCGAACACCTAAGAGTGAGCGTATAGCTGATGAACTACCAAAATCTGGATCTGTTAGCAGTCTATTATCTGCTTGGAAAAATCGTAGTTCTGATCAGTCTCCATCGACACCGGTAGTACGCTCCAACTTCACACGCCAAGAAAAGAAAAAGTCAACCCCAGTCGTCGTTGCAGAAAACAGTATACAAAATTCTGAGCCGGAAATAAAAGAAGAAAAGAATAACCATGAAGAGGTAGATAGTTCTTCATACATCCGCTCATCCGTATCAAATACGGATAAGGATGAATTGAAGAATATACCATTACCATCTGCTCGTTCGCTTCGCTCCTTATTTGAAAAGGGCGGCGAAACGGTATATATATTTATTTATTTATTTATTTATTTAATTAGTTAATTAATTAATTAATTAATTAATATGTTAATTTATTAATAACACTAATAATAGTAGCAAAAATAAGCAAAACAATTACTTGTCTAATAGTGTAATGCAAAAGCGAATTCTTTCAGAAACCTGTAGAAAAGAAAGTAAGCGTCACTCGACGCTTCTCATTCGAGAAACAGAAAGAGCCAATTGTTACGTCGAAAGATGATGCCATTGATGAAGATCAAACTAAATCAAATGGGACAACACACCAACCAGATGTTGTTGATAGTAAGGATGGGACTCCATCTAGATTGTCGCCGGACGAGGAAAAGCCAGTTAAAGGTTCCATAAAGAGCCTCCTTGCTAAATTCAATCGCTAATCTTGTTTATGGCTTCTTTATAAAAAATTTATTAACTATTACCTTGTTATGCATATTGCTCAGGTGCTATAAACATTCCTTGTTCAGAAAAGGAGCGGACCTTTATAGCAGAGAAATTTATCAATTATATTATTCATTTTCTTCCTTTATTTTTGGAGTGTAAAAACAAAAAAATTGAACATTTCATTTTTACTTTATTGAATTTATGTATAGTTTTTGAAAAAATAATGAACTACTATTAAATTTATTATTTATATACAGTATACACATATATATACATATATATATAAAATTCTCTGTATATATGTATATATATATATGTGTATAAGTGAAGATCCGCTCTTATTTTTGCATAAAAATATGGCTGTTGGGTTATTTTCTCGCTTTTAGAGAATGAATTTCTGTGTGTTTTGCATCGGATCGTTAAGAATGTTATGAATTTACTATTATTTTTTTCCTTATAATTCATTTTTTTTTTGCATGTTGTGTTCATAACTTGAAAAAAACACAAAAAAATACGTTGCTATGTATTTATAAGATAAGGAAAAATCTGAAGTTTATATATGCATATATATATATTATTTATATCTGTATGTATATATAAATAATAGGAAACTTCAATGCGATGTTAGAAAAATGGCTCTGTTAGATGTGTTATTATTTTTTTTCTTTTCTTTATTATTCTATTCTTGTGTCAATCTCTTCATTTTTATATTATGTTTGTATATTTCATAGTGTTTGCCTCATCCTCCTCCCAAACTCCTTACCTACCTATTCCCTCCTATTCCCTTCTATTTTTTTCTCTTATTCTATTTCTTTTGCCTTCTCTTTCCTTATAAACAAGTCTTATTATACTTATATATATTTATATATATATCCATATAGATTGTCTATACAAATATGTATATTTATATATTTATATAGAAAAAACTTTCATAATTTTTTAATGATTTCCATTCTATTACTAATTTTTTTTATCGATTTTTTTTTCTTATCAGCAAATAATGCCGAAGACGGATTATACGAATGGAATTGAAGGGGTCGGCTTCTCGTTCTGTGCCATTTATAAAAATTTTTTTCTATTCATTATCTTCTCCTTAAAAACGAACTAAACTTAGAAAAAGTCAGAAAAAAAAAACATTAAAAGCTTTATAAAAATAAGAAATAGCTTAAGATATTTTTTTATAAAAAAAGAGAAAACAGAAGAAAACTTAAAAAGGAGAAAGAAATAATGTAATTTTTTTTTCTTTCCTTCTCTTCCTTTCTTTTTCTTGTTGAAAAAATAAAGTCTTTAATTAATTAATCAATTAATTAATTAATTAGGCTTATTGAATATGAAAAATTATATATTAATTTAAGAGAAAGAGAAAGGAAAAGTTTGTAGAATTAGTTCAAGTTTATTTTTTTCCCAACAATATTTTCCCATCAACATTTTTTTATTGTCCTTAAAACATTTTTCATCTTATAACTATAGAACTTGTCAATAGTTAAAGGAAATAATGATAATTATGATAAAGATGATGATTGATATGTAATTGTAATCAAAAAAACAGAATATGTGTAGAGACTTTTTTATTATATATAGAAATATAGAAAATATAAATATATATAAATATATATATATATATATATATATATTTTTAAATATACATTCCGTGTTTATATTTCTCTTTATTGCTGTGCTTTTTTCTAAAGAAATATGCTATTTGCATGGTTTTTAAAGAACATACAAAAAGTGTAATTTTTCTTTTTTCAAGTTTTGAACACTAATCGATATAAATATATATAAGCATATAAGAAATTATGTATAAAAATACAGTATTTAGTATGCAATAAATCATTTTACATAATGAACTTTAAAAAAAAATTTTATCAATAAATTTGCATATATTTGCATATAATTTAAATATTTGAAAGAATGAGCTAACAGCTTCACGTAACAATCAAAATATATTTCATGTATAAATAGATCAATGTAAAATAAACAATTTTTGGTATGTACAATTAAAATATTTGTCGATATGCTAAGAAGATACTTAGCACAAAACATATTAGTTTACATGAAAAAAGTAGAGCACTTATCATCAAGCAGCAGTCTTTTTAATTTTGCTAGAAGTTAATCACTGTTCTTTGATCTTTTCATCAACATGTATTATCTTATCGGAAATTCTTTCTTGATCGTAATAGTGAGAAAGTGTTGTCTCGTGTCCACAACAAGCCATTGCCTATATAAATACAAAATAAAAAAAATATTAAAAGACTATAAGCATCATTCTTTCTCTGTGTCTATCAATTTCCTTCTCTCTCTCGCTCTGTCTTCTTGCAGAAGGTTATAATAAAAAAAGACAACAATGCTTACATTATAAGTATGTAAAAGTAATCTTGGAAATCTAGATGTAAAGTACGTTACATAGCCATCAGGAACGTCTCCTAACGATTTTCTAAGGTTTTCGGGCAACTCTCGATAATGGTGCTTCTATTTGTCCAAAAATAATTAAATTACTATCTTTTACGGCAGATATATTTTTAATACGAACCTTATTCCTCATTGCTCTTAATAAATCCCTTATAGATTTACCTTGATACGTTCTAAACTTTCGCAAATCTAAAGTGAGTGTATTATGGATTAAAAAAATGTAGTAAAAATTTATCATAAAAAGAAAAATATGAGGTAATAACCAATCTATTTTACCTTGCTGAAGGTCAGCAGTTAAATGCTGTTTCCAATCGTCTTTTACTACTTTTTGGCAATTGTCTTCTAATATTAAAACAACTATATTATGCACTGATTCTTTTTCAATGCGGTCACTAACATCCTGGAAAAAGTCTAGTTGGGTTTTTTTACTCCAAAATATTGGATGTTTCAGGACGGCTGCAGAGCTAGGCCTCTTTTTCTCATCCCTAGATATCATTTGGCTGATTATATCTGTTGCTAAGACGTTTTCATTTGCCGAGTCTCCAACCATTTTATCTAATTTATAATGACCGCTCATAATATTTGACTGCCTTTTTAAACTGTCACCAAAAGGATGACGACCGTTAGTTAAAACGTAATAATAAACACAACCAAGACTAAATATGTCAACTTTCTGTGTCGTTTTTGCTGAACATTCCAACATTTCCGGAGCAATCCATCCTTCAGTGCCAGCTATTCCCGATCGTTTTGAAAATGAAACACGACCAGGTCCAAGTTTTTTGCATAAGCCAAAGTCTGAAATGACTGCTCGACATCTTCCTTTACTATCAGGCATAGTTAGAAGAACGTTTTGAGGTTTAATATCACGGTGAACGATATCAAGGGAATGAAGATGAGCTAGACCAAGAGTAGCCTGTTCGAGAATGTCTTTTGGTGGTAATAACCTTGTTTTCTTTATTTTATTTTCTACATATTCCTTAAGAGTTGCTCTACATAATTCCAAAGCTATATACCGAAATTGATGATCTTGCTCCATACAAAAGTATCTAATAACGTTTGCATGTAAATCTGATTCACGAAGTAAATCCACTTCACGATCGGCAAAGGTAAAACACTCGGGTAAAAGACGTTTAACCGCAACATCTCTATTATCAAAGCGCCCTCTGTATCAATATTTTCATATACAGTATGTTTAAAAGGGTCTTCTTTTTTTAATCGAAGTTAGATAGCTTATATAAAGACAAACCTATAGACAATTGTACCCTCGCAACCATGTCCCAAAACTTTTTTAGTGTCAAACATAATTTTGCCAACAGCTGTAAAGCCTTCTGGAACATCTGGAAAATATAAAACAAAAAAAAACTATAAAGATCTTTTTAATGCTGTTTTTTTTCCTTCACTATTTCCTTTTATCTCATTGTTATGAAATTAAATATTACCAACATTAAAAGGCTAGTTTTAGTAGGTCAAAATAAAAAAGATATGGAGAATAGAAAAATGAATACAGACAAGTAGAATCTAGGAAGATAATAGATAAAGAAAAAAAGACAATCTAAAAGTATGTGCAGTGTATACGGAATATAATACTGTTTCCAAATGAAAAAACAACAAACCATCTGACAACATATCTTTCTTATTACCATTCGGATTACCGAAAGAGGTTTGAGTTTGCTGTTGCTGTAATTGTTGCTGCTGTTGCTCCTGAAGTTTTTTCTGGCTTTCTAATTGCTTTTGCAGCATTATTTTCAGTGATTCCTCTGTTTTCTAGATTATGAAAAAACAATACATTAATATACTGTATACAGCATATGCATTTTATTATTATATAAAATAATTAATCACCCTTGGAATAAGATATCCTAAAAACAGGATTAGTATTAAGATCACAAGGCCCAAGACAATGGCTATCCATATAGGCAAATTGGAATGATTTATATGCTTATTTTCTTCAGGTTTTTCAACTTTGGGTTCAGTAGTATTTGAAGGTTTATCAGATATAACTTGACTTTCGCTATCAATCATCTTTCTTGGAGGTAATGTTGACTTGGACAGTTCTGGAGTTTCATAATAGCCTAGTAGTAAACCACTACCTCCTCTTCGTCTTGTTGATGCTCTTTTGGAGGTAGAATATTGACCAGGCTTTGGTTTGTGATTTGGAGGTTTTGGTAGATCGGGACCTTCAATCATTAGCATGCCACTATTTTCTATCTGTACATGAAGTAGTTAAATTAATATTATATTTCGATATAATATATATATATATATATATATATATATATATATGATATAATTCTTATTACAGTTATTAATTGTATATTTCGATATAATATATATATATATATATATATATGATATAATTCTTATTACAGTTATTAATTGAATGTTTTCATCTATCATAGTTGGCAAAGCGTATAATCCTTTTTTAAATTCTCCTACATATAGTGAAGCTCCCAATTTTGCTTCCAGGAAACGTTCTTTCCATTTATCGGATGCCATCTTGTCGGATATATGTTCTAAAGTTTGTAAGGCAACTGTGGCAACAGGTACCTAAAAAAATAAACTAAACTTAGCGCTTGGTAAGGAAGAAAAAGGTAATTTTATTTCTATTTTACTAAAGAAACTAACCCTCACAAGACCAATTGAGTCTGGACCAAGTATATAAGTACCTATTACAGGATCGCTAAAAGTTTGAGACCACATTACTTGTCCAGTTGCCTGGTCCATTGTGACTAAGCGTCCAGTAGAACTCGAAGCGAAATGGCGAAAAGAATAATCGCTTATATCTGCTTTGGCATGGGCCGAATAGTCCATAAAAGTTGCGTTCCATCTTGATATGTTGTAACAAAAACGCATACATTTATTTATGTAAAGAGATATCTAAATACCATCTGCTAATTAATGATATATAAGAAATCAATATGTTCCTTTCTATACTCACAGCCTAGTTCGAGAGTTTCCATTGAACATTGTTATTGTATATTCTTGAAAAGAAGTAAAAATATTGTAAATTGTTAATTTTCCCTGACCACTTGAACACTCACCTGACCTTCCAATATAAAATGTACTCGAACTGCTTGAGGGACAAATTTGTTCTGTAGCTTGCATGGCTAAAGTTTGTAATTTTGTTCCAGTTGCTGGGTCAATAGCAAACCAGGAATCTTTTTTATACCCTATTAATAATTAAACTTTATTAATTATTAGTTTGAAAAGGACCTATGTTTTTAATAATTAAGTGTATGTTACCTGTATATAATATACCATCTGTACTTCTGCATGGACTCGTCATTACTAATTCGGGAATTGTGAAAGGCATCTTTCTGAGATCATCTGTTTTATCATTAAAAGCGTAGAGACTTCCATCTACAGGATTTGGAAGGAAAGTTGGGCTATAAGTATAAGAGAAAGTTTTTTAAGCAATAATATTTATTATGAAAGTAAAGTTGAACAAATTTTTTACCCTTCTTCTAAATCTTCCGGTAATTTTAACACTGGTTCTGTTGAAAAATGTTTTTAATGAGAAGGTTTTTTTTACAAATTAAAAGTAACACTTAGTGAGTATTTACCTTCATTTAATTTCCATTGTATGCTCCCTGTTCTCTGATTTACAGCATACATAGAACCTCCAAGTGTAGACACAAAGAGTAAAGGATCTTTTACTGTTAAAGAATTCTTCGTCTTACTAGACGATGCATTGTGAATTATCACGCTTAGAAAAACCACTATAAGAGCAACACTAATTCCTCGATACTTCATGTTTTTCTAACTCTAAATATGGTCATCTCACAGTAATATAATAAAACAACTTAAGATCTATCTAAAGTGTACAAAAGTATTTATGATTATCGAACAAATCGCTGTAAATTCTTATTCTGACGTGGAATTACGAATGACGAAACCTCTGTAGTACTCCATATTTGTTTTGTTTTGAACAACTTCCTTCGCGGAATATTTTACCTAAAAACTTTTTTCCCGCCAAAACTACAAGTGAAAATTGATTAATTTTCTCATAATAATATTTAAGTAGTTGTAATAATCTTGTGGTTAGAGAATAAAAAACTCTTTAAATATAAATATTAAATATCAATAACTATGTATTATTTGGTTAAAAATATGAAATATATAAATAGAAACTATGTAAACAAAGCCAACTGAAAAGTAGACAAAGAACAAATAAACTTTACTAGAAAAAGTAATTATTAAAGAAATCTAATTTAACTATTTAGTTTATCACATTTAATTGAGTATAATTTACTGTTTATGGTTAACATATGAATAAATATCTCAATTGAATAAATTGTAACAAAATACTATATATATTCTTTATATTCGATTACAGCAATTGGGTTTTGTTTGTGAAGCCATTGGACAAAGAAAAGTTAATAATAATAACTATTACAATATATTCAGTCACATGATTTTAATTAAATTGTAAACACGTTAATTCGTAACGTAATATTCAATTAGCTAGAAATGTTTCTACATATAAAATAGGTGTCAAAAAGTTTTTATATTATTATTAGTGTTAATCAACTAATAACTAAGTTAGTAGAAAAAAATAACAACAACCATGAAATTATTTTTGATGATTTTGGGCCTTGTCCTTTTCGTACAAGTAATAATAAATTTTTGGTCTTTTCCTATTATCAATATTATATTATCAATACTATTGTTTCTATTTTCTGTTTAAAGGTGTTGGATGCTAGAAGCGTTCCAATTGACGATGAATTATGTTGGTTTTTATCACTCTAAATATTATCATTAGTTACTTGTTTATGTATAAACTTTCCAACAGATGACGGCAATTCTGAGGACGTATATGTTCATAAATGTAGGTATAATTTGACTTTTTCTTTTCCTCTCTCAAATACTTCTCTTTGTTGTTTGAGCAGTTCAACCAGTTGAAGAAAAAGAGGACGACGAAAATGAAATAGACTCGGATGATGTCGATATAGTTGATAATGACACAGAGGTTGAAAACGAGGATAACGATACAGCAAACGAAGACGAAGACGAAGACGAAGACGAAGACGAATATGACGGAGACGAAGAAGATTATGAAGAAGATAACGATGACGAAGAAGAAGTAGATGAAAAACCCAGTCATGGACTTAGCGATGTCCAAGTTAAATCCATTTGCAAAAAATATAGAAATGGAGAAATTAACGTCGATAAACCCAAAACTAAAAAATTCTTAATGGATTTATGTAAAACAGAGGAAGAAGATACGTGCCAATACAGATATGGTAAATGGTGTTTGGATGGATATATTAAAGGTATTCGTAGAATGGTCTCTAAAATTCACGAACGTATGGGACAAAACGGAGGACAATCTGGTTTTAACTTTGGCAAAAGAGGTGGTTGTAAAAGAAAACATGGTAAACACGGAAAGCACGGCAAACACAGAAAGCATGGAAAACACGGAAGACATGGAAAGCACGGAAAGCACGGAAAGCACGGAGAGCCCGATCAACAATATAGACAAGGAAAATATCAAAGTAGATGGAGACTTTCAAATTCTAACGACTGGAACAGCCATAAGAAATGGTATATGTAGAACATTTCTGATCATGGAATATAGCTGAACTTCTAACAAGGAAAACTTGAATAGTGATGAAATTATATAATATTGAAATATTAGTATATCAGCATAAAATACACATGTTTGTTTTGTGAAATTTACTATTCTTTTTATTTCTATTATTATTGTTATTATTATTACAATTCACAAAAGAATAAAACTTCAAATATTCAAAGAAAGAAAACTAAGTAATAAATGGAAACAGGTGCATTTCTAGACTAAAGGATAAATGATGACTGCGGGTAATATTTTGAAATAAGTATTGAACAGCAGAATAGCTCCATCTATCGGTTTATCTGCTATTTCAAATAATAATAAAAAAACAAATTAATCATGAAAAACATCGATAATAGTAGATAAGAATTGAAGGAGGGGGGGGGGAGAGAAAGAAGAATGGAAAGTTAATTCCCTATTTATATTATGTTTAATTGCTTGCTTTATATATATAATAGAACATTAATAGAGTACATAGTGTGTTCATAGTTTTATTATAAATGTTCAAAAGCGCGATTATACGGCGAATAAAAAAAGAAAGAGGGGTGAACAGAGGTGGAGAAGGTAAAATAAAAAAGAGTTGAGCATAGAGTGATTTATGTAAAGAACAAAAGGATGTTCAATTTTTTTCGACGTTTTGAACTCTAAATTTCGTATTTTATGCTATTAACTTATAGATATTTGTTTGTAAATCGGATTTGCAGGAAATATTAGATTTTCAATAATTATGGATCTTTATAACAAGAAACGCCCTGTTGTAGAGATAAAATCTGCAAGCGTCCATGCGTTAAAGTACCCATCGAACAATAAGAAAAGAAATTTGATATCTTTCAAAGATACGTTTCGACGATAGAACGCTATGTTTATTTATCAAATTGACCATGAAAGAAAATGTGAACGCTAAGAAAAGAAACAGGGGTCAAAAAAGAAAAAAAAATATCTCCCACGACGTCTTTTTCATTCGGCTACAGAGTTTAATAACCGTAATCATCTACTAAACATATGCACTGTCCCGACCCTATTCCTTAAATTACGTATTCATTGTATAATAATCCTTTACCCTTGAGGGCAGCTGCTTTTTTCCCTTTTTACCTATCAAACTTTTATCCTTGGCAAGGAAGGATCCCTTTTTTCTTGAAAAAAACTTTATGAACTGCTGACTGACGCTTATCCAAACTTGTTTTTTTCCCCTCATTCCCCGCTTTGTAAATTTAAAAAGCGTATGAGTATCGGTTCAAGCTGCCCTTCAGGTCGCGTGTCAAGCTTTCACCCGAACGTGACTTACAAAGGTGAAAAGGGAATTTACTTCTCGGTACATTTTTTTTCTCTATCCATCTTATCAAGAGTGTTTCTTTCCTTTTTATTTTCTGAAAAACGAATCTCTTTGTTACCAAAACCTTTTTTTCATTTTTTTACTTTTTACTTTCGGTAAACCCTTCACCTTTGTTTAATTACGCTATGCAGACGTCACCCGTATGTTACGTTCTATTGTAGAACTATGAACTTGTCATCTTGAACAAACGATAATGTGGGCAAGTGAAAGGAGACTGGAAAGCTGCGTTATGAGTGGAAAAAAAAATAAATAACATCAAAAACGTTTATCCATGATTAATTACGCTCTGCGTAACAAAGTTATTAATTGCTCATTTTGAACTTCAATTTTCGAAATAAGGGTTGCAATGGGTGAGAAATAAAGACGGAATAAAGACTTTTTTCCATCTGCTCTTTTCTCCCTATTATTCTGTTCTCTCTCTCTCTCTCTCTCCACACTTCTTTCTCTCTTTTTCTTTCCCACTTCATTTTATTAAAATTATACTTTCTATTCACGAACTCAAGTCTTTTGACTTTTCTATTGAATGATTAAAAAGTATAACACCCATTCTAAGGAGTGTCAAATTTCCGCTTGGCTAATTTTATAAGCGGACAAGTAATTGAACTTTTCTAAAACAAAATACAGTTGTGTATATGACACATTTCAGTCAACCCGCATATTTTGCACCTGCAAAATATGAAGGTGTATAACCCTGTTGAAAAATAATAGCTTTTTCAGAACTACATGCTATTATAACTGATAAAAATTGTGGCCGACCTGAATAATAGACATATTGTATTTTCATATTCAACTATCTTTACTTTTATTGTGTCTATCATAAAATATATATTTTATGTATTCTATTTTTAGAAAATGTATATTAATGTAGACAAGTACATTTTATATAAAAATGTTATAAAATACTACTATATAAGTCTCTTATAATGAAGATAGAATGCGGGTTAGATGATTTTATAAGCCTATTATCTGAATATTAAAAAAAATAAAAAATTTCTAAATCTGTTGCAGTTTAGCTTTTTTTTTCATTCTATTCTTTTTATGAACAGAAAAATTTTTGCAGATGTTGCAGTTTATTCTTTTTTTTAGAGGATTTTTGAGATTTTTCATTTAGTTTTATTATTAGAATAAACATATCGACTGAGTTTGTAATAGTACAAAAAAATAGACTAGAACATTAATTAATGTTATAAATAGTAGTTAAATAAAGAGTCTTTTTTTTAAGGCACCGTCGCTTGAATTAGCCATTATGAGCATGAGTTTTCAATCTTCTTCCTCCTCTGCCTTTCTTCTTATCTCCAGTAAACTTGGGCATTGGGATTAATTTAACATCATTTGGACTTTTACCACTTACAACGTCTCCCATAAAACCTATATAAGTTATAGCTAAACGGAGGGTTTCTATTCTAGATAGACGTCGCTCGAATGAAAAAGTAGGTAGTCTCTGACGCAAATAGTCAAAAGCTTCGTTCAAACTAAACATTCTTCGTCTTTCTCTAATATTAGCAGCTTTTCGTTGCTCATATGATATTATTCTCTTTCTCTTCGGCTTCCCGCTGTTTCTTGGCCTCGTATAGCGTTCCGACTGATTAACCATAACGATTCTTGGCTTTGGCTGTTCAATGGGGACTGGTTGTTGGCCCCAGAGTGGTGGTGATGGATTCTTCTCTTGGGCGCAACTATACGCGTCGGTATAGTATAAATGTCCCTGTGTGTTGTAGACTTCATAGCTTTCGTTTTTCATTTGTTCCATCTATAAAGAAATATAAATTTTCATTAAAATTACCTTTATTCAATAGGGAAAGGTGTTCAAAAGAGACTATTTAAAAGCAATATTGTTTTCTTGAAACGTAACCCTTGGATCCTTTAAGAGTACACTTGAAGGATCTTGACATTTTAAATTATATACTACTTGAAAAGTCTCGTTTTAATTAATAATAAATTTCTATTACCTTTTTAAACTGTATGTTATTTTGACTTGAGAAAATATATATCTCTTCTCTTCGACAAAATTCAAATAGTTTCGGTTGGTAGAAGAAGGAAGATAATTGTTCAAATAATTATACAATTATCTATGTTAGCTATATTCTTATTTTAATAAGCTGGAGCTGTGTCTTCCAAACGAGTTAATGCCAATGGATTGAACACCCACTGCTGACCGGGTATTTAAGCAAAATATTGTCTCATCCTAACTCACGCAGCGCGAGACACGTGCCGGGAAAAGTGCTGATTGGTTAAAAATCAACCTATTATTTGCATATTTCTAGGATACTTAGGGCTGACACCTATCGGGCAGGTAAGATACTACAACAATTAAATTGTCCCTCACAATGTTAATTATACATAGAGTGCCCGTTGCATTATAAAAATGCTCTACTATAGTTATACCCAATAGTCAGCTACTGTGTTAATTGTTATTTCTTATTCCAAAATGACTAAGAAGTATAAACGTTCGTTAAAAGACAAAGAAGCCGATTTGTTTTATGGTAAAAAAAAAAATAAAACAATTTCTGTATTCGTCAAAAAGCAAACAAAGTAAACAAATAAATAATTAACAAATTAAAAAAAAATTCCTATTCTAAATGCATAACAAGAAAAAACATTAATGAATAAAGAATTTATGCATAGGTAACATTTCATAATTAAGGATGTAGGTGATGGTGGAAGAGAGAGAGAAAGAGAGGTAGGGGTCTATAGGGGTAGATTGGAGAAAAATGGGCAAATCCTGATAAAATAAGGGTTTATAATAAATATAAAATAATTGCAACAGTTCGCAAAAGTTCAATTCCATGGTAATAATCCATCTGAAAAAAAGAATTCATGCAGAAAAAAAAAAACAAACAAACAAAAAAAATAAACAAAAGCAATTTCTTCTTTTATATTGAAATTGATAAATTGTCAAAAATTTTCTATTCGCAGCTCAGCAACGAGTGAAGAGCATTTCCCTGTGATGCAAATTGTAGTCTTTGAACACAATTTTTATTTATTGTATTGTCGTTGTTGCATTTTGGTTCAACGCTAGATAACAAATTATTATCGCACCTGCATAGAAAAATAATTATATAGACAAACTATTTATATATTAAAATTATTTAATTAAATAGTGAACTTATTAACCTAAATCCATTTTTTGAGCCATGTTGAGCTTTAACATACCACACGCAAATTATTCCATCTTTTCCACCTGAGATTCAGAGGTAATTACTAATGAAAATTATTCCTAGATGAAAATAGTAATTTTTATACCTGTTGCTAAAACACAACTATCATATCGCCAGTTGATTGAGTATACTGTATCGGTATGACCTTGAAAACTGAATAATGGTGTCGTCGATGTCAAATCCCAAACTTTTATTATACAATCAGTTCCAGATGAAGCCAAATATTTACCGTCTGGTGAAAATTTAACAACAAGAATCTCACCCCTATGTCCCTATATTAAAAATATCAATATATATATACATTATATATGTAGCTAAATATAACTTACTAATAATATCTTAATAGTTTTGCCATTTCTTAGACTCCAAATTCTTATGCTTTTATCTGAGGATCCAGTTGCTAAGTATAAACCATTTGGGTGGAAGTCTGTACACTGGATTCGTAACGAAATGGATAAAAGTACTAGTTAATTTGAAGGTAATAGTTGTGAAATATTTCATAATATTATACATTGATATCTTCAAAATGCGAGATAAATTCCCTAATTGGAAAAGTTCTATCAAATGTCCATAATTTTGCGGTAGTATCTTGCGAAGCAGAGGCAAAGTAGGTCAAGGAATCGCTGATAAATAAATAAAATTAATTAACTTAATTTTTGTTTCTTATTTCTACTAACTGTACGGCTATATCCCATACTGGTCGCACGTGACCATTATAAATCATAAGATTCGATAAGTCTTCCAAAAGCCACAGACGAACTGTTTAATGAATATTAGAAGTTTAAGTAAAAGAGGCTTTCCTTTCTTTTATTATGAACGCTAAAATATTCTAGATATCTAGAAAGTGTATTTACCAGAACCATCTTCAGAGCCTGATAATAAGCATTGATTATTGTAAGCATAACTTATTCCGTACACTGATCCTGAGTGGCCTAAAATCAAATTATCACTTTCCCTGGCTTCGCAAGGAATGGATTCGCTATTCCATATTTCAATAGCCGAATCTTTATAACCGCATGCCATTTGTGTAGCTTCTTCATTAAATATAGCACACGTAACACTACAAAGAAACGGCTCTTTTTTCAAAAGGTCTCGTCACAATAGATGGCTAGTTTTATATCTAAACAAACCCTTCATGAAATCCTGATGATATAAATCTGGCATATAAGCTTGGAGCTACTGGAGGTCCGTTGTTTATGGCTTCAGCAAAACTGTTGAATCTTGTTATCTCATCCAATTCATTAGTAGGACTATCCATATTCTCGATTGAATTTAAAGATGCTTGCGTATCCTGTGAAACCTGTTCTTGCTGTTGATCATCCTCATCTTTTTGAATATTTGATAACGATTCTGAATAAGAAAATCAATTAATTAATTTTTAGATAAACATTGACAAAGAAAGAAAAATAAGGTCAAACCTTTTATTGAACAGTGTCTATTGAGTATCTGATGTAGAAGTAGCGTATCTTCTCTCTTTGTTATAATAGAAGTCATTTTAAATTACGTTATTAACAGAATCATAGATAAATCAGTTACCCTTAAATAATTGAGTAATATTTGTAATGAAGTCTTAGATAAGAGTACTTCTTTTCTTGAAGTACTGAAAAGAGAAAGTTACGTTGAAACAGTTCATTAAAATATGTAAAATACAAACCTATACTTTTCAAGTTCTGGAATTTTTGAAATATCTTCTATTTTTTTTATAATTTCAAGTTTAGCTATTATTTCTTTATTTGTTTCTGAAGAATTGAATATTTCTTTATGTCTTTTAACGTATTTATGAGCTGCGGATAAAAAAAGACCATTATGTATTCTTAAATGGATAAATTTTTTACTATTCTTCTAACCTGGTATAACATGGCCGATTGAAATTAATTCCATGAACGTATGAATAAAAATTGGAAATAATAAGGGTTGAAGATCATTTTTATATTTATTTTCAATTTCGTTGATAAATTTATAAAATCTTAAAAGTTAATATTATTTTATAAAATATTTGTTAATTATTCTGTTTGAAGAAGACTCTATTACCTTGTAAACTGTTGATCGCACACTGTAACATCTCCAGAGATCAACGAATATGCGAAACTATTTGGTATACTTAAAAGTGATTCGGCCTGAATTTTACATAAGTATTCTTCAGCAGTGACAGTGGTTTGCTGTGTAATCTATTCAATTCACAAAATAAAGCATACATTAATGTATTGTTATACATTTATTTGTGCAGTGTTTTTAAATTACTGTAATTCCTCGTCTTCTTTTCAAATCTGCTATTTGTTCATTGATCTGTTCGTCAAGAATACTCATCATGCATAAAGTATAAGTATTATTATAGGGCGTTTTACAAACGCCTAAGAAATGTAAACAATCCACCGGTACCCAACTGTAATTTGAGAAGGTTCGCACTTAAGACTTTAATTTTTATTCTTTAAAGTTTTTCTAAAAATTTTTTTATAGTTTAATAAAATTACTTTTATAATGTTTAAGGGATTTTTTAAGTGAAAAAATAATTTTCTTATAACAATTGTCGTAATGCGGTCCTATACTTTTCGCAGACAAAACGAACATGGCGGCATCACAATCATTTGTGAATCGAAAGAAAAAATCTTTTCTGGGCTTATCAGCACCTCTTGGCTATGTTCCTGGTTTGGGAAGAGGGTACGTTAGAAGTGAATTTTTGTTTTATTCATTTTGCATAATTGATCTTTCTTTAATATAATGCTTTTTTTGAAATAGTGCAACTGGATTTACCACACGATCTGATATCGGTCCGGCTAGAGATGCTGATGATGTGGATGACAAACACCTTTCAAAAAAGGCAAAAACGGACGATGATGATGATGATGATTTAAATGATTCCAATTATGATGAGGTAAGCTTGTCGTATGTCTTTTAGTTTAAATTTAAAATAATAATTACTTATAAAATTTCAGTTTAGTGGTTATGGTGGTTCACTGTGTGCAAAAGATCCTTATGAAGAGGATGACGCCGAAGCAGACGCGATTTATGAGGCAGTCGATAAAAGAATGGACGAAAGACGAAAAGAACGGAGAGAAAAGCGTTTAAAAGATGAAATTCTCAAATATCGTCAAGAACGTCCAAAAATTCAGCAACAATTTGCCGACTTGAAACGAGGACTCGCTGAAGTTAGCAATGATCAATGGCTTAATTTACCAGAAGTTGGAGATGCTAGAAATAAACGTCAAAGAAATCCAATGGCCGAAAAATTTACTCCTGTACCAGATTCAGCATTTGCTAGAGCTGTATCTGCTGGTGATAAAAATACGACCATTGATCCAAAAGATCAAAAATATGGCGGCATTGCAACACCGTTCCCAGGCGATATGACTCCCGGTTTTAATACTCCAGCAGGTGATATTGACATGAAGAAAATTGGCGAAGCCAGAAATACTTTGATGGATATTAAATTAACTCAAGTGTCAGATTCGGTCTCCGGTCAAACAGTAGTTGATCCCAAAGGTTATCTTACCGATTTACAATCAATGATTCCAGCAGGAGGAGGCAGTGGAGATTTAAGCGATGTCAAAAAAGCTAGATTACTGTTAAAATCTGTTAGAGAAACTAATCCAAAACACCCGCCTGCCTGGATTGCTAGTGCTCGTTTAGAAGAAGTTACAGGAAAATTACAAACTGCCAGAAATATAATAATGAAGGGAACGGAGCAGTGTCCCAAATCTGAAGATGTTTGGTTGGAAGCTGCTCGACTTATGCCAGCAGATCAGGCTAAAGCTGTTGTTGCTCAAGCTGTTAGAAATTTACCGCAATCCGTAAGGGTTTGGATGATGGCCGCTCAGTTGGAAAAAGATGCCAGAAGTAAAAAGCGTGTCTTTAGAAAGGCATTGGAGCAAGTTCCTAATTCTGTTCGATTGTGGAAAGCCGCTGTTGAGTTAGAAAATGAAGAAGATGCACGGATAATGCTTACTAGATCAGTAGAGTGTTGTCCAACATCTGTAGAGTTGTGGTTAGCTTTAGCCCGATTAGAAAGTTACGAAAATGCTAGAAAAGTGTTAAATAAAGCTCGTCAATGTATTCCAACGGATAGAACAATATGGATAAATGCCGCCAAATTAGAAGAAGCTCATAATAGTTTTAGTATGGTTGAAAAAATTATTGAAAGAGCAATGGTCTCCTTAAAATCTAATATGGTTGAAATTAAAAGGGAACAATGGATTAAGGATGCTGAAGAATGTGAAGCATCTCAGTCGGTTAAAACTTGTCACGCCATTATTAGTGCTGTAATTGGGAATGGAGTTGACGACGAGGACCGGAAACACACATGGATCGAGGATGCGGAGGCATGCACGTCTCACGGTGCTATTGAAACAGCACGAGCAATATACGCCCACGCTTTAAGTCAACTTCCTAACAAAAAGGGTATTTGGATGAGAGCAGCATATTTCGAAAGGGAGCATGGAACTAGAGAGAGTTTAGAGGGGCTGTTGGTAAGAGCAACTCAAAGCTGTCCGAAAGCTGAAATTCTATGGCTTATGTTTGCTAAATCGAAATGGATGGCTGATGATGTGTCTGCTGCCAGGAAAGTTTTATCAGATGCCTTCCAGGCTAATCCAAATTCAGAAGAAATTTGGTTAGCCGCCGTAAAATTGGAGAGCGAAAACTCTGAATACACTCGGGCAAGAAAGCTGCTAGCAAGAGCTAGGACTAATGCACCTACTGCTAGAGTTTTTATGAAATCTGTTAAATTAGAATGGTGTTTAGGTGATTTACAAGAGGCTGTGAAATTATGTGACGAAGCCCTTGGTCACTATAACACTTTCGCTAAATTATGGATGATGAGGGGTCAATTGGAAGAAAAGATGGGCAACGACGACAGAGCTAGAGACTGCTATACGAACGGTACCGTTAAATGCCCAAGAGCCATACCCCTGTGGATTCTATTATCCAGATTGGAAGAACGGAAGGGGAACACAACAAAAGCAAGATCAATTTTAGAAAAGGCACGTTTAAAAAATCCTAAAATTGATCTCCTATGGTTAGAAGCCATAAGAGTTGAAAGAAGAGTTAATCCAACGAATACTATAGCCGAAAATCTTTTGGCTAAATCCCTACAAGACTGTCCAAATTCTGGATTATTATATGCTGAAGCTATATTCATGGAATCGAGACAACAAAGGAAAGCAAGGTCGGTTGACGCTCTAAAACGTTGTGAGCACGATCCTCACGTTCTCTTAGCCTGTTCAAAATTATTTTGGACCGAAAGAAAAATGACTAAAGCTAAAGAATGGTTTGAAAGGACTGTTAAACTAGATCCAGACAATGGTGATTCATGGGCAACATATTATAAATTTTGCGTTATGCACTTAAATGAAGAAGATGCTAGAAAAATTATGTTAAGGTGTGTTAGTGCCGAACCCAAACACGGTGAATTATGGTGCATGACATCAAAAGACGTTAACAACTGGAAACTAAAAACTGAAGAAATATTGCCGATTGTAACCGACTTAATAGCTGTACCGCATTAGTAATAGGTGTTGATGTTGTTTTTTTTCCCTTTCTTTTAAGTTTGTACTTATCTCGTAAATGGATTATACTATAGCTTTACAATACATTTTTCTATGTTCACTATTATGTACTATTGCTTACTTTATACATTTCTTTTAAATAAGCTTAACTCATTATGTAACTTATTTCCTTAAAAAAAGGAAAACGGAAACTTCCTCTTGCGATATACGAATGAAAAGTTATTAGCGAGCTTTTTCCTTTGAAATATATTCGTCACGAATCTCCTTACGTAAACTTCTAATATAAATTTTAATATATATACTAATATATATATATATATATATAAATATATTGTACAACAAACCTAATATAGCCCTATAAACAACCTACAATTTAACATTAGTTGAGTTTTTTCTCTATCTCTCTTCCCATTAAACAGCTGTTAAAAAAAAAGAAACAATCGATAACCTTACCTATACTATTCAAACCGTATGATCGTGAAACGTAAGATTTATTCGTTATAAATAAGTTAATCGTATAATTAATTTTGACTAATTAAATTTTAATATGTAATTAGGTCAATAGGAAAATAGAAAATAGAGGAAGAGATCGAGATAGAAAAAAAAGACGTAGTTTTTTTTAAATAGCTCTATTAATAAGAATATTGGTTAAATTAAGCATCAACAACAATCATTGATAATAGAAAAATAGCATATTCGTTAAAGATTAAATGGTAGTTGATATCTATCAGATGGAAGCCTATTTGGAGGATAAATGTAGCTATAAATGTCATTAAATTTCCTTTTATATGTTAAAAATTGAAAGAAATATTTTCCTTGTTGCTTACATTATTGATTGAAACTATTGAATTCAGTTTACTCGGAAAGTTTATAACGATTTTTTTGCATTTATAAAGAAAGACTACTAGCGGCATACCGCTTTCTTGAACTCAATAGCCTAGCTATCGGTGTCAAAACGAAAGGCTACCTTGTTCAAAAACTATGCTTCGAGAAATTTTATTCCTGCTTTCCATTCTCCTTATAAATAATATTATATCGGCTGAGGATATACAAGCAGAAGTGTAAGTTATTAATTGAGAATTATTTCCTCAAACAATTAGATTAATTATTGTTTCAATCAAACGTATACAGTGATAATAATGCGGTATGTCAACGAAAAATTCGGGAACCGAAAATCATTTTGCAACCCTATTATTATCCTTGTTGTACTCCTCTTCGTGTCCGATGTAAAAGATCTAGTGGTAATGAACAACGATTCGGTTACAATTGCATTAAATATCGGTTAGTTTATTCAATTATACATGTAACATTTACAATTTATTTTAGCTAAATCTAATTCGTTATTTAGACAAACAAAATGCAAAACACAAAGAAAATTGTGTGTATACGTTGAAAGAGTTGAAAAGTATTGTTGCAATGGCCATAAACTCGTCAACGGAATTTGCAAAACTATAGGTAATTCCATTTTCTTCCTTTTCATTATTTAATCTTCGAAAGATAAAAAGCTAGACTATGTAGCATTTTATTCGTCTATATCTATATTATGTAGCAAAGAACAATTTAACAATCTTATTTTAATTGACCGTCCTTTTTCTTTAAATATTTAAAGAAAAAGATTTTTTACCCATTAACAAATCGAGAGGTAAGACATGTTTTGTAAACGTATTACTTAACCGAAATTCTATAAATAGAATTTACCTTGCACGAATTCCTTTTTGTGTGATTAATTCTTAAAAGAGTTTATATTTCATATAAATTTACATGTCTAAACTGTGGATAGGCCTATGAACTTCATGATTCAGTTATATACAGATTTCGGTATATATTTGTAGACAAGAGATTCCCTTTCCTTTCTCTTACGTTCTTCAATTAATTTTCGTCTACATCTTGCGCGTTTATTTTGAAACCAAACCTTAATCTTCTTATGAGGTATGTCCAGTTCAATTGCTAATAATTCGATGATCCTTGGGGGAGGATAGTGGCATTTACTAAATTCCTCTTCGAGAATTTGCAATTGATGAGTTGTGTAAACTGTCCTCGATTTAACTCGGCGTTCTCCTTCAACTCTATATGATTCTGCCAATGAGAGAACGTCGTGGAAATTGACTATATCGCGTTTGTCTTGCATGACTGAGTGACGCCATTAGCATGCTATTGCTTGCTTATATAATTAATATACACGATACCATTTATATGCATATTTCTAAGTTTAATTAATATTCACGTGTTTTTTCTTCTAGAAGAGAACGAATGTCACAAATGTCAGCATTCGTGCGATTTTAAAAAATCAACTTGTACCTGCCTATCAGGATATGAACTTCGAGATAAGTTCGAATGTTTAGACATAGACGAGTGTAAGAAATACCCGAATATCTGCGGCAATGCTGAATGTAAAAATACGAAAGGTAGTTTTTACTGTAAATGCAAAAATGGATATGAACTTCAAAATTCTACTCATTGCGTTGATATTAATGAATGCAAAATTGATAATATCTGTCAAGAGGAGTGCTTTAACACCCCGGGATCGCATTTTTGTCAATGTAAAGAGGGTTTGAGAAGTAATGGAAGTATATGCTTGGATATAAACGAATGTAAATTGACCAACAGAGGTGGATGTTCACATTCCTGCAAAAACGATTATGGTTCCTACTCTTGCTCTTGTCCGCTGAATATGAAATTAGGTGCCGATAATCATACTTGCTATTCTTTGACACAGTCAACGGAAAAAACAATCGAATCTTCATCATTTCAACCATTGCTTGGTGCAAAACTTGACAAGAGTAAAAAGAATACAGATGGCGTTCTTGCTGGTATAATAGTATCTTGTATAGGTAAGTAAATAAATTAGTAAAAACCTTAACTATTGAGGGTTTAACCATGCTTTTTAACCTTCTCAACAGTTGGAACTATCTTGCTGATTCTCTTGATAATCTTTTTCTATAAGAAAGGATGGTGTAACTGTTGTATGGCAGGTATAGGTGTTACTGCCGATAGTCCTAAGAAACTTCAAGGACCACGCATGTAAGGAGTAATTAAATACGTGTAATCTTTAACACAATTGAAAATTTTCTCACTCTTACCTTTATCTAGTGATAACGTTTACGTTGAAGGAATAAGTACAATAGATAAAAAAGGAAAAGAAGAGGAAAATGATGCAAATGTAGAGAGTTTATACGTAAATAATGCATTTAAAATAACCGATTTACCACCAAATTACAAAGATGTAAATATAAAGATAAATAGTAACAATACTATGCCTGCTACATAAAAAAAATATAATATTACTTTTCATTAAAAAAAGGTATTGAACGAAATAAACAAAGAATTAAAGAATAACGATATGACAGAACTAAACCTTAACAAAGAAATGGAGGGTAAAGGAGAAATTAGCAAAGAGGAACCTATATATGGAAATGTAACGAATGAAAGCGAAGCTGAAGCTGTATACGTAAACGTTGGCAGTATGAGCTAAATAAGGTGACATTTCTTCTCACATTTGACAACGTTTTTATCGGAATTAGATGTTACAGGAACAATAAAAAAAACTGCAGAATGATTGAGAATAAGTTAGAATGATTGTAAAACTGTATTTTAAATGAATGAGAAAAATATTTTATCTGATAGATAGAATAACATGTGATAGAGAATGAGAGATTTTCTTATGAAATTTGCTTGATTATTACTATTTCTGACCTTTGACTGAAGTTTTACTCTGGCGAATTATTACATAACACACTTGATTTTTTACCGAAATTTAAACCTCCTATTCAGTGTGATTCACTAAATAAAGATCCTAAATTTGATCATGAAAAGAATCAGCCTACAACTGAATACTTATTATACATTTCATATCATATTGAATAAAAGAAATGCAACAAATAAATGTGTTTATTTTTATGAAAATGAAAATAAATTCTCCTACTAAATAGATAATTATCAATAAAAAGGAAACAACGATTTTTAAAGAATACGCAAATTTCTCTTTCTTTTCCTTTTTCTATAAAGGTCAAAGTATTCTTAAGTAGGTAAAAGAAACTGTAATGAACTTGGACAAGCGAAGGTTACTTAACCAGCGCCATAATTAAGCTACTAAAAATGATCGTGTATTATTGATGAAGGTTTATTGAAGTTATTTATTAGGCTTTGCTTCAAATCAAAAAGTTATATCAATAAATATGTTATATCTATATTATTTTATATTTATATTTTAGATAAAACAACGATTTTAACTCGTATTTTCTTATTTTCCAATTGATCTTGATAGTTTATTTCTTTTAATTTCTTTCAAAACAAACGAAAATTTATTTTGTTTTCACATTTTTATTCCTTCTTTGCAGTAAAGTTTATCAGGAAAAGTTCTCATTTCTTTGCTTTGTTTTGATAAACTTCTTAATAGATATTGAGAGCGAGAGAGAGAGAGAGAAAAGGAGAGAAAGGAAAGTTGGAAAGAATCATAGCGATTGCTCGTGCTTGTGTGTAAATGCTTGTGCGCGTGCTACAAAGCTAAAAGCTACGAAAAAAATGACAAAGGAAAGAGAATTGAAGAAGGATATTGTGAAAAAGAAAAGAGAGAGAAAGGGAGAAAGAAGAGAGAGAGAAAGAGAGAAGGAGAGAGAGAGAGATTGAGTGAGTGAGCGAATGAGTGGATGAGATTATTTTGTTAAGTTTTTACGCTCCTCCCAAACCTGAATATTTATATACATTTTATTTATAAAATGTTAAATGAAACTAGTATATATATATATATATATATATATAAATTTATACTGATACATTTACTCATTTTACATGAGCATGGAAACAGAATTCTTTCAAAATACTACTTTTTCAATATTCTTTGGTATGTTTTTCATGATTAGACGTATAAATTCTTTTCTTATATTAAAGCTTATATTCATCATTGAGTTATAAATAACTTTCATATCGAAAAAGTAGAAAAAGGAAGAAAATTGAGGATAAAAAGATCTTACCGCGGTCGGCCAATGATTGAATAATATTCCCTCAACTTCATAAAAAAATCATTAAAGTCGGCCACTGACTTGAATTCGGCTGGTCTTACTGGGGGTTTAGCATCGTTGAAGTTGTGTAGTAGGGTTTTGCCCCGACGTTCCTTACTTCTGAAGGGTACTCCATCACTGGTCACGGACGCCATGATGAGAACAAGAATTAGGAGACTCCCGAGACGAAACATAACTAGAAAATAACACTTTTATAGATTATGTTTGACATTTTCCGTAGGCTATTTCATTTATATATATTGTCATAAAGAGGAAAAATATGGTTTAGGCGAGATGTAGAGAGGGAAGAAGGAAAATGAAACAAGATAGGAAGTTATAATAAAATTATCTGCTAAAGTAGTTAAATAAAAATGTTCTAATTATACTACAATGTTTTAGTTTCGCTCCTGGACGGAAGGAAAAAAAGAAAACTGAAAAGTATCTCTTTCCTCCGCTTTCTCCGTTTGCCTCTCTCTCTCTCTCTCTCTCTCTCTCTCTCTTTTTAATCCTTCACTTTTTATTACTTATTTACTGTTGTTATTTAAAAAAAAACTACACAAATAGTTTTCAACGTATTAAACAATTAACTAAAAGAGATGAAAAAACATGATATTCCATTACTATATCTATTTCTCTTACTATTTTATTGTTATAAAATGAAAAAAAGATGATAGAAATTTCTGTTTTTCTTTCTTTTTTTTAATAAAAAAAACTATTTAAATAAAAAACTATTAACAAATTATTTTACCTTCTCTTTAAAGTTAGAATTAAATTTTCAGGAAAAAACCAACCAAGTCGGTTCCGACGCCGCAAACTAAAAGAAACGTTTGGCAAGAGAAAAGTTAATTAGCATATTGTTACTGAACTTCCGGTAGTGACATTCCTATGCTTTATACATCTTATATAAATCATATTGGGGAGTATATGTCTAAGCTTACTGCATAATATATGCGACGTAAAAAAGAATTAAACACTGTCTTGTCTTTTTATATTATCTAACAGTGATTACAATGAGCAATAATAAGACTCTCCCTCACTATTTAAATGAGGGAATTGGTTAAAGAATATACAGTAATAATAATAATAGTAATAATAAAGTACCTACTTGGTTAATACTGTATAAGCAATATATATAACAAAAAAAGTAACTGCGAATAGAAGATGATATAGTGAAAATCTTAACCATCGGATTTCAAATCTTCAATTGTCTTTTAAATCCAAAACTTAACTATTTAATAGAAAACAGTTTGAATAATTTTTCATGACATTAAACAGATTGAGACAATGCGTAATTATAAATAGAATTTTATATAGGCATAGAAGTATTAAATTCCCCTATCTTCCTCCTCCTCCGTCTCTTTTTTCTTTTTACGGCTTGTGTGTACAATTTTTAGGACAAATATAGCTTGTTTAAAATAAATTAATAGCAAAATAATAAGAGATTAATTAGCTTCGTAAGGTATTAGAAATGATAACAAAAGAGTTCTTCATTAAGTAGAATACTTAATTCTATGTATACGTTTTAAGAGAATCCACATAATCCCATCAAAGTTGTCGAATGCCTTTGTTATAACTTGTTCTCTACCCCTGTATACACTTATCATGTATTATGAATGCTGTTTACTTTATTACTTTTCTAACGGCCTATTCTAAATTTAGTTTCTTACTAGTCTTGTCCATTTTATTTTTAGGAGTTTGGTGCAAAGTTTAAATAGATTCGTTCCAGTTATCAAATACAAAACATATTTATTCAACTCTCTAGTTCGATAGATGGCGTTTAAAAAAAATTTATCGTATCGTACTCGTCTCTATATCGCCTTTTTTTTGTTAAAATGCGAGAGCATGTAAAGAGAGACGCTACAGTTCTCTTTACTTTAATTTAATCTGCTTTTTTTTCTGCTTTTAAAGTTGACCTAATTAATCTTTTTAATTAGAAAACAAGACTTTTCTCTTTTAATGTTTATTTTTTTACTTTTATTAAGCTTTGTTAAAATGCTAGTCTATTGGCGCTAATGATTTATTTTCTCTCTTCAACCTCGGCTTCTTCACCTTCATCTTTCTCTTCTCCCACCCCTTTGTTGTTTTCGTCCATAGTTTCAACCTCAGCAATTGCTTCCAGTTCCGCTTGCTCGACCCCCGCTATGCTAATTTGCCTATTTTCGGAAGACATATTGGCGATAAGGTCGTCAGTTACTTCTTTAACTTCTTCGATCTGCAATTTCGACTTCTCAATAGCTTCCGCGTCGTCTGCTGTTAATTCTCTATCAACCTTCCCTTCTTCTGCTGCGCTTGTTTGGTTGGAATTTTTATTGTTTTTCTCATCTTCCTTAATCGTGTATAAATCTGAGGCGTTTGAACGCCGTCTAGTAGTGGGTGACGGGTATGGTTCGTCTATCATTGGCGTCTGGTTGTTTTCTCCATCTTCGTGATCCAATTGTCCTTCAGATAGCCTTGGAGAAGCCGATAAACTCGCTTCCATTTCTTGTTCCCTTTGAACATACAACATCTGAAAGAAAATATAAAATATCATTGATAATAGTTTAAATGCTAGAATTTTCAATTAAATTCTCACCTTTCTCCGCTCGTTTTCCTTTTCATAGGCGGCCTCTTCAATTCTTTGAACCTTGCGTTCTTCCCGTACTAAATTTTGTTCCTCTAGAATTAATTCCATTTCCAACTTTCGAACGTCTTCTTCGAAGGTTTTCCTTTTATCTTCCGCATATTTACGGAGACAGCAGGATAAAAAACTGATTGGATCCGCTGGTCTTTTTTCAACGACATCACTTATTGCTAAACTTAAAGCATCGCCTAAATGCCGTACTAGATAAGCATTATCAGCAGATAATCTGTCTGAATCACTAATTTCTGTGCCATTTCTCATCTTATAATCGAGTTCTTTCATCTTAAAGTTCCATTTAGCTCTCAAAGTGGCCAATTCCTCCTTAAGGATACCCTGTTTTGGACTTACGGACTCCATGCTTTGGCAAACTAGATAAACAGGTAGATATCGCTATGGAGATGCATTGATTAGGCTCGATCGTATATGTTTAACTGGTTATTTGTTTAGTGAGAGAGATGGCGTTGGCATCGATGTAATTAACAAACCTATATGTAGCGTTTTAACAATTTAGTGCAGCTTATTCGGCTTTAATCAAATATGTATCCTCAGCGATATAGTACCCCTGGGGAAAAATATATAAAATCCTTTGCGCCCCTCTTGCTGTCTATCTGTCTATATTAGTAAACAACTACATCTGTTTTTACAGTAGAAAAAGCTACTGCAATATATAAAATTGCAGTTTAAACTTTTAAGCAATTTTACGCAATGTAATTTTTATTTTACTTTAGGCTTCTGTTTTTATTTTGTCTTCTACTCTGTTTTCTTCTGTCTCTCCCTCTTCCCTCCCTCCCTCCCTCTCTCTCCCTCTCTCTCTCTCTCTCTCTCTCTCTCTCTCTCTCTCTTTCTCATACTTTAGATTAAGCTACACTTAATATCTTCTTATACTCGTTTAATCCCTACTCTGCTACATTCTTCTGCCTTGTTTTGTTCATAATTAATCAATCAGAAATATAAATTAATAGATTTACAGCATATTTATTTTATAGTATATAATTTTGTAAAAAAAACACGTTTTTTATATTTGTTGTTTGTCCAAAAGTAACAAAAATATACTTGTTATTTTCTTCTTTCTGGTTTAGGCTCTTTTTTGTGGAATAGTAAAGTAAAGCATAACAAAATAGATAATCTAAATAGCGATGATAAAAGAATAGTTGTAAATTTGATGAAACCCATAGACAATTTAGAAGAGCAGACCAAAAAAGAAAGGAAGAAAGTGAGAGAGAGAGAGAGAGAGAGAGAGGGAGAGAGAGAAAGGGAGATTGAGTGAGAGAAGAGACAGAAAGAAAGAAATATATCATATATATTGTACATATATATATATTATATACATAAAATGTATATAGAAACAGGCTGAAAAAATTAAAAGAATGAGAAGAATAATGGAATTCCATTCCCTGTACATTGATATTAACAAAAAGAGAACAAAATAAGTGTACATATATTGTTTTATAAATATATTAATTTATACTTTTTTTTCTTTGTTAGTTATTTCTTAACAAACTAAGAGGCAGGATCCTGGATAATTAGTGTTGGAAGGTTTATCATAAAAATGCATCGTTCGATACGCTTGATTGTGAGATAATTCATTTAAGACTATATCCGTATTCGGTTGATTAACGGCAGTAGCCGTCCATTCGTAATTTCGTACTTCTTCCCTTTTACTTGCCTGAGAATTTTCCATTCTCCTGTAATTATTTACAATTTAGGAAGAAAAAGAGAAATAATATCAACATTGATAGAAAGAGAAGGAAAAGAACATCGAGTATATATTATGTTATATTATAAAACGTATGTGATATATCCCCCTCCTTTCGTCTCTTCTCTTACATTCTCCTCTTGAATTAGTTTATAATTTATCTAATCAATTAGTGGTAATATTTCTGTTTAAAAGGCTGTTGAGAAGCACTGTTTTATCAAAGCTTGTATTAATTAATTTCGTATATACCTAATTGATGGTGGAAAGCTGTAATAAGTGCAATAATTGCTATAATGTTGGATACAAATCAATGATAAATAAATAAGATGGATAAACAACATCATAATTTACCATCTGCGAAATAAATGGCTATCTAGACTCAGTGGCGTCTCTCTTAAATAAATGCGTCTCTTTCGCTTACTCGCCCCTTTTTTTTCTATCTATCTGGATGTCGCTTTTTCCCTCTTTCCCTCTTTTTATTTTTTCTTTCTTTTTTCTCCCTCTCTTTCTTTCTTCACTACTTTTATACTTTTTCCTTAGAGTTCTGTGCTATGTTGATGTATTTAATTACTCGTGCCCTAAAAAACCCCTAATTCTTAGTAATAAGAGTTACGTCCGCTCGTTAGATGGCGTTCTTCTGGAATTAAGTGTCCTACCTTTTAAAGTAGAAGAGTAAAATTGCTGGTAGTACAAAGGCTATAAAAATACCAGCACCAATAGCGACCGGTAGAGCGGCTATATTGTAGAAGGAAAAAGTTGGGTAAAGCGAGTTTTAATGATAAGACTTTGATTAGGCAAAATTCTTTTATACCGTTTTCTAACCACGCCTTTCCGGTACCAGTTTCCTTGTTTTCTGTTGAAAGAATGACAAAATTAGATAAATTAATAGGAAAAATAAATGAATATGGCTTAATATGCGCAATTCAAATAGATGCACTTGATTTGATTAAAAAAATTTGATCTACTTGCCTATTGTTGCTAATAGGGCGTGCAGTTATTTGACTCGCGTGCGCTATAAAGATGGTTAACTAGAAGAATAAACACACCTGCACCTGAGCCGGAACATTCAATAGGAACACCTCTCCATTTGTTGTCCTTGCACGACAACGTATACGATAGCTTCGGGCGACTTTTGCAATAGACGTTAACTTTAAGACGGGAATTAGACGGCTTTATAAAGGCGTCTCTCCGTAGAACTGGCGGCGGGCACTGCTTGATAGCTGCCGGGCGTTGTTGACATTTGCAATATCTAGCGTCTAAAAGCGTTTTTCTATACCTCGACATTCGATGGCGAATCGACCCTTCACCGGAGCCCTCAGGAGGATCTTCAGACCATTCGTATAGGACGTGTAGACTCTCTTCTCCCTAGCTTTGAACGACGGATATATAGAGAAATTGTCCACGTTCGCTTCCTTAACAGTAATCCAAGGAAAACCAGAGGAAATTCTCAAATCATCAAATATTATTAATTGAATCTCTATACGATAATCTTTTGGTGCCCAAATAGACCAAAAGCAATCGCCATTGCATTCTTTAAATAAAGTGCTAAATATAAAACTTCGTAAAGGCGGTTGCAGACCGTACGCTTGACTTTGACAGTTTTTGCAGTTGGTCGGCTGCAATGCTGTTCATATATAAATATAAATTGTACATGCAAACAAAGCAAAAACGTATATATTTATAAATAATATGAGAACAATAACTCTCTTTTTGTATTGAAAATTATTGCCTTTTCTCTCCGTTTTTATTCAACCAATTAAAAAAACAATGTGGTTACTTTTTGAATTAACTATCCTGATGGATGGAAAAGGCAAAATTAGTAAAATTTGATAAATAAATACCTCTTACGCATTCGTAGTCTATATTTAAATGTTGCTTAAGTTCCCCTAAACAATTAGTCATTTTTTCCAGTTTTCTATCGTTTGCTTTAAAACTGCAATTCCTATGTCCAGAACATATTAAATCTAAATAAGGCAAAACTGATCCATTACAGTCTCGATAGAAGTCGTTATCCTCATCAATACATCTGTAATTACACAAATAAAGATAAGAGAAAAAGAGAGAAAGAGAGAGAGAGAGGGAGAGAGAGAGGAGGGGAGAAACAGAAAACAAAAAAATTAAGTAAAAGAAAAGAAGCCATAAAAAAGAGAAAATATGGAGGAGAGAGATGATTTTTTTTATTTTAGCTTTGTAAATAATATATTAATCTAAAGCGGCTTTATTTATACATAATTATTATAGACCGACCCGGGAATATTGCGAGTATGTACTTTGACCAATTTTTATATTCATCGGTCGTCTTTACACAGAAGCCTCTGGGAAATGGGATATAATGGCGAATTGAGTAGGCCTATATGTATTCTGATTATTAATAAGTCGGTATACTAACCCCAGACCTTTCATACGACCATATATTGCTCGTTTTACAAGTATTACTTCACCGTTTGGGCAAGATTCCTTAAATTCTTGATGGCTGCAAATTTCTCTGGCTGTAGTGTATCAATTTTTAAGTATATTAATATATTAACATATTGTATATGTTTATATATATATATAACGTAGCTTGTTATCAATTGTAAACAAGCTTAAATTAGTACAAGTCTAGTTGCAATAACGGGTAAAAGTTTATCAAAAACTGATGTAAAGAGAGTGGAGAGGGAAGATAAAAAGCATTAATTCAAAGATGAAGAATACATGGACTCAGATGAGTCTATGAATAAAGGTTTAATGTAAAGTAAAGACTGGAGGGGGTTCTAGTATGAGAGAAAGAAGGAAAGAAAGGTAAAGTTAAAGTGAAAAGGGGAAAATATGCTATGTACTGTCTAGTCTACACGAACAATAACACAATGTATCGACGCGATTGATAAGCCTATTCCATTGTAGAAAAAAAAGAGAAGTATATAGATATATAAAAATTTGACTCAGTTTGACTTTGATAGAAGGTTGAAGAAATTAGAGCGAATTAATTTGAGTCGGTCGGTCTGCTAATAGAACACTCCTTCGGATAAGCACTCGAAAGCGTCCTGCAAGAGGATTTGAGTAATTTGCAGTGTTAAAAGGTTAGATTGGCTCCTCTCTACTGTAGTTTGCCATAGGCAAAACGATTGGAAAATTGACGGCCAACTATCTTGGGAAGAACAACTTTTTTCCGTACGTTCTTTCTTCTATCTTATTCATAGATTATATAAATTGGACAAAAAAACAAGGTTTTATCCAACTGAAATATATAAAATATCGTATACAGGAAAAATCAGAAGAGGTAGTAAATGAGAAAGGGTAAAGAAAGTGTGGAAAGAGAAAGAGGGAAAGAGAAAGAGGGAAAGAAAAAGACAAAAAGTAGCTTAAGAGAATTGTTTAGGCTAAAAGCTGTAGGAAAAGTACGAAAATGGAAATTCTGAAAGAAAATGATATTAATACGAGTTAATGAGTTATTTACAACTAATAAAGATGCTAAAGAAAAATAGATCTACTCGCCTATGGTGACAGCAAAACAAACCGATACTACGAGGCCAAGCCGGTCTTGCATCGTTCTGATATATTCGTATACGCTCAGGAAGCTTCTCTGGCGACATCACCCTAACAGTCACGTGACTATGTTCGTTTGAAGTAGGAGAGTATTGTGTACGAACTCGATTAGTCCGAATAGGCCTGCCAATTTGTTAATTGAAAGGTATTATTTGTAGTTTTTGGTTTATTTTACGGAATGTGTGGCCCGGCTCATAACGAAAATGAATTATAAATAAATATAAGCAAATACATAAGTACATATTCTGTATATTGCATTTATATTACATTTAAACACTAAAAATCCTTTTTTTATGTTTTAATAATCCGTAACGGAGACTGATATCGTTTTACAAGGATTACTGTATGATAATTTTCTCATTTCCAACGTATTTTATAACGATCCGTTGCGTCAGTAGATCATGTCCCGGAAGTGGGCATTTAATGGCTTTATAGTATTCTACTCTTCCCATCTAATCTCTCTCTCTCTCACTACCTCCCTTAGTCTCTTCTTTACTCATCCACTTTTTTCTCGACTCCCTTCCAATTTTCTCTCCTCCTTTCTCCTCAACTTCCGTCTTTTCCTCTTCAACCCTCTTTACAATTACTCAATAAGTTACTCATAACATGTTAGCCGGAAAGAAAACGTTGTTGAGATTACATAACCCCAGTTTAAGTTCTATTCTAATATTTCATATCTCAGGAGAGTAAAGAAGCAAAGAGGGTGAAAAGAATTGATTGAAGTTAAATTTTCTTGGAAAATGAATACGTTGTGCAGGAATAGGATCATGTTAAATAAAGAAAAGGGGAAGGGGCAATATGAGTTAGTCAGAGAGAGAGAGAGAGAGAGAGAGAGAGAGAGAGAAAGAAGTAAAGATAGAAAGAGAGTTTAAACAGATAAAAAAGCTTTAATGTTAAACCTTGTTGTTTTATATTCAAAAGAAAAATATAGAGATAACACAAAATTACGGATTCTGAACAATATTTTTTCAGTCAACTGCAAATCTATTTTTTCCTTTTTTCAAGGCGTTTGATTGCCTTTTTTTTAAATAAAAAACAAGTGTTTATTATGTACTATAACGATTTGCAAATTGAACGATAATACTTAAATAACGTATATTCACTATACGTTCATATATATTTATCATACATGACTTAGCATTTAGTTATAATATATATATATACATATATATATATATTAAACCTGTTCTGTATTTCGCCAAAACGAATGATTAATCGATAATTTTTGACGAAAAACAAATGTCATAGAGGAATATAGTAGATGAAAAATGCAAACCGCAAACAACTTTCGAAATCCCTTGTCTTTGAAGTGCTAGGCCTATTATTTTAAATAGTCAAGCATCTTCTTGCAGAAAACTATAAATTATATGAATAATCTTTCGTAATAGTAAGGATAATGCGCTAGTCTTCTTTTTCTCTTTCTTTTCTTTTTCAATGTATATAAAACGAACTTTCAACCCAAATATTCTATATGGAAATCTTTTATATAAATGTAAAAACCTATATGTACTATATATTAATTGTATGTTCTTAATTGTTTTTTTTCCTTATTATGTCGTTATTTCAAATGTTCTTCGTTTGTTATACTTTACAGTTATCTGCCTTATTATTTACTCTATTAATTAATTAATATACTTTTATTTCATTTCATCTTAATCTCTTAAACGCCATCTAACGTTAATTGAATTAATTATCAAATTATTTTTATGAATAGCGTTCAAACTTAATTGAAATTATAAAGGAGGAAAAGCGTGTGGGAAGGTAGTCTATTTAAATTACGAACATTCTCTTATGTACTATTGTATTTATATACAAATATTATATATTAAGCCCACATGTAATCTCTCAATTAAGCGTCAAAAAAAAGTTGTTTTCTTTTCTTTAGATCAATTCAAAAAACAAGTTTTGTGGTAAATTGTCCTGTAGCTGATATAAAATTCTATGTGACACGGCTGACAATCAATCGGAGGAAGTTTAAGCCTTTTTATATTTGCTGATGAGTTAATATAATGAAAAAATCTTCAAATTGATTGGAAATAGAAATAAGTGTTTTTATTAATAATAAAAACGTTCAATTGATAAATATAAAAGAGTTGGATGAATTTCTTTCAGTTCTTTTTTTTGTTTATTTCTAACTGCCTTATTTTTATATAAAATGAAAATATTCTCTGGATGTAATCTTTTTTGACCTTTAATGGAGACATTTACATTTGTTATGTTATTAGTTTTTTGAATTTTGCACGGAAATTAATACAATAGAAAAAAGATATATCTACAGAAAACTGGTATGTTTGCATGAAAAACATACAGGTGACTTTTGTTTACAATTTCTTTAGTTCAATCGTTTTTTGCTTTTTGACGTTGGATTTGCTCTTGTTAAGCTGAAAATAACTCGAGGATTATAAAAGATATGCGGAATATATGGAATTCATGATTATTAAAACAGATCCAACCATTATTACTTTTTTAATACGTCTTTGATCACCTGTAGTATCGCCCAAAATGCATCCTCTTTTCGAACAAGTTCTCTTTAAGAAAGATTTGTCATTAGCGGGAGAAGTTTTTAATGTTAAAAATGAAGAAATAGAACAAGATTTGTCATCGATTATCCAATGCCTAACAAACATTGTAAATCGCGAACAATATTTATACCAACACAGCGAGCAGAGCGTTGTAGAAATTGTTCTAACAAGAATAACATCAGCAATAAGGTATCCATAAATTAATTGATAAATGAACTGTATAGATTGTTGGTACATTATTGTTTTTTTGCTGTATTTTAGAGAAACGAAAAGTTTGGATAGAAATTATGAATCTTTAATTGAATTGTTAGAAACTTGTTTAAAGTTTAACTTGCAGACAACTGGAAATAATGATCCCCCTCATTCAAAAATAGCATCCGATATACTCTCATGCATATTCATGGTATAGTTAAAGCTATAAATTACATACAGTATATATAAATCGCTAATTTTTATGTTAATTTTTATAGAATAACTTAAATGAAACTATCATGAAGAAAGCTGTACCAATTTCCATTAAATTCCTAGATAAGAAAAATAATGAAATAATTAGAAATTTAAGCAGTTATTTAGCATTGGCAGCTATTGATTACAATGGTATAATTGTTGAATCTGCACCATTAATCATTAAAAGTATACTCAACGGTATGATTTTAGTCTACATTGATAATTACTTCTTTTGAATATAATCATATTTTATTCTTTTTTTATTTACTACAGGCAATAAACTTCTTATTCGTTTGTTACCTCAAATCTATGTGAAAAATAGTGAACCTTTTGACGATTATTTAGCTGATATTCTTAACCTAATCTCAGTTCTTGACCCCCAGCAGCGTTCAGATTTGTTATCTTTGGCTTCTCTATCTGTTCAAGGTACTTCAAGGATATCAGAGTTAGTCGAAACGTTATGCTCAAATCTTAATATAATATCAATTGCTGAAATTGGACCTGTTTTAAAAACTGTCGCTGAGAGAGACGCAAGATATTTAGTGCCTTATATCAGAGCCATCTATCAGACTGTTGACACTGACGATGAAGCTCAAATTCTACAAGTCGCTGAACTATTAACTGTAGTGGCTCTATCTAGTGGGAGAGATGCAGCGGAAGTTTGTACAAAATGCTTAGTTGACGCTCTTGAAAGTTGTAGGTGGGAACGAAAATTTTTGTCTTTTATCATATGGCGCCTAATAATATGTGTCTCTTTTTTCCTTACTTAATTTTTTAGGTCTACTCAGACTCTTGTTCTTGTAAGGAATCTCAAAGAAATTGCTGAAAAATATCCAACTGTTGTACACGATCACTTAGATACTGTAAACTCCACTTGCTTGCATAATGCCATATCACATACAGCATTAGATCAGTTAAAAGAAATATGTTCTAGAAGACGATCGGCCTGCATTCAAACTGATGCAGTTACCGTTATAAGTGTCGATGATAGCTCTAATTGCGATTGTAAACCACCGTTGACAGCTTCTTCAAGCGGTATATCCCAAGCCAAAAATGTAGCAACGTCTACTCCTAACTTGGAGGAGGAATACGAAAAAGCATCAATTAGCGTCTCTAAAGTTCAAATGACATCACCAGGAACTAGTACACTAGTAACCGTATCTAAGATGCATCAACCTGAACCAAGCTATTCAACAATTCAAGTCCGAAGGGACTACGTTCCACCATCGTTAGAGAATGCTATACCCTATCGAGACGCCGTTCAGCATTTTTGCGAAAAGCATAAAGATAAAATTAGGCAATTTATAGAGCATATTTTAGCGAGAATGCCTATTCCATGTAAGGCCAATGTCGAAGAGAAGTTAGGAGGGAAAAGAGTGGTTAGATTACATATTTCCTGTTCGGCAAAAACGGATGATTGTCTATACAGAGACTCTTTTCTTACTTTTTCAACGAGACATCCAAAATTATGGATTCATATAATGCTATTAGCTGTTCAGGTATTTTAAAATAAGAAAGTCTATCATTATTCTATAAATAATCCGTAAATTACTAGGCAAGTTCGGAACATGCCCTTGCTCAGCACGATGATGCTGTTGCCTCGTTGAAAAAATGCTGGGATGTATTAGACAGTGGAACAAGTTTTGTTCGGGTGGCTACGTCGTCTTTTCCGAATAGAAGAGATCAAGATTGGTTGGTAGAAGAGTTAAGAGACTGTAGAGTTTTAGACATGTTTGAATTCGATGCGGCCAGAAGACATTGGGGTTGTTTTATGTGTACTGTACCGAATAAATTTGAAAAATTACTCAGAGACGGCGATCCGGCAATGGAAGGTATTTTTTATTAAATATCCAATAAACCATTAAAAGTAATTACGTATCCCTTTATATTATCTACTTTAGGGAACTTAAAAGAGAAACGGGGCAAGTGGAAGGTACTAAAGAGGTGGAAAACAAGATATTTCACTTTATCGGGAGGAAGTATTATATTCTCTTCGAAGAGGAACTCGGTATATCAATATCTCATTTTAATCTATGATATTGATCTTTTCTTATATAATTAATTCATAAACAGTCGAAAGAAACTGTTCCCGTAAGCCAAATTCAGAGCGTTCAATCAGCTAGACGCCGCGGCACTAGAAATATTCCTAAGGCCTTTGAGATATTTACCTCTCACGATTCATTTCTACTAAAGGCGGAAGATCCATCTCATGCAGAAAAATGGTTGCAGGTACTTAAAAAAGTTAAAACTGTAGCAAAAATATTGAAAATAAATATAATTTCTATGTGTATTGCTGTTTTCCAGTGCATTCATATTGCAAAAGCAAAATGTCAACAAAGATTGGAAAAGCATAGCGAACAATAGACACCTGTTTAAAGGAAGAAATCTACTTCGATTAATTCTTCAATAGATATCTATACCTAATTCAAATAATATTAGAAATATAAAGTTTGAAGGAAATGGATAAAAAAGGACGATCTTTTCGTTCTTTTTCCCTTTTCTTCAATTATATCATCATCACCATTATCCTTGGCGTTCTCTTCTAACAAAACTGATATTAAAATTGACTTATTTGTTTTATTTGTTTTTCTATTTATTTTAGATTATTGTTTGTTTTGTATTCTTTTTTATTAACATCGATAAGTCTCCTTCCTTTTTCGTTAATAAATCAAAAGAGAAAAATACAAATACTTTTTATCGAAATCATTTCATTTTCGCGCCAATTTTTCTTCCCTTTCCAAAACTCCTCCTCCCATCTTTTGTTTCCTTCTCTATGAATCATTCTATCGATAACTTCTATCAGCTGGTCCCATAGTGTAGTGGTTATCACGCTCGCTTAACACGCGAGAGGTCCTGAGTTCGATCCTCAGTGGAACCAAGAATTGTTTTTTATTATTATTTCTATCTATATTGTTTTAGATTTATGGAACTTATGCTTTTTAGATAAGGAAATCTCTTCTTATAAGAAAAGAAAGAATTTTAGGCATTTTCAACTAATGATGATATTTATCTTTCTTTTATAAGGGTTTATTATCGTCACGAAAAGTTACTTCTCATGCTTACTTATAAGTGTTTAATATCCCAAGTGTTTTATGGCAAAAGAACAATCAAATTAGGCAAACTTTTCTTCATTTATTCACGTCATTTACGAGTATAAACTTGATGGAATAAGCAAAGGGAAGAAATTAGAAAGAATTTATTACTTTATCTAAGAATAATGAAGAACTTAATGTTAATTAAAAAAGAATAAAAGAGAAAAAATTACTGCTGAAAACTATGATAATGTAATTGACAATTTAATTGATATTTTCTTTTACAGAGACGAGAGAAAGAGGAAAAAAAGATAATATAAAGAGAGATTTATTGAATAAGGAATTTACTTTATAAATTAACTTAACAAAAGAGGAAAAGTTGGAAAAAGCTGTTCTAATAATAAATAAATGGCCATCGGATAAATCTTAAATTGCTTAAACGAGGACGTAATATAATGTACTTAATATAAACATGTACATATTTATACAATACGTTAAGTACATATTGAAAAATATAGATATTACAGCGATTATAAAGAGAAAACTATTACTGGGAGAGGAATTCATCTACGTTCCTTTTCTCCTTAATTTTATATTAATAAACATTTATTAATAAATCTATCGATATATACTGTATATACATATATAATAGATTAATTAGTTTTATTAACTTCCTTGTATAATAATAATAATAATAATAATAATAAGGAAATAAAGCAACCAAATTCCCAATCATTTCTAACATTACATTAGTTAAACTCTTTCTTTTTAAAAAAAATATTATTTCTTTTTTTTTTCTGTATGCTTCTGCTAAATTTTATTCATTTATTTATTCTTCAAAGTTGATATTTCAACAAAGCAAGAGAAAGATAATACTATTAAAACACTTATTTCAAACTAATATGTTACTTTTTAACTTCCATATTTTGAACATAATTGCGTTTGACAAATATCTCCTGGATTTTTTGGTAAAAGTGGATCCATTGCCAAATTTCTTACAAGTTCATTACATTTTCTCAAACTACATAAGAATTTGATAGCCATTAAAGCTTCCTCTTCTAGTTTCCTCTTCTGTCTGAAACTTTAATTTAATTTTTCTTTTTTAATCAGAAAAAAAAGAAAAGTTTCTTCTTTAAAAGAGAATTGAAAAGAAAAAGCAAAGACATAATTTTCTGTAAAATAGATAAAATATTACCTTATCTTTTGCTCTTCAGAGAAAATCCTGTAACTATCAGCTAATGAGAAAAATAATAATTGAAAACAGAGAAGAATAATTAAACCACGCTTCATATCTTGCCGAAAAAACTCTATATCCTCAGGTCGTTCACGAGTGAGGCGTAGTGACAGAAAGAGAGATAGATAAATAAAGACAGAGAGGTAGAGAGGAGAGAGAGAGAGAGAGAGAGAGTAAATGAATGTACGAGACAAAAGGTGACACAGACGTTCAGGAGATGTATAGGAAGATAGAGTATATATACTAGATGTATATTTTGTATATATAAATATTTATAAATTTATCTTAGCGAGAGAGAGAGGAAGAGAGAGAGAGAGAGAGAGAGAGAGAGAGAGAGACTGAGAGAGAGTGAGAGAATGTGTTGTACTGACTAATCCAGAATTCGTTTTGAAAAAGAAATATGATATTTAAGAGAATGGTTCCCTGAAAACCAACTGGATACAACAGATAGGATTGTGCAAAACCACATTAATATTTGCATAAATTAATAATCAATACTGAAATTTAGTAAAACAGACTACTATTTTTACTTCATTCATATTAAAAAATTTCTTTTCTTCTACTTTTTGCATACTTAAAATAATCACAATAACAGACATTAGCTGTGAATTATGGCTGGCAAGTTTTTTCCACTATTACAGTACCAATGGATTTATAGATAGATTGAGAGAAATGTGTTAAAAATTAGTTTATCCATCTATATTGATATATTTAAGACTTATGCTAATCTCAAATCATTTTTGCAAGCTTTGCACTATTCATTAGCCTATCGCTTTTTCAATAGAAATTTTTCAGATAAAAAACATTGAGCTATAGATAAAGAATCGGGAGAGAATAATATATAGAGGAGAGGGATAAAGACGATAAATTACAGGAAAGAAGGGGAGAGCGAGAGGATACATAGAGCAGGAGATTTTATATACAGCAAAAGCAATTCTATATATACAGTATATATATATATATATATAGTGTATATGACAAGAGACAAATTTAACAAAAGAAAAGCTACAAGCAGAAACGTGATATTTGAATTTAATTTTACATGTTTCTTCTATTTCTTATTACGCTCTTCCTTATTCCTTTCAAGAGAATTTATATAAAATAAAAAAAGGAAAAGGAATCTAAATTTTCATACTTTCTGATTTCCTATTCATTTCTCTTCCTTGTTCAGTTCTCTTTTGTCTTTTCTTATTATTATTATTATTTATTATTTGAAGACTTTTCTTGTCATATTTGCTTGTAGTTTTCCTTTAATTTGATTCTAATATTATTTGCATAGTCTTCCATTATTTTTCCATTTAGAACCAACACCGCCTGCGCCTCCTCCTCCCACTCCTTCTCCTTTCCATTTGACTCTTTAGCACTTTATACGATATCAATAAGTAGTCTATTCCAGGAGAAAGCATTTAACTTCCGTACAGTTGAAGATTGTTTTGATAGTCTTACGAGAACATTTGTTTCATATTAAATGATAAAGAGAGGGCGGAAGATGAAATTTTAAGCTATATAAAATTAATAATAATAGAAAATAAAGAGTCTATCTACTTTCGAATTGAATTTTTATCCTTTTCATTTAGAATACTGTCTTTCTACTCTTTCAATTTTATTATTATACAGTTTCTATTAAAATTTCCAGTTATACTTTGCTTTCCTAAATAATTCTCATAAACTTCTGACAATCAGTCATACCTTAAGCTTTTGCTAAATATTTACTTATGTTTATGTATGTTGTATAATTTTCAGAAAAACACTCCCCTTTTGTGTTCAAAGTATACTTTGGATTTTTAAATATATTATCCTTCAAATCGTGTCTGCAACATTGATTCATAGTCTCTTATCTTATCACAAATATATTTTTATAATAATTTTAGCCTAGTAAAAGTCTTTCAATTTACCATCGTTTAAAGACAACCTCCAAAAACACTTTGCAAAAGAAGCATACTATTCAATCAAAAAAACATTTAAATAAACAAAAGGAAACTAGAATAGCGTCTTTTCGATGCTGTTTTCTTAGTAGACGCTTTTTTCAAAATATTTCCTTTTAAAAATGGCATATTAAGAATTGTTATAATTACTTTTCTCCTTTTTTCCTTTAATCATGTTTACGAAAAGAATAGAAAGAGGAGGAGATATTTTCCATATCTCATTTGAAAGACAATATTAGACTCTTTTGCTTAAATTTCCAAAAAAACGGCAATCTTAACCTTCGTTATATATATATATAAACTAATATATATATATATATATATATATATATTTAGTATATATAAAATTACTCATCAGGCATTGTTATACTATGACTCATAACTTTTCGCCAGGGTTTACCTGGTACCCTACATTTATTTTTAATATTCTTAAGCAGCGACATTTATGCAGAATGAGTAATAGCTTTATCTGAATATAGTAGGGCTAATAATCCTAAATTCTATCAAAACTTTGATTATCAATTTTTTTGAAGAACGTACTTAACAGTTTTATTGAGTTATTTAATGTGCGATTTTAAAAAAATTGAATAGACATATTGTTCTTATAAACAAAGTTTCTAGATTGATAGATCCAGTAGCTTCTAATTTAGAATTGTATGATTAAAAAGATATATTAATCATTAAAGAAATGGAATCAGTAATAAGGAAGCTTTACATACATATTTATTTATATATAAATAAATATCTTTTTCTTTCTCCAGAGTTAAATGATAGAGAAATCTTTGAAAAGGATAAAAAAAAATTAGTTCCTGTAATATAAAACGTTTCTACCTGTAATTGTACAGAGATGCTCCCTTTAGTAATCTACAGTTTCTATTAGTTAGTAAAAATTTCTCCAGCTTATAATCAGCCAGAAATCTAAAATATTGCTTAACGTAACAATCTAACAGCAGAGAAAGACATGCAAATAGTATATTACTTGTACATTATTCTTGAAATGGTGATGATAGAACAAAAGAATAAGTTTAAGATCTAGTGATAAGAAATATTATGATGTATTGATATATATATTCTCCAAGATACAAGGAAAGACACTGAAAAAGATTAAATGAGTAATGCTTATGGGATAAATATCTTATTGTTAATATTAAAAATATAATATGCAAATGAATGTTGTTAACTTAAAAATCTCGATACTATCTTCGATCTTGTATAAAACGTCAATATATAAAGTTAACTGCATGAGTCATACTTTCGCTTTTATTATATTTTCGAAAAGATTATAATTATGCGCAAATTCCAGTTATTCCAGGTGAGAACAAAATCGAGACGTTCTCTCCTCTTTTTGCATCTGGTGCAATGTAATTGAGGTGAATTGTATATATATTTTAGTATGTATATACATACATGCTATATATTGTCCGTTGACCCTTTATACGAAAATAATTATTATTCTACGTTTATCAGTAGAATCTTAACATTTTTCCATCTAGAACGTTATTTTTGAATCTTTTGAAGTCATTAATAGTATGTGTATATAAGCCTAAGAATGGGTGAGTCATCTATCACTTATCGCTTATGAGTCATTCAAGACTGTGCATATAAAAGCATTCAAATACTTCAGAACTGAACATTTTTTGGTTTGAGAGAGATGGAGAAAGTTCCAACGGGACATAAGCGCATTTTGGATGCGTATGTCCTAGCTTTTCCATTAGGATTTCTTGGAGCGCACCATTTTTATCTTAACAGACCTGGATGGGGAGTTATTTACATTTTTACTTTTGGCTTGTTTGGACTTGGTTGGGTTGTTGATTGGTTCCGTCTCCCCTTTCTTGTCCGAGATGCAAACGAAAGATTGGCCAACCCTGAGCGGATGCATATCAAAAAGTTACATGATGTTTACGTCGCTTGGCTACCTTTAGGAGGTATGTTAGGTTTTCACCATTACTATATGGGAAGAACTGGTTGGGGTGTTGCGTATACGTTTACACTTGGCTTTTTGACCATTGGATGGCTTATTGATCTTTTTATTATTCCAAAACTTTTGAGGGAACGTAATAAGAGAATAGAAACAAACGGACCAGCAAAGAAAAGCGCAGCTTCAGCTTATGTTATTTGCCTTTTCCCAATAACTGGCCTTCTTGGATTCCATCACCATTATCTAGGAAGACACTGGTGGGGTGCTCTGTACACTTTTACAATTGGTTTACTTGGAGTTGGATGGCTTTTGGATATCTGCCGCCTAAAGTTTGTTGTTGAAAGGGAAAATCGTAAATTGAAAAATGAAGAAGATAATAAATTTTATATAGATGATGCCTACATCCTGTGTTTCCCCCTCGGTTTCCTTGGTTTACATCAGTTTTATTTGAAAAGATATGGTTGGGGAGTTCTTTATCTATTGACATTTGGTCTATTAGGTATTGGTTGGATTACTGATTGGTTCCGATTATCATGTTTGGTTAATTCATTAAATAAAGAACTGATTCTCGGTAATAGAGTGCAACAGGATCCAGTAATAATTCAAACGACGACAACCACGACTACAACAAAGATTGTAACACCTGAACAAGCTGGATCGTATACAAATCCACCACCAGCAGTCCCACCACAACAAAATCCAGCACAAATTTACTGTCCCCCGAGCTACGATGATGCTGTAAACCAGCCACCGGAGCACCTACAAAATCATACGAATAATATCGTATATGTCGAGGCTGGCGAACTCCCACCAAAGGAAAAGATTTAAAACCTTCTTTTGCAAGGGAGAAAATTCAATCAAACAGTAACGAAACTAAAAAGGGAGAAGTTTCTAACGGAAATGAATTCGGTTTGAACATAATTATTTGTCTTAATTATTTATTTATCACCAATAATCAGCCCTTTACTCAATTCTACTTCTCTTCAATCGCAAAATATACTTAGATGTGTGTAATCTCCGCCTTTAAATCCCTTTTTGACTCTTTTTCTATTGTCTATCTCAATTTCATTATTATCTTTACCACCTTCTTCTATAGTAATATAGTTTTATTTTCACTAATACTTTAAAGTGGGCCCCCTATTTTTTCTAATGAGAAAAAGAAGGGTTGTGAAAATCTGCAGTTTTTGTTCCCTTCTATGTAGTCAGTTAACTTAATCAATTAGTTTTATTTTATTCAATATAAACTTATGCATATTTATATCGATGATTATGTGGCAGCATAAAAAAGACTGATGTTCTCTTATTCTAATTGTATATATATATATATATATATATCAGGAAAAAATACTCATTGTTTTCTTTACAAGTGATATATTTATCTCAAAATAAAATTACTATTTAGGTATATAGAGATATAATAACTAATGCTGTTAGCAAAAGGTATAGCAATAAGAAACTATTACAATTAATTACAGTATTTTTAATCAATAATACACTATATTGTAGTATTAAAGCAATTGATAACTAGTATTTATCTATCTACAACTTCTCTCCTCTTTCAACCATACATACGGTGGAAACAGATATACATAAATATATACTTGTATATATAAAGCATACAATACTGTATATTAGGAAAACTACAAAGTCATGTTAAATTGTTTGGTAGGTTGTACTCATCTTCCAGATATTTCATTTAATATATATCATTGAAGAGGGTAAATTCTACACCAGCCGTTATTCCCTATCAAATATGGTAAGAGTATCTGATAAAATACTAAATTTTAAATAAATTCACACAACTTCAAAATCGTTAGATTATTAGAATTTATAACTTACAGAAAAGCTTTCGTCTCGGATATAGATTATATTAATTATTAATACATTTCTCACTTTCCAAGTTTATTTGTTGAAGTGATAAAGAAATATATGTCAATATTTCCATTTTTTTGGCCTTTGGGTGCAGTTTCTACGTATCTAATTTATTATATACTTATCCCAATTACAGCAATATTTAGATGATATTATCGTAGATAGAGCAAAAATGTTAGGCAGCTATTTTAAATTTTAATAATGTATACGAATTTCTTTACATATCAATATGTAGAACATTTTATAAGTTGTAATGCAAATCTTTACTTTCTACGTAGATAAATTGAATTGTAATAGAATAAATTGGGACTTACAGCATATCTACATATCGTTGATATTATGCAGTATACAGTATATACTGTATACAGTACTGTACAAAATTTATCTATACGATATAATAAAGTAAAACAATAATTAAAGGAAGTAGAAGTTTCCTTTCAACAAACAAAAGATACAATAAAGACAAACTGTAGGTCATAAACTCAATTTCAAATATAACAACCCCAACAGTAAATGGATGAGAAGAATATAAAGAAACAACAAGGTTGGCATCTTCCTTCTCTTTTTTACCAAACCTATACTATATACAGTATATATTGTATATACATAAATTTATACAGTATAAATGAACAAATCGAAAAAATTTGCTATCAAGCAAAATAGGGAAAACCTGTAAATTCACATCATTGTAGACGTTAGTGTAAGTTGATAAATTAACAATTAATGCGTATTATAAACGCAACTATATATATAGTAAGTATATTCTCCCAATTATATTAAACATATTAAAAAGCTTAATCATTTATAAGAGATATAAATATAAACCATATACATACATACATATATATATATATATATATATATATATATATATATATATATATATATATATACAGTATATAGATATTGTATATTAACTATCTTTAGAACCATAAGTTATTCAAGTTAATCATAATGAAAATCTAGATTTCCAAGAAATTTTTTAAATTAATATTAGTTTTCCTTTTTTAAAGGTTAAGCCTATAATTTTCTTCTTGTTTTTTACTAACAAACACATAAACACGCGGTGATAAAAAGCAAAGTTTTCTTTAATACTTTTTATACGTAACTTAGGCTAGCTACCGTAAGATGGCGTTGATAATTATTTTATTACTTCCAGGAAAGTTTTTAACAAGTTTACCTTTTTTTTTCTTCTTCCTCTTTTGTTAGATTTATATTGTTTAAGAGAATAGTAAGGAGCAAGAGTAAAGTCTTTTTCTCTATATTAAATTAATAAAATATCTACTTCTATTTAGACATCTTTTGTTTTCTGGTGCTATAATTTGCTTTAATTTTGCATTTAAATCGGTTAAAAATCAAAATAAGAGTATTTATTATACAGTTTAATGTGTAATCGTATTTCCATGGTAATCTAAAAAAAAAACAAAAAATGAACTTATATTTATCTGATCAAGTGTTAACAATATAATTGTAAAGTTCAATCTATATCTTAGAATATTTTAATGTCACACCTTCAACGAGTTGCCATTCCTATACGAAGAACCATGTCATGGGCTACTTATAATCAAATTATTCCCTATGAATCGCCATCATGGGCTAAAACCTTGAAAGTTCAACCGAAGGAAAAGTATAATGTGCGTAATTGCGTGTAATACTTTTATTTCGTTTCCAAAACAAACCTATTTTTAATAGTTTTCAAGTTTACCAACGCCTGTTCATGAATGGAATATTCCAGACGTTCCAAAGCCTTTTCGTCTTTTTATTAAAAGAGACGATCTAACTGGCAGTACTTTGTCTGGAAATAAGGTAAGAAAACTGGAATTTTTAATAGCCGATGCCGTAAAGAACAATTATAAACACGTAATTACGGCTGGGTCTTTTCAATCAAATCACGTGAGGGCAACTGCAATTACTGCTGCTCAAGCTGGGCTAAAGTGTCACGCGGTATTAAGAACACCGGCGGCTGGGGTTCAATATTCCGGAAATTTTCTTTTGGATATATTAGCTGGCTCAGAAGTTTACTATGTTCCAACAAAAGCTTCGTCCGATTCAATTATCGATCCAAAAATGAAAGAGATAGCTGAAAAACTAGAAAAAGAACGGAACGAAAAAGCCTATATTATACCAATAGGAGCATCTAATGCCCTTGGAAGTTATGGCTATATAAGCGCATTTCAAGAATTATTGGACCAAGGTGTAGATGAAATGGTCGATGATATTGTAATAACTTGTGGAAGTGGTGGTTCTGTTGAAGGTTTGTCAATAGCTAATTTATTGACAGGTTCGAAATTCAAGTAAGTATCAATAAAACAAGAATAAATGAAATGAATTTTGACTGATTTATTGAAAAGTTTCATAATAATTATTAATAATTTACAGAATTCACGGTGTTTGCGCTTGTGACGGTCCTGCATATTTCTATCAACATATTCAACAAACTCTAGATCAACTGGGTTTGGCTGACGTCAAAGCCGAAGATATCGCCGATTTCATTGACGGTTATAAAGGAGCAGGTTACGGAACATCGCAAGAAGAAGATCATAGAAGAATAAAAGAAATATGTAGTAGTTCCGGAGTTATACTCGACCCAGTTTATACGAACAAAGGTCTTACAGGTCTTTTAGGAGAAATGTCAAAAAATCCCCAAAGATTTAAGGGACAACGAGTGTTATATTTCCATACTGGTGGCCTATTTAATATTTTTGATGGAAGATTTTCAAACGAAATTGATTGAGTACGATAATAAAAATAATTAAATATTAAAAAGAAATAAGAGGTCATCCTTGTCAATAAAATATTAAATATCTATATTATTCGTTTATATAATAAGAATTCTAAAAACAAAAAACATACCAAATTAGCAAAAAAAGGTTTATCTTATCTTTTTATTTTTTGAAAAATTAACGTATAAAAACATTTATCACAAAAAGAAATAAGGCCTTCTAACTCTCTCACTTCCTCCATCCTTCTTTCTTTCTCTCTTACTCTTTTACTGTATATATTTTTTCTATTCGAAATGAACTAAGAATCAATAGTAATACCAATAAAAATTATATCTAATTACGTTTCATTGATAAAAAAAAACTAGCCCAATTAAATAGGTAAACCTCTTCCTTTCTATTGGTATACTTACCAAATAAAATGATCATTTTTAAATAAGAAGATAATCTAGCAGATTAGCAGATTTAATTAGCCAAGAAGAGAAACTGTTGAATAGATTTTCATATGTAATTAGGCTTTTTTTCTACTTCTATAACTGAATAGTATTTTATTTGTTTATAGGTAATATAACTACTTTAGGCCTGAAATTAGAAGAGATAAAATATATATAAATGGAAAGAGAGGAAAGAGGAGAAAGATTACGTGAAACATATAAAAGTTTTACATATATTTACTATACATACTACTGCGAATAAAGTTTAAAATGATAGAGTTGGCGGTGTCTCTCTCTCTTTATATATATACATATATATATATATATACTGTATATAATATGATAAATTGACTAAGGCTTAACAGAATACAAATTCGATCGCTGTTTAGGCTTGTCGACAGTGATATCCCGTCGTTCAATAAAATCCAACGTTACTAAGCGCTGAACAGGCGAGAATCGATAAGAAAATAAAGAGAGTTTACCGACTACTGAGTTGTTGAATTTTTGAATTCTTTTTTAAAAAAAACAGGTAATTATTTAGAAAAAGAAACTCTTTTGATTTTATTAAAATACATTAATTAATTCCGGATTAGATAGTTTAAATTTTTTTGATATCGCTCTTTAAAAAGTTTACTCTTAGCACCTACTTTAATTGTTTTGTTTGCTTAGAGATAAGGGTTAAATAGGCCTTTAATTCCTCTGATAGCGTTTTATTTTAATTATTTAGTAGTCGACAAACAGGAAATCAATGGTTGTATCGCGGCTTTAATTAAAATAACTAAATTCCTCCTTTTATCAATTTATTCTCTTTCTCTCTCTCTCTTTTGCTATTTCTCTCTCTGTAATATTATTTTGTTTGAATGAAAATAAAACAGTATGAGACCGGGAACAGAACCGGAAAAAGAACTCGAAGAAAGGGAAGTTTACCATCTTATTCAACGAGCAACGGAAACTTCCTTGGCAAACGCTCTACATTTAATAAGATATCAACTCTCTTCTAGCGAGGTAAAAAAAAAATCATTATACTCTTTCCCTTCTCCTTCCTCCTCTACTACTATTCTGTCTATATTTATTTATCTAGCTAGCTAGCCAGCTAGCTGCCTTTAATTTCTTTCTCTCTGTAACAAGTTGAAGTATAATCACAAATCTTTTTATAATTGCTTCTTATCTAAAGAGAAAGTACGAAAATATTTTTTTAAGAATAGATAACCTTACATACACAAAATGTAATAAATTAAAGTAATATAGCAACAATAAAAAGGCAGTAATCTGTCAACGAAATGTGCTAATTAATCGATCTTCTTTTATTCGTATAAATAAAAAAATAAATAACCTTTTTTGTCATTTGATTCAAATTTTACGTGAATTGTATTAAAAAACAAACTCATCGATCGAAATACAAATTATATTGTTTTTAGTGTAAACAACACTACCGTTTTGTGTTGGTTGTATTACTTCGAACAAAGCTCTTTGTCCACACTTGTTTTTTTATAAAAAATTGTATATATACATACTGTATATATGTATGCTTACATATTTTTACCTATAGGCTTAGGTAATTAAAAAAGCATTATTTATGTTAAGTTACCGCTTAATAAGGTATAGGATGCTGTTTAATACATCATGCTCAAATGATCTTTTCTTTACTATCCTTCCTTCTCTAATCATAATTCTGTTATTATAATTTTAATCTCTCTTTTATTTTTGTTTGTACTACTTCATTAGTTTATTATTTATTCAAAGATAATATATATATAGATTAGACAACGTTCGAAAAAAGACTCTGGATCACTGTTGCATGTTGCGGTTGATGTTGTACCGCATGTGGTTAGGAGAACTGGTGATGCTGCTGCTCTTATACCAATTTTATATGCCCTTGCCTTAAGGGGTGTAATTGTTAATGCTCAAAATTTTCATGGTAATACAGCATTGCACTTGGCCTGTATTAGACAGGAAGGTGAACGACTTTGCGAACATTTAATAAGAATTGGTGTTGATCCCATGATTGTTAATCAGAAAGGATGTAGAGTAATTCATACTTACCGTAATCATCAATGCGTTCTGGTAAAAGGTCAAACAAGTGCCAAATGTGGTTTATGGAAAGCTGTTGAGAAAGAAGATGTCGAGCTAACTTCAAAACTATTAAAATCATGGTGTAGAATTCGTATAAGAAAGAATAAAACACTTCGAGATATTTGCGATGAAACTTGTAATATGAAAATTGATCAACTATTGAATGAATACGAGTACATGAATGAGGTTATATGTTCAGCCTATGCACTAGATCATGAAAAAGTTGCCGAAATGCTTAAAACAAGACTGGTTAAACTAGATCAGGCCGATGAATCTAAAGTACCACCTACTCCTCTTCTAGTCGGTTTGTCGTCTCTTGGACAAAGATCGGATAAAACTATCAAAGTATTACAGCAATATGGCGTCAGTATACCCTCTTGGTATCATATAGAATTATCTAAAATCGCTTGTGGCATAGAGGAAACTGATTTTTATAATAAATTAGAAACTGCAACTTCTGAAAGCCTGCAGCAAGCATTAAATCTTATAAAATCGAACTCAATCAATTTGAACCAAATTGGCAAACGAGATGAAACTAGAGGTTATACGTTTTTGCACGTTATCATTAAGCTTTGTTCTAGCGAGAAAGATATGGAGAAAAGACGTATATATATTCGTATGATCTATGCATTAGCTAGAATTGGTATAGATGTTAACGCTAGAAATGCCGCTGGTGATACGGCGTTAATATTAGCCGGTAAAAAATCTGATGAAGAATTAATGACCCATTGTATAAGAGTTGGAATAGACCCTGCAATAACAGCTTTGGACGGTAGCACTGTTAGTGAGCAGACTTACGAAGATAGAGGGGCCTTAGTTTTCGGTAGGAAATATCGAATACAAGATCTACCTGGCTTATGGGCTGCTGTGAGCCAAGGTGATGTGAACAAAGCTAAACGATGGCTATCGTCTTGGTGTCGGGTCAAGGTTAAGAAAGGCGATAGGTTTCTCATTCAAGTTTGCGAAACATCCGGTCACGAGGAAATTCATAAACTTTTAGAAAAATTTGAACACGTTAACGAATTTGTATGTGCAACATTTGCTTGCGAAGTAAAAGCTATGAAAGAACTACTCGCTTTGGGTAAAGGTTCCTTCAAGGTCAATACTATGGACGATTATTTTCACGTAGGTCTTACTTGGGATGGTCATGCAGAATTTTTACCTAGGCCAATAGTAGTTGCTGCATTAGAATTATGCAATGCTGAGGTACTTGCTGAATTGGTTAAGTTTGGCGCAGACTTAAGCAAAGATTATGCCGAATGTTCACCCTGCGGACCTGTTGCTTTCTGGGCCTTTAGAGATAATGTCGACAATGAAAACACCATGGTTATCGCCCAGAATGCCAACCTGCAACTAAGAGATGAACTAGGAGCAACCTTATTGCACAGGTGAAATAACAAATAAAAAGACAAAACTGAGATTAACAATATCGTATAATTTCTCTCTATTTATAGGGCAATCAGCAAGAAAAGACGAGATAATACCTTATTAGATATTGTTGAAGTACTACTCGATAGAGGTATCGACATGGCAGCCCGCGATGTTGAAGGAAGCACCGCAAGAGACTATATTGATATCTATAAAGTAGAAGATGGTTCAAAGTTAAACGGCTTAATGGATGCTCGTATTATGGAATTGGTTAATAATGATGAATTCCATGCAATCGAACAGCTTTTATTAGACGATTACGATAGAATTTTACAAGCAAAAGGTGGAAAGAAAAGAATTCATACGGCTTTAGAATTAGCCGAATTACGTAACTTTAAAGAACTAGTCATATTACTAAAAGATCTACCAAAATATCGAGCCGAAATTGATTTATTACACGAATGTGTCAAAACTGGAGATTTACAAATGATATCAAAGTTAGCAGGGGAGAAGAGATGTGCATTTGGTAGGGATAAGGCTGGAAGAACTTTATTGCATAATGCTGTATTATTCGAACAACCGGAAATAGTCGAATTCTTGTTGGAACAATTTCCATCACTAATAAATACCCAAGATAGTATTAAGAGAACACCGCTTCATTATTGCGTTTGCTTGAAAGACCGTCATAAGATTTGGCCATTACTGCAAGACGCAGGTGCTGATCCAAATGCTATAGATGCTGTAAGTAGTGAAAAGAATTTATATTTCTCAATTTTTATTTCATTAATTCTTCTCTTTTCGCTTTTAATAGAATAACATGTCAGTTTACGAATACGTAAGAGATCAAGAGAAGCCTGTCCCTACGAAAGATCGTCCTAGAGGAAGAAGATGGAGGGATTTTAGACCAGGTGAAGATATGATTGTTAACGAAAGAGAAAAGCAGCACGGAGCAAGAGCATCCGCTCATTCAATTGCTGCCACAATCAAACCAATGGTACCGGCTCATTCAATATCCGAAATTCGTTCTATAACTGCAAATTTGAGATATGGGTTTAATCATGATGGATTAGATGGTGAACTATTAAAACTATGTATTGAAAATAGTAGAATTGAAGTGGCCAGACACTTTTTTAAGGATTGTTTGTGCGATCCAACGGAAAGTGTTTCTGTTGTTGAAAGAAATGAAGAAGGAGAAGAAGTTATCGATAATATTTCCTTAATTGAACTGGCAAAAAAATTTGGCGATAACGATATGATCAAATTAATCGAGGATGAATCAGAATTGAAAAGACAAATGTTGGAGAAGAGAAACAACACTCCATCCGCTAATGAAACTGAACAAAAACAAGAGGAAGAGGACGATGAGAAAGTAATAGAAGAAAAGAAAACTCCAGAAGTTGTTGAATCTGATACGAGACAAGAAGACAAAGAAATGGAAATGGAAAAAGAAAATCAAAATTCAAAAGACGAAAAGGAGGGTGAAAAAGAGGAAGAAATAGAAAACCATCAAAAAGAATGAGAAGAGTGAAGATAAAAAAAAAGAGTAGAGAACATAAAAAAATCATTATAAAAAGAACAATATAAAGAGTTTTCTTGTTTTTTATTTCAATTATTCTTCATATTATTTTTTTCAATAAAAAAAAAACAACCAAAAAGTCAGAAAAACTAAAAAAAAGGAAAAAAAAGACATAAAAGAGACGCCTCTTCAATTTACTTTATTGAGTGACGCCTTATTGAATGTTAATAATAAAGCTTAGATAATTCAAAAGTAGAGTATATAATTTTCTATTTTTGTACATTCTCCATTTATAGATTAAGTTCTTCTTATTGTTAATACTGTATTTTTAGTCAGATGAACGAAACATTCTCTCTAAAGCAGATTGAGCCATGAGAATATCATTTCTTAGTTCGATTTTTAAACGATTCTTCTCCTTATTTTAATATGAAAGTATAAAAGTTTTAACAATATTTAATTGAAATATATAATACAGGTATATTCCCTACATTTATTAACGATTTATTCACTTTTCTCCTATCTTGCTCTATAATTTCCAATCTCTGTATTATTTTTGATTTTTGATTTATAGTAAATTAGTTTTTCTTTTTAAAAAAAAATATCCTACTTCGTCTAGTTCTTCTTTAATCTGTTTTAGTCGAGAAACTCTTTCTTCATTCAACAGTATCTTCGTATTTAATTCACCAACTTCCTTTGAAAAAATCAAGCGCAATCAATTTCTTTTTATTTTAAAATAGTATCTTAATTAATTTTTATTAATTTGTACTTTTTCCTTAGCTTTAATATTTTCCTTAAGATTTTTCTTTCTCCTTTCAAGTTTCTATTTTTAAAATTCAAAGAAAAAAAGATAACTTGACATCAATTTAAAATAATCTACTTGGCACTCGATGCTACTTTCGCTTTCCAACATCTATAAAACAGAAAATGAATAAGAAATATAATAGTGTAGGTTTCTTTTGTTAACAAATATTGATAGTCTTACCTGTAAATCCGATACTTGAGACTGAAAGGAAGAGAAAGAAAAGAAGAGAAATTAATATCAAACAACATAATACATATCTAAAGAAGAAAAGAGTAAAAATAGACTTTCTCCAACCTTTCTCATAGTCTGTATAGGTTTTAATTCTAGTATTAATTAATAGGTTTGATATAAAAACATTCGTATAATAAATAAGAATTTACCTCCAATTCTTTTCTTTCTAAAGTAAGATTCTTTATAAAAAAAAATAGACAACTAAATTAAATATATAAAGTAGGAAGAACACTTACAAGTCTTCTTTTACGTAATGCCTCAATTTTAGAAAGAGATATTCATTAATATATTGATTAATAGAAATTATTTAATTAAACCAATATAGCATCATTTTTAACTTACAGCAATATCAGATTGTAAAGTCTACAGTAAAATTTAGTTCATGAATTAGATAAAAATCATTGATTTTATGTATCAAATATATATATTTCTTACTTCTAAATCCTCTTCCGAGCAGTTTGGACACTAAAGTCAATTATATAGATAAGAAACTATAAGATTGTGTTTTATAGATATAATAATACCGGCATTTTATATATGCTATACATTCTAACACGAAGCTTACTTATCTTCCATCTTAAATCCTTCAACAATAATTAAATAATGATTTATTTTAATGAGAAAATTTGATCATATTTATCACCTCATTTTCATTAATAATCATAGTATTAGGTGACTGTTCTTCTTCCCCAAATAAAGCTCTTTTAATCTTATTAATTTCGTAGAATTCTAGCATTATTTGAAATTTGCTTAGTGTTTATAAATAGTATTACCTTCTTCTTCCCAGAGCCGTATAATTTCTTAACCTTTTCTATTGTACCTTTTCGACTACCTTCCTTTTTTTAATGAGAAGTTTAGTTAGTATTCCATTTATTCAGTAGCTAAATCTAAGAGTTAATGATATATTTACAGAATTTGTTGAATAATTCGATTCAACCCTATCAGTTGGATAGACTTTTCTTCCTCCCGATAAAGATAGCTATCAGCGGAAAGAGAGAAGAGAAAGAGTGAATTATAGACATTTTTTCTTCAGAATTGTTCTAGTTATTGTTAATAACATACGCTAACTCTCTTCTTTTCAGAAGTATTCTATATTTAGGGATGAAAAGATAATACGAGAGAGAGAGAGAGAATAACAAATAAAGCTATTTATCATTTCTAAATATAAGAAAAGGTAAGCGAATTTATACAACTTGTTCTTGCTTTAATGAACTTCTTCTAGTGGGAGAAGCATCCTCAATAATAGGTGAAGCAACCATTGGAGTTTCTTCAATAGGTTTAATTTTGCTTTTCTAATTGAAGATATAAATCTTTAATCAAAAGTATATGAATGTAAAAATATAAACAAATAAATATATCATATATATTGCTTTCTTTCCTTATTTCTTCTCTATTTTATACATACAAATCTATTTGGAACAACCCTTTTCTTCTAAACGTATTATATAACTTTATGTATTTATAGTATAAATATATAGATATGTGTATAAATATAACCTTTGCAGGCGGATCAGTATCGTCACTTCTTCGACGACTTTTAGCTGCTATTGTATGTCTCTTTAAACAGAAGATAACAATAATTAAAAACTATAAAAGAACTACAAGAGGGAATTACTCGTCTTTAATGGCAAAGCAAACTTACTCGACTCTTAGGTGATGGATTCGGAGGGGATAAGCATATAGGAACAGCCATCGATTTCCTACTTCTCTAAAGAATTATTGAGAATTATTTTGTTTTCCTCTCTCATTATTCTTATCTTAAATTACTAAAAGAAAGCTTACTAATTCGTATCTTGGACTCGATCTTTTCATTTTTTAAATGTTAATTTAATCTATAGAAAAGGTTAAACAATACAAATATGGCAGATTAGTATTATTCCTATACATTTAGCAATACATTTAGACTTTTTTAAATATTAGTATTATTATTACTATTAAAGATTAATGATAATAAAAGATTAGAATACTATCAGCACAACCTTATATTAAAAGACGTTATGTTATGTTATTCTTTTAAGGAAGGTAGAAATTATGTTTTTGAAATGTTTTGAAAATACAAATAACAAGTTTAGCCCTTTGTTTTATTTATTTTTACCTTAAATTAATTAACTACGTTGTCATTAGATATAATTTTATTAGCTTGACTTTTTCGGATAATATTGATAAGAAAAAAAGAACAAACTAAATAACATTTCCACGGCACAGACATGTTTATTATTGAATAAAATACGAAAAAAAAATTAATTTCTTTTTTAACTGAATAGCTACTAAAATCTTAGATTTCTTTGCCTATCCCTCGGTTGGGTTTGGACTCTTCTTTGATAATCTTCTGTTTGCCTCATCTGCTGTTGGTTACCAGCCATATTAGGAAGTTGTTTAGAAAAGAAGTTTCCGTTCTTCATATCTGCCATTTTCTCATTATTTTCGATTAGAGTTGATACCTTCTCCGCCAATTGCAGACAAAGTGATTGTACATGCGTTGGTTCTGTCCTATGCATCACGAGAGTTTTCGTCGGTTCGTCAAGAGAAGCCATTAGCTCTTCATTTATAATCATTTTTGATATAATTGAATGAACAACTGACGACGGCAATTCAAATTCCTCGCAAACAAATTCCAAAGATAACGAATTGTAAACTTGAGCGTAGGAGAATAAATAAGTTCTGAGACTCTCTTCTTGAATCTTTCTCTCCAGCATAGATTTTACAGAAGAAGAGTTGTGCATTAATGACCATACTTTCTGTTGCATTTTATCATTAATCAAAAAACTTTTACAAGCAACCCAATCTCCAATTTTCATTGCTTTTGATGCTGCTACAATGTGTTCCCTCATTGTTTCGGGTGGTCCCACGACGGCCTGCTTTTCCGATAATCTAAGGACGTGGTGAAAGTTTTTGGAAATCATTCTCCTTCTGGCATCCAACTCATGAGCAGCCAGGTAAGGAACTTCCAGTAACATAGCCGAAATTAGGTAGACGCATTCCAACAATTCCAAATTTATATGCCTATGATAAGGGATCTACAAAGAAAAAAATTATATTTCTTTGTTTCAGATAACAAAAATGAACTGTTTTATATACCTGTCTGCGTTTTTCAACTTTTTCTTGCTCTGCCGTTCTTTCATGAGCTCTTTGCATCAATAATCCTTGGGCTAATAGCTCCTTTGATCTACCACCGCTTTGCATATCTACCAGACAATTATGAGCGTCCTTTATATGACCTTGACGGAAAGCACATAATCCTAACTGAACCATAGCTCTATTATATAATATTTGCGTTGGAACATCAGAATGTGCAATTGTATCTTGTAGATGGGACATCAGCATCAAATCACGAGCTTCGAACCACTGATCGTGAATTGCATAATGATAAATTTGACAAAGAATAGCTCTAGTTCTAATTCTATCAGTAACATCTTTTGTGTAGATGAATTTACATAGTCTATCCATAATTTTAATTGAGTTTTCTTCATCATCTAGGTTTTCAGGATCGTCGATAACTCTAGCATCAAATTTATAGTGGACATGCTCGATTCTTTTTAAGAATATTCTACAATTTTCTTCGTCTGATGTGTTTCTTTCAGCCAAGTACTTCTCAGTTCGAACAATAAGATCATAAATTTTTCTTTCGTCTCTATAAATGTTAATTACATTACATTAGAGATAATATAATAATTTTTGGAGATGTGAGATCATTTTACCTTAGTCTTTCGATGTAGTCGGTACTATGAGCATCGACCGATTGAAGCATTTTTATAAATTCTTCGTCAACTCTTTCAACCAAGGATAATATAGATCCGCGAACATGAATATCTTCTCCCTCTAATACTTCAGAGTCTTCTTGAATGTTTTCACCAATAGTAATAGCAGGGTTTTTCTCCAATAATTCCATAAGCTCTATCATACAACTTAAGCACATCTCCCAAATTTCCGTTTTCATACACGTTGCCATATTTGGGTTATAATCGAAAATGGCGGGTAAAATGGCAAATAGTAGTTTGATTTGAATAGGATCACCAAGATCGTGTGCAAAAGCAATTGTTTTCAATTCACCAAGAACTTCTATCATGAAATATCTATCAGTTCCCTTTTTACCTCTTGATGCAATATGCTCAACCATTTTCTTTTGGATAGCCTCAACATTAATCTCAGCATCCTTTGCAAATAATTTTGGGCGTTCTATTGATGTAACTTCAGTCCAGTCTTCTTCGCCACTATGTCTAGATATTCTGATATCTTTGGGTTTACTTTTTCTTTTTTCTGTCTTTTTCGTTTTAGCATCGTCATCTTTTTTCCTGAAATAATCCAGAGAGAATCCTTCGTCATTGCTCTCGCTGCTTTCATCCGTGCTGCTCATCGACCAATCAGACTCTGAATCTTCATCATCTACAATAAAATTGAAAAGTCTTACCGTTGAAAATATTTTACTATTTTTTACTTATTATACCTTTCAGCACTTCTGGCACAATCTCTTTAACCACTTCTGGAGCTTCTTCAACTACAGCTTCAACTTCTTCCTCTACTGCATCTTCACCATCAGGATTTTCCCGATATTTTGTAATTTCTTCTTCAAAATTTGATTTAATATATTTTCTAAATTTTTGTCTTAGAGCTGTGAGACTTTTAGTATTATTTTTGCTCAGAGCTTTTCTGCCATCCTTATCTTCCCATACTTTATTAATAAAATCTTCAGTTTCAGTTAAACACTTTAAAAAGAATCTTGGAATTGGTAGACCTTCTCGTTCGATAACTTTTTTAGATTTTTCAAAGACTCGGGAAAGATCTTCAAAAGTTGAGAGAACTTTTGTCATATCCTTAATCTTTTTATGATTGCTAATTTGCTTAATGACATCTCTCAATTCTTCATATCTAAGAAAATGTAATTATCGTTATTACTGAAAATTATAAAATAGAAAAGTAATAAGATAATCTGGAGGTATTTTATCGCATTGAAATTATATTCGATTTGTAGTCGAACAATCGAATGACCAAAACACAATGCTTATTGATTTCTTATTTATTTGGCAGTTTATAGCAATCTATATAAGTAATTTAAGCGCTAAATCTTACCTTTTATCTTTCGCACTTCTAACAACTCTCTTTTCCTCATCATCAGACTCACTCCATTGATATTGAACTCTATAAAATATACAAATGTACATATAGATAGAAATATGTATGTATAATTTATATTTATATTTCTAATTATATTTTCTAAGTCAACAGTACATACGGTTGAATTCGAGAACGTGGATCGGCACTTATTTCATCTCCCGATGTTTCACTATCTGATTCAGATGCAGCAAAAAATTTTGACATCTTGGCTAATTTCCGTTTAGACTACAAATAATCTGTGAAATGTTATGAAATGAGTATATGGTAGAGCATAGCATTGACATACGGTGTGTACCTATAACACGTGGTACTTCATTCACAACATTAAAAGGAAAGTTTTTCATAATTTATCAAAATATAACTAAATGAATTTTATATAAAACTATAGACTGATAGAATTTTCAATAAAAATATTTAAATATTACTTTTTTTTAAAAATTGAGTCTCGTTCTTCTTTTATCGTTACTTCCTGGGCGAAATCCCGCAGATTCTCGTTTACGAACGTCGTTGTCGGTATAACTAAAATCAGTGTTCATTGATTAAATATTTCATCAAAAAAAAAATAAACAAAGTAAACAATAAAACATTTTTATTATATAAAAAAAAACAATGAATAAAAAATTAATATTGTTAGCATTATTTTACAAATTGTGAACAAAATTCACTTTTCAATATTTTGAATCACCCAACAAAACATTATTAATCTTTCCACTAAACCTTGATCATTGAAAATGCAGATCAAAATATTATAAAACAACTGCAATAATATTTAGGCACACACTTTAAAAAAGAGACAATATAAAAGGAAAAATTGCTTTTTATATAAAATTGTAAAATTTGTCGAATATAGAAGTAAAAATACAATTAAAAAGAAATAGACAGATCCATATGATAGAATGAAAGAGGAATTTTTAATTAATTTTGAACAAGTTTTATTTAAAGTACTTTTTTATTAATTTATTTTTTTCAAAGGAAAATATTTCAACAGTTTAGTAATAAAATAGAAAGAAATTACGTTTATTCTATTCAACTAGTAGGAGAGAGAGAGAGAGAGAGAAAAAAAGTTATATTACCTTGGCCTAGGACAATTTCTTTTTTTTCAATACAGAACCAGTCAGTAATATAACTGTATGCAGAAGTTTCGAAAGGCGATATTTTATATTTCTTTTTAATAAGCGTGTATAGATATATATATATGGTATACTTGTAAAAAACACAACTTTATATCTATATCCGTTCGGACAACTTGAACAAGACCGGATATTTTTTATAACTTTCTCAAAGAAAAACTGTAAAAATGAATAAGATATTCACTGCCAAGACTATTATTTTATTATTATGGATAGTTCCTTCAATTATCTCTATTGAAAAGTATCTAGAAATATTTGTTGTCTGCGATTATTCATGTGTAAGGGTTCTTCTATTTGTTTTGTTCTTTTTTTCTTCAATATCGGATATAGTACAATGGATCTTTATCTAAATTTTCTCTTTTATTAGTCAGAAAAACTCAAAGGTGAGAAAAAAGATCCTGAGAAATTTGTAACTGATCTCATCCTCGGTGCCGATAAGGTGAACGATACATAAAAGCAGTTGATATTTGCATCGTTTTTGTAGAGATCTTTTAGCTATTTTAATCATTTATCACGTTTCTATACAGAGATTGTCTCGAATAGATGTAAGAGTTTTCCTAACTGGAATTGATATTTGGCGGGAAAAAAATCTTGTACAGGCTAATAACAACTTTAACGCTTATTTGAGAAATTTTAGCCCTTATAGGGTCAAGCAGATAGAGGATAGAGGCATTTGGAGTGATATTACTGTACTAATTACGTAGGCTTTTTACAATGACATAATGAACGAAATATTTACTAATTTCTTCTCTATTTATATAGGAGTTTGCCAACATCAAATGTAAATGGTTTGTTTCCAATAGGTGGAGCTTGTTCCTTATTTCAGGGTGCTGGCGTTGTAATCTTTCAATCTAGCAGTTAGTTATACAGTATAAATAATAGCCTTTAATCAACACTCTTTTAATTTGATAATAACTTTTAACCTACTATACAGCTGATGTAGCCATTCACTTTTTGACACACGAATTAGGTCATGCCATTGGTATGAATCATGATGTTAGTGGTTGCTGCAAGTACGGAGAGTCTAGATGCCTAATGAATCCAACGATGTAGATATAGAAAGCTGAATATGCTAATTCTAGGACGATATTAACTATCTGTTCTTTCACTGTAGAAATGCTTTTAATAGAGACACAGGATACATTAGTTCTTGTTCGCTAAAAGATTATCGAAATTTCTTAAAATCTCAAGGCTCCCAATGTTTGAATAACAAACCTACAAGAGCTTATAAAGCTCATTCCTTTTCCAATCAATGTGGTAATGGTATAATTAATGAGGACGAAGAATGTGATTGTGGAGGAGTAGGATATTTTTTTAATGAACTCATTCGATAATCCATTAAAACTCTTTTATTATTTCACCTAAAGGCACTCGACAATGGATGTCGAAATTGTTGTAAAGAAGATTGTAAACTTAAAGATGGTGCATTGTGCGGTCAAGGGGAATGTTGCAATGTCAAATTATGCAAGGTTTTTGTTATTATTTCTGGACAAATTTTCCTATTTAATTGCTCTATTATCTTTTTATCTAGTTTCACGATGCCGGTAAATTATGTAGATATAATAAAGATAACGATTGCGATGTAAAAGAAACTTGTACAGGAACAAATAGTGATGTAACAAAGAAAATATTCTTTCATTAGTTCAAAAGGTTAAATTCTATTTTTATCTTATAGTGCCCAGAAGATTTACGGAAAGATAATCTCACTAAATGCGTTGATTCTGATGGAAATGTTTGTTGCTATTTACTTTATATATTTATCAACTTTAAAAAGATTACCGTTTTACGCTAAAATATATCTTTTTAATTAGGAAGCTTCTTGCATCAAAGGTCACTGTTTGACATTGACCAACCAATGCAAACTGGTTTGGAATTCAGGTTAATAATACATATTGGTCTGCAGTTACTATCATCTTATCTACTAATTGACTTTTGCAGACTATAGAAAGGCTGATAATTATTGCTATGAGGTAGCAATAAGATACTTTGATCGTTACGCCCATTGTGGAATTGTAAAAGATGCCAACGGAAAAGCGTCATATGTGAAATGTAGTAATTCAAAGTATATATATATACATATATATAAATATATATATGAATTCTTATAGTCTACTTTTTATGCTTGTTAAGAAATGAAATACTTCTTTATCTTTCAGAAAAAACAACTTTAATTGTGGTCTTCTTCAATGCGTTAAAGATAATTTAACAAATGCTAATGAATGGGTTCTAGACAGAGACTCTACACAGTCAGCATCGAAAAATCCTATTATGCCAGCTTTAGGGAAACAGGATCTTGCTTGCTTGTTTGTAGCAAAAAAAAAGAGTACTATTTTACTTGTTTCTAATAAACACACTTTTTAAAGGAAGACAACTTACGGCGATTGGATTATTCAAGAAAATGGCCAAAATGTCGACGTAATGGTAGCAGATGGTTCACCCTGTGGTGAATCAGGAGTATGTCTTGAGAGAAATTGCATAGATCAGAAGACATTTAAAAATTACTTAGAAAATAGTACAACTGAAACAAATAAGAGGGTTAGTAGCATTGAAAACGTTAGGCTGTTCAGTATTTTTAAAACCTCCCCTATTCAGATAGGATTTTGCGGTGACGGAATAGTAGATGAAAAAGAAGAATGTGATTGCGGAATATATCAAGTAAGAGAACAATTTTTAAATTCCATCTTTTTAAATCTATATTATCTTCCTATTTTTAGGCTTGCGATTGTTGTAATTCAAGAACTTGTAAAGTAAATTGATTATATACTTCTTTAACGCTTTTATCAATAATAATCAACAACATAGCTGTTAAAAGGATCGTGCCCTAATAGAGACGACTGTCAATATTGTAACGGATTCGATTCGAAAGTAATTGAATATTCATTATGTCATTAAAAGATTACCATTTTTATTGTCATCTAGTGCATAAAGAAAGAGACTTTTCAAAGTTGCGATAATGATTTCGGAAAGTGCATTAATGGAGTTTGTAAAAGCTTAAGAAAAAACTGCCAAGAAAGATTTGAGGAATTAGCTGTTCCCGATTTAAATTCAACAGAATTGAACATGCAAGGATTGGGACTTTACAATCAAGGAGGTTATATCTTGTTAGTGAATAATACAAAAATAGTTAGCTATGAATATTCAAATTCTAACGATAGTGGTGAAAGGTTGTAATATTTTATTTTCTCTTTTACTCTTATTATATGTTATTATATATAATATATATATATATATATATATATACTTCAGTTTTTGCGGTATTCTTCACTGTTTCTCCAAAAGTAATGCTAAAAAAGTCACTTTTAATAGTAAGAGAACAACTGGAACATGGACAACTAAGAACAAATCAAAGTAATCAATTAAACAACCTCTGACTAATTGTTTTTTGGTCAAAGTGGATTGAACTTCTCCTTTTTATATTTGTTTTACAGATTGGCATATTTTTTACTTCAAAGAGTTGAAGTTTATGGACGTCATTATCAAATATTTCAATCCCTTTTAACAGATATTAGTACTCCTTGTCAGAAAAATGGTCGTCAAGGCGTAAGTATCTAGACTTATTATTTTTCGTCTTCTATTTATTAAATCATTTTGTCGTAGATTTGCAAGCACATTAAAATTTTGGATAGAAAGAGAATGTTTTGGTATTTAAAAGGAATTTGCATAACAAATGAAGCTGAGATTAGGAAGCATATTGAGGCTTTAGCTGAAGTATAATGAACAATCTTTCAATTTTTTTTACATAAATGTATATGCATCAGAATAATAAATATAGATTTAATACCTTACTTAAAATATAAGATTTCGATATAAAAGACAATAAAACTTGTTAACTATTGATGGCGCTTTTTATGGACACTGTAATTAAATGGAATTACGTTCATTCCTTACATTTTTTGACACAAAATCTGCATGTTTATATATATAGAATGAATTCTAATAGTTTAAAAGATGATTTACGATCGCTAATAACTTGCGGGTGCAAAGAGCCGATGGTCTTTCGTCATGCAGCTAAAGAATGGCCATTGACTGGTAGAGTGCTAGAGAATTTAGATAAATTAACTTCGAAGCAACAAAAAATTCATGTCGGCAAAAAAAGTTGGTTATACAATAAAGATGCTAAGTTTGAGACAGAAAGAAATTATATAAGTGTTTCGTTAAGCGATTATAAAAAATGGTTGCTTAGCGATAAGGAAACCTTGAAAGGAATAAATAGAAATGATACATGGACCTATTTAAGTTACGTGCATATTGGAGAAATGTTGGATGAGAAAAGTGATAAAAGACTCTTCGAAGATGGTATCAAATGGTCTGATATGGGCTTTAATGATCTAAATGGTATAGATAGTACCTTTTGGTTAGGTAGTCAATTTTGCTATACGCCTCTACACTCTGATAGTTATGGTTGTAATTTAGTTGCCCAATTAGAGGGAAGGTAGGGAAATTAAATACATGATATATATATTAGTAATTATATAAATCTGTAATATTCTTGTACATATATATATATATATATATAAAGTATGTATGATATAGTAAAACGTGGATATTATTCCCTCCAACTGAAGAAAAAGCTATATATCCAACGAGAATTCCATACGAAGAATCCAGTGTATATAGCAATGTTAATCCCCTGGCACCTAATCTAAAGAAATTTCCTCTTTTTGAGGCAAAACATACAATTTTAATTAAAATAAGTACAGAAAATAATTAAAGCCTATTACTCCAAATAGGATGTAGAAGCTTATAAGGTCGAATTAAAGGAGGGAGATATACTCTACGTACCTCCGGTATGGTGGCATTTTGTTTATAACGAGAATAGTCGAATTAGCGCAAGTATAAACACCTGGATTCCCATAGTTAGTGTACTCAATTAAACCTTTTTATACAATTAATACCAATTACTCTAACTTAAATTGTTGATGTTCCAAAATAGAAAACAGATGATTTTTCAAGAATAGAAGAAGCAATTGTTAAGTATATTATTATGAAGAATTTAGGAAATGGTAACTTTCTTTCTCATAGTCACGAATGGCTAAATCCTAATGAAGTATGGATTTTTTTCTTACAAATTTCGTCTATACTACTTTATTCACTATTTCTATTCTAGAATGCTTACACTGTAAGTGATTGTCTACTCTTAATCAATCAGTCATTAAATGCTTCGAATAAATGCCTTGGGGTTAAAAGACAAAAACTGGATTATATTGACGATAATGATTTAGACACTATCCTGAATGATACTCAAGCCTTTGTTGATTATACTGAGAATACTGATCGAAAACACTGTAGTCATGAGATTAAAGTTGATGAACTTTTCAATTGTCAATTATTAGAGAAGATTAAGACGCGAGATCTTGCTAGAAACTTTGAAAAAACAGAATATCCAGAGGAGAACGAGAGAAACGTTGAATTTAAGCAGAGACAGGAAATATACGAGCACATTCGAACTATAACCTATCCAAGCTCAATTAAGTATATGGCAAAAAAATTAGTAGACATCTATCGATCTAAATTGAAAGATTGAAATTAAAGATAATTTTTAAGAATTTCAACACAATGTAAGTATACATATATATAAAATATGTAACGTAAATATATACTAGCTAACATTCATTTTCATAAAGCAGTCTTGGCTTATTAGATGTCATTTTTAAATAGTCTTAGTATTTCTTTTCTTATAAAAAAATCGTTCTATTCCAAATGTCCAATGTGCAGTTTTTGTTTTTTTAAAAGTGTTTTTAAACAATATTTGAACTTTTTCTAATAGCGTCATTTGTTAAAGAACTTCTCATATTTATTCCCCCAGGTGATTTTTCTTCTTCGCTCGATTCAAGAGTTTTCCGATGAATGTTAAATACTTCTTGTATGGCTTGTCTAAACACGTGAAAATTGTAATCGATAATACCTAAGGTGATGACAATAAAAAGTTAATATATTTAAATATATTGGGTATTTTTTATAATAAATAAATAACCAGTAGGTAATTACCTTGTTTTTCAAAACTATCTTCTCTCATAATACAAACTAAAGCTAAAAATTTGTTAACTTCACGTAAGTATAACACAGTGTTATTGTTGAGTTTTATAATTGAAGACGACTGTTCATCAAAGGCTCCATTTTCTGTTTCGTCTTTACAGCTGCAAGTTAATTATGGTAGAAAATGATATTCGATAATTTTAATTAATCGAACCCGTACCCATAAATGCAGGATACATCAATTACAACATCAATCATATCGCAGCATAGTTCGTAAGATTGCATATCGACAGCGCTGCTGTCCGTAGCTATATATATCTTTGATACTACATCAAATAAGAAAGCTTTATCAATTCCAGAATTCTAGAAATAGTAAAACATAGTATTATATTTTATTATGATGTCTATATATCAATACGAGTTACTTACAGATATAAAGATATTTAACAAGTTCTCCAGTGTTGGTAATTGGGGTATAAGCTTTTGAACTACTTTACTAAAAGCTTCAAAAATTGAATGGTCGTATATACTTGTCAAGTAGAAACATACATTTATGTTATCAAGTTTGCTATGCATCAAATCTTGATTGGTCTTTTGATGAATTTCCCCTTGGGTTTCTATTTTATTATCTTCTGACAAACCGTCAACTTTATGAATGAACACTTCAAATCGAATATTTGAATTAACCGCATATGCTTTTGATAGAGTTACAAGTAGTTTGTCTAGTGCAACAGAATATTCATCTTGAGCATCGATAACGAATATTAAAGCGCCACAACCACCAAATATTGTTTCTGAATCAAAACTCGGATCTAGAAAATCAATTTGGCCAGGGAAATCCCATATTTGAAATTGCACAAAAGAACTATTCGAAACATCTGTTTGATCGGATTGAATTCGTTAAACTTAGATCAAATTTTAACTGATGTTTTTTTACCATCTTTTACGATTTTTGTTGTATTCTCTAGAAACAATGTTTCATTCGGTGACATCTTATGAAAAACTACTTTTTGTATTGAAGATTTCCCACTCCTGTTCGAATTATGATTCGGTTAAAAAGAAAAAGATAAATATGCCCATATCAAATAGCGAGAAATTGAAAATTGCTAATTACCCTTGTAATCCCATTAACAATATTCGAGGTTTTTCCTCGCTAACTAAAGTTCCAGCGCCATTTACGTCATATTCGCCTCCAGACGAGTAACCAAATTCCCTCGGAAAACTACCAACTGCTGGGTAATTTTCATCGTCATTCGGGAATGCCTAAAAATTAAAAGTATAAAGTAATGACCTTATTTCTAATCGTGATTTACTGATTTCGCTACAACATTACCATTTATATGTTTTTGCCCTGACAGAAAACCGGAAGTGTATATCATGTGATTTTTTCATAAAATTCGACTGGTTTAAAGTTCCTCGTATCTATTGAAGTTGGTACATCTAATGTTTAGCTCTATGCCAATAAGGGACTGCGTACACATATTCGACTACAATTTCGACAAACGGACGACAACAAGGTGGCGCCAAAGTTCCATCGTGATTTTTAGGAAAGCAAATAGAAATTTGCAGTTTTACACTGACTGCACTACTCAACACACTCAAATTTCTACATAAAGGTAGGTTCTGTTATACTCATTAACTAAGACTGATTGAAACTATTAAAATAAACCTTTCGATTGATATATATTTTAAAGAGTGAGTGTTTTGTCTTTGATTAATAGTTAAATGTCGTTCATTGATTAATAAAAGGGAGTCTTAAAGAATTTTGCAAGATTTTTGATATAAGATAAACAAGGAAGGAAATTGATTGAATACAGACTTGTTCAAGTTAACAAGTCATTCATTTGTTATTTTTAAATCTAGTTTCAAATGCGTCTACAAAGATTCGTAATTGCTTCCGCTCTTTCACTAATCAAAGAACTTAATCGGTTGATTTGATATGCTTTGATATGAATTCGAATAATATTTTATTTTCTAACAGTAAAATTATTGATGATGTTAGTTATATGAAAAATTCATCAAGATAAGTGTACTAGTTAGTTTTCCGATACCCTCGTTTTTTTTATCGTATACGCTCGGCTGTGCAAACCTCCAATATCCAATTAACCTAAATTACCGCTAAGAGGTTGCATCAAAGTTAAATTTCTTATTGCGATTATGTAATAGACTGTAAATAGCAACATAAACGTACTTAATTATTAGTTTTTAAGTGCAAAATTTTTGGTATTGATCGTTAAACATCAAATATTCACAAGATTAAATTGACTGATGGGGAACGTCTGCAGTTGCAGTTGTTAACTTTTTTTTATTTTATTGCATCTTTTAGTAAGAAGATGAGAAAGAAGAGGGAATGTCTTGTAATCAATCTTCTTTTTGCCTTGTTGGATTGTCGGTGTGCGTAGAAACGTAGGAGAAAAACCACCGCCCGATAATAATTACTGTTTACCGCCTAGAGCGAAAGTTAATAGAATAAGTATTTGGGCGTGCAGAGCAAATGGGAGCATCTATGTTTGTCTACGTGCTGAATGTATTGTTTAAAAAAGCAATTTTTTATTGTTTGTAACAAATGAGCTACGAGTTCTTAGGATACCGTTGGCCTTTAAACTTTACGGAACGTTAGTTTGTAAATAGTTTATCCACGTTTTGTTAATGTAATTATTTTTGTTTAACACCTTTTCTCTTTCTTTTCAAAAGTATGTGGCGTTCGAAGAAAGTATTAGACTATGGATGAAAATATGCCGCCTTCAAAGGACCTAACGTTCTTGCAATGGCTCGTCCAGTATATTGGAAGTGCTAAATTGAAAAGAATAGGTATCTTCCTTGTAATCTTCCTACTATCGCTTCCGGTTATAACACATTATTATGTGGGGAAGTTAGGAGATTACGATGTTAGTCGATCTAAGAGTTCGTCATTGCTGGATGGTGATGTTAAACTGAAACTAAATAATGAGAACGAAGAAAATTTGGCAGAAGCAAACGAACTAAAAGAAAGAATAAAGGAACTGAAAAAGATAAAAGCGTCCGTAAGCAATGAACTTAAGGAATTAGAACAGAAGCGTCACAGACTTCATTCGGATATATCAGGCTTTAATAGCCATATAGACAAGCTAAAAGATGATTATAGAGAGAAAATGCAAAAATTGGATGTATTACGGCAAAGAATTGACAATACAAGGGCGGAAAGGGAGGAAATTGTAAGAAGAAATTTACCAGAGATTAAACCCCCACTAGAATCGATTTTGAATAGTTTTTCCAATACTGTAAACAATGACATGGAAGATTTAAAAATGAAATTTATTAGGAAATGTAAAATGTACAATTGTTTCGATTATTCCAAATGTTCTATTTTCTCAAAATTTCCAGTTTATTTTTATCCGACAAAGGATATAGGGGATTTACATCCGTTTATCGAAAAATCCTTCAAGCAAGTGATTAAAGATAACAGTTATATTACAAACAACGGAGATACGGCCTGTATTTACTTTGTTCTTATACCAGACATGGATGGTTCAACGTTGAACAACAGGTTAAAAAAACTTAAGTATTGGAACAAGAACGGGGCCAACCATGTTCTGTTGTACCTTGCCAGGCATCATAACTCACCTAATATTTTTAATAATATAAACACCGGTAGAGCTATTTTAGCTCAGGCAAGCTATTATGAAGACTTTCGAGAAAACTTTGACGTTATCCTTCCGCCTACATCTAATAAAATTTTATCCAACTCATGGGAGATATTACCATATATCTCACCGGCCAGGCGGAAGTATTTGATGACCTTCGAAGGGAATATGGATGCCAAAGGCTTCAACATTGACTTTGAGTATAAAGTTATTAAAGAATTGAAAAATCTGGAAATTCAATATCCAGAACAAAAATTCCTATTTAAGTTTTCTTGCTCAAAATCATTGGTCAGTAAAGATGGATTAGAATGGAATCTCTGCAATACTGATAATGAGCGCTTCAACATATTAGAAAATTCCACATTTTCACTTATATTAACATCTTTAAACGATTCATTAGTCTCGACTTCTATTTTTCAAACTAGACTATTGGAATCTGTAAGGGCAGGTGCCGTACCTATTATACTAGGTGGTAATTTTCGATTTCCGCTCGAGGAAGTGATCGATTGGAGAAGATGCGTAGTTGTACTGCCAAAAGAGAGAGCAAGCGAGCTGCATTATATTATTAGATCGATGACCGATGAGGAATTATTGGAAAAACGACGTTTTGGACGACACGTTTGGCAAATCTACTTATCCAGTGTACAATCAATTCTTGATAGTTTATTTCTCCTTTTAAGGAGGAGATTAAATATACCTTCCAATCCTGTGATCGACGAAAAATCGAAGTCTTTTTTTAACGAGACGTTCAAAAAATTAACTGAAGAAAGTATTGAAGATGAAGAAGTTGTTGATCCTATCGAGTTACCTTTTGCATCTGATAAATTTACAAGGAACTTTACACAAATCACCTATTTATCAACACAAGAGGTTGATTTGGATCCATTCCATCTTTATCCATTTACTCCTAGGAGATTAACGTTACCAGCAGAAGCGACTTTTTTAGGTTAGTATCTGATTTTATGGTTTATCTCTTTTCTTTTTATTTCGCTAAGTTGATGAAAAGTTTGCAAGAGTAAGCTGATGTGTTAAACAAATTCGGATTTGTTTGATAATATATTTGATGCAGATGTTAAGAGACTTCAAACACTACTTTTCCTTCTTTTTTTTATATTTTCTTGTTTGGTTTTGAAAAATTTTCATCTATTCTATTAAACAGGCTCTTCTCTTGGCTTTCGACCAATTAACGGTGGTCTCGGCGGAGCTGGTAAAGAATTTGCTCAGGCTCTAGGTGGTGATTTCGCGAGGGAACAATTTACAGGTTCCTATAAAATAACTTAATTATCGTCTCTAGCTATTCTAATAATTCTATTAATTTTTGCAGCCGTTCTCTTAACGTTCGAACGCGACAGTGTTTTAATGGATGCCATTAGGCGTCTAAAAAACGTAGCCCATTTGAATAAAGTTGTAGTTGTCTGGAATTCACTCAAACCACCGCATATTCAGTTACGCTGGCCCGATATTGGGGTTCCCGTACATGTTGTAAAAACTGCTAAAAATAGTTTAAACAATCGTTTCTTGCCGTACGATGTAATAGAAACCGAAGCCATATTGTCAATTGACGACGACGCCCACTTAAGACCCGACGAAATTAACTTTGCCTTTAGGTATTTTTTTTCAACCCTTTCCTATCTTATTACTATAATAAGCCTCTACAAATAACATGAACCCTTTTAGAGTATGGCGTCAATCCCGTGATAGAATTGTTGGATTTCCCGGGCGATTTCATTCGTGGGATGCAAAGCACAATTCATGGATGTACAATTCAAATTATTCTTGCGAGCTTTCTATGGTGCTAACCGGTGCTGCGTTTTTTCATAAGGTAAGAAAACAAATATATTTTAATTATTTTTATGAAATATACTCTAATCTCTTATCTAATCATTTGTTTTTTTTCTTTTCTCCTCTTCCCTTTAGTATTACGCCTACTTATACAGTAGAATCATGCCACAGGCTATTAGAGATAAAGTGGACGAGTATATGAACTGTGAAGATCTGGCTATGAATTTTCTAGTCAGCCATATAACTCGAAAACCACCGATAAAGGTCACTTCTCGATGGACTTTCCGTTGCCCAGGCTGCCCCAGCGCACTATCGGAGGATGAAACGCACTTTCAGGAGAGACATCTATGTATGAACTTTTTAACCCAAATTTACGGCTACATGCCTTTATTAAGGACTCAATACCGTGTCGATTCGGTTCTATTCAAAACACGTATTCCGCATGATAAAGAGAAATGTTATAAATTTGTATAGTTGAGTTCATATCAACACAAATGTCTTTTTTTTTGTTTCGATATACTGTATATATACTGTATATATATACTATATTTTAGTATATTGTTGAGCTACGGTCATTATTATCAATTAAAACATTTTAATAAACAAATTTTACGATTTTTAGCATTTGTATGGTGCATAAGGTTTTAATAAATAAGACCAAACTCTATCGTTTGATCTTACATCATATTCACTTCGTATACCATAAAAAGTAGTATTTGGAGCAATCCTTGTTATTTGAGTCTTTTGTAAAGTGCTCTTGTAGCTTTTTAATATCAACGTTGAACCCAAATTCATTCCGTGGCTTTCACAACATTCGAATCTCCACAGTCTATCAGTTATACCAAGTTCTTTATCGTAATGATATTCGCTGTACAAACCAGCTAAATAAGAATTTTTATTTAGCAATTGACTGCAATTGAAATTTATCGTTTCTCCAATTGAATTTTGTAGAAAAGCTAAAGAATATAAAAAATAAAGTTTACTTTTATCGATTGACAAACAAGTCAATTTAAAATAAGAGACTTAGCCTTACCGTTCCATTTACAAAATGGTAATTTGGTACAATTATCATCTATTGGTATTTTATGGCAATTTATTAACCATAACCTATCGGAACCATCAAAATTGTAGTAACTTGTTATATTACTGACACCAAATCCGTACATGCAGCTTCTCGATAGGTTTTGTTTTAAACTGTTAGCATATTGATAGAACTTGGCGTCGCTTCGCTCCAAGAAGTAGAACAAACACAGTACAAGAACATACAGCAGATGCATGACGAAATGAGCAATCTAAACGAATTTCAGTGAAGAGGGTTAAATAATAATATCTTATATTATATTTCTTAATAAATTTATATATTGATATATTTCAATTAAAAAAAGGCCTATATAGCAGCTTATTTATAATGGTATCAAACATTTCTATAAATTCATCTCTTCTTTTTAATCGATTTTTTGCTGGTATTACAGTTTTTGCAGTTTGTTTATAGAGAAAGGATTCTAGGAATTTAAAGTAGGATTATATAATAGTGACGTCTTAAATTACCTCGAAGATTTGGGTTGATTGTTAATGATGATCAATCGGATTACTCGCTATTCCCTCGGATCTAGTATAATTAATAAAATATCTCAAAAACTCGTTTGTTAAACGGCAAAGCCCTGAAGATTGTATGTGTAGGGCAATCCTAGAGATGTTAGTAGCTCCTTCTAGGACCGTTAGATGGCGCTAATATAAGAAATATCGAATTTTTTTCCCCTGTGAAACAACATCTCCTGTATCCTATAGATAGTAAAGAGGGTAGTAGGGAATGGGAAAGCGAAGCCAAAAATGAAGCTAATAAGTATACAATAGCCAGTTCTATTTATTTGTTAAACAAAGTAATAGAAAAAGAACTCAGGGGTCTTCTTTCCTTTAATAATAAATAACAATTTAAGTTCAAAATATAAATAAATGTATATATATTTAAAATCACTCTTAAACCAGTTTAATCATGAAAAAACGTCTTAATAAAAGAAATTTTGTTTACTGTGGTAAAAAGATATAAGAATATTCTATACAATTGTATCTGAATATCTTTATATTTTATACACAAGAGAATTATTATTTTCAAAAGAATAACTTTGAAGGACAAGTTAATAACAGAATTATTCTCTACAAAACTAAAGAAATCACTGATATCGTTGATAATCATAATTGAAACTGTTGAGTTTCAACGGGTTTTTCCGCCCAGACACCAACGTTATTATTCTTTAATTCATCCATTAATATTTTCTTTGCTAATTGAAATTCTTTTGCATGTTTCTTTGCATCTACATATAATTCTGGAAGAATTAGATTAGCTGTGTTTCCTAATCCCCAAATTGATTGGCAATAGGAAAACATGGCTCTTTTGCATAGTTTTGATTGGGTACCGTCTGGAAATTTGCCAGATAAACATGTTATAGTTTCCATTGGTAATTCATCGTCACACCAAACCATTGCTTTTTGTGGCGACTCGGTTGTTTTTCGAACTTCGGGTGAAGTAACTCCTGATACAATTGGTTTGACTATTCTAAACGGTTTTGGTAAATTTCCTAAAGGTGGCAAACGACCGTACATAGCTCTTGCCATATGTTCTGCATGAAACATTGACCCAATTGTTATAGATTGAAGATATACCGGCCTAATAAAGTAAGTCAATAAAGCGCCTTGTATGCCCAAGACAATAGCCTTCATTAGTTTATCCGAACAGCTCATAGTCAAAAGCCTGCTTCCAACCATAACACCATCCCATGTTTGTATTGTGCCGACTTTTACCGGGATTGTTCCTAAAAATAATAAAGATGGTAATAAAATAACAAATGCATGACATAAAAGTTATTGAAAAGTCTCGTGAGAATTAAAGAAAGCAGCTTTTTTGTGATATTAAAAATTTATGGCAATAATTGACTTTTCAACAACTTCCGAGTCACTCTAAAAATATAATAAGCCTACCTTCCCCATTTTCAATTTTACTTCGAAGCAATTTGCGGCTTTGTCTATTTGGATGGCGATCTTCCTCCCCTTCAGATTCATATGGAGCAAATATTCTTGCATCTCCGCACGGAGATGTCGATATATAAAGGTGAAATTCAACATTTTCTTTCAATCTAAACATTCCTGAATCGCCATCTGGCTCTAATACGTCGTATTTATCCGAACTACCATTTTTCAGTAGCGTTAAACGCTTCCAGAAAAATCCCCTCAACGTTCTTATAGCAAGAATTTCGGCATGGCAATCGTGTAACGCTTTTCCAGTCTTCGAAAGATGAAGGCCGCCTAAGCATTTATTTCCAGTTGTCACAGAGACAACATCAAATATCTGTTCTTCATTCTCCAACTTCCTACTCATTATCACTCCAGCTAAAACTTTTCTCTTTCCCTCTTTATCCGTTAAATCCGCAAATTTAGAATTGATCATATAGGAAATTTTATCCGCTAAGTTACTAACAGCCCCATTGGCATGTTTCGCTGCCGATATTATAGACTTTGATTTGCAGATGGCGTGTTCCGTTCCAGCTAATCAAAAGTAACTTATTACACATAAAACATACTAACACACAAATACCTTTACACTATGCTTTTAATCTAAAGGTAAACACAGTTATAAAATTAGGGTTAAAGATTTCTAATCTCTTAACTGAAGGAGAAAACTATTTTTGAAGGTTTAGGGCGTAATTTCTCTTGATAAATGCATTTTATTATTTTTTCTTTCTTTTAAAAGAAAAAAATAGCCGAGTCTTAAATAAACCAAAGGCAAATTATATTTCTATAAAAGTTCTATAAACTGTTTAAAACAATATTTTAAAAAATAGTATACAACTTTTGTTTGCTTACTGATTATTTTAATAGGAAAAAGGGAAAAAAAGCTTAAAATAAGTGAAATAGCATCATTCTGTCTATAGAATCTAAATATGAAATAAAATATAGAAAAAAAGCCAAATAATATTCATTTTATATTATATAAATATTAATAAATACGGCTTTAATAAAATATACAATCATCTACTTAAACAAACAAAAATTGAACACCTATTTTCAAACATCATTTTGATTTTTTTGCTTACGCTTTTCTTTTCTTTTTTATTTTACTTACCGTAGCTTTTTTTTTAAAAAACAAATTCATTAAGGTACTAAGGGGTTGGTATTAAAGATATAAGGAGACACATTCGTTCGACGATGTTGACCTAAAGTAATTCACATCCGGTTACGAAGTTAGCCGTAAGCGATTATCAATTACTTTAAGTCGAATTCGTTGACAAATGCTATGAGTGTATAAGGAAAAAGAAGGAAAACGTCATTAGGGTTAATAAGTTAAGATAGAAGTTCAGTATAAAGTACAAATAATAGTATAACCAAGGTATATACTATATATTATAGACGAACAGTAGAAAAGAAATATGTATTATTTTTGTTTCTGCTGAAAGATGATATTATCAACTATTTCCTTATAAAAACAGTCGTCAAGACTATAATTGTTTCTTATAAGGAGATAGTTTCATCTGAACTATAAAAGAACTATAAGCTTGTCTTGTATAGCTAATAACAGAACAAAAGTTTTACATAAAACTTTAGTGTGTCTGCAATTTTTCCTCCCTACTGCAAATATACAGCATGTATATACTGTATATATATTTATATATATATATATATATTATATATATTTGTATATATATATATATATATATTTATATATATATATATATTATATATATTTATATATAATGTATATACAATGTAAATACTACTTTTACAATAAAGAATCAACTTATGCGCTATCTTGAACTATTAATCAAGATCTCTTTATTGTAAAAGGTTATATTGTAACCTTTTATGTGCGTAAAATACATTCGTTAAACCAGAAACATTGAATTTTAAATACGTACAGGCAGCAAGTTCGAATTCCAAGCCGTACATGGTTGTTAGTATAGACTGAGCGGCTCTTGACTTTGCTAATTTTTTATTATGAGCTTCACCCTATAAATTTAATCAAATCAATTTTAATAATAAGAATAGAATAAAGTTTTATCATAATTATTTTAACATTTACCGTAAATGTTACATCATCAACTTGTGCATTAACGATAAATGTATTCTGTGCACCTTGTTTCTCATTTGTCCAGGTATACTGAACATCACTGCGAATTTCATTTAATATCTGAATAGGGTTCTTTCCCTGATTAAGTACAATTAGAGAGTTATTTACACTATTGATGTTTTATTGAATGTTTAACACCTCATAAGTATGGCTTTTCTTTTTGGCTGGTTGCTGTTTGGTCTCAGTTGGACCAGTTTCAGCAGTTGGAGAGTTTTTCTGGACAGATAGTTGTTTAAGGTTGTTTGACATTTTAATGCTACGAAGTGCCATTTCAGCTGCCTAATGTCATAAATTATAAACGATCAAATGATATAAAAAAGAATACAAATGATTAAATACTTGGTGTTTTGCATCCTTTTTACTCTTACCAAGACCCTTGTATAAATGTCCTCTGAATTCGAGCTGGATGACGAAAGTAGGAGCGTGACTTGGCCCTTCAGCCTGAGAAAGCGCATACTACAAAAATAAGCTCATTATTTTTAACGATAAACCGTAATACATAAATAAATTTCTTTATATATTTCGTAAAATGAATTGCTGATTGCATGTGTATTGTGAAATTGTCATATATATGTGATTTAACCTTTATGGTAGGGTCTAACTCGTGGAGTTGTTGGACAGCGTTTTTATCCAAATCATTGTTCGATGAGCTCTTCTTATTTTTCCTCTTTTTCTTGACAACCACACAATCTGAATTATTGCCACTTGATATAGCATATGATCTCTTCGTTGCTTCTGCGTAAAAATTGAATAATCAATCATTAGATTCTTTGGATTGTAAAGATATTCTACACAATTGGGTTTATATATACAACCTCCTCGAACTTCCATCCCACTTCGATACAGAACAACTTCTTTTTTTCAAACTTCTAATTGAGGATATCTAAGTTGTTTCGGTGAATGGAATCACCGGAAGACGGAAACTCAATATCATATAAGATAAATATTGAACTGCCAATCAAATTTTTAGACTCAAGTAGAGATTGCAAAAGTTAGGTTACCTGTTCGTTACTCTGGAAATACAAACTTGTGAATATTATGTAGTATTGAGAAGCTTTGGGAATTCAACTTTAGAAAATTTACAATTAAAAATATGTGATTCTTTAACCAATAAAAAATTAATTATGGCGGTAACTAGTAATTTATTTTGAAGATTTCAATGTCTAAATAAAAATTCTTATAGTCATTTTACTTCCCTTTAGAGTTGTATTTACAAAGATAAGATTAAAGTATCTGTTAGGATAGCGCATATACATAGTAAAAATAATGAAAATGTTGATACAATTACTTCTAAGGTACTTTTGGCGTAATTTTTCTTTTTTATCCCTTTTATCGTTCTTGTTTTTATTTACAAAGCTAAACACTTCTACTAATTCAATACTAGTAAAAAACCCGAAAGACGATAAAAAAGAAGTGAAAATATTCAACTTTGATAATGTTTTTGATCATTTAACTTCGCAAGAAGAAATTTTTAATACATGTGCACAATCTGTAATAGAGAATGTAATAAATGGATATAACGGAGCAATTATCAGTTATGGCGTAAGCGGATCTGGTAGAAGTTATACTATGAATGGTGATGGAGATAATATAGGAGATTTTGGTATTATACCAAGATCAATTACATATATATTTGATTTAATCAAAGAAAGAAATAATAGTGAAAAGTATTCAGTAAAGGTATCATACTATAGGCATAATACTGCTTTTGACGAGATAGAAGACTTATTAAACGATGACCCAAATCAAATAGTAAAAATTAAAGAATCTAAAGAATTAGGTACATACATTCAAAATTTATCAACGGTACCAACTAAAAATTCAAATGAAATGTATGAATACTTCATAAAAGGCAAAAATAGTAATTTGTTACTTTAAATTGGTTCATTTAAATAGAAATTGCTCCTAACTAACTTTCCTTTGTAGAATTTACAAGAGAATTTACATCCTTCTTTACTGTAACAATTGATAGTATTAAAACTACTAAAAGTGATGATAGTTCTATTAAAAATTCAACTAGGACTGGAAGGTTGTATTTTATTGATATGAAGGTTAATTATTGCTAAATTAATTATGAAAATATTAATTTCCATAATTAATTTTCAAATATTCTTTATTGATAGGCCTGGGATTGTGAAAATACATATAAATGTTGTAATCAACATTCTACGGAAGCTAAATACATTAGTAAATCATTAACTCCATTGGCTATGGTAGTGGCAGCTCTTGCAGACAATAGTAGCCATGTTCCTTATAGGAGTGGTAAGGATACGAGATTGTTAAAAGACGTTTTAGGTGGTAATTGTAAAACTGTTTGGATATCTAATATAAACATAAATTCTACGTATTATGATAAAACTATATCAACTCTACTATTATCATCTAGAGTTAAGTGCATAGAGAACAAACCTGTTATTAATACACATCCTATTGACAATAGTCCTTAATAACGAATAGGGCTATTAATACTTTCAAAGAAAGATTCTCTTTAGGAGAAGCTCAAAGTAAATCTAATTAATCTGAAAACAAAATGTCTTAAATTTAGAATAATGCATTTCCTTCGTAATGAAATTAGTCTATATAATAAATAGAATAAGAGAAAGTAATCTGAATGGAATAACTAAATGCATCTACATGATAAGATGAAGAAAAGAACTATTGATAAAACTATATTTAAAGCTTCCTAATTTTTATTTTACATTGATTTGTTAATCTATTCACTTGATTGGGAAATAATCATTCGAATTCTATTAATATGAGTAATATTAAAATTAAATATGTAATGAATATTTAATAATTTAAGTTTTAGTTATCTTTAATAAATATTTCAAATTTCATTAAAAGAGAAATGTGTATTTTTAAAGTTGAAGTGATTTTTTAATGTAATTTATTAGAAAGAAAATATTGATATGTTATCAAATATTCATAAATTCTTTATTTTTTAAATATATATCTTTAAAAGAACAGTTTATTAGATAAATTTATTTGAAATTTAATGACAATTAGACTGTAAAAAGTTTTGCCATGAGCATGGTTACCTGATCCCCACTGCAAATCTGCATTCCAAACGCATTTCTCTTCAAGCCTGCACTGTCTCTACAGCAGCAAACAAAAAAAAATCAAAAGTATTTAAACTATATCATATTCTTAAAATATGACAGCGGTAAGTCAAATCTCAAAATAAAAGAACAGCTAAGAATATAAATTTTACTTTAAAAAGGACGGAAAAAGTGATAACGTTCGAGTTATCGTAAGATGCAGACCTCTAAATAGTACTGAAATATCTAATGGAAATCAAATGACAGTTAAGGTTAATAGCGTGATCTGATATAATATATAATTGTTAAAGGATTTTTTATAAAATCTTTAGATTGATTCTGTTCGTGGAGCCTTAATTTTAACAAATCCCGCTGCAGCAGCAAGCGAACCCCCTAAAACATTTACTTTCGATACAGTATTCGGGCCTGATTGTAAGCAGGTTGATGTTTATAATACCTGCGCCAGACCTATTGTAGATAGTGTTATAGAGGGTTATAATGGAACTATCTTTGCTTATGGACAAACTGGTACGGGAAAGACTTTTACTATGGAGGGAATACGAACTGTCCCGGAAAAAAGAGGAATCATTCCAAATTCATTTGCTCACGTTTTTGGTTTTATTTCAAAAGCAGAAGGAAATACAAAATTTTTGGTCAGAGTGTCATATTTAGAAATTTACAATGAAGAAGTAAGAGATTTATTAGGAAAGGATCAGAATGTAAGACTAGAAGTAAAGGAGAGACCAGATGTAGGGGTATATGTTAAGGATTTATCAATGTTTGTTGTCAACAACGCTGATGATATGGATCGAATTATGACGATGGGAAATAAAAATAGTAAATTTTAACTACTAATCAAACTTTTTTAATATTTTATTAAATTAATTACATCTAATTAACAGGAGTTGTTGGGGCAACAAATATGAATGCTCAAAGTTCAAGGTCTCATGCTATATTCACTGTTACAATTGAACGAAGCGACATCGGCGCCGATAAACAAGAGCATGTTAGAGCTGGAAAACTTCATCTTGTAGATCTTGCCGTATGTCTCCTTTATTTTTTTTTACGTAGCATACATATATTCATATTTTCTATATTTCTAGGGATCTGAAAGACAAACAAAAACAGGGGCAACTGGTCAAAGGTTAAAAGAAGCAACTAAAATCAATTTATCCTTGTCAACGCTCGGTAATGTAATATCGGCGTTAGTTGATGGTAGAAGTACTCACATTCCATATAGAAATTCTAAATTAACTCGCCTCCTGCAAGATTCTCTGGGTGGTAATAGCAAAACTGTGATGATTGCTAATATGGGACCTGCTGATTATAATTACGACGAATCTCTATCCACTTTAAGATATGCAAATAGAGCAAAAAATATTAAAAATAAAGCTAAAATCAACGAAGATCCTAAGGATGCACTACTAAGACAGTTCCAAGCCGAGATTGAAGAATTAAGAAAACAATTAGGTGGAGAAGGTGAATTTTGTGTATTATTCTTTTATGCATACTCTAAAACTGTAATTTTCTCCCTGAAAAATTAGGTGGAGAGGATTTTAGTGGGTCTGGTTCAGAATACGAAACTGGATCTGACGAAGACGGAGTAGGAGGAGAGGAAGGAGGGAAAAGAAGAAAGAAAAGAAAATCGACTATTAAAGGTTTATCGAAAGAGAAGATGATAGCCATTCAACAACAAATTGAGAAAGATAGAAAAAAATTAGAAGAAGAAAAAGATATGGCAATAGAAGAAAAATCCAAGCTAGAAGAAGATTTGAACTCAAAAGAGGAAGAATTAAAGAAAGCATCGTAAGTTGTCATCTATTTTCAAGACAAGGAGTAAATTTAAATTAATTTATATATCATAAAAAATAAAGAGAAGAGCAAGAAAACATCAAGAATAAATTACAACAGCTGGAAAAGAAAATTATCGTTGGAGGAGAGAATCTCTTAGAAAAGGCTGAAGAACAAGAAAGACTTTTAGAAGAGAGTGCGGAAGAATTAAATAGAAGGAATGAAATTCAAGAAAAACTACGTAAACAATTAGAAGAAAAAGAGGTGTTGTTCTAAAAAATCTTACTTTATTTATTATTAATCAATTATATAATGTTTGAAATATGTTTCAACAGCAAGAAAGATTAGATATCGAAGAAAAATATTCAAGTTTACAAGAAGAAGCTGCCGGCAAAACTAAAAAGTTGAAAAAAGTTTGGACTATGCTAATGACGGCAAAATCCGAAGTTGAGGATATACAGAACGAACATCAACGTGAAATGGAAGGTTTACTGGAAAATGTACGACAACTTAGTCGAGATTTGAGATTACACATGTTAATTATTGATAGTTTCATTCCTCCCGAATATCAAGAAATGATTGAAAACTGTATGCTATGGAACGATGAAGTAGGTGAATGGCAGTTAAAATGCGTCGCCTATACAGGAAATAATATGAGGAAATCAAGTCCAGGTCCTGAGAAAAAAGTAGAGCAAAAAGTAAATACGGACTTGTCACAAGTCTACATGGTTTATACCGCCGACGCTGCAGAAGCTGTTCTAAGAAAGAGCGAAGGAAAAGCTGGTCGGTCTAAAAATAACAATAGGCCTAAGACAAGCAAAAAGTAAGTTTTAAATTAATACTCTTGATAACTATAAAAATCGTTTCATATTTTCAAAAATAAAAGGAAAAAGAGAGATAAAGGTATTTCCTCTTCAATCTACGACTAATCGATCAAAAAACTCTAATTGGATTGTAAATCAAAAATTTACATTTTTTTTGTCTTTTCTATCAGTATTCACTTGATTAAAATATGAATCAGTCTCAAATATTCTCTATGCACCTTTCTAGAAAGCTTTTTTTCTAAAACTACGCATTTAATACAATCGTTTTAAAAAGATATTTTGTTCTATTGAATTAATTTTTCTATATGCAATATATAATTCAATATGGATATCATAGATTATGGCCTTAATAATATCAGTTCTAAATTGGTTTAGGATATTGAATGGTTGAAAATATTAGTTCCTCTTTTTATTTTTACTAGTTCCTACTTTCATTATAGCTTTTACAGGAGTAAGTTATGGTTGAGAAGTTTAAATGAAATGATATACCCTTGAATCATCATGTGGAGATTTCATTGCATTCGCCTTAAAATTAAGGCTCTTGTTTTTATCGGATTACTAACATTCATTTTCGGTTACACTTTCCCGAAGCTTTTCAGAAGGGTATTTTTGTCTAGAAGCGATCATAAACCTATAGATATTAATATTGTTGAAGAGCATCATGAAGGTAAGTATTTCTGTGTAAATAATACTTGATGAAATGTATTCAATTAAGGTAACTATTCTCTTGTAATATATCTAGTTATTCCTTATTGGCTAAGAGCTGTCACTAACAAAGATTTACCTTTCAAAGACGTTAAATTGGTTAGTCCGATTAATATTTGTATACTAGATATAAATTAATTATATTTAATTAACAATTCAGGTCCATATTGATGCTCATAGTGATTTGGCTATCCCTTTATATACCAAGAATTTCCCTATACAAAGATTTCCAAAAGCTCAGGAAGATATTAAATCCTTAATGCAGTCAAATGATGTGTTTATCACTGGTTATTCACTTACTGGTTTACTTCAACATGCTCTACTAATAATTCCATCTTGGAATAATGACTTTAATTATAACAACCTAAATATGCCAATTACTATTGGCTTTCATAAAAAAATGAATGCTTTCTGCGAATGTGCCCATGATTTTCCTTCCAATTTGGATAGATATATATGTAGAGCTGTTTTATCAAATGACTCAATAGCGATCACTAAAGAGGACGACTGTAAGCCCATTTTGATTATAAAAACTAATATTTCACGTGAGAAATATTTTCTTCAAAATACACAATATTTTGAAAATACATTAAAGAATCCGTATATTCTTGATATTGATGAAGATTATTTTGGCTGTGAGAGTGTTGGTGATCGTCTCATTGGATTAGGCGTCACGCCTGAGCATTGGAGTTATATCAATAATCACCTTCAAAATTTATATTGTCCTTCAAATGTTGAACAAGAGACTCTCTTCAACCGATATCTGAAGGAATGTGTAACAAATTTAGCAAATAATTGCGAGTATTCTTCAAGCTCCTGTAACTATGATAAACAGTGTAGAAAGATAATAGTACAACCATTTTGCATCCCTCTTGCTAAAGAAACTAAGAAAGCGGCTTTAAAATCTCTATTACTTTATTTAGTACGAACATTTTCAAAGAAACAACTATTAGGAATAAGTTGGGCTGGATTTTGCTTCTATAATACACCCGACACAAACAGTTTTGTACCATTGATGAAGCTATGCTCTGGCGAGAATTATGGTAATGAGAGCACTATTCAATATCATTCACCAACACCTACCGAAACAAAAGAGCGTTTGGAAAATTTACAAAATATGCTATGCAAGTTGCCTCATCCTGCTTTAATTACTGTTGCCCGCTCAAATCGAGATGGCTATGTACCCAGATCAATTCAACGTCACGTAGAATGCAAATTAATTGAAATACTTCAATATTGCTTCAACATAAAGAATGTTAATTATGATAAAAATTTATGGAATAATGGACAAGAAGCCTGTTAAAAAACAACGCCATTTCTCTGTCGTTTAATTGTGTTTAAGAAAAGTTTTGCTATAAAAAATTCTTTTTATAAAGCAGCTCATGTTGAAAATTGAGAACTTGGTTTCCCCAGCTTGTACAATTCATATTTAAATTTCTTGCAAATACTTCTAATGTATTGAGTTCTGTTTCTATATAATCTGTAAACAATTGATAAATGGGAGGCTTAGACGAATGTAACGCACAAGGGACGCTGCATATTACATTACAGTCGTCAATTTTTATCTCTTCAAAGCCTCTTCTACCAATAACTAGCCATTCATAAGCTTTATTTTGAATATCATTTAGTGGTCGAACAGGTTTTCCTGCATTGGTAACTTTCAACCATAACCAGGAAGCTGAATGCTTGAAACCATTTTTTGGCAATAGCTCATCAATAACCCAACTATGCCATCTCTCTGTTGTCCAAACAATTAGAAAGCAATTATCTTCTGACATAGATTCTATATCTATGTTTAGAATAGCATCAGACGTTAGCTGATTGTAACATTTCAAACGTTTAGCAGACTTATTTGACCAAGGTGGATCCATAACAATTAGATTATATTTTTCTTTAATATCAAATCCATCTAAAACATCTCCAAGAACATATTTACTTCCTCTTGGTATAAAAAATGTTTGTTCTTCAAGAATTAATTCGTTATTATCGTTGGGCCTATCTTGAATAAGCTTATTAGGTAGCGATAGCTCAGAAAGACGCTTGGTTAAATCAGTCGATAAATTTCTCGCCAATTTATTATTATCTTTTAATATTGATTTTGGTAAATTTTCAAAATAAGTTTGACAATCTTTCGATTCTTCTAATTCCTTTAAGAATGAATCTATTATTACTAACTCTTTAAAATTATTTACATCAGCAATAGCTTTTCTCTTCCTTTTTCTTATTGTACTTAATTTTTGATTATTTCTAGCAGTAAATTCACTATCCATAAGAAATTCACCATCAATTCGAAAAAGATCCTCGTTAAATACGATTTTATACTCTCTGCTTCTTTTATCAACAAATGTCTCGTTGGTGTAGGAATTGTTTATGAAATCTTTATGATCAACTAACCATCCACTTTTCAATTTTTTAATAACTGCCATATTTATCCTAATAAACAGTTTTTAAACTTATATAATTCATAATGCTAGCGAAAGTGAGCAAAACTCACAAAGCGTCGTCTGCTAATAGGATAACCGGTTAGTGACCGAAATTTTATAAATGAAAAGAATATTCTCTTATTATCAACTTTTTCATTTTATATTCAAATATAGAAAAAAAATCATTCTAACTAAAATCAATAACAACGTTACTTTTGAATCTTTTCGTAGCCCTTTCACTTGCTCTATAGCAAAATTGACTACCAAATATTGTTACTAAAAGCTGTTCAATTTTACATGTAAATTGAACATGTTTCTTCGGAATAACTTTTACCTTATCTTCTTTAGTAACAATATGAAAATGATTTTTCTTCTCCATAATAACTATACCACAAATACCAATATGAGTATTACATGGAGATTTCGTAACTTTTAATCTAGCTCCATGCATATCGGCTTTACATAATGTTGTTTGAATATTTTGCAATCTACTATTGTCTAACCTGAAAAACTTATTTAGCTATATAATATGGTATTAAACTTATAACAGAATTTAAATACCTTTGGTTATCATTTAAATTTAATAAATCTTTTATATAAGATTTCCATAATTTATGTATAAGTTTTGCAGTACTATACTTTTGTTCTTCATTATTCAATTTAAATAAATGAAGATTCTTTTTTTCTTTACATGTTAGTACTTTCTTTTTGTTTTTCTTTTTATTAAAGTGTTTATATTTGCTTGCTGCCGATAGGAAGACGGTAGCGTATGCGCCATCTCTTATAAGTTTTTCTGCATTAGTTGTATTGCCACTGGCTAAAAGATTCTTTACAACCTTTTTTGGCTCCATCTGTTTTTTGATATTAATCATTATTAAATATAATGAATCTTAAAAACACTATTTTGTCAAATTGAATGTTTTATGATAGGAAAAAAGAGAAACAAACTCCGTGGTCAAGATTTAATTCTTCCATTTCTTCCCTTGAAATGTGTAATTTTTTATATAAAGATTCTGAAAAGTATAAAAAGATATAAATATATATATATTTGCTATGGATCATTACCTTCAGAAACATTTGTAGCCATTTTCGTTTATAATTGCAGTTCAAAATGAATGAGTGCTTATTATCGTTCAATAGGCATACGAGACTACACCTAGAGTAGGTTCGCACTATATTTTTTTACACAAACATTAAAGTATACAACATCTCCCATTATTTACTCAACATGCTTATATCCGCTACTAAAAATGTAGGCTTACCTCTAAATTCCTTTCGATAAAGCAAAAGTTAAGAACTCATTACTTTTTATTCTCATAATGTTCTCATAGAATTTTCAGTAAAACTTACAAAAATTAAAATATTAAAGACTATTAAGCCTGTCCTTGCAAAGATAAATTATTTGTCTTTATCAATTTTTTAATTCTAAATTAATAATATGAATATTATTTCATACTATCTTGTACAACTTTAAATAGTATTAATAATAATAATTTAAGTGACTTAAACTTTTAAATAATAAAAATAGTAGTCTATAGAAACAGTTTTTGTCTGTTGAAAAGATGAAATAATTAACTTTACATCCTCTCTCTGAAATTCTGTAAACTACTTTAAGGACATTGCTAATTCAACGCAGAATGATATTTTTTCGAATACTGTGGATACTGCAAAAAAGACTAAATTAGAACGATTTTCGAATGAAACGAGACAGAACGCGTTCCATTCCGAAAATATCGAAAATAAATAACTTATTAATATTTTAAAAATATATACATTGTTATCTGCAAATTTTGAATGAATTAAGAGGATAGTATGCCTATCAAACGTTTAGGACCGTTAGAAAAGACTGAACGAGCTGGAGACACTATAAAATCGAAAGTTGATGCTCTTTTGGAGCAATGCGAAAAAAGACTAGAAGATAATAAAACAAAGCATGATGAAAAGCAAACTAAATCATTAATAACAAAGTAAATCTTTTCTTAAATTTATAACTCAATTTGCACTAAATTAAAAATTTTCAGTTCAAATAAATAAATTAATTGTTTCATTTTTCAATGTCTATTATAAAACTTTCAGATGTGAAAACATATTTAAAGAAATTGATAAACATATTACAACTGTAGAGAAATTACTGCATGTATGTACATAAAATATCTTCCGTATTTATTTGCATAAAAGATTTCTTTTATAGAAAAATGAAAAAGAAAAAATTGAGGATTTTGATCAGAGAAAAGAAAGTGAAGTAAAGAGGGTTAATAACTTCAAATCTGAAGTAAACAAACGAAAATTACTATTAGAAGGTAAAGAACTTCCAAAAGAAGAAAAAAAAGAGTAAGCTACATTTTATTCCATTCTAGTCAATATTTAAGGACATTATCATTCGGTTTCTTTATAGACAAACAGAGAGCGAATATGAAACAGATAGTGAGTATGAAACAGATTCGGAATATGAAACAGATTCTGAGGAAGAAGAATCTAAACCAAGTGCTCCAATTAGAGCTACAACCTCATCTGGCAAAACAGAATCTGCTCCGCCAAAAGCAGCTGTGGCTTCTGGCAAAAAAAATGATAAAGAATCAGAACAAATAGCCAAAAAAGACGAAAAAAGCACAGATAAAAAGACAGAGCTAAGTGAACAATCTAAGAAAGATACTAGTTCCAAGGATACAAAGAAAGAAGATACAAAAAGTAAAGTTGAGGTAGAATCGAAGGAAAATAAAGCAGTAACACCAGCTCCTCGAGGAAAGTCAGTTCCCGAGGATGAATCTAGTGAATATGAAACTGACACTGGGGAAGAAGATGAAGGAAGTAGCGAATACGAGACTTATACAGGCTCTGATGATGAAGAGGAAGAAATTGACGAAGATGAGAGAGCCAAAATAGAAAACTTTAAAGTAACTAATTTATTAATGCGCTTCTTTTCCTGAAATGTTGTAAAATTTTGTAGCCAGTCGTTGTTGAAGCGATAAGTGATTATGACGCAGAAAAAGAAAACTACCTACCATTTAGTGAGGGTGAACGATTAACTCTTGTAAGGTACATTGGTAAGGGCTGGTATCTTGGAGAAAATAGTGATAATGTGACAGGTCTTGTTCCAATAAATTTTTTTGAACACGTCAATATTTATGAAGGCGTTCAGCAAGCAGCTGATGACGAATCTGAAGAAGAAGCTGTGAAATCTCCTAAAGGGTGTGTATTAAAATTCGCCAGGTTTTTCGTAGTTTTCTATAAATATAATAGGTTTAAGCTGAATTAAGAGAGAAATATTTCATGGAATATTTTAATTTGATTTATATTTTTATTAAGCCTATTAATGATAGATTATATATACTATAGACGAGTTGTTACGCCTTGAAGACAATTTATTTTTGAAAATGGTTTATATTTGAGCAACCTATTATATTTTTACCTATATTTTTCGGTTATCTAAACATTTTATTCATAAATGCAGCAAACTCATGTGGAATAAGATACAGTCATCATTGAAAGAGGTTTATCTCTAAATACCTTCATTAATAATAATAAAGTGCAAATATAATATAAATAATCGTGTTGTAGAAATCTGTTACTGATGTTCTACACGCTTTTGGAGCCGTACCAGCTGGTTTTAGACCAAGTACCTTAGCTAAATTACAAAACTCAGGTTATTAAAGCTACAAATGTAGTAAATTTGTGGTTCTCTGTGGTATTTTAAAAGCTTCTAAAATTTATTCCGAACATTCTGAAACGCTGTTGTGCTCTTTTTCTGTAGTCTTTATCTAGAAAACACTTTTTTTGTGTTTACTCATAATTTTCCGTATCTTTTTCCATGTCTAAGGAATTAACTCTAATAATAATTTCTAATTCAGACTGAAATCTAAATGCACAATGTTGCACGATCCTGCTTTTTACCTACACACTTATTCTCAGTGTTCTTTTCACAAAGGTTTAATTATGATTAGTTTCTAGTTATTCACTCTTTCTATTATTTTTCAAAATGATTCTATAATGATTATTAAGTCGCTAATATTGTTACACTTTTTCTTGTACTTCATTTATTAATTAATTTTCTTTTAAATATTCAGAAAAATATTCTTTATTACCCATCCTGCATCCAAAGCTCAGTGACTCTGCCTTGTCTTATAAAGACTTGGCCTTTGACCTTACCACAGAAAAAGTAAGTAGCATTAAAATATATGAAATATATAAAGTTTCATTATTATAATAATGATTATTAGATTACGACGAGGCCTGTAGCGATCCAGCGCATTATTCAATTACAAGTCGCGAAAAATATTCCTCCTCCAGGAAAAGGTAATGAAATTCTGTTTAATTGTATAAATTGATATAAATTTTAATTGTGATTTGACAATTTTATTATTAAAAAAGGAGAAGGTGAGAATCACATCGTAACGTCTAAAGCTAATACTAAAATAAATTTCGGATAGTTAATAGCCTCTTACCTACTAATCCCTAGAGCTTCTCTTTCAATTTGTAGAATAATTATTACTCAAAGATAATCACAAATTTTGACACAGGTGTCGATATACTAAGCCGGCATGTTCGAATTTGCCTATTTGATGGGAGAAATGTAAATTCCCAGTAGAATTATTTGTTGTAAATAAACTAAATTAATTTTATTCCTCAGGTTGCTAGCAATATTTTTACTGTAAGAATTGGTTCAATTGACAAAGATAATCGCACCTGGAATTTTAATACAAAAGTAAGTACAAAACCATCTAGAAAGCAGTATGCGATAATCTTATAAAAGTGTAAAGGAAATTGTAAATAGAATAACTTCTCTACAAAATTTTAATTATGAATATTCTAAATTGCAGCTGACTGATAATATGAAATGTATAGATTTCGGAGAAGTCTTCTTACGAACAAACTTTACGGAAAATATCAGTTCGTTTATTTTATTATCTAAATATTATATGACTGTTTATCTGTAAAACATAGGTATTTTGTTCGAACTTTCTGTGGGTTACATAAGACAAGTAAGTAATCTAGTTTACTGACAAGTACTCTTGTACAGATTAAGTATTGTATATATCATTTTCAGAGTTCCGGAGAAAAAGGGGAATTATCCTGTGGTTGGACAACTATTCCATTATGTGACACTGAAAAAGTTCCGTTGGCTAACAGGTTTGTTGTTCCATTTAAAAATTGCCTTGACAAAAACATATTGTAATATTTCTTAGAGTTTATGATAAAACGCTAAATGGTGGTACCATTTATGAAAGAGGAGTTGAAGTGGACCCTCAAATAAGCAGAAAAGGTAAATTGTAATACTGAAATAGTATCATATATTCCTCTTTTCTGTTATATATTTCATTCTTCATTTTCACTAATAATTTTTACAATTTTTTTATCAGAAAGTGATGTAGGTAAGAGTAACAGTATGAAGTGAAGCCCATACCATTTTTACATTTAAAAAACATATTTTTTAAATACGTTTAGGGAATGAATTAGTTATATAAAATGCAGTTTATTAATTAAAAACCCTTGCACGTTTATAAACCAGACGTACCACATGCTTTACACATATGAATAGCAAAACTGCAATTTGCAAATATTTCCTATAGCAAACACTGGAATCTTCAGGTCGTTAATGAACAAGCAACCAGTTTTTTCGGTTAAAATCACCCAACCGAGTAAAGACCAAAAGCAACTGTTAGAGTAAGTTTCCTTTAAGCTTCAATTGCATGAGCAAAATCACAAAAGAATATTCTCTTTCATTTCAGTACATTGCCTGATACCTGTATTGCAAGCACTACTTACATAACATATCTATCTTTCTATAGAGAATTGTTATGTGATCAACTCATTAGGGATTGTTCTGACGTGCAGTCAATAGGTAAGTTTCAAGCATTTTATTATCTAGTTAAAAATTTAACGATAAAAGTTTGATCACTCTTGCGTAACTGTGATAGGTCTTATTTACAAAAGTTAGGATCAGATAACATATTAATTAAACGATAAGACAATTAAGATTAATGAGACATTTCTATTTTTCAGAACTAATTCATAATCCCCTACTGGTGACTTTTCCACTGGCTGTAAATGATCCAGATTTGATGGACACACTTAGGAGAGCTTGGTTAAATAAATTTAAGCAAACATCCCGAAATCAAAAGAAAGATTTCGACTTTATGAAAAAAATGTTTTACGACACATTTATGGAAAACGTTTATCCTCTTTATCATTCTGCTTCTCTGCCTGTGTTTGATTTGATTGACTCAGAGAGTCGCATTCAAAGGCAGGAAGAAATTAAAAGGCTTTCAGAATTATCAACTTCAAGGAATTTTGTGGCCTCTTTACTAAGTGCAAAAACCGTGCATAAACCTTTTGACTTATCCGAAGTCAGTTTTCATATTCTCGGAATTTAAAGAATGTAGTTATCGACACTTATTTTTTCCATACTAATATAAATTCTTTTTCATTAAATTTATATACTATTTATTCAATACATAAAATAAGCTTTATCTGTAAATTTGCTCTTAGATATAATTTGAAAAAAAATGTCAAAAGCTTATTTATGATAAATTGACGATCTTATCGATATTTCAAGCGTGTTGTCGACGTGCAATTGCATAAGATAGTATGCGTCACTGATGCAGAATTACTTATTTATTCGTAAGATAATAATTATCAAAATTATATTATTTTTGTCCTTTTTGCTATCAAACAAAAAAAAGTAAGGCTAACAATCAGCAATAAATAATTAATAAATATACAACGTGACAACCGACAATAGCTCCTGTAGTAATTAAATATATATTCACAATTGTACTGTTCTTTATCAGTTTGGCAGCCAAAAATGTCAAGATTAAAAATAAATGAGTTTTATATACACAAAAGTGTACATCTTTACTAAATATTAAAAGTCCTTTATTCAAGTTGAAAAGACGAATGAAATTCAACAAAAACCATAAATTAATGAGGCATATTTTTACGTAAGCTCCCCAAAAAAAATAGTTTATCCTATCTTCAGGATGGAAAATGTTTATAATCTCTTTTAACAAATTTCAACAGCGTTTACATTAAAAACATAAAATTTTTCATATACTACATATAATAGTACATCTTTTTGTATTGTTTTTCATAGATGACTGAGAGTAGTAACTCATGTGATTAAAAAGACTTTTGTTTCACCACATCACAAGTTTAGCCTTCAATAAAGTAATTCTAGATTATGATTATATTCAAAATCAAAATATAGTAAGAGAAAATTTTGATCGCTGTCTCCTAACAGGTTTAAGGTATTAATACTTTTTTATGAAAACATCTATACAAAGATAAAGAAAAGTATGTTTTTAAGAAACGTCTATATTACAACAGAGTTATCGACTTAGACTGTGAGATGTCTGTAATCTACTTCTAGTAACACAGTTTTTCTCTTTTGGAGCGACTGTGTTGAAAAAAGAATGACCCAAAGCAACTTGTAGTGTTATTCTAAGATTGGGTTCAAATTTCAACATTTTTTCAATGATATCAAATAGAAGTCGATGTTCTTGAGAAGTCTCTGACATGTGCCGCTGTTCATAAAATAAGAGGATTATTTAGAAAGAGTTTTCTCGAAATAAAAATATACTAACTTTAATAGGCTTACAATTATTTCTTACATAACTTTCGCTGGATTGTGATCCATTCCATACTAATTTATCGCCTTCAAAAAATCTGGTTTTTCTAAATGTAACAGAATTTAATTAATTTTAGCTTCACTTGTTGGAATAATAGTTTACTTACTTTGTTTTACGGATCATTTTAACTGGAATAGACCCTAATATTCGTTCCATCATTGCCAAATGCTCTCGATTGTCATGCGTTTGAAAGAGTGTATAACCTGTATATAACTCAAACATAATACATCCAATACTCCATACATCGCATGGCTGAGCCCAACCCAATTCTAATATTACTTCCGGAGCTCTGTAATGTCTAGTCGATACAATAGTGCTATGATGTTCGTCGTTGAAAGTTGCAGATCCAAAATCAATAAGACGAATTGTAGAATCTTTAACTCGTTTCCAGGTTTTATTCTTTTTTTCGTTGAATATTAAGTCGTAGCTACTATTAACAAAGAGAATATTTTCAGGTTTCAAATCCGTATGCGTCAACTTATTTCTATGTAAGAAGGCGACTGCTTCGCTTAATTGATAACTGATATGTGCTACTTGGCTAATTGGGTAAGGTGTATAGCTGTTTTCTTTCAAAAAGTCGAAAACACTCAGTCCTAATACTTGAAAAGCTATACACATATGGCCGTGATAATCAAACCAATCGAGCATTGTTACACATAGCCTATAAATAATAATAGTTTATTAAATTTTTCTTCGTTCCAGCTGATGTCTCTTAAAACTTACTCTTTTCCCTCACCCCTCCAATTACTGATAGATCTTAATACATTGATCTCTAAACGAGCAGCTTCCCTATACTTTTCAACGTTCTTAATAATCTTTAAAGCAATACGCTTCTGGTTCCTGAAAGAAACAATTTAAGTATTTTATAAACATATTGAATTTAAGCCGTACTTTTTATCTTTACACTCTGCAACTTTTCCAAATGTTCCTTCTCCCAGTGTTTTAACAATATCATCTGTTATAAAAGTGCAGCTATTGAAAATGTCCAGTTAAGATAAATATCACTAAATTTAATTACAGATTCATGCCAGTCTCAATCACTGCCCTACATTTCAAAAATATTTTTGTAAATAAATGATGTTTTATCTACAAATTTATATAAGCCAAACATCTATTACTCTCATACTGTACGTGCGAGATTTTACGAAAGTGATCAGTACATCTTGCTTGAATGCTATCTCCTGGATTATATTTCAGATGTCCGTCCTCGTCGTCCTCTATACTGGCGGCTCTTTTCTTATCCTCACTCTATTTCGGTTCCAACGATTTTTGTTCAAATTCAGTATTGTTGAAATATTCGCACATTCAAATTCGGTGATTCGTCGAAGGCGAATACATGGGGACAGAGACATACGTTTGCCGCATTTTGCAGAATGACAGCAATTTTTTGTATGCAAAAATTTTCACTACGTCAGTCCTAATCTTTTTATAAATACCTACCGCTTTTCCAACTTCAACTGAGTCAAGGTTTAATTTATTTTAAGAGCTGTTTTATATAATATTAATATATGTATAAGATACTCAGTCTAGCATCATGTAACTATCACCCTCTATTATTCGGTGAAATAATAACTCATACATCAGTAAGCCATATGATGATGAGATTTTAAACTAAGCCCTGACTCAGAAAAGCGACTACTTACATGTCGAAGAGTAACGCAGTGAGAATTTCTATAAACAAGAAAAATAAATACTGACCTTCCTATAACTTGACTCACTGGTTGTTGAGTTATAATGATGAAGACAATGCCGTCTATGACCGTGTTTCCTTGATCTGTAAGAGAAATGATGATTCAGTATTGATTCGATTTCTGCTATAATTGTGAATCACGATCAATTAATTAATTACAGATGATTGTTACAAAATAATAGTCATTTAACTTACAAATTTAAGTATTTTAAGCCTAAAAGTATTATGAAATAAAAAGAAATTAGTTACCGGTCTCTCCTACGATCTCGATGTCTATCTCTGTCTCGTTCCCTCTCTTTTTCTCTTTCCCTTTCCCTTTCTCTGTCTTCATCTTCGTATCGCCGTCGTTTCCTCATATAACGGTCTTCACTAGAAGAGCGCCTTCGTCGACGACGTGTTGAATAAGGCATTGATTCTAGAAGAAAAAGCTTATATAAGCAAAAGCTTCTCGAACATTTTTTATACGTACGTTCAATTAATGGCCTTGGAGGTTAATAAAAAAAAGCGTAGGCGTTTTTTTACTCTGGAAAGTAATCCTCACTTGTCTAAGATGATGATAAAATAATTCAACTTACATTTAGACGTAATTCTAACAAGTAAACAATAAGACTATGCGGCAGAACCTAAGAATATACGATGTGCTGCATGTACCCTCCACTCTACGCATGCGCAATGCAGCTTAATAAGGACGTTCAAAGGTGAAAAATTTAACGTGAAACATTTTCGATTTAAAGAAGTTTATTCTATTTTGGATACCGATTTATATTGGAATAGCATTCGTTTTTAAAGAGATCGTATGGAGGGACAAAAACCTATTCAAATTACTGACAAACCTGATCCTAAAAATCCAATAGTATTTCTAGATATAAGTGTTGGAAATACGGTAACCATTAGTTTATTGAAAATATTGGGATTTTTTGCTTAACAAAGAGAGCGGAAAATATTTCCGGTGCTGAGCGATAATGCCTAGACAATACCGTTTTTATAAACTACAGATGTAAATTGGAATTTTTATCTAATAAAATTTTTCATATCAATAATACAGAACATTGGTAGAATAAAGTTTGAATTATTCGCTAACGTGGTTCCAAAAACAGCTGAAAATTTTAGGTAAACTATTACTATTACTTTTGTAGCTAATTGTAATGAAGTTTTAACAAATTGATGTTTGTTTAGACAACTATGTACAGGAGAATACAAAAGAGGTATGTTTAAAGTTACTTACAAAGATACATTTATCCGCACAATCGAGTGTTTTAGAGCTGAGGAAAATATCTTTTTTAATAAGTCAGCAATATACAGTAGCTAAAGTTTAATATTCCAATATTATACATTCATAATGTTGAAAAAAGGCTTCTGTTATTATTTGTTCAACTTAAACTTGTCTACCTTAGAAAAAAAAACTTTGTTTTGATTCAAATGTTGTTAAATCCTTTCGATTAATTGCAAAAACAGACGGAGTACCCCAGGGTTATAAAAATTGCCAGTTCCACAGAGTGATTAAGGATTTTATGGTTCAAGGTGGCGATTATATTAACGTAAGTGGCTGTCTAATACCTTATTTACCTTGAATAACCAAAAATTAATTGCAGCATGACGGAACCGGAGTTGCGAGTATTTATAGCGGGGCTTTTTCAGACGAAAATTTTATGCTAAAACATTCCGGCCCGGGGATACTTTCCATGGTGGGAATAGCTTGACTAAAAAGTATGACGAACAATGAATAATGACACCTTTTCTTTTAGGCAAACAGCGGTCCTGACACGAATGGATGCCAATTTTTCATAACTTGCACCCAATGTGAATTTTTAGACGGAAAACATGTTGTTTTTGGAAGAGTTATAGAAGGACTATTAGTACTTAGAAAAATAGAAAATGTCCCTACAGGACCGAACAATAAACCGAAAATTCCGATTATCATATCAGAATGCGGGGAAATGTAAAGACGACGAAAGAAAGCTTTATCTGATCATAAAATAAACGTTGCTCGTTCTCACAGGCTACTGGCTACTTGATGATGCTAGTATAAGACTCGTCAATTGCATGGTTTCATTGCTTTTTTGTTTACTTTCTTGTTCCTTTCACATATGACGTAGTTCAATATATTTGATAAAAATATCTAAAAAACTAGATATATATATATATATATATATATACTGTATATATACCTTATATCATGTTTGGAAATAAAGTTTGTATAAAGGTACAGGAAGTCTTGCTTTTGAAAATCATTTAGGCCATATTAAACGCTTCTTATAATTTGTATATACGCATGCCACGCACATATATATATATATATGTATATATATATATATATATGTATTTTTGTAAATATATAAATATATAATATATATATCTTATTATTTGCATAAATATATGCGTTTTTAAAAATATATATATATATTTACATATCTATATATACTGTATATATCTATATAAACACAGTAAAGAAAGGTATACATAGACAATAATAATATATGTACTTTAATAGGTATATACATATTGTACAGTTTTCAAGCGATTGACAGAAAACGACATTGAAATTCGTGCTATTCATTTATTTTTTTTCTTCTTTGTAGTCTAATAATTCGAGCAAGCGCATGTGCACTTTGTAGTAACGGGCCAAATAATTTTCACCCAATTGCAAACTTTTGTGGTTTCGCAATACCAATACAATAATTTGTACGAAACCGTCTTTCCGTCAGTACAATACATTCCAGTTGGAATAGAACATGACTTTTTCCTTGTACGTTCGCAAGTTGTCTGTTTAACCCACCTTGGCCAGTAGCGTTCGCCCAAATCTTCCCATCGTTCGTATAACTGGCAACGAGTAATCCTTGCCAGACTTTTCAACAATTTCCGTTTCTTCTTTCCGTTTAGACCTCGTATGTTCAGTACGGCTCTCCGTAATCTACTTCCGATTCTATGAGCTACTATCATACTTTTCTTCCACCTAACAGAAAACTTGGGTTGTATCGACATAAGTGCTGGCTCGTAGTATTCACCCAACTTCTTTCGAAGAGAAGGAATATGCAAATCGGAATCGGTAGGTGACGGATATTTGTCCAGCCTTTTCGGTTGGAGAAGGTCAGGTAGAGGGAGAATAGGTGTTCCAGATCGCACTACGAACGGCAAGAGGAGGAATATGAGGCAAAAGAAGACGGGAACAGCCATCATTCGAAAATATAATAAACAAGGTGGATAGAGCTGCAAAATCCGTGCAGTTCAAAGTTTTCCGAGACAGAGCGGCGCCCGCATTTCGCTAGCTGCATAAAAGAAGAAAGCCGCAATCTTAGCTCGATGAGTACTTAACACCTGTGAAAGAACACATTCAGCACCACACTGGCGCCAAGGCTCTTGTGTTCCAACTATTTACACGCGAGCGCCTGAAGGCGGCCAATTACAATTAAACGCTCATTAGCATTTTGACCGTTAGCTCCTCCTCTTTCGGCGTTTAGCAATTTCATTAATCCACACGAAACGTGAGAGGAAATTGGCCGCTTTTGACGTCTTCATACAAACAAACTGTTTGCACCTAAGCGCATGCAGCAGATATTTATCAAAGCACGCCCTTTTTTTCCTTCATAACTGTACATTGTTTTTGTTTTACTTGGCTTCGCTATCGTTTTTTTACCCGCACTCCCAGATGTGATAAACGTTATGAATAATAGCCAACAAGTTACGTAAGTTCAACGCGAAAGTCTCTTTTACAAGTAGCGTAGGATAGCCTTACGCAATTGGCGACCTGCCGCGTAAAAGACTGAAAAGAATTTTCATTAAATCCTTTCTGAACGAAACTAACAAATAGTTCAGGATATTAGAACGATACGAGTTTGTTGAAGTTTGCTCTTTTCGTATGCTATATTGAGATTTACTATATAAGAATCAATTCGCTGTAACGCCTACGCAAGACCTTCTTTATTTAGACAATAGATGAGTGTGACGCCGCGTATGACGCAGCGATACCTAACAGTTTGACTTTACAGGTTAAATTGACCTCTTAATTAATTACAGTGTCAAAGTCCTTTTCCTTTTTCTTACTGCACCTATATATAAAACATTTAATGTCACGTTGTTTAAGTTTTTGAAACACTTTCGACGCAACTTTTAGCTTTCTCCAATTCGTGAAGTAAATTGTAAAATTGCGATACATTCATTTCTAAAAAACACAAAAAAGAAACGTTTAAAGGTTATGCAATATATATTTATATATTTTGTATACTTAAGGTAGGTTATGTAATATTACTAACCTACTGGAACATGTTTAACTGCTCCATCATTTTCAATCGATAATTTCATCTAAAAGTTAAATAAAAGAAAGAGATATTAAACAAGAAATAAAGCTTTATCTTTTAAATAAGATTAAGGAAGAAAAGTTAAATAAATTAATTAATCTATTGGTTTAGATTTATAAATTTACCTGAAAAAATGCTGAACCAAATTTTTCACACTGACTTGAAGATGCCGTTACTGAAATATAGGCTGATATTTAGTATTATACAAACATTTAGTTCATATAAATATATATACTATATATATATATATATATGTATTTAAGCATAGATATACAGTATACTGTATTTATATATAATTCTTTTCCTTTTTCAATGTTTTAATAAGGTAGGAACTAGTTATAAGACGTACTTCCAAACTTCCAGTCAATATTTACTAATTTGTTCAGCATTAACGGCTCCTTAGCATTGTCCTCGCTCGCGTTCAACTGAACAAGCACACAAAAATATAGCATAACATTTTAACTAAACGGAAAAACGTGCAATTTACTTTTTTTAGGATTGTCTTAGCCTGGTCATCGTTCAAACCTGAAATTGTAAAATAAATAACGTTTTAAAACATTAAATGTTATTTCAACAATTGAAAACATCTTCTGAAGACAATTTGTAAGTAATTTGTTTAAACAAAACTAAACAATTAATTAGCGTATCGAACTCTTTTTCTTTGTGTACGTTTAATATTGAAATTCTATTAATTCTTTAATTACAATTTTAAAGATATACTAATGATGAGGGCTACAATCAAAGAACGCGGGGTATTTTTTTTAGCTCGTTGTCTGTAGGCCTACCTTGTTCAGTGAGGGAAGTAAGAATGGCAGTCTCTTCGTGGGTTTCTGTTTTGATAGCGATTAACTGTGTTACGAAAGTTCAGGGTTATAATGGAAAAGTTTACCTGACAGTATGGTAACTATATGCTTGGTACATAACTTTAGTTTTTTAAGTGGAACTCCAAACTCTGACGAGATGGAAGATACGGTTGCCGTCAAAGGCTCCGTCTAAAAAATTGCTGATATTATCATAATTTCTGGGACAACTTATTATCTCAATAAATACCTTTTGATTCTTTAAATAGGCTACAACAGCAGATATTAAAGAAGTATAGCCCTGCAAAAATTAAATTCAATATTTTATCGCTCTTTCTTTAACAAAATTGTAAATATATCGCTTGGTATTGGGATAAAAAAGTAATTGACGAAAATTTTTAATAACCTTCTCATCTAATTCATTTAAGTCAGTTAGGCTCATTCTTATTGATAAGAAAGATAGAGTTGTCAAAATATTAGAAAATTTTCCAGGAAACACAGCCCCCTCAGTTCCTACGGTGTCCTAAATTGGAACTCAATTTGGCACAGTCGATTTGTTTATAGAAACCGCGGTTTTGTATTATGATACGAAAATAATTGAAGTATATGATAAATCAAAGCAAGGATAGCAAATATTGTTAATGAATAAAGTAAAATAGTAAAATTTTCATTGATAGAACAATAATTAAAGCTGTTTGAAAATTGGATATATTTAAAAATAACTAATAGAAAATACGTCAGCGTATAGCTAGTAACATGTCGAATATTGTTGAAACGTTGTCAAGGTATAATGAAGTTTGTTCTTCTCAAAGCGAAAAACCTGATTCCCATATTATCAAAGTACTTAAAAAGGAAGAAGCTTTGTTAAAAAAGTATGTTTTATTGGTGTTCTGCAATAAATAAATAAATAAGAGCTTTTTATCCCCATCAGAAACCAGAAAGATGGTTTACTTCTGTATTTAGCGGGTAATAATCATCACTATACAGACCATCGATTAGGCGATAAGGTTTGTTCTTGCTTATAATGGAATCAGTATTCCACACTCTAAATTAATTCCTAAAAATCGTTGAATAGGATGCTCAAATCTTATATCTAACGCTGAGAAACAATCTTTTTATCACCGGGTTGGATCTACGTTATAATAATATTACAGATGAAGGAGCACAGGCTATAGGAGCTCTTGTTCAGGAGACGGTTACGCTCCAAGACCTAAATTTAATGTTCAATGATATAACTAAAATTGGAGCCATCATTATTGCCAGTTGCATGGAGGTAAAGAAAATCTATTTTGAGTGGCTAATATATGATAATTAATACTAAAAATACTTACAGAAAAATGATACGATCACTACATTGCGTTTAACTGGTAATAAAATTGGTAATACTGGCGGAATGGCCTTCGCTCAGATGCTCCAAGTTAATACCCGTTTAGCCTGCTTGGACTTAGGAGATACGGATTTAGAAATTCAAAGTCTAATAGCTTTCTCAACTGTCCTTCTGCAAAATTTTACTCTGAAGTCGCTTGTTGTGAATAGGCCTCTACTGTTTACCAAACAGGAAGAACATACTATACACTTTGCTAAAATGTTGAAGATAAATAAAACTTTGACCGAATTGCATATGGCAAAATTCGATATGCGAGATCACGGGGCTTTGTGGTTGTCGGAAAGCTTGCAAACTAATTACACAATTACGTACTTGAATTTGAGCTGGTAAGTATAAATATTAAAGTTCTATATACAATGTATAAAAATAGTATGGAAAATAACCAAAAAAAGAAACTGAATTTATAATTATCCAGCAATCGTATAAGTCAAGACGGCGTCAAACATTTGACAAACGTGCTGAGAAACAATACACACTTAAAGGTACTCGATTTGTCGTCAAACGAAATTAAGGATGCCGGAGCCGTCGCCTTATCTCAGACCTTGGCTGGTCTGAATACAAATTTGACAACGTAAGTTCTTTTTTCTATTAATAGACCTTTGCCCACTGAAAGAAGAAGAAGGGAAAGAATTACGGAGGGATATTCGAAAACCTCCCCCAATCTCTTTTTTTATGCTATAGTGTTTAACTCGTGTCTTTAATCTTTCAGTTTGGATGTGACCTACAATCAAATAAGCGGAGAAGGTCTTTGCGCTCTCGCCGATTGCTTACGGATCAATACAACTTTAGCGAACGTTTATATTTGGGGCAACAAACTGGAACAATCCGCTGCAATCGTTAGTTTCCTTCCTGTTTTTTATATCTTCTGCCTAAATATAGAAATTTTACGCCATTTTATCACTATCCATTAATGGCATTGAAGTAAAACTTGAGTAAACAATTATTCCTTCTTTTTTCCCTCTCTCCTTTTATAGGCCTTCTGTAGACTACTCGATAGTGGACGTTTAGAAAGTAAGAATGTCGATTTTGAACCGTACATCGTCGATGGAAAAACGATTTTATCGCGACTTAGCAATACAATAAGACCTTATTACTACTGGGGAGCTTCGTACGGAGAGAATCCTCAACCAGAGATAGCAGAACTACTTCAATGACTTGGCAACAGGTGTTTCATATGTTCTTTTCCGTCCATATAATATGCTACTTACCCATAAATTTTGTTTTATTAGTGAATAAACGAAATTTTTTGCCGACATATAAATCATTTATCACACTTTTAAGACTATTTTATAATATATCGTTTAATAAAATACAATTTATTTAAATAAAAGCCTATATTTATTTTAAATGTAGAATTTATTATATAACCTTTGTTTTTGTTCAATTTCTACCATTCTTATTTCTGAACTATATTCATAAACATTTTTTCTTTTACTTTGAACTTACAACGCCACCTAATGCATAACATTAGGAAACTTATATCTCCTTTAATGAGGACAGAATAGCATTTGGGAAACACGTGTAGTGCTAATTACTTAAACACTCAATGAAGATAAGGGTTAGCTCTTCCCTTAAATTTTCTTTATATTATAATTAAACTCTGCAAATCTTCTATTTTTAAACATCAAATAACGAGTTTTTTTATTGATTAAATCCAACGTTATAAGATCTTTGATAGTGAATTTTATCATAAAGAATTTCCTTACTAATCGAAATTTAGAAGGATCAATAGAAATTGTTACCTTTTTTTAAAACGTAATTGAATAGTTTATTCTTTTTTGCTTTCATTTAGCTTTTATGCGGTTTTTATATATGTTTTCTTTCTTAGTTTTTTATGTATTGTACTTTCTACCTTAAAAGAAAGCTATTTTTAACTAGATTCTTTTAACAATAGTTGTTCTATCTTTTCTCTTGTTCTCTTTTCTTATTCTGTGAATGATAACTGGGTAGGGGGCGCCTCGACATATCAAGAAAATTGAAATTTGTATGTTTTTCCAAATTGGTTTGAGTTTGCCGCGTTATTAAGTTAATGTTAATTATTGAAGATCCTAGGGAATTTTTATTGAGTAGTTACAAATAGGATTAGACCTGATGCAAATCTTAATCGTTTGACATATTGGATGGCTAATATACCTATATTGGAAAATTTAAATTATCATTTTAACATAGAGTCTAAAGATCGTAAGTTTACAGTAAATAATATCTGTTTAATAGATTGATTTATTTATAAATATAAATATTTGCAGATAGAAGACCACTGAAAGCTGAAATTAATAAACTTTTGCAGAATAATCAGGATAAATTAGTCCAATGTATTAGTCTCGAGGATATTATATCTGATCTTAAAGTGGACGATGTGATATCTGGGAGACAATATGAAAGACTATGCGATAGAGATTCGGGTTCAGAAGCGGAAAAAATTCGATCATTGTTAACTCACTTGCAAAAAAGATCAAACCTTCATTTCCTAAAATTTTGCAACGTGCTAGAAAGATTCGATCAGGGACACATTGTCGAAGAATTAAGTAATGAACTGCTACCTGAAATATAAAAATAATTGAAATCTATTTGTTACATCTAGAAATTTGGTTTCGAGGAGATGAAAATGTAATTGAAAACGAGCCAAGATTAGATGAGACCCCTAAAATTCAGCCAATACCTACTCCAATTCACCCCTCTCAAACAGGTTTTCTATATCGATTTTCGAAGTATTAAATAGGCTAAAATTAGCTGGATAATTCTTATAGATGGTGTTCCCCTACGTTTAAATCCTGAGCCTAGAACGGACTTTTTTGAAACTCCTCCCGGTGAGCCGCAATATCATAGTACCCCATCTAGTGCTGAACCAATGAAACGTTCACGAACACAACATAGAACTACTCCCTACCGAACTCCGCCCGCAACGAGATCACGCACGAAGCATGAATTGTCTTTTGAAGAGAACATTGAAAGCAAACGCCTACAATTACTGGATCAAATTACTGGTAAAAACACTACTTTACAGCTATTGGCTTTTGTTCCAACTGTTAAACCTTTCTGTTGTTTTTTGATATATAGAGTTAGCTCAAGTTGCTACAGATTTTATTCAAACTAAACCGGCAACACCTCACAACACGTCTCATCTCAGAGAGATCCGAGAACTTGTAGATACTCTATGCAAAAAGGAGCGTCATTTAGCAGACGCATATAGTGGCAGTCTAATTTTACTTTTGCATTGCTGCACTTTAAATGCAGTGGATGATTTGTGGCTTAAATGCAAAACGGGCAAGATAATTCTTCATTAGTGAGAGCTTTATATAAATTATTGATATTCCAAACTAGGTTACTGGTCTGAAAGATTAACGAGAATATTTTGTAAAACTGAACCAAGATGGAAGATTTCAGTGAGCATAGATGAAAGCAAATATATAGCCTATAGAAATAAACTAATAAGAGAAAATCACCATAAGTGCGGTAATACCATTAATCCAAAGAAAACAATAACAATATAGATACTTAATTAAAAACTAATCTTTCAGATTTTAAAAAGAGACGCCATATTCCTCTGACTCTTCTCAAAAATTTTCACAATTCAACGGTATGTGTTTTTCTGCTGATAGGAATACTGCTCATTTCATTTATTAATGTCATTTGTGTTCTTTATATAGCCAAATTATTATCAGAATACAACCGGAAAAGGCTTTATTAATAGGTAAGTCATTGGTAAATTTTTTAAAAAAGAAATATACTGTCTATGAAATTAGATCAGCCCATTATCAATAACCTTGTCTGACTTTATCTGATAATGAAAACGGTCGTATTATTTTAATAGAAAAAAAGAATATAACTTTTTTTTTCTTATTTTCACCTTCTTTATTCTCTATTTACTTATTTTATCTCATTTTCTATTCTATTTATAGTTTAATAAAAAGAAGGAAAAAAAATTCTCTAATTAATTGAATTTACTAATTAACAGCGAGGATAAAGATCGATCGAGCAGCGGCGTGTCTAGTTGGCTTTCTACAGAATCTTTTTTCGAATAATAAAAATCACTAGGTCTATATTTTATTCAATACTTAAAAGAATATATTATATGTATATATATATATATTTACATAAATATATGTATTTATAATATAATTCTATTGTTTTGTTGTATTTTTTTGTGCTTTAAATAATTGTTTTTTATTTTTTTACAAACAATAAAAAAGACAAGGAATAAAATGTTACAAACAAAAAGGTAAAATAAGCTTGTGTTTGTCCTTCAATAAAATAACTTTTTGCTTAAACAAGTGTAGAAATAAATAGAAAGAAATGTAAATGAATCATTCATGTTAAAGGTAAGAGTGATAGTATTTTGTTTCTCTCTCTTTTTTATTGTGCAAATGCCATCTTTTATTTTATATACAACTATGATTTAAATAGGCGTAGATTAATGTGGAAAAAGAATTTATTCTCTTTTCCTTTCTCTCTCTCTCTCTCTCTCTCTGTCCATTTCTGCTTTTCGGATAAGCTAAAAAAGCGGAGAGGCCTTTTTTCCCTCTCCCTTTGTTAAGTATAGGAAATCATAAATACAAAAAGAAATAAATGTATAGTTTGTAAAAGTTGAAAAAAAATTTTTTGTATTCTAATTGAAAAAGTTCTTGAAAGAAAAGGTTATTTTTTTAATAGTAATAGCTGTGTTTTTAATCGCTTAGAACAACTCGACCTTTACTCAGAACTCGTCCATACTTATGACTAAGTAGAATAGGCCATTGGTAAAAATCGACGTAGTATTCTCTATCCGGATTGTCGAGATCATTGATAGATATGTGTCCTTCAGGGTCGTAGCGTCTCTTAGAGGCATCAATATATCTATTATGTAAGAAATACTAGGCGTTATTGTCGAATGAATAGATCAATTATTTATAAGTTAATTTTACAATGGTGGATCGGATGTAACCATCTGCCATGTTAGGCGAACAGAGTTGTGTAACAAATCGGTAAACGATGAATGGTTCATTATTGGTGATATCATGCATTCTGGATGACTTTTGAGAAGTATATCTATGGTATCCTCGGCTAGAGTAGAAATTTGAATATTGTGAGCTGTTTCCTTGAGAAAACGGGCTGCTTCCTCTAAAACTTCGACAGGTGGATACTGTTTCATTTGGGAAGCCTTTGAGTCATTAAACTGTAGTAGTGAGGGAAGGGAAGGGGGACAGGGAGAAATTGGGAGAAAAATTTCTATTAATTTTGAATATATAATGTTTTAAATCTAAAATATCCCCACCCTAGAGTTTAAGATAGCAGTTGGATTGTGTAGAAGGTACTTCAAGTTCGTGTTAAACTTGTTGAAGGCTTTTTCCGACGTAAAATAAGATTCCTAAACAAAAAGATATTTACACTTCTTCATATCAAATTAGATAGTAACATTAATAGAAAAAATCTAAATAACCTCTATAACCGAGCATATAAATTGGCATTTGAGGTCGTAATCCAGATTGTGAGCCTCCCGCCGTAAAAGGGAAAAAACCTTATTGGAAAACTCTTGTAGTTGATCATATTTCGCTTTCAATTTCGTTAAATTATTATTATCTATATTCTTTTTCGGAGAATGATAACTCCTCATAGTTTCTAATCTGTTAACGAAAAAATTAAGAGATTGTTTTTATGTTTTAGATAAATCAATAGATTATTAAAAACGATTTAATTAATATATAAAACAAGATGGAAGAATAGGAAAAGAGTTTTGTAAAAATAAATTATGCTTACTTTTCGTTTAATATTTTATTTTCATCCTTTTCCCTATCTAATTCCATTTGCAATCTTTTAATCTTTTCGTGTAAGTTCATTTCAATTTTACCGGATGTAGAATGTCTGGCTACAGCAGCTGCCTGGGCTGCCATCGAAACTTTAAGACTCGGTGTCCTCTTTACATCTCTTACATCCGATTCAATTGGAGAAAAGGTCGGTTTAAAAATTTTTTTATCTCTTAATCTACGAAGAACTTCCTCCTTTTGAATATCCTCTTCAGAATCGTCATTGTGTAGTAGATCATCTTCTTGAATAGGTTCAAAGTTTTTGGGCAGACTATAACCATGTTTAACGATATCATCCTGTAATAAGGCAATGTCTTCTTTATAGTATTGAATATATCTTCGACGTTTTTCAGCTATTCTATCGAGATCTTCTATCTTTTGTTCCAAAGAATGTTTATCCCTCGATAACTTTTCAAAAGAATGATGTTGTTGGAAGAGACTTCAAAAAAAAAGAGAAAAAGTTATATTATTAGAAAAAAGGAGCGCGATAAGAAGAGTAGAAAATAGAGGAGAATACAACTGACAATTATTTATTATCACCAGGTCTGACTAATTGAGAAAAATACTTATTTTTAGAAATTAGATACAGGACACTTGTTAAAAAAAAAAGAACTCTTTGTTATTTGCTTATATATACTATATATATATATATATTCTGTACATATATTATGTCTAATATACTAACCGATTAAATATTTGTTGCATAGTTTTCACTAAACTCAAATCTAAAGCCGACGTATTGATATCCATAAGGCAATCGTACTCGGGCCATATGGCTAACACCTTTTGATAGCAGAGAATAAAATGATTTATATATTATATTTGTTCAAACAAATTGGATAGGATCGTTATTTCTTTCTTTCTTTTTCTTTCATATTTTGTTCTTGTTACTTGCATAATACAAAACAAAACTGACTAATCGTTTTGATAGTAAATGTGATAATGACAACAATTATTATTCGAGAAAGAAAAAGGAAAGGAGGGAGGGAGGACAAGAAAGAAAGAAACAAATAAACAATCGATGAAAATTCTTACTTTTTTTATACTTTGTTCATATAAATCTTCTATATCTTTTCTATTCATTCCATTATAATCAGGCGCTGGTTCTTCCTTTACGATAGGGTTTCTTCTTGAAGGATTACTCTATTTACATGTATATACACTTGTATAGATTTATATTTACGACATTTGTTAATAATTTAATAATTCTTAGCACTAAATAATATTGAAAAGAAAATACGGTACAACACCATTTCAGAGATAACATCCTCGTAGTGTGATCGCCTTCCTGTTAAGGAAGAATCAGGCCTGCGGAATACAACTTCTGATACTGCAGATTCGCTTAAAGGTCGTTCTTTCTTAATCCCTTTTTTATCTCTCTTTTTAACTGGTTCTTCTTGATCTCTGTTCTTCTTTGTCTTACTTGATTTATTTCCCATAACTTCTTAGAAAGTTATTTAATGTTGTCTTGAGATGTTTTCGGTATGAATTTCAGCTATATACTAACAATTGAATTCTTTTTGAGGTTTATTAGCAGGCAGTAGCTTACACAAGAGTCTTATCTTATCTTATCAATCAAGAACCGACTCATATCAATTCTCGTTGGCTTAAACTATTCTATGTTCTAGAAAAGTACTACCTTCCCTCTTATTCATAATTTCCTTTTTTCTCCTTTCATGAAAGTAGTCCCTCCGATGAATGAAACGAAAGAGAGACACTTTCTTTCAGTCAATTTTCTACTGACTGAGCACGTTAATTGCTTCTGTTTATTTGTTTTTAATAGATTATTTAATGATGATTTTTGATTATTGCGTAACAAATTCACCGATATTTAAACAACTATTTATTTTCTATACGCATTTAACTAATCAAAACAGCTAAGTTTCCCGCGCCACATCTGTTTCTATGGTTACTATGAAATTGATCTTCATATATAGTGTACCGAGTCAATAAAAACGCACGACGTCTTCGTATTAGCAACCATAAATTCATCTACAGCGCGTTGAAATAAATATGCTTGTTGCCGAAGATATTAATATAAACGAAGCTGGTAAGAGAATGAAGATAGTGTTATTTTTTACTCGGTTTCTTTAAAGAGGATATTAGAAGGAACTTATATATAAACGCCATTCTTACTATTTTATATATATATATATATAGTATATACTGTATATACGTATAAAAGTATTAGTATATTGTATAAGTAGACTATATATAGATACTAATACTTCGTTTTACAGCATTTTTTGGTGATATTGAAGAATTAACATCAGCCCTTGAGAATGGTCAGGTAATCTTTCAAATCCTACATTTCCTTTATCATTTCATTCAAATAAAATAAAATACAAATTAAAAAAAGGCAATTTTTATGCTCATATTTGTTTTCATAATGTTTTTTTTCTTCTTCTCTCTTTCTTCTCTCTTCTTTCATTCTCACTAACAAAAAAAATTTCTCTTCTAATTTGTTAATGTTATTTTATATTTAAAACAAACAAAACAAAAGGATCCTTTGGAATTAGACGACAACGGAAGCAATGCAGTACATAAGGCAGCTGCAAATGGTCGAATAGCAGTTCTGGAGGTATGTTATACATATTATACTGTATATAGTGAGATTTTTAAATAGTTTGTATTTAACAAATTGTTTCTTGATTAAATAGATATTATTAAAAGATAAATCTGGTATAAACAGAGCGGACGTTACTGGCTGCACAGCAGTTCATCTGGCAGCCAAAAATGGACACCTGGGTAACATTATTCATTAAATAACTAATTAAATATTAACCCTTGTTAATTTTTTTATTATTTTTATTATGTTATACTCTGCTTTCTGTTTAAATAATTACGGTTTTAATAACTTTTATAGGCCCATAAAGATCAAAAATCGTTACATTTCCTCTTTATTTTAGCTACAGTAAAGTGGCTGGTAAACAATGGTGGAGATATCAAGGCGACAACTAAAAAGGGTAGGATTGCACTAGATTTTGCCAAATCAACTGGAGATTATGATCTAATTAGTTTTCTAAGAAATTGCGGTTAGTTAGCTTATTTTATCTTTAATGTTAATTGATTTTGCTTTTTTTTTTAAAAGAAAAGGTTTATTTTAGTGAATTTTATTAATGATTCAATTTTCCCCCTCCATATAGAGAACATCAAGACAAACTGGCAAGCATGTAAATAACTATTCATCAAATACACCTGCAGTGTATATACAGTATATAAATCCTAAATAAACTAATGGATTTGTTGTTTTATCTTTATTTTTTAATAGAAAAATAACGATACAACGAAGAACGTGTCATTGTTGTCGTAACTTTCATTAAAAACTATGTGAATCATTTTGTATATAGGTTGTATGCAGATATATTATATTGCAAAAGTTACAGTTTAATAAACAGCTAATAAAAATAAATCAGTGAAATTGGGAAATCGAAGTAGAGAGGATGAAAGGGTTATATACAGTATATATATATATATATATATATATATAGAGAGAGAGAGAGAGAGAGAAACGGAGAGACAGAGAATGACTCAGTAAGATAAAGATACTTTATCCAGTATATATATACATATATTTATATATAATATAAATACGGTAAATATTCAAGGGTAAACTGATGACCTTTCCCGCAAATGTCATAAATTCAATATGTATATCATTTGTACTATTTCAATATAACCGATATGATTGAATAAGAGAACAGAGAGAAGGAGAGAGAGAGAGAGAGAGAGAAAGAGAGAAAGAAAAAATGAAAAAGTATTATAGAATATTGATAAATAACAAAAGTTTTATTAAATCTGATCGAACTTTGAACGAGTATTGATAAAATTGATGTACAAGCTGAAATATAATTTTTTTTATAAATATTAACAAAGGAAAGGAATAGAAAAAAACAAAGAATATCATATTTTTCCTTAAATTAAAACAAATACAATAAAAAATAAGTTAACTATGCAATTAAATATTTTTAATAATTTGTTCATTTTTAGTTGCTTCATTTGTTTAACTGAGATGAAAGAATGGTATAGAACACCTTATAAAAATGATAACGATTTTAATATTAAATCAAAATACAATGAGTATAAACAACTAGTTTGCAATGATTCAAGAGTTAGTGGTATAGCTGAATCGACTAGTTTTGAATATTGGATATTACCGGATCTGACTATATTAGAGGATGGCGATAGTGTTTTATTTCCAACTCTTGATGGAATTGCTTATTGGAATGTAACAAATAACGGTTTTATTTTAAATATTGGCTTAGTTCAGGAAAGGCACTTTGGATTTTACCACTGCGTTGTTAAAGTTGGAAATGACGGTAAAAAGATAATTGTGAAAAAAGCTCTCAACTATCATGGAGCTTACTTTGGTAATTTATGGTCGACTTATAAAAAAAATACCATGATTGGAGGTATTGCGGGTGGTAGTATGGCACTAATCTTAATAGTATGTTCTATAATTTACACTCTAAAGTTTGAGGACAAGGACAATGAAATTCAGCCAGACAACGATACTGGATCCATAAAAGAAGAAACTAATAATGCTTCATACACTAATGAAGGTTATGAAGTGACTGTAATGTAAACACGATAAGAAACGATCCTAAAAGATTATATCTTTCTGCATCATTATTAAATTATCTCTTCCTCTTTTTCAATGACTAAATACAATATTTAATAAAAACGAACAAATTCTATCCATGTTTCTTTATTCTTTGTTTTCATATTTTGGTTGAAAAGTCATAAAAGCTTATCAATTATGACAAGATTCTTTACAAAAAAAAGAAACAACCAACATTTAATAATAAGCTACAAGGTATATAGGGAAATAGTAAGGACAAAGATGAGATTAGGGTGAATAGAGACGAGATAGGTAATGGACGAATTAAAGGAGAAGAATAATAATAAAAAGAAAAATGAATAGTAGAAAGAAAAAGAGAAAAAAAACTCTTTATTATTAATATGATCCTTTTTTTTTTTAAAAAAAAGAGAAAAATTATAGATAAAGACTAATAAATCAATCCTTTCTCTTGCCTATTCAATTTCCTTATTATCATAATTAATGTAAAATAAAGAATAGGAAGAGAAGTAATTGGCAAAGAAAAACATGCAGTAAAAAAAAAGAAGAAAAGAAAAAAAAATATTAAAATAAACGCCAATCAATCCGTTAAAACTCCCAGTCATGCCGTACGAATTGAGTACACATACTGCAGGTATGAAGAATATATATTACAATGGCTGTTCGGAAGGTACCGTTATTGGTATATCGTTTAAACTTTTCGTTTGTCTTAGCTGCTTAGAGCATCCTTTACAAACTGGAACTAAAGTTTGAGTTGCGTGACCGGGTAAGCTAATATTTCTTGTAACGCAACGATTGCAAAACAATCCTCCACAACGCCAACAATGATTCTATAGCAATGATAAAATAAATATTAAATAAACTATATATAATAATATACTGTATGTGTATACTAACTTTTTTACTACCATGCTGAAATGGTATTGAGCAACTATTACAATTCGTATTCCGTAATGATTTCCAGTCGACCGCAACGGAACGCAATTCTTGTATTAAATTTCCTACCTGAATAGACAAAAAGGAAAATAAATTCAAGAGTAGAAAATGATTGGACGAGAGAGAGAGATTGATAGATAAATAGTATATATTACTTGCAAACAATCGAATGAAGATGAGCGACTAATTGAAGAATCCTCAAATCCAGATTCGTTATCGCCAGGACTAGTTACAGATGATGATGTAGGACTAGTGATGGTATCGTCTAATATCTATATGTTGAAAAAAAAGGAAAGAGTAATAATTGAGTTTATACGTATAATTATATAGTCGTGTTGCACAGCGGTTAATTCTATATAATATGACCTGCAATGTACTGAAATCCATTGATTCTGACGAAGAAATCATAGATATGGAAGCCTTGACTGTTTCCTCTTCTTTATTTAATAAGCGACAAAGTGTTCCAATACGATTTTCTAAAAGATTGGCGTGCTCCTAGGGGAAAGTTTAAGTATATAAATACTTGATTATATGCTCATTTATGAGTGTTAAAGATAACAAACTTTTAAAGATATAATATGATCTTTCAGGGTGCTAACAGTATCCGATACGCTTTCTCTCGGTTGTGCTCCAAAATCATATCGAAGATAAAGTTCCTTCCAAAATCTATACATATTATATATTATTTACATTAGTAAATTACTTATAAAAAGAGAAAAAGAAGAAAGTAACGAATACGGAGAAGAGGTATTAATCGGAATGGGATAAGAGGCTAAATTGTGTCTATTTATTATCAATCTTACTTTATTACAGATGGAGAAGTATCTGGCTTAAGAGCACGTAATTCCAGACACGTTTCATGTTCTTTCTCGTAAAACGGATTTATGAAATCGTTAAATTTGCTACGAATCTCGCTCCATAGCGAATAAGTCTTCTCTCTGAGTCTTAAATCAATCCGATCTTTCTCACAATTCCCTATAAATGTTCCAAATTGACAGGAATATGCATGATCATGTAACTCGAATAAAAGACGTTCGTTAAACTGTTGAAAGAGAAAGACAATAAGAGAATTAATGAATATAAAGCAACTAAATAGAATAACTAGCTAATTAAGTGAATCTTATTTAAAATAATAATAAATTTATACTAATATTAAATAAAGTAAATTTATACTTGAAAGGCATAAGGAAATTGATTGAGTAATTGCCAAGTACAATCTAAAAATTGTGAGAAGACTGGCGAAACCTCATTTGAATCATTCGAGAATAAATGGCCGCAACGGTCTGCAAATTTATGGCCAAATGATATCCATTCTTTGTAGATTAAGGCCTATAGGTAGAGAAGGAAAATGGGAGAAGGGTTAAAGGTTCTTTTTTGTAAAAAGATATTTATAGATTAAATAAGCCAGAGCGTATTCATTCTTACTTGGAAACCTTCTATAGTCCTATAATAAGGATCTAAAATAAGACTGGCCAATGCGCAGGTTTGAGCTGTTCTATCCCAGCCATCTGAGCAGTGAACTAGAACGCTTGTTCCAGATTTTATAGCGTCGGCAACAAATTTCGAAGCGTCAAGGACATCTTTCACGTGCTTAAGCCAGCCGCTTTCCTTTAGTGCTTTCAACCAACCACTCATAGATAGGTTCTTCTCACAAGCTATAAATATGTATGAAACAGAATATGTAGATATATTAAGTAAACTATTAATAATAGATCATATACCTTCTCTAAGAGAATTTAAAGAATTTCTCATTACATGAATATTTTCAATACCCGCAAAATGAAATTTGATATTCTGATAATTGCTTTCGTTTTCGTATCCTTTTCCCTTGGCGCGGTTAGCAAGAGCGTTAATCTAAGAGAATAAATTAAAGATCAATGATTGTATTCTTTACAAGGAAAATAAAAAAAAGAGAAATTTGATAAGGAATTTTTCACTTGTACTTTTATATAAATATGAAAAATATAATAGATAAAAAGAGGGAAAGTACACTTACCATCGGCCTATTATCCACAACGTACATGCAATTCGAATTAGGATTTGCTGTAATAATACACTGTAGGAAATCTTCGTCTTCATTGCATCTAGCCGTTAAGCCCGAAAGTGGTTGAGCACACCTACAAATAGCGGCTAACGATTGGCTTTGATCGACATGTAGATAGGATAAAACTGGCAAGCGTCCTCGACTTCTAAACTTGGACGTTCCTTTTATAAGCGTTTTAGAAACGCCTGATGGCATGTACAAGAATCTTGGATATGTATCGCACAGTTCGTAGTCATTAGTTTGCTATTTATAGTATGGATATGAGGTAAAAGTAGTTGCGGAGTCGGTAAGGAAGTGATGGAAGAGACAAAGAAAAAGAAAAATTGAAAAATTTCCCATATAATTTACTTTGGTTTACGCTTACATCGTATTCGATCCAGTTCTTATTCGGTACTCCCATTCGCAAATATTCGCTCCGTAAATCGATCGCGTCCCATCCAATCGTTTTCGATTCGTTTGCCAAATCATTAGATGGTGTATAGTGGAAGGCAAACAACTGAGAATATTCGGCTGTTGTTATTTTTGTTGTGGTTGTTGTCGAATATTTGTTTTGTTGAGGGAATAAACAAAGATTAGATAAATAAAAACCTATTAAAAGATTTAATGATTTTATATTGAGGAAAAGAGATAGAGATAGAGAGAGAGAGAGAGAGAGAGAATGGGAGACAGTATGTATGTATGCCATATATATATTTAGGCAAGTAATGGAATGTAGACGAGATAGGGAGATAGATAGATTGAGACAGGGGTAGGAAGGCATAGTATAAAATTTTTTTCCAGACCATCAAACGCCACTACGTGTACAAATTACAAAACTGGTAAAGGGAAAGGGAATTTTATTTCCATATTTTCTTTTTATTAACGACCGAGACAGCTGACTTCGAAACAAATTAGGAAAGAAGGCGCCCTCTCAGAATGTATTCCCAAAGCAGGAAAGAAAATAACGACAACCTTCTTCTTAACTTAACACGCACCAAGTACCTCTAACACTTTCTTACATTTCCGCTTTAGAGAACAATTTTACCCTCTTTTCTCTTAAGATAGAGAAGTTATAGAGTAAATTAATTAAACAGGTTTAATGCACTAGTAAGCGTATTTTGGGTCGAATAGTTGTTATTTCCTACTATTTTTCTCCCTTTCTTCGATATCTTTCTTTCAATTCCCCACCCTATTTCTATCTCGATCTCTATCTACATTTATATGTTTCCATTTCTATCTCAATTTCTTCACAATTTTTTCTCTGATTCTTACTTACCGGGTTTAGAAAGTTTAAGGAGAGAAGTGTAAATATCGTGGCAATCTCTTTCTTTCGGAATGATGAATGTGACGACTTGAAAGGTTTTGCAACGGATAACCAATGGGCATCCAGTAGTGCTCAGTGACTGTTTACTAACGCTCGAAACGTGCATATGCAAAATCTGTCAAAAAATATCATCATTAATTATTTATTTGCTTATTTAAGTATATTTATATTTCTTCATCTCAAAAGCATATATTAAACAAAAATACCTTAAAAACGTCTATTTAATTGCAAAGACTAAGAGGTACTAAAGTTTTAATTAATAGGCATCTGATGCCGTTTTATCTCCTTAAAATAAAATAAAGTGAACTATATAGCACAGAAAAATATTTACAATGTATATGAGTTTAAGTATATATATATGTATATATATACATCTATAGGTACAAAGTAGACGTTACTGCCCACTCGTTAGATGATAAAAAAGAAATACAAGGGAAGGTATATATAAAGGAATTCTACTAATAATTAAAAATAGAACAAAGATATAACTAAATGTAAAGAAAGAAAATATTATTTTCCTTTTTCTTTCTCTACTTACCCATGTTTCCTTCTTTCCTGTGCAGTCAACAAAAATTAAGTGCGTTGCTGTTAGATAAAGAGTTCCAACTGGAGAGTTTTGCAGATTTTTGTTCTTAACACCGTCAATAAGTTTGACATTATCAACCTAGAAAATATGAAAAATAATAACATAGGAAAATGATTTAATAATTTATAAAGAGTGATAAACAAAATAACTTATTTAAAAGAAAAACGAATAGAATGGCGTTTATTATGCTTATTACTATATATTGTGTGGTAATATAAATATAGAGAATATATATATATAGGATGTGCATTAATATCACTGTCTCTCTCTGTCTCCTCCCATTTATGATTCTTTCTCTATACGGTTAATGTTAAATCGATATAAGGGGTTTATCTATCCAACGCTTATCAATATTACATTATACATCAACCCTTTATAAACACACTTATTAATGTTTATTTTATTTTTTTCTCTTAATATATTAATAGGAAACAAACCAAAATTGGTAATTCTAAATGCCACTTGGTAGCAAGATCTAAAGATTTTTCATCATTTTCTGACATTTTTAATAATAAACGTTAAAAAAAATCGAAGAAATTATAGATGATATAGCGATCTTTGTAAGAAATAGGCTATTACTCCAATTGAGGAATGAAACAGTTAATATTATTGTTTTAACTATTAATGCTATTGGAAGTAATTTTCGTACAGTTCCTCTTAAGTAAAACACTCACTATATTCTATATATATATATATATATATATATATATATATATATATATATATATATATATATATATATATTTTATTTCGAAAGAATAATCAATTAATTTGGCCTCTTTTCAGCGTATGTAGATAGTCTATTGAGAAAATTTTATCAAGTATTGAAGAGTTTTCAGGCCTACTTTTTATTCGGCCTTAGAAAATCATGCGTTGAAAAGAGTTAGAGAAAAAAGTTTTTTTCACTACTTAGATGACATCTTCCGAATAGCAGTCTGATTAGATTCTTTACTATATAAATAAAAAGTTGTTTTTTCCTAATTTTTTCATTTATTCTCTCATTCTCTATCTCTTTCTGTCTTTTTCTCACTCTCTCTCTCTCACTCTCTATCTTTTATTATCAATCTTAAACCTAAATTTTAATATAGTATACATATATTAGTAGTTTTTTCTTTATTTAAACTAGCTAAAACCTTCAAAGTTCCATCTTCAAATATCCAAATTTCTTGAAGAGGCATGATATCCTGAATTGTACCATTTTTGATAGCATTTATTGCTCTCTGAACGTGTGCGTTATTCATAAGTGCTCTCACTGCAAATTTTGCATCGCTACTCATCGCCCAGCAAGACTTAAAAAGCCGCTTGGCTCTGCAATCGAGACTGCAACGGCATCTTACTGCCATCTATTGTGTTGTGATTTTTCAGACATAGAATTAATTAGGGGGCGTGCTTTAATGTAATCATCAGCAGATTTGTGATTAACTTGGTCATTAATACGTTCTAATATCTTTGTCAATGGCTGGCGTATTGCTTTTATTTTAAAAAAGTGATAAATCTGCTGACATTTATCTCCTCCCTAGATTTTACAATATAATTTGCAAATAGATTTTGTCCTAAATAATGTTTCGACTAACCTTTGGTGTTTTTATAAACTCCATTTCGTTCACTGAAGGTACGAGTTGAGCTACAAAGTATTTAATGTTTAAAGCCAGTTTAGCTCATCTTTTTTAAATTCATCACGAGTAGTAAATGTTTACTTCCGGTATGTTCGTTTACGTATAGAATAATTGGAATATGGCTAAAGATGTATAGTGACATCTATTGTTTATATTCGATATGACAACAACGAGATAGCTCTGAAAGCTAGTTTTTTGTTTCACAAATGATTTCGGAACGAACGAGCACATAGATATTCATTTTCGACATGACATAATTAGCTATAAATATGATATTTAAATAAATAATTTACAATTGTATCTGACCATTGTGATAGAGAAGAGAATGGAAGAGAGAAAAAATAAACAATGAGATAAAACCCATTAGAGGTTGATTAACAATATTAAAAAAAGAATAAACAAGAAAAACCTTCAGTTCGTTTTCAGAATTATTATTTTCAGTTTTTTTTGTCAGTGTCACTTAAACTTAGCGATTTAAGTTTATCTTCAATCTTTGTTTTGGAAGATCGAGTTGGATAAGGTTCTATTTGAAAGTGTACACGCTGTCTTCTCATTTTTCTGCCCGTAACAATTGACTCTTCTTTTTTAATTAGTAAACATATTTTGGATTCGCTTCGTTCCACTTTCTTTATATAATCGCGTTTATCTTTAACGGATGTTGAAAGCATACCAAGTTCATCCAAAGCCTTATTTAAATGAAGATCATCGTCGTCTTGTTTTTTCATATTATCAACACAACAATAACAGCTTGCATTGTCGGATGTAGTCATTGTTGAATATCTGAAAATATAGAGCATACAATTTCACTTCTTTATAAAGTCTAATTCATCATTATCATATATAGGTTGGATAGCTTTGGAAAATGATACATTTAATTTATCAATATTATCGAAGTAGTGTAATGATGTATCGTTGAAAACGTTATCGATGATTATATTGTTAGGAATCGAAATTTCTTTAACAAATTTCTGTGACAATAGTACGTATCCAGCATATTTTTCCATATCTTGAAACGTGTGTCGAACAATCATATTTTCGAATGAATTCCCGAATATTTGCACATTCCCAAGTAGTTTTCTCGACCAATTCGAGTAAAGTATGTTGTTTACGAGAGGTTTCGAGCAATGGGGCATGAAGAAGAGTGTTTTTCCAGTCGTCTCCTTCATACCTTCTGTATTTTCTTCGTCAACAAGAATATTAAACTCTGATAACACTATCTTATCAGCTTCGGTAAAAATGGGATCATAGGCTAGAACTGGACAGTTAAAAAATAACTTTAATTGAACGAGTAGAGCCAGTTGAGATCTAGCTTGTTTATTATTTGTTATTGATCCTAATCCTAAACATTCTATTTTTTCTATCATTTCAACGTCATTTTTCTCGTATTTCGATTTGATAAAGTGTAATAATTCGCTTTGTTCCATTTCAATAAGACAATGAGTAAAATTTTCGAGAAATTTCTTTATTTCCAATTCGTCTAGTTCTTGAGCTGAAATATCTGCTGGGATTGGCTTATATTTTCTTTTATGCTTTCGGCCTTTCTTTACAAGTGTAAATCCATCCTTTTCCATAACACTACTCATTTCTTAAGGCGGTTAAAGATTTCGCGGAAATGAACTGAAATTTTCCAACTATGTGCCCCTAAGAACTTTTATAAATAGTAAATTCCAGAAGAATTTGGTTGGTGAAAGTACATTGATTAAATACTTACAAATCTTAAGCTTTTCTTCTTAGTTTACATCTGCTTTTGTAAATTGTATGTAAACGATTCAGATTTTTCAATTATTTCATTAAATCAACAATTGATATGTTGTATACTAATGAAAATGATCTCTACGTAGATATGATGTATGTTGTCCAACTACTCCATTTTGTTTTTTATTCGTAAAGAAAACTGGTAAAATTTATATTTTACTCCTTTGCCACTAATTTAAATGAATAAAAAATATTTTAGCAATATCAACAAACTACTCAGTCTATAAATTAATAAACAATTAGGCGTATATTCTGCTAGAAAAAATGGATTATTAGCAATATTAATAAACAACAATAGCGAATCTAATGAAAATCCTTTTAAAAGTATTAAATATATTAGATAAGGTTTTTAAAGCTGAAGAAAATTTTGTTTATGCTTTATGTCAGGGAGGAGATAGAATATACAGTATATATACGAATAAAAGAATACTATATATGTATAATATTTTTCACAAAAGTTAGTTTAACGTGATTAAGGATAAGAAATCAAAAAGATTTTAGATATTCTATATCTCTCTTCCCTTCATCCTTCCTTCCACCTGTTCCTATCCTGATGATTGTAGCATTAAGAAAAAAAATAGCACAAACTGTGTGACTTAGAGTAGTAACACAACAACGCTGTTACAGGATAAAAAAAAAAGAGGAATTTATTTTTTTTCTCTTTTTGTTTTGACTAATTTTTAGCTAGGCGTCTAGTTTTAGGCTACGCCGATGTAAATTAGTTTGTTTTACCATCACTCCGGCATATTTAAGTATCGTTGTATTTATTCAAGACTAAATTAGGAGAAAAATCAATTTATGATTCATTAGCAGAAAGTATACTCCTCTGGTACCTTAGTTTGATGAATATGACGCTAATTAGACTCTTTAGCAGTAAAATTGCATTTAAAATTTACTTATATATATATATATAAATTTATACTGTATATATACAAAGAGTAAAAATATTTCTAAACAGTATACTGTATATATTCAGAGTTTATCATTAAGTTAATGTTTAAGTTATGAGCTAAATATTAATTTTTAAAAAATAGGCTTAAATAATCTATGCCATTTCTTACATAGTCTTTTTATTAAGCTCAATGCGCCAAAATTTGTACAGATAAACTTAAAACTGTTTATGCATAATTCATGTTGGAGAAGGAGGAGAACGCCACCTGGAGAAAGCGATAGTTTTCTTACTCGATTTTCCATAGTGGAGTAGTAGTACTAGTGACGTTGAAATATGTGAATGGAATAAGGCGAAAGAAGATTACTAGCAGAAAATACAAAACGAAAAGAGAGGGGGAAGGAGGAGAAAGAAAATTTTGAAGGAGTAAAACTGTAAAAAAAAGAAGAAAATAAGCTGAGGGATAAATGGATAAGATGAAGATTGTATTTGCTGTTCCTTTTATTACATATTTGACTATTTGGTCGTCGGCAGAAGAGCGTTTCGATGGGTAGGTATACAATCTTATAATAATTATTATATCTGATATTTAGCTATAACAGCCGGAGGTAAATAGCGAACTTCTCTCTTCTTTCCAATACTCTCATGTCCTTTTACGAACACACCGAAAACTAATTAGAAACTCTTTTAATACTCTTAGTCATACCATTATCGAAAGTTGATATCATACCTAATAAATCGATTGAATATAGACAAAATTAAGGGTTATTATGACTGTTCATAATTGTTCAAAAAATGTAAGTTAATACGTACTATCGCGATGTTTTTTTCTGTAATAATCATAGAGAGAATAGTAGTGTAAATTTGAAAGAGAAAGAGAACATGTAAATCGATAAACTTTATCCAATAGAAAGATATTTAAATCTTTGGGTTCTTTTAGTTTAATTAGCAATTCTGATATATTCAATTTAAGTTACTTTCTTTCCCTTTTGATTTTTTATAATGGTAGATGATGAAAGATAATCTTTAAAATATATAAGGGAAATTTATTATAAATATTCAAGTTGAACGATAGAGGGGAAAAGTCATATGTTTATACAAAATTTAAGTAAATTTCAGTAAAAAAAAAAAAGAAAGAGTCATTGCAAAACCTTCAGGGAAAAGCCTTTCATGACGTAATATTGTAATAGCATTTTCTTTTTTTACTTAGTAACATACAAAGAAAGGCTAGATATTTTAGTATTTGACGTTTTGATATTTTGCTGTGTTTATAAGTTAATAAAATAATCTTTTAATTGATTAAATTCACTCTTTAGGGGATTTCATAGATTGAAGATTAAAGATTATTTTTTCGGTCCTCTTTCTCTCTCCCTCAAATATATTTTCAGTTAATAATCTTAGTCCGAATAGAAAAGAACTACATGATAAATAACGTTCTTAAAATATATATTAAGAAACTGTTATACGTAGTCGAATCTCTTTTATTTCTAATAAAGTAAGACCTAAGAAACACTTAATAGAAAAGGCAATAAAATAGGCTTCCAGTCAATAAATAAAGCGCTACTTAAGACCTTACTTTAACCTATATTAAATAATAAAATTTTTCCAACAGTCATCAAATATTAACTGTTCGACCCACTTCCGATAATCACTTAAGATACTTATACCAGTTGGAGAATGTTGATTTTTGGAATCATATTGGACAAACTTCGCAGGGAGTTAATCTCCGTTTGAAACCTGAAATGGGAGAAATTGTACGATACGAATTGAATAGGTTGGGTATTCCATACTCAATCGATAAGGACGACGCTCAGGTCAAATTAGACGCTTTTTGGAATGCACATAAAGCTACTTCTAAGAATAAATTCCTTGATCAGAATTATAATTTTGAAAGATATTTGGAATATTCCGAGGTCAATCTTCATTCTTTTTATTATTACAATTCTTGTGGATTAATACATTAACTTATTAGAGTAAAGAATTTATTAACTATTAATATAATCTAATCTCCATTTAGATAGAAGAATGGATGGTAAGAACAGCAAGAAAATGTACGAAAAACTTAGTCTGTAATCTGGAAAGTATCGGTAAATCTTTCGAAGGAAGAGATATTTGGGTATTTAAGGTTAAACGAAAAAACTTCAATTTAAACTAATGATATGTATATACTATATATAACATTATATAAAGAAAGAGGCGAGAGAACAGCCTATTTAATCACTATTTAAAATTAGATAAGGGAAGACAGTTTAAGTCAAAAAGAGAAAAAGAAAATCTGGATTGATGCTGGCATTCATGCCAGGGAATGGATATCACCCGCAGTCGCTTTATTCTCTATAGAATCGCTAATAGATGGTTTCTTAAATGGAAATAAGAATATTCGACGCATATTAAGCAGCTACGATATTTTCATTTTATCGATTGTTAATCCGGATGGCTACGTATACACATTTACAACTGTAAATTACTATTTAGTTTCAATTAAAAATGAAATAAATTAATTTCAATATCTTGTTCAAGAATCGTTTATGGAGAAAATCAAGATCAAAAGTTAGAGGTAACTCCTGCATCGGAGCCGATATTAATAGAAACTTCAATTATAGTTGGGGAAGTACGTCATCAGATAGATGTTTTTCTTTTAAATGTTTTATATTAAACTATATGTTTTCATTAGCTATTGGATCAAGCTCAGATCCATGCTCTGATACTTATAGTGGATCAAAGCCTCATTCAGAAATTGAAACAAGGAACGAAGTTAATTATATAATGAAGAATGGTGGTGGTAATTCTTTTCAAGTGTTCATAACTTTACACTCGTACGGTCAGTTATGGATGAGTCCATGGGGTTATTCATACAATTTCCCAGATAATTATGACGAACTGGTAAGTTTTAATTTCGCCTTTATCTTATTTTTTGTAATAGTGATTGCTGATCAATAACTTGCACATTTTAGTTGAAAGCTTCAAAAGTAGCTACATCAGCAATTTCAAGATTGTATGGAACGCATTATACTTATGGATCATCTTCCCATGTCTTATGTAAGTATTGCGGAGTTTTTTCCCTTTCATTCCGTTTTTATATTTCTCACAAAAGAGGTTAATTCATTAGCATAAAAAAGCGTTTAATCATAGAAAATTCACCGAAAAGATATTTATATCTTTTGTTCCAGGCTAGAATTTTTACAAAAGTGCTTAAACTTTCCACTTTTTGATATCAGTTAATAGTCCAAGTTGAAAAGAATCGTCTATTATTACATAAAAAGAAATTATAGTTGTAGAGTGCTGTACTTCAGAATGTTATTTGAGTCGGAAGATATGGTGAAGGCGTCTTGTATATATTATAAAAGTTGAATAAGCATAAAATAACATGCATAGCCTAAATATAGATATTTATATGAACTATATTAAATTTGAATATAAAATACAAGGAGTTAAGACAAGTATCAATCATTTATCCCATTCAGACAACCCATTAAACTTTTAGTTTTTCCATTGTCAATCGCTTATTTAAAAATAGATCGATCGTCTGGAACGTCGCGTGATTGGGCCAAAGGTGTACCGAAAATCAGATACGTATATACAGTCGAACTCCGAGATAAGGGAAAGTACGGCTTTCTCCTCCCGCCCGAACAAATTCAACAAACTGGAAAAGAAACGTGGACAGGCTTGGAGGCAATGTTCCTGCACATTCTTGAAAAGAATAAATAATCATAATTATCTCATTACAAAGATAATAAATTAGATTTTACGTTGTAAAAAACCTATTCATTAGCGTTAATATCTAATATTTATTACTGATCTTATTTTCTTTTATTCTCTTCCTCCGCCCCACACCCCCTCCCCTTTCTTTCTCTCTCTCTCTCTCTCTCTCTTTCTTTCTCCCTTTCTTCCATTGTTTTTCGTCCCATAATAAGTAAAAAAGAGATGCTTGAAAGATGAAATATAATATACTTAGTATATTTTGAATGAATTGTTAAAATACATGAACTATTCAATAATATAATTGAGAAATTCATTAATTTATTTTATTTGAACACTCATTAGAAGTGAATGATTTATGATGTCATATACCTTTAAAACTATATAAATATATCGAATATATACTTCTGTACATTAAGTTTTATGACATTTAAACTAATGAAAAATGGATTTAGCCTTTTGGTTCTTTGCTGTATGCTACATATATACATGTATATATATATATATACAGAATGTGTATTTTGTAAAGAATTAACAAGCTTGTTGTATTTTTTTGTAGAATGCGACTTTTTATTCTATTTATTAATATATTAGATATTTTTTTTAAGACAATGGTAGTAAGAAGAAATTTTTAGAAACCTATGTCTTTATAGCATCAAAAGAATTCGCGTAGAAAAGCTTCTTTTTTATATCTTATAATTATAATTAATTATATTATTTGAACGTTGAATAAAATCGATAGTAAAAAGTTCAAAATGAGTTTATATTTTGTTGATTATATATAATTACATTATTTTGAACTGATTTTAGCTCACTCTATAGAATATTAATGTTTTTTAGATGACTACTTGCGACATCTAACGGTATTCAAAATAGATCTATTTCCGGTACCGGTTGATTTTGGATACTTCTCCTATTTGGCTATTGTTTCATTCATCTAAAAATCTGATTTATTAAACTATGGAATTATTCACTTTTAGTTTAATAGGTTTAGTCATTATTACTCTAATCCTTTTAGCAACTATTTTTGGACTTTTCATTTATTCGGGAGCTTTAGAAAGCGTTGTTGTTGATTCGGGTAATCCACCCATAGGAAAAGTTACCATAGCTTATTTGCATGGTAAAGGGAGTTATAAAGATGTGGGACCAATATTTACAAGAATTATGTCTTATTTACCTAGCGATAAGACTTTTCATACGTTAGGAATCTATTATGACTGCCCGAGTACAACAAATGCAAATGAACAACGGTTAGTCTAAGATTTGAAATTGCTAGTATTTTTAAAAATTCTTGTTATCAATTATAACGAATATTTCTATACTTGAACAGTTATATTGTTGGTGCAATCCTCGCAAAGGATGATGAAAAATGTGATATCTCTTTAGAGGAAGCTATGTTACAGAAAGGCTGTAAAATTGGCGTTGTTCCCCAGGTTGACTATGCTGTTATTACAAGCTTCCCGTTCACAACATTCTTATCCATTTACTTGGCTATTTGGAAATGCTATGGCAAAGTTAAGGAATATTGCTATGAGAAGAATCTCTGCGCTCATCCTTGGATAGAGGTATACTGATTTCGTACTTTTCCCTCAACAAAAACAATACATGATGTTTATGTGTTTCAACATTCTTAATAGGTCTATACCGAAAACCGTATTAAACTCTTTGCTCCCTTAAGTAGACAGGACGACTTCTACCTCGAACCTTTTAAACCTCTAAGGGACTAATAAGAAGAATCTTCATAGGATTCAATACTAAGAATTTTTGAGAATAATTTAATATTTTAAAAACCACTTTTTGTAAAATTCCATTGAAAGGAACAAAGTTATCTATTTATCATGAGTTTTGTTACGAACTTTTCGTACTAATATAAGTGACAAATAATCCAGTACACTATATGTATGTATTGGTGTTATTAATTTTAATAAAATAAGGAAAGAGTCACTTTTTTAAAACAGTCTGTCAAGAAGTTTAAAGATACTCTGTTTTTTAAATTGCACTCATTATTTTTTATAGTATTTACAAAGAAAATCATGTTAACAACAAACCTAGTCATTTGTTTCATTTAGCCTATAACTAGTATAAAAATACTTAGTAACCTAATAAGAAGAAAGACATTGGATGGTAGTTTTCTTTAAAATTATTTTCTGTATTTAAATAAATAATCTGTTTGACAGAATGGAGATAGAGTGTAGATGGTGGTAGTAAACTCTTTTTTTTTTTAAAGATGCTTTAAACTATTTAAACGTCTAATTACAACATGCCGAGGGACAGCCTTCGCTACATTCGCCGGGAGAGCATTTACAAGTTCCAGGTGCACATTTGCAATTCAAATCTAACATGATAGAAAGTATTAGAATATCGTGATTTTTATTTATTTATAATAACTTACTTCCACATTTGTTCTTACTTTTACAAGCTGCTCCACAAGATGTACATTTACATCCGCTTGTTGCAGGGCAACGTTCGTTTTCGGGAATTTCTGGTAGGCATTTGCAAGCTGTTTTTTAAAAAGATTTTTACTGAGCTATAGAATAATGATGTTTTTTTTTCAACACTTACAAACGTCACAGATACAGGCAGCGTCAGACATATTTTTTGTTGTAATGAATTTCAACTGTAGATGTGATAAAGCAATTCCTTTCTGTTGGGATGTGGCGTTGAAAGGAACGAGTCGACGCTTTATATACTAAAGATTGTATGTTTCGTGCGCAAATTTCTAGTTTACTCTCTACTGACGGTATTTTCCGCTCGTGTGCAAAAAAGAAAATGAACGACGCGTCATTTAAATAACCACAACATTAGTTTCCGGTCTGAACAATTTCCTTAACTTATTCAATAACTTTATTTATAAGTATTGAAGAAATAAACTATATTACATGTATATTAATATATATATATATATATATATATATATTTAAATACAATAAAAACATATTACTAGTGTCGTTTCATAATAGATATAGGGATTTGAATTGTTCAAAAACTGAATAAAATAGGCCCAAATTGTCAATAGACAATAATGTTAATTTATTGTTTTATAATTTGACATCTTTATACAAAGATAAAAGAATTAATGCACGATATTTTAGAACCTATGATTCTTTACACGTCATCAGTCCTCGCTGTCTGTCTCTTTCTCTAATCAGGTCATATTTCACCTAAAATTATCCAATATCGATAAAAGAAACCTTCTATTTCTATTAATTCCATTGATAACTTATCTGAAATTTACTTCAATTTCCGAATAGCATATGTAAATATAAAAAGATTACTTCTCATTATCAATAGAAGCGAACATTCTTTTAAAAGAACATACATATGTCTCTATTGTCATCTGGCAGAAAAAGATTTAGTCCTATATGTGTTCTCTTTTGTTTTTTCTCTTAAAGTAGACAGTTTTTTAATGATATACATAAATAAGACGTGAATTTATTCTTTTAGACAACCATTGTTTTTGCAGAGTAAACTGTTAAAATACTCACTAACTATCCTATTGTTTGATTGTGTAAACTTAGAAACATTTTAGTTGATAATAAATCAAAAGGGTTAGTGAAAAAAAATACAATAAAGACGATAATGTGCAATCCAAGTCCTCGATTGTGTTGGGAGGATTACAATGAAGTATAAAATTGCACTGTTTTTCGCCGTATCCTTTCATTTTTAAACCAACATCGGAGATGGAAGAATCTGATATTAAAAACTTTTTGAAAATAATCTGCTCTGGTCTACCTGTGGATCCTCTACCTCCGAAATACGAAAGAGATCCGCTTATTGCTCATGCACCAAAGCTCAGTCCTAATTTGAATGAGGATGATACCGTTCAAGCTATTTCAAACGCTTTAAGATATTTTCCACCGGAGACTCATCTTGAACTAGGGAAAGAGTTCCTCCAAGAATTAAATGAGTATGGACATATTTACATGTATAGATTGAAGCCACAATTCTCAATAAAGGCTTACCCTATCAACCTTTATCCTGTTAAAACTCAAAAAGCTGCGGCTATAATGCATATGCTAATGAACAATTTAGACCCAAGAGTCGCTCAATTTCCGGAAGAATTAGTAACCTACGGAGGTATTTGTTTTTTTCTTATCAATAATTATCTCTTTTTATTTAAAGTCTGTACCATATCTTATAAAAGCATTTCTTAAATAAAGGAAATGGTCAAGTACTCTCCAATTGGGCACAATTTTGGCTTGTTTTGAAATATTTATCCGAATTAGAGGACGATGAAACTCTGGTCCTCTATTCGGGACATCCTTTGGGAGTTTTTCCATCATCTTCCTCTGCTCCTCGCTTAGTTATTACTAATGGGATGATGGTGCCCAATTATTCTAATCGAGAAGATTACGAGAAATTATTCGCTCTTGGGGTAACCATGTATGGACAAATGACGGCTGGGTCTTATTGCTACATTGGACCACAAGGTATTGTTCATGGAACAACGTTAACCATTTTAAACGCTGGAAGGAAATATCTAGGTCTAGAGGTAAGTTCCAATTTCATTTTATTGATATACGATGATTGTTTGTAAACCCTCTACTCGTATTTGAAAAGGATCTACGCGGCAAAGTTTTTATTACTTCCGGCTTGGGAGGTATGAGTGGCGCTCAGGCCAAAGCCGCCGTTATTTCCGGTTGTATTGGTGTGGTTGCTGAGGTTAGCGCAGAGGCTGTTGACAAAAGAAAGAATCAGGGATGGGTTCTTGAAAAGACTGACGACTTAGACGTAGTTATTGCTAAAATCAGACAATATAGAAAAGAGAAAAAAGCAACTAGCATAGCTTATCTTGGGAATATTGTCGACTTATGGGAAAGATTGGTTGAAGAGTATAGATCTACAGGAGAACTACTCTGCGATCTCGGATCGGATCAAACTTCCTGTCACAATCCTTTTTCAGGCGGTTATTACCCGGCAGGTGTAAGTAACAAAATACAAAAGTTTGAAATGTGGTATGTGGGACAATTTTAAGAGAGAATTTTTTTCAACAGTTATCTTTTAATGACTCACGAGAACTTTTAAGTTCTGATCCTATCAAATTTAGAAAACTAGTTGAACAATCTCTTGTTCGTCAGATTGATGCCATTAATTTCTTAAATGAACAAGGATTAAAGTTTTGGGATTATGGAAATGCCTTTTTGTTGGAAGCTTCTCGAGCTGGAGCTGAAGTTCGACTTCCAGGAGAAAAAATTCACGTGTTTAGATATCCATCATACGTTCAACACATTATGGGAGATATTTTCTCATTGGGATTTGGTCCTTTCCGTTGGGTTTGTTCTTCAGCTGATCCTCAAGACTTAGAAATAACAGATAAGATAGCTGAAGATGTTTTACATAAACTGATGGAAAAGAATACTGGTACCAGGGCTGAACAACAATACAAGGACAATATTAAATGGATTCAAGAAGCTCAAAAACATAAAATGGTTGTTGGATCCCAGGCAAGAATTTTATATTCCGATCAACAGGGAAGAATTGGAATTGCCTTGGCTTTTAATGAAGCTGTTGCCAATGGTAGATTAAAGGCGCCTGTAATTCTATCTAGAGATCATCATGATGTTTCTGGTACAGATAGTCCATTTAGGGAAACATCAAACATTTACGATGGTTCAGCTTTATGTGCTGATATGGCCGTTCAAAATGCTATTGGTCTTGGATTCAGAGGTGCTACCTGGGTAGCTTTGCATAACGGCGGTGGTGTTGGATGGGGAGAAGTAATAAATGGTGGATTTGGATTGATTCTAGATGGCTCAAACGATGCTGCAGAGAAAGTAAGAAATGCTATTGGCTGGGATGTAGCAAACGGTGTTGCTCGAAGGAGTTGGTGCGGAAATGAAAACGCTGTTGATACAATAAGAAGACTTGTAAAAGAAAACAGCAAATTTAAGATAACGGTACCATATTCTGTTGACAAAAGCCAGTTTAAATAATAATCACTAAACACTAAACATGATCTAAACAATAATCACTAAAACAAAATAAATAGAATATAACATAACATCTGTAAACCCCAATTAACTAACAATTCGTTAATTAATAGAGTTATCAGTTTGAACTTTTTGATATGTTTATTTTAATAAATTATCTTTATCAACAATTTTAGAGATTTCATTAATAAACTACTTTAGAAATGCATCTGATTTACTGTATAACAGTATGAAAACTTTCTTTAGTTTTTAAGAAAAGTAAAAGATGCACCTTAAACTACGGAGATGTTTCTTCAGTATGTTCAAACGTTCTTTGTTCATTTATAACAATGTGCTATCAATTCGAGAGTCAATAACATCAACAGTAAATTTTTCTCTTTCAACTGCATAACGGTAACTCTCGGATCTTTCGCTAGAGAAATTGGAAGCATGCCTTTGTCTTGTAGATAATTCGCTGTTCAATACATTTACTAACGTATCAGTAGAAAGAGGTAGCTTTTTTAACTCTTTGTCAAATTTATTTTCAACGATTGTATATTCAGTTGGTTTACTCAACTTTTCCTCAACTTTCTTCTCGATTCTTTTGCATAATAATTCAGAATTCACCACAAAAGCCTATAAATCAGGAAATAGTTCAATTACCAGTTCAAATTGAACGGATATTAAAAAAAAAATACTTACCTCAAGCAGATAACACAGTAAAAATGACGCCAAAGCAATTCCAACGTATAAAAATCTAAATGAGAGTGTAGGAGGAATTTGGAGCTGAAAGAATTCGTTTTAAAATGAATATATTAATATATTATTCATGAAAAAGGTATGGATTATTTAAAAAATATACTTACTCCCATAAATTCTTGAACAGATTTAGGAGGGAAGAGAGTAAAAAATGCATTTAAGGCTAATACCAGCAAAATATTCGTTACAAATATATAATTCGTATAAATGGGTTGTCGGAAAGGTCGGCTCTTTGAAAATACAATTGCGCTTGAAACATACTGGAAGCTTGAAATGAGGAAAACTGCTGTATTTTCATCACAAACATAATCAGCCTCATCTTGAAATTTATATGCAGTAAACCTTCATTTGAAAGAATACGGAAATTTATTATTAATAAATTCAAGTAATCATAAATCAAATATAATTTCAAACTTACCATGGTTGGCCTTTTATATAGAACCAAACTAATATTTGAGTACTAATTATAACTATAATTTGAACAACAATTGATAATATGGGTGTGAGTGCAAATAATGAAATATCGGGTTTTTCGCGAACAAGTGCTGTATACGCTTTCGTATAACCATCTAAAAAGAAACAACAAATAAATAGAGAAAGGTTATTAATTAAATGGACTAAAGGAGAAATGTTTGAATTTACATGTAATACTGAGTGTTGTCAACAATCCAAGATCAATGTATAAAAATTGAAAGTCAGAAAAGTTCGCTCCAATCTGTCAGGGTTATATTAAGAATAAACGGTTACTTTAAATGATGTCAAAGAAATGTGGCAAGTCTAAATTTACCCAATATAAAATTGTTACTGATGTAAACTGAGTTAAACTATAACAAGCCATAAATTTGAATATGCCAAAAGAAGTTACCAGAGCTGCTCGTCCTTGTCTGCAATAATATCAAATTTATTAAAGTCTTTTAACTAAAAGAGTGAGATGTTTCTTACTTTATTACGTTTGGTACACATTTTATATTCATCTCTCTAGAAGTAAACGGAGCTGCTACAGACGCTTCTGCTCCTTCTGACAAAGATATTCCCGCATGAGCCATTTTTAAAGCGGATGAATCGTTTGCACCATCACCACACATTGATACGTAATAATCTAGCTTTTGTAAAGTTTCTATAACCTCTACTTTTTGCTCTGGTAGCATTCTTGCAAAGACGACACCTCTCACGCACACAGAATCTAACAATTCTGGGCAATAGATACGTGCCAAATTCCATGATTTTCCTGTTATTGCTAACCGTACATTTTTGCGTAGATTTGATATGATTTGCTGTGTAATAAATTTTTGATTATATAATATTTATGTTGTTATGAAAATTAATTAAAAATAATTCATACATCTTTATTTTCTTCTTTATTTTCATCGATAGGAGCAAGTTCAACTTTAACATCTCCATTAAAATCGGTTACGTGAACCATATACACTTCATCTAAATCTGATATCATGGAGCAATCTCTAGCAACGCTCAGAGCCGTTAGCATATTATCACCAGTAATCATAAGTGTCTTAAAGTTTGCAAATTGAAGTTCCCTGATAACTTCTTCCGTTTCAATTTTTAATCGATTTTCCATAATAAGAAAGCCAAGAAAGTGTAGATCTTTTTCCATATCCTCCCTAGCACATTTTTGTACTTTGACATAACTCATTCTACCAAGATCCTTGTATCCGAGAGCAAGGACACGATATCCTCTTTTAGTGTAAAAGTAGAGTATATCGTAAAAATCCTGTGGTAGGGATTTTACATTGCATAAACTATAAAGCATTTCTGGTGATCCTTTAGTGAATAAGTTAAAATGATTTTCGCCTGTTAAAAGATATATTGCCCATAAACTTAACTATTAGTGTAAATAATTAATAAATCTCACCTAATGTTCTAGTTACCACGCTCATTCTTTGTAAACGAGAAGAAAAGACCATTTGTCTTACAATACCTATTTCATATGGAGTATCGTTATATTCATCTTTTGCTTCTTTATCAGTTGCTCTTGGTTTGACAATAGTTGGAACTAACATGTCGTATTTCTCATTGTCTTCTCCGACTTCCTCTAAATCCCATTTAATTGATTCGAACATTTTGAGATCCATTGGATCTCCACATAGCTCTTTATTTATAATAGTTAAAGAGTGGCACGTAGCTAAGGCACTTAATAGAGGGGATCTTTCTAACGAAGATGGAGTATGATGTAGAGTAGGGCTAAATCTGGACAGTTAATAGAAAAATATAACAATAGTTAAAGAATTAATTGGGAAAATTGATAACAAACTTGGAGTTTTTACAGGGTAGTACACCTTTTAAATCCATACCGTCTTCGGTAAGTGTTCCCGTCTATTTCGAGAAAAAAAATTTTATCAGTAATAACACTCAGAAATTGAGTTCATCTCTAAAATAATTTTATATACATTTTATCAATTTCTATATACCTTATCGAAACAACAACAATCTACTGATCCAGACATGTTAATGTTCGTTGGAGATATACAAAATATATTAAACTTTTTCAATCTACTTTGGGCAAAACTAATTCCAATTGTCAAAGCGGCAGGCAATGCTGGTGGAATAACAATAGTTATCAAATCCAATGTCCGTAGTATAGTTCTTTTAACGGTTTCTCCTCTCCGAATCTATTAATAATAAGAATTAAGCACCGATAATTTCATATATCAATTAATTATAGGTCTATCTGGATAGCACATGTATTTAATAACATACCATTATGACTAATGTGAATATCATGCCACAAGCAGCTAGAATAGCTAAAAATCCAACAAACTTAAAAGAATCTTGGGTAAATTTGAAATTAATTGGTTTTGGAAACATTATAGAGCGAATTAGTTTTCCTTTCATAGTTGAAAACCCTGATTACGAATAAATTAAGGAAGATGTAAAAATTTATTATATTTAAATTAGACTTATTGCTCTAACCTGTTTTTAGGACAACAGCTCTAACTTTACCCTCACAGAAATATCTAGCTTGTACAACTTTTGTGCCGCTAAAAAGTGCATGTTTAGAATGATCTTTCATGTTGAAACTTTGAGAATTCAAATTAGGTAACGGTGTCTTCATTACAGGAACACTTTCACCAGTTAACATACTTTCATTAACTATACAGTTTCCGTTTAATAATACTGCATCACATGGCACAATGAATCCACCTTTAGGTATTTCAATTATATCCCCTGGAACTAGATCGTCGGACATGACTTCTTGAAATTGTATATCATCACCTCGACAGACAGTTACTACGCTCATGGGAGAGATCATATTTTTTAGACGTCGTTCAATCTGAAAGGAATATTTTAAATGTGATTATCTCAACGTAATTTTTTTGCTGTAGAGACCATTCAATTAGGAAGTAGCAATATTAATATGAAATTTTAATCTATATTGCACAATAAATGAGTTACCTGTCTAGTCTGCCTTATAAAAGCAATTATGGATATGGCCGATATAAGAATAATACATGTTGCATAATAATAATATTCATCATTATACCATAATATAACACTGAATATTTGAAAAACGTAGAACGGATTAAATATCTAAAGGAATGAATAATATTATTTTAAATTAATTTTAAATTGCTAATTAAAGTAACCTGAGTATAAAAGAGTTTAAAAATAGGTGTCACGTGAACATCAATGGCATTTATGCCAAATAACTTCTGCCGTTCAATAGTTTCAATAGGTTTTATAGGTTTTAGATCATAAAATTCTGAACATTTAACATCCTTTTTAAGCCATCTATATAAATTTATACAGATAGATAGATGTAAATAATTATAATATATACAGTATATTAGTATATTATCAAAAAAAATTCGTACTTGACTTTGGAGAATTTTAAGGACTCTGTATCCCAGATAAATTTAACTTTTTCGTGTTTAAAAAATCTTCTGATAACCTTGAAACAAAAAACAAATAATCTAAAGATTGATAGAGTAAAGAGATATTTACTTTGTCTTTAGTATTTGTTTTCTCGTCGGAACTAGAAAATGGAAAAAAAAAGTAAATAAAAAATAAAAATAAACTGTTTTAGATAATAAAAAAAATATAAGCATTAAACAACCTTTCGAAGATATACTCTTCCTTTATCCTTGCTACGTAATTCCGTCGATAACGATCCTTTTGTTTCAAACAAACGAAATTTTACTCTTAGTTAAACAAACAAAGATTTGTAATAGTGAAAAGAATTATGTACTAAGTTCATGATATCCTAATGAACTTGAACGGATCAAAGTTTATATATTATATATAAGTTGTACCTAGAACATTGTTCTAATCTCTCTCTTTAAAGTATTCTGTCAATATACACTGACAAAAATTATGAATACTCATTCGAATAGGTCATTCATTCAATAGCATTTTTAACTCTAAGACTGCATTGGTAAGTATAATAAAATTAAATATCCCTTTTATGAAGATAAATTTAAACAAAAAAGCGGAGAAAGGAATTTCAAATATTACCTTGATAAGCATGTTCTTAGCATCAGATAGTGCGACAATGGAATGAGTAAATTTCAAAGACCAATCCGGTTTCCAATAGAAAACCAATCTTATTAAACCAACAGTCAATACTGTAAGTATCCACAAACAGATTATACGCCATTTTACAGGAGCATACCCGGTAAAGGACTGGAAAAACACAGTTTAGATTATTTATAATGTCTTTTTTAATAGATAAGAAAAATTGTAAATATTATTTACCAATTTTTCATGCTTTTCAGCATTAAGATTTATACAGACAGGCTTTTCTAAATCCTCTGATATCTGCCGTCCAGTAAAGTCTACAGATTTGGGGGAAAATTTAAATTATAAGGTTGCATACACAGCTGCAACACGAGGTTTAGTCATTTTTATCGAAATTTCTATCGAATCGCTTATAGTTTAACATCAAATTTGTTAGAATAATATAACAAAAATTAATATTTACACTTTACGTCTTCAAATTTACCCATATTAGACGTTTTATCCGAAAAGATGAGATAAATGTTGAATAAGTATTCGATAGAACATACTACATACAACCATGGCATAAAATAACGATCCAGTTTACATGCAGTGAAAACTGGTAAAATGATTTCGCGCCAAGTGGCGGATTTAGCAGCAAAGGGCCCTTTCCAATAAACAGATGTTGTACCAATTGAATTTAGAATAATGCTGTTATTCTTAAATATTATAGATATTATAACCTATCTCTAATGATAATCTCAATATTTAAATTAATTGATAAATTATGATCTCTCATAGCCTATTTTTTATAATATTGTCTATAAAAAGGTATTTTAAAATGAATAAGTATAGATTTAAAAAACAACAAAATAACAACAAAGGGATAATTATATTTGTTCTCTTATGCTATAAATAATATTTAATAATGACATACTATTACATAATTATCAATATCTAATTCTTAAAAGAACGTCAACAGTGCTAAGCCTGTTTTCTAACTAATACAACTAATAATAATTAAAATAGAAACAATTGTTTTCGCAATTTCTTCAATATCTTATCATGTATTTTATTAAATTTTCGTCGATCATAGCATTCCTTTATTACAGTTAAACATAATAGTTTATTGTAAAGATATAACATATTCTGGGTATGCTGCACTATCATTATAAACGACGAACATTGAAGGATTGTTGACGTTATCAACTGTTGAATTGTAATTTGGTCCCGGAGTTTTCATACTAGAATTGCCTGGGCAATAATTTCCAACAACTATTCTACAAAGAATTAATTTCCTTATACCCGACTGATCCGGCTTTGAAAAGCCTTGTAAAGAATAGCTCGCATTCCGAGCGAAATAAACTCCTTGACCATAAGCCACAGCTAAATGTATTGGACAAAAGAGATTAATATCACAATTTAGACATTATATATTATTCAAGAAACGAACCATGTCTCCCAGCGAAACTTCTATCAAAATTTCCTTTCACGATACTTTTAACTGTTGCAGAATCTGTACCATGCCAAGCAGGATAAAATTCTGCATCTCTATTAATATCTTTAGAAAGCTTGTTCTTGTACAGTTGATATTGTTTATATAAAGTAGGATTTTGCACTCTTTCAATCTAATTAAAATCAAAACTTCTACATTTATATAACAATCTAAATAAAAACAGAAAAGCCTGAACCTTTAAAATTCTTGTGTAATTTGACCTTCCCGAGCTTAGATGGTTGACGACTGTCGCGTATTCGGTTGTGTTTTGATCAACTTCAACCATTCGTTCCATTTCTTTTTCAGATTCACTCCAAGTTTTTGGATATTCATTTCTCGATTCTATTTGACGACATAAATATAAAGAGATAAAAATTAAATCTCACTTACTTTTGTCAATTCTTTTTAGTTTAATTTTATTATTTGATTCGTCAAGTTGATAGTGCGATTCGTTTTGCTGGAAGTGTATAGTATATTTCATTTTTGTTTTCCTTGACCGAATAGTCATTGTATCTTCACTAGGCTGCTGTAAAAATCTTTGATAATGTGTTTCAACTTCAATATTTCTATCATCTGCAAAATCTTTATATTTTCCATTTATATCAAACTGCCATTGAAACTAGCAAAAAAAAATTAATAATTAAACATTTAAACATTGAAATTTTTAGTTTTATTAATCTTATTTACTTGAACGATTTTTCGAAGTTGCTGAGTTTTCCTCCTTTCTTCAAAATTTTCTAGTTTACTTTTAATTTTGTATTTTAACGAGGAAACGCCTGACTTTAAACCAGAAACTATAATTTCTTTGGAATCAGAAATTTCAATGTGTGCTCCAAATTCGGTTAATTTTTCCAGTTCTTTTCCCTATTTAATATTTTAACTTATGTATATTGAAGTTAGGAATATATATATATATGTTCAGCGTATACCTACCTCGGATGAATTCAATTTAAAAGAACTTTTTATAGTAGAGGTTTCATAAAATTCCGAAACTTTGCTCCTAAACTCAGTAACTCCTTTTTTTACATTGGATAAACTGAGACTGCTACATTGGATATTTATACTATTTGCTGTTTATTTTCATCTGTGTTATTTACGATTATTAAACTAAAAGGTAAACTTACGATTTCCTGTATTGTTTGGTGCAGACTTGAATACTTTTTGGAAAGACTACAGAAAATTCAACACAAAAGGTACTGCAGTGTAAGTTACATATTATTTAAGTTTCTTACTGATAATATGTTGCTTTCGCCTGGGTAAATGACAACATTTATTCTCTGTAATCCAATTTTAACACCTGTTGTATTGGCTATCGTTTGAATGCTTCTCGCAACTAACTCAGGACTATAGCCTAATTTTCCTGTTCCAATAGCCGGCATTGATACAGATTTGACATTACTAAGTGATGATACTTTGTTTAGGCAATCTTTTAGATATTCAATGATTGGCTATTTCAATAAAAGATTGTTTTTACTTTTACAGTAGAATTTAAGATTATTAAATTTAAATATATGCTAACCTGATCATTATTGTTAGGTGGATTCTTAGCAAGAGTTCGGTGCAGAATATATTTACATTTAAGATCATGTCCACCAGTTACTGCAACTTCGCCTGCTGCAACTCCGTTTGGATATTTACTTTGGCATTCCTCTTGTAAACTAGAGCCCGCAGTTTCAAGAAGAGATCTTGAGACTACTCCAATTCTAAGGTCAAACTTTTCGGAAATAGTATTTAAAAAAACATCAGTATTTTGATCAGATAGTTTTCCTTCGACTATGTGTAATATTGATATATTTGTCTTAACGTTGGATGGAACTGAAATGGTTTTGAAAAAGACTTTTTCAGATTGACCAATCATCCTGATAATTTTAGATTTTATATTATCAAATTTCAATACAAAGATATCATTCTTTCTGGTAAACTCGATGATCTCGGAGAAAATATTATCTTTTAGAAAGGCTTTTATCTTCGTTTCAAGTGCATTCTCTTCAGATTTCCTACAGTTTGCAATGATAGAAGAATCCTCAAAAAAACATCCTACTTTTATACATTCCAGTAATTTTGGCTTTAGACCATTCTTAAGATGAAACATATCGCTGTCAGTTATTTGTATCTTTATTTTTGCCTTTTCATTGACTTGAAAAAATGTGTTCATCCTTCTGCTTACGAAATCGATACATTTGACAGCCCCTATGTTGATTTTGTTATTCTCAGTTCTTATATAGAAAGTTTGTCTACATTCCTTTTTCAAGTTTTCATAAAAAGTTTTCCACTCATTGCTCTTTAATAATTGACTTCTATGATTGTCAATATCAATTGAACTTGTTTGAAGACTAGTTTTTAACTCTTTAGCAATTAGTAGTAAATCTGCTTCAGAATTAGAAATAAATTTGATCGTATTCAAATCAATCCATTCGAAAACAACTACAATATTTGACCTTGATTTAATAAGGCTTTTAACATCTTCTTTAAACTTAATTTCGTTCTTCCATATTTTTATTATCTTCGGAGAAAATTTCACAGTTTCTTCACTTGTGTTGACAATATCTTGAAGTATTTCCATTTTTACATTTTTAAGAATGTTTTCAGGGCCTTTAACAATTATTTTTAACTCTTTTGCCATATTAAAAGTAACTCTTTCATGCTTCTCTTTTAATTTTGATATAGTCTTCGCATTTTCTAAATATTCTTTAAATAACTCAGTTTGCAAGTCTATAGTTATTGTATCCATTGCTCTGATGCGAATAAGGTCAACGGCTCTCTTTACGGAAGCTTTTGTTCCTACTATAGTAACACATGATGGTTTCCATTTATAAATAATATCGTCAGTATCCTTGAATTCGTTGAATTTTATATTAGACTTCTTCCCTATGGAGACTTCTTGAAATTCTAAATTCTTATTCAAAAATGAATCTATACTCTTTTTAGATCTGAAATTCCAATTGCGTAGCTCTACATTTGTGTCATTATTGCTGTGAAAACAAACAGTTAGTTCTTTAGCATCTTCTTCCACCGAAACTTTTGCACTCTTCTCTATCATATAATTAGATAATTCGTTCATCCATTTTTTTGACTGCTTAAGAAAATAAATAAAAACAGATTTCATTTTAAAGTCGGGTGGCAACGAAATGCTTCCATGTGATAAAATCTTATTCATTTTCCTGAGAGTGTCTAACTCTTGTTTATCTTGGTCAAATTTACAACGTAGATATGTCTTAAAGTCCAGCTCTTGAAAGTTATAAGTTACATGGGAAAAAGTTATACTTTTAACCTTTAGCAAGTATTTAACATCTAAAATTAGAAAGAAACTAAACTTTGCTATAAAACTTTGTTATATATGTATCACAATATCACTTACGTTCAGGATTCTCAAAAGTTAGAAATCCAAGTTTAATTTTTGGATAATATAAAAAATCTATCAATCTTATTTCATTATTATTAATCTTCAAAATACCATCAATTTTATCAAAACTTGCGTCATCTTCAGTTAAATCTTGTAATTGAAGTGTACGATTTAGAAAAGCATGAGATAAATTAATAAATCCTGGTGTGTATACTTTAAACACTATATCTTTCTTTTCCAAATATCCATTTTTAATAAATTGTTTAGCATCTGTATCGAATAGGAAATAGATATAATACTTGTGTTATTTTATCTATTTTGATACTTACATTCTGATTTTTCATATTCGATTAAACGAGAATCTTTATTTAGAAGATATTTGTTTGCAACACCATAATTTTCACCTGCCTCATTCCTAGGAATTGAAGAGCATAATTGAAAATCGAGATCTGATACTTTTTTATCCGATATACACTTGATGCATATGAAACGATTATCTTCTTCAGTAACAAATATCCGATTATTGTTGTAAAAGATGCCTTCAAAACATTGTTTAAGGACTTTCATTGAAGCTGTTATTGAAAATTATTAATATGTTTTTTTTATACTGAAACAGTATTTTTTACTTTCTAATGACTTGTATGTTAAAGTTGCGTATGAATTTTTGACGATTATATCCAAAGGTTCACTCCCACCAGACTTGTCAGGGTTTGTAAATATTTCTCTATAATTCTTTTCTTCAAGTACTTGATCGTTTTGAAGAAAAGCAATTAATGTTACTGTATCTTCAATGAAAAAGTAAGTTATTAAGGTTAAAATAAATTGAATATCGAGAACAAACTTTTTGTATCTTTACAATGATCTAATACTATTTCTTGTTCAAAATCACTATTATTAGTGTCACTGTTTTCAGAGTGAGTATTTTCGTAACAATCAGAATAACTATTCTTATCATTGCTATCATCCCTACTCTCACAATTATCATCGGAACTATTTCCATCTTCAAAACATTTATCCTTATCAGTGTCCTTATTTTGCTGAGTATTATTGCCATTGCTTGTTAAGGCATTTGTCTCATTTGAACTGTTATTATTTTTAATAGAATCATCTTTAGATAGAATGTTTGTCTGGCTCGTCTTAAGCAAGTATTTTAAATAAGCTTCCAAATTTAGTTTTTGAAAAGTGAATTCTTTTCCCTTTGGATAATTTTCCAAAACCAATGAAGCATCTAGAAAGTTGTCTGAACTAGAACGTTTTTATTAAAAATGAGATAAGTTTACCTTTTTCATCACTCAGAATAACGTAGCATTCTTGTCCTTCAATATTGTAAAGACACTCCTCAGCAACGATTTCGGAACAGCATAACTTTAGAATGCTTTTGATGCGCTTTGACATTTCATCTGATAAATCTATAACTTGTATTGTTCTTGCAAGGCAATCTTTTATTAGATTTATCCGACCAGGTGTGAATACTTTAAATTTGGTACCATCTGATTCAATATCTCCTTTTCCTATGCAGTTTTTAGCAACTTTATAGGAATACAGATAAGTATTAGTAATCTTTGAATTTATCGAATATTTAATTAAATACATTTAGCTTTTTCAAATTCTATTACAGCTTGCTTTTCATTCAAAAAGTAGATCTCTTTAATACCGAAGTTCTTACTTCCTTTTTCTATGTCTTTTGGTACTCCAAATATCAAAATTATTTCTAAATCGGTAATATTTTCCTCAGACTCCCATTCTACATATACGAAGGTGTTGTCTGTTTCAACAACTATAACATCTGTTCCATAAATAACCGTATCTTTGGTACAGTTTTTAAGTATAGTTTTGGAATCTATAACGTTATTAATTTACTTTTAAAGACGAGTAATTTTATAGAACAAGTTTAAATACCTTTCAGCGAATCACAAAGTAATATAATCGAATCTTCAACTGTTTTTATGTTATATTCCCCTTCAAAAGTAAATCTTGACTTGACATACGAAGAAACAAGATTAAGATCAAGTTTCTCATCCTTTTTAGGTTTAATTTCAATATGAATAGCTTTCTCTGAAAATTATGTTTTATAATAATAGATCGCAATATTTAAGGTTGTTATTAGAACAATACCATTTATATTTTCTCCCATTGATGAATCGTAGTTTGAATCACTGCGTTTATTTACATTATCTTGTATCTTCATGTCAGTAGTTTTGATATCTACAATATGATTGTCTAATGATAAGAAACAATTAAATATATAATAAATGAACGTTTTTTACCAGCCTCCTTCATTTGGGGATCAAAGTGTCTTTCCCAATTCGAACCTGGTTTTAGAAGGGAAGCATCTAATACTTTAATTGTTCTTTCATCAGGTGTTTTCAATAAAATATGTTCGTTTGGTCGTAATAGTTTCTCTAAATCTAAAATCATATATGTATGTATTGTATTTTTATACCTTTATGGTATAATTTATCGGTACACATTGCTAGCAGATAATACTAATAAACCGAAACGGAAACCGAAACCGAAAAAATGAAAAAAGAGATAAAAGTTTTTTGCCTTTATATTAAAAATATCAGTTAATGTATTAATTACAAATAGTAAAAAGATTTGCTAAATTTTTACGTATGATACTTACTAGAATTACGGTCAAGTTTCAAAAGAATAGTTGAACTCAATGGTTCAACACAGTCTATAATTTTATCCACATAGTTACATAGATTATTATTCAGAAAAGACAAGAGTTTATCTTCTTTAATATCCAAACTATCTTCTAAATTTAGACGTACAAGGGACATTTCCGTTGACATTATTCCTACTTTCGCTTAGAGTTACAAGTCATCGGAAAATTCTTTGAATTTGTACGAAAATAACTTTAACAAAATTCTTGTAAAAAATTTTTTTAAATTATAAAATTTTGTCTTTTAATTTATAACGAAAAATATTAATGATATATTTATTATATTTACTTCTCTGTAAATAAAAAATAGCGATCGAAGTGCGCATGCGCAAACCATATGAAAAGGTTATTGTATTTTTTAATAATTTTTATCCTATTTCAACATATATTTATAATAACATCAATTAATACAATTTTCTATATTCATTTATACTCACAGGTTATGTATTATGGCAATGATGAAAAGCCGCTTATAATGCAACCAGAGAATGATTATGGCGATTGGTTTACATCTTTGAGCAATGAAAACACTCCTGAAAATTTCTACAATATAAAAGAGGTTCAAGCAGAAACAGTACTTGACAAAGTTTGCAGTTGGTCAGATGAATACAAATCAGTTGAAACGTTATTTTTTAGATCTCTCGGAGATAATAGCCAATACAGAATTGTTATGGTAAACACTTTAATAATAAAAAGGTTTCGAACTAAGTATTCTATTCATTTTGCAGATTGAGAGAATAAAAAATATCTTGTTAAAGGATCTTTATGAATCTTATAAAAAGAACATTGAAAAGAGATATAATAACAGAAATGTAGAAGTTCGTCCTGTCTGGCACGGTACAGATGAAAACTCTGTTGAAGAAATATGTCGCGACCATTTTAACAGAAGTTACCAAGGGAGAAATGGTTATATTTATTGATGCTTATGATGAAAATAGAAAATATTTTCAATTAAATATTCTATTTCAGGCAACAGATTTGGTATGGGAACATATTTCGCTAGACATGTAAGTTATGCCTTAAACGACCGTTTATCTCGGCGAGGGTCAAACAACTATAAAAAATTAATTATGTGTCGTATCGTCCAAGGTTCTTCATGTTTGGGAGAACCACATTTGAAGAGCCCTTTAATTAATCCCATGTCGTTTCCATTAAGCAGATATGAGACTGTAGTTGATAATCTTGAAAATCCGGAAATTTATGTTGTTTTTAATGATTTTGGGGCTTTACCAGAATATGTTCTAACGATTGCTGCTCAATAAATTGTAAATTAGAATAGTTTGTTTAAAAATGCGTGTTGCTATTTCTATTAATTAAGAAAGTTCGAATACTTTTTATTAAGCTAAAATATTAATATATAAAATTAATGTATTTAGCAAAGAACAACCGAGTTTTGAAACTTCGTTATTCAGTGTTAATCATTAGGCATAGCTTCATAGTATAATAAATATATCAATAGTTGAAAATAAGCTTAATGGTACTTGTAAATTGCTATATTAAAGTTACTAAATATTCAGGATAAGCTGCATCGTCGTGAAAAATAACATAAATGGTTGGAAATTCAACGTTATTCACTGTTGAATCGAAATTCTCTGAAGGTTTATTTTTAACTTTCGGTATGGGCATTTTGTCGGAACCTTTGCAATATTTTCCAGTTATAATACGACATAAAAATAATCTTTTTTGACCTTGCTCATCTCTAGAAGCGTATCCATTATTTATTGGATAGCTAGCATTTTTTGCGAAATATGAACCAATTCCAAATCGAACAGCTGATAAAGATAAGGACACTTACATTTTAAGACTTGTATAAAATTATGATATATACCGTGTTTACCAGCAAAATTTCTATCAAAATGACCTTTACAAATAGCATCTATTGATGATTTTGACGTTCCGTGCCAAACGGGGTAGGTTTCAATATCAAAGTCTGGATTACCAATTCGTTTTATTACTGATTGTTTATATGTTTGATATTTTTTATAGAGAGGAGGATTTTGAATTTTTTCTATCTATAAAACAAGAAAGAGGGCGTTTATTAATCAACTTCGCTCCGTCGACAACAGATATATATATATATATATATATATTAGACCTTAATTACGCTTTTATAACTTGATTGAGCAGTTTTATCTAAATAACGGACAACTGTAGAATACTCTTCAGAACAAGGATCAATTGAATAAATTGAGAATTCTTCACTTTTAGGATTTTGCCAGGTAAATGGTAAAAGACTTGCTAAAAATTAATATATATGATTATTTATCGTCATAATTTTTTATTGATTTACCTTTATCATGACGTTTTATTGGATAATTTACGCTTTTCCCATAAAATATTGTACATAAATGATTTTCATTACACTGGAAGAAGATACTTATCTCTGATTTATCATTTCCAAATTTACATTTATTATAATTATTCGCCAAATATTCTGAATAGTTTCGTTCAATTAAAATATTATCTTGCGGAGAAAAATCTATCCATATTGAATCTTTTAAATATTTCCATTGAACCTATTCATTTAAAGTAAATATTAAGGAAATATAAATACTTATTAATGTTAGATAGTTACGCAATCTTGCAATAAATTCCTATGTTCTTTTTGTATTCTCTTCTGTTCGTGATGTTTAATAATACAGTCAAGAGACTTTTTTAAGTTTTTAACACTCTTTTCAAAGCCAAAAAAGAATAATTCGTTTCCATAAACTTGAGTTATTATGTCAGGAAAAAATACGCAAGTAGATTTAATGATTGGCTAATTGAAATAAAATTAAAATATTAATTAAATATGCAAATTTATTCATTCAATATTCAACTAACGTTAAGGGAATCGTATTTGTAAGGTAAATTCATCGATGATGCAGTAACAAGAGATTCTAATCCAGATGTAAAATCATGAAATGCTTTTACTATATTCGATTGTTTAAAACCAGAAATATTTACGTAATTTAGATTATCTATAATAGAACTACATTAATATTTAAGCAATTAAATTATTACATAATAACACGTACTACACTTTTTTAAAAGAGTATCTTTATAAATGTTTCTTTCATTTTCTTTCATAAATATTGTAATATTTCGAAGATTTTTAGGTTTTATTCCATAAAAGTACGATTCAATAATCATTAAAAATATTTCATACTCTGACAAACTAATTTGAAAGTTTTCTATATAAAGAAAAGAGAAGAAAAATTAAAAATCAAGTTAAAAAGTTTGTCCAGCAAACGTATTTAAATATATTATAACCTTTGATTGTTGGAATTGCGATTGAACTGATATTTAATTCATCAACATATGATAAAGTTTTAAAAATTTGATTTTTTATGCCTCCATTTGTAATTTTACAAAAGATTAATAATGTATTATTCATTTCATTAAATCTATAGGAAAATACGTCACCATTACAGGCTATTTTATTGATTTTATCTTGTAAATGACTATATTTTTCTACAAGATCTTTGGTTATGGGATTATCACCCAGAGCTAGAGAGGATTCAATTGGACATATTATAGCTTGAGCTTTTGTGTCTGATAGAGTTTTAGTAGACAAATTAATTTGTATATTTCCATAAAGTTTAAACTTTCCAGATTCATATTTCCAAGGTTTACCGTAAAAGTAATCCTCAAATTTCTAATTAAATAACTAATAGTTAGTATTAAATGATCAATTAGTTTCTTATTTCAGAACTACGTACCTCAAAAATATCAATATTTGAGATTACAAGCGTTATATTTTCAAGACCCATTTCCTTACCATAACTTGAACCTATTTCTTCTATACATCTTGCAACCACTTCCGGTGGATAGTTTAAATCATCTTCGAAAAATGACGGGAAACAAATACTCTTTGAATTCTTATATCTCATTTTATCAAAGCATAAAACAAGCAGATCTATTAAATTCTGTTCAAAAAGGAAATAGATAGAGTTTCTTTCTTACATCAAAATTGAAAGATTCTCGTAGAGATCTTACCTTTTCATCCCCTTTACCCGAGTACTGTTTCAAAGCGGAATGGAATATAAACTTGCAGTTTAAACCAAATCCTTTTGTTAATAGTACTTCATGCTTTTTATGAAAATTATAACAACCATTTTGATGATTTATCAGACGGTTTTTTAATTCTTTTGTCCTCTTTATTAACTTCTTAGAAATAGGCGTTGAAATCAAATTTTGTTTGTTAGATATATTAGCAATAACATCCGCTTTCTGCTTTGTAATTGATCCCTTAATTATGTTGAATATAGAAGATTTTTTGGGAACGCAATGATTTAATTTTTTAAACTTATCCTGTTGATAAACAAGACCATAAAGTGACGAAGACATAACGGCTAAAGTTATATTCTCTTCAGCTACACTCTTAATTTGAATATCAATTTCTTCCGGTAATAACTTTAAAGTCATTTCAGCTATTGTTTCAAACATGCATAAGTTGATTTCGTCAAATTTATAAAATGTATATGGTGTTGAATGGAAATTTGGTAATATTGTTATTCTATCATAATTCACTCTGTTAAAGCATAATTTAAGTTGTTCGGATAGTAAAGTTGTTGAAGAATTGGAATAGTTTAATAGAAAGTATAGTTTCTTCTGATTTTGATCTTGAATTTGATAGAAATTGTTACATTTTGAAAAGTCTTTAAAGTAATTATTAATATTTTTATCAAGATATTCGGTAAGTTTCTTTTTTAAATTATCATCAAAACTGGTAAAGATAAGAATTATTGTTGAATATGACCGACTAATACAATTCTTCGTTATTCTGACTGTGCAAGTTTTTTCATTTGAACACTTTAAAAGTATTGTTCTTACGTTAAAGTTCTCAATTAGAACTTTATGTTGTCGTTCGATATCCTTCTTCAAATTGACCACTTCCATATTTTTACTATTTAATGGATAGGTATGCTCTTTCCAGTAAAAAGTTTTCGTTAACGTTTTTATAGAAGAATTTTCATCTTTGCTTTCGATTTCTTCATCTTCCCTTTCGCTGTCTGATTCAGAATCTTGATCAGTAAAATTATCATTTATAAACGAATAGATTAACGAATCATCGTGAACATCGTATAGATCCTCCTCACTATCCTCATATTCATCTCCTTTTATACACCGCCGGATTTTAAATTCGTCAAAGTCCAAGTTTAAAATTTTGAAATTTTCAATAATATAATCTAAAATTTCTTGACAGCTACTTCGAAATGCTATAATATTAACATCTGATTCATTTTCAGTAAGTTTCAATGGCTGAAATGATCTGACAATGTCCTTTTTAAAATCCAACCAATTTACTGATCTTTCACCAATATTCTTTGGAATAGGTATTGAAAAAGAAAAGGCAATTGAATTGATCAAATTCTCTATGTCTTTTAGAGTTTCCTCCGAATTTGCGATGATGTTTATGAATGAACGTTTCGTTACGGATAGCTTGAAATTTTTTGCATTTTCAACTAGAACTAACTTCTTAGTAAGTTCATCTTTAATTATAAATTCATTTGACCACAAATTAAGTATATCTGTAGGAGTATTTATTGTCGTAAAGTGAATATTTGCTAAACGATGTAAAATTTCGAATTCTATACGTTTATGACAAGCAGACGGTGCTGAAATACCAACTACTGATGGTTTTTTCGTTTCGATTAGCTGGACTTGCGGATATTTAGTTTGAATTTGCTTTAGGAAGAGATTATCGATAAGATATCTTTTACAGAGTTCATCTTTAACATCGATAAATAATTCAATATTATTAAAGTTCTCTTTTATGTTATCCTCTATTTGTTTTACAATTAGTGCAACGTCATCCAACTTTCCAATTATTTGAGCCTTTGAAGTATCTTTGCAGTAGTTAATTGTTACTTTGTCCGATTTTAAATTGTTAAAGATAAGTTTATCAATTTTTCTATATTTAATTGTTAATTGTTTAAAATGAATATTCAATTCATTAGTTATCTTTTCATTATCGTTACCATCAGCTAAAGAAACAACAATCGTCGGTTTATCTCGATCAAAAGCTAATTTACAGTTGAATCTTTTCAACTCTTCGGATAAATAGCTTTGAAAAGTTGTCGAATTGATAACGAATTGATGAAATTCCGATTTATAAGTATAATATATAGGATCAATGTTGGATAATCTTTTCTTTTCAAATTGTTTATCAGAAGTAACAGGAAGTTTGTCTTTAAAGTCGTCAAGTTTATAGCTTATGAAATCGAGAAAGTTGAATTTTTCAAACGTTAATGTTGAATTACGAAGTTTTATTTCTTTTCTTTCAAGGAGAAACTTAACATCTAAAATACGATAAACGATTGATTGTTAATTAATGATAATTTAATAAGATATTTATTTATCCTAACCAGCAAAGCTTTTAAGACTAATAAAACCAATGTCTCTTCTGGGCCAATAATTATATTCGATAAGGTTTATATCTGATTTAATCAACTTTAAAGTTTTAGCTAATTTTTTCTCACTAAACAAATTTGCATATGATAATTGTATTGTTCTTTCGCATAGAATATCACATATTCCAATAAAAGATGGTGGATAAATTAGAAATTTTTCTCCAGTTTCATCATCAGTTTCCATTCTCTTTTTCAAATGTTTACTCGCAACTAAAAAGAGTTTTTATACATTCATTTAGCAAAATACTACGGGGAAAAATACTAACAGTTTTCATGGATATATTGAATAATTAAATGTTTCTTATCTATTCTATAGAGATCTTTTATACCAAAGTTTGTACCACCACCCTCATCTATTGGTATGCCGAAAATCATTATCAATTCATCTTCATCAAATTCATCATATTCCCGCTGTACTAATATCATTTTATTTGTTTTTTCATGAATAATAAGAATTTGACCTTGAAAATTCAAACCATTCGAGCACTTTATCAATACATTCAAGGTAGCTTTTTGACGCAATCAAGAAAGGAAAAAAGATGATTAATAAATAGTAATACTATAAAATTAAAGGAAAATATTCTCTTTATTACTTTCGACCGAATCGTATTTAATCGTTAAAGTAGTATTGTCTCTTTGGTAGAAACTTAAATTGCCTCCGCAAACTTGTTCGTTACGACATAACAAAGATTTTAAATGTTCATCTTTCATTGTATCGTTTATATTCTGAACTAGAAGATAAGGTACATCTCTCTCTAAGTAAAGATATAAGCCTTAATTGATAAGTAGTAATAAAACGATTAGTAAAAGAATAATACAAACCTTCTTTAGTGAATAATTTTCGAGCCATTGCCTAAATATTCATAGTTCATTGAATCTTACTAAATTGTATCCATTAGAAAATTTTACATACGAAAATAATCTTTGGACGAGAAAGAAGTGTTAAACAATACTGTCTACAATATATTTATAGATATTTGTTACGAAAAACGTGGCCAAGCAAGTATATTATTTAAAAGCCTTCTAAAATTACAAATAGACGGATTTGCTACATCTTTTTCAAAGCTTTTGTTTACATTCTAAGAATGAATCATAAAGTTGTTACAGTCTACTCGTAGAATTATAGATAAAACTAGAACAACATAACAAAGTTTAACTGTGGAAAAAAAGTAGTTGTTTTTGTTTTCTTTAATAAAAAAGTCTCTGATCAAATAAGATAAAAAATATCTTATTGAAAAACATTTAAAAGTAAATTATAAATAAAAAAATATTATAGAAATGTTAAAGTACAGTATTAAGCAATAGTCTGTTAGGAAATTATCGATAGTAGAATCTTTGACAGGTAATTATTAATTGATTGATTGATTCTCTTTTGATCATAGAGACTTTTCTTTTTTCATATATCATCTCTCTAATACTTTCCCACTTTTCTATCATTTATATAGAATTCTTTAAAAAGTAGATATTAAATGAAAATATATTCAATTCACTTTATTAAAAAGTTATTATATAAAAAGTTTATTAATAATCTGAAATATTCAAATTTTTAATAAATAAATTAGAAAATTCATTGAAATTGAATACTTTACTTAATTTCTTTGCGGGATATCTTTGAATTATATAACTATAATAATATAATGAAATTCATGTTTAATCTAGTAGAAATCTAATTTGAATATTTGTATTGAGTATAATTGTGGTGAGTAAAAAGATAGGAATGCTTTATGTAGGCGAAAATATGAAGAAAAAGTTGCAATGAATAACTCTCGACACCTGTTTTGATTTTTTTAGTTTTTTTGGATAAAAAGTATACATTTACCATTCTATTCTTTTTTTCTATATATAAGTATTGTAGATGGTTATATCTAAAGGTTTATAAATAGTTTAGTTTATGCAAATCCGATTAATAGAGTTACTATTACGGACAAAATAACAAAAAACAAAACATTCAAAGCGACATATTCTATTTCAATTAGAGACAGGTAGACAGAGAGAGAGAGAGAGAGAGAGGTACAGTTGTAATATACTTAATAATATTCATGTATCTATATAACAGGAGGGAAAAAAAAGGACGCCTTTTATATTTTTATCTTTATTCTTTCAAGGTAAAAGATCACCTTTAACTAACGCCATCTTTAGAGCATAGTCAAGTATTTGATATTTGATACAATGTTAATTCCATAAATTGTTTATTCGTTAAGGGCAAGTACAAATTTGTTTGATCTTTTAAAATTAGCATAAGGTGAAAGTTTCACCTTTAACAATTCTCTATTCTATAAAAAAAATAATAGAGAAAGGTATAAGAAGCTTTCTCAAGAAGGTTCATTTTTGCTTAAAGTATCTGTAGAATACGATTTCTATATTAGTAATTCATAATTTTAATTGAATTTAATAGCAAGATATTCTATATATATTCTAAAGCTAATAATGTTTACATGAGTAATTTCAATAGCAGAGAATTCTTTCGTCTTTTGTACCATTCCATTACCTTTATCTAATAATTCATTTAATAGAGTGACTTTAAAAGAGTTATATTTTAATAATTAGTCAAAAATAGAAGCATTAATTATTATAAATCAGTATAAATTGGCATTAACAACACTTAAAAAGAAAGAAAGGTTTAGACTCTTATTCAACCTGTCTTGTAATTGTGTCGATTATAGGATGATTTTAAAAGATCACAAACATTACCAATCATACGTAAATTAGAACAGATTGTTATTTATGATTTTAACATTTGTACACACTCATCAAAAAAATTATAAAATAAATAAAACTATATTGTTTATTGGCTTTACTATAGAATATTTGTCAAATGGTTTTTGTTTTTTACTTTTACTAGTAAACTATATAAAAATTGATAATTTCTAAACAATTATCATTCTATTACTGTCTTAAAAGTCTATAGAATCGTTATTTTAAATAGTATTTGAGGTATTTGAACAAATAGAAATCAATCTATAAAAGGTGGGATGAGTACGTAAAAGACGATGGTTCATTTCAATGATAGAAAAATGAATTTAATACCAAAGTGTCAAGGTCATAAGAGAGATAACATTATCTACTATAGTGTTAATGATAATAAGATGAATTTAGTATTAATTGATTATTGTTAAAAGAAATATAGAAAGGAGTCGAGAAGAATTTTTATGATAGATTTTAACTATTTTGCTAATTTAATGATGAAATTATTCAATAATCAGATAAAATTTAATTGTAATATTAATAATTATAGTAATAATTCATTAAATATATAACATATTAACATAATATTTAAACTATAATATCGAAATTTGAATGTTATACTAAAAAAAGCGAATAAAAAAAGTGTCCTTTTTTAAAGTTGAAGTATTCTAAGGTCACAACGCTCAATTTTTTAGCTTTAATCATTTTTTAACGTTGTTTGCGAAGCCATTTTTTAATCGACCAGTAAAAGGATAATGATTTTTAATTTCGACCAAAATAGACTATGTCTTTAAAACTTTCAATTACTTTTAAGCTAATTAAGAAATTGAAAAGTTACTGTAAACATGTGTTTTTTCCCTTGAATACTTCTCAAAAAGTATTTACTCATCCCTTGAGCTTCTCCTCAAAAATCCTATATAAAAGGGGTGCTAGTTATTCCAATTCTCTCATTCGATTATTTGAATTTCTCAAGTTGATGAAAAAACGATATTCATTCTCTTATGGGTGTTCGAAAGTGCTCAATCGCTAAATGTCCTTTGTGCGTTCATTTGGTTTGCTGTTCAAGATGGTGTTCAAGTGATGGTAGAGTTACTGTCAACATCAACGATGACTTCACCTGTAAAACAAGAGGCGTTTGCTTTGTGGTTTTTTGTAAGAGGTGCTCCTTTTTGTCTACTAATTATACAGCTCTATCCCTAAGTACTAGATTCAGTAGGATTCTCTGTTCTTTAAAAAGGGAAAATGACCATTGTGACAATCTATCGACACATATTCGTCAGTGTGGTAGAATTTTTGTTAGATTGTTTCCTATTTGCTCACTTCCTGTTGGTTCGAAAGCGGCTTTGTCTAGAACCGTAGAAATTTTGGAAAATATCCTTAAATCTAATTGGAAACTTGTTAGAAAAGAATTGAGTGAAGATAGTCCCGTAATATTTAGACCTCGTAATACCCCATCGACAAAAATTTCGCCATTTTCTCTTCAAATTTTAAATTTGACCATTAATGGCGTACAAAAGCTATATATACAGCCAAAAGGTGAAAGTTCTAACCGAAGATGCGTATTTTCTAATTCCATGGAAGACTTGAACTATAACGTTATCATCAACCAGAATAATAAGTTGATAGAGCAGAATAGTAGACTCTACGATGAATTGAAAGTAATGGGAAATCGTTTAGACGACTTTTGTAACGATTTTTACAAAATGAAAGAAAACTCCAATACAAACCAAGAATCGCAGTATAGGAGACAATCAAATACTAAAAAAAAGGAAACTGTTGAAAAGAGTAAAACTACTGGAAAGCGATCGGCTTTATCTCAAATCAACACTCGAAGTTTCTATAATGGGCAATATCATGTTTCGAAAAAAGAAATTTCCCATCATAAACGCAACTCTCCAGAGTATTCTGCTCAACCTTCAATTGAGTCGGACGAAAATAGTATTAACACTCTTTCACCACAGACGCATACTGGAAGAGTCTTTTCAGAGACAATAGCTGTGCTTGACTTTTACGATAACTCAACAATGTCTTTTTCGCCCCCTACATATTCTGATACGTCGTACTCTGCCAACTCGAGCGATTGTAGTGATGATGATCATGATGATATTGACAATGATAATGATGATGGTGATAATCGTACTGATTATGGTCATGATGACGACGACGACGACGATGATGATCATGACGATAATGACGATAATGATGATAGTGATGATAATGATGATAATGATGATAATAATGATAATAATGATAATAATGATAATAATGATAATAATGATAATAATGATTATGATGAATATGATGAATATGATAATTATGATGCTGATGACAATACTCGTTCTTCAACATCATCAAATTCTGCAAATATATTTATTGAATCACAGTGGGACTCTTCTACATCAAAAGACGCTGGCTGTAGAAAGAGGAAAACGAATGAGTTTACCGATATGCAAATATCCCAACGAACGAAAATTGGCGAACATGATTTTTCCAATTCTCGTAGTCTTGAATCTCTAATTATTCCGAATTTATCATCAGAAGCACTATCCGCAGAAGAATCAATTATTTCGCAAGAGCTAAACGTCACCGACGATTTCGGTTTTCCTCGAGAGTTGCTTTCCACACCACAGCACAATTTCCAAGAACTGACGTTCAATCACGAACAAGAAATGTTGCGCATACAAACACCAGATTTCTTTAATTACGTGACCTTTGGTCAAGAAACAGATTCGGAGCAAGAAACGACCCCATCTGAATTGCATTCAACTCCAGGTCCTAATTACATGCAAGAATTAACTTATACATACGAAATAGATTACGCACAAGGGCCGTATTCAACTTCAATGCCAAATTTTCCACAAGAGTCGAGTAACCTTCCTGAAGCAGATTTAGAGCCAGAAGCAAATTATATCCAAGAGGCAAACTACTATACACAAGAAGAACCAAATTATACTGAGGAGCCAAGCTATGCTCCACAGTCTAATGCAACACCAGAACCGGATCACACGCAGCAATCAAATAGCATTCAAGCTGAAAAGTCGCCACAGTTGGTATCCCACGAACAATGGCTATCTTCAGATTCAAACTTTCTCTTTCGGTATACAAACAGATTTAACGGCTATAAAAATTAAGCTAATTATAAATATTACCATTATTGCTGAATAAGAAGGAATTATTTTCATTTGGATCCTGAATCTATTTTATTCAATACTCTTGAATTATTTAATTGTCCATTAAACGATTCACACTCTACGATGAAAAAAACTGCAACACTTAAAAAAAATACTTCTCTTTGAGTGGAATCTCTGAATTATTTTTTTTGTAACATTTGACCCAATTGGGATAATTACGACAGAGATTTGGGAGATTATCGGGTTTTCTTTCTTTCTTTCTTTTTCTTTTTTTGAAAGAAATATACTCATTTCGCTTTTGTCTTCAATTGTCGAAGATATTTATACATGTATTTGATATATATATATATATGAAACTCTTGTGCTTACTTTGTATACGTTGATTATATAATAATAAAAACATTTAAAACTTCTCAATTCTAATACAGTTTGGCAATGGTATTGATGTTATTTTTCACCCTAAATGAGGTTAATTTAATAACGTCAAAATATAGGCCTAACAGATAAAATAATTTAACCTTTAATGTATAAAAATTGATTTTTTCTTAGTTATTTTCGTCACCTAAGTGGAATATCATACGTCAGTAGTTAGTAATTTATACTGAATATAAGTGAATCTTTATAGTTTATTTATTAGTAGCTTATTATTCACTATAGAGTGTAGTAACTGTGTTATAGAAAGACTGACTTGTTGTTTGTTAGTATTAAAAATAGTTAGATAGTTGAAATGCGTTTGTCTTGTCTTTTTTAATATAATTAAAATGAAAATATGTTTATATGATAAAAATTGTAAGTATTATCTATTAAAGATAACTTACGGCATCCGTAGGGTTCGAAAGCAATTCCAGCATAGAGGCTACCAGATCTTGTAAGTATTCTAATATATCTTGTTACAATTTTTTGCGGGAATGTCACATGAATTAATTGGTTCCAGTTAGATGCAATATTTCCCTTAAAAACCTACAACAATGCCAAAATTCAAATTACAATTATACATAAAAATTATTTATAGTATAGACGAGACCTTCTTACTGCTTCCTTCTTTAAAATATACTAATGAAGATGTGGAGAGTCCATACATGAGATGAAAATTGGTAGTATACCTAGTTGCATCACCACCTTTCATATCTATTCCATATATATCATAGATACGCACTACAATTTGTACAACATTTTAAAGTAATATTATATTGTATGAAATTTTACTTCTAACATAGGTCTGCTTGAATCCAACTTCCAGGTACTCTAGAAGCTAACCAAACACCTGCAGTTGGTTTCATTCTTGCTGCCCTTGCTGGAGTTAAAAAATGATCTTTATCCGTGAAAATTGAGTCTGGAAATAGTTGTTTGTCATCAAAACCAACTTTCCTTAATGAACAAGTATTTGAGGTATTAGACGAATGAATAATTATCATCAAAATTATTATGGATATTTTCGTTTTCAACTTATTCATGTTGTAGAGTGAAAGTGCTTGTGATTGCAATTTTGCCCATTTATAGACTATATTTAAATAAATAAATAGAATTTTTTATAATGCATTAATCTGAACCAATAACAAGCCAAGAAAACATAAGAGCCTATTGTTTTTGTACTGTGTATAATTTTAAGGCCCCTTTTGCAAGAATTATAACTGTAAAACTGCAATATTACTTTTACCAAAAGTAAATATAGAATATTTCTTGTAAAACTGTAAAAATCTAAAACAGATGTTGTTTTATATTCTCGGCTACTCTGATTTGATATTGATATTTATGAGATCTGATTCAATATTAGACTATTGATACTAATATATGAGTAATATTTCTATCTTATCTTAATCGTTCAATTCCTTGGGTCAATGATATCTCTGTAATAACCGTACGTAATCTACGTGTGTTACTTTCATACGGTATATCCTGGCATAGTTTCATTTTATTAACAACTAATTACTATTAAATTAATAAGAGTTTTGTTGTGACAAATTTTAAATATATGCAGTAGATTATTCAGTATATTTTGCATTAAATATTAATATAATACTGCAAAGAATTGAGTTTACAATTTATAAAACAAAACCAAACAATACAAACTAGAAATAAAAAATATTCGTTATTTTAATTTTCCCACGTACCATCACTATAGAGAGCTGGAGCTGTACTCCTAAGATTATATCTGGAGGACATCACTTGTCCGTAGGCTCCTGCACTACGAATTGCAATTATATCTCCTCTTCTTGTCTTTGGTAAAATAATATTCTTACCAAAGCAATCGGAACTCTCGCAAATTGGACCTACTACATGGTATCTACAACTTTCATCAAGTGAACTTAGATTATTTATTTGATGATATGATTGATATAGTGCTGGACGAATGAGTTCTGTCATTCCGGCATCGACTACCACAAAATCTGTTTGTATACCTTTTTTTACGAATAGAACTTTTGTAATTAACGATCCACAAGTTCCAACAATCGAACGACCAATTTCAAAGTGTAAACTTTGGTTTGGTCTTTTATCCAAATATTTATCAAATAATGCAAAATAATTAGAAACATTATAAGCCTCACTATCATCTGGATTATTGTAATTAATCCCCAATCCACCACCAACGTTTATGTGATCCAAGTTAATGTTTCTCTTTTCCAAGTCAATTTGTATTTCATTAACCTGCTTACAAAGATCTTCATACACGGTTAAGTCTGTTATCTGAGAACCAATATGAAAATGTAATCCTTTCAAATAAATATTATCCATTGTTTGTATTTCATCCAAAATGTTATCTAACATTGTTAAAGGTATTCCAAACTTATTTTCTGACAAACCAGTTGTAATATAATGGTGTGTTTTTGCATTAATATTAGGATTTAATCGAAGAGCTACAGGAGCAAATTTTCCCATATCAAGAGCAATATTATTAATTATTTTCAATTCTTCCAAAGATTCAACATTCAGACAAAATATATTATTTTCCAATGCCAAACGAATTTCTCTATCAGTTTTTCCAACACCAGCCAAAACGATGTCATTACTTGAAAATCCCATTTTTAAAGCATGAATTATTTCATTACCACTTACGCAATCAGCTCCAAAGCCATAATTGGAAATTAAACGCATAATTTTGGGATTAAAATTTGCTTTTACAGCATAATGTACTTTGTAATTATATTTTGAAGATTCATTCTTCACAGTCATTAAAGTCTCCTCTAAAACCTTTAAATCGTAATAATAGAAAGGAGAAATATCTTTTTCAATCCCTTTTACAATGTGCTCATTTAATTTCATTGCTGCTGCATACTTTAATAATTAGTACGTCTCAAAGGACTTATATAGATAATATTTTTTATATAATAGGCCACAGATACAAACACGTGACTATCAAAAATTATCAATAAAAAGTACCTAATAATAAATATATAACATCTTTGATTTGGAATCTCTTATTTGTTTCTTTAATGGTTTTAGTACTCATATCAGCATATCATTGATAAAGATAAAACAAGGTTTGATAATACAATATTAATATATAATATTATAATTCTTGTCCTAAGGGCTATGCGATCGATTTCACTTTCATCTCGGTATAAGTAACTAATAGGCTTCTATCTCTAGATAATAATCAGAATCCACTGCGCACGCGTAATACTATAAATGCAGAGTTTTACGATATTAAATAGAGATTTTTTACTGATAAAGATAAATTTTAACTGATTATACATTGACCATTAGCCGTTTTTAATTTGGTGAATATCTTAAATAAATCACAGTAAAGAAAATAAGATTTCTATATGTTTTTAATCGATTGGGTAAGATGATACGCTGGTCAGATACAAAATTCAATTTATTTATACTTTATATATTCCTTTAAATACGGTTATTGTTTTTATCGGTGAACAACCATTCCATCAATTTTTAAATGACGTCATATATCTTATCTCTTGTATTAGGATAAGATTATATAAGAAGAGATTCATATTTAATGAACAACAATATACGTTTTAAAACATACTAAAAGAGAGAAACAAAGAAACAGAATAAGAGATGCTTATAAATGTAGAATATGTCATTTTCTTCATTTTAAATTTAATATTTCTTTTTTGTTGTATTATGTGTATGAGCAGCGTCTAGAGCTATATCGAAATCGAACAGAGCCTACTGAATTATCCTTATCATCCCAGAAACTATATACGACTGTAAAGTAAAAGGGTGTATAGACGTAATACAAAGCCTTTAATTTTTATTCCGTCTACGTGAAAAATCCATCGTAACCGTTAAGATTACAAATAAAATTTCCAAATTCAACTAGACTTCTCTCAAAAGATGATTTAAAAATTTCGTCATCAGTACCAAACGCAACGGCTGAACTAAGAGAGTTATGTATATGTATTATATCTATTTCTCTTAGCTATTTATCCCATACGTATCGAGTACGGTTAGTATAAATATTATTATTATGTAACATTCAATTATCAATTTAACATACGATTTAATTTGTTTTTATATTGTCTTCAAAGAAATACAGTTTCTAACTAAATAGCTTCCATTTTGAATTCTCCACAGAAAAGAGAGAGAGAGAGAGGCTAAGATCACTTAGTGAGAAAATATTGGAAGCTTAATAATAAACTGCATATAATTTAATTAATTAATATTCAAGAACATTTTAAACTGGTATACGAAAATGTTAAGCAGGCTCTTCCCTATTCCACTTATTATTCTTACTCAAATTATGAACAGTTGCTTAATAATAACCATTACGTATTATGTTTCTTTATAACCATGGTTTATTGTTTACTAGTTAATTTGATGCAGTGAAAATTTTTGCAAATGAATTCTAATTTCAATATGTCAAAAATCTTTTTATTTCCTCTAAATTCGAGACGAACCAATCGATCAAGGTAATATAATCCAGAATACAAGTGAAACTATATTCTTTATGTTCTTAATCATTTTCAGTGGTTCTATAGACAAACAAAATCCAATTTTGGCAAATTATTACAGCTATCCGCCAGGTATAAATAATATACTATATTTACTGTTACTATCATAGAAGATGATAGTTTTTTTTAATTAGCATTTGATACAGATAGACAGAATCTGCCTTTGTCTTTTGACAGACCACAAACTTCTCGTAAGTAATAGATATAGTAACTGATTTAAATTTTTACAGCAATAATGAGTCTTTTATTCAAATTTTTCCTGTCATAATTTACTTTTGAACAGATTCCCTTATGAACTCTCACTATGACAGGAATATTAAGGTATAATATCATTATTGTTATGAGTGATAACTCTAACTGTTTCTTCTCCTTTTCATAAAGGAGAAAATCGATATGTGTGACGAAACTCCTGAAAACTGGTCTTGTTTTTATGGTCCTTTGAATGATATATTTGAGACTAAACCTAAAGTTGTCTTCTTGAAAAACAAAGAAGGATATCTATTCAAGTATGAAAAATTGAAAAACTCTTATCATTTTTTCAATAATCTTCTTTTTGAATATAGTGAAATGGAAAAATTCTTCTTAAAAGCTTGGAAAGATCTAAGTAAGGAATCAGATGCAAATATAACAGTTAGAGAGATAACTAGGATAGAAAATCCGCAAATCTTTTCAAATTATACAACAGAACGTAAAAACCTGCTAAAACGTTCGACAAAAGAGAAAATAAAACTTCGGGAAACTGCCGTCGATTTGATGGTTCCTAGTACTCTTCGACAATATTTAAGGCTGGAAATTAATGAAAAGTATTTATTTCATGGTACATCTCGTAATAAAGCTCTTATAATTACAAATAAAGGATTTGATAATCGAGTCGCAAGTTCTGGTTGGTTTGGAAAAGGTATTTATCACGCCCATAGTCCAAAATTCTCCCATCACTACACCGGTTCAGAAAATCCTCGGTATATGTTTCTATCGAGAGTTCTTCTAGGAGTTGCTTATGATTCCACGTCACACGCAGGAAAATCTTTTACAACGCCTCCTTGCAAGACCTGCAAGAACACTTCATGCGAAAATGTGGATCATAAAAAGACCTTTGATAGTATAATTGGGAATGGATCGGAGTATGTCGTGTACAACGGTCTCCAATGTTATCCGGAGTATTTATTCAGTTACGATTACAATTAACCTTCTTTACAATTCTTTCCCTTTTCATGTCATTTTCTTATGAATGTAATAAATGAAGCTAATAAAAGAAATATTACTTTTTATCCTTTCTCTTAGATTCCACAAAAGAAAAAAACACCAAAGAACATTATTGGTTATTGGATAGTGACACTTTTCTTGAAATCTTTAGATTAGTATCTTATTCTTCATTCTTCGTATTGACATTTATCTAGTCTTAATTTCGTCTTAAATCTGGGCTCTTGACACTACTCATCAATTATGAGCTTTATTAAGATTTTAATTCAATTTTGAAAATTTCTTCAATTCTCCATTAGAAAATATTGACGATTGTTTAAGATGATAATTGAAGAATGTCAATCCTTGTGTCTTCTGGATAAAAACTATTCATTTTTTTCAAGCATCTGAAAATCTTATCAAATATCTACTTAACAAAAAATAAATTCGAACTATGAAAGATAGATATAGAGAAGTTAACTCTCCGGGGAAAACTCATCTAAGTAAGTAGACAAAGTCCATTGCTATTCTTAATAAAAACAATATTAAATTACAAACAAACACTTGACTTGAATGTTTGTTTTATTATTTAGCAAACGAATCATATTCTACCTGCTAATCGAAAGTAGAAGCCCGTGAAATATTAAAACATATTTCCACCTAGTACACTATTACTGCTAATAAATTTATGTCATTTAATAGGGTTAATACAAAATTCTATAAGCAATAGACGAATAATCATACTTTTTAATTTGATTCGTAAACATTTCGTTGGAAATCAAATAAAAAATGAGGTCAGTTATTAGAAAGTGAATTCCAATTCTTAGCCAGGCGTATGGTTATATGAAACTTTAATCCAAAAATACCCATACTTATATTGATTTTTCAATAGTTTTAAGATAATCTAAAACACAAGTGTTAAAATAATTTTCAAGTGATTTTCTACAATTTTGTAATTGTTCATCTTCAATTTGAATATTCCAATTGAAAAGCAATTGTTCAATTTTTCTAACTTCTCTAAGCGTTTCAGAAATTGATGCTCTATCTAAAAAATTATCTTTTCCAATTTTTTCAAATAGTAATTCGTGAACTTTTAATAATTCTTGAACGCAAAGTTCTACTTGACCAAGATCTTAATTAAATAAGTAATACAATACAAATAATGTATGCTTTTCTAGAAAATATATACAGTATTTATGTATATTTACCTGTATAAAATGAGGAATTTTTTGGATTTAATTGCTAAAAATATTGGAATAGAAGAAACAAATATAATATTAATGAATATTCATAAGATCATATTATTACCTCAGTTATAGCAATAAAAAATCTCAAGTACACTCGAAACATTTTATATTTCTTGAATACCTATTCAAAAAACAAACAACTAACAATAACAATATTTTAGTAAATCATAAGCTGGCCTACTTTATCTTGTAAATCCCATTTCTTACAGATTATTTTCATTGCTTCGGAATAGTATTGTTTAAATCCGAAATTTATGCTAGAAGAATAGAGAATTCTGCAGCAAGATTCAACTGTTTTTATCCAAAAAAAGTCATTCTTTGAATAGTTTTCCATTCTATTAATTAATTTAAGATAATCTGTTGAATAAGGATTATTTAAAATCCATGTAGAATCTTGATTTTCTATATCAACCATAGCAAATATGATCTTTTGTGAAGAGAATGTAATATTATTTCAATATATATATATCGCCATTTCTTTACGTTTTACCTTCCAAATTATATTCAATTTTTCATCGTCCCAATCATCTTTTTCAGCTAAATCCAACATTCTTTGTAAAGTATAAACAATAAAAGAATCTCCACATCCTTTTAAATGTTGAGCTAGATTCAAGACATACAAAGGATCATTCAATTCCTTTATCTATTGAATAAATGCAGTATTATTAGACGTAGAACATTTTCTTCATATAGAAAATAAGAATTGAATACCTGTTCGTATTTATTAGGATCATCAGAAGTGAATTTTATGATATTCTTTCCATCGTATAGGAATATTCCTTGAGAAGAATACAAACAGCAAAATTTCAAATTAGGCTTTTCAACGCTTAGATTTCTAAAATGATGAAATATTATTAAAGTTGATAGAATATACTGTATATAAAAATTTAATAAGAAAAAAATAATTAACCGTTTACTTAAACATTCTAACCATTTTCCGTGTTTTACATTGACAATAAGCTTCTCCAAATGCCAATTAGATTCAAAAAAGATTCTGTTTACAGCGTCAAAGTTTATTTCAGATTTTCCAGTTAATACCAGCTCTTTAAAGTTTTTTAATTCTATTAGAATGTTATGAAGACGTTTCAAAGAGTTGTAACCATTGTCGAAATGTAAACTTTGTAATTTTTTCAATTCCATTAATACACTTTCATTTTTTATTTTCGATGCTTTAAGCTGTAAATTTTGAAGATTTGGTAATTCTTTACAAAGTATTGTAAAATTTTCATCATCGAGTCTTGTATCGTTCAAATTTAATTTTTTAAGTGATTTTAATCTTCTGCATGTTGAACTATTCAATTTAAATGATAAGGAGAGCGATGTAAGATTAAGTTCCGTTAAATTTTCAACATTTATAAAATCTTCAATATCTTTTAGATTATATAGAACATCGAAATTTTTTAATTCAAGTTTTTCCAGTGGATGATCTTTTAAGAATTTTAAACTTTCAGGTTTTTGTATGCCGTTTAGATTAATACTGAATTTTTGCAATTTAGATCCAGACTGATTAAGCAGGTTCAAATCTTTATCGGTAACCTTATGATTGAGTTGAGCTGCAGATAAAATAGTTTGCGCACCCAGAGAAATAGATGAGCCACTATTTGAATTTCTAATAAACTTGTAAAAATTTCGATAATATCGATATTTAAATAAACTTTTACACAGATTACAATTAAAAATCGACATTTTTACCGATTCCGGTAAAAGTTTAGTTGTAAGTTGTTGTTCGATGTGGGTTTTTTACAATCTGATTTATCGTTCAAAGAAAACTGGTAAAATTGTATTTTTAAGATTGTGTGGTTATGAAGTTGGTTACACAAGTTTGTTTATGAATAGAATAAGCATATATTTTTAGTCAATGTAAATGTCTTTTGTGAGTAATAAGTCAATGTTCTCTAACAAGTAAAAGTGTCCTATTTACAGGTAAAAATAATAACAAACTTTAACTGTTTACATCAGCTCTTACCATGTTTTTACTTTTTCATTTAGTAAAAAGTATAATAAATTCAAAAGGGCAACGTTTAATTGAATCATTCTATTTAATTACATGAATATAATTTCACATATATTCATAACATTTCGACTATGTATGAAAACTAATTGACAAAAGTGATATTTACATTGACAATTATAGATACAATATGAATTTGAATTTCCAAATGAAACGCTTTTCAATAGACATTCACTAAATAAATTATCATAACGACTTATTAATAAATTTTGCTGTTGGCAAATATCTTTTGTAATATTTCCCTTATAGGCAATCTTTATCTGGAAATTTTCACTAACTAATCCAGTACAGAATTTATTAGTTAATCGTTCGGGTGAAAAGCACGTATCTTCTGAATTATCAAACCATTCAGTTACATATTTACATTCATTTTCTTTAATTGTCGGATGTAATGTAATACAATCATGGTTATTGAAAAATGAAAGATAGAGATTTTTTATTTCGTCGCCAGATAATTGTCTATCCCAAAATGCTAACTCGTCAACATAGCCCGTAAAATGTTTAAGAAGTTTAACAGAACCTATTTCTGAACCAATATAATTGTATAGTGTAATATTCGACATATATCTATTCACTTCAATACTATTTATATACATAAATGCTTCTTTACGAGATCTGTCAAATGTAATGGCCAAATGAAACCATTCTAAAGAATTTACAATACCTTCAACGTAGATAAACTGTCCGTCTTTATCAGTTATTAAACAATATACAGTATATTTTGTTCCAATTTTGCTTATTATTACAAAAAATTTATTGGTTTTTGCAATATTACCATTTTCAAATATAATTTGTTGTGGAATAGCAAAATCGTAAAATTTCAACCAAATTGCAAAGGTAAAACCATTAGAACATGCTCCCACACTACCAAAACAATTGTTACGTTCTCCTAAACTTAGAAAAGCTGCGCTTCCCTTTTTAAGTATTGATTTACTTGTAGGAAAATTACTTGATATAACTTCATAGTCAGTAGAATATACGTAATATTGCGTATTACTATTTGAAAGTTTAAAAAGTATGCTAGCATGACTGCCATGAATTAGACCATCAAATGTAGTTTTAGCTAGCGGATTAGATAGTGAATGAGAATAATACTTCAATTGTAGAATGTAAATTACGTATAAAAACATCTTGATCATCTTGTAAAAGTTACGTTGTACTAAAATTAAAGTGGTATATTTTTCATTTTATTGCTTTAATAGAACAAAAGAGATAATTATAAATTAATAAAATTATTTTCTTTTAAAACAAATTAAAGCCTATTTATGAATTTTTAATTTCAGTATTTTGACCTAAATAGATGTAAAATGATTTCTTAATTTGATAATTATATAGATGTTCATATATATAATTGATTACCAATTAGATTATAACTTTGTTGTAAAAAACGAAAAATCCATTTCAATTAAGAGATACATGAACTACTTGTTCTTATTTTAGTATTAGTAATATTTATAGAATATCTCATAAATGTAGATTTGAATATATGCTTATACGTAATAAAAAAATTGACTATACTAGTAAATTTAACGGTCAATGACCAATGAGTTCGGATAACGGCTTTTTCTGCGTTCCTATACAATAAAATGTGTCAAGTCGCTCTGAGTTCTATCACAGAGCATATTGTACATCCGCTTTAACACATTGTAAGACTCGTTGACAGAAAAAAAATTTGGTAGATATTTTTTTTTGTTTCCAGACCGTCTGGGGTAATTTCAATGTCATAGAGATTGAAATAGTTTATTTACAGATAATAAAGATGTCGTTTTCATCTTTGAAACAACTAACACTTCAATTTATTTCACAAAATTTATGTGATATTCAAAGAGTGCTTGGTAATTCTGGTACTCTACCATTATCTCTAAGCCAAGAAATAATGGAATCTTTACTTAGTTTAAATAAAAAAATGACTGATGAAGATATCAAACATTTAGCTACAATTAAATTTCAATTGAAAAGTTTAAGTATCAATTGTAAAAAGATAAGAAATATTGAAAGTCTTAGTTTCTTTAAAAAGTATAAGATCAAAGATTTTCGTATAAGTGATCTTAAACATATTAATTCATTGGATGACATATTGAAATTTATCAATTTAGGTTCGCTAAGAAAGCTTTCGATGTTTGCAATAAAGCCTACTTTCGACCTAAAGAGAAATACTTGTAAATTGTTTAGATCTTTAACTAAATTAGAAATTATGTATAGTCCTATAAAGAGTGATAAATTTCAAATTATATGCGAAGAGTTAAAAAATTTAGAAGAGTTATCCATTATGAATTTAGAAGATATTTCTCAAGATAATCTTTATAGAAGAAGTAGAAGATATGAAAAATATTACGACAAAAGAAATGGATCATTCTATAGAAGAGATCTTGAGATATATACATTTAAAGATTTATTAAAATTACGTCGTTTAAAGAGATTACATCTTACACTTGAAAAATTAGAATTAGATCATATACTACACTGTGAAAATTACGTATTTGATAAAAGGCATAAATTAGAAGAAATACAAATAACAGTAATACATACTAATAGATTATGGTTGAATAGAATGAAGAAAAGGTAGTTTAGTTGAAAAAAAGAAGAAATTTATTAAAAGTTTCTACGTTTTTTCGTTTACACAGAACATTGGAAGATTCAAGTTCAAAATTCAAATTTGCCTATTTTAGTTCAAGCGATAGATGTTTTATATATGACAGAGAAAATGATTTAACTATTAATAGTAAGAATTTCGAAAATTATACCGAGGTAATAATATATTAACTAGATAATAGATCAATGAAATTCTTTTTATTGTTACAGTCAAGAAATATAACAAATCCTGAATATTTGTTGGCGCTTGTAGGTCGTTTAAAAGGTCATGAAAGTTCATTTTTTTTTCTTAAACTTCGTGGTATGATTACCGATGCATTGAATAATAACAATACCGATAAGGATTTAGATATTATTTGGCAGGTAATCTTAATGTTTAATAAAATCGTAATATTTAATAAATTCTACTTTCTCTTTTTAGGTACATTTCGAAGTGATGAAACATCGAAAGAACGATAATAATAGCGTTGGTCTCTTTCACGATGATATCTATTTAGAGTTTTTAAATCGAATGTTGGAATGTTCACAAAGCGAATATCGTTTAAGACAATTAATTATTGTCCTAATGGAATGGTTCCACGAACAACGTTTTGCAACAGATTCATTCGAAGTATTCTTTAGTGGAATTACAATTCTCGATAAAAAATGGAGTTTAGTTGAACAGGTTTGCTACCTTAAATCTAACTAATTGAATATTAATAATACAATTTATTAATATTATTTGAAGATTTTTCCAAAATGGGAAATATTTAAATTAATTGTAAGACTTTTCTACGATATTTACGAAGTAAGTATTTTTCTTCAAGTATTATTAAATCATTCTCTTTAAATATATATATATATAAAATATAATACTGTATGTATGCACGTTTCCAAAGGAAGCCTGTTACTGCGATGTGGAAATGGCAAGACGATCTCGTAAGATACCGTTTTTATTAACAATACTTAACATTAATTTGAAATATTAATCTAATCGTTTTTTCAGTAAGCGAAAATCATATTCGAACTATTGTAAGTTGTGTTGAAGATAACTTCAAAATTTGTCACGATCTCTTCGATTATATTTCATCAATTAACGTCTTTCGGAAGGTGTTTATAACTATTTAAACTATGTCTTTTTTTAAGTAAATCTTCTTTATTCAATCTCAATTAATCATTTTATTTTTAGGTCCAATTGCATGTAGTTGTAAGAGAATTTCAAGAACTTTTCGCAAGGAATCGAAAAGATTATATTCACAATGATTTGGTTGCTAGTTTACGTACATTTTTGAATTATTATATATCCTGTATAAGAGAGGTTACAGGAAAGCCTATTGATAATATAACAGCCGAGAAATTTAGTAATAAAGACGCTATTTCATCGTTGATGTTATATAATGAAGAAATATTGAAGGATTTAAACTATTAAATGAAAAATGAGATATTTTTGTGTTTTTGTTTATTTAATGACGATTATTTCAATGCATATATATATATATATATATATATATACTGTATATACTGTATATAAATAATGTATATATGCAACTTATATATAGTTCCTAAGTGTTTATTACGTAAGTTATAAACTGTAGAGGATTTAAACGTTTAAAATAAACGGTTTCGTATAAAATCATATGAGTTTTAATAGAAAATAGATTAATATTTAAAGATAAATAATGTAAAGGCGTAACAAGTCAAACTGTACGAAAGGTTAAATGAGTCATGTTATTTAACTTTAATATCTACTTAATTCAGGACAAACAGATATAACTGCTCAAGTTTTTCAAAAAAAACGCTTTTCATTACATTTTTCTAGTGATAGATATGCCATTTTTAACTTTAATGCAAATTACTCTTCGATTCATTGCGTTCAATTTCTCAGATGTTCAAAGATTTATTGGTTATTCTGATATTATTCTTCCATTTACTATCTGTCATGATATAATTGAATTTTTGGATGAGCTAAATAATGGAGTTACTGATAATGATTTAATCCTTTTAAATACAATAAAATTACAACTAAAACAACTAAATCTCAATTGTCAAAAGATATATAATATTAAAAATTTATACTTTTTAAAAAGGTATACTATTGAAAATCTTCGATTAATCAACTTTCGAGCCGGAAACACTTTGGAAGATGTTTCTAAATTTACTAATGTTAAACATCTTCAAAATCTTAGTATCTCCTTTCAAGATAATTCATTCGATCTGAAAAGACAAACATGTCAAATGTTTAAATCTCTAACTAGTCTACATATACGAAATATAATTATGAAATATGATAAATTTCAATTAATATGCTCAGAACTCGTTAACTTGACAGACTTTACCGTCATGAATTTGGAAGATATTTCGTACGATACTAAATATAAGGTAAATAGAAAGACAGAAAGATATAAGAATAAAGATGAGAAGATAAAATTTAATGGAAAAGAATTCAATACTTTTAAAGATTTAAAAAATTTGAAATACTTGAATAAATTAAGCATTACATTCACAAATCCTAAAAATACTACGTTTTTTGATTGTATAAAGTACTTACTAGATAAAAGAGTTCAATTGGAAGAGATAACGATTGTTGTACCAAATTCTATAGAAGATTGGTTAAATGATCTAAAGAAAAGGTTTAGTATAATAGGAATATTGTTTTTCTAAATCAATTTATTTCCCATTATAGAAGCTTAGAAATCTTTAAATCCAGTTTAAAGTTTTTGTATTTTACTTCGTTCGATGAGAGTTTTATTTATGATAAAGAAAATAATTTTAATATAGAAATACATTACGTAGAAGAGTATAAAGAGGTTAAAAAGATTAAACTTCTATTTATTAGTATATATACTGTTTATAGTTCATTCAATTTTTATAGTCAAAAGACATAATTAATCCTGAAAGTGTATTGATGCTTGCCAAACGTTTAAAAGGACGAGAAAGTTTCTATCTTGTGAATAAACTCTACGAATTGATGAATAATAACTCTATAGCTAATTGTACGAGTATGGAAAACTTTTACAATACAATATGGGAGGTAGTAGGCATTATTAATTGTGAAAACATTCAAAATTTTGAGTCTACTATTAAACGATTTCTAGGTTCACTTGGAAGTTTTAAATGGTAGAAAAAGTATCCGTCGTAATGAAAGAGTTGAAATTCTATTCCATGAAATTTATTCGAATTTTCTCAATCGATTATTGGAATGTTCCAAGAATAGATACTATTTAGGAAAATTTATTATTTTCTTTGCACAATGCATGCAGGAAGAGGTTCTTTCAACTTATACAAAGACTTTTTTCAGCGAAGGAATTAAAGTTATGGAAAACAATTGGATAATAGTTGAAAAGGTGAGTGACTTGTTTTATTAGCTTTATTCTTATCCTTACGTTTAATTACTAAATATATTTTATTATCTCTATCTTTTTCAATATCAGGTGATTCCAAAATGGAAAATACTACAATTAGTTTTTAAAATTTTCTACGATATACGTAATGTAAGTTTGATTAGTTTTTCATTGATCTAAATAACAAATAAATTGTCCTCTTTTCTAGGAAATTTGTTTCCATGAAAGTTATAGCTCTAGTAAGTCTTGGAATTGTTCTATCTCGTATATCAAACATATATTATATTGAATATTCTCTTTCTAGTGAATTCTGATAGATATGTACTCGTTTTAAAATGGATGGAAGAAAACTTAACAATTTGTGATTTGCTCTTTCAACATCTATCCCACTTGAATATATTCGAAAATGTTGTATTATTATATTTACTATTATTCTATATATTAATTGTTTATCATTCTAAATATTCAATTTTTTCTCTTTTGTTCAATTTTCTAGGTAAATCTCACAGAAGCAATAAAGGAATTTCAATATATATTCAAAAGAAACCAAGATAATAGAATAAACACTAATATGATTGATCGATTACGCAAATACCTAAACTATTATATTGATTGTTTAAATAGTACTATGGAAGGATGTCTTAATGATGTACAAAGCAGGAATATAAGCAACAGGAAACTAATTTTAACATTGATTGCGTTTCATGATAAATTGCTTAAAAAATAAAGGAAAGAGTAGTAGAGAGGGCAAGGAGGATGGATGAGAAACGGAAGAAGATATTATTAGTATATTATTCATTATTTTATAACATGAAGGAATAAGTTATATCTTTAAGAATTAACAAAAAAGAATAACTTAAACACACAAACAAATATGATCCTGTTTGTTTGTTGCTTGAAATGTTTCTAATAATGAAAAAAAGTGTATACTTACCAATCTTATGTAATAATAACAAATCTTCTGTTAGAGCTTTTATGCTATTTATCTGTGAATTTATATTTGTTAACTTATTTGTTCTATGAGTTTGTGTAGTGTTCTTTAAACTTTTATACAATAATTTTCAATGTTTATCAACTTAAATGATAAAGCAGTTAGAGTTTGACTTTTATCTTATTTCTAAGAAAGAAAACTTTATAAACTTCTCAGATGTGTTGAATATTAAGTGGTAATTGTAAAAATATGTGATAGTATTTAGGATTTTAATACCAATTTTATAGAGTTTATTCACCGAATGACTAATAGAATAGCTACCAGATTTCCTTGAGCGATAATATAATTTTCCACATCGGTCTTGTGGAACAAATGTTTCTTAAAGTAAAAAATGTCTATACCAACTTTAAAACAACTTAGTCTCGAGCTAATTCGATTAAAGTTTAAAGAAGTGAATGCATTGCATGATAAATCTGGTTCATTATTACCATTTTCAGTGAGTGAGCAAATTTTTCATTTTATGGATGAGATAAATCAAGGATTAACAGACAAAGAAATCATCAGTTTTAAGTCAGACTATTTTCAATTTCGAGAATTAAGAATTAATGGCAAAAAGTTAAATAATCTAACAAGTTTAGATTTTCTGAAAAATCATCCAATTGAACATTTTCAAATAATGGACATTAACTTTCCATTAAATGATATATTAATTAATTACTTATCTATTGAACGCTTAAAAAGTCTTGGTTCGTTTAATTGTACTTTTGATATAAATCCATTCTACCAATTGAAACATCTAACTAAATTAGAAATATTTTATAAAGAATCAAAAATTAAAGATTTTCAAATAATATGCAAAGAATTGAACAATTTACAAGAGTTAGCTTTTATCGATTTGGCTGATAATTCTGAAATACTTCCACATGATTTTGTAGATGGTAAAATAATAATTGGAAAGAACAATAGACAAATAGAAAGAGATTATTCAACTGAGAAAATGTTTGAATATTTAACATTGTTGAAATGTTTAAGGAAGTTGTATATTAATTTCTTTTCAAAATTAACCTTTCAAACGTTGGAAGAGTTCCTCTTTAATTCAGAAAATATATTGGAAGAAGTGTTAATAAGAGCACCAAAAACTTGTGAAATCTGGTTAAATATAGTGAAAACAAGGTAAATACAATGTTAATTATATACTGTAGTTTATTTTAGCAAATAAAGTCTCTTTATGTATGTCTTATAGAAATATAAAATCTGAATATTCAAATTTCAAAATACTCTACATTAAAACAGCTGAAGAATGTTTTATATATGATAAAAAATTGGGATTAACTATAGAATGCCCTCAATCTAAAGATTATCAAGAGGTATTACTCGATTAATATTCAATTTCTTAACTTTTAGTTAACTGTTTCTATAGTCTACGGAAGTAAATAACCTTTACAATCTTTTAATGCTAACCCAACACTTGAAAGGTTACGAAAACGATTATATATTTCGAAAGGTGCTTTCTTTACTCAACAATTTTACTGATTGTAATATTTCTAAAGAAAGTATAGAAATAGTGTGGATGGTAAATATTTTGATAATCAATTAAACATTCTATAAAAGTTATGACACTCTTAGATACTTTTCGAAGTAATGAAGTATAAAGAAAGAGATTTTTGCAGTATTTTTCAATTTCATTTTCGATACTATTTCGAAATAATTAATCGAATGGCTGAATTTTCAAAAAATGAAATTTATTGGTTGAAAATAATTAGTACACTTTTAGAACATTTGGAAACAAATAAATTTAGAACTGAGAATCACGAATTCTTTGTAGAGACAAAAAATATCTTAATGAAAAATTGGAAACTAGTGGAAAAGGTTGAAAATATTAATTAACAATTGAACTAACTATATATATATTAATAATATATATGTTATCTTTTATCTTAGATTATGCCTAAATGGAAAATATTCAAGTTGATTATGAAAATTTTATATGATATCATCTATGTAGGTTTGACTTTTCAATTATGAGAAGTTAATAATGTTTGAATCTTTCAATTAAGGAAACAAACCATCTCGGATTTCTATGTCGATGTGGCTTTAGTAGGCAATAATTTATTCATTAGTTTCGTCTCTCTTCTCGCTTACTTATACTTTTCCTATGTATTTCAGTCACTGACGAAAACTATGAAACTAGTTTCAACTGTATGAAATGGTGTACCGAAATTTGTGATGAAATTTTTGAACCTATTTCACAAACGAACGTTTTTGAAGAGGTTAGAATATCTTTATTTAATAATCATTTTTAAAATTAAATGTTCACAGGTACAGATGGAAGTTATGTTGAGAGAATTTCCAAATATCTTTGAGAGACACTGCTATTTTGTGTACGATTTTTTTTTGGCGTGCGAAGGGAAATTTTTAGATTATTACATTTCTTGCCTTAGAGATGCAACGGGAAAAAGAAGAGATGATGAAACAAAATCATTTGATACCAACGGCAGAAAAATTGAATTTATTAAACTATTACACTCAGAAAAGAATTGATGATTTGAATGCACTTTTGAACATTAAAATTCGGAAAATATTTAGACTTTTCAGTTGATGAGGAAAATTTTAAGGCATTTTTTTTAATTGATTTTTATAAATCTTGTATTATATTTATTGATCCTATATTTTTAGATACTTCTTAAATGTTTTACTTTTTGAGAATTGTGTAGGGCAAACCTATTATAGGGTCAATTTGTAGTATTCTAATTTATCCTTCCAGTATATTCTGCTAGATGATATAAACAATAAAAGAATAGAATGTTTATGGAATAAGAGATATTACATTCATATACGACAGGTAAAAATAATAATGAAAGTTCAAATTCCAACGCCTGGTGAAATTGTTACGATATACCTTTGGTTATAATATCACTGATATTGCTAAGTACGCTAAGCACCAGGATAGCGATTTACTATCAAGAGCCTTTGAAGACATAATTCGATTTGTTTGCGTCTTGAACTGAAAAGTTATCATGATTTAGGCTCTGACTTTATTAGGTAAATGCAAGAACAAACAATGTTAGTCTTTTCAACGAGGAAGATTCTAAAAATTTGGAAATTTACAATTGTTTTCTACAATTCTGACTAAACTTTGCCACTGAAGAGATTGAAATAATCCCCAAATATCAAATATATCTTGTATGAAGGGTAAAGTTATTAATAAACTGCAACTAGCCCCGCAAGAAGTAACAATATATTCGTGAAATTAAATAAAGTCCCATTTATAAATTTGATATAGCTATATATGCTAAGAAGGGAAAAACCAATAAGGACAAATAACTTCTGTGGATTGAAAATGATGTGTTCAACCCGATAATAATCATCAAGAACATTTTCTGGGAAAATTGAATCTAATAGCCAGCCAGATGCTAGCATCAATTTATATAGCTGTGATAGTGTGATTCGATAAAGCAGTCAATATGATTATCTCGGTAAAAAGATGATGAACGACCGATCATAACTAATTCTATTGATAATAGCGTATTGAAAGGCAGTTTATAGTTGAAGGTTTTGTATTCTTTAACTCTCCAGATAAAGTAACAATAGCACTGAACGAAAAAAAAATGCAGCAGATCACTTCAAGTAAATGCTAAATCTTAATTTGAAATATATAGAATTTTTTCAAGATATGTTAAATTGTATAACTGTTGACACGATAAATCAATCTGTGAGCTTATTTCTCTTCAAGTATCCTCACAAGTCTTTCTCTTATGCAAACAATTTAATATTTGTTCCTGATACTTTCTAATTATTGAAATTAGATTTTCACTTTCGTCGCATGGAATGATATTTAATCTATTTATCATAAAATCTCTGAGACAGGACCTATAATAACCCAGTATAGCTTTAAAACTCTCCTTCAGCGGCGATAATTCCATCGGCTTATTACTCTGATAGAGCATTTTGCAAATATCAACAATTTCTATCACTGCTTCTCTAATTGAAAGCTAAAATTGAGAATGTTCTTAAGACTTTGTTTATATAAATTTAAAGTTATATATATTCAACCTTTTGTAGTATAGTATTTACTGACATCTTTTCTAAACATATGGATAACATATTAATGGCATCTTCTAGACCAACTTCTCTTGCTTCACAACCTTTAATGAATTTATTATAGGTAAGACAATTATCAATACATAATTCAAAGTGTTGACTACTTACGTAAATTTTCACGTTTAGCAACAATTTCAATGTTATATTCCTAAAAATAGTAGAGAAAATAGGCAAATATAACATATATTTCATCATATAAATATACAGTGAGTAACTCTACTTACAGCGCAAATTTCGTAGAAAAACTTTATAAGTAACTTAAACATTTTATGTTTAGAAATGACCTAAAAAAATAAAGAATTCATATAGAAAAAGGATTATTATACAATTTATCAAATAAAAGAAAACCTTATCAGAAAGTTTCCACTTTTCAATTAGAGTTTTACTTATTTCGCAATAAAAATTTGCATTTCTTGTATGAAATTGACACCAATCAAAGAGTTCAATAAAAAAATTCATTGACTTAATCCAATAATATTCGTCGTTTGACTTATCCAACATTCGATTAATTAACTTTATATATTCGAGAAGATAAAAATCTGTGGAGATTTTAACGTTACGAGCATATTTCTGATTATCAATCATTTCAAAGATTATCTGTTAAAAGTAGAATATATTTTAAAAAGAAATTAAAGAATGTATTAGTTGTATTTTTAAGTTGATTACCTTCCAAATAGTATTCAAGTCTTGTTCAGTTAAGTTGAAATCATTTCTATTGTCAAAGATATAATTCAATTTATAAATGATAAAAAATGTCTTATCCTCCTTTAGGTTGTGTGCTACATCTAAAAGAAGATTTAAATCATTGGAATCTCCAGTCTGTTAATTGAGAGAATAATTTATTATGAAATTTTTGGTCACTAATTAAAACAAAGTATAAACAAATTACCCCATTAAAGCTTGGATTCACCATTCTTTGCCATATATACGTATTCTTTCCATTGTAGACAAAACAATCATCTAATGTACTTAAATGACAAAATTTCAATTCTGGTTTCTCAATCTTTAAATTTCTTAAGAAAAAATTACTTATTAATTAATTATTACTATAAATATTAACATTAAACAATAATATAAATACCTATTATATATCTTCTTTAACCAATTTTCATCCCATCTTCCAACTTGAGCTACAAGTTTTTCTAATTGCCAATCCGAGTTAAAAAAGCATTTTTCTAAATTCTCCATTTTCACTCTTGAATAGCAATCAAGTTGAATTTCTTTCAAATGTTTCAATTGTCGTAAAACGTTGAAAGTTTCAGTATCATTCATAGTATCAGCGAATTTTAAACTTTTCAATTTTTTTAACTTTAATATCCGATGAATAGATAAATTAGTAAACTCTTTTACTGTTAATTCCTCTAAATTTGATAGTTCTTCGCATAGAATCATAAAATCATGATTTTTTATATTTGTTCGGTTTAAATACAACTTGGTAAGAGATTTTAGATGTTTGCATTTACTTCTGCTAATTTTCAATGAATTACCTAAGAAACTTATACTAAGTTCTCTTAAATTTCCTACATTGACAATGCGTTCCAAATCGTCTAGAGATTTTAAAACAGTTAAGTGTTTTAAATCAAGCTTCTGAATAGGATAAGTTTTTAAAAAGCATAGACTTTTCAAGTCCTTTATCTTAGCTCCATTTATTTTGAACTCAGTCAACTGTAATTTTAGTCTTCCAAGGTCTAGTAGATCATTATCCGTTACTCCACGATTTATGCTATCTATTGATTGAATAACCTCCTCGCTTATGGATACAGGAAGCGTTGTATCTAAATTTTTAATGTACTGATGGGTTTCTTTATAGTTTAGTCCAACAGCATGAAGACTCAACTGCCTTAAGGTCTGAATCGGCATATTAATTGTCTAGAACATTAGAAGTTACTCCCCTTTTGTCATATGACGGTAAATTACGGTCGGCGCAAAGTGTCTATTATCGTTCAAAAAAAAAAAAGCGCAACTTAAAAACTGGTAGAGTTAGACACATTAAATCTTTAGCAATAACTTGCATTTCATAAACACCAATAAAGATATTAAAATAATTTTAACGGATTACTAAAAATAACTATTAAAATTTATATAACAGAATTGAAATAACTCAATATATAGTATATAAATGAATAATGTATTCTTTTTTATGCATGCTTTAAATACTTTGTAAATTGCGTAAATATTCCACTCCAAGAACTTGCAGCTATTTTATTGAATCTTCAAATGATCAATCAAATAACTTCATCTAAATATTTAAGTAGAATCCATGAATCATTCAGAGCAGAATATTTGTTCAGCTGTCTATATTATAGATTCATTAATAAACATATGTATAGAGAAACATTATGTACTTACTCTCTTTATTGCATTATATTGAGGATCTCCTCCGAATATTACCACCGTGATAGTTAAAGGGTAGCAAGAGCACTCTTGACACTGCTTTATTAATTTTAAGCCTTCATCTTTTATTGCTTTTAAACTCTCCTCCATGGAATAACCAAGCTTTCCTGAACCGATAATAGGAATTGCAATGCTTTTCGCGTTCTCAGCCTTAGCTCTTTCGAAGCATTTCCTTATCATTTTACTTATATACTAAAAACATTCATAAGCAATTAAACTTACTGTATTTTACGAAAGAGAAATATATAGAGAGATATAAGACCTTACCGAATAACCACGAGAGGAAGCATTCTTTTCTATCATCATGTGAAAAACTAGTTTGCTTTTAAGGTTATAACCTTCAGTTGAAATAATATCATCAGCAAATACACCATTCTGTTTTGCTCTATTGCACGAAATCTGCAATTCATGTCCTGCCTCTTTCAACAGTAATTTAGATAGTGGAGTTGCATTTAGATTCATTGAAAAAGGAGCGGCGTATGCTATAACATCACACGTTTGCTTCTCGAGTCTGTCTTTTACAATTCGGAAAGGAGCTACATCAAAAAGGATCTCTCCTTCTACAAATTCTGGATAGGATGAAGTCGGCGCACTTGAAATTCGTCTACTGGCTTTACCGAAAAATAATCATAATTTATTTGAAAATTGTTGGTTCTAAAGCAAAAATTATATTTACCATTTACTCTCCCCCTCCTATGAATATTATCATTTAAAACTCCTTGCACTCCTTGCACTCCTCGCACTCCTTGCACTCCTTGCACAAATCCAGGAAGAAGACCGGCTGAACCTTCATTTAAAGCTCCAGAAATGCCTTGAACCAATCCTGCTATTAAAGGTCCATAAGTGTTCATTTTAATTCATGCGATCTAAATAATTGAGAAATTTATTCAGAATAACCGATTACTAGAAAACGAAAATAGAAACGAAAAATTCCAATTTCTCACTATTTCAGTCTATAAAAGCCTATACTGTATTATGTGACATCTGATTGTTTTATAAGATTAATTGAAAGATCTGCCTAAATTTTCCATTTTTTACAATGAAGACTATTATAAATGGATGATTATTGAAGAAAATATCGAGAGTAACTTCTTTAAACGCTATAGAATTTAAATTGTTAAAAGACTCAACTTTTTATTTATTTAATACTAAAAGACAAGATGGAGGCGATCACGTGATATCTACAAAATAAGAAATAGGCCCGCTTATTATTTTATTATAAGAGAAAAATATTGTGGCAAGAAATCAAATATAATGAAATTTGCGTATACTATTCTTTATGTTGCAAACGTTCCAAAAACAATTGAATTTTATAAAAATGCTTTTGGATTTAAGGAGAAATTTGTAACTGGGGAGAATGATTATGGTGAATTAATTTCTGGTGAAACAACAATATCTTTCGCTAATTTTGAATTAGCTAATCAAAATTTAAAGTCTGGTAATAGTTTTCAACATAGCTCACTTGATCAAAAGGCTTTTGGTATTGAATTGGCATTTACAACTGAAAATATTGATGAAGATTTTCAACAGGCTTTAAACGCTGGAGCCACGTTGGCAGAGAGTGTTATTGAGAAACCGTGGGGTCAAAAGGTGGGATATCTTCGTGATATAAACGGTTTCTTAATAGAAGTTTGTACACCTATTAAAATGGGGAAATAAAATTTTATTTCATAAGGCGGTTGATGATAAAATAAGAAAAAGATATATTGAATACAAAGCAACAGCAATGGTTAAAACAGAGTTAAATATTTCATTTTTCAGACAATCCTTCACAAATAAAACTAGTTATAATATAAAATATGATTTTATCATAAGGATAAAGTACTTTCTGATCAAAAGTGTTATGTTAATACTTCCGTTTTCAACTTAAAAGCCAAAGATTTTCTTAGCTGCCTGTTCAAACAAAAAATCATTTTTAAAATTTCTTATATTTATACAAATATCGAAAAGTATTTTTACAAACATCCTTAATATCATAGAGTTTAGGGTCGTCTTCGAATATAACCATGGTAATTTCTAAACTGCCGTCTCCACATATTTCTTCACCTATTTTCTTAATTGTATTTAAAGAAAGATCTATAGGATAATTAAGAATTCCTGTTCCAAGTACAGGTATCGAAAAACTTTTTGCATTCGTATCTTTTGCTTTTTTTACACATTTTCTTATTATTTCTTCTAGTTTCTTTAATGGTTGTATTAGAAGTGAATATTTTACTTACTTTATACGAATTTAAGAAACCTACCGAATGGTCAGACGAACTGGTACACTTTTCCAACATTAAATGAAAAATTTTCTTACAATGAAGGTTATAACCACCAGTTACAATTATTTCACCAGATTTTACACTTCCCTGCTTCTGCTTACATTCCTGTTGTAATTCATTTCCTGCTTTATTCCATAAGGACTGTGGAATATTACTTGAGCTTAAATCCATTGTAAAAGGAGAGCTATATGCAATTATATCAGATTTTTGATTTTCAATTCTATCTTTTACAATTCTGAATATAGACGAAGTATACAAGATACGCTCCGTTTCATTTTCAAAAACAATTAAGTAAGCTGGGTAGGCATCACTATCATGATAAATTGAAAATTCATTTGGATTATCCATATTGTCAACAGTGGAGTCGCAATTATTAGCAGGCTCTTTCATATCTAGATATCCTTGACAGAAGCATCCAACAATAATTTGACATTCTAACAAAATTTTTTGCCCTTCAAGTTTACCTTCAGATTCTTGTTCTTTAAGAACTCCAGCGGAAGTCCTATGAAAGTATGTTCCCTCTCCAAGATAAGCTAAAGGAAAGAGAAAGTTAAATAGAGTAAGTTTTGATATGGAATAACATTATTATATGCATTTATATATTGAATCAGATTCTTTAAATATTGAATTGTAAAAAATTATTAATTGATTAGAACTTTTTGTGGAAAAACTTCTATTAAATCCTTTGGAGCATATCTTTCTTCCTGCTTTCATATCAGATGTTTCATAATAAACTCCCGGCCATTCAACTTTCTTGATATTTCGTTTTTTTGCTACAGCCTTCCTTCTAGCGATGTATAGTTTATAAAACTCCTTATTCTGATTTCTATAAATCTATTTTTGGTCATAAACAATATAATTTTACTATTTTAGGATTATGAAAAGCAACTATACATTTTTTATTGTGAAACGATTTTTTCTTGACAAATCTATTAGACGCTGACTGATATCATTAAATTCGTTGCTGTTTGCCCCTATTTCAACAAGTCCAACTTTCAATCTAGATCCTTCCTTTTCCCACGTCAAAGGTATATCCTCTTTACCTTTACTTTTATAAATATCGGGGAAATTCAAATTTTCTAGCGTAAGTGAATCCATATCTCTATCTTAAATTTTCGATAAATTACAATTTGTACAGTTTGTCAATGGATATTTAAACATCCATACTACTAACAATCGAGGCATTCCCTCCATTTCGCTGGAGACATTTTTTTGGCAAGTCTCTCATCTAGATCTGCAATTGTTTTCACATTTCGTTGAAAAGTTTTTATAACTTGTATTATATTAAAATACCTTGCAAATTTCCTTGTATTGGCTTGGATGCAGTCTGAAGAATGATTAACCATAGTTGATAACTTCCACTATCGTGATAAATTGAAAATAATGTTGGATTGTTCTCGTTATCAACTGTTGAGTGATATCCTTCTGGAGGTTCTTTCATTTTACCATGCCCGTTACAATACTTTCCAGCGACAATTTGACATTCGAAAATAAATTTTTCTCCATGCTCATTTATAGGACTGTATGGATTACGTAGTGAATATTTGATATCTCGAGCAAAATAAGAGCCTTTTCCATATGCCCCTATTAACAATTTAACTACTAAACGATGATAAATTTTTATTTATAAATTTTTTTCAAACCCGTTTTATTGAAATTTCTGTTAAATCCCTTAAAACATAGCTTGATTGCAACATCCTCTTCGGTTCCATGATAAACTGGCGCTATATCCGAATTTCCCTTAATTTCTTTATCAATTTTCTCTTTATATAAACGATATTGAGAGAATAGATCTGTATTTTGTACTCTCAAAATCTGAATATAGTAGAAATGAAGTAAATATAAATGTTGGTTATGAATAATAAAAATACTTTTTTAATTGTGACACATTGTTCTCCTGATATACTTCTAGCTATTCGTCTTTCAACATCTTCATATTCATTTGAACCTCTTAAAACTGAAACGGTGGCATCTTCAATTCTATTGTCCGAATCTTGCCAGAATGACGGGAAGCTACTGTCTATTTAAACACTCAAGACACTTAACATGAAGATTATGGCTTACTAAATTAGTAGAATTTGAATGTAAAAGCTGTATTTCTTAAAAATATACGCACTATCACTTTCGACCAATTTTGTAGGATCACAATGAACTTTCTGCGGATAGCTGTCTATTTTTTACTCATATAAACAAATGATATGAATGACATCAATTTTAAATTTTTCATACTATTCGAAACATCATTCTTGTTTACAGTTGCTGCAAGTAAGCCTGCAAAAAATAATTTTAATATTTATCAAACAATTAAAACATCTTTCTCCTCTGACTTTAAAATAACTATTCAGAATATTGTATAAATCTCGTTAAGCTAATAATTCTCGAATGTTAGCAGCCTACCTGTAACACCGCCTATAATTGCTCCAACTGGGCCACCTGCAACAAATCCTACTCCGGCCCCCATTAATGTGGAACCAATTTTAAACATACTGAAAATTTAACACTTTTTCAGCTGAATTTAATCAGCCTTCTCAATAGGAACAGTAATGGTTAACTTTTGAAGTTAAATGAAGCTGCCTTATTCTAGGCAGATTATATACAGTATACTGTATAATCTGAAACTGAAAGAATAAATAGGGTTTTTTTTTCCTAAAATAGCGACAGAGTGTAATTCCCTTTAAACGATTTATTATTTTGTTATTAAGTATTTTTCGAAAAAGGAATAGCACAAAAATCGCTTTACCTCATTTAATTTGTTTAAACAAGTTCAATCAATATCAATATTAAAGAGTCACGTAATTGTTTGATAGTTTTAAATATTTCTAAAAAATGAGAGGGACAAGCCATAAACAGATTATTAAGAGAGTCTGAATGAATAACATATACTACGATAAGGTTTTTCAATTCCATAATTTCATTCATAAATCCCAAGATATAAATGTTCCTTTCGTTTATTCGTAATTTGTAGCATTTACTGCAGATTTCTTTTACTTTATTTTATGTTATTAACAAACTATAGTATATTTATATTATGGAATTTTGTAAATCCTACAATAGTGTCACAATTTGCAGTTTTTAGTAATAAACTTCTTTATCAATTTCTTCTGCTAATTCTTTAAATTTATCTTTAAGAATATTCAATTCTTTTCCGAATAATCTTACTTCTATATTTTGATCTAATGAAATTTGTTATTAATTAATCTTTACAAATAAACTTTAATGGTGTTATTTGAATGTACTCACAACATTTAAGTAACATTTCTCGTGTATATTGACGGGCTTGCTCGCCGCAATTTGCTATTATATTAATTCTTTTGATGGATATACTAATATATTTCGTCTTAAAGTAATGTTCTATATTACTAACAAAATCCTTAATACTATCATTTCGTTCCAAACTTGAGTGTTGAACTGGAAAAATTATAACAAATTGTCATTTATAAGAATTATTATAAGTTAAATATTACTTGATGAATAAGGAAAGCTAAGTGAATCTATTTTATGTCTATGTGCAAAGTCTAAAACTGTAGATATTTCTTGTTTCTTTTCTTTACCCAATTTCGAAAAAATACATTTATCACTTATAAGGAAAGTATCCGATTTTTTCGCTTTTTCCAAAATTTCCTTTCTAGATATTTGATGGATTTGCTCTATTCTCTCAAACTCTTTATGCTGCGAATTTTGGTAAAAGTACACGTAAGCTGTTTTTTCAAAAGTTGATTCTGTCATTTTCTTAACGCAAATCTATAAAGATAGAGATATATAGCTCAATAAAAGGAAAAGCTTTCCACTTGGATACAACTTACATATAAATTTATTCTATCATAAAGGATAAAATTATCATAACAATTTTCCCAAATAGGACTGACTGTCTTTACGTGATTTTGTAATGCCTTTCGCAAAAAAATCTTTAGTGATTAATCGTAAATATATAGATATATAATGTCTACTTACCCTATAAATACCAGGATCAATAACCACAATAGTAATCCTTCTCAGACCATGTCTTCGGCCTACAGTATTGCCAATAGTTTTTACTAAACTAATTACACTTTCCTCTGGATACTTTAAAATCCCTGACCCAACTAGTGGAAGAGAAAAAGTCTTTGCATTTAGTAACCCTGCTCTCCGAAAGCATTTAGCTAATACATCAGCCATATTCTGACAAATGATTACAAAAAACAAAATATAGGAACAAAATATGATTTAATGTACAACTTACTGAAAGGTCTCGGTCATATTCGTATAGTTTAAAACGTGTGTGAAAAACATATTTACAATTAAGGTTATAACCTTTTGTTTCAATAATTTCTTTTTCCTGATACTTTTTCGAATCAAATTCTGTTTGTAATTGATATCCTGCCTTCTCCAACAATAATTTTGAGAGTATGCTACTTTCTAGTTGTTCCCCGGCTCCATAGGCAATTATGTCTGCTTGTTGGTCGCTCAGTGAGCCATATTCTATGTTAACAATAGAAGATGGATAGTTGGACCATTTTACAAGACATTTGCTATCAGTATTAGTAGTTAGAGTGTTAACTCTTTCCAATAGCAATGGTAATATGTCATTAGTTTGTTTTTCGTTTCGAGTGTTTATGTGAATTATTTCAAGGCTGTTGAAAGATATAATTTTTGAAAAAATAGCATCTAAAATCGTTTCAGCAACTTTTTCAGGTGTTAATTCACTTTCTCTGGAACAGTGGGTTTCTTGTATTAATGAAAATTGAATAGATTTATATTGATATTTATTAGATCTTTCGAGACAATCTTCAAAATTCTCTTTCTTCAAATAAGAAGGGTTTGAAATATAAAATATTCTTTGTTGCTGAAGTTGACAAAACTCATCAATGACTTTCTGTTTGCTTTTTGTTTCTTCAAATTTTCTTCTAACTTCTTTAGAGAAATAAGCGATCTTTGTATAAGAATTAATTACAATTGCTTGCGTATAAAGCTTATCGAAATGATGAGAAACTATGACTTTACATATTTGATCATTATGTTTTCTAATATTTTGAATAAATGGTGGGCAGATAATATAAGTAATATCATTTAGAGAGTGAAGTTTGTATCTATATTCCATTTTACCATTATTGTTTTTGTATAGTTTGGATAAATAACATATATGCTCCTCATCATTACATATGTTAGAAATTCCATTAACTTGTTCACACTTTAACATATTTATTAAATTATACGTCTTGTCAACACATTTAGCTTCTCCACGTATAACAAGATTTGTATAAAATTTCGGTTCTCTTTTGTATAATATCTCTATGGGATTACTATTTTCAATTTGGGTCAATTCGTAGCTCCAATTAATGTACGTTTCCTCTGATATTTCTATTTGTCTTTCGAAATATGACAATTTATTGTCTTTCACGTTCTCGCTAGCACTAGACTTACATGGATTTGATGTATATGTTTCCGTTTCCATCGCTGTCTCTCTACGACTTTGGCTACAAGAACTGTCATCAAACGTAAGACTCAATAGATAACTTTCAATAATGTCCAAAGTTTCATTTGATTGAGCAGCAATAAAAGTGGACTGTTCATCATATATTAAACAATAGTCTTCATCATTTTTTATGAAAAATTTCAACTTTTTGAGAAGATGTTTTTGGTGGATTACATCAATTTTTCTACTTTTAATAAAATTTTCTTGTTGTTGAATAAAGCTCCTTATAGAATGTTCATCACTTGAACAGCTAAAAATTCTATAAGTTCTAGAATTATCGTCATTTAAGAGTAAAACTATTACATATTTCTTTCTCAGTTCATCAAGTAGACCATTTTGTAACAAGAACTGTTTAACAGCTGGATCCCTAGTATTAATATCAAGAGTTTTACACGATGTGTTTAGATTTTTCATAATTTTTTCAATCTTTACAATATGTTCACGTGATCCTGTTAATTTAATATGAGGAGGATTTGAACAATATTCAACTAATACACCATTTATACGCAAATCTCTGCCTGATGGTATTTTATAAAAGAAACCATCTTCAACTTTGATTTGCACTAGTTTTTTGAAAAAATCTGCCAATTCCTCTTCTACTTTTATTTTCCAAATACGTGACGAATTTTCATTTAAGATTTGCTTTGATCTTTTAAAACGGTAAGTTATTTCAAGAACCTGATCAATCCTCTTTATTTGAAAATTGGCGTCTTGGTGTCGTAAAGTATCAAACAGTTTTTTGCGAAAATAGGGAGAAAATATGATAAAAGAAACATATTCTGTTGGATATTCAAATCGATCAATTATGTTATTTCTTGGAATTGAGTAGTCAAATTTATCTGGACTAATCTTAAAGTGTCTGATTATTGGAACAAAATCCAGAGGTTTTCCTTGGTACCATATTCTATCCAACAATACCTTCCGTAAAACTATACAAGTAAAAATTAGTTACTGATCTAATGCAACGAAGATTTGTTATATTCATACATGCGACGTCCTCTCCTTGAAAGTTAACCTTAAAATGATTTGCTTTTGTCTTTTCTATAATACAATTTGGAGAAAGCAGCATTAATTTTGCGATTACCTCATAAGTAAGGTTAGGCTCGTAAAGAGATAATGATGAGCATTCTTGTACCAAATAAAGAGATATTGTTCCAAAATTAGCTTTATTCAAATAATGGAGAAGATCTTTATGGTCTATCCGAAGAAAAACGAATAAAAGAGGATTATAAAAGTGTTTAATTCATAACAAAAAAGATATTTACCAATCGGCGGATAAAAATATACAAGAACCTCACGTTCATTCTCTATAGAAGATGAGAAAAAATATCTCATCGTTGATTTTACACCTTTCAAAAATTTCTGTACTTCATATATTAATTTCATTAAGGGTAATCCTTTCAAGATGTAAAATGATCTTAAATTAACAGGACAATCTAAATTGAATGACTTTTTTGTCGATGTTTTTCCTAAATGATATGTTTAATTGTTTGACTTAATAATTTTATTAATATTTAAATATAACATGTATTTTACCATAGCTTCTCTTATGGTTTTTATAGCGAAGATCCATTTCAAACTCTTCTTTTCAATATCTATTGTATATAAAATTCTTATTGGAAACAAGCCAACGTATTCCTGTTGAAACGTATTTAATTATTAGTTTTCAATATTTCTCTACACTAAAACTTGTATTATTTTTACACTTTATTTCTTTCGAAAATCTTGTTTTTATCCATTTTCAAATCAATTTACTTAATTATCTTTTATATAGTTTAACATAGTTTAATCTTCTTTATCTTTATATCTTATTCTCTTTTGAATACAAGCAATAGAGAACGATAATGCATAATGCAGCTGTTTTTAAAAGTCTTTTTTGTTGCTTAATAAGGTAAAAGGAATTGAAAATTGTCTTCCAATTTAAACTATATAAGCTTTAATAAATTAATTGGTTACCTTTTGGATTATCCTTATGGTGATTTACAGTGAAATTTAATTACATAACTTCACGAGGATAAGGAATTATATTCTAGTTTCGATTGTAAAGTGACTCCTATCGGCACAGAAAATAACAAAACTTGGAATCTATATTAATAACAACAACCACTACAAAATTGACTACAATTCAACAATACAGTATAGGAAAATTGTTATTAAACCAAAGCAAAATCAGGGCCAGATTATTCATATCATATTTTTACTTTCGTTTTCTAGATGGAACAATGCCTTCAACTTTGGCATAGCAGAAGCAAACTGGTAGAATTTATTGATTATTTCTATGTTTTTAACAATATTAAATGAACAAAACGAAGCTTTTTTGCTATGTTATGTGTCAGTATGAGTCAGTATAAATGTATGCAAAAGAGAGGGAGTGAGTGTTTATCATGTGTTGAGGATAGGTGACTCGGGTTCATATCGTTGTCGGTCAGCTTGAGTTGATATCACGTCACAAGTAAATAAAACCGAAGAAGCGGTGCAGACGTGGTACCACAGACGAGTAGAGTCAAGCACCCAATTGAGCGACACAAACAGAACCTAATGTAAGTATAAAAAAAATAAAAAATGCAACAGAAAGGTATGAGAGAAACGATAGAGGCTAAAATAAATTGAAACTCAGTCACCACAGCGAATTTCGTAATACAAGATCAAATATTCAAAGGTCTCAGAACTAGAGTAAAGAATTTCTTGTATATTAAATATTCATCTATAAAAAATAATAATGAAAAGTCAACGTTGTTGTTTATATTTTGATATAAAAAATATGATAAATTATATTCAGTCTTCATTTTGATCAGGTTCAACTGTTGTAGTTTTTGTCAAACGTTTGTTCTTGTAGAGCATTATCTCAACTATACTGTAGCCGATTATACCAACGCAGAGAACAGATATTTGAACGTATATTTTGGCATTTGTGCATATATATTTGCTGTTTATAAGACAATATATATAGTTTAATAGTGAAAAAGATGAGAGAGAGAGAGAGACTATACCTATATGCAAAGGCAATAATAGAGCCCAATGATTCCCACATTCGATAGTTTGAAAAAGCAGCTTCACTATCTTTAAAGGCGCATCCGTATAAAGCTATTTTAAATATATTTTTCTATAGTTAAACATTCAAATTGCATAAACAAGAGTAAACGTACCATTAATCTGCGTTTGCCATATACCATCTGTTAGACCCCATAGACCAGAGATGATATAGAAAAGATACTCTTTACCAGGGTCAGGTCTCCATCTTGTAAGTGCAATTAGAATACCAAAGTCGATTAAGAAACCTATCAAAAAGAAAGGCCATCTACCAATATATTTAACTAATCTGCCACTTGAAAATGAGCAAATTGCATTGACAACGCCAAAAGGTAGTGTCGCCAAACCAACTTTCCATATCCCAATGGTACATGTTATAAATGACTGAAATAAGAACAATAAGCTAAAAACACTTTTAGAAGGTTCTGATTTAAATTTTACATTATTCCATTCAGCCGAAAAGAAAGCTTGTTCTAAACCTGAATACATTGTAATAGGTATCAACAATAGTTGTTTCTTGTGTTTCAGATGACGTACTGTTCCTATAAATAAACTAAAAGCTTCCTCTTTTAGAGGCTTTTTTTCGTCTTCCAGTTCCCTTTGAAGAGGATCGACAAGAGGACTTAGAATTATGATAACTGCGCAAAAAGCTACCCCCATATATATACCAACCATCGTCCAAATGACTGAACTTTTCGGTTTCTCTAAATTTGGATTTGTCACGTTACCTTGCTGATAGGGACAATCTCTATATCCACAATATGCAAGAGCTTCGGGGGTAGGTGGTTTATCTCCACCTTCAGTCCTCGGCCTCAATACTGTACTTGAAATAATTGATCCAAGAATACTAGCTATATTAAAAATTAAGGTTTAAAAAGAGTTATTTATCTAAAATATAGAAAACATTAAACTTTACCGGTTTGGAAGAAGCAGAAAAAAATTCCAAAGAAAACGGAAACAGCAGCCTCTTCAGTACAGTTTACCAACTTGCAGTACTTTCCAGCAACTTTGGTGAAATAAGAGCATTGAGCAGTCCAAAGGGGTGCAGCTACAATACCTGTAATTACAATTCGAATTGCTAGTAACAATTCTTCTTTTCAAAAGTTGATAATTTCACAAAACAAACCTACAATTACGCTTGCTGGTACCATGGTACCCCATACACCAACACCATTAGCACCCATCCATAAAATATACCCAATGAACGCAAAGCCCATAACACGTTTGTGCTTTAAAAGTCTGATCATTAATTTCGGGAGAAGAAGACAAGAAAGAACTAATGCACCGTATAGAATACTTTGATTAGTTGTTCCCATATTTTGAGATCTATGCAGAGAGCTCTTTAATAGAGAAAAATTTAAATAAATCAATATATTTTAACAATTTATGAATAATTATTATAACTTGAACGTAAATATAGATTTCATTTATTCATTTTATGCTTTTAAAACATAGAAAGAAAGTTAGTACTGGAAGTTATTAACAATATAAAGAATGTTGAATACTGTTTACTGTATTTTGAAAAAAATAAAAGAATCATTAAAGTTCCTACCTGAAGACGACCCAATCCATTAAACGCCGAAAAATTTAATAAGAAGCAAAAGCTAATTATTATTATGTTTTTAAGAATTTTCTTCTTTTCTTTATTTCTCTTTAAATCAATCATATCTTTAGTGTCCATTGAATTTTCCTCCATTTTATATCTGCAATTGTTACTCTCTACGAAATTTTTTTCTATAAAATCTATTGATTATTAATCTTATTCTCCATTATTTATAGATAACATCTAAGATATTCTAATCGAATTCAACTTGTAATATTTCTTATCTGATATAGTTAAATTATAAATTATCTTCTTATCTATTCACTAATTTATTATTTATTTGTATATTTCCTTTTTTTCAACTTATAAGCAGTTTTCCTACTATTTTAACATGACAGATAAATTGATCTATTTTTTTATTAATTTAATAATTATAAGTATTAATTTATATTAATTTATCTTTTAACGATCATCGAGTAAATGAGCAAATAAGATTAGATATGTAGACTTTTTATTTCCTATGTACAGTATTGTAAACACGCTGATTGGTTTAAAAAAAATATTGCCGCCATAAAAAAAATTAACTGGTAAGTTTGAAGCGACCTCTATACAGTTCAATTTAATTATTTTTTCCTCTGATTTAGTATAAGAGTTGTAAGTAACACTATAAAGCTGCATCTATTCATTTCACCCAATTGAGTCTTTATAGAGTTTTTTAATGATTAAACAACTATATCAGCTAAAATAATATAATTTGTTAAATCTGAAAAGGAGGATAGCAACTAAACGAAAATAGAAACTGGAAACTCCAAATATGTCCGATGCACAGAAATCTTCAGATTCTTCAACGGAGAATTCAAACACAGAGAAAAATATGGAGGAAAATGATAAATGTTCTTCGGAAGGAAATCAACAATCAAGCATAAATAACGAGGGTAACATTTGTGTTCTACAGTCTATTGCTTATTCTTTTATATCGTAATAGTTTCGAATTATTACAAAATAGTTAAGGATGTCAAAACAAAACAAATAGTATACTGCAAATGTACTATTTAATGAAGCATATACAGTATTTATGAATATCTTGCAACGTAATTTACATTTAAAACCGAAACTAGAACTGTGATTCGTCATAAATTTTTAGTATTACGAAACATATTTCCGTATACAGATAATCAGGACAATATTTTAAAGGACGAACGTACATTTACTTCCCAAGTGAGTCTAGAAGTAAATTGTAAAAATGAACACGACAAAGAAACGCCCATCATAGATAATTCTATGAAAAATGACATCAATATTCGAGAGGAAGCTTCGGTCACCGAAGCTGTTTGTCTAGACCAACAAAGCGAAGACGAAAATATACCAGCAAAGACAACTCACAAACGTGGTTATGAAGAAACAGCCTGCACTGAGAATGAAATACCTAGAGTAGCTGTTTTAAATGCTCAAAAAATAGAACTTGATGAATTGAAAGAGTTATTTTCATCTGAAGAAACAAATGGAGAGGATTTCGATGAAATAGTTAGAAAGTCTGAAGTTGTATACATTCGATATAAATCATTTGATGGTATAATAACGTAATTTTCATTTCAATAATTTCAAAATATAATAACTTAATTTTCAGTTACAAGGAAAGTTTTGAAGGCTTGCTCCAAAGGAATTTTATTTAAAAAACGGATGTTATATGTACTTGAAGAGGGAAATCATTACGTTTATGTTGAAAAAAAGAATAAAGAATCAGATTTAGATGATTTTGATCTGAGGATCAAATTTGAAATAGCTCGGAATGAGCTGGATGAAACTTTGAAACAAGCAATCGAAAACATCTATTGTAAAAAATATTCAGCCTTAATTAATTATTACAGAGATAAATGTACGACCAACGTAACGTTCAATTTTTTTAGATGCTTTTAATCATAATTATCATTTTAGACGCTACACATATCATATGTCGGAATAAAGAAACTGCGCTAAAAGACTACAATATATATTCTCCTGCGTCTATTAATGTTACTGGCGGTTTTCTTAAAAGAACAATCAAAATAATTGCGGCAGATAAAGTAATAAATCGTCTACACGATGTTATGGATATATTACGATCGCAAGCTAAAGTGATAGATACTATTATTTTACCTAAAATGAGTTTTGTCACTTTTGAAAAGATTGAAGGTAAATGATTATTTTATTTAAATTGTTATAAATTCTAATTTCATCAAACTCTCAAGATGCAAAGTATTTTATTGAAACGAAGGACGATATCGTTTGTTACATGAAAATAGAGTTCTTTCCATTAGATTTAAAAGAATATGCACTTTATCAAATTGATAAAGCGGAAAAAAATGACATAACAGTAGCACCTATTAAAGTACCTCCCTCGGTAACTAACTGTTGTGGATATTCCTCATGTTCTTTTATGATAAAACAAGAAAAAGATTGCTTTTATGACGAGTTTGAGGGTGTAAAAAGAAAAATAGCCGAGTATTCTTCAACATTTGAAATTGATTTCGAAACTGATTCAGAAGTTTATTACAACTTTAAAAATTACTCAAGTAAATTTTAAACTTCATTGAACTTGCATATGACTTACGATTTTCTTATAGATTTGGAAGAATTTTTAAGGAAAGAAAAACAATTTCTTGGTAGCAAAAAAGTAGATTATCATATTCAAAAACAATTAACGAATCCTTCTAAACCTTTAAGTTTCTCTGATAGTTTTATTATTCTGTGTAATCTACCAAAACTAGAGACAATAGATGAATTAAAAAACAAGTTAAGAGAGTACACAAATTCAGATTGCAAAGCATTCTTTTCTCCAAAAGAATCCAATAAATATAAGGCGCTTATATATTTCTACGAACCAATAGGTAAATACTGAACACTTTTATATTATTAAGACTCATCCTGTTTTTAAAACAGATGTAGAAAATCTAGAACTGAGATTTGGAATTCATTCTTTCAAAAGTAAAATGTTGGTTGTTGATAGAGTCGACGATGGTAAAATTAAATTTTGTCTCCACAATTCAAATATAACACTTAAAGATTTGAAAGTGACACTTGAAAAAAATAATATATGCAAATGTGACTCAAGGCTAATTGAGGATGAAATTGAAATTTTATTGAAGGAAGAAAGAGTAAGAGGTTAGTAAATTATAATTAAAATTATTAAATGTATTCAATAAGAAACGTATAATAATAGATTTGAAGCTATTTATTAATAATGAAATGAAATATAAATCAAAAGTCTTGGAATTTCTTCCATACATTGAAACTTTTGGAAAAATTCCACATAATTTCCCTTTTCACCAACCAAGAAGCGGAATTGTAGACTGCTTTCTTTATGAGACAGAGTTTACATCTTTCATTATTTTTTCTGTTGAATATAGAAGAAAACTTTTTGACTGTTTGCGAAAGTTCAAAGCAAAGTTTAGTATTAATAGAGTAGATGACAGTATTGAAATAAGGTATAACTATAATGAGAAGGTATGTGATCTTCAGTATTCATGGAAGGAAGACGTTGAAACAGAGTTGAACAAATTTTTCAAAAAACTCGATAAATATCTTTTCAAGTTTTCCACTTCTGACTATAAGATTATAACCAAATATGGATTTGAACTTGATGGAATTCTAATTCAACATGATTCGAATTGCTGTGTTGTATTTAAAGGTCCAGTAACCGATATTAGGACTATTAAAGAAGTTTTAAAAAACAAATTACAAGAACATGATATTTTGAAAGAGATGGACTTTGATGTAGAAAGTCCTAGCAATAAAGAATTTTTATTAAACAAGAAGGATATTTTGAAGATACTTAGAAAAGATCATATCATTGTCTTCGATTCTAAGCCTAAATGCACAACTGAATTAGGGATTATAATTGTACAAGAGAATCGGAAGGGAATTGTCAAGAGCCTTACCTATTTTCTAAGAGATTGCACCACTCGTAAGAAGTCGATTAGTTCATTTCCTAGGTCTTCTTTTGAACAGCAACTAAAAGAAAAAATAGACAATAAGAACAGTTATTCTCTCTCCTTCGACAAGAAGAATTTATTTATAACTGCAGAATCAAAAGAAATAGCGACTGAAATTGAAACTATATTTGACAATATAACAAAATCATTCAAGTACGAATCGTTTGACTTAGAAATTAAATTTTTTGACAAGAATAAGGAGAATATTTCAAAATTAGAGAAAAAATACCATATTGAATTTACCAAAACCAAACAAAAGAATTTTTATAAACTTGAAATAGAAGGTCCGATCAAAGATGTTGATGATTTTATTTGTCAGTTAAAACTATTAAGGGAAAAAAAAGATATTACAATTTCGAAAATTATTTCCGAATCTCATGCAAAGTATTTGAAAAAATTACTAAAATCTTCTTTTACACCATATAATCGTCAACTTTTTGAACTAAAGGATGGAGTTAATATAGGGATTGGTGAATTACATAATCGACAAATTATAAAGAATAATAAAGATACCTTGACAATTCAAATTTCTCACAAATTTTCACAAGATGCACTAAAAGATGTGATAATTTTTCCTGATATTTGTATAAAACGTTGCTTTGAAGGTGAAGACCGAGAGATTCGGAATATCATCACAGAAACTTGCGAAAAAATTACTTTAAAATCTGGTGCAACTGCATATTATATAGATAAATGGGATTCTGAAAAAATATCACAGATGACAAAAATTTTGAAAAAGATTGATAAAGACGGGCAACAAATTATTCAAATACCTCTAATATCTAAAGAAATCTCTAATAAGCAACAGCATATCCAGGATTTAGTTTCTTTGATTTTCAAAGTACTTTTCATTGACAAACTCGCTCTAGATTTTGAGGACCTGCAAACGATCCAAATTATCACACACAGCCAAAAATCTACTGAAAATTTTAAACCTATACTACATAAACGTGTTAATGATTTATTGCAAAATTCAGAAAGTTATGATACATTTGAATATATTGATTTTCCTCCCTCTATTTTAAAAGTTAAATATGGAGATCTTACGTCAGAAAAAGCAGATGTAATAGCATATAGCAATTCAAGATCGCTTAACTTTAACAAGGGAATTGCTAAAGCTTTAAGTGATGCTGCTGGAGAAGATTTAGAAAAAGAATGTAAAATCAGGAATTTTCGGGAAAACATAACTGTTACAAAAGGATTTAAACTCCATTGTCGATATGTCTTTCATTTATATTTAGAAAAATCATCATCAGATAGAAATTATACGGTAAATGCATTTTTTGATCGATACAGTATTCGCAAATTCTCCCTCATTAATATTTCAGAAATTAGATGAAATACTAAAAATATGCTTTACTGAAGCAAAATCACTGAAAGTAAAAAGTCTATCTCTTCCTCTCCTTGGTGCAGGATATCTAAACTATCCAGATGAATATGTGATTGATACTATTAAACATATAAGTGATAAATATGGTAGAGAAAATGGTTTAGAGAAAGTTACAATTGTTATACAAAGCGAACACATTCTAAATGTAAGTGAGAGGATATATTTGCTCCTATTTTATATTTTATTAATATACTTTTATTTATCTTTCGAAGAAAGTAGAAAAACAATTAAGTATCCTTCCATGGGTGGAGAAAACTGACCATTTTCTCTTATACAACAAAGTTCAAGTAATTACTTTCTATTGCAAAATATTCTTTCTAACCATTTCCTGTTTTCACTTTGAATAATTAGATATTTGTGGAGCAGCTGAAATTAACAAGCTTCACAACGGATGCTTTAATTTGTCCAATTCCTGAATCAAATTCACCAAAGCTTCCAATAACAGAATATATATGTAACCACTTCAGGATACTTCTTAATCATAACGAATTGAAAAAGAAAGAAGTAATTTGCACTAAAATCGACAAAAGAACAATAATATTCTCAAAACCGGCATCCGGAATTAAGGAACAATTATTTAGAGCTTTATCTACAGCCGAGGAAAATAACTTACGTTCTATCACTTTTCCCTCTTTTGCTGGTTAATATCCAATTCAATGTTGTATTAATTTCTCTTTTTTATATATATTACGTTTTTTTGCAGATAATATTTGGAACGATCAACCAAATCATACAGATTTATTTAATATTATAGAAATGTATTTCAAGAATAAACTATCTTGCATTAAAAGAATTGAACTCTTTACAAGAAAACAGTGTGATAGGGATGCCTTTAGGGATACTGCTTTACACAAGTGTTGTAAGTATTTAAAATTAAGATTAGTATATGCTACTTATGCTAATTACGTATAAATATGACAAATAGATAATTATTATGAAGCGAAATTTATTGGAAAAGATTTAGAGACATTAAATAAAGAATGTACCAAGCTTTGTAAAAAAGTGCAAACTACTGTCATTACTTTAAATACTACTTGTATTCAGAATAAAAAAGTAAAAATAATTAAATAGAATAAGAATTAAAGAGATATTAACCCAATCTATTATTTATTTCTTATGACTACAATCAGCAACAATATAAAGACGTCTTAAATAAAAGTGATACTGTTGATAAAATGTGTCTTGGTAATGAAATATTTCTTACTGGCCTTGAAAAGGATGTTAATGAAGTGAAAAAAGAATTAAACAATGGTAAACAATCCCTAATTAAAATATTAATTTCTTATTAAAAATTGTTGTAAACAACTTTCTATTGTTTGGTTTTCAGTATCAAAAAAGAAACACAAATAAGAAGGTATTGTTAATAGATATTTTCTTCATTGCTTTGTCTATTTCGTATTAAATGATCAATGAAGATATTAAATTAACAATTTAGACTAGAGATAAAAAATGACTGTTTGAAAATTGAAAATGAATTATCCACTTCTGAGAATTCTAATTTTTAATTTAAGAAGAAAATCAATACAAGTTGAAATTCATGTGTACGTAGAAAAATTATTGATATGTTTTATCACTATTCTCATATATTAACTTTATTTTATGTTGTTGTTGTTGTTGTTTTGTCAAGATATATATTGATTTCCTTTTCTAATTTAAATGAAAAATAACATAGTTCACACGTATAATAAAAATCAAAATTCTGAGCGAAATACCAAACAATTCGATTAGTTTAGACTCGCTATCAAAGTTTTTATTAGTTTAAAAATTGGAAAGCGTTGTATTAAAGATATCTCTATAAGCAAAGGTTATTAACTGATTAGACAGAGAAAATACAAAAGTATTAGTGTAATGGACATAAGAATAGATTACAATGCCTTATAAAGAGATATTTAAGGTCAAGAGTGTTTCAATGTCGAAAATAGAATGTTAAAAAATAATCGATCTATAAGTTCAAATAGCGGGCCGAAAATATTTATCTATCGCTATATAAATTATTTTAGGGTATATTCAGTATTTTTCTCTTTTTTACAATTCATTCAAATCCAGTAATCCTTAATTCTTTATTAACTTTAATGGACAAAATTCTCTTTGTCTCTATGACGAAATAAGAACAATCGCATTGATATTACTGACAAATATACTATATATTCACACTGTGCAACAAAAACTGATATATCATATATATGTATTTATAGAAATCTCTCTGCTTGTAAAAGGAAACAGAGATTATTTTCAAAAAGGAACATTTCGATATGAAGTTAAAGAGACACAATGATAAAATGTTCATGTGTTAAGTATTTTTGGTTAAGCTAAATAACAAATATCCCTTAGTCTCTTCAAACAAAAAAGTATAATAAAATTTATTTAATAACTATGATATATAAGTAATATATGTGTTGTTAATAAATCACTACCAAGTATTGTCATTCGCGTTCAAACTCTAGATTTGATTAACTATTTCAAACTCTTTTTTATTGTTAGAGAATAAAGTATCACGTCTACAATATATAATCTATTTCATATATAAACTTTATATATGCAATACACGTTGTCAATATTCTTAAAATTATGAATGTCCATTAATTATCTTCTCTTCAACTTATTCTTTATTTAACAAATTAATTCGGGTAGACAAAAATTCATTTTACTCTTTTCTCTTTCTCTCTTTCTTTTTTTATTATAAAAGATTAAACAATAAAAAAGAAAGTGTGAGATCTTCACTTTTTTTATCATGCTTCTTATCAAAGTAGCTTGTTTATTAGGCCCAATTGAAAGCAATGTGTCATTTTTTCGACTTTGTTCAAGGTAAACCTATTAAGCTTACAGTCACCTTTAAGTATTAAAATGGAAATAGTGTAATTATTAATATTATAATAAGTAAACTAAATGAATGTTGTAACTATGCAATAAATGACCAAGTAATAAACAATGTAAAGATACTTTTGTATTAAATGTATAGAAAAAAGAGAAATAGAAAGGTCATATCGCAATATATCATCTATTGAGAAAATATTTGCTAATTAGCCAATTGTTATACTTATTAAGTGAATAATAAAGAAACTATCAATTAACCTTTCCTGATTTTTTTGTTAGGATATAATTTTATCTAATTAACAATTCAATATTTGCTCAATTTTGTTATCCTTACAACAACTTTCTATTATCTTAATAACGTAAGAGTTGATAAATATTAATTATTATGAAATGTAAAGAAGACAATTAACCTATTGTTCAAAATTATATATATTGTATTGAATATTATAAATACTATGTATAATATTTTTCAATATTTCATAATCAAGAAAAGGGAAATGGAATGGTAGTGGAAGTACACTTATCGAAGATATGAAGATAAATTTGTTTAAACCAAGTGCGATTAGAGGAGGAGTATTATCTAAACCACTTAAAAAGAACTATAGATGTCGCCACAATGGCAGCGAACGTTGCCCTCTTTTCATCCCGCCCCTTTATTCTCCGCCCTCCCTTCCTCCGTCCCTCCCTCCCTCCCCCTCTCTCTCTTTCTCTATGTCTTTCTCTCTCTCTCTCTCTCTCCCCCCCCCCACATACAAGTACTTTGCATAAAAAAAATCGTGAATGAAAGATCAAAGTAGCGACTAATAAGCACATATAATAATGGATGGAGGAAGAAAAGCGATTTGAATGCAACGGCGTTAAACGGCTGCAAGAAAAAGGGCGTATATATATATATATCATTTAGCAGATGATTGATATACAGCGTAAATTCGTGTCTTTGTTGCGCATATGGCTCTCGTCAATTCGTATTTTGCCAATGAAAAAAATCCCTTTTAATTATAAAGTTCTTTTACCTTTTATTTCCAAAAAAGGATCGGCTTAGATAACAGAACGAGAGAAAAAGAGAGGATCAGAATGAAGTTGGTAAAAAATATCAAAAAAAACTGTCGGCATTTCTGATTGAAGTATTCTATTTGAGTTGTTCCGTATTATACAGTTTTCGTTTTTCATTCAATAAACCGGAAACTAGAGCTTTTGTGAAAGTGAGAAAGAAAGAGGAGAGTGGGGGCCCCGAAGAGAAAGAGAGAAAGAGAGACTTACTGTTTATTTGAAAGAAAATTTCTCATTCAGTCATTCAATTCTATTATGTAGTTGTTGAGTAAATTCTACTGGAAGGAGAAAAAACTCCTTACATAAGTTTCCCTTCTTCTTTCTTTTTTATAACTTTGCAATAGCGTGTTTACTCTTTTGCCTCCTTCTTTTTCTTTAACCAAGTACTATTTCCTATCCTTATAAAATTGTAAATAATAACGTTAGTTATAGTTTTATTGCCTATCTGTACTTATTGTTATAGACCGGAAGGTGGTAGTTATGTGAAAGTGAGAAAATTCATCTAGTTTTCGTGAATAACATATGTGCCAACTGTGGAATTATAAATTCAACAGCTGCTTGCCGAATCGAACTAAATCACTTCCTCTATAATCCTTTATTGCTATTTCCAACATGCCGAATGTAAATAGTATAAAAAGGTGGGCGAAAATTTTAATCTGCTTATGCCTCTTCCAGATGGATGAGTTCTTTATGCAAATCGGACTATATGAAGGGAAATATTTCCATGTAAATATAGCATTCCGATACACGTAAGTTGTTGATCAAATCTTTTTATTGGCAAGCACTTTGAATACCTTTTTTTTATTTAAGTATATTATCCTGAATGAAAGATGAAGAGGGAGCATTAGATGAAGGAGAAATAAAGCCTCTTTAGAGAAATCTATAGATACATATATATATATAGTATATTGAATATGCATACACTGCCAAGTATTTTCTCAGACATATACACTACATACTTGTTTTCTATGACTAGATAGACTGTATATATATATATATATATATTATCTATAATATCTGTATCTCTATAGTTTATAGATTTAATGTAAAATATCATTAAAATTACATGTACTATTGTTTAAAGTAAATAAAATTCATTCAACATTCATACCCCCCACTGTTCTTCTTTTGAATTTATCTATAGGAGCCTCTAACTAGCCGCCGGCTCGGGGAGGCTACTTTCTTGACATGTTTATAGCCTATCCGTCATCGGCAATCACTTCAACTTAATCGGGCGGCCGAGTGAAATTACGGGACGATGGGAATGCGATGAAGTTGGTGGCCTCAGGGGTTAAAAACTACTAGTTTCTTATTTTCCACATCAATTTTCCAATAGTTCGGTATCTTTTTACGATTTCTTTTCTCTTTTCCCTTTATTATCCGGCTAATACAATCTTTTATTCCTGGAGGGTTAGATAAATTGACAACTTCATTTCTATATGCGAACAGAAACCAATGGGCGGAGTGGCATAGTATTGCCTTAGTTAACTTCTATATATATGTATAATTTTATATATGAAATAATGGGCGAGTAACCTTATTCCTAACCCTTCTTTACCCTTTTCTTCTCTCCTTACAATTTCCGAGTCATCGGTGATTTGTCACCCGTAATCACCTCCCTGTAGTTGGTCATTATCGTCACTCGTAGCATATGACGTACTCGTGTTATACAAGCATTCCTTACAAGCAAACCAATCCCCCTTGTAATAATAGTCGCACATACCTCCAATAACAATACTGTTATGCTAATTAATTATCTTTGAGCGGTACCTTATTACTCAAATGAGCGCTAAGAAGACTCTAAACTTTTTCCATTTAATCTTCATTAACCTTCCGTTGAAGAGATGCTTAAATGCTGTAATAATAATAGAAAAATCATGTGAATAACCAATCCCGAGAGATAGAAAATGCTAGAAATGTCTTTCTTTGATATTAATTGCTTAATTTCGCTTGTTGTCTGATCTTTGACTCTGATAAGATACAGTCGTAAAGTGAAACGACTTTTCTTCTGATACTTAGGCTTAATTATGCATTTGGGCCTATGACTCCTTTTTAGCAACCATTACGTTTCCTTGCGTCTTCATTTTCAAAGGAAATGCTCAAATACGTTAAAACATGTACGCCCAAACGCATTTACTAACTCATGAATATTCTTTAGGCCAAGGGCGTTATTTAAATAATATAAAGTAAATTAGACGCTTTAATATATACAAAAAGGAAAAGGCAGGGGGCTTCCTATCATTTCCTTCTGATTATCACTTCCTACAATGTTGGTAACTCATATGTATGCAAAATAAGTACGTCCAAGGCCTATTCATTCTCAACGTAGAAATCGACTCTATTGAAAATAGATTAACTTATGAACGGAAAATGAGAATTGAACGAGACCTAAGAAAGATCATAATTAGTGTCATTTATTTCTTTCGACTTGTGTGAACTTAAAAAAATATATCTAGTCTTGTATTCAATAATTATTAATGAATATTCATATACATACTTTATCCATTCAAGATATGTATATACAAAGAGGTCAACAATTTCTTTTAACGGTTTCTATAGTATTTTTTAAAAAAGGTTAGTTAATGTCTAAAAAATTACTTTTATTGCAAACTATACAACCTGTCTCCTGTTTAAAACTGCTAGAAATTAGGGCTATTCTTAATACATATGCATAAGTTTATTATAATTAAAGAGATTTTAATACGAGAATAAATTATTGCTACTTAAAAAAAGAGGAAACAAGACGGGAAAGGAAAAGAGAGAGAGAGAGAGGAGAATGAATGAAAGAAATTTCCACTTGTCCCACGCAACTTCCTTGCGTAAAGTAACGTTTTTTGTCTCATTCGACATCGCTTCCCGTTACATGACAAAGTTATCACGCTGTTTTTTTTTCTTTTTTGCACACGACTACAGACGAAGAATTAATAAATAATCATGATTAATAAGTTGATTACAAATTTACGTTTTTTCCTCTCTTGAGTAGTTTATATTGTAAATTGGGCTTAAAATATTTTATCAGAATCTTAAGTAAAGCAAATAAATGAGCCATGACAAGATACAACTGCCCTGGAAGAGCGAGAATTTAGGCCTAATTGCCCGAAAAAATGTAAATGTGTGTAAAGTAATAGGACTACGCTCATTTTTTTTTTGGAAGAGAAAAAACTTTTTCCTTTATCCGACACCGTTAAGCAGCCGTCTCTGAGGGAGCGCCCTCCCACGGTACCATAATCTCTTGTCTCGTTCTTGACACGCGCGTGACTTCTGAAGGTCACCGCAAAAGGTGTCCAATCGACGTCGTTATGCAATGACTTAATTAACGCCTTCTACTGTAGACGCTTAAAAATTTCTTATTCGTTCCGTTAATGGACGCTCTTTCCGCTTCACTCGCATACCATAGCCGTCGAACGGCCGTTGCCTAGACTCCGCCATTCTAAACTCAACAAAAAAAGGATGACGACTTTCTCCCTTTCATCTCAATAGTAATAGCGCACCTGCGATATCGTCTAGGCTATTTTTTGACTTTCCGGAACGAGTTGAAGCCTGTATGCAGGAGCGGCAAGCGGTTATTTCAGTTAATCGCCCCTGAAAGAGTCTAAATATATAATTTATGGAGTGCAATGAAAAGTAGGGGGGAGGAAGATAAGCCACATACTGAACTATAACTAAATGAAGTCTAGCAGGGGGTCTTAGCAGTGCCCTCTAACAACAGAAAAATCTTTCACTTTTGTATTCAAATCGCCTTTGTATCAAGCCGCCGCCGAACCTTCTTAATCTTATGATCGCCGCCAAGGAGTACGCGGATCGAACTATCGACGGTTGGTAAAGAACGTTTTTTCAATTTCTTTTTTATACTATTGATTACGAATATCACCCACGTCTACGTTGTATCATATATGTATAGCCTTTATAAAGGAAAAACGCTCAATTCCGTTCAAGCGTCTAACGTGTGACTATGCATCCAGCTAGACAAGGGACGCATACCTTTTATAAATTTTATATAAATAAACAAGATGCATAGATAAAAAAAAGAGTGGCGCTTCAATCAAAATTAAAAATCAATTCATCACCTTTTTCATCGCTCTTTCACGGTTTAATCAAACTTAAGGATTGCATTTATGCGAAAACTCTTCTTCAATTTTTCTTCATTGTCATGTGAAATATATCTAAATACTGCGGTTAGTATTATGATTTATGCATCTTTGATTAGTATATATCTATATATATGTTTAAATTTTCGTTAATGTATATACTTGTATATACAATATTTAAATAGTATAGGTTAGACTACAGGTAATATCGCCGTCAACTTGCCTTTTTTTGTTGTATAAATAGTCGCTTTGTTGACGTTTTTTTGTGTTGGGGAAATATTTCAAAATAAAAATTATAGAAATTGACAAAATATTATTTAGTATATTTCCTTAAGAAAAGTCCCTTATTCTAGTGATTTAAAGCATTAAAAGTCTAGATTTAAGCGGCTATACGTCAAACAACTATTTCCTTGTAAAATTAACAAGATTAATGAGACTTATAAAGAAAACTGTCCTTAATGTAACAATTACTAAAGTATACTATTTACGTTGATAAAAGTATGCGTGTATATGCTAACGTATACTGATTATATATTGTGGAGCGTATATTTATTTATTGATATGGATATTAGGATATATGTTTATGCTAATATGCTTAGATTGTCCACTTATTAGTTTAGTTTGTATGGGGGACAACGAGAGAGTTTTTAATAATTTATTCAAATTTTATTTTAATTTATTCATTATAAATGAAACGAAGAGAAAAAAGTATAAAATCTTCCTCTCTTTCTATTTCTCTTGGAGGGGTAGACTATATATTTAAATATTCATGTACGTCCACCAACTGAAACTTTTCAAGGTTTCCCAAGTAATTAATTACCGTTAACTACCATCGTTTTGGTATGCATATCGTAAAGCGTTAATTGGTTTTGAATTCTTCAATATGTCCAAGGAATTGATGGATTGTAGAAACAAAAAAAAAAAGCTAAATGATATTTATTCAGTTTTTAAGACTAATCGCCCTAATTTGAATAAGCACTTGTAAAAATTTTGGCGCCAAAAAGGCCAGGTGCTGAAGACGTCGAAATAGCGGCCAATTTCGCTCTAACCCGGATTATGCAATCCGCTCCTATCTACCTGACACGATTCCCGCGCCACACGATAATGCGCATCAATTAGCGTCTATACCGTGGGACGTCCGTACCCTGTCATTGGCCAACGGGGTAGCCAATCAGCGTCGACCATTTGAAACTATATCGCCTCAACACCGACAGTAAAGTACTTGCGAGAAAGAAGTCGAACGAAATAGGCTTATCCGTACCATACGCCGCCTGTCTGCTTATCAAACTTATCGGTTGATAGAAAGTAAAAATAAAATTCTTTTTCAAAACCATTTAGTTTCTATGTTCCTGTGCAAAATGATTCTTGGTAGATATTCTTTATATTCTATTTTATTTTCTATTCGTTTTTTCTAGCATAAATCGATTGTGAGGGCCAATAAGGCCCTTTTTCAATCATTTATATTTATATTTATGTATATATAATACCAAAAGTTACAATATATCTAATATATATATATATATATTGTAATGTTTGTTTACGAGTTTGGGAATTGTTAGCATTGTCTTTTCATTTTTCTTTAATTAATTGATTTGTATAGACTGTATATGTTTGATGACTTCTAGCATGACTCTAGTGTTTTGTCTATTCAAATCTATAATGTAAATGTATCCGTTTTTATTAAAAATCTGTGGGGTAAGGAGTTATGCATATTTAATAAAGTTTTACATTAATTAAGAGCATGTAGTGACCATTCTTACTCTATATATTGACTATATTTTATGTAGATTTCTTTATTTTCTATTGTTTGCTATATACCCTTATTTTTTATATATTTATGAATATGTTTGTTTTATGCTATCTAAAAATCTTCTCTATTTTTTATTATAGACGGTATGGAAGACGGCTGGGACCTGAGCCGCTTAACGAAAGGTGATATCGACAAATTAGCTACGTATTTTGTGCCGGACCGACTTTGTCAGGGTGAAAACCGAGCGCAAGCCACACTTCCCAGGAATCTTGTTTTCAAACCATCGGAAAGGGTTAGTATTAAATTTTCTACTAAATGTCGACATTCGACACTATCAAATAGTTTTTCAATCTAACTGGACGAATCGTTCTTGCGTAAAGGAGGGCTGTATGACACCGCTGAGATCATTACATTCTCCTCCATCCCTATTTCTTTTTTTATTGCTTTTCTTATAGGCCTAGTACAATCCCGGATTCTAAATCGAGGACTGATTGAAAATAGCGTTAGTTTTTTTTGATAAGATAATATATGAAAATAGTACCAAGCGATGTGAGTCTCTAGTGTAACATGTTCTACTATTTTAATGAATATTCATAGTTTTAAATTAAAATTAATCATTGATGAAGTATTCGCTTTCTCATATTTTAGTGATATGAAACTGAAAAGCATGTAAAGTAAATATTTAGGTCAAATTATAGTTATAAGATGAGAGGAATGTGTTTTGAACGAGTGCAATTTCTAGTTTATTATATTTCATTATTGACTCATACCTATCATTAACATTATCACTATTTATTTGTACGTCGATAGAAACGTTTTCTTTTTTCGAAAGAAAGGAAAGATTATTGATAATTCTTTGACTATCATTCCTCTGTCTATTTGCTGAGCAAAAGATAAAAAAGAGGAGATGACAAAGCGAATACGAAAGCTGAAAAAGAACGTCTCTAATCCTTGTTTGAGTGTTTACTTAACTATTATTAAATTGCGATTGCAAGCAATTTTAATGCTTTTTCTCTTTACTTGCACCGCCTCTCTAATATTTCATAAGAGGGGAAAGAAAGAAAGAGAGAAAAAGAGAAATAAAATACGAGGATTAGAATTAAGCGTTACAAATATGGCGGGAATTTCTTGGCTTCCCGCCTTTCCCACCAAGATGTGATCTATGAGCGTTCGGTGACGTCAGACTGACGTCATAAGGCGCCAGACGTCGCAAACCAGTCGTTAAGGCGTCATGTAGCACTGTATGACGTCGACGATATAATTCCTCCCCTTTTTTCCGCCGGCGACAATTCTTGTTTGTCCACCTTGTCAGCTATATAGTTTGTAAGAAATTGTAAGCAGACAAAAAATTATATTTCATAGATTTTCTCTTTGTTAAAAGTATTTAAAAAAGTTACAGATTTTTATTTCTTTTCAAGACGGAAAGATTAAAATAGTAAAGTAGGATTTGAAAAGGATTATGGCTTATGGAGCAGATGTTACTGTATTTTTAATAGTGCGTTTTAAACATAAAACTTCAATTTTTATTATTAATAATAAATGTCTTCAACATAAGTTAACTAATTACCCAGAAATTAATTCAAATGAACTGATAAATATACAAATATCGCACGCTCACTTTATTAATTTATGCATATTTATAGGAAGAAATATTCTTTATCTTTTCAACATATCTCATCAATATTTTACATTTAAAAATAGTAAAAATAGACACGAAAAAAACAAATATAAAAAATAAGAGGAAATCAATGATGAGATAATTTTCCTTTGAACTTGAAAAAAACCTAATTCATTTGACAATATTTAAATGAGATATCTATTGATTATTTTTATAAGCTTCTTAAAAATTGAATTAATTAAGAGACTTCGATAATGAAAATATGTATATTCTATTTTTAATACAAAGTTTAACTAAGGAATCTTTGTTATCTTATAGAAAATATTCGTAATCAACAAGTTTCTATAAATACTCTAAGCGATTCCTCTGATAGTACGTTGTATATAGATATATATTTTATATTCAATCTATCTATCTCCCACTCCCCACGCTTCTTTCTCTTTCTCTCTCTCTCTAATCCAAACAAATATATATATATATATCGTGTATGTACATATATATCATAATATAAAGTTGTTTACTGTTACTGTTTAATATGAATCTTATATATTTGCGACTATTTACCAAGGCTTACGTAACTAATTTTATCTAGTTCTTTATCTAATTTGTTTACTTATGTTTATTTTAATTCGAAGAAAAGTCGGTTATACAGTATATGCATTTTAAATAAGGCCTATAAGACAACTAAAGGAATCAATGTATAGCATCTTTCTTTTATACCAGCTGTAATAGAAAATAAGTGATTTATAAAGATACGGACATTAAATTAATAATATTTATTAAATATTTTTATCGTCCATTTCTATTTATCTATTTAATAAAGAGGTATATAGAATTTTATATACTAATTTTGACATTGACTAAACACAGCAACCCTCCGGCGTTTGGAGTAGAGAATATATTCCAAAAGGTACCCGCTTCGGACCGCTTCAGGGTGAGATTGTACCCCCAGAAGCTAAATCAGATGGACACTTTTGGAAGGTAAGCTTTTCGGCACGCGTCCCCAATTAACGGGACAATATATATTATGTTTTATACTAAACAAAAAAAAAATTTTCCTTAAAAAAACGCAGGTGTTCACAACGGATAATCGCGTCTATCATTACATTGACGTAGCAGCTAAAAACTCTAACTGGATGCGCTTCGTGCAAATAGCTTGTTCTGAAGAGGAGCAAAATGTTGTTGCCTGCCAGGTGGACTTTCAGATCTTTTTCTACACAACTAAACCCATTCCGGCTAATTGTGAATTATTAATGGCTGCTACTCGGCATTGCATGCCCTCCTCTGGTAAGTTGCATTGTATTGCTACGGATTATTATTTATATTTCATTCTACTGGTCTATAGACTAGTCGTTGAACGCTTTCACTTGTTATTGCTCTATCTAAATCCGCTTTTGCGAGAGTCTAATCCCTAGTCCGCCGTGAGAAAAAGTGGAGATAAGTTTAAGGGTTGTTAAAGTTAAGGAGAGTAATGAATCCTATAAAGTTATTTATAGAGTGTCGTTTGGCGTTTTTATTACTATGTTCTCTAAACAATTAACATTTGTCGTCAGAACGTAACTTTTATAGAATTATTAGCTTATAAAAGCTTCTAAAATACTCTTTCTCCATCTATTACGTCATAGTTTAAATTAATTAATAGCCTCTAAAGTAGATGTACTTAAACATATCTTTATAGTATGTATTCAGTATATACGTATCCATGTATATGTATCATATAAAAGCTGCTAACAGGATAATATTTGAGTAGTAGATTACATAGAGAAAATGACACGGTGTTAAGGTCTAGAACATAAAATATGTTTAGAAATAAGAGGTTGTAGCGAGGGGTGGTGGAAGGCAAGGGTAGGGGGCAAGAGAGGAGTATGCTAGGGGAAGTTTGTGGTTAGCTGGGTGTTAAAATGGAATAGTAAACCATACTAAAAACAATTTGCTTCTCGAATATACTTGAACTAAGTATTCTTCCCTAATCGCCTCCGGCTAGATTAAAAAACGTACTTTAAACGGTTTAATTATGAAAATAAAGCAGTATTTTCGTCTTTCGAACGCGTTTAAGCGAAACGACGAATATCTATAGAGGAGACAATCGAGTTTTTTCCGCCTCAATTTCAATTGTACGCCTACTAATCCAAAAAAGGATTTTCATTTATTAAAAAGCGCTGCAACACTACCTATCAGCTCTCTTTCGTCCGTCTTTTAAGACACGCTCTGACTAGTTCAGCTATTCGAATATTCCGTTATTCTAAATAAAGAGAAAAATAAGTGAAAGAAATAGAGAAAAAAAAGTAGGAGGATGTCTTCTTTCACCTCAACTTTAGAATTATTCGGCAGTGGGGGTAAAGAAATTTCACTTTAAGCTCTATCCTATATTGTAAGGCGACTATATAAATAAACGACTGTTTTGATTTCCATGTTTATTATACAATAAGCGGATTCGGCAATTTTTTTCCTGTCAACTCTGCCAAAGTACTTGAACTAGAGGGATAGAGAGAAGAAGGGAAACATCTGTCAATTCAATTCACTATAAACACTCTTTAACCCTATAATTTTATACTGGATAAATATATATTTAGTCTATAGAGTATATTAATATTATGGAAAACTTGATATACCAACATGTTCCCTTAGTTTACCTTTACTCCTTCTCCATTGTCTTCGTTGTATCTCAAAGTTTAAGACATAAGGGAAAAGAGAGGGGTGAAAAAGAGGAATTTCTATATAAAGAGAGGACATAAATTTATTGAAATACAGTATTTATAAAAGCATCTGGCACTCTTTAGTCGCTATCAAGAACCATTTTTTCTCTTATACTTATCTTAGACCACCCGCCATGTTGAGTAGGGAGAGAGGTTTTATTTTTTTTCCTGTTTAAATTCAACTAATAATTTACATATTCGTTTCATTAAGTAGTCTTGTATGTTTACTATTATATTTTGGGATTTATATAAAGAAAAGCGAACAACTCTATACAGTAGAGAGATTAGAGAGTAGGGGGTTGGTGGTTTATAATAGTGATTTGCTTCGTCTTATAGGCCTGTTTGTTGTTCGTATATAAGTAAATAATAGGTATATAGTATAGCTTGTTTAAGAGGCAAAAATATAATAATTTATACAACTGCGAGACAATTATTTGTCAGTTAGAGAGCATGAGCAAACTACTTTCGAGCTCAGTAGAGCTATTATTGATATTTATAATACGATATAGGCCTTTACTGTAGAGAGTACCCACTTTAAGGATTTAAGGGTGAAGCGGACATACTTTCTATCTTATCTAAATCCCATTGATATTAAAGAATATGTCAAATCCCCAAACTAATTCTTTACCAATAATAATTCGTTTTCTTCTCTTTTATTTTTTGAACAGTAGTCAAGTCGGAAGCGATGGAGAATCAATTATCCGATAATATTTTCCTGCCCCCGGAGTTGAAGAAGTCTATGGTCGACTATCCGCTTCCGCCGGCACCTTTATTCCCTTTCCTCGACGAGTTCCGATCAAAGAAACCTTGGTCTCTACCCTTACCATTTCCGCCCTACCCATTCCCTAATCTCTTCGCCCTACCTCCTCCGGCACCAATTTTCTCCAACAACTTATTCCCAATGAAGAAATCGCAACATGAGGAGGAAGCTTTAAACCTTACAACAAAGAGAGAGGAAAGAACTCGTGGCCATCGTACACTTCCATATCCATTAAAGAAAAAAGATGGTCGCATGCAATACGAATGTAACGTATGTCAGAAGGTGTTCGGCCAATTATCCAACTTAAAAGTTCACCTTCGAACACATACTGGTGAACGTCCATTCACGTGTACAACCTGTTCCAAGGGCTTTACTCAACTAGCCCATTTACAAAAACACCACTTAGTTCATACCGGCGAAAAACCGCACGAATGTACCGTCTGCTCAAAGAGGTTCTCCTCAACATCCAATTTGAAAACTCATATGCGACTGCATTCGGGCGAAAAGCCTTTCGTCTGTAAATTATGTCCGGCCAAATTCACTCAGTTCGTTCACCTCAAGTTGCATAGACGTTTACATACGAACGAACGTCCATACGAATGCCCACGTTGTTCCAGGAAGTACATTTCCGCTTCTGGTCTCAAAACGCATTGGAAGACTTCAGCATGTATGCCAACTGATACCGCGCTTCCACATCCTTCCGATGGAGAATCGGATGGACATAGTTCAGACGCTGATATTGACGTTTGTACTGACTCTTCATTCTCCTAGTTAATCGGGAGAGGAAAACCTTTAATCATTAAAAAAAAGACAAAGCAAAAAATTGTGAACTATATTTTTTTTTCTTTTATATCCAAATATTTGTGAAGTGGTATTTTTTTTTGTTTTTATGTTCTCTTCATTATATTTATATTTCATTTTTTTTCTCTCTATATTCTCTGGTTTCATTCATTCAAATTTCATTTATTTATAGAAATGAAAAGAAAACTGTTCAGAATTTTTCAATTATTTTTTCTTTTCTTTTTTATATTTAAATTATAAAATTTTGTTATTGTCATAGTGTATTTATGCTCTCTCTCTCTCTCTCTCTCTCTCTCTGTATGTCTCTCTCTCAATTCTCTCAGACTCTATCTCTCGTTTTATTTGTTTTCCGCTTATCTGTCTTTCATATCATCATGTACAAAGTTACGTTATGGAGAGAGCATACGTACGATATTATATAGTAAAAAGAATGAAGTCTATTTATATATATATATATATATACTGTACATAGATGTACAAGTAAATATATACATATATATATATATTTATTTCTATTTTTAGATAACTATTTTGGTCTATTCGGTTGTGCTAGTTATCCAGAGGATTGAAAAAATAAGACAATTGTTGAAGTGATATTTTATGTTTCTTTTTTAAATTTATTGAATTCTATATGGTATATATATACTTTTACATATATATTATATGTATACAGGAGAAAAGCTACGAGATAAAAGAATGATATACATTTTAAACGTCTCTTGTAACAATTTATAATCGATATCTAGTATCTTCTTATTCTCCCTCTCCTTATCCTGCTTATCGTCCTTTCCCTTCCTTCTTGTATAACTCTCTCTCTTTCTTCATAGCACCAGTCGGCATTGAAAATAATCTAAAATATAATTTTCCCAGGGAGATGGTATAAAACTTACCTTTCTTTTCAAGGAAATACGTATCACTTTCCGGCTTCTAAAGCGCTTTTGGTTCGTTATATTTAGATTGCACGTTCATACTTGTTTCAGAAAAAAATAAGAACTTAGTCTTCTAATATTTAGTCTCGGTGGGTCACTTGAACGATCTTTACTCTTTCCACATTGTTCCTTATCAGTAGGATAAAGAGAAATCGAGGGAAAATATTTTAATTATCTCGAAATAGAATTAAGCTATTGAAACGAATGAAAGATATGAATGAAGCACCGTGATTTATCACGTTGTTGCATAATTTTTATACCCTAAAATTGCCACCGGCCAATTGCCTTCCAAACGACAATAAACCACATTATTTGGCATCGTTAAAGGGTAGTGTATCTAAAACGAGGGTCTCTTGATGGGTCTATTCTTTAAATGAGTTTAGTCCACCTCCTCCCGAATAGAATTGTCAAGAGAAGAATTGAAGGGAAAATTAGGCGTATATCAACCGGAAACTCTAGTGCGCGTCAATTACGTAATCAGATGGAATCGAAGGTCGAGTAAATGTTTATTTGAAAACGATTACGATTCCAGTATCAACTCTCTGCTGAACTTTTGCAGATTAAGGGATTAAAAAATAAGATACAAGATATAATTTTTTTCTATAAATAATTCGACCAAATAAAGAAAAAAGATCTCCTTAAATCTCTTTCTATTTTTCTTCAACCTTCGATTATTCAATTAAGATTTATTTCTAATAATATCTTTCTATTTCTTTCTTCTACTTATTCTTTCTCTTACAATAATCAATTCCCTTCCCGTCCTCGCTTTCTCCCTATATACCTTGATAGGGGAAAAAAGTTCAAAAACTCTAAATAGATAAGTATAACTTTGTCGGCATCGATAAAGAAGAGTTAATGATAATAGGACATGGATTATTTTTTACCACTTTTGAAAAAGAACAAAGAGCATTTTTACACCTATTCAAGAGAGAAAGAGAGGGCAACGGGGAGGCATTTGCACGCGTAAAACGCGTTCGCGTGCTTAAAAAAAGAGGCGATTATATGACCGCTTCTGTCCGCACGAGTCAAAAAGAAGAGGGATAAAGGAAAAAAAAGAATGCCGATGATGGGATATGGCATCAATTATATATATAAATATATACAAAACATATGGCTATATTTGTCAATTTACTCTTCTAGTTCCTTTTCTCTCTATTCCGTACTAATTCTATTCGATTTTTATGATAATCTCTCTTTTTTTCATTGCCTGTTTTATAATATGAGGTCTATTAACTTGAATAAACCGCCTTTATAATCTCTGACTACAACGAAGTAGGGGGGGGGGGAGAAAGAATGAAAGAGAGAGAATGACAGATTTTTGTCTTTTTTCTCTTCCATATTTAGAATTGGGAAGGAGGGGTTTAGTCGGGTAAATCGTAGAAAATAGTTAGGGTGTAAATTATGTAATACCTAATATATACATACTTGAACAAGAGAATTTTGTAAGAGTACGCTCTATAAAAGAATGTTTATGACCTAATCTCCTAAGAGGTGGATGCGGCTTAAACGCTTCCGTTTTCGGCGTTACAAAGAGTAGATTTTTAATATTTTATTAGTAATTTATTCCGTAAATTTGTGGTAAAAGAGAAACGACTAACTATGGTTAGCTAAGTAAATATTAAAAGTAATAATAATAATAATATATAAATATTAAAAATAATAGAAGAAAAAAGAACATAGTCACAATCTTATGTGTTTGAAGGATTAAGTTTCTCTTCCTTTCAATAGAGGAGGGTTAATATGCTGCAATATCGGATTATCGAAAAAAAGAAGAGCGCAAGAGACCCAGACTATGTAAACACTTATGCGATTGAACGAAAATCGTTATATAGAAAGAGAAGGTGGGCGTCGTTTCAATAACGGTTTAAAAGTACTATATCCGGTTTAGTGTTAGAAAAAAATAATTAACCAATCCCATTTTTTTTATAAAAAAAATGTGAAATATATTTTATATGTAAATAAAGAATAAACAAAAGTATGTATATATATATATATATATATATATATATATATATATGGATATATAGAGTATTTATATCTATACTTACATTAACAGGCAAAAAAATAAACAATAAACAAACTGCAAAGTGCTTTCAGTCTATATAAAAAAAAATATCATGATAAATTGTAATAATAGAGGATTAGAATAAAGAAAAAACGTTGTAAAAAGAACGCTCCTATAAAAATTCCACTTCCGTTCTGAAGTGGGTGAATATAGTGACATATCAGATGATCAAATCAGCGTGACAGAGAACATAATACCGGGAGCGCGTGGAACGCGTTTGATTCTATATAAAAATGTTACATTTTCTACGGTTTTACCTTGATAAATTCAAAATTATTTAACACTTTTTCTTCATCATTTTTCTTTTCTTTTTCATAATTTTTACATTTGAATTGTTTGTTTTTTTAAAAAAAAATATATTCAATACAATAATAGATTTTTTTTCTTCTATTTAGAGGAAACATTAATTTTGATTTTTATAGATTTATATAAAGTTTTCCCATAAATTTTCTTATCATTGGCGCCAAAGAATGGTAGAGATTAAGTTTGTTCTTTTATAAAAATCCTTGAGAAGTCAACTGAAAGAGATATATTAAAGTGATAATTGTTTAAGTATAATTTATGAAAGATTAATAAATCCCCCTTTCAGAGAGTATATTATTAGAGTATATTATTATTATTTATAAGTATTTTCCTTTGTACTACGTGTTTTGTCTATGTTCGTATTTAAGAAAAATATGAAGATATAGATTTGTTAAGCATATAGTTGAGAAGAACAACGGAAGAAAAAGAGAAAAAAAGAGAGAGAAACATGGAGGTGTTGAGGAAGAAAACAAGAAAGAAAAAAATCAGCTTAATTACGCAATGGACTATACACTCACTCGACTAAGTCAACCAAGCATAAATATTATCATAAAACGTTAAAGCGGATTACAAGGCTGATCTGTCAATAGGTTTTGAATAGTGAATATTTCTTTTGCTGTACCCCTCTCTCTCTCTCTCTCTCTCTCTCTCTCTCTCTCTCTCTTCCTGTCTCTCTCTTTCTGCCTCCTCACCCATTTATGTGGCTTAGTGCATAAATAATTTACGGTTTTTTTGGGACCGAATAAGAAGAAAACAGTCGTTCACGCCGCTTGAAAAAAAAATTACAAGCCCTACAACGACCACCAAGCGGTACGCACATCATATCATCAAAGACTCCGCGGGGGGTCGCTGATAGATGAACAATGTAATTATACAGGTGGCGTTCCCTGATTCTCGCCCAATCTATACACATGCCCAGTCACGTCTTTACCGCTATAGACGTCTAGGAAATATTGAGGAAATGCGGGTTTTATGAATTTTCTTTTTATTAATATTTTCTTTTCTTAAAGAGAATATTCGAGGTTAAAAAAAAGTAACGGCGACACCTGGCCATATTACCTCCCGTAAACAACACATTTTTCTCGGCGTCCTCTCGTAAGGGGGTAACAATTATGCAAATGAGTTGCACAGCAAGTTTTTCCAAAAAAGGCAGCTGGCGTCGCTTTTTCTTCCGTAGCGCTTCATAATCGTTAAAATCGATATAACGAGTCGTCAGATCCGTAACATATGCTGTGTACATAAGCGATTAATGTATCGGATCGAGATCTTGCAAAGGGGCGTGGCTAGTTATGTACAGTTTTTTTACCTTTGATGTTGTGAGAAAAAAAGGAATTCCCGCTCATACAGCCCCTCACGCCAAGTCGTTAGTCTGGTTAACTTTTGAATGGGATGATTTTCATTCTTTAGTGATTGATGGATGGGAATTGAGCACATTCGTATTGGGTAATGATTTGGTTTATTGTGTCTGTTGAGATTGCCCCTTCTTTTTCCCTCAAATGTCGTACATTACCATAGAGTTTTAATTAAAAAAGAGAAAAAGCTTTAAGGAATTTCCACTGAGATTAGATATTGCCCTTCCCCTTTATCTAATTCCCTACCCCCTACTATTTATCTCTTTCTCTGTCTCTCTGTCTCTCTCTCTCTCTCCAACCACCATTCGCTGTCCAATCCAAAAAAGAATCTCTCTCTTTTTGTCAGATGAAACCATACAAAAACATTTCATACATTGGAAATATATTGTTTTCCTTTTTAGGCCTAAGAAGTAAGGAATCTTTGCCCTTTGAGGGCATAGAAATAAAATCTTCTCATATATCGGAAGAAAACGATTTAACAATAGTTTTAATAAGACGTTTTGCGGATATAATATCGGGTGAATATCGGCCATCTTGGAGCCGATCCCTAAAATTATTAGAAAAAGTAAAATAAGTTTTAAGAGAAAAGAAAGAATTAAAGAAGCCGCGTGTCTGTGCGCATTAGTCTCGTTTTAAAAAGACTTTAAAATTACCCATCAAGCCATGCATATATAAAATTTTACTGATATTATTTAGGTGGAGAAAGGTGATCGTGAATCCCTTATATATCTATTCATACATTAAATGAGAACGACCATTATTTCCCCCTCTAACCTACAATTACATCTAATTCGGTTTAAATAAGTTTCTAAGGGAGAAAACTTCAATTGTACGAATATATACATATATTGTATAACTTAAAAGTGATTTGATTAGACAAGGCGGTATGCATTACGAATCTTTTATACAAGCAGCATGGGACCGTGAACTTAGGGACCGCTCTTCTTTCAAGAGTCACCAATGAAAGAAAAACAAGACATTCCCAATATTGCACCATCAGATCGTAACTTTTTCCCCTTCATCATCTTCATCAGCTTTTTCGAACTCTATCTTTTTATCCGTCAACTCCCACTTTTTTATTACCAATTATTACGCGTATATATCATTAAACTCTCAGACTAGTCATAGATGACATAACTTTTTATAATACGTCTAGTAGGGGGAAAAGTCATAAATATTCATATTTTATTTTAATTAACATTCTTACTTTCCTATTAAAATAACTTTCGAAGTTTTTTTTATAGTACAATTAGGATAAAAAGCTGCTTATTTCACTAATTTTATTACCTTTCATATGTCAAAAAAGTCTTTTTTTCTTCATTTTTATCGTTTAGTTACCAAAACGTAATGTTTTATATCTTTATTAATGTTATTATACAGAAATTCCTGCCCCCTTTATTAATATTATAATAGATGAATGGAAAAAAGTAGAAACCCCACCCCCTTCCCCCTTCTCCATATATGAATAAAACCCGCCCCTTTTTAAAAACTCCTCTTAAAAAAAACTCCAAGTGTTAGCTAACCTTATCAATTGCACGCTATCTCGATGAATATCCGCTAAAAAGGTCAAAGCGACTATTTATTGACTAAAAAGATTCAAGAGAATCATGAAATGTAACTGCAGGGCTCTAAAATTCTCTAAAATCCTCTGATCTCTTTATCATTTGTATACACTTGCGATTAATCGTTCAGCACAAGCGTGCGGTGAACGTTTTATTTGAAATATCGTAAAAAAAAAAGAGGTGGGAAGAGTTTTGAAGAAGGGCTATAGGGCACTGCGAATTCTAAAAGTGGGGCGACGCTAGCTTTTACGATTACATAACAAGGCGTCGAGAGCCTCGTATAGACCATCATCTCGTGGCCGATTGAAATGTTAAAGATGGCGGCTAATTTCACACTTGTCTACGCTTATGGGAGTTGTATACGCATTTTCTTTTACAACTCTTAAAGGACTTGTTACGCAATCGGTATAATGGAACATTTTTCGCTTCTTAAAAAGTCATATTGCTCCCAATTGGTTAGGTCAGGCCGCCTACTTGTCTTTCACTTAACTCAAAGTCGCGTAATTCCCTTTATTTTTCTTTGAAGCTCTAAAGGTTTCAATTTACCTTTAAAAGTCGGCCTTTTCGTCACATTATCCTTCTATTTTCAAATTCTTTTCAAGTATTTAACAAGCGATTACTTATATTTTTCTATAGTAAAAATCAAAATCTATCAAGGACACTACTAAATACATAAATAGAAATTTAATCAAATATACTTTAATTTATATAAATAAGTAGAAAATGCTTATTTTGTATATATATATATATACATTTAGTAGACATTGTATACTGTATGTATCGTACTTTCAATTTCTATTATAGGACTACAACAAAATAGAAATCTTTGCGTGACTTATTCTCATAAAATATTCAATTTAAGCGGATTAGATATACTTTATAAGTATAAACTTGTAATTTTTTTCTTTCTTTCTCTCTTTTTTTTCTCTATTCTGTCTCATTTATCAATCATTTGCTAGATTTTTAATTATTCAATATTCTAATTCAATTCTTTTCATTGAAAGTCTAATAGCTATATATACATATACTGTATCTATCTAACAATAGTTCAATAACCTTAACTTAACTAACTTTCCATTTTCATTGTTTCTTTTTTAATTTGTAACTTTTAGTTGTTTTTTTAAAAAAACAGAAAAGAAAGATAATAAAACGGCGAAGGAAAAGGTCTACTTCACTGTTTTATAGGTTATTATATATATATTTGTTATGTTTCTCTTCGAAATTTATACTGATGATATGAACTGTTGTTTTGAGAAGTTATAAATTGACTAATTAGTTATAATAATAACATTTTAGGCTTTTAATTAACAAAACTAATTAATTCAATCAATCATTTAGAGGTTTTTTATATTAATTTGTTTCTAAAGGTATTTTATTTCAAAGTAACACCGAAATCTATTAAAACTTACCTTTGCTAATTACGCAATAGTGGCGACAGGTGGCGCTTTCTAGAGTTACTTTTGTTCATGCCATAGGCGTCTATAATTAATTTTTAGCGGCGACATCGTTAATTTAGAAGTAGTAATCGGATTAAAGTTTAGGGGGTCCTAGTACTGATAACAACTGATAAGAGTTAAAGAATTGTCTATTTTCAAAATAATAGGTAATTAATATATAAAAGAGCAGACATTTCGTCTTTTCTTTAATAGACCATTTCTCAAATTATATTTAGCAGTTGTCAACTTAATGAAATTCTTTATTTCTTATATGATAAAAAAAATACTAGCATAAAGATCATTCTGCCATTCGTCAAGTGATAAAAAGAGGAAGAAAGAAGAAGAAAGAAGAAGTCGAAGAAAAGAAAAAGAAGCATTTGACGATGAAGAATAATACATATTCAAGACATTTATCAATAGAATTGAGAGAAGAATGGTTAATTTTTTTTATCTCGCCTTGTAATCAATAAATAAAAAAGATAGTTAGATTATATGAACATTAATTGTATAATACTATCAATTTATTATAGACTAAAGTATACTGTATATATATATATGCATTTATACAATTGATCTGTATACAAAAGTTCAATAACTAAACCTCTAACGCCATCTGTATTTTTTGAAAAGAAACGCATTTTCGTCTTTAATTTTCTTTTCATATAAGAAGTTAGAAATCACGAATAGAAAGGAACACAGTAGTATAATTGATCGCAATCATTTTATAAAGAATTAAATTAGGAGAAGGAGAACAAGAGAGACAGAGAGAGAGAGAGAGAGAGAGAGAGAGAATGAAAATAAAAGAAACATCGTTTACCAACATAACTGTTTATTGTCGTTAATTGTCTTTTTTTAAACAAATAACCAATGATAAAATTATCATGTTAATGTCAATAAAAAGTATAAATTATTAGTTAATAGCATAGCGAATAAATGAATATAAATGATGCGAAAATATTCCGTTTTTATTAATTAGACGTACTCTAACACTCATCTAATTTGTTCTATAGTCAACCTTCTATTTATAATGTATATAATGTTCAAAAAAACACGCCATCTCTTCTTATAATTAAGTCTATAGGAGTATGAATATTTGAATAACTAGTATAATAAACAGAAGAATATATTTATATAGAGGTGTAAAGGTTATAATATTTGTAATTTGCATAGAAATTACAATAAAGCCAATATTTCACATTTCTAATTCAATCATTTTTTTTTTAGAATAAATTATTCAAGTTTGATAAGTCTATAAAAGAAATTTTATTTTTCTACTTGTATATAGGCCTATGATGAACGCTGTTTTTGTAATATAGGTGGAGACACTTGTTCAAAGTCATAGATAGTATGGGGATATTTTCGGTGTTAAGAAATAATTGGAAGAAAACTGTATTTTTTAGTGCCATTGCAGGAGGTGGTATTTGGTGGGGTGATAAAAAATACAGGTGACCTTTTATAATATAAGATTAACCTAGTTCAGGCTTATAATTTTGATAATTACCTTTAATATCGTCCACACGTTGTTTTTGAATATGTTACAGAGAAAGTCTATTAAGGGCAGTTTATTGCAAAGAAGCTCAGGTAAGTGTTGATTAATAACATTTACTTGGAAAAATTAATCTAAAAATCAAGTTAATTATCTTAACATAGAAATATGGTGCTGTCAGTTGCAATTTGGGCAATCCTAGAAGAGTTATTGTCTTCTTAAATCCCGCTGCTCAGTCAGGGTAAAAAGTTCATCATTAAATAATTCATGTCGTAATTATCGGCTAGTTTATCCCGTATAGCAAAGCTAGAAGTATATATGAAAAGAATGTAGCGCCCCTTCTCCATTTGGCTGGCTTACAAGTCAGTTTAATAAGGGTAAACGACTTGTTATAATTAGAGATATCGTTAGAAAATATTAACCCTTCAAATTTAACTCTTCAAATGTAGACTGAATACGAAGGTCAAGGTAAACAATATGCAAAAGTTATAGAAGCGGATGAAGTAGACGCCATTGTAATTGCTGGTGGGAACGGTACTGTAGGAGAAATTGTAACTGGCTTGTTTCGCTCTTCGAAATCAAATATTCCAGTAGGCGTAATTCCATTAGGAAAGACTAATACTGTAGCAAACAAAATATTTGGGGATTCCGGAGAAGTATTAAATTGTTTGGAAGCCGCTATGTCTATTATTAAAGGTGTTACTAAAAAGGAAAATATTATGAAAATTCGGGTAAAAATAATAATTCTTAAGATAATCTAACACAATTTACATATTTTCTTCTCTCAATTATTTGCAAGGCTGAAGAAGGTGAACCAGTATTCGCTCTGTCAGACCTTCTATGGGGAACATTTCGCGACACTCACGCCCAAGTCGACAAGTTTGTACTTTAATATTGTATTTTATTTATTTATATGATTAATTATTTAATTAATTATTAATACTCTATCTATTTATTTATTAAAATATTGTAACGATATATTAGATATTGGTATTATGGTCCCTTAAAGAGAAAAGTTGCTTATTTGGCTACAACACTGCGTGGTACTTGGCCGCCAACTATACAAGCTGACATCACGTATACATTACCTTGCTCTGGTTGTAATAAATGCGTTCCTAAATTCGAACCACCTAAATGGAGGTGGTGGCATATTCTACTGAAGCCCCAATATGAACTTCCAGCTGTTGATTATAGTAAAATCGTTAATGAAAATTGCGGTATTGAACACAATGAAAGTATATCTGGTATCGAACTTCATGCTAAATTAAACGAATCAAGTATAGCAGTTAGCATTTTAAATGATGCTCCTGAGAAGATGGAATTTATAAAAGAGGGTTGGGCCAGGGAAAAAAACCAAAATTTAAACCTAATAAAACGCAAATCGATTGATGTTCAATCGTTAAAATTAAATCCACAGATGCCAAAAGAGGTTAGCGTCTTTCTTCTGAAACTTGAACTTAATATTGCTAAATAACTAACAGCAATCGATTGCTGTGCATATCATTTTTATTCTGTATTCTGCCTTTCGATCTCCCATTAGCAGTTATTGCTTACAGAGGAACTTCATCCTATTTTATTTCATTTTTCATTTCAGACCGAAACTAAAGCTTGGTTGAATATCGACAATGAAGAATTTGAATTATTCCCATTGACCTTTGAACTAATTAAATCTAAATTGTTACTATTCTCTTCCAAATCCGATATAGATCATACCCAAGTTAAAAGTCCTCTGCAATTATTAAAAGATAAATGCTTAGCATATGCACCAAAAATAAATTAATATACTAAATTTTATATAAATATATATATTGTCCATTTGTATCTATATGTTAGTATAAAAATAAACTATAGATGGAGTTATTAATCTGTGAATAGATAAAAATCAAAGAGTAGGTAGGCACAAAACGAATCAGAGGGGGAAAGAGAGAGAGAGAGAGAGAGAGAGAGAGGAAGGGGAAAGCAAGAGACAGAAGAGCAAAACTTTATTATTTTTCTTATGAAATATTTTGTAGCAGATGCTCATTTATTTTTGCCTTTAGTGAAATGCTATAAATCTTACAAACATATTACTTATATTTTTCATAAATAATATATATCATTATTATTTATTACCTTTTACGAATGTGTTCTCATTAAATTACCATTCCTTAAATTACTGTGATTATTCTTAAAATTATTAATAAACTCTTCCACGAGAATACAGAAAATACAATATAGTTATATTCTCTTCCTGTAGTTTAATTATTTATAACATTTTTCCTTTTCTCTTGCTTTTACTATAAAATAAGACTTATAATTTATGACTATCGGTTTTCGATTGCTAAAGTAATTAATACTAAATGGGACAAGATATAGGATTAGCCGAGGGAAAAAAATCGGTTTTATTGACTGTTATTCCAAAGTAGAAACAACGTTTTTCCATCTGTTTATGTCGAAATATTACTGACAGTTGGCCTAAATCATTTTCAAGATCAATTTTAGTTTGCATTAGTGTATTTGCTTGCGTTTTGGGTTTTTCCTCACCAAGAGCATAGAATATAGTTTGCTAATTATTTCTTTTTAAATGAAGAACACGAAAAATATTTTGTTGGGAAAAAAATATCTTTTTTATTATTTGTATCTCTTTATATAGACGACGTATTAGGATTGGCCGTTTGCACTGTTGTGATATACAACTGTTGAGTAGTAGAACTTGAGGGGCTTAACGAGTCTAAAACGGATAAATAAAAAGTACATTTAGTAACAATCAAATATTATATACGTGGCTTTTAATCTATCATATATTGATTAGAAATTTACCTGCTGGAGACAACTGGGGGGGCGAAACTAATTGCAAAAGAGATAAACCACTACTGTTCGGTGTCCCGCCTCGAACAGGCTTAATTAAATTAAGTTGTGTACCTAAATGAACTAATCCAGTTCGGTTTGTTCCATCTTTTTTATCAATAGAGTTCACTTGTAAAGTGGTTGGTGACGTAGGAGAAATTTGATTCGATGAACGAACTGATATTACTAAGAACGTTAAGAATAAAGCATTACAACTATTAGAGATATGTACCTTGTACATGAGGGATGGAGGTCAATTGCGAAGCAGATACTGTTATAGTTTGGGCAATGCCAACTGATGATACGGGAGATCGGTTGGCTGGAAAAGCTGTTGCCTGGGTATAGGATGGTAGATGAGCTAATGGAAATTGAAGTCTAATAAATCTCACTATATATCATTAAATTAGTGCTGAAAAACGAAAATAATTCAAAGAAATACCCATTAATTATATAAGAGAATGCAATATATGAATGACATTGAATATTTCATATACTAATACATATAAATATTCATATATATTGGTATATATACTGTATATATATATATATATATATATATAGTTACAATTAATTAGTAAGGGTTAACGTACACTGCATTGTCTGCAACTTACGGCAAGTCGTTAAGTTTACTTGAGGTAGAGGAGTACCTGATCTACTGAATGAAATATATGGCGTTATTAGTATTATATCAATTATTGATAAGTATGCCAACCTTGATACGTGCGCAAAAATACCCATTTGTCTCAGTCTATGAGTCGGTAACTGTGGTGTATTAGCAGGAATTTTTTGCTGTTGTAATTGTTGCTGCTGCTGCTGAATACTTTGGATGAATTGAGCATTTATTGCAGCTTTTTGAATATTGCTATTGGGCACTGTAAAATCAAAAGGGAAATATGTTAAAACGATAAAATAGTAGTATTAGCAAGGAAAGATAAATTTTTTAGGCCTCATTAACTATATTGCCATCGGCCGAATAAAGTCGACTTTTAGAATAGAAAAGCCCCTCCTTTCATAATAAAAGCTATGATATGGAAAAATAACGAACTTTGAAAGGTTATCTTTCCCTCAGACAATCTTGAGAAGGCAGTGTCGTTAACCTTACCATTATCTTTACCCTCAATTTTGGTAATTTTTGGTGCTTGGCCAGCTATAGTATGTGTAATAATGGCAGATTTTGTATAAGATTCAGTAAAAACTTTCTCAAACTGTTGTACATGATTATCTAATTCTTCTCTCGTTGAAAATTCAATTTTTTTACTCTTTAAAGAATTTTCTACGTTTGCCCTATACAGCAGGAATAAAAGAAAAACATTAAATTGTCGTTTATCAACATTTAGTGCTGTCGTTTAGTTTACCTATATTCAGAAAGCTGACAAACGAAAACATTTCCCTTTTTGCTAACGATAAGTTTGTTCCAAACATTACAAGAGCTATCTTCCCTTTCAAATGACCATTCTTCAATTACTTGATAGGAAACGTTCCGAAATCTTTCATAAGACATGTTCACATATTTCATAACTTCTAGATTAGATGGGGCTGAAAGTCGAATTGGTTGTTCCTTGAAGGTATCTACAGAGAGCAATTTACGATGGGAAGAAACACTGAAATAAATAGAAAACATGATAAATCATGGTAGATTCATTAATTTGATCAGTAAAATAAATTTACCCAGACGTCTGTCGTTTGGTGATAAGGAAATCGTGGAGGGAGGAGAAACATGGACCAGAACACTGTGAAAGATATTTTCGTCTCCTAGCAACCGATGCCTGATTCCATTTCCTAGCTTGTCTTACAAGGCCTTCACTATTTAGTACATCTTTTTCAAGGATATTTTGGACAACAGCCAGGCTTGGTGACGGATCCAGGCACATAGGCTCTTCTATGTCCTCAATAATTTTCTGCTCCAACCTTAGCATATCTTCCTGAGATATTGCATGGCTAGGACTAATTTGATTAGCTATCATGTTAACATCTGCTATTAAAGTTTCCTGAGAAGGCTTTAAAATAACATAGGATGTATGGTATTCCTTTGGAACGGTATTTCGCCTAAAATCGCGCAGTTCCACTACAACGTGGCCGTCGTAGTAAAGATTGACTGGTGCTTCGTCAAGAACATCAAGGATAAACGGTGGGATTTGTTGAGAATCTAAATATTCTAAAAAGTCTGATTCCTACAAGAAAGAACAAGTTCATTAATTTATATTTTCAAATTGCTATAAATGCCGATTATTTAATATTTCTTTCTCCCTTACTTCATAAGATAAAATAATTGTTTCGGCATCTTCCACTTTTGGGTACTGAATAGAGTATCCTTCATTTCCAGGGTGCAGGTTCACAATCAAGCAATTCAAGTCTTCAGTTTTCACTAATTGAGAGAGCAATTTTTGAATAGATTTTGGAGTCTAGAAAGAATTATGAAAATTTTATACAAGCAAAGTCAACATTTATTGAAATGAAACTTACATCTCCTAATTGTTTTTGTGCTGTAATCTTAAGCATTGATACTAGTAGAGATTTCCTGAAAATTGCATAATTAAATAGTATTAATTTTTTATTTTAAGTAAATAAAGTAACGCAACTGTTCGGAATTGTTTTCGTTGTTGTCACTTGATTTGGTACAATTTTTTAACTGCTGAAGTAATTCCTGAAACAAATTTTAATGTCATGTCATTAAAAAATGCTAAAGCTATTACTTACTTGGACTTTATCTTCGATCCTTCCTTTTTTACGGCTGCATTCTTCAGTCATTTTATCATAATTGAGTCACAATAACTTGGGCGATAATAGATCGCTACTCTTTCCCGAACTTGAAGCTGTAAGTTGTTCAGATGATGAGATTGATTGGAACGGGAACCAGAGTTTTACTACCCGAATGCTTTCAAACTGGCCGGTTCAAAATATATTGACGAAAGCGTAAAGAAATAGCTCTACTGAAAACTAACCGATTTAAAATATATATATATCATAGGCAAATTGTATGCCTCCCAAAATATCAAAATTATGAGTGCGATTGATGCTAAGTAATAAAAAAAATCAGATAATTAATTTCTGCTGGGCAAAATAGATTGTTTTCAAGAAAAACCGGTAATCACCGGTTCCACGAATTTTTAATCGGGTTCTGATTCATTCTTCAAAAAATCTGGACCCGACCCAAATAAGCTGTATTCGGCATATATGCAACAATTAAAGAAAGAATTCTATAGATTTCTCTCTAGAATAATAGGAAACAACGAAAACATTAATTCTACTTGATCGATTTCCTTACTTTCTTTATAATTTTGTAAATAGATTTTGTAAGAAAGTATTTCTTTCTTTCTTTCTTTCTTTAAAGATTCTTTCTCAAATTGCATTTGATTGAAACGGAATGAAAACAATAGCTCATCAAGTTGTATAGATGAGTAGAATGCTTCAGATCTATCTTTTGCAATAGCAAACTTACTTAATTGTTGACGAAGAACAAAACCATATAAATGAAAAATTACGCGTATTTAAAAAAAATTCGTGAATGGATTCCTAATAGAAAACCATTTGCGAAGGAAGCTTAAACAATTTTGTAAATTACATGCTCTACTTAGAATATATCATTTGATTGCCTTGACTCTTTTTTCATACAGTTTTCTTAACTTTTACCCAGATTGAAAATGAATATAATACATCTGATAGAAAGGTTAAAATATTCCTTATAAACTATTACTTTATTACTTTCCATAAACTGATGATAAGATGATGGGCTATGGCTAACCATACAACTTTTATCCCCTTTGAAAATAAGTTAATGAGGTAAAAGATGGTTCAAAAGGTTATCACAATTGTTAATTCACATGAGGATAATTGGTTAAAGCAACTAATGCCATAGAGAGAAGTTTTATGGCGTCTTTGGGAGTCTACATCATTGATTTCAAGTTTATCAATAGTTATCATTGTTAAGGATATTTTAAATGATAAAATTTTTAATTAAAGATATTTTGAAAAGAAATATAATATAGTTAAAATGCTAACAAGAGTGAAAAGAGATGTTTTTTTAAAAGTAAAATGTTACTTTTGGTTTCGGGAGTAATGGTATCAATCGGCTTCTTCCTTTAATGTTTTTTTTTTTTTGATCTAATCCATCTATCTCAACGTTTTCAATTAAAGAAAAAGACTATTTATCTTTGTCTTTAATGTAAAAAAAAGAAAAGAACTAGGCGAAAACTGTAATTTTTTCAATTATTGTCAATTTTTCTAATCTTCATAAATCAAGTTTTGTTTGATTAGTATAGCTTCCTTTAAGATTAATTAAAGTTCGTGTATGTAAGTTATAAAATAAAATGGAAAAGAGAAATAGAACAGGGTAATTGTCTTCATTACTTTTAATATAGAACAAAGAATTGAGAGACAATTGGACCAGGGGAATAATAAAATAGTACCTTTACTATTAAAGATAAATTATAACAAAAGGGTATTCATATATACAGCATATATAGGTCAAAGTAAATTAATAGACCTTAAAAAATTTTGTCCATTAGATTACTGTTATTAGGTTAATAATTCCCTTGGAAAGTAGTCTACCTTTTCCTTCTTAATTGAACATTTTATTTCCCCATGGAAGAAAGATTTAGGTAAATCTTACCTTTTATCTTAATCTAACTAACTCCGTCATCTGTCTTTTATTTAAGTGATGAAATTGAAACAAAATACGCCTATTAACAAATATATAGTGTGTGACTGGTTAACTATTCGTTTACTAATATTTATATAGAAAATTGAAAAAGGAACAGGATTCCTGAAATGTATTTTCTGTTTTCAGGTTTATGATTAACAATTTAGCAATTTGTGTCTTTATTGTTGAAATCATTTTGTTGAATTTATCCAACAAGAATATATAATGGAAAGTGAAGAGTTAAATATTAAAATTTCGGTAAGAACTCGATTGATTAACTTTTATTTAAAAAAACCATATTTTTCCTTCCACTAACTCATTATCACTCGGCTTAAAATAAAATGAAATACAAAAAACATATAGTGTAAGCTTTATATTAAATAATTGTTACATAGCTATCAACCTTTGGAGATCATATCATATGTCCAGTCTGCATGAATATTCTACAGGATGTTCACATCACTACTTGCGGTCATAAATTTTGTGGAAAATGTATTATAGAAGCAATTGATAGGAGACAGAAATGTCCATGCTGTAATGGGTCTCTCAATCCTGACAGCGTAATTAGGGATTTAAGTTTTAATGAATTAATTAGTGAGTAAATTTGATTTCTAGGTATTTGATCCCTATTAGTAAGAATTCTCTTAATATTCTAGTCTCAATTCAGGAAGCGAAAAAAAACGAAGAAGCAGCTTATCTAGACAATATTATTAGCGAAGCGGGTCAATTAGGTGAATAAAAAATAGGAAATGTATATACATATACACAATTTATAATTAAATGTATGTTTAAATACAGGTTCAGAGGTTAAAGATAGTCAGAATCTAATTAAAGAGGTTTTAAAAAGTTTGTCTCAAAATATGATCTTAGCAGAATTATTCACTTATATAACTAATTAAAATTTTTAACAATCTCTAAAGAACACTTACGTCAAGGTTTGGCTGCCCATGAAAAATACTGTCAATTAATAATTGATGAATGCGAGAGGCGAAAGCGATCATTATCAACCGAAACTGAGGAGGAACGTGAAACGCAAGTAAATAGGTATGAATTCGAAAAGAGTGAGTCTATTAGGCTGATATCGGAGGCTTACGACAGGTAATGAAAAGATTTTTATCAATTAAACCTATATTATATTTCATAAATTTTAAATGTACGGACCTTAATTTCTATGTTTTTGCTGTATATATGATTATTTCTTACCAGATATCTATCCGAACATATTCCGCATATTACCGTTCTACCAATTACTGTAACTTTTATACTTCTTCATAAAAACATCTCCATACAAGATATTACTATAAAACCAAATTCGACGTTGGTATCAATAATATTAATTTCAATTAGTTATTATGATCATAGAAAGCTCTTTACAGCATTAATGACTTTACACGAATCCTTCATCAGGAAATGGAAAAGTTGCATGATCCAATTATTGAAGTTTCCGATACTGCAAAATTCTTTTCATTAAGGTATTCACCCAGTCATTTTCAATATTTATTTTACTTATCGCATCTATTTATAGCCCATTTTCCGATTCAAATTTTAAAAATATTGAAGATCAGATTAATTTAGTAATTAATGAAAAGAAGAAAGTAGCCGGTCTTCATGTTATTCCTGCAGGAATTAAACCAGTTTTACAGTATGGATTGGTATGAATTTGTTTTCAATTGACATAAAAACTATTAAATTGTTATTAATAACAGAAACCTGGTACTAAAATAGTATTATACGGAGAGGTAAAACTCTTAAGTGACAAGCCAAAAGTTTGTTTTTCTCAAACGTTTGACAAAGAATTCCCAGAGTCTATGGACTATTTTACATGTCAACAATGTAATTTTCATTGTAAGTGTCAAGTTATACCTAAGTTATTAAATAGGTGATATATGCTCTCATATATTTTTTTTCATCTTCCTATTTCCATCTAGGGATATGTAAACCATGCATAGAAAGTTGTCATAAAGGTAATTATATTTAATATATCTATGAAAATATCTTATTAGTTTATTACATACCTACTTTTTATAAATAGGTCATCAAATTGGAATGTACATCCAGAATCATGTACCAACATGGTAAACTTTTGTTTGTATTCAATACGATATCATATCTTATCAGCTTTCCTTTAAAGGGCTTGTTGCTACTGTCCGAGAAAGAAGACGTGCCTAATTTCTCAAAAGAGAAAATGATTTGATTTATTAAATGGCAAGAGAAAATGAAATTTTTTCAATATTCCTATCTTTTACCCTTCATTTAAGTCTCCTTAATCAATTTATAACAATTTATTCTACTTCTTAAATAGTTTTATTACATATTTATTCTTTTAGACTAAATATTGATTTTATATTCGAATTTATTCATGTAATAAAGTTCAAATAATATACTGTATATATAATATAATAAAGTCTCTGAAAGTCCCTTTCAGTCCCTTCTTTACAGTAGCCTTTTTGAAACTACCATTATTCGTATAGGTACTATCCTAAAGTCTCTAATTTAGATGATGATAGGCTTTATGGAAATTTCTAAAAATTACGGATTTCTTAGAAGCCTATGTCGGCCTTGACATTGTTGCTGTTGTAAACTGGTTTTCAAGTATTCCGTTGATCACATGACTAAAATATGGAGGAGGTAGATAGAATAATAGTACATACCCTACAAAATATTGGCTGGTATGTCTTAGTTTGTTTACAAGGCGCGATTTTTATGCTTACAGCTGATCGAAAACATATTAATAAAGCTATTAAATAATTTTCTCATATGCAATTGTAGTAAATGTTACTTATTTTGAACAGCGACGTTGAAGATCACGTAGAAAGCCTATCAGAGTTTTCGGTTGATCTTATAGTTGAAGGGGTTGCTAAATGCTTAGAAATAATCCTAGGCAAAGATGACTTGCCTAAGAAACTTCCGCCTAATATGGCAACCAAATTCCGCATCGGAACTCAATTAGTTGAAGAAATAAAAGTAGCCAAATTATACACTATAGTATAATAATGGTATTTTGAATAATAATATGGGTATTTTCAGGGTATCGGTTACAAAGGAGAAATAGGATATCAAACACTTCTTTATTCGAATGATACTGAAATTAGGAAAGTTTTTATGTTCCTTGTGGAAAGGTTACCGAAAGAAAGTTCAACAACAAGCGATAGAAAACTAAGTACACATTAAAAACATTAGAATAAATTACCAGTTGAGAATCAAATGGGATAGTATAGAGTTAATTATTTCCAGGTGCCTATGAACAGTTGCAGCACACTATCGGTAGAGAAATTCGAGAGCAGTTAGAGTTGCCTTGGATTCCGAGTTTTCTAAAGAAAAGAGGTATTTACTGGAAAGGAGATAAATGGTACAAACAAGTAATAATAGACGAGATAATTTCTGTAATTTTTAATATCAATAGGAAATTATCTATTTTCCACTTTTCTCTCTAAAGGGTAGTAGTCATTCTCATCCATTCATCTCAGAGACTTTGACACTTCCGGAAGTGAATGGTAATAACTATAAGCTTTTTTTTAACAACTGTTTATCTATGATCATTACGTAATTAACTTTTTAATTTATTACATTCCTCCTATTTTAAGGGACGGACGTGAAACCTATTGCTTCACAATTGAAGGACGTTAGAAATTTACCAGCTTCGCTTATGGAGCTTAATTCATCTTTATTAGTTGAGCAACAGGAAAAAGAGCTTTCATTATCGAAATCAATCAGAACGAAACACGTAAACCTACAATATATGACTTTTAAAGAAAAATTTATGTACATATATTTAAATAATCCTTACAGCAAAAGAGTCAGGATGCTCTAGGTAATATTGTTAAAAAGTCGATTTTAGAAGCCAAATCAAAGTCTATGCAAAATGGAGATTGGATGAATTATCGTTCAATTAATATTTCAAACACGACAACACTGTTTCATTCAAATGAGGAAAATGTTAATGATGTAATAGATTCTAAAACAATTATATATTATTTATTTAAATAAGTAGATATGTTTATTATTGATATAGGATTCACCTAAAAGTGCTGAACAATTAGAAGAAGGAAAAGAAGTAAAGAGTTCGATAAGTAAAGAAGAAGAATTAGATAATTTACGTAGTGAGTTATTAGATATATCTAAACAAATGGAGAAATTAGAATTGAAATGTAGCAAATATAACGGAGTTTTACCTAAGGTAAAAGCTATATAAAGTAATAATGATAAAAATAATAATTTAATATGATTTATTTAAAGCTAAAGAAGAAGTCGAATAGATTAGATGATGATAATAGGAAGAGAGAAGAAGAATATAACATTAAAAAGAAAATAATCGACTTATTGCCTAATGCATCAGATAATACTATACTATTAGAGGTAATATTTAATGTGGATTTCATATGATTTTACCCTAGTCAAGTGGCTAATCTACCTTATATATTATTAATATTAATACACGCTGTTAGAAAAAAGTAAAGACTACGCAAGAGAAAATTGATGAATTTGAGAAAGAATGGGAATTAAGGAGGAAACCTCTGGAAGAGAGGTTAGCTAAATTACAGGAAACCGCAGATAAAACTACTGTAAGTAATGATTTAATGATGTTGGTATAAATTATATTTATACAAGTTTTTATCTATATTTTGTTTATACTGTATATGTTATTATAAACGTATAAAGGGAAAAAAGACTGTTGTTGTATTATCGTATTTCATCTCTTTTTTTTTCTCTTTACAAGTTTGTTACCCTATTCTTTCTTTTATAGTCTTTAACTGAAAAGAAAATTGAAGAGTTGAAGAAAGTTAAACAAGACTTTAAAGATGTCACTAGTGAATATAAAATAAAGGAGGAAGCTCAAAAACAACTGGTAAATACAAAAAAAACAAAATTTTTACTTATTAATTATTATCTGCAAATATTTGCTCGTAAAGCGTGATGAGGTTGAGAAATTAACAAAAAGTGTTAGTCGGTCTGCATACACGAGGAGAATATTAGAGATTGTTGCTAATATTAAAAAGCAAAAATCTGGCATAGATCAAGTAAGGAAATCTCATTTGAATCGTAAGCCTGATAAATATATATTTATTAATTAGTCTATTCGTTATGCATAGGTTCTTATTGATACTAAAGAAGTTCAGAAAGAGGTCAATAGTATTGGAGGCAAGCTCGATAGGACATTCACCGTTACTGATGAGTTATTATTCAGGGTAAATTTATACTCGTTAAAGCCTGTCAGAATTTTTTATATCCTCAACATTTTTTCATATTCAATTATTAGGATGCTAAAAAAGATGAAACTTCTAGGAAATCTTACAAGCACTTAGCCGCATTGCACGAGGTTAGCAATTACATATCTGGGATATATGCAGTGGAAAGCACGTAGCATATATTCTACCGCTGTGTCTTGCTAAATATATTTCTTTCCTTTTTTTTCTTGTAAATAGAATTGCAAGATTATTATTAAAACTCTAGAAGAAACCGGTGCTATTATAAGAGAGATTCGAACTTTAGAAGATCAAATTGAGAGTAAAAGTCAAGAAAAAATTGAAGAAAATTTAGAAAAAATAGCTAAAGATTACGCCGAAATGAAGAAGGAAAATACTGAATTGAAACAACGTTTAGCTAAAAAATAAAACAAAACAAAACAAAACAGAAGAATTTAGAAAATAGAACCTTTTTGGTTAGTTATTAGTATACAACAATAAAACGGAATATATTATTCATGATGTAAATATTTCTTTTCCATTTAGGCCTATTCCAAGAATTTCCTCAGAGATCCGCAAAAAATTTGCTTTTAGACTTTTTTAGCATCCCATAATCGTTATTTATAAAAGCTACGAATACCGCTAAAAAATAAAGCAATCGATTATAGTCAACAGCTATCAACATATATAACAAACTATTTGTAACGTATTGCTTAACATAGTAGATTTAAGAGTAGAACACTGTTAAACATCAAAGCGAAATCAATAGAGAAAAAAACATCAGTATTTACAAAGTCGATATATTTAAAAAAATGCATAACTTAGTTATAAATATATATATATATATATATATGTAATATAATATTTATTAATGACATAAAAGAATACATTATAAGCACTTAAAAATTATTAAAAACAAAACAAGAAGCTTATAACAAGATTAAAAGAATGTGACCTATAGTAAAAAACACTTTGGTGCGCTACAGAATGATAAGAACTATCACAAATTGGTCTTTTTTTGTAAGTTTTTTTGCTATAATACGGGTTGTAATTTCTTCTGTAACTTCTCCAATCTTATCAAATAGGAATGCATTTCTTCATCTGTTTGATAACTCGAGATAGTTGGTGTTGAAGAGGAAGTAGAACAAACTTCTCCATCTTCACTGTATTTAAAAAAGTAATATAGATAATTGGGGTATTTTACAATGATTGGGGTGAGCCTTTAGAAGTAATTGGGTAGTTGTAACCAAGGTGATGAAGATATTATTTTATATTTCTTTTTAAAGAGAGAAAATTAAGTATTGTCTCGATTTTGTTTTGCTTGTTTTTTTCTTTTTTAATCAAGATAAAAATTCATATTTCTTCATTGATTAATATTCATAAAAAAATATCTTTTCACATAAAAGACTACATATAGAAGCATGTATAAAGAAGTTTCATTAAAAAAAGAGAATATGAAATTAAACTGGAAAAAAAAAGAAAATCCATCTACAACACTTACTATCTATTACTAACTGGTATATATCCATTATTGGCACTACTTAAAGCTTGTCCCTCGTTCCTTGTTGTCTTCTTCCAATGACGAACATAAAATTTTAGCCGCCAAATGGCACACACAGCACAAACAATACTCTTAAATCTGTGTCGAGGCGAAATTTGCTTTGAAACTAAAGTTTTTTTATCAGGTCTCCCTCCCATAGTAGCCAAAATGCGTAGGGTTTCTTCTTCAGTTTCTTGATAACCACCCAACATTAATAATAAATACTTTTTTTGATAAACCAACGATTTTCTTAAACTCTCAGCTTTGAGATACTTAAAATGAACATCACGTATTTTCCGGCGAAAGACTACTGGGTCACTCTTCTTTTGCTTTTCCATTTGATGTTCACAATGATGTAACTGTTTTTTTACGATATGTAATTCTCGTCTCAACATAACTATTTCATTCTCTAACTTCGACCTTTCAGTGTCTGTCAATTGGCTACGGTACCTTTTCTTAAACCTATGCAATTCTTCATCCTTATCTTTTACCTGTAGTTTTTATTTAAACACAAAATTAATTAACAATTTGCAGTAAAAGCATTGAAAAAATATAAGTCTCTAACCGTGATCTTCATGCTTTTTACCTCCTCTTTTAATTCTCTTATCAATCTTGCTGTGGCTTCATTAACTTCAATAAGAGACGAATCAACTGTATCATCTATGCTTCCCAGATCGTGGACATCTGCTTCAATCTTCTGCAAATCTTGCAGTACATCCATAAGATCTTGAGCCATATTCTTAATATTAGGATCGGGCGAGACCTCGCTCCTATTTAAAAGCGTTCTAATTTGTTCCTTAGTCGTACTTAAGCGCTTTTTGTAAGCAGCTGGCGACTGGGCTTCTAATTCAATTATTCTGTGTCGCAGTTTTTCGATTTCTATCGTCGGTGGACGCCTACGAAGTTCATCTTGGGTAAACTTCAACTTGCTAATAAGTTCTTGCTGACGACTTTGACTATCTCTAAGGTTGTTATTTTCCCTTTCAAGCTTCTCAACCTAAAATTATGAGGGAAAAAAATTCATTGAATAATAATTAAAAATGAGCTGCAAGGTTGACATTTTCTTTCCAATTACCTTTGCTTTTTGCAATTCCAGAGATGTTTTCAATTCTTCTGAAACAATTGTTTCTCTGTCTGATAACCTTCTTCTGGTAGATCTCTCCTCTGCTAAAGATTCTTTATATTGTATTGTCAAACTTCTCTCTTTGTTTAAAGTGCCTTGACATTCTTCCAAAGCTCTTCTTAAATCTTCTATATTCTTTTTAGAATCGTTTAATTGAGAGCTATATCTATTATGAAGGGCTCTTAATTGGTCTTTTTCATTTTCCAAATCTCTCTTCAATAATTCTACTTGATTCTTTTCCTTATATAATCTATTCTCTGTATCTTTTCGTTCCATTTTTTCATTCTCGATTTCCTTCTGCAAAGACTCAAAATTGGCAAGTAAACGTTCAGTTTCCCGTTTAGAGTTCTCTTTCTCCTCGTTCAACTCCAGGCTAAATTTATCGACATTATCTTTTTCTGTTTGGAGTAATGTTTCCAATTCTCTTACATGATTTCTTTCTCTTTCTAAAGAATTTCTGTTAAAATAAACAAGGTTATTAAATGAAGCGGGATCACATTAATATATGTCTTTAAAATCCATTGAAATATTCAATACAAAAGGTTAACAACATAAATGTTGGATACCAAGAAGAATTTTCATTAGGGTAAATATAAATGAAAGTATCAACTGTAAAGGATGACGTAAACAACATCGTGAATATTCCATTCTCGGTATCATGCATATAGAAATAACTTACAATAATTGTTCCAAGATAGATCTAATAGGTTATAAAACAGAATATATGTCTCAAAGTGTATAAGCAACAAAATTAATAATTACGTAAAAGATTGCTAAAAAGAGCTATTTAGATTGATATATTCTCTACTTTATTGCCATTTTTATTGCAGTGCCTAGTATTTAAACCTCACAACGAGGCGATATCACCATCTGCCCCACTCTCTCTCTTTCTTTTCTTAGTTTTCTATTAAGTATAATACAATGTATTGATCGTACTTACGTTGCGGTTACTACTTTTCCTTCTTCAAGTTCCAAGGTATCTCTAATTCTCATTAACTCGTTCTTACAGTTGTTATATTGCGACTTTAGGTCAGTCAATTCGCTTTGGGCGGCAAAGAATTGAACACTTATATCTCTATTTTTTGATTTTTCTTCAGCCAATGTTAATCGAATGTCTTCAGTTTGAACTTTTTCTTGGTCAGCTTTATATTCGGTCAACTTCACTATATAGTTTTTATATAAAGGGAAACAGAATTAAAGAAGATAAACTCGGGATAGGAAATAGCTTACATTGCCGCCTTAATTGAGAGATTTCTCTGGTCATCTCGTCCTTTTCTTTTTCTTCGTAATCAGTTAATTTTAATTGTATTGCGTCGATTTCGTCTAATAAAGATTTTCTATCAGTCGATTTTAAGTCATTTATTACTTTATTATGGTCGGTTATTGTGTTATTTAATCGTCGTTCTAATTCGATTAATTGAGTAGGGCGGCTAAAAGCCAATAATTCCTTTCGAAGAATTCTCTTCTCCGCTATAATAATTTCGTAGATTTTACGTATAATTTCCATTCTCCAATCGTTTTGTTGCTGTTAAATAAATGATAATATTTGTTATTAAGATAAGAATTTGATTGAATATCTTTAAAGTAATATTTACATTATCAGATTTTAAATCTTCTAGGGTTTCCCTAAGAGAATCAACGGCCGAAATAAGACCATCAACGTGATTTTCGGTGACATTTTCATTCATTTCTAATTTCTTTATTCCGTTTACAACAGAATCTGAGTTTTGTTTGGATATGAACTCAATTTCGGACAAAGTTAAAACCTTAACTGAATGGGACATAAGCTTATTTAAAACCTTTTGTAATTTGCTATCGAGTTCGTCGTCCTCAACACTTTCATTCTCATCTGCATCTCTGCTATCGATGCTAAGATAATCTTGCAATTGAGCGTCTAAAGAGAGACTCTGATCGAGCTCTTTCGACAAACAACGACTGATATCTGACCGAGTTTGCTCATTTTCTCGGTTTGCTTCAACAAGTTTTTCTAATTGATTTACTTTAAATCGAGCTTCACTAAGTTCTTGCTCATATACAGATTTTATGCCGTCAAGTTCTCGGACGTGCTTATCGATTCGAATATGTTCTGAATGATTTGAATTTTGGGAAGCTTTTAGCAATAAAATCTCAGCTTTAGCTTCATCTAAATCTTGCTTAAGCTCTTCCAATTCAGAGTTTTTCGTAAAGCTCAATTCTTCTAATGCATTTTCTTTATCAAACTTTTGTGATTCTAAATCGTCTTTGAAAACTTCCAATTCCGCTTCTAAATTTCTTATTTTAATTATTGCTTCGTCTCTTTCTTTCTCTAAAGTTAATAAACGCGTTTGAGTGTCTTCGTCAATGCCAGAATCTTTTAAGTTTGAAGATTTTACATATTCTAATTCATTTTTCAAATCAACTAGATTTTCTTTTAGGGTACTATTTTCTTTTTGCAATAACAACACCTTATGACGTTCAACTTCTAATAGAGATTGCATTTCATCGCTTAAATTTAAGGTTGATATTCTGGCTAAATCTAATTCTTCCGTTAATTCTTTAATAATATTATTCGCTTCCAGATTATCCTGCTCTATCTTACAGATATTCTCCTCTTTATTTTTTAAATCGTTCTTTATTGACTCAAGTTCAAATTCGATATCGCAAGCGGTCGTTGTAGAGCCTAGTTGATTTTTCAAATCCCTTATAGTGTTACTAGCTTCGTCTAATTCTTCTTCTAAAGATGCAACTCTTGTTCTTTTTCCATTCAAGTCATTTTGAAGAAACTTCAATTGTGATTGTAATTCCTGCATATTTGAGGCGTCTCCACTACCAGCGCCTACAATAGACGGTCGAGTAGCTTCTAATTCTTTCATTACATTATTTAAAGTAATTTCCTTTTCTTTTAAGCAATTTTGAGTAAATTGTAACTCTTCTTCTAGTTCTGAAGACCTTTTAATAGTGTTATCATACTGAATCTTAATTTCAATTATAGCGTCTTTGGCTTTGGTCAACTCTTGAGATTTTTCAGCCTTAATTTTATCGATTCTCTCCATTAATTCCTGTAATTTTATCTCTCTGTTTTGGAGTTCTACCTCGACTTCCTTCATTTCAGTTAGTCTCATTTTTAATTCGTTATTTTCTACTTCACATTCTTTAATAGTAATTTTCATATCAGTTAATTTAGCAACGTTTTCTTTTAATAGCAAATTTTCTTTCTTTGTCTCTGTATTAAGCAGCTTCAGTTCTTCAATTTCGAAAATCTTTTCCTTTAATTTCAAGTTTTCCTTCTTAAGTTCTTGTAAACTTAACAAAAGTTTGTCAATTTGATTTGTTTTTTCAATCAAAACAGTTCTTTCCTTTTCATTTTCTTGTAAATAAATGCGTAATTCTTCCATCTCTATTAGTTTCTCTTTAAGTTCTGTTGATTCTTTTTTATAAGTTTCAACTTTTGCAATACTATTTTGCATTTCCTTAATTTGTAGTCGTAAATCTTCTATTTCCTTATCCTTCTTCTGAACTAGTTGATTTTCAGCCTCTTTTCTAGTTTCATTTAAATTATTTATATCTTCTCGAAGTTCATCAATTTCTTGATTTTTTTCATCTAGTAATTTTTGAGTTAAATCGGGTAAGGTAGACGATTCTTTCAATGATCTCATTTGCCTCTCTAAATCTTCGTTGTCAGTTTCAAGACTTTCGATTTTGTCCAGTAATTGGTTTTTATTCTGTTGTAAATCAATAACAGATTTTTCACTCAATTTGAGAATTTCTTGAAATCTTTCCTCTTTTCCCCCAAGGGAGGACTCTAATTCTTTAACTTTTGATTCCAATTGATCTAAATAGTTTTGCTTTATCATTGACTCTTCTCTTTCCTTTAACAAGTCAGCCTTTAGGTTCCTATTTTCCTCGGTCATAGAATCTCTGTTTACAAAACCAACTCGTAGATCGTCCACTTGTGACTTTAGTTCTGACATTGCACTCATGTTTGACAATAACTGATGATGCAAAGCATCCTTATCGGCAGATAATATCTTTTCATTATTTCTAGCGACTTTAAGTTCATCTTCTAATTCTTTAAGCCTTTTTAGAGCACTCTCCTCGGATCTTTTTGCAGTTTCGAGCTCATTTTGTAATTCAGATAAAATTCGTTCTTGTTGCGGCGAAGGAGACAATTTATTTTCTTCCTCAAAAGAATTTTTAATAGGCTCGGTTTTCAGCTGAGCTCTTTCCAGCTCATCTTGTAGTAAACATATTTTCTAAGGAGAGTAAATTTTTGTAACTACTGTTAATGCAAGATAAATAGTTGTTAATACAAACATCTTTTAGGATATGTTCATTCTTTGACGCTGAGTCTAATTCTTCCTCTAAAACACGATGCATATCTCTTTGTTCCTTTTTTTATGGAAAATATAAACAGTAATTTAAAATTTTTCCTTTGAAATGTAATTATTTACCTGTAAGTTTTCTATAGCTTTTTGTAATTCTAATTTTAATTGATTCGTTGTTTCCTTGTTTTCAAGATCTTTAGTTTTATACTCATTTATCTGACCTTCCAAATCTCTAATCTACAGGGAATAAAGGAAAGCTTTAAACCTTATGTTCTTTTATATAGAAAATGCCATAAAATATACTTCTTTGAGTAAGCTATCCTGGCTAGAATTACTTCTCTCATGATCTCTTAGGCTATTTTCTAACTTTGATATCTCTTCTTCATAATCTTCTCTCTCTTGTTCTCTCTCATCCGCTTGATCTTTCATAAATTTGGTACTAGAATGGAGTTGTTTATCTTTAGCATCTAGTTGTTTGTTTAAGTCATCAATTTCATTCGTTTTTTCTATCAAAATATGATCAAAGTTGGCCTGCATTTCGTCAACCATTATTTCTAATTCTTTTATACGATTTTCCAGCTCATTCCTTGACCTTTGATAATCAACTTCTTTTTCTTGTGTCTCTTCCACCAAACGGTTAAAGGCATTTAGTAGACCTGTTTTATTAATCGTTAAAAAATAACAATCATACCTTTTTAAGAGTAGAAAATTAAGGAAAAATATATTTGTAAATGCTTTGGAAGGTTAAAAAAAGATGAAATATAGCGAAGTTTCATTCCCCTGATAAAAAAGCGCGTTGGATTTATTAGATTAATTAAGCAAATTAACATTTAGAATCACATGCGATGATCGTTAATATTATTATCATGGGAAAAAAGAAAACAAAATAATAATATATTAAACATAAAATGATTTAAACTTTATTAGACGTGATAGATTTTGTTTACTTTTTGCTCTAATAACCCAATTAGTTAAGTTTGAAAGCTAGCAAGATTAATTTAGTTCTCCTTTATTAATCCATATATATACTGTATATTATTGGATAAAATAGTTTCAAATAAACAACCCACCGTTATTAGAAGTCGTAACTGCAATTACAAATCGCAAAAATTTCTAAATTATCTAATTAATAACACCTCAATTTACAGAAACGCCATTTCGTTACTTTGATATAATTTTATAATAAAAAAATTATGATTAATTACTGTAAAATGTAATAATTACTACAAAATTTAATAAAGACATACCTCTTTCCTCGTCAGTCGCATTCTCTTCCATGACTTTTTGTTGTAAATAAAACATCTGTTTCTTTTCTTCAAATTCTGCCCTTTCACGAAGAAGTTCCTCTAAACGGCCACTAACCTTTTCTAAGTCAGAGACGGCCAGATCTGTGCAATTAATAAAATGAGAGCTAAATATACAGATCCTTTGGTAAATTCAGTCTACTTTCTTATATAATATAAACAATTCTTTGAAATGTAAGTATGGAGATACCTCTTTCTTCATTTATCAGCTTTAAAGTCTCCTCTATCTGTAGAAGTTTCTCATCCTTATCGTTTGATAACTGATTGGCTTCAAGAAGACTTATCGACAATTGATTTCTCTCTTCCTCTAATTCCTTAGCTCTGAGTTCTGTTTCGTTTAAAGCTTCCTTTAACCTTTCAACTTGTTGAGAGAAGTTTCGTGCAGTTTTGACTTGTTGCATCAAGGAAGATTCAGAATCATTGTAGAGTGCAACTAAGCGGCCAATGGCCATTGTCAAATGTGAACCTGAGTCTTAGCGATTAAAATCATTTCAAAGATTAGAATAAAGTTTCAATGAGTACAATTAATTATGCTAATTAGACTAAATAATTAATCTACCTTGAACAATTTGTTCCACATCGGAAGCCATTTCTCCACCAGAGAAAACACTTTCGCTTAATTTTTGAGTGAGATCTAAGCCTTCGTCAAAGAGGAAAGAATGATCTTCTTCATTTTTTCTAGCTCTACTTAAGACTTTATTAATCGTATCTTCAACGGAGATAATATTCTGTACACTTTCTGCTAGTAATTCGGACAATCTATCCCATTTAGCTTGCGGTTTTGATGTATCTTCAATTAGGCACTCCTGTTCCGGTAGGACTTGCTGTGAAATCTCTTGAGCATCTTCTACAAATTCGCGTGTAAATTTATCAGATGCGGATGACTCCATACCACTAAGTGTTTGTTTCAGAGCTTGGAATTCAATTTGACTTTCTTGAAGCGACTTTTTCAATTGATCAATTTCATCTATAATAGAAAAGTTTGAACTGGTCCTCAATCGATATTTTTTTTCAAGTTTAAACTATTAAACATACAATCATTACGCTGAAAAATGTTTTCCTATAGTATATACTCTATGTATATAGGCTCTTATCTCAGTTTGTTAATCAATAATTTTTTCTGTTAAAAAGAAACCGCGTATTTAAATGTAACGTATGACCATTTGGCATAATTAGTTTCAAAAACAGATACTGTTGATGATGTAAATTAACAATTGAAACTTTCATCGTAAATTAGAAATAGAAAATCTTATCCTAGGACTGGTAAAGTTGAATTTTTACTAAATAATATATAGGCTCTGAATGTAAATAACGTTGAGAATTAAGGAACAGCAAACGAAATATATCACGAATATCATTCTTTCTTATTTAACACAAACAGCTCTGCAAAAGATCCATATGTTCATAGGAAAGTGAATAAAAATTACATACGGGCGAATCTTAATTAAAGAAACTTCCCCTTCTATTATAGAAGATATCGTTACACATCTCTATACATATTAACATCTACTAATAAAAATTGTGTATATTTTATATAATTTTTGTAATTTAATATTCTTGACGAAAACAAAAAAATTGAATTGCCGGAATATATCAGAAAACCAATTCATCAAATGGAACAAAGCTTAAAAATTGTGCAATAAGAAAAAAGAAACAGAAAGTCTGCTAGTAGCTTGCGAGAGAAAAAAAAAGCACAAAATATAAATAAATATTTCCCGGGCATTATATACAGTATAAAAGAGTTTCTTTAGATTTCTTATCATTAAAATTGGTTGTTTTTTATTAACAAACACATTAGGGTAACAACTTACAGTTTTTTTCTTCAGCCTCTTTCTCATGTTCTTCTCTGACTATCCGTAAACGATTCTCCAAATCTTGTATCTCCTTACCTAAATCCTCTTTTTCCTCTAGTAAGCCTCTTATCTTTTTTCCTGAAGTTTCTAATTCAGCTTCATAACTTTTTAAACGCTTTTCTAAATTATCCATATTTTCATCATTTGGTAAAGTAGCCTTGAATAATAAAAATGTCTATTAATTAAGACAAATAGACTGGAAATTATTAATCTAAGCTTAAATATATAAATATAAATATATATATATATATATATATATATATATATATATATATATATATAACATATAAATTTCTCGAAGGAAATACCTGCAAGTACTAAACAGTATTTTTGCAACAACTATTAAGGGATATGAATGGAAAGTATATATTTTCCCATTAATCATAATTTACAACAAATATACTATATTATGACTAGTATACTATTCAACAAATAGATAAATATCTAATAAGAAAAATTGCTTTCGAATTTAAAAGTGAAGTTCATCCTTCCTCGCTTCCGAGAGAAAGAGAGATTGTGATATATGATTGACTCTAAAAATAGTCACCTGATATTTGCATTTGACTCAGAAATTTCCTTCAATTAGGGACGAGTTGAGTAAGTCTATTAAGGTATGAAATATTTTACCTTTGATATGCGAGTCTACAATTAAATAATAGGCCAGAATTCATCCATACAAGATATTTAAAAATAGCTCTGCAAATAACATAGTAGGCTATAACTGGGCAGTTCTATAGGCCTTTCTACAAATCCACCGGTTTTATTTAATATTTTTTAGGACTAATTTAATCCTTAATATAATAGGGATCGATTTATTAAACGTATGATCCTTATCTCTATCTATAAACGTATAGCAATCGTAAAAATTCTATGGTATGCCGTTGATTAATAAACGCGCGCAATACAAACTTTTAAAGGTACTTCGATCCTGAGAATCTTTTCACGTAGAAATAAAAATAAATAAGCTAAGGCACTTAGAACTGCACGAAAGCAGGCAAAAACAAAATACAAAATACTTGTGAGTAGTTTTATTGTGATTTTTTAATTTTGTTTACAGCAGCCGCCATTAAAGCTTGCAAAATATACCCAAAAAGTCTATTCCCAGTTTCCTACCCGCGCCAATTCCTTTAGGAAGTATTCATTTTCGCTTTTACGCATGCGCAACGTGATTGATGCAAAACGTGTATTTTTTCCAAGAATATATCTCATACTAATTGATTTTAGAGAGAATTCTCCTCGCCCTAACTGACTCCGTTAGCTCAACAGACGAGTTTTGTATATTATCGCCCATTTGACGTGACAAGCCATTTTTCACTTGTTTACAGCACGTACTTTATTTCCATATCATGGCTAGAAGGCCTATAAAAATGCCAGAAATTACTGGTCTTTACTCGTATATTTCAACAGTATGCGTCTTTCGTCCTATAAAAATGACTTTTATAGCCTTGTCCGATTATTCAGATCGATTGGACCGAACCCTGGTTAATTGGATTGATCGCATTTCACTTTGGTGCTGTTATCTTGACGCGTTTGACGAAACGAGACGGTCTCGCTAGATTCTCACTCTTTTTCATATACCGTAAGTCAAGATTGATAACTTATTAAGAGGAAGATTTTAATCTTAATAGTCGAAGTATAAATATTAATTTTGCAATCTCTTCTACAGTTATACTGGTTTATTTTGCTGAAAATGTGAACAAGTGGGCAGCTGCTAATTGGAAGTAAGTTCTCTTTAAACAAAAACTTTGCTTACATACTTCTAATTAATTCCAAATAAATTTAGGTTGTTTTCGAAAGAACAGTACTTCGATAGTAACGGTTTATTTATATCTATTACATTTTCCGGTCCATTACTTATGCATGCAATGATAATTGTGGTAAGTAGACTACTGTGTGTAACTAAGTAACTAAATATAATAGTATCTGGGGAAAAGAGCCCACTATTTGTCCAATTCATATGAGTAATAATAGTAAATGATATTAATACATTTCATACAGGTTGTTTGGTTGTATACAACATCCGGGATGCTGGTGTCATTGGGTAGGGCAAAAGTAAAAGCTAAAGCTGAAAAGACTGAGAAGACTGAAAAGACTGAAAAGTCTGAAAAAACTGAATAAAGAGTCAAAATGCTGAAATTTATATGAAATGAACTTAAAGATGCTAATCAAAGTCGAATGAATTTCTTGAAGCGTGCTATTAGAATTATACGGGGAACGTTCTTTTAGACACGAGATTAAACACAAAATAGAATAAAAAAGATTTGAAGATCGAGCTCCTTCTTTTATTATTATTCTCTTTTCATTAAAGTTTTTGTTTGTTTCAATATATGGACATATTTTACAGAACACTAAGTAGTCTTTTATTTTATTATATTTACAAGGTTAAAGTTTTAAGGAGAACAGAAAAAGATGTTATTAAAAAAAAGAAAAAAAAATCACAGGAAAAAGACACGACTTTTCATTTTAAAAAGTTTTTTACCAAGTCGATCGGCAATGGGAAAATAATAGTCGAATTCTTCTCCGCCGAAATTGTATTTAATGTTTGTAGATAACGCAACTGCAAGGCGGACGGCGAATCCTGCATGACTTCAGCGGCTTCTTTTAAAGCTCTTGACGCTTTTTGCTCTCCTTCAGCAGCTATTACCTAATAGGGAAAAAGAGATTTTCCTTGAAAAAAAATTATCCTTCTGGATTTTACTTAAGAAAATGAGAAGCTTGTAAGTGGCCTTGCGAGCTTCTGGAAGGAAATGTCTTTTTTAAATTGTTTAGATATTTAACTTACCTTAGCTCTGGCTTCCCGAGCCGCTTCCGCTTCTGCAGCCATCGCTCTTTGCAGCTGTACCGGTAATCTAACGTCTTTTCTGCAGAAAGGACTCGATTTTCAAATTGGTAGTTGCAGAGAAAATCGAAGGTCAACCCTAACTTAATTAGGAAACTTACATTTCTACTCTTTCCACCTTGACACCCCAAGGATCTGTTGCCTCGTCTAAGTTGGCCTGCATCGTGTTCGAAATATTCTCTCGTTCACTTAGAATTTCACTAAGGTTTTTGGTGCCAAGTACATTCCTTAGAGTAGTTGCCGAAAGTAGTCTTGTCGATCTAGCAGCGTCCTCCACGTTTGTAACGCTTATTGTCGCATTCTGTACTCGATAATAGACCACAGCATCGACAGCTACGGTTACAGAATCTTTTGACAGTACCTGTTACAATTTTCAAAATGTAGTTATAGTTTGGTGTAATCCCAGAATTAATCGTTAAATAATTACTTCTTGTGGTGGCACATCAAAGGAGACCGTCCTTAGATCGACTTTCGTATAGCTATCCATGCATGGTAATATAAAGAAAAGTCCTGAAAACGAAATTAAGAGAAAGAGGCGGGTCAAAGCGGTTAAGGAACGCCGTCAACTTTACTTATCATCTTTCTACCAACCTGGACCTTTGGCTCCCCCGGGTAGAAGGCGACCTACGGGCGAAGGAGAGAATAGCAAAGATGGATTATATTTGTAATCTTGAGTACCTACCCAGCCTAAATATGACAGCCCTCTCGTACTCTTGTACAACCTACAAGAAAAAGAGAAGTTATTGATTTCAAGCTGTATAGCAATATTACATTCTTCGAATGGAAACCGCAGATCATTTATCAATAAAGATAATTGAATACTTCTACTTTAATTCAACGATGATCCAACAAACTGTTCAGACTTACTTTTATGCATAAGCATAGAGAGAACGGTAATGTGATCATGATAAGAAACCAGGAAATAGCCATTAGAATATAACCGCAACATCCGATTCCCTCGTTCACCGTTGCTGCATATAAAAGAGAAAGAGACGCCGTTAAAAAAAACTGATTATCAGTTCGAATATTCCACTAGCCTATCGCATTTCAATCGTAAATCATAGTTATCGGCTATAATTCCGTAACATAGAAAATATAAAATGCAATATGTATATACTAATATATATATATATATTATATTCCAATTTATTGTATATGATATATACATAGACACTTAAGGTAAATATATATATTTATGCATAAGTACGTCTTGTTAATGTGTAAAACGTTTATTTCGTATACTCGTTTGTTTAAATGCACAAAAACATGTAAATTATTAATAAGTTTTCTATTGTATTTACATTGTCGTTATGAAATAGAAAATTTCCCCTAATGTGCAACGATTTTTATGCTTTTTTGCTATTTTCCTCCAATAATTTATAGCTTGCAAACAGTCGTAAAAATGAATTGGTTGACTTTCTCTCTTCTGGCTTTTTTTTTCTTCCAGAAGAAAAATTTCTACAGGCAAAATCGGAGGAGTTAAGGCGTATAATTTTATACGATGAAACCCTCTCTAACGGCTCTCCTACTCTCTCTCTGTTTCTCTCTCTCTCTCTATCTATCTATCTATCTCTCTCTCCCACTCTCTCTCCTACTCTCACACTGACACTCTAACATATACAGACTCATTCTTTCTCTCTCGATCACTTAGTCTCTTCTTAAACTTTTATAATTCGTTTCTTTCTTTTCTATATAATAATTGCAAATTACTTGACAGTTTCATGAGTCTTTTATTCCTATTGCTTCTATTCGATATATACATATATAACTTTACATATATATACATCTACTGTATATATATATATATATTAATACCTCCATCCTCTTCGTAGCATAATTGTATCCTTTTTTCGTGGGATGCTCCTGAAGAGGGGTGCATATTGGCGTCTAATGCACTAGCGTCAGCTATTCTGTTGCTAGACATATGAATATTGCCAGTGACGCCTAGTCTTAAGGCGCTTGAATACTAGGCGTCTCTCACTCTATTTTTTTCGTTACGTGCGCAAGCGCTGATCATTTATTTCGGTCGTCTAGGCAACTTCCGCGAAAAAAGTAAAAATATCTCCTTGTTTCGAAAAAATACGTTAAACTAACTAGAAGAACTTTTACATAATTCATATGTAGTTAAAGGCAATTCAAAATGATTGGAATAGATTAATTTCTTTGCCTATTGGAGTAGCGTTATATATTTATACGTCTCTCTTCACTATTTATAGAACTGTTTATCATTCACGCACAATTTATGTTCTACTGACGAGAAGTCCCAATTGATTGAAGTGACACTTTTCTGGAAGTAACAAAGGAAGAAAGTCTTCCTGTTACGTCCTCCTGTCTATTTTTCATTTTATATTTCATTTTTATCCACTCTGAAATTACACTCTTTCAACGCTCTTCTGAGATTTTATAATTAACCCCTAACAACCTTGAAGCCTTGTGCTTTTATTAATGTTAAAATTAGTATTTAAGTTTTCGATTCAACTGGAAATCGATTAGGCTGGCCAATTGTTTTCGAAAATGAAATATGTCTAAAGCAAACAGGCGACAAAGAATAAGAAGAGACCATTTGCTAAATTCATTTACAGATGCGCGAAAGGAAGCATTGCGACCCTCCCCAGGGGCTGAGAAGAAAACGAACGAAGGCGCGGTCGTCCTTTTTATATTCCTTCTCATCCTTAACGTATAAATAAACCAATCAATTATCGTGCATAATTTATGATTTTTAAAAACCAAATACAGAATAAATAAACAATTTATGAACGACAAAAGAGATCTATAAATTTTTTTCTTTTAATATTTACCGACTGTGTATCCAGTAGAACTTAGACGCTCGCGACGCCCAACCATCATTGCTTCGTCGTCGTGCCCTTGCCTTCCGGCGAAACCTAAAAATAGAGGCCTTTTCTTTTTGTATGATATATCAAAATCAGTGGGATAGGATAGGGGGCTATCAAAGCGGAAGAACGGAAAATAGGCGGTAAACTATGACTGACGCTTCTGCAAAGTGAGAACTATGAGAGCCTAATGTGTACGTTCTCTCTAATGTTTTAGATATGTACATAAAGAACATATATCGCATTTAAACATGTATGTTTTGAGTACACGTGTGCTTTTGAACGCGTTCACATGCCTCTCTCTCTCTTGTACATTATGTTTAACATAGTATTTTTCGTAAACTCTACGTATATATTGTATATATACAGAATATATATTCCTATATTTATATTAGTATACAGTATATGCCTTTATTATTGAAGAGATACTCATACAACTATGTTTATATATTTGCAAATATATGTTTGTACATATATTTATATATTTGTATTTATACAAAACTGTCTACATTGCTATCAAGCTTGTCTTCTAATTTTTATTCATCTCCTTTATCGGTCAATTTGCACTTACTATCCTTGTTATATTACACTACAAATATATATATATATATATATTAATATTAGACCTAGTTAGAAAGTAGCGCGATATACGATATTTTTTGCGTCTCACAAACTATTGCGTCAAATTATTATAGTTGGAAGACATCGATTTTTGCAGAGGATATGTTTGGGAAATGTGAATTCAATCTGTTGGCTTTTTTCTTGGTAGTCTATTACTTCAGCGGTAAAAGGGAATAAGGATGAGAATAAATATAAACTTGTAAATAAATTCGTTTTTATACTACATTTTATCTATCTGTAGAGCATTTTGCAGTTGTTGGGGCTTAACCTACAACTTCCTATTGCACCTCTGCAAAACTATATACGAGAGAATAAACAAACACTCTTTTGGTATTTATAGACTTACCAATGCTGTCTTTACTGTCTCTTCTATAAGATTCTTTCATAATTACAAAGTTGATCGTCTGGTGAACATTTTCAGTTTGGTAAAAAAATAAAAACTAAGGAGACGATCGTCGACAGATAGCGTCGGCGTCGATATGACGTCACAACGTAGCGTGCCGCTAGGTGGCGCAGTTTGCAAAATGCAAAAGGAGAAAAAAAGTGCGATCAGCGAGATGATATGTCGGAATTGGAAGCTGGTGAGGGAGATTCGTTAATGGAGCACCATAATAATGAGCAAATCGAGATGAGCGACGAACTACGAGGTAAAACCAAAAAATGCATATTTAATATATTCTGTAATAAAACTTTCCGCTTTATGCTTCAATACGAATGAATATAAAATATAAAAGACACACATATACTATAGCTTAAAATATATATCTGTATATATTTATACACATTAGAAGACAATCATAACATTTAAAACAATATCCCAATATTAATAAAGATTGAATAATTAAAACTGTACTTTCGCTAAAAGATTGCAAAGAAGGTAATACTGCAAAAGGGGAAAGAATTATTTAATAGATTGTCTATCTTGGGAAAAAATATAAATAAATATATATATAGCTATATATATATATATATATATATATATTTATATTTAATATATTTATATATATATGTATGTGTGTATATATATATATTATGCCTTGTGTTTATGCAGAAATTAGCCGCATAAATAGATTTAGTTATTAAATGAATATATAATTATGTATTTTGCTACCGTTACGTAATAGATATATATTTATATAAACACTTATAATATCTGGGATTTGCGCAGATTTATATCCTATATATATATATACTGTATATTATATGCAAAATGTAAAGTAATATTTCGAAATCTTAACTAGTGCTCTGCATGCAACTGTTTTTTTTCACCCTCGTTCATATAAACATATATTGTTATATTGTATATACTGTGTATACTCTATATGCTGTAAATACTGTATATGCTGTATATAGACCTATATACACATATATTTAGGTATATAAATAGACAAAGAAACACATTTATTTTTATTTATATTATATTATTTATGTTTATACGAACAAAGTTGACCGACTACCAAAAATCGATAGGTTTTTTCTAGTCCACAAAAGAGGCCCGTTAACGAACACATACTTTTTGAACGCCTTTTACCATCAAACGTCACTACGTTGTTTCTATGGTAACGCAATTCGATGGGACGTCGAAGGGAAGAGGCTTTGCGTGATTTTCTGAGGTGTTCTATCGTAACTAGGGAAATGAAGGAATAAGAAAATATATTATAACATATAGCTATATACATATATGCGTATAGATACATAGATGTATACGTATATATATATATATATGTATAGTCTGTATATAAATACACTTATGGGAAAAATCTCTCTTCTCCCTCGTTCCTGTGTTGACGTACACTAATTTATTTCCGGTTATACGTTCAGTAGTTGTGCTACGTTCCGTATTGATGATAATTATTTTAATGCATACACTGTTACTGTTAAATTGCGTAATCAGAATGATAACATTGTCAGATTATTGTTTGGACGCCATGCGGCAAAAACCAAATTGGGTATTACCTATGAAAATTGACGGTATGGAAAATGTTAGATAAAATAGGATTGAAGTAGAGTGGGAAAAGGAAATGGGAAATGGAGTGTTGCAGGGCTAACCATAATTGGTAGGGGACGGGTAAAATTATAGCAATGACATGTACGAGACAAAATAGAGATAAAAAGAAGACGAAAGAGATAGAGAAAGAGAAATGGAGAGAATAATCCAGTCTATTTGTCTCTCATCGAATTTATTAGCTACCTATTTAATGAAAAATAGCTAAGTGAACGTCGGGCTTATTGACTGACAGAAGGCCGCAAAACAGACAAAAAAACAACTGAGCTATACGTAAATAAGACATGACTCTAAAAGCATCTGATAACTAGAAAGTAACATTTTATTTTTATGCTCGTTAAAATATGCCCTCTTTATATTTTAATAAATAAAGCATTTAGGCCTATTTGTAACTTATTTCAGAATAATTATTTTTATTGTGAGATGTCTCTGTACAGATGTAAGCGTTAATATTATTGCAAACATATGTTCAATTGTTAATGGTAAAATGCGTATATTTAAAAATATGAATTAATCATATGCTAAAAGTGTTCGTGAACGAAGGCTTAATGCAGGAGAATTGGAATAATCCTATGCATTCTGGTTAGTACTAAGTTCACGGGCCGATTTATTGCTATTAGGTTGGGATGACTAAGGAGGTTTTTATCACCAAAACAACGTTTATCGATTGTGACAACGTTTTTCCACTCCCCTCTCTAATAAGATTAGAAAAAAGAGGAATTGCAATCAAACTTAAAACGCTCGATAGAGGGCGAAAATCGCTAATTAAACAGCGTACATTTCACCACAGCTCTCGAGACATCGCTTAAGATGCTCGTGCTGCAAGGTAAACGTAATTAAATACCCCTTCTAGACTTTTTTCCAAAAAGGAAAAAAAAACGGATATAGTTGCATGTACAAAAGTTAAAGCGGTTAATATTAGTGAAGACGTCCTTCTAACCGAAAATGATTACAGATAATGGGTCTGCTCCCAAGACCACCTTCAACCCTAGAACAGGATACAATTACGGTAAAGATAATTTTTTTTATTTAATCCTTAAACTAATATTAGATATATTATATACTATATTATATATATATGCTTAACGGACTATGATGTACATAGAATTAAAGTAAAACACTATATATTGTATATATTTCATAAATTGCATTTAACTATACCGGTGTTATAAATAAGTCTTCTCGTTTATCGATTAGTATTTCCTCTTTATAAAGTATATAAGAGATTATTCGGGGATTAGACGTAGATTAGCTTATAAAATAGAATCTCTCTTATCAGCCGACGACAGCAAAGAAGGTTTAGGTTGCTGTGGGTGGTTGTTAACGCTCTTCTCATGGCTCTTGGTCTTCGTAACGTTTCCCCTCTCCCTATGCGTTTGTATGAAAGTTGTGCAAGAGTATGAACGAGCTGTTATTTTCCGTTTGGGACGACTTTTGTCCGGAGGGGCTAAAGGACCTGGCATTTTCTTTGTTCTACCCTGCATCGAAAGCTATACGAAAGTGGACTTAAGGACCGTCTCCTTCGACGTTCCGCCTCAAGAGGTCTTAACGAAGGATTCAGTGACGGTGTCGGTCGATGCTGTTGTCTATTACCGAGTCAGTAATGCAACAGTCTCAGTGGCAAATGTTGAAAACGCCCATCACAGTACCCGTCTTCTCGCACAAACGACTTTGAGAAATGTTCTGGGAACGAAAAACTTAAGTGAAATATTAAGCGAAAGAGAAACTATCAGTAATTCCATGCAGTCAACGCTCGATGATGCGACGGATAACTGGGGAATTCGGGTGGAACGGGTTGAAATGTAAGTAACGGGTTATTGCGCAAACAGGGAATTGTTTAGCAAATACTTATGTTTCTCATATTCATTTGCTTTACTACCCTCCCTTTTCCCTCGCCTAATTATATTCGATATTGCACATGAACAGCAAAGACGTGCGGCTTCCGGTTCAATTACAACGGGCCATGGCGGCTGAGGCGGAAGCCGCAAGGGAAGCTAGAGCCAAGGTATGAATGAACCAATAACAAAAAGAAATAACATATTTTTCCTTTTCCTCTTCTTTTTACTTTTAATCAATGCTCAGAAACTTGAGGCCAATTTCCGTATTTTTAGGTAATTGCCGCCGAAGGGGAGAACGATTCAGCAAGAGCTCTGAAAGAGGCAGCTGATGTAATGGCTGAAAGTCCAGCAGCTTTACAACTACGGTACCTCGTAAGTAACTTACAATATAGAATATATTAGCTGAAATAGAGTTACAGATGCAAAACCAATGAAAAAACGTTTTAACCCAGCAAACCCTCGGGTTAAAGATATTTAACTTTGACTCTTTCCTCTTCATCGCTAAACCTGTTTCTTTTTTCCTCACGAAAGAATGAGGAAATAGTTACTTTAGCTTAGGATCAATTTTATTTATCTAATACTATATCATTTTCTTATACTCAACAGCAAACGCTATCAACAATATCTAGCGAGAAAAATTCCACAATCATCTTTCCCCTGCCAATTGAGCTAATTTCACATTTTCGCTGAGAAAGGAATTTTCACGAAATAATCCAACTGCTTCTTCAAAGATGTATATATAAAATTTATAAATCTAATGTATTTATTTCCTCTAACTGACATATTCTTCTGACATTCGTTTCTATAGTAATAAGGAAAGATAAACAATTGCAAGGTACTTCTATAATATAATTATTAATTTAAAAGTATTTTCTGTCTTTTTATATCCTTATCTACAAGAAAAAAGTGTATAAAAGGCTAAGTTGTGTGTTAATACATATATAATCCTTGCGTATGTTATTATCTACCCTGTCAGCAAAAAAAATAACGAAATAAAATTAAAATAATAAATAATATTTAATATTATACTCTTGTTTATTGTATATATTCGCTATTTCTTTGAAGTATTTGTTAATATTCGTACGTCGCCGAGCAGGAAAATGAGGTATAGAGAGATTCTCCACAGATTTTATTAATCAATTCGGCTTTATCCTATATGTGCAAACACATTGCAGAGCTAATACAAATAGAACACACTAAAAAGAATAATATGACTAGACTTTTCCAGTGAGCAACAAAATAGCTTGCACATGTAAGTAAATGCAATAAGATTGTTTCCTCGAATTCATTAACGATAGAGTAAAGAATGAGTTAATCATCCATCATCAGAGGATTTGACAAACCATACTCCCGTATGTTCCGGTAAACTGACCATTGCCGCTAATAGGTTTCACTAAGCTGCAAGAAGTTTTATACCGAGCAGGCGTAACCGGATTTATACTCTTCGGTAAGTGTATCTTTAGAGAATAAAGGGGAAATAGTAAGCACTAGTTAAAGGAAAATAAATTGCTTACGTGAGGTCGTGGTGGAGGGTCGTCTAGATAAGACTCTAAACCTCTTTCGCTGCAGGAATGAGGTAGAATAAATAAAAAGGCAAAAATCAATAGACCAATGACGTTTAGACTTACACGAAAACTTTTCGATTGCTGCAATTGTTAGAGAATGAAATGCGAACGCCGTTACTTGGAAGAGTGCAGAGTTCTTCGTATTTGCCCTTATAAACTTGATTATATTTCACAGATCCATTGGCACCATCTCGCATGCCCAGACTGTAATCATGTGTGGCGTGAAGACGATTATCTTCGATCTGTGAAGTGTGAACGTATTAACATACACTGATTTATTTTAAATGCTAAAAATATAGACAAGCCTACTAAATAATCTATTCTTATTATAAGTAATTAGTGTAAATACAATATGTACTTACATATGCATATTATATACGTAATATTCTCTATCTATTTATATATAAACGCCTATCTCTTTTAATCTAGATTTATTAAAATTTCTCTTCATTATGTCGATACTGCCACTCTTTATCTTGTTTAAATGAAAGAAAAGTACAAACCATGGCCTCAGAAGTTTCATTTAAGAAAACAGCATGAATTTGATTATTAAAAACATCGCTTTCTGTTAAATGAACTTGTCCACTTATATCAACCCCATGACCGCAATTATCATATATCCCACAACCGGATATATCAGCCTGGATAAAAAAAAGGAGGATAAAGTAAACTTGCAACGAATTCCTCTTAAAATATTTGTTTTAACCTTTGCTCCTCGTTGAACGCAGATCCCACTTCCAGCATTGCAGGTTATTGAAGTAGTCTGTAATAAAACGGATGATGGCTGCATAAAAACAACTCCAGTTCCTCTATTAGCGTGTATTGTATTGGCCGTTAGTCGTATTTGATAGGCACATTCTATTCGAATTCCTCCTTGATGATTGAAAGAGAATGTGTTATATTGAACATTCGCCGATGATACATGAAAATCAGATTTATCTGGCCATCTTTTAGTTCGTTCGGAGTGCGAGTGTGCTCGATCGGAATCACTACTAGAATCACTGCTGTCATCCGCTGATGAGACTGACGGTTCATTTTCAATCTATATGAAATATTTGCATGTCCTGATTGATTTATCACCAATTTACCACAACGATTTCTATAATTACCCTGCTTGATTGCATATATACAATGCCGTATTCCCTATTACTGTAAATTTGATTGCCTTGTATATGTGGTAGTCCGCCACAAACTACTATCCCGCTTCCGTAATTTGCTATAAAAATAATATACAATGTAAAAGAGAAAGATGGAACTGATTATATAAAAATAAGAAATTCAATAAATTAATAAAAACTAGAGCAATAGCGAAAACTGGCTTACAAGATATAATGTTGTTTTCTACAGATGCGACTGATTTATGTCCAATTACAAGTCCGTGACAATAACTAGAACATATAAGATTGGATACTATTCTTGGTTCTCCGCCGCTTCGTATATCGATTCCATTCCATCGGTTGTTGCTAATTAAATTGTCTGTAATAAGACGGGATAAATGCAAAGAGGACAATAATTAACAAAGACGTGTGCCTTACTAATAATGAAACCTCTTCCATCTTCACTAACAGCTATCCCATTAGCTGATCCATTGTATATTTTATTCTCGCTATTTTATTATTACGAAATCATAAATTATAAGAAATAAAAGTGAAAAAAAAATTGGAAAATATAAGGATTTAACCAACATCACATATGGATTTCCTTTAAACAATATATAAACGGCTGCCTCTTTGTTATCGTATATATCATTTGACTTTATTGTCCCTCGACCGTTTCCAAGAACAACAATACCGGATCGCTTTCCTCCGTGTATTTTGTTTGACTGTAATAAGTTAGATGCAAAAAAAAAAAACAGATTTTATTTTCATATAAACGAAGGAAAAAGTTGGAATTTTTTTTTGCGAATTGGCACTTCCTTACTATTATCAAAGGATCAGCATTCTTTCTTATATCGATTCCAGCTTCAGACATTTCACTAATGTCATTGCCTGTATATTTTATGAAGAGTAAAGAATCGTGATAGTTTAATAGGATGTTAATTATATTATGATATCTGACCTGCAATTATACCATTAGCATGAAGTCTCATAAAAATTCCGGAAGACCTGCAGTTTTTAATCTCATTTCCAAGTATTACAACCTAAATGAAAAAATTTACCATAATTTAAATAGAATAAATCAACCGTTTTCTGGCTGTAAACTCGAGCAGTTGATAAAAAATTTACAAGAAAGCAAGAAACCAACCTTAGAATTTTGCAAACATCGAACACCAAAGGTTAAATTCAAGAGACGATTATACCATAAATGCGCTTGAGCACTAACTGTTACACTTATACCACCTTGACCTTTCTCAATTAGGCAGTAGCGAATGACAGGACCAATAGTATGCTTAATGGCGCTCTGTTCAAAAGAGTTTATCAATTGTAAATTTTTATGACATTGAATTTTTAAATTTAATTGCTAACATAAAGTTTACTTTCTCCTCTTAAAAGATTAGACAAATCTACTTGACAACCCAATTTTCCATACTTAACAGTTACGCATGAATCTATGGTTGACGAGACGTCGCTGGTAAATAATTCAGAGTGTGGTACAGTTGAGCTATTTTGTTGCTTTTTATCGTAAGTATTACTGGCTGGAACTTGGTTATCAAACTCTGAAAAAAGAAAATTAGCTTAAACTCTTTAGAAACTTAAAAAATTGATAAATATAAAAAAGTTACTATTCTAAAAAGAGAAATATAAAACATAAAGAGCTTGATTTCAATTGGAAAATCGGTATTACCTGTATCTGTGGAGTAACTATGATCAGAATCAGAATCTAAGACCGACTCCCAATCAATATAGGAGCCGACAAAACAACTTGCAGCTGCGGCACTCGCACCACCAATACAGAATTCAGCCGCAGATTTATTTGGAACGTTACTATTGACTGTTTCATTTTGAGCCTATGAAAGAAAACAAGACGGTTGATTGCAAAAAATAGAGAATAATAGATTTAATTAAATCACTTTTCCAAGTTGGATGCAACTGTAGCTGGAAGGGACAGCATAATTTGAAACGGTATCCTCTCCATCATCCCTTCGACATTGTTTAGAGTAGCTGTGTCGAATTAAATTGTAATATGTCCAATTACCATTATGTTCCTTTGGCGGACCTTGTATCTATTAATTTATTATTACGTAAAGAAACCTTGTAATTTTCAAGAAACCTTACCTGTATTGCAGTATTATCGGTTGAAAAATAGCAATTTTCAATTACGCTTACGCTAACGTGATGTAATGCTAAGTGGGCTCTAACAAATTCTGTGTACCTTATGAGGCAGCTACCTGGATTTTGAACTAGAATCTGGCCGTCCTCAAATCGACAATTATCTACTTGTAAATGCCCCAAGCTTATCTTCAGCATATACCCTGTGAACCATGGGGCTCGGAGAACCAAATTACATAATCGACCAGTAAGAGCATTTTGTTCTATACAAACAACGATCACTACTGAACCAAGAGGCCCACAACCAACTAATTCTAAAGGAAGTTTTGAAGACATTTCGAATTGTTCGTCGTAGACACCGGGATGTAAAGTTATTCTATCATATTCACAAGCTACATTTAAAGCACTGCGAAGGGTTTCATGTTCAAATCCAGAACCAACATTAATTATCTTTCGTTCTCGCCTTCGTTTAAATACATGCAGACAAGAGACACTTTGCATAGATTTTTGGCACCACATTTTTGATATAAGGAAATTTTCTCGGTACAGAATTCTCCAGGGCTTCGTCGGTTCGGCTTCTTCGCATGGCCAATGGGGATGGCGCCATTCGTGAGAAGAAAGAAATAGTCGTCGCCACGTTGTGATATCTAAGCTGTATATAATAGTGTTCCATTGTTTGCAAACGCATACGCATCGACAAAGATCAAACGGGGATAAAAAATTAAATATTATTCTCCAGATTTCAACTGGTAATTGGAGAATTTCCTGACGTTCACTAGCTTTTGAATTTGATTTGCAATTAACTTGAGAACTTCCTCTAGGGTTGACCTTGTCAATATAATAACCCTTCAATTTGAGCATTTTCGAGAAGGTACTCTGAACAAAAACAAACAACACGAATATACGGATCCCAGTCAAAATTGGTAGGCACCTAAAATATATTCAATATTGGATCCATTTCCAGAAATGAAGAATTGATTATAAACTAATAACTAATAACATCTTTTGATTTTCCAAGTAACATTGGCTATATTGTCCGAATTATACCAATAAAAGGCACAAATAAGAACTTTGATTACTTTTAAGGGATCCAACGAAATTAGATCTACCTTTGTTTTACGGTGTCCATCTTTTTTATCATAATTTGTTTTTCTAAATTCATTAAATTAATACGTAAAAATTATTTTTTAATTATTTCTTTAATTGGGAAAAAAACTATTAACAACAGGATCGAACCATATTTTAGCCCCAAATCTGCCTGAAGCGACAAAATTATTATTTTATATTAATTCTAGGTACTTTCCATTTATTTTTAGAACTAATAATTAAAAATTTTGTTTTTATTTTACAGATAATATTTCTTAAAATAAACTTTTACTTTGTGCTAAAATTTTGTTGCTAACGAAGTTTTATATTGCTAGGCATTCCCGTCTATATTATGCAAATGAGTCTAATTTCAATGGCGGCCCTCTTCTCAGTTTTTCACTAAATTTTCTCGGTTTGTTACCCCAAAAGGGCGGGGTTGTCTAAATAATCTGTGCCTTAACTTTGGATTAACAATTCATTTGAAGGAAATTTCAAGATTCTAGAAGTTGAATTACTACCTAACGTAAGTCTAAACAACGAAAATATATCAGTTTAAATTACACTTCAGTAGGCCATCTTAATCCTAATACTTCTTATTAACTTAACGATCTGTAAGCCATAGATCGACGTAGTCATACTTCTACTGTAAATTTAATGGATATTATGCAAGACTATGCATTGATTGTCGAAATTATGTAGGGACCTACTGATGTCACTCAGCTGTTCGTGCATATCAGGTATATGTAAAAACAATTGAATAGGTCTACAGAAAAGAATAAACGTGTTTGCTTAATCATTCTCACGAGACATGAAGAAGCAGTATTGAATTTTTAGAAAAACTACGACAGTCTTTCGTTCATCAGTAGATATGAATCTCATATCAATTTTTTTATCACACTTGAAAGGACTTTGTCCTTTTTACAGCTGGTAATTGTAGTTTGATAATAGTGGTATGTGTCGTCAGCTGCCGCCGCCACGTCGATTTAATAAATGCTCATTTGAGGGGTAGTCCTAATTAGCGGAAGCAAGTAATCGAATAATCTTTGCAGGACTACGAAAGGATGTAAATCAACTATTTTATAGAATTGGTTGCTGGTAATGAATACACTAAGCGATCTACTGCAAAACGATTCAAAATTGGATGCGACGATAGCTGGAAATTGCGTAACAAGTACGTCTTCTAATTCGCATCAAAATAAACCTCAATCTCAAACGTAAGTGCCTTTATTCTTCTCGGGTAAAATTTTATATGGACCAATTCCAATTTATTCTCGCTACAATTAGTAACGAGCACTAGGAAATATATTGAATATTTTACGAAGCCCAATACTTGAATAATATAATACTTCAACTACGCCGTTGCACTCAATAATGCGTTCAATTCCAACATTGTTATGCCTCTATTCAAGCGCAGTGGCTTGTGCAATTCTCTATGTTCAAACAAGCGTGGTTTTCTAAGAAGAATAGAAATGTTCCATAGTAAATTCTGAGACTACGATGCCATTTAAAGAATGTTAAGGAAGGGTAAGAGCCTAGAGGGGGTTTAAGGTGCAATAAAAATCAGGGAAGGTACAATAGATGGCAGTAATGTACGCCGCAATGGCGCCGATTACGTAACAGAGAAGAACGGACGGCTATGATTGGCTATCTGAGAGTAAACTTTACAGTTTCCTCCTCATAACAACACGGAATATTTTTATATTTAATTTTTGGCGTTTTTCTCTATAATTCTAGTCATTTTAATGGCGGAATTACATCGGATTTCGACAATTTACTCGCAAACAGTAAAAATTAAGGTATTACGTCATTAATCTTTCTATGCTATTAACCTTATAGGGTATTTTTTGTTCTTTTTTTTACCATAAGTAACCCAGAATTTTTTTGCCTATTTTTGCTAAAAATTCAAGTCCCATCCATATATTTCGCACATTTCATTAAGGATTTTGACAGGTGTCTCTGTTATCGATCTTTCTGTGCCGTGGATGTTTTATGTCCGTGGCACTTGTAATGCGTTCCGCAAGTGCGTGTACTCGCACGTTTCATTGCATTCATACCAAAGAACGATTGAGACCATGTGCAACAAAAGCAATATCCATATGCCTATATTTTTTTTACTTACTATTAGCTTGAATTATGTGCTATTCTAATATTGTATAGATTTTTATTCATGAATAGTCATGACGTAAATATTTCAATTTATGTACAAGTTTTTTTCTATTCATACAGTTCCGCTAGCAAAATATTATTCTTTATAAAAAGATTTAGAAAATGACGTAGTTGTTGTATTTATGTACCTACGTATGTATACGTACACGCCAATACGCATATAAAAGAGATATAACAACATGGTTTTAGTTTATATTCCCTTCAGTGTATTTCGCTATTTCTTTTTTCTCCTCCCTCCCTCCGTCTTCTCGAACTACGATCTGTTCTCTCTCTCTCTTTATATTTTATATGCTAATATACATTTATAAATGTCTATCTATACTTGTCTCTCTTTATCTTTATCCTCTTCATTTTCCTTTATTCTTTTCATAGACAGTTTACCACTCCCTCTTTTTCCTATTCCATTCTTTTCTCCCCCCTCCCCTTTTTTTTTTTTTTTTGCGTATTACAGTCAACTTGCTATTATACTTGTACAACGAGTCAAACTAGTGCTTTTCATAAATGCCTTTATTCAACAATATGTTACTGAAATTTTACACAATTTTAAATCAAAATTATATCATCAAAATAATAATTGTATAAAAAAAATACAATGTAAAATAAAAATTATATTATATCTCTACCAAGAATCTTATTGATTATTATTTTTTCATTGTTACAACTTGTATTCACGCATTTTTATAATTATACTTAATAAAAAAAATTTCGTTTTTTAATTGTACAGTAGCAAATGTCTGAACGAGAAACGCCGAAGAGAACAGGAAAACATCTACTTCGAGGAGCTAGCGGAATTGTTATCCAATAAGGATATGAACACATTTTATATGAAACCTGATAAAAGTGCTCTACTCGAACAGACTGTAAACCAAATCAAGCAAATTACAACAGAAAACGGTTATTTATTTACTATTTTTTATTAATATCGTAATGTTTATTACTTTTTATTGCCTGAATATTTCTTGATTACCATTTTAAAACACTTAAAATCCTATTTCATTTTCCATCTAAACAAATTCTTTTTTTAACAGCGTGCTCTACTAACGAAGACGTCCAGCAATCCCAAGTATCCAGCAGTCGACCAACGTTGATAAATACAGAAGTTCTCGGTGGTGTTGTACTTGAAGCATTAGACGGTTTTCTGCTGGTGATAAACAGTAACGGTCGAATTGATTTCGTTTCTGAAAATGTTCCCGCTTACATTGGATACAATCAAGACGATTTAATTGGAAAGACTGTGTTTAATCTTGTCCATTTAGCCGAATACCAACATTTTCAAAGCGCTCTGTCTTTGCTCAGTTCTTCATCGACTCCTTCGTCCACAACGAAGAAAGAGGGTTGCAACTTTAATTGTCGCATGAATATAAAAGCTCCGATAAAAGGTCAACCGAGTTTCGTGAATATGCAGATTGCGGCTGTTGTACAGTCTTACAATCAATTGAAAGATTCTTCACCTCCACCTCACTCAGAACAATCATCATGCTTAGTGTGTATTGCTCGAAGACTCACACCGGAAAAAGCTGCTCAAGCGGGAAGAGCAACTAATAGTACCGTTTCTTTCATTACTAAGCAAGATGAGAAAGGTGAAATTTTAAATATTGAAAGTCTAAACACGAATCCAACTCACTTGAAATATCCGGATATGATTGGAAGTAATATTAAAGACTGGTGCTTACCAGCCGATCAACAATTATTAATAAGACACTTCGAAAGAGTTTTAACCGACGGCACGGATCAAAGTAATATTTACAGATTACGTTTTGCCGATTCTAGATATGCGTTCGTTCGAACGAAAAGTACAAAGTTTCAGGGGCAAAACACTTTTATTATGTCTGAGCATACTGTCGTCCGAGAATGCGAAGGCGATCACGAACTGAAGAATAGCGCAGGAACTGCATTAATGAAAAGTCTTGTCGCTGTACCTCGTGAGTCTTCGACCGGAGGTATAAGGCCCAGATCCACAACAAATACATCACTACAATTAAGTAGTGGCGGTTCTATGACGATGCTGGATACAGGTTCATCATCTCTGTCAACACTTCTTAGTGCAGTAGGTCCTGAAAAATCAGAAGTGAGCATAGCAGATGTACTTGACGTTGGTCATGGTTCATCACCAATTGATCATTTTTCTAAACATCTCGCAACAACAACCTCTTCTGTACATACACCACCTCCATCTGCGTCGGTGTCATCCCCACCTACTTCAAATTTTTTATCCAGTCCAGTTGCTCAAGGTGAGAATGACAAAACAATCTATAATGTTCTGCTTATCTATAATGTTATCTTTCTACGCAGTAGGATGTAGAAACGTGTCTGTAAGTTCAGCACATGAGTCTGAATTACAACTACTTCTGGGCGAACCCCTTTCGGGTTCTGGTAAGTTTTCAACTTTTCATCGTTTTACTTCTCTTAAAAGATACAGTGTGAATGGTAGAGCTTTATCATAACCTTCTCTTATTTCAGGCTGCAAAACAACGCCATCAGTACCAGCGGCAACACTGGATCAGTATAGAAAGTTGCGAGAGGCACATAAGATTATAAGAAGAGGTGTACAATCCTTGCCGTCCGATTCGAAAAAGAGTAACCTCACGTCAATAAGTAATTCGAAATTACGAAATCTACTGCAAGACGACGATAGTAAATCATCCGCTTTATCGCCAATGGTTATTTCAGCTAATTCTAATGAACAAGACGATGCTCAATGCCCTGATTCGTCCAGTTCTAAAACGGGTACTAATTATATATTAAAAAAGCTACTGTCAGATAACGATAAACGTAAGATTTTTATATTTATTCAATTGTTTGCTGAATCAAATAGTTGACTGAATTTTTTATAACTTAATCACTATAGTGTATTCTAACTGTGGTGAAGAAAAAGAAGAGCGAAACGCCATATTAAAAACTTTGCTCAATAATGAGAAGGATGATTTGGACGTTTCGAGCAATAGCAGCAGGAAATCTAGTAAGAATCTTTTGAAGGATATTCTAAGGAGTGAGGAAATTCAAGAGAATAGAGTATCGAATAGAAGATCATCTGTTTTAAGCCAAGAAGATGAAGTTCAGTCAACTTTTAGCCGGCAAACGTCTTTTACGACTCCAAAAACTCCCAATTTGAATATTGAAAATGTCTTTTCTGGTCCGCCCACACCAGTTACTCCAGCAACACCAGCAACTCCTTTCAATGACACAAGGACTCTAAGTGATTTTCTATCTTATCAAGATGGTCAAGATGATGACCTAATTTCTTCTGGCCCTGCTGCCAAACGACATAAGCCTGATAATGGTAATCAAGCCTCTAGGCCCAAGAACTTACGTGAGAGAAACCAATTACTAACTAAATTATTATCAAAGGATACTTCTAAAGATGCAATAGTTAACACTACAGTCATTAACCCAGCGGCTACACCAGCCATGCACGTTTGTAAAGACCGTATACTCGATATAGATGTTAGTCAAGCACAAGTAACAGTGGGTAATCAATCTAATGTACCAGAGCATACTTTTGGCGATGATTTGATGCTGCAGCAGGTTTTGCAGGATGCTTCTGAAATGAGGAGAGAATATAGTGCTAATAGCAGTTCTACAGTTCAATTCACTGAACAGTCTGAAACAGATGAAATATTATCTCAGTTAGAACAATTGATGACAGCCAATCCCGATATACTTCAAACTCTGAATTCAGACAGTTCATTACAATCAGAGCAAATTGCTATTAATAAAATTACGCAAGAGCTGATTTCGGAAGGAAATAAACATGCTTCCGTTCCCCAATTAGCAAAATCTCCCCAGCAACAAGGGCAACAATTGACAATGATTGTACAACCAGTTGCGACAAACCAACATCAATTAAATCAAGCTGCTCAGATCCGTCAAGTTCCTCAGGCAAACATACCCCATGCAGCCCCTAACGTTCGTCATAGACTTCTCCTTCAGTCTAATCACAAAAAGATGCGAGAATTGCAACGGCGCCAACATATACAACCTCAAACTACGGCCGTATCCCAGCAACAATTTCAGCAAATAATTATTCAGCCGACGACAAGTGTATGTCATGATTTATTATCGAAACTATATATTTTTTCTTATTTATACATTAAACAGGTGTTTATTTTATGTTTGCTTTTTTTTCCACTACTATAGCGTAATACAGCTGATGGGACATCTTTAATGAATTTGAATGAAATGATGAACGCAGTTGGACCGAATGTTACAGTACCGGTGAGTTAGTTAGAAAGTTTAGATAAAAAAAGAATCTATATTTTTTATATTATTTTTAAGTAAATAACATGTTTACTGATTGTTGCAAAACTAGTTTTATATTAGATAATATTTCTTCTGTAGTTTCATACGTTTCTCTTTTAGTAATTAATAATTAGTTGAAAGAAAATATTTGCTTGATAGTTAGATTGAATGTTGTGTAATACAGCAGAGATCAAATCAACATGGTCCTTTCCACCAACAACCTTACTCGGGTGCTATGCAACCTGTTACACAGTCGCAGCCGCAGCCTCAACAACAGCTGCCTTCACCTCTTCCACCACAACCACTGCAGCCTTCACAATCGTATGGAAAGCCTCGCTGGCAGCGCCTACAACCGCAGCAGGTAGGCAATGTATATCAGCCTACACACTTGCTTCTATGCGATTTTCAGTGTGAAGATTATAGATTTAAAAGCTTATAGAGTTTCTCCATTTGTTGTCAACAGAGTCTAATTTTATTATCCTCATTCTAAGTTCTTTCTGTCAGATTTAGAATATATTCTCATATTTATTAGGTACAGTTCGACCAACGTGCCAGCCATACAACAACTAGTGGCAGAGTTATTTCTTCAACAGACCATCCGCAGCAAAATGGTATTCAAAATCTGGACGATTTTCTTGGTCAACAAAACAATTTTTCTGCTACTGGAGGATCCACTATAACAGACAAGAGAACTCTAGTTAAACAAGAATTACGAAACTTGTGTAATAGAAAGCAACAAGGAGTTCAACAAAACGATCAGCCAGTATCACAAGATTCGAGTGAATTACCAGATGACATAACCACACTATGTAAGCTATTCTGGTTTATGAAAACAGTGTATTACGATCAACTCTTGTCAATATATTTTATATTTTATTGCAGTAAACGAAATAATTCAGCAACCACAGCAGACTAACACAGACGATAATTCACTCACCAGCCAGCAATCTAACTCGCCGCTTACTTCGCAGCTGGCAAAACAATTCATTGCCTCAAAGAAGGCAGAATCCCAGAAAAATACAGAACGCATGCGTCAAATGGGCGGCGTAAACGATTTAGGACCTTCGCATTGTACGGTTAATCCTATGCACTTACGTGGTGAAGAGTTAGGAGCTCATGGTTCTAGAGCTAATGTCATCTCAACAAATTTCTTTCGAAAGCAACTATCTCAACCACTACAGGCGTCAAACCAACAAGGTTTAATGGTCACTACGTCTCTTGGAAATCAGGTAGCACCAGTTTCAATTGTACAAAGCTCTGAGCCTAGGGTAGGTTGATTTATCTGATTCAAATACTCATTTTCTTTCTTGCATAATTAATAAGTATTAATCGGCTCTTTTTTTAAAAACACTTCAGCCTCGGTGCGAACCTATACCGAAGGGAGAACAAGGTCCTCACAGTTTACTGCAGAAGCTCTTATCCGAATGAAAATTTGCACTTGAGTTCGCGTAGAAAAAAAGACAATGGTGAAAATCTGAATTATGTCTGCAGGCGGCGTCATCAAACTTGTTTATAAAAATTATTTACTGCATTTTTTTCCTTTAGTTCTATTTTTTCCCCACGATTAGTGAGCTGTGTACTTGACAATACTTTTTTTGGGCTTGTACTATCTCTCTAGTCCCTTCCTTTTCCCAAAAAATTATATCGATTCTTATATACAGTGCTAATCGACTGTTTGTTTGCGTCGTTCGTCGTTTGTTTTGAGTATTTAGATTGAGATAGTGAGACAATTCTTTTGAATATGCAGGCAATTACTACGATTGAAAATTTGTATACTATTTGAGACTGTCAGGTTTTTTTTTCATAAATGGCTGAATGAATAATGCCATGTAAAAAAAAACAAAAAAGGAAAGGAAAAGATGTGAATGTGTTGTACATAGGCCATATCATTCCACGGTGTGTGCTTTGAATAATTTGTATAGACATGTTTTATATACTTGAAGAAAATGGAATTTTGATTAAGGAATGTTGTTACAGGAATTTGAGAATTATTTTTAAATTTATCGAATACATTATACAGTCTATCGCCTATTTTTTTCTTATCCTTATCTGATAATTAAAATAATCTAGCGTTTAATCCCAGATGGACATAAGACTCATCGTTATCGCGTAAATATGAAACGCTTTGACGAAATATTTGACAAAATTGGCCATTTCGGGGTCTATCAACTATTAGCATACTGTCTTATTGGCATAGTATCATTTTATAATGGCTATCAGAATATATCTGTGAATTTTCTTGGAGGCCATCAACCTCACTGGTGCAAAATTGAACGATTATCGAAATTTTCCCACGAACGTCAACGTCTTATAGCCGTGCCTGATGATGATACAAAAGACAAATGGAGCTATTGTCAAGTATTCAATCTTAATTATACAAGTTATACCGATGACGAACTTCTTAGATGGACGAAAGAGGATCGGAAATACTTCCAGGCAAATGCATCCAGAATAAATTGCCCGAATGATTGGGTTTTTGATCAGAGTCAGTTTATACTAACAACCTTATCTAAGGTAGGCGTTTCCTTTCTTACTGGTAGTAATTACCATCCCCACCCGTCATCATCGTAAAATAATGCTTTCGGCATTGATTCTCAATGTTCAAAAGAGCACAGCCCAAGTGTACACCTCGTTAAGGTAGTATTACGCCCTAAGTACAAGGCCTATTTACATCAAGTGCGCTGTATTCTCTCATAAAGAAATCTTCTGATTCATCTTCATACGACGATGGTTCATTTTGCAATTGAAATGATTCGAAAACCTTGAGTATGCCTTTACCAGGGACTTTTGTTAAATCGATATTTTCTGGTTTATTAACAAGAACAAAACCTTCTTCTATATTATCTTGAAAAGAACTACGAGTTGCCGTAATTTTATGAGAATTTAAAACGTTTGCCACTAGAGTATTAGATTGTTTTTGATCCCTTAAGCCGATTTTAATCCGTTCTGTCTTCTGTGTTAAAAGTGCATTGGAATATCTTTTATCGTCAGTCAACGTCATAGAAATGGTAGATTTTTTTCGACTTTCCGATATTTCTTCCTCGCTCTCTTTAGTGTCGATATAAAAGATTGATCGCACTTGTACGAAATCGATCTGTAATTTTCCATTTCTACCTAGCTTACACCAATCTGTCGATTTATCAACTAATCGATCCTTAGTTGGCTGCCCGGTTGGATCAATATAGCATTTAGGATTGGTTTCGGAAAGTGATAAGGTTGAAGAAACCGGTGATCCGAAGGTACCTTTAGGCTTATCAAGGAGCATTAACATTCTCTCTCTTTCCAATTTTTTCATCGCTCCCCAGTGAACAACCCTTAGAACTGCTAAAGTAACCGAAAAAATCACTGTAAACGTTATATTAATTGCTATTGCTGCTACCAGAACTATAGAGAGTAGTTTAGGAGAAAGAAATCCCTCGCAATTACATTTTAATCCGTCATTAAAACAATATTGATCGCATCTGCAGTAGGGTACATTAAGATTTTTAAAGGAGCAACCATTTATACATTCTCCAGTTACGTGATGACAAGAGGTATTACCTCCTTTACAATGATGAGAGATGCATGTTCTATTGCAATCTATACCGTAAGTTCCCGTCCTACATTTTTCTAGACAGCGCGGTCCCGTCCAACCTGAACGGCATTTATTACCATAGCAATATCCTGTTATTTCATTACAACTGTACCGACAGTTTGAACTGCAGCGTTCGCATTTTCGATAGTTTGACGTAACCTTAAGAAAGTATGAATTATTACACGTTTCGCATCTATCCGTTTTGTTACCATTTGTACAAGTTGTACAAAATCCGTTAATCCTATTACATTTAGAACTTAAACACCCTGTACTACAATTCTGCAAGCAATTAAAACCCCATTTACCCATTCCGCAAGGTTCGCATAATAACTTGTCACTCTCGTAATAGCCTGGTCTACAGCCATGTTTGCATCGGTCAGTGCCCGGCCTACATTCATTTTCAAAGCAAAATCTACAATTCCTGCTTAATTTTATCCCTTTTATAATATTAAAACAAATACAAAAAGTTAGAAAGCCTTTTCCCATTAAGACAATGATTTTAAATCCTGAAGTGACTATTATCAATATTTAAATTAGCCTTTTATTTAAATAAGTATTCATTTTTTCAGTATAATCAAGTATGCTCGAAATCTTGGCTAAATCAATTTTCCTCGACGGTCTATATCGGAGGTATTTTTATTGGAAGCTCATGTTGCGGTTTCCTGTCTGATAGGTTTATAGATTTCTATATATTATTGTAGCGTAATTGATTGCTCTAATTTCTCTTTTTTTTAATTTCTTTTATTCCTTCTTTCATACTTTCTTTCTTTCTTTCTTTCGATACTTTATATCCATCTAAAAAAAGTTTTTACGTATGTTTGGCTATTTATAGATTTGGCCGAAAGGTTGTTTTGGGTATAGGAACCCTTTTACATATGGGATTTGGGATAGGTGGAGCATACGCACCAAATACAGCTCTTTTCTTAATTTTTCGATTCTTCCAATCTATTGGATCAAATTTTACTTTTATTGCAGGATTTGTACTAGGTAAAAAGACAAGGTTTTTTATCTGTTTTCCTTGTCAAAAACAATGTTTATTTAAAAAAAAAGTACGATCTAGGCCAAATTGAAATATATACTGCTCTGTGTTTGACAGTGATGGAATTAATAGGACCAATTTACAGAGAATCAGCTGGAATACTTTATCAATTCTTCTTCTCCATAGGATTTATGATTTTACCAGGAATAGCCTATTTTATACGCCAAGTAGAAAGATTGCAATTAACCCTATCGTTATCAATACTGCCCAGCTTTCTCCTATTATTAATTCTACCAGAATCACCTCGATGGTTGTTCTCCAAGGGACGTTTTGAAGAATCAAAAAAGCTACTGGAAAAGGTAGCAAGAATAAATAATAAAACACTACCAGATTTAGATTTAAAAGCAATATACGAAAATGAAAGAGCAGACAATCCAGAGAAAGCTAACGAGAAATCCGTTACCCTTTCTGATATGTTAAAGAGCAGACAAGTTGCTTTGGAACTATTTATATGCAGCATAGCATGGTATACTTTATTTATTTACTTATTTATTACATATCAGATAAGTACATAGTATAAACTTTATTTATATATATATATATTTTTTATTTTAACAGGTTTACTAATAGTTTAGTTTATTATGGCTTATCTTTGAATACGGGTACTTTATCTGGATCCATATTCCTTAATACCTTTCTATCTGGTATCGTTGAAATTCCTGCTCATATAATATGCATATTTGGTTTAAAATACTACGGAAGGGTTCCCACTTTTTCTGGTGCTTTTCTTTTCGCCGGTGTTACGTCTATTGCCAACGTTTTTGCGATTGCGTTCAATGCACCACAAGCACTACAAACAACTCTAAGCATGGTCGATATATTTAAATTTCTTTACCATTATTTTTTTTACCAATTTGCATATTTTTCTAGATGGGTAAAGCGTCCATAACCGTCTCTTTTGACGTTGCTTATGTCTTATCAGCCGAATTATTTCCAACGCCCATTAGAGCACTCTCCCTAGGAATATGTAGTTCCGTGTCCAGAATAAGCGGGATGGCGTCACCCTATGTTGGAGGAAGTCTAGTTAGTTTACACATATTAATATATATTAATATATATGTACTATACTATACTATACTATACTATACTGAGTCTTTAATCTGATAAACAGGAATATTTAGGTTAATACGCTTATGTCTTTTCTCTTAAAACACAGCAAAAAGTACAAAAATACCTTCCAGCGTTAATATTTGGAGTCTTTGGTTTTGCATCATTTGCGCTAACTGTCTTGTTACCGGAAACCAGTGGGAAACCAATGCCGGATACTTTAGAAGAGGCTGAAGCTATTGGAAGAGTAGGATGCCGATTTTGTAGAAAGAAGACTGGATCTGTTGAACCGGAAAAAAACAATTCTTAAACTTTCAATTGTCTTTCTTTTGCCGCCCCTTATCATTGATAGTGATTAAATGCTTAAAGATATATATTAAGTATTTGATCTTGAAACATACAAGTTAAAGAAGATAAAAAATCTACATACAATACATTTACTTTATATTTTTCACTTATGAATTGTTTATGAAAGTTATTTAATCAAATTTTAAACTTTCAAATCCAATTAGACGAAATATTCATCTTCAAAAAGGAAATTCTCAACGAAAAACATTCTTCCTTTGACACTAATTTGGCAATCTTGATGAAAGACAATAAGGACAGCTAAACATTTATTACGAAAAAACATCCTACAAGTAAACGTTATAACTCTATAGCCAGCTCTGAGAATATTTTATGTATACGTTAAAACATTGTACTTGCAATTGAAAAGTTTAGATGGCGCTACGAGTACTATTTTATATATGTATATAGTGCAAGAGATGGAAAGATAGAAAGAGAGAGGGAGAGAGAGAGAGAAAGAAAGAGTGGGATATTATTTTATATAGATTTCTTTTTCATATAAAACATCTGCATACGTCATTGTAAAATGGCGAAGAAAAAAAAATATATAAAGCATACCGTATATCTACACATACACACACACGCATATGAGTAATCGATTTAATAACCGGATTAAACAGAGTAGTTCAAAAAGCCAAAGACATTGACTCTTCCGATCGTTTGATTCCGATGCATTGTATAAGTTCATGAATAGTAGGAAAGATAACAAAGACTAAATTTTGAATTTAAGAATAGAGAAGGAAGTGAAAAATTTGCAAAAAAATTGTCAGAAACAGAAGAAGCAAGAAAAGACGGACGGAGAGATTGTAAAAAGATACAAACATATATTTAAAAGAGAGAACAGAAGAAAATAAGAGATAGGGAGAAAGAAAGAAAGAAAGAAAAGCGGAGAGATATAGATTCGGGAGAGAGAAAGACCGGAAAAGAAAAGGAATTTTTTACTTGACAAGATCTAGTTTTAAAGAATAAGAATCTATTCATACCTTTTAGCACCAAAAACGATTGAATCTATTCACTTACTATAAAAACTTACTAGCGTGAAAAACTACGTTGTTACTAAAAAGAGAAATTAACAATAATAAGGAATATATCATTACACAGAATCTTGCCAAGAGGTATTTATAAAAATCTTTTTTCTCTCTTCCATTATATATATATATTTAGTTTATATTTAAATACATTGATAAACATAGAAATTCGTATAGTTTACTATTGACTCTTTTACTTTAAATTATGGTGAGAAAGAAATCGTATATATATATATATATAAGTGTGTGTTTGTGTGTGCGTGCCAGAGACATAGAGCGGAGAGAAGAAGAAAATATAGAGAAAAAGAACGGGAGAGAAGAAAAAAGCTAGTTAAATAGATAAATTGATAGATATTAATATAAATTGATAGATTCTAATACAAAGGAAAGAGTGAGAGAGAGAGAGAGAGAGCGAGAGAAAGAGAGAGAGAGAGAGTTAAAATCCTATATAGAGTTAGAAGAGAATGATTATTCAATACTTAGATATAAGTAGATAAATACTCATATTGTATTTAAATTGGACATATAATTTTGTTAGCAGGGATTGAGACAACCGAAGAGGATAATAGGAAGAATTCATTTTTAAAACTATAGGAAAATGGATCCTGAAAAGATATTAGTATCTGTCGGACCTTGGGGTCGGTATCAATTAATTAATTATATCTTAATATGCTTGGCTGGATTATTGGGTGGAGGTCATACAATGATGCACATTTTTCACGCTTCTGTCCCGAAGTTCTATTGTAAAGATGGCGATAGAGCGGAAAATTTAACAAACAGTAATATTACTTCGGTAGATGCTTGCTATTACAATTCAACTTCAACACAAGAATTGACAAAATGTAAAAGTTGGTCTTATGAAGATACTTATGGAGTTAACATTGTTACCAAGGTAATTTATATAACATTATTCTTATGCCGTTTAGTATGTCACGCCAGGGTACTACATTTTTAGGCCTGATACACTAAATAGTGCACTGACCGAATTCCTTACATTTTGTCTTCTCCAGTGGGACTTGGTATGCGATAGGGACTGGATGAGAGCAACTGCCCAGAGTATTTATATGGTAGGGTTCATGATAGGAGCGTTCTCCTTTGGGCAAATCTCTGATAAAATAGGAAGAAAGAAGAGTTTACTCATAGCGATCCTAATCGTAATAATATTCGGTAGTTGTGCCATATTTGCTCAGGATTATTGGACTTTTACGCTTCTTAGAGCCATATCTGGAATAGGAGCAGCTGGTTCATATACCGTCGGGTTCGTACTTTGTAAGTAAATTTGTTGATATTATGTAATATAATTTGACACCGATAATCGTATTTCAATCTATAAAAAAAAACAGGTCTCGAACCTATTGGAAAAAATCACAGACTTATACCTGGCATATTATATCAAGTTCCTTTTTGTTCTGGTTTTGTCATTGTTTCCGGTCTTGCATGTCTATTTAAAAATTATAAACATCTTCAACTGACTTGCTCTATCTTCGCAATAGTCTTCCTTTCATACTATTGGATCATCGATGAATCGCCAAGATGGCTTCTGATCAAGGCCAGATACGAAGAAGCCGAAAGGATCTTCAAGAAGATAGCTAGGTGGAATGGGAATAAATGCGATTGGGATAATTTACGCATATTTTCTGAGCAAGATCAGGAAAAGGATGAATCGATTTCTAAAGCATCCGTTCTTGATCTATTCAAAACTAAAAACTTACGAAAGAAAACAATAAACATCTGCTTCCAATGGTTTGCAAAAATTAATTAAGCCTATATTGAGAGTTTATATATAGATATTTTTCATCAATATTCCTAGGTGCGTTATATCTTTGACCTATTACGGTTTGGCTATGACATCGTCGGAGATAAAAGTTAATTTGTACTTAAATGCTGTTATTGCTGGTTTTGGCGAATTTTTATCTTGTCTATTGGCGATTCCGTTGGTCGTAATTGTTGGCAGAAGAGTTCCACTTGCCTTCTTTCATATTCTTTGCGGCACAATCTGCCTAGTTGCTTTGATGGTTCCATCAAACATGCATGTCCTATTAATGGCACTCTCACAAATTGGAAGATTCGGCATATGTGGAGCATTTACAATCATCTATGTTTTTTCAGCCGAACTCTTCCCAACTGTAGTCCGAAATGTAAAAAAAATTAACTAACTTCTCATAATTTTGCATTAAATCCATATTTAAATTTACAATTAGTCATCTTTGTAAGACAGTTACTTTATCTTTGACAGGTTGGAATAGGTGTTGGATCGTTTTCAGCAAGAATCGGGGGTTTATTAGCGCCTTTTATGACAAGATTGGATATAACTGCTGCTTTAATCATATTTGGAATTTTAAGTTTAGCCGCATCTGCTTTAGCTATCCTGCTACCCGATACTTTAGGCGTCAGTTTACCGGAAACGATAAAAGAAGGTGAAGAGTTTGGGCGGAAGTACGTATCACCATTTAGAAGAATTTCAAAGAAGCGAACCAAAAAAGACGAGGAAAATGATATAGCTTATAAATGATGCGATCGCAAAGATTAATAAAGATAATAACTAGTTAAATTTATATTATGCAAATAAACACATGCAATATACTGTATATATATAAATGAATATGTAGGTATGAAAACTACATAAACTCTACATGATATAGTATACGTAAAAAATCGTTTATACAGCGTTTTACAATGTACAGTATATGCAGTATTTTCTTTTAAAGTATACGTACACATTATGCTTTATTCATTAAAAGTCCTTGTATGCTAATTTTTTAAAACACTTTTATACCCTATTTAAACTCTTAAAAGGAAATGAATTGTTTCTATTCACTTCGATAGATGGCTCTATTTAGAAGCGAAAGAAAAAAGTGAAAAAAGAGAATAAATGTATTGAAATAGGGGAATAAAAGCAAATAACAATCGTTGTTGAATATATTAGGAAAGTAATAATAGATATATTAAAAGAGTTGAAAAAAAATCGGTAGCTGATTGACAATAGCGTGGTTGAACAAGTCGTCATTTTGACATACTATATAGGCTCTTGAGCAAAAAACTGTGGACAGAATAGATTAATAGAGAGGTTTTTTTATCTTATCTATAAAATTACGGCCTAAAACTTAGACATAGCCTATTTTTGACTCTTTTTTTTTTTACTTATATATTCGTCGGCTCTTTTGATACTATTCGCGGGCGGGATATTTGATATTTGAAAATATTGTATACATAAACGATACGTTGTAAAGGCACTAGTTTCGGTATACCAAGCGGCCTAAATCAAAAACGCGGTTCTTTTCATCATAATTGAATTATAAACAAAACCGTACCGTTTCCGAGTCAATTCTATACCACACACATAGTCCTTATTAGATTATAAAATTGTACATGATAACGCGAAAACTGCTTGAAGGGAATATGTATGCATTGTATAAGCAATAACCGATGGCGACGTCTACCGGGAAAACGCAATTAAAACACAACTATAAGCACCCATAATTCAGTATATCCATATACTGAATAGTGTATATAAAGAATTTTTTCTCGCGCTACTTTAGCTAATACTGTGTTGTAAATTCTAGATTATCTAAGTCGTTGAACAGATTTAAAGCCATCGCATGCCAACTGCTGTTAAACCGTAGTAGCGAACAGCTAAACGTTGACATTTATACGATGTTGACTACGCGATTTAAGAGTATTACAATATCTTTTATGAACTTGGGCTGTCGCTGTAAATCTATCTTAGAGCTGTTGTTTCCTTATGAATATTAAAATGTAGATTTGTAGACTATACTAACTTAATTGTGTATGCTTAGAGGGGAATTACATAGGTTAGATGACGTCATTAAATGCGAAATGTAATCTGAATTGAAGAGGCTGTTTGTCCGCTTTCATCTAATGCCGACTTGAAAATTGACTTGTCGTTATCTCTTCGTCTTGAAAAAAAAAGAACGCCGCCAAAAGCTACTGTCTTTTAATAAATGATTAAATTTTTCTTTCTTCTATCATTGGTACTGCGAAAAATTTATCAAAATTCATAAAAACTATAAATAACAATAAATAATAAAAATACAGACTGCGTTTTATTTGATTTTAATCTGTTTATAGTATTAAAAAAATTGTATTGAAAGATTATTTAGAGAAAAAGAAACACTAAGAAATATTTTGCAACGAAAACTATAAGAAGACGTCCAAGGGGGCGTCTATAGCGTTAATGCTCATAAACCGGCCACCAAAAGAGCTTTTCCCAAACCGCAAAAAAAAATGAGACTTTTCCCCGCCCAACTCTTCCTCTTTGCTGTTTTTTTATGTTTGTTGATACAGAGAAGGGAGGCAGTGGGGACGGGTGAAGATAGAGAGATAGATACAGATATACTATATATAAATTAGAGTTATATATAAATATATATAATAGTATATAACTATAAATATACTGTATATACTGTATATAGTATATATATCAAAAGAATGATTTATAGGGGACTTTGGAAAGTCTATCGTTATATTTTCGTTCATTTCACCCATTCTTCTCTCCTCCTTCCTTCCCTCCTCTTCCATTCACAAGCGCTCTCTTTCTTCTCCTCTTTGCCTCTCACTCTTACTTTAGCTCCTAGAACTTATTTATTTGGACAATAGAGATATATATCCTTCTTTATAAGGACGTCGCATCTGACGCGCACGTGTTCTCTACTGGACGTCCGACACTTTAGGCGTAATCGGAGAGGACACAGTTTGATTCCGCCATATATCTGATAATTTCCCGCCCAAATTGCCTTTGTAGGCCTAAGTAACAAACGGTCCTTTATTAACTTGAAGACAAGTAGGTCGGTACTGACAGACGTCTTAACTACTAACATTGTTCTAGGTGATAGCAGCAAGCGTTCATAGTCATGTAATTGTCAAAATCTTATCTCAATTATCGATTTCGTTAGGATTCTACTAATTACTCGCACACCTCCACGTAAAACGGATGTTATAAACATGTCACTCTGTCATTATCTACTCAAACTTGTAAAATTTCGACAGAGAACCGATTGTTCAAGTGTACGTAATAGAATTGAATAGAGTGATATATGACGGTTGTTTTTCTTTTTCACTTTTCTGTATTTCATATAATTTTCATTCCCTTTTTCCGCTTCTCAAGAGCGCCTCATCCTCTCCCTATTCAAAGGAAATAAAAAGTCCATCTATCTATATATTTAGCATCTATGCGAAAAGGTTGACTCTTGACTATTCCGTTTGCGGAATGCGTCAATGCGTTCAGAGTAAATGTCATTATCAGCGTACACCTTTGGCAAGCAGATTAAAAAGATAACGTATAGACGCACGCATATATTTGTTCAATTTAGTGTGTAACTTTAGGTGTAGAAAGGGGCCACATGTTTGCTCGATTCGGTCGACTGGGCAAACGACATGTTAATACTCAAGCGTTTTCTCTGATCTTCGATTGAACTGTATGTAATAGTGCAATAGTTGCCATAGTAATACAAAATATTCTAGTTAATCATTTTTTCTTTGTTTTCGTAAGATTACGAGTGGTAATTATTCTTAGATTGTTTGTATCCGAAAAACACGCTTCGCGCTGATAAGGCGGTGTGTCGAATGAAATCTGATCGAAAGTATCTTAGCTCCTCTCTCCTCCCCCCCGCTCTCAGTCTTTCTTTAATTCTCTCTAGCTCTCCGGCCTTCTAACTTTCTTATTTATTATATACATGTTTATATTTGTAGATTTTCACTACATACCAAGATTTATTCAGGCGATATGTCTTCTAATTTAGATGCTATACTACAGCAATACATAATTATACATTTATACAGGATTTATAAACTCTAGCTCATCCCTACGGCTATCAAGAGACAAGGGATAGACGGTCGTTTAGATGCCGCCAACTCCTTTGCCGTCTAATCAGCGCCATTTGCATTTTACTGCTGCTCTGGGACGTTTCTCTCCAAACAACGGCTTCAACCGTCTGTCTTTCTAAAACTTTCGCACGGGCGTCCAGGGTCTTATGAGAAGATCTCCACTCATTATCCCATGTCAAGATCGAAGCTCTTCGGTGACGTTTGGTGACTCTATGGCAAATTGCCTTGAGTACTTTCTCTCCGTCCGCTATATAATTGCATAAATCCGGGCGTAATGGTTTACTTTTTCTTAATTATAACGACGTCACTAACGATCCTAACGAGTTTGGTTTTAACGACATGACGCTGAAATACAAGAATATCTTTTTCAGACATTTCCCTACTGATATCTAATGAATCTTATCACGACACGGTCTCGACGAGGGCGGGCACTTACCGGGAGATGTTTAGAAAAACCGAAAAGCGCTACAAAAACACGTAACACAATACAAAAGTAGGCCTAATTCGTCATCTTAACAGTTGACACTTCCAGGCGTCAAAAGTGACGTCACTTCTGTCTTGTAGACACCGAAAGTACGCCGGCGCTATTTGGCACGCTCTTAGTTAATTAGAGTTTTCTTAATTAAAATAGTCGAATAGAACTTATCGGCACCTTTAGTGAGCGGCTACTTCAGTCGACAACTATTTACTTCTATATTTGTTCGAAGAAGAAGTTGAAAATTGTGTAGTTTTCTTTTCCGAAGCTTTTCATTTTGGAAGATCATAAGTAGGTCAAATTCTGAATAATTTTGAGATACGAATAAACTTCCGTCCCGGAAGCCATTGAATATGAGACACACCAGATAATTTTCAAAATCAACTATTTAGAAATTCAAAATAAAAAATTTTAAATGATTGCAAAGACCAAAGAGACGCTATCAGCCGCTTTCTCATCAAAGCCACGCGTTTAGAGCGTTGCTATATGGGCGGAGTCTAAGGCGGAGTTAAAGCTGATTGGCTCAAGATAACTTAAGCGGACATCACTCGCCTACGCATTTTAAATGTGCTATAAGATATACAGCACTTCCAGTGGCTTGTCAGCAACTGCATTCCTTCCTAACTGTCGAACCTCACTCTGTTTTCTCCGGCCTACCTTATAGAGACTATCAAAAGCTTTTACTAAATTGTTTTACATACTCCTAAATCATCTTTGATAAACGGTTGGTACATTTTTTTAATTTATTGTCTTTAATCCTTTTCGATATAATAATATTTTAAAGAAACTTTATGATTATATTATATCAATTTGTATTATATAGGCTAAATTTTTTAAAGGATTAGGGAACCCTTATTATTTTAATATGTCTTAAAGCTATATATTATGTCCGGTTTAAGTATATCAAAGGTTCAGCTTAGAGTTTATGTCTCTGATATTATTATTATTAATGATAAATATAGATTAATATTATTATTTTATATAATAACAGTTTAGAACTTTGAAATAACTTGATACTTTAACATGGAAAGCAAAGTTTACTCTTACGCAATAAAAAGACTTTTACAAACCTTAGATAAAATATTGCGCTAAAAGTACCCGGCTGTTTTTTCCCTTTTATTGTGTTTAATTTTAAGTTTTCTAAAACAACCGACCAGGAAAAAGTTGTCTTAAACACCCGAGGCAAACTTTTTTCGAGTGTTTATAAACGTGAGAATTAAAGAAATAATATTGAATTAAATAGAAACATTCGTAGCGGAGTAATTAGCCGAGGGGCCACGCGCCCTGCACGTGTTTTGGAATAAGTTAGCGAGATCTGAGAAAAGAATGCGAGTCGGCACTTGGGGGGTAATTGCGTAGATCACACGAGTCTTACAAACAGACGGACGGCCACTTTCTTATTCAAGCTAGGTGGAAAAGTCGTAGAATCGGAACACTTGCACTCACTCGTATCGCTCCCACCAACTTGTGTCAATTTAAGAGTCTTTGTTCAGTCTCTTTTATGCAAATTACGTATGCAAATCAATGCGTCTGAGTGCTCTTGAGGCGTCCTTCGCCGAACGTTACCATTTTTTCTAGACTTTCCCTGATGTTTATTTTATACTATTTTCAGAGTGAATGATGCAGAGCGTCCTCTACTCTCCATATTATCCACTAGCTAATGGTCCCGCACCCCTACTGTCGCCTTATCAGGAACCGACTGTTAAGAAATTCGACTTCTCTCGGCTAGCTGAGTCCGCTATCGACGTCGGTAAAGATGAAACGCCTGTTGGTGATTTTGGAGGTGATGCGCAAGTCGTAAGCCACGCCCTCGCACAAGCTCTGCAATTTCAGGAAAGATTCCGCGCAACATTTACAAGTAGTTGGACACCTTTTTCACGGGACTCGGCACCGACAAAAACTCGACGAGGTCGAGCTTCTTCGAGAGCAAAAAAAGAATTCATATGCCGATTCTGTAACAGGCAATTTACGAAGTCCTATAATTTACTTATTCACGAAAGAACTCACACGGATGAACGGCCTTACTCTTGCGACGTTTGCGGTAAGGCCTTCAGAAGGCAGGACCACCTACGAGATCATCGTTACATTCATTCAAAAGAAAAGCCCTTTACTTGCGTCGAATGCGGTAAAGGCTTTTGCCAAGCAAGGACATTGGCTGTTCATAGAACATTGCATATGAACCAGGAGTCTGCACTTCAGTGCGATACGTGTGGAAGGGTTTTCTCAGATAGACAATCGCTTAAGACACATCTACTAGCCCATGTTGATCCAAAGAATTTCGAATGTTCCGTTTGTACTAAACAATTTAAGAGGCAATGCGATCTGAAAAAGCATCAACTGCAGCACGTGCACCAAAATACCCATTACGCCCCACCACCTCAATCCCATACAAATGATGAAGAGGACGACGGTGAACTTATTGAAGTTGTATAAACTATACAAACAAATCTTTACGGAAACAGATAAATCTCCTTCTCCTCTTCGTTCCTGTCGAATCTTTTTTTTTTTATTATTTTCTTATTGTAAAAGAAAGGAAAAGTGCCAAAGAGTTTGGTTATTGACTTTTATTGAGGGTAAAAATTGCTTTACAATCAAAATATATACATATATATTGCTCGTTTATTTAAAAATGTATATAATTATAATCTATGAAAATATACACCAGCTGTTTATATATGCTGTATTAAAATTAAAGAAAACGGTTGCTTTGAAACTTTTCAGCAAGTAATCTTTTTACTTAAGATTTCTTTATAAGATAGAAATAAATAGGATAGACAATTCATTTTTATCTTATTATGCCTATCCTCTGTTTCTTTCTTATCTATTCGAAATTCAGTGTTTACTCTCTAGATGGCGTTGTTGGCTGCGGTATTACACGAAAAGGGAAGAGTACCTATGCAGTAATCTGAAAAAGTCCTCGTGAATAAGTTAATCAGAATAAAATAAGAATATGCAAATAATTGCTAAACAACTTGGTGACAATGAAGTTTGAATAGCGTCAATGATATTTCAAAATAACTCAATAGATGTCCCTACCGTCATAAAATTTTTTCAACATGACCTTGACTATCACATACGCCATCTGTGGTGCTCTCTACAAATAAATATAGGTAATCAGTGAAAAACAACCAGCAGAGAGAATAGACACCTTAATTTTCGTTAGATCCACCAATCAAAATACAACGTAGAAAATTGAAAACTCTTGATTGGAAATATTGTCCGAGCTAATTTTGTTCCACCTCTGTATTTTCGTGTTATTTCTCGCTCGGCAGGATTTAGGTAAGATGAATAGAGATTAATAGTGCTACTGGAAGTAATCACCTTATTCTTCGGAATCATAACTTTATTTTTTTGAAATATCCTTCCAAATTAATATTTTAAAAGTCTCAATAATAAAATAAATAGCTCTTATTATCATTTCCGTTTATGAATTGAACGAAAATTTTTTGATCTTTTTTCTTAAAGCTAAAAACTTAACAATTTGTATACTTTTTAAATAGCTAATTTAAAAAAATTATACTAATTTAAAGCATTAGTTAACCAGTTAAGAATCGTTTTGTCCATTGAATATTCCATTTGGCTTATAGCCACGTTTAACAAAATATTCTATTTACTATATTTACAAATAGAATCTTTTTCAAAAAACATATGGAAAACTTGTTATCTACCTATATATAAATATGCTTCCTTCACAATTAACAATTTTTTTACTATCGTACATTACGGGCCTAATATCCTCGGGAAATTCGAACAAAAGAACAATATCGTTCTTTTATTTACATTCAGACTCTGTGTAGTACGCCCATTGTAGGATTTTTTTTAATTTATGTTTAGACCCCTTAGCCGAATAATATTTGTAAAAAGATAAAATTAGAAACTAGCAAGTAAATTTTGTTTTGAATAAGTAAATAAACAATTATTTAACTACTGATCAGTCAGATTCAATTTAAGGAAGGGGAGTAATATGTAGCAACCAATCGTTGATGTAACAATAGTTATAGTTGTTCATTTTTTCTTTTTTAGGGCTGCTTGACTGCTTGTAAGTTAAAATGGGAGATATTGATGAAAATATTGATGTTAACTTGAGTGAAAAACCATCGGAGGTTTTATGGAAGGTAAATCAAACTCCTCCTCTTTGTACTTGTATACTTTTGGGTCTGCAGCATTATTTAGCTATGTTTGTTGCAACGCTTTCTATACCTTTGGTTTTAAGTCCCCATTTGTGTATGGATGATGATATTGTAGGTCAAGCTAAATTAGTTGGAACGTTATTTTTTACTTGCGGCATCATAACAACTGTTCAAGTGGTTTTTGGTGTGCGTCTGCCAATTATACAAGCCGGTACGTTCGCTCTATTATCTCCAACAATGGCGTACTTAAGTCTTCCCCATATGAAATGTCCTAGACGAATTGTTGCTTCCGGTAATATTTCTGAAATTTCATTAAATGGAACTGATATTATAAGGGGTAGCATTGAACATCAAAACCTATGGCAGGGAAGATTATCAGAGATACAAGGATCTCTCATGGTTGTCGCATGTATTGAAATAGTTTTCGGATTATCGGGCGCGGTAGGATATCTTTTGAAATATATTGGGCCTCTTTCAATTTCTCCAACGATAGCTTTATTGGGATTATCTTTATTCCAGCCGGCGTCAAACTTTGGGGCTAAACATTGGCCAACTTGCATTGTTACTATGGTTTTGATTTTGATATTTTCTTTATACCTTTCTCGTTTTGCTGTACCTTTACCAACCTATAATCGAAGCAAAAGTAGATGTAGTGTAAAGCGAACGAAAATATTCAACATGTTTCCAGTACTCATTGCTATGTGTCTTTCCTGGCTACTTTGTTGGATACTAACAATGTCTGATACGTTGCCTAATGAAGCACGTACGGATGCAAAATTACAAGTAATTTATGATTCCCCTTGGTTTAGATTACCCTGGCCCTTTCAATGGGGGGCTCCCAAAGTTAAACTACCAGCTGTTTTAGGTTTAATGGCAGGTATTTTGGCAACAACAGTAGAATCAGTGGGCGATTATTACGCATGCGCTCGATTAGCAGGGGCACCACCTCCACCGCCATCGGCAGTGAATAGAGGTATACTCATTGAGGGAATTGGCTCCTTCTTTGATGGAATACTTGGAACTGGTAACGGCACAACCAGTACAAGTATTAACGTTGGAGTTGTTGGCCTAACGCGGGTCGGCTCTAGATCAGTCGTTCTGGTCTCCGCCTTTCTGATGTCCTTTTTGGGAGTATTTTGTAAATTCGGAGCCATTTTCGTTACAATTCCGGAACCAGTGGTTGGAGGAGCATTCTTTATGTTATTTGGTATGATCTTTGCAGTGGGGATCTCATCATTGAAAACTGTCGATTTGAATTCACCAAGAAATCTGGGAATATTTGGATTCTCTTTTTTCTTCGGGATGGCTGTTCCCCAATGGGTAAAAGCTAATCCTCATGCAATAGACACTGGTTCTCCAACAGCTGATTCAGCATTAACTGTTCTCATTTCTACTTCCATGTTCGTTGGTGGTGTAATAGGGTTTTTTCTAGATAATACAGTTCCAGGATCAAAGAAAGAAAGGGGCTTACTCCCACAGAGCGAAGAGGAAATACAGAACGATGTGTCATCTATATATGACCTACCTTTCAATATTGGGAAATTAAGTCGTTATTTCAGGTAAAGCGGATTTTTGTTCTGATTTTATACTACTTATTTATAAATATTTTAACTTTCATATTTTTTTCATTTTAGGTATATTCCAATTTGCCCGGCATTCGAAGGTTTCAATCGGAAGAGACACAGAGTTACAAGCAATCATACTACGTCGGAAAACTTCAAGGAAACAACTGAATTCGTCAATATATCGAATGAACAATTGTAAATTTATGTACATAATAATATCAAACAAATATTTGCTCGAAACTGTTAATTTATTTCTCATTCTCTCTCTCTTATTTGTTACTCAATTCTCTACCTAAAGATCTCTGCTGAGCTTTTTAAATCTTACTTTTTCTCTCTCATTCTCTTTTTTCACCTTATTCCTGATCAGTTAGTATACTGAGTTATTTTAAGCCACTCTGATTTTTCACATAATCAAAATTTGACAACAGAAAACGTTTAATACTGCATTAAAAAAAAAACAAGAAATAACAAATAAAAAACTGCATAAAGCACCAAAGAGGAAAAAAAGCGAAAACAGAAATTTTTCCAGTTAATTTGTGAACACACCGCAAAAAAAAATAATTATAGGAGATAAACAAGGTAAAACTCCCCCAAAGAAATTAATTTAGGTAAAAGGGTAGAAGAATCGTGAAAATGCGTAGGCCAAAACAATAGAATTATTAACAAATATTTAAGATAAACAACTATGTAAATCAAAAAACACTTCATACGCAAATGGTGTACACTCACAAATAATAAGATTTTTTTTTCATTTCATCGTCTCTGTCTTCTTCACGTTCAAAGTATACGTTCGGGTAGGACTTGAATTAATTCGCCGGTATCTTCTGTTTTTACCATTTCGGCTTCGAGTGAATCGAGTGAGACATTTAAAGATGACTCATCGGTTTCTGGTTCGGATTTTACATTAATGGTTGGTACTGGTATTACGCCAGAATTATTGGCTATGGGCTGCAGTCCTAAGGCTGATAGGGTTTGGGGAATAAAGACGGATTGAGTTATGGCGTTGCTACCCACTATAAAACGGAACGGCGAGGGTGTTTCATTCTTTCCGCCGTTAAGCTTTATTAATTGCATTTTATCGGAAGCGTCGACCTTTGATATTTTTTGTGGAGCGGCTTGTTTCCTTCTCTGTTTTTGAGGTACAGGTTCAATGACTATTGTGTCCTTAGGACGATTATCGACTGGACTTTGGGGATCTTTAATGTCTCGCCTGCCGCCTCTTCTTCCAGAGGACGTTGTCAATTTCATTATCGTTTCTGTTTTACGACTCGTCGGTAGATATTGACCGTTAAGAATCTGAGACGCTAAATCCTTTCCAGCTAATTTATATATCATATGTCTAGCCCATCGCTCTTTACAGGTTTTAGCATATTCGAATTTATGCACCCGTGTTGTATGAACTAAACGAATTGTTTTGGACCTAAAATATCGTGTGCAGAACACGCAATGTAGGCGTTTCAAGTTCTTATTTGTTCCGTGAAATAATCGATAATGTTTTTGAAGAGAAGTTTCGCTCTTGGTTTTGAAAAAGCACCCATCGCAAACTTTTATATTTTCATTTCCTCTGTGCCCGAAACTTTCATGGACTAGTCTGAGGTAGGGTGAAGCGAATGCCTTACTACAAAATCCACACATTTTGTTGCATCTTTTCGCCGATTCGGCAGCATCGGTTAATTGCGACGTGCGATACTTTACGCAAATAGTACAATGGGCCTGATGTATGGAGCAATGCTGAGCGTAATGAAAAGCCAAAGCTTGACGATCGATGCATTGCTGATTGCAAAGCGAGCATAGTAAGAAGCATCGCGTGCACTTTTTTCTATGCTTCTTCAGAGACCAGATCGAGTGGAATGTTATATTACAGTGTTTGCAAGGATAAGATCTGGAAAAAAACAAAAAAGAAATAAACAGAGAAACTGTAAAAGGCCATTAGTAAAAACAAGAGTGGTAAATATATGGTATAAAAATTACTTAGTTGAATGGTACTCCTTATGCTTCATTAAATGCTCGAGCCTCTTAAACTGCTTCTGACAGTGAGGGCACTTGTAAGATCGGATTCCCTCGTGTGCTTCTCTCATGTGAGAATTGCAGTGAGTCGATTGAGAAAACGTTCTGTCACATAGCTTGCACCTGTGCCAAACGATAAATAATTTTTGTTCTATTTTTAACTAGAAAAAAAAGCGACTTTCGTAGGACACATACTTAAAAGGTCTTTCCCCTGTATGAGTTCTCAGATGGACTTGCAAAGACGTTTTCCATTTTGAAGAAAATTGACAAAATTCACATTGATATTTCGTTTGATCTCCAGCTCCATGAACCTAAAAATGTAGTATACATTTAACAACAGAATAAACACATTTTATTATATTAACTCACTTTCATATGTTGTCCTAAATTTGATTTCTGTGAAAATGCTTTTCCGCAAACTTTACATCTGAGAATAAAAGATAATTTCATTAAAACAAGAGGACAAAAGCGAGATATAGAGAGAAAGAGAGAGAAAGAGAGAGAAAAAGTGAAAAGAAGATAATTGAAAATATTAAAAAGGAAGAAAAAAGATGAAACAAAAAACAAAGTTTGTTATATAAAAAGAAAAAAAAACAATGTGTATATGTTAAAGTAGAGACGACACGGTTGGTTTATTTTAGTAATTAGGTTTTCTAGATTTAAAAAAGAGAGAGAGGAGAGAGAGGAGAGAGAAAAAAAAAACACAAACGGATAGTAGAAAAAGATAAAGAAGAATAAGGGAAAACAAACAATATAAAGCATTTTGAATATTTTATAGCTATTATTATCTAATTAAGTTAAAAAAACAACTATTATTAATATTGTTATTATTAATTAGTAAAAAAAGAAACAAAAACAAAAAAAAGAGAAAAATCTTAACTCACCTTTCCTTTCTATATAATATTTTTTTTTTAATATTCTAAGGTTTTGACATTTTTTGTCACTAATTTTTGTTTATTAATAGCAAGAATCATGCAGCTAAAAATAATTAAATCCAAAAAAAAACACATAGGAAAACATCGAACATGCAAAAAAAAAAAAATAAAAAAAAATAACATTGAATTCAAATCAATCAAAATCTACGTTATGTATGCAATGTATGTATTTATGCTTGTATAATTATATATATATATAGGCTTATTTTTGCATATAACTAATACAAATTAATTAAATTAATTATAAAAATCTTATAATTTTGCCAATTATTGTTAGTTTTGTTTATTTACTTTTTAAATATTCATATTTGTTTATTATTATTATTATTATTATTATTATATATATATATATATATTCTCTATATACTATTTGTATGTATAATGTACAAGTATATGTGTATACTATGCAGCTTTTATTAATATTTTTCTACTTACACAAACGGCTTTTCTCCTGTATGAACTCGAATATGATCTTCCAGATAACTAGGCCTAGTTGTTACGTAATCGCAATAATCACAATGCAGCTCGGGTTTCGGTTTCTTATAGCCACGGCCAGGCATGTTTCATGTACTAAATATGTATAAGAGAAATTAATGATTTAGAATTAATTGATAAAGAACAAGAATAGATAAAATAGAATGTATGGAAATAGAATGGTAGGCGTGTATAAACAACAGTAATACATTTACCTATCGACTCCTACGTTTCAAACGATGATAACAACTGCATACAACTCACCAATAGGCCGGTTACTGATAAGCGATGTCAATGTCGTGTTAAAACACGCCCTTTGTAATCCGACTATGTTCAGTACCGCAAGAATTTACAGCGCTCGATGGCTGCTGCAAAATCGATATGACTGCAGTGCTCTGAATGCTGCATTGCAAGCGAAGTTTACAGCGGAACGTTCGCTTTGTTTGTCGTAGGGAACAAAATTATTTGGGCCTAATTTAAACGAAAAAAGTTAACTTCTATTTAATATAGATTGTTTAGTAGTATCTTTTATCATAGAACGTTATTTTTCTTGACAGAACGTTATTCAGGCCTAAAAATTTTGAAATATAAAAAGGAAATACATCTCTATTTCTCCTCTTATATTAAATAGAAATCATTCATTCTATAAGCAGTTTTCATCTAACTGTCGTATATAAATATAAATTAATATAAACAGTTTATACAATATCGAGATCTTCACTTAATTGAATGACAAACATACTAAATTCAATACGAATACGGGTGGGGCTTCAAATACATAGTTTTCAATCGATTATCGCATCGATCGAGTCAAGCCTGAAAGACATACCTTCAGTGTTTATGTTAGGTACCTAGATACAACAGTATAACTGATTGAAAGTGGTATTTCTATAGGTAAATTTAATAAATACGTACTTACGCTTTACTCGCCGTGAATCGCGAAGACGAGAAGGCCATCTGTATTAAATTTACCATAAATTTGACTGGGTACCTATTCCTATTCTATACTGTAAAGAATTTCCAGAATTCAACCACGAACCAGTTTTACGCAAATTTTCTTTGTACTATTTAAAAAATGAAATGTATATCTTTGCTTATAAATTTATGATTAATGACTCTTTTCGTTTCGATTAACTAAATTTAATTAACTTTTTTAATAATTTCCCATATTTTACTAACCCGATTGCGAAAAAATTCAGCATTATTATCAGACTAAGATTAGTCCAATTTTCGTGTAATTCTGTTATGCGGAGACAAGTTGTTACTTGTTTGTAGTTGTTTCTGCTGTCTAACAGAGCTAAATATATGCGTTTAAATAATCTTTAATAGCGAAGAGCAATGAGCTATTCAAGCTCCCCCGAAAGTAAATATGCTTTCAAAACATCTAAAGATTTTGCGGATGAAATAAGTCGGTTGGAAGAAGAAGGAAATCGGCTTCTGGCAGTGACGGATAGACTAGGGGGTATATATATCCAAAATATAATTCTCAACAACAATTTATTTTTAAGATTAAAATTCTAAAGATCGTTTCAAATTTATTAATTGTATAGTAATTAACTTTGTAAACCATTATCCTATTTTAATATCTGTATTAAATGCCTAAAATTTACTTTGAAAACACTCCAACTGAAAGATGAAAGATATATTAACATAAGAAAACATGGTATTTGTTGTGTAAGAGGTTCGAAAGTAGTTTCCCTTACTACTTTAAATATTTGACCCGATTAATATAAGATTAATCAAAGATCTCTTTCTCTTTTCTTAAAATGCTAAATTCACATGCTAAGACAACTAAAAAGAGTATATACATATATCTATATATATCTATATATATATCTAGATAGATCGATAGATAGATGGATAGATCATTTAATAAATATCTGTATTATACTAGTGCTTTCTGTGCCTTATTCCTTTTCTAACATGCAGAGTCTCTTATGAACACTAGCGATGGAATATTATCGAATAGCAGCAGGACTAGCAACTCTGGCCGGCAAAAGCCAATAAACGCCATGACTACTTTCAATCAACTCAGGTAAGAATTTTAATTGGTAGGTGAGAAAATTCTAACAATTTTTATACTTTCTTCTTTTCTTGAATATATTACTTGTAGAAGAGAAATGGCGGCTCAATCGAAAGCAACTAAAGATTTACAATTCGAATTTGGTTTGGAAACAAGTCCTAAACAGGAATCTCAATCGCACACTTCAGATTCAACTATATTCTCTAGTTCATTAACCAATATTACACCTGATTCTTTTATGTCAAGATCTTCATCTTCAGTAATCCTACCATAGTTTGTATCACGCAATTGTACCATATTTCATTGAAAATTATTATTGTCGTTGTGTTTATTCTGTAGCGAACAACTAGAAGAAAAACTCAAATATACTCAGACGGAAACTAATGACTTAAAGAAACGCCTTTCAGAGGTAGGAGTTCAATTATTAATTTTACATTTTAATAACAACAATTATGCTTTGTACAAAGATCCTGAAGTTGAATAATGATCAGAAAGAATCATTTAGATCTACGATAGCGAATTTGAAAGGTAATCTTCAAGAAGCGATTATAGCAAGGGATTCTCTACTTGAGAATAAGTAAGCGTATACTGTATATGATTTATAGAGAAAATCGTCCTTAAACATTTTAATTATGTTTGCTTAAAAGGAAAAAGGAATCATTAGGGCACGACAGCGTTATGAGAAAACTTCAAAAGCAATTAAAATATTTGGAAGGAACTAACAAAATGCAAGATGAAACAATTAAAGATTTAACAGATAAAGTAGAGAAATTCCAGAATTATAGTGCAGAAGCGGATACAGCAATTTATCATTTGAAAAACGTTTTAAGAGCGGTAAAGCAAAATAAAAAAATAAAATAAATTTCTTTTTAATAGAAGAAATTTGTTTTTTAAAAAAAAAATGAAAAGAATTTTATATTACTTTTTTTTCGGATTTACCTTTATAGCAGCTAGAACGACGACAGAAAGATGTAAAATCGATTCCTTCTTCTTCTATATCTTGTATGGTCGAGTGCGTCGAAAAAGAACTTAAAGAAATGGAATTTGAGTTAGAAAATAAGGCTTTTACGATACAACAAGTACAATTCATTTGCTCATTCATTCGTTTCTTATTGTTATTTATTATTATATTATTATTTTTTTTAATTATTATTCTAATCATTTCATAAAAACAACTCTTGTCAATTTTCTTACGAATTATTGCAGCTAGAAAATGATATATCCGAAATGAAAGCTTCAAATGAGAGGAAAATAAGGGAGTTGACTTACGATCATGAATTAAGCGAAAGAAGAATTAAAGTCAATTGTGAACACGATGTACAAAGCATTAATGAGAAATTAGAAATGATGAAAAAGCAATCAGGACTTCTAAAAGAACAAATTGCGAATTTAGAGTAAGATTCTTTAACATCCTATTGTTTGTTTTATTAATATCTCCATTCATTTGTACAATCGTTAATTATGCTTTTTTTATATTACAAAACTACTTTTTACACAAAGGAAACAATACCGTGATGACATTAATCAGAAGGAATCAGCTATGAATAATCTTAAATCCAGATTGTTTGAAATGGAAAAAGATTATGCTCAAGATAGACATTTATGGAAGGAAAAGGTTGTTTCTATAGTTTTTATCATAAGAAACAGTGTTTCAGCTTTAACTTTACAAAATATAACAGCAAAATGCACTAGAAGTCGGCCTAGACGAAGCCCAAAAGGAAGCCGCCCTATCTTCTAACGATAAAATGGACACGGCTAAGAAATATAGTGTGTTAGAATCAACATATAACGAAATGAAAGTACGATTTTTTCTCCTTCATTATCTTTACTTTAATTATTTCATACCAAATCGTATAACATTCGTAAAGCTATTAAATAATTTATTCATTATTGATTGATAATAGACGGCTCTTACTAGGATGGAATGTGAAATAGAACATTTAACTAAGGAGAATAAAAGATTGACTGATTCGGAGACAGCACTACAAGAAAAAGCTAATAATTTATTCCGTCAAAATGAAAAGAAACAAGAGGATCTAGACGATTTGAGAGGCGAACTAAAAAGGAGTGAGAAAGACGCAAAAGACGCTTATAGAAATGCAGTTTGTATTATTTTTCTTCTTCTTTTCAATTAACAATAAAACTTATTACTGTAGATAATATCCTCTTTCTTTTTTTCTCCTTACTTATCAATCTGTTCATTGAACAGATGAGTACTTTAGATAGAGAGAAATACGAGCATACTAATGAGACCATTAGAAAATTAGAGGCTCAAGTAGAAGTTTTAACAAAGAAACTAAGCGAAACGCAAGTGTCTTACGAACAAGTAAAAATGCAATATAACACATCGGAAAGTACCAGAAAGGATAATAGCTCGAAATTAAGCGAATTAGAATCTTTGATAATACAATTCAAAGCCGAAAATGAACGTTTAACTAATGAAAATGTAACGCTTGCCGATGATTTTAAAAGATTTTCAGAAGAAAAAGACTATTTTTCTAAGCTATGCAACGAAAGAAACGAAGAATTAGTTAATGTAAGAAAGTCTAAGGATAAATTAACTATTCAACTTGAAGAAAGGAACTCTTCTTTCGAAACACTTAAGGAACAAAATGTAAAATTGTCGCAGATGGCTGATATTCAGGCGAAGAGTAATAATTCTATTAGAGACGAAAGAGATTCAACGATGAAGCAATTAAGAGAAGCTGAAAAAGAGTTGGCTGTAATGAAACGTGATAATGAGGAAAGAACGAAGGTTATTGCTAGATACGAAGACGAAATTAAAGATATAAAAAAAGACAGAGAGGGATTGGCAAGTCAAGTGGAAACCTTAACAAATTCCAAGAAAGAATTGGAAGATGAAATGTCTCAGATTGCTGACGAACTAAAAAGTACTCAATACGATTTGGGTGTCAATTTATCGGAAAAAGACCAATGTATTGAAAAGTTTAGAGCTACGGAACAATCTAAAAATGAAGAAATTGATAAGTTAAAAGAGCAAGTTAAAGCTTTAATGCACGATACAAGACTGGCTAAGAAAGCTTTAAAACTTCAAGAAAAATTAGATGGAAAAGGTATGGAAAATATATAATTTTATTAATTAATTAATACTTCATTAAAAATTCAATAATAGCCGTTAAAGTAGCTGGTAAAGTCCAAAAAGAGGTAACAGAAAAGAGAAGAGAAATTGATAGTTTAAATTCAAGAATTAGGTGGTTTGAAGATTGTTTTGAAAATTTTGATAAGGTACGAAAAGTAACTTTTTGAAATTTACTTGAATAATACATTAGTATATTTGTATGTAAAAAAAAAAGGAAAAGAGAATTCTTGTCTCTGAGAATGAGAAACTTTGCGAAGCAATTGAAAAATCTCTATCGAGAAATGAAAATCTCGCTCAAGAGCTTATGCAATCTCAGAACGATAACGAACGTCTTGTGCAAACTATCCATAGTCTTGAAAAGGTTATCGATTCTGTAAGTTACACTTTTTTGCTCTAATTTTTGTAAGAATTCACTTGTCAGTTGTATAGATTATATTGTATACGATGTATACAGAAACAACATATTTATGGTACAGGTACAAATGGAAAGGAGGAACGAGAACGTTTTAGAAGCTAAATACGCTCAGGATGTCGCTAAATTGAAATTAAAGCACGAGATTGAAAAGAAAGAATTGGAAGGAAAATTAAAAAAAGATCTACCACCAAAAAAATATTCGAACGTTGAACATGATATAGATGCTGTACAAGTTGGTTTATTTTTAATTACCAGTTTTCATTATTAATTATTATCTTATCCGCTCCTACTACAATTTTTCTGCAACATATTTTCTACTTATATACTTTTTACTATCACAAACTCATTTTCTTCCAGTTTATAATGTAATAAACGCAATACAAAACGGATGTAATGAAAGTAAAAATTTATGGTACTAAAGTAGTCAAGATTTGATTTAGGTTTATGAGCCTGTTTATCAATTATGACCGCAATCAATAAACTATTTAATTATACTATCAATGCAGAATGGGGAAAGTATCAGTACAAGTGATATTGTCCGATTCGTTGGAGAATTAAAATCCCTTGTCGAACAATTAAATAACACTTCCAATAAGACGTCTAACAAGGAGGAATATAAGCAGGACAAAAGTGAAAGAAAACCTGAAGAGGATGGAAAGCAGAAGAAGAGATATCAGGAAGAATTAGAAAGAGTTCATAAGAAACAAGACGAGCTTCAAAAGTATAATTAAATTTTAACTCAACAAATCCCTTTAGTCTTTTTATCTGTATTCTTATTCTATTAGATCAAATGAAAAGAAGACAAGAACTCAAGTACGAACTTCAACAGCTTCATCACCTCCAAAATCCGAATGTACATCCTTGGAAATGCTAAAAGACAAGGCAGATCCTGAAATTTTATGCAGAAGAATCGAATCAAAAATAAAGGCTCTTTCTTCTATAGGTGGAAAATTGATACGAGATAACGAAGGTAGGTCTATTCCGTAATTAAATCCTATTTTAATCAAAAACTATTAAAATTTAAAATAACAAACAATTCTCTTACTCTTCAACACTTAATATTTTTCATAGAGATGGCTGCAAAATTAAAAACAGTAAAGGAAGCAGAAACATAATCAAATGGAAAAAAATAAAACACCTAGATGACAAAAAACACAGACAAAACACAAGCCTACAAACACGTAGCTTAGCTTAACAACAGAAATATTATTTAATGATATTTATTACTGATAATTATTTATTAATTTCGAATTTTTATGCAGTTTGTTTTACTTTTCACCTTTTTTTTTTAAAAAAAATCAAAAACACAAAAGCGTTTGGAAATTAGTTTGTTTTTCTCTTTTATAGTGTTTTTATATTATTTAAATAAATTGCTACTCTATTCTTAAATTGTCTCCTTTCTTCTTTCTGTAAAACGGCGGTTTAAATAAGATTGAATAATCTCTATAAGGATCAACTAGATCCGAATCGAACTGAGCTTGAAGTGATGTTTTACTATCTGTTTTCTCTAGGGTTTGCTTTTCTTCTTTTTTACGATTTCGTTCAGCATTTTGGTTTATTAGGGGACCTTTATCTTTTTTCCTGCCTATTAGTCTCGGATTAAAGTGACGACTGCACGAATGTTTACTATAAACGTTGAGCTTCTTATCTCTACTTGACATTGAAAATCTTGGCGATTAACTTTCAAATTGAATTAATTATGTCAAAATGAAATTTAAGAAATAATCATCTTTATTTATCAATATGTAAAGTGGATCAATTAGACACGGTTCGTTATTGTTAAAATATAATTTAACAGAGGCTAGCTAAATTAAACAAATGAATTGGTTTTGATAAATTTCCCCTATAAAAAAAATATAACAATCAATCTTTTTCTCCTTTGCCTTTTTTAGTGAATTGTTAGATCTTTTAAAACAACAACAACAGCTAGAGTGGGATGTTATTAAAAAGTCAATCATTTTACTTAATAGTGTCAAACTTGTTACCATAGTTACTAATAGGTCTTACTACACATTTGCCCTCTCTTGTATTTAATTGGAAATATGAAAGTATACTGTACATAATTCTAAATTGTAGAATTTTGCTGAGATTGTTTTTTTTCTTTGCCACAATAATAAAACAATAATGATCTATTTATGTAATTAGATAGTGATTACATTTATTGTTGGCAAATATCTTGAAATCAGGACGTTGATTTAATTAATATCTGCTTTATTTCTCATTTTTTACATACATTGAAACATAGAGATAAATGCTAAATCCTTGGGACAGCTGTATAGGATATAGACAAAAACTAGTTGATTAATATAGAAAAGGGATCTTTTATCTGAAGAATATTTTTATACTAATATAATTACGCAAATTTATCTTCAATTTCTTTATGAAGTATTAATATACAACTATAAGAAAAGGTTAAAGTATTTGGGAGCTTACTTTATATTTAATTAGAACATTCATATACTGACTGTACTTTCTTTTAACACACTTTTTTTTAATCTATTTATTAAAGCAAAAATTCCTCATCTTTGTTGCAATCATTTTGATAAAACGTAAATCATTCATTATTGTCATTCGTATCATTTTGCTTGGTTAATACTGATAAATTTATTGGGGAACATTCTGCTTTAGTTCATCCGGAGCTCTATAAAACCATTCTATCCAGGATCCGTCATAGACGGCAACATCCTCTTTTCCTGCTACATATGCTGCGAGGGCTAAAGTACATGCTGATATACCTGCAGAGTAATTAAAAATAATAGAAAAAAAATTACACTAAAAACATAAATATTTTTCTTAGCATCTATTGAGTAATATAAGTTTTTATAAAAGGTTTCAATTCATTATATCTGTTCTGAATTGAGAAAGCATTTTCGAAAAATTTCTCTAAATCTCTCCTCTTTTCATTTAATTCGTGTCGTGTTGATGAAACCTCTCTTTGAAGATTTCTCACTTTCTCTTCTTGTTCTTTTTCGGTTCCTTTTAATTGATATTTCTTGTAAATCGCTAGCAAAGCCTTAGCATCATTTGCAGACTGGCAAAGATAACATTGAAATAGACAACAAGAAACTCAAAAATTAAAAATGATATGAAATTTTAAACTATTTAAAAGATAACAGGAAAAATAGTTGGAAATTTAAAGTAGGTCTATAAGCTATTCCTACTATGTAATTGAATTTCGGTACTGTTACTTTAGTTTCTAGAGGCCTAAAGGTTTCAAAAGCAATGAATCACTGAATATTTGTGCTTTAATTTTTTATATATTTTTTTTATATCAAACCCTGCCAGTCTGCAATTTCAATTCTGTTTTCTTTCCATACTTTTCTAACACTTCTGAATGATAATAGGCCTCCAATTTGCTTTTATCCTCTTCAACAACTGCCTTTACTTTTTCGAACTCTTCTCTACACTCTCTTAATAAATCTATAAGGCATCCGTGCCTTACAATCTTGGGTTTACGTTTGGTGCGTTCATAACGATATTGAATGAGAACAGTCACAGTTTTAAACTTCGCAATAGAGTTTTCTAAATGTTCCAGTATACGACAATGTTTTTCATAGATCTTCTTTAGATCCTTCTCGTGTAAATTCGCTTCAGCTTTCTCTTCAACCTTTTTATTTTTCCGGAAAAAGTTCATCCTTTACGTATGGTAAAATTATTCGAATGATTCTTAATCTGATATATAATTATTTGAAATATAGCCAATCTAGAGAGATTTTTCAACTCGAATTGTCTATTACGACCTTGTAACTGAGTAGAATGGATTTGAAAAATATATACGAAACACTAGGCCTAAATGAAAAACTATCAGCCTACAAAAGATATAAGATTGCTGAGGGTGGATTGGTTTACCTGAACCACATGTCATCGAGAGTGGTTTGCTTAGATCAACTCCGTTCTCCTTGAAGATGGATTCAATCTCTTCTTTGGATTTTAATTCTCTAGTATCATTATTCAGAACAGAGAAAAAGGCTACATTTTTGGCACCAGGCATAGATCCGGACTTTACGCCTAATAGAAAAGGTGTTGATTGGAGTAGTAACATTTATTTGATAAGAGTATTACCTTCTCTAGGCTCAGGAGCTGTCCCTTGAAATCTACCAGGCGGTCTAGCATCGCATATTTGTTCGACTTCAGTATTTTTAAGGATATCCTTCACTTGTTCTAAAGTTTTAACCAATTCAGGGCGATAGGTGGCATTATAAACCTCTGTAGAAACTTTTTCTACCTAAAAATTCGTAATTTACTAAAAGAATTATTATCTTTACTGAATTATTTACATTTTGTTCAATTTTTTCTGGATATTCCAATTTCCATTTAGGCATACCGCCTTGGACAACGGATATCAAACTTTCATCGTGTCCAAATACTCTAAAAGTCCACCAAACTCTTTGAGCAGAGAATACGCCAAACTTTTCATTATTATCATACACAACCACATGTGTTTTATTGTTTATTCCCAGTTTTCCCACATATTGTTCAAACTGTGTTTTAGTTGGCAGCATATGTTGTGTCTGGTCGTCACTTTGAGAACATTCTTCAATGTCAAAGAATTGAGCTCCCGTTATATGTTCCTAAAGGTAAATCTATTAATTTAAAGTGAAATAATTACAACAAAGTTTTTCAAACTTTTTCGTAATCTTCCTTTCCAAGTCTACCACTATTTGGTAGATGCCAAGAAGCATCAAGTATTCTCATTCCGTTAGCTCCGGAGCAAAGCTTATCGTAAAGCCATTTTATTGTGACGATTGGAAAGCGTGTCTATGTAATATATGCGTATGCAAATATATTTTAATTTTTAATATAATATACTGTATATTTTACAAGCTTAATCATAAAAATAACCTTAGCTTGCCGAGAAACGTAGCTCTTGTACATTGTTATGGTGAAATTTTGTTGTCAAACCAATTGCAGGTGAAATATTCAAATTAAAGAAAAGAAACTGGTAGAGATTTTAAAAAGAACGTCCTATAAATGACAAATCAATTATTGAATTATAAAGGTATACTTTGTTATAAGGAAGTGAACAGGACTTAAATATGAGATATTTACTATGGTTATAATTGATTTTACTTCTCTTTTTAGGTTGATTAAGTGTATTCCGTAATGATTTTTCTATTTCTGTTTAATAAATTTTGTTAATTATAATTCTAAATCAATTTATTAAAAGAATAAATTATTTACAATAAATTATTTATAATATTTAGTTATATGTATATTTGATATGATAAAGTATTTAACGAGCTAGACGAGAAACTGAGTACAAGAAATAAAAAATCATTATTTCCCTCAGGGTAATATTAATTGAATAGATTTTGTAAAATAAATCTAATAATGAAATAGAACTGTTTTAATATCATTCAATCAAAATAGAATAAAACAATGTATTGTCATGTAAAATGATAAATTTGTTCAGGAAGTCTTAAGAATCGAAAAGACGTAGTGGAATATCAGTCATTATGAAAATATGAAAATGTTAGTTTAAGACCATGTTGCTAATGATAAACAATTCTTTATTTATTTTTCCAATATTTTGCAGTATAACCAGTTATTTTTGGTTAAAAGTCGGCTTTTAGACATAAATTTAATATTTATGTTGCTAATCAATAAAATATAATTTCCATCTTTTTGCAATGCAGATATTTAAATGATCTGGATTAATTAGTGTAATACATTTACTATCCATTATAACAATACCAAAGCAATTTGTTGTTTCGATACACTTTCCTCCACAATTTCCAAATCCTCGGTATACATGGTGTTGTTGAAAGGGTGTTGAACAATTTTGGGTAACGTTTTCATAGCTTCTTCTAAATTTAACGCATCTAACTATTTATTTAAAAGTAGAAATTGTTAAATTTCAAAGATTAGATAAAGAGAATAGATTAGAGAGCACTTTTTATCAAAGGATCCTCGCCGCATAATGTTCTTTTTGTTCCTATTGATGTAGATGTCGATGTTAGTGAATTGGTTGTTTGTTCGGTGATTGGAGATTGAGTAGATGATCCAATAACTTTTTAAATTAGGAAATATATATTTAATATTTTTAAAATAATGACTATCTTATATTAAATATTATTCTAACTTGTTGTACTTGGACTTGTCATGTAACTCTGACCATAAACGCAAATATCAGATGGAGAGCATATTAAATTGGGAAAATCTTTACAAATTTCACCAGCGAGACAGCTTTCTCCAAGATTTTTTGCTGGTTGTAAAGATGAATTATTTATGAAAATACGAAAAAGACTTTTTACTTACCGGAACAATGTGCTTTTGGAAGTGCCGTGTCTGTAATTCAAGCATATTTTAATTTTTCATATATTCTAAAACAAATTAAATTTATGAATCTAACGTTCTTCACACAAATATTCAGTATTTGTCCAAACATCCCGAAAATAGCTTGTACAACGGCATTTACCAATTAGACACTCAGCAGCTTTAGGAGAGTGTCTACAATCTTCATTATAAGAACAGGGTTGATGAATACCAGCCATCAAAACTGGAAAAGATAAAATTATAAACTATTAAGTAATGAACAGAGAAGACAAGTTACCATTTGTTGTAATTGTTATGTAATTATCACCGTTGTTAACCCGCTGTACCAAGGTGATAGATGCTTGTTTACCAATTGCAACAACACCTATGGTTATTTTATCATGATCAATACACTCAGAACCTAAGGTATGATAAGGAGCTGAGTTAGAAGTAAATGAATACATCTCATAACTGTTTTTGTTATCTGTCGAATAGGGAAATTTTCAATTTACCAAATAGTTAATAAAGGGAGAAAATTTCTCATTACCCATAATAATAAGACCAATTGCTCCACTGTAGTTTGCGAAAAAACCTTTCTGTTCAAACGTACATTTACCTCTTAGTACAAGAGCTATTTTTCCACGAATATCTGCCATATTTGTATATTGATCGCATCCATCAAATGGTTCAGCTAGTTTGACAATACCCTCCACCTTAAAAAAAATCTCTAACTTAAACGTCAAGAAGAAGGAATTTACAAAAAAAAGAAAGAAATAAACCTTCTCATCTTTTCCAAAACTGTTCCCAAATTCTGCTGGTCTAGCTTGAATGGTAAATCCATCATTAAAGTAGACGACTCTTCTATAACTTTCTGATGTTTTAATGACACGTTTAGCTAACATTAGACAGATATATTTTGTAAATTATTACCAATAAAATAATTGTTCAAATTTATAAAGAAGAAAATTTTGAACAGTATAAACTTCATAGTCGCCGAAAGAGCGGTTCATAAATGAGAAATGTCAAAGAAAGAGTCCTTTAATATAGAGATACTAACTTCCGTTGATGAATTCTCTATGCGACAGACTGATTTCAAAAGATTTCCTGTTTTTATTTGTATTCAATCGAAATCTTTTATTATCCATTCACATGTTTTCCAATTAATTATCGAGCTAAAGGTTAATATTTATTATATCCTATAGAACAATATTTTAAATACTAGATTTCAGTAGCAGACTAAAGTAGGATCATTGAACTTCAATGTCATGAAATGACGTGACAATCATTAATCTTTTCCCAAAATAGAGAATTTTACTTTCCCTTTCGTCCGAATATTTAAGTAGTATAAGACAGTATAAGAAGTCTAAGATTTATTGTGTTAATGCTTTTTAACTTCTCCATCCTTTAAATCTGGATTCTACAAAACTATTGATTAGTTCCATTTTTTTCTTTAAGCAAATGGTAAACTTGTCTTCATCGTTTACTCGTTTATAGATTAATTGATAAATCTGTGCCCTAATTATTTTATTTCATTCTTAGTTCAATGTCAATGGTATATTATATGCTATAATTTCGTGAATATCTTTCAAGTAAGAGAAATTTCAGAGGAATTAAGTATAGTAGATTAGTTATTTATTATACTTTAAAAGACTTAGAACCATATTTAACTTATTACTATTCACTTTTTAAAAAATGGTAAACTGTAACAAACTTCTCTTACCAGATGGCGATAGAGTATAGATATGTTTTGGTTATGATGAGAAAATATGATAAAAGAGGCATTCTGTTTTTCTTTTTCTATTATTTAATTGATGATCAGATTAAAATTTAATTCAAATTTATCTTAAGACAAAGAGAAACGTCAAAATCTCTTTAATACAAAGTGAATTATTGATTGAGCAAATTATTATTTAGGAAATAGTGCTTGAAATGCCTATGTAAAATGGGACATAAAAAGAGAATTTCTTATAACATTTGAACTCAATTCTTACCATATAACTTTTAATTCAACAAAGAATAATGAAAAAGTAAAGTGTCATGTTTTCTTTTTTATCAAAAGCCAGAAAAAAGATAATAAAACCTTGAAATACTTATTGATCTAACTTTATATAACATAATGGTAATAGGAATTTCAATAATTTTCTTTTAATCTGTCTTCATTATTTTACAACTTGCCTAGATTTTTAAACAATAGATAATTGCTGCTAAATGAGAGATTGTTCTATATACTTCTTTTTTGTTGTTGTTAGTTTTGCCATGCTAACATAATAATAAGAATACAGTCAATTCTCCTCAATTAGAGGTATATTGTATTAGACAACTTGCTAAAAAGAGATATATATGATCTATATTAGAGATTTTCTTTTTGAAAGAGAGTGAATAGGATATAGGCATTTCATTTTATTTACAAATATTTGAGTCATTTACAACAATTGTAGGATAAATAAACTGCCCTTATACTTTGAGTTCAGATTTAAATTGTGTAGTAATCTTCGTTCAAGTTAACATTTAATAAAGATAGTCGCATTTCTCCGTACAGGAAACATGTCAAATCATCCTTCAACGTAAATGATTGGCATAAAGCTTCCAAAGAGCTACATAGTATACCGCAATGAATTCTACCACGAGATTTTAGTTGCGTAACAAAATTTGTTTGCGGTTTTGCAGCTTTAGCATGAAGAAAGTACTGCGTTACTAGGTAGGATAGATTAATAGAATAACAAGTTAGATAATCAGAACAATCTGATAAAAGTTGAAAAAAACCTTTAATAGATGATGATAAATCCGGTTGAATAGTGGTTGTTGGGCCTTCAGTTGTAGCTGCTGTTGAAGGTATAACAGTTGTTGTTTGAATAGTTGTCTGGATTGTTGTTTGAATAGTTGTCTGGGCCGTTGTTTCAAGAGTTGTTTGGGGAGTTGTAGTTGGAATAAAGTTTCTTTCGCAAACGTAATGATATTTTGCTGAGCATTTTCTGTCCCTCCAACCTATGATAGTCAAGAATATCTCAGACTTTAAAAACAATAATATATTTTTATTTAACCTCCAGTATCAAGTAACGTCATAGCGGTACAGTCTGCACCATCAGTTCCATCCCTACAAAGAAAGATAAGATTAAATAAAAAGAGAATTCAAAATTCTTTCCATAGAACAATAACGCTTACCAATCATTTGGATCCCCACCCACAAAGTTCAGGTACGCAGCATTAGAATCATCTTCGTGTTTAAAGTGACCCTCTTGATGTTTGAATCATGAAGAAGTCAACACACTTTGTTTATGTTATTAAAAAAAAAACTTGTATACTATACCACTTGTCCTATCATTTACACTTAACCAAATTGCATTTGGACTTGTGTGTATTATTCCAAAACCACCATTATCGACGACACCCCATAAAAAATTATTTTCAGAGCTATCGTCTATTCGTACTATGTGAGACGACATACCAATACACTCGTTTATAGCATCATTGTAGTTTTCTTTTGTTGAAGATATGTAGTAGCAATGTGAATTATAAGTTTTCCAGCTGGAGTCTGGACAGTTTGTCATAATACGACTGAAAGATACGAATCCTAATAGAGAAGTTAATAATTTCATTGTAGTAGGTTAATTTGTAAGATGAAGTGATAGTTCCAAGCAGCAGAAGAGGACAATGATTAAACTCTTTTCTCCTCCGATAGAGTGTGCATACTTCACTTCTTCATTGGCTTATTATAATTTTTTTATATATTAGCGGCTTCTATATCGTCTTTCTGTAATTAAGCTATGTTTTCTTATAAACTTCGATACTATATGATTACTACATTGATATTTTTGTGCTAGTGATTGATTTTTAGGTGTTGTCTTCTATTTAATGGCAAATATAAACATAACTATAATGTGTACCCTTTTGTTTTTTGATTACTATTTGCCATTTTGTTTGTAAAAGTTGATTTAATTGGACGCTATTGACACTTTTCAACTATCAACACTTTTCATACTCTTCACACTTTTGCAGTCAATTGCTCTGAAGAGACGCAGATGGAAAAATGATGTCAAAAATACAAACCGGATATACTTTATTTTTCACACAATTAAAAGTCAATTAGAGCTATAGAAATACTTCTCAATTTACTGCATAATTCATGTTTAATAGGATAACGCTTATAATGTGAAAGGTTCTCAGTTTCATAGACTTTCCATTTGATCTAACTTTATAAATTGATATGTCATAATAAGAGGACAAACTATTTATCTTTAGTAGAATATAGCAGTTATCTTGCAAACATTCTATTTACACTTAACGCAGTTAGTGAAAACAGTAATTTCTAATCTACAAATATTATTAGAAAGTTCAATTCTTTGAAAATTTAATATTCGACATTATTACTACTTCAGTCAAATTAAAGGAAAAAAGATAATCTACTAATCTTAATATAGATATCCATTTGTCGCTTAGTAACAATTACGATTTTACTGAATTTAAATAGTCAATATTAACGATTGGAAGATAGAATTGGAAACTTTATAAAAGTTTATTCGAATTTTTGATTTTATTCAACAGAAACATTATTCATAACTTTATGGTTTTTCTTTTAAATTACAAGTACTGTTCAATTTGATATTTGTTACGGAAATAAAGATAGAAGTACGCCTTTAAAAAATATGAATAATACTTGTATTATGTAAATTTGTCATATTGATTTTAATGACATTCAATACATTTCTATTTCGTTTTTATAGAAAATAAACAAGTGTTTTTTTTTAAACATAAGTATGTAATGTATTAAATACATAAAGTTGTTAGTTATAGTATATATACATATATACAAAAATACAATATACTGTATATATAGTGTATATTTTCATATTCTAGCCTAAAGATTTCCAATATTAACATCTTAGCTTTATATATAATGCAAACATTAAAGGAGATGCAATTGCTATATAAACAGTATAAAACAACTTCGTATATTCTATAAATATTCCAAAAAGCTTAGCTTTTATACATAAAGTATATTTCGTTGTCCTATTGATATTAAAAGTTTAAAAATAGTCGAAAAAACTGATATTTATCGAAGATTTTTTCAAAAGGAATAAAAAGTGAAAAGATAGTTAAATAAGCTATAATTTTTTCTTATATAAAATGTATTAACTGTATAATAAAATCAATTATTGCACTTTCAAGTTTTACTAAAGATTGATTTTTCAAAGAAATAGCGGGACAGGAAAGAAGCTATACACTAAAAAAACAGTATAAACTGTATAGATACTGCATATATACTAAATATCACTTTGTCACTTTTATATGATGCAGTCAGTATATCTCACTAATACACAATTTACTGAGCAATAAGAAATTTTCGTACAGACTACAACCGTTACTAAAGTTAATTAGTAACTAATTGACAAAAAAATTTGAAGTTTTCCACAAATATTTATATAGATTGTCTTATTTACCTCAACTAGCCGACTTTTAGTCTTTTGCCATTACTCATTTAAATATATATTTCTGTAATAAATCTATAACAAATTAGAAAATTTGAATATAATGACAATTCACCAATTCTTTATTAAGTAATACATTGTTAAGAGAATAAAAGATCATATTATTAACATTATGCAGAAGAAAAGCTATACTTATTACTCAACATAAATATTACTTTTTTAGAAATGTAATTATAGTAATCTAATAAGTTCTACAATTAATGATCGCCAATTATTCTTACAATTATCAACAATTTATAAAGGCCCTTTCATAAAATTAGTGTCTGCTTGATATAATTAGCAAAAAACAGCAAAAATCTTCAGCAAGATAACAATTCAAGGTCACTATTCTTAACAGAAAATCTTCTATATTTGATAATTCAGGATATACCTCAAAACAAAATTTATTAGACAAACACTTCAATAAAAACATGGTTCATAAAATTATAAAATACTCTCAAAATCTACAACGATGAATAAAATAAATTCTTAACACCAACAGAAGTATAATTCGTTAACTTGTTTAAACTATACAAATCACAATAAGCATCAACTTTAAAATTAAAAGATTTACATTGGTCAAGCATTTTACAGGTAACCGCACAATGAATTTTACTTTGGCTATAAATAGTAATTAACACATTAGTTACAGATTTCACAGATCTTTCCCGTAAAATATAAATTGTCGGTAAGGCATTCAAAATTTCTGTGGGTCCAGGCGTAACAAGCAAAGATATTGGACTGTTACTTGGATTTACAGTTTGTGTAACAGAAGCAGTGCTTGATGCACTAGGTGTCACTATTGTTGTTGGATAAAAAGTTGATGAACCAGCAGAACCTGTTGGATTCACCGTTTGTGTCGCAGGAGCGGTACTTGATGCTCCTGGTGTTATCACTGTTGAAGGATTGCTAGTGGATTGACCAGTAGAACCTGTTGGATTGACTGTTTGTGTCGCAGGAGCGGTACTTGATGCACCTGGTGTTATCACTGTTGAAGGATTGCCAGTGGATGGACCAGAAGATACTGTTGGATTGACTGTTTGTGTCGCTGGAGCTGTGCTTGATGCACCTGGTGTTATCACTGTTGAAGGATTGCCAGTGGATGGACCAGAAGATACTGTTGGATTCAACGTTTGTGTCGCAGGAGCTGTGCTTGATGCACCTGGCGTTATCACTGTTGAAGGATTGCCAGTGGATTGACCAGTAGAACCTGTTGGATTGACTGTTTGTGTCGCAGGAGCAGTACTTGATGCTCCTGGTGTTATCACTGTTGAAGGATTACCAGTGGATGGACCAGAAGATACTGTTGGATTCACCGTTTGTGTCGCTGGAGCTGTGCTTGATGCACCTGGCGTTATCACTGTTGAAGGATTGCCAGTGGATTGACCAGTAGAACTTGTTGGATTGACTGTTTGTGTCGCAGGAGCTGTGCTTGATGCACCTGGTGTTATCACTATTGAAGGATTGCCAGTGGATTGACCAGTAGAACCTGTTGGATTGACTGTTTGTGTCGCAGGAGCTGTGCTTGATGCACCTGGTGTTATCACTGTTGAAGGATTGCCAGTGGATGGACCAGAAGATACTGTTGGATTCACCGTTTGTGTCGCTGGAGCTGTGCTTGATGCACCTGGTGTTATCACTGTTGAAGGATTGCCAGTGGATGGACCAGAAGATACTGTTGGATGGACTGTTTGTGTCGCAGGAGCTGTGCTTGATGCACCTGGCGTTATCACTGTTGAAGGATTGCCAGTGGATTGACCAGTAGAACCTGTTGGATTGACTGTTTGTGTCGCAGGAGCTGTGCTTGATGCTCCTAGTGTTATCACTGTTGAAGGATTGCCAGTGGATTGACCAGTAGAACCTGTTGGATTGACTGTTTGTGTCGCAGGAGCTGTGCTTGATGCACCTGGTGTTATCACTGTTGAAGGATTGCCAGTGGATGGACCAGAAGATACTGTTGGATTGACTGTTTGTGTCGCTGGAGCTGTGCTTGATGCACCTGGCGTTATCACTGTTGAAGGATTGCCAGTGGATGGACCAGAAGATACTGTTGGATTCACCGTTTGTGTCGCTGGAGCTGTGCTTGATGCACCTGGTGTTATCACTGTTGAAGGATTGCCAGTGGATTGACCAGTAGAACTTGTTGGATTGACTGTTTGTGTCGCAGGAGCTGTGCTTGATGCACCTGGTGTTATCACTATTGAAGGATTGCCAGTGGATTGACCAGTAGAACCTGTTGGATTGACTGTTTGTGTCGCAGGAGCGGTACTTGATGCTCCTGGTGTTATCACTGTTGAAGGATTGCCAGTGGATTGACCAGTAGAACCTGTTGGATTGACTGTTTGTGTCGCTGGAGCTGTGCTTGATGCACCTGGTGTTATCACTGTTGAAGGATTGCCAGTGGATGGACCAGAAGATACTGTTGGATGGACTGTTTGTGTCGCAGGAGCGGTACTTGATGCACCTGGTGTTATCACTGTTGAAGGATTGCCAGTGGATGGACCAGTAGAACCTGTTGGATTGACTGTTTGTGTCGCAGGAGCTGTGCTTGATGCACCTGGTGTTATCACTGTTGAAGGATTGCCAGTGGATGGACCAGTAGAACCTGTTGGATTGACTGTTTGTGTGGCAGGAGCTGTGCTTGATGCACCTGGTGTTATCACTGTTGAAGGATTGCCAGTGGATTGACCAGTAGAACCTGTTGGATTGACTGTTTGTGTCGCAGGAGCGGTACTTGATGCTCCTGGTGTTATCACTGTTGAAGGATTGCCAGTGGATTGACCAGTAGAACCTGTTGGATTGACTGTTTGTGTCGCTGGAGCTGTGCTTGATGCACCTGGTGTTATCACTGTTGAAGGATTGCCAGTGGATGGACCAGAAGATACTGTTGGATGGACTGTTTGTGTCGCAGGAGCGGTACTTGATGCACCTGGTGTTATCACTGTTGAAGGATTGCCAGTGGATGGACCAGAAGATAATGTTGGATTCACCGTTTGTGTCGCTGGAGCTGTGCTTGATGCACCTGGCGTTATCACTGTTGAAGGATTGCCAGTGGATTGACCAGTAGAACTTGTTGGATTGACTGTTTGTGTCGCAGGAGCTGTGCTTGATGCACCTGGTGTTATCACTATTGAAGGATTGCCAGTGGATTGACCAGTAGAACTTGTTGGATTGACTGTTTGTGTCGCAGGAGCTGTGCTTGATGCACCTGGTGTTATCACTATTGAAGGATTGCCAGTGGATTGACCAGTAGAACCTGTTGGATTGACTGTTTGTGTCGCAGGAGCGGTACTTGATGCTCCTGGTGTTATCACTGTTGAAGGATTGCCAGTGGATTGACCAGTAGAACCTGTTGGATTGACTGTTTGTGTCGCTGGAGCTGTGCTTGATGCACCTGGTGTTATCACTGTTGAAGGATTGCCAGTGGATGGACCAGAAGATACTGTTGGATGGACTGTTTGTGTCGCAGGAGCGGTACTTGATGCACCTGGTGTTATCACTGTTGAAGGATTGCCAGTGGATGGACCAGAAGATAATGTTGGATTCACCGTTTGTGTCGCAGGAGCTGTGCTTGATGCACCTGGTGTTATCACTGTTGAAGGATTGCCAGTGGATGGACCAGAAGATAATGTTGGATTCACCGTTTGTGTCGCTGGAGCTGTGCTTGATGCACCTGGTGTTATCACTGTTGAAGGATTGCCAGTGGATTGACCAGTAGAACCTGTTGGATTGACTGTTTGTGTCGCAGGAGCGGTACTTGATGCTCCTGGTGTTATCACTGTTGAAGGATTGCCAGTGGATTGACCAGTAGAACCTGTTGGATTGACTGTTTGTGTCGCTGGAGCTGTGCTTGATGCACCTGGTGTTATCACTGTTGAAGGATTGCCAGTGGATGGACCAGAAGATAATGTTGGATTCACCGTTTGTGTCGCTGGAGCTGTGCTTGATGCACCTGGTGTTATCACTGTTGAAGGATTGCCAGTGGATGGACCAGAAGATAATGTTGGATTCACCGTTTGTGTCGCTGGAGCTGTGCTTGATGCACCTGGTGTTATCACTGTTGAAGGATTGCCAGTGGATTGACCAGTAGAACCTGTTGGATTGACTGTTTGTGTCGCAGGAGCGGTACTTGATGCTCCTGGTGTTATCACTGTTGAAGGATTGCCAGTGGATTGACCAGTAGAACCTGTTGGATTGACTGTTTGTGTCGCTGGAGCTGTGCTTGATGCACCTGGTGTTATCACTGTTGAAGGATTGCCAGTGGATGGACCAGAAGATACTGTTGGATGGACTGTTTGTGTCGCAGGAGCGGTACTTGATGCACCTGGTGTTATCACTGTTGAAGGATTGCCAGTGGATGGACCAGTAGAACCTGTTGGATTGACTGTTTGTGTCGCAGGAGCTGTGCTTGATGCACCTGGTGTTATCACTGTTGAAGGATTGCCAGTGGATTGACCAGTAGAACCTGTTGGATTGACTGTTTGTGTCGCTGGAGCTGTGCTTGATGCACCTGGTGTTATCACTGTTGAAGGATTGCCAGTGGATGGACCAGAAGATACTGTTGGATTCACCGTTTGTGTCGCAGGAGCTGTGCTTGATGCACCTGGTGTTATCACTGTTGAAGGATTGCCAGTGGATGGACCAGAAGATACTGTTGGATTCACCGTTTGTGTCGTAGGAGTGGTACTTGAAGCTGCCGGTGTCATAACTGTGGAGAAGGTAAAAGTTGTAGGAATAGTGGATGGTGCTGAGAAAACAAAGTATCGTTCTTGGTTAAAAATAATAGTAAGAGTAATAATTTTTGCTAAGCCAAATGTATTAAAATATGTTTTCATTTTAACAGTATATATGAGAAATATTATTAATTGTATCATTTTTTTCAGCTAGGTAGAGCTGCCTATGTTTAGCCGGTGATCCTTAGAGAATGAAATGATTAACATGGGATGTTATTATGGCTTTATGGATTTCTTCGGGCTTATATACTTAAACGATGAAATAAGAGATAATCAATTAGAGAACTATTTTTCTTTTTTCATTCGGTAAGAGCATACTTAATAGATTTTATATTAAATTATACCTGTACACATGTAAAATTCAATGTTTTTTTCTTTTGATATTAATAGACTTTTTCCGGGTTTTTGAATCATATTGCTTTGTATATTTTTAGATCTAATATTTTGTAATATTTCTATCTGTTATGAAAAAATATTCTTTGTATTGTCTCAGAATTTTAAATATTTGTTCCTGTGACGACATTAACTTTGTTATCCTAGTACATAAATTATTCATTTGTAAATTAGTTAAGAGGTGAATCAACTATGACCTATTTTTTACTTTGAGACCTCTCTAAATAATTTCTTTTATATATCATTTCTATTGTTAGAATGATTTATTGTATAATATATAATAAATATCTCTTTTTATCAAGCTGTTTGATTGTAACGATTTATCATTTGTTCTGAGCAAGAAAAGATAATAAATCTACCATAGTAGGTTACCTAAATATGTACACTGTTTGTACATATAAATAAAATCTATACAAAGAGCTATATATTTATAGATATATTATGAATAAATCAATAAAAATGGAATTGCAATACAGAGGAAGACAATCGCAAACTGTTCCATTAAACTTTTTTTCTTTTTGTTCAATAGACAACATAGATTTCCGGCAATTCACCCATAGTTTGTATAACACTGTACTAGTTAGAATGATGTCATCAGTTATAAGTTATGCGTCCTGGAAAAATTAAGCGTGTTGCAGATTTGAAATGTTAATCAGAGCATTTACAGGGCTAGAACATTTAAGCATATTGTGAATAATGTAATGTTTTTTTGTAGTTTATAAATGATATATATAGTCAGGCAACTATTTGAAATATTCCAAAAATGTCAGAAGCTTGGTATAACTCTTTTATAGTTAGACTAAATTCTATCTTCTTTGTTTCGAAGTTTGTCTCACCTATTTGATTTATTTAACTAAACATTAGAATATTTCCATCCCACTTAACCTAAAAAGCTATTAGTTAACAGGGCGTGATATAGTTTATCTACTAGCCAAATTATATTATGATATGGAAAATATAACGAATCTCGGTAAAATTTGTACAACGACGTTGTTAAGAGCAAATTGTTATTTCAAGTTTGGATAAGAAATGAGAACAAGAGATTAGTGACCTTAGGGAACTTTCTATGGTTATAAATAGTAGTACTTAACCTTTTCTTATAAAATATCTAGTATATTACGTAAAAAATGGTTCTATATATAATATTAATAAATATATAAACACCTTGATATAAATATTTAAATAAATGGTATAAAATCAATAAAACATCTTAGTGTTATCTTATAAAATATTTGTAAATAGAAGAGATTTAACCATCCTTTTTCTTCGAATTATTACAATATTGTGTCTTTTTCTCTTATTGTAGAAATAGTGGACGGAGTTAATGACCAAATTCTGTTATTAATATATTATACTTTAGTATCTTATTTTTGTTCTATTCTTTCGAACGATTCCTATTACTTCTCTTTCTAGCTGCAATAATGAAGTGTATTACATATTAATAATAGAGTATTTTGTTTATTAACATATTTAGCGTTAATTTATTAATATTTAGGTAATTCTATCAATTTAACGCTCTGTTCGCTTAACTTTATGTTAATTGTCCATTTTCTCGAACTACATGTCTGTCTTGCATGTTTTTCTGTATTTTCTCCAGTGATTAGCCAATTAGCATCGACTTTTAATTGAGTAGATACTCAGCTACAACTGTCAAACAGCGATTTCAGGTGTCATTCTCTCGTCTAATACCTCCAGGCAAACTTCAACTTGACTTCTTACTTCTGCTTTGAACCTGTTTGAAAGGGAAAAAAGAAATTTCTTGAATATTCTTGGTCCAATTTCTCATAGGTTTCACAGCAAGAGAAAGTTGTAGTGAACAAAATCAAGTATGTTTTCCCTTTGATAATTTTTGTTTTATAGTTATCTAATATTTTCATTATAGGTAATGAAATCTGTCATTGGATTTTTGCTCTTCTGCTGTGGACTGGCGCATTTAGCCGCCAGTCTAGAATGCCCAGCCTGTGACCTTGATTCATGTCCTTATGGCTTAAGTGAGACAATTGGTGAAGACGGCTGCCCGACTTGCGCATGTTTAACGTGTGAAGACTGCTCAAGCGAATGTTTGTTCGGTTTTACAGACTATGATACAGAAGGTACTTTATATTTCTACTTGTCACTTGAAAAACAAATTAAGTAAAGAACGGGCCCCTTGATTTGAACTGTTTACAGTTACGCCCTCTATGCATTCCCCTATTCCTAGTGTTTGCTATTCTATTTTATTTCTTTAAAAATCCCTTATTCCTCTGCTAAATTCCTCAATTTTTTACTTTTACATTAGGATGTCCCGATTGTTCAAGCTGCCTCAAAAAGCCTGCAGGATCATGCACTGAAGTTGAATGCTATAAAGAACACTTTTTCTGCAATGAGATACAAAGGTGTAATACGGATGCTGAATGCGTCACCGAAGCCAGATGCACACCAAAAATATTGACTGAATTTTGGTGTTCTCATATCTGTCCTCTATTCACCAAGCCCAACCAACCATTTGCCGCCGAATGCGAAAAAACATGCAAAAAATCACATTTATCATTATGTTCTCAAGCTAACTGCAAGGAAAACGAGCACTGTGAATTAGAAAAGCTAACTTGTCCTGCTAATGAATTATGCAAAGCAAAAGCCGTTTGTGTTCCAAATAATTGCTCTTATCCGATGTATTGTCCTCTAGAATGTAAGCACGGCTTAAAAAGATTGGAAAACAAGTGTCCTCAGTGCGAATGCAAAATTCCATCTTGTAAAGATATTACCTGCAAAGATGATTATCTATGTGTCGAAAAAGAGGTTTGCTTGGGTGAAACCGACGCAGATTGTTATCAAGAAGCTAAATGCATTCCTGCTACATGCGAGAATGTTCAATGTGCTTCAGGCTTCATTTGTAAGCAAGAAGATATTAAATGCGTTTCACCACCTTGCACAGAAGCACTTCCAAAATGCGTTCTTGAAACTTGTGATAATATTGACTGCGGTAATGAGTTTGACTGCATTCATTCCACTGAAGGTTGCTCTCTATCAGTTTGTCCAAAATGCGTGCCACACAAAGACTGCTCTAAGATGACTTGCAAACCTGGAACAGTTTGTAAAATAATAAAGCCTGAATGCCCCGAGTGTACCTGTTCCGAAGGTATGTCTCCAGACTGTGTTCCCAACTCTGAAGGTTGTGACAAAGATTGCGAAAAACCATATGCTACTTGTGCCCCTAACTGCAAAGAAGTAGAATGTCCTGCTAATTGCAAATTTGGTTGCTTAAAAACCGTTGGCGGATGTTTAACAACAATTTGCGCTCCACCCAGTGATTGTGATTCGCTCGAATGCAAAACTGGAGAAATTTGCCAAGTTACAACCCCTGATTGCGATTCAGAAGGTCCGTGTGCTTCAATGATTGCTACATGCGTAAAGTATTGTCCTGATCTCAGCTGTACTAAATCTCATGACATTTGCCCATGGGGAATGAAGTTAGATAGCAACGGCTGTCCAACTTGTGAGTGTAATAAACCAGATTCATGCGATCAGATCAAATGCCATGCCGATAATATGTGTAGGGCTAAGAATGATGAAATTTCATGCCAATCATGTGGAATAGTGGAATGTCCAAAAGAATGCCCACAAGGTCAAGAGCGTATGGTTGATCATTTCGGTTGTACAGTCTGTGATTGTACACCAAGCGACGTATGTGAAGATGTGACCTGTTCGATAGGAAAAGAGTGCATTGTTCAGAAATTGGACTGTAAGCAAAATGATACTAATTGCCAATCTTGGAAAACCAAGTGTGTCTGCATACAGCAAGATTGCCATAAATTTTGTGAGAATGGCTTCAAAAAGAATCCTCTAACAGGATGTGACACATGTGAATGTAACGATGATCTCCCTACTTGTGAAGATATTAAATGTCCCACAGGTAAAACATGTGTTGTTTCACCCACATGTACGGGTAGCGGATGCCCACTACCAAAACCAGTCTGTGTGATCTGTCCAAAATTGGAATTGTGTCCACAGTGTAATTTAGGATTTAGGAGAGATATTGATGATAATGGCTGTAAAACTTGCAAGTGTATACCAGATTGTGGCGAACTATTTTGCGACATCAATTGTGGACCTGAAGGTCACGAACAAGATGCAAGTGGCTGTCCTACTTGCAAATGTAATCCAACAGAGGTTTGCGAGGTAAGAAATGAATGAATTTCGTAAAGTAAATTGATTAATAATAGAAATTTTCTTTGAAATAGGGTTTCCAATGCCCCGACGAGTATGAATGTCGGCAAATGCTGAAGAAAGGAAAACTATTCCGTTTCTGCAAAGGCGCCAAAAAAATTGATGTGATTCCAACTCCGATTTAAAGTCGATAGCATCAACAAAAATTTCCTAAACGATTGAAGATTAACTCTATAAACTTGTGAAAGAAATAATTTTTCAATTATAGGAAAAAATAAAAAAATTTACAAATGTAAAACTGAGTTTGTAACGAATTGTTTAAGTATTATTGATATACATTGGCATATATAGATCTGTACCTATAATATGTTCATAAAGGGTAGGACTGGTGTTAATGAATAGAAGTAGCTTTTAATGAAGATAAATACCCTAATTAAAAAGTGATGAATATCTACTTTTCGGGTTACAGCCTAAAAATATTACAACTTTTCCATAGTTATTTTCATTCCAATGTATCCCCAGTTTTTTTTCCATAGCATTAATCTATCGGCTTCCTTTTAAATCACTCATCTCCTTTCTAGACCATTGCCTTGTTTTCTTATTACTATTTAAGACATTCGAATGAAGTAATAAAAATGAGTTGTTTGCTTGACAATTACTCACGTGTGCTATTTAGGTTTTAAATTGGGTCGTTGCCTCGTTAATCAGAATTGATCAACACTATAATTAATATTTTATACAGTCTTTAACTTTCTTGATAGGAAAAGAGGAAAAGTTTTTTTCATTGAAAGCTCTTGTTTCAATTTCATTTTTGTCATTTCTGGAAAGTACATAAAAAGAAGTAAATATAAACAATACTTGTAAAGTTACTATGATAGGTTTATATGTATAATTTCAGGATAATTTCCTTATAGAAAAATGAGATCATTTATAGGATTTTTAATATTTACGTGTGGAATTTTCAAGTTAACTTGCAGTCTAGTATGTCCTCCGTGTGATGTCGCTGAGTGTTATTTTGGTGTAAAGGAAATATTTGATGAGCAGGGATGTCCAACATGTGAATGCGTAACGTGCCTACCTTGTATCTGTGAAAAGGGTTTCTTAACTTATAGCGATGATGGTATGATAAAAAGTTTCTTTAAAAGAGGAACTTTCTTTACTAAAGAAAACTGAATAAAAGTTATTTTTCATTTTAATTAGGATTTCATTATGCAATATTTCTTTTTTAGGTTGCCCTGACTGTTCCAGCTGTATAACGACAGCAAAAGAAAAATGTAGTGATGTTCAATGCCATCCAACTTATGATAAATGCTTTGAAGTTAACATGTGTAACAGCTCACCTGAGATCGAAGCAAACAATACCATTTCAGTAAACTCAAATCGTATGGATGAGTGCAGACAGGAGGCAAGATGTATGCCTTTATTCTTAATGAACTTTTTTTGCGAGTTCATTTGCACTCAATGTTTTAGTTCACCTGACAAATGTTCATTTGCTGACGAATGTATTAGGTGTTCTAAAAATTTGAAACAGTCTTGTAAGGATATTCAATGCAAAGAAGATGAACATTGCGAAATTGTTGGACTTCAATGTCCACCTCAAGAAATTTGTGAACAAAAGTTTATATGTGTACCAAATTCTTGCTTTAATCCACTGAGTTGTGGCCTCAGTTGTACACATGGTCATAGGAGAATGTCTAATAAATGTAAAAGTTGTAACTGTTATCTACCTACATGTAACGAAATAACTTGTAAAGATAAATATGTATGCGCAGAGCATAATGAGCATAATAATCATCTCTTTAATGAACGGCACAAACATGCAGAATGTATTCCAGCTTCGTGCGATGTTGTTCACTGTCCTGACGGATTTATATGTGAAATGAGAGACGCTGAATGCACTACTTTTCCATGTATGAAAAAACTTCCGAAATGCGTTCTGGAAACCTGCGAAATTAGGGATTGCGGTATTGGTTTTGAATGTATCAACTCTACTGACGACTGTTCTCGATCAGTTTGCAGGAAATGTGTACCAATGCAAAGTTGCTCTAATGTATCGTGCCCGACAGGTTCAGTCTGTAAATTAGTCAAACCAGACTGTCCAAAATGTGAATGTTCCGAAGGCATGTCTCCAGATTGTGTTCCTAACTCTGAAGGTTGTGATGAAGATTGCGAAAAGCCATACATTACTTGTATACCAAACTGTATAGCTGTTGAATGTCCTGAGCATTGCCCATATGGTTGCTTAAATACACCGGATGGATGTCAAACAGATATTTGTACTCCCCCGGACGATTGTGGACAGATTAAATGCGCACTTGACGAATTTTGCCAGGTTACAACCCCTGAATGCGATCCAGGAGTTCCATGTCCTTTAATGATAGCTACCTGTGAAAAGTATTGCCCTGACCTTAACTGTACGACACTTCCATTTTTATGCTCATGGGGACAGAAGAAAGATGGTAATGGATGCCCAACTTGTGAATGTAATATACCATATTCGTGCGATCAGCTTAAATGCCCCTTTGATAGCGAATGTACAGTCCTAGGAAATGATATTTTTTGCCAATTATGTGGAATTATTGCTTGTTCGAAGGAATGCCCACAAAATCAAAAACGAATTGTTAGTAAAACTGGTTGTTTAACTTGTGACTGCGCACCCAACAATTTATGTGATAATACAACGTGTTCAATAGGACAAGAGTGTATTGTTGAGAAAGTAGATTGTAAATCACATTCAACTGATTGTAAACCTTGGAAAACTAAATGTGTATGCTTTCAACGAGGTTGCAATAAATTTTGTGAGAATGGTTTCAAAAAGAATCCTTTAACGGGATGTGAAACATGCCAATGTAATGATGAACTGCCTACTTGTGAGGATATTGTATGTCCTAACGGTAAAAGGTGTGTTGTTGAACCTTCATGTGTTGTTGCTGGTTGTACATTACCAAAACCTTATTGTCTTTCCAATGAATGTCCAGAATGTCATAATGACTGTGGACTTGCAGGTAGACAATTTGATGAACGAGGATGTCCCACCTGCGAATGCAATCCAACACAGCCATGCGAGGTAAGTAGTGAAAGAAAACATACAATATAAAATGAATAATAATTGGAATTTTTTCTTCAAAATAGTTTTACCGTTGTAACGGTAATTATGAATGTCTAGAAGTGATTAAGGAAGGGCAAGTTTTCCGTTTCTGCAAAGGCGCCGAAAAAATTGATGTAACTCCCATTCCAATTGATAATTTAGATTGAATCAAATAAAAAAGATAAAAAGCAACTATTTTTCAATTAGATTTACAGATGCCAGTACATAGTTTTTATCTGACTAAATATACTGCAATACCTCATCAATGAATAATAAAAGCATATTGTACTGTTTAAATTATTAACTTAAAGGAATGTAACTATTCAAAAATTTGTCTAGATACTTCAAAGGAATGTAGAGGAAGTATCAGTTTAGGGAGAAACACTTACAAGGAACTATAAATGATAAATATGTTTGAAAAGTATATAGGCGTATTGTTTCATTTTAAAATATTATTCAAAAATAGAAAGAAAGAAAAAGGTAAACTAATCTATTAAGCACACGTAAGAAAGGTACTAAAATAGACGAAATTTATATATATAGCAACTAAGCAGTATATCCAAAGATATACAAGTTTATGTAACTATTTTGAAAATAAATGCTAAATTTTTTCTTAGTCTAAAAAAAGCCATCAATTTATTCATTATTTATATATATATATATATATTTATATATTCGCTTTTTGAACTTTTTCTTTGAATTATTTAATTAAGTTATTTATCAAATAGATTTGAAATGATTCATTACATAGAAAAATGCTTAAAGTAAAAGGAAAAAGCCTGAATATTTATGTTTAAGTCACCTTCGGTATATATTCCCAACACCTAAGAATTTTTTAATTTAAACCTCGTTTTCATACTATTCAAACATGTTTATCGCACGTATTAACAAACTATAATTTATATTGCATTTAAAGATCCTCTAAATGGTTCAAATTCAATAAGTTATCGACTAAATTCCGTTGATTGTCGGTTCCCTTCTAAGTCTTACCATGCAAATAGTCCGTATATATTTGTATATTCTTCTAACAGTAAAATATGCTTGAATAAATATGGATTTCAGCAGCATTTCGTGTTATGAATTAGTGTGTGGGTGGAATGTCTGTTGATTTCGATCAGTCGAGACGGAGACTTCAATCATGAAACTCCTTTTAATAGTTTTATTTTCGTTCGTTGTTTTTTCAACAAGTCAAATTCTTGAAGGTAAAATATATTCTGATACTTTTATTTAATTATTAATTGAAATGATTTTGACATTTATTCATATCTTATCATTCATTTTTTAGACGAAACTTGCGATTTAGTCGACATAGTATTCGTACTAGATTCCTCTGGATCAATCAAGCCACCAAATTGGTTAAGACTATTAAGTTTTACTAAAAATGTTACTGATAACTTTAGAATAGGACCAACTTTTACTAGAGTTGGTGTTGTCGTTTATGGTAATAAAGCCAAGCCGGTCTTTCATCTTAACGAATATTCTGACAAGAAATTGCTAGGAAATGCTATTTTAGGCATTAAATATCTTGATCAGAATACAAATACTTCTGGTGGTATTCGTGTTATGCATGAACAGATGTTTACCACTGCTAATGGTGATCGTCCTAACGCTCCTAACATAGCCGTTGTTATAACGGACGGTGAATCTACCTTCGACAAAGATCAAACTGTACCAGAAGCCAATAAGGCTAGAGATAAAAATATTATTATCCTAGCTATTGGTATTGGTGAGAAAACTAGTAAATCAGAATTAGAGGGTATTGCCAATAAGCCTTCGGAAAAGTTTGTCTTTAACGCCGACTTCGATACTTTGGATTCTATTCGTAAATTAGTGGTAGATACAGCATGTACAGCCGTTAGCGATTGTCGGCAAGGTTCAGACGTTGTATTTCTTATGGATTCATCGGGTTTGTAGTTTAAGTTTTTTCTTTCAATTTATTGGCAGGCTATTTTCTATTAAAGGTTCGGTTGGTCATACAAACTTTAACCACCAAAAGACGTTCGTAAACAATATTATACGTAAATTGAATATTGAGGCTGGCCAAACTAGAGTTGGCGTAGTTACTTATGGAGGTTCCGCCCAAATTGGTTTTAATTTAAATCAATATACATCAACCGATCGAATCAAAACGGCTCTGAATAATCTTAGATATATGGGTGGAACGACAAACGTCGCAAGCGCTATTAGAACAGCTTCAGAGAGAATGTTTGGTACTGGTGGCGATCGTTCAAATGTAAGAAATATAATGGTATTGATTGGAGGTAAGACATAGGAGAATTTCTTTGTTCTTAATCACATTTTTTCAAGATCGTTCTTACCCGTATAGATGGTAATTCAAACAATATGATTGAAAGTACGTCCGAAGCCAGTAAAGCTAGACTAAAGGGAATCACAATTCTTGTTGTTTCTGGTTCAGATTGGGTTGATAGAATAGAAATGGCCGAAATAGCAACAGATCCAGACACATTAAACGTTTTCAATTCGACAAGATTTAGACAATTGTCTGACGTAGCTGGTGCTTTAACTAGAGCTATTTGTAACGGTTCGTAGAATTTCAAATGATTAATGTTATATCGTTAAACATTAATTGACATAGATGTCGTTGAGTGTCAAGACAATTCCTGCAACAATGGAGAGTGTATCGATGATATCAATAAGTTTACCTGCAGATGTCGCAATGGATTCGTTGGACCAAGATGCGAGTACAGATGCCGTGAACAAGCGGATGTATCCATAGCAATTGACTCATCCGATTCGATAGGACCAAAAAGATATTATGCCGTATTAAATTATGTTAAAAACATTGTCAGAGGACTTCCACTCGAGAACAATGTACGAGTAGGAGTATTGACATTTGCGGATCAAACAATCGTTAGATTCCCATTCAATAAGTATAGGAACTCTGATGAGGCAGCTAACGCCCTAAGTTTTCCTTTTATGAATGGTGCAACAAAAACTTCTCAAGCACTTGTTCAAATGAGAGACATGTTTAATTCGGCTAGACGAAATGTTCGATCAGTCGGTATTGTTATCACTGACGGAATGTCTGCTAACCCAGATCAAACTTGGAAGAATGCCGTCGAGCTGCATAACAGAGATATAACAATGCTCGGGGTCGGTCTTAAAGTCAATAGTAAAGGTCTTAGTGAATTAGAGGGTATTGCGTCTGATCCAAACGATAAGAATATATTACAACTTAACACTTTCGATGACCTATACAATCCAAGATATACTTTGCAAATGATTGATGCCATTTGTAATAGTAAGCAATTTTTTTTATTATTTCCAATTAGTAATTGAATAACTATTTAACTAGTTAATTAATATTCATCTTTTTTTATCTTAAAAATTAGACATCAACAATTGCGCAAGTAATCCATGTTCAAATGGCGCACGTTGTATCGATGGTATAAATACTTATACTTGCGAATGTAACTCTGGAACAACGGGAAAAAACTGCGAAAGACGCTGCGATGCTCAAGCCGATATTGCTTTTATAATAGATGTTTCCGGTTCCATTCGAAGACATAGATTGGAATTAGTTAAACAATTTACCGCAGAAATAGTTGATCAGTTTGAAATATCACGTACAAAAGCCAGAGTAGCCGTTTTATACTTTTCCGACAATTCTCACCTTCACTTCAATCTCGACGCTTACTATGACAAAGGGGACATTATTCACGCTATTAAAAGGATACCTTTCTTATTCGGCAGGACTCATACAGCTGCTGCTCTAAAAATGGTCAGAGATTCAGTTTTCAATGGCAGAGGTGGAGATAGACCTAATGTTGTAAACCACTGTATTGGTATGTAACAGTTAATTATTCATTTATTCATTAGTTAATAAATCTATCTACAATCAGTTATTACGGATGGCCAATCAAATGTAAACCCAGAAAAAACTGTACCCGAAGCTATTACTGATAGAGTCTCAGGTATTCATATAACTGTTGCTACAATCGGGGACGGAACCAATAAGCTGGAGATCAAAGGAATTGCAAGCTCACCCGATTTCTCAAACGTATTTACTGTTGATAAATATGAGAAATTACCTTCCATGATTAGTTCGATTGTTGGTTCTACATGCGACGAAACGAACGAATGTTCTAGCAGCCCTTGTAGAAATGGCGGAAGATGTATTGACGAACTGGGACAGTTCTTTTGTTTATGTAATGGAGCCTACAGCGGTGAAAGATGCGAAAGAAGATGCTCCAGACAATTTGATGTGGTCTTCCTAATCGATGCTTCCGGTTCACTGGAGGAAACTTTTGAATGGCAAATGAAACTAGTTCGTAAAATTACAATGGGATTGAACTTTAGTAGCGGAAGGACTCGTGTTGGAGCGTTAACTTTCGACAATCAAGTAGTTAGGGAGCAACTATTTCCCATGAACAAATATACCAGCTTAAAAGAAGTCTTAAATGCTATAGCCTTTACCCAAAGGAAACAAAGACGAGGAACTCATACCGCTTCCGCACTTCAGTACATGCATAGCCAAATGTTTAATAATCCATCGGCAGGCGATAGAGGAGGAATAGATAACATAGCCATCGTTATTACGGATGGTAGATCAAACATTAACCGAGGATCGACCATACGCGAAGCGTCAAATGCAAAATCAAAGAGAATCCGTCTAATGACTGTTGGAGTTGGCAATGGAGTTGATACAAAAGAATTATCTGATATGGCAACCAATCCGGATTCAGACAACGTCTTCAGATTAAAAGACCTAAACGATGGTTCAGTAAACGAAGTCTCCAACAATATTTTACAAAGGTTGTGCGGGTGACGATTTCTATTTAGTTTTCCTTTGCCAATTAATGTTTATAAAATATATATATATCTATTATACATTATATGTATAAACAATATATATATATACTGTATATATATATATATATATATTCATATTTTCGTATTTAATAATCCGAACCATAGTGAACCATTAACAAAAAAACACAAAAAAAAACAAAAGAAAGCAACTATAGAAATAATATTTTCGTTATTTCTCCTTAGTTTTTAATACTATAGATGATAATTAACTAATAATAAATTAACTAATTAATTAATTATTCAAAAAAGATATTAGTAATAAAAAATTAATAATACAAACGTTTAGTTTAAAATAAGATAAAAGTAATAATATAAACATGTTTATTCTATTTTATTTTAATTTCTATGTGGTGCTTTTAGAACAATGCTTTTATTATTTTTTTAAACGGAAATTGAATAAAAGATATCGATATATAGAAACAAACATTAGTAACTATACAATTTTTTGTCAAACTATAATAGGCTTTAAACAGGAAGTGTTCTTACTTTTTAATTAGAAGGTTAGACAATTTGTTCAATACAATACGTGCATATAAGTATGTTTATTGGCAGACAGAGACAAGCGTACGCTTCAGAATGCTATTAAAATATACTTTACTACAGTGAGAAAAAAAATTGGCTTAAACTATTATCTAATATTGCTACTTTCGTCAAAGCCTCCATAGCTCAGTGGTTAGAGCACTGGTCTTGTACGACTATTACAACTGTAGCGTATGCGAGAGTTAACCAGGGGTCGTGAGTTCAAACCTCACTGGGGGCTAGTAGATATTTGTTGTCTACTTTTTTTTCTATTAACCAAACATTCTATGCACTTAATTTTTTTTCCTCATCCAAACTTTAAGTTTGTAGTAATTTATTATTCGACAATTGATTTATAGCTATTATTGTTAGCTGTGTTAATTTCTTGTAGAGATAAGCTTATACTGTAACAAGTTAGGCCAATTGTTTTTCGTTAATCTGAATTTCTTTTTAATATTAGTTTACGGAAATAAGATTTACAGTCTAATTAAGATTGTATTTAACGAGAGAATAAAGGTTAATTAATGTATATATACCGTATATTTTACATTTATATGCATTTATACACTGTATATATATAAAAAAAATATCTTTTATATATATATACTAATATATTGAAAAAGATCAAAAAATAACCTACTTTACACCAGAGTAACTATATTTACAGTTAATTAAACTAATGAGGTAATAAACATACAAAAGTTAAGCATTTGTACTTAATAAACAATTCAATAGATCAACAAACTAAATATGAAATTTGTAATGGCATTTCCTACAAATCAATTATACTGTTAACAGTATATTATTCTTCCACTAGAACAAGGGGATATCCGATCTCTGGTGCACGTGTAAGAGGATTAGTCAGACTTTTTAACCAATTGCTAAAGGAGTAAACGACTAGGCCAAACTCTATGAATATAAATTGATGAAAAATTCATAGTAAGCATCTAAAAGAAAAAGTATACCTTTCAATCAGAGCTCATCTTTTGTTTTCTCCCTCCTCCTCCTCTCTCTCTCTCTTTCGTAGAGGAATAAATGATGAATTTTATAAGCGTTCGCCGTCCAACTAATAAAGAAGATGTCTTCTATGAGGTAGTCGCTCGTTTTTGTAAATTTAACAAAAGCCTCACGATTTTTATATATTTTATATACTAATAGGTTGTAATAATTGGAGATAGTACTGTGGGAAAGACGTGCATATTAAGGAGTTTCTCTAAAGCTCCATTTATGAGTAATACGTCGTCCACTAGCGGTAAATATTTGCTCATCCACACGAACCACGACTTATTTCTTATAATCTTGATTTCTATAGGTGTTGATCATACAGAAATTGCACTTAAAATTAGCAGGGTCAATGTAAAGCTAAGAATATGGTAAATAGACGAAATTCATTTACTATACCTAACAAAAAATTTTTAAATTATAAATAGCATCTTTATATATGCAGAAAATATATAAATAATTAATAATTACTCTTTCTTTAATTCTATATTGTATCTATATAAAAAAAAGAAGTTAAATAAAACCAATTTAAAGGGATATGGCTGGACAAGAGATGTTTTCGTTAATGACAACACCATATTTAAGAAGAGCACATGTTGGTAAAAAACAGACTAATATATTAACCATAAAACTAAATTATAATAAAAAACTAATAATGTTTCTATTCTATCTGGATGGGCGTGTTTAGTTGTCTAATATATAAAAAATAGTATAGCCACAGATAAAGATATAAAGATATGAGAAAAAGAAAGATAAATATATATATACAGTATATTCAGTTCTTTTCCATACTATTATTTACTTTATGCACATACTGAAATTAGCATGGTATTATTAGACTGAAATATATGTTCAGTCAATTGAAAGAAAAACGTTGAAATCGCCAAAACTTTTTTATTTTAAAATATCCATAAAACATATATTATATTATAAATAGACATAGCAATATATATATATATATATATTCTTTTTCTTGACAATAAAAATAATATTTAAATAAACTAATTCCTTAACCAATTAACAATATTTTAAATTTCATTGTAATGTCAGTTTGCGTATTGAAATTCTAAAATTCTTTAAATTCCATACATTCATAAATTATATAGAATTGTTAACTTATTCATTTATATATGTTTGTATGCATTTTTTTTTAAAGGGTATTTTCCTTGTTTTTGATGTTACTAAATGGAGCAGTTTTGAAAGTTTAACTAGCAGATGGAGTAATTTTGTAGAGGTTTAGTTCTTGAAATCAAATTTCTTTTGTTTCTAATTCATATTCCTGTCTCTCTACTAACCATAGAATGAAACTTCCGGTAAGGACCATATTATACCTGTTTACGTACTGGCAAATAAAATAGATCTTAACGAAGAAAGAGTTGTTAATAGGGCTATTGCGGAAGAGGTATATTTTGGCCTATATAAATTTTTATTACACTCTTAAACTTAATCAATGTAATTTATGTAGTTTAGTAAACAGTACGAAGGCTACTTCGAGGTTAGTGCAAGAACTGGAAAAGGAATTGACAACGCTCTCGACGAATTAGCTAAATTCGTCCTCACTCAAAGAAATCCTGCCCGAAGTGTAGGTTTTCTGTCATTCGGGTCCAAGTTATAGATGTGTTGTATATTCTTAAACTTTTTCCCTAAAGATTGAAGGCTTTGAAAGTATCGAACAAGTCATGAATCAAGAGATCCGCTTGTCAAAATCGTGTCATTGTAATTGTAAAAACTGTCAAAAATGTGTTGTGAAAAACGAATCCAAGTCGGATGATAATGGTAGAAAGAGGAACTTCTTCTTTTTAAAGAGAAAGGATGGTTCAAGGAGAAAATTTTTTTGTATCTAAGTTCATTAGATATCATACATAATTTTAAACCTAAGAATGCATAGATTATTTATTTCTTATACTCTTAGAAAGAGTAATTGTTCGTTCCTGGAGAATAGAATAGTAAATTAGTACAGATTCAATATATTCCTTTTAGCAAATAAAAATTTAGAAATAATTTATTTAAATTCCGAGTTGTCCTAAATAATTATAATAATATTTAACAATTTTTAACAGAACATAGAAAATGAACACGAATATTGTTAGTTCCACGTTTTTTGTTTGTTTGGCTTGATTCTATAATAAAACCTCATTAGCTAAAAAGTAGACCTGATTGTGAAAATTATCATTGCTGTATTTTCCCTTTTGCAAGGCCGTTTTCAAGATTATCTAGCTCGCTTGCTTGGAATAACGGCACTCATCAACCGTATATTACTTTTAGCAACCTCTTCTCGCTTCTCTTTCTTCTTTGTTTCAATTTTTTTAAGCTGCAACAAATATGTAAAATATATTTAAACTAGAAAATAATTTCTGCTATCTTTACCTCTTGCATTTTAACATTATTCATTATCCGTTTGCGTAATTCCTCTTCTTTCCTCTCAAGCTCCTCCTTTTTCCTTTGTTCTGCCTCGAGTTTCCTTCTCTCATCGTCTAAGCGCTTCTGCCTTGCCAATTTGATTTGTAGTTGCCTCTCCTCTTCCAATTCTCTTTCCCGCCTGAGCAATTCTTCCTGCTGCTTTCTTTTCTACAGGTTTCATTAATGAGTGAAGAGATTTTTATCAGTTAACTTTTATATAAGCGGATAAGAGTCAAATTTTATTTAAAAATATGCTCTTCAATTGTAGTATTAATGATTCAAAGAATGGAATACTCTAAGAAATCCTTAATATTACAACTTTGGTAAATATCTATATAAAACTTATAGTTAATTTTTTTTAATACACACTCATTAATGGTTTAAATTCATGAGATGCACTTATTTCATACGTGGTTTTTTTTAGTAATAATATTTCCTTTGAGCACATGACTTTTCAGCTAACAGGTACATTTATACTTAAAATGACTAAATTATAAGCAAATATAAACGAACCCCTTAGCTTATTCGGTAATGAAGCCTATTTTCTAGACTATTACTTTTTTTTATAAATAAAAAAACAGTATGAAATTACAAATTCATAGATTGTTTACTTTAAACTCTCTCTTTTCTAAAGTAATTTGATTAATCTTTTAAAAGAATTTTGTCGCCTTTTCTTTTTTTTGATAGAAATTTTCTTAATTAACTTAGAAAATAATTTAGTTGGTTTATTCTCCTAGCTTTGTTTGATAATTTAATTTAATTTTTAATTAGCTATACCGAAGAAAAGTCACATGACCAAACCTCAACTTTGTTCTAGAACCTAACTTTAACGCGATCCAGCAGTTCAGTTAACAACCTAACTGACTGCAATTTACGATGGGCAATCAAAATTTTTCTTTCTTCTCTGGCAATTTTTGCCTGCATTCGCTCTTCTTGCCTCATTGCTTCCCTTTCTAGTTTTCTCTGACGCCTTTTATCAGCACGTTCTCGTTTTCGTTTTTCTCGTTGAACCTGCTCGTATTCTCTCTGGCGACTGATCAAAATAAATAATTTCGTTAAAGAGACTTTTCCTATCGTGTGTTTTTGGAGCCTAATTTTAGATTTTTACTTGATTTCTTTTCTTCTCTCAATTTCTTCCTCTATTTCCCTTTGCTTTTTTCTTGTTCTCTCTTCTTCTTCCTCTTGTAAACGCTTTCTCTCGGCTCTTCTCTTTCTTACATTTTTATCCGATAAATGCTTTGTTTTATCAAAGTCAGCAGCAATAAATGACGTTAAATTACGTGCATTTATGGTATCCTTGTACAAAAGTTTCATACCCCTCATGGTATTCATAGCTTTAACAAATCCTATGTACTCCTTAAACTGGACAAATGCTTCAAATAACAAATCATTATCAGACGTTACAGTAGTCCTCTTTGCTGATGAGGTTTGCATTTGATTCCTAAGCGTTGCTCAATATAATTTAAGAATAAAAATTATTAATCATTACCTACCTATATTTGTCTAGTAGAGGTATATCTGTAAGTCTTACGGTTCCAAACCTTTCGAAGCATTCTCTTAAAATTTTTTCTGATGGTTTTCCAGTGTTTTCCTTGTCATCTGGATCGATAAACCAAGCAGACGGAAAGTTTGTTATATGTATAGTATCTGGTCTTTCGCCTGGCTTCATTTCGTTCATGTTCTTTGCATCTCTAAAAAAAGTATCCCAGTCGTTTTTCGTTGGAAAAATGCATCTTGTTTCAGCAGCACGAACAGTCAGTGATTCTTTAAAACCACTTATCTTAATATTAACACCGTCTAATCTGCAGGTTAATATTTTAACTAGACTCTTATTTTTTACGTCTCCTGTAGAAATTTAAAGAGAAAACTTTATAGAATTGAGTTTGAATTTTTATTTTCTGAATTAAATGAGAAATAGATTGAATATTCAAAAGATAACTAATAAATAACTAGTAAATATACTGATTTTTATTATTACCTTCCAATCGCACGTATTCCAAAGTGCTTTTTAATACTTTTAAAGAGAGAAAAATATCCGGTTTTATTATCGATCGTATTTTTTCCATAATTTCCCAATTTGATATCGATTTCCCTGGTTCTGTACATTGCGGCAATATAACTGTTAAAGTGATTTTACATATCGGTATAAAAAAGAGATTTCTAGCGGCATTAAAGTCAACAGCTTCAGTAACATCCTCCACTTCGCTTATCGCCGTTACGTCAGCCATCTTTTGTATAGGATAAATAAGTCTAATGAATGGTGAGTAACCGGTTCACTATTTCTGTGACTATTAAACCGGTTGTTACACTTCTAGTTTCACTTGAAACTACTTCCGGTAAGGTTTTGGTAGGAAAATAGAAATTTTAAAAAATTTTATTGTCAAGCTAAATATACTTTTCTGCACTATCATTAATATATGAAAAATTTTAACAATAGAGAATGAACAATTTACATATATAGATTTATGTTAGTTATCATTAATACAGAAAATAAATAAATTATTGTTACAGAAAAACACGATTTTTTACTGTTGAATTTTCTTATATTGTATATATAAATGAAACATTTAAAGTTTTAGCTGATAACATATCATTGCAATAATATGTATAGAATATATGCACATATATTCTATTTAATCCCTAGTGCAAATGGTCACCTCTTAGATCGTATAATAGCTCTCATCGATACTTGACACTGTTATTAATCGATAGCCAGGAAATAGCCTACACGTTAAATTTGCTGTGATTGTAAATGACATACAAGCTGAACTGATTTTACAAAGTGAAGCACAGTGAATTTTACTTTGAACTACATATTTTTCAGTTTGAGTTTTAGATGGTGTCGAATTTAGAGCAAAGAGAAAGTAATTTTCAACTGAAAAGCATTGATACAGGTTAGTGTACATTATATGTAGTATATTTAATATATCATTGGGTAAACTTACACTGAAGGATTGGTATAATTGTAGGTTGAATTGTTGTTGAGAATTCAATTGTTGTAGTGGGTTCTACTGTTGTAGTGGGTTTTACTGTTGTAGTGGGTTCTACTGTTGTAGTGGGTTCTTCTGCTGTGGTGGTGGACTCCGTTGTAGTGGTACTGAGCTCTATTGTAGTAGTGGGCTGTGCTTCAATTACATTTTGACCACTTTCGCATATAAAGTAATAATTGTCATAGCAAGGTCTATCTCTCCAGTCTAAATGAATATGAATATTAGAATTCATCATGTTCTTTCATGGAAAATAAACTTACATCCAAATGATTCTACAATTAGAGCAGCACAATCAGATCCACCTTCTCCATCGTTGGGCTCCGCATGATGCCAAGAACTAAAACTGATGGGGCTACCATCATCGTATCGGAATACATTTTCTTTTCATTCATATGAAATGAAGTAGGCAAATTTATGACATTTATTTTGTTTTTCTCTTACCTGTTTCTATATCATTTGAGCTTATCCATGCTGGATTATATGTTGTAATAATACCTTTCACTAATTCCGTGACAAACTCGTGTTCAGCTGAATTCTGAACACGGACCAAATATGCTGAAAATAGTTCACAATGTTGAAGAGAAGAATGCCAATTTTTCCTTTGCTCGAAAAGTTTATAACAATTCTGATTGTGCGTATTCCAAGTACTGTCTGGACAACTCTCTATTATGAATATTAAATGAATGAAGAAAAGTTTAATCATATTTAATATCATGAATATATTCTCTGATATATTACTCTAATGGAATAAAATTCCAATACTCTGTCCTTTTTGAAACCTATCAACCTATTAGAATATGGTATAAATTTATAGTAACGACCTAAACAGTGAGATATTGGTGAATAATATATATATATATATATCATTCCAATTATTAGGACTATTTTTTAGGGCTATTGTCAATTAATCTATTATTTTTTCTCTAAATTCAATTGTTCGCTAGATAGAGGCATAGTAAATAAGATATAATGAAACTTCCAATAATATCGACATTTCGTAACACTTGTTGTCCCTGTCGAAGAAGATATACTCTTATAATATGGATAGGCAAATAAACAAATATTCTGAACAATTGACTAAAAAAAGTAATTACATAAAACTTTCAATGAAGATATTCTTTTTATTAGTGTTGAGAATTTACGTATTTGAAATCATTGTTTAATGATTATTTAATATAATAATCTTCTCCATAACTATGATCAAGAGATACATTAAAACTATATTTACTACTAAAATGAAAACAAAACGAATCATTTTTTATAGTAAAAGATGTACATGAAGAATGTTCAGTACATAAGGTGGCGCAGGAAATTTTACTTCTTAGATGGTATTTCCTTAAATATCCTCCAGGAGGTTTCGAATTTCTTGCAGAGAGACGATATCTCGTAACTTAGAAGTAGAAAAATGAATGAAAATTAGTAATTTTATTCACGGAATACTCATACATAATGATATTAAAGGTGTCATTTGGTCTTTTTCTGATTTAGGAGTTGGTAGTGAAAGTTCACATATTACATTTAGAACGTCGGTACATGCCGTGTCTCTCCAAACTAATATTAAAGAAAATGTTACAAGATAACAAAAAGATATCTTTTCTCTTAAATAATTAAGAACTTATTAAAGTACTAACATCCTGAGAAAAGTCTCAAAGCAATGCAACTATCACCTGCAGAGTTTGGCTCACCAGTAGCAAAGTTGTGATAGTTCGTTGAAAATAAAGTGCCATTTTCATATTTTAATTCATTGCCTGAAAAAATAGTTTTTAATTGAATGAAATATCATATTGTAAGATTATTTAAAAATAGAATCGAACTAAAATCAGTTCGTTGGAGTCCTATCCATATATCTTCGAAAGAACTTTTAAATTTCCCACTGATAAAGCTGTTCTCCTCTTCAGTTTCTATAATTAATAAATTGGCTTTAGGTGTCAATGTTCTACATGTATCAATCGCATCAACCCAAGTTTGTACTGCTGTTTGAAATTTGTAGCAATGTCCATTTTCTTCTTCCCAAGTAAATGGACAAGAATTTATACTTTGAAAGCTTAGAACTAATAGAATAAAACTATTTTGAGGATCTACTTCCATTGGTAACGAATGATTATCTTAAACTTTATGAGTACAATTAAGGTGTAAAAAATATATATATAAAACCGCTTTATTGATCATTCATATAAAGGGGTAAATATTTAAGATTCATTAAAGCATATGAAAAAATTATGACTGTTCTTATTTTCTTATTTACATATACAAATTGTATATCTTGAATCTCTCAAATAGATACGATGGTTAATCTGTAACACTTAAACTATTATTTATTTGTCTAGAAATTTACTTCTTCTAATTTTGAAATCAAAAATCATATTCAATTTTTTAATTTCAATATTTGCTTAATAAGATATTTTTTATTAAGTATACTTTGTGTGTTTTCGAAATGGGTGATTGTTGACTCATTCATCTTCAGAGAGTAAAATGATTCATATTGCAGATTAACATCTTCATGAACAGTGAGTTTGATATATATCAAACTTTAATTAACTATGATAATTATAGTCATACGTTAATTTTTATGTACGTGAAGGAATTCAGAGGCAGCAGAATAACTTCAAAGCATTGTACTAATATCTACTTCAAAGAAAATAACCTAATATTTGATGTAGACAATGTTTAATAACATGTTTGCTGGCTATTATATTTCAGATTTCGTTGACAAGAGTACCAAACTTTTTCCAGTGCTGATCTCATTCTTTTATTAAATCTTCAAACGGAGACAAACTCATATCGGTAATTTTTATTTAATTGATAAATTACGTATAACGAAAGTTTGCAATGGCGTTGTTCAATTTTCAAAAGTTACAAGAACGGTTCCTTTACTGGTTGTATCTCCGCTTTTATGGAATATTTTTTTAATCACTCCATCTTTAGGGCTCTTAATAACATATTCCATTTTCATAGCTATCATGACCAACAGCCTATCTCCTATTTTGACAACAAAGTTTAAATTGCAATAGCAAAACGGGTACAAAGATTGTTGAAATATACTTTACCTTCTTTTACTTCTTGACCCTCGGTAACGTGTACTTTGTCAACAACTCCAGGCATTGGAGCTATAGCAGAATCGGAACTAGCTCCAGCAGCAGATGAGCCCTTGGTATAGTTTGGTAATGGTACATCAAATACAAAGGACCCATTTTGAGAAAATAAGTTAATAGTATTTTGTGAAAAGACAGCTGTTGCCTTTGACTTCACTCCATCAATGTTAAAATTTAAATCCAAACGATTTTCATTTGAAATAACTGGTAGTACTTCAACTTCAAATGACGAATTTTCGTATTCCACTTGATACACATTTGATTTAGCACTTGGAACAATACATATTTCATAATCTACAATAAAGTAGAGATATTTTACTCTTTTAAAAAAGTTATAATAATAGTAATCTACCTGCACCATCTTTCTTCAATAGAACTTTTCTGCGTAAATCGTGATTTACCCTTCTCAAAGTAGAATCCGAAAACGGTGTAAAAGCATCTAAAATAATAAATAGTTTATTCATCACGCATCTTTATTGACCATTTAAAAAATACCTCTTTTTTTAACATCATTCATTCTTTTCAATAACAATGCTAAAGCTGATTGGCAAATAACGCTAGGATCGACTGATTTTTTCACAAATAGATTGTCGTAATATTGAGGAATAAATCCTGACAAGAGAAGGAAAAATTCAACATATTAATTTATTACAGTGTATTATAATAAACGTTTTAAACACCTGTATGGACGTTTGCATTTTGGAATTCTGGATGACTAGCTAAATTATCCAGGAAGGAAATGTTGTTTGCTAATCCAACAATCTGAAATAAAGTGTGTTAAATGTATATAGATAAAGAAATATTTATAAATTAGATTGCAGATATAATTTTTAACAATTACCTTATATTGTCTTAGGGAATATATTAATTTACTCAAGGCACTTTTTCTATCATGAGACCATACAACAAGTTTGGCAATCATTGGATCGTAATGTACAGACACTTCGTCATTTTGTCTAACACCTGTTTCCACACGTGTAAACTCATCGGGTTTGGGTGTTTCCAAAAAGTGAAGAGGACCTGCTCCAGGCATAAAATTGTTATCCGGATCTTCTGCATAGATTCTAGCCTCAAAGGAATGTCCATTTATCTTTAGATCAGACTGTTTTTTCGGTAGCACTTGACCACTAGCCACTTTAATTTGCCACTCTACCAAGTCGGTATCTGTAATCATTTCGCTAACAGGATGTTCAACTTGAAGTCTTGTGTTCATTTCCATAAAATAAAAATTTTGTTCTTCATCCATAATAAATTCAACAGTGCCAGCACCAACATAGTTAACTGCTCTAGCAGCTCGGATAGCGGCTTCGCCAATAGCCTGTCGAGTTTCGGACGTTAAACCTGGAGCAGGTGCTTCTTCAATCACCTTCTGATGCCGACGCTGTACACTACAATCTCTTTCGAATAGGTAAACATAATTTCCATGATGATCACCGAATATTTGTACTTCGACGTGTCTTGGTGTATTAACAAACTTTTCTACTAGCATAACGTCATCACCAAAAGATTTCATAGCTTCGCTTCTAGCAGAGTCTAATTGTTCTTGAAATTCTTCAGCAGTATTAGAAATTCTCATACCCTTTTGTAAAATAACATTACTAAGATATTATATATAAAACAAAGTACAAATTTCTATTACCTTTCCACCTCCACCTCTAACCGCTTTTATCATTATAGGAAAGCCTATTCTTTCTGCTTCTTCTCTAAGCCTTTGGTCACTTTGATCTTCGCCATGATAACCTTCTATAATTGGTACACCAGCAGCCGACATAATATGTTTCGATGTACTATAAATCAAAACATTCTTAATTAATAAGAAGATTATGTATTTCAGTAAAAGACATTTCAAACCTCTTGATTCCCATATCTTTAATGGCGGAAGATGGAGGTCCAATAAAAGTGATACCTTCTGATTTACATAAATCAGCAAATTCATAATTTTCCGACAAAAATCCATAACCTGGATGAATTGCCTAATGAAAGAGAAAATCCAAAATTATTTAACACCAAAATATTAAAAAAGACTTTTCAAATCTCACTTGAGCTCCTGTTTTTTTGGCTATATTGATTATTTTATCTTGTCTTAAATAGCTTTCTTGCGAGGCTGCTGGCCCAATGTGATAAGCTTCATCTGCCTAAAAACTACACTGTGTACGATAATAGTAAATATGGGTATTTTGAATATTTACCATTGCCACATGCATTGAGTTTCGATCGGGTTCACTAAACAGGGCCACAGTTTTTATACCCATTTTTTTTGCAGTTCTCATTACCCGGCATGCTATCTCTCCTCTATTTGCAATTAACAGCGTAGAGATATTCTGATAACCTGAACATAATATAACAAATACTACATTGCTAAAACCAAATCAATGTATTATTTAATCTTACTTTTACTACAGTATCTCATATGAATATTTCCTAAGGATTGCAATCTGTCGAAGACGTTACTATTAGAAGTGATTTAAATAAATTCAGTTCTATTCATAGATAACATAGTTATATATTATCGCTCACGATTATATTTTCTTCTCCAAATATGTAATTTATGCAGTAGAAGCTTATTTAAATCTTTAGCATTTTCATTTTCCACTCGCGATATGTACAAAGTGAAAAGTGACATACCTTATGCATTTTGATTGCCGGCCTAGTTCAAAAACCTTCAAGATTGTCGCCATTTTATTAAAGCAGAATACCACTCCTATTAGAATACAGTATCCATAGAGTTATTATCAATCTATAATCTGATTTCTATTTATTGGAAATAATGAAGATTAATTTAATCTCAGAATAAAATACTCTGAGATCACTTAAAAGCCTTTCCTTATGTCATTTTTTTCGAAAAGTATAATAAACTTTTTTGTTATTATAAAATAAAAAACAATCAAAGTGATATTTAACGGCATTAAGTAACAAAAAACTAATTTATTGCTGCAGAAAACTTAAAAGACAAATTAAATTACAATTGCAGTAAAAATCTTTGCATTTAAAACTAATATTTACAATGTATTAACTATTTTTTGACATAAGGAGGAATTGGTGATATTTCCTCCTCTGCAAAAGTATTTTTTAATTCAAATTTTGGAAAATTTCTAAATCTCTCATCAACAAATTTTGTCCCTCTGCATTTCCTCCCAGTTATAGGATCGATGATATTTCCCGATTCGAAGACAATGTCATGAACATAATGTTGAACAACGTCTGACTGTGGTTCCTCCAACTCTCTAATAAGTACTATATCTCCTTCTTTAACTTTTTTATCTGGATCTGCAGCCCAGTATGTTTCAGGCTTGTTGAAATACTGTTATTGAAACACGTTTTTAATTTTCAACCGGTTATTGTCGCTCACATGTACGGTTACACTTACCATTTTGAGGTAGTCATTGAAAGTCATTTTAGTGACTGAAATTTGAACTGCCTTCCATATGTCTCTTCTTTTGCCGACTTTGCCAACAAAGGCAGCTAATCCTGAAGCAGATGCCATCAACTTTCGAAGAGTCTTATCCTTTACACTTTACCAGTTAAGGTTCAGCGTCATCTAAAACATACATTTTTTAAGAAATAGCATGGTTCCCTGTTTCTCTTTCATTTTTCTCATTTTGAAATCTGATGTAATACGAGCTAGTTTCACTGTGGTTTTCGGAGAATAATTTCGTTAATATTTACGGAATTTAGATAGTTTGTACATTAATTTTGCGACGAAGCTACTTATTATAGAGAACTATTTCTCCTAGAACTGAAGAACACTATTCTAGCCCGAAATGACCGACACCTTTCAATCCAATACGCAAAGCCTCGTGTTCCATGACCCAGATGAATCTGGCAATGATTACTTGCTTGAAAACACGCAACAATCTCAATTTGAGGACTTTACGGGTATAACTCAAACTCAAACCCAGACTCAACCGTTTGACGATGTCATACAATCCCAAAACAATTTGGTAGGGTGAATTTTTTTATTGATAACCGATTGTATTTTAAATATATTTTAAAATTTAATATAATGGTATTATTCAATAGACCAATGGTGTTAATGATGGTTTAGCGACATTAGCATCGGGAGTAGCTGAGTTGACTTTTGAAGAAGGAGATGATGAAGAGGGAACGTATAACAGGGATCTCCCTGAACATGCCTGTGCCTATTGTGGAATCCATGACCCTGCTTGCGTTGTTAAATGTATATCCTCAAAGAAATGGTTCTGTAACGGACGCGGATGCTCATCTGGAAGTCATATCATACAGCATTTGGTTAGAGCGAAAACCAAAGAAGTAATGCTACACTCCGAAGGACCTCTTGGAGAAACTGTAATGGAATGTTACAATTGTGGTTGCAAAAACATATTTTTACTGGGATTTATTCCGGCAAAAGCCGACAGTGTTGTTGTTCTACTTTGCAGAGCACCTTGTGCAACTAATGCCACACTGAAAGATGTTTCATGGGATTCGTCTCAGTGGCAACCACTCGTTCAGGATTATCAATTACTAGCCTGGCTTGTTAAAGTTCCAAGTGAAAATGAGCAGAATAGAGCTCGCAGGATAACATCGAATCAAATAGCTAGATTAGAAGAACTTTGGAAAGAACAACCATCTGCAAAATTAGAAGATATTGATGCTCCTGGAATGGCTGACGAACCAACTCCAGTTATGTTACGTTATGACGATGCGTATCAGTACCAAAATATTCTAGGACCTCTTGTGAAAAAAGAAGCTGATTATGATAGAAGCGTAAAAGAATCACAAACTCAAAATAATATTAATGTTCGATGGGATCAGGGATTAAACAAGAGAAGAATTGCCTACTTTCGTTTAACAAATTCTGATGATATTCGTATAATGCAAGGCGACGAGTTGCGACTTCGTTATGTTGGCGAAGGCCATAAAATGTGGTCTGGAGTTGGCCATGTTATTAAAGTACCTGATAATTATGGAGATGAAGTTGGCATAGAAATGAAAACAAACGCAGCAGTGCCTATTGAGTTTACTCGTGATTATACTGTTGACGTTGTATGGAAATCGACCTCATTTGACCGAATGCAAGCTGCTATGAAAACACTAGCTGTAGACGAAACTTCAGTCTCTGCTTACATTTATCATAGAATACTCGGTCATGAAGTAGAAGAGGCTTTGTTGAAAAATACACTACCAAAGCGTTTTTCTGCTCCGGGTCTACCTGAGTTAAATCACTCTCAAGTTTTTGCTGTAAAGCAAGTGTTGCAGAGACCACTATCGTTGATTCAAGGGCCACCAGGTACAGGAAAAACTGTAACATCAGCCACTATTGTTTATCATATGGCTAAACAGAGTGGACAAGTTATGGTATGTGCTCCCTCGAATATTGCTGTTGATCAGCTAACTGAAAAAATTCATAAAACTGGACTAAAAGTTGTTAGATTATGCGCAAAAAGTCGAGAGGCTCTTGATTCACCTGTATCCTTTTTAGCCTTGCATAATCAGGTACGAAATGCTGCATCCGCGCCCCTAGATTTGAAAAAGTTACAACAACTTAAGGACGAAACTGGAGAGCTGTCATCAGCTGATGAAAAGCGATATAGAGCTCTTAAAAAATCTACTGAACGCGAGCTCTTGCATGCCGCTGATGTTATATGCTGCACATGCGTTGGCGCTGGTGATCCAAGATTAGCACGAATGACTTTTAAATATGTTCTAGTTGACGAAAGCACTCAAGCGACAGAACCTGAGTGCATGATACCTGTTGTCCTTGGTTGTAGACAATTGGTTCTTGTTGGAGATCATTGTCAGTTAGGACCTGTTGTAATGTGCAAACCTGCAGCGAAAGCGGGTTTGTCTCAGAGTCTGTTTGAGCGCTTAGTCGTTCTAGGACTACGCCCAATTCGGCTGCAAGTTCAATATAGAATGCATCCATCGCTTTCAGCTTTCCCATCAAATATTTTTTACGAGGGAACTCTTCAAAATGGCGTAACAGCAGCTGATAGAACTCTACCTGCAACGGGTGCTGATATGCCCTGGCCACAACCCGATAAACCGAGAATGTTTTGGGTAACTCTTGGTCAGGAAGAAATATCAGCTTCCGGTACTTCGTTTTTGAACAGAACAGAAGCTGCTAATGTCGAAAAAGTAGCAACACGTCTTTTAAAGGCGGGAGTTAGACCAGATCAGATTGGCGTCATTACACCGTACGAAGGACAGAGAGCATATATAGTGCAACATATGCAATATGCTGGTTCACTGAACAGCAAGCTTTATTTGGAAATGGAAGTGGCTAGTGTTGACGCTTTCCAAGGACGCGAAAAAGACTTCATTATATTATCTTGTGTTCGTGCAAATGAGCATCAAGGAATAGGATTTTTAAACGATCCCAGACGGCTAAATGTTGCTTTAACTAGAGCAAAATATGGAATAGTTATTGTTGGAAATCCAAAAGTGCTATCAAAACATAGTTTATGGAATAATTTACTATCATTTTATAAAGATGAGCACGTTCTAGTTGAAGGACCCCTGAACAACTTAAAGGAGAGTGTCATGCAGCTGGCACCTCCTAAAAAACTTGAAAATCAATTTAATCCAGGAGCTCATTTTATGCAAACAACTACATACGACGCCAGGCAGCTTAGCAAGCAAAAGGGTTACAATATGCAACATCAACATCCACCTCACACTGATCTTCATCATGATCAATTAGGATACATTCAACAGAACAAAGCATACGCATCAGCTGCATTTAATATGCCTGTTCCACTGATGATGCCACCGAACTACACCAACTATCCTCCGCCTTTTATGCACATGCAAAGAGCTCAGCAACAGCAGCAACGTCGTTATCCCCCACAGGCTTCTAATAACGTATCTTCTCAATCTTCATCATTTTCCCAAGGACCTATGACTCAGCCAATATCCCAGCCATTCAGTCAACCTTTCTCCCAAACTGGGCAAATGAATATGACTGGAGGAGGAATGAGCCAAGGAGATTTCTCTCAACAAGAAGAATATAGATCACAAGGTGATATGCTCCTATCCCAGGATTCAACTTATCAGGGTGATAGGGCCTTTTATCAAAGTCTATCTCAACAAGGTCAATTGTCGCAATATTAAAATTCTCCCGAATTTTACGCGGTAAGAGACGAGAATGGTTCAGAATAGGCATGGAGAGAAGAATGCTGTAATATGACGTAAATGGGGAATGTTTACCACAGATGATGGTTCGCCACGTATAAACAATTTGAATTCTTGAGTCGGAAAGAATTTGAATACTTGAACATTTCCGATCAACAAATTTTGTTTTTAAATTTATATTTGGTGTAGTTGTTTACAAAATGTTGCTATAAAAATGACTAATAAAGAAAGTAAAAGAAGCTTTCGCTAATGTTTTTAAATCATATTTAATAGCGCTTGTTTAGTAGTTAATTCGAATTTTCATTGTGATCATAGCGATATCACAAAAAAAAGAAACTTTACCAAACTGTAAAATTTTGCTCCAGCCAACATTCTGAATCAAACTAATTTTTATATAATTAAAACATCAACTGTATAATTTTCGAAATCTTAAGTGCTGACTAAAATCTAGACATTAAACATATGATTGGCCTCATTGCTAACCGTCAATAGCCAAACGCCATAATTAATGGACTATCATGTCGAAGAGAATAGTAAGAAATTTCCAAAATAGGAAACAGATTATTATAATGATAAGAGTTTACAATTAGAAATTCAACGCCTTTCTGACCTTTCAGAAAAAATTTATGCAAAAATATTCCTCCTGTCTTTGACATATCAAATCAAACCTGAGACAGTTAGAAGACAAACGTTGATAATTAATGTAGGTGGACATTTCAATCTGCAACGTACTACAGCGCATTAAAACGTATCGCTTTAATAAAACCGGAACTTTACGTAGAAACAGTATTTCTTTCTATTTATAAGATACACGATACATGTTTTACTTGTTTGAGATAAGAATATAATGGAAACGTTTTTTGTTAATATTTTTGTGATAAGAATGATATCAGGTTTGTCATTGAATTTGCCGAATTTTCCATCGTCTCAAAAAACAAATTTATCAATTGACGGCGATATAAACTTGGGAATACTTTACGAAACTTACATCTATGATGAAGTTCCCTGTACTGGTAGACTTTATCAAAAAGGTATGTTCATTCCGGAGATGTTAACTTACCGATTGAAGAGATTTAATGAAAATAACGAGATATTGCCTAATATAACACTGGGTTTTATTTATCTTGATACGTGTGGCGGTGTAAATACTTATGCATGGAGATTTTTGGAATTAGTGAAGCATGATAACGGAAAATTTAAATCAAATGTTGTTGGTATTATTGGTCCTTATTCATCTGATCAAGCTATTTCTCTAGCTGGCCTTACATCGATTCTTCAAATACCAACTCTCGGAATTTATTCAACATCTGTAGAACTTTCTAATAAAGCTCGATTCAAATATTTTTCTCGGCTTGTTCCATCCGACGCTTTTGCCACAGAGGCAATGGTGGAAGTTATGAAAACTTTTCACTGGACATATATTCAATTGCTCTACATGGAGGGATCTTACGGAGAAAATGCGGCTAAAAATATTCAAAAATATACTAAAAAACACGATATTTGTATTGGATACTCTAAACGTTTCAATCATGATTTTACAGATAATTACGAAAATGTTGTAAAAAGAATGATTGAAACAAAAAAGGCTAAAATAATTGTTCTATTTCTCAATTCAAAAATCAGAACAAAACTCTTTACGACAATGAATGAAATTTCTCCAAACGAAAGGTTTATTTTTATTGCCGCTGATGCGTACAGTCGAAATTTTGGTAATGAACATTTACAACATGGAAGTTTGATGTTTGTTTATTCTGCTGGCAGAGATGAACAGTTTGAAAAACATTTTGATTCACTTAAACCTTCCGATACGGCTAACTACTGGACAAAAACTGCATGGGAAACATATGGCAATTGCCAATACGAAACAACATGTCAAAACTATCATAATATGTCAATTCTACGACCGAATTATGAAGGAATTATGTTAAAAATTGCTGATGGTATAGACGTTTATGCTACAGCATTAAATACTTTAATAACTACTGAATGCCCCGAGGCGTTTAAGGATAAATCTGTTTTAAAGGTTGTCAAATCAATCTATAAAACTCTGTTTTCTAAAATGTCATTAGAGTATTCCTAACATTCTTATTACAACCTTTAAAACAATTAGACTTGTATAACAGGCAACAGACTATTACGACATATCAGAAAGTCTCAGATAACCGCTCTTAGCGGTGTTCGCTACACATTCGACGATAAAGGTGATATGAATGGTTTATTCGAAATTAATCGCTTCACTTGGGAAGACAATATCTGGAATCGAGAAACTGTCGGAACCTACTCTAAACTTACAGATACTCTTACCATGTTTAAAGATTTAAACATTACTTCTGTTTGTAGCATTCCTTGCCGAAAGAAACAAATCATCGTACAGCAAAAACTTAAATGCTGTTGGCAATGTAAAGAATGTAGAGAAAATGAAATTCTAGTTAATAATCGAACAGATTGTCAAAAATGTCCGCAATTCTTCTGGCCAGGTTTAAATCAATCTTTCATATTTACAGTTTCTATTATTTGATCATATAAACATGTCGATATTTCAGATTCGGAGGAAGCTTTGGCATGTTTTCAAATTGATGATGAATATGTTAAATGGGGCGATTCTCTTGGGCTTCTCCTATTAGTTTTGTCTATAATCGGACTATTGGGCAACAGTGCTATTGTTGCAATATATGCTGTTTATAGAAATGAAAAAATAATTCGAGCATCCTCCAGTCATTTCTCTGTAATAATTCTATGTGGAAGCACAATTGGATATATGACCGTTTTGTTTCTAATTACAAAGCCATCATACGCTACTTGTTTAGTGAATCGAATAGGATTTCATTTAGGAGCATCCTTTATTTACGCTCCACTTTTAATGAAAACTCAACGAGTGTACAGAATCTTCACTGCTGGAGGAAAAGGTAAACAACAACCTAAAATGATTAGTAACAAATCGCTTATGGTTCTGACCACTATTCTCATATTGATTGAGGCGGTGTTCGTAATTACAAGTGTCATTTTATGGCAACCGTCGTCTGAAAGAATCCAACGTATAGAAACTGAACAGAAAGTAGAGCTAACATGTTCCAATCCGCCGATTTCTCTAGCGGTCCCTCTGGGGTTTAACGTATTGCTATTGTTAATATGTGTAACATTGGCTTATCTAGCTAGAAAACTACCAGAAAATTTTAACGAGTCATGGTACATATTTGTTTCTGTTGCGACAACGATTTTCCTATGGATTGTATTGTTACCAACATACTTTACCATGTTCTACATTTACTATAAAGTAGTCATTTTAGGAGTATGTTTACTTGCGAACGGATTTATCACCTTACTTTGTCTATTTTTGCCTAAAGTATATGCGTTATTTTTAGTGCACGAAGATGATATTACAGGTACTAGTATTTTAATGAAAAGAAGCACTATATATCCCACGCAAACCGAGAAACTTAGTTCTATTAGCAAAGATCAGTAAATATTGAAGATCATTTATTGAAATGTACATCTATGTTGTGAATTTTGGAAAATGTATAATAAATATTAAAGAAGTGTTTTGTTGTCAAAAGAAATGAAATATATTAGTTTAGAGATTTGTCTGTAAGTACACATACACTGTACGTGTAGTTAACACTAAATATTCTATTAAATGTATAATATTTATAGTTGTTTGACGAATTTAACTAAAACGTTATAATTTTTCATATAGTTTGCTTATTAAAGAAATTTGTTTGAAGTTTAGCTAATACAAATATAATAATTATATTTTTTTGTTTATTAATAATATGATCTAATTGTAACACTTGTAGGCAATTTATATTCATGACCATAATTAAGGGTTAATTAGTAATAATATTAATAATGTGCGGTAAAGAACAGGGATTCTTTATCGTACTTGTGAAATAGAACTAAGTATTTGCTTATAATAGGTAAAATATCAAAGGCGATATCTATGATTTTTCAAATTGTAAAGCTGTCTCGTATTTGTTATTGAATGCTGAAGAAGAAAAATGCTACACCGAGGAAGTTCAATGCTGATCTTCAATAGAATAATTTTAAAGGGAAAATATGTCATTGTAACTAACGATGATACTCTTTATCTATTGGACTAATGAGGAATAGAATAATATAATTCATCTTTTTGTCAAGAAATTGTAATTTGAACTAAAGCATTCTTCTTTTTGTGAGCAACATTGTTATGGACATATGTTATGTTGAAGAATTATTATAATTACAAATGCAGTATACATATAGGTGTGCTAGTGGACAAATCACAAAAAAGGGAGCTCTTATACATGAACTTCCCTTATCAATCGAAGGATATGTTACTTTCTTATATTCTTTTACTAACGTTGAAGTTTTCACAATCTTTCTATCCTCTACAGCAATATGATTTGAGTTATAAGAATACCTTAAATCAAAGTGGTGATTTAACAATTGGCATAATATTTCAAACGGATGTTACTGAAAAAAGAAATTGCCATGAAGGCGGTGGTTCCAAACTGGACTTGGTTCCAGAATTGATAAGACATAGAATAAAAATTTATAATGAAAACGCAAATATTCTACCAAATATTACGCTTGGTTTCCTTTTCTTAGATACTTGTGGAAAAATAAACGACTATACTTGGAGATCTCTGGAATTTATTAATGAAACTGAAGGAAGGAGAAAAAGTAAAGTTATCGGTATTATTGGTCCTTATTCATCCGATCAAGCTATTTCCTTAGCTAGTGTAACATCCGCAATTCATTTACCAACTCTCGGAATTTATTCGACATATGTAGAGCTATCAAATAAAGCACGATTTGAATATTTCTCTCGTCTAGTTCCACCTGACACCTTTGTAACAGAAGGCATGGTAAAGCTTTTAAAACACTTTGGATGGACGTATATTCAATTGTTATATACTGAAGGTTCATTCGGTGAAAATGCCGCAAAATACATGGAAAAATATACCAAAAAGAATGGAATTTGTATTGGATATTCAAAAAGATTTAGTCAAGATTATACAGATAATTATGATGAAATTGTTCGAAATATAATTCATCATAAAAAGGCAAGAGTTATCGTTATCTTTATTGTACTTCGAATGAGATTTCGACTATACTCTACTCTAAATAAATTGGCACCAAATGAACAATTCATATTTATAGCAAGTGATGCTTTTAGTCGAGAGAATGGCTACGAACACATCCAACATGGAACTCTAACATTTACTTATCCAGACGGTAAAGATATTGAGTTTGAAAAGTACTTTGAATCATTAACACCTAATGATCCGACATTATATTGGACAAAAAGATTATGGGAACAATTGGGAAATTGTGACTTTAATACAACTTGTAGAAAGTATAACAACATGTCAAATATAAATCCACTATTTACGGGTAATTTTAGGAAAGTAGCCGATGGAATTGATGTTTATGCTAAAGCATTACATAATTTAATATCTACAGAATGTCCGAAAGCATTTCAGAATAGATCAATATTGAAAGTTGTTTCTTATACATATATAATTCTCCTTATTTCTTAAATTACATATTAAAAGTCATTACATTCATAAATTATTAATATAAGTGTTAAGTCGATAAGGATAATATTTTAATTAATAGGCATAAGTACAACTTTCAATTTACTCTTAGAATGATTGCATTACTGGAGATAAGGTACTTTATTACTTAAGAAAAACTCAAATAACTAGTTTGAGTGGCGTAAAATACACATTCGACGATAAAGGTGATATGAATGGTTTATTCGAAATTAATCGCTTCACTTGGGAAGACAATATCTGGAATCGAGAAACTGTCGGAACCTACTCTAAACTTACAGATACTCTTACCATGTTTAAAGATTTAAACATTACTTCTGTTTGTAGCATTCCTTGCCGAAAGAAACAAATCATCGTCCAGCAAAAACTTAAATGCTGTTGGCAATGTAAAGAATGTAGGGAAAATGAAATTCTAGTTAATAATCGAACAGATTGTCAAAAATGTCCGCAATTCTTCTGGCCAGGTTTAAATCAATCTTTCATATTTACAGTTTCTATTATTTGATCATATAAACATGTCGATATTTCAGATTCGGAGGAAGCTTTGGCATGTTTTCAAATTGATGATGAATATGTTAAATGGGGCGATTCTCTTGGGCTTCTCCTATTAGTTTTGTCTATAATCGGACTATTGGGCAACAGTGCTATTGTTGCAATATATGCTGTTTATAGAAATGAAAAAATAATTCGAGCATCCTCCAGTCATTTCTCTGTAATAATTCTATGTGGAAGCACAATTGGATATATGACCGTTTTGTTTCTAATTACAAAGCCATCATACGCTACTTGTTTAGTGAATCGAATAGGATTTCATTTAGGAGCATCCTTTATTTACGCTCCACTTTTAATGAAAACTCAACGAGTGTACAGAATCTTCACTGCTGGAGGAAAAGGTAAACAACAACCTAAAATGATTAGTAACAAATCGCTTATGGTTCTGACCACTATTCTCATATTGATTGAGGCGGTGTTCGTAATTACAAGTGTCATTTTATGGCAACCGTCGTCTGAAAGAATCCAACGTATAGAAACTGAACAGAAAGTAGAGCTAACATGTTCCAATCCGCCGATTTCTCTAGCGATCCCTCTGGGGTTTAACGTATTGCTATTGTTAATATGTGTAACATTGGCTTATCTAGCTAGAAAACTACCAGAAAATTTTAACGAGTCATGGTATATATTTGTTTCTGTTGCGACAACGATTTTCCTATGGATTGTATTGTTACCAACATACTTTACCATGTTCTACATTTACTATAAAGTAGTCATTTTAGGAGTATGTTTACTTGCGAACGGATTTATCACCTTACTTTGTCTATTTTTGCCTAAAGTGTATGCGTTATTCTATGTAAAAAATGAAACGTTACGTTGTACCACAAATGAAAGTAAGCATACTTCAGTTGGACCGAGTCAATAGTTATATGAGCTTTCAGATATATCTTCTGGCAGATGAATGTTAATTAAAAGAAAATATTTTATGGAGGTTGAGAAGTGTAACCTAATGTTAGTTTAACCTTGTCTTTGTCAGTATTTTTCGTGTGAAATACAATGAAAAATCTATAACATAGAAATATCAATCTCTCAGTAGGAAAGGTAGGCAAACCTTTTCATAATTTAGTCTTAAGCAAACGATTAAGAGAAAATTCTCTTGCTTCTCTGGGAATTTAAAAGCGGTGCAATGTTGCATTCATTTGCTCCATTTCAAACAAATTGGAAAAGATTGATAATATAAATGTATAGAAAGTTTTATAATTGAAATAAGCTTATATCATTGTAGAATTTATCTATAAATTGATTTAAGAAATTGAAAATGTATGTGAAAACTAAAAATTGTTTGAAATGAGGAGAGTCTAAAATGATTTCGTCAATATTCTAGTATATTTTTGGGAGCGCCATCTGCCTTATTTTAATCTAATATCGTCTGCAAAATGGCGTTTTCACCTCTCATGAAAAGGTCATCTTTGATATTTTCAACCTTATATTATTATGAACCGAAGATCATTTCTAGATGTTTATCGCGTAATTAACATCAATAATTTCTTTAAGTTGCATTGTTTTTGTGTGCTTTAGACTTGAACAATTTCATTATTTATTGCAGATACCACATGTGTCTACTCCAAAACCTTATCAAGTTTATACGAAACACGAATTAAATCAGGAGAATTAGATAATGACGAATTTCAGAGATTAATCATAAAGGAAGAGTTCGAACCATTGAGGGATCGTTTAGAAAATTATGTTCCTAATTCCTTTGAACGGCAGGTCCGGTTGATACCAGTAAATATATTTCCCAATACGAAATATTATAAGAATATTTAAATGATTTACAAGTTTCAACTGCTATAGAAATTATTTAGAAAGAAAAAAGTTGAAAAACCTAAAGGACTTTATCTTCACGGTAGCGTTGGTTGTGGCAAAACAATGCTTATGGATTTATTTTATGACACATCTACAATAGAGAAGAAGAGCCGTCTTCATTTTCATGAATTTATGGCTAATGTCCACAAAAGTAATAGAAATGATAAAGTTAATAATTTGAATTAAACATTTTTTCTACTTTGGTAGAGATACACGCCTTTAAAGAAACTATTCCCAGGGATAAGACAGTTAGAATACATGAAAGTTTTGATCCTATTCCTCCAGTTGCCCGTAAAATTGCTGAGGAGTCTTGGCTATTGTGCTTCGATGAATTTCAAGTAACTAACATAGCCGATGCTATGATTTTAAAAAGACTCTTTACGTTCTTATGGGAATATGGAGTTGTTGTTATCGCTACATCAAATCGCCCACCTGAAGAATTATATGAAAAAGGTTTACAAAGAAGTAACTTTGTACCATTTATTCCTTTATTACAGGTAAACTATAAAGTTAATTATAGATTTTTATATTATTATCATCTATCTCTTCTGCAGGAAAATTGTATAGTTAGGGATTTAGACTCAAAAATTGATCATAGGGTTTTGAAAGTGCCATCTACAAGTCAAATATTCTTTGTGTTAGTATTGTTTCAAGAAATAAGTTATTCAAATAAGTCATAATAATAAAATCTATAATGAAATATATAGTACACATAAATGTGACTCTGTAAAAGAAATGGATAGGATATTTGAAGATTTAACAAAGAAGGAGTCCGGAGGTAAAAACATTTACTTTACATTATGAATTAGTCCTATAATCCGTAATTTATTTCCAGTTGAAGGAGAAAGAGTCATAACAGTTAGGGAAAGACAAGTTAAGTTCGTAAAAACGAAGGGAAAAGTAATTGACTGCGATTTTAAGGAGTTGTGCGATAGACCACTTGGCGCTGAAGACTATTTAGAGATATCTAAAGAATTCAATACACTTTTATTAAGAAATATTCCAATATTAACGAAAAGAAATAAAACTGCTGCTAAAAGATTTATTAGTCTTATCGATACAATATATGACGAAAGGGTACGTTCATTGTTATCAATAATCTATCTGTAATTCTAATTACTTGTTAATCAGATGCAACTTGTTTGTTCGGCTGATGCAACAATCAATTATTTATTCTCAATTGGTAAAGAACTAACTGACGAAGAAGAGCACTTTAAAAGGATTGTCATAGGAGATTTGGATATTAAAAAAGTAATTTATTAATGATTTTATTAATTCTTATATTTGTATATTTTTTATAATTAGGGTGACCCAAATGAAGAATTAGCTCTTTTCTCTGGTCTTGAAGAACAATTTGCAGTTGAAAGAGTTGTTTCTAGATTAATTGAGATGCAAAGTGAGGAGTACTGGAAGGATTGCGAAAAGAAAAGAAGCACAAGAGAAAAATAATTGTGACTCTAAGAGATAATTTGCTAACGCGTGTTTTCCTTCTAATAGTCAAGATATTTAAATATAATGTTGGTTTAAAAGAATTAATAATTGAAATGTTCCTTATTTTTGGCGCGAAAATAACTATCTTACGAAACTTTTTGAGCGGAAGTTAGCCGCCATTTTTAAGTGCTAAACGCGTCACAGTGAATCACTAATAAGGTGAGGTTTCTTGCGAAATACTCTATTAATAAGCTTAATCGGATCCTATAAAATACGCTACTAGAAATTTTATTCACAGATTTCTATAAATTCACTTATTTTGAGGAGAATCATTCCCTACTAAAGACTCAATGGAAGAAAAGGACGTCTTCCTTTTCGTGCCGAATCTAATCGGCTACGCAAGGATAATACTCGCTCTGATCTCTTTCTACTTCATGCCAACAAATCATGTTATAGCTACATTCTGTTACTTACTATCTTCATTCCTGGATGCCATAGATGGACATGCTGCCAGAATGTTAAATCAAAGCTCAAAGTTCGGAGCAATTCTCGACCAACTGACGGATCGTTGTGCAACAATGTGTCTTTTGATTACACTGTCACATTTCTATCCAAGTTGGATGTTTATTTTCCAGTTGTCAGTTGTAATCGATATTGCTAGTCATTGGATGCACCTACAATCATGTCTGATGAAAGGTATCGAAAACCACAAGAAGATGGACCTATCTAAGAACAAAATCCTAAAATTATACTACACGAATCGTAAAGTTTTGTTCTGCATGTGTGCCGGAAATGAGTTATTCTATTGTATGCTTTATCTTGTTTATTTTACACCGGGACCTGTAGTTCCTCTTGGTCCACTGAGTTTTGGCATATATTCGGCAATATGTATTCTGTGCGCTCCTATAGCATTAGTTAAATCTGGAATAAGTTTGGTGCAAATGTACGCTGCCTGTATCAATTTCGCAAGCATTGATGTTGCCGAGATTTCAAAACAACCTAAAAGAAGTTAAATATAGATTTATTGTCAATGTTAGTTATTCATTTTCGTAGAAAGCACATTTTGTTTTTCGTTCTCCTTGTTTCCTATTTGTCTCGTTCGATTCATTAGATCGAAAGAAAAAAGTTCCTTAGAGCTATTAATTTATGTCTCCAAACATGCTATTTACGCAAAAACAACAGCTAAATATCGTCCGGTACTGAACAAAAAATTGAAATATTTTGACTGCATGAATTGTTTGTACTTTAAAAAAAAATTGAACAAAATTCAAAGTAAAAGATGAAAAAGTCTTTATATTTTTATATCTTGTCTATAGAGAGAGTTACCTATGAATGAAGAAGATACTTGAATGAATAATCATGCTTGTTCGAAGGTAAAGTGAAACATATCGGTAGAAATGTAATTTAAGTTAATTTTTGCCTGTTTTATTTACTTTGTTCTAACAAATAAGCTGCATAATATTGACACGAAAGGACGAAAAATAATAAAAGACTCGAATAAATATTTTAGAAAGAGTGTTTTCTTAGTCTTAAAACGGAAGACATGGAAGAATTTAGGCCGACCAGCGACAAAATTTTAAATATGCCAAACGCATTGGCAACAGTTAACTGGTTCAAAACAAATACCGACTCGCTGCTTTCTATCCAGAATAATATCCGGTTTAAATCTTTCAGCAATCCAAAACGGTATTAGGAAGACGAAATAAACTGTTGAATAAATAAATCTATAGTTAAGATAGTCCTTACTTATGGTACTAAAATATTTAATAATCTACCGGTAGAGAGTAGTATCAGTACACAAGCAGCAATTGAATAGTAATAGAGCTCATTGGTACTAATCCTCTGAAGAAAGTGAAATAGCATATTTTATCATTTGCAAAAAAGTTCCACATTTATAAAATATTTCTTACGCAATAGCCGGCTTGAGCTGTATAGCCTACAGTAACAAGTCCACTAATAAACGTTACCAAACCGAATATATGGAAAACCAATTTTACTTCCCAAGGAACTGGATCCATTATTCCAAATAATACAGAGAATCCGCAAAGGCATAGTGTTAGGACTAATGATAGAATTAGCAATTCCAAAAGAGGCTGAGCACAGTAACGTTTCGTATGCTCGAAAGAGAGTACAACAATTTGTGGAATAATTAAAGCAAACGTAAAAATGAAGAGAACAATTCGACTGTAAGCAAAAGAAGAGAAAAAAATATTTTCAGTTTATTTACATTCCCCCAAAAAAACCTTTCAATTCAAGTTTGCTGAATAAAAGTGTAACGAAATATAGTTAAATTTTGAATAGTTAACTCACATTTTAATTCTATTGTTTCTCGGGAACCATCTAATTAAATGATAAACAATATGAGGCCAAAAATATTGCCACATAATTTCCTTTCCCTTCAAAAGAGAGAAATCTTTTCTGTTACTATTTCTTATTGATTTTTGACCATTCAATCAAGTTTATTTGCGTTGTTACCAGTCATTTTATTCAGTGGCGACATCTATTATTAATTATTTAATGCAATTCAGTTTAAAGAAGATATAACTTTATTTACCATTTCATTAATAATATGCATTACTCGATGAAGATTCTGTCCAATGTGAAATTTCATCAGACTCGTTAGAATTACCATTGAATAGTTTCAAGTGTTTCCTCCTGGTCTTTAAATAGAATGTAGAAAGTGATAGAAATATTACTAATAAACTGGTAATTACTAAAGCTGTTATTGATATTCCTAATTTCCATGTCTAATTAATAAAGAAACCTTTATTAAATATTTTAAAAGAATTCTCTTTTTATTACTTGGATATCACTTTTTCTAGGATCAATTGTAGTTTTATCTGTAACGTGTTCAAGGGATCATTATGGAATAATTAGTACGAAAGAATAGAGTGCAGATTACCAATAATTATATTTTTAGTTGAATTATATATATTTAAAGTTATTACTGTTGTTTGAACGCTAGCATTATTTAAGCTTGTTGATTCTGTTAATTCATTTGGTGTAGAACTATTTATAAACGTTTTAAAAGTTGTAGATTGCTCATAATCTAAACAAAGATTGTTGTAATTCATGCTATAATTAATAGAACAGTAATTTTTTATGGTAATTTCAAGTTCGTCTCTTGAATTTTGAAAGAAATAAGACATTTTTGTCTTTTTATTAATAAGTTCAAGAGTACTATGTTTCTTCAAAGTCAATCTATATATTACTAATTTGAACAACCATTCCAATTTACATAGGTATTCGTAAGGTAGTTCCTCCTTATAAACTTTTAACTTTAACTCTTCTATATCGTTTAAAAGATAGAGGCAAAATGTAGTACTTAGATTTAAAGGTAATATAGTAAGATCATCTAAGATAATGTTTAAACTTCGTAATTTGAATGGATATACTTGAATGGGTAAGAATTTTTTAATAACCAATTCGTCAACTATTTCAATTCGAAGAGGATAACCACTACAATAATTTTCGTAAAAATTAAATGATCCATCCTTAATCACTTTACCATGCCAAATAAATATCAATTTTTCAACTTTCTTAATAAACAATAAACATATAATTGGATTATGACCATTGTTAATGCCTATTTCTAGTACTTTAACATATTTTAAACGTGAAGGAATAAAAATTCGAAGACCAGGACTATTACAATAATGGAATTTTATTATTCTAACATTTTCCAATATCTGAACATGACTGTATGTAAGAGAGAGAGAGAGAAAAAAGCGCCATATTTAGAATGATATCGATGAATATCGAAAAAAAGAAAGATAAATTTATTTTAATTGACCTACTTAAATATTTTTGAAATATTCTTATTTAGTTTATAATTATATATTTCTTTACATTGAAACGTTACTTTCTCGATACTTTGACCTAAAAATATATAAATATTAATCTAATTTGATTATATAGATAAATGATAAAATTCTTATAAAATAACCGTAGAAACATTCTCCGGAAGACCAGCAATTTATTTCCAGTTCTAAATTTGAATGAATACACGAACAAGTTTCCTCATTCTATTTTTATTTGAGAATTTTCTTATTAAACTCATATTTTCAATAAATTTAAACTTACAATCTTTAAATGATTATATATTATTTCTTGCTTATTATTATACACTGTTTTTATTAGAATAATACAAGTATAATAATAAAGTATTCGGAAGTATTTGATCATTTTACGTCATTACTTAAATCTTTATTTATCCATATCCATTTATAGAGAATTTAACAATTTCTTATAAAATTACAATAATATTTATATATAAAAACACCTCTTATTAAAATATTAATAAACATTGTTTACGAACATTTTTAAATCGAATATTTCTCTTTTAACTTTTGTCAGAATTTTTTATCAATATTTATTATATTTATATACTACATATATAAATATTTAGATTTTAATGAGCTTAATGGATATTTTTACAATAATTGATATGTATTATATTTCATGAGCTTAAATAAAAAAAACTAATTTAAAAATTTTGAGGCTAGAGGGCGTTGATGACTAGTCTGGTTCGGTTTTCTGCAAGATAGAACATTTTGAAAAACCTTGACCTTAGAATTTTTCCCGATGTTGACAATTTGCTGCGATTCTGGGGGATATTTCCATGCTCTATTCCTGTTCAAGCAACTATATGTATTTTTGAAGGGATATATATTTCTCGTTTAGGAAACTTATAATATAAGCTAATCATGTCTTGGCGAGAAATTGTTTTGGAACGTAAATCGAGGCTAGATTCGAAATGGCTTAAATTAGATCTAAAGGTCTCTATTTCCCTACAAATATTTCAAAGTGATAGATGATAAACAAATCAACTTTTTATTTTTTTAGGACATATTTATCGATAACTTCCTCTTTTCCTTATGGAATGAGCTTGTAGAAAGCGGTGAAGTTCGCTTTGTTGATGTTGACAACGCAGATGGTGCTAAACTACAGCCTTCATGCGAAATCTTCAAATTATGGATTTGGAGAGATGACATTAAGCGTTCGGACCTAACCAATTGTCTTGAAAGTGTTTTAAAAGAACAGCAAGATTTATGCTGCGAAGTCGGTCGAAGTACTAAGAGTGCCATGAAGATCAGATATCAACTTGTAATACTAGAACGTTATATGTTAGCTTTAAAAGCAGAAAATTTAAAAGGAAACATTCGAAGAGAGGTCAACACCTCGAAAAAAGAAAAATATGCTCAAGAAAATATTGATAAACAGAGAAGGTGACCACTTTATTAAAAAAATTATATCTTTTAGTCTCTAATATTCTGTATTCGAATCTTATAGCCTGCATCAGAAAAAATCGGAAAATCTATCTGCCAGCTTTGCAAAAGTTGGTTCAAGAACTGCTTTTTCGTTTATCAGCTTCTCTCTTAAAAGAGCTTGGCGATCTGGAGAAGATTGCGATTTGTGCTCAGAATTCCTACAAGACGCTCTCGAAGCTTTAAGAGACATTGAACCTGGTAGCATGTTTCAAATCGATTCCTCCACCTCCGTTTGGTTCGATTTAATGAAGAAAATCGAAAATTTCTTAGATACAGTTATTCAAGGGTATAATTGAAATAACAAATTGGACTATGTCTAATATTTAATTTGTATTTTTTCAGACATATTTCTAGTGGAACAGGAGCATCATGTAGTTTACCAATCCCTTTAGTTGATCAACAAACGGCTTTGGGCATTTTCATGGAGCTAACTTTACAAAAAGCAAGCGTCAGCGACCTGATAAATGCTATTATCCTCCTTTTAAATTTATGGTCTAGTGGTAGAAGACATAGAAATGATAATAGGTAAGAGAAGAACAATAGTTTTGCTATTTGATTGATGTGATTTTATTGCTATTCTTATCTATTGTTAACAGATTTAACAACTTTATAACAAGTGCTCCTCTATTACATTTTATTAAAAGAATGAGTAATTTAAAGATTGAAGATGGAGCAAATATTGAAAACGATGAGAGAGAAATAGATGAAGTATTCTATTTCATTTACTCCAATTAAAGTTAAATATACTAGAATTTTAATTTTTTTAATAGGACGAACATACGGGACCGAATGCAGTATTTTTACGTTTTCTCCGTCTTCCTAGAGATGAGAATTTATTAGTAGATTTAGGTCTATGTGCAGTTGTAATGCTTGCTCATTTAGACCGATTAGCGTCACCATATATATCCAAATTCTCTAAGGTAGATATATCGAAATCGTAGTAATATTTTGTTCTTATACTGAAAAAAATACATATTTTCCGACAGCAAAAACAAGATAGTAACCGTCTGAAAAGTAATTTGTATTCTTTTGATTGTAATATTCAATCTAAAGCAGTCGAGCTTGACAAGTTGTTTGAAAATGAGGAAATTTATAGTATTGCTTGTTCGGATCAGTATCTTTTTATAATAACAGCTTCTTACAGCTTGTATTTCGTTTCGAACAAAAAAGATAATGAAGTATGACAAGTTTTATTACAAATTTCGACATAGTAAAATTTTTTCCTTCTAAAGTGTCTAAGACTGGTTGAAGCTTTGAGAGACGAAGAAATTATTCAAGTGGCTGCCAATCCTTGTGCCAAACATGTTCTAGCACTTACCTCAAAAGGAGCTGTTTATGCTTGGGGTAAGGGCAGTGAAGGACAATTAGGATTGGGATCTGAAATGTGAGTTCAACTTTTTAAAATATTAGTATTTTAATTGTTTTAACTTTAAAATCAATTAGCTGCACTAATGAACCTACCAAAATTGTGGATTTTGAGGGAACTGTAATTGTCAAAGTAGCTGTAGGCAGTAGCTATAGTGCGGCTGTAACTCAGAATGGCAAATTATATACATGGGGAAGCGGAGAAGTTGGACAATTAGGGCTGGGTCATAATACTCGGGAAAATACTCCTCAATTAGTCGAATATCTTGCCGACGTTAAAGTCGTAGATGTTTCCTGCGGAGGTCCTAATGCACATACATTGTGTGTTACTCAATTAGGAACAGTACTTGCATGGGGAGACGGAGAATATGGAAAAAAAGGCACAGGAGTTTTTGAATACACGGACATTCCTAAACAAATTGAACTTACGAATATAAAAAAAGTTATTGCTGGATCACACTTCTCTATGGCACTTAGTCATTCTGGTGTGTTGTATACATGGTAAATTTTATATGCTGTACCATTTTCTTTTCCATTAGGCTTATAATATCATTTTCTGTGTTTAGGGGAAAAGGTGACGATGCCTTGTTGGGTCACGGAACAAAAGAACACTGTTGCCTACCTAAGCAAGTAGAAACTATCGGCGAAGTTATAATTGACATATCCGCTAGTTTTTATCATTGTGCAGCATTAACGAATAAAGGAGAGGTTAATTTTGTCATATTTAATTTAATTATACGTTCATTGTATGTGATTGTTTTTACAGTTATACATTTGGGGAAAGAAAAGTTTTAATCAATATGGTTCTAAACCTTTAAGCTTAAATAATCTTCCTTTTAAACTTTCAACAAATGGAAGAAGCCATAATAAATTTGTTGGATTATGCTGTACTCCACATTCGACTTTAGGATGGAGTAATTCCTCTGATAGGAGTGTTACTTTGCCCCTGAGACTACCGTTTATCATGGATGTCAATCAAAGATGCTTTGAGCAATTAGATTTTCTTTTGTCAGATGTTTGTTCCGGTATGGATGGGACAGATGAAAGACCTCCTAGCCAAAGAAAAGAGTGTATGACCGTAGCAACTCTACGCTTGCTACATATACAACTCTACTCAGCCATTTGTAACAATTGTAACCCTTCATCAATTGGTCTGAATGAGGATGGAGAATTAGTTAAAAGTCTTAGTTCCAAAATTGTGCTTTTAGCAAGTAATGCCCATATTGTTAACACTATTCAAGAAGCTGCTCAAGAGGTATTAACAGTAGCCTGGTCCTTACTACTGCCAACTGCTTTACAGAGAGCAAAGGCTTTATCTGATCTCTTACCGTTATCATTGTCCCAAAGTAATCTTCATTCAGGGCAAGAGTTTATGACTAATCTTCTTGTAGAAAGTCTAATGGCAGACAATGGATTGAATTCGGCTTTGGAAAGTGCTATCAGGAATGAAAAATTAGACGTTGAAGCTAGAAAGGAAGATGACACGAAAGAAAAAACTATTGATAAAGTTTTGTCAAATGATGAAATTGAAATTGATCAGAATAATATTCCCCTTCTCTTCCTTATTAAACAACTACTGCGGAGTATAGCAACTCAAACAAAAAGCCAATTAAAAGAAGTTAGAGCCAATTCACCACTAAGAAATCAAATGATAAATTCAGATTCTTCATGCACTTCATTTAAATTATTTCAACAATTTCATAGAATGTTAACTTTTGAAATATTTGATTCTGAAAACGGAATGGATAATTTAGGTTTTTTCTACTTTGTTGTACTTTTTATCCTGATTTAAAATTTATTAAACATTTCCTCACTTTAAAGATATCCGTAAGGAGGCTATGATGAAATTACTTCAAAAATATGTTAACCTTTTGCATAGTCATTTAATGGATATTCTTCCTACTGCTATCAGTCTGCTGGATAATTTATCTTCTTCTCATTTCCTTCACATCAGCAATATATTATCGCAAGATGTAATCGGTATGATATTATTTACCTAATCAAAATGCAATGAAAGTAACTATGATCTCATTCAGGGACACTTTTACCGGAACTAGTCATCAACTTAACCTTCCTGCAAACAAAAGTCCCATCTTTACTTTTATCAACAGATATTGTAACCCCATTGCGGGAAATTTTATTTTTGTTGGATAGTTTTAATGCCTACGCTCCAGGTAGTCACTACGATGAAGAGACGGATCTTGCTTGGGCAGGAGAATATGGTAGATAATTAACTCCCATTTTCAATTTACATAATTACATTTAGTAATAAACTTGTTTCTTGAAAAATAGAATCTCAATTAAAAAATAGACAACAAATGGAAATCAAACGAAAGGCTGCAAATAATATTCGATTTAGAGACGTTGAAAATGAGAATCTGGATGGAGGAAAATGGAAAATTTTGAATGGAAATGTCTATGATTTAAAAAAATTGGATATTATTCCAACAGGTATAACTTATCTTCGTTATTAGACGTCATTTAGAGATCATTTTTCTTTATTTAGATGAAAATTTAGATCGCCTTGATGAAGAAGAATTAAAGAAATGTTTCGTTGGTCCTTATTTAGATGTAAATCATAACAATTTGTTGCTTACTAATAGTCAATTGAATGTCTTTTTTAACTTTCAGTCGGATGATGAAATTGTTGAAACAGCATATTTTGATAGAACATCTTCACCGTTTGCTAATGTTGAAAGAAACTTAGCTCTATTTTTAGGTTCTTTCTTCGCTTCACAAGTAAGGGGTTTAAATGAAGAACAATGCGAAGAACAATGCAGGTAGAAAATATCTAACAATTATGCAATTGCATTATTCTCCTAAAATGATTATTAATTTTAAGTGCATGGCTTTCAAGTGAATTATTTTCCGGTGGTTTACAAACTCTTTTACCTCAAGATCCTTTTAATGAAGAGAAAGGAGAGAGCACTGCAGTTACACCAGTATCAAACCCTCCCGATCAGATGAAATTAGCAAACAAAGAGAGGATATCTGAAAAGGATACAAATTTAACTGATTTTGCTGATTCATTCATAAAAGCGCTTGCTGAAAGGGATATTACAGATGAAATTGTCATTAAATTTTTAGACGTTCTAGATACCTACTGTGGAACCCATTATTTATATATTTCCACACCTTTCCAAAAAGATCATCCCGTTGAAGAATCAGGAAGGTTAGCAAAGGTATTAAATCATGTAATCAAAGCTGACAGGTTAAAAATTTTTACAGATTGATTTTAGCCGTGTTGTTAAGACATTTGGATATTGGCCTATTAGCTATGAATTTAGCAAGGGATGAAGAAAATGAAGAGAAGAAATGCTCTAATTTACCCAAGAGTTTAGTTGAAGTTTGTAAAGCTGTTTGCCGAGCGAAGCAAGCAATCATAAAGGTATCAATGACATTGTTCTCCGTTGATTTATACTAAACAAATTACTGCTTAAAATAACAGATTCATCAAGAGCAAAACAGGTCTTATAAGGAAATCTGCAGCCCAATTATGGAGAGATGTTACTTTTTAATTAACGAACTACGACCAACAAGTATTTCAAATGCTTTACTAGATGGCTTTAGGTGTCGAATGTTAAAATCAGAATCTAGATGGCAGAGAGCATTGGCGTATACTTTGAATCTTATTCGCACAGAGAAAGGTTGGATACTATTTAAAGTTATGTTCAATAGCATTCACAAAATATATTTTTTATTGATTTAGCAAACGAATTCACTTTGAAACCGAATGATTCGTATAGTTCAGATGAACAACTTTCTCAACACAGTTCTGATGTTGACTTATCCGAAGTTAGGGTAAAATTATGTCCCACTCAAGATTCAGAATTCGAATTATCCTCGGATTCGGCACCCCTCTCCCCTGAAAATCCTAAAGCTAAAGGAAATTCTCGTGCTCAAGAATTATGGTCATATGTTAGGTTGGCTGTAACTAATCCTAAACAATTAGGATGGTTAAAACAGAGACTCGCCGGGACAGACTCCAATCCGAATGTTCTCAAAATTATCTACGATTTTATATTACACTCAGAAGCAATAGATATAGATGTAATACGAAGGAGTTTACACCACCAGATGAAAAGAGCTGATATGAGATTGAAAGGAGTACAGAACATGCTACAAATTCTTTATCAAAAAAATTTACTACCTTCTGCTGAATATGCTTTGCTTTCCGGTTGGCAAGGTATAACAATTCAAACATCAAATAGGGTCCCTATACCTCACACATTGAGAATGGTTAACCTTATACCACCATGCGATCGAGTCCTTTTAGAATCCGCTTTTGCCGATCTTACTACTTGGACGCTCAATGCTTTTCGAAAAGGTATAATGAAAGCCAGAGAAAAACTCAGCCAACAAGCAGAAGGAGTAAGATGGGTACCAATTAATCTTTTCTATATTATTAATATAATTTTTATTGCAGAAAAAGATAGAAGATGGCTATATTCCCTTATCGGAACTTCGACACTTAATACACTATATCGGTCTATTAACACAAGAATACTATTCCCCTCAGACTGCAATGATTTTAAGAAATGGGATTTTAGCACTTTTGGATGCTTTTAGAAAAATTTATTGTAAGTTTTAATATAAATTTTTATTATGCAAAATTATTATTGAGTGAACCTCGCAAATAGGTTTATCAACTGACAAGAAAGTCCAAAATGAATCTATATGTCATGTTCAAGCAATCTTTGAAAAGTGTCTTAATTCGAAAGTAGTTGTGCAAGTTCCTACATCTGGTCCTGAATTAGTGACAATGATGAAGAAAGGTGTCAAAGTTCAAAGAGGCCTTGATTGGAAATGGGCCGATCAAGATGGTCCCAAACCTGGAATTGGCCGTGTTATTAGCGACGTTGGGGATGATGGGTGGATTAGAGTACAATGGGAAACTGGAACAACAAATTCCTATAGAATGGGAAAAGAAAATAAATATGATTTAAAGCTCTCTGAATCTTACGCTGATAATGACAGTGATTCGGAGACAGAATTTTCTTTACCATGCGATGACTCGACTCATCTGAATAAATCTAATACTGTACAGAATGCTACTAGCTCAGCACTTGAACATTTAGAATCATCCATTTGTCTTTCGACTGCTCTACATATATCTGTCGAAGAAAAAGCATCGGTAAAGAGCTTATGTAATTTGCTTAAAACTAGGGCTCTAGAGGATGATAGCTACTCTAATTGGGTAGGAATAGTTCAAAGTATGACTTCATCTCCAGCAGTCTGTTTTTCTTTGTCATCTCCTTCTTGGCTAAACCTTCTATTTGACTTGAGTCAGAATTCTCGGAGCGGAATTACCAAACGGGTTTTAGCTCTCAGAGTCCTATCTTCAATTCTCCTATCTTGGAGTAAGTCTAATGAACGAAGAATGAGAGATATTCTCGATAAACTGCTATCTACTATTGGTTGTTCTCTTCTCGAATGTAAAAATGATCCAACACTAATGGTTCAAGATGGTAGAAGAACAAGGCGAAGGAAACGAGCTTATTCTTGCTTAACTGCATCTTACACAAGTACGATAGCAGAAGAAGGTATTAAGCTGGTTAGGACTTTACTTAGCTCGGCGGCGTGGAGTGAAGAAGTAAAACTAACGCTAATGCAATATTTAAAAATATTACCTCAATTGGTTAATCCATCAATGGATGAAAATGTTAGTATTTTCAGATTTTAATTATAACAAAAATTGTATATATCGTATATGCTATATTATATAAAACAGGATTTAACTGGCAATATTAAGGAAGAGATGACTTTAGCAGTATTATATGTCATTGGTGGAGTTGATGCCAGAGTAAGGATCGGGGGCAAAGTTCAACACGAAAATGATGGACTTGGTACTGTTATAAAAATATCGCTGAATAGTAAAGTCACCGTACTATTTGAAGGTTCAAATGATATAAGTTTATGTAAACTTGAAGAACTACAACCGGTTAGTTATTTAACTAAATCTACGTGCTATAATCAAAATGATCTTAAATTGAACTATTTTAGGTTGAATTAAGTACTTTCGACTTAAGAAAAATGCCTCTAGATTTAGATATTTGGTCATATCTTGTGAGAATTGCAGCTGAGGGGTTGAATGGAAACTGTAACATCTTTCAATCTCATGGAGATCAAGGTAAAATGTTAATTAGAAATATAAACTTTTAGCTTACATTTTAAAATGAGATTTTATTCTAATACAGATAATGTTCGACCAAGTTTGTTGTGGAGACAGAGATTAACTTTAGCTGTTTGTCGAGCTGCTAAAATTTTTAACAACCATCAGGATATTCTACATCAAATTTTACAAAAATCGGAAAAAAATTGCACCTTATTTAGATCAGTTTTAGCCTGTGCCGTTAGACCATCACCGATAAAAGCTATATTTAGTACTGATAACCAAATGGAAGATGCTGCTAGAGCTTTATGTCAACATTTAGCTACGATTGCAAATTATCAAACTACAAACGATGAATTTTCAGCGTCTTCTTCAAACGAAGATGCTGATGAAGAGGACAACAATGAGTCTGCTGCTGAAGGAGCGACTGCAATGTCGGAAGAAAGTGTGGATAATTCGACACTTTTTCCACTTTTATCCGCCAGACAAGAACCTCCTCATATAAAACAAAGGAGGACTGACCAAAGGCTACAATTTCCTAGACGGAACAGACATAACGGAATATCATCGGAAACTTTCTCTCAGCTAGTTGACATGGGATTTTCACCACGTAAAATTGAACTAGCAGTCGAAGCCGTTACGCCAGTAACTATTCGACCAGGAGTTGAAACACCAGCTGTCTATATTGAACTACTAATTGCTTGGCTATTGGATCACGAAACAATCGAACAAGATCTAATTGAATTGTCAGATTACGACACCGATTCGTGTGGACCTTCATCAGTATGTTCTTCATCATCAAGCGAGGGTACTGTGTGTTCTTCTCCAGAAATGGTATATGGCCCGCAAACCCCATCATACAAAGTTAGAAGTGACTTTACGAGTGATGATTGCTATGCAGAATATGTTCGGGACAATTTAGCCGTAGGAATGTTGGTGAAATGCTGTGAAGCTTATGAAAAGGTATCTCAAGGCGATATTGGAGTTGTCACTCAACTAGATATTGGTAGCTTACACGAATTGAATGCTAATGTAGATTGGACACTTTACAAAGGGAAATATTGGGTTCGATTTACAAATCTAGCCATAATTGGAAGAACTTCTCGTGCTAGATCGGGTGGTATACCTAATTCTCTTAGGAATAAAGTAAGAGTACGTTTAAAATCTAAAAGTAGTAGGACAGCAAGCATAAAGCAACAGAATATCGGTACCGTTATGTTCACTGCACCGAACAAAAAAGATGTAGTAGTTGCTTTTCCAGATCAAGAAGGATGGACAGGTCAAATGGGAGATTTAGAGGTAATAAAGAATGCTGATAAATTATGCCATACCTGCTCTAAGTCTCTAACAAAAGGTGTAATTTATAACTGTAAATGCACGCAATGTAAAGGCAGGTTTCTCTATTGTTCAACTTGCTCGAAAGATGCCTTCAAAAAATGTTCTGAGCATAAATTTGAAAAACGAATGGCTGGAATAGATTTACTTGACAATTGGCAAGCCTGCGTTCGGCACATGACTGTCTCGTCTACGTCTACTTCAGCTCATCGTATGATAGATGGCGGTAGCGGTTTCTGGCAGTCGCACGGACAACAAGGACAACATTGGATAAGATTGGAAATGCATCCATTTATCCTAGTTTCTCGTTTATGTATGAGAGTTGATCCATCAGATGCGTCATATATGCCCAGCCTAATCACGGTTTCAGTTGGTCAATCAGTAAATCAGTTAGAACTTTTGCACACGGTTAAAGTTCAATCAGACGACGATCTAGTTGTTTTAATTCAAGACGCCAGCGCATATTATAAAATTATCGAGATACAAATAAAACAATGTAGGAGTTCCGGAATAGATTGCAAAATCCATGGTCTTAGTATTGTAGGCAGAAGGTGTGCTGAGGAAGATAGAGCTGCTGCCTCTGTTAAATTTTTAGCATCAGACGAAGAAGACGAAGACTCTCGAGCGATTGTTCACCCTCCTCTTCCGAAAGATCATAAATTTCCATCAAGAATACAAACTCAAGTTTATGTTTGGGGTCTCAACGATAAGGACCAATTGGGAGGTCCGAAAGGATCTAAAATAAAATTGCCTTTCCTGAACGACAATCTATCAAGTTTAAAAGTAGCTGATATTTGTGGAGGAAGTAAGTCTTTATTTGCAGTTACTCATGATGGCCGAGTATATGCATGTGGAGAGGCAACAGGAGGAAGATTGGGATTAGGGATTACATCTGGCGCAGTCTCAGTTCCAAAACAATTGAAATCCTTAAGCGCTTATGTTGTCAAAAAAATAGCCGTGCATTCCGGTGGGCGTCACACAATGGCCTTAACTATTGACGGAAAGGTTTTCTCCTGGGGTGAGGGCGATGATGGAAAATTGGGTCACTTTAATCGAACATCTTACGATAAACCACGTCTAATCGAAGCCTTACGGTCCAAAAGGATCAAAGATATAGCTTGTGGTAGTGCTCACAGCGCTGCTATATCACAAGAGGGAGAGCTTTATACATGGGGATTAGGTGATTATGGTCGATTAGGGCATGGTGATAATGCTAATCAGTTGCGACCTAAAATCGTTGCGTCTTTAGCACAGCACAAAGGTAGAGTAAATGAATAGATAAAGTTTGCTTATTTTTATTAATTCGCTTGTCTTTTTAAGTTGTTAGAGTAAGCTGTGGAAGTCGAGATGCTCAAACATTAGCCTTAACTGACGACGATCAAGTCTGGTCTTGGGGAGATGGAGACTTTGGCAAATTGGGAAGAGGAGGTTCAGAGGGCTGCAACACCCCGCACGTAATCGACCGACTTAGCGGCTTGGGAGTTTGCAAAATTGAATGTGGCGCCCAATTTAGTTTAGCTCTGACTAAGTCAGGTAAGCTATATAGTCCCCTTTATTCTGTTAAATTTACTTGATTAAATACTTTTTTTTAGGCCAAGTATGGACTTGGGGTAAAGGCGATTACTATCGGCTAGGTCATGGGAATGAGCAACATGCACGTAAACCCCAAAAGGTCGAAGTTTTAGAACAATATAAAATTGTAGATGTAGCAGTCGGTGCCCTTCATTGTTTGGCTGTAACGGACAATGGACAAGTATTTGCTTGGGGTGACAACGACCATGGTCAGCAAGGAAATGGAAACATTCAAGTCAACAAGGTACCCACATTAGTTCACGGGCTTGAAAGTCATAAAATAACGAAAGTCGCCTGTGGATCATCCCATTCGGTTGCTTGGACTACGTCCGACATATCAGCACCGGTTAATCATGAACCGGTCTTCTTTCAAGTGCTGAATGATCCCATGGGACAATCTTACGTAATAGGATCGAATGATGAAGAAGATTCATCTGAATCTGTTGAACGTCAAATGAACGTTGCCAAAATATCATTAACAAGGGCAGTCCTTGCTCAAAAAACTCTCTCAATTCGTCAGTCTGCTTTGACTCACATTTTAAATGCCCTTCGTATACATTTTTCCCGCCAAGCCATAATAAGCGCCTTTTCGGTAGCTCCGTTATCAAACGAAACAGTTCAAGACCGACAAATTGCATCAAACTTTCCCTCAATGCATAACTTAGCTCAAGCAGCATCTCCTGCCGACTGCATAGCTGCCGAAACTTTCTCACCAATCGAAGCAACTAAAAGTCATTCAACACTTGATGACTTTGTTTATAAATTAATGATTGACGACGCTCGAATGCTTGTTAATTTATTGAAATTGTGCGTAACGAGACGAATGTGCAACAAACAAGAACTCACCCACGTTCTAAAAGCTTTAGCTAAGCATTCATGCGAAATGAGCGATTTAATCCTTGAATTATGTGTTGTTGAGCTAGAGGAAGCTGCAGCTGATACAGAGTCGTCTAAAATATCAGAAAAACCCGAAATAGTAGAATCACCTCATCCGTATCCAGATGAGTGTAATTCAACTGATGTTGTAAGGATACCTGGCGCCCACTCCCTAAGGGTTGAATTCGATAAACGTTGTTCTACGGAAAGGCGTCATGATCCTTTGACGATAATCGATTCTAATGGTCAAGTAGTATGTGAACGCTCAGGAAGAGATCTAGCTGACTGGTCCCATCCCGTAGTTGTTGCTGGTGACGAATTAAGATGGAAGTTTAAGAGTGATAACTCAGTAAATGGCTGGGGATGGAAATTTACAGTCTATCCTATACATGCATCGTCCACTCCCGATTATATTCTAAGCGATAGAGCGTTGCTTACAAAACCTTCGATACAGCTAGTTATGTGCTTATTGGATTTTAAGAGTGTCCTTCAATCGCAATCTGGAATTCTACCGAGGATGGCTTCTGCATTAGCAACTACTGCCCAACTACCTTGTCTCATGGCTTCACAAAGAATGTGGGCTTTGGATCAATTAAGATCTCTTCACTCATATCTCACGGTAGGACCGTTATCTAATGATAAAGGAGCTCTACAGTCTCTAGTAGCCGCACTCCCTGAAACATTGCAGAGACAGTTTGATTATGAAGAATCATACTTGAGAAAGAATCAACAGCTAATGCATTCCAAATTTTTCCGCACTCTTGTTGCTCTAGCATCCGATCTTAGCTTAGACTCTTTGTCTATTTGTGTAGAATCTCAACAGTGGGCCTGGCTTAGAAAAGCATGTGAAGCTCAGAGGGTCGTTGAGGCTCTATTGTATAGAACTCCTCTTCCGTCATCCTTTTGTGAAGGAGTTTGGAAAAAAGTTCAGGAATTAGGAGATTCTGCAGAAGTGGCAACATATAACCTTTCACGCTTATACGAAGATCACGCCACCTTTACTCGAAGTAAAGATGAACAACTTTTAACATGGAATATCCGACGCCCAGACGAATGGACTTTATCCTGGGCTGGTTCGGGAATAATCTGGGGATGGGGTCACAATCATAGGGGTCAGCTGGGTGGATTGGAAGGTGCAAAAGTCAAAGTCCCTACTGCTTGTGATTCCTTTGCCAACCTCAGACCAATACAGATAGTTGGGGGCGAGCAAACTTTATTTATCGTCTCAAGCGACGGTAAAGTTCATGCTACAGGCTATGGAGCGTCAGGACGTTTAGGAATTGGTTCCAATGAATGTGTTTCCAGTCCGACCACGTTAGAGTCAATTCAACACGTTTTCATTAAGAAGGTTTCTGTTAACGCCGGAGGGAAGCACTGTCTAGCCTTGTCGGCGGACGGAGACGTCTATTCTTGGGGTGAAGGAGAAGATGGTAAATTAGGTCATGGAAATAGACAGACTTGCGATAAGCCTAGAATTATAGAAAGTTTGCGAGGAAAGGAAGTGACAGATATTGCCGCAGGAGGTGCCCATAGTGCAGCTATTAGTGCCCAAGGGGAATTATATACATGGGGTAAAGGTCGTTACGGGCGATTAGGACATGGAGATAGCGAAGATCAGACGAAGCCAAAGATTGTGGAAACATTAAGATCAATGAAGGTTTTAGATGTCGCGTGTGGCTCTGGCGATTCACAAACACTCTGCATAACAGAAGGAGACTTTGTATATTCATGGGGAGACGGAGACTATGGGAAACTTGGTAGAGGAGGTTCAGAAGGATGCAAAATACCAGAAAAAATTGATAAATTGACTGGATTGGGAGTTTGTAAGGTGGAATGTGGTTCTCAATTCAGTGTCGCAATAACTAGATCTGGAGCTGTCTACACATGGGGAAAAGGAGATTATCAGAGACTTGGTCATGGGACGGATGATCATATTAGGAATCCAAAGAGGGTTGTTGGTCTACAGGGAAAGAAGATCGTTACATTTGCTTGTGGATCTTTACATTGTGTTGCATGTACTGATACGGGTGATGTATATACATGGGGTGATAACGATGAAGGTCAATTAGGAGACGCAACAACAAATGCAATACCAAGACCCCGACTCGTTGCAGCTTTAGATGGAAAGAGAATCAATAGAGTGGCCTGTGGTTCTGCCCACTCCATTGCCTGGTCAACATCAAAGCCGACCCGCACCTGTCGTTTACCTACCTCAATACCTCTAGAGTATAGCGAACTAGCTAACATGGATATGTCTTTATTAAGAAATCGCTTAGTCCTACTTCATGCTGCATCTCAGTTAATCTGTCCCTCATTCCCAATGCTATCCGTACCTGCGATAGAATCTAACAATTTGAGATCTCTGCTAACATTGCAAGCCAAAGAGAGCATCTTTAAGAAAACCCTTCATAGCACAATGGTAAGAGACAAACAACACGGTCCAGTTATCGATATTAATAGGATGCAAGTGAAGCGTAATAAATCTGAAAAAGATCCGGATGGTTTGAGATCAGTATTCTATCAAGTTTGCGAAAAAATGGATCAATTATCAAATGATCATTTAATGTTAGCACACCGAGTGTGGAAAGTAAAATTTGCAGGCGAATCGGTTGATGACTGCGGTGGCGGTTATAGTGAGTCGATAGCTGAAATGTGTGACGAATTGCAGTCGGGAATCGTTCCCTTATTAATTGTCACACCCAATGGACGAGATGAATCGGGAGCGAATCGCGATTGTTTCATTCTAAATCCCACACTAAAATCAGTCAGGCACAAGAAAATGTTTAATTTCTTTGGCATCATACTTGGAATAGCAATTAGAACTGGTAGCCCTCTATCATTGTCACTTGCAGAACCAGTTTGGAAACAATTAGCTGGTATGAATTTGGACGTCCAAGACCTAAATGAGATTGATAAAGATTATGTGCCGGGACTAATGTACATACAAAATATGAGCGATGACGACCTTACAGCGGCTGACATGCCATTCACCACACCTTCTGCTGCTGGAGGTTGCAATGTAATACAATTATCTAGCCGATATACCGCCATAACACCATCCAACAAGCAAGAATATGTGAAATTGGCTTTAGATTATAGATTAAACGAATTTAACACAGCTGTCCAATGGGCGAGAGAAGGAATGACTAAAGTTATTCCTGTTCCATTACTTTCTTTATTTACGGGCTCTGAACTTGAAACAATGGTTTGCAGTACACCTGATATACCTATTGGAATGCTTAAGTCAGTCGCTGCATACAAGGGCATTGATGCTAATCATCAACTAGTGAAGTGGTTTTGGGACGTCATGGAGGAGCTAGATAACAATGAAAGATCTCTATTTTTGCGGTTTGTGTGGGGAAGAACAAGGCTACCAAGGACAATAGCTGATTTTAGAGGTCGAGATTTTGTGTTACAAATACTTGATAAATACCATCCGCCCGACAATTTCCTCCCAGAAAGTTACACCTGTTTTTTTCTACTAAAGCTTCCCCGATATAGTTCCAAGGAGGTTCTACGTCATAAATTGCGTTATGCTATACACTTTTGTAAATCTATTGATACCGACGATTATGCTAGAGTTGCTTTAACGTCAGATCCTATGGAAGACGTTCGAGAAGGAACAGAAACACCGCCTCCTGCTGCCCCCGCTCTGACATCAACGGTAGGGGCAACCGCAGGAGAAACTGTGTCAGATGAAGGAGAGTGGGACGGAATGACGGCTGCTATTAACGCCTCATTAATGGAAGATCCAATTTGTCCAAGAAATTCCGATCCATACGACGAAAGTGAAGAAACGGAATAAAAATAAACTAGAATATGAATCTGTTTTTTTAGTGACTTCTGAAAATAATTGACTATATGCAAAAAATAATATATAAGGTCAAAATCTAAATAAACAATATAATCTCTGCTTTTCCATTAACGTTAAAAGATTTTTTCACTACTTGTTATATAAATGCCACTGATTATGACAAACTAACTTAAAACTTAGGACATGATACTCTGTCAACAGTTTCTCTTTTTGGTCTTATTTTCGCCAATTGCATCCCAGCTAAATTCTTACGAAACGGATGGATATATCAGTATATATAGAACATTTATGCCAAATGGCAGTGAACTAAAAGCCCATAAGGTCCCATTAAATGAAAGTCGTCTAGATAACTGCGATCAAGATGCAACTAGAGAAAGTATACACATCATGGGCTTTATCCCGGTAGATGTAGAGTTGACTAAAGGTTCTTTCAATTAATCAAATTGAAACTAAAATTATCAATATCTCTATGGCACAGGTAGAGCAACAGGTGGAGTTATTCCTGCTATAGAAATGGCAGTTCGAGATATTAACTTAAGGCAAGTAGGAAAGATTAATAAAAAGTGATATTAAATAAAACTTTACCAACAGAAATGACATACTAAAAAAGTACAAGCTCATCGTTCATGCAAGGGATACGAAATGCGATGCTGGGGAATCACTTTTAACTTTCTATTACCACCTTACCGATTCCAATGAACCCAAAATAATGATATTAGGAGGAGGTTGCTCTATTTCTACTTGGCCAGTAGCCAGAGTAGCGCATTATTTTGGTCTAGTCCAGGTCAGTAATAATTTTGTATTTTTATACTTGTATTATATCGAATATTATCTCTCTGTGCTATTCATAATTCAACGGTTTTAATTTCAACTGATAGGTATCAAAAGTTTTATAGGATAAAAATAGAGTGATATAAATGTATTAGGTTAAAAAAGACTCTACTTTGACCGTTCGTAGAGCTTATTATCACTGTCATTAATCTTTGTAGGCTGTTTCGGGATAATTTCCAACTTATCGGATATAGGGCTTGATCTTGCCCTCGATTTAACTTCGGGTTTCTTCTTTAAGCGAATCCTGATGTAAAGTGATAAAAGAAACTGTAAAAATATACAGAAACATAATAGAATGAACTTAAAAAAGATATTCTTACTGTTTATCAGTTTCCAGCACTTTTTGCATCCATTTTTCATCTTCATTGAACATCTGAAGTTGCTTAGGAACAATCGGTTCATTATCCATTTCGTGAATCCTTAAATTCGAGTAAACGCATGGATAATTTTGTTGAAAATCAATTTTACATTTTACGCCATCAAAACTTCTAAAATTTCTTAATTTTTTATAAGAATTTCCCAGAATTTTCGATTTTAACGGTGTGAGAGACTTGTTTATAGAAGGTGGCAAACAGTAAACTCTTTCATTGACCTCACTGCAACATAGGCCAAACATTCCATGTTGCCTTTGCAAATATCTTGTTCTCAGCTTTTTAAATCTTGAAGAAAATTCAGAGACTCCTACCGTCTTCCCAAATCTGATCTTTTTATCCGAAGGTTTACTTGTACTAACGGCTGTTTTAACACGCTTCCACAAACGGCTTTTACCCATTTTATTAACGTGAAGAGTGGTTGGAGACGCTTCTTTAGCAATGTCTGGTGGGGGATAATACTTAGTCCGTGCTGATCTGATAATATCTAACTGATTGATGTCCTTATCAATTGGCGGTAAATCTTTATTGGTATACATATTTAGTAAAATTGGGGGATTCTTTCTCGCTTTACCTAATACACCCAGAAATTGTCCAGTTAATGAAAATAACCGTATGCTCCTATCGGAACTGCAAGTAAGGATAATCTGTTTGTCATTCACATAATCAATAGAATTTATTGGCTGCATGTGAGCCCTAAAGGAGGTTAATAGCTTTGGAGCAGTCCAAGTACGATGAGGTAATGAACACTTGGAAGGCGGTTCGTGTTTTTTTTGCTTAAGTACTTTGTCCCATATTGTTTGTGGCAATGACAAGAGAGGGAAAGCTACTTCATACTGTGCTCTAATTAAATTGAGGCGGTGTTTAAAAGTTTCGTTCAATGGTTCTTCCACACAATAGTCTCCGATATCCCAAACTTTAACGTAACCTCCCGTGTCTGACGTAAAAAGAAATATATTACAAGTATCTGTGCAGATCGATAATATCGAATCTCCAACTAAATGAGCGGCGTTAAATTGCCCTATCAATCCTCCCCCTGGTCTGATTGACCAGAAACGAATCCAGCCTTTAGCACCCGCTGCAATTAAGGTAGCCGTAAACTGCGAGGGAATTCTTTTTGCAAGAATTAGTAACTTATAAACAGCTTGATCCTGATTTTCTATGTATTGTTGTAAAATCTTGGAAGTTTCGGACAAAATCTGCGACATTCTTCTAGATTTTGGCTTCATATCTGATATTTTATCGTCATTTACACTATTTGACCTCGATGTTTTAAAGTGAACTCGACGGTCATTTAAAGGTTTCTCAGCTTTATTCTTCTCTAATTTATCAGGTGTGCTGGACAACGAAGAATGAGATACTTGTGAAAGCGAGATAACTTTAGAATCCAGTTTTCCTCTTTCAGTTGCCCCAGTTGACTTTATAAATTTATGACAATTTTTAGTTGCCTTTTGCAGCCTGTTGATAGTCATCCGTCTTTCTTTCAATTTGACTCTGCAGGGTGATTGTTCTCTGGAGACACCCATTTTCGATCTTTTTTGTTCGTTACGTATTCTTTCGATCACAGACAAAGGGTGCCGATTTCTTGGAATATATCTCTGACGTGCTCTTGCTACTTTTTCCGTAATGGGGTGACCTTCAAGTGTATTTTCTTTAGTTGTTGTTGATATGTCTTTATATAGCGACATGGAAATAACAACTCCTTTACTTGCATTGAATTTCATCAAAGGTTGATGGGTTTCCACATTCCACAAATAAATATCGCCATCGTATGAAGCTGTCGCTAATCTACCTGATCTCAGGTCACAGCATGCAGTTTGAATATCTTCATTATGCCATCTATCGTAAAAGAGCTTCTTAGTTTCAGTCTCTACAGTCGTTGGATTATCGTCATATTCTATCAATATTCTATTCCAACCAGCAGTCCAGATCTTTTTTTTCGGTGAGGTAGCTATAGTCATTATCTCTGAACCAATAGCTTCCCGTAGTTCTTGTAACATCATTCCATTATTGAAATTCCAGCATCTTACAATACCATCTCTTCCGGCAGTGAATAAGCGTCTTTGAGAATAATCAAATGCCATAGTTGTAATTTCCAAACCTTCCTCCTGCCCATAAACTTCTGTACGATGGGCTGAGAATTGGAGGATTCTATCTCCCGTTTCAAAAGCGAACACGTAAACATAGCCATCCGCACCACTGGCAACTATCTTCTGGAACAATTGGTTATAAATCATGCACTTGAATGACTTGTAATGTGTAATTAACGATTTTTCTTCATCTTTAGGACTTTTGTGCTCAAATATTGATAATTGATTGTTTCCAATCACTAAAGCTTTCCTATACGAGTTAAAGCAAACTGAAGTCACCTAAAAAGACGAGAAAAACAAGATAAAAAACAAAAGAAACTTAAAAAAAAAGAGTTGATTATGACTTAAAAAAAGCACTAGTATGACAGTGTTATACGTAATACTCGAACCCCTATAAGGCCTTCACGTGCATTTTTTCCCGCCAAATAGGCCAATGCTGTAATAATTTAGACCAATCAGCATTAATCTTGTGAGAAATTCCGAAAGAAATGGAAAACACCAAGAGGTAACACGTGAAATTTGATTAATTTAAAGATTTGAATATGATATGGTTAATCATTGTAAATTGATTAAAGGGATTATCGTAAAACGGCGCGCTTAACGCGAGGATTTGAAGCGCCAGACAAACGTTACGCTATTGTTCCAAATGTAGTTCCACAGAACGTTCCATTGTATCCGTTGATATTTTCCAAAGAAAACCCATACGGAATGCAGTTGACGAACTCAATTAATTCGAATGCCTATATTCAGTACAACAGTAAGTAAAAGTGATTCATTTCAATTAAGAGAATTTCTGATTAATTACAAGGACATAAATAGCGAATTACCAGGACGCTTATTCCACTAGATGGAAAGTGTGCAGGACGAATTATTGTGCAACTCCAGTTAGTTGGATAGCAGTGAGAGGAAATACTCAAGTGAAAAAGAATGCTCCAGTAAATATCAATCCTGTAAAGACTGCTAAGCAGTGGAAAGTCATTGAAACACCCGAATTAGCTAGCATTCCTGGAACACCTAGTGCTGATTCGAGATGGGCAAAATTTAATCGCTCTTCAATCGAATTATCTATGAATGTTAAGCGAGGTCTTACAGAGTTTCCAGAAGACGAAGAAATTATGAATTTAATTAATTCTAATTTATGGAGACATAACGAGGAATATCAAAATACCATGAAAACTGAAATGGCGATACGCTCTTTACTCGATCAATCATCAACTGACATTGCTAATAATATTATTTACTGGCTTGAAAATAGTATAAACTCAAACAGTCGAGACACAAGGGAGTCAAAATAAGTTAAATAGGCTATTAATACTTGTAAATATGCATATATATTCACCGCGCTTACTAACATCTCTAATAGTTATACTTTAGATCGTTAGCTTACCCTCTTGAAATGATATATTTTTAAAAGTTAGTATGTATATATATATATATATATTTTTTTAAAAAAAATGTATACATACTTGTGTATTATATAATGTAACTAACCGGTTGTTTTCCGAGTTTTACGTGTCCACGTGTTATGGTTTGCGAACACATTTGAGTGGCCAAGTCAAATATTAATATATCTTTCTCTTTGGATACTGTTATCAATTCACCTCCAGTTTCGTCAATAATAACGAAAACAACCGGATTTTTGTGACCAATTAAATACATAATTGGTCTTTCGGGCATGTAAGGATCCCATATTCTAACCTGGCAAAAACTAATTTTAAACTAATAACTCAGGGAGTGTGTTCAGTTTTCCTTACGATGCAATCCTGTCCAGCAGTAACTATCATATTATTTTTATAGCAGTAGTCGAAAGTCGTTACTCCTCTTTTAATAAAAAACCTTGTTTGACATAATTGTCTACTATCTGACATGTATAATGCTGTATTCGCCGCTGCACAGCACGATATGAACATATTCTTAGATGGGTAATATTTTATTTTGAGAACAAAGTCCTCGTGAATATTTGACAAATGAGTAGCCAATGCACCACAATAGGAAGCTGGTTGCCGCAGTAAATCTTCAAAAGAAATATTCTTCTCTAAATAGACTTTTTTCTACGTTAGCGAAATAGAAGAAAAAAGAAGAATAGGAAAAGATAAAATTTGATAGTCGAAATAATCTTACTGTGCTAATTGAACTGTCGTTAGATTTCAGCAAAGGTTGTAAGAGGCATAACTTTTTACACTGATTGAATTCTATTATATTAATATTCCCTTTCATATCGCCCCAAAAGAGCGTTGCATGATAGGGTTTCTTATCATCGAACCAATAAGTCAAGCAAGTAGGAAATACCCCTGTATCAATCTGAAGGAAATTAGAATGAGCAAAACATTTAGGATTTCAATCTAAATAGAGTAATTAAGCACCGAAACAGTTCTTTCAACAAAATTACAATTTTCCGGCTTACCGATCTGGAAACCTACTAATTCGTAGACTGTTATCTTATCCTTAGTTGTAGCTACAGCAAGAGCGTTAATATTTAACAATAAACAAGCGTCAGTTACCCAAATTTTATTTGAGTCTAATTCTATTCGTCTCTCATGACATAAATCTTTTGTCCATACGTTTAAAATACCGTCCCTGCTAACTGTTAAATATCTCCCATATCCCATAGTGACTGTTTTATAAAACACAGCATTGCGAATGTTTTCTCTACGTAAAATCGGTAACCATAAAATTACAACGCACGTATCGAGCGTCTTTTGATATTTGTACATTTTATGGACAAGCTTAGCTTGCTTTGGTAGAGTTTTTTCTTTATATAAATTAGTCATAGTCTCTTTTTCTTTCATACTTGTTAATACGTAGGTTAAATATTCTTGCCAATCGACCTGTTCGTCACAATTTGCATCGATCTTCATAAAGGTTTCATCTATATCCTCATCCTTTATATCGTGTCCAGTAATTTCTCTTAACTTTTGGATAGCCATTCGAAATTCTGTTTGATCAATTCCACCACTACCGTCTTGATCGATTTCCTTAACGAATAAAGAAAGAGAAAACAAGTAATATTTCGATTTTTTTCCTTCTTCTCTCCTTCAAATAATTAAAGATGGTAAAGAGAGAAGAGGGAAAGAAAGTGCAAAAATCCTTACAAGAAATATCTTGTGTAATTCCCTCAAGTTTTGTTGAGTAAGCCCCAGTTCCATATTAAAATTTTCCACCCTATTCAAAGGCGCATTTCCATCTTCAATATCAGTAAATATGGCAGCTGTAGAGTCAATTCTACTTTCTGTAATTATATTTCCTAATTATTCAAATATTAGTCAGCGAATGTTAATTAAACTAACCTATTCTGCCATTTTGCTTTCTAGGATTAAACATAAATCTTATAGTACTACTATTAGCCGATTGAAAGCATGGAAAAGAGAATTTTCCTGTGATAGAGCTAGCTGTAATGAATAAGAAAATAATAATTTTTTTTATCTAAAAATAAAATAGAGCTTGTGTACCATCTCTTTTTTCTCTCATCTTTCTTTGTTTCTTTCTAAATAACCTATCCCTGTCTGGCAATACACCGTGACTTTGTGTCTCTTGTATTTCAGTTAGTTCAGAATAGTCTGAAAGCATTATAGTTAAAAAATCTACCAATAATAGGAAACTCCACAATTCCTATTCTACTCGTTAATTAGATTGGAATAGACGTGACTTTGCGCTAGCTAGTTAATCGATTAAGATTCTTTTTAATTCTTTCTATCTCCTCATTATTTTTTTTAATAAAAAAAATATTCAATTTTTCATAAATATTTTATGAAGAGAATATTTTAAATTTTAAATTTGTCTATGATAAATAATTTCATATAAAGGAAATAGAATAATTCACATCTTTCAGGTATCTTTTGCTGCCGGAAGTCCTGATCTCTCCAGTAAAAAACACTTTCCGAATTTCTTTAGAACAATTCCTTCTTATGAAAAGATAATGCAAGCCATTTTATTGGTATTACAACACTTTAATTGGAGAAAAGTTTCTATTATTCACGAAAGTGATATGCCTTATGATCTAACAATGAATTTACTTCGTAGAATGATACGTTTAGATAATATGACATTGATAACAACTGAATCTTTTAGAAATTCGGCAATTGATAATTTAATGAATATTAAGAAAAAAAATGGTAGAATAATGGTCTTTTTCGGCAATGAACACCATGCTAGAATAGTACTTTGCGAAGCCTATACTCTAAATATGGTTGGTCCTGGTTACCAATGGATTATACCTGGATTTTATGAACCTGGATGGCAAAATTTAAGAACTACTGATTGCCAACCTGAAATTATTTGGAAAGCTTTAGAATTAACGTTAACTGTCTCTGACGTAAAAAGAGAGGATGATGGCATCGTTACTGTTTCTGGACAGGTCTATTAATTTTTTCGTAGCTCTATATACTTAAATAAGTTCTGTTACAATGTTTACTAGACTTATAACCAATATTTGAAAAGATATACAATGTGGCCAACTGTAAGCCGATTTGGTACAAGCCTCTATCATGCCAACGCTTATGACGCTGTTTGGGCAATAGCGTTAAGTTTAAACGCCTCTGAGGATGTTCTAAAGAATCAGGTAAAATAATTAATTATGACTGAAATTATTAAATCTTTCATGTGCAGATGAATAAATCTCCCATTTAGATTTTTAATTAATTACACGTATATCCTCCACGTATGTCCTTTTATTCACACTCTCTATTATTATCCACGTAGACTATTCCAGTAAAAATTGGAGATGATAAGGTTCTGCGACCTTTAACTTTAAAGGACTTTACTTATTTCTTCAATTCGGAATTTCATGAAGTGCTATTGAATAGTATGAAAAAAACGTCCTTCAGGGGAGTTAGCGTAAGTAGACGCCGTCTAGCTTTTCTTCTCTCACAACCTCTTTAAAAGCGTCTAATAGTTTACTAATAATATGTTTTATTTTTTTTTTACTTAAAATATAAAGGGCCATGTAAGCTTTACCAAGAGCGGAAATAGGCAAAGCAATCTGCTTATCCATCAATTCCAGGGTATGGATGAGAAAAAGAAACGCTTAGTTATTTCAATACGATGAATAACCAATGAATTATTCGCTTAAAAAATTTATTTAACCTTCCAGACCAAATACCTAAAGAATATGCTGTTATAAAGAATGATACGGTAGCAATTAAGGTCTTGGGTGAAATAAAATGGCCAAGTAAATAATAAATAATAAATATACATGTTCAGATGTGTGTCTGTGTGTGTGTGGCCAATATAATTAACAATAGCTATATATATATATATATATATATATACACTATATATATTTTTTATACATCTACAAATGAAGCTAATTATAGCCGAGTTTAAATTTCTCTTTCAGACAATGTTAGAGTAACTGATGAACCAAAACCCGTCAAGGTGTTTGTATATTTGAACAAAAAGATTATTATTGTTGTATTCACACTAAGTGTTGTGGGAATAGCAATGGCATTGGGCTTTCTTTTCTTCAATATCGCTTTCAGGAATCATGCGTCTGTATTATCATTCTTTTATATATTTTCCTTACTGTCTTTATCTTATCACATAACATTAACAAACAATAAAAATATATACAAACAGGCACATAAAAATGTCTTCGCCTAGATTAAACAATTTAATTACTTTTGGATGTATCTTGTGCTACGCCAGCGCTATACTATTTGGTCTAGACGGCCGTTATCTAACCCATACGCTTGCTACTAGAATCTGCTTAGTAAGTATACGAATATTTTACTAAAAATATATAAATAATTGCCACCATAATGCAGATAAGGGTCTGGGCTATATTTACGGGTTTTACATTTGCATTCGCCCCTATGTTTGCTAAAACTTGGCGTGTTCACGCCATCTTTACAAAGATGATACCGAGACAAAAGGTTTTTGTATTATACATTATTTATAATTATAAAAAATGCTTCCTTTATAACACATGGCTATTTTTTTACTGCATACATCCTTAGCAACCTCTTAAAGATTTTCACCTTATAACTTCTGTTCTACTATTTTGGATGATAGACGTTATCATACTAGTGATTTGGACCATTATAAATCCATTTAGATTAGTGGAAATAACTTTTAGAAATCCAAAAGTATAGAGGATAAGAAATAAGAGTGAAGATAACTTCTTATCTAACTAATGTTTGTTTTTTCTTGTAGGAAACTTTGCTGCATATACTGCATTATAGGCATTTACACTGTAAAAGTAACAACCAAATTTACTGGCTTATTGCTCTGGGAAGTTGGAAATTATGTTTATTAGTTTTTGGTTGTTTTTTGGCTTATTCAACAAGACATATTCACTTGCCAGCTTTAAATGATTCCAAGTAAAAACAAAATAGAAATTTCATATAAATCCATACAGTTTATATATTACATTATATATATATATATATATATATATATACTGTATGCTATATATGTATTATATTTATATATAAACTTGAAGTAATGCAATGAACTTATTTCTCTTACTTGCCAACTACCTTAATGAACCAACAAAAACGAAACGGAAATGATATAGATATATTGGATTTTGCGTTTACAACGTCCTTATTATGTCCCTGGTTGGTGTAACTGTTGTAACAGTTATGCAAGATGAGATCGATGTTGCCTACGGTTTTTATAGCGGCTGTGTTTTGTTAGCTACGTCTATAACCTTGTTCCTTCTTTTCATACCAAAGGTACTTTATATCTTTCAAAGTAATTTTTTCTTATATTAAGAAAAGAAAATGCAATCTATTGATTAAATTCTCAGTATCTCATATCGTTTTAATTGATTCAATTCTCTTTTATGTGTACTTTTCGTTAGATAATTTACTTGAGGCAGCATAAGGAAACGCCAAGAAATAAATTAGCAAAGTCCATTAGTCATCATACCAGCTCCGAGTCTGTTTATGGTTCTAACACATTTCTCTATACCATGGAACGAATATATAAGGAGGTTATCTATTTTTATTTTTCTATACATTTAATAAAGATTTTCCACTCAACTTTACTCATTACATTGTTTAGGCAGGAATTGAAAATCCTATAGATACAATCGATTATTCCTTACAACCAAAATATGACCAAAATATTCACTTAATCGTAAAGAACATACTGTCAAAGGTAAGCGTTTCTTTTATATATGTTGTCATTATAGATGCAGAGAATAAAAATGATCAATGCGCACTTCCCTGAAAGAAAAATAAAAAAAAATAACCTTCCCTTCCACCCAATTGATTAATCTTGTAATAAACCTTCAGGGTACACGGAATTTTCCGTCAGTCTCCCAGCCTCCCTGCTAAAATAGAATGTTCCTCTTCCGGAGCAACTGTGGGGGAATTGGCTTGATTAAAAGGAAAGCCCAATCGGTTATTTATTTCGCGTCGTAAATCGCATAATCCTCTTGTCGCTCGCCAAGAAGAGAGAAAGGAAGAGAGATAAAGGTGTCGAAAGAAACGCTTTAATTAGGAATTACTTAATGTAAAAACCTACGCACATACACACACGTACACAAGTATATATATATACAAACCCAGACACAAGAACACCAGAAAGCAAAAGAACAAAGGAAGAAGAAAAAGGAATATCTGTTTTATATAAAGCCAAAAGAAGTTTTTTAACGAGAATTACAGATGCACAGAGCAAGAATGAAGAGAAGATGATGATAATGGAGAAAAGTGAACAAGGATAAGATACGGAGATGGATTAAGAAAAGAAAGACTGATACGAAGAAGAATTGGAAAAATCAAGGATAAATGGAGGAGAAAAATTATTTTCGCTTATTCGTCTTACATAGAGTCTCTATCATTGTAATCAGACAACTAACTCTTTTCCCAAGTGTATTCCTACAACCCTCTTTTTCCCACCCCCATTTCCCTATAGTCGTAAACTGTATATAATTAAAGCGTTTGTTACATTTTATAGAAAGAAGAGGAGATTGCCGACTTGAAGCGACAATACGAACGTTTAAGAATGACTCTGAATATGTTCGTTTCAGCCAGTTTGGTCGATGTAGATAAAGCTTCGCAATCACTTCCGAAAACTAAGAAATTCATCAAGTCGGCCAAGAGTACGGACGACCTAAACACATTCTATTAGAGACAAAAATATAATTAATATTTTAAAGGATAAAACAATATTAATCCGAAAGATGTCACTAACTATCAATTTGATTCGTTCGATCTGTCTTTATAATTCTTGTCCTTGTAAAAATAGAAAACTAGGCGGCCATTTTCGCGAATTTTTTTTAAGTCTAGTTGAGCAATTCTTACATCGGCACATCCGGTCGATTTACTCCTAGTTCGACGCTTATCTGGGTGAGATTCCGTTTGAACGAATAAAGATGATGAACGTGATTTCCGGTTTACAGTCCATAATGATGAAGGTCTCCTACTATCAGTTCTACCAGATAATTCGTGGGCTGCTAAAGCAGGACAGCGTTCAGCAGATCGTTTTTCAACAGCGCTCATTCTCCTACTAGCAAACGATGACGTTGGTGTAGAAGATCCATTAGATGGTGTTGGTGAAGGTTCTAAGATACCATCTCTTTTATCTAATTCACTATTATCGTACCGATCCCACCCTAACTTTTCTCTTTCTTCAATTTCCTTTCTCTTTCTTGTATCTTCTTCAACTTCTCCAACGTCAGAAATATGTATGATAGGCATCTATAAAGAGAAAAGGAGAACAAAGAATATAATATATATGTATATACATATATATAAATTACTATTGGGAGGAAATAAAAAAAAAGTCGAGTTGCGTTATCTCTCCTCAAACACCACTTGCTTTCAGCAAATAATCCGTCTTCATTCATTGTTTGATGACTCTTGACAGCCTTACTGCCTTAATACTCATTACAATATTAGTTGCATATCTAATTGTTTTTCAGAAAGGAAAACATTAAAAAGAGTTACTGAAACCCCTACAGTTACAAATTAATCGCCCTAGAAATTAAACTAATTTTTACGGTGTAGGGTAAATCAAGTACATAATTTATCGCGCCTTTTCCTTTCACTGTCTATATGTTTTCTTTACTATTATAATAACAAGAAATGGAAAAACTTACAACAATTAATTGTTTGCTTGTTTATTGGTTGTTTCTTTCTAATACGAAAGGTAAACTTACTGTCAATGGTGATGAAATTTTTGATTTTGTTCTGTTCTCCGTATTATAATCAATTGTTCGAACAGGTGTAGAATCGGGGGAAGCCGTGGGCGACGGACTAGGCGTTTTAAAATGGCTCCTTGGTGCCTCCGGAATCGATAAATCAGCAAGATAGGAAGTAACAAAGTTCACCCCGCTCTTTTGGTAGACGAAATAACAGTCATCGGCCTGCCAATTTTTCTCGAAAATGTACGAGTTGGGACAGGTAAGGTAGCTGATTTTGATGAATGAGAAATGGGAGGAAAAGAGAACGACGCATATTTGGAAGATGGAAGAGAATGAGAAGATAGATCGCAGGGTGAAATAAATATCCATAGAAGAAGCAGCAGCAAGATTGATAAAAAAAATACTATTAATAGGTTAAGGAAGAAAAATTGAAGCGAGATAGGCCTACCTCTTCGCTATTTTACTGATGTTAATGCATCCGGGTAGGCTAGCTCCTTCCATTTGAGAAGCAATGCTTACACTATGACCAAAGAGACAATATCTTGGCATTTTTTGGCCAACAATACCTGCTAGGCAATCGCCGCTGTGTATACCTATTCGAATCTGTTGATAGTTGATCAAAATTTACTTTGAGCGTCATATTAATTATTATAAAAGGCTAGACGTGGGAGGTTAATGACCTTCCATCCTCTTCTCGCCGTCAAAAACATACGGGTTGTAAAGGGATTTATACCTGTATCGGGGAATCTGATGCGGGTCTCGTTATGGATTGAGTAATCTGTTGCATGCTCAATGCCATGTTCACGACTCTGTCGGCGTGAGTCTAAATATAAAGAAAATTTATAAGAGAAACGAAAGTCATACTTGAAGTGGAAAAAACGTAAGAGATTATTACTTGAGTATAGTGCGGTAGACCAGCAACGACAACATAAGCGTCTCCGATGGTTTCGACTTTGTAAACATTATGGGCCGTGCTCATCATATCAAATTTCGTGTATAGTTTGTTAAGTACCCGGATTATGTCCATAGGCACGACCTTTTCGTTACTACACATTGCAGTAAATCCAACTATATCCGAGAATAAAATAGTTACTAGATTATACTTTTCGGCCTCAACCGTCTGATTCAATCGCAGTTTGGAAGCAACATTAGACGGTAACAAGCTAATTAGTAGTTGGTCCGTTTGACGCTTCTCCTCTTCTAATTTTCTTTGTAATCGTTTTAAATTGGCAGAAGCTTCTTCTAATTTCTCTACGAGCTCTCTCTCAGCTCGTCTAGCCTGCGTGATTAGTATAAGGTCACGGGTCGCATCGTGCGGAGGAATATCGGATAGGAAGAGACCGCTCGCCTTCAAATCGTCAAGATTATCGACGCGAGGGGAGCAAAGGAATAGAAGGCTATCCGATTCGCTTGCGTAGATAACCTGACCCTTTAGGCGTATATCTGTTCGCTTACCCTTTAAGACGAAAACGTGGTGCAGGTTGGCCAATAGGGAAGGAAAAGTTGGTTTTCCAATAGGCCTAACGATTTGAAATACATCTTGTAGACGTAATGATTTTCTGCAGTTTAAAATACGCAATAAAGCGACGCCGGCTTGAACAATTTCCAATTTGCGGTTCAGCACAAAATGGAACGGGAAGAGTCGGCAAAAGACATCGATTGGAACGCAAGATTCTTCGGGAAGGTTCGACGTCCGTAGGCGTTTTGTTGTTATTGTTATAAGTGAGCAGCTACGCCGCCTACTTTCTCTAGTCCTTTCTCTAACACTGAATACAACTTGATCGTCTTCCGCATCCGTTTCAACGAGGTCAACATGAACGTTTGTATCGAATAATTGATCAGCTAAGCGGACTAAAAGACCTTTTACCATCGGATACATCCATTGCCTATCGCTCGAACAGTAAAGGTATAAACTTCCGTCCTCTTTACTGCAACAACGGAATGATGGGGCGTTCATTTGCGTGTATACGCTTGCCAAATGATCGTGAAGGGCATCCAAATTGCAGAGAAAATCCGCTAAATTATTACCAAGAACACGCATGATCCTTTCATATCCTCCGTCTACGCAATAATCATAAAAGTTGCCACCAAATTTCTCCAAGAAATCGTTCGTTCGTGACCCTAAGGTTAATGATACATATATACAAGGTTATTCAACCCGTAATTAACCCTTAATTTAGTCATTAGTTGTTTTTTGTGTATGTATGTGTGTGTGTGTGTATATGTATGTTTTCTTTCGCTTATTTTCTGAACTAGAAAAGGACGTACCGAGTTTATGCGCCGTCGAAGTGAAGACCTTTTGCACAAGTTGATCATCGTACATCTTTTGATGCGAAATGACGACATCCTCTTCCAGGCCGCACTCGCATCTGTCAACAGAGTATTTACCCATTTATTTACAATGAAACACTTGAATAAAATTTTATAAATCATTTTGTTAATGCTATTAAAATATAAATAAATCTATTTGCTTATTTACATAATTCCACGTTAATGCAGCTGATTAATAACGCTTTTGGAATCATTATAAGCGTTACTTAACATATTTATGTATATAAGTATAAATATTTAAAATATATATATATATATAATATATAAACTGTATGTGTGTATCTTGTTATATAATATTATTTACACATATTTTGCTACTTACGCTATTGATTTCCACGTTTCCTCCCCATACTTGTTCCGAACGTGGTTAGAGAGTGCGGCCAGAATAAAGCCGTACTGCATAAAAAAAGAAGGAAAGAATAAGAATATGTATCCAATATATTCAGACCGCAACAGAATCGATATGAAATTACGAGCCGCTGCGGTCGATTGGCCACCATCTATAGATATTTTATAAGAGGAGAGCGATAAATGAAATATAAAAAGAGATAAGAAAATGCTATGAGATGCCTACGAGTTAAATGAAGAAGATGAATGATGGAAGATATAAGTATGGACTAAAAAAAAAGAAATAAATTTAAGTCTGCTAACCATCTTTTCCAACTATCCGTTCCGCATGTTCCGTTTTCGACGTGCCTTCTGCCGGGCGTCGGCACCGCAATGGGTCACGTGATCAGGATAAATTCGAGGATTGGCTGTACGGCAAATTTTAAGCCACCTGCAGCTTGTCTTTTTTTTTGCTCTCTCTCTCTCTCTCGCTCTCTTTCTCTCTCTCTCGCTCTCTCTCTCTCTCGCTCACTAACTCTCACGTATGTGAGTGTGAGTGTGCGTGTGTGTGTGTGTATGTAGTTAAATGTATCTATGTATCCCTCTCTTACTCATTCACTCATATGCTTACTCAGTAACTTCACTCTCCCATCATTACTTTATTTCCTCTTTATATACATTAAATATCGATTAAATTTGTTTTTTTTTTAATTTTCAATTAGCGCTAAACAACTGAATTATAGAGGTCTCTGCTTTTCCCCTTGACCTTTTTTCGCACACTCTTTTTCCCTCTCTTGTTAAACCTTTTAGAACGTCCTAGTTCCGTCCATCAGCCGTCTAGCAGGCGTCCCGCAGTCGCTAGGTAGCTGTTAACTGCTCCTCCTTATTTTTTTGCGCTTCCTTTCCCGCCTTTTTTTTTTACTCGTCTACGAAATGTCAGCGCATCATGTGATTTATACGCCGAATTAATTCGACTGATAGATTTTCTACTGGTGTAAAATTTCACCACGATCGATAGGCGTCGAGGCATTTATCCTGTCGTCTATTTTTTTCTCATTTTTTACACTTGTATATTATGCTCATTTTATCATATGTATTTATGGAAGATATATATAAAATTGACTTAAATTCAAAATAATACTATTATATATAGTCCTGCAAGTTGAGCGCTACTTGTCGTAGCGTGTTTGCAGTCAACTGATCGCTTAGGCTTAATGGTGACGTTGCTGTTCCCGAAGGCGGTCGACTGGATTGGACTGGAATACCGCTTTCCAACATCATTTGAACTTTGGGTAGGTTTCTAAGGTTTCTAGAGAGAATGTAACACGCCATAGGCTCTTTTCGACCTTTCATCGGTACCAAACCCCTTTTTTTGATTTCGAATTGTTCGTCTCTATTTTCCTCTGTTTGTAGACATTCAAAAGTGGTCTCCGATATGTTAATGCAATCTGTCAACCCGGTACTTTCCATCCTGCTGGCTAAACATACAGTGCTACCAAAAACAGCATATCTAGGTAACTTTTGACCTACAACTCCGGCGACAACTTCTCCACTGTGTATACCAATTGTCAACTGTAAACGAAAAAACTATTAGTCATATAAAAAATGAAGATATAGAAATCATCGTATGTCGTTAAACAGTTATTATTGGCTAACAAATAATCCAAGGATAGTAAAAAACATGGAAAAAATTATTAGCTTTATATTATTTATTACTCAACACTAACCCGTATGTTCTGACCATCGACTTGCAATTCGCGCACGATATCCATCATGTCTAACGCGACCAACGCAATATTTTTCGCATGTCTGCCGCTTCGTTCCGGTAAACCGCTCGCCAGCATGTACTTATCTCCAACAGTTTCGACCTGAACCGATTAAAAAGAAACTAGCTTGAGGGTTTAACTTTCTATAAGGTAATTTATATATATATATATATATCTATATATCTATATATATAGATATATATAGGTTAAAACGCCTTCTATTCTGCATAGTCAATATCTCTTTACCTTATAAACATCATAGATTTGAGGTTCCGCCAAAGAATCGAATTTTGTATATAATTCGTTAAGGAGGTTAACAACTTTTATAGGAGTATTACTATTGCAAAATGAATTAAAATCGTATATACCGCTAAAAAGTATGGAAGCAGATCTGAAAGAAATCACTAATAGGAATCAAAGTGAAAGAAATTGAATAAGATGCCTACGAGTATTTTTTAGCCTCTACTGGTTCACCTAATCGTAGTCTATTAGCAACGGTAGGCGGTAGAATGGAATATACTAGTTTATCGGTCAGCTGCTTTTCAATTTCGAGTTCCTTGTAAGTCTGCTGCATTTTGTCATTCAGTACTTCAAGTTTTTGAGTTAATTCGTATTCGGCTCTAAACTGTTCGCTTAATAAAATAAGATCTCTAGTAGCGTCGTGTATTGGTATATCGCTTAAATAGAGTCCTCTTTCCAGTAACTCGTCGATGTTGGCAAAGTTAGGTGAGGATAGGAACAGTAGGCGGTCCGGAAGCTCGACCATTTGTCCCTTGAGACGCATCCTCGTTCGGCAACCAGCGTCCGGAATGCCTAATCTTGCCTGTTGCCTTAAAAATGCAAAAGATGGAACATCTATTGATTGTCTCGGTGACTGACTTCTTTTGTCCCTGACTCTAACAACAAATGTTGTATTATCAGCATGATTAATTATCTGCTCATATGTGGTGTCAACCAGGTGTGGTCGAACTATTTGAAAAACGTCCTTGAAGCTGCAATTCGGCTGATTGAGTTCCGGAACAACTCTAGATAAAGATTGGCCAACTTGCACTATATTCAATTCACGATTCATTATCACGTGAAAAGGAAAGGCTTTACAGAAGGTCGCAGGACTAATTAAAGGTGTTTCTGATAATAGCTCCACTGAATGATCATATCGAACTAAAGCTGGATTTTGGGCTACTCTTTCTCGAATTAGGAACTGCACATGATCTCGACAAAATTCCCAGGTCGTCGATACTATTTCGACAGTTACTTCTTTACTATGTAGACGTTGAGCGATCGCCTTTACCATACCTATAACTACGTGCTCAAGGCCTTTTCTCTCTGAATAGTAATGCAATATCATTGATCCATCTGGACGTTTTTCACTACAGCGAAAGGACGGCGGTCTCATCCCGGGATATATAGTGGCCAAATGATCGTGAAGAGCGTCCAAGTTTTGAAGAAAATCCCTTAGTGTTCCACCCAGAACGCTTAATATCCTATCATAACCAGATTCTTCGCAAAAGTCAAAAAACATTTCTCCGAACATTTCCCATACGGCATTCGTTCCCAGCCCTAAAACTTCAGACGTTGCTTCAACAGAATCATAATTCGAATTCATATTGTCGTATAGCATTCTCCTAAAAACAGACGGCGAACGAAGCTTTTCCCGGCAGAGTTGCCTGTAAATAGTGGACTCTTTTTTTATAAACTGATAGGTAATTATCATGGTCGAATCAAAACGATTGGGGCGTAAAATTCATCATCATTACTCAGCGATTTGTCTAATTGCGCTTATTTACAAAAAAGATTAAAGAATTTAATAAGGATTGTTGTTTATTACATAATTAATAAATTACTATACTATATAGCTAATATATATTGTAAATAAACAGATAAATATATATATATATATATATATATACTGTATATATGTACATGTATATACATTAGCATAACGAACAATACATATCGTAATGCATTTATCTATATATATATATATATATATATATATATATATATATATATTTATATATCAGACACGCAAACGTTTATACATAAAGACTGTTTGTATACAAATGTATAGCTATATTGTATATTTATATTACATAATAGAATAGAGTATACTGTATGCTTATAAGTATACATATCTACTATGCACATACACGCATACGAACCGAATTTCGTTCCAAATCTCTATACCATACTTCTTCGTAATCAGTACTTGCAAAGCGCAATTTACAAAGCCGTGCTGAAAAAAATCGATTCGTCACTAGAGGGCGTACAAAAACTTTTTCAACCTATTAATTAAAGAAAAGATCCATTTCCAAATTGCTCCTAAATACCATCTCTATACTTCTAAATATAAAATCATATCTTAGTGGACACGTGTAATTCACTTTGTATATATAATTAGATTCAAGGTATATTGGTATTTATAGGCTTTTCATGCAGATGCGTGTATTTCTATATATCCATAAATAACCATAGAGTAATCCTTATATAGTAAACTTATTTATAACTCAAAAATATGGTTTAATTTTTCATTTTTTTTCTAAAATCTCTGCAGAACATCCCATAAAATGATGGGAATTTGTAGCGACATCTACAGCCTGAACAAACCTGAATAAAGCATCTTCTTCTATCAGTTCCATAATAAGATAGATTGCCGGCCTGAGAACTATGCAGTGTCGTCTGCAAAGTTGATAGCCTCCCATTATCATCCTCATCACTGGTCATACTTTGTCTTCTTTGTTCTAAACATTTTCCAAGTGAGCTTCCAGTAAAAGGGCTCGAATGACTTTCTAAAGTTAGTGAGCGTCGTCGTCGAAATTCCTGATGAGCCGTTTTAATCCTTTCTTCCGCCCCGAGTGTTTCCATACCGTAAGCGTGAGCTGAAAGTCAATGAACAGCTGTTAGATGAAACAACTAGCCTATAATTGACTTTACGTGCCCTTTTTATATACTTTAATCCCTCATTTATATTTATGTAAGTGAGCTTTAAATATAGGCGTTTATAGTAATAGACAGTATAAAGCTTTTACACACAAAAATAACTCTCGGTTGCTCTCTCTTTCCACGCGCTATGAAGCGTAATATAAATATATTAATAGACGCTTTATATGTATATTTATACATTACTATCAAATTGCATCATCCATAACATACATTCGTGAGTTTGTTATTTGCTTAATAGACCACCCACAGTTATATCATTGAATACCTGAAATACTAGACAAAAAAGAAGCAGAAAACTTCATCAAAAGATTAGACGGATTTAAGTAAGTCAAGAGAAAAAAAAATGCTACGCAAGTTAAAAATAGATAAAGAAACAGAAAAATGACTAATTAAGGCCTATTTTTTTTTTGTAAAGATAAACTTCAACTAACGCTATTAAATATTTAAAAGGCAACATAATTATATTGACGTCTTCAATTAGAAACGTGCGTGAGTAATAAGAAAATGGTCAAACTATTTCTCCCCTTATATACAAGTTTATCTATGCTTTTTACGTAAAGACTATTTATACATAGTATATACAGTATATTATATATATATTTAATAAGTGAATCTCTCCCAATAGGCTTATAAATCTGCTTGAGTGTCAACATTAGAGTATTGTTTACACAAAACTTAACCGTTTACCTTTGTTTTGTTTGTTCGTCTTCTTTTACTTTTTCTTCTCTTTTTAATAATAAACGTATAAACGATGGAATAAGATAGGAAAAAAATGAGTAGGATTGTTTATCAGGTTATAAGCCAGGATTTCGTTATTGATTGAAATAGAAAGAGTATAAAAGGGGATTGATGCGCCTGGCTTGGTAAAAGAATGGGCATTTGAACAATTCGATAAATAAAAAGAGAGGGTTTCTATTAAAATATGATATAGGTTCTAGTATTACTTTTATTAAAAAACTCCTTGCCTCTATTTCTTGATTTCTTTTCTAATCGGAATATTCTGTTATACAATACTCCAATGGTCATTTCAATATATATATATATTTCCTTCAGACTGACCAATAAGAAACCCCATTCTGTTGACGGGGTCGTGACATGCCTTTCTTTTTCGACGTACGAGTCTCTCTGTCACTGTCTATACGAAAGTAATTGTGTCTAATTGCGCCATCAGCATAATTTTAACAGAATATGAAATGGAATGTTATGAAGGAACCCTTGCAAAAAAGAAACAATTCCTTACCAATACACCATTAGTATTTTCTCCCTTGGGTAAAATATATTTTCTTTTTCACTCTCTTTGAAGGGGTAAGAGAGAGAGGGCTCCACAGAAACTTGAACCTGCTTGAGAAGGCCTATCGGTCAGAGTTTCAAGTGTAATTTTTCGGCAGGATTTGATGGAACTTGCAGACAAGTGGATAAACGTCATATATATCCTCTTTTTAAGCATAAAGCCCGTACGGGGAAAAATATCAGACATGAGAACAAATTCAAACGTAAAAATTACACAGCCATTGTGCTGCAGTTAGAACTGGACTCTAGATGGAGAAACAGTCGTCTTCAGTGCTATTATCCAATCGAATTCGAGAAAGGGATTTTTAACACTATCCCACGGTTTCACTAAGATTGCATCCCTAAAAGTAACGAGAAAGTTGCAGATTCAGAGGTTTTAAGTGACTACTAAATGAAGCAGAATAAGCCAGAGGATAATCTGGTTAGTAATAATACATAATCCGGATTAGATATGAATAGTAACTTTTTCATATAGTTTTATGCAAGCGATCTCCCTCAAATCATATATCTAGTAAACTAGACCGGATAAATAGCTGCTATATTTTAGGGTGGTTTATAATATAGGGAGAGAGAGAGAGAGAGGGAAGAAAAAAATAAAAAAAGGAATAGAAAAGAGAGGGAAATATAAAGAAATCTATAAGGAAGTAGAATTGATGAATTGAGGGGTTTTTTTAATTACAGGAACATACCGTAGTGAGAAAATCCCTTATTATAACACACATTATTATTAATTAATGCTGTTAATAGGACGTAGTAATAGGCTTATTAAAGTATAATTTACCTCATATTTTTTAAGGCTGAAGGAGATTAATGCTATAATGAAAAATATTTAAAATTCTTAGAAGGCGATTTTCGTAATCCAAAAGCAAAGTTAGCTTTACAAAGAAATACGTTTGCGCAAATAAGAAATAAGACGTGAGGCTAAGAATTGCTTACTACAAATTATCTCCTTATTATCTTGGTGCCGCGAGACTTTCGTTTTCATAATAGCCTAGAAATTATCTTAAAAACTATATATGTGGAACTATACTATTACAGTTTGCAGGCTAACACATTCTATATACAAAATTATTAGTTAGTAAAACAAACAAATGGTACAGAAGTAAGGTTTGTATAACTGAAAAAGGATGCTCTAGTCAACACTTGTGCCATTTAGGGTATAAAATTACGAATAAAGTATGAAAGTAGATGCTAAATGGTTGTAGTAAAGAAAAAAGTAAAAAAGAATCAAGTTATCATATACGAGTGCTGACATCTAGTATGTCTAATAGATAATACTTGAATAATGTTGAAAGTGTCTTTCACCTTTCAAAAAAAAAAATATTAATTATTAACATTAAGACGTTTTAATCACTACGGCTTTCTTATAAGACAATCGATTATCACCTTATTGTTTTAAAAACGCGATCTTTATTGGTAACTTCGAAGTCATTGACATATTATTGAACATTTTCAAGGAAATGGGGAAAAACTACAAGACATTAGTTATCGATAAACGTCGATTGGTACGACCTTTCAAGTAGTACTAATAACTAATATCAGGCGTTTCTTACTCTATTTTTTTTATTGTCTTAAGAGAAACGGTCACATGTGATTAGTTTAATATCTATAGATTTATTATTGATCATCCTATTCAATAGGACATACTAATATGTGAAAAACTATGCTTATATTCCATTTGAGAAAATGTTTCTGTCTCATTCAGCCAGAATAATAGTATTCAGAACTCTGATATTCTTATGTTTGTGGAATTTTTCACTTGCGACAATTTTTCATATTTTAGGACTTTATTGTAAATCAGGAAGTCCTCCTGGCTCTATTATCAAAACGTTCGTTACTAATAGGGAGTTTATTTGTTATACTCTCTGTTCAAGAGATAAAGGATGTTTTGCTGCGACCTATTCTTCAGATCGAAGATGTTTTCATCATTCATCTCTAATTACCTCTTGTACAACTCCTACAGCAAAAGTTTATAAAGTTTACAATAAAATTGCGGTGTCAGATTGCTATCACAATGGTAATTATAATATCTGGAACCGAAAATGTTTATGTAACACTGGATTTTATGGAAAATTTTGTCAAAATGACGGTTGTAATCCTAATCCTTGCACAAATTTTGGATCGTGTGTTAGAACATCTGATTCGCAGCATTTTCGATGTTTGTGTGTAGGGGGTTTCAGTGGAACAACTTGTGCAATTAATAATGGAATTCAAATCTCCGATGAACTAACACATTCAAATACTCTTCAATTTGGAGATTGGAAAGGTTATAAATATTGTTCTCACGGTTATTTCGTCAACGGTATACAACTTCGAGTTGATCCTGCTGGTGGAGACGATACCGCATTGAACAATGTTCGATTAGAATGTAAGAGGCCTTACGATAATACTACTGGTACAAGTGTTAAATCTGGTACTGCTCAAGATGGAGTCTGGTATGGTACAAGCTATTGTCCTGATGGAATGTACATGGTAGCCTTTGTAGTAAGACTACTTCCGTATAAAGGACCTTTCAGCGACGATTATGGCGCTACTGATTTCAAATTCAGGTGTAGAAGCTATCTGAACCCTCACGAAGCAACTATTGATTTACATCCACCTGGGGGACTTACCAAGGGAGATTGGGGATCTTGGTCATCGTCTTGCAATGCAAATTCGGCAGTTTGCGGTGTAGAATCAAAAATTGAAATCTCTTCGTCACTTGACAAGACTGGCTTGAATGTTGTACGTTTTAAATGCTGTAGTTATTGAATGTTTATTTGCAGAAGTTTGCATATTAATATAGAGTATAAATATAACTGTATCTTCCAAATCTTCAAGATAATTCAGGTTGAAGTATCTTGCATTAAGATAAAATAATTTTTCAAAAACCTACTTACTTATCTAAACTTGTCATCTTCTCTTAAATATTTTTATAAATCAATAATGTTTTCCATTCGGAAAATCTGTAAATCTTTTTATTTTATATAATGAATTTTTCCTTATTACAATTAGTAAAGAAGGATATTTGAAATGTCAACAGTCGACTCATAATAGAAACGGAAATGGGTAAATTTACTGTCTATTCTGTACTAAAACTAGGCGAAAACTATCAGATTAACAAAATATATTCGACATTCGTATATATAAAGTATATACAGTACTGTATATAACTTGTATAAAGATACATAAAATATTTAATGTATTTTTAAATAAATATAAGAACTTAGGCCTAAGATTAAAAAAAAAGCATTAAAATTAGATTTAATTTTTACATTAGTTTGTAGTCCTATGTTGTAAAAACTTAATTAACGAATATTATAAAGAAAAAAGAGGATAAAAGTATAAAAATGAACTGAAGAAAGAAGCGGATAAAATGAAGTACTCTCTTAAAAGTCAATTAATCCTATGAAGAATTTTGTTCATCAGTTGTTTTTTTAATGAGTCAATTTATATTTACTTAACCATATTTAAAAGAAAATTCTATCTAACTTGCATACTATTTTTTTTTATAAAAACAAAAAAAACCATGTTATAAAAAATCAATATGATTTTCAATTTATTGATATATTTTTTGTTTTTACTCTCCTTTCTAAAGGAAATAAATGAAAGAGTAGAAGAAGTGTCGCTGAAGAATGAGCAGATTAATTGAGTTATATATTTGTTGCTTTCTTTATCTTCGCAAAGGGAATTTATACTTTGCGGTTAATTTAGAGTTAATTGTCCAACATATATAGTAAAAGTATAAAAGCACTTTGGGAAATTTAGTATTTTGAAAATAATTACATTCATCAAATTTAATTAGACTATTTAGAGTAAATCTTAAGATATTTTCTCCTAAAAAAACACTATTTAATGGTATATTTCTCATTTTTAAAATAAGCTTCTTGCTTCTATCTATTTTCACTATTTTAAGCTGATTTTGTAATTTTATTATCTAATTATAAACTTGCTAAAAAGTTGAACTTTTGATGGAAGAGCTGACTACCAAATTAAATAAACTTCAAAATAAGGAAATACTCACAACATTAGTTTAGTCTTAATTGCAAATATACAGCATATTGACTTTTTCTCAAGAGAGAGAGAGAGAGAGAAAGACAAGCGAAAGGATAACTCACATCAATAAAATTTTCATCAACTTTTCTAAAAGTAACAGATGTAAAATTTAAGCATTTACACTCATGCGAATCCATAGCTATAACACTAATTTAAATCTTTAATTACTTATCTTGATTACAATCTGTTACTATCTCTATTAACAAATACTCTACTTTAGCTTTTAAATTAATACACAACAAGTAATGTACCAGGTCATCTGCCTGGAATATCTCCACTTCTTCGAATCTGCTCATTGGATATTGATCAATTATGTAACATTATTTGATTTCATTGAATTTCCTGATAATAGGTCAATAATTAAAACAAAAATCTTTATATCAATCTATGAATGCTTTTATTTGTCCTTACGCTAGGAATATGCCTATGGACAGACGTCTAAATGTTGTTTGTCTCTTTCACTCTCAAGATATTGTGCAAGTTATTTATAATAACACTTAAAGAAATCAGATAAAACATGTCAAACACACACCAAAGAGTCGAGATTATGTTTTTCTTTTTAGTCTTGCCAAAGAATAAACAGTTTAAAAGGAACAACCTCCACACACAATGATATGTCTATATATATATATATATATATATATATGTATGAATTCTCACATGCACACACATATTCTAATATATGTATATACTGTAGATACTTAGGCGGATAAACATATTCTTTTAATATTTGTCCTATAAATTCAAATAATAAATATATGTTCTATGACTCTTTCTTATTAGCTCATTTATAGCCTAAAACTTCTTCACTTTTGCTTTTTCTTTAATTAAAATCATTCAGTAAGTTTAATATTTATTAGGTATCTTTCCTGCAAGAGAGGTAATAAATTCTATTAATCATTAAAGGAAGAGAATAATTGACCTATTTAGAGTTAGATTAATATTTTCTTCTTAATGACGCTTTATAGGGGTTTTATGTCGGTATAAATATGCTCTTAAGATGATATATGTACAAGTTTTTTCAATATACAAAAGACATATTAAATGGCATAAAATAAGTACTGATATGGATATAGATAAAGCATGCATATATATATATATATATATAAATATAGACATATATATATATTTCTATTATTTATATATCTTTTGGCCGGAGGACTAATTTACAAAAGCAGCTGAAATTGCGAATTAGATAGGGGCGGGGTAAATAGGATTATGTTCTGCAAAGACTTGTGCTGACATCTACCATATTAGAGTAGTAATCGTGATTTTATAGTATAGCAAACAATACAAACCAAAGTGAAATAAATTAGTCAGTAGTCATCAAATTTCGTATTCGGCGTAAATTCATTTGGACGGGTCTTTGTAAGATCGAAATTAGGAATAATTCAGCCGAGAAATCCGCTGCTGAGCAATGCACGGAAATTCAATCGGAAACGCTTTGATGTTGGCCCGAATTCAACAGATTTTAATCGATACAATCCCGTCAAACTAGCCAATAGCTTTTTCTCCCTTTCTTTTCTGGTTAACATCTTTTTTTTTTATACATACTTTTTTTTTCGCTTTCATCCTCTTTGTTTCTCTCTTTCTACATTTATGAATTCCTAGTATTTGCCTTTAAATAACTATATATCAACTATAAATAATTTAGACGCTTTAAAGCAAAGGTAAAACTACGTTATAAAAGTCTTTTCTCTTCAACTACGAAATTCACGACAGAAACATAAATTTGATTTTCCTACAAAATAAACGAAAGACTATATGCACTGCCTATAGGACATACATGTTGTCATGGCATCGACACCTTAAGCGTTGAGAATCGGAGATGGTTAATTGTATTAAGTTGACATTTTCTGCTTACTTATGTAAAATACCTACATAGGCCAAAGTAGACAGAATTTTATCATTCTCTCTTTCTCTATTTAACATATTTTAGGAAAGAAGACAAAAGATAATTAAACAGAGAAAAAACAGAAAAATAAACATTATAAACAGATTATTAATAAAGAATAAATCAATATTTAAAATATATAGCTGAGTATAAATACTACTTCAATACAAATTAACTAGTCTAATGTTATAAAAAAGGAAACATACTGTAGGCAAGTTTCCAAATTTGAAAAACTGTAGACGGTTCATTGACAAGCGCCCCTCCCCATACTTTGCTGACGACTGCATCGAGAATGCACCAAGCCAGATTTTTATAACGTGTACTTTAGTATCAGCAAACGCTGCGCAGCGTATTTACTTTTGTGTACGAAAATTTAATTAGTATTACCCAGATAAAATAAGTCTAGAGTAATGAAAGTGTAAATATAGTTGTGAAAATGAAGAAATATATTAAAGAGTTTACACTAACGCCTCTATAATTAATATTTCTTTCATAAATATTTTTAATACCTTACACTTTGCACTAAATAAAAGTTACTTTAAGTCATTTCTTTTACTCTCTCTCTCTCTTTTTCTCTCTTATTTCTGCTTGCCTTATTCTATAATTTATGTCTTCCGTAAGTAAAAGATTCTTTCGCGATAGTCGATCAAAGTGGATACAGTTGACTCTTTTCTTTTTCTACATTTGCATCTTCCTTTCTAAGATTTCTATTGCACGCCATTTACGTTCTTTATCTGCTATGAAGATAAAATTTTATACTCTCACCTATCTATTTTTAATTCATTTATTGGTTAAAATAAATAGAAAAGGGAAAAATACATTCTCATTCGATCTTTAAATTTTTAATACTATTTTCTTATATTTAAGTATTCTATCTCTTTTCATTTCCATAGCCAAAAAAACACTTAAACTAAAAGAGACAACAATCAATGCTCTTTTTAAAGTATATGCATATCACAGACTAATTTATTCTCTTCATCTTTTAGTGCATAGAAAAAATTTTTTTAATATATTTACAATGCTAATTCATTCAGGGAACAGATTACAGATTAACATTATCTCTATCTGCTCCGCTTTAAAGCTTTAAATTCATTTCAGTTTAAGATCGATACAGTTTTCTCTTTCGTTTTATGAAACAGCTGCCTCCTTGTGCCATTAACCAAAAAATCTCTACAATCGTAACCATATTTAAAGAATAAACTGTTCAAAAGAAACAACTTCACTTTTATATTCAACATCTTCAAAATGAACTACAATTATTGAACATTTCCAAATGAGGTCGAATCTCTAAGGCCTCATTTCCCAGAATATTCTATTTCTCACTTATTCGTTATGCGTTACGTCTATTATATATTATGTTCTCTTTCGTTTTCACTTTCTTTCAATCCTTTTCATTCTTTTTCTCACTCAATTTTTGTCCTTGTTTCTCACCCACTTCCCCTTCTCCTATAGATAATGTGTCCTCTAGTTTCTGTATTTCTATATTGCGTTAAGAATGAAACTTGAAATGTTTCGCCTTGAAATATCAGTAAAAATGTTGCATTGGAAGAATAAAGAAATCGCCCCAACTAGAGTAATAGGTCGAAAATAACGGATTTACTTGACATTTATCCTCTTGATACCAAGTCCCATCAAATACGGTCGAACAATTATACTACAACTACTGACCGATAGACGCTATTGAGCAGGTTTGTGTGGTCTGAGTGTCTTCCATTTTACCCTTGTTTGCCTTTCCTTTTTACACATTTTTGTCTCTCACTTTCTCTCTCTCTCTCTCTCTGTTTCTCTCTCTCTCTCACTCTGTTTTTCTCCCTCTCAGTCGCTTTCTCCTTCTTCCTCTTTATTTTTCTCACACTTCCCCCCCCTCTCTCTCTCTCTCTCTTTGCTACGAGGCGTCTATATTCGTCTCTTTTCTACAATAAAGCCAAATAATCTAAAAACCAATAGAATTTTCTTGTCTTTAAATTGAATTTTGTATTCGAATTACATTAACTAAAGCGGATTTCGGTAAATAATTTATAATATTTTTGCCTTATTAATCATTATTACGAGACTCTTTTTATTTAAATACCTTTTCATTTATCTAACATCCGTCCTCTTTTCAAAATATAACTACGATATACGAAGATTTCTCCCAAATTCATAACGTTATATTTCATCATTTTACTCTTTTCTTTCTTCTTCTCTTACTCTTTCGCTCCCTCCCTCCCTCCCTCTCTCTCTCTCTCTCTCTCTCTCTCTCTCTGTCTATCTATACACTTTTTTCTATACCTAACAGTAAAGACCTTTTTAGACTCTTCTGAAAGCTAAACAGAAGGTTATCGCCTAAATAATTTTATCTATCGCATGGCCAAACTTCGTAAGATATCTTTTAGTGGCTAAAAATAAAAGGATATGCATAAAAGGAAAAAAGAAGAATATATAGGCCTAATAGAGAATCTTTCTCTTCTCATTTTGCTGTTTAGAGCGTTTAATTTATTTTGTCGGGGAAATTGGGACAATTGGCTAAAATTAGCAGTTATGCAGACTCGGTGTATAAACCAAAAGAGTGAAATAGATGGCGTTCTAGTACGAGATGAAAAATTGAAAAGATAATTTTAGAAGTATATAATATATGGAAAATTAGATTTTTGCAAATAGGAAGCTCTAATGAAGATTTATAGTTTGAAATTTCAGTATATTACATAATAATACGATAATTTTAAAATATATGATCATCCTTTTTGAAACTATAATAGTGAGATTAAATATACTAGCATACTACTCTTTTTATTTTAGTGAATATTTTCTCATATACTCTAATTAATAAAATGAAATTTTTCATTTAGAGGTTACATCTTTTTTTATATTGAAAGTTCTTTTTGAAACGTGAAGATTTACCTGAAATTCAATTAATCAGCAAATTAAAATTAATTAACAAAATTAATTATGTAAATTAGATATACACTTTTCGTATTTTTTGTTAATGTTGTTGTTAACAATAATGATATTTAATGTTATTTTCGTCATAATTTTTATAGTTTTTATAAGATGAAAATGAAATTTGAAAGTATTTTTAAATGTATCTAATCTCTCTCTTTTGAAAATACATTTAAAGAGAAAGAGAGAGAGAGAGAGAGAAATCTGTTAAATATCTTAAGAAGATAATATCTTTTTTGTAAGGCGATGTTTCTCCTGATTGAAACCTAATATTATTCTGACATTAATATATATCTTTAGTTTATTCTGCTGAGAATAGAATTAATTTTTTCTTCTATGTATAAAATTTATTCGTTCAGCTTCGTCTTTTTTAAAACTACTAATATATTATATATAATAAAAATCAACAGCTACTTATACCTAGTCTCTAATATATATAATAAAGTAATATAATATCTTGAGACATTCATATATTCCTACTTTTTTATATTAAATATATAGAAAAAGGAAGAGACCTTCGTCCATCATTATTACATATAAAAAAAATCTATTTACCATAGTAGCTGACGATGTAATTGAATTTCCAACCGCCTATATCATAATAATTAAAATAACTTTAATGTTCACAGAAAGAAAAGCGACATAGAGTACATATTTTATTAAATTCATTATTGATAATTGAATAGTTAAAACTGAAATTGTAGCAATGTGTATAGCTGTGTATTGGAAATATATAATATTTGTATTTAGACGCAAAAGATATAAAGAATAATATTGGAGAGAAAGAAGAATGAATAAAGTGTTTATTTAAGTATAAAGCCATTAGCAGCCTTTATTAATTCACAATTTAATGAAATATGAATGTTAATTATTGTATACTTTATAATCCTTGGCTGATCATGTTAAAGATCATATCCGTCGACATTGGCATTACATTTTAGCTATGACTGCTGTGTTTATCATGATTTTTATATTTTATTATGTTGTCAAGGCAGATATTTCTCATATTTTTACATTTAAATGCTATACCGGAAATATTTCTTCTTCGGTTTTTAATTCATTTCCTTCGAAAAGCGAATTTCGATGTTTTATTCTTTGTTCAAGAAATAAAGAATGCTTTGCAGTTACTTACTCCTCTGACAAGCAATGCTTTTTTCATGAAACTAAAGTACCCTCTTGTTCTTCTATGCTTGTGAAGACCTATAAAGTTTATATTAAAATTTTTGAGTCAAATTGCACAAAGAGGGGGAAATATGACTTTTTTGGAAAAACATGTCACTGCTTTCCAGGTTATTATGGAAAAGATTGTGAACATGATGTTTGTCTACCGAATCCCTGTCAGAATTTTGGCTATTGTCATAGGATGGGTAATCAGAAATCCTTTAAATGTATTTGTGTAGGAGGCTATTATGGAAAATTTTGCCACTTAAATACTACTAGTAGGCAATTTGATAAAGAATTAACCCACGATAATCCGGTACAGTTTGGAGACGTTTATCCATTTGCATTCTGTGATCACGGTTACTTTGCTAATGGTATACAATTACGAGTTGAAACTGGAGGGATAGATAATACAGGTGTGAATAATCTTAGGCTACAATGTCAAAGACCATACGATAATACACAGGGTGATCATGTTCAATCTGGTATTACTGGCGAAGGATCTTGGTTTAGTAAGACCTTTTGTCCGTTGAATATGTTTATAGTAGGATTTCGTGTTAGAGCTTCACCATATAAAGGAATACTTGGAGATGATAATGCCATAACTGATGTTAAATTTAAATGTCAAAAATTTCTAGATGTCAATAATACTTTCATAGAAATTCACCCTCAGGGTGGTCTAAAGAACGGTATCTGGGGTTCGTGGTCTGAAAATTGCAATTCAACTTCAGCAGTCTGCGGTGTAAAAACTAAAATAGAGTCATCGAGTGCCGACAAATCAGGTTTAAATGAAGTCAAATTAAAGTGTTGCTCGTACTTTAGCAAAACGTTCTAAAACGAAGTCAAGTATAAACATACTTAACTGAATGTTTGCTTGAACAAATTGGCTAATTAAAGAGATACTAAAATGTATGTTTTAGTGGAGAAAATGTAGAATATCAACAAGTTTCTTTTAAATTGTCATATGATAAAAGAATATTAAATGATTAAGATTAAAAACAAACATTTACATAGTTTATATTGTTATTTTCCATAATCTTTTCCCATAGTGTCCAACCCTGCTTTTGCTACGGTTATACTTTACCTTTAAATTTTAAATGTAATTGTATTTGACGTATTTCCCACTAAAAAGGAATATAAAATACTTTCAATTTTTTACTAGAAATAAAAATTGTTTCTTAGTTTCTTATTTAAATGATGGACGATGCTTTTCTTTCGTGAAAAACATATGTGATAGTCTGAAAGAAAAACAATTTCAAGATCAATAACAAGGCTACCGCTTCATATTGTTTTACCGACGGAAAGTAGAACATATTAAAGAAGACATATACTGTGTTTACGATATAATATTTATGATGGAAATTTTGTGCCAATACAATTTTTGTTCAACTCAATTCTTATTTCACCTTTGATTTTACTAAAGAAAGTCGAATGAAGCTTTTTAAATGAATGTAACTTTTGCTATTAGGCTTTCAGGAGTTAATTTTCTAATTAACAATAGCAGACAATAATTAAAGGGCTAACTTGCAATAATCGTGTTTAATTTCGTGATAAGAATAGATCTATTTACTGTAAATATGGTTATTTCGTTGATGATATTGGTTTAAGTCTGAGAAAGAAGGTAATACAACGATAAATAATGCAATATCACCTTGTCCGAGACCATACGACAGTGACCTAGGTTCACCGATCAAATCAGTAGAAGCCATTGGTGAAAAATGTCATTTTTTTTTCATGATGGAATGTTTATTAACAGCTTTCATAATTAGATCTAAACCTTATGGAGAGGCTTTCAAATATAGAGGGAGCACATCTGCTGTTACAAATATTAAAATGTAACAGCTGTAGAAATCGTAAGAGTGAACTTGTCGGAAAAGAGCCGGAGGGTGGATTGGCTATTGCCAAACTGAATTTTTTTTATTGCAGAGTGGCAACTCTTAACTCAGTTGTTTGTACCTTAAATACAGATTTTATCAATTATATTGATTAAAAAAGAAAAGCTTACATTTAAATACTATAACATGTAATATGGCTATAAGAGTGTTATGATGTTTTAATACTAATACAAATGACGCAGAAGAAAGATGACTCTACTATTGAAATGAAACAATACAATAAAAGATTTAAAACTGTAAAGTTTTTTTTTATAATTTCCTTAGAAAAACAACTATGCATTTATATGAAAGAATTCGTATTATATAACTTAAAGTTACAGTTTTTATTACAATTATTCCACTATGTTATTAAACTAGTGACAGACAAGTATCAAATTGGAATATTTGTACTATATTTTAAACCAAAAATTAATAAACATGACTCTTATTGATACTTTTACCAATAGCTACTTTCTTATTTATATAAGAAGGTAATTCCAACTAATTTTAATTGATTTAGTAGTGTGAACACCTTCAGTTTTTCAATTGTTCTGAAGAGGAAATTTCACTTTTATATTCAACATCTTCAAAATGAACTACAATTATTGAACATTTCCAAATGAGGTCGAATCTCTAAGGCCTCATTTCCCAGAATATTCTATTTCTCACTTATTCGTTATGCGTTACGTCTATTATATATTATGTTCTCTTTCGTTTTCACTTTCTTTCAATCCTTTTCATTCTTTTTCTCACTCAATTTTTGTCCTTGTTTCTCACCCACTTCCCCTTCTCCTATAGATAATGTGTCCTCTAGTTTCTGTATTTCTATATTGCGTTAAGAATGAAACTTGAAATGTTTCGCCTTGAAATATCAGTAAAAATGTTGCATTGGAAGAATAAAGAAATCGCCCCAACTAGAGTAATAGGTCGAAAATAACGGATTTACTTGACATTTATCCTCTTGATACCAAGTCCCATCAAATACGGTCGAACAATTATACTACAACTACTGACCGATAGACGCTATTGAGCAGGTTTGTGTGGTCTGAGTGTCTTCCATTTTACCCTTGTTTGCCTTTCCTTTTTACACATTTTTGTCTCTCACTTTCTCTCTCTCTCTCTCTCTGTTTCTCTCTCTCTCTCACTCTGTTTTTCTCCCTCTCAGTCGCTTTCTCCTTCTTCCTCTTTATTTTTCTCACACTTCCCCCCTCTCTCTCTCTCTCTCTTTGCTACGAGGCGTCTATATTCGTCTCTTTTCTACAATAAAGCCAAATAATCTAAAAACCAATAGAATTTTCTTGTCTTTAAATTGAATTTTGTATTCGAATTACATTAACTAAAGCGGATTTCGGTAAATAATTTATAATATTTTTGCCTTATTAATCATTATTACGAGACTCTTTTTATTTAAATACCTTTTCATTTATCTAACATCCGTCCTCTTTTCAAAATATAACTACGATATACGAAGATTTCTCCCAAATTCATAACGTTATATTTCATCATTTTACTCTTTTCTTTCTTCTTCTCTTACTCTTTCGCTCCCTCCCTCCCTCCCTCTCTCTCTCTCTCTCTCTCTCTCTCTCTCTCTCTCTCTGTCTATCTATACACTTTTTTCTATACCTAACAGTAAAGACCTTTTTAGACTCTTCTGAAAGTTAAACAGAAGGTTATCGCCCAAATTATTTTATCTGTTACATGCAAACTTCAAGATATATTTTAGTGGTTCGATAAAAATAAATATGAGGCAAAAGAAAAAGTTTTATAGGCCTAATGGAGAATCTTTCTCTTCTCGTTTTTCTGTTTAGAGCGTTTAATTTATTTTGTCGTGGTTACTATATATTTGAAAAAAGAAAATACATTAGATGGCACCACAATGCCACATATAATGTTCTTTTATAGGTGACGTGCTAGGCAATTCACATAAAAGAGTAACTGTTATATAAATTGAAGATCAATTAACTTTTTGAAAGTCATATGTGTCATGTTGTTTTTACCTATAGCTTTTACCTGTAAAAGTCTTAAGTTCTTCTAATTATGAAGATATTTTTCCTTTTACTTTGTTCTCTTTTTTCTTCACTTTTTTCAAATCCATATTTCATTTTTAAACAGTATTGTTACTCTAACGATATTTTTCATTCTGTTTTTCATTCTTTTCGTATAAATAGTAAGCTATTATGTTTAAGCTTTTGCTCAAACTGTAGAAATTGTCTGTCTGCTACGATTTCAAAAGATAAGATGTGCTATTTGCACTCAGAAAGATTTTCTTCTTGTAATTCTTCATCAGAAAATACATTTAAGACATTTAACAAAGTCAGTACTTCAAATTGCTTTAATAGAGGAATTTGTGATAAATGGTACGGATTTCGCGGACTAGTTTGTCAAGAAACTCCTTGTAACAGCTACCCATGTTTGAATTTTGGAAAGTGTATAGAAAGATTTGAGAAAGTGAATGAGTACACATGTTCTTGTATTGGAGGCTATTCTGGAATAACTTGTGCAATTAATAATGGAATTCAAATTTCTAGTGAATTAACACATTCAAATACTCTTCAATTTGGAGAAAGACAAGGTTATAAATATTGTTCTCATGGTTATTTTGTCAACGGTATACAACTTCGAGTTGATCCTGCTGGTGGAGATGAGACCGCATTGAACAATATTCGATTAGAATGTAAAAGGCCTTACGATAATACTACTGGTACAAGTGTTAAATCTGGCAATGCTAACGAAGGAATCTGGCATGGTACAAGCTATTGTCCTGATGGAATGTACATGGTAGCCTTTGCAGTAAGACTAGTTCCGTATAAAGGACCTTTCAGCGACGATTATGGCGCTACTGATTTCAAATTCAGGTGTAGAAGCCATCTGAACCCTCACGAAGCAACTGTTGAAGTACATCCACCTGGAGGACTTTCCGAGGGAGAATGGGGACCTTGGTCGTCGTCTTGCAGTAAAAATTCGGCAGTTTGCGGTATTAACCCACAAATCTCTATAGACGTCCTTACTATAGACAGGACTGGTTTGAATGCTGTACGTTTTGAATGTTGTAAATTTTGAGATTTCATTTTTTGTGATTTGAATAAATAAGTAGACAACTATATACTATATATATATTGTATATAAACGGAAAGCTGTGTTGAAAGGTTGCTATCTATTAAAAGTAACTCTCGAATAAACTGTTATAATCTTTACCTAGAAAATACTATAAACATTTAAACCTTCTCCATCAAGCACAGTCTGTTCACAGGTGAAAATTAAATTCTAAGAAATTTCATTGTTTCTTCAAATAGAATAGAAATTGATTATTTTTAAGATGTAGCTTTTATATTCGTAGTAAAAGGAATACAGTCCAAAAGCTTTCTTTCTGTCAAAAAACTTAAAAAGAGGATGGAAACTATAGAAAAAATGTTTAATTATTTGTAAGTGAAAGAAATAAACTTATTCTGTGGAGGAAGTACAGAAGATATTTTTTAGGTCAATGAATTTGCGTAGTTTAGTCAAATTATAAATTTTAAAAAAGGATAAAGGATTATTAATAGAGATTTAATAAAATTTTAGTAAATTGCCATCATATAACAATATAAAAATTATTCTAAAAATACAAAATTTACAGCTATTAATAGATTATTTATTGAAAGGGATAAAAATGATTCTTATCAATTACCTAGTAATCTTTACAATCGCTTACAATTATTTCCATATAACCTATGATTTTTAAATTAATTCAATAAATTGTCAAGATAAACTCTCTTTTTATCTGGAAATCGATCAATAAACTTTCTCTTGCCTTTTTATTAAATTATTTAAAAACAAAAAAAAATTAAGTGGATTAACCCCGAGATAATTACCAACTATAATCCGTTTTAGGTAATTTAATAAACAACCGCTTGAATTATTTTTTAGATTGGAAAAAAATTAAAAAAAAGTACAGACAGCAGTCCAACTATATTAATCGGGCTAACAGACAATGCCTATTCACAGTCGCGAACCGACTACTGTTCAACACGGGGAGTTTTATCTGCTCCTTTTCAGGCCTCGATCGATTTCTCCCTCCTTAGACGACCTGGAATGACTAGCCTCCGCCAGTCACTCCATGCCGATGCCGAGCTTAGTTCGGACGTCTGATCGACATAGAACACTGCCTGTTAGGGATCCCAATTTCAAATCGTCCCGAAATCTGGCCTTCGAAGTAGCTCGAATTACAGGAGTACGCCAAGCTCCCAGCCGAAATTTTAATACACAATTCATAACCTTGACTTACATTTTCTATATTTATTCGTTTCTAATTACAAATAGAAAACAACTTAGCTTTCATTACTACTAATTAATATATGAATTATTAAAATACTAATGTTTCAAAAAGACATTTCTTGTCCCCGCTTTATTTATATAATATAAAATTGTTTGATTAACAAAACATACTTTCTAAATAATTTATTTAATCGACATTTTAAAAATTCTCTTCTCTATTCAACTAACTTTCTCCTTTTTTGACAATTGCTTATAACAATAATAAGATAGTCTTATCTTTTAATCGCTATACATAAACACACACACACACACACTCTCTCTCTCTCTCTCTCTCTCTCTCTCTCTCTCTCTCTGTTATTTTCTTTTACACTTTTTACTCATCAAACTGATATGAAAATCTACTTGAATAATCAGTTAAATATTGTTATTATTATTAGCTTTGAACTTATACTCACCTATTAGAGATTCACTACTTATCTAATAGCCCTATATTTTGCAAAATTTTATAAACAATGTCAATATCTATGATTTTCAACTATCTGTCTTTTTGCATTTGCATAAAATTCAATATAGCAAAGATGCAATATTCATCCAGGTTATTATATAAGATTTTTTATGTTTTTATTTAAAATAAATATCATTAAACTAATTTTTTTTAATTTTCCATTGAAATCAATAATTTCCTTTCTTTTTATTTAATAAATGCATTGTGTTAGCCAACAGAATTTTCTATCAAAGAATGAATAAAAGCATAATCGGGGGAGGGTGAACTTTCAACGCACGTATACCTTTTTACCTATTCATTTTTACTAATTTAGACTTTCGCTTAAAAATATGAAATATTTCTTTTATCTAATCAAATCCTTTCATGTTTTATCCTGAAGAAATAATGAAACAATAAAATAGATGGCGTTAATATCAGAGATCATATGTAGATATACATATTAAAATATTTATATGTTTTACTATATAGGTAAGAAAGGAGTAAGAAGAGTTTATTCTCGTATTTACACATTTACAATGGCTTCTTTTTAATAAATGCCGATTTATTTATTATCTTTGATTTTTGTTTAAAAAACTGAATCATTAAATATTTTATATTATTGTTAATATTATTGTAAAATTGTTAGAATAGATGTAAAAGTAGATAAGAAATAAAGATTATATAGAAAATATATATCTATACACTTTATTCAAGTACAATATACATATAATGATAGTAAATAACTATACTTCTTTAAAAACTAGTATACCAAATACATTTGAAAGAAATTTAATGTTATTTTTTTTTTCAATGTTGTTTTTCTACTCGATATAAACCAAACTGTATTAGGACTATAAAAGGGGGTTAATAAACTAATTAATTATTTAAAGGTGAAAAAATAAATAGAAAGGAGAAGGGAATTACTTCCTTTTTTATTAGTTTAGAAGATGAACTTCTCTGTTTTTACGTAGATGAAAAATTATTTTGTGATTATTCCTATTATTATAGTAATTATAAAATATACAAGTATATACAGTTGCTCTGAACAATTATACTAGAAAATATATTGTTTATATATGAAAAGAAGAAAAACATAATTTGTGCAATTTCTTTTATATTAATACTGATAAATATGTTATTTTAATGTTTAGAAATATTTATATATACCTATATAAATACATTTTACTTTTGAATAGCTTAGACATATGTTCATAATTTTTTTTTAATACTTTTCTCGATTATTGAATTGTATTTATCTTTTTTTTTTTTTTTCTCTTTTTTTTGGTTTCTTATCTCTCTTGAAATTTAAACTCTCCCCATTGTTAGAAAGGTACAACTAACAAATATTTATTTGTGTTTATAGAACTCTCGTTACAATTGTTGAATTGTTGTACTAGATGTTTATTTCATTCTTTTTGTTTTCATCTGTTTTTCCTTTTTTTTCAACTTTTTTTTCCAAAGTAAAAAATATTTCAATAGTGTCCGTTATAAATACAACTATATTAATAAAAATTGTTTATATTATTATTGTTTTTTCTATGATAAAAGATAAACTTTCTCTTTTTTTCTTTCTTCCTTAGTTCCCTTTTTTTTTTCAATAAAACACCAAAAATTTTTATATTAACTTTATAATTAATTAACACCAATAGCGTGGTATGAAGTTTAGTAGTATTAGCCATCCGAATATTGAAACGTATACTAAAAAAAAGATGCAAAAAAATATGTTTATTATTATAAAGTAGAGTTCTTTTTTATGCGTCTTAGATTCTTCATTGAAAAGAGATTTAACCTTTTCTCTAATTTACTTATCTTTCTCCTTTCTATCGTTTACTTTCTACGTTTCATTAATATTCAACCTCTCAACACAATCTACAATATATCGTTTATCTTGAAGCTTTCTTAAAGTATTATATAAATGAATTATATATGATTTGTCCATTTAGATTTATTTACCAATATTATATGCTTTTTCATTATTAACGTCTTTACGTCTCTTCGCTTTCGTCTTTTACTCTAATTTCGACATTTTCGTTGATATCTTATGAAATCTTTTAAATACCGTAATAACAAATAGGATAAAATTAGATTACTTTAATAACGTGTCTTATATAGAAGACAAAAAGTTAATAACTTTGTGATTACATCCATCTATTTTTTCACTGAAACATGTTTGTTTGAGAAAAGCTAAAATTTTGGGAATAAATAAAGAAATATATACTGTATTTATACAGAGAGAGAGAGAGAGAGAGAGAGAGAGAAAAAAGAAGTAAAACCAGCCATCCTTTTTTTCAAAGTCGGTGACATTCTAAACCAATTTGTTCTAATAAGGCACAGAGGATGGCGAGTAACAATCAAGTTTCTGTTTGTAAAATAAAAAAAAGAAACTTTTTTTTCTTCCTGTTACAAACGAATTATTATTATTTTTCTTTCTATTCTCTCTTGCTTATCCCAGTCTCTCTCACACACTCTCTCTCTTCTTTACTAATTCTTAATCATAATAATTATAATTCACTTACTGATAATAGAAGCAGTAATTTAAAATAAAGCTTTGTATAATATGCATGTACGGATAAGTTCAATATTCACAGTAGACATTGTATCGGACGTACACTGTTGAATATGTTTTTCTCTTTATAAAGTTACTTTTTTCTTCTATGTAAATAACCTTATAAAAAGTTGATAAATAGTGTAATGTATCTTTATGCATTTATGAAAATTATCCCGGAAAGGGAACAGTCTCTCTTATTTAAGAAAAAAAAAACTCTTCTGTAAGGTCTCTTCAAGTGAAATAAACTGCTATTAGACTATTTATAAAATGATTCCTTTAGACTTTGAACTTTTAGCCTTTACTAAATATCGTATACATTTTCATTTCCCCTCGTTTCTCGCTCAATCTCTTTTCTCTCTTTCTCTTTCTCTCCATCACACACCTTGATATAAACTAAACAACAATAAGATTTTACGGATTTTACTCTACAGTTTCTATTGTACACTTTGCCATATGTAACTTGTATCCTATATTAAGTTCAAATAATTATGATTATAAAAATTCAATTGAGTTCAATATTGGACAAATATTTTGTTTCCTTGTTGTTTGCCCAAACATCAATGCCTGACCCCTTTTCTATCCAATTAGATTGGCTGTTCAGTTGGCCAAGTTGACAAATACCTGGTATTTAATATTATTATGTACAAGTAAACAACTTAGAAAATAAGGTTTAACGGGTCGACGTCTTAAGGAAACGTCGACTCGCCGTAATCCATTTTCTCTTATATCTAAAAGTTGTTTGCTAGTTAGACATGACTAAGCAGATTAATAATTGTTTATGAAACGTTTGATAAAGAGTTTTCTACTCCTCACAATATGAATAAATAGACTAGATTGAATGACGTATTCAAGACATTCGAGTCATTCCCTGCTTGTTTCACACAGTTGATTCATTCGAATTCAATTTACTGCCTCATTCGTAAAATCGTTAGTGCAGAACAACTAACTCTTTTTGCAAATAAGATAAGCATTGCAGATTTGCAGTCTAGTACTCATCGCCCTGGTCCAGACCATAACGGTACCTAGTGCGAAACACTATAGCTGCCTTACTCAGAAATAGTCAAAAACTAATATCAGACACCGGGTTCGTTGCACTAAGGAATAGAACAAGATAAAACAGTGTGTATTCATATAAATAGTATCCATTTTTAATATGCAATTGACACAAACGCCCACAGTTTGCAATAATTTAATCCTTTTCCGGTTACTTATCCTCTGTCAGTATTGACTCCCGCTGACCAGGTTATCAACCTTTTCTTATAACTAGGCCTATTGTTTGAACTTTTGGCTAAATCATCACTTTGAGAAAGGCGTTCAATAAAGTACAAAAAATGAGTCAGAAAGAGAAATCCAGGGGAGAACAGTTGTTTATTTTGATTCTGAGTGCAATTGCTACTGAGCCTTAGACGGACATGATCTACTTTTTTTCTTCTCCTTTCACTTGTAGTACACTACTCACCTTGAAGATGTATTAGTAATTAATTATATAATGCGGGAGGAAGTATTTACTAATATCATGAGTACTTATCAAGATATATAAATCATAATGTAAACTTTATATCTTGTTGAAGAAAAGATAGTGTAAAAGGGTATTATTACAAGTGATATATACAAACTGCACGTGTGACCAATGTTCAACGAGTAAGACTATTCCATAAGTGTCTTGTAAAAGGTTATATCCCCTCTTTAAAATAAAATATTTTTTTCACAAATCTTTGTTGTGTGATTCCCAGGATAGTTCTCTGGAAAAGCTAATCTAGGATATACAGCAATAGTAAAAGAACCAGTACATAGCCGCTTTTTTTCTCTTGCTCTCTCTCTCTCTCTCTCTCTCTCTCTCTCTCTCTCTATCTCTTTAAACCTGGATTTTTATATTTTTCGCAATCTATTTTCTCACTCTTCAATCTTCAATCAACCTTGATATAATAGCTCGTAAATTAAAAAAGTAGCAAACTTTTAATCTATTTTTAGCTGTAAAAAGTATAAACAAGTAAATAAAACGTCATTTGTGGACGCCAGTTTAGAATTCAACAACAAATAATTAGTCCTATACTGCTTTGTCTGTTGTTTTTACTCTTATTAATACATGAAACTAACAGTGAGTGCTATACACAATAACACGCACGTATGACCACTAGGAATAATTTATGACGTAATGAGTTTTAATATGATATTTCGTGGTATAAAAAAACAAGCACATTTAAATAACGACTGGTATCATTGCAATAATTACGTCATGTTTTAATTATCATTTTTCCGGAAAAAGTTAACTCTTATCTAAAAGTTTAATTCAGTTGACCTTGTACAGTTGAGTAAGTTTCCAAGTTTCCATATAGACTGACAAAATATACTAAGAAGAGTACGTACTAAATGACCCCCCTGACGCTCTTCAGCATGTATACAAAAAAAGCCTAGGCGAATTATTCATTTTACTTTACTTCAATTAAAATTTTAAATACTAAAACAATATTTAATAGATTCCTTAGCTTCCGGTTTAACATATTCTACATTCTCTTGACGAATTCAAATACATTTAGAATCTCTAACTATTTAATAATTGTATTCGATATACTATTAATATTAAATCATGAGTGAATTTTATTTAGTATTGTATATACTGTATATATATATATATATATATATATATAGACTTTATATTTTATATAAGGACAACTTATACATATATATATATATATATATATATTCAAAAAATACAATACTATGTATTGTAAATGTGCATGTAGATGAAATGTACAACAGTATATATGTATATCTAAAGAGCGAAATAGTCGTAATAGGTTACTATGTTAGGCCTATATTCCAATGCGCCAGACGTATATAAAGCGGCGCTCTCTACTAGCCGGTTATATTCGCATCGAATCGTCGGCAGTAGAGTACAAATTAAGCATATATATTTATAAAAAAAAGTGATACAAGAAGTTATTTTTTGTACTCTGTCCAGGCCACTTTGAGGCGAGGTTACCGAAGATCATAATAGTTCTCAAGATTTTTATGTAAAATTTCAAAAAAATTACTGTCAGAAGACAATAAGGACGTTTCCTGACTTTTTCATTTGGCGGATCGAATCATAACGGGAAAGAATGTTAACGAAGATTGACACAACAACTTCTCAGCAAATTGGAGTTGGATCTCCCGAGAAGACAGGAAGATTTACACTATTACAGCCTTGTCGTACGTATGGCAAACAGTTTATTAGTGTTCCAGTTAGATTGAACATTTACGCCTCACAATTTGATAATTATGCTGTAGTCAGCCAGGATAAACTAATTGGTCGAGATATTGGCTGTATAAGCTTGAAAAATTGTAGAGTAAACAGCCAAAAGACTGGTTTTCAAATAGTTCCAGTGAAATTTGATGGTCCACCACTAACTTTTCTAACAGATGAAGATGAGGCGGCAGACTGGCAACAATATCTCTCAAATTTAACAAATACAGTCAGGAGAAAGAGTTCAAATTTTCTTCCGGTCTTGGAAGAAGAAGACTAGTGAACCTCAAGTCATCAAGAAGAGTATTTATGGTATATCTACCTATTTATATGAAAAGAAGCTAAACTATATATACAAAATAATATAAAAATGGGCCGTTTCTTTGTTATATATATATACATATATATATACAGTATATATTTGAAAGATGAAATCTTTCCCTTTCCTACTATCATCCTACTTATGAAATGTTTTCCTTTGAAGAGACAGTTATAGAGGAACGTGAGCTCGGATAAAAAAAATTGCATAATTAGAAAAAAAATTATTGAATGATAAAATTGATAAAAAAAATAACAATGACAATGATGATGATAATGATGAGACGTATTACATTTTTTTTCTATGTTTTGCCTATAACTTTCGACTTTTTCTTGTTTTGTGAATATTTAAACAGAAGAAAAAAAACTGTCAAACAAAAATCTTGAAGAAGTAGAAGATAGCGATGATGATAATGATGATGATGATGATGATGATGATGAAGAGGAGCAGGAGCAGGAGGAGGAGAAGAAACAATAAAAGAATTAAATTTTGTATTCGTTTTCTTGTGTCTAGTCGATATTTATATATTGTTTTAGTTTCTTTTGTCACTTAACTGTGAGATGAATTTATACTAGTATAAGGACTTCCTCTTTTTTATATTGTACAATGTATTTATGTAATACTTTAATAAAAAAGATAGAAAATTAATATATGTATATATTACCATATATACATGTAGATATTAGGATGCTTTTTATAGTTTTTACATATATTAGTATATATATATATACATATATATATATATCACACAACCGGTATAGCTATTCAATTGTCTTTGAATAGTTAAATAAAATTATAAATAACTATTTCCTATAAGGTTAGATCCTATTTTAGGCTTTACTGTTTAACTGGAAGAATTGCATCACAGTTTTTTATTATATTTTAATCTTATCTGAAAGATTAGAACAATAGGAAAAAATAAGGCCTTCACAAAATTTTTACGATCTTAGTACTTTGATCTTTAAATTTACATCAAATGAACCTAAAAGAAATAAATCCTTATATATAGATAATGTATAATAGGTTTTTTTAGATAAACCTTTTTACTATCTCAATTAAAAAGCCAGACTTTCACCAGACAAACCACGGAAAAAATATTCGATTTGTATTTATTCAAATTAAACAATATTTAAATCGTGTACATAAATTCTAACATGTTTATATATGTACAGACATCATGTCTGCGAATGAAGGTTACATATGTTTCACAGAGCACACAGATGTATGATTAAAAGAGACCTTTAACTCTTTTACTATCCCTTTTTGAACAAATTATTAATTTAATTAAGTTTTTAACTCTCCCTTCTTTATCCATCTTCTCCTTTCATATTTCTGTCGTTATTGATATTTGAGGAAAAAGCGCTATTTGATTTATTTTTCTAATTATTTTTGTTTAAAAAAAATAAAAGAAATCAAAGATTAGCTTATTATCAATATCACGTACGCAGTTTTTACTTTACACAAGCTGATATTGAAAGAGGACGAACTACTTCTACGACTACCATATGTGCTGATTGTTTAAAGAAAAGACATACACACAAAATTCTTTAACATACATATATTATACACGTGCATATATAGAGAAGGATATATGTAGGCCTTCGAAAACTTGTTTTTCTCGGATTATCAAAGGATAAGATCGATAATACACTCGAATTAAACTTGATGACTTGTTCGCGTCCTTGTGAAACGTAAACAATCTGTTTTCATACCGCCATATAAACGTTTTTGTGACGCGCCCACGCCTAGTCTTGTCATGAAGAAAGGAAAAATGTGTATTGAAGATCGCCTCTTTTGATAAAAACGGAAAAGGTTTATAGAAAAAAAGGAGTAAAGAGATAGGGAAAGGCTGTAAATAAGAGACGCTGAGAGAGTAGCTGAAAGATTGATAGGATAATTGAAAAACGTGAACATATTTAATGTTTTCTCTCACTCTGTCAAGTGTTTCACCCTTATAGGCTTAACCGGTGTTTAGAAGTATTGCCCTTTTTCTAGTTTTAAGTGCGAACAACTCCTAAAAAACAAACGAAAGGCTCTTATAAAAGAATAAAGAAAAGTTTTCTCTAAAGTTTATTTCGATAAGCTTTTTTCTATTTGTAATAACTGTTTCCATATAATCGGATTAGACGCATAAACGGACAGAATATTCTCCGGTTGAGCATTACCCTTTAAAGATGAAGGATGAGCGAACAGGGTCGATGTCTTATGGGGTAAGTGCAGTCATAAACAAAGAAGATGATAGGCATTGGAATGGAAAAAGGAGAGAGGGGAGGGGCCGAGTCAGGGAGGAGTTTGGAGGTTTAAGTGCGTTCTACAGCTGGAGTAAGTACACAAGAGTGTTCGTACTCATTTGAAAGGTCATTCCGAGTGTTCTATTCTTGAGTAGGCTCCATGAGACCAATAGATTATCCAGGGGCAAAAGTGGTGGAAGATAGGATGATTATGATTCTTCTTTTTATTATATTATCTTTATTTGATAAATAGGACACCATAAGTCTCATGATATAGCTTCTTCATATAACATTCGAAATACTATTATTACCCTTATTCAAATTGTCAAATAATTAATAATAAAATAACCGTAAGAGAAGAAAATATTAACACTATCATATTTTATGTTGAAGAAATTTTTTGATAGCCACCTCTTAAGTAGAAATACATAGGAAGCATAAGAGGAAATATCTATATATATATATATAAATACAATGCCATCTTTATTAGCCAATTCTATTTTTGGTTAGTAGAACAAACGAATTATGCTTTACAACTTTTTCTTGTAATAGTCCCTTCCGGAAGAGAAAGTGTTATCAATATCATCACGTTCTGCTGATTCAGCTTTATACAATCTTTTTTTTTTCTATACAGTGTATACCGTTTAAAATGTTATCACTTCCGTTGCGACTTAATTTACAGTTTTGACTGAGATTTTTTTTAATACTATTTTGTATCTATATTTTCATATTTAATTAAAAGAATAAAACGTCCAGATGTACTATCTATCTAATTCATTCTTCTATATCAAAATATTGAAAATACAACGTATCAGGTTGATGACTTCTGCTATTAGTTAAGTAGAAAACTTCCCCTTGTATTTTAATAGAAAGGTGAAATTTTTGCGCGTATAGTTTTTTGGTTATTGACATTATTGTTATTAGAATACAATTGGAGAAGAAAAAATTGGAATAAAGAATATAATCAAACAGCATTCTACGACATTGACATTTCCTCAACCAAAACGTCTCCTTCTTTTAAAGTTCTATTTTTAGAATCACTATTTTCCGCTGATTCGAAAGTTCGTTTATCTCCATTTTGATCTGACTCGTCCTCTTTTACTATTTTGTCGTATCTATTCTTCACATTTTCTCTAATTGTTCTATGATAGCCGTGCACTTTTCTCTCATGTCCATAGCAAGTTGATGATTGGGTAAACGTATTACCGCAGACCTCGCAACAATAAGGTTTTTCGCCTGTATGCGTTCTTACGTGACATTCGTAGGCGGTAATCGTCTTCAGAACTCTATTACAAAATTGGCAAACCCAAGACTTATACGTAAAGTGTTTATTGTTATGATGCTGTAAAAGTAAGGGTTTTGTCCTAGTCACGTGATTACAGCCGCTTTCCGCACAACGGATTAGCACTTCCTCTGAATCAGCTAAGAGATGTTTATGTTTACAATGATTTCGTATGTCGCTTACTAATTCAGAAATAAAAGTACAATCATTTACAGCACACCGTAAGTGTACTTCTGTTAAATTCTTTGAAATATGAGGTTTGAGATTATCATCACCTTTCGGCTTACGATTCGGCCTCTTATTTAAAATATTTTGAACTATACCATCAGAGTTTAAATGAGATTTCTTTTTATGTCTCTCCATTTCACTCTTGTGAAAGAATCCACATTGGCAAATTTCGCATGTAAATGGATATTCCTTAGTATGATTTGTAATCTCATGCTTCTTCAAATAATCTCCTCTCTTAAACTTTTGACCACAATAAATACATTGATATCGTTCCTCTTTACTATGTTTTAATCGTATATGGTTGCTTAGAGAATGATTTGTCATTATCATACCGCAACCTTCGTAATGACATTTTACAATTTTACGTCTGACGTGCCGGTGACTTTTGTGTTCCCAATATTTCCGCTTTTCCAAGAATTGTTGACCACAAAACTCACATAAAAAAAACAATGGTTTCTTCGTTTCCAATTTCTTAAATAGATTTGGTAATTTTCGAAGTTTTAATCGTTTTGAGTGAGTTTTCAACATGTGTTCATTTAAAAGAGATTCAGTTTCAAACGTATTATCGCATTCAGAGCATTCTACAACGTCAATATTTAAATTATTCAAAATTAAATTATGTTTATTTACTTCTACTTAAATATATTCCTTCGATTTAACGCTTTAATACTTTTTATACAGAAATTCAATTTAACAATATTATATAAAGATTAAATAATATATAATTATTGAATTGAATTGTTCTTTTGAAAAAAATCAAAGGAATAAAATTTTATGGTTTTATTACCGAGTTGAGAAGAGTGTATCCTTTTCCTTGTAACAATACTTTCGTTTTTATTAAGTATTGATTTTTTTTTAATTAACCTTTTTTTCTTATCGATGCTAGGCCTTTGGCAATCGTTCTCATTTAAAGATATTTCTATTGGTTCAATATCTAGAGGTATATCTTTCAGCCACCCATTATCCGATCTAAGATAAAGAGAGAAGCAAAAACACTGCTTATCAATTTTGTAGATATTTCATTTCAATGACGCAACATCTATTATCAATCGAGACAATACCTATCTTTTTCAACGAGCGCACTTTCAGCTTCAAAATATTTATAACCAGTAAAAGTTTCATACATATTTAATAAATATTCACAAAATTTTGCATCATTTTCCATTCCAGCATGTTGTTTTAGATCATTCCACTTATTAAAGGAATTCCTAACGTCAATGACTTTTAAACGATGGAATTTTGTATCTATAGAGAATGATAAACGTATAATGAAAAATAACTATCATATTTAATAAAACTCACGCATTTTACTTTGAATTTCAACCCTTTTAGCTCTCTCTTCCTTTATCGTACGCCTTAATCGTTGAATACTATTTAAGTGACAAGAGCACGCGAATGAACGCATATACCTAGAGAAAATATGAAATATGATATATACGGTTAATATACGGTACATATAGCTTTATTTAACAATATTACTTTTGGAATAATAATATTTTGTAAGTGTTTCTTATATCTTTCTGTTTAAATACTAATTTATTCTGCTTTTCCGAAAATACAACAACCCTGGAGCTTTCTTTTTTCTCAGACTGGAGTTTCCTTTTCACCCGATTCCTTGCAATTGGTACAATCGAAAAAGGAAGAGCGTTTCGTTTAAGACGACTAGTTAGCCATTCGTTTGGACAATTATACTGATCTTTTGTAAAGTGCTTTGAGCAGGCACGTAGCTCTGAAATGCATGAGTGTAATATTAAGCTGAGCAGGTACAAAATGAAAACACTCTACTATATCATACAAAAAAGCAATATTTAATAAAATAGTTGTTTTTAATCACTTAAATAAAAGAAAATTTACAAACTAGATAAGCTTTTAGGATTATTTTCCAATCTTTCGGCTAAATCTTTTCTGCCACTAGCTTGCACCCATTGATGGCACCTAAAATGTTGAAGAAATTACAATAGTTGTACTGAGCGATAATATGAGAATATAACCGATCTCTATCTGTAATAGGATTCGGAAAGCAGTGTAACCTTCCCCCGCAGTTGCTGCGTTCTTTTCCAGCTCTAATAGCTGTCTTGCATCCAGCAAAAGCGCAATAAGACATTATATTGCGTAGACTTTTAATTAATACTTCTTCAAATCATTTGTATATTTTGAAACTGATTCCCAAAAGTGGAATTTCCTCAGTTCAGTGTCCATGTTTATCCATATGCACTTTCCTACAAATAGATTAGAAAAGTTATCTTAATTTTCTATCACACTAATTAGAAGTAGAAGTTAAAGAATGCTTCATTAAAGAAATTAAGAACAGTGAGTTTAATAGCTATTACTTATTTAAGTGAAAATTTTTTGTTAGAAGCAGTTTTTTCGTGTGAAATTTTTTTATAATAACATGTGTTTTAACAAATGCTCTCATAATATACAAAATAACAATTTTTTATAGTTAAACAAATGTAAGTTACTTAGTAGTTTCATATTCAATAATAACGACTAGAACTCAACGTCAAAGAGTATTTTAGATGTATTTCCCGCTAAATTTTTCAAGATGAAGCGCCACCTTTAGTTCTTAAAAAGTGAACATAAACATAATCACATAAACTATAACTTGTCCGTTAAAATACTAAATTACCACGTTCCCAAATGTAGTTGTTCGAACTGTAACATATAGATATAACTTCAGCATCAAAGACTATTTTTATTTTTAATCAGTAAAGATATTTTAGTAGTATTACTTTATCTCAAATTTCACTACCACTTCCGGTGACGTTTTGAAATATTTTCTTCATCCATTATGATACTCTACTTAACATTTCACAGAGTCTGTACTACTTTTATATAATAACCAGAATACTTCCATCGTATAAAGTATCATACAAGTATTAATATATATGTTTAGAGTTGTAATTTTTATAAAGGCTTGCTTTATTACAGTTTGATAGTTTTTGAATTTCGAAGACAAATTGAGCTGACAGAAAGTTACATCGTCATAAAACATAGAACTTTTAACAATCTTTGAAGATTGCTACTTTAAATCTGGAAAATGTTCCCAAAAAGACTTATTCAGACTTTAGGATCTTGCGCCATAGTTTTGGCTTCCAGTCTTGGTTTGATAAAGATTATTAATAAAGCAATAATACAAAGAAAGAAATCCAAATCTGAATCATCTACTAGAGTGATATTCTTTCCAGATAATAAGATATGCTGTATACTTAACTTAATTAATCCTGGAGGCTGTTCAAATGTGGCTTGTGGATTTAGTCATGAACATTCATCTTTCTCTCAACTAATAGAAATTTTAATGATGACTAAGCACACACTTGATATATGCGTATATGCTATATGCTCACCAGAACTTACTGATATTGTATGCCTAATTCATAAAAGAGGGGCTCGTGTGCGCGTAATAACAGATGGAGAGATGAAAGGAGCTACAAATTCTCAAATTATAAAATTCTTTAAAAGAGGAATACCTGTTCGATTCGATTCATCTTCATTTTTTATGCATCATAAATTTGCTATTGTTGATGATACAACAGTTATTAACGGTTCTTTTAACTGGACAAGAACAGCTGTAATAGGTAATCATGAGAATGTTATGATTAGTTCTGAAAAACACTTGGTAGATTGTTTCATATCTAGGTGTGTATAATATTAGGCCTGTATAAAAATTATACTTTTTCCACTTTTAATAGATTCAATGAACTTTGGGAAAGTTTTGGCCAGACTACAGAGAATTTACGAAACAATAAAGGTATCAAAAGAGTATACGAACGACGTGAAAAAGATAACGTGTCAACTATAAGTCATCTGGTAGACTTTACTTGTTGATGTAGCATTCTTACCATAAGGCTACTAATAGTTTTGTTTAATACAGACAAGTTTCTCTAATTATATCAAAGAATAATTTTTCTTATACGCTTTGCCATAATTAAAATATAGATGCTTTTTATTATTTCAGGATCAAAGATGTCTGATGTAATTATAGGGAATATATAATATATTAATAGGTTTTTTTTTCTATTCATAAACCTTCTTCTGCCATTTTTTGTCATAGTCTTCTCTAATTTAATCGATAAAGAATTTAGGTTAATACAAAAAATTAAACTGAGTGCATCTGTAAGAGGAGAATGTTGCACAATTATTAATAATTAGTTTCATACATTACGAAGAAATCTTTATTAAAGGACAATACGAAAGGTACTTATTTTAACCTGGGTATTGATTTAACTTAATAATAGTTTAATCAACATTGGCTGGGTAACTGGAAAAGCGATAATTTCTAATAGATAATACATATTTTTAAAGACTAGAAATGAGGTTCTTTTCGCTGATAAAATTGATTATTTTCAACCTATCATATAATTCTAAGAAGCTATATTTAAAAATAATTGAACTCATAAAAAATACAATAATCATTTTATGGCATTATTTTTAAAACCAATAGTTAATTTGTAAACGTTGTCATATCTATTAAAACTGTTACAAGAGTACATGAATTGTATATTATATAACTTATATAAATATATTTATTGGTACAGTGCACTTTATAAAGATTTATATTTCTGATTGAACTTACCATTAGCCCAAAATTACATAGTATTACAATCAGAATATATCTGATTTATTAATAATTTTACATTTAAAAGATTTGCAAGTTTTCAAACAAATTTAGAAAAGAAAACAACTCTGTTGATGGATATTTTTTCTATACAATAAATAAACAGTTTAAAATGAATTACTACTTGATATTGTGAAAGCATGAAAGGAAAATTGCCCAACGGATTTACCATGTAAATGGAACTCATATTTTTAAATATGCTAAATCCTATTCATACTGCAAATCCTGCAAGAAAAGAAGTGGTACAAACAAAAACAGGGACCAACTAAAATTTTGTTCAGTCTGAAAAGAGATAAAAATTGAGAAAAAAACATGATAATACTAATGTAGTAGAGAAAATAATAGGGGAAAGATTAATTTAGTATGATACTAAAGATATTATCATAGTTTAACCCACAATGTTAATATTTAAATTATTAATAATTTCGTAATCTATGAACCGTCTATAAAATAAAATATATTAATATACAAAGTATATATCTACATGTGTATATCTGTATTTAGATCATAAATTACATATACAAACAAAAATATGTAATACACTACTTTCGGTATTAAATATATCTTTAGTTTAAAGATTTTACTGAATTGAAGAGCATCAAATTTTCAACATTAAATAAGAATTTAAATTAGTAGTAGTAATAATAATTTAGTATTTTTATTGATAATAATTTCAAAAATGATTTATTTCTAGAATATATGTGGGTATCATATTAAAATGTGATTAAATAATTATCCGGGATGCAGACGAGAGAAAGAGTGGTGTGTATATGTGTATGTGACCATTTGTGTGTAATTTATATCTACTATATACTATACACTATATACAGTATATATATTATATATACAAATATACATAGAAAGAAAGGGATGATGACAAGGCCTGATAAAGCCATCGTGTTAAGAATGTAGAAATAGGGACAATTGAATTCTTTTTTTTCTGAAATTTAAAGAAATAACAGTAAACTGGAAGGATTTTATCTACCATTTCATTAATTTATTTAACGCTAATGGGATGAAAGTGAATATGTAGGTGACTTTAGGAGAAATGAAATAAAATATGTACTGTATATGTATATGAGTATTAAAATATTGAATATACAGGCTTAAATATACTTTCGTGCTTATTTTATTATTATAGGTAAAGAAACAATCAAACGGTTTAAGACTTCTTATATTTAATTTCTTTTAAATTGAATATTGATTTCCTTTTGTAGAAAAAATATAGTATAACAAACTAATGGAAAGATGAAAGATATACTGTTTAGAAACATTTACGGATATTTTCTAATATACAGTATTCATAAATATATATATAAATATGTTTTATTATTCCTCTCCCTCTCTCCCCCCTCTCTCTCTCTCTTCTATATATGTTAATGTATATATATATATATATATATCTGTATATATTCCTATTGCTCTATCAAAATCACCCTCTCTCCTCGATCTGTTTCTGTCGGATAAGGAATTATACCTATATCTAATACCACTATACGACAATTGATCCAAATTACACAAAATGAAAGTAACTACACAATTTATACAAATCAACTCTTAACAATGATTATAGATCGTAATTACTTTTATTATTATAATTACAATTATAATAAGTCATTACTTATAAACTTGCACGCGTAGTATTGTCCAATCATTTTACATTGCGGATATTGTACGTTTTGTACACTTGCGTATGCAAAGTTTGTGTTAGCTTGTTCATTATTTACTTATCCCTTTATTCTATCGAATAAAGAAGAATTAACTCTTTTGATCATTTGGCCTCATGTCAGATAATTCAATACTCGGTCCGCTAGGAATCACTCCTCACGGAATAGATGATATCTTAACTGACGAAGGACAACAACAGCTATTAAACAGTGGTAAGTGCTATTTTGATTTATATAAATATCCTGTTTATGTGTTGTTTGTATGATGTAAATATGTACATATATAGAATATAGACTGTATATACATATGTTGTATATATTGTACATAAATATATATTTACTGTACAAACTGCATGCACATGATATGTGTATATAAAGTTTATGTACAGTATATTGTATATACTTCTTTTTACTTTTTCACAATTTCTATACCCCCTTGCTTTGAATTACGCTATATAATCTTTCGTCATTTTACCCCCTTATATTTAAGTTTCAGTTGATAGTGATCAAAGGGTAAAACTGGATAAAATTGAACGAGTAACAGGTGGTAATGATAAGGATCCTAACGCCAACAATAAACTTATATTACCTACGCAGTGCGTATTTTCAACTTGTTCAAGCAGTTTGAACGAAAATACGAATCAATTCGTTAATAGTAACTCTTTTTCTGATACTTCAATGGTTGAAACTAAAGAAGAACAAACTAAAAAAAAGAAAACTCGACATAGGACGACTTTTTCGTCAGGTCAATTGGAAGAAATGGAAAGAGCTTTTGAAAAAGCTCCTTATCCAGATGCCTTTACTAGGGAAGATCTTGCCAATCGAATTGGATTAAATGAAGCTAGAGTTCAAGTCTGGTTTCAAAATCGCCGTGCCAAGTGGAGAAAGAAGGAGAGCCCAATGAGGAAATACTATTATACAAGTTCTATGGGTATGTTTACTATTTAACAACAAATTTTTGTACAATTTAAGATATTTCTTAACATTTTTTACTATAAAAATAGCCTCAGTTTATCCGGGTTATGTTACCCATCAAGGACAATCTACACAAACGTCATATTATCCTCAGCCCAATCCGGCTACCCTTGGAAGAATGAGTCAAGGGAGAAATGACCAATGGCCATTTTTAAATGATCCTACTCAACGATGCAATCCAATAACTTATCCTTTATCGAATCCCTACGTCCCACAAACGTCTCCATTCGATACCCTAAAAAGTATAACAGAGGACGACCAACCCCCATATTTTACTCAGTTTTCAAACATTTCGTAAACTGCTTTTTGAAACGCGTGTATTTTAGACGTTTGGTGAGAGATAAATGAATAAAAAATAACGGAAATATATAATATAAATTATAAATAATTATGAATAAAATAAAATATTATAACGAAAAAAGTGAAGGGACTTAAGACAATGTAAAGTTAAATAATCTATTACAAAACTAATTGATCTGCAGCCAGCGCGTCCGCTTCAGTTGCACTGAATTTCGATCCAGACTGTTGTCCAGAGCCATCTCCAGACCCTAGACCACTTAAGGATAATTTCATATCCATTATCCTTTGAAAATCTCTCCACATTGACATTTGATTCAAGTTGCCACTATGTCCTTCTTTAATGGATTTTTGCTTCTCCCTTAAACTTTTACCAAGATTTTCCTGATCCTGGATCTTTCTTGTGAACTGATCGCGAAGAGATCTCTTCTTTTCTTGCATATTACTAGAAGTATATAATTTCATTTCGGCGTTTATACGTTCTTGCTGAGAACTTGTTATTTCTCGCATGATATTCAAATAATGCAATCTTGACTCTTCTGCTGAACACTCTTCTCTTAGAGCTCTAACCTCTTGTTCCAACTTTGATCTATTACTTTCGAATCCAGCAGCTTGTGTATCATAAACTCTCTTATGCTGATCGTGCTCTGCTTGCATCTCCTGAGCTTTTTGTCTCAAAGGTCTAAGTTCTTTTATAATAGGAGCTAGACTATTTTTCTTTTCAGCAATTTTGTTATTAAACTTTTTGACCATAACAGAAATATCTTCCAAAGTTTTCCCCTTCATTTCGTCAACTTCTTGCTTGGCACCTGAGATGTTTTCCAATTTTTCTTGAGTTTCTCTAAATCCCGAAACACCATGCTTTTTTTCAATTTTTCCCAATTGCCTTTGAATATCATGATGACGATTTTTGAGAATTTCTTCCGTTCTACCAAGAACTCCCAGCTCAGATCTTAATTCTGCAAGTTCGGCCCTCTTTTTCTTATAAGTAGTGCTCTTGGTTCTCAAATTATTCACATATCGCTTGAACTGGAGATTTTCAAGGATTAGCTATTGAAAATTTTGAATACTAATCTCTTATTCTTTACCTCATCTCCCTTTAAGACCTCCTCACCCGAATTGGCATTTAAAAGATTCCTCTTTTCTTCTATTTCAATTTGTGCCGAATGAATCTCTTCTCTCGCTTCTCTAAGGCTTTCAGCAGCTGTTTCCTTCTTTCTAGCAATGATAGCTGCCTATAAAGTTAAACGAATAAACTTTAGATGAATAAAGGAGGAAATATATAATTAGGCTATATAAATGAACCTGTTGTCGAAAAAGGGATAGTTTATCATCAAGTGGGTCACCCGATACCATTCTCTTTTCAATCAATTGATTGATTTCAGCATTAGTCTCCTTTATTTGTCTATTTATATTTTCTAAATCTGATTGACCCATGGCTGGTTCGGATACCACTTTTTGTAAATCGTTAACTGTCTTCTTCAGTATTGATATTTCCTTAGGTAGTTTATCTTTAACTAAATAAGTATTTGTCTTATTTTCTTCTTCTATTCTTTGCAGTAGAGCTATTTATACACATAGTTTATGATTCGAAAGATGTAACTTTAAATTATTTTACAAACATTGAGGAGTTGCTCCAATTGATGTCTGTCGAGCATCCTTTAATTGGTTTTGGAGCCTGCTTATTCGTTGATCGCAATGTATCAGCTGTAGCGATATATTTTATTTATTTAACATAGAAAATGAAGTTTTTCTATTTACCAAATTCTTTTCTTCTAACTTTTGCTGATTTAATTTAGCCTCTCTATCCTTCTCTTCATGAAGTTTACGGGCAACGGCCAACATTGGACCAGAGTTTGGTGCCCCTTCAACCTTTTTTTTTAGCTTATCAACTCTTCTCATTAATTGCTCCTTTTCATCCTCCATACTCGCAATATCCCTTTTTATATCATCAGTATTAAAACCACTGGATCGTAGCTGTTCAACTTGTTTATGAATTTCTTTAAACTCTTCCATGTAAGCTGAATACTATAATATTTCGTAATTTTTATATTTAGAAAGGAAAATGAATATTTTCTTTAAAAACTAAATTCTTACTTGCGTAAACAAATCAGTTACTTCATCGTCCTGCATAAATTCAGGGGGAATGTTAATTTTAACCAAGTACTTTGCCAGATAAGCTCTTTTTTTCAAGTCATCAATTCTGGATAATAACCATTCCAGGATAACATAAATAATAGGTTTGTCACCAGAAACAAGCCCTTGTCTAAATCTTGATCTTGATTGAATAAAATAAAAAATGTACTGAAATTTACTCTAAATAAGAACTATGCTATATTTACTGTTCTTCCTCTCCACCAGGATGCCTATATTTCATAATTTTAAGAAAATTAAATATTCTTATAGCTGTGTCCTCGGCCGCTTCTTCTCGAATATCTACATTATGCTGTTGATAACATGATTATTATAATAGGAATTATGATATAGTTATTCCATGCTGTATACTCCAACCTGTGAATCTATTTCAGCTAGAACATCAGATACCACTTGCAGAAGTTGCAAAGGTTCCAAGTTGTTGAAACTAATCATATTGTACGTTTTCTTGAAAGGTGGCTGAGACAGCTGGCTTATAATATATTTTAACTTTTCCGTAGACATTTTGCTACAGTTTTATGGCTTGAACAAAGTAAATTATTGGAATTTTTAAGAAAATATAGTTGTTCCGAATATTGAATTCGAACAACCTCAGGAATGTTGTTTATGCGTCGTCTGCTAACTGAGATACAGCTATTTCCGGTCAGGTAAACTGGTTTAGGAAATATATTCCAAATGTAGAAAAACAACTGTAATATTTTCAATCTCAATACTAAGTTTTCGAATTCTATTCGTTAAATATTGTTAAATTGATTATTAAACAAATAACAAATTCCTAAAGCATTTATTCAAAAAGATTCGACCTAAATATTTTAAATAAAAACTAAAACATTAGTTTTTACTTTTAAAAATTCTAAAAGTCAACTTGGAATGAATGTATTTTCCAAGTGGACAAACAAATATCCATAAGAAATACTTATGTTATAAGACGGAATAGAGATCTAATTGTTTATTGCTCAGCTTGAGTATTTAAAAACTAAATCTAAAAAATTCAAGCTTTTTTAAGAAATAATCATAATAGTTGTTTTAGTATTTAACGGATAAACTCTAATTATGCAAACGAATAATGAAGATCAATACTATCTCTTCCAGTTTCTTCAAGAACATTTAAAGTTCCTGTAAATGATAAACCGTAGAGCTCACAAGCTCCTTCATGGCATAAATACAATAATGTATCCATTTCGAAATCAATTTTATCCTCTCCATCTAAACGAATATTTAATTCTTGTTGAACATGCTCCAAGGTTCCAGATTTTGAAGATCCTAAAATTTTTAAAGCAAATAATCATAACTTAAAAATAGACTTATTAATAATCAAAGTAAAAATGTAAACCTTTTGTAGTTAAACTCCACATATTAGGTGCATCCTTATTCAATTCATGATTAAATAATTGAATATTAAAGCACATTTTAATATTTTTTTTAACAGTTAAAGATCCTAAATTGACGTTTCTTGTATTCTTTTGAGGTAATTTTAATCTTTTATTATTATTTAAACCATCTGATAATTCCATCTTCAAAAGAAAAGAGTATAATTTGTTATAATGAAGAAATAGTCATATTTTAAATAAATATTCACCTTTTCCAATTGTTTTGTTAATTTATCATAAATTTTAATACAATGATTATTAGTATCGGCAATAAAAATTTGATCTTTATAAACCGATAAGCCGCCAGGTTCGTTTAAACCTTCAATATCGATTGTTCTACACTCTCTTTCTTTTACATCAATTTCTTTTAACTAGAACAGGAAGATAAAGATAAAAGAAAATAAATATTAAACGTCTGATTTGTTACTATAGTAAGAATGATATTTTTTTTTTGTTGGGTAAATATGAACCTTATTATTGTAGCTATCGGCAATAATAATATTTTTTTCATTGCTGACTGAAACGCTCATTGGATGCTGTAATTTCACTTTTTGACCTTTTCCGTCTATGTCACCAAAAGCGAATAAATTCTAAAATGATATATTTTTTTAATAATCAGAGAATAAATTGATTTTCTATGTTAAAAATTCTTTTTTATTACTTACTGATGGATTTATATCGCCCCCAACAATATTTTTTACAGATCCATTTTGTAAAGAAAAACTTCTAATGGAAGAACTTTCACTGTCGGCGAAGACAATTAGATCATTGAAGACAGTTACGCCTGATGGCTGTGCTAAAGTAGCCGATTTGGGATAGAGATTATTTTTAGCACCTTCCTCTCCAGTACCGCACAAGTGACACCAAGAATTTTCTCTAAGATTTTCTCCTAAAATTACACAATTATTTAAAGTATAAGCCCAAAGCTGATGGATTCCCGACATTGCAACAACTAAATAGTCTTTTGTTAAATATAAATCCCATGGTGAACATTTGCCAAACTTTTTGCAATTTGGTAGAGACGTTACTCTTCCCGAATCTAAATTTATCTATATTAAATATACGATATGAAAACAAGTCTTATCATGAAAATTATGCTATCTCGACAAACCTTTCGAATTTTATTATTCCCCGTATCTGCTATAAATATCACATTTCCATGTCTAACCAAACCTTGAGGATTGGAAAAGGAACAAGTTTGAAAATTTCCGTCTTTGTCACCATTTAATCCGGATCCGATGTGATGCTACCATTAATTAATCGCAAACGATTTAATATATAGGAGCAATGATAAGCAATTAATTATCAATACCTTTATGGAACCCAAATGATCTGTGATGATTATCTTATTACGTCTGGAATTACTTATCATAATGTACTCATCGTCTACGAAAACTTTTCCCGGATAAGACAAGTCGGAAGATTTTCTCGATATATAGTCCACTTTAACAGGTATTTGACGAGTAACATTATGACGTAGTTGTAAATGATTAAAAGCTATTTTAATAAATTCTTTAAGGAGATTTTCATGATTTTCACCTTTAATTAAAAATAATATTTAGCTTAGGCTATGCCAAGATTTTATATTAATCTTACCAAAAATATATAATAAAGCTTTTAGGTCATGCGAAAATAATACAACAGTTGGCCAGCAGCTAATATTCATCTCCGACCATAAACGCATTTCGCTATCATTTAATACGGGATGTTCTATGTTGTATCTTTGAACGGCATCGATAACGCTTTTAGATTGTTTTTCATTTGGAAATTTGGCTGAATGAACGCCAATAACTTGAATATTATTTTCTTTTTCCCAAATTTTTTCAATTTCCTTCAGGATAGGCAGTATGTGAATACAGTTTATACAGCAGTAAGTGAAAAAATCAACGATAAGCAATTTGCCAGCAAAATCTTCTTTCTTTATCGGTCTCGTTACGTTAATCCATGACATTTCTATGATAAAATAGAAAGTAATAGATTATTTTCATGTATAACGTTAATTAGTTTTAATAGATAGCCGGAAGAGTACAAAAGATACTCGTCATCGTATCATTCTCGTTTTGCCTCATTCCTTAGTCATTCTGAATCATATTATCATTGAATGAAATATCGCTTTTATACAACTTAATTATAAACATTGTCAAAATATATAACTTTTAAAAATAACAGCTACCTTCAATAAAGTCTGGAAGGATTTGTCTATCAATAGCGGGATTATTCAGCAGATTGTCTATATAATCAGTTATCAAAGAGGACGAGGGCGTTTTCTCGTATTCCTCAATTAAATCCAAGCTCAGTTGAATGATATTAACTTTTTCCTCTTCACTGGCCATTATTATTTATTAATTTATGAAACTAAATACTATTCCAACATCCGAATTGCTTTGCTAGTTTGAGATGGATCGGATGAGTATCTATCAAGCGTGACTTTAAATCAATTTTTCTTGATTTTAAATATGTCAATCACAGTTTCTTTTTTTGATATCTTCTTGTATAGTTTTGCAAAGGAATTTTAGAGAATTTGATAATAGATTTAAATATTTTTTAAATAACAAATTGAATGTAATATCTGCATAACCGCAATCGTCTGCTATTAGTTGGAGAAACTTTCGTCTGTATAAACTGGTAATTATGGCTTTTGCAAGGACGATTAATAGTGGTGGCCAAAAATATCTCTTAAACTCATCCATACCCATACTTGTAAGTCTATCAATTGAACTAACTGATATAAAATTAATATATCTTTAAATGAAGTTGACTTAAACTACAAAGTAAACGGGTAGAGGGGTAATATTAAAAAAATGAGAGGGCGATAACGAATAAAATTATTAACTTATAGAATAAATATCGCTTCACATCATCTTTAAGTTCTGCCCAAAAAGAAAAACTATCTAATGGACCTGGTCTATCAGATTTTATTGAACAGAGTAGTGCTAGTACCCAATATACTGAAAACTTGATAAAAGAAAAAGGAGGAAAAAGGTGACGCAATAACCCTGCTTATTACTATTACAAGTGTTATCCTTCTAAACAATTATTCACTACTGTACAGATTGAAATTACCACCATGGCTTAAGACGAAAATACCAATGGGAAAAAGCTATAATAACCTTAAAAAAGGGTTAAGAAATGTAAAACTAGCTACGGTAAATAAAACTCAGAAATATTAAATATAAATTAATATTAAGAAAATTATAACATTAATTATTAAGCCTAATCAATTTATAAAAGGTTTGTGAAGAAGCTAAATGTCCCAATATCGGAGAATGCTGGGGAGGGGGAGAGTCCAAAACTGCCACTGCTACTATTATGGTATTTAGTTTGTTATTATAATTTTTGTAATATTTTAAAATATTTTAAACATACGCGCCAAAATCGAGATTCTTATTGATATAAGTATTAAACTGTTGTATTTCAATGTTAATGTGTTCTGATCCTTGATAGTATTGAATATTTTGCCTTGAGACAATTTTACTCTTACTACCATTCTAAATCGAATATGTCGTTAAATTTTTATAATCATCATGAATTGGATCGACTGATCTATGGCGAAACAGAGGAGAATCATTATACCGATTGGCAATTATATGTTATAGATCAGTTTGGCCGCTTCTCCTCTTTTTCTGATAACGATAATGTAGACAGTTTAAAGGTTTATATTGGTTGTTTAGTATTTTGCAACTGCTTTGAAAATTTCAAAGGGTACCTGTCTAGTGAAATTCAGCAAGTTATTAAATTTTATAATAATAATTTAGTAGAGTTAAAATTAATAAGAGAAGAATTAAAAGATTATTTAACAAGATTCGCTAGAGATTATAACAAGGAATATTGCATACGTTTCTTTGAATGCTTTTGTTCGTATGAGTTTTACGAGGATAGACATGAAGACTTCTTAAAATTTATATTTGGTAATAACTATATAACAAATGATTTAGAAATATCCGTATCCGAAACTGAATTCTTTCCATTTCATATTTGTCAATATTTAGCTAAAAGATTTACAAAAGGTATCTTACCGGAAGTTTGTATAAGTCTTAGTGGATCATTGACAGATGTTCAAGTTTCACGAGTTATTACTGAATTTATGAAAAAGTTCTTTAGTAGATCTGTATGGATTTTTTGCGATGGGTCACTTCCATCTTTTGAAAGTTCTATTATCGGGTCGGAAAAAACCAAAATATTTTGCATAAAAAATGATTTTAAAACGAACCTACAAGCCTCGTTTTATGATTTGGTAATTAATTGCCAAGGTAATGATATTGAAGAAAGGTTAAGAGAAGAAGTAGAAGTGTACCTGAAGATGACTTCTAGATTGGTAATTCATTTGATAATTGAAGGGCGTGAAAATACTAATAAACAATTAATTAGAGCTTTTAAATCGGAAGCATATGTCCTCGTTGTAGAAAATTCAGGTCTAATCGCCAATAAGATATATTCCATCTACAAAGAAGGTCTGAAGAGTATTAACTTGGGAATAAGTGATAAGATAAAGGAAACCGAAGAGGCAATCAAATGGTTGTTAAATAAAGATCAAATTTCCTTTCTAAATGATAAAATTTGTTCCGAGTTGAATCAAGGTATTGAGCAAGTTATAGAGTTCCTTGGACAATTAGAACATCATAGTTTAGAGAGCGACTGTTTTGTTATTAATCATTTGGAGAGATTCAAGGGAAAAAGAAACTTCATATCTTCATTAATGAGACTTTCTGCAAGAGAATTTCATATTGTAGCTATAATAAGAGAGAGCCTACTTATTATAGAGAATTATACGTCAATCTTACGAAATTAGATGGTATTGGAATAATTTTATATCAATATTACAAAGGGTCAAGCTATTTATTAAAGAGTGATAAGCGTAACGTGGCTTATTTGATCAGTTTTATCATACATAGTTTATTAGGTAGTTCTTATAAATTTATTTACAAGCCAGCCGTGACTTGTGAGAAATATTTGAAGGCTGTTCATACAGCTACCTATGAAGACTATAAAGAATCAGAAGAAAAGGCCGTTTGGGATTTATTGATTTACGCTATCCTCACCCACAACACGAAATTAATTAAGTATTTGATTACAAAAACTTCTAATACAGTCGTCGCTTCTCTTCTCTCATCGATCTTATTTAAAGAGCTATCTAAAAGATGCCAACGATTATCGGAAACTATTTTAGCAAAGGAATTATTACATAGCTCTAATACTTTTGAACAATTAGCCGTCGATACCCTTTCAGAAATATATTCGAATAGTAGAACTAAAGCATACGAACATTTAGTTTCTTTCGTTCCATTTGACCTCAGTAAGACTACAAGTGCCTTAAGCCTTGCCGAATGCGCAGACTTAAGATCTTTTATTGAACACTCAGCCGTTCAGACGTTTATTCAGAGTAAGTGGATGGGTGGAGTTAACCAAGAGACTAATAGGATTTTATTCTTTTTCCCTTTTTGTATATTTGCACCGTTCTTTATACATTTTTTGGATGTTTCGGATATTAAACAAAAAAGTGAATCCTGCTCGAATCGGATTAATGCGTATCCTTTGGAAAATAATATTAGAAAGAAGCTTTTAGCCTTTTATACATCACCAATCTTTAAGTTAGCCTCTGATTTCGTATCTTTTCTTATCCTATTGATCTTTTATACGTATATTGTCATGTTTGATTTGGATGACACTGTATCATCAATTGAATGGATAACAATTACTTGGGTATTTGGGTTAAGTGCAGAAGAATTAAAACAAATTATAACAGCCTATTGTCATGGTTTTACTAGCGAGATAGAATTACATGATGTAACAAAAATGTGGCCAAACAGAATCATACATCTTTTAGTAGTTAAAACGCATGCTTATAAATTAAAAGAATATTTTAAAGATACCTGGAACATTCTAGATTTTTCCATGCTTCTCTTATTCTGGTTAACCTATACGTTAAAAGTTGGTTTAGCAACGGAATTTTGGTTGAGATTTTGTAGCGGCTTAACACTTATACTATTTTATGTACGCCTTCTTAGATTTGCGCATGTTAAACATAATTTAGGTCCTAGAATTTTAGCCGTTGCAGTTCTTATTCGAGATCTTATGCACTTTCTGGTAATTTTTATGATATTCGTCGTTAGCTTTGGCATTTCTTATGCCGCTTTGATGAGAAACGTTCCCAAGTTGGACAGTAATTCTACTAGCTCAATAAGCGTACCATTTAAGGAAGGTTTATGGAGAATATTTGGTGATTTACATGTCGAAAATTTAAGTAATGATATTGAGAGGATGAATAAATATTATGATTCAAACGTTAGTTATGTGATTATTGCCTGGGTTGTTTGCTATATGATAATAGTTAACATATTATTGATAAATTTACTCATAGCAATATTCTCCCATACATTCGAAAAAGTCCAACAAGATTCGAAGAGAATTTGGATGTCCCAAATGATGGGTTTAGTTCGGGAATATAGTATGAAATCCTATCTCCCTCCACCTCTAAATTTAATTTGTTTCACAACAACGTTTGTAATGAAAATCTTTAAAAAGTTATGCGGAATCAATGAGTCTAATAAATCGCACGAAAATGACATCTATCTGTCACCGATCAAATCGTCGTGCAACTTGGAACAGCATGCAGCAATAAAGGCAATAGCAAAGTCGGAAGAAATCAATAAGATTAAATATCTCGAAGAACGAATAAAAACCTTAAATAACACTGTTTCCCACCTATTAAAAAGACTTGAATGAATGTTTTCATTACAAATAAATAGAATTAATAAAATAGATATCCTATAACAGATTATGGGCGAAAGCTGCACTAGAGCCTGCCGCTTTTGTTCCGTTAAAACTTCCAGGCGACCGCCGCCTTTAGATCCTAACGAACCAGCTAATACTGCAGCAACGATAGCTGAATGGGAATTGGATTATATTGTAATTACTTCGGTTGATAGAGACGGTATTGTGAAAAAATACTTTTTTTCTCCTTTCCTCCTTTTTACTCAATCATTCAGACTCTTTTTTTCATATATAAAGACTTACCCGATGGTGGTGCGGCACATTTCGCTCGAACGATTACGGAGATTAAGAAAAAGTAGGAAATCTCTAACTGTGTTTACATTATAATCCAATTATTGTGCTTACTCAGTAAACCGAATATACTTGTTGAGTGCTTAACGCCGGATTTTGGTGGAAATCTGGAATTGGTAGGGCTAGTTGCTTCAGCAGGCTTGGACGTTTACGCTCATAATTTAGAGACTGTAAAACATCTGCAAAAGTACGTTAGAGACCCTAGAGCAAATTATGACCAATCAATGAGGGTCTTAGAGCACGCTAAGAAAGCTCAAAAAGGTATATTAACGAAAACGTCCCTTATGCTTGGCCTTGGTGAAACGGATCAACAGATTTTGGACGTGATGAATGGTATGAAAATGACCCACTGAGTAATAAATTGTTAAAAAATTGCCGCCCTTTTCTTAGATCTCCGAGAGATTGACGTCGATGTCGTCACGTTCGGTCAATATATGCAACCTACAAAGCGTCATCTACAAGTTCAAGAATATGTTAGACCAGAAAAGTTTAACTATTGGGAAAAGGTCGGACTTGAGATGGGTTTCGCTTATATAGCATCAGGACCGCTGGTTCGTTCTTCCTACAAAGCAGGCGAATACTATATCAAGAACGTGTTGAATAAGAAAAGAGCAGAGATAATGTAAAAGATCTTGTATTCATACGAACGACTTAACTATATATCCTTGTTGTGAATATCAATTAAACGCATTTTACGCAGACACACACACAATAAAGTATAAATAATAGCTTCTCTCTTGTTTAACTAATCTTGTTCCAGCCAAGTCTGTTCTTATTTATTATACAAAAACAGCACAAATGTTTGAATCTAATGCTAATTATAATTATTTGACGAGAGAAGATAGACAGACAAGTAAAAATGAGGACACAAACAGTTGAGTGGTGAAAAAACAAACTGCTATTACTTTTATATACACATATATAAAAGAGCTCTGACATAAAAATGAGCACCAGTGGTATAATCTATGGAAAAAAGGAAAATAAAAAAATAAAAACTCTTTATCATTTATTTCTAGAACTTTTCGACAAAATTGGACGGGAACAGGCCTGACTTTCCGGTTCTTTGTAAAGTTCCCTTAAACCAGCCATCTTTTTGTTTACGATGAACGTAGATTATATCACCGACCTTTAATTCTACTTCGTAACCACTTTGAGCCGGATAAGGTGCAATACAACGATAGCTATGAAAATTAATGAATTAATGTATTGTTTTAGATTAATTGGGAAATAGGCTAACCGTTCTCTTAAAGCCTTTGGTTTTGCTGGTTGAGTCGGTTGATCCTCACTTTTACTAGTGGACGGTACAGGAATAGGAATTAGCGGCTCTTCTAAACAGCTGCCAAAAGGAGGAAATAAATAGAACTACTGGGAATTTTATCTGTTATGTTAATATCAAACCTAGTAGAAGCCCGTCTATCATTTTCCGGACGGACATCTTTCGTTTTCTTTTTCGTCAATCTCTTCACTAAACCATTCAATCGATCAGTTTTATCCTTTGAAGAGGAACTTTTAGCAGCTGGAGTAGCCGATTGGGAAGGTGAGACTATAGAAACAACCTGACCTGCCATCGATCTTCTTAAAACAGGTGAAGATCTCGACGTACAATTGGAAGCCGTAGTCGTATTTGTCAGTAGTGCCCTATTTTGCGCTTGAGTAACATTCGTAATTGTTCTGGTATGAGTGACCGTCCTGGGACTGTTAGTTGCACCACTTTCTGTCAATACGTTTACTGCGTTCGTTTTTGGGAAATTTCTATGTTTAGCTGGACTGGATTGCGACCTCTTGGCCGGCCGGGCTTGACGGGCGGTCTGAAGAATGTAGTTACCCGGAAAAACTCCATACTTATTCGTACGAATGCAATAACCTCTACACCATCCGTCCTGACAAAGTTCAATTACGCCATAAAATTCGCCTTTACGTAATTCTAATTCGTCCGCATTGGCCGGTTTATATGAGTATAGGGCAACGTAGACGGCTGACGATGAAGATTTTGGCGAAGCGCAAGTTGAACTATAATTAACCGAATGTCTTTGAGAGGATGATGAGGCAGGAAATGTCGTACAAGAATGACGTTTGTTTGAACGCGTAGAATTCACCAACGATGACTGATTGCAGGAAAGAACATTCGGCTGGCTAATATTGGATTGGATTGACTCGCTTAAAGCAGTAGCGTTTTGATTATGATTGGAAGGTGGAGAGGCGTGCAAATTCTGGACAACTTCGTGATATTCTATAAGCCATCTTGCAGCTTCATTCAGCTGAACAAAGCACAGAGGAAATATGCCGATACGATCGCCTAATTTTCCCTCGGCCCAATTTGCATCTACCCTCCTAATTACTTGAATAATTTCGTCCTAGTGAAAAGGTAATTTTATCAAATAAAATATAAAACGAAAAATACAAGAAAATTCAATAAATTCTTAAAAAAAAGAAAGATAGATACAGTATATTTATCGTACATATAATTATCTAAATATAGATATTGACGGTAATTTAGCGCCTAACCACAAATCAAACTGCAGGCATTACCGAATTAAGTTCAACCTTTGTGTCATCAACAGACTGACCTACTTTTTTTGTGCACACTGCAAACATCATCATACTCAATCTATGCTATTATACAGCTATTTCAAATGGGGTTATTTTAGCAGTATGGAAGTATTATAAAAAGAGTTTTATATGTGGTAAAGCCAGTGCTATGCAAATATCGCTGAATAAATACAATGGCTAATTACGCCTGTGCTAATCAACTCTATTGTTGAAATCTTCGATGAGAAAATACCGCGCTATTTTAATATTCATTCAAATACTTTTTTATGGCGATGAACTTACCTTTTCGAAAGTAATGCAATCTTCGTTCTCGTCCTGCGTATCGAATTTATATAAAGCCTTTGCCCGAGGCGGTTCCTGAGGGGCGAGCTGCTGTATAACCTGTCGATTATATAAGAAAGGCAAGTGTATAATAAGAGAAGGGAAAGAATTGATTATCGATAGGCACCTGAACGTAAGTGGCGGGAAAGAAACCGGTTTTACCGTTTAATTCACCATGATACCAATTCTCATCAATCTGCCTCTTGAGAATAATATGGTCGCCTTTCTTGAAAGACAAATCTCTGCAATTATTAGAAAGGAAGAATGAATGAAAGGGAAAATATTTACATGCCTTTCAACACCGACTAGAAAAGCGAATGTTTGATGGAAGCTAGCCAAAAACCGCGATAGCATCGCGTAAACAGCTAGTGGATAACGAAAGAAAAAAAAATACATCATTTGCCGCGAATAGTTTGCAGCTCGGTCGAACACGAAGATTGAATACTAAGTAGATGTGATTCGACATTTCTTTTCACGCTTTGCGCCTCCTTTCTAAAGCCATTAATAAGAATCACTCTCTTTTTGTCTCAAAGTCAGAGCTTCTCTAATAAATTGACTCCCCTTATCAAAATCCCTACTCTTTCCCATTTTCTTCCTTCTCTCTCTCTCAACACTTAACGCCAGAAAAAGAGAGTTACTTTGGACCATTCGATAATATTTCAAGTGCTTACTGCTTTCGGCAATTCACTCAATCGTCCAGAACGAGATAAAGAAAATTCCGAAGGCGAAAGCATACTGCGGAATAAATTGCATAATCCATCTTATCGGTCTCATCTTTGGCCACAAAATTAACGTATTCCCCGTCGCACGCGAATATTTCCTAGTCTATGAACCGGAAACGTCTAAACGATACTACTCTAGTGCATCGTCATAAACCACTTCTGAGCTAAGCGTCATCAGAATTTTGTTACAATGCCTAACAACGGCTTGTTAGTGTCAAAAGCTACTATATAGTTTTTATTATCAGCAGCTTACCCGTTTTCTTTGGCCTCATAGTTGTACAATGCCCTAGCGCATGGTGTTCCGGTTGATATAGACGAAGTGACGGCAGCCTATAGGTTAAAAAATAAAAAAATTAGCTTTTTTTATAAACAACTATTGTATTTACATTGTAATTCTGTAAATATTACGAACAGGTACAGTGAATGAATTTTTTTTAAGGCTATCTGGCTAGCAATGATAGCTATGTAAATCCAGAAAAAAGAAGAAATTTCAATCCTCCTGGGTCCCTTAGCGCCGATAAACTTGTTTACGGTTTATTTGATTTCTATCCTCTAAGCCTTTTATATTCTTTGATGGGTACGGAATAAAAAACGCGACCACCTCGCAGGAAATAGGAAATTTGGCGATTCCCTGAGGATAATGTGCATCACGGATAATAGACTATTTTACTGATCACAACGCAATTATTTTCCTCCAATTCCAATCTCTGTCAAACGCTCAATTAAGCAAGAGGAATGCTAAGTGGAATTAGCTGTCGCCTAATCCAACTGGTCTCTATCGCAATCTTATAAAGAAAAACTTTTGTACAAATAATAGCTAGCTGAACTAGCACACGTATGAACAGGTGTTTCCTTTTGTAGAGGTGCAATAGTTTAGCTAATAAAATTATAATATTAACCCGACTTGTTGTTGACCTCTATCTCTCGTGCACCTAGTTAAATACAAATTTTATACTTAAGGCCATTAAGGTTCCTTTAGTTTAATTACGTCATTGTTGGTAACAGTTAAACGGTTTGCTAATACTTAAATTAGCATTGGACAATGAACGAATAATTGTCTTTTTATTTAAAGATTAAGAATCTCATAGAATATATCGTGCCAAACTAGCATTTGCTACAGTTTCTCACCCTTTCCCCCCCACATCCCTTTTTCTACTACGACATATGGAAGACATGCCACGCAAGGGCAATATAAAATTACAAACAGGAATGTCCTCTGTCAATTTCATTCTTGTCACATAGCGGCCACTTAACCAATACTAAACTGAATTAATTATAGGCTTTGTGGCTGCTTTTCCGTTCAAAAGAAGAACTCAACTTTTGCAAAAAAAATTTCAAGTTGACTAATTTTTTCCGTGACCTTCTACTCCCTGCTACCTTTTACTCTTCAACATCAAACAGTTTCTAGTAGTCAATTAACACCGAAAGCAGCATATTTTTTCTGAACAAACAAACAATTGATCTCGTACACAGAAGGTTTTAAAAGAAAATTTTCCCTCTACTAGACGGCAATCCTTTGTCTACAGAACGAGCTTAAACGGATCAATATTTCAGAATTTAGAGCCGTTAGCCGTAAAATTTCATATCGAACCTTTTCAAGGTGATGGTGATAAAAATCTTAGCGAACATAAAAAATCGAGTATTGTTCTGATAGTAAAAGAAAACACGTTCTTTACCGTTCTAAAATTTTAAAGGCCAGGTTGGTTCACTTGTGAATAGTCTCAAAAAAAAAAAACAATCCTATAGGCTAAGTAAGGAAAGTTTAAATTTAAACCCCAAGCAATACCAGGTGTGGGGTACTGTATAAGCTTTTGTTAAGTACGATCAACTATCCCACTACAATGTTACTGCAAAATGCTTATATGATTACTTACTGCAGCGTTTTTGGTGGTGATGGAATTCTTGTTTTTTATACCATTCTTTTGAGGTTGCGTTGTTTGTGGTGTATATTTTGACGTTTTGATACCTTCTAACAGTCGGACTAAAAGAATATTTGTTGGTAGAGCGTCAATAGGCACGTCCACTTGCGTTCTGCATTCTGGGCATTTTAGCACCTTTTTCGCCGTTACTATTTCTTCCAGACATCGTTTGCAAAACGTATGCTGACATGGAAGAACCTTACTTGAAGCATTCAGTCTATCTAGACAAACAGAACATTCTAATAATTCGTTAAGAGCTGTCTCGTCCATCCTCTGTTTTGGCTTATGGAAAGTTCTCAAACAGTAGGGGCGATATTTTTGCTACAAAGAATTCATAGTGCTACACTTTGATTAGCTTGTTGCTGTCTTCTTTGAGATTGAGGATGATGAATATAATCCCGAATACTAGCAATGAATCATCGCACGACGAAATTCGTCGATCGATCCAGTTTTGCTGCCGACTTCGTTTTGTCCGCACAACTGTTTTACAATCGTGCCCAGTCTCAAACGTAGCTTTGTGTGAGTCTACGCGCTCCTTAATACCGTAGTGTAAAATAGTTCTGTATGGTTCCCTGTTCCACTTCTTTTCAATGTAGTATTTGTTAATATAGGGTGCCATTCAAACCCCGATCAAAACCGGAAAAAGAGAACTACTTCGACCGAGATATTTTTCATAACATTGACTTAGACTTAGCAGACGACAAATTATGCCTATGCTACGGGCATCGAACAAAAGCGAAACGTATAACGTTAGCTTTTAGGCTAATCATACAAGCTTCATCCATTTTAAATAAATTTCAATTTCAGTAAAATCTGTCTTTAATTACAAATGAGAACATTACGTGCACTAGCAAATTTAATGTACAATTAATTAGCTAACTGCCTAATACAAAGTTAGGATAATTTGAATAATACATTTTAGACAATCATTATTTAGCTAAAATATGGGAAAATACGTATATGCTCTTTTAAAAAGTGAAAGAATTATTGATATTTATAATGAACTATGATATAATTAACACAATTATAAAAGCAAATGTAAAATGTGTACAGTATTTCTATACTCATTCAAAGTGTGCTAAATAATTTCAAAGGAGGCGAAGAAAAACGATTCTCCTTTTCCTTTACATATGCAATCCGCATAAAAAATTACAAGACTTCGTTAACTAATTATGTAATACTCAGCTGGACTCTGCGGTAAAAGTCATTATAGACAATTTAGAAGGAAGCTAACTAAGTCGAGTGTAATTCCATCAAATAATTTCTACTTCTCTACATCAACAAAAGAAACCCCTGGATAAGGGCATAATTTATAAATATGTTATGCTATATTTACCCATTATAAGAATTTTGTACAATTAATAATAAATCTAAATCAGCAAGTTAAACACATAAACATTAGTTAACACGTTAATAGACGATAAAATATAATTTATATCTATTTTTAACAATATAAAATAACTAATTTACATTAAAAACCGTTCAACTAATGTCTAATAATTAATTCGATTACTTGTATTATTACAAACAAAAACAATATTGTGTAATATATTTATGATATTTTGTTACATAACTATGTTAATGCGTTATTAAACATTATATTTTTAAATAATAGAAAGAAAAGAATAAGGAAATATTCAAAGAAGGAGATATCGAGAGAGAGAGAGAGAGAGAGAGAGAGACAGAGAAGGGACGGGGGGTACAGTAGAAAGAGGACAGTTGATATCAGAATAAGAAATAGACAATGAGAGGATATTTTGTAATGGAGAGTTTTTTTGATTTGTCTTCACTTGCTCTAACTTTCATCAGGAAATGTGATATTTGAAAAGATTATTGCTGGTCTATTCATCTTTATTAGCCTACAGACACAATAAACTACTTTCTAATAATATATACTAATTCAATTTGCCTATGATGTCTTTGGCGTTAGTTTTCCCTATTAAATCTCTTAATGAGTTTTTTAATGATTTTTTTGTGACCTTGTTACGCAATTAGGACAATAAAATTGATAGATAAGGAAAAAGTGACAAAACTGTTTTTTTGTGTTACATTCTTCTATTACGTTTAGATGTCAGACTAATTAAAGTATTACTTTTTCATCCTTAGCTTAGAGATTTTTTACTCTAAAAAGTAATTATCATTTATTAAAATATATAAATAGAGTATCTAATTAAAATTTATTAATTATTTCCACCAAAAAAAACAATAGAATAACAAACTATGTAAAAAAAATGAGTAATAGGCTTATATACCTTTTAAAATTCCATAACAAACTTTCAATGAGAGGGGTTAATGTATTTCTGTTATTGTTGTTATATTTAGTTTTTTTTCTTCTAAAAAACAAGCTCTTTTATAAAAGACTAGAAAAAAATGTATTCCATTATTTAATAGCTTTCATTTAAAAGAGAGGGTTTTCTTTCTTCATTTTAAATTTAATAAGACTTAAGAATACATTAAAGAAAAGTATTCATTACTCTTTTCTTCTTCATTTATTTTCAGTTCACGAAATAGTTTTTTAAATGAAAGCTAAAAAAATAGATTAGTTTGTAAGAATAGCTGTTTGCTTTTCCTACTATTGTAATTATTATTGTTACAATTAATTTACCAGTTGATATTACATTTCAAATTGATAGAAATCAATTGGATTTTTACTATAAATATAAAGTTATTTATATTATATAAAAAAAATATGCTAAAACGAATCTTGTTAAGAGGCGCTTGTTTTGATTTTCAATTACCTATTTAATAACTTTTGATATAATTTAGTTTTTTTTGGGTATTTTTTATGTAAAACAAAATTTCTCCCAGTTATATAGAAATGTTAATAAACCTATTTTTAGATATCTGTTGATTCAGACCCAAGATTAATACTTTCTAACAAGTTCTAACCTTAACATATATTTTTTTAAGTTATTGGTTTTTGGTCGGGAAAAGAAAACGAATGGAGCAATTTTTTTAGACGATGTCCAATTGATTTGTCTACAAGATCAATATTTGTGTATACTGGGTAAGGCCGGTCATTTACAGAACAAATTAGATTTACCGCGTTTAAGCACCGGTTTAGAAAACCGGTTACCATTTATTTTAGGCAGAAATTGCGCATGCGTAGATGACACAATCTATTTATTGAAAGATTTCGTACACAAATTTTGTAATCGCGTAAAACAGAATTCCACGTGTCCAAGTTTGTATTTGCACAAAGATACGCTTATAAAATTAACAAAATATTTTTTTATAATCGGTAGAATGTCGGATAGTGATGAAGAAGCTTTCGAAAGTGCTGATGAAGATTCATCGAAGACATCTAAACCCATAAAGCAGGATATAGCGGACAAGTCTAAAGCAGTTGAAAAACCTGTATCCGAACCAGAAAAAGAACTTCCAAAAGAACCTAATGCAGAAGCCAAAGCTACAGCAGAGGATGATTTTACGCCTCAACCAGCTATCGACAGAGGAAAAGACATTGATAATCCTGAAAGCAAAGAAAATGTTAAAAAACTATTCGATAAGATAAATGAACAAGTAAGTCTTTTTTTAGTAAATTTTATCTGAGAAATTTTACATATGCTCTATTTTATAAAGGAAAAAGAGACTGGTTGGCTATCATGGAAAAGTAAATTACTTACCACAGCCTCAACAACCGTCAATACATTTACTGGTGCTGTTGGTTTGTATTTAATTATGCAAACTAGTAACTTTTCAGTTAATAATTCATAATCTATCAACAGGAGATGGATTCAATACAGTTATGCAAACAGCTGAAACAGCCCTTGGTGCAGAACCTGCAGAGGAATTGGCTCAGAGATTGGAAACAGGAGATAAAAGTAAGTACACTTTTTTTAAAGTTCCTTTAATGTCTTACATAACATCTGTGACAGATGAAGATAAGCAAGAAGTAGCAAACGTTGATGATAAAGAGGCTGATAAGAAAGATAATAATGCCTGGGGTAGCTGGGGTTCGTGGGGTCTGTCTGGTATAACATCTGCTGTTGGTAAAGCTACTAATGTTTTAGAGAATACAGTAAGAAATCGGTTAAAAGTCATTAAACTTATATGTAAAAGATATTTTCTTCAGTCCAAAACAGTGGTGAGTGGTAGTTTAAATGTTCTCGAAACAATTGGCAAGAAAACATATGAAACAATTGCCGAAGGTGAACATGGTTTAAAATCGACTTTACAAAAAAACAAGATAAGCTTATCCCAGGTTTTTAACCTAATTACATTCACCTTCAACGAAACACTCCATTAAATATGTACATAAGGTTCTACGTGAAGCCAAGCAAACTGCCGACGATAATATCTCTCATGAGGAAAAGTTTCGAGAAGACCAAGAGATGAATTATAGTTTCCTTTTTGATGAATTTAATGGTTAGTACAGCGTTTAATGGGAAAATTGATATATAAATGTAACATTTATATATATAGGCCTGGTAAATTTGGAGGCTTTAGAAATGCTCTCCCATCAAAGTGAATGTCAACTAGAGAAATTGCAAGTTCTATCCAATTCGAAATTTCGCGATCAATTCGAATCTATAACATCAAAATTCGAATTATCAGGCGATGAAGAAGAGAATGAAGAGAAGGCTGATGAAGAACACGATTTTGTGACACTATTAAGGCAGAACGCTACATTACTACAATCTTTGAATTTGAGCGTTGATGAGGAATTGTCCAAGTTGTCTGATGTAAGCACTCCGAGATGACATTTCAGCATAATTTAAAAAAATTTTCATTTAAGTTACAAGTTAGCCTCCGAAGTAGAATTTCACAAGACGAAATCTCATTGTCTAAAGGTGAAAGTGTCGACAGTAAGGTTCGTCTCTAATCATTTCTGATTACAGGACCATTTTGCGCAATTATATATAATTATTATATATATTTTCCTAGGATATGTATAAGCAAGCTCTCAGCAATCTGGCCCATTTAACAGCCCGCGTAATCATTCTCTATCATCGAGTGGCACAAAAAGTACTCGCATCGAACAAAGTCGAAGAATTCTCAGCCTATAATGACGGTGCAGAGAGCGTTTCCTTGTAAGTTAATTTAAATAAATTACTAAATATTATATTAAAGGGTTGCTAATGATTATAGAATCTCAAAATTGATGAATACCGAATTTGGTATTCTATCTAACCAGTACGCAAAAAATTTGAACTCCTGCAAGGTCAGTCATTGATTTAATAAATTTCGATATATATTCAAAATATAAATTATTATCCATAAATCAGGACGAGAATGATTCCCTAAATACGTTCATAACAAGCGTCTATTTCGAGGTAAAAATAAAGAAAACTAAAATTAATATATAACCCTTCTCCTTTTGTTTTAGGCTTCCAATAGTGGCCGATATGCTAGCGACGCTCTGAAACTCCTAGTACCTGTATTCCAGTTAGCTATTGCGAAGCAAACTATTTCAGATGATTAGATGTAAGTCTATCAGTTGTAGATGGAATCGGTTAAACGTGTATCTGAATTTTATTAACATAAATGCCCAATTATGTTTATCTACATTTTCTGTATTTTTTTTTGAATTTTAAGTAAAAATTTATTTGTAGTAAAGGCATTCCTAATAAAATTTAACAATTAATATCAAATAATTGCCTCTTCGGAGAACTGTCATGGAACGGTGAAAGGTACAACTAGACTTTCTTTATGACTTATGTGAATATCAGATACGGCACCATTTGTGTTTAAAGCCGCTTGTTGAATCTTTTGAAGCAGAAAATATTTTATTAAAATATCTATTCTTTTTATAATTTAATTTCAACATACCATGTTCAAGTCTGTAAAATTAATTACTCGGGCAGACAACAGGGCATAAGGATCCTTACATCCAGGAATAAGAGAATGCTTTTTCTTAAAGCTTCCTCCTAGAGCCAAATTCAATTTTTGCCTGCAATTTATCAGGATACAAAAATGTATTACGTATATTGTAACCAAATACCTACTTATAATGTTTTTCTCTATCGGCTATGTCAGAATATTCCACAGATGGAGCGTGAAGTGACGACACATCAATTACATCCCTGAAATTATTTATGACATTAATAAATATAGATTTTATGGAAAAGTTGTAACGAATTTCTTACTTGGATACTTGAGTTACAATTCTGTTATACGCTGATTGTTCATCTCCTGGGAAGAAAGTGTCATACCCACTACAAAAGTTTTGAGACTTAGCTATCAATAAAACAACTAACATATTTCAACCTACTCTATTCTAACTCCACCATTTTCACATGATGAATCGCTGATAAGACGACTAGTTTCGTTATTTTGATTTTCCTATAATAAATAACGAAAATAAAGAATAAGGTGAAATATGGACAAAAGAGCCAGTTTCATATTTAGCTTACATTGTTTGCTTTGTCATCGTCTTTACCAAAACAACAGCCCATTTTCCTAAGCTCTATATGTTGCGCTTTTTTATGTAATATAAATCAAATATAGTAGTTATTCAATTAATATTTGAAGTCCATCATATGACAAAATCATCATGTATTGATCGGTTCTGACCGGTAGATCACGTGATAGGTATCACGTGATAAAACAAGACAAATATGGCGTGTGGTATATTCTTGATCAATTTTCAACCCTCTGTTACGTAAGAGCAGCTTCTTTTAAAGTAGTGATTTGCAAAATAGTGAAGGTAGGTTAATTACCTTGTACACAATTTTTTTGCTTTTTCATTTGATTTCGAAACAATCTTTGATGTATTCAATCCTAAAAAATAATTGAAGCAATTTTATATTATCGTTCAATCTATAACATCTAACGCAGGCTTTTAAAGCAAATCAAGACTAAAACTAAATAATACTTAAAATTTTAAGTGCTCTTAAAAGTAATAGAAAGTTGTTTTTTACAAAATAAGTGTTTTTATATGGTTAAATGAACAAAATCTAATATACAATACAGCTACTATTCTATCACACAATACACCCTATTGAAGTTGATAAGAAATTGTTTTCTAGAAAACCTAATGTCATCAATGTTTGATTTAGTTTTCATATACAATCAGCATTTTCGGTATTAAACATAAAATCTGGGTTTAGTAATTTAAATGTGATACTAACAAAATATTGACCTTTAGCTTTCGAGTGAAGGTAATATTGTTTACAACATGCTAACTAGACATTTGAAGGGATTAGTTAACAATATCCAGCTGCCTTGCAGAAGAATGTGAAAAAATATGTAATTTGCATTATCTATAGCGATGTCTTGTTAGAACTTCACGAGAAGAGAGAATAAGAAAAACAGTTATTAATAGAATATCAATTTTCAATATTGTTAAATATTATTATAAAACTGCATTATTTATTTATACAAAAATAACATTGATTTTATTATATTCACTAAAACAGATCTATCTATTTTTGAACGATAAAGTTATATTCAAGTGGACAACATCCGCCCATTCTGTTGGCTCCTTAGACATATATTTTATGGCAAGATATAATAGAAATTAAAATATGAGCCTACTATCGAAATTATTTTCGAGGACTTTGCCATCTCAATCTAATCAGGATCAACCTCCTCCGATCCCTCAGGGTACAACTGTTGAAGAGGATGGGATGGCTGATTCTGATACCAGATTGGAGGTATTTAAGTCTCATTGGTCGCAAGCTGAACAGTTGATGGAAAAACATCATGGAAAAAATTCTACAAATGTGCAAGATTTTGAGGCTAGTCTCCATTACTTCCATCAGATGATTAACCTTATAGCAGAAGACGTAATTACTACTGAAAAAATTGTGATACAGTATTTATTTAATGAACAACTATTGGAAAAGATGGTTGATTGGACTTTGGTTGTTGCTGATTTCAGGGATAAATTTAAATTACAACAGCTGAAATTGTATGAATTGATAACAATTTCAGACATTATTGTTTCCCAACGTATTGCCGTTCTTCGCCCTTTACTTAGACTACTTAGCGGTTGCTGTAATGAAGAAAATGTGGATGTTGAAAAGAAATTATTGCTCGTAGTTCACCAGTTGTGTGTATGCGTAAAGAAAGATGACGAACTACTCGCTCTTCTATTTGATCAACGCACATCTTCTAATTTCCTTGTCCTAACCTTATTAACAAAATATGTTCATAGGGACGGAGACGTTGGACAGCAAGCTCGAGATTCGCTTTTGCTTATCATGTCACTATCCGTCAATGATTCTAAAATCGGATTTTTTATCTCAAAACAATCGGATTTCTGCCCAATTTTGGCTACTGGTCTTAGTGGTCTCTATTCGGAATTACCAAGGAAATTGGATGTTCCCTACGACGATTGGTATCAACTAACAAATGAAGATATTTCAGAGATTGCAGAATTATCAATGATTCTCAATTCATTAGAATTTTGTAACGCAGTTGTTCAGGTACGATAATATCTAAATAGTATAATTTTGTATAAAATAATAAATCAATACATTTTTAACATATAATATAAATTTCAGGTCGCTCATTCTTCTATAAAGAATGAACTAATAAATTATATATATGATGGTTTTCTCGTACCAGTATTAGGACCAGCACTCCATCAGGTAATTTATATATACAGTAATATATATAGTACATCTCTATTCAAAAAAAAATTGTTTTTTTCAATAACACAAAAGGATATTTTAAAAAAAAGTCTATAAGATTTTCTTTAACTCTAGAAAACAAAAATATCTCTCCGTTAACACACTTAGCTTTCTATTTCACTATATAGTGTTTCTATTCCTCTGTTTTAAACTGATTGATTTTCTATTTGCACAAAATTTCACCAAGAATTTGATCACATAACTTTAAAGACAAAATTGTATAAAAAATATCGAAATTATTGACGTTAGAAAGTAAAGAAAATTATCATAGAATGTAGAAAATTTAAGCGTATTTTCTTTTTATTAAAAAAATTTATATTAAGAATATATAAAGAATTATAAAAACAACGTGACAAACATGTGAGATAAAACCTAGAGTATGTAATTAACCTGTAAAACAGGATCCATGGCCTGACACTATTATTCAACGCTTCCCAGATTTACTGGTAAGAAGCATGCAATAGAAAATTTAACCTATTATTTTTTTTTCCTATATGCCATTATTTCAGTTGTTTTCAATATATTCATAAAACAGCATGCGCACTTTGACTTTACTGACTTAGAGTTGACATGGGATAATACATATGATCATTTTCCTATGATTAATGTGGTAGGTCTTTTGTTATAAAAAAGAAACTAGCGCATGAATATATATTTTCAATATATATTATTATTTCTTATTTTGCATAAAAACATGCTAATGCTATTTATTTCTTAGTTTTTAACATTTTCTTGGTAATTGAAATAACAAAAACATTAACTATAGCTATATTCCTATTTGTTTCCTCCCCTATTTTCTTTCTGTATACGTACATATGAAGAATATTTTATTTTCTATATCCAAATGTATAATGAGATATACAGTATATTTATATATATATATATATATATATATATACATATTAGTGGATATGTTTATTCAGATTAGATATGGTAATGTGCATACAGTATTGATATAAATAGCATGTATATATAAATTTATATATATATACATACTGTATATATACTTATGTACAATTTCTATATCTGTATGGTTTGCATATAGAAATGCGGGAAAAGTACTGGATTGGTTTTTTTTCTTTTTAATTCTTATACAAGAATGCATTGTAGATTTTAATAAAGCTAATTTTATATGGAGTATAGTATCTTTTTTGTTATGTCCTATGGTGCGTTGTATAGGGAAAGTTTCGTATGTATATATATTTACAGTATATACATATTTGTAGACATTAAATACTTCAATATTCTTCTTTTTTATTTGTTGATATTAACCTTGATCTTATCCTTATAATATCAATAACCTATTCTTCATCATTTCTATTTGCCTACTGACAAACCCAGGATGGATCAAAGTTGCCGTCATCTGTAGTTGAATCTTACTGTGGGGTATGTTCATAAAAAAAATATGCGCTAAATACAAGACAAATATGTGTTTTGCATGTGTTCGTAAGATATAAAAGATGTGAATATTGATCACGCTATATGCTTTGATTTTATTTTATATCGATTTTGGGGATGTTGGTTTCTATTTTTAAAGCCCTACACAACTAAATTATTTTGAATTTCATTTTATTTTCATTTGCACAAAGATTCTTTTATATATGTTTGCTTTTACGTGAAATATGAATGTTAATGTATTGTACATACTGTATATTGTATAATAATAATAATACTATTATATGTGAATATTTAAAACATTTTAAAACTTAGAATCATTAAGTGAACATATAATTCTCTTTTACAGAATTCATCTGAGGAGGTGATTGCAGCAACCGCCTATCTAGATTTGTTTATTAGAAAACTTAGCGAGCCAGCTCTATTAAGAGGATTTATCAAGTTTATTCTAACCGAAAAGCATGACGACACAACCATTTTGGAATCGTTTATTAGGAGAATTAATAGTCAAACTAGAGTAAATATTTCAAGTTATTTACTAATTTTTCAAGTATCATTGTTTAAAAGAACATGTCTTTTTGTCTATTTCTTTGATCGTTTATCATCTCAATTGATTATTTTCTCTCTTTCTTTTATTTACAGTTATGCCAAGTAACTTTAAATCTATTCCATACACTAATAGATTTGAATTCAGAAGAATGTATGTTTCATTTGATTTTCAAGTACGTAGTGGTTATCATTCATTTATTCTTTAATTCATAAAACATACTACTTTATTCTTATCAAAACATTAACTATATTTTTTACTATTTACAGATATCTTATACCGTGTAGACATGTAATGGTTAGTCAAAAATTATGCGTGAGAGACCTAGATTTGTACGGTTCGTCAGCGAGAAAGTTTCTTGATCTCAAAGCCGAGAGGAAGAAATTTTGTAATTTCAACGAAAGTTTTGATAATAGGTAGGTGTTTTTCAAGATCATAAACCATCTCTCTCTTTAAGAGAAAGAATTCTTTCGCTTCATACTGTTTAAACATATATGCTATGTTTATAAATATAGTATATATAAGTTTTCATCTATGCTACTTTGCCAACTAATAATTAACACTGGTTTTTTCTTTATTCTTTCATTCTTTTCCTGCAATTCTCTCAAGCCTTACTTACGACTCACCGACGTATAATACTCCTCAAAAAACGAGTAGGATACGTTTCCCTCTCTTTAAATTAACGACAGATGATGATAATGATTCTATTCACAGTCTGAATAATTCGTTTAGGTTTGTTTCATTAATTATTGAAGATTTTTTGAAGAATAAATGATTGATTCTAAATGTTTATTAAGTTATCTTTTTTTCCTTCTTTTTCATTTATCAATAGTTCGACGGATTCAGCAACAGGAAATCAATTAGGGGAGCTTGAAACTTCCTATTCCGATTACTTAATGGTAGCTAGCACGAAATTACAAAAATGTAAAGCAGCTTGTGATAAATGGAAATATAAGTACGACGGAGAAGATCCATCTCCTGATGAATTTATAGCTATGCCTGTTGATCTGAACTGTCAAGATGATAGCACTGAAAATTCAATAATTGAATTAAACGATATAAAAAATGAAAATGAAGTGGAAATGGAAACGCTATCACAATTAAATTTGACAGATTTAGACTCATTTATTAAAAGTATTGATGCATTGAAATTACCAGAAAATTTTCGTCAGCGAAGTATTAATGAATCCATTCAAGAACTAGAAGATTTGCTGCAGAGAGAGATCAATGGAAATGCTTTCGAAAAACCCTCCGTTGTTGTGTGTGATGATTCGAATATCGAGGCTTCCAATGCAAAAATTTCACAAGAGATACCCTCACATCTAGTTTATGACCCTGCATCCGCCCTAGACTCTCCTACTCTTGGTCCTTTCTTGTCGGCCATAATGTCTAAACTCGATACAATGATGCAAAATTCACTATACGTAAATTTGGTGCTTACTGGTGTTATCGCTCGTTTGGCTATTTTCCCTCAACCGTTATTAAGATCGCTCCTATTAAATCCTAATTTGGTATTTCAACCTACAATAAGGAGTGTGACGCAGGTGATTATAAACCACAATACGTTCGGATACACTTATATGTAATATATTCTTACGTTCCTGTAAAAATTTTTGACAGGTGTTGATAAGCGTCAAGAACAAGATTGAGAATTTCGCAAGTAATATAAATGATTTCAATCATTTAATGATAAGAGCCAGACGCTTCTTGAGCTGGCGTGACGAAGAACATAGGAAATTGAAATCCAATAAAACTGATAGTGTTAAATTGCCATCACAGCCAATCATAAATGATAAAGGTATATGAATTCTGTATTATTAATGTCAAGCCAATTACTTCTTTATTATAGGAAAGCCACGATTAGTTTCGTTAAAGACGAAAATATCGCCTAAAACTCAAAGAAATTCTGATAAAGACAAAGGATTTTCTAACTTCCCTCGTCGTCAATCGGTAGAATCTACATTGGGGATGGATGCAATGGAATCAGTCAAAACTAAGAACGCTGTATATTGTGCTGTTGTTTTAGAAGAATTTACAAAAGAACTGGCGGCTATTTGCCAAGAACATTCTGTTGTTTGAAAGCGTTTTTTAATTTTGCTCAAAGAATTCCTATTCAATTTTCTTCCAATGTGAAAAAAAAACAAAAAAAACTCTAAAAAAAAATACTTTTAAAAGATATTCTAATTGAAATTACACTAATTTGTCTCATGTCCCTAATCATCTCTTGCGTTCATATATCGTTCTTTCAAATAATCTTGTTATATAGTATATTTACACTTTAAAATTAATTTTGTTTTTTCTTCTTTATTTTCATTTGAATGTTTCTTTTGTTTATTGTTTTAAGCATCTATTCAAGACTAAAAAAAAGTATTAATTTCTGCTTTTCTTAATTTCCGCTTTGCTTCATTTAAAAGCGAAAAATATGTGGACATACACTTAAATATTTTCAATAACTTTATTTAATCCTAATAGCTGCTGTCTTACAACAATTCACGCGTATTTTCATTTTTTTTTTGTTATGTCTATAATTCGGCATCGAAATGACATGCGCCTGGAATCTGGTATCCAACAAGAGAACCTTTACCAATACATTCACCAATGAAAAACCACATCGCCACTTCTATTCCTACTAAAGTGTTCACTGTAGCCTCCTAAATATAAGAAAAATTGTTTGAATATTTTTAGTCAATGACCTGAATGACATATACTACCTTGACGGTAAATTTTTTCCATTTACCGCTCTTTGCGCTATTGATCAACTGTGTTAAACCTTTCGATACCTCAGGTATTTCAGCGGGTGTTGGTGGTCTTAATTCAACTCTTGCATATTGCCAGAAGGTAGTCAGACGCGGCTTTGCAACTGAAATGGAATGATTTCTTAAATATCGCTCAAAAGCAGAGGTTACTCAAAAACTTTATGAAAAACAGCGATCAATTTCAATAATTTCTTAATTCAAAATATATACATAACAAAAAAAACACTTAATCCTTAATTTACAGCAAACTATATATACTAACAAGCAGTAACTTTTGGTACACTTCCAACTATTGTTTGACCGAGTTTTGCAACTGCACCCGCCATTTTGAAATAGACTATTTCATCAAACCAAGTGCCATCTAGCGACAATTGTGAACAACATGTACACTATTGCGCAACAAAAGAGAAGTTGGCTCAAAAGAGATATTTGCTTTGAAAAAGTGTACATATAGGTTATCAAGACAAATTTCTAAGTAGTCAAGTTCGTGATTATCAATTGACCTACGATTTAAAAGTATGACATATACAGTTATTTTTAAAAATTAACACAAACGCATTAAAATAAAACGTTTTGTTGAATGTGATAAAGAAAAATGAGAAATTATCCTTAAAAAAGAAAAGAAATAAATAAGCAAACAGAATAAACATTGACAAAGAAAAGATGCAATTTTATTTAATCTTTTCATTCTTAATCATTTCTTTAATCAAAGAAAATATTTGTTCACCTAATCAATGTACAAAAGAGAGGAAATGCTTTACGAAAGAATGCGTAATTAGAGCAAGTTATGTATTAGAACAAATGGATTTTGACGTAGATCCTTGTGATGATTTCTACCAATATGCCTGCGGAAATTGGGAGAACAACATGATTGCGCCAGAATTCGTTGATTTCTACACACCAAAAGAGCGTCTAAGATTAAAGGCAATGACTCAAGTCTATGATTTTATAAATCCATTTGGAAATTTTAATTCTGAAATGATCAATTTCAACTTTATGATTTATATACGCAATTTTTTTGACACTTGCAGGGATTTTTCAAATAAGAGAGAGAAATTTAGGAATTTCTTTCATAAATCCAGGATTTTCTTATCCTATAAATTGTGTATTAACCCAGTATTGTTTAAATATCTTCATGTTGAAATTGACGAACCTATTGATACATATATTAAGAAAATGCGATTCCTGTATCAGTTTAAGACAGGCCATTATTTTACAAAAGATCTCCTAAACACAGTTTGCCCACTAGCTGATAATAAGATGATAAAAGAATTAGATAACAGACTTAACGTTCTCCTATCTTTATTTAGCGAAAGTCATAAAATTGGTATTGATGCCTTTTTTAAGATTGGGCCTAAATTAGTTAGTAACGCTTCTAAAGAAGAGTTCGTATTGACTATTAACGAAAATTTGGGTCTAACTTTAGGAAAAACAGAATACTATAATGACGATAAACACTTTAAAAGATATAGTTATATGTTTAAAGTAATATTGAGTAGAATATGGAAGGCAGACGAATTATGGAGAGCGGATGAATATATTAAAAGAATGTGGAAATTTGAGAAAAATTTAGTTAAGTTTATCTATAAAATGGGAAATGAACAACTTCCTAATCACTTAAAAACTATTCAAAATATTCAAACTAATCTTTCTAGTACCTTCGACTTTTACAACTTCCTACAAAATGTCTTTCAAAAAGATTTCGATTTAAATACGAAAATACTTTTTACAAATGATGGAGATTTTTTAATTCGTTTATTTAAATATTTAAATAATACTAATATAGACGATGTTAAAGAATATATTGCATGGAAATTTATATACAAATGGCGTACTTTATTAAAATTTCAAACATTCAACGTTCAATCAACGAATAATGATCCTGGTTTATTATGCTTTGGACTTGCGGAAAGTTTCTTTCCGGAATTAATAGATTATCTTTATTTCGAAACATCCGATAGAGTTACATGGGAATCTAAACGTTTACATATTGAACGTTTAAGTAGGGAAATTAATAAAGAAATTATAAATACATTACGCAATAGATATAGGGTTTTTAGAGATTTACAAGGTTTCTTTAAAAGGAAATTAGGGAGTATTAAACCACCGATAATTACACCTTTAAGAAATCGTTTCAATATACCGTATTTAGTAAAACTCTTTGATACTGAGATACTTGATAGTAGTGATGAATTTGACTCTTTGCTAGAATTTCTAATTGCTTCGACTGTTGTTAGAAGGCGTAAAGAAGGTGATAAAATTAAAAGGAAAAATGATAAGGATTACATTTTAGAGGATCACTATGATATGCCAGTTAGCACAAAAGCAGAGATAAGATACGATAATAACTTACGTAGAGTAGTTATTAGCTATGCCGCCTTAAGAGAGCCGTACTACGTTGAAAGTGGAAATGCTATAGCCCTTTTATACGGAGGTTTTGTATGGACCTATACAAATGAAATACTTCAATCATTAGGACTTTTCGAAAGTCAAAGAATTGTTGACAGATTAACAGCCTCAATAAGATACTGTATTCAACAATATAGTAACTTTTCTCGATATGGAGTAAACTTACATGGTGAAAATGTATGGAAAGAAGCACTTTTAGACCATGAAGCCTTAAAAATATCGAGATCCGTTTATAAAAAAGCGATTAGTGACAGAAAAATTAGCCTAAAAGTTCTACCCGGTTTAAATATGACGTCAGATAAGATGTTTTTTCTAGGATTTGCTCAAAACTTTTGTAGTTATATACCCGAGAAAGTGTTTAATATTTGGGCAAAATCATCATCTACACCACCAATGCAAAGAGTTGTTGGTACTTTGCAAAATAGTCATTATTTTTATTCTGAATTTAAATGTCCAAAAAATTCGGGAATGAGACCGACTCAATTTCAAACAGATCAAACTGGTAGAATGCTAAGTTGCGTCATCTACTAATAAGCATAGAAAGAGGAAGATAACGTGTAAAAATATTATAATAAATACAAAGAGATAAGAAATTTAGGAATAAGCATATCTTTTCTTCAAAAAATGATTCATTGATATATAAATCTAATTGTTTATGTAATAAAAAATCTTCTTCTTTTCTTGTTCATGATTTAATCTAAATCTCTGGATCGAGATCGAAACATCTAGCATAGAAACCAGCCGTTAAAAGTGGTTTCTGAGCTCCGTTTGATATCAGGCTGTATCCGTCGTAGGACCAGTCACCGCTTGATGGGCTGATACCTTCTGATACATAGACTGGGAAGGCGTATCTTGATGTCAAGTTTGCTTGAATATTCAAGTAGTCAAATTTTGTACTTGATTCTTCTGTCCATTGGCCACAGGACGAAACGTCATTATAGTCTGCGCACCTTAATAAAAGGCACATTTCCAGATAGTAAGTTCCTTCCTTAAAGTGCATGCCTTTGAATACTCCCAAAGCGAATTTATCTTTCTCAGTTTTTGTTCGATTTTCATAGTCAATTTTACAGCAAAGTCCATTATTACAAACTCTAACAGTTCCAGAAGATTCCTCTTGAGGGAGTAAGGACATTGTATAATTATCTCCGAAGACTTGTGACTGGAAAGTCTCTTCGGATGAAACGAATCCGTTAAATTCAATTTTTTGGTGATAAATAATATTTCTTCTTCCTTTTTTGACATCACTAACTAAAAGTTTTCCATCGAATACCGTATCGTCATTTCTATGAACTTTAACACCATCGGGAGCATAGATACCACTACCGGAGAATCTCATTGGAGGAAACCGAAGATTGGAAGATAAGAATGAAACTCCCATAACGTATGACCAGGATGAATGAAATGGTACTGCTGAATAAAATGGTAGAACATTCATCCAAGCAGTTGGGAAGGCCACGATATCAATATTATGTTTTTCTATAAGATCTATTGCTGGTTCTTGGAAAACTACGTCGAAACAAATGAAATTTCCAACAACACCGAACGGCGTGGAGAAAAATGATATATCTGTGTGCTTTGGTGTATTGAAATATCTCTCTCCAAAGAGATTTTTCTTATGGTATCTTGCTACAAGTACACCATTTGGATCGAACGCAATGTTAGTATTGTATTGGAATCTTCCGTCCGGTGGACAGCCATCATCCGATGCTGTACAATACTTTTTATCTCCCACGTTTGCGACAATATACATTGAATAATCTCTTGCAAGACAAGATAAAGTTCGACGAATATAGTTATTTGAAGTTTCGGGCATTAGGCAAGCATTCTCGCCAAAACTAGGAGAAGGGATATCCTCTAGAAAAGGATATACTGATTCTCTTGTTCGGATTGCAACTGGAAGAAGTCCATTTTCGGGAAAAACTAAGATTTCCACTCCCTATTTTTAAAACAATAGATATAGTTTGATAAACATTTGTTTAATTAATCAATGATAAAGTTACGTACCGCCTTGCGAGCTTCGTCGGCTTTTTCTTTATAAATCTTTAAGGTTTCATTAAGAATTGCTTGACTAAAATTCTTTGTATCGTAGGATATTGGTATTATTGGTTTGTCATATACTGCGGCTTTGAAAGTAGATGATGTTGTAATTTCGGAATCGAATATAATAAAGTACGTAAGCCAAAAAAATACCCTCAAAAGAGACATCTCGAAGAGTGTGAATTGTAGGAGTGACAAAAGCTACGCGCCAGCCATTTATATACTGTAATACCTACACTCGTGAAAGGGTCATTGAACAATGTAGTTCAAAGTACAGTAATTTGATAACAAACAGCAAAATAACGAGACGCCATACCTTATGAACCTGCTGTCTTTTCAAATTTTCCGCTTACAAAATTTAACGCGAGACTAAATTCCTTCGACCTTGACATTACAAAAGTTAAAGAGATCATCTTGTCTAGTCCCCAATTATTGAAGCTCGTTCTACCCTTTTTATTTAGTGATGGCCAGTAAATTTTTGCAAAAGTTAACGTCAGGTGGTAAAGGACATGATCAATCTAAAATAACTGTTAATGAGGTAAATGAATAATGTATCCCATTTTCGTGCCGATCCCTATATCAGCAGACAATATTATAATCAGTATAGGGGTCTAATAAATAATTATATAGTATATATTTTCTCATCGGCAATACAAAAATAGACTAAGAAATATGAATGAAATTAAAAATTCTTTTGACTGATGTTCTTATAATTTGTTTATAGCTCTCTATGTATGATGAGCCAAAAGTCGAATTTGAAATAGTTCACGATACCCCCTCATCCTACGATATTCAAGTTTCAAGATTTAGACAGGCAATTTGGGGACAAATCATTGCAGTGCAGGTTTTTATAATTTAATTAATATTAGTACAAAGCAATTTTTAGAATTCTCTTATTTGTCAAGGACGCTAAGGAAAAAATTAAACAAAAATATGATACTGGTGTAAGCCACAGTAAAGGTAAGTTTATTATATATATGAATATTATCTAATTAACCAAAAAAATCTTGTATTTCTCATCATCTAGAGGCTCTTTACACATTTAAAGATGATACAAGAACTCTTCCTAGAGCAACTCTTATTACCCTAGCCGGTATGACTGGAATTATAGCGGGATATAAAGGTTTATTGTTAAATTGCCCATTAAAAAAATATATATAAAATAAGCATTATCTTTTTTTTTATCAGGTGGAGTATTCAGAAAGACGCTGTTTGCTGCTACTGGCATGACATCGGCAGCTGCAATTTGCTATCCTCAAGAAGCTGTTAACATATCTACAAAAGGATGGAATAAACTAAAAACAGAGGTTTTATCTCTAGTTAAACCCAATCGTATGTCTACTTTTATTAATTTTATTAGCTTTTATAATATTAATTAATAGTTAATTAAATCTCAATAGATCCAGAGGAGCGCGTTAAGGAAATTAAAAAAATCATTCAAGAAAAAGTCTGCATTCTTTTTATTATCTACTTTAATTATAGATTTAATCGATTTCCTTCTTCATTTTAGACTGCCCCATTTTCGGATGAATCAAAGGTTGTTGAAAAATCGAACAACTTGAAGGAGGATAAAGCTGATAGAAATATGTCAAATCCAGACGATAAAGACATGTATACAACACGCTAAAAAATTTATTAATAGATTAAGCCTATCAATTTTCCTGTATAAATAATAAACAAAACACGATTTCAATAATAAATAAGTCATTATTCAACAAAGAACATAAGCAACTGTTAACTTTCACAAAAAAGAAAAGAATAGTGTATTTCTGTGAAATGGTTAGAAATTATAATCACGTTAAAAGCGTAGCTTGCTGACAATTTCATTAATACTCTGAACTTAGCTATTGAATGACTCTTTCTATATCTGTTGTAGATATTACTATGTACAAAGCTCACTGAATTTTCTCTAAATGAGTTAAAAGTCTGACAATTCCTCTTTAAAATATTCCATTCTTAATGCTCTTTCTATGACACTCACACACACACTCAAGACTTTTGGCTCTATCTGCTTTTAGACATAAGGTGTTTAAAGTCTGTTTTCATTTCAGACCTTTATATTTAAAACAGCTCATCTTTCTAGAGAAAGGGTTGACGTTTCATAACTGATATACTAATGTAGGAAAATAAACAATGTCATCTTCAAATTAATTATCAAAAGCGACTAAAGACTATAGTAATATCAAATTAATACGTTGTATCTAAGAACCAATTGTATACTTGAAAACCAAAAGGAACCAGTCTAGAACATTGCAGAACCCATACTACATGTGTTCTTCGAGTAGTAGAGAATTTTGATATTAAATACCAGAGATGATATATAATTTTCATCCCCTGGAATCTTTAATTAATGAAAGCTAGAGAGTTCCTTTCATTTTTAAGGTGGCATTATAAGTGCTACATACGGCAATTTTTAGGTGAAGGCAGAGGAAAACCTGTACGAATGAGCGATATTGAGGTGCTTTACAAAACACAACACTTTTTGGTTATTAATAAAAGATATGATGTTAAAGTGTATAGCAACGATGAAAAAGATTACATAACTGTAGAAAAACAGCTCAAGAATTCCGTCCCTGATTATATTAGCGATTGTGCATTTGGTTTTAGGTAAATGAAGATAATTCGTTGTAGAATCTAAATTTCATAAATAATTTAACTTTTAGGTTCGTACATCGCCTAGATCACGCAACTAGCGGTTGCTTATGCATAGCCGCAAATAAGAGAACTGCAAGAGCAGCAGCAAAAGCATTTCAGAATAGGACTGTCACTAAACATTACTTAGCTTTGGTATTTATTGGCTTTAACTATTAGCCTTATTACTTAACTTAACAGTAATTCCAATAGGTCAGGGGACACTTGAAATCAGACGAATTTACTAAATTTGACTTAGCAATTGGTAGAGATAAAAGTATCACTGAAATTCACAAAATGTGCTCTTATACCAATGAGAATTGTGAAAAACCACGTCCGGCGTCAACCGGATTGAGTGTTCTGCAGTACGGTTATTATAATGGACAACCGGCGACGAAAGTTATTTTAGTGCCATTTACAGGTTTCCTCAAGCGCTTATAAAAGTTATTGATTTCTAGTCCAGTATTGTTTTCAGGCAGAACTCATCAACTTCGAGTGCACTGCAAAGAAATGGGCTACCCGATTGTCGGCGATTTTATGTACAGTAATAAAACTGACACAGAACCGTATCGAATGATGCTTCACGCTTTCTACTTTAAAATGCCAACACCAATGGAAATTGTCGACGTCAAGTCGAATGATCCATTTACACCCGAGGCAGACTCGTTATGGACTATTGAAAGAACTATTCAGACTTATGAGAATTGGCGAGACAATCATGAAGAATCGAATTAACTATCTAAAAAATACGGTCCATGAACACTAAAATTAAATTGTTTATTATAGATCGACCTTACTTTCTGAAAATTAGATTAAAAGAGTAACATTAGCTCAGTTCATGAATAAATTAATAGTTGCAGTAAGTCGCTTTGAAATCTATACCCGTGCCAGAATCACGTTTTACACATCTTATTTGATCATAATTACTTGGATGTGTATCGTTATTCAATACCCTATCTGAGAAATATTAGTTCACGCCGGTTTTTATCCCATTATCGAAACATTTATCGATATTCCCATCTATTCAGTCTATGTAAAATTTGGGTTTTCAATTATTTTTCACAAATAGCAAGCATGCAACAAGTAGAAAAAAGTCTTAACGAGAGATTTATTCATCAGTCGCATTTTCTTCATCGTCTTTCTTATCCTTCTTCTCCGTACCTAATGTTTATAGTAAAAATGAATAAAATGGTAAAAATTCTTTTAAAACAACTTACCGCCTTCTTCTAATTCACTATTACTTGCGGTTAGGCGCCTTTTTCTTGGATTAGTGGTGGTAGAAGGTCGCTTAACAACTAACTGCTCCATACCTAATACTTTATGAATTTGCTTGAAGGCTATTAGGCGTAAGGCATGTTGGGCACTTGCTGTTATGTCTTCCCTTTCTTGCGGACTTAGTTTTTCGGCAGCGTCACTGGGTTCCTTTTCGCAGGGATCATACAATCCAGGACCTTTTGGCAAAAGTACTCCTGATGCAATACATTCAAATACTCTTCGAAGTCCATCTCCCACGCTTATGTGTGGTCCTCCAGTAGCTATGCACTTTTCCACTAAAAGTTCCATTGCCCATTGGTTTAGAGGCATCCACGTCGGAACTCGCTGGCACAAATCCCTCAACACTCTTATTAGAATCACACACGTCTGCATTCCAGCCGCCTTTGCCTGATATCCCGAAGGATAAAAACAGTATAAAATTAGTAAAAGAAAAGCTTACGTGACAAAACAGCAGCAATATGTGATCTTAGAACAATGCCCCGCACAGCCTTATCGCCTATTTTCCATCATTTTAATTACGCATATTACGATTCTAGTTATTTAACTCGAAAAGATTTAAACAACGAATATATAAAATTACAATTGAAGATATACAGTATATATGTATGAATATATATACTCATAGATAACAAACAACATGCTATAGAATTAAATTTGGAGAAGGCTGCGTGGTACAAACCTGAAACCATTTAGTATGGCGAAGTGCAGCAAGAGCGTCGAGGCATTTTTGCCTGTTGAGCACGTCAGGAGGATCGGCCTTGGACACACTCTCTACAACAGACAATTCGAATTCGTAGGGTGTTTGACCAAAATACAATAAAAAAATAAAAAAATAAAATAATTTGCATATGGTCAAAAAGCCTCCATTTCGCTATAAAAATAAAGTCATAAGAATAGAGAGCATGTCATCATTTGTATGAGGAACATTGCGAATAATTGTAAGAACTTACAGAGAAACATTCCTGCGAAAACAAAGAAAATATACTTTGCCCAGCTTTATGCAAAATTCCTCAATACCCTGGCCTTGTTCAGTTTTGGGAATTAAAGTTTTAAATAAAACAGTTTTAAATTTTGATAAGATTTTTTTTACTTGCTGAAAGATTATGTAATTTCCGATATAAAAGATCTGAATTTGCAAACCTTCATTTTCTTCTCTTATGCAAGGCGCCGTAAACGTGACCGTACAAACAGGAGACTTATCCTTTCCTGTAGCTTTAACGATAAGGGCGGCTTCCTCGACGACTCGACGAACTTCATAATGCTCTTCACTGACTGTTGGTAGTTGCTTCAATAAATTATCGGCGACTTTGTCCAAAAGTGAGTTTGTTGGCTTTTCTGAACAAAGAACGACTAACTCTACGTCTACATCTCCTTGTAAGAGTAATCCTTTAGCCAAAACTCCTACTCTCATAACTCCTTTTAGAAGCCTTTGATTTGTATTCTCATCTTTATTTTCAATTGATTCTTCTTCTTTTTTAGGGCAGTTTTCAGCGAGATAATCAGATACAAGTTTTAATCCTCTTTCACAAGAGGAAACTATGGATTGGACGTCATGTAGTTCTTGCTCTGTTGGATAAATGCTATTGTGTTTCGCCATTACGTGACGATCGTCAGACGTTTCTGGACGTCTTCCACCAGGACCAGAGCCCATAGACCTCATTTGCCAATCGTCCCAGTACCTTTCTTCTTCCATTCGCATTTGTTCTCTCCAGCGCTGTTCTTGTTCCTTCCTTCTCCAGTATTCTTCTTTAGCAGTTGCTCTTCTAACTCTCTCTTCTTGCACTTTTCTAGCTTTTATTGAAGGTTTCACCTCTACCTTTAAAGACGGATCAACCTTCTTTTTATATTGGAGCCTATGTCTTCTTCCTTTCAAATGCATTTCCTTCGCATTTGGATCATTAAATTTACAATCGCATAGTTTACACTGAAATGAAACAACTTTTCCCATGTTTTGTACTTCTTCAATATATTCATGGCCAACGGGCTGAACGTCGCTAGCTAACTTAATTTCGTCCACCAAATCACAGACGGCTTGTGCTTGGGCCATTTCTGTTCTTTGTTGACCCTGTCCTTGGCCAGCTGCTTTGACTTCTTCGGCTTTATTTCCTGTTGTTTTTAAAGTTGTTCCTCCGACAAAGGAAATTTTAGGAGCAGAAAGAACTTTTTTCACTACGCCTGTCGTGCTACTACTTGATCCAACCTTAGTTGGTATTGGCTGGGCTTGCTCCATTTGACCACCTAATATCTTTGGTGTTTCAGATGGAATTGGCTTTCCTAATCTAGCATGTAATTTCATTACTTTTTGATGTTTAGCTCCTCTGATGTGAGCAGCGTAGGCGTCACTTCCTGTGCACGTAACATCGCATAATTCACAGTGAAGTTGATTTGAACCTCCTCTTGTGGGTTTTGCTGCCGCTGCTGTTGATGAGGCAGACATTTGTTGAGCTTTCTTTTTGTGTTTCTGTCCTTCCAAGTGTTCTTTAAATGTTTGTGGTCCTGCGCAGCTAATCTTGCAAACCTCACAGTATTGCATTTGTTGATTTTTAGGTGGCCCACCTGGTTTCTTCTTAATTGCAACATTTGACGCTGGTCCGCCTGCTGATGTTTTTTTATACTGATGCCAGTTAGTTGCCGTTTTCTTTGTTTGCTGCTGTTGTTGTTGATAATAATTTGTGGCAGCTGAATACAAGGCGGCGTCGTAGCCTGAGTAGCCAGTATTTGATGCTGATGTTGTAGTTGCTGCTCCAGCATTTGTGTTTGTGGAGGCAGCTGAATAGGTGTAAGTAGAGACTGCCGCCGGTGTCGGTTGAGTTTTAGCTGTATTTTGTGCAGCAGCAGCCACTAAAAAAACAAATAATTAATATATAATTAATATTTACGACAGCAATAAATTTTATATTATACCGGCAGAGGGATATTCAGCGACTGAGTATGATGTGGCTACAGCGGGTGCTGCAACGGCGGCGGCTTGGTAATAGGCTTTACTATCATAGGTTGCGGCGGCTGTCTACATAATCAAAAATTCTCTAAATTAAAATAAATGTAAATTGTATGATATTACCACGGCTGGACGGTACGCATAAGCGTTCTGGGTTCCTTGATATTCATAAGTTGCCGTTGCTGGTCTCGCTGCTGCAGCATAGGCAGTTTGTGCTGTTTGAATATAAGCTTGTGCTGTAGGTTGGTAGGTAGCAGCCTGGGCGCTGTAAAACAAAAGAGCTTGATTTCTGAGGACCACCTCTTTTTTCTTTTGCAGTAGGATTACTTTATTTCATATTTGGGGTAAAAACAAAAAAAATCGGCCCCAAATTTTATCTACACAAAATTAGACTAATTAATTAATCACAAACCTATATGGGGAAGTTCCAGGCGCAAAACTGAAATAGTTACTAGCCATAATTCACGCAAAATGTCTTCCAACTGAAAAAAATCACGCACAGTCTCGTTTTTTGTCGTACATGTTAGAAACAGGTACACCTAAAATACGACAGGAATAAACAACAGTAATTTATTCTCGGATTCTTTGTTTATTCCAATATAAAATAATACTTAATGTTTAAATGAAAAAATAATGGTATTATAGAAAAAGCAAATTAAATTAAATAATTTGTACTTGAAAATTCAAAAATTTATTTACAAAATTAAGTAACTATGTTATGACTGTTCATCTTCTTCTATTGATGCCGTCCATCGTTTTAACAATATTTCCTTTATCTTAACATTTTGTAAACAATTAGGATTAGAAATATCGGATGGCGCAGTAACATAACATATTAAAACTTCCTGTAAAAGTAAAAATTAATAATTTAAGATTTTCAAATTTATATATTTTTACCTTTCCAACTTGTTCTTGAATTCTATTTAAAGCACTTAAACCTAACCAACTCAATTTCTCATCGCTTTTAAAAATTTGAACGGCAAAACTTGCATGAAAATATGTTGGACCATCTTTATATAACACTGTTACAAGACATGGTATATAAACAATTGGGTAAAATTGTTACTTATGAGGGCTACTTACAAAAATGGGCTCCATATTTTATGCCTGATTTAACAATCCAACCCTTTCCTCTAAAATAGTGATAAGCAGAATATAGTTGAATAAAATCTTCTTCAATTGAACAAAATTTTTTCCATAATTCGATTATTGAATATTCCTCTTCTCTATAAGATATATAAGGTTTAATTAGCAATGAAAATTAAATACTTTACTTATATACATACTTTTCACTTTTTATCACTAAAACTCCCAGGGCGTAGGAAAGAAAAAAGGCTTCATACAATGTCAATTGAATATCTTCTTTCATATTGAATGGTAATGTTTTTCTAACAGTTAACCACTTTTTACCAGGATTCTCCATATCGCTTAAATCAGAATCGTCCAAAACTACAATATTGCCGTCTGTTTCTTCCGTTAGACATCTTTCATCCAAATCATTTTTATCGATAGACTCATTGTCTTCAGGCGTATTAAAGTTTTCTTCATATTCCGAATAAGAATCATCGTCTTCTTCGTTGATTTCGCAGATTGGTTCGTTATAATCCATATCCTCAGTCATTATTTTATCATCTTTCCTCACTGATGGTTGAAATTCTTCAGTATCTGTATAATCTGATGGTTCATTATCAATGTTCGCTTCCAATTGTGACCATTTCTTATATCTTAAATATCTGTTTGTTTATATGTAGAAATACATAATTATATATTGGAATCAAGATAATATAACAGAGCAACAACCTTCTTTTTGATAAAATTTGTAAGCTCTCTTTCGTTTTGAAACCTCGGTTTGTCTCCAACATATTGAAATCAGGTTTATTATTTGACAAAGTACCTTTTCCAAAGAAACTCTTAAAAATATAAAGAGATTGTTTTAAACTAAATATATTACTTTGTTGAATGGACTAACCACGTTGTGTAATGCTAATCCCGTAGCAAGATCTAAATAAACCGAATGGCCTCTTAATAAACCGGTATAATACCTCCAGTTAGATACTAAATTTGGGAATAACGAGCTAAGATCTTGTTGCTTACTCCTTTTAAATTTCCTTTTAAATTTGGGAAACTTATAAGTCAATTTTGAGGTAGTTGTTTGACACGACATTTTATAAATAAAATAGATGGCACTCTTACTATATTAGACTGGTTTGTGGTTATATTTTCAAAAGTATTGGAAGAAACATTAATTAAGAATTTACATAAAAAAGCAATAAAAATAACTTTAATACAAATTATAAAATTAATATAATTTATCAGAAATACATAATTTAATAAATATTAGGCCAAAAAATAAGAATATTGCCGAAAATACAAACACTACTCCACCAAAATGTAAAAAAACTGGTAAAAAGAATAGAGTAATACAAAAATTAATAAACCAAAAGAATAAGTGAACAATTTTTTTATATTTCCTTAAATTGTCTTTTGGTATTATTTCATTAATTATAATCCATGGTATTATCCCTAATCCAAGAGAATATATAGCTACTAGAATTGAGTAAAAGGCTATAAATACTGTTATCATTCCAGGTTTTACGAGAATGTAATAAGTTGTACAAAGTAATATATTACATAATATAACGCCTATTATAGATATCAATAATAGACGCTTTTTCCTGAATTTGTCAGCTAAGCTTATCTGTTAAATTTATATTCGATATAATATAGATAAAGTATAGAATATATTATAGATAAATTGTACCCCTATGATTGATGAGAGAAATATAATTCCGTAATAAGTTAATGAATATTTATTAGCTAAATTCCTATCTTCCAGAAGAATTTCATTAATACTTTGAGAAAAGCATAGAATCTATTTAAAGAATGAAACAACATCTTAAGTAATATAGTAGAGAGGAAATGAAAACAAGAGACATAGATAACATATTAACTAACCCCATTAATTAACGATATTTCTCGTATAGTTAACAGCGTAAAACAAATTATTAATGGTCTTATTCTTAGAAACATCTTAGACCATTTTTCATCGTTTATTCTACAAGAATGAGTTTGTGCTTCTTGCGCTTCTATACACTTTAAGACTTTTTCAATGTTGGCCTTTTTAAAATAGAATTTTAACGAATTAATGCAATCGGTATGTTGATCTCTTCTTAAATGGAAAACAGGTGAGTCGGGTAGAATTCTTAACGCACATACAGAAATCAAGCTGGGTACCAATTGTATAATAGCTATTAGTGGCCATCTATTTTCTTTAGCTATTTCATCGGATAGATTAATTAAACTACTGCAAATTAGACCGAAATTAAATACGATTTGCTGTAGACCAATGTTTATATTCTTTAACCGATTCTGAGTTATTTCAAATGTGAAATTTGTACTTAGTGTAAAAGTTATTCCAAGATGAAGACCAATTAAAAATCTTGAGAGAAACATTAATGATAATACTTTTAAGAATATGGAAAATATCGCTAATATTCCACCAATATATATGAATAGTTGACTTAATAAAAGTACTTTTCTATCATTATACTGCTCAACAGTTTTCATTAATCTAGGTATTTAATAGTTAGCAATAATTAATTTATTATGAATAAATTATCATACATTAAAACACCGCAAAATGCCCCGAAATAAATTACTGCTGTAAACGATGAATATGTATAGATAGCAGTATATTTTTCAACAAAAAGAGAATGCTTATGAAGTGTTTCATTAATGGAAGAAATTATATGCTTTAAGAAGTTGTTAAGATTGCTTAGTCACGTATTTAATGTTATTTAAATACAATAAATATAATATCTACGTAATATGGTAGATTGAAGCAGGAAATGTTGAAACCATGTATAAAAGATGTACCTAACTGAACGAGCAAAACAGAAAATAACCAGTTGGCATTGGTTAGTTCAAAAACACTCTTTTCTTGATTTTGTAAATTAATACCAGTTAATATCTGTTGATTGTATTTCCACATTTAATAAACACAATCAGTAAATGTGTACATTTAAATAATTACATTAAAACTATCTATAAGATTTCCAGTTGCTTTGTTCTCCATTTCATGTTGAGCAATGTCAATAGATTTACTAAATTGTTCGCTAATATTCGTTGTTGCGTCTTCATCATCCTAAAAAATAATACCAAGATATAACTTTATCATTTTAAATACTAATTAATATTACAGAATGAGTAGTTGATGAGAAAAATTGAGATTCAATGGTTTGTTTACGCATCTTATTTTACATATTTAATATTTAAATAAGGTTCAATTTCATCATTAAAACATTCAATTGTAACTTGACTAGTTATTATAAATTTCCCATTCTAGTCTACTTTAATGGATAATCAGAAAAGAACAAGATTTCTTCTCTTGTTTCTTTCCAATTTGTATTATTTTTTTTATCTCTTAGCATCTCCAATACATTTAAATACTTTATAGAAAAAATGACTCAGTATATTATTATTTCTACACTAGGTATTTTTTTATGGAAATATGTCTATTAAGATATTTTCAAAGAAAGAATGACTGCACAAGAACTTTTTTTTAAAAAAAAAGAAAAAAGGAAATTTAACATATTAGACAAATAGACTTTGAAGGGATTGATAAAAAAAAAGGAGAATAAAAACAAGAAACAAACATACAGGCAAATATAGATGAGAGAGAAAAAGGAAACATTTTTGTTTAAAAAAAAAAAAGTGTGTTATTTCAATACGAGAATTTTCTATTTGTACAGTAAAATAATAGACTGACAAAGTAAAAAAATATATGTCTATATATTTAAGCTATTTTGATATTTTAACTTGTCTAAACTGTTCACTTAAAACTTTCATTGTATCAGAGTGAGAATTATTCTGTTTTCGAACACTTCCATAATTTTCTTTGATATATTCCACAAATGGATTTGGTGTTGATGGTACATCTCTAACTCTCTTTTTTCTGATTGTACTGTAAGCTGGATTATGCTGCACCTCAAATCTGCCCATTTTGCATTTTCCACATGAATATTTATTAGTATTTAGTGATTTTGAATGTCTGCTAATCCTATAAAAAAACCCATATAATATATATATACAGTATATCAGATTATAGATTGACAGACTTACTGATAATTGCAATTGTTACACGTATATAAAAATCTTTTTGTAATGGCGTAATTGTGACAAACTGAGACTTTCGGTAAATTCGGATATCTATTTATAGCAAGTCCAGCCCAAAATTTCCAACAAGGACCATGACCTTCTCTTCTTTTATTTATTAACCACACTGCCGCATGACACATTTCGTGCAAAAGAACATCACGAAGACGTTGAGATGTGTCACAAACTTTATCACTCAAATCAATGGTGGCTTTGTGGGCTTTTGTCGCCTTATTGCTCATGTACTTACAGTATCCAGCAGTTGTCAGAAGTCGTTTATTCCATTTAACCTCCATTTCAGGTAATTTTCCATCAAATACGTTTTTATTATACTCATTGAAAAGTTTTTCCGTTAATTCAATTTTATGCTTTTGAAACTTTTCAACGAATCGAATAGCATTCGGATGTCTTTTCTTCGTTTTTTCATCAACATAATCCGATAGCGAGTACAAAAAGTTGTAGTACAAACAACTATCATCCTTTGGACGAGTTGTTTTCAAAATTTCCCTTTTCGGGGGAAATCTATCTGGAGTTAGAGTTCTTATTCTTATTTCAGGCGCTTTACCTGCACAATGAAGGTAATAAAACATATATTTGTTGAACACTAAGAATAAAATTACATACTAGCTTTGTCGTCAACAAATACATCTTCGTCCGAATCGGACGACATTAGAAGAAAGCAACTACCAGAACTTGAATCGACTTCTGTAGAATCTTGTTTAGTGGAGCGTCTCACGAGAAAACCTAACAATCACAAAAACAATGAATTGCTAATACTAAAATCGTTTTATTGTTCATTTATCATGATGGAATATTAGTTACCAGAATTTTTCCTCTGTTTTTCTGCATCTACAAAGGAAGGTAATTTTTGTCTTGATGTACTATCAATAAATGATCGACACGTTTGATAAAGCTCATTATCATCGGAACTAAAAAAAAATGAAAGCAAATATTTTAATATACCAGTAAAAAAATTAAATACCACCTTTCTAAATCAACAACTTCGTATTCGCCCGATGATCCATTTTCATCATCGTTATGACCTATTTCATCTTCCTTTCTCTCTTCTGCTTTATAATTTCCTTTGCTTTTCCCTTGGAGTTCGTGGTCATTTTTTTCCTCTTCAACATATTTCCCTTCCTTCCCGTGCTCATCATCACCATCTTCCTGATCTTCATCAGCAGTATTTTCGTCATCCTTTTCTCCCTCTCCCTCTTCTTCTTCTTCCTCCTCCTCTTCCTCGTCATAATCTCCATCCTCATCTATTGATTCATCTGGTACTATGAAACTGGCGAATTTATTAAAAATTCAGTTAGGTTAGGTTTTCTAAAGTTTAATTTAAAAAAAAGAGTACCTATCGTCCTCCTCAGAAACATCTTCTTCCTCTTCTTGGCCAGATAAATCTCTATATTCTCTAGCAGATTTCACTAATTGGAAAAAATATACTTACATAATATATAACAGGTATATTGTAATAATCTATTTTAAAAGAAGAAGCTTACAGTTGTCTCTTGCTCGTTTGATTTCTTCATTTTCACTAATATTTCCACTAGAAATTTCAAGTTTTTCATTGGTTCGAGAATCATCTGATTCTTCAAAGTCAATCCTCCGTACAACTCGCCTCACAGTTGGTTCTAAATCTGAATCAGAATTTGACTCAACCTTTTCATTATCATCCGAATCAGACAAAAGAAATACAGCTGCACTTTCCTTCTTTTCACTGGAAAATACCCGACTACAAGATGACCTTGTTGATACCCCCGAACTAGTGGCTTGATGAAGATCTTTTATACCGGAGGAAATAGGTGATTCATCAATTAAAGCAGGATCGAGTTCATTATCAATGACAGGCTGTGATCCTTTAACTATATTTTCTTTGTGTTTTTCTTCACTTCTTCGACTACTTGAAGAAATATCGGCTGAAGACTCAAAACTCTCTTCTTTGTCCTTTAGTAAAGATCCACAGTATTTAGACGATAGTTTTGATTCATTACGAGAGCTTTCACTCTTAATTGATAGACGAGATAATTCAACACTATCAGTAGTAGAAATTTTTAATGATATTGATTTAACCTCTAATTGAGTTTTTTGTGTATCAGACTCTCTACCACTTCTGGATTCTTCCAAAGTGACTTTTAGAGCTTCACAATCATCATCAGAACTAAATATGTGCATACTTAAAACGTCTTCTTTCGTTAACTTTTTAGATTTCTTTTTTTTTCCTTTTTTATCAGGTACATTATTATCAGGGACAGGGGGTTTAGAAGCTTTTTGTTTCTCAGCTTGTAACACGGCTTCCATTATAGGGCTAGTTCTCGTGCTGCTTAAGACAGATTTTGCCTTGATTAACTTCCTCCCATTAAGGTTTTCGACTTTGCACGAGTGCTTGAGATCAGTTGTAATCTCTGCATTAGTATTTTCACCGATCAGTACATTATTTTCTTCATTCTCTGTTAATTCTTTTTGACCGTTTTTATTGTGGTCAACAATGACTGATTTATCGCCGGCTGAGTTTATCGAATCAGATTTGGGATTGTTTAATAATACATGGTTGTTAGATTGCTCTTTATTTTCTGAAATTGAACAGGTTTCACCAGTCGATTCGTTTGTCTTAGGAGATGGCTTGTTTGGGAGAATGATAAATGTTTTCTCACAGCTGTAGTCTTTCTTTTTATCGGATGATGCCTCATGAACGATTAAATTTGACTTATTTTCATCCACTTCAGCAAGTTCATCATGAATCCAGCTTTTTACGCAATCTGTTACCAGTGGAGTAATTTTGGTTGGACTTTTTGCAGTAGTAATGCTATCACTCCTATCTGAAGACTGTAAGCCGTTCGCTGTCCCAATAACAGAAGATATATCTGATTTCTTCTCAGTGATTATCTCTTGTTGACACTCGGAATCGTTAAAGGAATCATTAACAGAAGCCATATCTATAGCTGTTCTATCTTTGATCACTGTATTTTTGTAGTTATCCTCCGGTGTGTCATTGACAAGAATTTTTGGTTTTGCAGAATTCTCTGAAATCCAGGTTGTAGTATTTTCATTAAGTTTCAATCCATCTAGTAATCCTTTATCAGGTGTTTTTTCGGGTAAAATAGTTGATTCACTTATACAAAAGGTACGTAATTTATCTTCAACTTTGGTTAAATCTTCAATAGCATCTTCTTTCGTAGAAATATTTGTTTTGAAATCATTGCTGAATATATTTGCGAAGTTCTTTCTTACTTTCTCACTATCGACTTCTGGTAAATTACTTGAAAGCGGAGTAGTTTCCTCTTCTTGCACAGAAAATGTCATATTAGGATTATCTTCTTCAACGAAAGTACTACAAGGAATATTTTCCTGAAATAGTGTATCATTTACAGACATCAAAGTTTCATCAGCACTAATTCGACGGTGGCATCGCGATATTATATCTATTTTAGTAGGGATTTCATCCCTAACAATTGTATGACTAGATAATTTGTCATGCAAATGTGCAGTGCTTTTTTCAGTTTTCTTTTCAAGAGATAATCTTTTTTTGGAATTACTCTTCATTTCTATTTTTGCGGTAAACTTTTTAATTGAAGACTCAGCCCTATCTTTATTAGATTTATGTTTAATTTCAGGTATTCTCGGAATAATGGATCGTTTAGGTTTTAAAGTAATCTTATCTTCTTGAGGGGAATCGATCAATAAATTTTGATGGACATTAGTTATTCTCCGTTGTTTCAGTGCACTCTTTGAAAGATCAGGACAACCAATACTTTTTTCATCATTCTCACTCTCAGAAGCGGAGGCTAAGAAGTTTTTTATGACAGGCTTCACTTTGCGTTCTTTTCCTTTGGTCTTAGTTCCTTTAGGACCTCGAACAGTAATTTCTTTCTTCTTTTTACTACTCTTAGTTTTTATAACAAGTTGCTTTGTCTCTTCTTCGTTATCTTCAGAGCAAGATTTCTTTTTCCGAGAGAAACGATGAGATTTTATTAATTCTTTCTTAACACTCTTATATTGTTCTACTTCCCAATCTGAGTCCTCATCAGTAATTAAATCTTTCTGTTCATCACTTTCCGAATCGGTAATATCGTCCAGGGTCTGATCTTGATTCTCTTTGTTTAAGGTTCTAAGAGGTTGTCTATTTCGACGGGTTCTAAACGTGTACTGTCTTATGTTTTTATCTTCCTGCTTTTCGATTTCTGAGTTTGCTTTCGCTATTTAATTTACATATATTATAAGATAAAAATACAGATTTTTGAATGCTATTAACTTACACAGGCTTTGTGAAGACATTTTCAAAACAATAGGAATAGAAAAACGGCCTAAACTGATTAAGTACAAAATATTCCTTTCAATTTCTTTAATAATATTGGATTGTGAAATTATTTAGGTTTTAAAAAATGACTAAATTAATTTCTGAATCAGCCAATTTATTCAGAAATTTAACGAAAGACTTGAATCATTCCTCAGTTGGCGGTATTTTCCGTTGGTTCAAGTGGAAGTGAGTATACCTAAATACCAGACACAACTTTGAGTTTTGTCAGGTAATTTTAACTCCGCCCTCTTTTTTTCAATATACATTAAAATTGCTTTGTAAAAAACAAATCGATGAGATTAAGTATAGTTGTGTTTTTCTTTTTGCTTTCTTCTTCCTGATAGTTGACTATTAAAGGGAGAGTATGGGATTTTTTTAATAAAGATTTTTATATTAAGAGTATTGTTAGAAGAGATTTAGCGGATGGTAGAAAAGCTGTTATCTTGCATTAAAAAACAGGAGAATTAGTGAAAATTAAAAGTGAAAACATCGTTAAATTTAAAACTTGTAGTTTTCCTCAATGCAATTGAAAAGCACTACTATGTAGTAAAAAAGGCGAGTACCTAATTAGGAAGCAATTAAAAATTAATCAATAATTTTTAATTATTTAAGAGGATATTCAGATCTCTTGATTTCGAATAGAATCTTCCGCCATTATAGTAGCTTTTTTAGTTTATGTAAAAACCTAAGTCGGACGGAATTGTATTTTCTAAGTTGTATAAATTTGGTACTAAAATTAACATAGAAAATAATTATAAAAACGGATAGAAAAAGTCTTCTGGCAGTCTCTGTTTAAGTTTTGGAGTTGCAGCTTCAACTCCTTCAGCTTTCCCGGATATGTCGACAAATTCAACTGAACTTGATATTTCGAAATTTTGTACTTGATTTTCTGTACCAGGTTGGCAATATAAACCTGAGCATTGATATTTAATAGATGTTGTTTGTTGTGGAAATCTGTAAGCTACTCCGACAATTCTACTTTGAGGATTGTTCAAACTCCCTATGTTAGCGTATGCTATTTGTATATGCACGGATGTAACAACACCTGAACATATTCCTGGATTTGACTGTGGCTAATTTGGGAAATAGGAATATTTTATTGCAAATAGTAAATAATAGATCAAGTTTACTTACAGTCCCGCTGGGACGATTGATGATTACAACTTGTATCCAATCAGCTGTAACTGTTTGGAACGTATTTCCAAATGTTGCTATATAACGATTCCAGTTTTGCAATCCACTAATTGTAACATTTTCTCCCATTAAAGCTTGAATGATGTAGTCTTGTATAAATAAGCACTCTTTGTCCAATTGACTCTTTGTTACTCTGCATAGAAGGACAAAAAGAGTAACACTGCAATAGTAAGCTTATACTGCGTACTTACTGATATAAACAACCAGTTCTCATATTTTCTCCGAACTTTATCGGAACTCTATCTGTAGTAACAGCGCATTTCCCCCCAGGTAATGAGGCCAACATAGTTAACCAATTATTTCTGTCCTGACTTAAGTTTATTATCTGCCTAAATAATCGACAAATCATTAATAAGTTCATGTAACTATAATATAACAATAGCGAACTTAATGCTTCCATCTGGCTGTGATACATCTTCCAATTTACCTGCCAATATAGGTTTTCCTCTTAAGTATCCTGGATTTCCACTTTTAATGAAAATATCGCTTTCACTCGACTCACGTCTCGACTTTTAAACGATAGAAAACGGTTTATTGGTAATTAAATACTAAAATATTATAATATGAAAGAGAAAATACCTCAAGGTAATCAAAGGTATGAGTTTGCCCGACAAATGTGTCTTCCTCCGATATAGTTTTCAGAATAGCTGAAATTTTTACACTTACTATTCTTGTTGAATTTGTATCACTTTCATGATAGACTTTAAAGAATATCTGTGAAGTTTTAGCCTTAGGAACATCTCTTAGATATTATTTTGGAACTTACGGTCTCCACAACGTTTTCGCAGGTACATTTAGCCAAAGAACAATTTAGTTGTGGTTCAGGAAGGTCACCGTCAAAACAGTTTAAATCGTTATTAGACTTGTTACAACTAATTGGAAACGAGTAGGGTGGATTTAATATATCATCTACATTGGTGGGAATTCTCGGTGTCTGCAATTCAATAATAAACTGTTCTCGCATTCTTAGATAAAAAATATTACTTACTCTTAAAATTGTAAAGTTTTTATAGTAATATTGAGCATTCAGTCCTTCAATTCCAGTACAATCCTCTTTAAAGTTGGTAATTTTACGATTACAAGAAAACGTCTTGTCAATAAGAAATTCTGTAGTAGTAATAAAAAAATCAAGGATTATTTTACTTTTTCTAAAAATCCTTCAAAAGAAGTATACCTGCTGGATTTCCATCTAAACATTCTTGATTATGAGATGGAGAAGGCTGACTCATATAACTTATAACTGATGAGTTTGATACTGTTAGTATCAATGAACCGCTCTGAAAATTTATAGAATTTATAGAGAATATGTAGATTTTACATCTAAATTAAATTTACCTTATATCGATCTATTTTATCGAGTTGTAAATTTTCTTCTCCTCTCTTAAAGGTATAGCGTCTTACTTTAGATAGTCGTTTCTTAAAATCATCTTCTGTTCTTAAGAGATCGGGTTGGGTATAATAATTTCTTTCCTTGTCTGTTATATTATTTTTAAATAATTATATAACACTTTTGAAGTCAGAAACTCTTTCAGATTATAGTTACAATTATCCTTGAAAACACAAAAGAAATCTCCTGTAGTTTCCGTCTGGTAACTACCAGTATTAGACCGAGAAATAAAATATTCTTTGGTGCAAGACTTTCCATCATATCTACATACAAATATCTAATTTAATATAGTATCACAAAAAAATAATAACCATCTGACCTCGATGGCAAGTCAATACATCCTGAAAATGCTTCTCTATCAAAATCAGTGCAATCTTCATCGCAACAACAGTTTATGTCACATTTATTTAGTATGAGATTACAAACGCAAGTTCCTATATCTGGAATGTAAATATTGAAGCGAAATTAATAAGCCATCAAAAACGGGAAATAAACGAGTCGCCACATGAACTTTTTAAAAATTACCAGTATTTTTTGGTATTCCTTGTGGTGATGGCGGGGGATTTGTTGGAGCTCGAGACGAAGTTGGAGTTTGCGCTGTCGTAGTTGAATTTTGAGACTTAGCTATTGAAATAAAAAGAAAGAAATATATAAAAATCGCATTCCATTCCGCGAACGCCATGACCGGTTAAAGACTAGAGATAACAACCGGTAACCGATAATTACCAAGTGTTAAAAGTTTTTAATTTTGTTCTCTAAAATTATGCTAATAGCTCTAATGTATCAAATGTGATACTCGTGTTACTTATATTTATGTTGACAACAATTTATCAAAATTGCTTTTGAAAGGTAAGGCTATAAAAAGGTACATGTTTTTCAGTATAAGATAACTATTTTCATCGCTAATTACTTTAAATAATTTTAGCCGTAGTATTGGAAATTAGACATTTCGAATCGTGATCCATGACTGCTGAAATTGATTCTTAATTTAAATCACAAAAATAATAGAGTTTATAGGCCTATTTGGGACAATTGTATTGTCACTTCTTGAACTAATTTCGATTTGGTGTAACGCCATCTGGACCGAAAATGGTGTCATCAAAATATTCAGGCAGTAGACTTCTAGATCCTTTTGCATCATTTGTCGGTCTTCCATTAGACCAGGTTAATATTGTGTGATCTTTCGATAAAAAGTTATTTTATGAACAAAATTTCTGTTTGTTTATTTGTATTTTTGAAGTGAGCGATAATCGGTAATTTTGTATTCATAACAGACGAACTATATAGTCAGTCAATTGTTCGCTTTGGGCTTCGCTTTCTTTTACAGAGGAAAGCTCCATCCATCTAGAGTGTCCCCAACAACCCGCCATGTAATTTCTTTGTCGGTTGGGCTTGTCCTGGGTATCTTCTGTTTCGGGAGGTTCAGTTTTATTTATATGATTAATTGTAGAAACTTTATCATGTAATATTTCCAGTCAAATTTATCATTTGCTTTTTCAATCGGGGCTGTGTTATGCTGTATTATTGCTTCTCCCCATATCATTTAGTTACATGTAAGTAATGTTAACTATTCTATTCGTGAATATTAAATAATGGAAATTTTTTTTAATAACAGCGTTGTATTTGCAATAGCTATCGGGTATCTTTCCCTGATGCATATTTACAACATGTACTATGATTATGGCGCCTATACATTGGATATAACTGGGTATATATTTAAAAAGGGTTATGTATTGAAAAATGAGAATATTTTTTAATATTTTCAGACCTTTAATGATTTGCACTCAGAAAGTGACGTCCCTAGCTTTTAGTGCCTACGACGGCGTGTTCAGAGTAAGGAAGAAAGAAAGGCTGAGTGACGATCAAAGACTTATGGCCATTAACAAACTTCCGTCATTTCTGGAATTTTTTAGTTATATTTTCAGCTTTCACGGTATTTTGCTTGGACCAATGTGCTTCTACAGAGATTATGCCGTTTTTGTCGAAGGGAAACAATATACGCAGAAAACTGAGTCCAGTGATGTAATAAAGATTGAAAAGGAACCCTCTCCTAATGTGAGTTGACTTTAATCTTCCGGTTTTATGAATGGATCACGCTTAGGTTTTTCTTGGTAGAGAGTTGTAGTGAAAAATGTAATTCTGGCTTTTACCTGTATTGGTATCACAATGTCATTGGCTTCCTGGTACCCTAAAACTTTAATGGTGGATGAGAATTTTGTCATAAATCATAATTTTGTTTATCGAACGTTAATCTGTATATTGGTCGTATTTTTGGCTAGATCGAAATATTATTTTGGTTGGAAACTAGGTCTGATTTTAGATTAGCTTATTTTTCCCATTTCTCAATACTATTCTTAATCTTATATATTTTATTACAAAAAAACTAATAGGAGAAGCGACAAATAACGCTGCAGGATTAGGCTTTAACGGTTATGATGAAAAGAACAATGCCAAGTGGAACCTAATCGAAAACGTCAATATACCAGCTATTGAATTTGCAACTAGTTTTCGCGATATTATAAATAACTGGAATATACAAACTGCAATCTGGCTTAGAAGAATTTGCTACGATAGGTTCTTATTATTGTCTTTGTTGATTTGCCTTTAATTTCATTATTACTCACTCGTCAACGTAGATTAAAAGGCGTTTACAGAACATACGCTACTTATACATTAAGCGCAATTTGGCATGGATTTTATCCTGGCTATTATTTCACGTTTTTAGGAGGAGCCTTAACGACCAACGCCGCAAGAACAGTAAGTAATACTTGAAGTAATATACAATTATTCTTATCGATAATTATTATGTTATTATTAAAAAAGTAGTGTAATTTTTATAACCTCGGATATAGTACACTACAATTATTCATTAGAATTTTTATATAGGCAAGGTCATTACGAGACTTATTTCTTGTTTCTGTTTATTCTCTTTCTTCTGTAGCTAAGAAGGATAATTAGGCCTTTAATGTTATCCCCACCTTGGTTGAAGAAATCCTACGATGTGGTTACGTGGTTTTTCAGTCATTTAGCTTTAGCTTATTTCATTGTACCTTTCACTTTACTGGACATGAAAAGAGTATACTATTTCTACACGTAAGTATCAAAGATAATACTATTATTCCTAATTAAAAAAAAAAAAGTAGTAGGAAGGGAAGAAAACAACAATACTTCAACTATTAACGTTTAAATAATAGTGCTAATTTGTTTACTATTATATTTTCCCTTTTCCAGTTATAATCAATATTGGTGGATGCATCTAGTCGTCATAGGCATTCTATTATTGCCGTTTGTATGGAAACCAAAAATCGAAGCAAAGTCAGAGAAAGTGAAGAAGCATAACGATTAGATGTTTAACATCTGGTATTCGTCGAGAACACTAAAAGAACAGAAGAAGTTATTTAATTATTATTGTAATATTTGTTCGTTGTCAATATATAATTTTCATGCACTCTTTGATTCCCAAACTATTCTCTTTAAACATCATTTTTATAGTGAAAAGAGAAAGTTTAACAATATACTGACGTACACAAAAATGAAAAAAAAAATACCAAACCATATAAAAGCCTCTTTTATTAAGCTTTTATAGTAAATATATTGTTATTTAAGTCCATCTTATATCATCTTATATGACATTTTAGATGTAAAGGTATAAATTTTGATACAAAGTATATCTCACTACATTACACGCTTCACATATATGTATACGTGATTTGCATTGTGTTCACACCAAACCGATATTAAATATGTACATGAACATTTTCTACTGAAGGGAAAGAATATTTTACTCTAGTGAAATGTATAATCTCTTTTGCATATCAATCACACAAAGTTTATAAATAATAGTAGGTACAGGCATTAATACATTCACTTGCTTATATGTTAGGCGAATATGTGCCATACATACATGCAGTATATATATATATTAGTATATGAATTCCGTGACTAGCCGATACAATAGCGCCCGCTTGGCGGCGTTGCAATATTTTATTCACATTAAAAGAGGCGGCCTGCACCTGGTTTCGTTACCATCATGTCATGGACGTGGATAAAGAGGATCCAAAAGAGACGTATTACACATTTGTCGATAGCCAAACAAAAAGGAAGATTTATTTAAGGTTTGCTTTAGTTATTTTTGATTATTTCTAATTGACTGTGAAAGCCTACAATGACACATGCGGTAAAGAAAGTTGCAGAGTAATTCCATCACGTTCAGATAAATCTATGTTCTAACAGAAAGAGATCACTGTTCCTGGTCGGTGTATAACAAAACCTTTGAAGCATTTAGACCTATTGTTGTCCAAATACTTTGGAGTAATTCAAGCCGCTCATTCAATCGTTTTTTTTTTAAGTAATTAACCTTCTTTGTAGATTTGCTGTTATTTTAGAACAACATATGGAGTGTCATCCGAAATATTACAGCTAAATCAATCCATGATGCTGGAATTAGTAGCTTTTCTTAATGGATTTCCAGAGTCGTATACTCTTTTCGTGTTTACGTTTTCTTTTTTACAGGCGTTCTCTACGAGACTGCTTGAAACTAACTTTAAAGTCACTTACCTAATTATATTAATTAACTAAGATAAATATTTCAGATACTTTAATGATAATATATGACATTTAAATCAATCATTAATATTATTATTTTACTATTCATTACCATTAATAATATCATGATCATCAAGAGCTCTGATTAAATAAAGCAAGCTTCCTGCTGCATCAAATTAACAACTTGAAGTCAGCAAAGATGCTAAAACGTTAACGCCTTTGGGCTCACATTTGTTTAAGACGTTTCCCCCAGCCGTATTGTTTGTCCTAAAAAATTTACGAATACTCAGTAAGTGACCTATTAGTCTGTAGAAGACACTCGTTTCAATTACTTTTATAAAGATAAAAAGACCTCCACTTCGAACATATGGAATATAATTTCAATATTTCAATCTCAAATCAAGCTAGCAAACAACCTTGTTAAAATGAAAACGTATAGAAAGAAAAAAAGAATTCGTCACACTGGAGATGGCGCCACGGTTTAAAGCTCTGCTAATCCCATTACAATTGGATTAGTAGTATTGAACAGTAACACAACATACAAGCTTAAACTATTTTATCGAATAGGATAGATTACTTCTCTTATCGATGAAATTGATTAAAAGTAGTTAGTACTAGCTATTCAAGTGGATCCACCGGTCAAGTAAAATTAAAAAAAATGATTGCAATCTCCATAATAATAAAATTACATTATTATTTTTATACTGGAAATGGATTAACGACGAATGGGAAGTGGTGTTGGTAAAAGTATAGTCCAGCCGACTATCGCTAGAACCCCGATAGGCCAAGCGTAAGCGAAAATTCTTTTGTTCTTTATTGAAATCAATTAACAAGCCAAATGGCTCAAGTACAATTGAAAACTTAGTTAGGGCATAAAATGAATAAATTTCTTAAGTGGCGGTATCCGATAGTTAAATTTTGTCAGACCATAAGCCTACTCTACTAACCGTTTTTCCAAGATTAACGTATTATATTTCCCTTCACGTTTTACGATTATGTTAATTGAATATAAATGTAGGTCTATAAATAGTTTGTGTAGTTTTTTGTGGGATAGCGACGCGGCCAAATGTCAGTTTGTCGAAAGACGTCCTCTAAGACAGTAGAATACTGGAGATCTTCAGTTTTCATATATCGATTTTAGCAAAAATAAACAATTTATATATTGTACTTATATTTAGAACTAACAAGCTAAAAACTATAATTTATACTGAAAATATTTTCTTATTTATTCTTCTGGATTATAAATATATATATGACGCTGTGAATGTAAGTGATTGATAATGGAGAGGATACCTTCTTCACTGAAGTAACATGATAATAAAGATCAACTATTGAAGTATTATGGGTAATATTAACAAATCGGTATTATGCCGATGTATTGATAAACAGCAATGTTCTCCTCTGAGGTTTGTACAGTTGAAGATTTGTTTAAAAAAAAAGTCATTTATACTGTTCGACCTTTCTATTCCCGGACGTTCCTAGGATATGTGCTGTTTGTTCCGTTATCTTCTGTCAGGAATGGGATGAGAGAAGAAAAAAATCGATTTTAGAAAACGATAGCTATACTTAATTTACTCTTTGATTGGATTCTCATTGATGTGCATATTATGAGAAGCTAGATCTCATGTAGTTGTTAACGTGATTCTTCGTTTCTCCTAATATTAAGTAAAAAGAGTAGAGGACATTAGATTATATTTGATTTATCGTTAGGTTAGCTGCAAAGTTTGATATATACCGCTTATCTTGAAGCGATTATAAAGGGTTTTCATACTTCCTTTCATACCTCGATCTTTGTGCATTATAATTTCATTCCATGGTTCTTTCCCCTTGTCAAGTAGCATTCTTATACAGCGAATAAATTTCCTTCTTTAATTTCTTTTATATTTTTCAACGTTCCACTTTTCAACATCCCACATGAGCTATCTGACGTCCCCCAAAGATTTACAAGTGCAATTTTCTATCTATATGTATATTGTTGGATCATTAATATATATATATATATATATTTAAAAATTATTAAATTATAAATGTAGACGTATTACATTTGACATCACATCTGTGCCATCATAATATAAAACAAACTTTAAAATTTTGTCAGTAAGCAAACCGGAAGCGCTCAATGGTTACCTCCCACGGAAGCTTGGAACTCGACCTCTTCTTATGGACTAGAAAAGGCTATAGATAAACGGGGAAAGAATTATTATATAGAGTACATTTTCTTTGCTTCTAATGAACAATACATCAAGTATCTAATGACCCATTCCTAATTTGTTTTTTTATCTAAAGTCATACGACAAAAACAACATTAAGAGAGACTTCCTCCTCTGATTCTGAAGCATCTGAAAATGAAGCAGATTCTGAGCTGAGAACTGTAGAACTCTTACGAGATCCAAATGCTGCCTTTGGTTTTGTAGCTGGTAGCGAAAAGCCAGTCGTTGTTCGATTTGTAACGGAAGGTAAGCATCTATTAACTCTTCTGATGGATATTAAATATTCAAGCATTTATTTGATAGATGGACCTAGTTTCGGAAAGTTATTGCCTGGCGACGAAATTATTCGCATTAACGATGAATACGTGGAAAAATCACCTCGTGAACATGTTATAGAGCTTGTCAGGTTCAGTTTACAATCTTCTTTATCTAGTTTTTTTTTTTGCATTCTCATGATTATTCATTGCCTTAAAAAGTAAAAAAAAAAACATTAAGTAAAAATTTTCATGTTATACTATTATCATTCAAGGACGATAATTTATTTACATATATAACAGATCTAACAAGACATCAATAACTCTCTCAGTTAAACAGCCTTCGTACGAAAAGGTTAGACCTTTTATTTTCTTGAAGCTATGTTTTATATTGCTAAATCCGTAATAAATTGCTGAAATTAAGTTATTTTCTTTAATTTAGTCACAATCTAAAGTATTTTTTGTAAGTCAAAATGCTTTTTGTTTCTTATATGGCCTTTATTTGTAGTTTAAAATATTTCAACAATACTTTCGTACTTTCTAAACGTTAAAATTGTTATTTTGTTCGTATTTTCTCACGGTTTGAAAAAAAAATAGAATAGAATCTTCTTCTATCGAATACTGAACGTTTCCGATAATCAATCTTATTAATTGGAAAAATGCTTAAATCGGGCTCATCGAAACGAAAAATATTTAAGACTCAAAAGTGTAAGAAACGTCGCAAAAGGACTGTTATCTTACCGGAAACTTTAAAACGTCTAGAAGATGTATTTGCGGAAGAAAGATGGCCTAGCCGACCAGCTAAGTTGAAATTGGCTCAAGAGCTAAATCAAACGGAGCAATTCGTTAATATATGGTTTCAAAATAAACGTGCTAGAATGAAAAGGGAACAAGCCAAGATAAGGCAAGAGACGGAACAGAGTGAAGATTTTGCTCGTCAGCAAGTTCAGAATTTTTTTGAGATGAGTGATGAGGAAGATAGCGAGGAAGTAAAAGAGGCAATAGAAGATGAAGGAAAAATAATATTCATTGATTCGTTACAAGCTTTCGAGTACTTTGCGAAAAAGGAATCGTGTCCCAAGCAGAAAATTCTTCCTTGCCGAAAGATGGCGCAAATGTCATTACATGGACAAAATAAAAGTCCTGAAAGATTCAATGTACCCATAACAGATGAGGCAGAAGAGAGAGAAAGCAAAGTAAATTTTATTGGTGAGCTCAACTTTCCGGAAATCAGTTTGAGGAATTCTTTAGCAATCTGTTTTCAAGATCAAGGTCGTTTCATAGTTGATATTCCTGATGATCTTTTACCATTTTATCTGCACGTTGTTTTAACATACGCACCTGCTTTTTTACGGGCTCAAACAATCGTTACTCGAACGGAAATAGTTGGTAGGCAATTAAAAGAAGTAGTTGACAATCACGCTGTTTCTCTCCAATCCCCTTCGCCAAGAAAGGCAATTTTAACAAGGGTTTTAGACAACGTAAATATAGCTCACCCAGTAAACTTATTCAACTTGCCCATAACTGTTGAATATCCCGGACTTCGTTATCATAAACGTCCAAATTATTCTGTAAACGGTATCCTTGGAGATTGTGAAAAAACCTTCTCAGAGCCGAAATATGAAGATGAAAAGGGAAATATTAAAGTAAATGATCCAAGGTATACGGCTTGCTATGTGAGAATGTTGGACGAACATTCAGCTGTTGAGGAGATTAAAATCGTCTATGTTTACCAAGGAGAAAGTTGTAGCACTGCCTACTTGGGACCTCGATTAGAATCTGGGAGGCAACCAAATCATCAAATTTATGACACATCTATTGTTACTCCTTTAACGTCATTTAAACAGCACATTAATGCTGCGTCAAATAGTTCCATGCCAGTTTATGTTTATACACTAGCTTATCCGAACAGGTCTAAAATTGATCATTCTGCTCATGTAATTGTTGAAGCTGCGTCTTTCAAATGAGATAATTTCAAGGAATTTACACCATATGCTAAGAATTACAAACGTTTCGATTGTTTATCGACTCTTTTAACAATTTTCTTTTTTTTGCGCTTTCGAGAAAACCCAATAGTATTTGGTAGTAGGTTTCGTTTAGATGATTCCATGTATAGGTATTGTCCATTCCATTAGTTTATATGGTATATTTTATTATAGATACTCAAAACAAAACGAATAAACCTGCACTTGGACACAGAGTAAATAAAATTAACATGCGGATTGCGTTTGCCGTATAATTTATAACATAAAGGCTTTTAAAACTGAAAAAAGTTCGGTTCCAATATATCTTTGTAGTAGAAAAACGCGCAGCTGCGAATAGTTACTGCCACTTGGCGGAGCAGGTATAGCAAGCTCTTTTTTCTTTAAACCGTCTACTTTCAGCGTCACATCGGCCTAAAAAGGAAAAAAGCCAAATCTTGACGACTGACAAAATGCAGGTTCTTTATTTTTATTATTGGATTTACTACGGTTTATATATTTTGAGATAAGGTATTGAAAGAGGACAAACCGGTTGATATATTTGTTTACTTTACTTTACTCTAGGATAGTTGTTAGTTTTTTGTTTGTATTTAAAAATGGATTACGGGCAAAACCTTGTAATTTGTGTCTTTCTAATTGTTTTTATGTAATTACAGTAGGGAATTGTGAAATGTTGACAGAGTTTAGTCTATAACAAAATACGTGACTTACTATTCGTCGACCAATTTCTGAACGATTAACACAATTTTCATAACAAATACCCAAACGTCTGCCCTCGAGGGTTGACCACCTAAATTCTGAATAGTTTAGAATATTTTTTTAGAGAAATTGCTTATATATACTTTATTGTTGAAAAACTCTAGACTGGATCCCACAAATCAGCCTTACTATCGGCAACAAAGAAGGCTCGATTAAAGACAAATCCACCAAGAGTTCGATTCGCTGAGGCCGAAAACGGTAGTGGCAAATTGAATTCTTCTGTAAGTATCAACTCTTTTATTTAACTGAGAGTTCGACGCATCAATTAATTAAATTTTTGTTCCATTATTCTCCGCCCCCAGCCGTCCAATTCCAAAAGCTATGTCCCTCTTATGCCAAACGTTTTAAAAGTTTTCCTGGAAAATGGTCAAACAAAATCATTCAAGTATAATAATTCAACAACATGCAAGGTTTGTATTAAAGTTAATATATTCAGTATATATATATATATACATGTTATATAAAATATAAAACGATATTCAATGAAAGCAAAACAGAGTAATTCTCTTTATTCTTGTGTTATACTGATACCTTATATAAGTACATAATAGAGAGATGTCTTGGTATATAATTCTTCTTTTTTTAATATAATATAAACTGTTTCTATATTCAATATTTATAGGAGTAAAATTAGATTAGTTTAATAAATTGCCTTTGTGGCAGTACTAAGAGAAAATATTTTAGTTTTATTAAATAAATACTCTTTTTATATCTAGGCGTCTTATATATATAAATACTGAATGAATGAATTTTTCTTTATTTATTTCATATTAAAAGGACGTCATTAATTCCTTGCAAGAAAAATTGGGCATAAGTGCAATAGAATACTTTGCTTTGGTGCTTCAAGACGTGACAAGTCCTACTAACAATAATTTAACACTATTGTTAGCTGACGACAATATATCTCAGGTACATATAGATAAAATATAAAAAGAATGTTTTGTAACCGTATAACTTCATCTTTATTTATCTATGATAATTTAATATTTTCTTATACAAAATGCAAAAGTGATGTAGAGTAAAACGGAATAAATAGTATATCATGCATATTGTATTGATTTAATAACTAAAGCTTATTTATCAGATTGCCTCGGAGCCTGCATCTCATAATTTAAAATGCATCTTTCGACTTCATTTTGTACCATTTCAACCGTCCGAATTATTGACAATCGACTCAATTGCTTTCGATTATTTTTATATGCAGGTGAATTATCGTTTTACAGTTTATTATAAGTGCCGTATAAGAATGAACTATTCTATATATATAATATAAAAACTAAATATTGGCTATATACAGTATATGCTATATATATATATATATATCTATATATATATTTATTTATATACGGTATATTGTGTATAAGGACCTATGGACGATATTGTCAAGTAGCTCTTATAACTATATTTTCTCTCCTTGCCCCTCTTAAAAGTGTTGCAACGATGTGGTAGAAGAACGCCACGCCAGCCACTTGAAATATGACGTTCTATTACGATTATCCGCTCTTCAAATTCATCAACACGCTTCGGCCTCAAATCTACAAAAAGTCAACGTGAAATTAATTGAGTTTGTTTAAATTGACGCCCGGCGCCATCTTAATGATAATTTAATTGTAACTATCAAATGCTTTCTTTTCATTCTCTAGAAAAGAATGCGGCCTAGAAAAATTTGTTTCCGCATCTCTGCTGACGAATGCAAAAAAAAAGGACGTAAGACGAGTGATTAGTCATTTTTTAAAACGAAAGGTAATTGATTAAGTTAGTGAATTTAATGAATAAATATTTATAAAGGTCACGTGTTATTAAAGTTAGTTGTTAAGGGTTTAGAGAATACTCAAGCGAAGCTAGAATATATAAGATTACTCTATGACAATCTGGCGAACATCGGAGGAAGAATGTTTTACGTTACAGTTGTGGTAAAGACTAAAATATTAAATTTCGTCTTTTGTTAAATAATTAAAATATTTGAAAATGTTATAGGAAGAAAAACGTGATCATAATATACTAATTGGAGCAAAATTTGGCCTAGCGAAAGTTGTTAATTTAAAGATGAAGACGGTTAATAATATTAATACTGGAGTAAGCCTCCCAAGTTTAGTTTAATTCTATTTTCTTATCAGGTACGACAGTTAGCTGATTTCGATGAAATCTCTTCCATTACCGTAATTCAACCCGAGCGTAAAAACGACAAAATCATGTACAAAGTGAAAATTTCGTTAATTAATTCGCCTGACTCGGAATCGGTTAGTAAGGGATTATTTTAGTTGTAACAAACCAAATAAGACACCATGTGGCGCTTTGACAACGGATATTGACACAACTTTTCCAATCAATAACGTTCCCTTATTTTCTGCAGATAAATCTTGTAATGATTGGGGACGTTATGAAAAATTTTGTAGGCCTATTAGATGGATATTGTCGAATAAAGAGTACTAACAAGTGCTCTAGATTAAAGATAGTCGAAGAAGAGAAAGAAGAAGAGATCTATGAGAAAACGGTGGAAGGTAAGTGTACTTATTTAATAATGTACTATGAACCCCGTAACGCCCTTTTCTGTAACTATGGCAACGTTTCATAGGGGGGCGCCATGCGCGACATGGCGTTTCTTTGTTGTTTCTGTCCCAGTATTGCGCTGGTAAGTAAATGTATATGAAAGTCTACTACATGTTTTTCCGCCATATAAGCAAAAATATCAACAGTAAGGAATTATAATGTAAAAGACGCCCAACCTTATAAGCGTGTAAGGATATTTTTTAATCAATATGGAGCCTTATAGAATTCCATCGTGTGAAGGCGTCCCATAGGCAGAATAAACATTAGATGTTCGTAGAGTAAGATTGTCTAGGTTTTTATTTTTGTTTATTCTTTGTAATGGATACTCTCTAGCTGAACGTTCATCAATCCCCTTTACTTGACCCCTTGAAATAGGAATTTTATAATGACGAATCACGCGAATAGGGAATTGAGTTAAATTTGCAGATGCGTTGCAGTTGTTTCGTGCATAAGGCTGCTATTAGCTCATACATTACTGCCTCGAAAAAGCCGGTTTTACGTTTGAGGTTTGGGGGGCAGAAGGTGGAGAGAATCCTTTTTTTCGTCTTTTTTTTATGTAGGCAATATATAGCATAATATATTGCAAATATAAGATACAGTATACAGTATATGTACTGTATATATGTGTGTTCTACACAGAAGATAGGGTGCTTACAGCATAGAATCTGTATCAAACGCTATACAATACATGCAGAATATACGCAACTTATTTATATCTCTTGGCATAATATCTTTTTTTTCTTTTAAGTACCACCGTACTCCGGTATACATACCGTAGTGCCTGAGGACTGGAATTACGAGGATAGCGAAGATAAGAGTCCCAGAAGTATAGACTTTACGCGATTACCAGTCGATAACGTCGACAAGTTGAGGAAAAAAGAACCAGAGGAAGAGGTATGGTACAGATTTGATATTCTTAATAAAAAACAGATTTTTCGCATTGAATAAAATAAATTACATCATGCACTTACAGCCCAACGACAAACCGACTACAACGTTGCTGGACCTCTCACCAATAGGTGCCGCTCCGCTAGCCAGCCCGGACGTAAGCAGTCTTTCCGGTTCTTCTCTGGACGATGAAGTAACAATGAAGGATGATAGTGACGACACAACAGCTTGTACTGTTACACCAACTCAAAGCCCCGTTGAAACTGAAACTGAAGATGCTGACACTCATAGTGCTCGCTTAGTTCGAGCTGTGGACGATTTTAAACCTAAAAACTTAGGTAAGACTTCTAAAGCCAATCAATATATATTTACGATCTAGCGCCAGAACGATGTAATCGACACATTTAATCGATGAGGATTAACGACGTTAGTTGTCTTTTATTCACAGATCAGCCTCAATCGTTCGGCTTGCTTAGCCCCGCAATTGACGGTGATAGTTCCAATGTCAATTATTATAATAGGAAGTTATTTTGTGACGGAGGACAATATATCGATCCAGAAATTATTGGTAAGGTTGTAATTAAAAGCTACATTTCCCTTCCATATGTAAATATTTAAATCTTTATGAAGGTGATATGTAAATATATATATATATCTATATATATATATATATACTGCATATAACTATGGCATGCCGGAGATATAAAACTCGCATATGTAACATTGTTCCCTATTTTCTGCTATTAATGCATATATAGAGCTATCATTATACACTTTCAGCCAATTTCATGTGACGAATTAATTTAGCAATTTTATTTGATTTTGCACTAGATTTAACAGCAATACCGCCTCCAAAAACTCCCGACGAACCTGAATTAGACAACATCGATTTTAGTAAATTGGCGGCGCCCTCTGCCGAATTTTCGGATGATTTGAGTATTGTTCAAGATCTGCCAGAGAACATTAAGCAACGGATCGACCAACTCGTCATGGAGGATGAAGATATCAAGACGGAACATCTAGAAGCCTATGATGCATTTATCCTGGAAAGATCCAATTTAAAGGATCAAGAAAGAGAATCTGGCTTTGATTCCGATAGTGATAATGACTCTCCTGTCGACTCTTCCATATTTTTGAGTGATGTAGATGCTTTTATTGCTAAAAACAGAGTTCCAAGTCCACCCAAGGATGCCTCAAAATTTACATTTTCCCTAGACGATCTACCGTTGCCGGTACTTGAAGATACCAAAACGCTATCGGACATCGCTATTGATGCCCTTATCGTGCCAGCACCACCCCCAAGAGAGGATATTGTTGACCCGCCTGAACAATTTACCTTACCAACTTCACCTAGGCAAATAGCTACCTCACAAACTGATAAACTTCAATCCTCCTCAGTGTCAAAATTACGAGATGAGTTTGAATGCGATAAAAATGGTACTTCTCCCGCAAAATCGATTCCCGATATCATTAAGTCGACAGTGAGTATAAAACAACGATGCAATAAAATTGAGACTACTGTAAATGATGAGCAAAGTAAGGAACCAAATGTTAAACGTTGCTCGAGTTTCGAAAAGAAACAGATCAAGGTCGTCCAAAAAGTCTCTCAGGAACTACAGGCGAAAATGACTGAAGAGTTAAACAAAAAGCTAAAGGATCGACCATCTGATATGGTTTCCATCCCTGTTCCCCCACCTTTACCTCCGAGTAGATCGATTTCTGTTCCTGACGATTCGACTATCGATAAAAATGCAATTTACTCAACCTTTAAACCTCAGAATGACGTTGAAAATATTTATGGTATAAACAAGATGAATAGATCCGTAGTGACGTCTAATTTAACTAGAACAAAAGTACCACCTCCACCGCCACCTCGCCGAGGATCTGTGCCAAATTCTCCTAATCGAGTTTACAGTCAGAATCCATTTTGCCATGTAAGAGTTTTACCCGTTTCGCATTCTCGGACTGGTTCTGAACCAGTTTTAGCCCAAACCGAACAAATCGATAATAATAAGAGAAACTCAATGGAAATAGAGAAATCTGTAATTGATCAAGTTATTCAATACGAGGAAAGGCATCACGTGCCTGCTCATGTGCCTAAGAATTCCAGATCACCAAATCCCTCAAGGAAGGCTTTTCCATTTATAAAGCGAAGAACATCTGCCAGTTCGGTAAATAATTATGCTGAAATAGGCGATTTCGCTACCCTAGATCGATCGCCTCGCTCCATGACACCATCACCAGCTGTCCAAAGACATCATTCTTCGAGTAGGATCGACGGAAATAGACTAAGCAACTCAATAAGAAATTTAATGGACAGCGGAGGAACGCTAACTAGAGGAAAAAAATCTAAAAAATCAGAGAACGTTTACGCCACCTTGAATTATCCTCTGTTACAGAATAACACACCTTCACCAATCTCTTCCCTTCTGGAAGGAAATGATGCAATTTCGGTAATACCCGATCGTCCTACACCAGATTTTTCAACATTTAAGAGATCCACACCGCCCATGTCCAGAAAAACCCCTCCAATCGAAAGGCCTTCTAGGCCAAGATCGGACTCTAAGAAAAGTCTTGAAAGTGATAATAGTTGCGAGTCATCCGAAGGCAGTCCGGCTAGAACTTTAGACGAGAATCGCTCACAAACAATTCAGGATCTGCTTGACAAGACATATTCAAGTGATACAGTTTTAAGCGATATACCAGTTGATATTGAAATTCTTGTTAGAGCTGTTAACGGCGCAGTGGATGCCGTAAACGCTGTCTATCGAAGCGATGATACCAACGCATTCAATGCATGTAAAGAAGCATTAGTTACTGAAGCCAGAACATTTGTCACACATTCCAAACAAGTACTTAGCTCAGCAACGAGCTCAGAACGGAAATTGATAGATACAGTTCAAATCGGTATGAAAACCTTAGCAAAGCTAGTACAATTAGCTACAGCAACTATTTCTACACTGACTTCTCCGGCAAGAGCTCACGAGCTTGGTTCAAGAGTGAAGGAAGTCGCAAGAAGTTATAGGACTACGGTAAATTCAGCTAGACCTGCCGCAGGCTTACCATTGCACCATCCACTTATGAAACTGCTGGTCAGACAGGCGGGATCGCTTGCTGCTTCCCTTACAGCACTAATGAAAACGCTCAAGGTGCTAGACGCATCGTAGAATGGAAATAAACAATCGTGATCAATCTAGCGTAATAATTATAATGTTTAACTATTAATATGATTCTTATTAAAATAGAAAGAGTATTTGAAATACTGCCAGAATTATTTTCTACGAGAAAAGACTAAATTGATGCTTATTTTTATAAAACAATTGTAGTCAAATGATGAATACAGAATTGAGAGGATACATTTCATACTCCAAGTGTTAAAATTTCTATTTACGCTTTTTATATGGTATTTTCTGTATTGTTATTTGTTAGTTTTATGCAAAAAGAAGTGCAAGCTCATTAGGAGCTATTACAAAGAGATGGAACCAATTCTATTCCATTTGCATTCCTGATAGAATATGAATAGAAGTGTTTACTAGGGATTCACTGTTATTTAGACGATACTTTAAACATATTTCACAGTCCTTATAAGGTAATATTTACCTATGTATAAATATACCCAGACATATACTGTGTATATTACAGTATTACTGTATATTTTATATATATACAGTATATATATATGTTATGTATATACACAAAATAGCAACAACATTGGTGACATTTGCCCATGTGACTCTTAAAGGCCATCAAATTTTAACTGATGGTTGAAGTAACTTAATTATCTTAGTTGCACAGTTTTGTATTTAAAAAAATTGCTTTAGTAATTTTTATCACGTGATTTCTCAATGAGCAACAAAAAATATAAATATATAAATAAAACAATTTGAGCTTCTCAGTTACCGGAAACAGCGATACAATCATCAGTTCTTCCCAATCTTAGAGCATCTCTCTGTTTGTTGGAATTTGGTCTTTCTAGGGGTGGAAGCTTAGCTCCATCTCGTTTATGGGAAACTTTAGAAGAGACATTCTTAAATTTACTTAACTTAAATAACTCTCTTTCCTTATCTTCTTCCATTTGCCTGCGTTCGTTACCCTTCTGCAAAAAATTCATTATTTAGTCATAAAAGAAGCAATTATTTATTCAAGGTAAGAAGTAATGATTTTTTTTACCGAAAAATTCTCTGTTTGTTGATGGTCTTTCTTCTTGTCAAAATAGTTCGAACGCTGTTCCAACCATTCATGTTGATAGCCATATGAAAGAATTTTACTCATACAATCCCTGTCTTTATTATCTGGTAGTTTCCTTTAAATTATTCATTTAAAAAGTGCATTTAATTTCATTTGAATTTTTTATATTTATTGACTCCTTACATGACTTCGTGTTTAGACTTTGGGTCTGTTCTTTGTTTAGCTTTTCCGTATCTTTGGTTTACAATTGGTTGTGGTTGTTTGACCGATTTTGAAAGCCGCTGAGAAATTCCTGCCTTCTTGGCCTCTGGTATCTAAAATATTTACATTAATCCCATTAACATTACTAAAGCTTGTAGCAAATCATTTACATTTAATTGAAACTTGCATACCTTAACGGTCTTATCGGTCACATGTTGACCTTCTCTTTCATATACTGTTGATCTGTCATATCCATAAGGAAGTCGAGGAGGTGCATATTCATCAATCCCTTCTTGAGTAAACTCCTCATGAACCATATACTCTGGTAACATTGGCTCATAATGTCTACAAAAAAAAACATAATTTAATATGTCAGTACGTTGTCAATACCATAACTTTTAATTAGATAGGATAGGTAAATACTAATTAGTCTATAGCTTATTTTTAATAAATGATACTGCCTCAAAACTCGGTAACGCGAAAGAAAAGGAAGGAAATAGCTAACAATGCTGCTTAATTTGTTTTTTTAACAAAGTTAATGAGGAAAAGTATGGTAATTGGGCTTTATTTGAAAAAAGAATGTGACAAAATTATATTTCTATTAGAGTAAGAGGATTTTTTTTGTCTTTCAAACAGGATTACTTCATAACTGACAAGCTAAATTCAACTATAATGTACAAATATTACCATATATTGCGTATACGGTAACAGAAATGATAAAATTAAACTTACGCTTTTTCTTCAGCCTTCTTAGTTTCTTCCTCTTCCATTAGAATATCATCTTGGTAAAACCAGTCTACTCTTGGATAGGGTACTGGATCCTTTGATCTTGTATCTTTTTCTTCAATCATTAACAAATTTTGTCTGCCACCTTGCTTTGCCAACTGTATATATTTACTATCTGTATCTTTAATCATCATTTGTGGCTTTTTATCCTCTTCTCCATTTAATTCTCCGTTTAAACCGGGAATTTGGGAAGGTGGAGGGGCCGGTTGTGGCTCCTTATTCAATTTTTTTGCCGGCGCATAATAATACCAAGCTAAAATTTTATATATTCACATTTTGACGTTTAATATAACTCGGATTTGACTTACCACCACCGCTCATTTTGTATTTAAATGTATAATTTGATCGAAAAGAAGTATATCAACTAGAAGGCTTGTCGATTCTTGTTTTGTATTATTTAAACCACCATATTTGTTTTATTACCATAGCAACAGTCACTCTTAACAGATGGCGCTCAGATCAAGAAATTTACAACTTATATGGATATCTAATATACATAGACAGTTTCTTTAAGTAAAAACAAAACGGTGAAAAAATTTAATTTAGCAAATGTCTTCTATGATTTGGCTGCAGCCATCTGAGATTGGTGTTCAATCAATTTCTTTTTAAAAACATTCGTAGTTACTGAAATTAAATAAGTAATATAAGTAAATTAAAGAAACTTATAATTTCTTCATTGTTACTTACTTTGCTTTTGTTCCAACTTTTGATTTCTAACGACATCGATTTTCTCGATCTCTTTTTTTAGGAAATCCAATTTTCTCTTAAAAAATTTTTCAGCTTCCGGTATAGACTATACAACGAAAAAAACATTAGATATTCGATTAGTATGTTCCAAAAAACTGATATATTTATTAAATACATACTTTTTCAACAAAGTAACCAGTTCCTAGTTCTACAATGACTTTTTTGGTATCGGCTATTTCACCATCCACATACATCTGCAAGTGTTAATTGGTTGTTACAAAAACTTAGATAATCAATTTGAATAATTCTGAATAATTTAGTAACGTAAACTGCTTAAGACATAGAATCATCAGTTATATAATTTTACGTGAAAACTTATTCTATATTTACTTATGTAAATAATAAAGAATATATTTACGGCTGACGTAACTGGAACCAACATTTCCATTCCCCCTTTCATAGTCTTCAATCTTTCTACGTTACCTAGAGATGAATTCAATTTATCATAAGCTTCCTTCAATTTTACCATGGAAGAGGTGAAAAAGTCAACTTCCTATGAAAAGAAAAAGCGTGAAACGATAATAGGGGTTTTCATGTTTACGGTACTTTTTTTTTGTAAGAAAATTCTTATTAAATGTCAAATTTTGGTCCTAGAACAAAGTACGCAATACTTACATTATTTAGTGATTGCAAAATACTTTCAACTTGCTGTATATTCAGCATATTAATATCAATAACTTCACCGCTACCAGCAGAGGCCATTTTTACGAAAATATTCTTCCTAACGCCCTCTATAAATTAGAAGATAAACTGAATGACGTCATAAGGTAATCCCCAAACTTTGGTCGTGTCATACTATATCATAAAGTTGATTATATCGCACTTGCCCTCTTTATTAGGGTTGCTGATTGATCTCGACGGTCATGAATCGAAACAATCATCAAGGATTTAACCTCTTAGAAATAAGTTCGGATTCAGACGAACCGGAAAACTTCGAATTACCTCCTCTTAAATTGCGTCCACCGAATAACAAGAAAAAAAAGTTTGTATTATCTTGTTATTTTGCATAACATTTTCCCGGAAATCTATTTTTATATCTACTATGTTTATTCTATAAGAAGGAATAAAATGTCCGACTTTAATTCTTCCCAACGATGCAACAATTTTACTGTAGTGTCAGTGTTGCTCTACTTAGTTTTGGTAGCCGTTACAATTACTGCAATAATCTATGTCACAAGAATAAAGTCCGAATTTGAAGAATATAAGACTATTACGGATAAGAAGCGTAAGTTATAATCATTCTACTATATTTCAAAAAGGAAAAATAGACATGTAGAATGTTCGTTGAAAAAATCCGGAACAATTATTTTTTATCAGGCCGATTACCAGACTGAAAACTTTATAAGAATTTAGTTCCCTTAATTAGCAAAATTATCTAAATATGTTATAGCTATAAAATATGAATTCATTCTTTCATTATATAGTCAAGAATCTAGAAAAATTGAGAATTGATCAGTCGTCTAATCAAGAGTCTGAATCATCACAACAATCTGAAGAAATGAATAAGCGACTTAAAGCCGTTGAAAGCCAAATTAAACTACAAATTAATGATACAAATTTGCAACAAAAATTGAAAATCTATTCTCGAAATATTACAACAAGTCTATTGAAGTCAGTCAAGGATATTAAAAATCAAATTGAACACATCAATTCTTCGTTAGAGAAGACAAAACCTATAGATATAGAGAAAATTACGATTGATCTCTTAAAGGATAGCCAGTTTATTGGAAATATTGTTAATAAGACAAGAGGTGATATGACACCAAATGTTGCTTTCAACGAAACTATTATAAATACACTTATTGAAGGAAAAATTGCTAATTATTCTAAGACTTTTGCAGCAGATGTAAGTAAAGGAATAATTATAAACTTGTATACTATTTGATATACTTAACCCGATACTTAACAATTTTATAGATCAAAAAGCTAAACGAACGGATAGAATCAATCCAATATAATATAACTGAACTATACACGGATATATATAGCAAAGTTACGCTTTTTCGAAGTAATATATACGTCTATATAGCTTTTAATTAATTAATTTTTTTTATCTGTAATTCATTATTTCTGATTTCAGCTGAAAGTCCTACTGAATCGTCTAACGATGCCACTTCAACTGTGAATAATGAAATTTAAGAGCTTACCAGAGAGTTATCGTTTTTTCTTATATAGAATGTGTATAAATTTGATAATATGATAATAAAATATATTTTTTTCAACAATACTTCTTTTTTGTCTATATATTCGTTTGATTTTCTTCAATATACATCATATTTTATATAATTTTTCTTTGTATAGCTAAATTTTATTATCATAAACCAGGAATATTAACAACTAGTTTTTGAACATATTGGATTTTCCACCAAAAATAAGTGTACCAGTTTTTTCCAGTTTACTACATTTCACCAAAAAAGAAAATGGGGCAAAATTGGTAATACAGCGACCTCTCAGCAATCTAGATTAAAAACGTGTTTTTTAATACTAACTATCTCTCTTATCCAGACAAAAGTGCAAATGGTTTTAAATTACTTTAGAATCTATTCTAGAATATTTCGCTATTAATAAATTATTCTAGATAGAAATTTTTGTTTTTATCAAAGCTATTTAACCATTTGCTCAACAACCAAGAAGAAAAGAGAAATTTGTTAAGAAATTTTTCTAAAGAACATTTGATTGTGAATAAAGATGATTAAACAATTAGTTATCTCCCGTTTGAGTAGGCTTATATGTAAAGATATTCAAAAACGTGCATTCAGTTCTTCTATGTCAACTGAAGAAAGCCTAAACCAACTGGGAATCAAAGGAGCTAAGAAAGACAAGTAAGGTTTTCATTTTCCGATAAATTTTGTATTTAAATACATGGATTTCCTTCTTAGCAGTTAGATATAAATAATCAGTGTAAACAAAACGCATAAAATTTTAGATAAAATGATAGCTATATGAATAATCCTTGTACAAAGTAGTTATTACATTTATTCAATTGAACTAGATATTATACCATAACAGTATTTCTACAGTGTAAAGGAAATTATTAATAAGATAGATAAGATACATGGAATATGCGTAATATCTTAACGTATCTTTTACCAAATTATATATTTTTACTCATTTTTACAACGTACTTTCTGTGAGCCTTTGTCCTAAAAGATTATGTATTGATGCAATATATGTAGGCTTATTGACGAGCAACAATGCGAAGATATTCAGTAAGTACGAACGAGTGGCAAAAATGTACATATTCTATTTATTCTTAATCTGTTCTAATTCACTTAATAAATTTCAATTTTTAAACATAAAAAACAATGCCAAGCTTATTAAAAAGAAAGTATGCTAAAAGAGAAAGAGGATAATAATACTTTATGGTTTATGATGTCATTTCTCTTCAATAGAATTTCTATATTTGTATAATTTTTAAATCTACTATTTAGACTTGCCAACACTTACAATAGGACTTTTGAGGATCATTTATTTGAAGTCTTAAAAAATGATAAACAACTTGTTCCCATTTCTAAATTTATCAAGGTTTGTCACCATCTCTTTATGCCTAATATTAGTTTATTAAAAGAAGCTTATTTCTAATTTTGACTTACAATTTTTCAGGGTTTAGAGGCAACTGGTAAGTTTATATTTTAGATATTTATGATATAAATTTGAATAAATACATAATTAGGTTTGAGAACTAGCGACCCACGACTTAAAGAATGTATGTCAAAGATATTCAATATTCAATCAAGCTTAAGAGAAAGAGGTGGAGAAGATGATTCTGTTACTGTTGACAAAGAAACTTTTACTGAATGTATAAGAGATAATATTACACTAATTAGAAAAGCATTCACAACTGAATTGGTTATACCAGAGTTTGGTAGGTTTACTCAAATGTTAGATGATATTTATTGGCGACTCAAGGATAGAATGGACGGGAAAGTTGCTGATTATATTCCTCAATTGTCTAGAGTATCACCAGAAAATTGGGGTGTCACTGTATGCTCAGTTGATGGACAAAGGCATTCCATAGGAGACACAAGCTCTCCATTTTGCGTTCAATCCGTGAGTAAGCCACTTAATTACGCTATTGCAATAAACGACCTTGGTCCTGATGCTGTACACCAATATACGGGTCATGAACCGAGCGGAGAAAGCTTTAACGAAATAAAGCTAGGATTAAACAATAAACCTCATAATCCTATGATAAATGCGGGAGCAATAGTTGTTACTTCTTTATTGAAAAATAAGGAAAAATTAGCCGATAGGTTTGATTATATTAAGAAGCAATATGAAAGAATCGCTGGTGGTGAATATATTGGATTTAATAATGCCGTCTTTCTTTCGGAAAGGGAATCTGCTGACAGAAACTACGCTCTTGGTTACTATTTAAAGGAGAACAAGTGTTTTCCGGAAGGAGTTAATCTTAGTGAGACTTTGGACTTCTATTTTCAATTGTGCTCCTGCGATGTAACATGCGAAAGTGCGTCCGTTATTGCGGCTACTTTAGCAAATGGCGGTATTTGTCCTATCACTGGGGACAAGATTCTATCAGCAGTTTCAGTTAGAAATACCCTTTCCCTAATGCATTCATGCGGCATGTATGACTACAGTGGTCAGTGGGCCTTTAATGTCGGACTTCCTGCAAAGTCAGGCGTCTCAGGTTTAATTTTAGTTGTTGTACCAAATGTTATGGGTTTGGCCCTTTGGTCACCTTTGTTAGATCGTCACGGTAATAGTATACGAGGAATTTCTTTCAGCGAGGAACTCATAAGGACATTCAATTTTCACAATTATGATAATCTTAAGCACACAGTACGAAAGACTGATCCGCGAAGAAGACAAATGGAAAGAAAAGGACAACAAATAGTTACCCTCCTCTTCGGAGCTTACAACGGAGATGTTTCGGCTTTAAGACGGCAATATCTATTAGGAATCGATATGAATCAAGCAGATTATGATGGAAGAACAGCTTTACATATATCAGCTGCTGAAGGTCACATAGATTGCGTCACATTCCTAATAGAAACATGCGGTGTTGACGTATCTCCCAAGGATAGATGGAATTTTTCGCCTCTTGACGATGCAAACAGGTTTGGTCATGAAAAAGTGGTGAAGTACTTAAAGGAAAGACTTTCTAAAAAAGCTCAAAATACGAAGAATCAAGCAATATTTATTTAAGCTATTGATAATTTTATTTGTGAACGAATTTCAATAGATTAAAAACCATAAATTATAGAAACAAAACAATAAACAAGATAACACGAAATGTTTTTAACAATTCAGTCTAATGTTTAGATTTATGTTTTTTCTTTTTTGAATGTTTACTTTTTTTCTCTTTTTTCTTCTTATGTTTCTTACTTTCAGTTTCTCCGTCAGTATATGCTCTTCGTTCAGGGGAAGGGGCTTTGTATATATGAGACGGTGGTGGCCTGGAAGGACCTTCGTAAACAACGGGCTCTTTAACTATTTTAATTTCTTCCGGGATCTTTCTGTCCTCTGCTGGTTTTGAATTTATAAGAAATTTTGAAAATGCACTCTTTTCCATCATTCTTGTTCTATCACCCTTAGTCACTTCATTACTGGTATCATTTTTATTTGATTTTTGGATGTCAGGAATATCAAAGGTTTCCATAACTTCGTCAACAGTATGAGTGATTGACGATTCATCAGGGGCGTCTTCTTTGTCATCATCATCTCCAAAGATTGATGCAAAGAGATCCATAGGGGGACGGGGAGGAAGTGGTTCAATATCATCATCTTCATCCTTAACGCTATCATGTCCAGTTTCCATCTCCTCAGATTTATTTTTATCACTTGCAGATATATTAGAAATTTCTTCGAGGTTCTTTGCAATATTAACCTCCTTCTGTTTTGCTCGTCTTTCTTTGTCTTTCTCAAAGACATCAACAGCAAGAGTTAAAGGTAAAACTTTACTTTTTTCTCCTCTTTCTTCTACCTTCTCCTTTTTAACTTCTTGCTGTTCCACATTCCTTTCACTTTTAACGGTTGCAGGAGATTCTCCTTCATGAAACGAAAGTAAATTAAACACAGAATATTTATCTCTTTTTACATTAGGAAGACCAACGATATCGGAGTCTGGATAAGGATTTGGTACATTAAATCTTTTACATAATAATCGATCAGGATGCCATTCAAATGTTTTTCTTGTAAATCTACCAAACATTTTCATTTTAACCGCCTTTTCTTCGTCTGTCTGTTCATTAGCATCTGGCAATTTGACATCTGTTTCGTCATCAGCATACTGTGCTGTTGTGAACCTGGACGACATCATCCGCGACATAGGTACATAAAGTCGGTTTGCTCGAGAAAACTCTTCTTTTTCCCTGTCAATTTCCCATTCTGTCATTCGACTTGATGAATCAACTGTATATGCTACACCTTCATTAATTGCTTTTTTAAATCTTTCATATCTAGCTTGTTTCTCCGGATCACTAGAAAACGGTTTAAAAGAACTTACGCCACACAAAGCTATACCATAATTTCTTTGCTCTGTCACAGAAGCTACACCTACTTTCGCCTTTGCCTCCTCTTCTTTATCTTTAACTTTTTCTTCCTTTACTTCAGCAGTTTTTGCTGGAGTAACAAATCTATTCGATATAGATGAAGTTTCTTTAGAAGCTTTTTTGCTTATATCTTCATCATCATCTTTCTGAGACGAACTAACAAAACGATTAGAAAGAGTTTTTATATCAAAACGTGATTTGTTCTCAATAGTTTCCCCTTGATTTTTAACCTTCTTTATCGCTTCGCTCAATTTTGCTTTATCTTTATCAGGTATAATATCAAAAACTGACTTAATTTCTGGTTTTTCACCAAGCAAATGCCCTCTACTATGAGCATTTAAAGATGTTATTTTAGTCTTCTCTGCAGGTTTCCCTTCCAAAGACTTTTCCCCCTCTTCAACTCTTTCGGCAGGCTCTTGTTTGACTTCAACAATGTGTTGGCGAGGTCTGTAACCTTTTGGAATTTCTGGAGGTGGATATGTTTTGACTTGGGTTTCATTTATTGTTGACAATGAAAATCCCTCTAACATAATTCCAATAAAATCCATTGGGGCAGCAGCATCCGGTTTCAATGTAGGAATTCGTGGTTCTTCTTCTTCATTATCGGATCCAATTTGGCTATTATAATTTTCAAGAGTATCGAAATCATATACAGGTTGATCGTCATCTTCTTCGAGCGCTCCAACACCAAACGCAGAACCTAACATACCTTTCTTAGATGATCTGGACGTTCCCTCCTTTGATGGAACGGGAAAAAGTTCAAAACGATTGCTTTGTTCCACTCCTTTGTATCCTAAACCTTTTACATCATCTTTTGGTTGTAATTTAATAGGAGGAATGTCTTTTGGCGCAAAAGTCACATTGCTTGGATAGTCATCATCAGAGTCACTCTGAGGGTTCATTGAACAGCCGTAGATTTTATTAGTTTTCTTTACTTTTTTTCTTATTCGCGGTCCTATACCTTGACCTTCCCTCCAACCGAGCTTTTGTAACAGTTTAGCGCCAATTGATGATTGAGCAGGAACAATTAAATCATGCAGAAGAGAATCAGTTTTATTTGCCGATACTGGTTCGGATTTGCGCTTCTTAGTATCAAATTTCTTAGTTACAGCTAGTTTTCTTGGAGCAATTCCGTGTTCTCCAAAATCTTCTTCATCCATAAAACTTTCGGGTCTAGCTGCTGGAAGTTCGCCTCGCTTCTCCCTCGAAGAGCTAAAGTGAGAAGGAGCCCAACCTTCTTTTGTTCCTACAGAGTTAAAATAGCCAGCAGAAAAGCCGCCGGTGAAAGCTCCGTGAAATCTCCGGCGCCCTTTTTCATCTTTGGCGACCATCTCTTGATATCTAACTGGCTTTGGAATAAATTCATCATCATTTACAGCCGGCAATGCTGTCCCGATTGAAACATAATCGTCTGACATTTTTCTTCTAAATATTCTGTAGTAGACAGCAAATAAATTGTCAAACAATTAGCTTGTCCTTTTCATTGTAATTCAACTGCAAATCTTAGTTAAAGTGAGTATTTATAACTTGGTGGTTTCGCAAAAAAAAACACATAAAAAACGAAACGGAACCGGAAATACTATATTCATATTTTCAATAAATGAACGCCAGATGGCGTTGTTTGTTAAATCCTTTACCTTGTATGCTGATTGGCGGATATTAAAGGTAATACCTGGTGTGTTCACCTGGTTTAACTACTCACTAACCTTATCAAATATTATCTCCATGATAAGTAATTGAAGATCGGTACTTGATAAAGGGCATCGCCATGAAGAAAACTTGGCTCCTTATTTTAACTTTATTTTATCTCTTTTACACCATTTTAGGTCAATTATTCAGTAAGTATATAAAGTGGACATTTTTAGCATTTTCAGACCAAAATTAAAACATTTCTGTTTTTAGCATGCCCTAGACCATGGGTAATTGAAAGAGAGAATTGTTTTTATTTTCAATATTCACCCTTGAAAGTTGATGAGGCTAAATCCGTTTGCGAAGTATGAAATATCTTAGTCATACACCTATATAAGTGATAATTCTAACAAGTATAAAATTTTCCAGGAAAACGGTGGCTTCCTTATTTCCGTCCACCACAACGAATATGAGTATATTTCGAAACAACTTAAACTCAAGTCGGAAAGTAGTCAAGTATGGCTGACTGGAGGCTTCATGGATGGAGGTTTATATTGGCATGATGGGTCTAAAATAGAGAATTTAGACAACTTCGACGAGAAGTCGAAAAAAAGAAATCTACTTGACGATGATATTGTTGTGCTAAAAACGTTTGGAGGAATCTGGAAATTGTCTTTATTGCCCAACAATGGTCAAGAGTTTTCTTTCATTTGCCGCGTCCGTGTCACGGACGCCTATATGATTTTAAAGGAGGAGAGAGATTTTTCCTACGGTTCTGAAAGTGGTCTAACTGAAGAAAGAGGCCCAAATTTCATTCAACAGCCTGTAGATCAGATAGTCGATTCAGAATTCAAACCTGAAAAAATAATAATGCATTGCGTTGCGACGGGAATTCCTTCTCCAAAATATTCTTGGTTTAAACTAAAGCTTGTTGGCTCTGTAGAAATATTGGAAGAAATCGATTTAGTAAGAAAAGATAAGCTAGCAATTATTGGTGGAAATCTTGTAATAAGCAAACCGGCAGAAAATGAAGATAGTGGCCAATATACTTGTAAAGTTACAAACAAATTAGGATCAATTTATAGTCAAACTGCTACACTATCATTTACAAGTTTAGTTGATTTTCCCAATTCTCCTAGTGCAACTGTTAATTTCGATGAATATGCTAGTGCTACATTAGCCTGTAGTACTCAACAGTATAGCGGTCGACTTTTGTATGCTTGGTACAAACAAAATTTTCGAAATTTTGTCAAGAGTAAATTCAAACCGTACATATTCATCAGTAGAAATGGTTATTTATACTTTCAATCAATATCAAAGGATGATGAAGGAGACTATGTTTGCGTCGTAACAAGTGTTAATCCCGCTGCAACTATTTCGGCAAGTGGTGGCAAAATTTCTCGCGAAATACCAATCAGAGTTAATAGTGGATCAGCTCAAAGGGCGGATCCTCAATTTTTTGAGGGATTTCCTCGTAGTTTTCCAAAAGTACCTCTCCAAGGTAACGACGTATACGTGGAATGTTTAGCAAGAGGCACAGACGTCCTGACTTACTCCTGGCGACGGCAAGATGGGCAAGCTTTACCGAAATCCGCTCAACTACAAGATCATAATCGCGTTCTTTTTTTTAAAAGTATAACAATATCCGATTCTGGAATTTACATTTGTTCTGTATCGAGAGAACAAGGCATAGGAAAGACTACTACTTTCTCGCTAAATGTTGATACTAAACCGTTCTTTACTGTTCCTGTTCAATCGCAACATATTGACAAAGGAAATTCATTTACTTGGCTATGCATAGCCGACGGCTTGCCTCCGCCAGAGGTAGAATGGATAAAGAATGGAAAAGTAATTAAGAACGGGGATAATCCAAGAATAAAGGTGGATAAATCATTGTTGACACTTAATAATATTGAAGACGACGATGCTGGAATGTATCAATGCGCTGCAAAGAATGAGCACGGAAAGGTATATTCATCTGGACAGTTGAGAGTTATTTCCCTTGCTCCAACGTTCAGAAAAAGTCATTTAAGGCCTACAATGTATACTGCTCTGAGAGGAAACATAACCTTACCATGTAAGCCGGAAGCCGCTCCAAGTCCGACTAAAACTTGGTATTTTAATAATCGTGTCATCACTAATTCACTTAACAAGAGGGTTTTGAAGAACGGAAATCTGGTGTTAACTAAAGTTACAAAGGCGGAACAAGGGACATATAAATGCGTAGCTGAGAATGCATTAGGAGTGGCGGAAACATCTGGTGAGCTATCTGTCGTGAAGGAAACTGTTCTAAGCCATTTCCCAAGTGTAACTACTGTAAGAGTAAATCGAACAGTTTTACTAGAGTGTGAAACTTCTCACAGTCCGGTTTTAGACGTACAATATGATTGGTATCAGAATGGTAGAAAAATTGATTTCATCGACGTCTATTACATAGGTTCTATTGTTATCAGTAGAAAAGACCCATACTTCTTTAGAGGAACTGGTACAAGAAAGGGTTCTTTGGTAATAAGAAATGCTCAATTATTTCACAGTGGACGTTATAAGTGCGTTGGTCGAACAACTAGTGACTTGGTTTCCCACGAAGCAACTTTAACAGTAAAGGGACCTCCTAGCCCGCCTGCAGGAATCACGGCTCTTGAGGACGATATCGGGAAGAAGTCGGCCAAAGTACAATTTTTTCCAGGAAATTCTAATGGAGAACCAATCAGAGAATACGTTGTTGAAGCCATAGTTATGAGAAAAATTGGATCAGGTATTTTCAGAGCAGAATCAAATTTTACAGTTGTTGGTGTTTTTGATGAGAGTTCTCTGAAAACAATTGCGATAAATGGAGAAGTAGCTACTTATGAAGCAACTATAGAAGATTTATCGCCTTTCACTACTTATAAATTCCGTGTACGAGCTATTAACTCAATAGGAAGATCAAAGCCTAGTGAAGAAAGTAAAATTATAACTACTAAAGCCGATAGACCAAGCGCAAATCCGACAAATGTTGGTGGTGGTGGCGGTAAAGTTGGCGAACTAAGAATTACATGGACGCCGGTTCCCTATGATAAATTGCATGGTGAAAAAGCCGGCTATGTTGTTTATTGGCGAAAGAAAGACACAATTGATTGGGAAGAGAGAATTGCTGGTAATGAAGCTACAAGCTATTTTTCATATACTGTCGGATCGAAGAACTTTTATATGCCATACGAAGTTAAAGTTCGATCAAAGAATGTTGTTGGACTTGGTCCACCAACAAATCACACGCTTATATATAGTGCAGCTGATCTACCACCTGCTATGCCTTCGGAAGTTAGACCTTATCAATGGAACGCCACAGCTTTACTCGTTGAATGGGTTTCCGTCAACGACACACGGAAAAATGTGCGAGGGAAATTGGGAGGATATCGTATCAACTATTGGAGAACTAATATTGACACAGAAGAAGAAGGCCAGCATATGTTGGCTAGTGGAAACATTGAAAAAGCTCTTGTTATAGGTCTCTATCCTAATGTTATGTATTCCGTATCTCTTCAAGTATTCAATGGAGCTGGATTCGGTCCAAAAACAAACCCAATTTTTCAAAGAACGTTAAGAAAAGCTCCAATGAATATGCCTACAGAAGTTACTATACTGGGAGTAAAAGACGGGGGCGTTTCTCTAAATTGGCGTGGTGTATCAACTGGTCAAAGTGAAGAACCCCTCCAAGGTTATATGGTAAAGGTATGGCGTTTAGGTGAAACTTTATACGAAGCAGCCGAATACGACTCGGAAAGAAGAACGCATATTATCCTGGAGGACTTGCCAACCGATAGAGAATATTATATAAGAGTTTACGGCTATTCAAGAGGAGGCCAAGGAACAATGAGTAGTCCAGCAACTCAAATTCATTTAACAAACGATTGTAACAGAATTATAAAAGTACCTTATAAAAGATATGTCTATAAATGTAGCTCGGCAAGATATCTAACATCCTCAATTCTTTCTGTTATTTCAATGCTTGTTTTACTTGAGATATTAGTATAGAAATTTCTCTCTCTCTACATATATATATATTATTGTTTACTTAATGGTTTTTATGCATTATCTATTAACAGCAATTATGATTTTATATGTATGTATGTATGTATATAAAATATATACAGTATATAAAATGTATATATTGTATTTTATACGAGCATTTTATTCATAATCCTTATTTTTTTTTTAAATCTTTTTACTCATTTTGTTGTTTAATAAACTTGGAAAAATTTGTTACTTAAGGTATGATAGTTCACAGGATTTTTCAGCCATCGATTAATTGTTTAATCATAATTTGGGTATATAAAAGCACTGTGTAGCATACCATAAAAAATGGATATTAATTATGAGATGGTTCGATTAGTGATAATTAAAGGCGGATACTATCTTTTTGAACTTATTAATTAATATATATCTTTGATATTACTGAGGGTTTATTATTTTCTTCCTTTTAAGATTGTTTGTTTAAATTATTTAAAAAAAAAAAGGCCTTAGGAAAAAAGATGGCGGGTATTTCGATTTATATATAAAGAGGCGGTGAACGTCATACAAGGCGAGTGGCTTGGCGAGGGAGCGACACGATTGCTATAAACCAACTAACATAGACGGCGGTGGAAAACTTCAAACATTTAGGTAAGTAATTTGTACTTTATGACGAATTTTCTGGCTTTTCAACTTGTGTTTGTTGTTTAAGATATTTCAATGGAATTTTTTTTTGGTAAAAAGAATAAAAAGAAATAAAAAAAATGCTCTAAAATAGTAGTAGTAGGTTTTTTCTTAATAAACAAAAGAATGGAACGCTGATCACGTAACATGCTTCCAGCTTAATTCTTTTTTGCCTATCGAAGCGAAAATTTTTTAATTGTCTAGGCCAAAACTTTTCTATTTCAAAATCTTACATTTAGTATGCTTATATCTAATTATAAATATTAAATTCACAAACTATAATACAAGGAAACAGCGTAACAGTAAAACGAGAAAATTTTATATTATCAGCCTGCGACAGAATATCCAAAATACGGCGTGACATGCCTTAACAACATTGAAAGTAATCTATAGCCCCTGAAACTTTTTAAGGAATGTTCTTTATCAGGGAACAGAAAAGGCGTAATGTCATATTAAATTAAGCGTAACATAGTTTTTACATAAATATCTTTACGACGTAATCTATCTTTCTGGCTAAAAGAACGTTCGAATATTCTTTATTATAATAAAAATAAAGTATTCAAGAACAGCTGAAGATACTTAAAATTATTCAGCTGACATTTAAACTATAGAAAAAATATAGCAACTTAATAAAATCCCCAATGTAAACCTACATATGAACAATATAAATAATATTCTCACAGTTCGTATTAATAATTTTCAGATCATTGATTAGTCTCTCCCTTTCCTAAATGCCCCTTTATAAATTAGATATGAGGACGTATTAAAGAGTTAATACGTTAAGCTATGTTTGTTCTGTTTATGTCAAACTCATAGAGTGTTAGTTATTTTTTTTAGCCAGGTTAATAGCCGATCGATTTTTTTTTTGGAAAAAACAAACATATGTGTAAATTATTATTTTATAATTTTTAATATTTATACAATTAGCCAAAATTCTTTAATTAAAAAAAATATTGAAAAAGGTACAGTTGCGCCATTTCCTCATTGAGTGTATGATTTTATTCTTTTCGATTTAATTAGATTCTCTCTCTCTCTCTCTTCTCGCTTCCCAGCTTTCAATAGCGTAATTTATTAAAAAGAGAAGGAGTAAGATATTTGGAGGAAGAGGAGAGGGGAGGGGGAGGAAAAAAACGTGACATTTAAGACAGAAATGTTTTTCTTATTATTTTTATCTCTCTTTTTTTTGCAACTGTCGTTCTTTCCACGGTGTGTTTTTTCTTCTGTTTTTTGCTGTTTGTTATTATTCCATTGCAGTAGAATGAGAAAAAATATATAGATTAACTGAAACAATATTAATTATAGTTGGCAATTATATTTCATCATTCTCCTCTTTGTTTTTATCGTCTTCTAGTTGTTCATAAAGAATATAGCGATATAATAGGAGAGAAAAAGATTTATTGTGTGTGTATTAATAAATGCTAAATAATAAAATAAAACACTCTTTATGAAATTAATTTTTATTAGACCTATAAATATTTACAAAAGAATTTATCGTTAGGCTAATTTTTTAAGATAGTTTTCTAGTTCAATTCGTATTAAGTATTGCTATATTATTTATGTCCATCTTTGACACCGCTTAAGGGCCAATGGCATCAGTCGTTATTATTGATCTTTAATAGGCTGAAAACGACAGCTTTTCAGTTATTTTGAAAAAAGAACTTTATACTAATCCAAGGCCAATATTTGTATACTTCTCTAATGAAAAAAAGAATTTGAAATGTCAGTTCATATCGTAAACAGATTCGAACAATTCCAAAGGGACTGAACGACAACGAAAAGAAAGCAAACGATAAAAAAGAGGACTGGCTACCAAAGACAAACAAACAATACAAACGGAATACTAAACGAAGGATAAGTGAAAAGGCGAAAAGTGAAAAGCAAATTCTGTTTATGAGAGAGAAAGAGAGCAAGCGGCTGTTGTGTATGCGTGAAAGTGAGAGCGAGAGAGAGGTTAAGACGAAAGAGAAAAAATTTATGAGCTCACGATGGATATCATCAATAATTCGACAAATTCGACAAATAGCAACTCGAGCTATTTTGGAGAATTTCCAAATTCCTCCAAGTTTTTGTATGAACTTTTGACTATTGCTGCTCTGATTGTATCAACTGTGGCCATAATAGCAAATTTTTTAACTGCTCTAGCAGTCCGAAAAGTAAAAAGTACGTCAGCGATGTCGTCTCATTTTCGCCTTGTACTAAACTTGGCAATTGGAGATGGTCTTCTGGCACTCTCAGTACTATTTCATCATCTTAACCAATCTCTCAATAGTCATTCTAGATCAAAGTGTTTTTACATGATAATAAAATCTTTAAATAGTACTTTTTTACTATTAATCCTCTTCAATCTTTTGGCAATGGCAACGGATCACTATTTTGCAGTTTTTAAACCGTTACACTATCCAACTATCTTCACAAAAGGCAGGACAACTATTCTTATAGGTCTATTATGGGCTCTATCAGCTATAAGCGGTTTCTCTGATTGGCTTACACCATTGGGTAGGCCGAAGAAACTAAACTACTGTCAGAAAGTTTATTGGACAAAATATAATGAGGAATACGTCGTTTTCGTCCTGGCCCCCTTCTGCTTCGTTCTAATGACACTCGTGTATATCAAAGTCTATGGGGAAGTAAAAAGGCAAAGAAATCGAATGGAAGCCGGAGGAGCGAACGAAATGCTAAGGAATAACAAGGCTTTATTTACAACTCTATTAATTATTGGTAGGTTAAGCTAAAAGCCCATTAAAAAATTTGTTGCACTCATATGATCAAATTACACTATAATATGTTATTATTACTTTTACATATACATATATAGATACCTACCTATGTTATATTGACGTTTATATAAGTTGCATACATTATTTTATATAATACTTTATTTTTAGCAGCATTTATATTGTTTCACTTTATTAATTTAGTAACATTTGCTGCTTGTTGGCTACCTCTCTGTTTCTACCAAGTAACTCTAATTGTTATATCACAAGTGAATGCGAAGCTACTCTTGGATAGAACTAACCTTCTCATGACATTGGATAAATGTATCTACAACATTATGCTTCTAAATTCAATCGCTGGTATAAAATTTGCAATAATTGATGGATTAATTAATTGCATTTTTTATGTCTCCAATACTAGATCCTATTATATATGCTGTCAGGATGCGAGAAGTACGTAAAGCCTACAGACGTTTATTCTGCAAACGCCCAATAAGGAGTTTTGATAGGTTGAGATATTTCCGAATTGGTTTAAAACGCAATTAAACAGTTTTTAATAAAAATTTTTATTCTCTTTTATTCTATAATTAGCATTGATAATACGCACTTAACCATCTTGATGAATAATGGTGAACAAACAACTGCTCAAGATTCTTATAAACTTCCCAACTTAAAAAGAACGTCTACATCATCCATTCCCTGCTATACTGATAAATCAGACAAGATGTCTCCAACCACCTAAGACTATAGAAATTTAAAAAAAAAAGCAAAACAAAACAAACAAAGTAACAAATACCAGCAAACAAACAAAAAAAGAGCAAAAAAAACAAACAAAATGTCACTAATATGAAAGTAATTGATTGTTGTTTACTTTTACACCTGCCTTGTATGAGAAATATCTGTTGTATTTCGTATACTTTTCTTTACTATATTAAAGAGTAAACCTAGAATACTCTTTTTTCCATTGTAGTTCACTTTCTATTATTTACAATTACTAAGTGTTTTTCTTTTTTTAAATGATCCTTTTCAATAAAATCCTGTTTTCTGTCCATAATACAGGGTAATCCCTGAAGGGTTTTTTCAAAAATCCTTTCCATAGTGATGTGACGTCTAAACGTTGAAACCATGCCCCAATTCATAATATTAGAGAGCAAAGCTCTTGGAGTCAGTTTATAAAGAGTCATCCTATACCAATTTTCTTAAACCTACAGGCTCAGTGTGTCGTATATTTCCTTTTATATTTCAAATATTTCTCTGTAAAGTAAAGAGGAAATGTATTTGTAAACAAGTTTCTTAATGGTTGTCAAAAATGATAATTAGCACCCTTTGAGTTAAAAATTTTCCTATTTATGGTGTAAATAATCAATAAAATATTTTGCATAGAAAAAGCAAGTCTTTCTCCACCTTACGCGTTTTTTTAAGTTCTCCCTGAAGTCCTCTCCTATTAACCCATGCTACTATACAAAATATAATCAAGTCTTCTTTCTCTTACTCACTCAACCAAAATTATACGCATGGGAAGAATCTTACTAGAACAGAAAACGTAAATACTCATTAATATAATCGAGAATGTGAGTAAAATTTGAAAATTTCCCATGGCTTTATTTCCATTAATATATAGTGCAATTCAGTAAAAAGAAAACGAAGGATTAAAGAAGATAAAGCAAAATAATGAACGTATTTATAGAAAAAAAAATTGATAAAAATTATAATTATATTAAGATTGAGTATCCGTAACCAGTGCATTTCTAACTAATAAATTCCACTTCTCGGGACAGAATAATTTGTATTCATTTACTTCTTCTTTCATCTATTTTGTCCTGTCCAATTTTCCTCTAGGCCATATTTTTGTTACATTTTAATTAAAAAGAATGCCCGCTATTTTGTATTCGTATATTTTCACGAAATGTTTTTGGTTTTGTATGGATATACACAATATACTAATGCACTAATATATATAGGCATATATTGTATATATTTAACTATCACTATATACAGTATATACATATATGGTTGTTTGCAGATAAAGAATTTAATACCCTACAAAGACGGGTTCTGAGTTATCTTAATTATCTGTGTTTGCATTTACAATGGTCTACTTAATGATCTTACTAAGAGATCTATTGTAACTGGACCTATACATCATACTAAATGTCATTAGAACGTTACTCAATCACCTAACTTGTTAAAAATTATTATTATGCAATAAATTATCATCCTCGTGCGGAATAAATGCTCTACTAATATTACTAAGTCGGCTTCCTTTTTGATAACCAAAAGCTTAAAGTCAATAACTCAAGTGTAAAATAAATAGATCTTGTGTCGTCTTCTTTTTTTCCCTCTGATTTAAAAAAAAACGTATTCCCCAATGAACTCCATTCTCATTCTTTATCTTCTAGAAGAAGGTCTTTTTTTTGTTCTTTTCTTCTCTCTTTTGTACTATGTTTAAAACTATTTATCACAAACCAAAGTAAATGTTTGCCGTAACATACTAATATCTTTTCATGTTGTCCTCGAATGATTAATTGGATTCTACAGCTTACTCAATGAATTAACTCTGACTTGCAATAATAATTGATTTATTAAATAAGACATACTTTTATCTTTAATCTCAAAAATGCAATGAGAAATATAATAACTTTTAACGTGTTCCTTTATTTATATATATATATATATATAAATTTTATACAGTATATATATAATTATATATATACATTAGTAAACTTCTTAAATACTACAGCTCTCTTTTTCACCTTCGTTTGACTCGGAACTTATACGTATCAATCAATTACATATTTTGATTAGATAAAAAATCCGAAATCATCATGAATGTCTTCCGTTCAAGTAGATAACATGGCGTTTAAAAAGATACCAGCTAAGCAGATTTCTTATAAATATTGGCTTGTCATTTACTTTGGTGCAGACTTGAACGAAAAAAGCTATGTCAGATATTAGGAAACTTTTAAAAGAAGCTACTATGGGCAGTCACGAGGAGGCGGAAAAGTCCTCTTTCATGATAGATATGCTTAAAGGCAGACTGACAAAAAAGCAATATGTCCTTTTTTTGGTTCAGTTGAGATATATCTATAAAGCTTTGGAAGAAGAAAGTGAGAAATTGAGAGACTACGAATTGCATGCAAGTGTGTATTTCCCGTCCGAATTATACAGATTCCAGAATATAAGTGCCGATTTAAACTATCTTGATCCCAAATGGAGCAGCTACGAAATCTTAAAATCAACTAAAAAATACGCTGAAAGGATTCACGAAGTCGGCATTCGGAAGTCTGCTAGGTTTCTGTCTCATACCTACGTTCGTTATATGGGGGATGTATCAGGTGGACAAATGATCAGATATAAACTAAGAAAGGCCTATCAACTTCCTGAGAATGGAGACGGTTTAAAATTTTACGACTTTGAGAATATTAATAATATAAAAAATTTTAAAAGTTTATACTTCTCAAGATTGAATGAAGTTGTTCAAAATGAAGAGGCAATTAAAGAGATTTTGGACGAAGCCAGATTAGCGTTTAAAATGAATATTAATCTTTTTAACGAATTATCTAAAGTTGTTTGCTAGAACATTCTTTCATGTCTTTACACTAATAACTTTATATACAGTTCGAATAACATGCTTTATATAGCTTATACCTATAAATAGATTGATGCTTTTAGTTGTTGTTGTTTTTGGTAGAAAAAGAAGAATAGTCAACAAAAATAATATTACACCGTGTACTTTCTATCAAGATATATTTCTTTCTTCAATTATTACTATAAGGCTTTCTAGCTTCTTTCTATCGAAAATTCAGGCCTATAAAAACGTAATTCCGATTTATTTGACTGTAATTGAAAAAGTTGATAGACTATATACTGGAAAAAAGGAATTTATAGATTTTTATAGCTAAAGGTAACGTCTATTAGAAAAAAGGAAATAATTTCATAAACGATATAACTAATAAAGAATTTTCAATGGATAAAAAGATTTCTTTCATTGAAAGCACTATTTCTCTATTAAATGAAGTGTAAAATAATAATTTTTGTCTCTTTCTAAATTTGCGTTAGCTCAGTATTTTATTTATTATACAATATACAATTTTATTGTGATTATTAACGTTTTATCAATTTTTCATTTCCTTTTCAAAGCGCTTATACTTCTATTTTGAAAGAAAATATCAATTATTACCAAAGGATTATATTGTTGATTATTATTATTATAAAATTAAGACTAGTTTGCTCTGTACTTACTTTCCAAAGTTTTCACCTTCTTCTATAGTTTCCGGAAGTTTTCTATTTAAAGTTTCCGGAAGTAGAAAAGTGAATAATCCCGATAAAGTTGCAAATAAACCGAAAATTGTTGTAGGAAGAGGCTTCCATACATTTGATAATGGTCCTCCAACGTACGGTGAGGCCACTCCGCTAATTCTAGCAATCATTGAACCCCAACCTAATCCTACATTTCTCACGCCAGTTGGAAAGAGTTCTATCGAATAAATATAAGTTGAACCAAAAGCAATAGATACTCCAGATTTCGATATAATTGCAACGGCCGTTCGATATCCTGTAGGAGCTAATTAAACGAGGTATTTTAATAGAGCTATTACTTTCAATAGAAGCGAAAGAACTGTACTATTTGTAACAATTAAGGGTATTAAAGTTATGCTAAGTACCCCTGCAAATATTAAGCTCCAACCTACAGTAGGTCGTCTTCCTTTAGTTAATAGCCAAATACCTAGAGTGAATTACTGAGTCATTAAATTTCTTTTCACTGGAATGAAAACAAAGGGTGATTACTAACCAGATAATTTCGATGGTATCTCAATAAATGCTGATAAGAATGTATTCAAGAAAATATTACCCGCCAACTGTCCTGTGTTTAAAGATAAACCGTAATACATAAGGCTACAAGTGAACCATAAAAGGGACACAATTATTGTTTTCTTTCTTATATTGGGAGTTCGAAAAAGATCTACGAGTTTTCCCTGTCTCTGTTCATTATTTTTATTATCAAAAGTAATCTTTTGAGGTGGATTTCGTCCATTAATTATAGCAATTCTTTTTAAAATTTTCTCAGCCTTGTCAACTTTTCCCTGAGAAACTAGCCATCTTGGTGATTCATCCAATAAAAATACATATGACAACATGATTAAAGCAGGAGTAATATAAACGAATTGGAATGCTCTGTGATCCCTTATAAGGTAAGCAATGCCTGGTAGAAGAGCAAATCCAAGTGAAAAGAATGACGTCCAAGTCATACCAACCATTGCTCTATATTTTTTATCTATTATTTCTTGCACTATGAAAGAGAATACTATTTATAAGGATCATATAAAACAAGAATAGTAAGGGACAAAGTGAGTTTATTCTTACTAAGTACATAAGCAGCTATTCCGCTTCCTGTTGTTCCGATAGCCATAATGAATCTCCCAAAGCAAAACAGAATTAAATTGCTGGCAAAAGTCGCCAAATAGCCCCCAATTAATTTAATTATAATAAAAATTACAATTGCTGGTTTACGACCCCATTTATCTGAGATTGCTCCAGCACTAATTGCGCCAAAAAATCTCCCTGTCATATAAATAGAAGATACTAATTGAATTGTCCAACTTCTTCCGCATACTAAATTCCATTGGCTATTTATAGTTGAAACAAATATACTCTTATCGAAAACCCAGCCGTTATTACATTCGGAATAAGAATTTACATTGGGAAAGGTTGCTTCCACCTTTTGTCTGTCTGTTTCATTCCATTGTAAAAAATCGGATATACTATAAGACGAATAGTTTAGGGGGAAAGTCTTGCATTGAACATAAGCAGATTTTGAGGAGCCGTTTGGTATAGCTATAAGCTTTTGGCGTCTAAAGGATAGTCTCTGCAGTTCTGGTACTTTGCACCAGTGTTCTTGTTTGCCACCAATAAAGTTCATAGCCATTGCTTCTGCGCCCAAGATTTCTTCTAATATAAGTATACAGAATAAAAAGAATTGGTAATAGGATAAACCTCCAACACATTCCAGAACATCGTCAAACTCCATGTTTACAAATATTTTTCGATATCTTCAATAGATAAGAGATTAGACCAAGTTAACGATATGTAATTGAAAAACCCGCCAAAGCAATAAGCTACACCTGGTACCTGTCTTCATTTAGAACTCTATGACAGATACCAGTCTTCTTTATTTTAAATCTTTGTTATATTTGATTCATCTGCTTTTATCAACTTACTTTAAGTTTTCATATATTAAATATAAAAAATACTATTTTTATAGTAAACCCACTGCAAAGCTATTTTCTCATTGCTGTACTAAAATTATTATCGTTTAACTTTCAGGGACATCTAAAAACTGTTTGTTGCTCGAGTAACATATTGCTGGCTTACTCTTGCCAAAAAGAATATCATAACTTTTACATAAGATTTATTTTTTAACTGTTATCTATTCTGTCAAATTCTTCAAGAGATTAGTTTTTTAGAGTTTGAAACAGGTCATCGATTAAATTATAACCGATTAATCGAAAATACGATTAATCGTAATAGCGCATGCTGGGTATAGCATTACACGTGACTTACATACGGCTTTCCATTCAGCGTGAACCGCGTGATTGAATTGTTGAATCTGCAAAAATCTCGTTTGTTTAAGTCTACATTCCCTGTTTTTGTTACAAATATGAAAGTTAAGGGCAGCAAAGATAAGCAGGTAAGATGTTGTACATTAACTATTCAAAGATAGAAGAATAATTACAGGCAAAGAAAAATGCCGAAAGTTCCCACGTGCTTGACATGGGAGACCGCATGTTTTGGCTTAAATGCTAAATAAAGTTGAGCGACGGCCGCTCATCAGCTAATTTGGCTGAAATGTAGCGATATGATCAAAAACGTACATTTTTTGAATCTATTTAAAAGGCGAAATACATTGAGAGACCGTTTTCAGTGGGTAAGGACTCGCATGTCGGCGAAAGTTATCGAGGTCACGACGCAAATTCCTTAAGAAAGCTTTAAATTAGAGACCAAGCCACTTAACCATACAGTCTAAAACCAGAAAACAACCTATTTACTAATAATTTTGGTTAAATGAATCGGAACCCTCAAAAAGGAAATTCTTGTAGAATTTTAGGGTAAGTTGTATATTTAGGCAATGTAGAAGTAGATGTACAACTCCCCATACACACAGTAATATGTGGCAACGTGTAGCCATATACTCAGCTTACATGTAACTTTTCATACCACGTTTTATTAATTTTATTCTTCGACAGAAAAAGGAGAAGAAAGATGTCCCTCCCAAGGAAGAAGAAAGCGAGGAAGAAGTCTTAGACAGCGAAGAAGAAGAAAAAAAGAAAAGCAGTAAGTTAAAAAAGACTTCTTTCCTACGAAAGTAACATGTCGTTCTATTATTCAGAGAAATCGAAAAAGAGCAAGAAAGATAATAAGAAAAAGAACAAGAAAGAAAGTAGTGATGAAGGTTCTGATGAAGAAAGTGAGAAAGAAGATAAAAAATCTAAAAAACGTAAGGCTAAGGCAGAGAAAGAATCTATCCCTTCTAAGAAGGCCAAGAAATCCAAGAAAGCAAAAGAGTCGTCTTCAGATGAAGATTCAAGTGACGAAGATGAGAAAAAATCCAAGAAACGTAAGGCAAAGTCCGAAAAAGAAGAGGTTCCCTCTAAGAAATCTAAGGACAGTAGTTCCGAGGATGAGGAATCAGGTGAAGAAAAAGAAAATGGTACGTCTTTAAATATAAATTAGCTGCAAAGAACTATGCTAAATATATACTTATCAGGTGCAAACGGTACAACTGAAGGAAACAAGAAAATATTCGTCAAAGGTGTAAGGGATTTGACTGAAGATCAGTTAATCAAATTCTTCAAGAAGAAGAAGATCCCATTGGAAAATGTTGACAAAAAAGAAGACAAAGATTTTGCGATAATAACTCTGGAAAATCCTCTAGATATGGATACTGCAACTGGTCTAGATGCCTCAGAATATAAAGGATGTACTTTGTATATAAAGCAGGATGGACAACCCGACACCAAAAAGGAAGATAATTCTTTTGTAGCAGAAAAGAGTGAAGATAATGGATTTGAAGGTACGTTCATTGTTAGGATTAAGTTTTTGCATTAAGAAAAAAATGATGAACAGATGACGAGTCTGAACGCATTATGCAAATGTAGTCTTAGGCATTTGGCCTGATTATTAAGAATATATAGGGAAATGCTACCTAAAATTAGGACAATTATTTAACAATATTTATTTTTACAGAAAAGGATAAAAGAACGCTTTTTATTAAAAATATCGCCGATAGTGTAACTGAAGATGATTTGTACAACGTCTTCAGTACTGCAACTGATGTTAGACTCGCAAAAGACAAGCAAAATGGTTATGGCCATAGAGGGTAAGTCATTTTCTAATAAAGTTGTCAAATAAGATATTTGCGGTGATGAATCGAAAAGCTACCTTAACATTTGATAGGCTTAAAGCCTATGATCTTAACATTTCGAGGCATTTGTCTGAGAGTTTTATTAGACAACGAGAACGCTAATATTCTCTTAAGAAAATATTTTTAAAAACTTGAACGTTTTTAGATTCGCTTTTGCCGAGTACGAGACTGAGGCTCAGGTTGAGACAGCTCTCAATGAAAACCAAGGACACACTTTGAAAGGTAGATCGTTGTTTTTGGATTTTTGTGGTTCTAAGAGCAAGAACAGCAAGGGACCTAAGAAATCATTTGATGGTGGTAATCGAGGCAGTAGCTCCAGTACACTATTTGTGAAGAATTTGAGTTTTGATACAACTGAAGAAGGTCTTCAGAAAGCAATGGGAGGTACTGCAGCTCGCATTATTACTCACTCAGATACTGGTAGATCGAAAGGTTTTGGATATGTCGAGTTTGATTCAGAAGAGGATGCTAAGAAATGCTTGGAGGAGAAACAAGGATGTGACATAGACGGAAGAAGTGTATTTGTCGATTTCTCAACACCACGCGGAGGAGGAGGAGGCGGCGGCGGCGGCTTCAGAGGAGGTCGTGGGGGTGGATTTGGAGGTGGCGGCGGCGGTGGATTTAGAGGTCGTGGCGGTCGCGGCGGTGGAGGATTCAGAGGAAGAGGTGGTCGTGGAGGTGGCGGTGGATTCAGAGGTAGACCGAGCACTGGGGTTCAGCAATACGCGGGAAAGAGACAAACATTTGATTAATTTTATGTTCACTTAATTAAATAGTTCCTTTCTTATGTGCGTTTTGTCATATTTCCAAAATTCAAATAAATACAATTGTATCGATTGCTAATAAATACAACTTTTATTCATCTAAAAAAAATATCAAAAATAAAAGCATTTCATTAAAACGAAATGGTTTTACTCGGTCGAGTCAAACTCGTCGCACTCAGAGACTCCGCTGGAATCCGTGTATCTAAAATAAATAATAGAATTAAATAATTTGTTTTTTTATTTATATAAAACAGACAACCTTGGGGAACATTTGGATCCTTTTTCCAAGTAGTTTTGCAATCTACCAGTAGATGCTAAAATTAATCCTAAATAGGGGGGAGAGGGTTTCAGAGGTCTTGAAATATATTCTGGGTGATACTGAACAGCTACGTAATATTGGTGATCCTCTAATTCCAGTATCTCCATTCTTTGTCCATCAGTGGAACGTCCAACAAACTTAAGGCCATGCTTTTCTAGCTCATCAACAACTTCTGGGTTAACCTCGTACCTGTGTCTATGTCTCTCTTCAACATAGTCATGATCTCCGTATAATTTTCTTATAACCGAATTATTGGCCGAAGTCGTAAAGTTTGTTCTCCTTTGACCGAGTCGCATAGTTCCTCCCATCTAAAAAATGTAGGTTACATTTTTTTAATGGTACTATTGACCTTTATAATCTCGTATCTAAAAAAAGAATAAAAAAATAGGAGCAGTTTGATATGCTTACAATTCCAGGATTGTGTTCTGGCATTTCAATGACGACAGGTTTACTGGTCTTAGGATTTGCTTCAGTTGTATTAGCATCAGCATATTTTAAAACATTTCTAGAGAATTCAATAACTGCACATTGCAGTCCAAGACAAACTCCCAAGAATGGTTTATTCGTTGTTCTGGCCCATTTAGAGGCTAAAATTTTGCCTTCCATTCCTCTCATACCAAATCCACCAGGTACAAGGACTCCATCAGAACTACATAATGCCTGCCAAGCTTCATGATATTTAACTGGTTCTTTTACTTGCGTTGTTAATTCCAGATCATCAGCCTCAATATAGCTGTCGGTGGAAATTTTCGCTATCATATATGTTTTTAAGTGAATATTAGTTTAGACTTACTGAATTGTTAATCGATGATTAACTTTAAGGGCAGCATGTCTTAAGGACTTTATTACACTTGCATAGGAGTCTTCAAATTTAGTATACTTTCCTACTAAAGCTATACGTACTTCTTTTTGCACTGTGTCGTGTTTATTTGCTAAATCTCGCCATCTGGCGAGGGCACTCTTATTGCGTTTTAAAGGAAGGCTTAATCTATTTGTGAAATATTCAATCAAATTTGCATCTTCCAAAAGAGGGGGCACTTTATAAACGGATGATGCATCAGGAACACCTATAACACATTCTGGTGCAACATCACAGAAAGTTGAAATCTTAACTCTACTCGACTCATTTAGTACGGAAGTACAACGAGCCATTATTAAATCAGGGCACAATCCCAAACCACGTAATTCTCTAACGCTTGCTTGCGTTGGTTTTGTTTTCTGTTCTCCAGTAGCCTTTGGTTCAGGAACCAGACTGACATGCACAATGCATAAATTTTCTTTACCAACTCTTCTTTGAAACTGTCTTAAGGCTTCCACAAAAGGCATACCTTCTATATCACCAATTGTACCTCCAAGTTCTATCAAGCATACTTCAGGTTCTTTTTGATCTTCAGGATCTACAGGGACAACAGCTACTTTTTCTATCCACTCTTGAATAGCATCAGTAATGTGAGGTACAACTTGAACTGTTTTTCCGAGATAATCACCACGTCTTTCCTTCTCAATCACAGATTTATAAATTTTTCCAGTTGTAATGTTGTTGTCTCTATGTAATGTAACATCTAAAAATCGCTCATAATTTCCTAGATCCAAATCCACCTCGCCTCCATCGTCTAATACATAGACTTCTCCATGTTCATAAGGCGAAAATGTGCCAGCATCGATATTTATGTATGGATCAATTTTAATAGATGTAACTCTAACGCCATGTGACTTCAAAAGTGTTCCAATCGAAGAAGAAATTACGCCTTTCCCAATACCACTAATCACACCACCGGTCACAAGAATATATTTCATACTAGAGGCAAGGCTGTGGTAACTTCGAGCTACCTGTCTAGAATAAAAATGCGAATGAAACTAGTTGCTAAATTTATAGTCGATGACTCGTGATTGGCTAACGGGATTGCTGAATTGTTAATTGTTGTATACTAGCCTACTTTTGTAGTTCTATGACCTATACATGAAAAACCTGGTGAAACAATCACGCGTGTTTTCCACGTGATTGCTTATTGATTTAAACATTTAATATCGCTCGCCGAATCAATAAAAAGGAATAGTTTTAGAAACTATGAGAATAAGAAATGCTCTTATGAATTATTGTACTTAAGAACACGTAATACTTACCGAGATAATTGGAGAAGTATTTTGACTTTAGTTGACAAAGGTCTACTGTGAAATATAAATTACGCACTTTGAAGCGAAAGTGGTTCCATGTGAAAGTATTTCCTGGAGCAGGACATCTCATAGTAGTATTATTTTATAATAATTTAACTAAATTACAAATAGAAAAAAAAATTAAAGTGTTACAAACAGAAATAAAAGACTTGAAAAAGCAATTTTCTTTCGTATAAATATAGAATATTCCTTTTTTAACAGGGGTGTCAACTTTTTTGTATATAATTATAACAATTAATAAGAAAGGACTCACTTAATAAACTGGACCATAGTCTGGTTTCGGCGGGAACGACTCACTATCCGCCATTTACTTTCCTGCTGCCGTCTGATCATTAACCATGTGTGGCTGATAGAAGATTCTGATGAAGAAGTCGAATTTAATTTTGCTAGCTGATTTCAGAATGAATCAAGTAATTTAATGACTTTCTTTTACGAAAGCATCAAGTGTAATGACCCCGCAGACGATAATTTGACGTGAAGCGAAAACACGTGGTCGAGTAAATTTCGGGTAAGTTGTATCCTCTTATATCTTTGAAATAGTTTGCTATGAACATGATGAAACGTTGGAAGTGCCGTCAGAAACTATATGATCGACAATATAACTTACTGAAAATTTTTATTTATTAGATAAATTTCATTCTTTATACAATTCCATTATAAAGTATTCCCTTTGATTTCAGGACGAAAGATACAAGTGAGAACGAGCCGAGAAACTATTCAGATTTAACTGTTTTAACGACATGTCGTCTAAATATTAAATATAATGTTATTGTTGCCGCCAATGGCGAAACCCAATAAATAAATATATGCTCTGATTTTGTTAAACCAGAGCAACCGAACATTTGGTTACTAGCGTTTACCGGGTTGGCGAACATTCCAGTAGCCTTTACACCTGTTATAGTTATGATAACGTTCCATAAAACATATGTCCATGTCTTTAACTCGATTTTCCTCGAAGTCAGTAAGAACAGAGGCAATCCCCTATCTGCAATAGTGCCTAAATATTCGACTAATGCAGCAGAATATACAGATATTGGAAGAAAATTTGCACAGCCATTATCAAATGAACTTAGACGTCGTTCATGAGCAGTAGTCAGGCGTAGAGACCAAATTGTATAAGCTAGATAAAAGCTGCCAAGTCCTGCAAGTAATTGAATAAAACATATTAACATTAGTCTTCTCAATCCAGTTCTTGACGTGAGATAAGCGTAGACTGTCGTGCAAACGTTACTTGTTTGTAAATCTTCTAAAACAGAAGACAGATAGCAACCAACAATCCACATATGAAGACTATAGACATACCTAAGTATTATCAATTATTATTACATAATGGCTTGATATTATATCTACAACGCATACCATCCATAACTTCCAAATACAACTGCATTCTCCAAGCTGCAAGCACACATTTGAAACGAAGCGACAGCAATGCGAAGATAAAGTCGTTGATTAGACGGTAGTTTGTTAATTATAAACCGTGCCAAACGGCATAAAATTGAGACAAATATTAAATATATTACCGAACCTAATATAGGTACATCCATAATCAACAACTAACAGTAGTCTTCGCAAAGCCAAATAAGACCGATACAGTTGATATTGCGGCCTAAACGTTTTGTGTCACTTTGGCCATAACAGCTGGTTAGTGTCTCTTACAATGCTATTTATATGTCATCTAAAAGAGTTAATACTTTTAAACAATTCCTTGAAATTTTTCTATAAAAAGTTTCATGTTTATACTCATCTCAGCACATCTATTCAAGATCTCTTCAACATTGTTCATATCTTCTAAAACTATTGAAATAATAATACTATAAACTAGAAATATTGATATGACTTGTATTTTGATTGATTATTAAAAATATGTTAATATAAGTCTGAAGCGTTTATACATTCTCTTGACTGTCAATATTAGTATATATACAGTGTATACATGCATATCTGTGTATACATTATTTCTCAGTACGTATTGACTACTACAACGATGGAAATGAAATCTCTCGAATGTTTTACTGATTCATAAAACAGATTAAATCAAATTCAAATTATTTCGCGCCATATTTTACTTTCCGTTTACATTGTGCGGTAAAATACAACAAAAGACCTTGACCTTTTTACCAGCTGCTAAAAGTCCCGTTTAATTCATATTCTTAATAGCGAAGTTAACATGCCGGTTAGTAGTATTATAAATAAAATTTTAGAATGTTTATATTACATATTAATCTTGGATTTAAATAATTTCAGAAATTAGAATACGACTTTGCTATGACTTGCGAGGGCTGCTCTAAGGCCGCACAGAGAAACTTGGCTAAAATAGGAGGTAATAGATAATTTAGTGACTGACTATCACAACTCTGATAATACACATTTTTTTTAATTCTATTTCTAGTGAACGATGTTGAAGCAGATTTGGCCAACAAAAAGCTGTACGTGACCACAGATATCGATCAAGAAAAGGTTTTGGAAGCTTTAAAAAAGACCGGAAAGGAAGTTTCCCTTTCCAAAGTTCATTAATAGGTCACAAGAACAACTTAATGAGAACAATTAATTAGTATTTTATTGTATCTAGCTTTTAGAAGTATTTGATTCGTGTTTTTACAAGAATTTTAAAAAATATGATCAACTAAAGTAAATAAGAAAACATACAGACTATTTGATTTATTAATTTCCAATAAATGGACATTTATAAAATTATGACTTTTTTCACGTTTTTTATCAGTGATGATAATCGAAGATAAAAAAGTACTAGCTATAATGTTTACTCTACATGTATGACGTTTTTTATAAAAGTTCTTTGATAGTCAGATTATTTAGATATCTTTATTAGAGACAATTGACTCTTATGACCTTCGTTTCACCTAAAGTACCATTTCGAACGCTATAGGGAAAATTTCTATATCTGCTGCATGAAGCACCTGATAGCAGAAAACATATAATCTTAATCACATTTCATTTTTACATGTACGTACCTGTCTCGCCATCTTTGTTTACAGCAATAAGAGCTCCTGAAAAGTTTGGGTAATGTCTTGTAATGCGACCGATAGCTGTTCTAGCAGCCTCAGTTGGACTTGCTCCCCGTCTCATTTCTTCGACAGCTAAGAAACTTGGTAGAAATCGCATCATGACATCTCCGTCTCCTGTTGCCGCTGCCCCTCCAACCTCATTATCGGCATATGACCCAGCTCCAGCAATTGGGGAATCTCCTACTCTCCTATTTGTAGGTTGATGATTAATAGCTGTAATTTTTAAAGATAATAACTTCTAACCCTGGAACCTTCCAAGTTAAGCCGTTTGTGGAAGTACCGGCAGCTATATCACCGTCATTGTCAATAACAACCATACCAATTGTATCGTGGTTGGTTCTTGAGGCTGACGTTCTCCTATTACCTCCATAAAACTTATAAGATATCCTATCTGCAGGAGAATATGGTCCACAGCTAGTTGTTGGATCGGGTCTCACATTCTGAAGGAAACTAATATAAATACAAACTCTGATATTTGAGTCATATATAAAAAATTATTTTACCCTTCGAAAATTTGGTTGGCAATTATTTTCAACCCATCGCTCGTGTCGTTTTGCTGTTTGCGGTGTTGACAAATTTGATATCTCAAAATTCATCGATTGAGCAAATTCGGTGGCTGAATTTAAAGAACATTTTTCAATACTAAGATAATAACATTACCGGGACGGTTAATAGGATAAGAACCTAAATCTCCTACAAGTAAAGTATGGGTTGTATATTGCATAACGGCTTTTGCTACCGCAATGGCATCTTTTACACGTCGTAAACCTCCAACTGAGCCCACATCGTGCGTAACGCTGCGATTGACAAAGATAAATATTCTTAAGTAAAGACGGCTGATTTAAAGATTTATGATGATTACCCATCCATGATCATGGCATCTAAAGTAGTTTCTCCATGTTCATCTGGAGACCCACCATAGCCGACTGTACCATCGCATCGTTGGCGTTCGCATCTACTGCATCCTGCTACAACTGCATCAACTGCCTTTACCCGTTGAACAGTTAGGGCATTCCATGCTATCGAATTTACTGATTAGAATACGAAACTCTCTTAGCTTCAAGAAACTAAACCTGCATCGGTCGCATTAACAAAAGGCCAAGTGTTAATGACTATTGGATGAAGAGCTATGGTATTTTCAAGACATACTGCAACGAACAGTACTTGCAAAAGAGACTGTGTATACATGTTTACACCAGCTTCACTTCTGATCATGTGACCAAGAATTTGTCTAATGTCACATGACCATCAAAAAGGCGGGACAATTACTATTTTGGTCTTTTAATCATGTATGTTGTGATAAATATGGATACAAATACTGATAATAAATATTTAGAAAGGAAACATTGTAAAAAATATTCGGGCTATGTTTAACTATTTAGTTCCAATTGATATTTTAACTATTAAGTTCTCGGTATATTCTAAAATAATTATAGAAAGATTTTTTAATATTTGATTAAAAATAAATAAATTTATTAATCAAATTTTAACAATTAAATAGAACCTAATAATATGGCAAAACTGCTTAAAAGGTGCCTAAATGAGAAACGAACATTTGGTCCTAAATTTAGAGATACTGTATGATAAAAAAAGAGGACGTTAGCCGTTTTTAGATCAAAAGAACTTTATGTGGAATTAAATGGATAGTATAACAAACTATCAATCCTCGGCATTTGTTGTTTTGACCTTTTTTAAACATGTTTTCTTTCATACATGAATACTTAAAATAGAACATTATTCTAAGACATTCGCAAACGAAAAAAATATTCTATTTGGTTCTTAATTTTATACTTTAAAGCAAAAGAACAGAGAAAATAAAAAGAATTATTACATTGTGTTGTTGTTCTTCTAAGAATACTTGAAACAAACAAAATCTCTTTTTATCTACCCTTGTTCGAAGATTTTAAAGAATTGTCGTAAATGAAAAAAATTAAGATAAAGAGTAATTTATTCGAAAGCAAAGAGTTGTATAGATTAAGATTTTAATACTCTTTTTTCCCAAACGAAATATCATGTTTAATAGACCATATCTTAAAAAATAGCATATTGTGTTTTTTATTTTAAATTTACCGCGGTACAGAAAATCTATAGACTCGAGAATATTTCTGGCGAAATTCGAAAATACGTATATACATCTGTGCTTATTGATCAACTTCGATACAATACCATTTTTTTTCCGTTGCTAAATATTTTTAATAGTATTGAATCACATCCGTACAACATGGCGTCTCCAACTGATGCTGGACCTGTACAAGAAGTAGCAACAGATCAGTATAGCCCAACTACAGGTTGTCATAAATTTTCTATATTGTTGATAATAAGATTATTAATTCTGTTAGATGATAAAGATAAATTGATCCTTGGTAAGAACCCAGAAAGATCTGAATTATCACCTTTGCAGATTCAAGATTGCAATCAGTAATTATCAAAATTTAATTATAAAATGTTTCAATTTGTTATCTTAATCGTAATATGGATTCTAGAACACCACAACCTCCAAGTGAAACTTTAAAAATATTAATAGTCTCGTCAATAATCTTCTCAGTCGGTGTTACTGTAGCTCTAATTCTCACAATTTATCTTGGTCCGCCACAGGTATAATTTCTATCTTGATTATTCTTGTTGACTAATGACTAAATTTCTTTGATTAAAAAGGTAGAACCAACTGGAGCAGTTGTTTGTGATGTTCCCAAGTGTTCAGATTTAGGAAGGAAAATACTCGAGGATGGGGGCTCAGCCGTTGATGCAGCTGTTACTACAACTTTATGCGTTGGTTTAGTAGATGCCCAATTTTCAGGAGTTGGAGGGTTTGTTAATAATTACTCACAGTAGTCCGAAAAATAGTATAAAAATGTTATTAGGGGTGGTTTCATGGTTGTGAGAAAACATAAACAAGATGTGAATTTGGCTATCGATTTCCGTGAAACAGCTCCTGGAAAAACAACAAAAGAGATGTTCAAAGGAAAAGAAAACTCACTATTTAAAAATGGATTATCCGTTGCTGTACCAGGGGAGATTAAAGGACTATACGAAGCTCATCAGAAATTTGGACAGTACGTTTGAAATCTTTTCAATTATATCTTTTTGTTTATCTGAATTGCTTATAGAAAAAGCTGGAAAGATGTTGTAATGCCAGTTGTGAAATTAGCAAGAGATGGTTTTGAGGCTACTGCTGATATGATTAGGGTTTTAGAGAAAGAGAAAGACCTCATAAAGAATACTTATGCAGATCCACAAAAGCATTTAAGAACTAATTATTTTAATGGAGAAAACATAATAAAGAAAGGAGATAAAATTAAAAGAACCGTGTTCGCAAATGTTTTGGAGAAGGTTGCTCTAAACGGACCTGATGCATTCTATAAGGGTCCTATTGCTGAAAATATTGTTAGTGCTGTAAATAAAAGTGGTGGAATTATGACATTATCGGATCTTGCCAATTATAAAGTTAAGACTTATGTACCGGTTACTTCAGAGTTTTTAGGGAATATTCTACATATGCCTAGCTTTCCCAGTGGAAGTCCGGCAACAGCTTTAATCTTAAATATCTTAAAGAAGTACAAATTAAAAAAAGCTGATAAAAAAGATCCTCTTTTTTATCATAGATTTATTGAAGCTACTAAATTTGCAAGGTCTCTCTGGCTAAATAAATCAGGGGATTTAATGAACAATGAAGAACCTAAACACCTTGTTACTTCTGTGTTTCTCAAGTAATTATATCTAATTTAGTAATTTGATTTTTTATCATTTTTGTTTTTTTTATTTCATTCATTTAACAGCGAAACAGTTGCTGAAAGGTTAAAAGATTTAATCAATGATAATTCCACAAATGATGAGGACTTCTATAAATTTCCAAACGAGCCATTATCTTTTGGTACTTCACATATTTCTGTTATCGGCCCTTCAGAGGATTTAGTTTCTCTCACAACGTAAATTGAATTTTAGAAATTTCATTCGTGACTTGTAAACTAACCATACCATTCTTTCTAGGACAATAAATATGCATTTTGGAGCAGGAGTAGTAACAAAAGATGATGTTATTCTGAACAATGAAATGGCCGATTTCTCTATTCCGGGATTACATGAAGACGAGTTTAATTTTCCTGAACCTTTTAAAAGACCCAGATCTGCAATGGCTCCAGTTATTTTAAGGAAAAAGGACTCTCAGTGTGGCCTGAGATTAAGTGTTGGGGGCGTGAATGGTAGCAGGATTTTTCCAGGTGTAGGACAAGTAATATCAAACATAGTCGGACTGCAGATGAATATATCGGAAGCTATAAAAGTACCAAGATTGTTTCCTGTCGTAACTACGAGGGTTGTTGAATATGATCGACCGGATGAAATAGGTGGTCTTAAAGAAGCATTAGAAAAGAAAGGGCATAAACTTAAAATAGATAACAATGGAGTTAACTTGGTAAATTTAGCCGGAAAGTTAGATGAAGATATCATTGGATACGCAGATCCAAGACGTGCTGGAAAAGCTTCTGTATTTTAGGATAGACATTCCAAATTTCTTTATTTAAAATAATAAATCGCAAATATTGCTCATATAAAAAAATTATTAAACTACTTTTGGTCCATTAAGATTTTCTTAAATTCACCACCTATAGCTTTGGAGAGGGGAGGAGGAACTGCATTTCCAATCTGTTAGAAAATATATCTAATTTAATTAGAAAATTTATATAACCTTTATCTTACTTGTCGATAACGTTCGGGTATTATTCCGCAAAAAGTAAAACTATCAGGGAATCCTTGTGACCTAGCATTCTCTCGAACACTTACGACTCTATCTTGATTTGGATGAACTACGCGACCTTGCTTTGCCATAGGATCTGGATTTGTCACAGTTGTGATAAAATGTCCATTCCAGTCTAATCTTCCATATAAACCAGTCCAATCGTTATGCCGATTTCCAGTATGGGGAAGACACCAAGGTATTAGAGTATCCTGTTGGTTTAAATCCTGGCATTTCAGACCTTCTATTTTCCCCTTTACAGTTGCACATTTACAAACGCCTCTGAGCTCTCCATTAGGTCCTCTTCCATTCTGAATATCATCATATTCATATACCAGCTTTTTAATAATTCTTCCATCTTGGAGTGTGATCTCTATATTTGGAATATCTCTCCAGTCAGATTTAGGACTTTTAGGTACATGTTTAATCCTTTCAATTACAAGCACATTGAGGGGTTTACAGATATGATCAAAAACTGTATCACCTGTATCTTTTCTCAACTGATTATGAATAAACATTTCAGAAAAATAACAATTGCAAAGTAAATTGTTCAAGTTTCTCTTACCAATCTTTGATAATGCGAATCAGGTAATCCTTTATACTCTAGTTCGGTATGAAGGTCTCTTTGATTATTCTCAATTTTTGGCAAATCCATTATGGCATCACGGACAGTAATTGTGCGAAGAGGAGCGTATAAATTTTTAAAACAGATTCCAAACTGTAAGGTTATATTTGATAATAGTGATAACAGATAAATCATTATAAATTAATATTTATTCAATCAACCTTCATATTACCAGCAGATAAATTAAGCCCTGAGAAGGAAAATGCATGCGTAGGTTCAGGAAAGTTAGGTAACTTATGACCAGGAGCAGCACCAATAATAAATGCTCTGAAAAGTTAAGGAAACCTTCAGTATTAAAGGTAAATAATTTTATGAGATTACAACCTTCTTCTACTTTGTGGAATTCCATAGCAACCAGCTTGTAAAATACCAAAACGGCATTGATATCCCATTTTCAACAGAGCTGTAACGGTTAACCTAAATACTTCGGACTTTTTGTGAACGAAAAATGTTCTCACATTTTCCATGATTATGTACTTTGGCCTATAAAAGTCACAGTAAGAGTAAAATGACGCTATAAGAGAATTCTTAAATTTTGAATAGTCTCTTTTATTAAATCTATTCATTCCAGAGAATCCCTGACACGGTGGTCCTCCACAAAGTAATTCAACTTCTCCTGGCTTGGGATACGGTGTATCTGTACCCTTTTCATAAGCCTCCAAAGCTTCATCGAGAAGTTGATTACAATCTAAGTTATACACCTTTGCATTTGGAAATCTTTTTTGATAAGAGTTTGCTGCATCTGTATTAAATTCAATGGCCCATTTTGCCTCGCTAATTCCTGACTGATGCAATCCTTCGGATAGTCCACCGCAACCAGCAAAAACATCGAGAGTTACTAATTTTTTAACAGGTTTTAGCTCATGAATAGTTTTAGTCTCAAAGTGTTTTTTTATATCGCTTGGCAAATCTTTAAATATATTTCTTTTATGGCAGTACATCTAAATGATAAAAATGTATAAATATTTTGGTATAAATTTGCCAAATATTGCAGTAAATTTACAGCAGCAATATAAAATCTATCAGGCCCTTGATCAAAATATCTTCCTAACGGTTCATCGCAATCTTGATAGAATTTCTCGGCGTATTCTTCAGTTATTACAAAACATTTTCCTTTAACCTGCGAAAGCGTAACCTGTGCACTTTCATTCGAGTAGTACAATCTATGAAGATAGCCGCTATAGATTGAATTGTTGCCAAGATTTGTATTCTCAGGTCTAGAATAAAGCATATATAATTAAAAAAATCAAGGTATTATGTATTTTTAGTGAGATTAACCTATATAGTTTATTAATTACAAATCCAAACGATTTATCTGATAACTTTGAAGAAATTCTACATATCTTTCGGATATGTCCTATTAGTACTGGCTGTGCTAGAACCACTGGATTCCTATCTCTAAGGTGCCGATATCTTTCAGGCCTATCCAGAGTCTTACGAAAGTTTAGCGTTATTAGATTCATAGTCAATGCTATGAAAAATAAAAATAAACCTTATCTTCTTCTGGAGCTTTCTCTTTTTTTTCAGGTTGAAAGGCTTTAAACGTGTACGCATCATTTTCAATATATACGCAGTCATTAACTTCATAAGTTATATTTTTAAAAGAAACACTTAGTATTTCTTTTCCGTCTTTCTCGATTGAAACAGTGTCCTTGATAAATGTTCGATAATTGATAATAAAACAGCTATATATAGTATATGTATACTTATATATTAATAAGCTTACTTTATTACTTTGATTTAAATTACAAGATTTTTTATGCGAAGCTGCCAAACTATACATATCTATTTCTTTATAAATAGCAGGTATATCACTAAACATTGCTGCAGACGAATTATACCTATAAAAGAATCAATGTTATTTATATTTTCTTATAGATAAAAAGAAATTATAACAAACATTTTAGAACAATAATAGCTATTCCTATCTTTTGTATCCACTTTTGAATCTACTTTTGTAGTAAATTTTCTATTTTGCCATTGTTGTTCTGAATCTAGGAAGTTAACCTAATCATTTGTAATATAATGTATACAGTATAAATATACAATAAGATAGTTATATTAAGTCTTACCTCAATCTTTTCTATAATATTTTTAAAGGTAGATTCAAAGCATTCTTCTACTAGGAAAAGTTCTTGCTGTTCACCATATTCTCCTAAAAGAGTTTCACACGATTTTCTGCAAAAAATTTATAATTTAATTTACTTATTTATCTTTAGATTATTGCAAATTCATATAATTACAAAAAGAAGTGACCATGCCATTTCTGAGATTTGTATTTATTCTCAGTTAGATGAATGATTCGAAAGAGTAAAATTTTATCTGTAGCCTTATATCTAATACAATCGCCAACTCGCAACCACATATCATTGTATTCGCAACTTTCGTAATAGTTTATGCCAGAATATTGAAATATTGGATCGTTAAACCATCTTACTGAATTATCCTTTAGAACAGTCAAAATTCGTTGATTTATTGGAATACATACAGTTATTTTTTCATTATACCTTCTCATTCTTTACCAATAATGACGATGATGTTGATGACAAAGATGAGTTTCTTGATGATGAACGTAATTCTTGTAAAATTTTTATATCAGTATTTTTAATGGTTACATCGTCATCCCCTTCGCAATCTTCCTCATCCGCATCTTCTGCATTTTCTTCAACTTCGTTATCATTCGTTTTACCAGAAGCCAATTGTCCCTATAAAAGTGTGAATTGTTTCAATTATACAGACATAAAGCCCCTTTTATATAAGATACCTACTTGAAATACTTCTTCAAATATATATTTAACTAGTGGTGTTACAGTTGCTTTGGTTAAAATGGGTTTCTTTGGTTTAGTCTCTCTTAATTCCTTTTCTTTTCGCCGAATTCTAGTTGTCGATCCTAATTTTCTATTAATAATCATAATAATAAAACAATAGTGGTAGTTATTATATAAAGTAATACTTGTTTAATTTGACACCAGTCAATTTCATAATATATCTGAGGCATCTCATGTGTAAGATTGATTCTTCATTTTCATCTCTAGCACTGTCATAGCTGACAATCTAGATGTAAATGATAAAGAAGGAATATATTATTAAGTATGCGAAGTAGGATATAATTTAGTTCGTTATACTTGCTCCCACATCCATTTCACATTGGAAACAAGAAAATCAGTGGAGAAGATTTGATTATCAGGTAACGTTTGTTCAGACAAATAGATTGTAAGGTCCTCATAAGACGGATCTTCGTCTATTCTCGTCGTTGCAAAAGTTATTATGCCCTTAAATATTGTAGACTTTTGAAGAAGTGGTCTATAGAAGGGTTGATAAATTTCCGCCGGTTCCGATAGCCAAATTTCATCTCCATCTTTGGGAAATTTTTAACATATTGTTCAATAAATTTAATTAAAAATTGTTACATTTCTTTTTGGAAACAAACCGTCACATCTCACAAGTCCAATCCTGATATTATCTTCTTCCGTAAATCCAGTTATGAACCATGAACTAATTCCAGAAACTTCCTTTACATAGTTTCCACCCGTAAGCGTAGTATCTAAATTATATATAGGTTTAGCGTAGCCGTCAAGTTTCAGTTGATGATTTCTAGTCAATATGCCAGAATCAATTGAAACAATATGATTTTCTTCATCATAAATCACAAAATTAGTTATGTGAACTTGGGGAACGTAGTCGTAGGATGTTGAGTATTTTTCATCAATGATAATTTCTTCCCAAGATTTCTCCGACTTTTTGAATATTAAAATATTACTAAAAGTTACTGTTAAAAATCAATTAAATACTATTTGTTAATAGCACATACTTCTCCTTCAGGTATTGCTAAACTAGGCTTATAAATTACTGAATTTATATTTTGTAAGCATTTCTTACAATGATCATTTTCTTTGCGAACTTTATTGGCATTATTACTAAAGAGAAGAAAGAAAGAAATGATAACAAATTTTCCTTATTCAGAAAGGTTATAAAAAGCCGTCTTATAACAAAAATGTTATATTAAATATATTAATTTGAAATCTTTACCTTTGATTAGTGATAGTTCTCTTTTTCCTTGATTTTAGCATATTTTCCGGCAAGAAGAGCTATCTATTTATAAAGTTTTATTACAGCCACATTTAAAAACAGTTTATAAATACTCGCCCCAAAAAAATCAAGCGATATTAAGGTCGTTCATATAAAGTTAATACTTATTAAAACTAGTAAAATCTGTGTAACAGAAAGTATTAATAAACGTAAATTAACTATATAAAAGATAATCTTTAAAAATAATTATAAGCAATGGTTTTCTTTAAAATATAGTCGTTTTGAAAGACTCTTTCTTATTTAATAAGAAACAGACATATAGTCTGCCGCGAAAATCGAATTTTCAAATTGTCTAGTTTTAAATCGATTAATTAATTAACTTTATTATATCGTTTTCTAATTCGATAATCGCATTTAGCGTTATCTCCTCCAATAATTATTTTCGTAACTTTTTACTTTAATAATATCAGTTTACCGTATAGAAACTATTATAGAAATGACTTTAAACTGCAAGTATTGATCTTTCACATATATAATAAAATATTTCGCAATTTTTCCGTTTATTGTTATAAAAATTATATTATCACTCATTACATAAAACAACTGGAAACATTTCACTAAACAGTAATAAACTATTTTTCTTGATTTTTGAACGACAGTTTAACAAATTGGTAATTTCTTTTAAATAATCGATACTTATTTATGAAAAATTCTCTAAGAGTTTTAAAAACTAAACAAAATATAATTGGTAGCAATAATATTAAAAGTAACATAGTCATTATTATCTTTATAGTCGACTGTTGCCTCCGTTCACTTTCCAGATATTTGAAAGGTATTAATACCCTTAATCTTTTATCCACATCTAACCAATTGACGTGTTCCTTCTGATGAAATTCTTTATTACAATTACTTGTATTACAACAACAATAATGAAATTCCATCTCTTGCGTTTCAACATTAGAAACTTGAACAGTATTACAAGAATTTGTAGCATTTTGATTATATTTACAATATGAACTACATCCCATAAATAGTATTACGAATTTTGAACTGAACTTAGCCAATAAAGTATGACAAGTAGTTTGATTAGCTTGACAATTTTCGTATAATTTTTGACAATAAGTTGTATTTGGTTTCAAACATCTAGTAATATTATAATGATAACAACTGAAAGAATAGCAATTTTCGATTAAAAATAGAACAAAATAGAATATAATAATAAAGTTCATAATAAAACAATATAGTATATTTATTTTATTTAAATTTTTAATTTTAAAAAGAGACTCTCGTAGATTTTATCCAAACTTTATTACAATCTCTTCATTAGACTACCCAATGTTAAGGCTTTCAATGCTGTAAAATAATGGACGCTTTTTTCTCCGTAAAAAGTCTTAAAGATATCTAAGGCTCTTTCTCCAAATTTCTTATTCATTTCTTCGTCTTTAAACATTGCTGCTAATGTTGAACATGACAAATAATTATTTGCTAATTCTAGAGAACGTCTACCAAAAAATTGTTCGTTCCTCTCGCAACTTTGTATAGCTAAATGAATACCAAAATATTTTAGGTCTCCAGCTGTCATTAAGGGTGAACTATATATCTTTCGTCGTGATTCTTCAAGCAGATTATGCTGAGGTGAAAGAAGTTTTGATCCAACAAATAGAAATTGTATTACAAAAGATGCCAAAAGTTCTTGGCTGTCCGTCAAATGGGCAGTTTTGAATTCGCATGTATAATTTCCAAACGCATTTTTATCCATATCAATTCTATTACAACATGCTTCGCAATCGCATTGGAATCCATATTGGGATAAAATATTTTTCCTCTGTTGATAGCTCATAAGACCCGCTTGAGCTCCATAACAATTGAAAATTTGTGAACCTGCTTTGATATCTGTACTAGCTCTAACAACTATTTTTCCGTTTTCGTAATTATGCATAACATTTGGTAGGCAAGAATGATTAAACATTGCAAAATTTGGTAGAATAGCACTCCCAACATTTACGCTTTCAACTGCAAAATTGTACGTTTGTTTTATACTAACAGTCTGTCCATTATTAATCAACTGTAAAATATGGCGAAACAGAAGGCCACATATTTTGTTTTCGTGATTTTTCGTGATTTGAAAATTTTCATCACACCAATTTGATTTTAAAGCTACATTCGTCATTAAATCTGCCATAACTGCAAATTGAAGAGAATCAACAGGATCAAAGCTCATTGATGGTTCTAATTCATAAATTTGTTTGTATTTAGCCAATGCAGGTTTATCGAGATTATCATCTATTAGTAATGATTTAAAATCAGTGGAGAAAAGAGTTCTAATGGCTAAATGAGCAATTCCACACTGCAAAAAAGTGGATAAGAAATATGCAAATTAGTAGAATATTTTTTAAATCAATAGATACCATAGAAAGTAGCTTGTAAAATTTACATTCATAGCCATGATATTTTGCTAAACCTTCTCTTAAACATTCATCCGAGCAAAATATAATTAAATCACATTTTGGACATCTAAACAGCAAAAATAAAACCTTATATCATATTGAAAATATTGAAAACTTGCAAAAAAATTCATATATTCTTACTTAAAAGTTTGCTGACAAAGTATAAAGCATTCAGAACAAACTCCATATTTTGTCGAATCTGGTTGATTGACAATAATAGAGGTATAAGGTTTTTCTTGTAAGATTAAATCTCCTGCTGATATATCTTCTTTAGCCTAAAGAGAATAAATCTTACAGCTATCAAATGATAAGATTACAATTAGCAAATTCAACTTACGATGTAAAAACGACCATATTTCTCATTCTGACATTTTTTAACTAATTTACTTATGTAAATATCAGAATTAGATACTTTTCTGTAAGTTATGTACAAAAAATTTAGTTATATTGAAAATATTTGTTAAAACTTATATACCTCTCAAATGACCAATTGTCATATTTCTTATTTTCGGCCAATTGTTGTATTATATCAACAAATGCATCATTTGTACTGGAAATATATTTTAAATTTATTAACAGAAAACACCAGCTTCAAATGTTTAATTTGTTAAATTGACACTTTAAAAGACAATCATTTCTCAAAGAGTTAATTAACTTGTTACGTAAAAGTCTCAGTTCCTCATTGTTAAATTTCTGCTGGACTAATTTAAACATAAAGTTTTCATAAGATTCTAAAGCTTTCATTGAGCTTATATCTGTAGAAAAAAAGTTTACACTTCCACTCGATATTAAAACGTAGGCGTAGAGACAGCTACAGATGACTTTTTCCGAAATATTATTCATATTATTCATCACGAAATGTAAAAGACAAAAAGGAAGGAGCCTTGAGAATAAAGGATGAACAAATTCGTGATAGATATCGTTTATTAAAACGACATTATTATTCCTTATTTGGAAAAATGACAAAGTATGTTCAATGCAATCAACTCCCATTTTGATTTTACTATCATTTATCTTGTTGTTAAGTTCTCCATCGATGGTTAGTTTTGCATATTCCAAGAAAAACAGACGTATCCATAGAGGTGATGATAAATACTGCCCTTCAAAATAAGATATTGCTGTTGAACACCACCCTTCGTGTAACCAATGTTCAATGTTTATATAATGAAACAATCCTCTGGCCAGTATGGAAAATTTCAAAATTTTGCTACTCTCTATTAATGCCAATGAATCTGGCGATTTAATAATAAAATTGATTAAATCAAGTTCCAAGCCATAAGATGATTTATATCGAATAACTTTTTGAAAAAAGCTTTTCAATAGTTCTCCTGATGTTACCCGGATTTGAACACCTTTTATTCTTGAATTGTTGAACCATTCGGGTGAAAGAATTTTCAGTAACAAGTCCAAAATAATGATAAAAATCTCTTCTTCAGTAACAGTTGCTGAGTGTACATTTTTTAAAGTTTTATCAAAAAAATCAATAAAAAAAGGCAAATTAGTCGTTCCTAAATCTTTTAATTTATCCATTTGAAGTCTTAAAAAGATATTTTGTAGCATAACTATAATATGTTGTTTCGGTCTTCTTTTTTTACAGACTACTGCACGAAAAACTTTTTCAAATACTTTATCAATACTTCCATAAGATGGAAGAATTAAATTGAGAAATAACGAAACATCTTCATCTGTTAATATTTCTTTATCTATTAAAAATTCAAAATCTATCCATTGTTGAACGTCCATTTGTAGTTTTATGGATTTCCGGACAGTTTTATATTTTGATAAGAGATTCTGATGACTTCTTTTAAGTCTTAGACAAAACCAATAAAATAATAACGGTAAATTTCCAACGTTATCTATAGATATTTGAAAGCAACTATTTAAGATGTCAAGAAGAAAGAAACAGCGGTCAATGGATGTAATAGGGTTTAGAAAGGCGTTATAAAATTCTTCGCTTGAGATTTCTGGTTGAGAGAGAATAATATTTACAAATATCCCAATAGTCTTTCTTATAGATGAGTCATAATCGCTTTCACTTTTGCTGATAATCTTTATTATCCAATTCATAAAAGCTTTTACAGTAGCTTTATAGACAGTTTTGGCCATAAAGAGATTGCAAATCATGTCATACGGATCAGTTTCCAATTTAGAGATACATTCGACAAATCTTTCAAACAGAAGGAAATGACGTTTCTCTTCCTTATTTTCAATTAATAATTTTAAATATTGGACATAGAGTCGGAAAGAAGTTGTCATTTCTTCTATACCCAGTCTTGATGATTCCACAAGTTGACTTTCAATTTTATTTAACTTCTCATTTAAAACATCGCCTTCACTTTTCACAATATCTATAATCTTATTCTTTTCCTTTTCTTCACAAGCTCTTTCATATTTTTCGACAAAGTGTGCCTCAAGTTTTCCTGCTTTATGAAGCTTTTGAATAAATTCGCCTCTTAGTTTTTTCTCCGACAAGGCTCCAGGTTCTAAGAGTGCGGTAACAAATTCATTAGCATAAAAGGGTGCTGAAAATACGCTTGCTTGCATAACTTGATCACTTATCTTTCCAGATGTTTTAAAATATTCTAGGGCATTTTCTAAAAGAAGTTTTGCTTTTTCGCTTGTCTTATTCTTCACTCCGGGCTGGACAAGGATAACGCCAGTTTTAGGTATTGGTTCATTTATGTCATTCAATCGAGCATGAGCACATTCTTTATATTCTTGATACAGATCACCTGCTCGTGTGGGTTTTTTAATGATGTGAATTTTAAGGTAGAAAGGATCCTCAAATGGTATCAAATCGATTAATGTCTTCGCGAAGCACTGAAGAGTTGAGTTGTTTTTCAAAATTTTTCCGTTGTTCCCAAAGGTATTTTCAAACCAGGAACTATATAAATGTATACCATCCAATTCTAAACAGGAAACGTGGCGAACAAGGAAAAGAGCTATTTTTAATCCTATATTTTGATTTTTTCTCATGACATCTTTGTCTTTAAACGAATTAATAATGAGATTGTCGATAAATCTATAAAATCTCTTAGTAATACTTTCAACATCATATTCATGAACAAAATTGTCGAGTTCAAAGAAGTATAATATTCGTCTCCAATTCAAATCCGATGAACATTTCGCAGCATTTTCTATACAACTTAAAATATGTTCAAAATTAAGAAATTTACAAACACTTGTCCATAAGGGCCTTTGTCCTGTTAAAGTATCGCTTGTCCACGAACTTTGACGCCTAATAGCTTCATTTATATGTACGGTCTCCCCAAAAGTAAAAGAATTAGTTACAAAGCCTTTCATCAATGTTCTCATATCTTTTGCATCAACATTTTCAAAAAACTTATCAGCCCTTATTTGGATATCGTCCAAATTTTCTACATAAGACTTAATGAACACATTAAGAAAATCTTTGACAGAATTACTTTCTGATTTTAGCAGTTCCCTTACAGTTTTATTAATTAATTGCGAATTTTCTTCTCCAGTTTTACATTTTAGTATAATCTCCTTCAGTAAAATGTTATTATAGTGTTTTACAACATATTCAACATAGTTGCGAGACATGGTGATGGCTAAGAGGACTTCTAAGGAATTATGATGTTCTATTACTTCATCAAAGAAGCTTTGGCTAAGATTTTTGCCCCGTTCTTGTAAAACTTTCTCAATTGATTTAATCGAGCATATTAAATAAGCCAATTTTACAATATTGTCATTAAATTCTTCTACAGTTGTTAAAGAATCCTGGAAAAAGTCAAAGAGCACATCATTGAAGTATCTTTCATTTGGAACTTGTATCTTCTTTAATCTTGCACTAAACGCTTGATAATAAAATTCGAAAGCAGAAGAGACATTTAAGTTTACTTTGTCTGGATATATGAGATAATCATTTGGATCTGTTGCTTTTATGATCTCTAAGAGCTCCTTTTTCACTTGGTTCTTTGAAGGCGAATTTTTCCAAGAATGCTGCATACATTCCATATAATCACCAGTAATTATGGCTAATGCTTGGCTCTGAATACTTTCAATCTTACGTTTTTTTGTTCGAGGAAACTGAGACATCATTCAAGATTATCTACCGGTTAGCTCGTCTACCTGAGCGATAATACAATACCAAAAACTTTACTGGGAATAAAACTAAAATTACTTACTCAAGTTCTCTAACAAGTTTTGCTTTTTCAAAGAAACTGTCCAGTTCACAAAATTTCTGGAAAAACGAATAGCCTACCAAATGCTCACTTACAATATTAAGATGATTTTGAACAAGATTTTGCTGTAAGTTAGACATTCCTTAGCGCATGCGCTTAACAAAACAAGAGTTTTTGCCGCGGTTAATATTACAAGGAAAAAAAAAGGAAAAGAATACGGGAACATATTTTATATTATAATTTGTATGTATAACAAATTAAATAATATATTTCATTAGTATTCTTAAAAAATTAATGTGAGAAATCAAAATATGGGATGTAGTTTATTTTATTTATTTAAAAAAAAAATGCTTTGGAAATATAACCATGATAAAAGGAAAAGCAAAATTGGTTTTTGCAGATTATCTATTTATACATATAAGATAGTCAGAACTCACCAGTTTAAACTTTCAAATCTCTCTATAGTTTTATCTTGATCAGAGAGATCTTTCTGTACTTTTTTTCTCATATAGAAAATAGGGCAATCACGGCTATAATAAAAATAAAAAGATTTTATTACTACACTAAAATTAAAATATTACATTAATTACAAACCTAGTACAAAGAACATCTTCATGCAATGAACCTTGACATCTTTGACATTGGGTCCACAATTTGGCAAATTTTTCTTCTAAATGTTGTAGATTAGAGATTTCTTTTTGGTAAATTGCTGATGAATCTACAGCGCAATGTTTACACAGAGCCTGATTATCTTTCATTAAGGGGGTTTTACATCCAATACATGTACTCTTCTTTTTGGTGAAGGCTGCTAATCCTCCAACTTTTGAAGTAACGACTGTTTTGGTTCTCGTATGATCCCCATCTTTATTTCAAAAAGAAATTTTCCATTATGATTATCCTACGTTCAAGTGATGTTTAAAATGCTTACGAAGTAATTCGCTTTCAGCTTTTTTATCCCCTCCTAATATAGGTTCAAAGATTCTTAGAAGTGGCTTTGCAAGTTGATTTTCCAAGTAATATTGGGTATCTATTGGTATGTTATGCTCCAGAACGTAGATGGGATCCTAATAAAATGCAGAATATAATATTTGATAACAGAAGTAAAGAGTGAAAAAGTTACTTCTGATTTCATATACGCTGCTGCTCCTTTAGCTCCAGCAATTACAACATATGGTACTCTGTCTCCAAGTTGAGGAGCACTTCCCGGATCTCTTTTCTTCATCCTACCAAAAATTAATTACTCATTTACATATGTATAAGGAATAATATTAAATTTCAATTACTTGTTAGCCAATTCAACGTGAGCTTGTTTAGCAGCATATTCGTCATCCGTTTTAGTTAGTTCCTTAGTAATAACTAATAATGAAATATCAACTCTATTACATAGAAGATCAGAAATCTTTTGCTTAGCAAAATCAACTGCTCCCGTCGGATCTCTAAATTATTATTATACAAGTATTATAGAAATATATAGAAAGAGTATATTAATCGAGTACAAGTACCGATCAATTAAGATCTTCTGCAGACATGAGTTAACAAGATTTGCTACCAATGGAGCATTATCTCTCCTTACGGTTTCAATCCCCTTACAATCCATCTTATCATGCTTGTCAGGTTTTGTAAAATATAGGCCAGCATATCTCTTCTTGTTAATTAATAAATACGGAAAATATACCTACATTTAGAAAATGAAAGTTAATGATGTCACAAAAATTTGAAATCTGTTAAACAATTACTTTTTCAAACTCCAATTTTATAGGATCAATAAATTTGTCTGAAATATATGCTGCAGCCTCTTTACCTAATTCCATTGCTTCGGCAACTGTATTAACGCCAAATTTACACATTACGGAATCCGTATCACCGTAAACAACTTCAGCATCGAAAGGATACCCATTTGCAATAGTGTATTTTTCTTCAACATGCTTTTTTGTTTGTTCGATCATTTGTCTACCAAAAGCTGTTACACTCTAAAAATAAATGAAGTTTACAAACCTACTTATTTTGTCAAATATAATTACTTACCGACGAAACTTCCAAGCAAGGTAGTTTACCAACTTGAGCGCCAGTAAAGCCGTAAACAGAATTAGCACTTAACTTAAGTGCTAATTGCCTACCATCCAACACTTTCTTTTTAAAAGGATCTGTTTCCTCTTTCAAATCTCTTTTTGCTCTAAACAAATGTGAAATTAGATTTTTTTCTTTTATAACTAATGTTATAATTAATCATTTAGTCTTACTTCTTTCTTGCGGAAAGTAAACTCTCAAGAATTTGTGGTAATAACCCTTTTCGGACTGAGCTTTTTATAAATTTTTCCCCACAAGGAGTTTTAATATATTCGTCAGGTTGGATACTAATAAGGATATTGAAAAGTGTTTTAACTTATTTATTCTTAACTTTTTATTACTTGTGGTTTTCAATAGAATCATTCTTTAGTAGCGTTGTATAACAGAGATTATGGGCCATCATGATGGACGGATACAAAGATGAGAAATCCAGTGTTGCTATGGGAACATCGTAGTAACCTCTTTTTGGTTCAATAACAGTAGCTCCTTCATACTCATCTCCCGCTGAGGCCCTATGAGCGGGTAGTAAGAGATTTTCTTCCTTCGCCTAGCAAACTGATTTTATAAATGAAGCATGAAAATTCACTAAATATTTACCTTTCGCAACAACTGAGAAACAACTTTAATTTGTTGACCTCTACTCAACAAATAAGACACAGGAACTCCGGTTACTCTTGCCATTTCAATATAATTAATAATTGACATTAATTTATCCAAAAGTCTTAGAGGTAGGTAAGCATCTTTTAAACAATAAACTGCCAACCGTCTTCTGGTTTGTTCATTTCCATTCTGATTATTTTATTCTTGTTTTACAGTTATATATAGAAAACAAAATCAAAAATCAAATATTTTTTACCTGAAGATCTGTGATAATCGAATGCTGAACATCTTCCTTTTGTTCTTGTAGGAAGTGAAAAGAGACGGCGTTCAACGTATAAGAACGTAATTTATAATCTCTCAGTAAAATCTTTAACAAATAAGAACATTAATTTACATATATCCTATTATGAGAAATTGTTGCCTTATTACCTGTAGGAGATCAAAGTGAATTCTCCCTTCCATATTAATAACCTTATTCTCTCTTTTACCCATTTGCTTAGATTGTAAAAGAGAATCTTTTATCACCGTTCTGTTGTCCTTCATCCTACCTAGGAAAGGAAATGAAGGGACTTTTAGATGTGATGCCCTATTTATCAAATAAGGGAAATCGAAATTTTGTATGTTGTATCCAGTGACAATATCTGCATCAATTTCACGAAAAAATTCTGCCCATTTCTTGAAATAATATTAAATGACTAATTAGATTAATGTGTGATACAAGGCAACAGAAAAACAAACTCGTAGCAATTCAGCCTCACTATCAAAACACCGAACGTCTGCTCCAATAATAGAAGCGCATTTTTTAAGCGTAAAAATACATCTAACAAATGGTTCTTTGCTTCCTTGTTTAATAACCATAGAGGCAATTTGAATAACAGGATCCTTATCAGGTTCGGGAAAAATACCTTTCCTTCCCGCACATTCAATATCAAAGCTTAGAATTCTAAGCGGTGCAAGTTTTGACCAATCGCCTTCTGGGTTGCGAGAATTAATATCTTCCCAAGATATATCTAGTTCAATTTGACAACGAGATTTAGGTGGAAAACTACTATTTGGTGATCTGAGCTTGTATGTTCCAGCTTTAGCTTCTATCCAATTTGCGCCAACAATGTTAACATCAACCATAAATCTTAAATACAGTACTTGGTTTAAAACTATATTTGGATTTGCAAGAAAGCTTATCTCACCGAATTTCAAAGTCAACATTTGACTCGTATGCACTGTAACAGTGATTGCGATAACCAGGAAATGAGAAACCTTGTTCTAAAAGTCTTTTGGCCGGAGCGATAAGTTTTGGCAAAGCCATTGTGATTTTCAAAAAGGCACTTTTTCGATTTCTACGAAAATAGTAGATATCTTTGAAAAAAAAGTTCAATTGTTATCATTACGGCGAGAGCTACGATTATTAAATTTTCTTACTTTCTTTCTGACAAACTTCTACATTTAGAACAGCATTTTCAATATTATCCTTGTTTGATCTCATATCTTGAATTACAGCAGAATTCAGACTTTGCTGTAAATAAATCAAATAGTAAAACTATATAATTAAAATGCTATTTAGAGTTAACTAACTCTAAAAGTATTGCAATGCATTGGATCAAAATTATCTATTGCTGGTACAAAAAAGTACGGAGCAAATCCATGTACATGCATGCAAACACTGTTCTCATCATCAGTTATCCCAAATATTCTAACAATAGGAACTGGTCCTATTTTACTGCCAGGCATTCCCTCCATGTGGCCTCCTAGAAAGAAAAATACTTGTAAAGTTTTTATCTATGTATGCGTTTATCTTTGTTACCAATATAGTGATCAACATCTATTTGTTGGAAGTTAATATCATCATAATTAGGATCTAACTTTTGAGGAAGGGGTCTTGTCCATTTTCCTGAGGTTTGAGTCATTGCCGGCCCTTCCCCTGAAATTTAGTGGAGATGTAAGAAATGTTTTAATAAGTATATATAATACCTAAGTTCTCCTCTGCATTTATCTCTTCCTCGAGACGAGCCAACTCTGATTCAAAAGAAGACGGAATAACATCTTCCTCCATATCAGCTTTTTGACTACTACCAAGTTTTGACAATCTAAAATATTGTCAAGAAACATTAGTATATTTCACAATATCTTTATTTTTTTAGCTAATAAGTTAAAAGTTTACTTTGGCTTTTTTGGTGTTGGGCCTTTGTTAGAGCTTGTAACTCGTCGCTTCCCATCCATTACTTAAAAAGTAGATGATCAGAAAATGGCGGGATGACACGAAAAAAAAAAACTAAATGAAATCCCAATAGACTATTAACAAATAATTTTAGTAATAAAGTAATATTTTTATTTAATTCAGTAGATTGTATTGAAAACTTTTTTATTTATCATTCTCAACATAGCTACCTTTGGATTATTTGAAAATCATAATTATACTGTTTTATCGCTCATTTGTAGTTAAAAACTATTTCGTATATTGTAATATTATATTTTTATCACTATATTAAATTCTTATTCATGTGCATATTTCAAATTCGTATAATAAACTACATATAAATATTAAATTAGCGACTGAGATTATCATTGGTCTATATTATTTTTCGTCTGCCACAAAATTATACAAAATCTTACAATCACTATATGAAAATAAAATGTATTATATGGGTTTAAACCTTTGTTTTCGCTTGGAATTAATATAAAATAAGGATGACTAATTCTTATTTTCCATTTTTACCGAGTCAAGTCTCTTTTTTAATCTTGGGTGAGATTTTTGTTTGATTTTCGTGTTTATCCATTAATTCGTAAAACTATTAATTGTCCATACTCAGGTTTTTTAAGAGAAGAGAAATATAAAAGAACTTACAATGCGTTTATAGACGAATGTGCTCATTTAAAAACTCTAGTTGATCAGGGCTACGATGTAGATTCGTACACAAGTTTACATGATGGAACAAGGCTTTCCGATATTTTAGCCGATTATGGTCGAAGAGGTAGAAATATGCTTACTGATAATTTTCTAAAACTCTTATCTACAATATCTGTTCCTAGCTCGAGAACGACAAAAAGGTTCAAAAGGTCAAATAGACTCTACTAGGTCTAAATGTTCAAGTTGCGAAAGAGCACAAAATAATGATAAACAAAAGTCAGAAAGGGGCTGCAGCCCTATAAAAGAAATTATTGAAAAGTTTGATAAGAACAATTATCAAATAGTTAACAGTCTAAATAACAGTGAAATGACTACGCCTTTCGATCATAGTATATCAACTGAAGAAAGTAATAGTATTAGTTCTGATATACTAGATACATCAAGGTCAGCCAGTTTGCGTCGAAAGAAGAGCCAACCAACAAAGAAAAGAGTCGATGATAATAGAGCCACCGAAAAAGAAGTAAGAGTTTTATTTATTTTCTTACAATACATGTGTATACTATCGAATGTAACAACTATCTGTTTTTAATAACTTCAGAAAATAGAAAAATTAGTAGAAACCATGGAAAAAAGTGACTTACCAGCTAGAATAGCTAGAAAGATTAATAATGTTAAACAGCAGGATATTGAAGTTTCTAGTAATACATTAGTTCCTTCTGGTACTATAGGATTTAATCAAAATACTTCTATTCATGAACCTGATCTAAGTATTGATAGCAGCTTATTAGAATGTCTAAATGTAAGTTCTTATAATATCTATAAATAATACTTTCAGTTCAATGAAAATATATGTCTTAATTTTTATAGTCCGTGACAAATGATATCATAACCCCGGAGACACAATCTATGATAGATGGAATTCTATTTGATGGTACGGTTTTTAGAATAAATCAAAATATTTTACGGTAGTACTGTATGTATGTTAATATTTCAGCGGAACCAATAAAAAACATGACTACAATTACTAAAATAGAGGAGACCAGCGATGGATGCGTTGTTCAAATTAGTAAATATTTTTCTTTTTCATATTTTGATAAAATAGACTATCAACAATTTATTGTAATATAGCCGAGGATAAACATTCTACTAATCATGATATCAACAATCAAACTGGTAAAGCTCCACAGAAACGAATTACACCTAAACCCGTAAACGACAATCGTTAGTAAATCATTCATTATCAATATTACGTCCTTATTAACATTTCTCTTCTTCAATTTGTAAAGTTGAATATAAAGAAACAGCATTTAATCAAAAATTAAAACAAGCTGATAACTTTGCTCATAAACGACTTATTCTACCACAACCAAGAGAATTCTTAAGTAATTTTTCTCTAATTTTGTTGTTTATTTCTAACTAATTTAATATGTGATAGGTCCTGTTGGAGTTGGACCTTCCATACCGATACCATGGAGGAAGAAGAAGCGAAAAAATGGTAGCTGCGGCTTAAATGTCAACGAACCGAAAAAAAATAGATTAATATTGAAAGCAGCTGAAAAATGCTCAGATAATATAATAATTCCGCAAAATCGGATTATTATCCAAAAAAGACTTGATAGTAGTCCATCTATACAACCTTCTAATTCTTGTCCTGCTCCATCATTATTAGTAGCTGAGAAAAAACCCAGGAGGGTAAAGACTGTTCAAATTTCATCCAATGAAAAAGCTTCACAGGAATCGAAAGAAACATCAATTAATGAAAATATTCCTAACGGTGCTTCAACTTCCGATTCGGTAATCATTTAATTTATTTTTCTATTTGAATTTAAATAATAAAAAAATGTTTTTTTTTTCAGACTAATCCAATTGTCAATAGTAAGCTAGTCCTTTCAGCTGCAAATTCCGAAATGGATATGGAAGCTTTACTAAACATGCTACATAAGCCTAACTAAGTTTATTACTTTAAGAATTATATACTTTTAAACTTATATTTCTCTGAAAATCTAAATAAATTATGAGACGTAAGAATTTTGATTTTATGTTGTTTTCTTTACAAGACATATAGTCCTAATTTTAAAAGCATGCTATAAGAAACTTTAGCTTGTCTTAATTGACATGATAATTGATACATAATATTATCAGTAATTAAAATAAGTTCCTAGTATACAATATACTGCATATTTACAGTACAGTTTCAAGTATATAGAAAATATTTAAAATGAATCACTCCGACTGTTCTACATCATCTGTATGCATCTGAAATGAAAAATATAAAGGGATTGTGTATAATTGAAACTTACAGATATTTGAAGAGATTAGTACTTACAATCTTAGAAATATCTAACCAATCGAAGGCCTTTTGAATTTTATCTCTTTCGTTAGGAATTTGATCTAGATTCCATTGCCTAAGACTATTAAATTTACCGCACACTTCAAAACATCTCTCATCATCGTCTGTCAATCTTTTCTTTTCATCTTTTAGAATGAAACCTGACAAAGTTATTATGATTAAAAAATATTGAATTATCATTATTTTATACACAGCGATTCTTTTCGCGTTCTACTAACCTGTATAGCATTCTGGTAATTTAACATCTTCCCCGATCAAACGTCTACCCCTCATTGTTGCAGAGAAAAGTCCATCTCTAGTCTTTGGTGCACAGAATTCACTGCTGGGTTGGCGAACGCATTCGGACATATGGGTATTAACAGTCGATTCAAAAAGCTCTTTAACTTTAGCTTTACCATTCATATCTATTTTACACGGAAGCAACTGGACATGCCTCGTGTCAGTGGTAATCATATTAGTTTTTTTAATTGAAATAGCCATTAATAACTTCTATTATTTTGAAATACAAGTCCTCAAACCAACTGTAATATCGTTTTCGCGCCAAATTCAAAAACTTGGAAAAATATTCTCGAATTGAGCAAAGCTGAAAAAGTTGCCATTTCACTACAAAATAATATGTTAAATACGCTTCAATTAATATTATTCCTTAGCTATACAATTTTTTAAATTAAATTTCAAGTTTCATATTAGAATGTGTAAAAGTTATTGCATTCATTTACATGTCACAGCACCATATTTTCTAACTAATTTACAGGGACATCAATATAATTTTAAATATTATAGTTTTTTTTAGAAAAATCACTCATGGGTGGTTATGAATAAATTAAACGAATAAATTAAATGCTAAAACTTATCAGGATATTTTTCACTGACCAATGAGCATTTAAAAATATTCGCGTATGATTATACAATGCTTTAAAGCTTCCTAGGTTAGTGGAAGCGGTAGAATAATACGCACAGAAACTAGTTCCATTATATTTTTACTCAAAGAGTTAAATGTTTTCAGTTGATTAATTTCTTCGCTGCAAACACTATAAAAGAGTGATCAAAGAACAAAATATATTTTAGAAAACTACTTTTAGACATGAAATATAAATATTTTGTGAGGTTCAGTCAAACTTAATAGTAGGGTATCCTGTTCTGCACTTCAGCCATATTGTCAGCTTACCTCACCGCTATCGACATTCTTCATTCGTATTTGATAAATGTAAGTATATTTGGGAAATTACTTCTGGGTGAAAATCGTTCATCAGTGCTTAAAGCGTATTATCACCATAAAATTATCTCCCCAGAAAGTTTCATAATAACTACACCCTTAAGCCGGCATTTTCTCTTTCAGTCAACTTCTAAAGGAACATTATGGCCGAAAACGAGAATGAACTTTTAGATTATGAAGAAGTTGTTGATGAAAATGGAGCCGATGTTGATGGTGGAGCTGTATCTCAAGATAAGAAGGATGTTAAGGGAACCTACGTTTCTATCCACAGCAGTGGTTTTAGAGATTTCCTTCTTAAACCAGAATTATTAAGAGCAATTGTTGATTGTGGTTTTGAGCATCCTTCAGAAGGTAACTGAGTTATTCGAAATCGTGAATGCTATAATTACTCTCTATATTTTACAGTGCAACATGAATGCATTCCGCAAGGAATTTTGGGAATGGATGTGCTATGTCAGGCAAAGTCTGGTATGGGTAAGACGGCAGTGTTTGTTCTTACTACTCTGCAACAGTTAGAGCCTAAAGATGGACAGGTACAATATATTAAAACAAATTTTCTATTGATCTAATATTCGATTTATAAATATTTAGGTATCTGTCCTTGTTCTTTGTCATACAAGAGAATTGGCATTCCAAATCAGCAAAGAATATGAGCGTTTTAGTAAATACATGAATAGCATTCGCATTGCTGTATTTTTCGGTGGAATGTCTGTTAAAAAAGACGAAGATAGTTTAAAGAAAAACACACCACACATTGTAGTCGGTACTCCAGGACGAATTTTGGCTCTTTCTCGTAGTGGAACTTTGAATCTGAAGCACATTAAACACTTTATTTTGGACGAATGTGATAAGATGCTTGAGGCATTAGGTTGGATGATATATTACCATTTTTTGGAAGCTAAATAACAAAATTGTATAATTCAGATATGAGACGAGATGTACAAGAAATTTTCCGTGCGACACCTCACCAAAAGCAAGTGATGATGTTCTCTGCTACGTTGTCGAAGGATATTAGGCCAGTTTGCAAGAAATTTATGCAAGATGTAAATAATTATGAATCAAGATTCTTAACGTTACCTCCAGCCTGCCCATCGCACTTAATTAATACCCTAATGGCGCCTGTTACTGCCTAGGAGAAAGCTCAGACACACGCTGTTCAAGCTTTTCTTCTAGAAGGGGGAATTCGTATTTATTATAATTCTTCTTAACGAATGCGGCTATAAAATTCTCCCACAAGGAGCATTTGTTCAAATAACATTACTAAAATGAAGAAGTCTGGTTTGATTTGGGCTATCAATGTCCCAGTAGGAGGGTTAATGGAAAGGTAGTATCTGAATAGAGGACATCTCTCTTAAACAAGAGAAGAAAAGCTTCATTATTAATGAAAAATTAACGGATTCGTTATGTAGGCTGGAAGGATAGATATACATATGCTCAAAAAAAAGATGGTATAAGTGGCCTTCCGTCAGTAGCTTTTCATCGATCAAAGAAGAAAAGCTTGTCGCGCGCTTTAAGTAGTTATTTAAAATCGAACAACACCATTAGAGATAAAGAAGATAGTTTAATAAAGGACTTCGGTCTTTCAGATGGGATAAGAGATTGTCGTCATATTTAGGAATATAATATTGCATCATGAATATCTTCTGTTAAGATTGATGCTTTTTTGGCTACTGGGATGTAAGTTGTTAAAAACCGATTGACATCATAAGGGATAATGATCGTACAAAACTTGCAATCAACTCATTCCTCATAAATATAATTCAGTGACTTTACTGGTAGAATATTTCAAAGCAACTGACGCGACGAATCTTATTTTGAATTATTGGGCAAATAGGCTGCGTGAGAACGAGAATATTCTGTGATTTCGAAAAAACCAATCTTTCATAAATTTTTTTTTTTTAGCCTTTGGAAATCTACGTTGATAACGATTCAAAACTGACATTACACGGGCTTCGTCAACACTACGTTAAACTCCAGGACAAGGAAAAGAATCGTAAATTATTTGAGCTTTTAGATGTTTTGGAATTCAACCAAGTCATCATCTTCGTCAAATCAGTTCAACGCTGCATGGCATTGGCTCAACTGCTCGTGGAACAGAACTTTCCAGCAATTGCGATCCACCGTCAGATGACTCAGGAAGAGCGTTTATCTCGTTACCAACAATTCAAAGATTTTCACAAGAGAATTCTCGTTGCAACAAATTTATTTGGGCGTGGTATGGATATTGAACGTGTGAACATCGTTTTTAATTACGACATGCCTGAAGACTCTGATACATATTTGCATAGAGTAAGTAAAAGAAGTAGATTACACTTACAGTTAATTTTAATTTTGTACTCTTAAAAGGTTGCAAGAGCAGGCAGATTTGGTACGAAAGGTCTCGCGATTACTTTTGTTAGTGATGAAACAGATGCGAAAGTATTGAACGACGTGCAAGAGAGATTTGATGTCAATATTACTGAATTGCCGGAGGAAATTGACATCTCTACGTACAGTAAGTTGCCTATTGATTTGTCACAGCCATATGTTACTAATTGGATTTTTGTTTTTTTGCGCAATTACAGTTGAAGGACGATAAATAGATTTTAGCACAAAAGAAAAGGATACATTATGTTACCTTATTATGTACGTAAAAAGTTCTTTGATGAATTTAAAAGTTGTTTGGTGTAAATAAATCATTTAAAATATGTCTACTCTACTTTTTTTTAAATAAAAGTTACATAGATAAAAGTCTTTACTTGTTAAATGCAATATTTTAAATCTAAGACAAAAGAAAGTTGGAATAATACATTTACAGTATATATATATATAATATTCTGTTTAGCTAATTACACTAAATAAATTATCTAGGGTTCTGACTAACTATTGTCATTTTACTGCATCTTCAGAAGTGCTTGCATAAGAGTGTTTATCTCAATTTGAACACTTTCCAAAACCATCGAAACTTTTGTTGGATCGTCGAGAATTTCTAAACTTTGCGTAACTGGATCGTATCTTACTTCAAATGGCCTCTTTATCGTTTTAGCAAATTTCCTAGTTTTGGGAGGGTATTTTAAAGTAGGATAAATATTTTATAAAAGGTTTTTTTCTTTTACCTCAGTTTCTCTTTGGCGTCTTCGAAACTGTTGCTATAGAAATAGCAATCTTGAAAAGTTGTAACCAAAGGTTCTTGTTTAGCCGTAATTTCTGGCTCGAATTCTTTTATGACGGCCTTATCAGTAAGTGCATGCTAAATGAATATCAATTGATTTGTTTTAGACATTTACCTCTAAAAGGAATAATTAGCTAAATAAATACTTTTAATTCACCGATTGACGATAGTAAACCAGCTCCGTATACTCTCAATTTTCCATTTTGTTTACACAATCCAAACTCGACGGTGAAAAAATAGCACTAGGTACAGAATGATATATCCCTTTACGCCATTGTAATAATAAGCATATATGTTTATTTATAAACATACTTACAGTAGCTAACTTTTGCACTTCTTCATCAGAAGCTCCAATTGAAGCTAGTCCGATTTCTTGGGAGAACTGCGCAAATTCTTTATTAGCGAATAAGGGAACATGTCCTAATAATTCATGGCAACAATCACTAAAAGTTGAATGAAAGCTTAGTGAAAGCTTAATAATAAATTGCTGTTACAAAAAGATTACGGTTCAGGTGTATAGAAAGGATCAGTTGAATGCCGGATGTATTGAGTACAATGAAACACTCTAAATGCCAAGCCTGATAGGAAGTCGCGTGGGGTTAAATATCCAGCAACAGGTCTAACGGAAAATCCTGTTCTTGCTGTATATTTACGAAATATATGAAAAGATTGGAAAAGTGGAGAAATAGAAGAGAGATGTACTTTTCAAAAAATTTGATACGTCCTCCAATTGTGGAATGTTATTTTCACTATTATAATATATAAAAGGATCTTTAAGTTAATACACTCATAAGTAATTATAAAAGAGGAAGACCTATAGCCACATTCCTTCTCCAATAAAGGCCAATTTTCTAAATATTCTTTACAGGCGTGAGTTGGATAGATCTTGTGTAATTCCTTGTAAATAGTCTTCCTAAAAGTTTAAATATAAATAACATGTAGGTTAATAAATAACGTATTTTTGAAAGTATGTACCAAGTCTTTGTTTCAGTTTCGGTATATTCAACTCTTGGAATAGGAATTCCGCTTTAAATGAGGATTGAAGCGGGGGAGGGGAAAAAAACGACAAATTATGTATAAATTCTAAAAATAGTAGACTTTTTTTTTACTGTTTGTAATTAAAGGCGATGTCTGCAAACATTAGCCTTCGTTTTCTGTAAGCTTCATCTTTGAAACCCTGCATAATTTCTTATTAAAATCTCATGTATATATTAGATAAACGCCACCTACTGGATGATCAGCATCCAATTCAGAACCATACATCAATACTTTTCTAGTAATATTATCCAAGTCCGAAATTTTTCTAGGAAACCAAACTGTTTCATTACCTTGAAAGCAAATAATTCCCCTCTATATCTCATTCGTAAGAGAAGATAAAACTTCTTACCATTGATAACATTCGATACATCTTGAATTTCAACGTTTGGACAAACTTTTTGGATATCTTTTACAATAGAATCAAGTTTCTTAGGAGTTTCTATACTCAATAGAATGTCCTTTTTAAAACTTTTATTCTTAGAATTTCTTGTTTCCAAGTGGGAGATGTCAATATCATTTTTCTACGACATTTTTTTTCTTCATTAAAGTTTTGAAACCAAAAGAAGAATAATGAAAAACTTACTTGAAAGTAGTTTAGAATTTGTGTTAAATTCTTGTTAACGTCCTCCAAACTTGCAATAACTGATGCACATTCTTTTGAAGACATCTAAAAAAAGATGAATTTAAAGAAGAAACTTATTTTGAACTATAAAAATGAAATACGAAAATATATCTCACATTCCTTATGAAAATTGTTCGAAAACGTTTCAAAAAGAGAGAATACGGTAAAAAGTTACAACATTCGAACACTGAGGATGACATTGAGCCATCTAATAATCATCAGATAGCTCACGTGATTGGTCTGATTTACATAAGTCCAATCAACTTTTGTCCCAACTCATCACTTTTCTAATTATTGCTTGCAAATTACTGACGCCTAAGCTTTGATTTATTATTAATCGATTCTAAGGCTGTAAATGTCGCAAGAAATATTAGATTATAAGAATAGTTATCATTTCCATAAATAGTAACGAATGTTAATTACCAAATTTTATATCTATACATTATATATTGAAAAAGAACTGATTATAGCTAATGCATTAAAATTACTTAAGAGTAATTGTTGAAAGTATTGCATTTCAATGGCTTGTTGTATTAATTATCATAAGGATAAATAATTAGATTTTTTAAAACTTAGGAAGATAGGAGAAAACTAACACTTCTCCTTGGTGGGAGGGAGGCGGAGACACAAAAGAAAGTAAAGTAATAGAAACTTTGAAATAGAATGTTTCAATAAGATTGGCCATGGTTATTTTAATTGAGAAATCATGTTTAAGAGGAGCAAATGAAAGTTTATTCCCAAAACTTATATGACACTGAACATGTAAATTTTAAACGGCCTGTACATTTTGTATGTAATCTTTATGAAAGAATACTTTAAAAGTAGCAAAGAGATACTTCTACTTTGGTGAAAAAGATAGAATAAGTTGACATTTTAGACATAGAAGATCAAATATTTTAAAATATGAACTATTCCAGATGTCTTTAACCTTCATATCGACTATAATTAGGCGTTGAAAAGTTAATCTCCTATTATAACTTCTGGTATACACAGTACCGACCAATAGTCATTGTTACACCATGTAATAAAATATATATTTTTTTGATATTTTCCCTTTCCATACTTAAAGAAAAGATATGAAGGCTCTTAATATATTTAATAATGTTCTTTTTATCATTCTAGAGACAGACTATCTATGTGTTTTTTGCTTAATATCTCAGAAATATGATGAGTTTAATGTGATAGTCCTTTTTTCAATGGGAGCATATGTAGCTGTTACAGTCAGAAATTTCATCTAAAATCTGTTAAAAATATATTTTTTTCTTATTTTTACCTATGTACATGGTACTGTACAACTTACATATTTATACTTTTATAGTATTCCAACGACAGAGAATAGCATCTTACCTGAAGGCAATCTTGTCTCTTATTTTTTTGAGATGTTCTAATTTTTGATTCTTTCAATTTAACATATATTCTTTTACTGAAATTGTTTAGAATCGTTCAGAGCTGTATATACTAATATATATATATATATATATATATATATATAGTACTGGAAATAACTAAACCAGACTTGTCATGGAGATTTCCTTTCCATTTTCCAATGAAATTCATAATAATGTAGTTCAATCGAGCAATGTAGCTTTTATCTTGTTATTTTGGAGAAATGACCTAGCTTTTCATTGAACTTTATCTGAAAAGTTCGTTCCTGATCCTATATATTCCTACCTGTCAATCTTTTAACTATGAACTTTAATTTCATTTTAGAATAACTCTTAGTATAATTAATAAAGTATGAAGAAAATTTCAAAGATGTTGGTGAAAGGGCAGAGTTTAAAATATATCTAAGTTGATTATTTTTAGCGTAACCTGTTTTAAGGTTGTTAACTTTTTGCAATGATTCATAATGACCTGGGAAAACAGTTATAAGAATGTACAAATATATCACTAATAATAAATACTTGTTGTTAACATTTTCCCATCATCTTAACCTAAATCATTTTTAACCGAACAAAAGAATTCAGATCTAGATATTGAATTTACAAGGATGTATGAAAAATAACCAAGGTATTGCGCTTTATTCTGCTTCATTCTTGGAAGAGAAAACTTATAGGCTATTTTAGTTTTGTATTGTGAAATGTAATAACATATCTTTTCTTTTATGTTTGGTGTAATGATAATTAATTAGCTAAGGGCCACTTATAATAAGAATTAAATTTTTATTAGAATGTGTTAATGAAGAAGATTATGCTACTCTTTGTAAATTAAAAGTGTTCTACAGCTGTTAACAATTGCCGTTGAATTGCCATAAAGTGAATACTTACTATCCATTTGGTGTTGAATAGAGAGAGTTTGTTTAATAGTTTTAAACTAACTGTTCAAATATACTGTATTAGGTTTAATGAACATATAAGAAGAGATTTCATTTGCGAACGGATAAATGCAAAGTTGCGTTTGGTATTAAACCACATTCTTCTAAAGTTAAAGACGAATTTTTTAGTGTTTTTCTTGGGAAGGCCGACATTATTTCATAATTTGGTGATTCCTTCGGCCTATAAAGACATTACATTATTTTTATTTACTTTTATTCAAAATTGCAGTACCTTTGAGCGTCTAAATAACGTCGTACATCAGATACTCTATCAGTATACTTCATTTTTAGTATATACTCTTGGTTATCATCTTTTATTCTCAGTGTAGTTACGTATCGTGAACTGGGAGGTCTGTTCTCTTCGCTGACTTTTAGACGGTCTTTCATTTCGCTAACAACTGTTGTTTCAATGATTTTAACTTTATTCGGCTGAGTTTCGCCCCCTTGCTGTAATGGATAAATAAGAATTTACGAAAAGGCCTACTTAATTGGTCGCTCGATATGAACCTTTAAAGATTTCCCAACAGAATTCCTAATATCGATAACTTTTCCGTCTTTTATGACCGATTGAGGCAATTTGTTTAAAAATTGATCAACGGTGAGTTTTCTATCATCTATAAGGATAAATTTATGTAAATTTCAAACATATTGTATATATTAATGTTACAAACTTGTTGATGATTCCGTTGTTATTTTGTTGTTTGTATTGGTTTGCTCTGGCTCAATGTTTGTTTCACCAACAACTTTTCCAGCAATAGTTTGTCCTAAGCCAGTAAATACAACGGATTTCTTATCGTTAAATACAACATCTCTCTTATCTTGAACGGATAATGGAACTCCATCGGGGTACCGCTTTTGTAATTCTGATGGAAAGTAACCATCAGATAAATCCTTTAAACAACGTTGGGTTGATGGCTCCTCCATAGGCCTAAACGGGCCATTAAACATTAATATTCCATTTGCGTATAGCGTTAGAGGAATTGGATCTTGGCTGACAAATTTAGCACCATCTGGAGTCCTCTCAATTTTTCGACTTTCGTCAACAATCTCGTTCAATTCTCGGATATTCTTAAGTATTAAATCGTAATTTATAGCCGAATTAGCCGGTATTGATGATGCTATTTTAAGAATAAATATGAATTAAATGATAATTTTTTATAAAACTTGATAAAAGTATAGTAGAAGGCTGTGTGAAACATATACGTACTTTGTTCCCATAGGCCTCCCCTTTCAGTGAAACTTCCAGAGGATTCTTGCTCCTCAACATTCTCATCTTCTCTTTCCCCTCCAACCCAAATCATTCCGTAGTCGGCTAGAAACGCCTAAATAAAAAATAACGAGAGATAAGACTATCTAAAAGTAGAAATTGTTTACCTCCATATCCTGAATTTGCTGCTTAAGAGAGGAGCATTGTCTCTCTAATTCATAGACTCTTCTATCTTCTTCGCTTCTTAATTCTTCTTGATATTCTAACATGAAAAAAGGTAATAACGCTAACATTAATAAGACAAATTAAACAAGAAACAACTTTTACCTTTAGACTTATTAAGAAGCTTTATTTTCTCTTCCAAAACGTTAATTCTCTTGTCCTGTTCATATATTCATGTATATAAATATTTCTTGCCCCAAAGGGTATTTTAGGCCTAATAATGTATATTTTGTACTGACCTTATCATTAATAATAACCTTTTGTTTGGTACAATATTGCTCTAATTCACCTAATCTTCTCATCAATTTCTCCATCAATTCGAAATCTCCTCCTATTAAATATATATTTCAAGATAATTGAATATTAAGGAAGAGGATGATTTTTATATTTCTATTATTCTTATTACCTAAACCGACAGCAGCTCCTCCACCAGTTGATTTACTATTGGAAGACATTATACTTGTTGAAAGTTCTGTAGATTTTCCAGGTTTTCTATTAATTTCGCTTAGAAACGAACTTTCACCTTCTAGCAGAGAAATTGGTTTGTTTAAAAGCAAAATAGCTAATAGATTATATACGGTATAATAAGCTGCTTACCTGTATAATTAGGGTGCCGAAATGGAACGTTACGTCTAATGAAGTTTTTATTAAAAAAAAAAATGAAGAAAAACATTAAAAAGTTAGATTAGAAGAGATAAATAAGATTTTAATTTTGTTATTGAAATTGTAATTAAAATATCAATACCCTCTATGATTTTCGTTGTCAGATGAATTATTAAGATTAAAAGGAGCTTTACGAGATTTTTTCAAATTAGACAGAGGTCCACTCATTTTTATCTTTTTCAATTTATATCTCTTTTATAACTGATTGATTTGAATGTTGAAGGCAAAAAACAGGGAAAGTTATAAAAAAAAGACTGAGAATTTAAGAATATCCGAATTGTAATTTTGATATTGTTATTACTGGTTCATACGATTATCAATATCGTAAAAATATTTTGATATTGAATAGTCTTATCTCACTCTCTTTCTTTCTTTTAGTCTTTCTTTCTTAGTTGTAGACGATTGATATGAAGTTTAAAAAAAGTCTATTCAATGTTAAAATTTATATATATTTATTAAAATATATATATATATAAAATAACGAGGAAGAATTCAAGTCTTTCTTCTCTTTTCTGTATAATCAATCCTAGTTGAATTGATTTTTTATTCCATTCCTTAGCTATTTTGTTCTTTTTGTACGTATTAATACTGTTTATGTCGTCTGCTTCGTTGTCAAGACGGTAGTGGATCACGTGACCATAATAGAAAAGTGTAACAGTGATTTAAACACTTGCTCCTTGTGCTTTTTTATATTCTGTTAGAGCAGATTGAAATGCTGGAGCATTAGGATAATTATCGTATAGGGATAGTAACTTTTGGCAGGCGCTTTTATAGTACTGAAGAGCATTTTCCTTTTCCCGTAATCCCATTGATATTCTGGCCAAGGAGAGAGTATGTTCGGCTATTGTTGGATGATCGCAGTCGCCAACATTTAATTTCTCATACATGCCAATACTCTTTTTATAACTATCAAGCGCATCTTCTAATCTACCGCAAACTTCTTCACAACTTGCAATATCACCAAGACAAACTGCTATATAAAAGTTTGCAGCCTGATACCCGTAGACTTGTTTCATCATATTTAACGACGTATTGAGAGCTTCTAGGCCTTCCTTATATCTCTTGGCAGCTACAAACATCTTACCAAGTTCGTGTTGAGCTTGCGAAAGTTCCTTAGTTGTTGCACCTTCTCCGTATATCTTTTGTAACTGCTTAATTGAATGTTGAATATTTTCAATACCATTTTCATATCTTCCAATATTGCATTCAGCCCTTCCAAAGTTCCTAGTTAATCTAGCAACTTCTAACTGCAATTCTTCACTATCCTTTCGTAAAGAATTAAATAATTGTAAAGAATCAGAGTAATTCCTGTGAGCTAATGATAAATTCGGTAAAGATTCGTAAGCTTCACCTAATTTATTAAGGGATTGGGCCAATAGTAATTTAATCTGTCGCCTATTGCCGATAGCTCTGCTCATTTCTACTGCTCTGTTTAATGATTCTATTGCAGCTTCGGAATCTCCAGCTTTATTCTGCGCTCCGCCGAGATCCTTCAATATCAGTACTGACTCGCAACTTTGGCCCTTACCACTGTATTGTAATAGTTCAAGGGCTTTTTCAAAATATTCTTTACTTTTTCCGTGTATGCCTAATTTCATATAAATTCTTGCTTGATGAGCCAAAGCGGAACTCTTTTCATCATTATTCGTACTATCTAAATTCTCTAAAAGATTCAAGTACTTCTTAGCATAATGTAAGGCATGCTCATTTTCTGAAAGTCGGTAATAAGCTATGGATAATGATTTTACACATTCCATAATGTCTTTATTAGGTTTTTTATAAAGCTTTTGTAATTTTTCCAATGACTTCCTGTGAAGTGATATTGCTAATCTCAAATTTCCGCTTGACTCATATGTTTTGGCAATATGAGTTAAAGATTGTATAGTATCGTGGTCTCCGTCTTTGCCACCTTTTCTCTTAATTCTTAAAGACTCTGCATGTATTTCTATTGCTTTTTGCTTTTGGCCTAAATTATTATATGTATCAGCCAACAGTTTTAGCCATTTGGCTATTTCAACTTCGGCTGAAGAATCTCCCAGCGCCCTCCTTCTCATTTCAATAGCATAATCGAATGCGTGAAGGGCGTCGTTATAGAATTTCGAAGAAAGATAATCCTGGGCTAAGGTCGCCGAAGCCTTCGCTAGGCTCGTATTATCATAATTGCCTAATTTTAGTAGATCAAAGGCTTCTTTGTGAAATTTAATGGCGTTCTCAATTTCCTCGAATTGCTTATAAAAATCTCCAACTGCAGAAAGAGATGCTATAATTTCTAAATGTGGTAAAGTTCCATACACAGATTTTCTTATTTTAAGTGCCTGCAATAGAGCGATTTCACCCTTTTCCTTATTCTTTAAATCCCTATATACTTGGCCTAAATCGAAAAGAATATCAGCGAAAGGTAAGGTCAATGACTTTTTTCCATTAACTTTTTCCATAATCGATTTAGCCGTTTCCAAAGAGTCAAGAGCTTCCAAAAATTTCGATTGCTTCATAAAGAATTGACCTTGAATTCTTCGGGAATTAGCGACCAATGGGTGGCTGTCTCCGAACACAGTTTTTGAAACATCTAAGCATCCTGATTGAAATTTATGAGCCTCATTCCAGTCTTTATTAGAGGCGTGTATTTCTGCCAATTTTTCATGTACAACGGCCAGTTCTGGACAAGGTGGCATCTCTTTCTTAAATATTGATAAAGCTGATTGTAATATCTTTTTACTGGTATCATGCTCTTTTAAATTTGACAAAATTGAACCATAAACCAAACTAATTCTTGCTATATAGACATTATTTACTGAATTTTTCTTTGTCTTTGAATAGAATAATTTATTTATCATGGACAGAGATGCTTCAGCCTTAGCCTTTGCCAAATCGTGGGCTTCTAATCGTTCACAAGCTGCTGCATTATTCATTTGGACTATTGCATAATCTAGATTGCAATTCGTTGGTGTAACGCTTAAAATCTTTTCATAAACTCTCTCAGATAAGGAATATAATTTTGACGCGTCGTCAAATTTTTGCTGTTGGAATGCAGTTTTTCCAGAATGATATAAAACCCTAGCCATTTGAGGTAGCCAGTATTCTCCTCCAACTTGAAAGTGTTCACTTTCTTTATCAGACACATCGCCTGTAACGGCGTTCATTAGCATTTGACTATGCATACAATAAAGATGAGATAAAGCTGGCTTTCCTAAATGCTCTAATGATATTCCCATTAATCTCATCGCAATAGAAACCTGACATGTTTCGACAGATGAAGAAGAGAGGAGAAAAAAAAGTATATTAATTACTTATAAAACAAATATTAAAAGTTATTTTACTTGAAAGGATGGCGCGTGACCGGCAACAACTAATTGATAAATATCTAGAGATTGTCTTGAATAGGATATAGCTCCTTTAAAATCAGCAACTCTTAGTTTAATTGTAGCAATATTCAAGTAAATTTCAGCGACATCTATTGTTTCACCGCTCATTTGAATTCTGGAATCAGCAGCTCTCATAAAAGCCTCAATAGCCTTACTTAACTTTCCTTGCTTCCATTTAGCTCTAGCCAAATTCATTTCAGATCTTACAATTAATTCACTTATTTCATTTTCGCAAATGTTCTCTTTATAATGACGAGCTGTTTCTTTAAAATATTTTGCGGCTTTTTCAAATTTTCCATCTTGTAGGTATGTTAGGCCTAAATTATGCCATGATTCGACAAATGCACTAGCACGCTTTTCATCATCCAATATTAATTCTTTTGAATCTAAAGCCTTTTAAGGAAGTAAATAATCATTGTTTCTATTTTTAAGATTGTAGGTACTAATTATTATATTACCTTTGTTAGGTATTCAGTTGCTTGTTTACTTCTCATTAAACTAACGGCTAACAAACCCATTCTAGTATGAATGTCAAAAATTTCGTCCTTTACGTCAGACGTTTGAATGTCTTTATTTAATTCGTCAAGATGATTCTCGTAAGCTTCCAAGGCTTCTTCGTACCTTAATAGTCTTATAGATACGTGAGCTTTAACATTATGTTCCGTACTAAATAGAGATATATTTTTTAGAGCGTATCTGGCTAATATAGATTCTTTCGAGTAGACTTGTAAAAGTGGCAACAGCGTTGCGTAATATCTATGTAGAGGTGCATCATTTTTTAAGTAGAAGACGTGTTTAGACATATCTAAATGTTCGTTTTCTAATAACTTATTTACTAGATTCTGACTTTGGTTCAGTGAATGAACTCTTAGTCTAACGAACCTTGCTACCGACCATGCTAATTTTAGATCATGTTCTCCGCTATCAGATACAAGCATTTTGGTTCTTAATTCCTGTGTTATATTACAAGGTGCTTTCGCTTTTAACCTATAAGATAATTTCAAAGCGTACATTGATAAGGATATCATCTCCAATTCCTTTTGAACAGCATGAACCAAATCTATACAGTCGTCAGGCCTCCCAGAATCTGGATGGGATTGGACGCTCCGAACCATTTTATTCCAGAAAATTTGAGCTCTCTCCCCCCCAATTGTAGAATTGTCATTAATCTTTTGGGCTAATATTGTTATCATAGCTTTATCGTAGGTTTCCATTAGCTCTTTGTCACCGTCAAGCAGAGTGATGGTTAATAGTTTTGTAGCTATTATTTCACCTGATAAGAGTTTGATATATAATATAAGTTCAACGATATAAAAGAGGCAAACCTAAAGCCTTCGAATTGTCGAGTGTCTGCAATTTCGCCATAGAATTAGCAGTTTTAATGAAAGTTAATTGGTTTTCGCCCAATATCTTTGATATTCTTCTGTTCTTATTTAAAGAAAATGGAGTAATACTAGCTGTTGTACTACTATAATCAAATTTGACTCCATTGACAGTCGATAAATCTGGAAAGGCGTATAAATTTCTATTATAAAAGTCGTAAACAATTTTTATTCCAGTTGCCGGAAGTGGCGTTTCTCTCAAAGATAAAATTTTAATGTGTATAAGATGGACTAAGTATGTAAAATAATCTTTTGTCTTTCTGCTTTCATCTTCAACAATAATGATAAACTCAGGATCAAAAAATGGTGTAGCCTCTTCAGTTGCTAGCGCTCCAACGCCTATTATTGCGTAATTACACGGAGGTGATCCTAGAGCTTTCCTACAAGATAAGATAATCTTATGAAACCATGCTTTAAGATCATCCTTAGTACAATGAGTTACTCTATGAGTTTGATCGATTAGCTCCTTTTCTAAATTTAATCTGTATTGTAGTTGGAAAGGAAAAATATGATATTATTCTTATTTATAATGAAATCTGTTATATAAAAACCTGTCAGGCTTCTCAGCAAACAAGTCTAAATTTACCCACAAATTATTCAGCTTATCCAATTTTTCACTAATAATGCCTCTCATATGCTTCAATTCCTTACGAAGAGAGGCTCCACAAGATCTATCAATATTTTCGTCTTTCCAATCCATAGTTGTCGAACGTTTCCAGGGTACACTCTGAAGAAATCTTCTTTGTACTTCAATTAATCTCGCTAATATTTGATACTGCTTATTTCCATTCTTCTCTTTGTTCATTGCAGAGTTATACATTGCAGCTGCGTGTATGTAGAACTCAACTTTTTCAGCACGAACTGCAAGATGTAGAAAGTTATCTCCTAATCTCTGCAAGCATTGACTTTCCTTTGCTGGTTCATTTGCTGCAATAGCAGATTGAAGATCCTCGCAAATCTTCTTTTCTTTTTCATGAAGCTCACCTACCAAAGCTTTTCTCTCTTGAGTAGAACATGTTTCTAGGAAAAAGGGAAAGGTAAACATTGAAGAAGCTAATCAAATAAATTAACTGACGATCGAATCCACCATCAATGGATATCTTACGAATTTCCCTGTCTAAAATATCATTTTCTTCATTTGATAGGGTTATTACGCAATCAATTGTTGGAAGAATAATTATATCATCATTCGCTTCTGTTTAGGGGAAAGATTGCTTTATTGCTAACAATATATCGAGCCAATTAAAGAGGAATGAGATAGTGAGAGAGAGAGAGAGAGATAGGAAGGGTAAAAACCTTCATTATCTAAGAATTCAACGACATTGTCAAGTTTCTCGTCAGCCTCTTGCGATATTGCAGGTAGCTTAGTCTTAGATTCTGAAAGACAAGGCTAATCTTTAGCTGAAAAGTGAATAAAATCGTTAATTAATTTAACCTCTTTTCTTTAGTTGTCCTCCTGGCTTTTTCTTCGTAGAACCATCTGTACTGTTTGAACCTTTAGCTAGTTTCGGCAGCTTTTCTTTAAGAGAAATTATTTATAAATAAATTAACCTTCATCTATAAAAAAAACAAATAACATACTTTTTTGCTTTGTTGACTTCTTAAGTTTCGCTACAGCGGTTAAAACGGATGTAGAACCGCCCAATATACCCTTTTTCCTAATAAATTCTTTACCATCTGTATATCAATTGAATATAGTTGAATTACTTGAATACTTTCCTACTAATTATGATATTATAATTAAATGAAACAAACCTGCCCTTTTTTGAACGGTAGGCATAATATTTACATTAAAAATTAGATAAATTATTGAGAAGAGTGAAGTTAAACAGGATTTTATAGGCTAAAAGAAAAAAAAACCTATCAATTGTTATTACAAGGTAAATACCATAACTACAAATAGTTAAATATATAGTTGCAGATATATATATATATATATATATATATATATATTTATATCTATATAAGCTAATATCCCATATCAATGCATTCCTAAGCAGGTAATAGCTCTATCTCCTAGCAATATTCGTTCTATTAAATCAAAAGCTGACATTTTTACTTTTTGATACTTTTTCTTTATTTTATTTCTCTCTTTTATGTATAAATACTTTATATATAAACAAACAAAACAGGAGAAAAGAATACAGGATATGACAAAGAGATATAAGATATAAACGACCGCTATATCGATTTAAATAGAGAAAACAATATAAGAAAGAAAGAAAGGGAATAATACTAACAAAAATTCATCATAAAAAATGGAATAAAAGAAGGGTTTCCTCCTTCTTTTCGAATGATAATCGCAATAAAAAGTTTCTTTCTCAGAAGATGAGCTTTTGTATTTTAATTTAACTAGAAGGTAACATACCAAGAAATTACCTGGAGAGATAAAGATATTTATATATACAATGCTTATTTAGGTAAGCAGCTTGTCTAAATATATCAACAGTATATTATTTATATCATGTGTATATGCAGTTTATGTATAGAAGGTTAGTTGATACAATAATGTAATAAACAACACTTGAATAGGAGAACAATTTTCAAAAAGGTTTCTTTACTTTTTCTTCGTCTTTGGCAGCTTTAGCAAACTAATACCAAAAACAGATTAGAGAAGAGAGAGGCATAGAGAGATAACACAAGCTAGCAGATTACAGTCTTCTTGTTTGTCTTGGTAAGAGTTTTGATTTATCACTAGAGAATTGTACGATATCTAGTTGAATAGACGATTATTATCACATATTAGTCTAAAGATTATATATATATATATACAATATATAATTCTATTTATAAACCTGTTTCATCATTTCCAATGTTGCATAACTTCTTCTCCGTAATTTTATCGACTAGACTTAGAAATAAATTTTCAACGTTCATTCCAGATTTTGCAGACGTTTCAATATTTTCCACACCGACAATTTCGGAGAATTGCTTATGGAATATGTATTTTATTATTTGTAAATTAGATAGAATCGTATTTCAGGTCATTAACTTACCTTTGCTGTCAGCTGACTAACACTTCTATTTATAGTAAGATCGCATTTATTACCAACTAGGACTTTATAAGAGTATTGAGCATTTTTTAACACCTGAGACATCCAGAGAGTTCTTGCATTTAGAAAACTCTGATCAGACGTAATATCGTACACAACAATAAATCCGTCAGCCTTAGAATAATAGTGGGATGGAATAGTTTTTTGATAATCCTTATTACCCATAAAATTCCATATTTGCAAAGTAACAACTTTGTTAAAACTAATTAAAGGTATTGTCTGATATTCAATAGCTTTAAAAGGTATTTTTTCAATGAATCTTTGTTTAATAAATCTTGTTAATAAACATGATTTTCCAACATTTGTATCTCCAAGCATAACAATATTAAGTCTTAAATCACTATTTTCCATGTTTATATTTGTGGGAAAATACTTATGGAAGAGGGAATAGAGGAAGAGAGAAATTAACGAATGAACGAATGAATGAATGATTGAAAGGTTCCCGTGAGGAACTAACTAAAAGAGAAATAAAGTTTAGATAGAGAATATAAAAGCAAAATAATATTTAAAACTTGCATACAAAGAAATAGTCCAAGTTTGAAGAGATTTATAATAATTAAGGATACAACGATATATTTAAATGTAGATGTGTAGACGTATCTCTATCAAAAAAATATGTTGCAGCGCCCAAATTACAGCAGTACGAACTGTACTCTATTATCAATATAATTTAAAATACCAGCATATACTCTCTTTCTCTCTCTCTCTCTCTCTCAATGCATATATATATATATAGTACATGTGTGTCTATCATTCTGCCTGTCTCTCACTCTCTCTATTTTTGTATATATATTTTTAACAATTGTTAAACAATATACCAACATAGGCAGTAGTTTTGGACCTATTGATTACTTTTATACTGTGAGGCAATTTGTTTTTTAAAAAAACAAAATAACATAAATATTATTCGTTAATGTTGAAAATCCTGGATAGTATCAGTCCCAAAAATACAAATATAAATTATTATTATTTTATATATAATTATTTTGTTTTATGCTTAATTGATATAAAGAAGGCAAATAAGAACATAGAGAAAGTTGATCGTGCAGAGAGAATTACTACAGGGCTCGAAATGTGTAAATTGAACTTTGTTATTGAAATGTAATGTGTTGACAAAGGCCTATTATAATAGAATCTAATTTTATAATGACATATAAGTGATATTCGCCTAAGCCTAAATTTAATAGCTGTACATCGAAAGACAGAAAGAGAATTTTTTTTTTTGGAATAATATTAGATGTAAATTATTACTATTTTTACTTGGAAATTCTACCCTATTTCCTCACCTATTTAACAATAAAAGATAGGGAGAACCACTTTGACTTGTAAGAAGGAAAAAGTACCAAACAGCGTAATCAATATAAATGATGACTTGTAATGAAAAAGTCACGTATTACACAATTAAGTTGAGCTTTCTACCCTGGTCTATAATAAATAGACTATATACATTTTTAAAAAAGTCGTCTTTTTGGCGGAGAAAACGAAGAGCTAAAATTTTCCATACTGCAATATATAATATTTAAAATAATTACAGGAAGTCAAATACTACTGTAATACAGTAAAATAAAAAAAAATGTAGCAAATCATAAACTACAGCAAGAGAAGTAAGTTCCGATTGTTTTTTGTATATTCGCAATATTGTGTTCTAATGAGAGTCTATTTTTGATTAATGCAATAATGTTCTATTAAGAATGTCTTTTCTTTGAATCATCAAATACATTAATTATTAAAGTTTGATAGTTTTTTGTTTTTGTAGACAAGAATAAATACAGAGTCTTAAAAATATATATAGACAAAAATACTACAATAAAAAGTCGAATTAGTGATTTCAGATGTAGTAGTAATAGAAGTTGAAGAAGAAGAAGAACACGAAGATTCACTAGGCATTTTTTTTTCTTTTTTGATATATTATCCTGATCTTCGTTTTATATATATATATATACATATATATATATCTTCTACATTTTTGTTCGATAATAAATCAGTTTTCTATATAGTTTCTTTTATTTTTTTCGTATTTTTTTGTTTTGTTTTTTTTTGTTTTTTTGTTTTCTTTTTATATATCAAATTACACAAATTCATTCTTTCCTCACTTATATTTTCCACTTGTTATGCTTTACTTCGTTTTTATACAGTCTTCAAGAAAAGTCTCGATCCGGCAGAACAACAGGAGCGACAATTGTCCATACATACAGAATTACACAAACCCAAGAGGAACTAATTTTTACCCACATTGAAGGTTCGTTTGCTGAGAAGTTGGACAAATTCCCATTTTCCGGTCTAAATTGAAAAATTATGTTAATTTTATTAAGAAAATTAAGTATATATAACATTAGATACTTACTTATACCAATGTGTTAACGTCATCATAATATATAATGAGGCCAGCATAAACATTGCATGGAAGAAAGAGTAATTGTATGCAACACCTTCTTCTTCATTATCCCACACCTTTTGTCCTTTATCATCTTTGTCTGTTACCGTACCAGCTGAAAAATTTCAACATTTTAGGGCATCCCACAAAAGATATATAATTTTAAAATTCGGTTTCAAAGGAAATTTAATTCTTTTAGCAGGAAAAAATCAATTGTTTTTTGTTAGCAAAAAATTATGTTACAGAAGAAATAAAAGCACCTTTGTCGTCCTGACCATCTAAATCATATCCATCGTCTGCGCATGCGTAATAAATGAATGTAAGTTAGACTTTAAATCACCAAATTATCTTAAGCTTTTAACAACGACATACATGCATTGAGCTACATATCATAAAAGCATTTAATTTTCTTTTAATACTAATAAGTGTTTAATATGTATACTTATAGATTATGCATAAGTCAGTTCTGAATAAATGCAGTTCCATTTCTCTTTATACTATTTTTTGTTTTAAGTGACTCGTTTTTCACTACACAAGAAAAACTTGTGAAAACTAATAAAATTTGTAACAGTTTGTTTGAATTGTGCAGTAGAATAAGACTTAAAAAAAATAAACTTAAATTGCGCATACGATGGATTGAAGTAAAATTACAAAAAAAAAAAAAAATATACAATATACATACATGGAAGAAAAAAAATACATTAATCATGTTTAATCAATTATCTGGCTCAGAGACAAAGTTAACCTTCTATTTTACGAAAATCTGCGTCGTTGTAATCATTCTTAACGATCGTTGCATTCTCTATATCGTCATCTTTTTTTGTTGTCATTGTTAGTTTATCCAAATGGGTTGACCCAGTGGGAGCTAGACTAATTGTTAAAATGGATCATCACGACTTAATAATACTAATTAATTACTATAAAAAATTGTAAAATTGTCTCAATAAATGATTTTAACAAAATATTGTTAACTACGCTCTTCAATCTACGCTTCTATCTATATTTTTGCTATAGCCAGACGATATGAACTTTTCAAGATGTTTTTTAAATAAAAACAAACAATAAAGTAACTGATTAGGAAAGAAAGATAGATGGATAGATAAAGTGATTATCACAAACTTGAAATGAAAAGAAAGAAAAATATTAGTAAAAAGCCTAGTATGTTGAAAGTGCGATAATTTTATGTTCACTTGATGGTCCTTACAAACAGGGCCTCCAACTCACCATTAGGTAAATTTGCTGATTCGCTTGACCCTCCTAAGGTCAATTTTCCAGCTTGACTATGTCCAGAGCTACGCAAGCTGCCGATTGGAATTTTAGAAAAAAAAAAAATAAATTTTTTAAATGTGTTTTACATGCTAATTTTTCACAACAAAACGACATTGAGAGCCGCTATAAGTTAAAAAAAAAAGATCTGATTCCTTGCTAAATCTTTCCTAGAAATATAACTGCATCTATTCAGAATTGACCTTGGGTAATAAAACAAGGTCATACCCGAAGTATCAGCTGCATCAGTTAACAAAGTTTGTTCTCCAGTTGACAGACTCATTCTACCTGCTTTCGAAGTACTACGCAAACTGTAACGGTTTTTATAGTTGGAAAATGTTTAGCGCAAGTTATAACTTTAAGTGTTTGACATAGAAAGGAAATATTTTATTGTTTGTCAACATTCGTACCAACCTTGCGTATAGGATAGCAACAAACCATATGCCCAAACCAATAACGCTTTTCCAATCAAATGTCGCAAGCTTATCGGAGCCTGTACCTGATGATGTTGTATTATGTCCAACGGTTCCTTGTAAAATATCGGAAATGCTGGGGTTGCACATTTTATCCGTATTATTAGTCATGGACGACCAGGTGAGATACATAACGTAACTGTAAAAAATAATTAAATACTTTTGCTGCTTGGAAACTTATTCCATTGTAAATCTTACGAAGAGATCAGCGATGATTGTAACAAGCCTGAATGAGGAGAAGCCTCTTGGATAGGTGGTAGAATTGAGATAACAGATACGATTACGCAGAGAATCAAATTGAAGGAAATGAAAAATTTATGAAGTTTACAGTCTCCCTAGAAAATAAAGTATATGACAAATTAACTTTTCTCTATTTATAGTATATCCTTACTTTGGCGTAGTAAACATAGCAAAGGGTGAGAACAGTAATTGCAATAGCGTAGAAGAAGATAGTGAATGCCAGCAAACCTATAAAAAGTTACTTAATGAGAAGCTTGGATTAGCCTTCTTTTCTTTCTACTTACCAACATACCATCCTTTGTTTTGACTTTCTTCAAACTTTCCAACCCAACTCTCATTCCAAGAATGGGCAAAGTCGATAAGCAATACAAGTTGGATGAGAATAAATAGAAACGCCCCAATCATACCAATAACCATCCAAGCTTTGGCAAAATTTGGATCCTTTATAAAAAAGGCTCCAACGCAAATGCCAATAATTGCTAGAAGTTTAAAAAACCACAATCCATTATGTAAAGCTGCCCTCGGATCTTTCGTTGACTTTACCTGCAAAATATTTTAAAAGCCCTGTTAGACCGTAGGGAAAACCAATGACTAATAATCATTCAAACCTTAATGCAGATTAAACTCATGACAAAGAAGAACATAGTCAGAGCGAAGCATATTCTATAGACTGATTGATAACCCACAATAGAGGTACAATCAAATTTAGCATCATAAAACGACGTCCCTTTACAGAGTGCTGGTATATCTTTTAATTTGTCAGCCAGGCCTGGAGCTAGGAAAATACAAGCAACAATTGTTCCAAGAAGAAGTAAAAATGCGTATGCGATTCTTGTTGTTGTTGAGCTTTTAGCTGATGGACAACAAGCACAGCAGAGACTACATGCTGCTGATCCGAAACAGCAGGCGACCTGTAAAATGAATTTTCAGAATAGATCACAATAAACTGAGTCATAACGTATAAATAAAAAAATAAGTAAATTTAAGATACTTACAGCTCCTGCAAGAGATCCAATTATACAGCCCATATTTTCTTCTTTTTCAAGCTTACAATTACGTTAAAATATATCAAAAGTTATTTTGTTCGACAGTAGATAGAGTATAAAACTCGCTAAGCTTTCCTTTTATTATGAAAACAATATGGAAACTATGACGTCACGCGCGGAAGTGCACCTAGTTTCTCAAACGTATCTTCTATAAGAGGAACCCGTTGCCCAACTATTATTAAAATAACTATTTTCTTATTAAATTTATGGAAGAAAATATAAAATAAAGGAAAAATTATAAAAAACATTTAAAAAAAAAATTCAACACTAGGTTCGTAATCAACTTCCGTTTATTATTTGCGCTAAGGAAAACACCTCAAACAAGCTGATCGTCTCGATTACGTTTTGATTTGCAAACATGTTTGGGCCCAATAGGAGGCTATCAGCTGTTGATGCTATCTGCTCGTAAATTAATTCTTCCAACGGATGTGTTAGGAAAAGTTTGTCTCGTTCAGGCAGTATGCAGACTATGAAATCTCACACGGAACACGATCTGAACATAGAATTTCCAGAACATAGTCTGGAAAAAGAGATAGCTGAGCTGACTGAAAGACGCCATTCGATTTCAGGCAAGTTCTCTTTAAAAATTTGCTAATAATATTATATAACAGTTGCTAACAAATTTTCTATTGTTGTTATGTAATAGTAATTGATTTGTGTATTTCTCTGTCATCATAGGTTTTACAAATTATGAAGCGGAGGATAATAAATCAAAAATTCGAAATTGTAAATATAAGAAGAGATATTCGGTGAGATTCTATGCATTCTCATTTCTTTAAAGAGAGCATCTAAGTTACTGGCCCCGATTTACTAGCACATTCTCTAAGATATAAAGCCAAAATATTATTTAGAAAAAGTAGGAAAAACTGCGTCAAAGCTGCTCACAGACGTCACCAAGCCGTATTGATTTTGGTCATTAGTCGATCGATATCGAATTCTGTCCAGCACTGAAGCCCTTATCAAACCTTTCATTTGTTTGATGTTGCTTTATTGCATTTTCGGCTAAATTGGATAAACAATATTTTATCGAGTGCTTAAACGTCAATAGATACTTAGAATACTTAAAAAGATCATTTTTCTAAATTATATCCCCACCTCTTTAAGGTCTGACCACTCTATAGAGGGCGGCTTTCTAAATTTGACACTTCAAAATCCCCCAGGTGGCGAAAGAGGAAAACATATCGATATTTTAACGGAAATGACAATACGATAAATAAAATAATTATATCGCAAATCGATCTTATTTTAAAAAATAGATCCTTTGTACTGAATGTATAAAAAAGAAATAGATGAATGCTTAAGTAAAGCCAAACATCGAGAACGAAGAATTAAAATGTTTATGAAGAGACAGCGCCACCTGTAAAGCACTCGCAATATTTCAGCCTTGCAGTTTATTCATTTGGTTACGAAAGTCTGACTGCAACGATCGTATATGAAAGTTGTCTCTAGTTTTTCATATTTCAATGCGCTAACTTTAAAAAAAATTTAACAATTGAGAAAAGATTTTATAATAAGTTTCACAACTACCAAAGGAATAATATTTTCAAAAAGTAAGTATATAAGGAATGAAAGAGCTTTTAGGGGAAGATAGCTTTATGTACATGTCTTTTTATTTTTTTATTTGGATTAGGTAGACAAGAGAATTTTATCTACTTGTAGGTATATAATTTAAAAAGTACCTGTTTCTATAATATTATTCATTTTCCCATTTGACTAATCAACGAATTTTTATATAGTATATGCTTATATTTTCATAGTTACTCACATTTGAAACAATAGGTTTCATAGCCAAAGATATAACTAATACATATTTTAAAACATAAATATCAATCGATTTCAAGACTTACAAATGCAAAGTTTTTCATTAATTAATAGAAGCGTGCGATATTCTTACATTGTGGTACTAGTAGTATATTTTCAAATAATATATGTACATATAATTTATAAACAAACGTGTAAGTGTGTTTTAAAAAAAAAAAAAACAATATGAATTTGTGAGTTTATGATTGATAAAACGAGCTAACAAGGCGTTGTCTGCGATATATGGTAGATTATATTATTAAGTTGATGGTATAATTTATAAAGTTATACGTCATAATTTTCCTTGACTTTTTATTGAATATAAATTTTATTATCAATCTTTACTATTGCTATGCAGGCTTTGTCACAAAACTACATCTTTGCTAATCCAAGCTATAATATCTTTCTTGTTTTTTCTCTTTTCTCGCCTCCAGCAGAGAAATTTTCTTTACTTGTGTTTACCTGTTTAAATTCAATTCTATAATCAATAAAGACCCTTCCGTGATAGGGAATAAAAATCACATGTCATTTTTTTAGAACGTGCCTATAGCTGATAATGACTGAAAATGAGGCTGTAAACACATCTATAAATAGCATCATACAATTTTTCCAGGCATCTTCCACAAGCGTCGTCGAGGTTAAAAGTTTATAGAATATCGATTTGTATTTTTATACAGTCAGTGAAAGATGACAAAAAGGTTTTTTTTTTTACATTAAAGTGCATATAAACACATTGAACAACAAGCCCGTATTATTTGTGCCTCAATAAAAATAAGCAACCTTGGGATATTAGAAATAGACACCCGTTTAACGCAACGGCTAATTGTGTAGATGATACTTATTTTATCAGGTTAATGAGTCTTTTAGTCACTACTGGTTTTACCTTGACGTAAAATATCGTTACTGCTTATTCTAGGGAATTGGTTCAAGTAGTGGTAACTAAACGAAATAGTATCAACACGTTTATTTCTTGAGATATTTTCTTGCTTTGTTAATTACAACTGACGTCTTGTTTGCTAACCAAAATTTCTTTGTTAATCTTGAGGACTTCATATTAAAGTAACGCCTAGCGATGCCTTACAACATATAGAGTTTTAAACAAACAACTTACATTATTCCTTCCCATCAGCCTTACCCCATGGCAGACGTCGACTCGGGTGGAATTGAAAAGTTTATGCGAACGGGAAGAACGGGTCGTCGCAATGCTTTACACGATATTCTAGATGGAAGCGGAACTACCACTGGTGCCGGTAATTTGCCTTCACAACTCGCCAAATTAAAGTGTTCGGGTAAGAAAAATCTGATTGTATACCAAATTAGATGTTTTTTATCGTACTCTAACAACAGACGAAGAATCCTCAGAGAATTCAGCGGTCAGTGAAAAAGACGATTCGAAGGCGTCTAGCGAAAATGATAAGAAATCGTAGTGAATAATCTGTACAAATATTGCTTATCAATTTTAGAATTTGACCCTGATTTATAAACTGACTTTATTTTGTTTTCGTTTTTGCTGAATCGTCTCGTCTTTATATCGAGAAGGAAAAGTTCTACCAGGACAGTTTATATAGCTCAAAAGAAGTCATTTATTTTATATTAAAAAAGAATGTCCTTGTACAAAGTTTGTTGCCATCGTCTATTTAAGAAAAATACAAAAGATGCCACTATCATTTATAACGCCCATTGTTGTACATGAATACACATGCATTGAAGTATTTCTTTATGCGTTAATCTTTAATGGGTAATTCCTCTTTCTTAATCTCCTCAATTCGATTTTCGATATCTTTAACAACGTCGTCTGGGAGATTAAGTTCGAGGTCGGTCAAAGACGGTAATTCTTCAGAATTAGGCGCAGTTATAGAGGGTTCGATAGGTATACAATCGTTTTTGAAAGGGACAAACTTTCCTCTAACACATGTTCTATGCATAACTCGTAGGCCGACCTCCTCCTAAGAAAAGTAATAAAATAGTTATATATTTTACTTCTTAATTTAGCAATGAGAAATAGTAATAGAAAAAAGGCAGAAAAACCTTCGTCATCTGCGTATCTGCATCAGCATAGTGCCCTACAGCTAAATTGTCTGTAATAATAAAGTCGCCCGACTCCCAAGCGTGAGCGTATTGGACATTTTTGTCCAATTCATTTTGTATCTCCTTCAATATAGACGTAGACTCTTCTCTTGTTGCCTTCCGCTCTGTAGCTGTTCCCATATCCCAAATAAAGCGTTTAATTTTTCCCATTGCTATGGCCAATGTCTGTTAGTTATTCAATTGCGCAGGCTTCATTAGATATATGATTTATTGAAATCAATCACTTACTGGTTGACTAGTTAAGGGATGTGGATAAATAAGGGGATGTGCCACGACGGTTGGACCTGAATTACAACTTCCTAGAATCTGTTTATACGTCCAGACTGGCCATAATCTTTCCCATCTTAAAAGCATCTCTTGTGCTAGGTTCTCTATTATTTTGGCCAAGTCGATGAAGACTGTTGAAATGTAAATTAAGTTTTAAATCCTTTTACCTGGTGACATTCCCACGCACCAGTCTTTCCAGCCTTAGGACAGGAGACTATATGGTAAATAGAATTTGCGCACGGATTGTGAAGGAAACCTCCATCGATGTGGAAACCACTAGTTCCAAAACCTCTTAAACCTTCTAATTCATCATTAGACACTCTTAAAACGCCTGTACAGCCCTTAACTCTGGCATGTTCTTCGATCCCTAGCTCCTCTATATCGCCGAACCATCTAGCGTAAAGAAATAAACAGAGAGAGAGATATTTCCCTCTTTTGTAACTATTTAGATTTTAATGTATATTGATTGGACAACCTCGTAATTTGCAACTGTCGCTGGGGTAAAATAACGCCTTGATTTTTGAAAACTAAAATTTTATGCTTAATTGTATCTTTTCTTATTTGGTCTACGATATCGGCCGGTAATTCGTTCTTCAAGTTAATACCATGAACTTCATAGCCTATGGGCAGCGCTTTTAAGTCATACTTTGCCATTTTGACAATTTGAATAGTGATTACACGTCACTTAATCCATTTCCTCTCCTGATTCACCCCTAAATAAACAATAAATAATGCTTGCTTTATACAAATTCTCATGAATCAGTTGCCCGATTCGAAGAATGTTATTCGTTGGAATGATTCATGCCTTAATAATTGACAGAGCTCATTGAAAACGTTTGAGATATGCATTTTGTTATATATATAAGTATTGAACGCAAATGCTTTAGGATTTCTAGCAAAACGAATTATCAAATTATTCTGAAATTTGTTTATTAATATATATTAAATGTTAAATGTCTCGACTCCGTAGAGCCAACTTAGGGTTTTCTGAAAGATTACATTATAATAGAAGTGCTCGATACACTCTGCTATAAAGTATACTATTATTTATACAATATATTATATCATAGAGATTAATTGATAATTTAACCTTTCGTCTATAACGAAATTTTCTTTTCTCGTTTAACAGAAAATACGCTTGACAATCTCTGATCGAGGAAATTTTTTGTAAAATAGTAATAAATATATACAAATATAAATAAACTGGTAGACGTTGAATCTACAAATGTTCTAATAGGCGAATTTCGTAATGTGAAACTCTAAATTCTTAGAATAAAGTCTTTATCTAAAAATTTTATATGTCCTTAAAATTATTTTGTCATTGGAGCTCTTTCGTAAAGTTTGAGCCTACATATGAGCGATAAAAGAATGACTGAGAAATGCCGGCTATAAAAAAGAAAATTCAAATTTTGCAAACACTAAACCCCTTAAAGAGAGCTCAGGAATTTATTCAAAATAAGAAAGATACTGAAATTGCAAAAATTAGAGATTTAAAAAGGGGTGAAGAATTTGCCAATAAATGGATAGTGGTAGTTTTAAAATAACTTTAAAAATTTCCACCGTTTTGTTTTGAAATGCACGTTGAATAATTATTTTTAGTTTCGTTTTTTTCCCTCTGTAGGTAGCTGTAAAACACACACATAAGAGCTCTAAAAAGTATGATTGTAAAAAAATTACAGTAAATAATCCTGAAGATGAAGATGAAATGATAGATTGTTACTTTACAATGGAATATAGTAGAATAGCAGATGCCGTTGAAACTGGGGTATTATATAAATATATATATATATATATATATATAATTACATATATACACATATAGATATATATAAACTATATCTTCTTTTCTTTGCTTTCATTTTCTTATATAATAAGGATGTTATTATATTAAACAAAGTAACCATTAATCCTTCAATCAACAAACACGGACCACATCCATTTAGGATAGAAACTAGAACAAAACCTCAAAATTTGACCGAAGTATGGATATTTATTCCCCCGGCTATTGTATGATATTTTCTTATATTAATAATAAATATGATTTATGAATAACGCTAATAATTTTTGTTTTTCTTAAAGTTTTCATTGGATAATGAGATTACTTTGTTAAAAAACTTGACTATGTCTCAACATACATTTAACGTCAGTGGGATTCTTACCTATTGCGATTCTGTATCAAGAGTAAAGAATAATAGTTTGTTATTCTTTTAATATTTAATTCTTTTATTATATCATAATTGATCTTGTTTACTTTTCAAGGTTGCCGATTTTTTCTTAAACTGATGGATGAAACTTTAGAAAATAGTGTACCAATAACATTATTCAGCGACAATGAGAATGAGATGCCTACGTCTAATAGTATTGGTGATATATTTGTTATAAAAAGATTACGAGTATGCCATAACTATAATGCATTTAAAATTATTTATAATTATTTATAACATTTCTAATACTTTTAGTGTAAATTATTTAAAGGGAAATTACAGTGCACTGCATCCACAGGCTGGGGAGCTGTATGGTTAAGATTTTCAGGTGATATCAATTCCTCATTAACGCCTGTGATTTATGGTCAAAGGAAGTTTAGACTTAAACGAACGGATATTAAATATGTAAAATGTTTTTTCGTTGCTCGTTAGAATTTGGTTTTATTCATTTATATTCTATTAGGTGGTTGAGTTGAGAAAATTTTGGATGACCAGAAAAGCGCTTCTCTTTCAGCCTAGAAGCTTAAATTCCTCATCAGCATACGCAATAAGTGATTCGATAAATCAAAACTTTCCATTTTCCTTAAGATGTAAAGTTTTGGCAATAATTGATATAGATGATAAAATTTTACTTAAAATTTGGGATGGAACAAGAAGTCAATTGTAAATTATTATGTTTACAATATACAGTATATACATCAGAAAATAATTAATAAATAATTCGTATATTTTAACAGAAACCTAATGAATTCAGCATTAACCAATTATATAGGGTCTATTAGAGAAATTACACCATTCCTTGGTTTAGTTTGGAACGATTCCTATGATGTCCATGTACACAAGAAATTTTATGAACAAATTAAGCGCATCAAAGTATCTAATTATAGACAAAAAATATTTGATAATATTAATTATTACTATTTTCGATAAAGGTTGAAGATACTGTATTACTGAGAAATCTTAATATTAAGCATAATGAAGGCGACATAAATGAAATTTATATTAGTCTGAGTAATACTGATGCTAAAAATATTGAGATTGCTGATAGTAAAGTAAAGGACAATCTAAGCGACTTTAGACGCAAGATTAAAGGTGACAACTTTGGAACATTAAATCGTCTTTGCTATACTGGATTCATTTGTCAAGTAATTTCTTTGTTTAAATACGTTAAAAGAGATGAGAAGCGAATAAATTTATGTTAAAATTGCAGCTAGTAGGAAAAATATATTCTAAAAATACTTCTGAAGGAATATATAGGAAAGCTAGTTGCATTTTGATTGCTTGGGATGGAAATCGTAATTTAAGGTTTTTATATCAGATTTTTAAATATTTAAAGATTAATAACAATACTCAAGTTTAATATTTATTATAGATTTATGACTTTAAAGCCGAAATCAGATGAAATCGAAGAAATAGATACTTCAGCTTTCCCTTCAGAAGACTATCTACATTACATTTTAGCATATGACGAGCATGCTGAAGTTGCACGTAACATAAAGGCATATTCTATTAAATCTTTAGTATTCCACTGTACTAATTTTCCGATATATATATATATATACTTTTATAGATTGGTCAATATATAGAAGTAATTAATGCTGATATTCGAAAGAAGAGTAATACTAGTTTCTATGCCATTAGCGTACATGGAGGTGGCTCCAAATACAAAAGAGGAGTTTATAACCTAAAAGATGAAGATCCAAGATTATCAGTTATAAAAATGTTTCAACAGCTTGCTACCGCCCAAACAATAAAAAAGGAGGTTACGAATAATATTAAAGTAGAATTTGATGATGAAGAAGAATTCAATAGTATTCTATTTACTCAAGCTATTGATACAGGTATATTAATTATTTTTTTTCCGGTATTTTATCAAAGTAATTTGATTTTCACTTTCTTTTATTTTTTTAATTATAGAAATTCATCACGACGGTGATTTAATTAGCTTAAAAAACTTGATGACGAATGATAAAAAGCCTAAAATATGTACGGTGCAAGCCTCCATTTCAAATTTTACAAGCATAAATAACCTAGAGTTTTTACAATTCTATTGCCCATATTGCCTCTTCGAGTATATCAATTTTTCTAAACTTAGCCTTTATATAACTAATATTTCATTATTCTATTTTATTAAAGGTGTAATCTTCCTAGAAGCCACGAAAGATGTTTAAAATTTAGTGATTCAAATTTGCAATTGATCAACAATTGGGAAATGTAAGAATACAATATTATTAATAATAAGCTATTATTTTCTTGAATTAAATACTCATATATGTCTTTTAGAGAAAAGATGGATGAAAGCGATCTTACGTCTTTTGTTTGTCAGAAATGCTTTGAAATTTGTGTTAATGCTGAAGGTTTGTTCTATAATTTTAATCTCTTCCAAAACCCTGCCAAATGTTAAATTAATACTTTGAAATATTCTACGACAGCTCATAATGTTGGTATCCCTTTTATGAAACTAAGGATGAAATTATATCTAACTTTACAAGATAATCAAGATAATCTTACTGTTAAATTATCAGGGGAGAATGCGGTAATAATTATTTGATATTTTCAATTTAATTCCTATTGAAAGTTTCGTATTATGAAAATAAATAGAATTTCTTCTTCAATTATAACGACGACTTAAAAAAATTATATTTTTCCAATCAATATCACAAATCTTGGGACACTGCTATGACTAACTTGAAAACAACAGGCAAAAGAATAAAATTAGGAATAAAATGTGATTCAGTTAACGACCGATTTATTTATAGTGTTTGTAAAACTATTTTAAGATTTCTATGATTAAGTCAAGTGAGATGAAGAATTGTATTTACTGTGTTTTTTATATGGGTAATTCTTTTTTTTTAAAGAAATCTAAGATTTCAAATATCAATTGATCTTGGTTGAGCTTTTCTACAGAAAAATGATATAAAAATATATATTCGAACGCTTTTTTTTTGGTTTTAAATAAATCTACTCATGTGAAGAATCTTGTCTAATAATGGTAACACTTAGGTTGTTTGTGATGTCCTAATCACTTGTTATTAAGGACCACGAGTACATTATTTGGTTTACTTAAGAGAGACTAGAATTAGTGTCGAACAAAATTCCCTCAAAACAAGAAATAAACTGGTACCATATAGTTGTATAAAAAACAGTCAAATATTTTGTTCTTTTTAAATATTGCCGCCAATTGTGGACACTGTTATAAATAGGAATATATTACTAAACTATTTGCGAAGGTTTGTGCAATAAAAGAGAATTTATCCTCAAAAGGGAAGGTTCTGAAATATTTTGAAAGTAAACGCGTTATAAATGATTCTATCCTAATGGGTAAGCCAGAGGATCAATTCGCTGATGTAGATGAGGATGTGTAAGCAAATTAATTAACGAGCGATAAAACTGTAATAGTTATCACGTGTATCCTAAAAACAGCTTATGCGATGCAGCAAAAGAGCACTTGAATATAATTTCTAAACCAGGTAGAGTAATTTTTTCCATAATTATCGTATATCTTTTGAAAAAGTGTTTGTCTTCTTCAATTTAACAGAAGAGGTAAAAGAAATTATTGATGATGCCTATAATTCTGAAGATTCTGACTATGACGAAGAATTGGAGTATAATGATTGGGGAGATGAGACAGGAGGTTTGTATAATAGGAAATAAATCAGTACGAAGTCTTGTCATTAATTTATTTCTTTTATAGATTTTACAAAAAAATTAAATGCAAGTACATATAGGCCAAATTCACAAGCTGATCAAGCCAGACGTAATTTAAAGTATCAACCTCATGAGAAAGCACTCGGAAAATATTCTAATAAAATATCAGTTGGTTAGTTTTCTATTACTTAACAGTTTATTGAAGAGAAAACTTGTTTATATGAAAACTCACCATTCTTTGCAGAAAAATATAGCGGGCCATTATTACCGTCAACAGTAACTAATAGAGTACTTGAAAACAGCAGGAAAAATGATAATGAAAGACAACGAAAAGATAAATCAGATAGAGCAACTGCAGAGCAAGTTATGGATCCTAGAACTCGGATGATTCTATTTAAATTGTTGAGTAGACAAATCCTAACTGAAATCAATGGATGTATCTCAACCGGAAAAGAAGCAAATGTATATCACGCAACTGGTAAAGAAAATGAACAAAGAGCTGTCAAAGTAAGTCATCAAAGCAACTGTCCTCCTTTTATGCTTTGTAGACTATTCTTTTCCTACCATAGTATTAACGTATAGAACTATAATCTTATTTATTTTTCTTATATTTATTCAGGTATATAAAACGTCAATCCTGACATTTAAGGATAGAGATAAATACGTAACTGGTGAATTTAGATTTAGACATGGTTACTGTCGTCATAATCCCAGGAAAATGGTTAGAACCTGGGCTGAAAAAGAGATGCGTAATTTACTGAGGTATTTTCTTAGACTAGTATTCTTTTTAAAAACTGTCCTATTCGATTTAACACAAGTTTTTTCTTCAATTTAGAATACATCAAGCTGGAATTCCTTGTCCAGAGCCAATCATCCTTAGGAATCATGTCTTAGTTATGGAATTTTTGGGAACTTCAGGATGGTATGTAAAAGTAAAATAATTAAATGTATAAAATTAATTGAAAAAGAGTTTATAGGCCTTCACCAAAATTAAAAGATGTTGAAATTAATCAATCAAAAGCAAGAGAACTATACTTACAAATTATAATAATAGTCAGGAACTTGTTTCAAATAGCAAAATTGGTTCATGCTGATTTAAGTGAATTTAACATGCTGTGAGTTTTTAATTTTCGTATAATGCGTTTTGTATTTTCTAACTAATGTATGTACTTTGGATATTTTTTAGTTACCACGACAATAAAGCTTATATTATTGATGTGTCTCAATCTGTAGAACACGATCATCCGCATGCCTTGGAATTCCTTCGCAAAGATTGCACAAATGTTAATGGTAAATTATTCATTATAAGTGCATAAAAGTTTATTAATAATCTATCAAATATAAATAACAGATTTTTTTAAAAAGAAGAATGTTAGTACAATGACTGTTCGAGAATTATTCGATTTTGTTACCGATCCAAATATTAGTAATGAAAATATTGATGAATATATAGAAAGGGCCATGGAAATTTCAGAGAGTCGTACTGTCGACGATGTTTCTGCTCAAGAAAAGGTGGATGAGGAGGTCTTTAAGAATGTATTTATTCCACAGACCCTGGAAGAAGTCGTTCACTATGAAAGAGATGTTAAGAGAGTAAAAGAAGGCTTTGATACGGAATTTGTAAGCATTTCTCTTGTTTAATTTAAAGCATGGAAATAAGGTTTCTAAGTCTTATGTATCTTTCATATAGATTAATTATCAGACGATTATGGGTTTAAAAACTGATTTATCTGGTCCCCAAGCCACTCCTGGTTTATTGGATGATGATAAAAACATGCAAGATATTGAGTTATCCAACAGCGATGAATCGCAAAATTCCGACACCGATGAGGAGGAGAATGAGGAAGAAGGGAATTGCAACGATGAAGATACGCAAAATAAGAAAAAACTTCATGACCGACCGAGAGATGAAAGTCCTAATAGCCGGAAAGAAAGAAAAAAGGCAGTAAAAGAAGAAAAAAGAGAAAAGAGGAAAGATAAATTACCGAAGCATGTAAAAAAGAGGAAAATAAAAGTAGCACAGCAGAAGAAGAAAAAATGAAAATTTAACGCTTCATTTCCTAAGTTACATATATATATATATATATATATATATATATATATATATGTGTGTGTGTAGATATTATAGTACTCCAAAAATACAATAATATGTACATATAAGGTATAAAATTGGTCATTTACCTTATAAGGTGACGAGTACAAAATTTTTTGACCTATCACCAAGTTAAATCTAAAAATAGAACATTTTTTCTGTTAAAAAAAACTTAAGTACATACTATTTTTTTATTTTAAAACGATGCATAAACGTGGAAAAGTCGTGGTTTTATATAAGAAAAACTGATAGAAAATAAACCCAAATATCACGTGATAGTGTTTTAAATATTCATTGCTGTATAGGTGGCGTAAGGTGTTAGAGAGAAAAGGACTGTTCACTCTGGGAGAGACTACTTGAAATATTATTATTAGATACTCTAAAGTTTTAGATATAGATAGTAGTTAAATATATTTGAAATTTTGGTGACAAATAATGCAAAATCGACCCTCGCCTTAAAAAAAGTCCTATTTAATACTTCTCAATGATGAGACGGAAAGAGTTGGAGTTCTCAGCGGATCTGGATTCTTTTAATATAAATAATGGTGATTTTGACTGTAAACAACTAAACTACGAAGACTTGAAGACAATAAAGAACCTTGGATGCGGAGCATATGGTTCAGTAAACTTAGTAAAGCATACTAAATCAGGTAAATTATTTGCTGTTAAAAGAATGACTATGGCTTTATATAAAGAGGGAAGAGATAGGTCTTTGATGGAAATTCAAGTAGCATCCGATAGCAGGGATTGTCCGTTTACTGTAAATTTTCTTGGTTATTTAAACTTGAACGGTGAGTTATGGATGTTTATGGAGAGCATGGATATGTCTTTGAATGAATTAAAAGGAAATATATTAAATAATACTGCGGAATATTTTATACCTGAAGAAATAATTGGAAATATTTCATTTCAAATAACAAGTGGACTGTATTATCTTCTAAATGATTTGAGTATTTTACACAGAGATGTTAAACCATCAAATATTTTGATTAAAAATTCGGGTAGGGTGAAAATATGCGATTTTGGTATTTCATGTAAAGTTAAAAGTGATGAATTTCAATCGTCGTATAATGTTGGAACAATGTCATATATGGCACCAGAGAGATTACAATCAGATTCTTTATCTCAAAAATCAGACATATGGAGTTTAGGTATAACTGTGTTAGAATTTACAACCGGTAAATTCCCCTACAGAAAATGGAGCAATATATTTGAAGCTTTAAATGATTTGTGTAATCAGCCAACCCCCGCATTGCCACCTAAAAAGTATTCAGCAGAATTTAATGAATATTTAAATAGCACTTTAAATAGAGAAGCAGATAAGAGAAAAGATTATATAAACCTATTGAAAATGAACTTTTTGGTTAAAAATAAGGAATATAAAATTACAGAATTTCTTCAAATATTTATTCAAACTACTCAAGACGGGGAAGACCCCAATTTCCTTTGACTCCGTTATACGAACAATATGAATACATAGGCTAAGAAGTTCTCTTTCAACGAAGAATAATCTCTTTAGTATTGTTTTGTTATGTGTTAATGTAAATATATGACAATAAAATTCTTTATATAGTTAATGCTGATTGTTTTAAAATCTTATCATTTCCGTTATACATTCAGTATATATATACATATATATATTAATATCTATATTGGTTTTTCTATAACAACCTTTTCTAGTTTATGGATGATGTATAATATATTTTCAATATATAAAGAAACTAAAAGAAATATATCACAGATTTATACTTTGAAAGAAGCTATTTTATATGATTTTCTCTTATTATTAAAGTAATATTTGAATATTTTATAATTTTGATGAAAGCGATTGGGTGATTGGCTTATTCGTATAATTTCCAATCTGCGTCCATGATGGAGTTTCAACCAAAGTCGCTAATTTTTTTGCTATACCGGAAACGAGTCGATGATTCGGTGAAACATAGTTTTCTTCAACTCTATTTGAAATAAGAAATTTTTGTTATTATTTAAAATATTTATGTAACTATCTAACCTCTTATCTTTATACATAGTACCCATATCAATTAACGAATGAAGGCCGTTCGACAGCATATCAAGATTTAATATCTCATGATTTTTAATTACAGAGTCTTGTAATAATTTTAGACCCAATTGCTGTGCGTCGATGGCTATTTCTTTATGTTTTTTGGCTAGTGCTCTTCCATGGACATCAACCGGTAACGATAACAAATGCTGACACAAAACCCAATAGGATATAAGGAATGGCTCAAGAACAGCACTAAAGAAGGCAATGTGCTTATTCAAAGAGAATTTGATATTACCCTCTTCGTCCTCTATATGCAAAGCACCAACATGCTGGAGCCATATAACTGCGTTGTTAAAATCTTCCTTGGTCTTTCCACTAATAAATATAAACTCCCTAGATAGGAGACGCTCTAAAAACGCATACTGTTCCAGCATATCGACTATTTTCAGAGAGGTTGACTGGCAAGAATTAACTACTACAGAGACAAGGCAAACTCTAACTATTACATGCATTAATTGATTCCGGTATGATGAAAGCATGACGTTAGTAGCTCCATTAAGAAAAACTTCATCTTGAAGTAGTTTTTTTCCACGTTTAACTGAATTCTGTGACAAGATTTCGAATATTCCATCTTCTCGCACTCTGACAATATTTGAATGCAGATTTGCATAATGTTCAATAACATTCTCTACTTGAACATTAGCAGGCCAATCAACGTATGCACCCAAATTAAAAAGTTGCCTCTTTAACCAATCAACTTCTTTGCTTAATTCCTTAATATGAACCATACCTCCTTTGGCCTGAATTAAAACTGTTGCTATTAGCGTCCATGGAGAGAGAACGAGCATCTTTTGCTGCTCTAATACTAGATGATACGCAAGCTTTTTACTTAATTCATTCTCATCATCTGTCAAGCTATTAATATAGCGCGGTTCTAGTGAGTGAACAATACGGTCTAAGTTTCCATCAACACTCCATTGCCTGAGTGAAATAGGGGTGCCTATATGAAAGTGTACCGTACCATGATCGGTATTTAAAACGTTTCTAGCCTTAAATAACCCGGAAGTGGATTCTTTCGGCTTCGGAATACCCAACAATTCGAATGCATATAGGGATTCTTCTAATATTTTTTCGTAAGATATAGATATAGGCACGAGCATAATGTCGGAAACCTCAGCTTTAAAGTAAGATTCCAAAGTTGCTGATAGCATTCCAACTTTAGGAACGTAAGATTTAGCTGTTCGACTTCTAGTTCCTTCGATAAAAAACTCCACAGGCCTATCACCATTACGTATATGACTTTGTACATATTCCGTAAAAATGGCCCAATATAATTTATCCGTACCGAAAGAGCGACGTATGTAAAAAGCTCCACACTGCCTCAACAACCAACCAAAAAATTTCATGTTACTAAAATCTATTTGATCAATAGGATTATTTTAAAGAGCATTTAGATAATATTGTCTTATGTATAAATTTTTATATATTACCCATTGCGGCTGCTATAGCTGGTAATGGAATTTCGTACTCGTAGCAAATATATGAGATTAGAAGAAAATCAAAGTAACTTCTATGTGTTGGTATAAATAGTACAGGGTATTCTTTTATTAGTTCCCTTAACTAAAGAGAATATTTTTATTTATCTGGCATGATCATTTGCATATTTTTATTAATTAATTAAACAAACAAACAAACCATTTGAATTCCGTCTGCATTAACGTAAACTCTTCGAAAGAGTGCTTTAAAGACTTTTACCATGAAAAAGGCAAAAAATCTAATAGAACCCATGTTGAAATTGTGAGCCATTTCGGCAAGAATTTCTTCAGCTTCTTTCTCAACTGATGCTTTATCGCTTTTTTTATCAGAAATCAGCTGTAAAAAATGTTATATAATATATACTATTTGTTAAAATTTTTTATTAATAAAGAACAACTAACATGTTCGATTACATATCTAACTCTATCACTTTTCAATACTTGTTCCTTTATATCTGATGAACTTCTTTCAGTATTGTACTTGAATTTTGGAACATTTTCCTGATTTCTTAAACAAAATTTTAAATCACTGGAAAGTCTTCTATCGTCTAAAACATCTTCATATATATCTTTATACTTTGCTAGAGTATTTGGACCAAGGGGATTATCTGTTTTTTGATTAAAAAAAACCGGTTAATCGCTGTATATATTCTTTGATATGCACATGTATAGCACCTATTTTTATCCAAACATTTCTTGATTGATTGTCCGACATCTTCGATTACGCTAAACTTTATGTCCTTGTCAATCGTTATATCATCTGATTAAAAGTTCTGAAGGTAAAGAATGTAAGCTGTCTAAAATAATCCTTGACCTCCTATGACAACACGTGACGCCACTTAATGAATATTTTACTTAGCAAATAGATAGTAGAAAACACTCTTCAAAAAGTACTTTCTTGAAATATCTTCCTCCTTAACAAAGACGAAATCAATTAAAAGCTTTAATTTTATTGGTCTACTTAAAAATGAATCAATAATTTTATTTCTTTCAAACAATATAGATAAATGTCTAAAAATTAAGAGAAAACTGGTAAATATCATGACATGAACCAGGCTATGTCATGTGACAAGTGTTTTGTTTTCAGTTAAAAATCTGTTTGCGAGGAGGTAAGTAGTACTAACTGGGGGATCTGACCTCTTTCTAACATTTTTATAATATGACTATGACTAATCATATTTTCTAAATATTTTTTGTACAGTCGAAATGAAAAGTCTACCGATATTTTTAATATGCGTTTGCTTTGCTGCAAATACATTTTGCAGTAATTTGAAGTATTATCCAACAATCAAGCCTCTGGGTGATGAGATGATGAATTTCATCAACAAATTAAATACTACCTGGAAGGTAATAATATATTATTTTTATAATCATAATTTCATTACAAACAACGAATTCAAAAAAACTGAACTTGCAAATATTTATATACTTTTATTTATACTCTTTATTATTACGTATAACTTAATCAACGTTGGCTGGGCGTATTCGATATGATTAATACAAAGCTCAAAAATAACAATAACATAGTACATTTTCTTAATAGGCTGGAATAAACTTTGATGAACAAGATTTGGGTCATGTAAAACGCATGTGCGGAGTTATTCCAGACCCAAACAACTACAGAGCTTCATACAGAATTCATAACGTTGCCGCAGAATATATTCCTAAGGAATTCGACGCACGAACAAAATGGTCATATTGCAAGAGTTTGAGAGAAATTCGTGATCAAGGTTCTTGCGGATCTTGTTGGGTGAGTAGAGAACACTTAATTTGATGAATATATTAATACTTATGAACAATTTTTGTAGGCTTTTGCAGCTGTTGAAGCCATGACTGATAGAATTTGTATTGCTTCTAAAGGACAAGAAAATTTCCATATTTCATCTGAAGATTTGCTCACTTGTTGTACAGCCTGTGGAATGGGGTAAGTACTTAATGTTCAATGTCTGAAAATGTGAACATTTTCTAATTCTTCTAATAGATGTAACGGAGGTTTCCCACAAGCTGCCTGGGATTATTTCGAAAATCATGGTATTGTTACAGGTGGACAATACGGAACTAAATCAGGATGTCAACCATACGAAATCAAACCCTGCGAACATCATGTTCCCGGACCAAGACAAAAGTGCGGAGAAGAATCAACTCCAAAATGTCAACATACATGCGAAAATGGGTATGGAATTGATTATCAAAAGGACAAGCATTTTGGACTTTCTTCTTACTCTGTACCCAACGATGTAACTGAAATCCAAGCCGAAATTATGAATCATGGTCCAGTCGAGGCAGCCTTTACTGTTTACGCCGATTTCCCATCATACAAGAGCGGAGTTTACCAACACGAAAGTGGCGCTGCACTTGGAGGCCATGCTGTCAAGATTCTTGGATGGGGCGAAGAAAATGGTACTCCTTACTGGCTCGTTGCAAATTCTTGGAATTACGATTGGGGTGATAAAGGATTCTTCAAAATTTTGAGAGGACAAAATGAATGCGGTATAGAGTCTGAAATAGTTGCAGGTGTACCTAAAGTTTAAATGTTTTTACTTGAAGATTGAAATATTATGTCAATAGCCACACTATTACTAAAAGTTTCTTGTGATCAAAAGTTTTTGTCAATAATAAAGTATCTTATCTATAAAGAGAACTAACATTACAAAAGATATCGATGCTAAAATATAATCAATATTTGCAAAATATTTATTAAAACACAAACTGTTGAAAAGTCATTTACTCATTTTTTGCATTGACCTAATTTTCTTATAATGCTAATGAGATTGATTGTGCCTTGCAGATTTCGTTGGTTGTAGGGAAAAAGCCAAAAATTCCACTGAAATAACAAAAAAAAAATAATTAATATTAACAATAGCATTTTTCAAAAGTAAGATGCTGACAGTGCGGATAGAAACCCTTTCGTATAACTTTCATAAGGAATGAAGCCAAGAATGAGACAGTTTTTGATAATTGAACTTCAAGGGCAGTTATTTCATTTATACTATTAAAAAAAGGGGAAGATTTAGTAACATTTATTATTTTTATACACTATATTAATGAGCTATAAAATTACATACTTAACAATTTCGGTCCACATTTTTTCTAATGAACTAACGGCATTAAATATCTTGAATATTGCTTGCCTAATAAACGAAAGTTTATCCGATAGCAAACACCTAGAATAGATTTGTTTTATATATCTATTATGAGCAGATATTAAATCTTCAACATTTTTTGCTAGTCTTAAATGTTCAGAAAATTGAAGTCCACTAGTTTGTAAAATCTAAAAAGGAACAATAATTATATTAATGCACATTAAATAAATACTTGTATTAGTATACAGTTTAAAAATATTAACTTACTCTTCTCATAATGTAAACATGTAAATTGTTTATGAAATGAAGAAATTTCATTCTTAAAATACACATTCTATGTTTAGCTTCTTGCGTAAGATTGTAATTCATATCTATATGATAATAAAAACAATAATTATTGCGCTTGTTAATGCCATTGTAATATAGTTAATAACAGTTACATACTTGAAAATCTTAGGTTATCCAAAGCATATTTCATTCTTTTAATTTGCAACAGAAATGCAAATATTCTATTATATAATGTTAAAGATGCCGAATGAACAACAATATTTTCTGGCCATCTAACGTCAAAATTCAATTTCATCATATCAAAAGATCCTTCATCACTTTCTTCAACTGTTACATGAAATCTTGAAGAAAATGATTGAAGTTCGTGATTATTTATGGAATCTTGAAAAGACGTTGTTAACAATGTAACATCTTTCCAATCTTGATTATCTCTTATCTGGAACACGTATAATTATAAGACAATATGCATATCCGCTAACAATTAACTTTCTCTAATTAATATAACAACGAACCATTTCAAAGATAGGTAGATAAAAATTACGCATAGTTTCACCGTCTTCCAAGAGATAAAATTGCTAATTAAGAGGGAAAACAGGTATAATTTTAAAATAATAATACTAAATTAAAGTTTACTTACTTGTAGAGTTTTAAAAGTGTTTGTCAACTGATAATCAGTCAGGAGAACGTCTAAAAGACATTTACAAACGAAATCGCATTGTTTAATAACATGACTATATAATCCGTTCTTTAAAATTTTATCCATATTAGTCCAACCATCGATATCAATTTGAAGCATATTTTCAGAGAAAATGTCAAATAGATTATCATCTTCATAGCTAACTTGTAATTTATTCATTTGTTGTAATACATCAACGCTCTTTGCAGCTTGTAATAACTGCTTTAAGATAGGTTGAAAGAATAGGAATTTCTTTCTATTTAACGTATAAGAAGAATGCCATAATTCTTCAGTTTTATCAATTTTAGATCTTTGTATAAGAAATTCATTCTTGCAATCTCTTAGCTCTCCATACCAAATCCAATAGTAGATAATATCCAAATACGGTCTCAAAGTATTTAAGAATAGTTTATATATTTGAATATTAATAGAACTTGATCCAATTAAATTTCTACTTGTAACAGTATTATATAATTCTGACAGAATGAATAGAGATCTTAATTGAAAATCAATATCCATATTTTGCTTTACTGTTTGTTTTTTGAATTAATAAGTTAATATATAAATGTAAACATGTATGATTACTTACGAGAATAGAAAATTTCGTAATATAACGTTATTGATTTCATTTCTGGTTCAATCATATTCACAAATTTTAATAAGGTTAAAGGACATTTAGGTTCCTCATTTTCTTTTAACCAAACTATTAGAGTTTTTTCAATATCAAGGAATTTCTTACGAATTTCGTTTAGTAAACTAGCAAAATAGCTTATAAAAGCTTCCTCAGTTTGGCAAAACACCTTTTGAGATAGGGAATCTGTATAATCAAACATTTCTTTTAGCTTTTTTGCATGTTCTACTATAACTTTTAATAATCCAATAAGACTATGTTCACTAAGTGAGTTAACTCTTGGAGTATAATTGATAAAATCAAAGATATGCTTTGCAGGAGAGCCACAAAAGAGCCATATGGATTCCCTAATCAAGATGTAATCGTTTAAAAATGATGTTGACGCTTTATGTTTAGATAGTCCAGTTGAATAGGCAAACCTGTTAGTTGGTAAAGAATATATATCGAATGCAATGTAAATTCAAATGCTATATTTACCAGTTATTATATAAATTTGCAGATGGCATAGATGATTTTATATTCTCAAATTTGCCACCAGATCGCCAATATTTATCTACCACTCTTTTTTCTAATCCGTCATGATATTCTATTTCTTCTACCAAAGATACCAAAGTTTTATCTTCTTCCTCGGTATCAGTGGTGCCTTCTAATGTATTATTATTGGTTGTAGTATTTTGGGTTTGATTCTCTGCCTCATTGTCATCTCTTTTGTCATCTTCCTCTAATTCGTCTTCGCTCGAAAAAGTAGAATCAATGTTATAGACTTCTAATCCTCTATTTAAATATTCTGTCCAGTCGAAATCATCTATGGGTTCCTCTTCTACTCGTTCGAAATCCTCTACGTATTCGTACTCTGTTGGTCTATTTGCCAAAAGCATTATAAATCTTAAAGCGCTAAAGTCTGTTAGAGATTCTAAAGATTTGAGGCACTTTGCCATCTTCCCTGCTTTCGGATGTTGAGCATGAATAAGAAACTTATCAATTAATCCTTGAGCTTTCCTTTTCATATCATGAGAGTTTGTATCCAAATAACGATGAAATCGGAGGTTTGACAAAATGAAATCGTGGCATATTTCATAATTTTCATCTTCTCTGCCAAAGTCTGTAAATGCTGATATTAATTTGAGGGAACAACCAGATAAATACTGAATTTGAGATTTCGACATAGCGCCGCTTGTATATTATCGCCCAATTTTATATAGTTTACATGGGAAACAACCGCCAATATGCATTTGCGCCACCTAGCGGATTGTTCCTTTTAAATCATTTCGACGAAAACATGACGACAGAAAAAAGCGGGATATCGTTTTCATTTAGTCAAAAACGCAAAACTAATAACATAGTCCAATCTGCCATACATGAGGAAGATACTGAACCTGTCGAAGAAGAAGATTTTATAACAAGATTTGAAGGAAATCAAGCAAAGAGGTAAGATGAGCGATAAAATAGCATTTAAATATGATTTATTTAAAATTCTCTTAATATATTCAGTGTTAAGCCAAAAAAGAAGGAGGAACCACTAGTTATCAAACTAATTACTAATAATCGATGGAGATTTCCAAAAAAACCGGAAGATCTAGATTGTACAAATGAAAAAGATAATGATAATAATCAATCAGAAGTAAAAGAGAAGCCATCAGAGGAGACTAAAGAGAAATCATTAACTGATAGGGCAATCGAAGAGCTTCTTAAACGTAAGAATTGAATAGAATTCACTTTGGATGAGTTTAAATTTTAAAAAAAATATTTTACAGAAAATAGTAAAGATGAAGATATAGCAAAATCAAGCATATACTCAATAGCACTGAATAAAGTCCCAGAAGGTTTCGAAAGTGCAGAAGGACCATTGAACGTATCGCTACGACCAGATGAGGTAAACATTTATTAACATTAATATTTTCATATCTATTAAAATTCTCTTGTTTTTACACAGCCAGAGGAAGCAGATTACAACAAAATACCAATAGAAGGCTTTGGAATGGCCATGATCAGGGGAATGGGATGGAATGAAAATGTTGGAATCGGTAATAAGCCAAAGTAAATATAAAAGAGATCCTTTTTTTAATTAATTAATACTAAAATAATACATTATTTATTTAAAGAGTTGTAAAACCTGTTGAAGTTAATCTTAGACCAAAAGGCATGGGTTTGGGAGCTGATAAATCTCAAGTAACGCAGAATAAGAAAAATAAAAGAATTAAAGATGCTGAAGAAACGGAAGAGGATTTAAAATTAGTTAAAGGAGCGTATTGTATCTTAACAAGTGGAAAATTTGAAGATTATTATGGAATTATTGAAGCACTTGACGAAAATAATGGAAGGGCAATTGTTAAATTAGCACTAAGACCAGAATCAGTATCTGTTTCTCAATATCATGTAGATGCTGTATCTTCTAAAGAATACGAAAAATACTCTAAATACTTGAGTAAGTATACATGTAAATTAGTTTAAAATGATAATCTAATATACAGAATACTGTATATATAATGAAATATTAAATAAATTAATGATATTTATAATTTTTACTTAAAAGATAAACGACAAGTCGATAAATATAAAGAAAAAGAAAAGTCAACGAAAAGTGATAGATCTCGCGAAAGGAGCAGAAGTCCAATTTCTAAAATGTTGCATCCGTCGAGTCGTAGTTCTGGAGAGAAGCGCGATAAACATCAATCTAAATCTAAAGAATCTTCCAAGCATTAGTAAGTTATCACTTTTTATTTTGGATTTATATCAAATATACTATATATAGTTAATACTAGATATCATAAATTAAACATTCTTATTGTTTTTAATAGCTATGAAGAGCGTTCAAAGAGAAAACCCTGGCTTAGAAAATATCTGCGTGTTCGCATTGTAGATAAAAACTTTAAAAAAGGAAAATATTTTAGGGAGAAAGTTGAAGTTCTCGATATGTTAAGTAAAGAGTCGTGCATTTGTCGAACAGAAGATGGTCTTGTATTAGAAAGTAAGAAGATATAATATAGTTGTTTAAATTTTTTACATATTCTTTCTTTTCTTACTCAGATGTAAATCAAACACAATTAGAAACTATTATGCCTAAATCCAACGATGCTTATGTGATGATTGTTATTGGCTCTAATCAAGGATCATTAGGTCAAATTTTATCAAAAGACAAAAGGTCATATAAGGCAACCATTCAACTGATATCAGATAGATCCCAAGTTCTTGAAATGGATTTTGATGATATTTGCGAATATGTTGGCGATATCGAAGAGGAATTTGATTATTGAAAATGAAATACAAAAATTGTCTATAGTTTCTAGGATATTTAACTCTTTTTGCCATTTTAAAGGAAGAAATTTTTACGATATAAAATAAATTATGAACCTGTTTATTAAGTGAGAAATTACTTAAAATTTTATATATAAAAACTTATGATAATCAAGTTTGTACATTAAAATATATCTTGTGAGTTTTGACGCCAGTAGTAGTATTGTAAGATTTTCGCAAAATAGGAGTACCTATAAAATGTATATATGTGTTGGAATTGATTAATTTTGTCTAATTGTAAATAAAACTTAATCAGTACGTTTTTAAAATAGTTTTTATTAGCTCGTAACGTTTACCAAAGCAGCAAGAAAATGTTTTTTGCACAGTAAAAGAAGTATAGACTCAATAGTAAGCTACCACCTACAAAAAATAATGTTTTGCATACCAGCCACTATCAAGACGAACGTTTCCAGTAAGACATACATTAGTTAAACAAAAAATACAAATTCTAAAATTATAGACTACAAAGGAAGAAAGCAAAAATTAGTAAGCAGGTTAAAGTTAGTTAATTTTTCTTGGCTTGTTTCTTTCTCGATGTTGTCTTGCTAAGATTGGCGTACTTTTGAGAATCATTCCTGCAGAGGAAAAGTTTCAGTATAAAAAGTGCTCTTTTTTAATTAGTAATATTAGACTTACTTGCTCATCTTAGATTTATCTCGACAACCCTTTCCGCCTTCCCAATGACTTCCACATTTTTTTGTTAGAGATTTATCGCAAGCTATGCAGCTCTTCTCTGCAGCAAACTGTTGTTCTTTGCAGCAGAACCCACATATCATTCGATTTGCCAGAGTCATCATATGATCTTCTTTTTCATCATGACATGTGTCACATGGGTAGGCCTTTCCACAGCATGGAAATCTGAACCATCTAAAGCTTTTCTTATAATGTTTACAAGCTCCATTGTCAGGAAGAGGATATCCTTCTCTTATAAGTGGGTCTTTGGGGACACGCTTTCTATTGTCCTTTAGCTGAAAGATAAGATAAGCTTAGATCCTGTACAAATGAGAATTACACTTCTATTACCTTATAAATGGACGCTCCTAACGGAATACCATCAGCTGTTAATTGCGTAAATCTTATACTATCCACAGCAAAGTGCAATTTCTTATGGCAATGTTTGCACCAACCATTTTTCATTTGGCCAGTATGAATGCCATTCAAATTCATGTCATTATGACAGTTGAGGCAATTCACCTTGAATTCTGTGTCGATTAATATTAGATCAAATGGACTACACTCTTCCAAGTCCAAATAACCGACAACTGAAGAAAATGTATGAGCGATTGCAGGACGATAATGTACCGACATCTCATTAGAACATTTCATACAAATTAAGGACACCACTTTTTTGCGTGGGACCTTTATATCGGCTATGTTTCTACAACGCGAACAGGCTATCTGAACTTTGAGAGTTACTATTTCCAGAGTTCCGGACTGTTCTCGAAGCTGAAGATCTTTGAAACGAATTTCAGTCCCCTTTCGGGCTTCGTCCAGAGGATGATTCATGCTACCTGGAGCATATGGTCTTTTAGGCTTTTCATCTTCTTCACAGCTGGTACTGTCTTCAGTTTCTCCATCATCCTCTTCAAAATTGCTTCCGCTTTTATCATCTTCATAATTGCCCTCGCTTCCATCGTCTTCTTCAAAATCTGAAGCTTCTTGGTTGTTATCGTCGGGATCAACCCAATCCTCTTCTTTCTTGAAAATTTCAGAATGGGAAACAAACTGCAATCCCGCTTGTTGAGCAATCAATTTTCGTTGATATTGCTTGAGACCATTTACGAATAAGTCTTCCATTTGCTTGTCAAACCATTTCAGAAGCGGTCTTAGCATCAGTTCCACACTGCCAGAAATTTCCATGTGTTTGCTCTTTGTGTCTAGCCATGAAGCCAAAGCTTTGTCTACTTCATCGCATAAAGGTTCTGGAAGTCGTTCACTTTGCTCACGGTGTACTTTCACCCTTAGTGATCTTATAGGATATTTTGATGGAAACCCAATCATAAGATGAACTTCTTTAACATCAAATGTCCAATCAGGATCTGAAGCAATAAACTCGAGTACGTAAGTTTCCAATTTCATTTCCAGTTTGTAGCATTGTGGATATTTCTTCTTCATCAAATCAATCTCAGTATTCCTCAATTCCTCTTGTTTTTCTTGGGTTAGATCATCAATCCTATATTTAGGCTTTTCAACTACAAGTTTAGGAGGAAATTTCCGAGCTTTACTCTTTTCTTTCATAAAATAAGCCTCTTCCGTGGTTGGATGCCAAAATTGACATTCCTTACCTAACTTACAATGTCCACTAAGAAAAAACTTGCAAGGAAGAGGCCTATTGCTAACCTCTTGATTCTTTTCGACATATTTAGAAACTTTCTTTCTAAACTGCTTCTTCTTAGTTTCTTTTAAAACATGCTGATATTTACAATTATCACCGAATGGACATGTTCCACTTTTGGTGAACTTGTAACAAGGTTTGTTAAAAACCTTCTCTCCTTCCGCCACCTCCTTTTTAAAATCTTCCGCGTTTTTATTTAGGCTATCATCTTTTCTTGTTTCCGACTCAGGTAAATTAAAATCTATGTTGGTTTTACGTTCAGAAGGGGTAGCGTTTTCTTTACTTAGTATTGCATGGTTAGTTTTTTCTTCACTATGCAAAAATTTACAACTATCGCCCAGTTTACAACCTTTTTTTCTTGTATAAAACTTACAGACTTTTCCGGCAGAATTTGAAACTTCTCCAGAAATAGAACTGCTCATAACAGGTTTAACCAAAACGAAAAAAAAAGGTTGTGCCAACAACAGTAGCTCGGTTGTACGCTGACGGTGGCAGATCAAGGAGACCTACCAAAAGCTTCTTAATTTAAGAAACGGATACAACACTTATATACGCTTTTGTGACAAGCAATTGCAACGTGTTGTGCAATAAAAATGGCGTCGAGTCGATTGACCTTCGGAACGGATAATGCGGCTACCAGTCAGAACCTAAAGAGATAAAAAAGAATACTTAACCAGTTTACTAAGCAAGTTATTTGAAACTTTAGCGATGTTGATATAAAAGATGATATTTCTTGGTTTTGATTTGAAAAATTATGATAAATAATATTTATTATAGTGTATTTACAATATTTTAGTCTAGAATACTTTATTTAACCTTTACCTATACTCTATAAATAACTCAGAAATACCAGCAATATTTTCAATAAAAAGCCAGTTTTCCGCATAAAAAAAATAGAATAGATACGATAGATAATAATAACAAACAGTCTATATATGATATGTACATATATGGAGACACTATTGCTGAATTTGGTACATGCAGTCGTGATATACTCCTGAAGTATTGTCGAGGGAGTAGTTGTCAACAGCAGACATAAGAGCAGAATACGTATAGCTTTGAGGTTGATTACTTTGGTCTTGATAATGATTTTGTAGGTTGTTATACAAAGATAAACCATCATTTGAACTCGTTGATAAGTCGCTCTCAATTGGTGGAATAAGAGAATCGAACGATTCAATTATTTCTGGAACATCTGAAGTGTAACTAGCGACAGATGGTGGTTGAAAATAATCGGATTGAGGCGATGCAACGTTCTGGAGGAAGTTTGGCGATTGTATCGGTTGATGATGTTGGGATTCTTCTCTCTTTATCTATAAATTATAAAGAATGAGATTAAATTTCAATCATTTAACAAAAAAGCAAAATATTACCGCATTGTTTGTAATTTCATTTTTTGGTGTAGATGTACTAATTGGTAGAATACTAAGGGAAATATTCTTCATATCAAAGTCACCTTCTTTAAAGAATTTGACGTAAGGTTCGGCGATTTTCCACATAAAACCTCGTCCTCCCTTAGCTCTTCCGGCTTTGACGAAACAATCAGCAACGGACAACGTATGACGGATGGAACTTGGCCAATTCGATTTCGACTTTGCATAATATTCATAATCTTTCGCTACTTGTTCAGTTATCTCCTTCAAGGATAGTTGACCCTTCTCGCTTTTAAGTAGAATTTTCGCGACCATCTCCTTGTAGCTCATATCAGGACGATTCGAATCTGAAAAAGAAGAAGATCTGGTATACCTTTTCGTAACGCATTTACCTGTTTTCTTTGGTTTAGTTATTCCAGATTTCTTTATAGCTGCTGATAAAATATCGGTAGAGGGGGAAGAATATCCAGTATCATCGTTATCGCATAATCCTATAAGATCTTTCCATTCGTCCTTGTTCGAACCGGCGTCAATGTCTCTTAAATATTCCTTAATTTCCAACGAGTTTTGTAGTAAACCAGAATTATCCATTTTGAAAAATGATAGAAGAACTTCTAGACGCAACTTGTTGACTCTACAAATTACTGTAAGGTAATGATAATTTTTCACAATCGTAGACAGTTGAAATACATTTGACTGATTATGTAAATTAGCTTGAAATATTTTGAGAGTTGATCGAATCGGTGAAAATTTGCGTTGATTATGAAAATGTCAAATGGAATAGGCCTATATATCGGTAAATTTGAAAGTAAGATTTCCACCCGAAAGAGGAAGATCAAACATTTAGTTTGGTCTATTTGAAACCAAAGAATAAACCGTAACGTCTTTTGTCTCTTTAGCCATTACGTAATATAAATTATTTGAATAAATCATAACAGTATTTTTTATTATTCGATTTTGTTTATTAATAAATAAATAAGTTAAGAAGAAGAAGAAAAGATGAATTGCGCTGGTGATGCTGCGTCTATTTGTGAACAGATTGATAAATACGTTTTTAAAGAACAGATAGACCATCGTGGTAGTTGGAAATTTTATGATGAAACAGGCCTATACGAATCGGAAGATAGTCAAGAGGTGAATACTCGCTCAGATATATATTTACATAAGGGAGATATAACAAGAAGAATATTCTTTAGTCGATATAATAAATTGACTCATCTCGTTAGAGATCCTAGAAAGAATCTATTATTTACTGTCAATAGACAGTCAGGTAGTATACTTAAATTGAATCTTAACGATGTAAAAGACGGCGAAAAGGATACAACCCATTTCCCGATCTTAACAAGAATTGAAAATGCCTGGCATTTAAGTATCTATTCGAATACTGATAAAAGAGTTGTCGTTTGCCTCTCGTCAATTCGATTCCCACCTCAAACCATTTCGTATATAGAAGATGATAAGATATTGTGGAAAGAGGAATTCCACGAAAGAATACTACAAACTTGCGTATTGAATACATTCGATATTATTGCAATTAAGGAATCGAGTATAATAAAATTATCTGGTAAGAATGGTAGAAGGATGAAAATGATAAGGAGTGGATTTGAAGATTTTCATTCGGCATGCGGTGTTTGTTCGGTACCTAATGGAGGATTTTTAGTATCAGATGAACATAATAGAAGAATATATTCTTTTAGTAACGACCTACAAATGATAAAGATATTACATTTGGATTTTAAACCGACTGATATCTATATTAGTCGTCAAGGAGAACTATTTATTGCTAGGGGTAGACGTAAGCCATACGTATCTATGATATACCACCTTTCTCAAATCCGTTGAAGAGCAGTTATATAACAATTTATTTTTATAATAAAAACAAAACACCTTTCTATTTGACGTTTTATTGTGTTACTTATACATGTAAAAGTATAATATAGTATAAATGTTTATATATTTATATATTTATATATTTGAAATGGACATTGAATAAAAGAGAAGTTAGGGAACATTAGATCAATAAAACACTAGAGCTAGTTTTTAAAAGCAACTGCTTTTAATCAACCATTAGACTGTACAAAAGTTTTTTATCATTGAAATCAATTCGCATCGATTCAATACGATTCTCCTCAATAATTGATTAGAATTTACTTTAATTTCTTTGCAGTTTAGAAACGACTATGGTACGATTGGGATCGGTCAGATTGTACTTCGTTTTGATTTATTTAACAATAAACTCTTTTTTAGGTAAGACAAGGACGTTTTCTCCTCTTTCTTTACCGTTTTACTGATTTATTTATTATTATTACTAACTAAAATATGATTAATTTATTATAGAAATATTGCTTGTTTCTGGTAATAATATTACAACTAAAAATGATACTGGAAAGTTTATATCATCAGCTGTCGGTAATTTGTCGTGTTATGAATGTTCAGAAACCTATAATAAGGTCTATGATCCTAAAAATTCACCTTGCCGTCATAATTTATCACAAATTATTGTGAGACGTTGCTCATCTTCCGAGAAATATTGTAGAGTTGAGAGAGTTGAATCTTATGGTATTGTTTTATCTATAGCCAGAGGTTGTGTAAGTAAATGCCCCTGGGGATGTAGATTTACGGGATATGCCCTAACTCAGATGAAATGTACTGCTTGTTGTACAACGGCTGGCTGTAATACTGGAAACGATTGCGTTCGACAGATGGCGTCCTTGATTTTATTAAATTTAATGCTTTTATGGTCTTTCTTTTTAATATGACATAACACTTTTATTATTTTTGAGCATATTCTTTATTTGTAATTAAATGATTAATCCTTATTCAATTAAAATTTGGCTAAAAATCTACTCACTAGATGGGAAATAATCTTTTTTACTTTAATTGAAAAGCCGGCAAGTTAATATTATCGTTCGATTGAGCGTAGCGCGTTTCGTAAGTAAACAATAAAAAAAACTGAGCGACGTCATTATTGGCGTCTCTCTTAGTTGCATTATTATGGAGCCGTTGACACTGATAAGCCGATACAGTCAGCTTCTAACCATTTTCATTCTTACAATATCAACTTCGTTCGGTAATTATAAAGATTAAATAGTTATACATTTTTTTACATCATTAAAGATTACTTCAATTACGAATAGCTTCTAATAGTACAAACGTCACTGGTAAAGGATTATGGTGTTATGAATGTTACGAATTATATAAGGAACACGGGTCGTTGTTAAACACTCAGAAAACCTTATGTCTTCGAAATATGACCCATATTGGAAAGAGGCAATGTACAGTGAAAGAAAGATACTGTAAAGTATGAATAATTATGTTTACTCGTGGAAAACAACACAATTCTGTTTTCATTTCATATGCAGGTTGAACGTGTGGAAATAAATGGTGTTTTAAATCAATTCTTCCGTGGTTGCGTTGAAAAGTGTCCTTGGGGTTGTCGTATTAATGGCTACGGTTTAACAAAGGTTACGTGTAACTCTTGTTGTTCAACGAATTTATGTAACACTGGAAATTTTGCACCTAGTTTACGTATTCAATCTAATTATCTTTTATTCTTATTATTTCTTTATGAAAACTTAACAAGATAAAAAATACATAACAAAAAGTTTCTGTTAACGAGAAAATAATCAAAACAATTGGCCAAAATCGGCAGCTAAACGATTTCTATTTTTTGTTGATAGTCTCATCATTGGTCGAAAATCCCTCTTAAGTTTTACCAACACATCCGCCTTTTCAGGATGTTCAATGATTTCGATGACCTCCGAAATCGAATAGAATAATGATACAATATCTTTCTTTCCATAAATTCTTGTCTCCAACTTTTGCTTGAATTTATCTTGATAATACGTTTTAAAATCCTCAGTTGTAATCCAAGAATGAGTTTTTACCAAAATTTGTCTGGCATCTCTGGCAAAACTATACAGTGGAGTAAGATATACAAGAGACTGCTCTAGATCTTCGTAATCGTAGATAACAATCATATCTTTGAGTATATGTTCAATAACACTTTGACTTAAGTAACCACACGAATAACGATTCTGATAATATTTTTGCATCAAATCTAGGTCCAAACCTCCATCAACTGTTTTGTCCATAACTAATGGCAAAAGTCTTGAAATATATTTAGAATTCTCCTCTGCTGTATTCATTCTAACTGTAGCATTGGCAATACTTTCTTCTATCTTGCAAATTTCAGGAAATAATGAAAAGAGTTCGTTTAAGTTTGTCACACCAAGATGTTCAAATGTGATTCTTTGATCAATGCCAAGTGTACATAATTTGAAATCCTTCAGTTCTAGGACTTTCTTTCCTTGCAGATAAAGGAAAAGTCTTTCGCAGAACCAATTTCGAATAAATTCTGTTCCCAAAACAAGTATCTTGACATTCTTCTTTGTTACACACATTTGTATTATTGTTTTATCAAATTTCTCAGCCGCTATCGTCAGATTTTTGCAATCGGGGAACCTTTTACTACATTCGCTTAAAGAGACGCAGCCGTGATGTATCATTATATAGCGAACCAATTTATGTTGCAAGTTCTTTATATCGGTATTCTCATTGTAGTAAGATATGATAGTTTTACCATTCTCTCTTTCAATTTTGATATGTGGATCGTGTATGCTTGAGAGTAAGTCTTCTATACAACATAAGCCATAGTTCCGTGGATCAAATTCTTTGTTATATCGAGTTCTATACAGAGCCAAAATATCGGGAATATCAAAACGAGTACGATTTTCTGACTTGACTAGATCGACAAGAACTTTAACAAATCTACAGACTTGAACATTGTGAGAAAGAGTTAGCAGACGATTTAATCCACTTCCTAACACCTGAACAATTTGTTTGAGTTTATTGAGTAGATCATCTAAATTACAACATCCGTAATCCTTAGGGTTACAGAGCTTGTTATAGCGGCATAAATAGTGATCTAAAAAAGATTCAAGAGATATCATGCAGCCACGATTTTGACTCAACATTAAAGTAATCTCCGATCCCAATAGAATTAACTTATCGTCGTTTATCTGTTTTATTTTACCTTCATTATCATCATCACCACCATCTTTCCTCGCCACAACTACTTTTCTTTTATTGATTTTGGAAATTCTCACTCCTGGCACGCAAGAAATGAGATGTTCAAAAGACACTCCATCTTCATCTAGTAAAGAAGCCATACTTTCAAAGTGTTTTTCGTATTCTGTTGGAAATATATCTAAAGGTAGGGATCCACCGTGATCAGCAATCAAAGTGTGTATTCTTGGTGTTAATATTCTTAGCGATAAGTTAACGTGCGGTAGTGCATAATTAGGATCTACATCTTTCCCACATGATCGAGAATCGACTGTTGGTTTTTTTTCGTTATCTTTATTTAAAGTCACATAGACTTCACTGTTATCTTTCCAAAAATAAATAATATCACTAAAGTAAAATAACTGCAGCAAATCAAAGTTGCAGCTAAACTCTTCAAGGAGAATTCTCTGAAGAACTTGCAATCTTAAAGTGAATTGATTGCTCTGTTCTAAAGTATGAACAATATACTCTTTTAACCGCAATCTGTCGTCAAATAATTTTCCTGCTTTTGAATACTTGTCCTCCAACTCGCCATCTACTGTCTGGTTTGAAAAACTTTCTTGATATGATGCCATGTATCTCTTTGTTTGTACAACACTGTGTCCATTTGACAATTCATGACTGCGTCTATGTTCGCTATAACCTATTTGGAGTTGTATCAAATTTAACAAGAGCATCTTAAATAAGAAAGCGGCCTGTTATACTAACTATATTTTCTGGATTCGGAAGTTTTAGGATCACTCGTTTTGTTTTCAGGCGGACATCTTGCAGTAACTGTGTTTCTTGGCTTTAAAGGAGCCGATAAAGCCTAAAATAGAGAGATTGATAGAGAAACCTTCAATAAAGAAATATATTTTGTTATACCTGTCGCTTTGAGCGAATTTGTAAGGAATTTCCTTCACTATCTGTACTAGAATTTTCAATTCTAGTTTTTCTATGCCTACGATTATCTGAGTACAGAAAATCTAACTTAATCTTTTGTCCAAAGACATCTTGACCGTCCATTCTTTGTTTTGCTCTTTGAGCATCAGTGTTGCAAGAAAATCTCATAATAGCCGTAGGTCCAGCAATATTTAGTACTTTTCCACCACAGTTCTCACTGAGTTTCCTTAATCTCGAAGCTACACGAAACGATGGTTGAACATCTGGTAGATTGTTCACTAGCACTTTTGTGCAATTGTTTGAATTTTGACGTTCACGATCCTCAATTTGAAGAAGAGGAGCAGTTTGCTCTAAAAGGGATCGAATATTGATATGATGATGAGCTGAGGCCAACATGGCACCCGATACATTAGTGTTATGGATTAGTATAACGTGACAATTATGGCGATATCTTGCATCAGATATATCGGGTAAAAAGTTTATATCGGAAGATAAGAGTATAATCGTAGCAAGTGATTGGTAAGTCGTAATAAATCTTCTAATACTTTGAGCTAATTTAATGTCTGCAGCATTCTTACAAGTTGCTGGAACATGGGCAACTGTAACTTGTGCGTCGACTAGGCTTTGTAAAATTGCTGATCTTTGTTTTGTAACCTTATGCAATAAAAATAATTATTAATAATTGTGACTTTTGATTTAACTTAGATGGAGTAAAATATTAATTGTTATAAAAATATATAATAAGTACTTACATCACACACACATATAAATTCGCATTCTATCGTATTTTCCGGATAGAATCTTGATCTGATAGCCTGAACGATATCGAAAGCAGTTTTTTCTTTGGGGACAAGAATATTTTCTATATCCCAAAATACGCCAACACACCTCTGAGGTGATAATGTATACATTTCTGTTTCATCCGACTTTGGAAAACATACAGCCATAGTTAAGTTTTAATAATAACATTCGCTTGGTAAGGTTGCGTAATATAAAATACCCAATTTTGAGAAGGAGTTTCTTCGTCTGCTCTTAAATATCTGTCGTACAAACTAATAAAATAGCAATAACTTATTTTTTCTTAATGATAAACAATAAAAAATTGTATTTTTATCTCAAAACTAGGTCTTTATTATTTTTTACATGCATACGAAAACAACACGTTTCCCTAGCTTCCGGTTACCGCATTTAATACAATGAAAAATAGATATATATAAACTAAAAATAATCTGTCTTTACAATTTTTTTACAAAATAATAACACTTATTGAAATAAAAGATTGTTTTTCACATCACTACAGTATAGACGAGCACATAAGAATGAAAAACGATTTGTAAATATTTTTTATAAATTTTCAAAGATTTTACTTACCACTAGAAAATGGCTGACGGGAAAACAACTGGGAAAAAGTTGAAAAAGATACGTGGGAAGTTGTATATAAACTTAATCGAAAGAATAAAACTTAATAAACAATAACAATTTCATTACACGTAAATTGATAAACTGCTAATTGAATAGTACTAATTAAGAAAAAGCGAAATATGCGTACCTTCCGTCGTAAACGCTACTCATAAAATGAGCGAACTTCGATATACTCAAGATGGAGTCAAGCGAAGGCCTCTTTAATAGCCAATTAGATATTGAGTAGATTAATTTTGTTACGTTTTTGTATAGGTTTTTTATTATTATTATTATTATTTTCTTTTTTACAAACAAACAAACATAAAAAAATAATTGTCAAAAACTTCGGTTTTAAAAAGATGCCTACTAATTCAATTATTCTTTAGATAGCTAAAGAAAGATGGATAACAGCATAATAACGGAGATTTGTGATAACAGCAGTGGCAATAGTAGCAGCTGCCACTGCTGTTAAAGCGACGACGACGGCGGCGGCGGTGTTGGTGGTGGTGGCGGTAGTAGTAGTTACGACCTCGGAGGTAGAGAAGGAAAAAGGACAAGCTAATTACTAACAATATATCATTGCACAATATTAACATAATTATATTTGTTTTGAGTGTCAAATAGAAATAAAAACAATGAATTATACTCTGTCAATTTTAATTATGAGTCTATACCTACGTACCGTTACAACTTCCTTTAATTTTCGATTGAAAACTACTATAAAATCGAACTTTTTCCGTTTTATTATTGATGAAAATCAATTTAAGTTATTGATGTTTCCTTATTTTTGTTTTTTTTTTTGATGATTACCTCAGTTCGTACCGCAATTTCATTCGGTTAACCCTTTTTTAATACCTATTTTAAGAATGGATTGTTTATATTCTATCATTAGCATCCTAATCTCAATTAACGCTATCTGAATGATATGGCAAACTTTGCGTAAGTATTTATATTAAAACTTACTATAGGATATCTTCAGATTTTCTGATTAAGATAGTCTATATCTAGAATAATAATAAATCTTAAAAAAAACAGTCGTCAAGGCAACTACATTCATCTATCGAATGAACGACTCAGATTGGCTCGTTCGAATGTGTTCTTAAAAGAACGACAATTAGCTCAAAGAAAAATTATTGAATGTCTTGAGAGGAAATTAGACGAATTATCGCTAAAGGATAAGCAACTTTCCAATACTATAAACGATGATTATCAAGTTTTTGATGTATTTAATATAACCGAAGACTATTTTACGGTAACAAGTGAAAAACTATATTAACATTTACATAGCTAGTTAATCGAAATCCCTTCTATAATCAATAATTAATAATAGTAAGAAGTTATCAAAATTTCAGGAACGAAGTACCGAAGAACATAATCACTTAACAGATGTCGCCACAGTTTCGTACTACGGCAGGAGCTATTGGAACGATGTTGAAGTAGGCCTATTTAATTAAAAAATTATTTTACTTTTGCTCTCTTTTTTGTTTAAGCTAGAAAAAAAAACTTTATATTTATATTTTAATGTTTTTATCATTTAAAACAAAAAAACAATCACAAAAAACACAGAGATACGTCGAAAATTTGAGAACAAATCAACTAGTTTTAACGAAAACAATTGAAAATTTGCGCCAAATAGAACGCATGCTCGACGAAAATATATCGAACGCTTCTATTGATGCTGACCGTACATCTGTTCAACATTCTGATTCTGACGACACGTTAGCGCTATGCGAACCGTTTCATTTAGATCTAAGCAATTTTACCGAATATTCTGTTGATCAGGAGCCTCTTTGTTATCCGTTGAATATGGAGGAGGAAGTTGGATCGAAGGAATCTGATATGGAGAGTAGTGACGAATCGGTTGGTGAGATACCACAGATGTGTAAATCTTCTGCCCTAGATACGATTCCAGAGGAATTAAATAACGATCCACCGTCTAGGGCAGAATCCACACAATCGCAAACTATGCATCAGCGCTTGGAGGATTTTATGCGGAGAGAACAAGCTTTATTATCCCAAATACGTTTGTGTCAGGAGGAAAATCGAGAATTGCAAAAACAATTAGGTGTTCTGGCAAACAAAGATAGTCATTTCGTCGATCAACTAATATTTAAGGTGGAACTATTAGAGAAAGAAAGAGCCGATATGATGGCAAGTCTTGAAAAATATTTTAGGCAATTAGAGAACGAAGACGATGAAAAAAGGAGATTAAAAGAATTGATTAAAGAATTGGAAGGAGATTTAAATAGTATGAATCATATTTGCGATAGAAAGAGTGATGAAATGAATGAATTGATAAGAAATTTAGAAAGATTAGCAAAGACAAACGATGAATTACAGAGTCAATTATCTGTCGAAAAGGGAAAAGATTACGAAGCGAAATATCGAGTTGCTCTAAAAGATTTGGATGAAAAGAGGAGGAAACTGCAAGAATTTGAAGATGAGATAATCTATTATAAAAATCTTGTTGAACGATCAAGCGATAGGGAGAAAGATGCTAAAAACACTATAGTTCTATTAGAAAGAAACGTTAAAGATTTAGAAGCTAATCAAGCAGATAAAGCAAAGAGAATAGATAGGGCGGAAGAAGAATATAATAAGCTATTGGATAAATATAGACAAGATATGAAAGAGAAGAATTCGTTTATTGACAAAATTCAAGACCAAAGCGCGGATAAATTGAACGATAGCAGACGCAGTCCTCTTATTAGAGACGACGTAACAGACAGTATCATAAGACCGTCGAGATATCAATCATCTAGGAGCGAACAAGGCAATCCCAATTATTCTTCTGATTCTTACCGACCAAACTACTTGGATCATCCATTGAACAGTACTTATGACAATGAGCGATTAAGTGATAAAGTAAGGCGTTTAGACGCCGAAAATGATACGTTAAGGCATCAATTAAAGAAAAGTATCGATGCCATGCTAGAAAGTGAGAGAAAATTAAGAAGATTACCAGAAAATGGTAGATTAGTTAGAAATGAATGCGAAGCTTTAAGAAAACAATTAGACGCATTTAGAAAAATCATTTACGAAGCAACTTTAGCTTTAAAACAAACGAACAAAGCAGATCCACAGGGTAAATTTGACGATGACGCCTTCTATAAACACGTAAGTGTTGCAAACAATTCTCTAATATTTATTATATTTATCTCTCTACCGTAAAAATATATATATACGTTGCAGTTGGCTCAATTGGAAGAGGATTACCAAAAAGTACTGAAGGAAAGAGAAAGGTTAGCTAAGCATGTTTTGAGATAGAAAACTTTAGAAAGAAACTCTTGTTCTTCTTTTTAAAATTAGTATATTATTTTCCTTCTTCTATTTTATTAGTTTAATTTATTTTTCGCGAATAGTTTGTCAATTTTCTTTCGTTTTGAATGCAAAAAAACTACTTTTGTTTTTATTTTTTGCATTGAAATTATCTTTTCTTTTTTAGGTAAACTTTAATTTTTTGTTTTTTTTTTTTTTTAAAAAAACTGCAAAATATCTTTTTTATTCTTTTTTTTGAACTCGATGTCTTACGTTATATACTTAACCAGTTTTTGGAATTATACAATATTAACACGTGTATATGTTTTGTGGTTTTTTAGTTTAGTTTTTAGAGACAGAAAAAAAAAAACAAAAAAAAAACAAAAAAAAAACGTATAGCTTCATATTTCAATTATCTAAATAAATCTATTTAGAACTGAATTTCTCGACAATTCATCAAATCAAGCAACCGATCTTCACGAGTTTGTCGAATTCCTCAATAACGAAGTGGAGAAATTAGAAAGAGAGAAGAGTGAATTAGTTGCAAAAAAAGGGAGGGACGAAGAACTTTTAGATATTCTCAGGGATAAGCTACGTAATTACGAACGTAAAATGAATGATTTCGAAGGTAAGACTACTACATCCTGTTCGCTATGCGATCATCTTATGGAGCAAAGGGAAGAATTGAAGAAAGAATTGAACGATGCAAAAGACGAAATCAATAACTTAAAGCAGGCAAAGACAGAGTCAAAAGCAAATATAAATAATCAGTTAAATAATGGAAAAACTGATGATAATGAAATAATAAGAGGTAGTTTGCATCCGGAGAAGAGTACTTCACCTATACTACCACAAACATCGACGCCAATACCGTTTCAAGAAGCTAATAATGGATCGACAAAAAAATATTTTAACGATTTACACGACGAACTCGTATCGGAAGTTGAATTGTTACAGAAACATAATGAATTTCTAACAGATGAAGTACGCAATGCCCATTCAAAAATTCAAGGATTAGTTAAAGAATCAGAAATTTTAAAAGTACGAAATTCGCGTTTAGATCATAAATTAAAGCAATCTCAAACAAATTTGGATAGAGTTGATTCGAAAGGTTTAATTGATAAAGAAAAGGATTTAATATTAGAGAATACTAAATTAAGACAAGTTATAAGAGACTTGAAACAAAAGGAGGTTAAGTAGTTAAAAATATTAATTTATTACTTATATCTTATTCTTTTAAATAGAATTCATCTAGGCCTTCAACAACAACGTTGGAAAATATAAATTCAGAGTTGAAAATTGATAAATTAACTAACGAAAATGACGATTTAAAAGTCGAAGTTAAAACATTAACGGAACGATTACATTCGTATTTGAAGCCTGGAAAGAATATTGTTCAATTACCGAAACCTGAATACGATAGATTAAAAAGCAACGAAGAATTGTTAGAAAGTCACGAAGAAATGTACGAAATGATGGAAAGAAGAATAGGATTAATGAAGAGACAACTAGAAAATATAAGAGCCGAAAATGTATTTATATATACTATATATATGCAGTATATATTATAATCATAATTGTAATTTCATTAAACAGCTATTACCACCACAACACAATCAATTCTTTGATAATTTAGAAAGGATGGGTGACTTCTATACAGATATGTATAAGGTATATATAATAAGTTTATTTAGACAACTAATTTTTATCCAGCTTAAGCTCAAATTTAAAAAGTAAAATAACCTATAAAAAACTATTTTTATTAGTTTTATAACAGTTTTTTTTATTGGTTTTAAAGGTTGCAGCTGTTGTATTTCATTATATTTTTTCGACCTTTATTTCTTAAAAATCATAAATTAATATCCCATTTTTTTTAAATACTTTCTCTCTATCTATTATACTCTCTCTCTCTCTCACTCTTTTTTTTTAATCTTTATATACTTTCTACTGTACATGTTCATCAATTACTAGAAAATACTAATAGTTTAATTAATTGAACGATATACTACACACTACATGGTTATTATAGAATTGATTTTATCCGCTGTGTTATACATTTATGGATTAAAATTATGAATATTCATCTTTATATATATATATACAGTATATATATTGTTCATATATGTTTATTTAAAAAAAATAACATACCATCTGCTCTTTTAATCGACTATTACATATTTTAATGCATAAGTATATTATATATATATACAGTATATACAGAATATACATATATATATATATATATATATATATATTAGTATATATGTATTTATAAGTGGTTTAAAGAAGCAAACACCGTTTACACAAAAAATCGTATTTTAATGGTGAACGATGCCGTAAACAAAATTCATTTAAATGCGCATAATTAATTTGTATTCGTTTAAACTATACTCAGTATTCAATTGGCAATGGGAGGAAACACGGTTTATACGCATCAGTTCTTCGTTAAATTTTATGATTGTGTCTATACGGTATTATAGGCCCAAAAGTTTTAAAAAAATAAGAATTATAGTTTATTGATTAATTAATTAATTAATTAACTTTTTTTTTTTGGTTAGAGAAGAGAAGAGGAGAAAAAGGCGGCGAATAATGTTGAAAGTCAAACTGACGAGTTTAAAGCTTCTTGCCTATCCGATGGTTGGAATAAATCATCTAATTTCGCTTTTTACATTACTAATGATAGCTATTTATTATCAGAATTGAAGATGCAGCTTCTTCAAATTGCCCAAAACTATTCAACTGCCGTAAAAGAATTTGCAACTGTATTGAGAAACGCCCACTCCTCTGGAATAACCACAATGACAACACGCCATCTAGCGACCGAATTAACAGCTATTTACGAGGGAAACTTCGAACAAATTCAAGGCGTAAAGCCGTCATTCGGTGGACAAGTTACAGCTAGCGTAAATAACGAAAAATCTAAAAATTTGAAAGCTTTAGTGGAAGCTTTACCATTTGATGACGTTGATACAAATAGGAAAACATTAGAATATCGATCTGAAAGTTTTTCAGAGATTGACGAAGAGGAATTTCAACAAATAATTATTGTAAGATTTAAATCATTTTCAACCATTCCATTCCTATCGTATAATTCAATTATTTATATTCAATAAAAGGGAAAGTTAAGAGAAGGAAAATCTAGAAAGTCTTTTCATAAATTATCAAGGAAGAAACAAAATCTACTAGTTTCGAATCTCATCAATGCTATGACGTCAGGAGATGGGGAAGAAGAGTCAAAAATGTCACCCAACGGTATATTAATAGGACTAAATAATGTTAATAAATTCCTAGTTGCCCCAAGCTAATCAGAATATTTAAAAAAAAAACTTAGAAATGAGCGTAACAGTCGCCATGCAAGTGGACGAAGAGAATCCCTTAGAATATAATCATACAGACCAATTTGACAATAGACAGTCGGAAGTTGATTACGACGAATACGACAATAGAATCTCCAGTCCATTTAATAATAGTTCAAGAGAATTTAATGACAAGATAATTGATTTACAAAGGGCAGTTAAACAGGTAAAACATTAAATATTATTATTTTTATTAAAAAAATAAAAACGCTTTTTTATTATTTAGTTGGAAATTGAAAATAGACATTTAGAAGATGGTTTATCAAGAAGAGACGAGCATATTGATGATCTCATATCTCAAATTCGGAGATATGATGAGGTATGTTATATAAATAAAAGTTTATTGAATGCACAAATTTTAGACAAAGATCTTTGATATTCAATTATTATGTTGTCAATTCTTAATATAACTACGTCCTTAGGCAAGTCTCTATTGAATACGGATAAGGTATAGACTCTAAACAGTGCATGATGACACTTTAAAACTTCAGGCATGACCATGTTACTTCGCGCTTTCAGGTTTAGGCCTATCACAACTACGTAGTTGTTTGTTACTGTTGTTATTTGTAAACGTTAATTAGCAAAAGAGAGAAAGGAATTTTTCAATTATTTTTATTTCTTCTTAAATGTTTAGAGAATGGAAAAACAATTTTTTTTCTTTTTTTTCTCTAATCTTTAACAGTTAGTTAGTCGACGAAACTCTGCTCACCTAAAGTCTCTAGATATGTCACATGAAAAGCCCGTAGAAGATAGTCAATATCATAAAGAAATGAAGGAGCTAGGCCAGATGCTTGAATATTGCGTAAGTTGGGAAACATAATTAAAAAGAAATAAATAAACCAAAAACAATATACTCTCTTCGTTTAAAGAGGCAAGAAAAAAATGAACTTTTGGAGAGGTTACAAGGAAATGATATGAGCAAGCGTAACGTAGGTACAACTACCTGGAATTCGGAACCTCGGCCGGAACAAGATCATTCTCGTAATAACAGATTATACGGATTACTCAGGGAAAAGGTACGCGTTTATTTATAGAATAAATAAGCTTAACTAGTAGCAGAGAATGTTTCTTTCCTATTCTTTTCATTCATTAATAAATTCCTTCATTCCTATTTAAACTTGTTATTAAAAGAACGTCGTCCTTCGAAAATTGTATATTTACCTACAAAAAATTGGAGCCGACCCAGCCGTATTGGTTTTTGTTGAAAAAGAATTAAAGAAATTAGAGAGCGAAGAAGATCCACTAATTGCAAGGGATGAAGAAGAAAATCAAGTGGCCGACAAAGGAGACGATAGCGCTTGCGCTATGAGTGAAGAGGATTCAACTTTATCGTCGGATTTGAATACAATCTACGAAAATATTGGTCCCTTATTCATCGCTACGAAAGATTACAATCCGAGTATAAATAACAAGTCAAATTGTCTAAACTTGAAAGAGGGAGATATAGTTCACGTACTCGAAAAATTTCCATCGAGCAATTTCTATAAGGTGAAAAGTGGCACTAAAGTTGGTCTTGCACCTAAATCTCACCTATCCTCTTTCACTCCTGGACCTCCTAAACCTCCGAGAGTCGTTAAGAATAACGTGTTATCTCATCCAGCATTTAAGGATGGTTTAGACATATATAGGGTACAATCTCTGTCAACTTCTCATCCAGCTTTTAAAATGAAAGAGAAGAATAAAGATGGACCTTACGAAGAGATATCTCTGGAAAAGCGTCCATATCCGCCGAAAAATTTTAAAATAGAAAAAATCTTCAAAAATTCTATTATTCTAAGCTGGAAAAGAACAAAAGTAGATAAGTTTGGCAGATCGAATGGTATGCTGTTAGCCGGCTATGAAGTATGTAAAAAACATTCTGTCCTATTAACACTTAGATTGAAGAATTACCTTTTCCTAATTAGATAACTCTACCATCTGGTAAAACCCGATTCATACCGAATATACGAATAGAGAAAGCCCTGGTTGAGAATGAGGTCAAAGAAAAACCAAGATCATATTCCATTAGAACAGTGACCGAGAGGGGAAAACGTTCAGAGGAATTGTTTGTTGTTCTCGAGTCCAATTTCGAGGCCTTCCATACCGCCGATATGACCGATTTTCAAACTATTGGTTCAATTTTAGAAGAAAGTGATCTAATAGTTCCTGTAAGTTGCATTGAACAGTTTCTTTGACAAATTTTTATTATTATTTTTTTTTGGTCTTGCATTCATTAAATTAAAATACGTAACTCAACCTCCCACAGAGAATCGCTATTTATGATTACAATCCGATCAATTCGCATGGGTCAGAATTGGTTTTAAAAACTGGAGATTTAGTTTTAACAACAGGAGAAGAGGACGAAACGGGATATTTTAAAGCTCAATGCAAAGGAAAATCTGGAATAGCTCCTGCATGCTTTTTAGAAGAAATCGCCTATTTTCTTAATTAATCGAACGATCATAGTAGTTTCTTTACTTTTTCTTGTATTTTTTTTTTCTAAAGTAAGTCTTATCAAACTTTCTATTTATAATCAACGATTGATAAACCTTCTTTTAATTGGATAATACTTTTACTTTTTATGTTCCTTCGTACACCAACTGTTCTAACGCCATCTGAAGTCAGAGTTTCGTATTTTTTTGAAATATAAAATACAAAAACTATTAGTTGTTTGAAAAACGTTTTATAGGATAATTGATAAGAAGAAAACTAAAATAACTAAAGGAATATATAGTTTGACCTAAATACTGCAAAACGCGAGATGGTGTGGGGGTGGAAACTGAGATATTTGTAATAATAATTAAGACATTAACAAAGTATTAACTATGATAGATTATCTAAATTGGCAGCAGCTAATTAGCATTCTTATCGTAATATAGGTAATGGTATATCGATAAATAGAAGTTTATTATTATTATTGTTATTATTGTTATTATTATTAATAATAATAAGGGGAAAAGTAGAACGCCTTGGCTCGTTGCATAGACGATTTTGTAGCGCCGCGGATAGGTTAGAAAATAAAACAAGGTGGCGTCGTAATCGCTCCTGCTGGAATCAACTTGCGCCCCAAATATGGATTTGCAGGTGCGTGTCTAGCAAGTTCGCCTAGCTTTTCGATTAAAAAACTCACATGTAGAGGAGTTGATAGCGGCGTTTACTGGTTGACAGTCTCATTCCGCATGAGTAGCGGAGGTAGATTCGATTTCGAGGACGGTGGAACCTATTGCGGAGGATGGCAAGATGGAAAAGCACACGGAGCAGGAGTTTGTACTGGTCCGAAAGGTCAAGGAGAATATTCTGGAGAGTGGGAAAGCGGCTTTGAGATTAGCGGCGTCTATACTTGGCCTAGTGGTAATTGCTATGAAGGAGAATGGATGCAAGGAAAGCGACACGGCGTTGGTGTGGAGTTCAAAGGTAAATGGACCTACAAGGGTGAATGGACACATGGATTTAAAGGACGCTACGGGGTACGGTTATCTACAAACTCGGATGCTAGATACGAAGGAACATGGACGACCGGCTTACAAGATGGCTACGGTGTAGAAACCTATGCAGACGGTGGAACTTATCGAGGCCAATGGTTAAGAGGCATGAGACACGGGTATGGCATGAGGCAATCGGTACCATACGGACTAGCTGCCGCCCACTACGATTCGAAAACTCTTAGAGCTTCGCTAAGTTCTCTTCGTTCTACTGACCAGGAAGTTGAAGGACGCGATAAACGATCGGACGAAGTTCGAGGTGGTTTTGTTCTCAAAGGTCGTTTAGATGAATCAACCGCAGCCGCATCATTTCAATCAAAAACACCTAAGTCTAGGCGAAAATTTATGGACGTTCTGAAATTGCGTAAACACAATAAATCAACAGGCGATATATCTATGAGATCGAAAAAAACTTCTTCAATGAGATCAACTTATTCTGCTGAATCGGCAACGCATCTATACGATACTGATGCCGAGAGCGAAGCAAGCCTATTATCAACTGATGACCTTGATTCGAGTGCAGTTGAAACCTATATAGGAGAATGGAAGAATGATAAACGAGCCGGTTTTGGCGTTTCAGAACGTTCAGATGGTCTAAGGTACGAAGGAGAGTGGTTAAACAATACTAAACATGGTTATGGAGTAACTACTCTACGAGATGGTTCAAAAGAGCATGGAAAATATAAGAATAATATTTTAGTGTCTTCCACTCAAGGAAGAAGTAAACTCTTTATCCTTCGTTCAAATAAACTGAAAGAGAGAGTAGAAAATGCAGTTGGCGCCGCCCAAAGAGCAGCACAGATTGCTGCCCAAAAGGCTGATATTGCTATGACCAGAATGTCTAATGCTAGAGCAAAATCTGATGAAGCTGAGAGGGCAGCAACAAAGGCTAGAAATGATTCGAACGAAGCGAGAGTTAGAGCGAGGGAAGTAGCACCTGAATTCCATCAGCCAGGTACGGATATACAAAAGAATAAAGTACCAACTGAATTAACAAATCACATCTCTCCGGCTGCTCCTATCATCCCACAACAAAGTCGTCCTCCCATACCAGAAGTGAAACTTCCGGCCGTTCAACAGTCAGCCCGTCTTTCAGAACTTTTCGACGCTACAGTAGTTACTGATCATTTCGATCAGTACGAAACAGGTAGCGGATTAGATGCCGAAAGTATAGGCAGAAGTTTGGAAGCTGTTTCGACTAGACCTGCGTCTAGAACAACGTCTCTAGCTCCTTCTCGCGGACACAGCGAGGAACGTAATGATCAATTAGGCCAGCTTCCCGAAACCACAAAATCTAGTCAACTAGGTCAAACAGGCCTTGTTCGGCGTTCCACTCTTCCTAGTATAGTTAAAAGGAATGAAAAACAAGAAGAGAAGATGTATGTCGTCGACAAAGGTATTCGAAAACAGGTCCGTAAAGACGTTGAAAAGGACGGACCCTTTCGCTTGAAAATAGAAAAAGTAAACGATAACATAAAAGGTAGCCTACCCGACGTGAGTATTCAATCAACAATGAACCTCTTGCCCAGAGAGGAGGTTTATAAGATGAGCACTCAACGTCGGGAAGAGCTACGTCTTCTCAAGGAAGAAGAGGAACGAAGACGAAGACAGGAAATTGTTCTCAGTTTAGGCAGTGTTAAGGTAAGGGAATGAAAGAGAGTGAGAGAGAGAGAGAGAGAGAGAGATAGGGAGAAAGAGGGAGAGAGCGAGCGCGAAAAAACTAGCCAGCTGCTATATATAAACTACCAAACGGTATATTTTATTTAGAATGTTTTTAGAAACAGTTTTTTTTCTCTTCAGGATTGGTGCAAGCAGCAACAACTTCTAATGATGGTCCTTGCCGTCAACATATCCCTCGCTACCCTCTTCTTCAATCTACTTTCCTAACATTCCGAATTTATTAGAAGTTATTTACTGTATTCAGAAAAGAGTAAAAAAACAAAAAAGGATCGAAAAAAAAATTTTAATGCAAATTTCACCGTTTCCTTTCCTCAGATTTATCTTCAACTTTTACTATACTGCAGTACGGTTTGTAATCAGCAAAAATACACACCCTCTTATAATAATAATAATATTAATAATAATAAAAGAAGAAGAAGAAAAAAAGGAGGAATAAGAAGAAAAGAGAAAGAGGTGGGGGTAGTGGGTGTTAGGATTGGGTATGGCAATAAAAAAGAATGTAAAGGCCATAGAATTTTATTACCCAATTCTCCTTTTACCCCTTTTAATCTCCCACTTAATTCTTTTTTGCATTCCGTTTATAGTTTATTCGAACGTAGCTAATAAAGATTGTGGTACAAACCATACTATGCTTTTTGTACCTAAGAGAGTATGTTAGTGGAATTTGATACTTAAAATACGTTCGAATACCCCAGTAAAGTGGCATTTCGAGATTGTAGGTTTATATTATGTGTTAAATAGTGCTATATATGAAATTATACAGTATTTTTACATATTATACCAAGCTTATATATAAGTGATACCCAAATACACAGTATAATTATATAGCCTACGAACCACTTTTGACCCCGAGGGAATAAAGGAACCAAACTGAACCGTATTCGAATGTGTTATATTTAGATAGCTCTTTTTTTCCTCTTTTTTTTTTTACGTTTAGCCTACTTTTTACTATAATATATGGGATAAAGAAAAAACCTTGTAAAAACCAAAGGGTCATTAAATGGATTTCTTCAAATTGATAACGTTCACTTAAAAATATTTAAATATTAAATACGTTTTATAAGCGTTAATTGTATCTTAACTGATCAAACATTGTTTATACATATTACATCAAGATTTTCTTATTCTCTTCTCAATGTTTATGGCTAATTTATTATTATTACCAATTTTTTTTATCAATACTCTTCTTCAAGAATATTCTTTACAGTTGCCAAAATACGGATGCTCAACAAATGTTAGCAACATCACTGCAATTTGTATTTTAAAGTAACAATTTAATATAAAAAGTTCTTTCTTTTCTTATTCACCTTATCTAACAATTTTATTTATGTATCTTATAAAGCGTATCTGTTTGATTATTTGTATAGGTCAGAGACCTTTCTAAACTTCTAAAAGTAATCTCTTTTCTTGGAAAGTCAGTTAGAAAATAGAAGAAAATTTTTTCTAAAGTATACGATGACGTAAAAAGAAAGAGGCATTGAAAAAATAATCTATGAAAGATAAATAGTCTTTAAACCGAAATATGAAGAAAGAATAATAAGCGTAAAAAGGTCGCAACTATTCGAATAAAATCTTTCTTATCAATACTTTATTAAGATACAATAATTTAAAATATGTAAATATTTTATATCTATAAACAATATCAGTCTATATGGCACAAATATTACACTGATATAGCACACATATAGTTCAAGTAATCATCAACGTTGAGGTTGAGTAGGGTGAACATATTTTAACCATCTTTTTTATATAATACATACAGTATATGGCTCTATAAATTGTAATTTAATACCTTGAGATCCCCACAGGTAGTGAATATGAACGAGGTAACTCACTATTAATAATACGTATTCTTATTTTTTCTTTGTACAACAAAGAAAAAATAAATTTAAAAATGTCTAAAAATAAATTAGAATTTTGTAAAATTAACTCAGAATTTCTTTTTAGGCAACGGTAAATACAGTAACTCCTTCTCTTTCCTTCTTCTTCTTTCTAGAGTCGATTAGGTGCATATAGAACGCAAATAATATGGTCGGAATAATTAGGAGTACTGCAGAGAGGATAAAATTGTACGTGTAAGTATCGGTGATGTCTTTCAGTAGACCTATAAAAAATAATTAATATTTAGTATTAAAATATAAAAGAAATATTTCAACTTTTACCTCCAATTGTCGGTGCAAAGAGAACACCTACTCCCTGAGTGAAACGAACAAATCCTATGGCATCTCCAAGTCGATCAAGTTCAACTATGTCGCTGACTATAGTATTTAATTGGCTGGCACAAGAGCCTATTACCGATGTAGAAATAGGTATAAGGCAGAGCAAGAGAATTCTAGAATGAGCAAATAATGCCATACATAATATTCCTATTCCACCAAAACACGATATAGCAGTATAGACTAAATATCGCCGTTCTCTTAACGGCTTTATGTCAATTATAATGCCAAAAATTGGTCTGCTTAAAACGTCTAATAATCCACTTACTAGAAATAGTAGAGAGACGTCATTTGATTTGAAATCTCTTTCTCTTAATAGGCCAGATGTAAATGTATTTATCGTATTAAATGCAACAAATAGCGAAGAGAAGACGAAACAGCTAAAGCAGAAGGATCTATTCTGAAATAGTCTGAGTTTTGATTTGAGTTCATTAATAAATCTCTCACTCAAAGCTTTCTTTTTATCAAAACTATCATCATTTTTATCTTTGATTAGCGTGTCTTTCTTTAGCTGAGTATTTGTCGGTAATCTATATAACATAGCAGAGATAAAGATGTGCAATGAGACTCCACTTAAAATTAGAAATGTTCCAAAGAATCCGTATTGGTCGAATAACAATGGGAAAATATACGCGAAAGCTATCATACCAGTGCTAACTCCGCAGAAAACTAATCCCATAACTTTTCCTTTCTTTTTATTGAAATATTGAGGAATTATGAATAAAGTTGTAACTAGTAAAAAGTTGGCCCCCAGAGCGCTTAGTATACCAAAAGATACAATACATAGTTCTAAGGAATTCGAAATACCAGTTAAAACAAGTCCCAAAGACCAACATGTTGCTCCTATAAAAATCATTTGTCTCGGGCTCAAATATCCTTGAAGAGCACCCGCAACAGGTCCTATTATAAAGTAAACAATCAATTACAAAGGTACAAATTGTTTTATTTATAACTTACCAAGTAATAGTTTGGTAGAACTATGAATAGCACCAACCCAAGCTGTTTTAGCATTCGAATGTTCGAATTTTTCTAATAGAGAATCATAGAATAGAGAATAACATCTCATAACTCCACCAATAATGAAATAGATAATAAAAGCTCCAATGCAAATGAGCCAACCGTATCCTCCTTCTTCGAATTTATTATCATTTTTCTTTATTTCAATCTCTTCTACAATATTTCCTTTTTCACAAATTTCTGTTGATTTCTCCTCCAAATTCATAAAATCTTCAACTTTATCCGATCTCCTTTCAAAATCTTCTGTATCGTCATATTGACTAGAATATTCTTCAACCGTCATTATTGAAGATCAAGTATAAACGATAAACATAAAAACTATGAAGTTTCTTTGAAGGTTGATTAGAAGTGAGTAATCTTGAATAAAAATTTTTTGAAATAGAGATATTGACAGTTGTTTAACTATGTCCGATAATAAAACATAATTATAACAATGTTGTCTACAACACTTCCTAAAGCCGAATGAAATTAACTGGAGGACTTATAGTGGAGCGACAACACGTGTTATATTTTTTGAGACCTACAAATTCACCTTGATGTTAGGAGACAGGAAGTTGCAACATCACTCTATAAGAGAATAGTTGAAATAGCCCACGTAAAATATATGTAAGAGTAGAAGAATATTGTGGTTATATTTCCGCCATATTCTCTATTTTTGTTCCAAAAAATTTAACTCAATAGTTTAATAGTTGGACTGCATGAATATGAATTTTCTATTATATCAGCTGACTCTTATAGGGGAGTAAGTCGAATCATTGGCGTTTTTATGAAAAACATATAAAGTCGCAAATAAACAACTCAATTTACACTAAAAAACATATGCACAAACTAGGCCTTTATATTTTTCGGTAATATTTTTCAATAATAGCTCGGAAATTAACTTTTCGTACACAACTATCTATTCATATAGTATTTATAGAACAGCTTTTCTCTCCTCTTATATTCCTCCCCTTGACTTTCCCCCCCCTTGAAAAGGAAATATTTTCAACTCTGTATTTAAATGCGGGGCTATTCTCATGATTAAACGTTGCGTCACCATAAAAAATTTCCTTATATCATTTAATAACCTTGAGGAGACAGGTTACAGAAATTTCACCATTCAGGAAACTTACAAAGGGATAATCTAACATAGTTATAGGATATGGAAATCAGTTACTAAGAATTGCGCAATTATCTATATAGCACTATTTAAAATTTTAAAATCAGATAAAGCATGATTAATAACTATCGATAGATAGGAATTGACAAAGAACTTGAATTTATCTATTTTAATGTTGTAAGAAAATACGTAATTTTTTAGATAAAAAGAGAGGTCAGGGAAGTTACTTTTTGGCGTGATACTAATACGCAAGATTAGTTGCATGTTGATTTAATATATGGGATTAATATTGATAATTTTACGTCTACATATAAAGAGCGATAAAATCATAGCATTTCCTTCATAGTATTTATAGAAAATTGTATTTTTAGTTATTTAATAGACAATAACCAATAGTTCCTTCTTCGCAATGCTCCATTAAATTTCTTTCAACGTTACGTAGAATATTATTTACAAACGAAAAGTACTTTTTCTGCACTGTTGAATCAGGATAGTCTTCCGATGTTATAAAATTATGACAATCAGGAAGCTAAAAGGATTATACACAAGTATATAAGATATTTTACATATTATAATTGTTATTATTATTAAAAACTAACCGGTAGATGAATGAAATTGTGGCAATATTTATTATTTGATGATAAATTAACTAAAACGCTTAGGTTGCCTTTTTTGAGGCTTGAGTCTTGTTCTTCGTCAAATCTGTCCAATAACTGTGAAGTATCTTCAACAAAATAATAATGATATTCATTTAATGTCGATAAATTTGTCAGACATTGTATAGTAGCAAGTTTTATAACTTTTGAATGTTTTTTATCCAAATATATCTCAATTAATGGTTGTATAAGTATCTATTTAATTATTAAAAAAATTTATAGACTAATTGTTTATTACGTAGCGTAAAACTTACCTGTAATATTTTTTGATTTTGAATATTCATACTTAAATTATTTATTAAACGTAGAACAATCGCTTTAGTATCGTCTTTCTCAAATTGTGACAGATTGTTTGCCATGTCTATTACTGTATCTAGACATAATCGTAACGTGTCTAGCATGAATTAAGAAACAGAATATAAGTATATACTGTATATACATATATATATATATATATATATATATTTCAACAGTTTAGTAAATACCCATATTTGTAGCAAATGCAGCCGCATTCGTTAATGTACTAAGAATTTTAACTTGATCCGATTCTTTCAAATTATTATTGTTATTCAGCAAATATATCAAGCTAGTTAATTGTTCTTTCGTGACGTTAGCATTTTCAATCTTTTCCAGCTTTTGTATTGTAGACGTAACATTCTTTTGAGAAGAATTTGGTGCAGGAACGTTCTTATCTGTTTTATATATATATAAAATTTCACATTAAAATAAAGATTGAGAGGATATAATAAAACACGTGCTATTCTTTAGTTGTTTCTGATATTTTCTTCTCCAAATCAGATATAGTAAAGAAGTTGCTGATATTGCCAGAGCCAATCTGGAGAAATGCTTCAAAATTTCCATTTCTCTTTACTATAATTTTTATAAAAAACCCTATAAATCATAAAATTATTAAAATGTAGAAAAACTACTAGAATAACTAGGCTTAGAGTTGTATAAAAAAAATGGTATGACTAATAACGGTTCTGCGCAACAAAAAAATATATTATGATTCGGATAGAATACTTACACTTTGAACATGAAAGCTAGAAGATCGTTGCATAAAAATTTACCTAAAATAATCCAGGAAAAGATCCTTTAAAATATCAAACACAACTTATTATGTCATTAGATAACTTATATCACAATTTTAAGTGTCCCTGATTTCTTTACAAGAAATATTTAGAGCGCTCCCTCCGTCCGGAGATTAGTCAGTCCGCCAAAACAAAACATAGTGGAGCGATAATACGACGGAACAAGTTTAAATTTGATAAGTTTGTTGGAATGAAGGCTGAAAATAATCTAAATGAAAGTCAATCTTATTTTGATAGTCATTTAGAATCTAAATATCATCAACATAATACAGCAGGGGTAATACTACTTTTAGTTTTGGTGATTATGAATCAATTCATTCAATGAATTTTTTTTCTTAATTAGGACTATCTTAATAAATTGGGTGTTCAAGAATATAATTTAGAAGGATACGCAAGAAATCTTAATAATTTAGCACTAGAAGATAATCCCGAAGCTATACTAGGTAAGATGTTCGAATAGAAATTTGTCGTAAACTTGTGTGTAAAGATTATAAAGTAAAACTTATTTTTTTAACCTCCTAATCAGATATCTCTTGCTTAAGAAATACTAAAGATCAAAAAGTTTCATTAAATGATGCAGAGCATTTTGATATAGAAAAAGAACTTTCCGAACGATTTAATTTAGATTCCGTTTCAAAAGATATAGTTTTGGTAAATAACTATTTTTTTCATTGTTATCCTTTAATAAGCTATCAATGGTTTTTGAACGCGTATTTGAACAGCCTCAACTACCTCATTCACGCGAAAAAGAACGTGAAGAATGTGAGAAACGAAGAAAAATTGCTGAGAATGTTTTGAGAAAATCACGCGAAGAATGTATAAGATGTGAAGAAGAAGCTCAACGAGTTCGTGAAAGTGTTTTAAAACTAGACGCGTCAAATTTGCCTTCAAAAAATCTGACAAAATCTATACAAAGTTTAAACGCTATCGGTAATGGTACAACAAATCAGACAAATTTTAAACGACATGGTTCCTCAACAAGTCTTCCACCCTCTCTTTTCTCAAGCTCTAGTCCACTTAAGAAGCACACAAATATTTCTCGATCTATGAGAACGATGCCCCAAATGATATCAACTTCATCGGGTAAAAATGTCTTGGAATATGTATCGACCGATCCGTCAGACAGTCGTGGAGAAACTCTCATAAAGTCTAATTCAAAAATCACCGATCCTATCATTAATGCTATAGAAACAGGACAAATACAAAAATTGGTAATGTTCCTTTAATAAATAGTAACTCAATAGTAAATGTTTACCCTTCCCAGCTCGACATAATAAATTCGTCAAAAAATGGTCGTATTATCGACAAACGATACGAAAATGGCAACACTATACTGCATTGTGCAACAACTGTTGGAAATGTTCATATTGTTAAATTGTTAATGGAACGTTTCCCTGACTTGATGAGAGTAGAAAATAATGAAAAATTAACGCCACTAGGTTCTTGTATTAAAGCAGGTCAAGTAGACTGCTTAGATTCTCTATTAAGTTCTCAAAATATTCCCTCCTACTTCCTACCCGGAGATCCTGTTAGAAGATCTTTTGTTCATTTGGCGGCTAAATACGGCCAAGATGGTTGTCTTAGATTGCTATTACAACGACTTGAACGTGAAAAAGTAAATGTAGACGAACTTAAAGATATAAATGGCAACAGCCTTGCCCATGTTGCTGCCAAATATGGCCATTTAACATGTTTACAAACATTGGTAGAATTCGGTTGCAATGTAACTTCAACAAATCAAAGTGGACATACTCCATTGTATTTATCAGATTTCAACAATCAAAGGCAGTGCACTGCATATCTTGGTTTGGTTCATACGTGTAACGAGATAGTAACGAAGCTAGCTAATGTAAGTTCGCTATACTCTGAATGTAGACAAGAAAATCAACAAATGGAAGAATTTACTGAACAGGTGATTTTTTTTTCAATGCAATTCTCTTAAAAATTACTTTTAATAACTTTCTTTACTATTATTTCCTAGTTACTGAATATATCAAGCCGTAATATAACTGAATCTCGAGAAGCCGCAAATGATTATTCCTTAGCTACGAATCTCATAGAGAAATATATGCAATTAACTAATGATCTTCTTAGTATATTAAGAGAAAGAGGGCGTTGTGAGAGGTTTGAGCAATACTTGTTTGTTGTTAATTGATAACAATGAAATAATTTTATATAAATAGATCAACAATGGATCACTTTCACAAAGTGCAAACTACGCTATATGAAGATGCATTAAAGGTGCCTCCTCGCACAGTTAACTTTGCCAAATTTGACCATTTACAAGCTCGTGTTCAATCTTTTCGAAATGATTTATCCTATTTGCAAAAAGAGAGAAGAATTATTCTTTCGAGTGAAGTTTCTTTAATAAGGGATCCGAATTTCATTTTTAAGCAACACTTACATTCCGTTCTTGAGAAATTAACCACATATAGAGCAGTTCATCCACATTCCCACAATTTTCAGCATTCCCTCGAAGAACATATGGACGAAATCTCAAGATATCAACCGACAGATCGCCTAGGGGTTAGGGCTGTTAAATCTCCACCAGAAGTTAAAAGAGATGAAATGAAAATTATAAACTTCATTAAAACTCAGCAAAGCTCAAAATTACACCAAGAATTTTTAAGCGATTCCTCAACTGATCCAGACACGGAACCTGAATATTTTGATCGGTCTGGTTCTAATAAAAGAATAAAAGAAGAAGATTCCGATTCAGATCAAACAATATCAGACGGTATAAACGTTGTAGCTAATGAAAATTTAGCCGAAACAAATGACAATGGAAAAATAGAGGATATTCTACAGGAAGAGAATTATCTTGCAGGATATTTAAGAGAACCTCGCTTCGGGGGAACAGGAACTCTCTCACCAATCGAAGAAGTTTCCGTTGTAAGCGATAGTGTTATAAGTCGTTCTCGATTAGACGACGATGAGGATGAAGGGGAACGTCTAAAATCAATTGAAGATACGAAAGAGAATGATGATGATAAGTCCAAACCATGGTAAGAAGAATGAATAATTTTCCAGCATTTAAATAATTAAAATGTAATATCTAATTATTTGTCAACACATTACAGGTACGAAGTAAGCGAAGACGAAGAAGAATTAGTTAATGGTTATAAACATATGCAAACTAGCAATGGAATGAATAGTTTACCAACACACGATCACTTTACACTGTTATAGAAAAAAAAGCACTGATCTTTTTCTTTTTTGTAGAACAAAACTTTAGTTTTTTTTTCTTTTTTTTTTAAAAAAATAAAATTTCAAGTTTAATTAAAAAAAAAATTCCAAATTGAAGAAATAAATAACGAAAACGAAAGAAGTAAGTAATTATTAGTAAATTGTTTACGTAAATAAAAGGAAAACAAGCTTGAGAAGAGATAAGGAAAAAAAGATTTAAATTGTAATTTAATATCATAATTTGTGTAAATAAATAAATGCATAGTCATCATTTCTTTTTTTTTATATTAACGAAAGAAATAAACTTTTTACTTGTTTTTAGAAAATTCTTCTTCTTCGAAATTAAACGTTGAAGCTGTTTGTTTTCGTTTATATGTCAATAGAAAAAAAAACAGAAATGGGAAATTATGAATAATTATCCTTTTGTTCTATTTTAAATAAGAAAAGGAAATTTCTACTTACAAAATCTAAACCATTAATACCATAATATTTGTTTTTTAGCTTATTAATATATCGCTTTATAAATGGTTTTGGCCTATGTTGAATTTCTGATTCTAAATTCGCTTTCTCATCACCGGAAGTGGGTACTTGATTATCTAAATTGTTATATTTATTTATTGTATCTGTCTAATACTTTTAACCATTAATAATATTGTTTTAACTTATAAAACCTGATCTAGAAATTATATCGTCAATTTTTATTTCAATTTCTGGTAAATTGTTATGCAATCTTTCTGAAATAATAACAGCTTCTTCTATATTTTTCTTTAACTCTTGAATTTGTAAATATTGATTTAATGGTGAAAATTCATAATAATAATATTGAGTTTTAGCTTTGTCTATTAAATATTGTATTTCATCTTTTGTCCGTATTGTTGATTTTGCATCAATATGAACTTTTGCTAGTAAATAGTTGTTTTTCATCTCCATTTCTTTTTTAAAGTCGTAATCATTAAGGAAAATATTATTTTTAAATATTTCCCTCCCATTCTTATAACCTTGTATAAAATATAGTCAATCGCTTAATCAACTTACATATTTTTTTAATATACTAACTTCTGCTGTTAGTTTCTTTGTCTGATTCAACATCTATATTAGGTCTAATACTGTCAACATCTCGAAAAATTTGCCTACTATCTACTCTGTTAGGTGAATGTTCATCGCCATTATTCTTATACACGTAATTTCTTCTTAAAATTGGTGATGGAGATGTGGACAATCTTCTCATTGTTTCTTTATTATCATTATTAACTACGGTTAATCTTCTACGAAATTCAGTTTCCATTGTAATAGGATTTATATTAAAAAGGATCAATTAGTTAATAATGGCAATAATAATATAGATAATCAAATTTATTTAAATAGATCAATGATGTATCATTTATTCCATACCCATAGATGTCGTTGAAGGAAACTATTTGCTCGTAACAATAACTTGAAATAGCAATTTTGCCATTTTTTTTATTGCAATAAATCGATATAACATAGATATACTTTACAGTTATGGACAATAGAATATATATTTTTTAAGCGATATTTAAACTTTTGATTTTATGGTAGGTGGCGCCATCTTAAAATCGTTTTAATGTCGCTCAGTCTACTATTTTGCAGACATGTTGTTTTGACTCTAGCAAATAGAATTAGAGGGATTTTTACCTTTTAGGCCTATTAACGAGGGTAAATAGATCGCATAGAAAAACATCTGAACCTAAATATGACTGATTGGAATAATTTATCGTACGACTCCAAAAAGAAAACGCTATTATCAAGCAATTATACTGAAGTCACGAATCAAAACAATGTTAATGTTGAAAATTTTCCACCTGGCTCTGTAAAATCATCTACGCCCAACAGACTTGAATCTATATCACCAACGTCATCTGACAAAGCGGAGAGACTATCATTGTTTTATGATCTAAACTCAATTGAATTTCCAGGAAATACAGTTATTAAAGAAATCGAATGCGCTAATATCGATGAATTTAGACTGCAAAAAGAAAATGTTCAACATACAATCGACACGACTAAACCGTTAATTGACCGAATGGCAAAATGTTCGCAAGAAGTAAAGGAGGCAAAAAAGCAATTGGACGATAATTGCAACAGAGGGCGTATTGCTATAACTGCAAAATACGAAATGGATATGAAAAAATTAACGGAAAATTACGAAAATGTATTACAAGATCTCGAGCAATCTTATCATTCTCAGAAAGCGGAACTCTCCGACAGAGAAGATAAAGTTAATATACATAGAGCATCTTTACTAAGCATTAAAAGTAGACTTGAAGATTTGAAACTAAACTCTCCAAATACTTGCTATATAACTGAGCATCTACCGGATTTAATTTCGAATTTGGAACAATTAAAATCGAAACTAGAGGATACTTGTGAAATATCTGTTGAAAACTTCGAATTCACACCCAGCGACGAATCGCCAGTACTTGGAGATCTTCGTGTTTTTAACGTTGATTCGGCAAAAGATGATTGGGTAATGGTTAGCAGTAATAATGGTCTAAGTACAAAAAATATTAAATATATCTTTGATAAGGAGATAAAAGAAAAAATTCATGTTGCACATGCGTACGATGGCATTCTTTACTTTGCGACAAGCAAAAAATTATACAGTATACAATTACTGGATAATCAAAATGACAAACAAGCTAAGCATATCTGGTCTGGTAGAGTTCAGCAATTAGCCCACGATTCAATTGGAATTGTACTAATAGATGGCGAAGATAATAAAATACTTCAATTACGTCAAGGGGAATGCGAAAGAAGAGAGATACTCGTTGATCGTTTGAAAAATCCTTATGGACTATGTTATTCATTCGCTTCGGAATGCATCATAGTTACGGATACAACCGAAAATACTGTATCGTGCTATTTGCATAATTGCACTCGGAAATGGAAAACCGAAAATAACGATCCCAAATATGCAAACCCAACCGATATATCTTGCACTGATAACATTGCCATCGTTCGTTCAAAGAATAACTTGAGTCTTATATCCCTAGTTGACGGTTCGTACTTGAAAACTATAGAATCTACCTATTTATTAGTGTCGAATTCTACATTTTGCGACGAGTTTTTCTTAATGGATAGAAATGACTGTACACTATCTCTATATGATACTAATTTTACACGTATCAGAGAAATATTAACTAGAGAGGATAATATTAATGACCAAATATTAGTTACTATAGATATGAAAGCGCCTATTCTATATGCTTTTAAAAAGAAAAGTAGAAAGATTAAGGCCTTGGCTATTTAATTTCTTAATACTAACTTGAAAGATACTCTATTAAAATGATAGATAATCACTAAAAAAAAAAAAACAAACAAAACAAACATAGAGAGGAAAGATCACTAATCAAATAACTTGTTTGCAATCATTTTTTTTTTATTTAACAAAACTGATTCAATTTAAATTATCGTCGTCCATTTTGGTGGACATATACTAGTACAAAATTGTAGATTAATTTTGTCTAAATTCTCCGATTAACAAATGAAAAATAAAAAAGGATATTTGATTTTTATTAAATTTAATACAACTTGTTGCATATTGTTTCTTAATTTAGTAATATTTTTTTTGTAATTTATATTTGAAAATTAGGTAAATAATTAATTATATCACGTGATAGTTTCCTTATTTCCGTCTTTTTCGATTTAGATCGATTTTTATTTGATTTTTCTTTGGGACTATTATCAACTTCCGGTTCGGTATTGGTCATTTTATTTTGACTATTCGACATTTTGCGACTTTGAGATGGGAATTTTGATGCTTTGAAAGATTTCTTAATTTCTTGTACTTTATTATTATCTGTAGATTCTTTTTGAGAGTTGGAGAAAGAGGGTGTCATTTTCTTAAGTGATTGTCTAACTGGAGGAATAGGAGCATACTTTTTTGGTATTTTTAACGGTTTTTTCGACAGCGATTGATCGTTTGAAATTATCGCGCCAAAATCATCTAAATATTCTTTAGCCGATTTCGACGTTTTCTTCGATTGCTTTTCACTAAACTCTTGATAACTGTCCATAATGTCGTCTTCTGCTTCTTCTTCTTCTTCTTCCTCTACTTCTTCTTCCTCGACTTCTTCCTCCTCTCCCTCCTCATCCTCTTCTTCTTCTTCCTCACCTTCCTCTTCGTCTATTTCATTTTCTCCTCCTCGACGCTCGACGTGTGAATTATCCCGACCATTAGTCTTGTCTCTAACGTCCTCTTCGTCTTCATCGTTTTCTTCGGTGATGTTGTACGATTCGTCACCGTTTTCGACATTATTTACAGTTATTGATTTCTTTTGACGTTTTTGACAACAACAACAACGTTTACAGCATTCTGATTCAACGCAATCATTTTTATTCTCTTTTTTAAATTTATATAAAACAGTTGAATTCTTTTTCGAAATAAATGGTTCTATAGTTTTACCGGAAATTGAACATTTACCGCCAACTTTTACCTCTTTTGTCTATTTCATTTTTGTTTTAAAAAAATAGTAATAATTAAAGGAAAAACAACAAATAGATAAAAAAAACAAGAGATAATACTTATAAATACTGACTTGTTTATAAACAGTTTTTTTTGAATTTGTGCCTTTTTTTGTGTTCTAAAAATAGAGATAGAGATTGAGATAAAATACAGAAAGGGAGGGATAAAATATATAATAAAAGATAAGGACAAACTAGACAAAGTAATCTTTGTGTTTCTCTATATTTTTTTCTTTTAAAGCATTGATAAATTATTAATGTTAATAATTTGTCCCTAATTAAACCTGATTAAGTGCGTCCTGAATATCGAGAGGAGCCTCTTTGCTCCCGAGTTTAACCTTGTCAGAGACAATAATAGGAACTTTATCCTTTTCTCCTTTGTTATTTTCAGCAGCTTTCTTTTTATCAGCATCGGATTTAGTCCAACATGGAAGAATAGGTTGAAGAAGAACAATCGGTTGTTGATTTGAATAGCAACAAGTTGTGCAGCAGTATCCAGTAGATGGCATACATAAAGTTGGACGTAATTGCTGCTGTTGTAAGCTTTGTAGGTAGTTATTTGGAACTTGAAGATTACCAAATTCAGGTCGAACTTTCATAATAAAAGTTGTTTATCTTATTAATCTATTAGTATGAAAATTGTATACTGTATATATACAGTATATGCATATATATAGATATATATATATATATATATATATATATACTGTATATATAAATATATATATATATAGATATATATTTAAAACATTAATTATTCTCTTAATTTAAATTTATTTCAATACTTTAAATGACATATTATTTATTAAATAATATATGATAGGCCTACTTGAACTAAAAATAATAATGAACAACAATTAATTTGGTAATCTAATGTTATTTCAAAGAAAGAAATATTTATTAGAAATATATTTATATGAATATATTTTGTCGCTTTGTCGTCATTTAATTTCGTTTTTTTTCTCTTTTTTATGATTGAAAAATAAAGCTTAAATAGATATGTTCACGAATACTTAAATAGTGATATAAAAAAAAAAAGTTCATAGGAGTATTTACTCTTCTAGAACAGTAGTCCTGACGATAATCTCGGTAACGGCGTAAGGATCGCAATTGGAGCTAGGTCGTCTATCTTCTAAGTAACCGTGACCTTCTTCTCCAACTTGTCTTGGTATTCTAATTGAACAAGCTCTATTCGCTACTCCAGCCGAAAAATCGTGAATAGAACTAGTTTCGTGAAGGCCGGTAAGACGTCTTTCGTTATCTCTACCGTTCTTTGGATCATAATATTGAATATGCTCCTTATGTCTCTTTGACATCCTCTCAATTGCCTTTTCAATTATTTTAATACCGCCAGGTTGACGCATCTCAACCGTACTATAATTACAATGAGCACCTGCACCATTCCAATCGCCAGGCATTGGTTTTGGATCGAATGAAACTTTTACTCCAAAATCTTCGGCAACTCTATGTAAAAGGAATCTTGCCATCCAAAGTTGATCTCCCATTTCAATACCTTCGCAAGGTCCGACTTGAAATTCCCATTGTGCTGGCATAACTTCGGCATTTGTTCCACTAATTTTGATACCAGCATATAAGCAGGCCTTGTAATGAGCCTCGACAATATCTCTTCCGTAAACTTTATCAGCTCCAACACCACAATAATAAGGACCTATAGTAAAAAAAGAGAAAAATTTATTGAACATTGAACTTGAGTCTAATGAATTTCAGTGTTAAAGTACAAATTCCACGCATGAAGCGATCACGTTTTTTTCAATGATAAATTGTGTAGTCAGTCATATTTAAAGATAAGAGTAGACAATATCAGACTTAAATAGAGGGGAATAAAATATTCACCTTGGGGACCGGGATAACCACCCTTGGGCCATCCGAAAGGATGACCATCCAAATCCATCAATGTGTATTCTTGTTCGATACCGAACCATGGATAAGCTTCGCTTGCTTTATTCATTACTTCTACACATGACTTTCTCAAGTTCGTATCTGTAATATAGACCAAAAATTATAATAGATTATATAACATTTGAATAATTTATGTAACCTGTTGGTGTCATGTTATATTTGTATGTTTCACATAACAATAGTTTATTTCCCTTTCTCCTAAAAGGATCTCTGAATAGTTTGACTGGTTTAAGGTACACATCACTGTTTGAACCTTCGGCCTGACCGGTTGATGATCCGTCAAAGTTCCATATGGGACAATCTATATTGTTAAATATATAAATTATTTGATTAGATATGTTTTTTCCTTTCTTTGTATGTGTTTTTATTTACCTTCGGGAACTATTGGTTCCTTTTCCATGGTTTTGGTTTTACATCTCATATGTTCGCCTGTACCATCAATCCATACATACATGACCTAATTTAAATGAAAATTTTTATTTAAACATCTTTTTAATAGACCTACAAATGTATATTATTTAGTGAATTCATACCTGATATACGCCTTCCGGTTGTTCCAGGTTCAGGTAGTGTTCCAAGATTCTCTTGTCGGTTTTTCCTCGAAAACTCATATTTGTTATATTTTATAAAAACTGAAGAAGATGAAAGAACCTGAAGAAAGGTTTCTACTAGCTAAGATCTGTTTTAAATAAAAGAGAACTTTTGTTTCTTTTCAACGCCCTCAACTTTTATACTTGTTAATATACTCATCTGCAGCTCACCTTCCAGCCAATCAACGTAGAGAATATACATTGATAATACGCCTGTTAAATAGTTTATTGAACCTGAATAAAAGATGTACTTTCCCTTATCGAATAATAATCAATTTTATCTGATAGTCTACCCAACTACGTTATCTTAGAATTTACTTAGAAGTAAAAATTAATAGCGTTCAATTCTTAATTCGTTTCTAATTATATAAAAACTAGGTCAAAGACAATTACCTAAAAAGGTCTATGAGTAAGAAGAATACATAAAATAATTGACTTTTATAGGTAAACTTTTCAGCACTTAAATAAAGCTTTCGAAAATTAATATGATAAGAGTAAAGATAATAGGAACAAAAAAAAACGACTGTTTCTTCTGTTTCTATTCTTTTAATAGTTGAATAGAGACATAAAAACATTGTAAAAGTGATAAATGTATATGAATGTATATATAATTACATATAAGTGTATACTATACATATATAATTAATAGAAATGTATAAACTTTACTATTGTTATTATTGTTGTTAGTATAAAAAAACAATTTTTTTTATTTGTTGTTTTTTAATAAAAAAAAACAAAATTAAACATATATATATATATATATATATAATATGTCTCTCTTTAATCTACACCCAAAATAATAAATTGAGTTAATTTATTCATATATACCGTAAGTTTTTTTTTTATTATCAATTTTTTTTTTGTTAAACTTAAAGATTATCTTTAGCGTTCTCTTACACCTATTAAAAAAATAGAAAATTTTAAATGTAAAGGTGATTGTATAAAAGTCCAAGGACTTATTTATCAATTTTTTTTGTTTTAATTTATATACTAATGTAGGTAATGGCAATTGTTTGTAATTATAAAAATTATTTATATATATATATATATGTATATGTTTATATATATATATATATGTATTTACGGAGTAAAGTAATCTGATAATAACAGATATCTCAGTTGTATATTTAAAATATATGATTAATTATTGTATATTACGTCTAATTATTTAAAAAGTTATCGGTCAAGAATAAAGATGGGAATAATTGTTCGATCACTGACCTCTTTAATATTTATTAATTAAATATATCTTTTATATTTTATTTATTCTTTCTTTCTATCACTTTCTAACACTTTTTAGTTACTTTTCCTCTTTTTGTCTTTAATATTGATATATATATATATATATATACTGTATATATTTTATCTATTTATCTCTTTAGTAAAAGTGAAAAGAACGTCATGTTCTACGATATATTCAAATGTAAAATTATTTATCTTTCTATTCAAATAGACTGGGAACAAAGGTTTCGGAATATTTTTTTGTCATTGCCAAAGGGTAACCTCTAGTGAAAGTATATGTAGAATCTATAACTCTGACCTATTTAAATATTAATCAAGTGGGACATATAGTATATATAAATTACAGTATGTCAAAGTTACACATTTTATTGTATGTGTATCTTGGAAAAGTCTTTTGTGCCATTCATTATATATTCTATACAATGTAATAATTATATAATTTCTTATTAAAGATTAAATAATCAAAACATTCTTGGATAGTTTCCTAGAAAAGTGTGCCTATATTTACAATAGATTGAATATATTAACAAGTATATATACTGTAAATATTATATAATAATCATAATTTCCTAATAAGTACACCATACGAAATGCATAGGTAAACTGATTTGTATAGTTTTATTTTTACTATTATCTTAACTAAACTTAACTTTACACAGATTGGAGTTTATCTTATTAAACAAATTATCAGCCGGTATAGGATAATTAAGCTCAAGTTCTTTTTTATTTATAATCAATCAGTTTACAATTGTTTGTTAGGATTTAGCTCACAGTTTAATCATTTGCATTGTTATTGATTAGTATCAAAGCTTTAATTTCTTCTTGTTTTTTTGTTTTTACACGTTGTTTTCGTTGTTACTCCCTTCTTCTATCTTGCTCTCCCCCCTCCCCCCGCCTCCCTGTCTCCCTCTCTATCTCCCCATTTGTTCGAATAGTTGTAGAATTATATAATAATATTATTCGCAGTGTAATAAATAGTGTAATATAAAAAAAGAGTAAATGTTAAAGAAAATTTTTGGCATTAATTGAGACAGAAACATCAAGTGAACACTAAATTTTCATAAATTACAACATAATATATGTTTTCTTCTTAATCAAAAGTAGGTTCCGGATGTCTTTCTCTTCTTTTTCTAAATGTGAAGAAATATTTTTAATCATTAATAATTATGCATAAATTAGGATTGTATTGTAAAAATTCTACTTACTTCTTACTCGTTTTAGGTCTATTTGCAATTTTTGCCCTGGATCCTTTACCTTCATTCTTTCTATAGGCTTCTTCAGCAGTCTCTGCTGTATAAGCCATGTAAACATTCGAGAGATCTGTGTTTGTCAATCTGTCACCATTTCTATCGGGTTGGGGTGATGATTTCCTCATGTTATTTCCTGTATAAGCAACGCATTTCAATTGCCATTCACCTAAATCATCATTCCATATCATAAACTGTTCAATCATCTCTTGATATTCAGGCGGAATAAAATTGTCAATTATGAGAAATTGCAGTCGTAACTCTCTGCTTAATTGTCTGACATTCTCTAATAAACCTTCCATCTCTCTTTGATGTTCTTGCTGCAAGTCGGTTATCTCTGTCTTAGCTTGCATAAACATTGTCCAAACTTTCTTTAACTTTTTAGTTTTTCCTGCAGCCTCTTCTTGAAGATTAGAATATTTCTCTTCAATATCCAATCTTTCTTGCTGGAGAGAATTATAGGATTAAATTTATTATAGAGAATTAAAAACAATTAATTACCTCCTTCTCCTCAAGCTGCTTTCTTAATTGACTTTGTTTAGCAGTTCGTCTTTCTAGTTCTTTAGCACTCTCTTCTAATAATCTTTCTTGTTCTTCAGCTTTCTCTAAAAGATTCTCACCTCCTACAATAATCTTCTTTTCAATCTGAGCCAATTTATCTTTGATGTTCTTTTGTTCTTCCCTAAAGTTCAATTTAAAATAATAAATTAGTTTTAAAGGTTTTGTTTGAATTCTAAACAAAAAATTATTTACTCTGCTTTCATAAGTTCTCGTTCTTTTTCATTCAAGTCGTGTTCAATTTTCGATTTCTCCTCAATAGCCATATCTTTTTGCTCCTCAAGTTTTTTTCTATCTGCATCTATTTGTCGTTGAATAAGTACCATCTTCTCTTTGGAAAGACCCTTAATGCCTGTTTTCTTTTTCTTTACTCTTCTCTCTCCACCTTCACCGTCGGACTCGGTTTCATACTCTGAAGCAGATTCACCACTTCCAAACTCTCTACCACCTAGTTACACGAATTAGTTAAAATAAACTTGATAATGGAAATAAAAAATATCCTTATTTACCACCATCTTCCAATTGTTTACGTAATGTTTCAATTTCTTGTTGAAATTGTCTTAATAGAGCATCTTTAGGATCTTCGTTAATTCTTGCCTTGTTTTTAATATTCTTAGCTCGATTGGCGTATCTTAGCGTTGATAATGATTCGTCGTAATTGTAATCGGCAGGTCCCATGTTAGCAATCATTACTGTCTTACTATTGCCACCCAAAGAATCTTGCAGTAGTCTTGTTAATTTGGAATTTCTGTATGGAATATGAGTGCTTCTACCATCAACTAGGGCGGAAATAACATTTCCAAGTGTAGATAAAGACAAGTTTATTTTCGTTGCTTCTTTCAACCTTTGCCCAGTTGCACCTGTTTTTGATTGTCTTTCTGAGCCCTGAGAATAATATTTGTTCAATTGGGGTAATAAGTAATATAAGCACAAAACTCAAAGATACAAACTGCAAGATCTACAAGATGAAGTTTTCCAGCTCGTACGTGCTGTTCTTTATCGGCACCTAATTCACTGCACTCTATTGTTACTGTAAATATAGCGTGTGATCTTGAACTGTGAAGATTCATATTGGTCGATCCAACGGCCCCTTAATAAATTTATTGAAAGTTAAGAGAAGAAACGGCCTATACATAGTATACTCAAAAATGGCAACTGTTTATGCAACGTCTTTACTTACTATTTTTGTTTCCCATTGTCATAATTCGATCCATATCATCGGCATTGTTTACTACATACATTGACAAATCTTTAACATATACACCAATATCAGGACGTTCTTTTACTTCTAGCCTGAAATTCTGATCTTTTCCCAGTAAGTCACGTACTTCTTCGTTGTATATTTCCAAATAGGAAACTCTCACTAAGAACTTTATACTGCCTTCAGCTTTTGAAATAGCACCAAATATATGAGCAAAAGAATTTGGTATAATGCCTCTTTTTTCCGGGACTGTACGAATTCCCTCCATTGTAAAGGTTTTACCAGTTCCAGTCTGACCATAAGCAAATATTGTTCCATTATAACCTTCTAGAACGCTTTCAACAATAGGTCTAGCGCAAGTATTATATATATCCACTTGTTTACAATCCGGACCAAAGACGGTATCAAATGTAAAAGTCTTTGGCGGTTCATTAGAAGGAGAGTTTGGATTTGTTAGATTTAAAGTTCCTCGAACAGAGTCAATCTTTACAGTTAAAGAATTTAAGCAAATATTATATTACAAAAAGAAAAAAAATATTATTTTTAAGTAAATACCTTAACTGTCATATGATTTCCATTTTTTATTTCAGTATCATTCAATGGTCGGCATCTCACTATGACTCGAACATTATCATCATTTTTTTCTTCCTAGTATTTTATGAATGAACAATCAATAAATGGATTACTGAATTATGCATTATTACCGTCATGTTAGGTTCGATTAGTAAGGTATTGTCTCCTCTTTTGTTTTCCTTCGATATATGCAGACAGCTTGGATATCGAATTCTTGGTATGCGGACAACGGAATCGAACGGGGAGCCGGACTTTATCTAATTCTCTTTCAAATTTCATAATATTAGTTGCTCTTATACAGTTTACTAAGGTTTAATACTTTTAGCATCTAATTTAGAATTACGATATTTTATAATCTACGGAATTAGAAACAAAGTAAATATTGTATTTTGGTTATTAAAACATGTTTAAAAGTGATAAAAACTAATTTTAAATCGACCTTGACATTACCTGCAGCGCCACTCCGAGACATAAATCATAGGATTCTTAAGAAAGAACGTTACCAATAAAGGAGATGGAGGAGGAGAGGGAAAAGAAGATTAATAGAAAGACTTATTCAAGTTTTCAAAGATAGTATACACATATATATATTTTTATTAAAAAGAATTGTAAAAAATCTGTATTTGAGATATAACAAATTAAATAAAAAAAAACTATATAATATTAAAAAAAAGGAAAAGCAAAAAAAACATTAATCGGAAAAAGAGACAAAACTTTAACGAAATAAAAACAATGGATCATTTTGGTTTCCATTTAAAATATCTTAAATACTTCCTTTTATCGTCTAAAACAGGAAAATGAACCATAAAGGAAGTTAAATAAACTTTTACTAATCAGTTTCTTGGAAGTTCTTCAATTTTTTCTTAATATGCTTATCAACTTTTAAATGTCTTTTCATTTGCTTTAATAATGAGAGAGCATTTTTCTTTTTTGCATTTACATCATCTTCATCAGAGCCATAATCATTTAACATCTCTTCGAGAATTGTATTATTTATAATACTTTTAATAGGTTTAAATTTTAAACCAGTTTTCATAAAATAATCTTTTTTAATTTGATTGAATCTCTTAAAGAATAGTTCTTTGGCATAATCATATAATTTAAAGTCTAATTCATTGGCTTCGTGTATTGCCTCTAAGTCCTTAGACGATATTTCAGCCCTATCCGCTCTACTGTTATTTATAGTAAGAAAATTCACCAAAAACTTAACGTTAAATGTCCTTTCAAAAAGAAATTGAGATTCTATTTGATATTCAGTTAGTCCGAAGTAAGCCATTGCTCGTAAGTTCTTCTTAGCTGATTCTAATAGTATATTATCTATTTCGCTTTTCGGTAATTTTGAATTGTAGCAGTTAATTAAGGACAAATTTGCCAGCATTCTTGTTTGTCTATTATTCGCCAAATTGTACGAACATGAGTAGAATTCTTCTAAACCTACTCCCATCCAATTTTCCCCTGTGTATATAAAAAAAAATACTCATATTTAATAATGAAGAAGATGGCGTTACTGAAAAGTAGAAGTAATTTGACAATTATCATTGGCAAGTCGGAATATGATATATTGCGATAAATAGAATTAAGTTCAATTATTTATAATAAAGGAGAATTTTATAAATTGTTGTAAAAGAAAAGATAATAAAAAACGATAAAAACTGCTGTAATGCGCCAGACAGTAAAGGAACTAAGAAACATATGCTTTTACAGTTGTAAGGCCTCTTAGTAGTTATTCTAAACAGTCATCTCTAATTAATGTCTCGTGCTAATATGGCTTGCTTAAAGGGCAATTTCCTTAGCATCATAATTATTGTGAATCGAATGTAAGAAAAGAAAAAAAAACAAAGAGAAATAACAAGAAAGAAAATTTAGACAATCGCCTTTTACTTTACCTTCATAGCATTTTTGAATGAAATCTTTATATTCTCTTCCATCGCATAAAAGTGACGAATCTTTCCAAGTTGCCCCTCTCTGGGTATGTTTCCATTCACTAAGATACCTTTTAAGCGGATCTCTAACGTTTGTAATATATAGGTAACTGTTGAGGAAAACGAAAAAGGAAATATAATAGATATGTGGGATACTATAATTCCTTGCTTAACGTAATTGGTAGGCTTAATTAAAATCTATTATATATCGTGTATAACCGTAAATCCGGTAGAATATTTAATATTCTGTGCGAACACAGTATTTTATTCATTTTACTCGGTTGTGATATAGAAATATAATAACAGGAAATACGGGTGATTTCTCTTCATCAACCGTCTATTCATTTTTAAGAGACTATTTACTGTTTCATACGACCTTAAAATTTTGGTTTCGGGTGACAATAAAATCATGTTTCGCTTGTTATATCAACTGACGCGACAAAGTCCGATACAACAGTATATCAATCGATCGGAGACGCCCTGAAACATTTCCCTTACTATATTTATCCGATCCCTATCGGAGATACTTTCAGCCCTTAGTCTATAAGGCATTAAAAAATATCTTTTATACACTCTTATTTTGTTGACATATTGGACTTTTATCAACCTAATTAATAGAATATCGATGAAAGTAGTAACACTAAGAAGGCATTTATTACAAGTAGACTCCTTACAGAGCAATAAGGCTTGTAAATTTTTAAAACCTCTGGAAAAGCTTCGCCGGGGGATTAAAAGAAAAATTGATGGTTATCTATCCGAAACAGGCGAGAAAAGTTCACATCCAACGGGAATCTTTCGTGATATATATCTTTTAGCAGCTCTAAATGAAGAGACACGGAATGTAGGGTTGTTACATATTCTTCTTGTTGTTTAATCGTTAACGATTGTAAAATGACGGGAAAAGTATAATAATTAAACAATTAATAATGTAAAAAGATAAAGAGAGAGAAAGAGGTCAATAAGTTTTCTCTACCCTATAGTACTTATTTATGTATTTACTAAGGGAAATCTTGTAGGAGGAAAAGAATTTATCTTAATATTCCTCTAGAGATAGCAGTAGATATTAATGGTCTAGCTCAATCGAGGTGCTTTTTTTTCTCATCCAATTTTTCTTATCCCACTTTACTACATCTTATGGTAGTATATCGTATGGTACTTTTGATAGTAACACCGTTATTAAATGGGCGACAAAGTGATAGCTTTCTTAGCGATTTTCCAAAAGTTTAAAAGATCCGTATATATTGTAAGTAATATTACAAGCACATTACAAACATACATGTCTATATAGCTATATATAGAAAGGCAACCGAATATAAGTCTCTTATGATATACATTATTAAGCTCAATATTTGATCTCCATCACAAAAAACCCACAACTAATGCACTTTCGTTGTCCTTTTGAACAGAAATGACTAAGTTAGGAGCATTTAATTAAACGGAAAAAACAGCCGTAATGATCCTTAATTAGATATATGCAGATTAACGATAGATACTGAAAAAATAGATGAAAAGAGGAAAAGACAATAAATAAGAAAATCTCTATTGATATTGTTACATAATATTTATTATCAGAGAACAAAGAATCAGATTATTGTTCCATTAATCGATTTTATATTAATAATTAATAAAGTTTTCCTTTCATTCATTTTTCTTTCTAGCAATTCAATATGTCTTTGAAAAATTATTACAAATTTGATAGATCGATAACGTCCTTCGGGTTTTCTTGCCCGAAAAAAGTGGGATGAAATATCACTACTGAAAGCTTGTTGCTGTTTGATTACATTATCATCTACATACTCCCTAGAGAACTTATTCCTTTTTGCGGAATAAAACTATAGGCCACAAAAATTTTATGAAAATATTAAATTAAGCATATTTCGATTAGTAAAAAAAATACTGTTAGCTCACACAGCATTTACTGTATAAGATAAAAATTGCAATAAAAATTGCTAGGGTCGAGGAGTATAAGTAAAAAGGTTGAATAAAGTATTCCCAATGCTTAAAGGCGTTTTATATAGGCCTTTACCAAAATCGCATTCACTCCTTAACGCGATTCGTTTAAGTATTCGACGTTTGCATAATTAACGACTAAGCCTGTCCAAAAAACCGATCGTGACAAACTAGACAAACGCTATACAAGCGTTACTTTATTATCGCGTAGTTCGATCTATTGTTCGAATCGAATTAACTTTGCACCAGCGAATTAGTTGCGGTTGTCAATTCCCCAAGATGTTTATAAAAAAAATGGTAGAAATAATAAATAAATCAATAAACAAATGAAGTTGATAGAATGACAAACAAACTAAGCGTATAATTTTTCTGATTCTTTCTCTTCCACTACTAAAATGAAAAGTACAACCCCGTGAAGGTCTCCTGGTAAATTCTTTTATAAAACTTTCTTTCACCTACTTTTTAGTCCTCTTAGACTATTTAGTGGGATATTCGATTTCGGAATGTTCGTCCCTTTGAAATGCTTCGTTTAACTATACGGAATATCAATTGACAATTCCCAGTTGTATCTTCAGGATATTGAATTTTCTGGTAGTGTGCATTCTATTCCCCCTCCCCCTCTTTTTTTTTTATCGTTCTTATAAAATGGCCATACTAAATACTATACCGTTAGCATATACTATCTATCTACTGTACATATACAAACGATATTTTGTATATGCACGTGTATTTATATTTACAAATAATCTGCTCTATGAAAAATTATATATAAATACAAACATACGAAATTCCTAAAATTAATTATTTATTGTAATATTAAGTATAAAAATTATTATGAAAATCTTAAATATGAATATCACTATTTGTTTATTTATTACTTTTCTCTCTTGTTTATTTCTCTTAGGTTATATATTTCGTCTGATACTCTCAAGATTGCATTAATCGTACTTATTCCAGGTTTTTTTAATCAATTACACACTTACTGCAATTGTCATTTGCAGTAGTGCGGGACAATATAAATATACACAGATACCAGGGTGTTTATTTATCGGTTGGACGGTCCATTTTAACTCAACTCTGGTATCAGTTAGAGGGAAAGGAAAAGATTTATAAAAAAATAAGATAATAGTGTATAACGAAAAAAAATTCGTATTCAATCAAATACTTTGTTAGATATTGCAAGAATAGCTAAATAATTACATAAGATTGTATTATGATATTTACTAATCTAATATAACGTAAGCATTAGATAAGTGTTCTGTTATGAAAATGTCAATGATTATATAGAACACTCTCATTCCTTCGCAATTTAGTTAGCGAACGAATAATTTTTAAAATATACTGCTATTCTCACGCTTGTACGAATTTAGGCTGTACTTTGATAGTTCCTATGTCCCTATAGAGTTTAGCCTGCCAACTGGAATAATTGTATTGCAGTAGTTACAGTTGAATACTTCTAATATTATTTATCAGGTAGAAAAAATTGATACATGAAACTATAGCTATGTTCTCCCCTTGCCTTATAATAAATTACTTTCAATTACTTGGATTTTCATCAAAGAAAGTTGATTATTAATTCCTACAGAATATAAAAAGGAAAATTGTTACTTAGGACGATATAATGGCAGGTATAGCGTAAAGGCTAGCAAGGGAAAAATGATTAATGAGCTTGTAATCTGAAAATATTTTTGCAAAAGGGTGCAAAGAGGGCAAAAAGTACTTTACAGTTGGATAAGAGATAAAAAAAAAAGGAGTCCTGTTGGTGTTTCTAATTAAACCTATGTTGAACTGTTGAACTTTTGATTTTCTTAGCAGATTTGTAAACATTTAAGGATAATTAGGGGTCTAAGAAAAAAAAAGCAGACAAATAAAATGAATGAATAAACTAATGTCTATCTTTTTATAAGGACAAACAAATTTTAGTACGTCAAAAAGTCTTTTGTTTCAATATGTAGAGTCTATATATATTTGGGTTTGTATATCTTTTCTGCAGCTTTGATATATCATTGATTTTTTTTTCTATTTAATTGTTAATGTTATTAAATATATGTATATAGATATAATGTAATGATTGAATTAGCATATAGAATAACACTACAAAACAGTATTATTAACCCGACACTAATCATAAAAGAATATGAAATATTTTGTTACTTAAAGTATGTTTTTATTAAATAATTATATTTGCTGTATATGGTTTTTTTTACATTAACATTAATAAATATTGAAGATATATATATATACTTTTTTCTTCCTGTTAACAGATAGTAAAGTTTATAGTAGTAGTTTTCCTATTGTAATTACTTCTTTCTTGTACTTTTTTCAATCAACATATTGATTTTACTCTTATTGTCCTTAGACTATAGAGTAATTTGTTTTAATTGAGATTTCTTTTTACTTTTCCGCCCTCCTAGCCCCCCTTCCCTCGTCTTCGCCTTTCTAATTCTATCCTTCTCTATTGAATACTGATGAAAGATTGCGAAAATACTCTAAAACCAGATTGTTTTTATATTAGACAAAGCAAAAAGAATGTCTTACCTAAAAACTACATTTATATATATTTGAAAATCTCGTTTGTCAATGTACAGAAAGACTTACTTGTCCATTAGTGATCTCTAACCGTCCAAATAAAATGTATTATGCAAACGCATATCCTATATGATTTTGGGATTTTTTATATAAAATGTTTTCTCCCTTATTTATATACGGATAAGGATTACTCATTCGAAATTAGTAGAATAGGCAACGATTAGAGAGCAATGAGTTTCAGTTTACGAGGAAAGAATGGACTTGGTAACTTAGGAAGTTGAGAATAAAACTCCACCCAGAATAGGAAATTCTTTCATTCTATTCGTTGAAGGGCTTAGCTTCTCAAGTTTCCTTATGAATAAAATAAAAACAATAAATTTACCTTCTTTTTCTCACGTCTTTCTCGATCTTATTCATCTTTTCATTGACACATTCATGTAATTCTGTCCAATCAGCATGTAAACCACATGCCCAACCAGTAGAATATCTACTAAATAACCAAATTTTTCCATCTCTCGTACAATTGCATCTTTTTCTCCCTGATTTACATTTGCATGGCTTTTTCATATCTAAACTCTTGACTAGCTGTCTACCAAAATAGCTACCACCTGTTTTTTGAATATGTACAAACACAAGAACGAACTCGTTGTTTTGCAAAATTTTAAACTGTCTCGATGTGTCTTCATTGCTAAATTCTGCAGTTAGATCAAAACTTGCTGGTTTATTTTGCAATAGATAGACAGCGAAAAGACAAAAAGTCGTAAATATAAAGAAAACTATCACTAATTTATATATCTTCCATTTCCCTCCACGAAAAGTCATTGTTTGAGAAAGTTGACGTTAAAACGACGCTGAAAGAGAAACTGCATCTCTCTTTGACTCAGACCGTCGTCTGCTTAATGTTTGTAAACTTCTGCAAAGAAGATTTCCAGAGAAGGACATCTACCGGCTCAAGAACAAATAAAGAATCTCTTATTTACAGTACAAATACAATCGAATAATACATAAGTCGTCTAAATATAATAATTATATTTTCAAAGTTAATATTCTAATACTATATATCTTTTTATTCAGAAATAAAGGAGAGGGAAAACTCTCTTAATTTATTTACAATAAAGCCATTATATAGTAATATTATAAAGCATTTTTTTACGAATAAATCAAAAAATAATAAATAAACAAACGAAACAATAAAATTAAATGGCACACATCATATTTATGTTTAAAATTATCAATTAAATAATTATAAATTACATGAAATCTCCATATTGATTGATTACAAAAAGAATAAATATTAAGATAATTGTGATAATATAATCTGCAGCTTAAATTTCCTAGTACATCTCTATCTCTCTTCGTTTCTTGTTTGAACCATGCCGTTTACATTCTCTTATATAAAATAAGAGTAGAGTATGAGAATCTTTGTGTAGAGAATAATTGATGGCACAATAGTTAAAAATGTGCAAGTGAAAGTTGGTTGAAAATAATCATACACAGAATGAGCAAGGGAGAGATAGAGAAATATATATATATATATATGTAGATATAGATGTGATATATGAAATTGGTATAGATAAGAGTTGCTTAGAAAGACAGATAAAGGATGAAAGAATATTTCATATTATTTTTACACTTTCCTTATAGGTTTGAGAAGGAACTTATCCTCTTACACGATCGTCTTTAACTTCCGATAAATTTATTGTTTCTTCATACTTTGGTGTTGTTCCTAGAGTTTTCCCTAAAAGTTCTAAATCTGTATAGTGTTCTTTGCCTTCTCTGAAATTTTGAAATCGCTTGTCATCGTCAGGCTCTAAAAGTAATTCTCTTATTTTATCCTTGTCATCTTTTCTTTCCTGAATACTTCTTTCTTCACGACTATCAATAAGAGAACGAGCCAAAGGTCTTTTTACTTCATCCGATATCAACCACAGAAGATCGTTGAGTGTTCTTTCAGTACATCTGCCTATAAAGCGTATAAACGGTCGAGCATCACCGTCGTTGGCAGCTTGTAATAACGTATAATATTCATGCTTGTCATTTAATCCTATATTTACAATAGGATATCCAGAACCTAGAAGAATGGAGTTCATTAAGAGTCTTGCTGTTCGACCATTGCCGTCCAAAAATGGGTGTATATAAACTAATTTATAATGGATTAAGGCAGAAAGTTTAATATCTGGCATTCCTGATCTTAGATTATTATTTATCCATTGAACAAGATCCTCTAATAGGGCAGGTACGAGCTTTGTTTTCGGAGGTATATGCTTTGATACAAATACTTGTTTATTACGTATCTGACCAGCCGTTCTAGGATCAACGTGACCCATAATATGTTGATGTAAATCTAGCAAGTCTTGTACGTTGAAATTTCCTATTTTCTTCAATAGGGTAGAATTAATATACAACAGAGCTTCAGCAAGTCCTAGTAATTCGTTATGTTCTGCAACACTTTTACCCCCAATTGCCCTACCAGTTTCCATTAGGACTCGAGCTTGATCTATACTAAATGTATTGCCTTCTAAAGCTGCAGTATGATGTATATGTTGTAGAAAGAGTTCGTGATGAGCTTTTTGTAAAACTACAATGTTATCTTTTTTATTTAATGCTTTAAGAAGAACTTCTTTTTTTCTTTTTATTCTTTGAAACATTGCTTTATCTAGTTTAGCAACAATAGGCGAAGCCCTTCTCCTATTTGCTATTGCAGCTTCATGACTGGAGTTATACTGTAACGCTTTACAATACATATGTTCTGCCCTGATAATATCATTTTTATTTCTCTCCAAAAAAACTCCATATTCATTCAATACCTCAGGCTGATGACTATCTAAAGAAACAGCATGCTCGAATAGCTTAGAGGCTCTCTCTCCTTTTCCTTTCTCAGCTAATTGAGAAGCGATTCTAATAGTTTGTAATGCTTCTTGGCTAACGTCTTCGGAGATTCTTCCAATGGCATAATCTTCAGGGTTTGAATTAAAACTCGCTATAATAGGCTGTGATGGTATATATTTACTGAGAAAGCCACTGAAATCGTTCTCTAGTGGCCAGCCCAGAGCAGTTTCTTCTACGTAGTTTTTATGAATATCCGTAAATATAACTGCTGAGTAATAATCACTGAAGTAAGAATACGCAGATTCAAGTAACTTATGTAGGAGCACTATTAAGAATGAACACAATAAGGGTCGGACGTTACTACCAACGGTTAAAAGAGCTCTTCTCATAATAACAACATAGGGAACAACGTTGACAACATTGGCAGCAGACAAAAAGTTATTTTCGTATTTATACAAAAATGAATAAATACTGTTTATAAATAATAAATTTTCCATTTTTGAAATTATCAAGGTAATTAATTATATAAATTCGAGAATACCAAACAAGGAAATTTCCGGTTGTATGTTTCCGGGAAAATATCAGCGACTGTGGGTGCTTTGTAGTTGTTTGCAAGATCAGTGCTAGGCAATCATTTATAGAGATTTCTTGTTCAACTGAATGTCTTCAACCCTCTAACATGTCAAAATTTGATAATAGAATCGAGGAAAGGAAATCGGTTTTGGTTATTTTGGACAGCTGCGTATGTGAAGAATGGGAAGATATAAAAAACAGCTATTTAATACCATCATTAAGGTTTTATTTAAATCTATATATTATCAATTTTTAATTAATATTGTAATTTTTTGTTTTAAAGGGTAATTAGTGGACTCGGTGCTGATTCATCTGAGGTAAACAAAATCTATTTCCCTAATCCTAATTTCTTAAAAATATAATTCTTTTGAAATGAAAATAGCAACCTCAACTTTACGAAACTAGAGTATGCTTGTGCACGTACTCTCCTGATTATTTTGATGTGATGTCGCCATCAATAAACAATTCAGTAGACTTTGTTCAATTTGTGGATACTCTAATAGAATCGTGAGTATATTTTTAAATAGAATTTGAATATGCCAACGTAATAATAACCATATGTATGAATATATATATATAGATTACTTTTTTACGTTTTAGACACGTTTCGAATTTTGTTGCTGAAAGTTACTTCCCATTGAGGAGGACTCTAACGTCAGCAATTCAATTATTTTCAAAGAAACAAACAGCTAAATATATTTTATTGTTTACCGCATCAAAACCTGTTGAAACGTTATTAAATGGAAATGACACATTAGCACAAGTGGGCAAATTATTAGTTGACGAAAACATTAAATTATCTGTATTTTCTACAATATCATCGCCTTTATATACAAAAGTTTTTGAATATGTCAATCAAGAACAAGTAGAAGCTAGAAAATACGCTGTTCAATTAAACCATCAAATTCTTCTTAACGGGTTCAGTCTGCCCGAGCATGATATAATTTCTGAAGATGACGATGATATATTACAGCCACAACCGCAGCAGCAGCAGCAGCAGCAGCAGCAGCAACAACAACAACAACAGCAGCAGCAGCAACAACAACAACAGCAGCAACAACAGCAGCAGCAACAACAACAACAGCAGCAGCAACAACAGCCGCAGCAGCAGCATCTCCATCATCAGCCGCAGCAGCAGCAACAACAGACACAACAACAACATCAACAGCAGCAGCAACAACAGCAGCATCAACACCAACTCCAGAACCAACGGCTTCAGCAGCATCAGCAGCCTCCGCCGTTGCCCAACCTTCAAAATCCACTTTCACAAGGCACAGTGCACTTATCTCAGTCCCATCCAAATTCAACTATAGTATCAACAATAAAAACAGAACCTTCAGATACTGGCCGTCAACAAGAACAACAACCGGTAATGTCAAATCCAAGACTTACTTCCCAAGCCGGTGCGGCTCAGCTACTGGAAAGAACTGTTTGGCGGGGTACTATCGATTGGATGGAAAAGTCGAAAACTAATGAGGGCCAAAGAGTGACTCATAGTTTATCGTGTCAAATGGTTAAAGCGAGTAATGATTTTATATGGGATACATCGAAATGGCCTGGTACATTAAATATGCAACTATTGCCAGGAACTGTATTAAACCCACTGTTGCAAGCTTGGAAGACAAAGTGTTCTATTGTTTATCTTTTTTTCAATAACGTTGACCCAAACAGCCTTACTAACTTGAAAAATCAACTTATGAGTCATATGAGAGGATGTATACATTTCCCCGGTTCACGCGAATTAAAGATAATCACGTTGATGTTCAATGCTCAAAAAAATACATTTACAGGTTGTATTCCACAAGATCAGACCTTGTTTGTAAACTCTTTAAAAAGTTATATAAGTCAACATAAGCAAATGAATAGTGGTCCACAACAACAACAACAACAACAACAACAACAACAACAAGGACCTCGACAAATGGTTGGAGCAATGGTTCAGCAACATCAAGGACAAGCGGTAAGTTATAGAATTTACTTGTTAATTCAGATAATGATAATATTTTCTTTTTTACATAATTCAGATTGCTGCTGCATCAGGTCAAAATCAAACAATGTGTAAGTTTTCAATCTGTATAAATATTTAGTTTTTCAATGTGATACGCTTATTAGAACACTATTTTTTAATTTAGTTAATCAAGGAGCTATATCTGGTACGCAAATAAGGTTCAGCCAACAACCTCAACAACCACAGCAGCCTCAACAACCTCAACTCAATCAAAGACCTATTGTGATACAGGTAAATTAAACATATATTTAATTATTGCTAACGACTTTTCTGTAGCGCAGCGTAATTTCTCAACAACAGCATCAGCAGCAACAACAGCAACAACAATTACAGCAACAAGCTACTGAGAATGCGTTAGCAAGTTTATTATCAAATAACGACTCTACCTTCCAATAATGACTATTGTTTTTCATTTATATGTATCATAGGAAGTTTTCTTACTTTAATTAAAGAATAAACCAGTGTTAAATAAGAATTTTTTATTCTTTAAGTATTATTAGATAAAGAGTAAAGTAAAAAGAAAATTTCACTTTTGTACGTTAAATAGTTTGAAACATTTTATTCAGATCAATAAAATATGAAATTAATGGTCCCGTTATAGCAATGAAACTCAAAATGTAAAGTATTTTCTTTGCCTAATATTAAGAAGAGAAAAGAATGAAGATATAGCACAACAAAAAAAAATCATTGCCTTCAAAATTTTGACATAATTTTTTTTTTAAATTCCTTAGTCAGCTAGATAAGATGAATTTTCTCATTATTTTAGATATATTTTTCCTTTATGCATAATAAATATCATTTTGGTATCCTGAATAGCAGATATTTGTTTTTATAATGCTTAAAACAAATGAGAACATAAAAGGATTCCATATTAAATTTTTGTCTTTTTTTTGTTTAGGTTTTAGTGTTTTTTTTTCTTTTTTTTTTACAACGATCACATTTGAGATACAATTGAACATATTTCGGAAACGACATTTGAAATTAAAGAGGAATCGTTTGATTTTCCATCAATCACTAGCGAGGAGTTTCCCTGCAAAAGGTAAAAGTAAATGTTATGTGTTGAATATAAATTTTGTTTAGGAATAGTTGTATAAAATTTGCATTTTTTTTACCATTTGTTTAATTAATAAGCACACATGATGTCCCTCCATAGAAGTAGCATATAATGAGGCTGTTGCATCGATTTTTTCAACAATGGAAAATCTTGCTCTCAAACATATATCTTTTAAAATTTGGTTAAAATCGCTTTTTTTACTTGAACATTCGGAAGAATGTTTAACCATTGAATCAGTAGAAGCTAATATATTTGAGAATGCAGCGCTGTTTAATTATTAAAAAGCATTGATATTAATACCATATTGTTATATTTTGCTTGTGAAAGACAAACCTATCGATGTTTCCAGGTATAAGTAACATTGAGCAATCAAATTTCAACTTGAAATCTAACTTTTCTAATGAAGAACCTTCCGAAGACTATTAAAAAATTAAATTTTATATTAGTGTACACATAGAGTACATAAAGCAATATAAATACCTTAGTAATGTATGAAAGACTTCCTTTCAGTTTCTGAGGTTTTACTACGTTGCTGATTGAAAAGTTAACAAAAGCTTCCCTTTCCGAGAGAGGTTGGAGAACGAAGGGAAATTTAATCCCTTCGTGATTTCCGTTAGAAGGCTGATCCAAATAATAGTGTGATTAGTTTTAAGGCGAATATTGTATTTCAGTAAATTATAATATTGAAACTCACCTCTCTGAGCAATTTAATGTTAGTAGTATCGATAACTGTAAATTCCATATCCTTAAATGTTGTTCGCTCGGACGAATTTTGTAGTAATAACTTTGCGCTAACACTATTGCTTTGCCTATTAACCTTTGTTCCCATATACTAGTTGATTTGTAAATACGTAACAAAAAGAATTGTTACTATTTCATAAAGATTAGCTATTGTTGTAAAGACACTTACAATTTTAATTAAATCGTTACTAGCCACTAGCAAAACGTCAGATGGTGGTTTAGGGCTCAAAAATTCAACTCTACAGACAAATTATAGTCATAAATGTTATAAATATTATATTAATAGTATATTCATATACCTTTCCATTGATGGAGTTGTGATTCCATCAGCTATTTCATAATCACTTTGTTTTCTTCTTTTCTTCTTTTTTTCATCTTTTTTCTTCTTCTTGGGTTTTTCAGACTTTTTAGTAACCTCAATAGTTTCCGTGTAATTCTGCTCCGCTGGCTTGACTTCTTGTTCGTTATCATTGGATAACCAAAAGTTCATATCGTTCTAGAATATTAAAAAAATATATTGATTAAGTTATATACCAGCGTGTGTATGTACAACAAATTTTTTGTATAAATGTACACTATATAGTATAGATTTAAAAATACAGTACTCGTTAAATGACAGTGGATAGTACCAAATTTAGATAACCTCATTTCAAAACACTAATATTTCTAAATTTTCCCCCTCTGTAATAAGGTGATTAAATTACTGAACACTTTTCAGATCTGGACCCTAACGTACCAGTCCATACTTTATGCTAAATCTCTGCACAATTCTACACATTGATAGACTATTGACTAGTTAATTTGATATTAACTAATTTTAAGATCTCAAATGTTAAAAAATGTATACTAATTTCTAATAGAAAATTGAGATGTGCCTATTATAATTTCAGAGTGTTATAGTAAAAAGGAATAGGCTTAAAATAAGTTTCACGATTGGTTGCCAACAACTAGGGCAAAAACATGAATAAAAAAATTTTTTCATAAAACTTGTAGTTGCAAGAGAGTATCCTATTATTTTCAAAAGCTATTATTTCATAGCAATTTTATAAATAGCATTAATATTTTAAAATTAGTCTGTCTAAATTTGATATTGGACGTAATACTGAGTAGATATAGTTATTTTATTTACCTGGTCATCTATCTTTGAGGTTATTAGGTCATCTTTCGGTTTGTTTCCTTGTGTCGGCAAGCTTAAAGTTTCTTCTTCGCAGGGAATACTTTCATGATTTTGTATATCAATTGTTACATCTTCTTCGACTAGCAAATTACTTTCTGTAGATGCAGATTTTTTCTTCTTCTTCTTCTTTTTCTCAGTTTTTGCAGGTTTATCAGATTCTGCTTTGGATTTTTTCTTCTTTTTCTTCTTCTTTCCATCAGGAATATCAGCCGAATCATTAGGTATACTGTCAACAATACGGTGGCGACGAACTGGTAGAACTTCGTTCTCTTTTAGTGGTCTATCATAGATTGAAGAGAAATGTTAGAAATGTTTATATAGAAAAGTAACGTAAACTTACTCATCTAAATTAATGTCAAGCATTCGATGAGGATCGTCAACAGCTTTGTTATCTGCAGCATCTTCATCAGATAAGGTAGCGCCCTAAGAATAGTTTGTATAAGAATAAAAATATAGCAGAGTAACAATAGGCAAAATGTTTCATACTTCTGGCATATCAAAAGCAACGTTAACAGAATGTTGAACCGATGGTTCGATTTCCTCATCCGAGTAATGATTTTTCTTCTTTTTACTCTTTTTGGACAATCGTTTCTTATTTTTCTTTTCTATAGCTCGACGTTCTTCTTCTCGAGCTTCTATTAAATATTTGTCGCTGGATTTTATATCTAGAAAGAAAATAGAAAGAAAAGGAATAGTTTATTACATTAAAGTATCGTATACAATGGCTTAAATAATATTTACTGAAGAGACTTTTCGACGAAGAAATTTGCAACGGCACATCTAGCTCAATAGCAGCAACTGGAATATCATCGGTACTTTGTGACATTGGCATTGATGTTTTCTTCTATAAAAGAGAAGAAATGAATGAAAAAAAATTGAATTTAGTTTGAAGTAAAATTAAAAACATTTTAAATAAATCTCTTCTCAATAGGTAAGGAGAAGAGACAAAGAGAGACAAAAATAGTTAAAGATAAAATACACTGGGAAAAAAATAGAGCACGACATTTTTCTCTCATCAAAATAGTAAACAACAATAAAATTCTTCTTTTGCATCATTACTTCTAGAGATAAGTGATCAATTTATATAATATATATTTGTTCAATTATATATGTATATAAATTGTTCTTTTTGTTTGTTTTTTGTGTGTGATTAACTTAAGAAAGATAACCAAAACAATAGTAAACATACCCATCTCTTTATAATTTTCTACAAGGCAAATAAAAAAATGGCTTATATAGCTACCCCAAGATGACAATTACCTTTGGTGATTTCGTTGAACCCGCTAAATAATATGGATTATTTTCTTGCTCTTGTAATCTTTCTTCTCTTCTACGAGCTAATTCTTCTTCAGTTGGTTCTGGCATTTTTTTCTTAGAAGGAAAGGTTGCTTCAATAGAGGAAGAAAAGAATGTTGCAGGCTTTTTGCACTCTTCATCGTCTTCCGATGAGGACGAAATCGGTTCATTTATCCACTTATCCAAATTTAAACTAGTTGATTAAAAAGGGTAAATTATTTGAATTATTACATTATTCTATAAATTATTTACCCATCGGGAACTGGTACTTTCTTCTGAGCCTTTGGAGCAACAGGATTTAAAGTTCCAGAAAATAGTACAGATATTTCAGGTCCTATATCAACGTTCTTGTTATGAATTTTTTGTAGATATTTTAATAATTGTATGGATGAGCAGGCCTGTGAGAAAAATTATAATATAGTTCTTTTCAAGAAACATAGAATAATTAATAAATCATCATACTCTTTCTTGAACTTCTAAATCTGAACTTTGAATAAATAATGGTAATTTTTCTAATAGTATTTCAATCAGCTTTGAAATTTCTTCCGGATCTCCAGATTCTTTATCAACCGATCTTGCGAATAATTTTAGAATGTTTTGAACAAACATACTCTGAATATGGCCAGGTAGTATTGTGACTTTTGGCTTTAACATAGTCTCAATTGTAGCTGGAATGTCTTCGATATAACTAAAAAGAAAAGTGGATTACTTTTATCATAAGTAGGGGAGATAAAAAGTTGAATATAACTCTTTTTAATTGATAAAAGCTAAGTTTAAGAGATAAAATAGGTAACACTTCTTACTCGGAAAATTCACCACAAATCCACGCAGCCGCCGACAGAACTTCGCAAATTCCATTCCTTTGACAGTTATTTGCAAATATATGTGCATTTTCTAATAAATTTTTCATTTGTGACACAGCAAATTCTCTAATAGCAGAAACCCTTATTGCAACATCGAGCATTTGAGAGGATATTAAATTTCCGTGTCTTGTACCCTCAATCCTTGTTAACTCTACTAGAATGGTAACGTACCTGAAAAATTAAATATCATTTGTAACAAGTAGGTGATATATCTATATTTGATACTGTTAAACGGTTATTTAAGAGTGTAAAAATTTTACCATTGGAAGTTTGTAACATGCTGATAATTTCCTTGAGAGCAAATATGAATAATTTTAGATAAAAGTTCGTCCCTATAGTATGATCCCTCGGCGCGATCCATATGAATCATCAATTTTTTTACGATCTCCATTAAATTTTTCTTATTTACCTATTCATATAAAAAATTTTCAATTAGATATATAACGGAACAAAAGTAACAGAAAAAGGATTAAATTAGATTATTACATACCATTCCATAAAGGAGATCTAACGCTCTTAACCGTATAGATTCGTCCCTATCATCCAAACATTGTAGGACTAAGTCCTTATGAGATTGAACTGACTTGGGATGAGTTTTCAAAATTTTAGACATAGCTAATAGTCCCAGATATTTTACTATATAAAAGAAAATTTGAAGAAAATATTAATGGCAAATTGACAAGTATACACTGAATATCGTTTAATTTTACTCACAGTTCTGATCAGAATCTTCTATTAAAATTCGTAATTTTTGAACACACAACTGTAATAAATAATATTCACTTTTACAAAACAAATTCAAATCCCATAATTAATCACTCGAATTAAGAAAATTTCATTTTCATTAAGCATCATTTCTACATTACAAAAGTTAGATAAACATAAAAAGCCGTATATGGCATGTATAAATCTATACAAACATATAGTTAGTTGGCTATTTTATATTAGTGTAAAACGCTTCGACATTAAAATCAATTGATATTACCATCACCTGAACTATTTTATCTTACCTGGATTGATGCAGAATGATTTGGGATGCCTGAAGATATAGAAATAAGCACTGTGAATGGTTCGAAGACGAGAAGGCAGGTGGCGTCACACAGAGCATTCGTTCGAAGGCAAAGCATGGTGGAGAAGAGAACACAGCGTCAGAAATGAACAAAATAAACACCATAAAACAAATAATTCTACTTAATAAACAACTATTGAGAAATTAAAATATAATATCCATATCCCAAATATATGTTGTTCTTAAAAGAAAAACAACTAAAAAAATATTCTTTAATAGTTAATTGCCAAAATAAAAATTATTTAAACTTAATTAATTATATACTTTTAAATATCTTTTTTTGTTATACCAATAAAGGAGTTAAAATTAATAATATAAAATACGTTTAAAGGTAAATAATAATAATAATAATAATAATAAAATATTTATTATTAGATTTCGCGCCTTTTTTTCATCATGATGAAAAAAAAAGTTCTCATGCAAAGAAAAATAGAAAATTCTTATTCTATTAAAGATTTAAAAAAAGAGAGAGAGAGAGAGAGAGAGAGAGAGAGAGAAAAAAAAATGTTTTTAATCTTCATGCAATACGCTTAAAAGAAATAAGTCAAGAAATTTAAATTCCTCCAACTCCTCCATTATGTTTACAACACAATCAATTAAAAAAAAAGAGAGAAAGAGTTAAAATTATTGATATAAATAACAATATATATATAATAAAAAAAGTTACTACAAATAAGAAAAAGAAGTAATTTCTATAATCAGCTCGTAGACATTCTGTGTTCTCTTCAGGTCTAAGAAAATTGTCTAGAAAATTGGGGCAATTCAAGTACACCACATAAAAAACGTGATCTAATTTTATATATTAAAAGAAAAAAGAGGTTGGAAATTTTTGTATAGTTTAAGCTTTTTTACTTTTTTTTCTATGGAGTCTTTTAGAGTTTAATAAAAAGGAAAAAAACTACAAAATATTGACAATTTGTTTACAAAAATAGAAAAATGAGACTTAGCTAATATATATAATAGTTAAATAAGTTGGTGATAAAGTGATTAAACAACAAAAGCAATACAAAAAATTTTTTATATTAACTTCAGGGAAAGTGTAAAGAATAATAAAATTAAAGGCACTTAATTAAGGTAATTAAAAATTATAAGTAGCACTTATGTATTGCAATATATTTGGTATAATTATCTAGAAGAAATAGATTATTATTAAATAGAATAACAACCATTTCAAGGCTCTTAAAAAGATTATCTTTATAAGAAACAAAAGATAAGGAAATAATAATAGTATTAAGAGTAATTAACATTTTTAAAGTAAAGAAAGAAGTAGTTTAAGTAAAAAGAGTAACTTATCTTGGAAACTTATTAAGGAGTATATATTATCAATATAAAGGAAATTTTTGAGTGTTTTTTAAAAAAAAATCGATTTGCGCTTAGCTTAGCATGGCTTTTAAATTTTGCACGAATCTATTTGTCCTTTTCATTTTTTATGACAAAAAATCTCTCATTCGCCTTTACTCCCTTCAACTAGGAGATTTTTCAAAAACAATATAAATAGTTTACTTACCAGCTATAACCGTATTGATACACTCATACAATAGAGACATAGCTGATGTACTGTTTAAACGATTTTGATTAATAATATTCAAAAATTTTCATTTAAAATAATCTATATATTTACCTGTGAATTAGATTCGTTAGCGGTTCAATTAACTTCTTTCCTAGTCTAGGTTCTAGCGGCGTTAAGGCTCCAAACTTTATTTAGTGAGAATATAAATATGAATAAATTCACTTCGAATAAAAGAATTAATACTAACCAATTTAATAATTTTTATAAGAACCCAGTTATTTGTCGAACTTGTCATAAGTTTAAAGAAGAGCGGAGCCAATGATAAATAATTTTTCGGGTTCTTACGGGCCAACTCGCATATCACATTTACAGCAGCGGATTGTACGCCTGTTAATAATTTATATTAATGAATGTAAAATACTTTAAATAAGTCATGGGAAGAATTTTTACAAAATTAACCTTGATCAGGATCCTCTAACTTCTCTTTTAATCTAGGAAATGCTGGTCGAAGAGAATCAGGATACTTCAGAAAGATTTTATACATTATCAAGACTGCTTTCTTCCTTAAATAAGGTTTAGTTGATGTCATCTAGATTTGTCGATTAAAATGTATATAATTCTGTAATATGACGAAAAAAGAACAGTGCTTTGAGTACGTACCAAAGTACTAATATCACTAGCTAAATCTCTTGCTAAGTCAGGTGTTACAAAGCAAGATAGTCCGTTCAATGCAACAGCTGCATCGTACATATTTGAACTACTAAGGTCTTTCCGAATCAAATTTGTTGTCAACATTAAAACGTCCGTACCATCGTTGAAAGACTGTGCAGCCGCCAAATATCCAGCTCTTTTAAATGTGAACTTGGTTGAGCTCATTACTTCAATTACATGAAAAGCAGCCCAGTTTATATCATAGCCTAGCATTTGTAACTGGAAAGATGATATTTTATCGATTAGCATCTCTCATTAATTCTTTACGTAAACACACTTACATAGGTCAACTTTGTAATTGCATTTGCTTTAACAGAGATGTTGTCATGTTTTAATTCTTGTTTGATTTCGTCTATACACTCCGCGATATATTTGCTCTATAATATTGGATTAACATTAAATTCTGTCACAAAAGCAATCGATTGCCGCAAGAGTACAATAATTGCTACTCTATTCCATCCTTGACTACTGTCATACGATAGAAATGGACTTAAACGAAGAAAAAAATTGTCACCTCATTTTCCTTATGATTCCTTATGCCACGAACGAGATCTTGTAAATTTTTGTCTAACACTCTTTCCAGAGTTCCTTTGACCTTTTTTAAGGTCAAAGCCATTTTGTATACAACTTAATCTGATGCAGAAGGGATGTCTGTTAAAATAGAGCAGAAATGTTGACGAAATTACTTGAAAATTTGCTACCAGCACGTCGCTTTACATGGCGATGAAGTCATGTGATCAAAGTTATTTTCGTATTTAAATAAATCGCAAAAAATTTAATATATTTATCTTTACTCTTAAAAGTATTCAAAAATTAAAATTCTAATATCTAAACACAAGTTTATTTTGTTTTTCATGGGAAAATGAATATTACTACACTTCCGGTTTTTCGGACTTCTGTAAGCCGGGGAGTTATAAAAACCGAAATACGGATTCAGAATTAGTTTAAATTGTGTCGAGCAGAAGTCAACTCTAACGAAAACTTTAAACACACTTTCTGACTCGTTTTTGGTTTTTATTTGTTCAGTATATTATTGTAAAACCTTGACTATTCTCATTTTCTGCTTGATAAGAAAAAGATAATACATAAACATGCTGTTCTCAACCAGTACCCAAAGGAAATTTTGGATATTTCCTTCTATTGACGAAGTAAGGAACTTAAGAAATGAAGCGAATTCTGAATTTATCAATAAAATAGGCATAAAACAATTATCCGTAAGTCATTCAATTTTTTATCGCTATTTTAAATTGTTTCTCAAAGTCATTATTCCTTAAATTGTATACCATAAACAGGAAGAAGAAGCTAGATACTTGTTGACACCTCATCAAGAATATAAGCTAAGTCTAGCCTACGAATACGAAATTAAGAAATTTTGCATGTCTTTCCCTACACCGTTACCTTCATTTGTTATTGTAAGATCTGGCAAACTTAAGGAAAATATAATTTATAAATGTTCTCTTTTTTCATAATACTACTACAGGCTACATCAATGATCTACTTTAAAAGATTTTTTCTACATAATTCTATCATGGAATATAATCCTGAAGATATAATGTAAGTCAAAGTATAACTTCACAAGTGAAACCCTTTTTTAACTCATAATTTTCCCAATTTTTCAGGATTACCTGCATATTTCTAGCATGTAAAGTTGAAGAATATTACGTTTCAATTCAAAATTTTTCGTCGTATTGTAAGCTCATGCCGAAAGAAGCGTGTGAAAAAATTGTAAGAGACAATGAGCTTTTAGTAATGTTAAAATTGCACTATCATCTTACAATATATAAACCATATAAAGCTGTAGATGGATTCTTATTAGATATCAGAGTAAGTTCTCATAGACAGCTATGTCAATTAGTATTAACAACTCATTAATAGCATTTACATCTCGATTGCAGACTCGTTGTAAAGATGTTAAATTTAATTTTGAGAGAGTTCAAAAGATCGCCTTAGAATTTATAGATCGTTCTCTTCATACTGATGTATTTTTACTATATTCTCCGTCTCAGGTTTTATAGTTCTACTCTACCCATTATACCCTCGATACGCAATACTAATATAATAAATATCTTTTGACAGATTGCTCTTGCTGCAGTTTTACATAGTGTTCATAGGGAAGGACATAATCTTGATGAGTAAGTTGTTGCTTATCGTTATATATAATATTAGTCTTTATACAAACATTTTTATCTGTTATTTTAAACAAATAGATACGTTTTAACCATTCTTTTGCACGATGTACCACAAGAGACGATGACAAAAGTTATTGAACAAATAAAAAGTTGGTATTCTTTTGCTAATTCCCAATTTACTATATCATTCATATCGACAACAACAAAAAACAGAACTCCGCAAACTTGTTAAACATCAGGAGAAGATAAATAGGAATGAGATAGCTGATATTGAAGCTAGATTACGTGCATTTAAAGCAACCACAACCTGGAGATCAAGGTAATTTTAATCATTCATTAAAAAAGTAGTCATTTGTAATTTATAAACTAAAATACTTTCATTTGCACGTCTAGGAACTCTCAATTTGACGGTGATAGTCAAGATTCTGAAACCTGTATGGACTAGTTACTATTCTCAACTCTATCTGTATTATAGTATATTTTTTTTCTTGTTTTCTCACATTAACCCAAAAAAGAGTCATGCGAATTTATTCTGAAGATAAAAAGAGTTTGTACTTAAAAAAAAGAACTTTATTTCCAACTTATTTTGTTTTTTTTAACTGTTTCATAGCCAAATAGAAATGTATTTTATCTGTTTATTAAAGTTAAATTTGAGAAAAAAAATAGTATTCTTGTTCTTTATATCTGTGTGAATTAGACTTTTTTATATACTGTATATATATATATATATATATATATACTTTATATATAGAAAGATAAAGGCACCTTAAGAGTTCCACTCTCTTTTGAAAAATATCTGCGGTAAATAAAAATACAGATTAATTTTTGTTTAATCCCGCAGTAAATAAATTGTTTGAATTATTAAAAAAATTTTCTTTTGTAAACTCAATTCAGGACGTATGCAAAAAAACATAATTTTTGTAAACAGTATACAAATAAAATTATGGACGGACAGTAAAAAAGTATATAGCGAGACTAATTGAGCAAAAAAAGACCAAACTAAAAAGAAAAAAACGAAACGATGTTTATCGACTTCCCCAAGCACTGAGTCTACTTTTGAATACGGACTTTGATGGATTTTCATCAATAGTAATTCTAGAGGTATTTCCAGAAGTAGGTGGTCGGGAAACAGTCATACTCGTTACATTTGAAGCCGTTCTAAGACTTCTAGGTGGTGCTGATGTCACACGAATGGGTCTTGATGCCGTTGCCTTCCGTGTTTGAGTTGTCAATGGTCGTTTCACTATAAGAAAATATAGATTTAGAATCAAACATATACGTTAAAGAAAAAATTTTCATGCTTGTTTTAAGTACCATTCAGTGAAAAAGGTAACATTTGTGCGATGTATTAAATATACAAATTTTACTGTCTATGCGTTATAAGTATATAGTAATTAAAAAAGTGTTCAAGTGAATTGAATTCACCTTATTTCTTAAAAACAGATGTTTTGTTCTCTGCATGTGTTTCATACAAGTTATATTTTGAATCTTAATATTGTTTTGATTCAAAACTACATTGTTAAAAACTAAATTAAAAATAGATTATAAAAATATAACTGTACTTACTTGGAACATTCTTTTTTCCCAATATAGGTGGACCACCATACTTTTCTAAGCTATTAATATATTGAATATTATTAGTATAGAAATTAAAGAGGAAAAATAATACAATTCAATAAATATAACTAACCTTAAGCAAGGCATTCCAACGGCTTTACATCGTTCAAATTCTTCAAAAAATTCTTGAGATGCTTTAAAGTCCTTACCCAAATTTTCGACATATGATTCAAACAATTTGGGTGTTGATCTACATGCAGTTAATAAAATTCTCATTGCCGGCCTATGAAATGTCATATAACCGAGGGCTGTTGCGCACATAAATCTTAAATGTTCATTTCTTGAATAGTCATCACTTTCCCTATTTATTTTTGATATAAGTACATCCATTACTCCAACTGTAACGAGAGCATCAGGAATACCTGTTCTCGTGTGAGCGACGCTGGCAATTAAGCTGGCCGCTTCGCTAACCGTTGAATCATTTTTTGATTTCAAAACTTCGACTAACATTGAAATACCTTCTGCAGTAAGTGATACCTGATCTCTGTCATTCACCACTCTTGATAAGACAACCATTTGAAAGGCGGAATTACATTTTTCTAGATCATCTTCGGATTTAAGGAAGGATCTGAAGAATGAATATTCTAATCCTCCCGCCTCCTTTACAGCATATTGCTGTGTAGTATTATTAAAGGCGAAAAGAGAGAGGGCGAAGCCGGCTCTTAATCGAATTCTGTCAATAGGCGAATATAAGAGCTCTAGTACGTAACTGATGTCAAAAGTCTCTTCCATTTTAAGAAGTTGCTGGTTACTGCTATTACCAAGGACTACGCAAGCTAAAGTGCAAGCGGCTTCTACCTTTATGTCATCGTTTGGAGGTGAAATGATTAACTGTACTAAACTAGGTATTGAATTCTCTTCTGACATTCTCTTCTGTGAGACCTTATTGTTTCTGTGAGCCACTCCTATAGGTGAAAAGTAAAAAGAGCAAGTCAAACATAATGTTATTATAGAGTTTCGTCAAAAGGGAAAAAATATTACCTATGCATAAAGTTCCAATTAGTTGAATTACTATTAATAATACTCTTTCAGAAGTTTTTGGAGATCTAAGGAGACGAACTAAGGGACCTATTCCATCTTGTTTAACTATCTTGTTTTGTTCCTCCATATCTTCGTATCCAAGGGCATTCATAGCCATGCAACCTACATACTGCAACTTTTCTGATGTAGCTAACAGCATTTCAATTAATCTGTGAAGACCAATATGATTTGCTATTTCTTTTTGTTGCTTCTTTTTATCACCCGCTAAAGACCAAAGTGCACAAGCACCCTGCTCCCTTACTTGAACCGACCAATACTATACAAATAGATGGAATTTATTAATTATTATATTCTATCCTAAAGTTGAAGGTTTTACTTTAAAAAGCTTAAGTAAAGCTTTCGGACCATCTTCTTCCATAAAAGCTAATTGAGCAGAGGAATTGCCATCACAAAGAGCTTCTAATGCGCAAGCTGCCTGAACTTGTGCCGTGACTTGGTGACCTTTAATCAACTTTATGAGTGGTCTGTTTTTTATATAAGCAAACATTTTAATCCGATAAATATATGTCAACTTTGCAAAAATAATTTGTAGGCATACTTTACAACTCCTTCTTTTATCAAAGTATCTTGATTATCTTTATGACCGCCTGATACAGCGGCTATAGCAGATGATGCCGAAGCTTGAAGTTTTTCTGTTTTACACAATGTCCATAAAATTTACGAATAAATATTTATATAAAATTTAATCCATGTTTAATCTTTCACTTACCTGAATGAATTGAGAGAAATTCTACTAAAGGTTCAATAACTCCACCTTTAGCGGCTTCTGTCTGAATATCTGGACATCCCTGTGACATCATTTTTATAGCATTTACAGCATAGACGAGTACATCTTCAATCTGCAGACATTTCATGTAAAATATATCTTATTTAAAAAGTATTTCAATTGCTCTTTAACCTCTGAATCTAGTAAATTGACAAGTGGAGAAATGGCACCTTGTGAAGAGAGTAATTCTTGTTGACCTTCTATACAAGCCATATCGGCTACGACTATAGATGCTCGAGCTTGTATATCATCGTTTGGAGATGATAGTAGTTGTATAAGGATTGGCCCAGCATTAGTTTGACATAGAGCTAGTCGTACATCTTGATGCTGAGAAATACTGCAAAGAACTGCAACTGCGACGGCCTGAATGCGTTCGTCGTTAAGATATAGTAGGGAGACAACTGCCGGAACTCCACCGGCGTTTAATATCTCTTTCCAATTATCCTCTCTCGAAATAGCAAGTACATCAATACATTTAACAGCGCTATCTTTTCTAGCTAGGTCATCCCCTTTCAGCATACCAACGATAATTTCCCAAACTGGAACTTCAGGGTGGTCCCAATCAATAAAAAACTCTAAGACATTTGTATGAAACCTCATTGCTGCAACTTCTATTACGTTATTATTCTAAAAAAGAAAACGATTTGTAAAAGACATAAAGAAATTTTATAAAGACTATTTTAATAAACTAAATTAACCATGTCATCTTTTCTTTGAACGTAGGCTCCTAAATCCAATAAGCACTTTAAAGCTTCCAAAGCTCCAGAGCTTGCAGCCAAAAGTAGAGGTGTAGATCGAATACTTTTAAGTAGTTGATAAAAAATTGTAGTCATTATAATAAATCTTATAGTTTTACTAGTTTTCATTTATTACTTACTCGTCTTTGGTTTGAAATTCTAAAAGTGCACTTTCCTTACCAATTAATAGTTTTAAAATTGGTACATTATCGTAGAATGCTGCATAATGAGCAGGAACCCAACCATCTTGATCAGTCGCCAATAAATTAGCATAATTAGCAACCTAAATCAAATAGAATTGGTATTTATTCAATAATTATTAAAATTTTTTTAACTTAACTTACTAAGCAAGTTGCAGCTTCGAATGAACCGCAACGAGCAGCAAGATGTAATGCCGTTGGTCCTATATGTTTTAAATTAAAGAAAGGGAAAAAAATAGAACATTGTGTAAGTATTAAAATCGTTTGAGTTTGAATAAAATAATAATAAAAAAGATAAGAAAAAGAATTATAATAATAAAATCAATTTATGGCGTGAAGTATAATTTTTCATAGCGTGATAAAATCATATATAGATATATAATGTACATATACAGTATGCTTATAGATGATTGGAAACATGTGTCATATGTATAGATACATATATTCAAACAGAGTGTGCTTTAACTATGTACTATGTATATACAGTACATATTTATTAGTATATACATGCTTAAAAAGTTTTCTTACTATTTTTATATCTCATGCATATGGATATAAATTAAGCTATTTGTTAGTGTTCGATAACAATAATTAGCATAAGTTTCATATATACATATGCGAAATAATTAATCCAAAAAGCTGTAAATTAATGAATATCTGATTCTCTCTCTTTTTGTTTTTATTAAGCCTAGTAAAATGTGCAAGTATCATACCCGTTCTTTTGGAACTGGGTACAAAAACTGAAGAGAAAAAAAATTGAAAAAAAAAAAACAAAATAAAAGAATATTACATAGAAATTTTATAAATAAATACACATTTACTACAAATATGAATATTAAAAACAATGAATAAATTCTTTTTTTAATTAGCTAATTAAAATAATAATGAATATAATTAAAAAAATGCAAATTATAGAATATATTGAAAAAGGAAAATGTATAGATTGCTTTTTGTTTTTTATTGTTTTGATAAAAAAAAAAGTTTCGATTGCTTCGTTTTTTTTGTTTTTTTTGAGTTTTTTTGACATAAAAATTAAGCCAGAAAAAGACAAAGTTATTTTTTCGTATGAATATTCATTATTTTATTTATGAATAAATTAATTTTGAATATTGATTGTCTTATTTCGTTTTAATTTTTATGTAATACATACCAGTTTTTGTGTAACCACCTATTAAACATGTCACATGCATAATAAATAAACGAATAAACAGATATGGTCAATAAAAAATAAAGTACTGTAATAGATGCAATTTTCAACTACAATTGAAACGTCTTGTTACAATTAATTTTTAAAGTTTTGCCATTTTGTTGGAGTGATAAAATCAGGGAAAGATTATTTCAATAATCAAGTGAGATTTACTTCAAATTTGAAACTAATATTCGTCATGCTTTTATGTTAAATGAACTATTGAACTGCATTCAAGAGAAAATGTCTGCTTTTTATGTATCTTAAAAATTTTGTATAGCCTATGAGAAACATTATTCATTCAATAGAGAGATAGAGAGAGACAGAGAGAGAGAGATAAGTAGACAGAGGAAGATAAAGAGGAAAAATGGAAAGAAAAATGAAAAAAAAACATGATGATTGAAATCAGAAGGTATATGACTATTGCTATTTGATTTTAGTTTGTTTTGTTTGTCTGCCAATATTGTTTATATCAAAATTGTGATATTGTATATAAAAAGGAGTGTAAATGATTTTTCTTTCAATTTTAATTTAAAGAATACCTGTTTCGTCTGCAGATGATTAAAATATCAGAATAATTATTAATTAAGTAAAAGTTTTTTGTAAAACAATATTAATAATAAAAAATATGTATAAAAACAAAAATGTTTGTTATTGTTGTTGTTATTGTTTTCTTTTTGAGGGAGAGGGTTATAATAAAAAAAGAATCATAGATTTTTTCACTGCAAAGTTCTTAAAAAGAAAATAAAAACCACCTCTTTTTTTTTTTTAAAAAAAATCAAATATTACTTTTACAGAGATTTCAATACTCACCAGAAATTTGTATATTGTTACTCTTTCGTACATTCACATCCATACTGTGAAGGATAAGTTGAGCTATTACGTGGGGTCTATTATTCATTGCTGCATGATGTAACAAAGATAGTCCGTTATCATCTTGTTTACCAAGTCTTGATGGGGGGCATTTTCTTGCTAAAGTATTAAAAGTTGCTACTAATCCCCTCCTAGCTGCGGCTGATAGGCCTAGTAATTGATTTTTATAGTTTATAGCTTTCTGTTGACAAAAAGTAAATAGAACGAGGTAGATTATGAGATCTATATTTATGATACACTTCGTCTGTTTTACCTTAGTTCCAAAATGTTTTCTAAATACGTCGTGTACGTCGTGTTCAGTCATAGTCTTTAGTCGCATTTGGCCTATTCTTTCACTCATCGTACATACCCAAGGAGGTCTACAAGATTAAATTGGATTTATTTTATTCAATTATATAGTAATTATTATATTATATAAACAAACTTTTGCGGCTGTTGATGATAATAGGTTTCAAATTGAATGGCAATTGCGTGGTATCTTTTCCCATTAATGGTAACTATTTCAGCGGGATAGACGTTATCCTGTGGAGGTTTAGTATTAGGATCCAACCAACTGCTATCTCTCGCAATAGTTTGTTCCAGAATTTCATCATGTCTTGCAGCGAGTTCTTCCGGAACTTCTCCGCAAGAAGGCGTTTCATGATCGAATTGTATGCATCCATGAAGATGAAAATATCTTTCGGGTCCGAACATGAAATTCTTACACTTAAAGTCAGGAGATTGAATTAAAGGTGGAAGTTCCCTTTCTGTTCTAACTTCATCGCCTAAATCATAAACAGAAACATTAAAACAAGAATAATCTATTTATTTTTATATATAGAAAAAATAAATCTACTGTATTTATAAATAACATGTGATTATTTTGTATTTATGGAAAAAAAGACGAAATCACTAATGAGGTTATATAGAAGATTTATTTTACAACGCAATCGATAAATGATCAATATATTTAACGGTTTTAGATCAAATATTCTTTCCCACCGCCCCTTTCTTTCTTCCCCTCATTCCCACTCTATATTTACACTCAGTCGCTTTAAATATTAATAAGATTATTAACGATTTGAAGAAAGGATAGTAAAATATTTACTAGCTTTTTGTTCAATCTATTGTCTTAAAGTCGTTAATGAGACTACGAGAGAAGAATAGGCTATAGCTTACCCTTTAAATTTGGTAGAAAAGTTTTAAGATTAGGTATTTTCATACGTTTTTTCATACCGACTAGCCACGGGACTAGAAAACTAATTAATTTCATCATCTATTTAACGAATAAAGATATATTAGTTTACAATAAATAAAATACAAGTGTCATTCTAAATTATCCACTTACTTGCAGGTTAAAAGCTGTTTCCTTCTTTTGAGACAAGTATTCGTTGATTATAAGTTCATGTAATTGTAATCTATTATGTAGACGTTCATAAGCGTTTTTATCTACTTTTTCATCAATAGTCCTTATATTTGAAGATACGATCCAATCGGCATCGATTAGAAATAAGTTTCTAGCGAATAAATTAATTAAATTAATTTAATAGTAGGCAAATATTAAAAGTGCTTATCTATTCCTTCGTTACTTACCTATGTTGTATAATAGCTCTTTGATAAATCGTCATTATCATTGCCATATCATCAACATGGTTCATAAAAAATTTTGCCTCTTCGGCATCGGTATCCATAGTTTTCAAATTATCATAAACGTTAGCATACTCTGGATCTTTTGTAATATCCATTGTGCCTAATTATAGAGAAAAAAGGAAAAAAGGGAAACAAAATTAGCTTTATTTAAAAAAGGAAACCGGAACTACGGATGAAGGAAGAGAGTAAGAAATAAAATTAATTAGCAATAGAGAGAAAAATCATTTCAATCGATATCTTATCGATTTTTTTTCCTTTTAATTCCTATTTCCTTTACAAGTTCTCAATCTTTGTAATAATAATAATGCATACCTATCTTGTTTATATTGGATTAAGCGGCTAATTGGTTAAAAAACATTCTTACAATTATAACTTACGGCTATAACCGAATAAAATGGGCCTATTAATTCTTTTGAAAACTATATGAATAACAAGAGGAGGTGTATATAATAATATTAAATTAGCACTGTTATCAATAATAATATTCATAAATAAGTTAACTAAACAACTAAACGAATGAGCAAGAAAAGAAAAGAGAGCGTGAGGGAAGGATAATAAATAACTATGTAGATAAACTAACCAGCACTTATAAATTCAGTTATTATAGGCTTTTTAGTTTCTGGTTTACCAGTTGAAGTATTAACTACTAAATTTGTTCTCCAAACATCCGTAAACGCCTTTCTCTTATCTGTCGGCATATACGCTCCATGCCACAAAGACTATATAATAAAAAATACACATTAAATATCTATAAATGTATATATATATATATATATATGTTTTTGCAATAAATATATTCAGTAAATTGCATGAAATATAACCACTTGTACGTTCTATTTAATTGTTTAATTTATAGTCTTGTTTAAACAAACCTTGCAAGCATATTTAATAAAAAAGCCCCGGGTGAAAAGAATGATATATTGAGTAAACCTTGTTTGAATGCTTACCTTCATTATGTAATCTACATGGATCATTAGTTGACCAACTTTGGTATCTATGTAAGCTGGTGGTAGTTGGCATTGAGTACTCTGCAAATATTCATATATAAATATTTGTAATTATAAATATAAAAGTACATACAGTACACACACACAGATACACATATATATATATATATATATATATATATATATATATAAACACTGTACAGTATATTGATTGATTTTGAAGATAATACACTTGAAACTATCTCTCTGTGTATACCATAAAATATATGCAAATAGCCTTATATGTGATTTACATTGTGTGAACAAGAGATAATTGGCATTGAACAAATGACCCTTTAAAAACTTTTTAATTACCTGATCGTAGTTAGCTTCTAGGGAACAAGCGGGCATTGAATTTAAGGCGTATATTCCAAAAGTTAACTCCCTAATCATTTGATGAATTAGTCTTATATCTAAAACGTCATCTTCCGAATTATCAAGGGTTGGAAGGAGAACTACTGACGAATTTCCACTTATGGGTATCATACTCGTAATAATACCAAGCGGAGGTTCTGTTGGCACTTTGAAGTCGTTGGTAGACAACATCCAATGAGAAGATTGTTGAGAACATAGCTCATATTTATCGAATTGAGAGAGTTTCGATAGAAAAGCGTCGATCAGCGGTAAATCCGGTGTATTTGTAGCATCATCTGTAGTAGCCATAGGACCGGCTAACAATTCAAATTTTCACAATCAAGAATCAATTATGAAAGTCAAAGGGAGAATATTTTTTTAATTATTGGAGAACTTCTCCCATGAATAGTAATCTTCAAAAGTGACGATCGACAGAAGGATATTGACCACATGGAAACGCGTTTGTTTACACGATTGGCACATTTTCGCTCCAAATGAGCTGATTGGTTGAAGACGATAACCTACCTTTCAACGTTATTTCGTACATTTAAAAAACTCATCAAATTATATTAAAAACAAGACTTATGTAGAATCATAAGTCAAAAAGTTATAAAATCATGTAAATACGCAAATTATATTATATACGAAAATAATCTTTACTGACTTCCGGCTTGATATAAGTTGTCAAATTTCAACTTTAAATAAAACTATTCTATCTTTTTAAAAAGGATATTAAAGCAATTTAGAATTTTAATAATACCTAATTAGTTGACTAATTAAAGAAATATTTGGGCAATAATCTATAAAGGAAAAGATCATAGCTAGATATTATACTTTAAAAAATAAAATAAAAAAAACAATTTAAATAAAAATATGAATAAAGGGAAAATTTTAGAATTTCCAAATGTAAGAAATATACTATGGGATCATAGACCAATTGGAGAAAACATAGAAATTATTCCTTTCCCAACAGAGTAAGAGAAATATTAATAAAACTAATTATCAATCTACTGAATATAATCTTTATTATCATTGTTATTTTGTTTCTTTTTACAGCTATCCATGTTTAAATATCAACGAATCAACATTATCAATAATTAAATCATTGAGAGAAAAGTCAAAAGTAGTAAATTTTATACTAATTGGTTCACTACAAAAACATCATGGTAAATGATATTTAAATAAATTAGAAAGTTAAATATTTCAGGTATAATATATCATGATTCCTTTGATATTATCATCTATTTTAGATGGTAGTCTAACTATTGAAATAGAAAGACACGAAACAGAGAGTAATATGAAAAAACTGGTGCATATACAAGACACGATGTACCTTAATTGTACTGTACATATTTTAATAACTATTTAAGGGCTAACGATGTAAAAAAGATTAACGTTCCTCTTCTAGGTTCAATCTACAAACGGACCATTACCGTTCTCTAATGATAATTATTTACAATCTTTCAAAGTTTGTCTTCATTTAGCTATACTTATTATTTGAATACTATGTAATTAAATATAATTGTTATATTTTTTAAAGGCATTAAGGAATCGTTGTGAATCCCGTGAAAAGATCTCGTTATGCCGTTTTTTTTCATCGTTAGTGGCAATTCAATTATCAAATGGCTATGAAGTGAAATCTGATTTGATTGCCCCAAGCATTAAATTCAATGCTACTCCTATTCAAAACGTTCCTTTAGTTAATTCGGCTTTAGCTAAGAATTTAGCGTCGCCTTACTGTAGAAGTTACGTTTTAGGCGAAGCACAAACTGGGTTTGTAGCATGGCTTGTCATTTATCTTTAATGGTATTAAATTTATGGAACCTTTGTAAAAATTGCTAATTTATTTAGATACTTATCTATGGACCAAACTAGAAAGGTTTTGCTAATTTTGGAATCCGATCCCAAAGTATCGAAATTACCAATAGTTGGAATGTAATTAACAAGCTAAATTTTATCAATAAATAATTAGGTTTCTTTCTCTTTCTCTGTTCTTTTTATAGATGGATAAGTGGTGTATCAAATATATCGGATCCGTTTGTATGGTCATGCTGTACTAGATATGTATATGGTAAATTTGACAATAGGTAAGGAATCACTATTTTGCATTTTCATATCCAATATTATAATTGGTAAACGACAATTTGTTTAAAAAACAGAGTTCATCCACCTACTGAACCTTTTCTCTTAATGCTTTATACAACCGAACATTCTAATCGTCAAATGTACGATATTATACCAATAGATAGAAATATATCTCTTGGATTTAATCTATTCACATTTAACGATAATCTTCAAAATAATCGGGTAAAGATTTAATATATTTATAATATACTTTTCTAATAACAAGTTACTTGTTAAAACAAACAATTATAGAGAGATGAATTTAATACTGATGTTCATTCCTTTCAATATAATGTGGAAAATGCCGTTGCTAAGAGAGCACTCTTCAATTCTTGCTTAAAAAATTATGAAGATGTTATGTATACCGTTTTCTTTGTTTAATTATAATTTATATTCAGCATTAACTTTCAACTATCTTTGTCTATTGATCTAAAATAGGAAAATTGAAAAGGAAGATGATTTTAATCAATCTAATAGATCTAAGATAAATGAAACTTTATTCCCTCAACCAACAGTTGAAAGAGATAGGTATAAGGTATATATTATTGTAATACATATATTTTTATGATAACTTATTTTATCGTTTTTTCATTTGCTAGCCTGTTCAAATGAAATCCGATATACCTGATCTTACACTACTCGACGAACTAAGTCCCGAACCTATTCAAACTAAGAAAACGATTAATATCAATGAATCAATTCCAAATCAGCAGCAATTACCTAACACTCAAGAGAAATTAACAACTTTTCCTTCGTCTAATCAAGTAGATAATTACCCGAGTAATCAAGTTCAACAACCGCAACAACAAGTTCCCGCCGAATGGTTAGATATACTAAAAAGACAGAATGAAGAAATAAAGTCACTCAGATCTCAAGTAGAGAGATTATTAAATGAACAACGAAAAGTAGAAACTAATCGAGATGTATCCATTCAAAATTGTATGGAAGCGAAAAAAGTAGAGACTTGTTCAATTGGAATAAATACATCAATTACAGAAAAGAGTATTAATACTCCAGCTGGTAATCGATTTGAGGAAACAATTAATAGTCCTTTCGACGCTAATAGATATAATACAACTTTTGGTGATATAAGAATTGAGAACACAAGCTACGAAACGAATAGATCCGAGAGAATTATCGATATGCCTGAATTTAATAGTATGACATCCGATAAGTGAGTAAAAGATAAATATTAATACATTTAGTGTTTAATGATTTTTAAAATACTCTTTGTATTCTTTTTTGTTGTTTCTTTGTAATAGATTAAGCCAATCGAATCATAGTCCAGTTCTAGGTGAAAGTGTTAGTATGTATCAGCAAGGAGGATTTCAAGCTATTATGCCTACTTTTGAAGTAAAATACCTCATCAATTTAATTATATTAATTGAATTCCAATCATATATCTTTTATGAAGTCTTTCTTTTCTAATAGGAAACAAAAAATGATAGGGCGTCTAAATTGTTTGATGAAGATTATAGCAGTTTCTCGGAGTCGGATGAAGAAAAGATGGATAATTTTCGAATGAAAGATAATTGTACAGAAAGAAGCTGTTCACCCGTTAAATTACAACCTACGACACCAAAAAAAGTTTCCATTTCTAACGTAACAATCGATATTGCGGCAAAAACCCGTAAAGAATTGGAACATTTGGGAGTTTGCTTCGATCCTGATAATGAGAATTTTAGCTTTAAGCCAGCAGCCGATGGAACATTATATTTAGACGTTAATTTTTTACCAAAAGTTCAATATACATCATTATTTTTACCATCATCCGAATACGAAGATACCGATAGTCTTGCGTTGAAATATTTAAATGATACTGATTTAACAAGCCTTTCGAAAGGCGAAAATAAATGTACTGAACCCACTATATTCCAATCGAATAATATGTCTTTTGCAACAAGAAAATACATGGAAAGATATGGATTAGTTGATGAAAAAGATGAAAAAGCTCCTAATAAAAAAGAAAGTTTACATAAGCAATCAAAAACTCCAGCGAAACAATTACAAAATTCAATTAATGAGAAAAAATACGATTCTAGGTTTTTAGACATTGAAAAGCTTAAAGCTTTACCAAGTTTAATCTAAAATCTGATGCTTTTATGTTTTAACACTTTTTGTAATCTTTTATTTCTTTTAATAATACAAATACAACTGTAAGATATATTCCTTACCAACGTTTAAAGATTAAAGAAATACTGTATATATAGATGGAATAATAGATGGTATAGATGGTATAATTTGCGAAAAGTAAAAATTTTTTAGGGAAACGGAAGTTCTTATCATCCGATTAGTTTATTTCCACAACAATGATATTCATATAATATGCATAAAGAAAAATTTAAGTAGATAATGGTGTCTTTTTTTATATAATTATTATATTAGCAGTACTCTTATCTTACTCTATTGCCATGTTTGCAGTATATATAATACTAGATGTACAGTTTTATATGTTCAATATATATATATATATATATATATATCAACACTCTATTCTCTATATAGTAGGATAAATATGCTTCTAATTTTACTTGGGGGATTAAATCCAACACGATTTTCATGAGTAAAGCATATTAAAAGTATTCAACCTCATATATATATATATATATATATATATATATGTACAGTATATATTAGTATAGTGTATATATTTATATGTTATGTAGCTGGATAGATAAATGGATAAAAAGATAGAATAACGAAGAGCTATTGCTAATCATATTTTTCATTTTCCTTTATTATTATTCAATTCAAAAACTTTTCAACAAAAAAATATAAACATTTTCATTAATTAACAACACTTTCAATATAAAGAACAAAAGATATATACAGTAATTTATATATAAATGAAGTTTAAATAATTAATAAAACTCCATCTAAAACTTAATAATAATTATAATCTTTTTTCTTCTATATTAATTATTATTTTCAGCTTAAAAGAATCAACTCTTAAGCACTTAACTAATACCGAATATCTTTTTCTTTTTGTTTCATAAAGGCACAATAAGCTTTTCTGCATTTTATTGCTGTTCAAACATTGGTTATTTTTATTCTATGTGTTTTTCTCTTTCTTTTTCTCTCTCTCTCTTTCTCTCTTTTCTCTTTACATAGATACAGACGTCATCAAATCATATATAGATTTACACGTATATATCTATATAGATTTATATACAGTATATATATTTACTAGAAGATTCCTGAGCTCATCTAATGATTTCTTAACAAGAGAAAAACTGATCTTTCCCTAAGAAATAACTATACTAAATAATTATCAGAAATGAAATATTATTTATTCTCTTTTATTAAAAGAGTAGGGATAAAAAAATAAATAAAACTGAACCTTCTACAAAAAATCCTTATATGAAAAATATAATTGGCCGATAGATGTCACTGGGTTCAATAGAAATTTTAATGCAAAAATGACAATTTATAATCTAAAAGGAATGTTAAACAAACGTTTTCATGTCCGTTAATCTTTTCTTCGAAATTGAAAAACCTAAGTTGGGTTTCTGTCCTCTAACATCTACTTTTTTCACATTTATATTAACCGTGTGTTTTTTCATTCTTTTCTCTCTCTCTCTCTCTCTCTCTCTCTCTTACGATTATCGCATCAATAAAGCAGAAGGAAAAAAAACAAAATTGCTACACAATTATACTTTGATATTTAAAAAAAAAGCGTTTAAATCCCTATGTATTGTATATAGTTTTTGCCTTTGTTCTAGTCCCTCTTTATAATGAAATAAAAAAAAATACATATAGTTCTACAATTCCTATTATGTTCTAGATGTATAGTCTATTAAAAAAGACAACTTTCCTGCCTATATTAATAAACATAATAAATTATAATTGAAAAAAAAAGACAAGTATGAGAAATATGCTAAGAATTTGTAGACTTCTGAGAGTCTAAAAAAGAAATATTTAAAAAGACAGAATTTTTCAAATAATACCTCAGTTCAATCTACTTTGTATACATGTGTTGCTATAACCTTCTAAGCTATTATAAGTCTAATACTATTCAAAAATTATATATACTGTATATTTAGTATATCACTAATAGTAAAAAAAACCTGCAGTTGAATATTTATTTAACTAAACAACTGTGTATTAATTTATTCACCTTTTTACCCAAAAATAACAGAAATAAAATTTTGAATTTTCTCAAAAAAAATGAAAAAGAAAATAATAAAAGTAATCATATTACTATGAAGAAGAAGAAGAAGAAAGAGATTGAGTTCATAATTCTTGATTTCTAATTTGTTTCTTCCTGTAACACTTTACTGCAGATAAACTTATACTTTGTTTTGCTTTTGTTATTTTCTTTTACAAAAATGCTTTTAAGATACGGAAGGACAAGTATATATATATATATAAATATATATACATATATATAAATTTATATATATATATATACTTACATACGCTTAATCATTTTTCTTTAAAGCTATTTGTTTCTTAATATATACAGCACCGGAAATTTCGTTTTCTCCTAGTTATGCCTTTTCATATGTAGAGATAAATGATCGGATCGAGAGAAGGCTTTGGAGCACAATTCGCACTTAAACGGTCTATCGCCTGTATGCTTTCGGAAATGCCTTGTCAATTCATCGCTTCTAGCAAATTTCCAACTACAACCCTCCCATTTACATATGTAAGGCTTTTCTCCTTTAAAGTAGTAGAAAACAATAACAATTGATTAATTTAATTAATGAGTTTTCTTTTCAATGTCTTATTTACCTGTATGAGTTCTTAAATGAGCCTTAAGATGTGAACTTTTTGTATAAACCTTACTGCAATTAGGAAAATCGCATTGATGAGTTCTACGTTTTCTATCTTGCGGAGTACCAATCTTTGTTTGCGATTTTTCGCTTCCATATTGTTTAATTCTCTCTAAGGGAAGTAATACAGGAGGTGCTGTTGTAGTATAAAAAGGAGGCGTACACTCCGTAATTGTTTCTACTCCTATTTCCTCATTTTCCCGAACACTTAAATCGACTGGATGTTGTTGTTCAGCCTGTATATTTAAAAAAGTGAATAAAACACAAATAAAAAATTATGAAAACTAAAAAATATACAATAAATAATATATTTATAAATAGAAAATATAAACTTAATACTTAAATGGCACGTAAATTTAACACGAAATTGATAATTGTAATTCTATTAAGTCTGTTTTCTCCTTGAAGAAACATATTATTTATAAATATTAGTATATAAGTTACTAATAGTTAGGCTTTTCTTTTACATTCTCTCGCTCTGTCGATATCTATCTATCAATCCATCTATCTTTCTTTTCACTCTTTCTCATTCTGTTCCTTATTAATACTCTATAACAAGTTATATATTATAGATTTTCTAGTTTGTTCATACTATTTTCAAACAATATAAATATTCTGTACAGTGTATAATCCAATCAGTAGTATTCTTTTTTCTTGAAAAGATATTCTGACGAAAATGAATCCTATTGTTTAGATGTTTGTTATATAAAATAAATTGTTAGTATATTAAAAACTATATATTGTATTTGCTTTCTGAATTGAAAACAATAACAACTCCTTGATTATCGCAAAACGTTTGTTTTTAAATACTTATATACTGCGTATAAAGCACTTAAATCAGTTTTAAAATTGGGTTAATTAAAGGACAGTTTAATTTAAAAGAACAAATTTAAGAATTTTGTCCATAAAATTATAATTTTTTATGAATATAAAGAATAAACTCTGTTAAAGCTTTTTAATTTATATTATTCTGGTCTTTTGTTCACTCTTTATTATTTAGATATAAAAGAGTATGTGAATACACATAAATGACAAACTATACACCCCTTTTCGACCGCGCCCATATACCCTTTAAATGGGTGCGGCCGCATTCCTTAACTTTATTTCCAAGAACCTTTTCAAAATTCTTAAAATTTTAAAACTAAACATTTGAAAGAAAGAGAAAATACGGGCGAAAATAAATCTCATTTGTTCCTTATTTCTTTCTTCCTTTCTTTTTTTCTCTCTCTCTTTATTCTTTTCTCTTACTTGAAAAAAAAATATAAACAGACCTTTCTTTCAAATGCTTCAAGATCCTCGAAATCTTGTAGCGAGAAGCTAACTGGTGGAGGAGTGGATAGATTTGATAAACAAGCCCTCTCCTCATTCGTACTATTAAAAGTACTGGTTAAAAACATCCATTCATCCATAATAGTTCACTTAATTTTCTTTTTTATAAATTATTGCAAATAGAATCAAGGAAGATAAATAAAACTTAATGCTCAAAAAATGAACAGCGATAAAAATACTAGGAAGAGAAGTAATATTAGTAGTAGTAATAGTAGAGGATGAGAAGGTATAGTAGTTGTTTACGAGGAGAAGGCGAAGGAAGATGATGATAGAGGAGGAGAATTTTAATTAGAAAAAAAAGAGAAATTTTATAAACAGCTTATTTATCCATGGCAAACAATGACAAACTCAGAAGGCACGCGTTTCTATACGCGCATGATTTTGAGCACACGCTACGTTTGTCGCGCAGTAATCAAAGTGCGCCGTTTATAGAGTATGGGCGTGGCAGTTTTGTTTCATAACTGGTAAGCTGCACATAAAATAATTTATATACTAAGTATACATTATGCTCGGTATGCAGATTATACAGTATATATATATTGCATACTTTACGATATATCGCATTATGTTAAATTCTTAATCGTTATTAATTTAACTCAAACTGAAACAAAAACAAATTACAATCACTTATTTTCTTTTTAATTAATTAATTAGTTAATCACTTAACTTTGTATATAAAAAAATAACTATATAATAATACTCTATATACTCTATATTAAATGTTTTTCTTTTCTTAACTCTTATCCAATAAACAGAATTAAAAGAAACACCTCTACAAAACGACAAAAGAAAGATAATTATCCTTCTCCGTGTTTTTTTAAAAGCGTATTATTACGCTTCAAATAGTTTTCAGAACTTGTTAAAAAAAAATAAAAGTACGTAAATGTGTGTGAAGCGTAAAAAATTCGTTCTCTCTCTCTCTCGCTTTTTCTCTGTCCCTCCCTCTATCCCCCCTAATTTTTTTTTACATATTCAATTCTACTTAGTCTTTTTTTTTTACATCGTGTGTCAAACAAAGGATTATTTTATTAGCGAAACTAATCCAAACGTAGATCTATATGATATGAAATCCTGTAATTTATTCATTGTCTTAAGGATTAATTTTTATTTTTTACTTTTTATTTATAGTTATTGTAATTAGTTCATTTCGACCCTTTTTAACCTTTCTCGTAACTATGTAGAAAGGATGTAATACCTTATCGTATATTTTTATTATTATTATTATTATTATTATTATATAATTACTCATTTCAAGCATTATACTATAGATGGTGCTCTTAAATGCGCTATCAAGAAAAAGAGAGAAAGAGAGAGAGGGAGAGAGAGAGAGAGAGGGAGGAAAGGAGAGAAACAAAGAGACATCTAGTGACAAAACAAATAACCACCATAAAACTTAACTGATGTGTCCTCTTTTACTCATATTGCACATATACACACATATATATATATATATATATACTATTCTCTTTTTCCCTTATAATTGCCACTATAAACAAATTATCAATGTTCAATTATTGTTTTAGCTCTCTCGTACAATACTTTTATTGTATTATTCATTGTACATATGTAATTCTTGTATCCTACTTTCACACTAAAGCAAGAATATTTAATCCCATTTTACATCCCAAAACAGCAATAATTCGATCATTAAACGATTTTCCGATTTCGAATAAAATGCCTTATAAATAATGTAAAAAGAATATAGGCCAAGAGCACTTATATATATATATATATATTTATATATAAACAGTATATATACTACATCTTTACCAGTTTTCAAAAATTTTCCAAAATAATCTTTTTCATCTTTTTTTTTTTTTATGTATAAAGAACTTTAGAATTTTATTCAGGTTTTTTTTTCACTAAAGGTATAAAGTTTTCCTATGATAATTGAAAAAAAATAGTCTAATGTACTACAAAAATGATATTGGTCTAATGAAATTTTTACCCCTTATGTTTTTTCTCTTTTGATTTCAATACGGAAAAAAAAGAATAGTGTTGTTTAAGATGACCTAAATAAATGATGGACAAAATAACTTACAACAACACAAAAAGGCTGCGGTGGCAGTGGTGATGCTTCAATTTTCTTAGGTTTAGATTTTCTAGATCGTTGTTTTGCCCTTCTTGCAGCAGAATTTTCCATGGACGGAAGTAGATTAGCAGCAGATTTCTTTAATCTTCCGTTAATTCGTTCAGCAGATATGCCATCTACCGGTGGCGACCTATGTTTACAAATTTTTTTTTTAAACTAGTAAAAAAATATAAAGGCCTATAAGACTAAGGAAAATAGCGTCTATAGGCTTATTTTTTTAAAAAACATCGATCGACTAGAAACGACCATAAGACTGTAAGGAAAGTACTTGCCTTTCTGCAGAAAGATCTTCGATTACATAGGCTTCGTCTGAAAAATATTATTAGAATTATGTTTACTACTGTAAAATATTACTCAATGAATGAATTTTTAGATTGTTCTACCGCAAAAAAATGTATTGGCGACTGCAATATAAAAATCAATAAAAACTCTTACCGGGTTGACGACGGTAGAATGCTTCGCTCATTCCGCAACGTGGCTATAGGTAGGCGTTTAGGCCTACTTGTGGGCGTGTCTGATAGAAGCGTAGTTATTGACCGGGGTGCTGACTGTTTGTTGTCTTCCTTTTTTCCACCCTAAATGATCTTTACAATCTGTAAGGCATATTGGAAGCTTATTTAACACAGAAATAGAAGTTTTCTATTGCATTAGCAACAAGTATATGGAAAGAATTTGATTACATTAAAAAATCATCAACGTCATAAAATATTTAACTCTGCCCCCGTGTTTTCTAAATATTCACCAAATCCAATGACTTTCGGTAGATTCTAACTCCTTGCAGAAGCAAGAAAAACTAAATCAAATAGAAGAAGGAGGAGAAGGAGGTCTTTTACTGTATACTAAATTAAAAGGTAGATAGGTGGAAAAAGTAGAGGAAAGGGAAAGGTGGGGAAAAAAGAGTTGAAAGAGAAAAAGACATATAAATAGAAAGTAACAGAGAGAGAGAGAGGGAATAAAAAGAAGCAGGAGAAGAAGAAGGAGAAGAAGAAAAGAGAAAATAAGAAATAGACTAAAAAGAATATTTGCTTCTCCCTTTACTTCTATTTTCTTTCCCCCACTAAACCATTTAAAACCTGAGGCCTGCCCGATTTTTTCTTTACTTGAAAGAATGTTTTAACACAAAAGTATAAAAGAAAAGGGGAGATAAAAAACGTCCCAAACACATAGTCCATATATAAAAACCAAAGAGAGAATTTTATATTTAGATACGTTATGGTATTAACAAGTTTACGAAGCGGACAATTGATATTAGAATAAATTATCTCCTCCCAAAAATAAATTAGCTACGCCCCTAGACAATGGCCACACCCTACAAGAGGCCAGTTTTCAATATACAATGGTTCGTGGAAAAAAGTACTCAGTAAAGTGTTAAAATATTTTAAACCCCTCTACTGTTAAAGTTTCCTTAAACGCCATCTTTCTTTCTATAGACTGTCTATACCTAACCCGTTCCTTTGTAATCTCATAAGTACGTTAAAAATATATATATAGAGATATATTAGTACAATAATATTGTATACAATATATACAATATTTACGTTTTTATATTTACATAAATGTACTTTAAATGAGAAAAAACGTATAAATATGAATATATAAGTATTGTTTATTTAATTAGTATATTTACTGCTAAATATTTTCAGTCTCATTAACCGGAAACTAACCTGGCTAGATATTCTACTTGAATACTTTGTACAGAAATATATATACATATTTATAACTTATAATATAATTGTCTAACTTAACAATCCTAAGAATATTCTTATAAATATAATAATAAGCAAATAGTTAATTAATAATAATTATCAATTTAAAAACACAGAGAAATTAGTTAATTAGTAACATACTATGTATTTTCTAACGTATATAAAAAAAGAGGCAAGAAAGAATGAAAAGAATTTTTAATATCATATTTTTTTTTTAAAAAAAAGTCTTTTCTTCCAAGTTTTCTCTTTACTTTTTTTTTTACTACAATCTCGATGTCTCTCTGTTTTTGTCTCTCTCTCTCTCTCTCTCTCTCTCTTCTCTCATCTTTAAAATTTACTTTTAGTTTCCCCTTTACTATAGCTCTCTTTCACACATAAATAAGCAAATATATGTATTCATGTATACGGTATAATATATTATCATCTTTACTCTTTCTCCCGATTTTTCGATCTATTCACCTTTACCTGTTAATCAATTGTTCTGTAAATATATTTCAACTTCCTCTTCCTTAGCTCCTTATTCAATATAACCGGAAATGATCATTTATACTATTTGATTTGTATATTTGTTAGTTAAACGTCCATTTCTGTTTCAGTGTGGGTTTTAACTAAACCTTTCCTCTCATAAAAAGTCCAGAATGTATTATTGCAAGTATTATTGAGAGAGGAAAGAGTAAAGGAAAATGGAAGAGACACTGGCTCCATCTTTAGTCGGGAATAATTACATTTATTACACACTTTCCTCTTATTTATTAAATTTTGTCTACATCTAAAGTTTATGCGTCACAATGTACATCAAATTAAAATATAGTCTATCGAAAACCCTATACATTAAAAAGAATGTATCGATAATGAAATTAATTAATAATGCTCTGTCACCCTTTCTCTTCTGGCGTCAAGTCAAAAGAATCTGGAAACATCTCAAAAAATAGCAAAAAATAGAGCAAGTGTTAGAGGGAGAGAGAGAGAGAGAGATGAAGAGAGAAGGAGAATTTAGAAAAAGAGAGCAATATTAAGAGCAAGTGAGAATGGGAGAGAGGTAGTGGAAAAAAGCCTTTTAAATAGGTCAGTCATTCCCTTTTTCTATAATTATGTTGCTGTTTATAGAAGGTTGGAAAACACTTATAGAAAAGAGAAGGGAACGATCGATGCTTTGCAATCGTTTAAACCTCCTTCTACACACAATTAAAAAACGTTCTCCAGTCGATTTCCGACTAGTTTATGAAAAGAATTCAATAATTCATTTACGTTCTAAACAAAGACTATCGTCTATCTTAGTCCATAATGAATGAGGAATGTTAGATTGATCAGAGCCAAAAAGGCCATTTCGCCTATATTATATTAGTATTTACAATCTCTGCGGCTAAAAAATAGTATCAAGATAAGATTGATAAGTCGTTTAATATACGGAAATGGAATATTATAGGATTGTTCGAACATTGAACAACAGGTATGGCAAATATATATCTTGAAAAGTAAAGAATAAACATAAAATGTAACAATATTTTATGTCTAATTCTCTACTATCTTTACATATTTTATAACTTACCTTGCCCTGTTATTTGTCTGTTTATCCTTAGCTTTTTCAATATATATGTATATATATTCTATTAAGATGTAACAAGTACAAATTCCTTTCTTTTACTTACTTTATTTATTATTTTGTTAAGAATAATCTAAACGCTCCTTTTTTAATTACAATTAATATTCATTACCTATTTAGTCTTTCTCTATCTCTCTCTCTATCTCTCTCTTCGCTTTCTATCTATCTATTTATTTGTTAATCCTTATCCTTACACTTCTATATTAAGTATTTCCTGCTTTTCCTCTTTTACTGGTTACGCCTTTTAATAATTTTCTGAGCGATAAATAAAGATATAGGCTACTTTTTCTTTTTTAAACGTAATAGTAATATTTTAATAACTTCTTAAATGTAACTCGAGAAGGAAATTCATAACTTTGCCATTAAATTTTTAGTTTGAGTTATATGTATAACTAAACAACGAAGAAAATATTTCTATGCTATTCGATATCAGTAATGGCCTTAGTCGAGCTCTTTTCCTTTGCCCCTCACTACCCTTTCACCATTCCTTGTTCCTTCTCTCTCTCCCTCCCCCCCTTCTTTCTCTTCCCTCCACCCCCCATTAAGTATCGTAACATTTTCACTAGACATAATAAACTCTCCTCAGCAAGATTCGATCGGAATATAAAGATATGGAAAAGAGTTTATGTTTTAAACGAAAATCTACTTCAAATAGAGAAAAGATGAATTTGAAATATGCTCTAGAACAAATAAAAAACCCTTCTCTAAGTGCCGAAATAAAAGCAAAACCTATTGTAGAAGAACCTAAGATAAGGCATGTTCCATTGTCAGATGTTCGCCTACCATCAGCTCTAAGTATGTATACATTCTTTCTGTTCCTTACTTTATTTTTTTTCTTTCAATCTATAATTTTTGTTTATCTTATCAGTTGTTTTGTTAAGATAAGGCAAAATTTTTAAAGTATAGATTTTTCAATAAATCAATAAAGTAGAAAGAAAAGGCGAGGGAGGAGGAGGGGGAGGAAGAGTAGGCGGAAAAGACAAAAAAAGTGTTTTTTTTTACTGACATATTGGCAACTTTTATTATAGTTGTCTTTTTTTTGTTCTATTTTTTTCTCCCCCCCCAACAGCAATAGATCGGGAAAAGCAAGTGAATAACTTTTTATACAAACAACAAAGAGACCCTGAAAATGTCGATTTTAAAGAATTTTATAACAAGATGGAACATCTTAATAAGTCCGATGGCCTTTTTTGGTTAAGAAGTAGCTCGTCTAGAAGCAATAAAAGCGTTCCGCTCTTAGAACACGACTGCTCCAAGGTTAATTAGCTTTTGATCAAAATTAATTAACGCCTATATTTTCTTCGAATAACTATTTTTTATATTGAACTTCTTGTTTATCGACTTGTTTGTCAAATAAATAACGTTAAAAGATACGATACAAACTGATTTTATAGGGTTTTCTTTCACCTATTTACCAATTCCATTGATATAATATAGACATATATCGTATATTACTACATATACACCTATATACAGTATATATTAATATTTATGTTTATTCTATTAATAGCCAGCAGATGTCGCTATCGCCCAATGATATTCATTAAAATATTCTCAATTTTGTTTAGTCAATATTATCACTAACAAAAAGTTTGTATTCCAATTCTATACATATAATACAATTAACAATCCTAGTACAAACAGATTAATAACTGAACACTTAACAATTCTTTTTTTGCTCATATACAGTATACATATTATTATATATTTATATATATGTATATATATATATATATTGTATATATCACAGGCTTATTTTACACGTTCTTTATACATCATCTCTTTATAAAGTTTGTATAAAAGAGGAAAACATTGTCTCTTTCCTTTTTTTTTAAAAAAAAAACCAAAAATTAAATAGCAGTTGAGCAGCAAAAGAAGAAAAAAGTTCCAAAAAGAATCAACAACGTTTGTTTTTTATATGAAAATTTTGTTTGTTTAGCTTCCTTTTTTTTCATTTTAAACGTATTCCTCGTGAGTGCTGAGATCAAAGCTAATATTTGGCGAATAAACGCATTTTGTTGGTGATTTTCTCGGCGTTGATCGTGATGATATTGTTGACGCTCTTCTAGATGTTGTTGATGTATTACTTCGTTCACTTGGAGACGGTGTTGGCTGTCGTTTCCGATGGCGGTTACTACTAGCATTACTAGGCGTTCTTGATCTATGATTTGCCATAAGATCTTCTGGTAAACTTGCTAAATCACTAAATACGGCAACAAAATTTTCGAAATTAGTTCCCCAATTCAATAGATCCCAGTCAAGAGCCGATGGGGGTAATTTTGTTTGTTTACTGGCTGGATTCTCATTCGAGAAAAGAGTTGACCAAGATGAGGCTGAGTAATTTGTATTTTGAGGATAAATCGGCATAACTCCTTCACCACCACTCGTTACGTCACTTTCTATTTCTTCGTCTAACCTAGTCATAGGTCGTTTTGTTGTTATTTGAGATGAACGGAAGCCAACGTCGTCCACTTCTGAGCAGGTGAATGAGTCGCTAGACGCATTAGCTTCGTCTGAACTAGAGTCTATTGTGTTTACTGAAGGAGCTACAGCCGCTAAATCCGAATGTGTAAACTCGGTATTATTAATAGGGTTGTATCGTCTTTTTCGACTAGCTTCGGAGCTTATTGGGGTTACTGTTTTAGACCTTTCCCCAACAGATGTATTTAGTGCGCCCAGCGGCGTCGAACGTATTGAATCGGGCATTATATGGCGTTTAGCAGGCATTCCTAATGGACTTGTTCTACTGGACGGTCGACTTAGATTATTCAATGGAGGGCCTATTGGGCTCTCCCTTAATGGCATTGACAATGGAGTAGTACTGTAACGCTGCTGTTTCATTGGACCGTTTCTATAGCATTTGTAATGAGCTACAACGTCCATCTCTGATGGAGCAATACTGCTTGCAGCGTCCAAATCGTATCTCTCTGCGCTCTCTTCAGCTGGCGTGTACGCTCTATTCACCTGGCCATTTCGACCATATAATTCAGGTTCAACAATATCTGGCGGTCGAGCGGCCACCTCTCTTTCATTATATCTGCAGGAGGCTAATTGAGCTTCAATATGACGACTTATTACGGTATTCTCTGCTTCGAATCTATTATCAACTGTCGGTATTTCCCCATTGTGATCGGCATACCCTGAATCGTGTGTACTATGCCCACTATCATTAGCCTTCGGTGTTTGTCCATTAGCCTTCTTACTTGCTGGTCTTTTCTTCACTAGTCGGCGACGATAGATAAATACTATTAGCAGTACTGCTAGCAATAAGACGAAACAGACAACAATAACAATAACTGCAATAAGTGTTTTATCGTCGCTAGATGACGATGTCTCAACAACCGCTTCGCAATTCATATTCAGCGAGCTTATCTCTCCAATTGCCGTTACTTTAAAGCGTTCGTTCTCCCCTTCGAATGGTGTTTTTTCACCATCAATTAAGAATGATTCAATACAACCTCGAAAACCCTTTCTAGATTTATCATTTTCGGCGGCAGCTAGAAGAGTTGATACAGTATTCAAATCCAATAACTTTACAAGACTTGTCCTAGTATTAACTGTCTTCGATTCACTATCGACGCTTAGTTTAATGGAAATATCTATATTGAAAAAAGATAAAAAGTAGGTCATATTTATTGCTACCTTAGGGCATATTAAAAAAAGAAATTACAATACTAACCGTCAGTAAAGGATACTGTAACAGTATGCCATTCTCCATCAGTTACCTTCTTAGTTAAGGTAACGATAATAGTATTCGAATTTTCATAACGAACATTACCATTCACTATCCTCAAAGATGCCCATTTATTATCATCTTGTTTACTATATAGTAGATTACCGTCTTCGTTTGTTCTAAATTTAATTGCGACTGTACCATCGTTAGATGTAGCTCTCTTTTTTCTTGATAACAATTGGCTAGCAAATAATTTATCTCTGACATAGCTATCAGTTTGAACGTATTCCAAATAGGTATTTTTATCAAAGGTAATCGGTTTAGATTTTGCAGAGCATGTACTACCGCTAAAACCTTCGTTACAGTCGCATCTTATATCGTTCCAAACATCTTGACATTTTCCATTTTTGGAGCAGGAATCATCTTTACAGATAACGGTCTCTTTCCTTCCGCAAGTTGGTCGAATGTTTTTAGATGATTTTGGCGCCGTTTTAAACAAATCAACGTTGTCGACTATAATGCTACGTATGCAACCGCTAAAATCGTGAGTTTTCAAATGATTCTTGAAAGGTGATATAGATGTTAGAGTGCTTGTTCCTCCAATCCAAATTTTTCCAGTTTTTGAGCTTAAATTTTGAAAATTTCCATTCGATGTCTTTCTCGTGAAACAAGATTGATCTTCGTTTAAGCATTCTCTGCATTCTTTCTCATTTTTCATACATCTTGTCACTTGAAGTGTTCCCACCTTTTCAAAATCATTAATAAGAGTATTATTTAATTGAATCTACTTGAGAGAAAAGACTTACCTTAGCGTCTCTAACAGCTGTGATTAGGTACCAATTACCGTCATTAACCTTTTTATTGATCATTAATTTATTAACGCTACCATCACCCAAGGCAAAGGCAAATTGAACATGACCATCAATAATTTCGAGCGCCACAAATTCCAATAAATTTTCGTCGCTATTTCCTGGGTAGAAGAAAAGCAAACCATGCGAATATGTTGTAGCTAATTCGATAGAAATCGAATTTCCCTGCCCAGCCATAGTAAATGTATATTCCATAAATGAAAGTTTATCAAAACCCTTTGAAGCCCTTTCGCAATTACTACCGCCGTTACCATAAGGGCATGAACAGGTGGTTTTCCCTTGATCGTATTTACAAACGCCATTATTAAGGCAAGTTGAACTTGAACAAGCATTTGAACTACTTTCACAGTTCGATCCGGTGAATCCATCCGAACAAATACACTTATAAGATCCTTGTGAATTTAAACATTGACCGCCGTTCATGCAAGGATTCTTTGGTCGACACTCGTTAACATCTTGCTGGCACCTGTCACCGGTCCAGTTGGGCGGACATTCGCATCGAAAACCATTATTAGTTCTCACGTAACAAACGCCTCCGTTAGAACACTCGTTCGTCCCACATTCGTTTATAGGTGTCTCGCACCAGGTACCCGTAAAATCCTTCTGGCACGTACATTTGGTTACGTAATGAATAAACGGGCTAGTAAATTCCAAACGATCGCTGTGAATGGTCACCAATTTCCTTTTATTGACCTTCATTGTTGAAACGCATTCACCCGAATTCTTACATGGATTATCGTAACAAGGATCGGCGTTGGTTCGTTTAACAACGAGACCAACCCTATTTTCTAACAATCTCTTATTATTCCTCAATATGTTATTAAATTGAACAGATGATAGATAATTGCCGGAAGTAAGCTGGTAGGCGAGAGTTAGTTCCGTTCCTTCTTCGTTAGCATCCCTTGCACTTAGAATAATTAATTTTCCCGTTTTATCGACTATATCTTCAACTGCTCTGACAAAATTTACGTAGTTCCTACTAAAGAAATCATCAGCTGGTGTTGCTAATTGAATGATAAGTGATTTTTCTGCTGCGTCATTGCTAACCGATTTCCAATTGATGCTAAATGTAGATGTAACAGTACCATGTATACTATCGTTACCGTTAACTTTGATGTTTAAACTTTTAAAGTTTGTGGTTTTTGCAGAAACGAGTGAACAGTTTGAAAAAAGGGTTAAATCTGATGAATCGGATTTTAAAGATGAGCATTGGAAATTTCCCACTTTATCAATGTCTAGTGGTCGAACGTCTGCAATTATACCTCCATCGAATTCATTATCTAAGACATTGATAATAATGGTTGCCGAACGTTCTGTAGATGGATTGTCGTTTACATCATTGACCACAACTCTGAACGTTAATGTTGATGTTTGTGGTTGACCACTTCCGGAGTCTTGAACTTTCACTGTTGCATCGAAAGATTCCAATTCCTCTCTATTTAAATTGACCCTTGTCTCGACAACGCCTTTGTCTATGTTTAGCTTGTCCTTTTGATCTAATAGTTCATATATATACGGTCCTCTATTCGGATCCAAGTCTTTATCTTTAGTGAATAACTTTAAATCTATAACTACCTCTGAACCAGGTACAGAATTCTCCGTTACATAACCGATAGGATATTCAGGATCGAAATAAGGCGGTTCATCATTAGTATCTTCAACGGTTACAATCATGGTGGCGGAGCCTGTCATGGGTGGTACTCCTCTATCAATTGCTAGTACTCTTATGGAATAGCTTTCCGTTAGCTCTCGATTGAATGTGGCCCTAGATCTAATAGTTCCATCGTTTGAGTCGATTTGGAATAGGGATTCGCTGTCACCAATACCCAGTGAATACAAGAATGTTCTATCCAATAGCCTTATATCATTATCAGTTGCCGTTACCTTTCCAACGTAAGCTCCCGGTTGGACGTTCTCCATAATACGTCCTTGGAAGATTTTCTGAACGAATTTTGGATAATCGTTTGCGTCTCTTACAGATACTTGAACAGTACAATAGTCAACTAGTTTTTCATTTATAGGACCAGGATTTTTCGCTATTACTATTAATTTAATTGTAGCAGATGACTCTCTATCAACTGATGAAGATATCGTTATCTTTCCTGTGTTGTGATCTATTGTAAAACCTTTAGCATTACTATCGCCAACTAGATAGTAATTAATAAATCCGTGTAATCCTTTGTCGTTATCGGTCGCTTCTACAACTCCTAACTCGTGACCAGGTTTGGCAGATTCACTAACTATAAAGTTATATTCTTCATTTTTGAATTTTGGAGCATATTCATTATCTGAAAGTACTTCCAATTTAACTGTAGAAGTTGAACTCAAAGACGTTCCAGGATTAGTAGCTTTGAAGATAAGGGAATACGTTGTTTCTTTCTCATAATCAAGAGCCTTAATTGTTTTTACTTCCCCGTTTGTACGATTGACGTTAAACATCGTTAAGGCTTTACTGTCTCCAATTAAAAAGAAATCCGTTACGGAATTGGATTCACTGTCTAAATCCGTAAAGTTTAATCTATGGATAATTCGATTAGGTGATGTTAATTCAGAAACTTTAATTATCTGATTTGGATTAACTATTGGTGGATTATCGTTTACATCGTTAATGAAAACTGTTATAGTTCTTTTAGACTTTAAGGGAACAGGATCTGTATCTGTAGCAATAACGTTAAAAGTGTGTGAAGTATTCTTTTCGTAATCCAAGTCCGACAGTACAATTAAATTTCCGCTGCGGCTTATGGAGAAAAGCTCAGTTCCTTCCAATTCGAAAGTAACACTAGTTCCATCTGGATCAGTTGCACTCACCAAACCGAATGGGAAACCTCTTTGCTTGTCTTCATCAACTCTAAAACTACTCGATCCAGTGAATTTGGGAGCATTTTCATTGGGAGGGACAACTTCAATAGAAACGTCGCAAATAGATTTTAATACGGGATTGCCAGAATCGGAAGCTTCTATCTTTAGAACGAATATCTTATTGATCAAATCCTTTACTGATGACGCTAATGTTATCTCTCCATTTGACGGATTTAGATGGAATCTATCCGTATCGATATTTTCATTAACTTTCTTATAGACGATTGGAACATCTTGATCAGTAGCCGTTACTCTAAATATAACAGTACCAGTATTAGCGTCAATTTCAACAGCAGTTGAATAAGAAGACTTTTCAAATGTTGGTGGTCTTGTATTCTTTTTCTTGATTGAAATAATTAATTGAGCTTGACCGGAGAGTACAGGTTCCCCAAAATCAAAAGCGGAGACGATTAATTCATGATTATTTTCTTCTTCGACTAATTCATTTCTGACGATCTCATCTCTTGTAAAAACCTCTCCGGTTGTCTTATTTATCCAGAATATTTCAGTCGGAGTTTTAAAGGAGTAGCGTACTTTTGAATTTAAATTGCTAGTATCAGCATCAGTTGCCGATACTTTTCCAACAAATGTTCCAACTTTTGAATTTTCAATAACGTTAAATGAATAAAGATCATCTTTGAATTTTGGAGATTGATTATTTGTATCTTCAACTTTAATTTGATATGTTGTAGTTTGCTGATAGACTCCATCCTCAACCGAAATACGTATAAAATAGGATTGGTACTGAAGATAATCTAATGGTTTAACAACTGTTACAATACCAGTTATTTCGTCGATATCAAAAGTATTTGAGGGATTAGTGATCAACTGATAGCGTAATTGTTTATCTAAATCTGGATCTGAGGCGGTAATTCGTACAATTGATGAACCTATACCGACATTTTCAGATACAGTTGTACGGGAATTGTGGGTAAATCTTGGATAATTGTCGTTAACATCTTGAACATTTATTTCAACTGTACAACTTCCAGTTTCTTTGGGTTGTCCATTATCGGTAGCTACGATAACTAGGCGATAAAAGGATACTTTCTCCCGATCTAGCGCTCTATGAACGCTAAGAGAACCATCTTCCGAGTCGATACTAAATTTATTATCGACGTTTCCACTTTGAATCGAATAGGCGAGTTTAGCCTTTAATCCCGAATCTCTATCAGTTGCTGAAACGGTTAGAACTTCACCGACAAGTGTTTCGGTGAAGTTTCTCTTGTATAATAATTGATCAAACATGGGCGGAGTATTGAGAACATCTTGAATATTGATATTGAATACTCTCCAGTTTCTTCCCTCATTTTCATTAAATATTTCAATTAATAATTGATATTTTGATATTTGAACAGACTTTAAGGGACATTTTAAGGACAGTTCACCAGTATTTCGGTGCAAATAGAAGATATTTTGCAAATTGCCACCAATAATTCGGTAGAAAATACCTTTAGATTGAGTGGTTTTGATTGTATAAAATACTTTATCAATGTCCTCGTCTTCCCGTAAGCTAAACGATGTCTTTGTGTTAGGAGAAAAGTCCGGTACGGCGGTATTCGGTGTTCTTACAATTACTTTTACGATTAACTCAGTCGATCGCTTAACGGTTGCCTGCGTATGAATAGAAAAGAAATTATTACAATTCTTTTTTTTTTTTATAAAAAAAAAAATAAATAGCATTTAAAAAGAAATTATCTAGCTTTCTATTCTTTTCTATTTTTTTTAGCCTTCTCTAAAGTATATATAAATATTAAACTACTGAAATATCTCTTTATTATTTATAAAGTCATTCAATCGTTCGATTTCACGACTTTTGCTTAAATATATTAATAGAGGTTTGAAAAAGAAAATTTTTTATACCGCATCCTCTACAATGGCTTTGAATTGATATTCTCCAGTATCTATTTTCCTCTTTGCAGTAATTAAACCAGTTTTTGAATTACAATTAAATAAATTTGAATTATAATCTAATATTGAGAATTGTAATGTTCCATTTTCGTATAAATCTTCATCGTATGCTGATAGACTAGCCGCTGGTTTGTCTGTTTATTTACACACAAAAAAATATATATATAGTGCAAATAGTAAATAAATGTAATATATTAGTTTAGATGCTTTTGTTATATTTTTGATAAAAGAGAATAAAGGAGACAAGGAACTGAGCCGCCGAGGGAATTCTTTTCTTCATGATTCTTCATGAGATAACCTTGTCAAACTATTGGTGACATGACAAATAATGTTTACAATATTACAACAACTAAGGATGCGGGCTCTGGTAATAAATCAACGTCTACTAACTACTATTTATATAGAGAGAATAGTCTTTTCATCGCCCGATTTGGAGTAAAAGTTAAAAGAGAGATTGAAAAGCTAAATAGACAGAAAGAAGAGCGCAAGAGAATGAATGAAAGAAAGGTAGGAGGGGGAGGATGAGGAGGAAGGGGGGAGAGAAATATAGATTGAAAAATGGGCGGTGATAAGAGGTAGACAGAAAAGGACATGAGGTGGATCTATTTTGTTAAGTTATTTTAAGTATGCCGTTGTCGATCTATAACGCACCTGCATTCAATGGGGCATTCACGCGAAAAGTTTCACCCATCGAGAATTTTGGTGTATTGTCGTTGAAATCTCTCACACGAACCAATACAGTTGCCATGCTCATCCGGTAGATGTCGCCATTGTCTTTAGCTTTTACTATTAAATTATATTCAGCTTTCTCTTCTCGGTCAAGGCCTATACGAGTTGATATTTCTCCATTCACTTCGTTCATTTGAAATTCTCTTTGGTAGTTGCTAAGCGAATAACTGCAATAGACAAGGAATAACTATATATAGAATTCACTCTACTATATATCTATGAATATTCATGAATAAATACTACATTTTAATCTTTATAAATTAAAATTATTAACTTACGTAATCCTTCCATTTTTTCCGAAATCTTTATCGACAGCTTGAACAGTTATAAATGTTACACCAGGTGCATTTTCAATAACATCAGCTGTATAAGAATCGGTAATGAATATCGGATCATTATCATTAGCGTCCTCTACGTGAATTTCGACAATTCCAGTTCCAGTTAAAGTCGGTTTGCCAGGTGCTATTTAAAGAAGAAGAAAAGGAATGAATAAAAATCATCACGGCTCGTTAAGGAGTAGTTTGCATGCGAAAAGAGGGACTTTTCCCTACTTTTGCGATGGAGAAGAATATCTTAAACAGTACTCAAACTTGTCAATTAAAATTCAGGTAGAATAAGAAGAGGGCATAAATAACTCATAATGATTGAATCAGTAAGAAAGGGAGAATAATAATAACAAAATAGACAATTGAAATGAGAGAAAAAATCTTATTTTTTTTCCACCCTCTTTCTATAGGTGAAACGTGTGATAAGCAAAAAGAAAAAGCCTATATATATATATATATTTATATATAATCGAATGGGAAAGAAATAAAGGGACGGACAGAAACAAAACAAGAAACAAACAAACAAACAGAATGCAGTAATAATTCGAAAAAAGGGGAGAATATAAACTAATAAACAGATTGATTGATAGATTTGAAACATTGAAACACAGTTGTGTTTAGAAAAACTAGCAAAAGTAATATTAAATCGAAGGTTATTGGACGTGTATAATACGCCTTGTACAAACAACATTAACTCTCGAATTCCGCTGGTTGGTTTATGTGACTTCACTAAAAAACACTCGTAATAAACAAAGTGAAACGTATATTTATTTTTTATTAGTCACTAACTCACGAATACCTCGTCTTCGGTCCTGATAAAGGATTGTTCTCTTTACATTCATAATATTTATTTAAATAATTGTCCGACCTTTTGGCCTATAATCATTTGCTTTTCATCTGTTTGTCTGTTTGTCTGTGTACATATATTGACATTCTACCAAAAAAATACCGTTAATGGATTAATATAAAGATAATTTTTTTCGATGGGATAATCAAAACATAATCTGTTTTATCTCAAATAATCATTCAATGGTCTTCCCATTTATCTATTATAATATTTCGTAATAGACAAGATCGTTATATAAAGTGAAAAGGCCTTGTTAAATTGAAAAAGCTTGCTTGAACGTGACTGGTCAACTTGTCTCAAGCTATTTCTTTCCTTTCTTATTTTAACGTTATTGTTCACATGGCGAATTACGCAATCGATACAATATTCTCCACCCATTTTTCAGTTACCGCACCCCAGCCGTACTGCCACCGCCCCCATTACCCCCCATTCTTCAAAAACACAATAGACACACACACACACACACAGACACACATGCACAATTTTGTTAAGAGACTTGAGCACCATTTAAGAACTTAATTAATTAGTTTTTCTTACCTCCAGTTATTATTAAGACTTCAAGCTTATATTCATCCTTCTCTTCACTATCCAATTCCTTCTTTGTATAGATTAAACCCGTTTTCTCGTTAATTCCGAATAGAGTTAAATCTCCTTTCTGAAGGGCAAATTGTACCTGTTCCAACGGTTTACCGCTGGTATACGAAGCCAGTACTTGAACAACGTCGACAGAAGCAGAAGAAGGTCCTTCCAATACTTTTGCCCTTATGGGGGAATTCTTTATTGTTGGCATGTCTAAGAAAGAACTTGTCACTTTCACTGTTAACATAACAGTAGAGCTTTTTGATCTTTCCCCCATATCTTTAGCTACTACCCTTAAATTATAAAAATCAGCTCTTTCACTATCCAATCTATCTCTAACAGTTAATGAACCGGAATGACTATCTAGAAGGAAATCTGAAGCGTCATCTCCCTCAGTAATATAATAGCGAACTTGTCCATTTAATCCCGAATCTTCGTCATTAGCCTTCACGCTTATTATTGTTGTACCCGTATCGGCTGCTTCAGATATTTCAGCCGAATAAGAAGATTTAACGAAGAAAGGTGTATAGTTATTTTCATCCTTTACTCGTACGATTATTTTCGACTCGGATTTCAAATCTGGTTTATTGGCGTCCTCTATTCTTACCAATAATTCGTATTTATCTGCTTTCTTGTAATCTAATTTCCTTGTAGTTAGCAGGTTTCCCATCTTGGGATCAATTTTAAAATTTCCCCCACCATTATTCCTTAAGGAAAACCTTACGTGATGCGGTCCGATATCTCTATCCACAAAAGTAAGCTTATCAACTAAAGTATTAGATGGCATATTCTCTGAAACTCTAAGCTCTTTATCGATAGTTAACAATGGTGGTTCATCATTAATATCCTCAACTTTAATAATAACTTTTGCGGTAGACGTGTAAAATGGACTAGTTCTATCTGTTGCAGTAATAATGAGGCGAAACTCTGAAATAGTTTCCCTATCAATTTCATCAGCAATCTTTAATATTCCATTGTTATCGCCAATTTGAAAGCAGTTTTGTTCATTACCATCGGTAATAGAGTATTTTATAGCACCATTCTCTCCTATTGACGAAAAGAAAATAGTAAGTTAGATATTATTGTCAACAAAATTTTATAACAAGACCAGTATAATTGAAAGAAAGGAATTCGAAACGTTTTGTACACAAACGAACATTTTACAAGATTTTTTTTTTCATTCTTTCTTTCTTTCTATTATTAAAAATCGGCACGTTCTCTTCTCTTTTCCATTTTCTTGAATATTTCTCAGTGGGGCGTCAATGCTAACTAGTGACGTCACAGTTTGAAATAAGGACATCCAGCTGCTAAAGTTTTTTAGGCGCGAAAATTAAATAAAAGAACGTAACCGGTTGTTGTATATGCGTTATTCTGGCGTTTTGAATTATCATTGACACTCCTATTAACCTTATGACATCCACTTTGAGCGGAGACTTCAATATTCAATTGCAATTTAGGAAATTGGTGTTAATTAATATATTACCTTCATCTACATCAGTTGCCGTGATGTTGAGGACGAATTGACCGATTTGTGAACGCTCCTTGACAGTTGTTGAATAGGTTGATTGATTGAATGTGGGTTTATTATCGTTCGAGTCTAAAACGTTAATAAAGACTGATGCTGTTGACGATAGTACAACATTTCTTCCATTATCTCTCGCCTCAACAACTAATATATACAATTTCGTCTGAAAATGGGGGAACAGAGATTCAGGTTAATTAAACAGTTGGTGGTCGGTAGGATTAGCTTGATAATTACCTGTTCGTAGTCTAGATTACCGATTAAGCTAATTGATCCGGACTCGCCGTCCATCGAAAATTTGTCTCGAGCATAAGTAGTTATAAACGAATAGGTTATTTGTCCATTTACGCCCGAATCTCCATCGTCGGCTTTAACTTGCCCAATCCTTACAACTGGTTCAAAGTGTTCGGCAACGTCAAAGGAATAGATTTTCGACTTGAATGCAGGCGTTAAATCGTTTACATCCTCAACGCGAATTATTACGTCGGCCGAAGAGCTGAAACTTCCATCAGAGGCAGTAACCGTCAATTTATGCTCCTTCTTAGTTTCGAAATCTATAGATCTTTGTAATTTGATAACGCCTGAAAAGGAAACGTCTAATGAAAAGAGGGAAAACGATGAAAGCCTACATGAATAATTTAAAAGACACTCTACCTTCGCGTTCATCTATCTTGAATAGTTTCGAATCGGCATTATTTAGTAGATCGTAGGTAATAATAGACGATGTACTATCGGCGTCTTTCGCTTTCAAAGATGCCACTACGTAATCGATTTTAGCGTCTTCAGGAATTTCAACCGTGTAGGTGTATTGTTCAAATTTGGGAGCGTTATCATTTCTATCCAGAACGGTGACGCGTACCTGTTGGAGGTAAAAGCGTGATAAACGAGCAGGTGTTACGCGTCTATTTCCCAGTTAATTACATATTACATAGACAACTTGGTTCAATTAATTGCTAATAAACGTAATAAGATGAATAGGTCTTAAAGTAATTGAGGTAGTAAAAATTCGGTTATAAATCTACTCGTGAACTTCTCTCGAATAGACAGAAAAAAACCCTTCGGACAGTAGCGACTTCAATGACGTTCTAACAACGCCTTTAGGGTAAAAGTAGGGGAAAGTAGATTGTTAAGGGTACAAGAAAAGATATACTGAACAAAGAAGATACAACCAAAAAAAAAATTACGCATATGATAAATAAAGATTAATCGATTTATAAACGCCTTTTCTATATGGATAAGAACTCTTATCAAACTCTCGAATGGCTAAAGAATAATTAAAAGAAATGAATAGTTCTATGTTGCTTATATAATAAAATATATGCTTGCGTATGTATTCAAAATATTAAAGCCGTGTAGATAGGAATAAGTGATATAATAAACTTTGATCAAAAGGGTTTTTCGTCTCCAAAAAAGGGAAGTATTCAATGCGAACGGCGTTCTTAATCCCATCATACCATTGTTGTTGGGCTATTTGTCATTATTTGCATACTATTTTTCGCTACTAACCTTCAAAAGGTTGTCTTATTTTAAACTATTCTTTTACGCTTTTTACTATTTGACCATAATTGGTGTTTTGCTATAAATATTTATTAAAAATTCATTATTTGTAGTATTTATACATAGCTCAATATTATACGACTTCCGGAAATTGATGTGATTTGTTTATAGGTATACATAAAAGAGAATGGAGGCCATCTGTCATTCCCATAAGAGGGCCCTACTCCTATTAGCCCCTAGGGTTAAAATCGTTTTTCTATTAATATAAATAAAAGAGGAGTTAGGGAAAGACGGGGCAATGTTTAGTACTTATTCAATTCGAAACAGCGGCAGGTACATATCCTATTGTTCTGTAAGTATTGCTTTGATCTCTTTTTTAAACTAATTTAAAAGAAAAATATGATGAGAAATAATAACAATAGAAAAAAGTAATATCTAAGGTAAAGAGATGCCGATCGGCTTACTTTAATAACTAACAAACAAACATATCCGACCTTTAAAAACAACATTGGTGATTCTAAACTTGCATTGTAAATGTTAATTGGTTTTTTCATATTTTTTTTATTCACTAGAATTTCTATTCAACATCGGCACGTCTGTCAACTTTAAGCGCGTTTTCGAGAGTTTACTAAACTAATAAAAGTCCTTACAAAAAAGTCAGTGTTGTATCTAATCAATTTTTGAACCCTTATTAATATTTATTAACTTATTATTAGTATATATATATATATATATACTTTTGTTATTAAATTATCTATAATTCTTTATACTAAGTTTTTCTTCTCTTAAAGATATAAGAGAATAAAAATATACTCTATAAGTAGAACTATAGAATCTCTATTTAACTTAATTATTAACGCTAATACTCATACTATTCACACCTATCGCCTATTTTCAAAATCTTTTACGACTTTATTATTCTTTATTGTATGAAAGACTACTCAGAAACTGATGTAAAAAGATACTTTACAAAAAAGAAATTTCACCCAGTTTGTCGCCTATAAACGCCCGATTAAATTGTTATAAAAGGAATAACTAAAAATTCAAATAGCCGTCGACCACCCGTCGTTTTCCTACTACGTTTCACAATGTATAAGGGAAAGAAAGGGGGATTTTTTTTTATAGCTTTTTTATATAAATTTAAACCTTCACCCAATATATTTTAATAGTTCTTTTTTACGCGTGTCATGTCGATTATTACCCGTATATAGGGAAATACTATACATTAGGTAATGGCTCATTTATACCGTCCATCCTAAATAGTCTTTAATCTCTTTTTAGAAAAGTATTGTTCTCAATTGTAGGCCTAATAAATAATAATCTATATATATATATATATATATGATATATATATATTTAAAGACTTTTAAAAGATTAAAATTCTCTGAATAAAATCCTACACGCAACTATTCTACTAGAACCATTATTGAAACTTGCAACTAACCACCTCTCTCTTTTAATATTGCATACCTTACGTACTGGTAACAGTACGATAACACCTCCTCTATCTTACCACCCACCCGCCTCTCTCTGTCTTTCTCATTCGTTCATTCGTTTGTTTAATGCAATTATTTGGTATTAATCGATAAAAATTTGGCCAATTAACAATATATGAAGAAAAATGAGTTGAATAAGTATAAGATTTAGTAGAAGAACAAATAATAGTGGTTGTAGTAATGAGGGTAAAGAAATAAATTTTTTAAACTTTGTATAGGGCAGTGTGTTTTTATATTTTCGATAATAATCTAATCTAGTGCCTTCAATAGCAAGAATATCTCAGTTACATTGGAATCGAATTTATGACTTCTTTTTCAAAATATTTTGATTATTTAAACAGCTTGTGTCGTGAATGAGACAGGGCGGGAAGAGCCAGGAGAAGGGGAATGTAATTTTAATGCATAGGAGTAGTTTAGAATTAATTGTCTTTTTATACATATATAAATATATATTTAACAATAGCCGTCTAATTAACTTTCTCTATGCTACCGCCTATGTAAATATCCTTTAATTAGACAATTTGTTTGAATGGACTTATTACGTAAAGTAGGAAAAACAATTCATTCGTTAAAAGGTCTAATGTCAAAAAAAATTGAAAAAACACTCTACTTTTCCCTTAGTCAGATAGTGTAATTATCCGTATTGCGCAACGATTCAAATATTTAGATTGGATAAACCAGTAGTCGAAGCGGCTATTCGTTTCATGTATTGAAATTGCTTCCAATAACATATATAGGCTTAAAAAAAAGCCAAATCGCCTCATAAAACGATTATAATGTTTAGAGTGAGAAATTTCGTATCTAATTAGCGTTTGATGTGAGCTAAACGTACCGTCTATTTTTTTATTGCATAATTATCCCTATTCCCAACACGGGGAATGAACAAGATATCACAGATAACTTATTGTTGATTGCCTTTGTTGTTCAGTTCCGTTAAAGCCTATCCTTTACGCTGTATAGTTTAATTCTTAGACCCTGTTTTTTTTTGTTTTCCCCCCTTAACTTTCGCATATTTTATAAACACCCGATAGTTTATATATATATATCTACATATATATAAAGCGTAAAAAAATCTAGGGCTCATACAACAATAGCCAGTAATCCTCAATTATACAGAATGTGTGTTTTGTAAGCAGCCCCGTTTCGAACGCTACCCGCTGAGATCGCATCGACCTAAATTTTTGAACGCGGTTTTTTTTTTTTGTCCCTCTCCCCCCCCTCCCTCCTTCGTCTCTTCAACTCTCAGGTATATACGCTTATACTGATTTGAACACTTTTTTTTGGTTACGATTTACTACTTACTAACTGTTCAATATTCGATTGAACGAATACCTATATGGAAATATATGTACAAATATTCTTTTATTACAGTAGCCTATTATTTAAATGATTATTCTTGAATCATTTTCAATATAAATCGTATTTCTTTTTTTGTGTATAGTTCTAATTTTTACGCAGGTAAGAAAACAGTAGGAAACTGGTAAGAGTGCCTCTTTCTCTCTTGTCCATAATCTTACAATTTTACTCCCCCTTTTCCCATTCTTTCTCTCACTCTTTCCCTCTATAATACCTCTATTTTTCGTCTAACGCGCTCTTTATACTGTTGAAACGGTTAAAAAAAAGTTCTTTTTACCCCCTGGTAAGCTCCAACGACACTTATGACGTCACACTTATTATGTAACTTTCCGCAATTAGCGGCGCGTACGCGTGTTTATACAACGCCTGCGTTTTTATCCTACCTTCTTTTATCACCCCGGCTTTTCGATCTCCCCGGAGAAAGGATTTAAGACGAGTAAAAGTAATAATATAAACGATGATAAAAAGCCAACAGAAAGGAGCTGGTAGATGTTGTATATATACAAATTTCAAGGCGTTTTTTTTTCTTTTTTTAAAAACCGATCAATACTTTCCCCCCAATGTTATTGACGTTTCGTTACTCCTTTAACTGGAACATCTGTTCAAGCGTATTGGTCATATAGGACTACATACCCGAAGCGTTAGAACTAATCGATACCAGCGTAAATATAGCCAAACTACCGTGAGTACTAGAATATAAATAAAGAACGATAGGAATTGAACAAGAAAGAAAAAAAAAGAAAACGAAAAGGAAGAGGAGCTTAGTTTTCTTTCGTTCAAAGAGGATAGTGAGACGTTAAATAAAAAAAAGAGTAACACTTTCTTTATAAATCTTTTAAAAAGTAATAACGGTAATAATAATCAATGAAAGGTTGAATGAAAAGAGACACGGGACGAGGGTCCAGGGGTTTATCGAAAGAATCGTTATACTCTTTTATAAAGCCAGCCACTATGTCACATTCACTCGGCCGTGATAGGGTCTTTGTATTACAAAATACCTACGTATATTCATTCTAGTTCACCCTATGATCTTAGGCCTATTCGTGTTCAATTACTCCCACTCTTTTACTCTCTTTATAATATAAAATATAGGCTTACATATTTGGGCTTAAAAAAAAACAAAATACTGATAATGAATTGTTGTTACGTTTTCGAAAAAAGGTTACAGAATGAGAAAAAAAACACAACAGAAAGAAATAACTTGGGCGAGTAAGGTTATAACCGATTTCCTGTGTTTATTCAACACGTTTGGATCACAGGACCCGACGTTTAAGTTTGAACTGAGAATGCGCTAAAATATGTCAACATTAGCCGTCGTAAAAGGAATATATATATATATATATATATACTATATGAATAAAGAGAGAACTTTGACAAAGAACAAATTGAAAATTCACTTACTTTTGTCTTGCCAACTGATGCTTTACCAGATGAATATTTTACCCCAGCAACTTCGATTAATATACCATTCAATAGATTTGAATCCTCTCTATTTAATTCTTTAGTATTTCTTAATCTCCCATCATTTATAATGACATCGAATTGACCTACTCCTCTTTGATCATTCCCAAAGGCGAGGAATTCGTCTACTTCGGTTGTAGTCGTTAATTTAACTATATCCTTAGGCATCTCATTTTCATATAATTGTCCATAATAAACGGATTTAGAGAAAAATGATTCAGTCATCGAGTCAGCAACTATTACTTGAAAATCTTCTTCAACAGATTGACTAGAGCCTGGATTAAAGGCCCTTATCCTAACTGTTATTTTCAATGGTGCGTTGTTTAAGGAATTTAGCACGCTTAATGTTCCATCTGAACGATTTATCTCAAAATATTCGCTACCTTTCTTGAGTTCATATGCAATATCGGCGTTAAGATCTGGATCGATAGCAGTCGCCTTAAAGAATTTAATACCCACTGAATTTCTTCTATTCACAATAGCTGTTCGCCAACATCTAAATGCCGGTGGATTGTCATTTACATCTCCAACAAGGACTACAACGCTCTTTTCAATTCTATAATCTTTACCATCCTGACACTCTACAACAAGCTTATAACTTTCAATTTCCTCTCTATTCAAAATGGCCTTTGTCACAATTCTACCGGTATTTTCATCGATATTAAAATCGTTTCCAGGTGGTTCTTGACGAACCAATGAATATTTTAGATTTGATCCTACATCTTTATCAGTTGCTGTAGCATAAGCAACAAATTTACCAGCATCTTGACCTTCGTCGATTGTTTTAATAATTGATGATATTGGAAACTTTGGTTGATTATCGTTTTCGTTAATAATCGATATTTTACAGGCTACAAAACTGGTTTTTCTGGGATTTCCATTATCGTAGGCGGATATATTCAGCATGTAAAATGTTTTTAATTCGAAATCCAGATGTCTACTTAGATATAGACGTCCACTTTCCCTCTCTAAATCGAAAACATTGTCATCCATTCTTACAAGATCATATTTAACAAGACCATTCACGCCAATATCTTTATCAATGGCTCGAATTTGGCCTACAAAAGAGCCGACAGGTATATTCTCCTTCAAGGAAAATGAATAGGAATTTTTATCAAAGACTGGACGATGATCGTTGTAATCTAGTACACTTATTCTGATATTACAAGTAGAGTTTAACGGGTTAGTTCGTGATTGATCTTTAGCTATGATAGTTAAACTGTACTCATCTTTTTTCTCCCTATCCAATTGTTCGTTTAAGAATAGTCCTCCACTTTGAGCATCTATTCTAAACAGTTCCCTATCGCCGTATAAAATATCATATGCAACATTACCATTTTCATCAGCATCAGGATCTGTAGCAATTAATTTAAAAATCGATACATCGATTTCAGTTGATTCCAGTAAAGAAATTTTATAGAAATCCTTTTCAAATTTCGGTGGATTATCGTTCGTGTCGGTGACATAAATTTCTATAGTTGCAGACGAACTTTTTCTACTATCCAATGTAGCATGATCTTCGGCAACAACAACGATTGGGATATGAGTATTTATTGATTCCCGATCAAATACTTGTCTAGTCCATACGACGCCTTTAGTAGGATCAATACCGAAACGCGACTCATTCTTTTCCTCGAAACTGTAAGTTATCTCTGCATTACGTCCCTCGTCTGGGTCAGTAGCCTTAAGAACACCGATAAAACTATAGATTGGACTATTCTCTTGAACGGAAAACTTTATAGATTTAGGAAAAGCTGGAGCATTATCATTTTCGTCAATTAAATGAATCTTTACGACAGTTGTACTACTTCGATCAGGTTGACCATTATCGTTAACACGTACTATTAATTTATAATCTGCTTTTAATTCCCTATCTAACGCTTTCTTGACGTATAATTGTCCATCGGGGAATAAGCCGAATTGATTCTCATAGTTTCCGCTTTCAATTACGTAGTTTAATCGAGCATTAATACCCGAATCTTGATCGCTTGCTTTCATTTCTAATATAACACTATTCGGTTGGCTTTTCTCACTAATCGCCAAAACGTATTCCGCCTTTTCAAATTCAGGATTATTATCATTGGAATCGACAATTAACACCTTTACAGTTCCTTCTCTGGAATGCTTTCCATCTGATGCAGTAATTTTCACATTTAGTTCCTTGCCAGGTGTATAATTTAACAATTTCTTTACGTATAGTAATCCATCTGACGATATGCCTAATCTATCGGAACCTTGAAGACTATAGGTTATCTGAGAATTTACGGGTGTAATATCTTTATCAGTAACACCTAATTTATAGACATGATGACCAACAGCGGCGTCTTCTGACAGATTAACTACACTCTCTTGTTGATCAAAGGTTGGAGGGTTATCATTTAAGTCGTTCAAATCTACTCGAACTGTGACCTCTCCGTAACTGGTTCTTGTACTTGCAACAACGATTAGCGAAAAAGATTTCTGTTGATCGGCATTTAATCCTTTATTAGTTGATTTTAAATACCCATTTCGATCAATTTGAAATAAACCAGAATCGTCGCCATTAACAACTTGAAATTCTACTCCTATTATCGAATCGCGTAATAAGATTCGACCTATAGTTCTTATGGGAAAGTTTGAATTTCTATCGTAGTCTTCGTCAACGGTAAAAGAGAATGTTTCCCTCGTAAAAACTATCGGATCAATTTTCACATTAGAAACGTATACAAAAACTGTAGCTCTCCTTTCAGATTGTCTCCCACCGCCATCACGTGCATTTACATTTACTGCAATACGTCCAGATTGACAAATACCATTATTCGTCCATAAAACACCATTATCATCAATTCTAAAACGATTATCGATAGGTTGTATAGTAAATGCTATCGTACCGTTTGTTGAATTATCCTTATCGTTTGCGAATAGTCGTGTTACACGGGCTTTTGAATCGCAAAAGCGAAGAGTAACAAAATATTTTAAAGGATAAAATATTGGAGAGTGATCGTTTTCGTCACTTAATATTATTGTGATAGAAGAGGTCGACGACAGGGAAGGTTGACCCTGATCATATGCTACCACCTTTAAACGGTGAATAGCCACTTTTTCTCTATCCAAAGATTTCTTTAACGTTAAACGGCCATTCGATTTATCAAGATTGAACAAGTCGGTTGATTTACCAAACTTATACCTTACTAAACCACTCTTTCCGGAATCCCGATCTTCTGCTCGAAATTCGTAGATTAAACTTCCAACTCTTATGTTTTCCGATTTAGTAACAGTAATATTATTATTACTAAATATAGGGTATTCATCATTTACATCTAGCAGACGAACTTGTAAACTAACCGTTGTAGAAAATGGTTTGTTGCCTTTATCCCTCGCTTCAATAGTTAAATCTATAGTATTATCTTTTTCATAATCCATACGTGCAGCTGTAGTTATTAATCCAGTTTCAGGATCAATTTTGAACCATTTGTAATCATTTCCTGATAGTATTCTATAAGTTAACTCAGCATTTTTTCCACTATCACCATCAGTTGCTGTAGCGCTTACAACCGAACTTCCAATAGGTGAATTCTCTGTTAGAACTGCATTGTATGCAGTCTTTTCAAACACTGGCTTGTGATCGTTAATATCTATTATATGGAAGATAGCGTGAAAACGTGAAGACAATCTAGGAGTACCATTGTCGTGAGCATATAATGTTAGATTATATTTATCCTTCTTTTCTCTATCGAGAGTTGCATTAACCTTTATAAGGTAAGTGTCGAAGACTTTTTTTAGAGAGAACTGATTCTTCTCATTTCCTGATGAAATTTTCAACGACGTTTGTGCGTTGAGACCTTCATCGTTATCTGTAACTGTAACTATGGCAACTGTAGAACTAGCGTTAGCTGATTCTTCTATAATTCCAAAATCACCATTAGTAGGTAGATATGTAACTTTTATAGTCGGTATATTGTCGTTAACGTCAAGTAGTCTGACGGTTAGAAACGCTCTGTTAACGAATGGCGGATTACCGCCGTCTGTTGCTATTAGCGTGACAACGCAAGAACGTTCAAAACAATTACTATCAGTTGAAAATTGGCAACTTATCAAACACTGAAGCTTTTTCTTTGACCATATTTCACCAGTGTCCTTATCTATTCGAAACTGATCATGCTGATCGTCTTGAATAGAGTATGTGATTCTAGCATTCTCTCCTTCGTCTTGATCAGTTGCTCTGACAGTAGCCAGATAACTGTCCGGCGGAATTGTCTCGTTAACAGATACAACGATATCACTTTGATCGAAGATTGGTTCTTGATCATTGACATCCGTAACACGAACTATCACTTTTAAAAAACCGTATCTTGGTACATCTCCTCCATCTGCAACGGAAACGTTCAAAACGTATTCAGATTGTTCTTCCCTATTTAATTTTTGAGTATTTTCAACATATAACAAAGGTTTAGAGTCTGTCAATAGAGTTAACAGTCGGAAACGGTTTAATTCGTTACCGTTTACTATTTGATAGTTTGTTGTGACGCCATTTTTGCCCGAATCCCTATCGGTTGCTGTTGGCAATAGAATTTGGGTATATTGTCGATCGTCTTCCGAGAAGAAAACGGTTTGAGGAGATTGTAGAAAAACAGGCGAATTATCATTGATATCTTTTACATGAATCCTGAGTTCTATCAAGTGTTTCGGCGGTATGGACTGAACGAATAACTCGATATAGTCCTCATCCAAAGATTCCCTATCAATTATTTTGGACGTTCGAAGTTCGCCCGTTTTAGAGTTCAATTTTATATATTCGGATTCCTCGAAAAACCTATATTCTAATCCATCTATAATTGATATATTACCAACAAAAGTTCCAGAACGTTGCTCCTCTTCAACGCTGAATTCTTGCTTGTTGTCAACTGCAAATGCTGTTGTCTCCTCACTTCGAACAATGAGAATGTTTATAAGTGAAATAAATAAAAATAAAGTTCTTTTTGGCAGAGCCTTTCTCATTATTGGTTCTCGTTGGCAAGTAATGTCCATGTCGAACAAAGCCGGTGGAGAGCATCCGCGATTGAAGACGATTATTTAAACACTTCACCCTTGTTTGTTCATAGTCGTTATACAACAGCTCTTAACCCTTCTTCTTGTTCAGATATTACTGCGTTCAAATCGCCGATCGACGTTGTTATCCAGTGAGAAAAACGTTAAAAATATCGTAAATAAAATAGTCTAGGTTGACAGAGGAATATATCCAGGTGTATTAGGAATCGATCGTCTCTCGGCGAGATTTTTCTATACACTGTTCGCGCCACACCGCGACAGCTGGCGGCCATTTTTTAAGCACCGCCCAGGTAAATGTTGATTGGCCATCAAGGTGAGAAGAAACAACTTGTATAAGCCAGACGCCATCTATTGGTGAATAAATTGTAAAAAAAGGGAAGAGGGAAAGGTTAAAAAGAGTAGAGAATGGTAAAGATTTGAAAATGTAGACGCATAAATAAAGAGCAAGAAGGAAAGAAAGATAGAGAGAATGCATAGTTTTTGGGCTCTTACAGGGTTCAACGATTCCTTTTTTTTGTGGAACATTAACTGTCTTGTACCTGTCTAAATAAGATTTAGGGGAAGAAAGACGAAAAGTTATGACTACCTATATATCGAGAGCTTTTGAATTGTAGTTAAAAACATTAATTATAGATTCCTTTCACCTGTCCAATATAAGTGATGAGGAGTGTGAGACGAGTTGTAAAAAAGAAAGAGAGAAGGTTGGAGAGAGAAAAGGGACGGCTATTAGGCACGCCTGCTCTCTTAGGCTTAATTAGTTGAGCGGGCACATTCAAGTGTACCAATCCTCCTCTGACCGGCTCAGTTCTTTCTTTTCGATCGAATTCACTTGAATAGCAGACAGTGACGGTAAAATTGAGGGACGTTTGATCAGCGAAGCGTACAAGTAATCAACATATATTTAAATGTACTTTTTCCTTAAGATTTCCTTTCAATCTCTTAGAGAATATAAAGAAGAATCTACTAGAACGTCCGATAGAAGAAATTAGGCGGAATTAATAGAACGAAATGACAATTTGAACAAGGTGAGATACGGAAGTTGATTGTACAGGTAGCGATGTGTAAAAGGAAAATATACAAAGAATACTCTTTGTACGCTGCTTTTTTAATATATACAATACAGATACACGTACAAAAATGAACTGTGTTAATCCTCTTAATACCTTATACACTTTCTCACATAGAACACAATGTACTAAGGATACTAATAATTGTATTGATAAACGTATTAACAAATTGACTATAAACTTGACGCAATTTATTGAAAAGTAACTTGATGGGGGGGTATTGTCAAAATCTCGCTCATTCATAAATTATTCATGATATGTTCATTGTACATACTTCTTTTTACTTCTTTTCTACATTCAGAAATCCTGCATGCTTGAACGAATTACTTAATAATACCTTAGTGGCATCTGTCATGTACGGTAATAACTTTTAATCATTCCTTTACTGGCTTTATACGAAGGGCCCTTTTCAGGTTAATCTATGGATTAAGTTTTATTTATTTCAACCTTTTTTTATATTGATGTATGTTGTTAGAACTTCGATGACCACTTCACCTTTATGTGAAAACTGAATAATTAATTAAATGCAGCGTGCCGCTACTAGCGCTATGAAGATTATCATTATTCTTCCGATAAACTCCTCACACTTAGTGAATAAGTATTTCAGTTGACGCTTAACTTCATCTAATTCAATAAAAATGATGCGGGTTCTGCCCTTGTTTGTCCAATTAAAAACTACCTATTATTAATGATGTATTATGGTAATTTTGTATTTTATGTATGAATCGTTTGACCGGCTTTGACGTGGTATTTAACTAATTGCACATAAAAAAAGGATGCACGCGCCCGTATATGTCTGGTACGTGACATTTATTCACGGGATACAAACTCTCGTACCTTTTTTACCTAATGATAAATTACCATATACCGTAAAACCAGTCTAAATTCTTTCTTTGCTTGTTATCCAAAAAAGAATTTACTGAATTTACTGTTCATCATTTTATTGAATAAAGGATAATACCGTTTTAAGTGTTAGGTAGTTTCTTTTATTTCGTAAAGAAAAGGTGTTGTAGAAATTTACTAATTGTACAGATTCATTAAATGTTAGGTAATCTTTGTAAAAACTCAATGTATTCAAGTTAAATTAGGTCTTTTATCTATAACCAAACTGTATATAGAAGACAAATGAATGTGTTACGATTTAATGATATTCGATCTAGCATTCAATTTATATTTTACTTTCTCTCTCTCTTTTTTGAAACCAATTCATGTAACTCTCTCCCAAATCGAAATTGTGTGTATAGGCTAAAGTATCCTTTCGCTATTAACTTGTAGGGCGTCAGTAGCCAATGTCCATTGTTGCTTTTGACGCCTAAATTATTCTACTACAATACGTTTTCGTGTGCTTTTCAATACTTATCCTTTTAAGGAAAAACTCAGTGTATACGAATATATACATTTTTCCTTTGTATATACATATTCAAGGTCATGTATTGGTCATTTAGTTGTCACCCTTAACGTGTTTACTTCGTCAATAAGATAGCGATCGAATGAAAGCAAACAAGCCAAATAAAAAAATAGAATGGGAAAATCCCTATCTTTTAATTAATTGGAGAGGCGAGAGATGGAAAGAGAAGAACTTTCAAAGTTACGTCCGTTAAGGATATAACGTCGGGAGTCACGTAGTATAAGCCGGACAAGGCCACTTCTTGTTCAAAAATTGACACTTTCTTATACGCAATAAGTATTACTCGTCTCGACTTTACAACAAAATCTCCTGCAGTGTATTGAATATCCCCAATTAATTCAAATAGCTTAACGATTTCACCCTATTAGCCATCTAGGCCTAAAGAATTAAATACTCTTGAACGATTCTTTATAGTTTACATTGGATAGAATTGCTAGTACGTGTATGAATGTTTGTATGTGTATGTGAATGTGGTGTTTTTTTTTGTACTTTGTCTATTTTATCCCTTTTTTTTATACACAAGTCTATTATTATATTATTGCCATTTTGTTACGTAGTTCATTTTTTATACGAAAGAACATTAGCGATCTTTTACTATGAAAAGTATAAAGATATAATAATTTATTAACTAATTTTACGTTGAAAATTGTTAATATTTGAAAAAGTGCGATAAATCATCCATTTAATAGACGTATTGACACCTTGATCATTATTGATTATATAAAAAAACGAAGGGAAAAAATAACCATACCTTCTTTAACCAACAAAGGTATCAGAGTGAACTTCTAGGATATATTCCCTAGCAGACAATCTATTATTAATAGGTAACTTAATTATAATTACAATATCTTTATATTATGAGTAGTAGTTTTTGTGTATATGGTTTTTTTATAGTCCTATTAATGAATTAAGTATTTCATGTTCTCTTTTGTTCCCTTTTCTCTCTCATGGAATAAGTTTGTAAAAGAAATTGAAAGGTAAATAGTTGATGTATTAATAATTGGAATATATCTAGGGGAGTTGGTGAGAAATAGAAAGAGGGTAAAAGGTAGAAAAGGAGGACAAGGTGAAATACTTAGATGATTGTATAGTCTCTCTTTATTCTGTGTATAAATTTATTAATAATCCTAAAAACATAAAGCAATAAGTAAAGTTAATCTCACGTTAAACTGTTTGTTGACAGGTGAGTGACTAAAATTGCAACGTTATTTCATACTTGAGTCTAACCCTACTATATCTAAAGCACCGTCGGCGTCACTTTCACTATGGTCGATAGTTTTGAACATATATTGAGGCGACTCTCCATCTGTATTTGTTAGATTCGTATCTTCCGATGATAATTTTTTTGATAGACATTCGTTCATATGCTCTCTTAATTGTGTAGCTCCAGTTTTCATTTCTGCAAATGCTTTCTCCAATACATTTGGAAATCCTGTTGTTCCTTTTAACAGTTCTTGATCAATTGCTAAACGTATTCTTTTTGCAAATTGTTCCAAATACATTGTTAGAACATCTGTTAAAACGCTAAGACTGTTTTCAGTAGCTGTCATAAAGTTTACATGCAGTAAAATGATAGATAGAGATCGGCGTATTAACAATCGGCATTGATCCGACTTTAGGTGAATTATTTTTGTATCTTCCTCAGAGTCTGATAGCTTTGATAAGTCCAATGGAGAAGGTGATCTAATTAGTACACCGTGTAGAGATTCCATTAAGGTGTCACTGAAATTGCGCACAGATTAATCATCATTTATAATATATAATATAGACAAAGATTTCTACATTCATCTAAATATAATATTTACCGTGGTATGTTATAAGTCCTATTAAGAAACGACTCGTGATGCGATTCCTCGAAAGCTGCATTTTCATACTTAAGTGTTAACTTATCAACATTTTTAGGTTTCAATAACTCTTGGTCAACTTCGGGTAGTTGATTAGTTGTTTTTCCTTCTCCCCACAATGTATTCTCCATTGTTGATTTATACTTTAAATAATTGCTAATATTTACCGCAAATCTTTTAACCTTCACCTTTATATTACTCACTAGAGGTCGTTAAAAAGAATATTTTACTTTCGTAAATCAGAATCTAAGCCTATTCAATTTTATTAATAAATAAAAACTAGAATGAAGAGGCCTAATCATATTTAAATATCAATTCCATGTAATATATTCTTAAGGGTGATTTGTTTTTTATTTATTTATTCCTCTGTAGCTTGAAATGAAGTTTGAATGTCTGCCGTATTGTCTCTCTACTTGTCTGTCTATTCATGTGTCTACGGCATATTTTAGAATAAACTGATTGATTTTAATTGTTAGAGTGCCAAGATAATTTAAATAGGTACAGCAATCTTTATATCTATCCTTACTCTATATTATTTAACCAACTCTCTCTAAGGGATAAGTTTCAACAATAGACCAATTATCTGATAACCCTTTTCCTATTTTTCTCTCTCTCTTACTTATTAAAAAGTCGTTTTTATATAGATATCGATTTAAATGAGTCGGTTCAAACCTTTTACTATATTTTGTCAACATATTTATCTTCTACCTCTTTCTCTCTATCTCTGTCTTTGTTCAGTTAGCCATTTCAGAATCATTAACTTTTTCCACTTTATTAATCAATTATAAACTCATTAAAATATTAAGTTCTTTTATTTTCCCTATATCTGTAATTTATCTTCTTCTCTTTCTATTACTTTTAATATCATCCTATTGTTTATTGTTATAAAACTTTTATTATTTAAATAGCCTTTATGCTGATTCAATATGCATCATTTTTTTCCCTCTTTCCATGATTGATATGTGTCTCATAGCTATCCCCTCTCTCATTTTTTGTAAATCAATATACATGAAATCTAAACAAGTATTTTCGTTTTTCGTTGCGTGACTTACCTCCATTTTTTTAATACCAATATCTCCAATAGAAAGTTCAAAAATATGTTTTCCATCAACTTTTAAACAAACCTATATATTATGTAACTTAATTGATATGTATCGTAATTAATATTCATACAATTACATAATACTATAATTAAACAATAAAACTTACTTTCTAATTTATCATTAATCATACTAATTTATAGTTTTTGTTCTTTTTATTACCAAGGCACAAGTACTATAAACAAGAAAACAACGATCAAGGGCTAAACTTTTAAAATTGGGTTCATTAACTAAGAATATAAACCTTTTAAAATGATCAATAAAAGTATTACGTTTTGAAAACAATGAGGAAATAGTTAAAAGGAATACAGAATAGTAATATAGAAATAGAAAGAATCTATAATCTACTAATATCTATAGTTTGATTTATAAGTATAGTACTTAAAAACTTTCTATTTACCCTTCTGATTCATCTAGCAGTTTCCAAACTTGCAACTTATTCTATAGCAAATAGAGATACCTCTGATCATAGATACTTGCTCAACTTTTTAATGTAACCTCTTCTCTAAATACGTTTTTGTAATGTAATAAGAACCTGCAACGTTAATGTATTTTGTAACATTTATAGGTTTCTTTAAGCACTTTAAGTGGATATCGACAAATTCTATTGCAATTAGTAATTACTTCTGTAGAAATATTTACCCACTGATGGATATAGGAAAACGTAAAGTAGGTATCGGCTGACCTATATATCCATTTAATTTAAAGAAAAAATAACGAACTCAAGGAAATAATAGAAAGAATTTAAACTATTTCATAGTTGATGACCCGTGTTTATATATTTTATTTAGTGATAAAGATATGAAAGAACTTTAATGGATAAATATTTTTTCTATTTCTAATTATAATTTCGTTTGATTGATGGCATAAACTAATACGAAAATAAGGTTTTTTTTAATGAATCTTTTCTTTATTTCTCTTTGTCCACTTCATAGCAATACCAGGGTTTAATACTGTTATAGAAATGGTCATTTAGTTATTTCATCTCCTTTTGCTTCGCTAACCATTTGTCATGATTCTTTTTTTGGGTTGTATACTTCTTTTTGAGACCTTTCACGCAACTTTTACTTAGTGGTTCGCCGTTACTATCATGAGTAGGTACACCTTCTTCATCAAATTGGGAGTAACTTGTATCGTTTTTGAACATTTCAGAGGGTGGTATACTATCCTGTTTGTCTTTTTTCTCAGCCTCTAGCCTTTGCTTTTCTAATCTTTCCTCTTTTTCCCTCTTTTTCTTCTCTTCCAATTCTTCCTTCTCTTTCATTTCCCTCATCAATATTTCTTTATCAACTAGCTTAATGACGGTTGGTTCACCTTCATGGTCCTCTAGCCTTACTCCCAAGCACGGAAGAACTTTATCTCGAATTGAATCGCATGCTTTAAGTAGATCTGCTACACCGTTCTTCCTTCCAGTGTCTCTAACGGTTTCTCTGAATTGTGCGAATGCTTCTAAGTAAGGAAACAAGGTATCTTCAAGATTCTCAACATTACTTCCAGATGCAGACCCAAATCCCAAAGGTCTGTCCGATTCGGTAACCCCGAATACTTCCAAAATATGCGTAATAAACCTCATTATATTCTCTAACAATTGCCTATTAAGATTTGGTTTCCTATTGTCAACATATTTGTTTGTTTCGGCAATTAGGTCGCTTATTGCCGACATAGAAGCTTTTGTGTCTATAGAATTGCATATAGCTTCGCGAACTTTTACTTTTGTTGAAGTCAAAAAGTCGTTCAAATTCTTTTCTTCATTATGCCATTTTTTAAATGACTCTACACCTTCAGCAGGTAATTGTCTTAGCTGATGCTTAATGTTCAAAAAGAATTCATTTAATTTCTTTTCATAAATGAGTGCCATCTTTAGAGTATCAGTAGAATAATTTAAGGTGTCACTCCAGGAATGGAGGAGGAAGAGGAGACGAATTTGCCTGGCTGAGTCATTTCTAAGGGCTTCATTGATGGTTATGAAATTTTTCAGAGATTTCGCCATCTTACATCCTTCAATGTGTAAATGGCCAGAATGAAGGAAGTATCTAACCCAATGATCATTTTCGTAATAAGCTTCGGACTGAGCTAACTCATTGTCATGGTGAGGAAATTTTAAATCTACACCCCCACTATGTATATCCATAGATTCTCCTAGAATATCAGAAGCCATAACTGAGCACTCAACATGCCAACCAGGTCTACCGTTGCCCCAAGATGAAGGCCAAAATGGTTCGCCTTTTTTGGAAGCTTTCCATAAAGCAAAATCGTTTGGACTTCTCTTTTCTTTAAGACGTTCTGCAGATATGCTCAGATCCCCTTCACCCTCTTTCAAAGCTTTTTGATCGCCGTAAGCTTCAGGTACTAGTTTTGCATATGTATGATTGGGACTTGAGGCGAACTTACCAGTGTCAAAATAAACAGATCCATTAGATTCATAGGCATAACCATTATCAATAATCCGTTGTACAAAAGCAATAACTTCTGGAACATATTCTGAAACTCTGGTGATTGTATCAGCAGGCATAACATTCAGATTTTTCATATCTCTATAGAATTCATTTTCGAATTTAGTTGATAAGCGCCCAAATATTGATTCGCTATAAGGACAATCACGACATATTTCATCATCCAACATTTTACGAAGTTTCTTTGTAGTTTCATTGCTAGTTTCTTCGTTGTCACTCAGAACTTCTTCATCTAAAACCTCCATTAGAATGTCGGCTCCTAAAGCGAAGATATCACGAACAGATTCCTTTTGAAGAAGAGGTGCCGTTTTCTCATGGAGAGATGTTAACATTTTATATTTAGCTTGTACATTGGCATTGTTTTCTAATATTTTCTTTATAGTTCTTTTGAGATCGGAAACTTTATTAGCGAGTTTTAACTCTTCTTCTCCTGTAGCTGACATCTTCTTCGTTTGTTCCATTTCCGATTCTTTTTCAATTAAACTCTCTGTACCCTCCTTTATTTCCGCTTCTTTCTCAGATATTTTCTCCTTGATATGTTTTAAACCAATATTTAAATATTCACGTACAACTTCGAGACTTGGATTTTCATTCTGGAATGCCTGAAGGAGATACGTCTGCCTTCCTCTTTTAATGATTTTATCATCAATATCAGTAATATTCATACAATAATTAACGTCATAGTTAAAGTAAGATTTCATCACTCGACGAATAATATCAAATGTTATATAACATCTCGCATGTCCCATATGAGCCGAGTCATATACGGTCGGACCACAGCCGTACCATGAAACAACCATCCCATTTTGCGCAACAAAATCAACAACAGCTCTTGCTAAACCATTATATAGCTTCAAACCTGTTTTACAGTCACCTTCAGGACCTTTCCACTGTGGTCTTGACTTCTTTTCAGTCGAATTTTCTCTCGGTTCCATTACTTTACCACTTCCAAAAAATAAATACCACGTGGCGCCAACGTCAGATAGCAGAAGAAGTAACGATAAAAGAGATATTGTACAATATTTGTATTGGGGATAAATTTGCCTTTATGTCTTTGCAAACAGCGCGTCCTATAAATATATAAATTTTTCTGACATGTTCTTGCGTCAGAATACAGTGATTAGCGTATTTTTACAAGTGAACTATGAGGCAGAGTGAAAATATACTAAATATTCTGAAAATATTTATGTATGTTCCTGTGCAATACGGTATTTAGTATGACCAAACAGAATTTGCTACCAAATTCGGATTTGAAAAATGTTGAATTTTCTATTAAACTATTTCATAAAACATATGTAGTAATTCTCTGTGATAAGCTAATTTAGATTTGATAATTAATTTACTTAGAGTTAGTGGGTGTTAAAATTCTGATTATATTCAATTTGTATTTGACGGTTAATTTGTGTAGAAGGTAACAACAATCAAAAATCCGAAACTTTTGTTGTTTAGATTTTCTCCCCCATCTATTTCGATATATAAAAATAAATTTAGAAAGAAATATGCCAAGAAGAAGAGGTCACCGCAGGGGTGGCCGAAGTGGGTCATCTGGAAGTAAGTAGCAAGCTTATATATTTTCCCTATTTTCGACGCATACTTTTATTTCGTTTACTCTGTTGTGTTAAGTTTTCAAATTTTTTCAGCACGAGGTCGAGGTAGGGGCGGAAATATAGAAACTATAGGGATTGATATATCTGATGAAGAAGATGGGTACGGTCAAATGCCACAAGGATATAATGCAGAAAATTTAGTAATAAAATTATTTCCTTTTCCAATACAAAACTGCTAAGCTTTTATTAACAAACTAATGACAATGTATTTTAGGTTCAAACATCGAGAAGACGTAGAGGCACAGAAAGCCAAATCACATCAAAACTTGAGTCTAGCTTGTTAGTTCCTTTGCCAAGTTTATTGCCCAAAGCACCAACACCAACATCAGATAGAGATCAGAAAAGAAAGAGGATAATTTCGGGTAGATCATGCAAGCGAGGTCGTCTACAGGAAGATGACGTTATTTGTGTACTTTCGGACGATTCTGATCAGGAAGTATCTGTGGAAAAAATAATTAATAAACCTCTAAATAGAACAAAAGATGTCTCAGCTAGTGATCAAATAATATCAATTCCTCCTGAAGCAGCTGCTGCAAATTTCAAAGGTGAAGTTTTAGAAATCAAAGGCTTGTAGTCTTTGAAAAGGGTATTAAAAATGTTGATTTTACAGCAGTCTCTGTTCAAAATAAAGAGGAAATCGGGGAACAGACAGAAGAGGAGGAGAAAATAGAAGTAAATGAGAAGAAACCGGAAAAGCTTTCAGAATTAAGTTTTCAGTTTGCAGATGATGACTTTTCGAAATTTGAAGACGACGATGATATTGAATTTGAAAATATTTTTATGAAATCATATGACAATAACGAAGAAAGAGAGAGCGATGAAAAGAGCATGGAAGAGAAAGAGTCTACAAAACCTAAACGAGTATTTCTTATGCCAGACACTTCGTCATCAGGTGATCTTTTTTTAGCAAAAAATTAAATATAGACTGTACAATATGTTTTCAATTAGATGAAGATGCCACTGAACACAAGGACGCGATAAATTGTGCCAATGATTTTAAGGAAAGAGAGAAACTAGAACAAGAAGTCGATGCCGAGTAATTTAACTCTTTTTTTTTTTTTCCCCCAATTGAAACACTACTTTGTAAATTTATAACAGACTCGACGAAGAATTAAATAAAATTACACAAACTACTAGAAAGAATCAGAAGCGATTTCTTCGAAAAAAAGATGAAAATCTCATTAAGTCTGTTTATAGTAACTATTTATCCGACAATTTAATACTATTAAACTATTCCAGGAAAATTGAAAGACAGGCTTTGCAATATAATCTTGTTGATCAGCTGACAGGCTTACCTACTGTATTTAGTTCAATATCAAACCAAGAAGTATTGGAAATAGTCGAAAATACGAAATACGATGAATCAAAAGTAGTTGTCTTTACTGTAGTATACTCAAATCAGAAGAAGTTTATGAAGTTGCATATTGTAAATATCTATTGAAGATCATTGTTTTTTTTACTAATGTTCTACAGTCACCTATGTAATTTATATTTAATTATTCTCTGCTTTTCAGGACCAGCCGTTTGCAGCGTTGGTTCGGCAACTCTCTGTATTGCTTAAAATCCCCACTGTTCAAATGATTCTTTATCATAATGCTGAACGAATAGACAATAACGAGACTACTCCCCTGTCAGCTGGTTTAACCGGTGGTGGAATATTAGGTTAATTATCTAATGACACCTTTTGTATGATCCATTTCAGCATTCCTGTTGAATATTGCAGATCTCGACATTTCTAATACATTTTCGGATGAGGATTACATTCGCTTAAAGTTTAGACATAAATCGAAGACGAGTAATCATAGTGTTGACATTGGTTATAAAGTACCTTATGTAAGTTAATTAATAAATTGGCTAATGTAATGTGTTTAAGAAGAAATTAATATTCAATTTATACCCAAATAGGAAAGTAAATTGGAAAAAGTGATGAAAGAATTTGCTACAGCTCTAGAAGCGGATATTACTCATTTATCTTTTCGTTTCGATGGCGATGTTATAAAAAGTACATGTACCCCTAGTGAACTTGATCTAGACGATGACGATGTTATAGATGTCATAAAATCAAATAGCTAATATAAAATAACTATTAAATGTATAAAATTCTATAACTATTTTTCAACTGTCTTTATTCCACAGTACAATACTTGAAAATAATGTAAAATTGTTGAAAATTAATGTTATTAATTATTACTTTTATTGTTAAAGTCAGAAATAGACTTGTAAATTCCATCATCAAAATTCGTTTGAGGATTACAGCCAATAACTTCGATGGTAGTTGAACAATCTAATTGACAATCGACAGGTCTTTTAGCTACACTATCTGCTTTTGTCATTGCTTGAACATGATCTACACTTGTTTTAAAAACTTTACCGATTCTCAACGACATTTCGTATTTAGTAAATTTTTCATTACCACTCCACTGGAATATTCCCTTAACTTTCTTAGAATCTTCTAGCTTTTCAATGCAGAGTAGTTCAAGTACTTTTGCAATATCGGCGGTATTAGTTGGAAATTTTTGCTCAATGTGAGACATGAGACAATTCTTTGTATTGTCAGCAACTTTTTCATAAAGTATTGTTACAGCGCTTTCATCAAGAGATGCTATTTCACCGTATAAAACTGGAACACGAAGAACAACATTATTATGATCTATTTCCAACGTAACCTTTTCTCCTTCCAGTTTACTTATGCCATACTTATTTAGAGGATTAGTTGCGTCTGACGGCTTATATGGAGGTTTAGTACCATCAAACACGTAATCTGTACTAATATAAATAACAAAAGCACCCAATGTTTTAGCAATGTCACAGATGGTAGCCGTAGCTTCTATATTCATCTGACGCGTAACTTCTTCCTCATTTTCACAAATATCAGGACGTCTTTGAGCAGCACAATGAATTATTATATGCGGCTATAGTTAATTTACAAAATAATAGTTATAAATACTTCAATCTTGTTTAAATTACCTCAAAATCATTAATAACTTTAGTCGTCGCTTGCTTATCGGTTAAATCCACTTTTTTCAATTCATTCCCAGCCCTAGAGAATCCTAAGCCAAGAGTTTCCCATTTACTATCCGACTTAAATTTTTCTAAAACTGCTCTACCCAATAAACCGGTTGCTCCAGTAATTATTACCTTTCTAACCATTTTTAATAGTGTTTTTATATTTCTGCACGGATTAATAGGTTTCAAACGAAATTTTTTATCACAATATACGCCATCTGGTTTTATATTTAAATGATTTTTCAACAGATAGAGAGCTAATAGTAAACAATTTGACAATTTACTGTTCACAACATCAATCAATTTGATGGGAGAAGAAAGGAAACTAGGGGAGTAGAACATCTACTTAATCCTACTTATCTGATTAAAAATAATAAAAAAAGACTTAAATACATATGTTAGAATTTATATTTAAATAAATCAAGGAAAAGTCTTAGGTTTCATTTGCAAAAATAGACAAATCAAACTATATACAAAGTGTATATTTATATATATATATATGAGATATAAACCAGTCTTCCTTTGAAGCTACTCTTTTTTTTATCATGTTATTCTCTCTCCTTTTCTATGCTTTCGTAATAATATCGTAAGTTATCTCTTCTTCTTGTTTTTCTTCTCTTTTTAAGTAAAATTCATAAAATACAGCAAAAATAATAGCCATTATTGTTAGAATACAACCAGCAGTAACGTAACTAAAAGTATAAGTGCCTAACGAATCTCTTAATATTCCACCAACTGATGGACCAATTAGACCTCCTATACCTTGAAATAATCTATTTAAACCTAAAGCTGAACTAAGAGTTTTTGAATGACTCCCACATAAATCTGTTAAAACGGTATGTTGTTGTGTATGATATATACCGCTAGATATAGTATAGCTAATCCAAAATGTATAGAAGGTTATTTTCCGATAAAATGTACTTAAAACAATCATAGATATAGGTAGACAGGCTGTCGATAATCCAGTCCATGCTCCTATTAAAACATAGACAGATATCCTCCTTCCTCGTACTCTTTTCAAATCGAAAATAAAACCAGATAACAAACGACAAGGAATATCTACAATACTCGATAACGAAAGTGCTAAAGACACTTCAACTCTATCGAATCCGCATTCCTTACCAAACTCACTAAAGAACATTGATGTTACCGTAAAACAAAGGAAGCTTGTCATCATTAATAAGGAGAAAGAAAGAAATTTAATGTCTTTAATCAGGCTTAAATCGAAATAATCGGTAAAAATTGAGCAACACTTTTTAGTATCGTTTTCTTTGGATGATAAAGTCGACGGAGATATGGATATTTTTCTTGATAATCTCCTAATTGACTTTCGTAATGATTCTGATTTCTTGTTATCTCCTTCCTCTTCACTTACAACATAAACTTGATCAGAGCCTACTATTAATGTTGGTTTTTCTTCTACAGGTTTTGGTTTCGTATCTTGATTTTCGTGTTCAAGTTTGGCAAGAGATGTTATTCGAATTTTTTCAATTGGTCTAAACAACAAAGCTGCAACTGCATAATTCATCATAAGTCCCGAAATAATTAATATTGTTCCAGAATAAGAGTAATAATGAAACATATTTTCTAAAAGTGGAGGAAAGGCTATTCCCCCTAAGCCACCGCCCAAAGTTGCTAGTGACATTGCCCTAGCTTTCCTTTTATTAAAGTATAAACCAATTATTATAAAACAGGGCGTAAATACCAATCCTGCACCAAAGCCTAACGAGAAAGGGAACAGAATTAAAGTAATAATAATTAAATACATTTTAAAGCCCGCATGGCTTTATTAATTTAATTATTTGTAAATGAAATTAGACTAGTTTATGATATAACCTGCAACTACTCCATAAGAGAAATATAAATATCCCAAACTAGTAGGAAAAGCTGATAGGAGAGTTCCAAGAGAAACGAAAAATGTTCCAACCAAAACTGACGTTCTACAGGAAAATTTATTACAGAACATCGAACAAATTGGTGCTGTTTGGCAATAATTTAAAGAATAGTTTATTTAGGCTCATTGAATGATTCAAAAAGTAGCATTCTATTTATTTATTTGCGAATAGAATGCGAAATTCTTTCTTGTTTACTAACCCATCATCATTTTCACTAGACCGTTACTAGCTTGAACCCATGCTGTTGTTGTTGCTCCTCCTTTAAACTTAATTAAAAGTTGCTGATAAACTAGTGTAAAAGATTTCGCAAAACCGGCTCCGATGAAGAATACAATTGCGGCTCCAAGTACCACAAACCAGCCATATCCTCCATCAGGACTAACATAACTTTGTCTCCTCTTAAACTTTTGTCTTGTGTCTTTCATGTTGTCGGTGTTAAAGGTCGATTGAGACTGATTTTTTCCTTAAGGCCTACGTGAGGCATGTGCTATGAATTAGCCGAGATTGTCCCTTTTGCTTCTTTTTTTATCTCTTCTGATTTGATCAAATGAAAATATACCATTGGCTCTTCCTTTCAAATGACTATGCCCAGGTGGGGTCTATGGAGAGTTCAATGATAGGCCTAACAAGAAGGAAATGACAATAATAGATAAATATGCCCAATTTATATGATAACACTGACCATGAAAACTTTTAAAAGTTTTTTCGATATAGTATACTTTTACACCGTGAACTTTTAGTAGCTAAAAATGGAACATTATTGCATCGTCTCATTCGTGGCCTGTTAAATTGTAGAATTTTAAATAATTTTATATAGTTTAGTAATATGCTCAATATTTTTTTTATTAATCTTAATTTTTTTTATCTGTTTGTCTTTAGAACTTAATCTAATCTATTACATTATAAGAAAAAAGTTCTACGTGACTGAGAGTGGGTCAGAAGATAATATCTTTCTTCATGGATAGTTTAGAATATAAAATTTTTTTTGCGTTTTTGCGCATGTCAAAAAACTATTCAAACAATTTTTTTTATATTTATCTAGGATTCTATGTGTTCTAAATTCCAGTCGACTAATCTTGATTTAATAGAGACAGCGCAAAAAATAGAATCAATTTTTTAATAATTAAAGTAATACTTTTAAAAAAAAAGCGGGAAAATTACATTCGAAAATCACTTTACGATGTCCAGGGATTTTCTAGGGTATCCCTTTGTTGTTATTCACATTTTAGCAACAATAGAGAAGCTTCCTGAGTAATATATTGATATTCGAACGAATCTTGTGTTTTACAAATCTATTTTGGCTTAAAATCAATCGATCATTATGTCAGTTGATTTCGAAGAAAAGGCTTATACATATTTTTCTATTATTAGCCCTGAAGCCGTAGGAATTCTTGAAAGAGTCAAGCAATATTCAAACGACTCTCCGTATTTTCATTCTTTACCTGTTGAAAAGCAAGAGGAATTGTTGGACAATCACTTCGTGCCGGAAGAAGTGGAAACTTTTTATGCAGATGCTCCAAGATTGGGAGATTTACCTGAAATGTTTCCCAAATTAACCCTATACAGCGGAGAAAAAATTGTTGAATTGGACGACAAAAACTATTTTCGAGATGAGTTCTCTGGCCCATTTTGCTGGGAAACTTCCGTAAGTTCGATTAGTTTAATGTAGACTTATATTTATTTACACTTTTATGATATTTCTAGAGTCAAAGCGAGTTTACATTCGACAAAATAAATGAAATAGAAAAGCCAAAAGGCTATAGAGTTCCATCGCCGAAGTTGGAAAAGCAGAAAGAAAAGGGGAAGTTATGGCAGTCACCATTTCTTGCTAATGATAGATCTAAAGGAATGAGTTCAGAAGCTTTACACTTATTTGAGAAGTTTGGGTTAAAGCTCGAGGACGATGACGACGAAGACGACGACGATGATGACGATAAGAATAGTAATCAGGAGAGTTTTGGTGCTAATGAAGTATCTGGTCAAAATGATTCATATAAGGCCAACGAGGAGAATATTAGGTTGGAACTTGACGAAGATATCACCACCGACTCTGATGATTCTCCCGTAACTGTTGTAGAAGTTGAGAAACAATTTTCCAATCCAGTAAAATCAGATGTTATTGAGAATAATGTTTTAAACTACCTTGAGTCGAAAACAGAACCTACATTTGAACCTATTGAAACTTTCGATGATCTAAAAGAAACAAAGGTTTACATTTTTTTACATATATGCTTACAAATTCATGCATGCATTTGTGTTTTGTCATTAGGAGGACCAATCTTGTCAAGTTAAAAAATCGGGATTTGATTTTCTAGACAACTGGTAAAGTTTTGAAGAAGGTCCATCCTCAGAAGACTGTGGCAATCCATCGACAGGCATTTTTTTTAATTGCTAATTCCGTTTTTCTATCAGGTAACTTTTCTAGTTCTTTTTTTATCCTCTGAACGATGCATATCAAAGGATGAGCTTATAGATGTATTTATTGTTTTAATTATCTCTCAATACATTATACAAATCGACAGTTTATATTTAATAATCTTTGCTATCGTATCGGACATCAGGCTTGCCAAACATATGGGACTTTCCTCTGAAGGTATCACCTTTAACTTCTTCTCTGTAGTCTAGTTTGTTTCCAACCCATATCAATCCAACTCCAATGGCCACATGCCACCAATTGACGGCTTGTCCGGGTCTGGTGATAGCGCGTATTAATCCGAAATCCTTAGGCATTTTCTGATTATAAATAAATATATATTATAGATTGATATCAATGCAAAAAATTTTACTATTAAGTAAAAGTATTACTTTTTAAGCCGTTTCTCTTTTAGATTCTTCTTGATTCTTTAAACTCTTATAGCGTTTTCCTCTTGATAAATCCGCAGAAATTGCCCAAATTGTTAAGGTTGGAAATAAAATACTAACAAAATTTCTTCTTAACCAGTGTATCATTCAACTCTGTACAACACAAAATATCGCTCGGTTAGAAGGTCATTAATAGTCAGTATAAAAAGAGATCGTTTTAAGAGTTTTTATACTGAACGATTTTATGAAGATATTTTAATAATAAATCATGGTTTCTTTTATGGAACTTAAGGAAAATAACTAATTGCAATCAACAAGATATATAAAAAAATTTACTTCTCTCAGCTTCGCCTGGTTCATACGATTCGATACTCCTGAACCGGATGAAGAATTAATATATATTGAATAGAAACCGCATTAAAAAAGGAATATGTGGTTGCAGTTGATATTACTATCTCCCAGCTTGTAAGACGGTATTTGAAAATAAGATATATTATTAAGGTAGACGTTTTAGAAATATTAACTGCTGTAATATTTTTTATTAGAAAAATTTGGAAATACGCAAATATCTTCGCGCGAAGTGAAAAAGCCGGCGGAAGTGAGCTGTCACTGTGCGTTGTCAAAATCACGTGACTTCCGCTTCGCAAACTGGAAAGAAGTATGCCACATCAAGGTACTTTACTAAGTGTTTCTGTAAAAGATCTTTGATATTCGAGCAATTATATGTTTTTCATGCAATTTTCTTAGCAAGCTAGTAAATTGCAACTTCGAGACGTTGTGAATATCAGCTGATTTTAATCGAAAAGCTAGTAAAGTTTTACCGGCGGAGCCATTTTGACTTTTTTTTTTGTAGTAGGTGCCACGTGTCCGCGTTTTATAGATTGTTTGTATAATTTATTGCTAATTATTTACTAAATTTGTAATTTTTACTTTATAAGCCATAGTTAAAGATTTTTGTTACATGCTTCTTCAAAAAAATGGATTGAAAACCATATATTTTTTTGTATTTTAATCGTTGAAAATTTTCAGGTCTGTTAATACTACTATTGAACGTAGTACTACTGAATGCTCTTACGCCTTCACTCTACTTTACCAAGACCGATAAGGAGAGGTTAAAGGGCGTATATCTAAATGCAAAGCCATATGCGGATTTGGCGTCCTGTTATTATTCAGTATTAGGTCTTAATTTATTAGGAGAGCGTCATGAAAATCCTACGGTAGGGTGCACATTTCAAAAAATATTTTCAAACTAATAGTTAATATTTTCTTCTCTAGGAAACATGCAACTTCCTTAAGAGCAAGCTCGACTCCAAAGACCTGGAATCACTCTTCTTTGCTTCTAGCGCTGCTAAAATTCTCGGCTCTTGTCAGGTACACGATGTTTACTCGAATAAGCCGGATATGCTAATATTAAAACTTTACAATTCTAGATAAGCAAAGGGGATACTGAAACCACGCTAAACAAGGCCATATCCGCAGATAGTCCAGTTTTGAAGATCTACCAAGCGATATCATCGTTATCTAATTTTGGGTTTAAAAGTAATTTTTACTTATTTTGGTCATACATTACTCACCACCTTTTTTTATAATTTACTCTAATGATTATATATACTGCACATCAATATCCCAGCATACCATGGACAATTAGTTAGTAAAGGTTAATTGTTCAAATAATGCTGGAAGATTATTTCCATTATGTCCGGATGCAGTAGACTTATATTTATTCTACTGAAACTTTAACAAATGTTGAACATATTTTACAGTCGATTCAAATAAGGCATCTGAAGCTTTACACGGCGCCCTCAAGAAGGATGATAGTGCCTTGAGGTAAAAAAAATAATAAAAAATGAATTTAAAATAAACTTAAAGGTAATATACATTACAGCCATGGTTATGCTTTCTATGCTGCCTCTTTCTTGACGACTGATTTGAAAAAATTTTACGACCTTATTGAAGACATCATTGCCCAAGCGGATGAAGTTGAAGATGTCCACCTTCAATTTGAAGGAGGCTTACACACTACTGCCTTAGTTATTGACGCTTCCTTTCAATTGGCTGCCAGTGCCAAGAAAGAACCGATTATTAGCCAAGAAAAATTGATAAAATTTGCCAACTATTTCCTGAGTCGCAAACATGTCCAGCAGTTGCGAAATGCAGCTGCCGTTTTGAGAGTTGTCAAAACCTTGACAAACAACAACTATCACATTCCAGTTGCGGTCTCTTTGGCCTCTCAAGTAGCTATTAGCGATAGCTTACCACTCGTTAAAGTCAAGGTCAGCAATCTTTTGGGTGAAAGCCTTGGAAAACTAAACGTTGTAGCTGACTCTGCAAAACATAAAACTGACGGAGCTGTTGTTATCAGCAAGAGCCCATTTAAAGTATCTCCTGCTGATGAGTGAGTAAACCAAATTTAAATTTTCTTCCAAATTTAATTAAATATTTTTCAGCTCAATCTACGAATTGGATTTGATCAAATCTAAACCCCCAATGGGCTTCTATTCTATTTCTGTTACGGCTGCCTCTCAAAAAGACGATAAGAGACTCATCGGTCTGACTGGAGCTGCTGTTGAAGTAAAAGTAACAACTAAAGTTCAAGTAACTAATGTGGAAATTGGAGTTCTAGACAATGATCAAACAACAGCGGGAAAAACAACCAAATTAGTGTATCCTAACAAGGCTGCATCAATTCTGGAAGCTGATACCCACCAAAGACTAATCATGACATTTTCTTTGAAAGATAAAAATTCTGGTAAAGCTCTCAATGCTCATCAAACATTTGTTAGACTATCCAACATCAAGACAAAGGAAGAGCTAACTTATGTTGCTGAATCCGACAAAGCAAGTTCCTACAAATTTGATTTGGTAAGTTATTTAAATACGTATCTCAAAATTTCAATATAGAGTGATGAAAGCTTACACTTCTACCAGAAATTCATGCTGATAACCAGGCTAGAGTTCTGATATCTTTAAATAAGCACAAAGAAATTTTTTTATGAAACTTTTTAAAATTGTTATTTTCATTTTACTAGGACGTTAAGGCCAATGCTAAAGACTTTGGTTACAAGTCAGGGAAATACACTGTAGACTTGATCATTGGTGATGCAGTTATTCAAAACCCCATCTCCTGGACTGTTGTAAGTATAATATGAAAACTGTTTCATTTTAAACTTATTCAAAACACTTTATTTTTATTAGGCTGAAGTACAACTATCATTGGGTGATGCTCCACCAGCAAAAGCCAGCTCAACCATTCAATACAAGAAGAAGCCAGAAATTAAACACTTATTCCGCGAGCCTGAAAAACGCCCTCCTGTTATTGTTTCCACAGCCTTCACATTTTTGTGCTTAGCACCTCTTGGCGTCCTTCTTGTTGCTGTAAGTTTCCTCACTTTATTTAAAAATAACTTACGCAGCATTATCTCAGTATGTATATAAATATTTTTTACAAGTATTTATATAGATACCATTTTTAGCAGTTTATAAGTAGCTGTTAAATTTATACGTGTTGCTAGATAAACATTCAACTCCACCCGATTGTTTTTAAAAGCTTAGATCGGACTAAAAATGAATGACACTTGAATTAATTATATTTTCACACAGTGGATGATTCTCGGAATTAACGTATCCAACATGCCATTCAGCATCAGTGCCCTAGGGTTCCATATTGGATTGGGAGGTACATATCCTTATATTATATAAAATAAGTTGTAAACTAATAATTGTACATGTTCCCTACAGGTATCTTTGTCCTGTACTACTGGTACTGGGTTAGTCTCTCAATGTTCACCACTTTAAGATATTTGGCCGTTTTGGGTCTACCTACGTTCCTCTTTGGAAACCGTCTTCTTGCTTCAATAGCAGCGAAACGAAAAGAAAAGTGACAAGTATAAAGAAACTAGTGTCACTAACTGTGATAAGTGTCCATTGTATGTGTGAGTTCTAAATAATTGTTGAGAAATGTTTGGATAATAGTTGGTTATATAGCGATATACAATTTAGTATGTTACTATGGATTAATTTGTTTATTTCCAAAAAGTTAGCATAATTCTCGCACAAATAATATTGATACTGTTGAATTGTAATTTTTTTGAATTATCCGTCAACAATGTTCCATGCCATTTAGCAACTTACACTTTACAATGATGTTACCTTTAATGAATTTAAAAAATTGTCCAATCTATAGAATTAATGTTGATCTTATTAAAGAATATTCGAATAAGTGATAGAAAATGATAAACGATAAATTAAAAAAGTTTACAGTCTAATAATTTGCAAGAATCAGCGACTTTCATGGATATCTTTTGTGACAGTATTAGGAACTTTAGTGAATAACTTCATCATTGAACAGGACTGATACAATTTTAATCGGATCAACTTGATGCACCGATTTAGATCTTACACGGCTTTTAAAGTGGTGTCGACAAATGTTAATATTAAAAATTTTTAGCTGCATATTAAATTGGTGAAAAACATTCACGAAATCAAAAGTAATCAAATTTTTCAAAAACAGTGAAGTAATATAATGAACAAACGACAACACATTATCTTCCATTCAAATTTTAAGTAACTGTTAAGCTCCCCGTATCCAATTCTTTTCCTGGCGACTTATCATTCAGTTCATTTAGACATTGAAAAAATGCTTGAGTTAACATTTCGTGAGGACTTTTTATTTCCATGCAAGAGTCTTTATCTTCTATTGACTTTTCATTGTCAGCAGGACTGAGATTTAATCGCTTTGTAGGTGGTTTCCAAGCGTTTATTTTTCTCTTGAATGATTGAGCCTAGAAAATTTAAGTTCAATTAAAAATGTTTAATGTTTTAAATATATACTACTTTTGGTTTTTCTGGCGTCTTTTGCAAACTTTTTTGACTTTGCTGACTCTCTACATCCGTATCATTTGTTAAGTCAATAATTGAAGTGGGATTATTTATTTTGAATTTAGAAACAACTTCATTGACGGCTGTTTGTGAACCTGAAAAACTTTCATTATCGTATTCTAAGTTAACAACATCCTGGGTGTCCAAAAATACAATAGGATCGTCGTTCATGTCAATTTTATGGTTATTTGCTTCTTCTGAATTTGGTGAGTTGTCTTCGACTTCTAAGTCAATTTTATTAAAATTTTCTTCTTTTGTCTTGTTAATTACCGGTGACTTCATTGTGAGTAAAAACTTATCCATGCAATCTTTTAAAATTAATAAATTGGTTGTTTCAATATCGGATTGTAAAGTATTGGAATTCTCAAGTTTTATGTCACTTATTTCATTACTTGAATTTTGACTCTCCCGAAATTTGCCTTCTTTACATGCTTCTTTAGGAGAGCTTGATATATTCGTGGGGATGTCTTTCTCAAGTAATTTGTCTTGTTTATCTTTATCTTTGTCTTCCAAGTTTTCGTGAAAATCGCTTGCTTTTCTGTCAGGATTTGTATTTTCAATTGCTGTGGTTTTAGATTTCTTATGTTGGATAAGATTTCTATCCTGAGTTGATGAATCAATTGGATTGAAATGAAAATTTTCTGTTGCCGGATCTAATCTATTGCTCATTTGATTGTCTAAAGACTGTTCTTCCGCTTCTATATCTACTATTGGAACTTGTCCACAGGCTTTATTTTCATTTAAACTGATTGCAGATTTCACCTTATCTGAATTTTTATGTTTGTCGGATTCTCCTTGTTTATTGAAATCATTCATAGCTAGTTCGTTTGAAGGAACAATTGCTTTTTTGTCGATATCACATGCTTCCGAAATATTTTCCCTTGCCGAGTGTCTAACCTGTCTCGATGGATTTTCACAGAATAAATCATCATCACTCATAACAGTTGCCAAAGTTTCATTTGTGTGACTGGGGACAACTTGGGAAGATTGAAGCTTGGCGTCATCGACACCTTCAGACTTACCGATTTCTTTTTCAGAAATGGTAGTTTGAGAGTTTGTAGTTCTGTTTTTACTTTCAGAAGTGCTAATTTTACAATTAGACACACTGGAGTTTTCCTTTTCTGTTTCATTTTTTCCCGAAAGTTCTAAGTTCTCCTCTGTTGTCTCGTCAAATAAACTTTTATCACTATCAATTTCCATATCATAGTCATGCTTATTGTAATTGTTCTCTATACTAGTGCTTTCACTATTATCTAGAGAGATGCAAGAATTATTTTTTGTGCATGGAAATTTTACAGGACTTGATGCACAATCCACTATATTCCTGCTCAATGTTGGTGAAGTTTGCAGCGCAACTGAGTTTATACTTTGATTTTCAGTATTAATGGCCTTATCCAATTTAGCAGCTACAACATCAGTTTGTGTTCCCTTTGAAGTGTCTAAATCTACTAAAGTAATAGTCCCAATATCTCTGAATAGCTTTTTTGTTGGAGAAGTTTGAGTAGAGCATGTTGAATATTTAACGATTTCTTCTTTACAGTTGTTTAAATCACTTTTTTCAAAAACATCCATAAGTTCGTTTTCGCAAGTAAACTCTTCGAGGCTATCCTGGGAAAACTGGCAATCACCTCTCTTAGAGGTTAAAGTTGAATGGCTGGTTTTATTTTCCAACTTTTTGTTATCACTTTGCTCAATAACTTTGTCTGTCGATTTTATATCCTCATTTTGACTGGTTGTGTTCTCCGAATGAGTGGTAACACTTTCTGTAATATTTGAGAAACGGGGAGAATATGAAGCTGTCTTTTTTGTATAATTTATTTCGATCCCTCCTGCAAATGTTTTACATCCAAATTTCATTAGCACTCTTTCTTTATTGGAAACTTTTCTTATAGTTTCTTCCTTTTTTTTCGTCCATGTTGGACTGTCGGTTTCAGATGTTTTCTCTTCCTTAGTTACCTGCATAAATATTAGGGTAGATTATTAGCATAGAGCAATAAAAGCAGATAAAAACTATTTTTTTTTTAATTAAATTTCAGTACATTAACAAGAATGAAAGATATTAACCTGTTCATCAATCAATGAAGAAAATTTTTCCCATATTACTTCATCATCGAAGGATTCCTTAAGTTTTACGGGATCTGGGATATTTTGGTTGCTTAAAGATTCCAAATGATTACCTGGAGAGATCTGCGAAAAATCTTTTAAAACTAAAAATTATTTTAATGCTACCAACAATAAATTTAAAGTCGTCAGATAGATTTTCGGAGGCTAACTTCTTGTGGGATAGATCCTGAAACATGTGCCAAAATGAGCCTAAATTCATCTGTACATGTCGATTATAAAGTTTGACATACCGGAGAAACAAATAAATTCGGAAAATTTTCTTTAGAGGGAATCATTTCATCAGACCCTCTTTCACGTGTGCTCTGCCGATATACATTTTTGGTTTAGTAGTTATTAAAAGAGTTACAAATTCATTCTGTGAAAACGTACCCAGTCTATTTTAGTAAAGAGACTAGTATCTGATACAATTTTTTCGTTGTGATTTTCAGTTTTCTTTGTAGGAATTTTACAGGTCTTCAACGATTCTATCCTATGATCTGAGTCAATTTCTTTTAATTCCCCTTGACTATTGATATCATTTTCTGTATCCTCCTTATCAGCACATGTAGAAGGGCTCTGTTTACATAAAAAGGGATCTAATTTTTATCTTTTGCCTTAGCGCACAAAACTTACCCAAGTAAATGGTGGAAACCGATACGAACATTGTGACATTTTATCATCGTTATCTTCTTCTTCATTAAACCCATGAACATTTATTCCCATAAGTTTCTTTTTAGGAGATAAAGCTTGTTTGTTCTGGAAAATGCCGGATGACTTAGGGTTTGAAATGGGTTTTTGTTGAAATTTAGTAATTTCATTATTCAAATCTGGCAATAATTTTGATAATTCTTCTTCACTATTTTGTAAGTAATTTCCCAATTTCGGCTTTGGTCGAACAAAATCATTATTAGATGAATTCGTTTTAGGTATTTCATCAAAAACTATTCCAGCTGTATTTTTAGGCAAACATCCTGAAGAACTATTGCTTGCGGAGTAAATAATATTAGGAGAATCTGAGTAAAGATTTTCTGCTATATCCATTGCGCTGTCATCCGTAGTAATTTCTTTTGACTTAATTTCCTTTAAAGGAAAATTCTGTTTCCACTTAATATTTTTGTCATGAATGGAACTATTTGGAGAAAAGAAATTATTGGGAACTTTTTTAGGCTTTACAAATATGTCGTTTTCATTTTCTGAATTATTGAAATCAGTCTGCACAGTGGAAGGAAAGTTTTCCGGATCAGAATCTCCCACTGTATTTACTACAGGATAATTTGAAAAAGTATGCACAGTTGGAGATTGGTCGTTGAATATCACAGATTTTGAACTAGCTGGAGTAGCAACCATTGGCTGCAAAAATTGAAGTATAAGAAAATCAAAAAACCTCTAATGATTGGAAAAAGAACGCATTGTTACTCTAAAAGAAAATTCACTGGTGTTACCAAGCTGCCTATTCTTTGGAATAAGTTTATTTAGTGGCGTTTTCATTAGCTTCTCTGCTTTACCTATGTCTCTGGATTTCGATCTTGCGTCCCTTAGAACTCTTTCTATTTTTTCTTTCTCATTAGGTAACAAAATTGTCGAAGTAGATCTGTTGTCCTCGTTCATCTGAATATGCTTGCTGGAATCTTCTTTTTTCTTATTTTTGCCGAGCATTAGGAATTCTAAATCGTGACTTTGTCTCTTCATTGTTTGGTTTCGTTTTAATTTGGCAAAACTCTGCTGCTCAATAAACGAAATATTTTAAATTTTACTGATTTAATAGTAAAATTTTTCTTACCTTTAGCATCTTAGCCTCGACAGCTTTTTTGCTGGTTTTATCAACTCGTGACCAGTTCATCTTTGCCGCTGTAAGAGAATAGTTGCGTTAAAGGTAGTTTATATTAAAAGAATATTGTTTTTCGCAACTTTATCCTGAAAAGTACTGAAAAGGACTTTTCTTGGAATATTATTTTTAAAAATGTTCTTTTTATAAAGACCGAAATGTTCCGCTCTCGTTCGAATTTGAATATCGAGTTCTTATTGATATCGATATCGAAATAATCGATACGGAATCGATTAATATTCAAGTTCCGTTTTATTCGGATTTAACTATTTCACGCTTCGAAGCTTCATTTTACTACAGCTCAACAACAGGGTAAATAATAATATTTTAAAGTTATATTGTAGAGAGAATGTTAGAGAAATCGTTAAGCCATTTAACTGTGAATTTTCTGTGTTCATTAGTCTGTATTTTCCATACATCAGGAAGAAATCTGATATTTTAACTAGTAATTAAAAAAGTAACTCATTTGTAACAACACGTTGATCCCTTTCGTGAATGTCTCTAACTTTTGAAATAATGAATCTTTTTTGACATTTGTGTATGAACTATTTGAGGACGAAATAACAAGTCTTATAAACGCGTTAAATTTTTTTACCTAAGTTCAATAAAAAACGTAAGATAATAATATAAACAGTTTCAAATTTCATCAACGTTCAAATGACCTGGAAAGTGAATTAACAAGAGTAGAACTGTTGATATTTGAACCCAGCATATCTTTTACCAAGTCGTATGGCGGGCGTGATCCCCCATGAACTAAGATTTTTTTCTTATATCTTTCTCCAGCAGTTCGGCTAAAAGGATCTTTTTCGAAGGCTTCTTGCCAAATTGATTCTGCTACAGCTCTGGAGAGAATATATGCATAGTATTTAGCACCATAGCCATTAAGATGACTAAATCTTCCCTGCCAAGCCTGAAAAGTTCAATGTATCATAAATTCCTTACTGAAAATAAGAAGTATAAACTACTTACGGTGTTTTTAACGAAAGGTAGATGATAGTATGTTTTCATAATATTCTGTAAGATTTGTGTTGTACTGCCTTTTAAAGGGTGTGGTCCATGGTAAGCTTGATCAATCATAGAGTAGAATAGTTGTTCGTTCGTTTCCTATTTCAAAAGAAATTATGCAATCATCAGGACTTTCTTAAAGAAAAGTCTTACCATTGCACTGAACATTTTTTTTGATTTATTCAAATTAAGTATTTTTTTCTCGGATAACTCTTCACCTGTTTCATAGTGTTTTGCAAATGATTTTTGAACTCTTGGATCACTTGCAAACTTTTCTAAAAATATTGAAGGAACTTCTGCAAAATCTGATGGACATCTAGTTCCTGTAGTGTGTTGATAATATGTTCTTCCCAACATTGAGTGTATCGCATGCCCAAATTCGTGCCACAAATTTTCTAAGGATTGCGTATTTAAAAGACATGGATAACTAGATTTTGGGAGATTAAGATGAACTACTATTATTGGGTTTTGATAGGTTCCATCTGCCATTTCTTTTCCTCCACAAATTGTAAAATGGCACTCTTGAGGAAGTTTACCTTGTCTTTCAAAAAAATCACAATATATTGTCCCTAAGTCATTATTTTCTTCATCTCTAACTACAATTTTCTTAATATCCTCGTGCCAAATCTCTCCTGGTTCTGTATCTTCAACGTTCAAACTAATTCGAAAGATCTCCTGAATAAGATTATTTAGTCCCTCCATGCAAGTTCCCAAAGACAAGTATGGAGCAATCTCACTAGCTTTAAAGTTATTTTTCATTTGGCTTATTTGATTGCACAAGTAATGGGTATTCCATACTTGAACTTCCTGTCATAAAAGTTACAATTATAGCGAAGTATAAATACATATGGACTGATAGATAATAACATACTTTACTACCAAAATTTTTTTCATGTGCTTTTGAAACTTCTCTCATTTCTTCGTCGACTCTATTTAAGAAACTGTTTAAAGAAAATAGTATTTTAGGTTTTAACCTACTTTGGTCGTATTTTTTCTGATAAAGATTGTAGAAATGAATCAACAAATTCTGGAGTTTGAGCCATAGTTTGATTTAAAGATCTCTCTGCGTAACTTTTGAAACCTGTTACTTCAGCCAATTTATAACGCGCCAGCAGTAATTGGTCCAATATTTCCAACTGGGACTTTTCCTCTCCGTAAAATAATTTATAGCCAGTCTCTCTTACTTTTTCATTATGGTGAAAAGAATACTGATGTGTAATAAGACTATGGCCTCCATTCTTTGGAAACCTAATATAGAATGACATAATTTAATTAAAAAGTAGTTTGAACTTGAAATTGAAAGCATACACATTCAATAAATCTTTCGGTAGAAATTCGGTAGGAATGCCTACGGGAATAGCGCAGTTCTGCGAAAATTTAGTACCAAGTCTCAAAATTTCATTTGTAATGTCAACAAATTCTTTAGCCTGGTCAAATTTAATGTCGCCTGTTTTTATTAATATTACTTATGTGTTTCCTTTTATACCTTCTTATCGTCCGCCACAAGTGATTGTTCATAATCGTTAATAAACATCCAGCCGACACGTCTGTCAACATCAGTCAACTCCTTAACATCTTGATTTTTTAGAGTATATTTTAAAGCTTCATGAATTGTTTTGTTGGTATTCAATCTAATTAAAATATAATACTTTCATTAAATTTTTAGGATATAAATAACCCATACTCTTCAACTAATCGTGACAAATTCATAAAAGCTTCGTCAGCCGCTCCTGCCATTTTTAAGTTCGGATGACATGTTCTAACAAAATCTGACTAAAAAACAACTGAATAATGTTTTGAAAGCTAATCAACTGTGCACAATTACCATATCCGCTACTTTACAAATTGTATTGGACATGTCATCAAAAATTTCCACTAGTATTCTCTTTCTGTCTTGAGCAATGGCTTCATCGAAAAGTTCCCTTACCCTTGTTTGAGCCCTATCTAAAAGAACCTTGAAGCCATCAGGATGATTTAGTTCTGATATGTTGAATAATCCCTTTTAGGTATAGAGTTTAGTATTTCGCTTCAGAACCTTAATTTATACTTACAACCGAGCTCTTGGGATAGTTTAGACTAAATTTTTTCTTGGGCCGCTGGTTAAAAGTCGTCACTAGTTTTGAAGCTGTGCCTATTCGCCTTTTAACATGAAAGCTGATTCCTTTTAACATGTTTCTTTTGTTTTCACCCTAATATCGCTCTGTGAACCGTGGTGCCATAGGACTGACTAAATTTAGTCGATATAATTTTTTTTATCAAGTAACCGTGTTATTATAATAAAAAAGAGATACAATAATATTTATTATCTCAATCGCTGGTATAGCTTTCAGTTTTACTTAGTGACGCACATTGCATATTTCTCCCGTTTAAACAAACTTTCCTGAAGGTCGTACAGGTTGTGGAAAAAGCTCACCAAGATATTTTTCTGATAAATGCACCAGAATTTACCATGTAAAATTATAATACTCTTTTCAATAATCTTAAGACTCTTTTGTTAGCTTCTAATGACTTTAAGTACATGAAAGAATCAAACAGAAGCATTAAAAGTTATTGATATTTTAAGAAAGTCAAAGATTATTATTACCTAGAGATTTGATTGTATTTTTTTAACTGTTTCTTTCGTGACCTTCAAAATACGGTGAAAGACGTTTATACCACGTAGATATAGTCACGAATGCTCGTCTAGAGATAAATCAGGCGAATTTTGTCTCATTTCGTATATAAGAGGAAAAGAGAGTCAGCGAATAATTATAGTTTCATATCTGTTCGATTCAGTTTGACGTCATTGTTAGAAGTTTTGCAGTGAAATCGTTACTTGTTTTTCTTGGAAACCGAACAGTTTCCATGGCACTGTATCTGTTTTTCACTTATTTCTTCGAAATCGAAAAAATGCAATAAGTCTTATTTTCTATTTTAAATGAAACTTTGGAGAAATGAAAAAACAAATTCAAGCAAATAATTACTTATTTATAGAATATGTGGTTTATTCTATCTACTAGTTTTTAATACAGATATAAAAGTGTCTTTTGGCACTGTAATATTTCCTATTTTCCTTAAACGTTTCTTGCCTTCGGCTTGTCGTCTCAGCAATTTCATTTTCCTCGTCACATCTCCACCATACTAAGATATTTGCAATTACAAATAATGTAAATAAAATATCAATTATACTTACACATTTGGCAAGAACGTCTTTTCGGAGAGCTTTTAAGTTTTCCCGCGCAATTATTCTACCACCAACCTTTGCCTGAATAATGACTTCAAAAAGTTGTCTAGGTAATGTTTCTTTTAACTTGTAGACCATGCTTCGAGCCTTAGATACTGCTTTAGAAACGTGAGCAATTTGAGAAAGTTCTTGTACTTCTTTCTTGTTAAGGAGAATTTCGATCTGAAGAACATGAATATTGTCTCAAAGAGAAAAGTAGTAAAGAGAATTTACTTTACCTTTGCTAAGCTTGTTTCCTGATAACCTTGGTCTTCATAGTCAAAGCTTAAAGTACATATATTAAAATTGTATTTATTTGTCTTGTATAACAAGTGCTTTTAGATTTAGATGTGTGCACGTCTTTAAGCAAAAATGTGAGCAAAATATTGTAATTTTATAATAGTGCAGATCTTATGGTATCTCCTTCTCATTAAAATAATACATCATAAAGCTAAACCTCTATTCTACATTATGAATTTACATACTCTTGCCTTTTATATATATGATTAATTATAAATTAGAGTAAGTATAACGAGAAATAAGTAAAACTATTTAATGCGCATAAAGATAAAGAGCGCTATATAAATATAATAAGTAAGAGATGGTGTGCTTTTCAGTATACATGGAGAATGCAGCATAATAAATACAGAATAAAGTTTATGAGTAGCTCTAAGTGATCAAATTTTCATTAGAAATGCTTAATAATTCAAAACAAAAATCTTTGTGAGAAGTCGATTTAAAAATTATGTACCATTGTTAATTTTGTTCTATTTAGATATTTCTTAGAGTTAAACAATTCGCATAGAGAACAAAATCAATCTTTACTGTAAAAGGTATATAGCATTTGTTCATCAAATTCCTTTGCCATATACACAATCATGTCTAAGTGCGAGCTATTTAAAGACGTTCCTACAGAGACAATATTAAAGGCATTGAAGAAGTTAGTGGGTCTCATTTACTTAATATTCTTCTCAAAAGAATAATTATTAAATTTGATACCTGGCATATCCAGACGAAATAGATTTTAAATGATCGAAAAAATCTATTACGATTTCATTTAGCGGTAATATACAAGTGCAGATTATTCTTTTGTTGTCAATGTAGGATTGTTCGATGTTTCTTGCTCTTTTATCCTAATAATATTAGCATAGTATGAAATCAGCATTAACTAAAAAGAATATCGAACCATGAGTAAATCAATAATTTCCGCCAAGAATTCGTCCGGTGTGATTATCGTCCCTTTAACTATAGGTTCTTGGTATTCAGAGATAATTTGAGTTGATGGTAACTGTGAGAGAAAGAGAGCATTTGAAATCATGCAATTATTCAGAATATTTTATTTTATACTTTGCTTGGATTCAATATAGTTACTTCATCTCCTCCATATTCTTTGATGAATTTATCCCCAGTTATTTTGACTGAATAAATACGGTATATAATTTAATGGTATGAGCGTTGCTAGATTTGTAAATTTACCTTTAAAAGGCACATTTGGTGAAGTTATTATTACATTTGTATCAAATTCTTGCTCTAGTCTTTGGCAAAAGACGTCCATATGTAATAGCCCTAGGAATCCTACTCGCCATCCTTGTCCCAAGGCATCACTATAAGTAAATTGTTATAAATTTTTTAAACAAAAAAAAACTTTTACTGTTATTTACCTACTGTCTTTGTGAATGGAAACGCTCGGATCATTCATCATTAATTTACTGAGAGCCGTGCGTAATGAAGGATATTCTGATTGATCGGTTGGATATATTCCAGCAAAAACCATTGGTTTAGCCGGTTTAAAGCCCGATAAAGGTTCAATTTGTTGTCCTGCCTTGTGATAGCAATCTCCTATAACTGCTTCTCCGACAGCTTTGATATTTGCAAAAAGGTAGCCAACTTGGCCTGCATATCTAGATTTAAAGAAGGATTTATATATGAAATGTTCTGCAGTTTGCGAAAGGATTTTATAAGACTCACAATCCGTCAGTTTGCAGTCTGTCAGGATGTAATAAACCAATTTCATTTACTTCATATGTCTTTTTATTATGAATTGATTGAATTTTTTGTCCTCGACGAATTATACCATCTTTAACCGCTATATTAACCATAGTTCCTTTGTATTTATCGTAAGAAGAGTCAAATATCAATGCCCTTAGAGGCTTTTCTCTGTCGCAGTCGTTGGGTCTGCGATAAAGATAGAACACATAAATAGATAACATTTTTAACATAAAAGGTAGAAAAATACGGTGGAATCCTCTCTATAACAGCTTTTAAAACATTTTCAACGCCTGTACCATTTTTAGCAGAAATCTAGATAATAAGTACATGATAATTAATTTTTGCAAGGAGAATTGGGTCGTACAATAAAGCCAAATGTTTTTAATAACTCAATATTAACCTTTAACACTTCTGACTCTCTAATATCAAAAACGTTATGCAACTGTTTCATGACTTCATCCGGTTTTGCCACCTTCAAATCAATCTTGTTCATAACTGGAATTATTGCAAGTTCTGCTTCGAAAGCTAAATAGAAGTTAGCAACTGTTTGTGCCTGTACTCCCTGAATATAAATAAAAAAAAGTGGAATAACTTATATACATCATTCGTCTGATGAAGAAAAATGACCTGGTTAGCGTCTACTAGTAGGATTACGCCTTGACAGGGGGCCAATGACCTTGCTACCTCATAGTTAAAATCAACATGGCCCTAGATAATGCAAAAATATCCATAAAATCGACGGCTGAATTTAAATAAAAATATGTACCCAACCGGTGTATCAATTAAGTTAAGTAAATATTCGATTCCCTGGTGGTTATAAATTAAAGAGGCTGTTTGTGCTTTAACTGTAATTCCTCGTTCCCTTTCCACTTGTAATTTGTCCAGCACCTGTTCGTTCTTTGCATTAGATGATATTGTACCTATAAAGAAGACATGTTTTACGGTTAGTAGGCATCACTAGCGTCGTACATCGAGAATCGATAGTAACGCCCTGCTGTGTCTATTTAGTTCACTTTTGTCACGCCTTGTGTACGTTGGAAATCTAACAAATGTTCGGGGATGACAACATTACTAGAAATGGATCTCATATTATATCGAAGAAAGAACGCCTGACCTTCGTTGCTCTCTTAACCTTCTCTGCCCTTACGACTCTTATAGGTAATGTCTTCTTCATCCTAACAGTCGTATCGACTAAAATGCTACAGAAAACGGTCAACGTCTTATTAGCCAATTTGGCCTTGGCTAACATATTGCAGGCAGCACTAATATCTCCCCTGCATATAGAGGCAATGTATAAAGGAAAGTGGTTAGCAGGATTGACTTTTTGCAGATGTACACCAGCCATACATGTCGCATTGTTTTGTGTTGGATTAACAACTCATACATTCATTGCCATTAATCGACGATTATACGTAGCTCAAAAATATACAATATATAGGAAAATATTCTCGAGGATGTTCCTGTCAGTTATCTTTATGATATTATGGGTTATATTCATTGCGACAATTCTAATTAAAAGTCATTTGTTAGACAACAATTTGTACATCTTTAATAATGTATATGCTGCTTGTATTTATGAATCGCAAAAGTCTGATGTTATTATATCAGTTATTCTAGCCGCTGTTAACTATTCAATTATTATTTATTGCTATTGCAAGCTATACTTTTCTAATGACTGCAAAATCAATCCACTCATGCAAAGGACGATGCAACCGGTTTTAAAAAATATTAAAATAATTGCGATTGCTTTCATTATTTTTTCATGTAGTTGGATACCCTATCCATTCTTCTACGCTATTGATAGAAGTTGGAAAAAGTTACCACATACCCTGCATAGAGTGAGCTATTGTTTGACAGAAATTCAAAGTGCTTTGATGCCTATTCTATTCTATATAACCTCATCAGAGTGCCGTAAAGCTTTCCACAATGTCATTCTTTGTAGATACGCGTCTGTTTGTACAGTTGATTTACATGTGATTGATGAAAGCATAGAATTTGAGTCAAATCAGGCACGATACGTCGTTAAAGATTCGAAATTGTCTTTTAAAAATGAGAATATTGAAAAAGATGCTTAGATTCCTACCGGTTATTTCCAATAAGCGATCTGCTAAAGTACTCTTCCCATGATCAACATGTGCAATTATGCTAAAATTTCTTATTCTGTCTGGCGTAAATTGTTCGGGAATAGGAATCTGTAGGTTATTGTTGTTTGATACTAGCGATCTATAAATAAATTTTGCAACAAAAGCTTCCATACTGTTTTGTCATTTTGGGAAACTGAAGATATAAAGAAGTTGCGCGATACCAAATATAATCTGTATTTAATGTAATAGAATGACACATGATTTACGCCGATAATATAGAAGTGTACAAACTTTGATTTTTTCTTTATTTCCCAAGAGAGTTTATGTTTGAAATGGGGAATTTTTATAAGATTACTAGAATTAATTACATGACGAAGCATATTTAACAAATTAGTTTTAATTTCTGAACATTATCTTATATTGTACAGAAATCCTCTATTATTCGAATGTAATTCCAAATAATATTAATACGGTATCCCTTTTTCGCTCACAAATTTAAATTTAAAACGATGAAAAACATAAGATTAATCAGGCTGTTTGTGCTTCTTTTGCAATTTATCGATGTAGTCGTGACTTTTTTTATCGATCGTAAAAACATTAAACTTCGCGTAAGTTAAATAAATCACTCGTTTTTGTTTTATGTTTCTTTCGTCTTTTTCTTCTTGTTTTAAAGAATATTGTTTATTTCAGCTGCGAACCATATGGAATTTTTCAAAATCCTTTTTTTTTTTACATATTTTTTGAATTAAAAACGTTATGCTTCGTCTAATTTCAGACCAAACGATCATTGACTAACCAACAAGAGATCAAATTTGCATTATACGTCTCTAATCAAGTTTCCGGTTGGTTAATACACCAGTGAAATGATTTGTAACGCTTTTATTAACATTATTTTTTTTCCTATCTAGTAAACAAAGACGAGCAGTGGTTACATATAGCGATTTTAATATTCTTCCCTATCGTTGTATTATCATGTGTGTGTGTTTTTTGGAAAACCTGCTCACTGGTTAGACTCTGTAAAACATGTAATTTAGAACAATATAATCTTGGCGTAGCGTTCGTTGAACCTTTGCCTCATGAGCAAGTATAGAAGATGATAGAAAAAATATAACAAAAACATATTTATATTATCTTGTTTGTTGTAACGAATTTGAGACATCAAAATGTTTCTTAACTAGATGTCACTAGTAACTAAAAGGAAATCTCCCAATGACGTTGTAAGGCCGGTCGCCATTTCTCGGTCTTTCCAGAACGCTTGTCGCACTGCGACGATATTTTTATCGAAGTCGCTAGCTTCAGAGCTTTTTCCCTTCGAATTTCGACAATAAATGAGCGCGAACATATTGGTAAGTAGAATAATTGAATTTTAGCTGTAAATTTTCGATAGAATCTCAAGATATCTCAGGTTGTTTTGTTTACCATGACCACGTACCTAGTTTAAACCAGTTTTATAAGCTCAGTATTCACTTCTAAGCAACGTTTCGTTTTTTTTATCGATATGTTTTTCCGTTTCGAATATTTTTAGACAGTTGTTTTCGATATAGACCAAGAATTTTATCACGTGGATAATTAGTGGTAATGAATCATTATAAAAAAATTCATAATCACATTGTATTGTACAATATTGAGTAATAAAAGATTTTAAAACATTTCTGTCGTATCTCTTAAACGGTCAATGAGTGCAATTATTTTCCTAGTCTTGGAAAAGAAAGAGTAACAGGTGTGTATGCTATGGTAACGCATTACCTCGATCTGCTTAGGTTTATGAAGTTTTTTTTTGCCGGCAGATGGTAGTACGTAGTCAATATGTATCGGCATACCTGACGCGGCCGTTTAATTATCTCTGTTAATTTTAACAACGCTATCGGTTGTGACTTTTTAGTGTGCTTGATAAGCTATGTCAAGCAGTGGGAGAGTACGAAGTCGGCGCGTAACAGTAGGTGAACAATCCGTCATTCGTAACAAAGACTCTTTACAAAGTTGCGTAAGAAGTGGAAATTGTAATTAACGACTGTTCTTCTCTTTCACGCAGTTTAGAGGAGAACTCGGGCACACCTTCATGGAATTTGTGTGCAACAGCGGTGACTACTGCCAGGCACAGCATCTCAACTAAGGAGTCATACTTTTTAGATGGATTAAAATAAACGCTCTTATTCAGAAAAAAAAGAAATCGTCGATTGCCTTATTCACTGCTGCCAACGAAATTTTTGTCTGCACAATAATTTTTTTGCTGGTAAATTGCATTTTTTGAAGAAAAAACGCGAAAGTATGGTGGCCAGACTTCCTGAACCGACTTTAATTACTCATAAGAACATGAAGTTCTACATAACTAATTGTCCCAAAGAGGACGGGTTAGACAGCTACATACAGGTAAAATCGATAAAGATCAATCGAGAGAATCTTTGATGCTAATCTCTTTCCATATTTCAGGACTTGAAGAGAGTCGGTGTGCGCGACTTAGTTCGAGTTTGTCCGTCAGCTTATTCTAAGGAGCCTATTCAAGCTCAAGGAATAAATGTCATTGTGAGTATATATCTTAAATATATTGGAATAACTTTTTGGCCACAAGTCGAAGGTCAAGTAGCTTCTTAAAGGTTACTTAGTACGAAGAGTGTAAGCATGATAGAATGCTGTCAACAAGAATGTGATTTTTTTCTTCAGGACTGGCCATTCGACGACGGATATCCGCCACCCGAAAAGATAGTGGATCAGTGGTTTGATTTATTAAAAAATCGATTCAAAAATGATCCAGGATCCTGTGTGGCTGTTCACTGCGTCGCAGGATTAGGACGTGCTCCAGTTCTTGTAGCTGTTGCTTTGATTGAATGCGGAATGAAATATGAATCCGCTGTAGAGATGATCCGAGCGTAAGTACAATTTATGACATGTTTGAAAATAAAATAAAGGTGACTGATCTTATAGGCAAAGACGTGGGGCAATCAACGCTAATCAGCTGGAGTTTTTAAAGAAGTATCGTCCAAAAGGCCGGCTTAAAGCCAACGGAAAGCAGTGCTGCATAATGTAAAAAAAACAGCTAAGCGGTTTCAGAGGAAGGAAAAAAGTCAGGGTTTTTTAAACATAAGATTCGCCGCTGATTCCGCAGCTTCTCACTATATTGTGCATCGTTTCTTGAAATCGTTTTGTGTATCACGCAGCTTTCAATGTAGCGCATGCAAATTATTGTGTAGATTGAAGATCATTGTAATAATATGGATCGTTTATAATGGTGCTCCTTGCAGTAAACATATATTTATATATACTTTCCTATATACATATATATATATATATATATATATATATATATGTATGTATATACACGTTTATATATCTATGTGTATATATCCCTAATGTTTATATATATATACATATATGCGAAATTATTTTTGCTCGGAAATTTACACAAAACTCGGTAGAATCTAAGGAACCCAAGTTCCTTCCTCAAATTTATATTGCGTATACATCCGTTGATATATGAATGATGTCTTGTATTTATTATTAATGTATATGCAATATAAAATAACATGGACAAAGTTCCATGAAACAGGATTTTATCGCATTTCGGAATATATGTAATTTCTGAATGTTCAATTATAGGATAATTTGTTGGTTTGAACGCTATGAGAAATGTTTGCCAATTTTCGTACCGTTCGAGATGTGAATGTGTATTTTTTTAACTTGCTGGAATTATACTTATAGAGACGAGATGTGTTGTCTATAAAAATTTATGCGTCGACGAAGAATGCTTTCAATAGAATTAAATTAAATTATTAAAATAACATAAATATAAAAAATTTCTAACTGTGGAAAATCAGAGTTTCTTTTGTATATGGACTATTTTCAACATCATCCGTGCCATTTACCACACATCAGCACACGTACAGAAGAAAATTGTCTCATATCTGGGATAAGTTTATATAAAGAAAAAAAAATAGTTGACTTTTCTCTTTGAAAACAATACTTAAATTACCAGCAAAATAGAATAAAAAATAAATCAGTAACATTGGCTAAGAATATTTTTCTTACGTAAAATGTAATTCTGTACTGAAAGACCTGTGATATAAAAGAAGACTATGGTAATTAAATTGGGCAAGCGATAAAAGAGCCTTTGTAATAAATAAAATAATAGTTATATGACAGTGTTTTATTGAAAATTTATTAGCTGGCTACAAGCCAATAATCTGGGAACAGCAAGCGTCAGATAAGGAGTAATATCATCAAACTTTGGACATAATCAATAAAGAAATCATGTTTCAAAGTGTTCTAAATGTACCGCTGGCAAGGAAGCACATGTTGAAGTATTAAGAAATTCATAGGATTTTTTTATTTTTTCATACCTTTTAACATTGTTTTATCAGGTTTTATCTTTTAATATCTAACACTTCAAGTTCGTTTTGAAAGCCAATGATTGGATAAGAAATTTGAGGTAATAGCTTTGTGATGGAGCGTTAAGAATTGCGTTTTATAAAATTTTTCATCATCATTTTTGTTGACGAATTTGTAATTAAATAGGGGATTACAAATTTAGAACCTTCATCTACTTTCTCACACGGAATTAGCGAGAACGAGATTACCTTTAGAGTGCATAATGCCTTAGGCGATTTGACTTTTCTTAGTTTATACTTGAATTCTTCAGCGAAATATACTTTAAGGAAAAGCTGGAAGGTAGACATTAACCTAACCTTCAAAGACCTCTGAAGCACCCCGTAACTAATTTGGAATATTTTATACATTTAATATTTTTTTTGTCTTACATTGACATGATAGCATATATAGTTCAAGGTCTTCGTAATGACTAGAACATTCAAGAAAGCTGACCTAGATAATTTTAATCAAAATATCTGTTTAAGGAATTTTTGCGATATTAACAAGTTCTGATGGAAATTATTGAGGAGAAACTCACGTGGGAGAACTATTAATCAAACTTAGATATACCATTTACTACAAAGTCTATTTCATAGTGGTAGTTAGTAAGAACAATATTTGTATATTATTACGCTTGACTTTACACACAAGTTCGACGAAAAGAAAGTACATAAAAAACTTGTTCGATCAAACTTTCCCATTCCCAATGTAGATCTTCGACATATTATATCATAGTTTAATTTTTTTTTAATATTACAGTTAAAATTATTCATTCAAGTTTTCTTCTAAAAAAAAAAGTAGTTCGCTCAGTGCCCTAGCACCAAAGGAGTCAATATGGCGTCTTAAGTATATTGTTGGAGAAATTTTACTATTTTCCCACATATTAGCTATTCCCTGTATATAATTTTATCTTTAAATTGAAAGCTTTTTTGTTATTGTCCTAAACATCAAGGGTATAACATTGTTACTCAAGAAAAACCACTTTTGAATTTTGGAATTTGAAACACTTGTCTTCACAAACAATCAGAATTTTTATTCAGTTTACCGGGAAGAAGAGACACTTTAAAAAGTATATATACAAAATCCTCATTTAGATCGTCGATTCAGCACTTTGAAAGAGGTTAACCAACCGATATTCAACAACACCTTCGATTCATTATCCTAGGTATTGGAGTCCCTTGTGGAACAAATTAAAGGTCTGTATGTGATTGGGTATCTTGCTTTCTAAATGTATTTCAGTATTTTTCTAGTATTAATGCTATAATTGAGTCTCCATACCTGCAATTGCAAAATATGGAATTTCCTTCCAATTCTTATTGGGAATAAATATAATCATTAAAAAGTTAGCAAACCAATGGAAAATGATAATTTCACTTCCCTTTTCCATCAGCTGATTATATGGAATTGTTACACATTCACACATGAAACCTGGCATGGTTTCTTGGTATATACGTATATCCTATTAGTTATAATTGTTTTGTCTTTCTAAAACATACTGTAGGTATCATAAGTGATCATCACATAATTTCAAAAGGATTCTCTATCATGTTTTCGAAATTTAAACAATTGTTTTTTGCTTTTCCTTTCGATCACTATTTATTTAGCCATTATAATTCTGTCTAAATAAACAAATATTCACACGAAAGTGTACAGGACATAATGTCGCACTCTACCTATGGAGAGAAGATCCTGCCATAGTGATTTTAGTATTCCTCTTATCAAGTCACCTGGTATAGATCCGTCGTATGCAAAATATGTTATATACATTTCAAATTGCATAATTAAGAGTATTGGATTACAAACACGAAAAAGACAATGTAATTTCTATGACTTGGAAACTCAACGTCAGGCTGCTTTGGTATCAATAATGTTTAGGGAAGGTAGACTTAACCTTTTTCATCAGAGAAAAATTGTATAAATCATTGCTAATGAATAGATTACCTACCCAGCAATGATTTCCAATTGAGCCCTGTAGAAACTATCATTAAAGTAATTAGGTATTGTATTGAAAAACTTTTGCCTATAGCGGTATTTTTACATGAAGTCCTGGCAAAAACATTTATATAGGGTTTTCCTGGGATATTTAGTTTCTCATGATCGATCATCGACCGTTTACAACTCATTCCTATCAATAAATTATGTTTAATGATATATACTAAAAAGAAGTCTAAAATGACTTGTAAATTTTATATTATTAAGAAGAATTTCAGGGTATTCCCTTCAATTACTAATGACAGGTCAATAATTTAGATAAAAAACATTCGTCCTTGTTATATGAACTATTCTGAATTTTGATAATCGTTAACGAAATTTTGTTATATTATAGCTGTATGCACTTTGAAAACAATATTATATTAAATGGCCAGCTTAATGTGTAAATAGCTTGGAAGAGAAATTTGATAAATTCAAATCGTTATCCTTCGTATTAACTTAGAAGAGCATGGAATTTGTCGTTTATCTTGAAAACGGAGGACACATTTAGCTATAAATGAATCCATTTTTATTTCATCACAACTTCCTTAATTCGATCTAGTTTTTCTTAGTAAAACCTCTCATTAAAGCAATGATTTTTCTTATTTTATTTCAACCTACGTATCAATGACCTATGCAATAATTGTAAACCTTAAGAAAAAAAACCAATTAAATTTTTTCCTCTTTGAAGTTTGATTTCGAAAAAGGAAAGACAAGAAACTTATCTAAAACATCAAAAGATTTAATTCAGCGCGCATAATTAGGGTCAATAATGTAGAGAATTATACTTTTATAATAATATCAATGAAAAATAGATAGTTTCTATTATTTTTATTATTACTTCATAGAAAGTAAATGTGAAAATGAGAGAGAGCTAGAGATAATATGATACTGTTCCTTTGATGAGTTAACAAAAGGAACTATTTCAACCCTTACTCTATCGTGTTATATGTGTATATATTACATTTATTGTTATATATTACTTTTTTTATATATCATCTATTTCTCACATTAGAGTGATAAGATTTGAACAGGGAATCCAAAACAAGATTCTTTAAATTTCTGCTTTCTCATATTTCCATTTTCTTTCTTCGGTTTATATTATAAACAAAATAAGAAATTCTTATTTTTGTAATACACCAATTCTGAGATTAATTTTGCTAGATGAATAGAAAATAGAATCTATTTGTTTCCGTTTGATGGATTGTTATTTATAAGATTTATTAAGTCATTCAGTCATTCATACTATACATGATTTTTATGTCCTTTAATTATTGTTATGATTAGGAAGTGAGTATATTCGGTCCATAATATATGTTTATAATATAAACATCAGAATGATAAATGAATCAACGACTTAGACTGGTGATGCCATCTGGTCCATACTAATGTAATAAGTATTACTTATAGCAGTACAAAATGAAATTTAACCTGCAGTGAATTCATTACAATGAAAACTGTTTAATGCATTCATTTGCACAAAATTGAGAAAAGCAATTAATTAATTGGAAGATAAAAAATATAAATGGGAATAGGAAAATTTTAAACAAATTAGATTGATCTATTAAATTTTAGTCAAGTTACAACAGCTTTTACATTTTTCCAATCCTAGACAAAGTTACAAACTAAGAATATACTATCATCTTAATTATTACACATACTTTCAAAAACAAACCATTTCATCTCTTTAAA